ATGCATTGGTTAAGAACGGCGTAGATTTTCTTGTCCAAAATCAACGACTTCTTCCTCCCCTTTAGTTTATTCACGACTTTCAAGATGTTCCTCTTGTAAATCTCGCGCAACTTGGAGAAATCCACCGTTGCTCCGGTCTGGGTCAGATCGGTGAATGGATTTTGCGTCGACATGAGGAGATGTTATATGTATACAATAGGATGGTAGATACTAATGACGCTTCTTCTTTTCAGTTCTTCTCTTTTTCACCACACAAGAAATTTCCCCTAGTTGGCAGTTGAAGAAACGATGCAGAACAACAAACGCGAGTGAGATGACGACGGCAAACTCAGACGAAGAGCGCATGCTTCAGGAGCTCTTACCACCCCTGGAGATATCGGAAACCTTCGTCGAAGAAGAGGATACTTTTGCAAAACAAAAAAGCCAGCGCAACGAGAGTGGGGAAAGTTCGTTCCTCGACTTCTCGTTAAAGAGTCCATTTGAAAAGCTCGTTTCCTCGATTGAATACGCCGTAAACGATTGGTTATTCGCATCAAAATTTGAAGCACTCTTTGGAGATGAATCGTTGACACGTCCGAGCGAGTTTGGGGGGACGCATCACGCGTCGGTGTCCAAAGCCATCGAGCACAAACTGCATTTTAGGAGAGATTCGTACCAGATATCGTTTCACTTCGATACTCGAAAGAAGACACTGAGTTTACGAGATGCTCCGAGGAGCGACGATAATACGAGCAGCAGGAACTTACAGAGATGGTTCAAATGCGATACATTCTTTGTTATTGAACCTATGAGTTATAGCAAGAGATTTATCGACAACGACGAGGCGGCGACGGTACGAAGTGCCGCTGCTGTAGCTATGAGTAACTTGAGTGTTTATCTTCCGGTGTTCACGCCTATCGACCGGTCTTCGAATAGAAATTCAGTCATTGGTGTATCCTTTTCGACAGAGAGTGGGGCATCGTACTTGTACGAATCAGATTCAATGGTTGGTTTTACCAGTGAGAATGCATTCTGCGCGCTTTCAAGTGAGGAAACGAGTAAAGCTGTCTTTTCCATAGCTCGTAAAATCTTAAAGAAGGATGTTGCAGTTGCGCGAACAACGGTTTGTTATCGCATAAGCATGGACGGGTCGAGTTGCTTGATCGGAAAAACTAGTTCAGGTTTACTCGAGGAAGTTTCGGATGAAGATGATATAGAGCCTGATATTGTTGTCAAAGAGGCGTCAACTTCCTCTTCTTCTTCTTCTCCTTCTTGGGACGACGAACAGATTTGGTCGCAATGGGTGTGTTTGCCGGATCCATTTGATAGTATTGAAATAGATTGTTTTTTTGAGCGTAATGTAGAGCTACATAACTGCGTTTCAGATGGAGACCTTGTCGAAGATGGTTTGGATAACGCAAATATGTACACGATACGTTCAATACCTAATGGTGGCGGCCTCGTCGGCGGCATCGCCGCGCTTTCGGGTGCACCGCCTGCGGATATCTCTCAAATGTCGCGCAATCGACCACAGCATAGTTTTAGCTTAGCAGAACTATTACACATAAGTTCGAGTGAAATATTTTTAGACCGTGGCGAGAACTTTGACCTTTATTCTTTGGCGAGTGCGAATGAGATTGCTTCAGACGAATGGTGGATAGATCGACTAGGAACGCACCCTCCGCACGCGCCGCCCGAGGCCGTCATGGAAGATATTTTGCTAGACTTATTTCAAGACTTTATTGGCGAGTGTCACGGAATCGATGCGATTGCGAGCATTCCTAAAACAGCCAGAGGGTACCAGTCTCTCCTCTCGAGGGTGTCCTTACACGCCATGAAGCTCAAAAACTCTCGGGCTATTGCAGAATTATGGAACAAGTTTACGAAAGAATTACGTTACAAACATTGGGAACGCGGTGTGCCACTACCGAGGATGTCAAAGCACGGATCCAAAGAGATCGAAGTCGATCACTCTGCGTGCATTTTGGATCAACAACTACAACTGTTGAACGCTTGTATACATCGCCGTCTTCGTCAAAGTGAAGGAGCTACGAGAACCAAAAAGGAATCTGATTCAAAAGACGTCGTCAAACGCAACTTACTGAAGTTAAAGAAAAAAGAAAAACCGGGCGTTTTGAACGAAAGTAAAAGAAACGCAAGTGCGTGCGTGTGGAAAGCGGACGATGACTTGGATTTGAATGCGCTATTGAACGACGACATGGCACTCGCCGCTGCGAACGCGAGCGCATCGCAAAAAACAGAGGAAATGTTTGAAGATGCGCGTGATGATGTTATGCTTGCAGAGCCTTCTTCGAATGAGGACGAAGGTTTTGGAGTAAAAAGCGCTTTAGAGATGCGTTTGTTAGAACATCCACACGTGTTTATCCGCGAGCCGGAAATGCAGCTGCATCCTATTTATACGGAGGAAAGTTTACACGCGCTTATTGAAGACGGCGACGATGAAGGTGAGCGAGACACGAAGAGAAGAAACGCGCGTCTAGCAGTATCGAACGACATGCTCGTCTCTGACATGTGCGCGTTCAAAGCTGCGAACCCTATAGCAGGTTTCGTTGATTTTGTGCGCTGGCACTCCCCGCGAGATTTTCTTGAAGGAAAATTATCCGAACGCATGTCCAAGCCGGGCAACACGTGGGAAACGTTGTTCAAAGAGGCTGAGCCTACAGCAGCTAGCGATCAGAAATTATTGTTCGATCCAATCGCCGAAGGCGAACGCGTTTTACATTTGTTAGAAACGGCCAAGTTCGATACGATATTGCGGTACTTGTGTGCGATAGGCGCGAATGCGGCGTTTTGTATCTATGCAAAATCGTGTATGAATAATTTACGATGTGCGGAATCGATCCATCCTCTCTTAGAAGAGAAGATGCAAAGATGTCGAGGTGTTTGCGCGTCAGTTTTCTATGACGTAAAGCAAGCGCAAAAAGAAGATTTCGCACAAGCGGCGTACGAGATACAACTGATCGAGAGGACGGCGAGTAGAGCGGCATCTTTGCGGAAACACGTTGGCGAGAAAAGCGAGTTAAATTTTGTTATCGAGCGTCTCTGGATTGACTCAGTTCAGCGTGAATACGAGAGTCAAGCGAACGAAGAGGACGTCGATGCGGCGTTCAATGCTGTCGACGGAGTTTGTGCTCTATCAAAAGACGAAGAACGGCATGTAGTATTAGAAAACATAGCAGCGAAGCAAAAGTTAGCGTGCGAGTACGAAATTGAGGAAAAGACGAAAGGTGTGAGCAGACTACACGTTAGCGCGTCGGCTCGTTTTGTGCGCGTCAGTTCGATTAGTTAGGAGGTACAAGCGCATACTACAAAATCTGAGCAATGCAAAATGTATAAACTTAAAACGTTGTACTCCTAAATAACCACATTTGTCGGCTTGCCACTCGCAAATATCTTTTGAATGGCCCCGGCTCTCACGAGCAGTTTGCCTTCTTTACCCCCACCAGCTAAACCTTTATACATGAACCTCACGTTCTGTGAATTTCTCACCCCTACTAATCGTCTGCGCGCTTCTTTCTCTTTACTCGCGCGCGTCCCGGAACTCTTCCAATCGCCCACGTGATGCTTGAAGTTACAAGTATACAAACCAGCTTGGTACTCGTAATACCACGTGCGCAACGAGTACTCGTACTCAAAATGGATACCGGGATCTCCAGCGCATGAAAATAAAAGCATAAACATCCCGGTTTGCATAAACACGTCTCTTCGATAAAACAATGGCCCCGCGACTAATTTGTAGGCAAACATGAAAGGCACGTTTGCTTTATTATCCGTGGTTGGAATCTTACCGCGTCCTTCGCCAAAGTTACCACCCGGGAAACCTCCTCGTGCTCGGTATCCGCTCAGAAATGAGAGTTTGGGATGACTTTCAAAAAGTGTCAACGCTTGCGTCAACCATTTCGTACCCGTGGGGACGTCGTCATCTTGTAAGGTGACGAGCATATTTGAATTTGCAAAAAGCGACGCACGGTTATACGCTCGAATTTCGTGATTATTGTGCATGTATATCAGAAAATCACCAGGTTTGTCGAGTTGCTTGCGCCATAACCAGTGGTCGGACTCTGAATCGTTAATGACGATCACTTCGACTTTTTCCGGAACCAATCGAATGCCTTTGATGATTTCTTTAATATTTTTCGGCCTTTTGTAGTATTGTATCATCAGTGCGGCGTCCGCGTCGTCAATCTCCTTGCAATTTTCAACCGTCCATTCATCTTCCGGTTCCGCTAACGGTCTGCACTTACCTTGTATGGGTGCGTAATCGAACCATAAAGTCGCCGTTTCATCTCCCTCTTCACCATTTTGGAACGGAACAACGGGTAAATCATTGCCGTCAACGCTCGAGGCACCTTTGACGCGTCTCGAGATTGTCTCTATATCTTCTGAGGATAAAACGTCGTTGGTTAAACTCTCATCGCACGATACTTCTTCCTTCGTATCTTTGTCTGTGGGCAACAGCGCAGTTTCGTAACCGGCGAGCCAGGCTCTGGCGGCGAGTTCCTCCACGACGTTCCCTTGACACGCACCTTTTTTCGGACATATGGTCCGGGCAAATCGTCCGAGATTCACAAACGCTTGCCTTCGCACGACAACCGGTGCATCCGATGATAAACCAGGCGTGAACGTGGCGCCGAATCGTTCCATGCTGCTACTGACACTTCTTCCAGACACTCCTTCATCCTGTCTTCCCTCCTCGTCTTCCTCGTCCTCCTCGTCCATCTCTCCGAGCAGTGCACGTTTACGACCAAACAAACTGCTGCTGCTGGATGATTTCTTGGCAGACGACGCTAATAACTTTCCATACGCTCTCCCTCCTACTAGTACCATACCTTTACGCTCCTCCATCAAGGCGACGGCATTGGCCACCCACTCTGGTGTCGCCGCATGGAGTGAATGACCAGTAGCCAAAACAACATACTTTGCCGCGTGCGCCATGGTAGCTCCTCTGTTCCAGCTTCGCGCGCGTCCCAAAACAGAAGAACTGTACACGAGATAATGATTATCACCTTTGAGGGTGTTTGTCCAAATCTCCGCGTGTCGTTTCTCGTCATGCGCCTTTTCGCCGAGCGAATGTAAAAGCCCACCGCCGGAGGGCTTTCCCGGCGCTTCGTCTTCAATAATCACGACAATTTCCTTTTTATTCATCGCTTTTTCGTCGTTTCCTCCAGCTATTGCTTTTAATTCAGATGCAAATTCGTGCGGATCGTGCAGCGGATCAACGACGACGTATCCGATTTCCAATTCGTCTACATACTTTCGTAATTTTTCGCACCCGAGTGGTGGCTTTGGCGTTCGTTGAATCGAGGAGTTTGAGACGTGAAAGCCAGGTTTCTCTCGTGGTTGCCATCTGTACGTCAAACATCCTTCCACATCGAGCGCTGTGACTTGAAGCACAGAGCTGCTCAACGTGTGCACGAGGATGGTGAAAGAGCAAACGCAGAAGAAGGTGGTTTTTATCCTCATGTTCAATCTTCGCGTCTTCTTCGAATCAGAGTGCTGCTAAACACGACGACGAGCGAATACAACACTCCTATCTGGTTCGCCGTCCTCGATCTAATCTTCTGATACCTTTTAGAAGATAGATGTTACGTGTGCGATCGTGTTGTGATCTCGACTGATGGGTGTTTTTTGTTTTGTGGTGTTGTGGTGTGAGATAATCTTTGTGGCAGTTTCAGCACTTTTTGTTTAGACAGCGACTTCCTTCCACACTTTTCGTAAGTACACACAAGGATTAAAAAATCACCCGCGTAATGCTGCGGAAACAATAATATCAAGAGAACATAAATCCGTCTCGTCTCCACGCGTAACGAAATGAGCGACGACAAAATCACCGCGTCTTTTCTGTCGTCGTCGTTGGCTGATGTGGAGTACCCTGCAGGAGGGGATTTCTTCTTCTCGAAAATCGCGTTGGCAAAAGAGATAGACTGTGCGGCGGAACGCGCGGAAACTTTGATACGTGAAAAGTTTCTTAAGGAAATGAAAGAAAAGAAGGACGAGGATGAGGATGATGAGAATGCACGCATAGAGCGCGTATTCGAAGAATTAATCGCTAAAAATGACGAACAGTGCGATAAAATAGACGAACACATCATGCGTGCACGAGGGGATTCGGCGGCGAATAACGAAAAGTTGGCCCAGAGCACACAGAATGATGCGGCGACCAAAAACGACGCGAGTGGGAAGAAGAACATCAGCAACGCAGCATTTCATGGAGGCGGTTCGTCCATTTCTCGACCTCAAGAGGCGTTCAAAGATGTCGTGGATAACCGCACGGAAACAGACATGAATTTCGTGCTGCCCCCACCTCGAGGCAAAGGAAAAGCGTCAACGTCGGCGTTGAAAGAGTCGAAACATCCATTAGCTTCGGTTTTGCTCGATTCGTTCAAATATAATTCGATCGAAGATTACGTTGATAAAAATCATAATAGCGCTGGTGACCGCACAACTGCACAGTTGTGGGAATTGAGATGTTCAGATCCGATTTTGCCAACCCCTACGAACGAGGAGAACCCAGCTACGTTCGTCGATAACGAAAATGGTTTAGAGGAACTCGAAGGAGTGCTCTCAAAGGCACCAATCTTTGCAGTTGATTTAGAGCACCACTCGTATCGTACCTACAGAGGTTTTACGTGTCTCATCCAAATATCAACGCGCGAACAAGACTTTGTCGTGGACGCTTTAAGGCTCCGTCACTTGATTGGACCGGCGCTCGGACGTCACTTTGAAAACGAAGAAAAGTTGAAGGTGTTCCACGGCGCGAATTCGGACATGATATGGCTGCAACGAGATTTTGGCATATACGTCGTGAACATGTTTGATACCGGACAAGCAGCGCGTATTTTAGAACTTCCTTCTTTCGGATTGGCGTATCTTCTAAAACAATATTGTGGGATAAAGGCAGAAAAGAAGTATCAACTCGCAGATTGGCGTCTCAGACCTTTGAGTCGCGAAATGATAAACTATGCGCGTAGCGATACGCACTCGTTGTTGTATGTGCACGATCGATTGAAGCAAGAGCTCTATGCAAAAGGTGGCGTTGAATGCATTCAATCGGTATTTCTGAAATCCCGAGACGTGTGCTTATTGACATACGAGCCGCAAGTGATCACGGACTTGTCCTATCACGAGGACTTGATGAAATCTGCAAATGCGAGTAGCGGTGGCGGTAGCGGACACGGAAATACTTTATCTCGGTCGGCGCAGCAGGCGCAGCTTTCGCAAGAAATTTTGAAATCGCCCGTCGCTCAAGCGGCCATGGAAGCGTTATTCAAGTGGAGAGACGATTGCGCGCGAGCGAACGATGAGAGCTTAGGATTTGTAATGCCTCGCCATTTGATGCTTCGTTTAGCGTCAGAGCAACCAAAAGTGGCGCGTGATGTAGTGTCAACAGCGAGAGGTGAGTCTTCACTCGTGGCAAAATTCAGTCACGTCATTGCGGATATTATCAAAAGCGCCGTAGAAAGAGGCTCTCCAGTGAATGCCGCTCCTTCTGCCGGCGAACTTTTTCGCAGAGAACACGAAGCAGCTATGTTGTTAGTGAAAGAAAAGGATGATAAGAAAGACTTGAAAACGAGTACCGATGGAGGAGATGAAGGAGGAGGCGGAGGAGGAAGAGCAGCACCGGTGGAAGCAACCGATAAGCATACGGATACAACGAAGAAGAAAACAAAGAAAAAAGCGGGAGGCATGATGAAAATGATGATGATGATGTCGACTTCCGACGAGGATAACGATGATGATAGCGATGCTCACGCAAAAGCAACCAAGGACATGGCGGATCACATCCAAACAGAGTTAGTAAGCAATAGACAAAACGTGTTCCCCATGTACCATTCCATTGCGGCATCTGGTGGTTACGGTGACAGAAGACGGGATGGAGAAGAAATCGAGAATAAGAGTGCGCAGAAAGGCAAGAAACGGAAGTCAAATGACGTTTTACTGAAAAGTATCGCCGAGCGAAATAAAGACAAATCGAAGCGCATCGAAATTGCCGGTGGAGTATCTTTACCGGCACCGATACGCACGAAAACAACCCAAAAACTCGGTTTTGGCTCAACGCACGACGGCGAGCTCATGAATGACGAAGATGATGAAGACGAGGATGGTAACGGCGGCATGAGCATCAAAGAAGAAGCAATGAAAGCGCGAGCTGCCTTACGTAAGCGCCAAAAGAAGGCGATGATGATGTCTAACGGAGGAGGTTTTAGTTTAAACCATGATTCCGATGCAGATTCGGACGCAGAAGAGGATGAGCGCATACAGATGGAAAAAGAGAAGCAGGCGGACTTCAAAAGATTGACTAAAGGAGCGAAATCGCACAATGAGATCGTAGAACAAACGCAAAAGACGCTCGGAATTAAATCCGTGCACGCAGAGATACTGAAGGGTCCGGACATGTTGAAGAAAATAACCGAGCAGAAACGACTCGACGCGATAAAAGGCAAAAAAGGGTTCGACGGCGGTGAATGGATTGAGCCCTTCGGGAAAACGAATTTGAAGTCCAGAGCCTTCCCGCGAGCTGGCAATAAGCAGCAGAGCTTTAAATAGTAATTGCTAAGATTAGAATAGCATTAATGTATACCAGTGGTACCCAGGTACCAGGTACCTGGAACCAATCTATATTATATTATTTTACAACCTCTATGCTATATCTGAAAAAAAACGCCGTCCAGTTGGTCAAAACGAGGCCAACGGTTTCCCAAAATCTACATCCTATACTTATTTAGCTCGCGCATATCGCTTACACTCAAACAAGAATGCCGCATTGGTCACTCGAATCGCATCCACAGTTTTCTTCGCCTCCTCTCCACTCGCGCTTGTTTTTTCACACGCATCCGTGTACTTGACAAGTAAGGAACTCAGCGTTCGCTGCAAAATATCCATACCTCGATTATAGTTGGAGAAGAGCGACACGATTTCGCTATTTATCTTTGTAATTTGTTGTTTCCACTGCTCCGAGAACGCTTTCAAAATTTGTATCGATTGCTCCACCGCCACGTCCGGCGAAGATTTGCCGAATTCTAAACTTTCAATTTGTAGTAACGCGTCGCCAAAATGCGTTTCTAGTTCAATCTGGACGAAAGCATCCGTCTCTATGATCAGCTGTTCGTCAAAGAATCCGAGTTCGTGCTCTAAGTTTTCATCTGTGCTCAAGATCTGATGGATCAAATCGTAATTATTCAACAAAAAGCACGAACGACGTTTCGGCGTGGTGAATCGCTCTGCGAGTTTGACGAGTAAATCGTACTGCGCCTTTCGTAAACGCTCCAAGTTATTTCGCAACTGGTTATCGCCACCCTCTAATTTTGACAAAACCGTCATAGATGCCGTAAACTCTGCGTACCGTCGCGTGACGTAATGCGCGGAAACATCATCAACAAACAATTTCGTTTGATTTTTCGCATTCTCACACGCCGAAACTACAGATTTTATGTGCGCGTCGAAAACCATCTTAAACTTTGGCCACAGCATGATGTTGACCTTGTCTAGGTGTAAATCTAAGGAAGGGATTCTTCTTCTTTGCATCAATTTTTGGTGACCGCGGTTGATCAATATAGCCAGCGCTAATCCGATGGCGTCAAAATTCGTATTGATACAACTTTGCACGTATTCATCCATCGCTTGTAACGGTTGCGCAAACACGTCGCGGAAGATTTGTGAGTCGCCTTTCCAGAAATCTATGCAAAACAAGTATTCAAACGTTGCCATGTCGACTAATAATTTTTGTGAACTTCGAAACAGTGCTTCCCAGGGAAGTTTAGAACCCGAAATCGAGTGCGCTATGATTGGCGCAGCCGTTTCTATATTCGCAAGAATATTTGCGCGCTTTCCTAGGGAGAAGTTTGTATGCGCACTTCTTCCATCGTTGGTCGTTGGTATAGAACCGGCGATACCGCTTCCCTGTCCGAGCGATGATAAGAAGTGACTACCGCTGCCACCGCCGCCACCACCACTTGCGCTATTGGCAGACGTTGATGCAGACAATAATGTTGCTGACGAAGAAGAAGCCGAGGCATCGACGTCACCGATGTATTGACCTGTCTTGTTCTTCGACGTAGAACCCGATTCGAGTTTAAGTACGCTAAGCGCAGAAATATAGTTTTGTAACGCTGTCTTCAACACTTTACCCATCGTTTCCACGTATAATGCTCTGATTTCTCGAAAAATATCCGCGCCGTGCACTTGAAGGAAATCCACGAGAGGTTTATACTTTTTCAAGACGTTTGTTTGCAACAGCTGAATGTTCGTTTTCGGCTTCCTCAATGAATGAAACTTCTGGATAAAAAAATCGCGAACTTTTTGAATAGCTTTGATTCGCAGTCGTTCCAACTCGGATTCGATGTCCGTAAACGCCGCGTACGTCGCGTCTTGGCCGCCTCTTCGTTTCACGTCTCTCTTGAATATGAGTTTCTCCGAAAGCGCTTTACAGACTTGTATGTACTCAGTGCCGTCGCCAACTTCCGTGGACAAAACTTTCGCGATTAAATCTGGCGATATCGTCAGCTGTTCTACGTATTCCCCGAGTGCTAATTCAGTCTCTTTGCACTCCAATAATCTTTGTGTGACGTGACTGGACGAGCTTTGCAAGTTTGATATTTCTCCACTGATTTTGCCTAAACTCGTTTGGAAGTTTGATAAAACGTTTTCAATGTGCGCGAGCGTTTCGTCGCAGTCATGAATCTTCTCCTGTAAGAGTACCAAGTTATCGCACTCTTTCGCGTGTTGTTTGATGGATTCGTTTTCGAGTTTGTGCAGTCGATCGTTCGCAATCGAGGCTTTCTCGTTGAGTTCCTCCAAAGAGGCACACTCCAACACATTTTTCACGATTTCGTGTCCGCTGTACTTTGTGATTAAGTCAGAAATCTCCTCCGGAGAGAGGACGTCTCCCATGTCCTCTTCGATGAGGAGGTGTCCTTCGTCTCCTTCACCACCGCGTGAGCTCATTATTATTTGAGCAGTAGAGTGACGAATGAGGAGTGATGAGTGTCTGAATTCTTGTGTGGGAAAAACAAAATGCCAAATTGGTGAAAAATATACTCGTACCACCCAAATTGATAGTTTGATGATAGTTTGCGTGTCGACGACGATGAATTGTTTTAATATATTACACGCTTTAAATCAAATCAGCTACATTCACGGGCATTTCATCGATTTGCGTCGAGTAAAACTGCTCGATGTCTCTCAGCGCCTGCGTGTCTTCCGCTTTCAAGAATGTAATCGCCACGCCTTTTCTGCCGTATCTCCCGGAACGACCGATTCTGTGGATGTAGTTTTCCCGGTTGTTTGGCAAATCGTAGTTTATGACCAAAGAGACCTGTTGGACGTCGATACCTCTGGCCCAAACGTCCGTGGTGATTAATACTCTCGTCGTTCCACCTCTAAACTCCGCCATGATGGCTTCTCTCTCTTTTTGCGGCATGTCGCCATGCATAGACGACACCGTAAAATTATTCTTTCGCATCTTTTCCGTCAACCAATCTACTTTTTTCTTCGTGTTTACAAATATAACCGCCTGCGTGATGGTCAAAGTATCGTACAAATCGCACAGCGTATCAAACTTCCACTCCTCCTTTTCTACCGCGACGAAGAATTGCTTGATACCTTCTAACGTCAACTCATCTCTCTTGACTAAAATTCGAATCGGATCCGTCATGAACTTTGACGTCATGTCTAAAACTTCATTCGGAAGCGTCGCAGATATTAAAACGACTTGCGTCTCCGGCGGGAGGTATCGATATATGTCATATATTTGCTCTTTGAATCCCTTGTTTAACATCTCGTCGGCTTCATCGAGAATCAACGTTTTAATATTCTTCGTTCTCAAGTTGCGTCTTTTAATCATATCGAAGACTCTCCCCGGCGTCCCGGAAACTATGTGCACGCCGTAGTCTAATTTTCGAATGTCTTCGCCTATAGAACGTCCACCAATGCACGCGTGCACTTGAACGTTCATGTAATTCCCGAGCGCCAACGCTGTTTTCTCGGTTTGTACCGCTAATTCTCTCGTCGGGGATAACACCAAAGCTTGCACTTCTCTTTGCGTTATATCGACCATTTGACACAAGGACAAGGAAATCATGCTCGTTTTCCCGGTGCCCGATTGCGCTTGCGCGATGACATCTCTCCCGCTCGTGATTGGCAAAACCGCTCTTTGCTGAATCGCGGATGGTTTTTCGAACCCGTACGCGTACAACCCTCTCAGTAAATCTTCTCTTATCCCCATACCATCGAACGTGGAGGTGATGTTCACCTCTTTCGACGTCTCGAATTTCATTCTTTTGTCTTCGTCGAAGTCGATTTTGTTGTGGTCTCCTCCTCCCATGATGATGATGATGATCGATTATTCTTTCTTTTGAATGCGTTTGTGTGTGGGTGTATATTGTAATTAGCGTTAAAATACTCCGTGTATATTGATCTGCGGGGTCGTTCTTTGATTGTGAAAGAGAAAGAGCGGAGGACAATGCGCAAAATTCTTTTGACGGCTCGTCGATGGGATCTGATTTTTGACGTTCTTCGTTCGTTGCGACGATCGCGCGAAAGACCACCTCAAAAACAATCGAAAAAAAAGAAAACGGGAGAAAGAAGAAAAAAAAGAACAACACACACACACGAAATTTTTATCTCCTCATTATTGAAACACACAGAAGTTATACGACGACGTGAAGTAAAGTAAAGTAAATAAGAATGGGAGTAGAGGGTGCACCGGAAGGGCCGGAAGACCCGATAGCGCAGATCTGCATCACCGTAGGAAAGGTGCGTCGTCTCATACAAAAAAACACGCGCATAGATTTTAAGAGAAGAGAGGTTTTCTTTTTCTTCTCTCTCTCTTTCTCTCTCTCTCGAAATCATCCACCGCCGCCAAAGACAAAAAGTCTCTTCTTGTTCTTCTTGTTCTTCTTCTTCTTCTCTCCTGCAGAGTAAAGAATCGCGTGTAATAGTACTCCTTCTGACTGTCTTTCTCTCTTTATTTATATATATATATACATACACACACGCACAGGTAGTCGCCTTGGGAACGTCCGTCGTCGCGATGAAGGATGTGTTCAAAGCTGCGAAATGGCACGATTGTTACAAGTGCGGGGGGTGCAAAGAGATGAAGTGTAAACAGTGCAAAGGGTTCGGAAAAGTCGTCGGACAGTTTCCAGAGGATGAATTCGACGATGAAGGGCGTTTTTTAGGCTGGGATAGAAAGATTGAAAAAGGCGACACGTGGCCGTGTAGATTCTGTAGAGGCCGAGGTACTCTTTTATGTACCACGTGCATGGGTAACGGTGGAGAAATATCCCCCGATACGATCGATTGGAGTAAATTCTCTGGAACGAAGCAGCCGTTTCAGCAGTACGCGCGTAGAAACGTTTTCGATAAGTACTACGGTAGCCCAGTCGAGCCGGCATATTTAGAAGTTAAAGAGTACCAACGGTTAGAGAAAATGGATAAGTGGGTGCGACGTAAGGAGAAGTCGAAGAATCCGTTCAATAGGTTTTACGCTAACATGAGAGGAATCGCCGGGGACCAGCACATGGGTAAAGTAAAACCAAAACTCAGAAAGTACGTAGAGCAAGTTCAAGAAAAGCTGCGACGGAAAGACGAAAAGTTTGGCGTGAAAATACACGCCGAAGAGAGCGCGAAAATGACGAATACGACGGATAAGAAGAAGAAGAAGAAGAAGAAAAAGACGACGACGACGACGAATTAACCCGCGAGGAGTTCATTTCATCGATTGTCTTTTTTAATAATACTCTGTGTAACAAAACTACCACTTTTACTCTCAACAAGAACAACACCTTTCGTCGAAATCTTGTCCCTGTCACCTGTCTCTGACTTGCCAGATCTCTTTTTTCATACAAACCACAAAAAGCGTATCTTTCTCTCTCCTTCCAGCGTCACAAAAGTTTACTACACATCACACACACACGGACACGCAGATTTTAAATCATCAAAACATCAACGATATCGTCAGCACAGTATGTCTCTTTTATCGTTATCTTCATCCCTCGCCGCGATGATACAAAATGGTAATAATAACGATAAGCGAAGACGTGATTCTTCTTCTTCTTCTTCATCGTCATCCTCTTCCTCATCGTTGAAGACGACGACGACGACGACGAGGACGAGGAACAGAAAGATGGACGGTATGAAAGCTAGGTCCAACAATAACACCACCAACAACAATCAGATCGTAGAAGATAAGTTGAAACCAGATTGGGCCGGAGATGATATCTTATCCAAAGCCGTCGATGCCGCGATTTCCAACAAATTTCTTTACGAAGTTATCATGAAACCAATGGCGAGGAAAACGCTGATTGATACCGCGGAAAAGAACGGCATCAAGTGGAGAGAAGTCGCGGAAGAGTTACAAAAGGACGAACGCTTGCAAGCAAAATTTAATGAGATTGAAATCAGCTCGATGGAATATCCAGAATATTATTTAAAACCATTCCACGCTTACACGGAAGGGAACTTGTGTTGGTTGGCGGCCTGCGAAGCCGAGTCGGCGACGTACTCGATGGCATTGAGAGTGTATCCGAAAGAACGCATCACCGCTATGGAAGCGCAACAACGATTGCGGGATTCGTACACGACAACTTTGCGAGATCATCGCGAAAAATACAATGCCACCAATGTCGAACCGGAGGTTATTGTCGATATTGGTTGCTCCGTGGGTATGAGCACGAGGTATATTTCGAGACAGTTTCCGTCGGCTAAAACAATCGGCATGGATTTGTCTCCGCACATGCTCGCCGTTGCCTCGTTACGAGATGAACAAGAAACCGATTCAAGTCAAAGGGTGTGGGTTCACGGCAAAGGCGAAGACACAAAGATGGCTGACAATTCCGTCGATGTCGTTTCGTTAGCATTTGTGATTCACGAGTGTCCGGAAACGGCGACGGATGCTTTGATGAAGGAAGCGTTTCGCATCTTGCGTCCGGGTGGTACGTTCATTATGACGGATAACAACCCGCAATCTGCGGTAATTCAAAAGCTTCCACCAGCCTTATTCACGTTGATGAAATCCACGGAGCCGCACTCGAACGAGTATTACACCATAAATGTCGTGAACATGCTGAAAGCGAACGGGTTCGAGCACGCGCATCAAGAACAAACGGACCCGAGACATAGAACGGTGTTAGCATCCAAGCCGCTGTAAATTTTATCATTACATTATACAAACTATATTACGAGGTTCTCTACGCCTTTACCAAGCGCTTTGCTATCGTTATCACTATCGCTACCACTACTGATACTATCATTATCATTACTACCAAATTCCTTTTCTCCCCCTTTTTCTTCTTCTTCTTCTTCTTCTTCTTCCTCTTCTTCCGATGACGACGAATCACTCGGCGGAAAAAGCATCTGTTGTATTCGCTCTTCTCTCGTCAGCTCGCCTTCTTTTAACTTTGGACCTGCCAACCATTCGTCTTGAGCTTTTTTCACGTCCTCGGCGGTGGCGCATTCGGAATACGTCTCCAAAAGCTCTTCGTTTAAAGTGATGAAACCGTGTCCCCATTTGAACTTGTTCATCAATTGTTTCGCGGCGTCGCCGTACCCGGCGCAATACAATCCACCGGCTAAGGCTTCCGCGCACGATAATTTACAGGCTTTACCGTAGTTAACCCCATTCGCGGCTACCATCCAAGGTAGCAAACGTGGTGCTGCTCCGTGAATTTTGTTCCAAGGTACATCCTCAAGTCTGTTCCACGAACAGTCCACGACGGCTAACCCGTCAGAGCGAATCAAGTCGTAATCCGCCGGCGATAAGTGTTCCGTCGCGTCTGGCGTTAAAACGACACCAGGGAATCGTTGCGATAATCGCAACTCCTTTAAACATCCTAATCTGTGTAACTTTCTTCCCGTGCATCTTTTTGGATCGCACTGGCCTAAATCCCACATCGCCAATGGCACTGGGAAAGTAGTGTTTGCTTTTCTTTTTTGTTCTTCTTCTTCTTCTTCTTCTTCGTCGTCGTCTTCTGAACCGTTCCCTTTTCTCTCACCGCCCTCGTGTCGTCTTTCGCAGTTTTCGTTCACGCAAGAACAAAAACCACCACCTCCAAATCCTCGACTGTTCCTCGCCCACGGTGGATTCAAAGTCGCGCCGTGGTGGTTCTTGCCTCTGCCTTTACCTCTGCCTTTACCTCCTCCTCCTCTGCCGCCGGCTCCACCTGATGATGATGCGTTGGGATTGTTTTTAGATTTACCCGCGCGTCCCATCTCGTCGCTGTTGTTGTCTTTACTTTACTATCAAATATACTCTGTTATTATACGAGTGAATGTCTACACGTAAACGAGCAGTAATGATATTTGCACACAAGTGAGTTCTCCGAGCAGAAAATGAACGTTCTCTTCTATTCGCCGTCGTGTGTGTGGATTTCCCCTAATTCGTTTTTTCAGGAATTCTTCATTAGAAGTGCGACTAAAAACAGAAGACGTGTCTGTCGTCAAACACATTTAAACGCGGTAACCACGCGCGCAAGAAGAGTTTCTCTTATTTATTTATTGCGCGGGCACGAAAAACGGGGGAATAAGGATGACGAACGTGGCTTCTTCTCGCGCTTCTACCACCAATATCGCGTCGCCTTCGCCTTCGTCGAGAAGAGTGAGAACAACACCTAGTATCCTCTGCGCCTCGTCCAAAACAGACGCGACTTCCACGATACAAGAAGGAAAAGAAGGAGAGATTGAGAGCGTAACAACACGAAAAATCGAAACAAGAAGACGAAGAGGAAACTACGCGCCAACTGAATTGGATGTTCTGAACGATCCGTCCACCTTTGGAGAGTGCATATATTCGCACGCCGATTGGTCGCACGCGTACGCATCCACGAGGAAAGAATCTGAATACACCATCGCGGCTGAAAATATTGTCGGAGAGATACCGAAGGAATTACGCGAAGGTATTTTGTACCGCGTAGGACCAGGGAAGTTTGAGCGAGAAACTCAATATAAACACATGTTAGATGGAGATGGCCTCGCGTTACGTTTTGAGTTCAACAAAGACGGTAGCGTTCAATTTCTCTCCAAGTTTGTGCGAACGAAAGAGTTCAAAGAGGAAGAAGCGCGCGGGAAAATTCAATATCGGGGCACGTTTGGAACTATGAGAGAGGGCGGTATTTTGAACAATTTTGGCGATATTCGAACGAAAAACCTCGCTAATACGAACATTTTACATTGGAACGATCGCGTCTTTGCGCTGTACGAAGCGGGACGCCCAGTGGAACTGGATGGAAAAACTCTGAATACGAGTGAAGCTGGGAAGGAAGAATTCGATTTCGACGGGTTGGTCCCGGAAGGCCAAGTTTTAAGCTTTGGTTTACCTCGAGAGGTTGAATCAAGCATTGGTTTAGGCGGGAAAGCATTCACCGCGCACCCACACGTGGATCCAACCAAGGATGTTCTGTGCGCCTGGTGTTGGAGAAGTTTCGTTTACCCGGATAAAGCCGTCGAGATTTCGTTTCACGAGTTCCCCCGAAACTCATTCGTTCCCGAGAAAACAATCGTCGCTAGACTCGAAGGGTGCGAAGCAGCGCCGCATGATTTCGGCGTGACGCCAAAATATTACGTCATGGCGGTCAATAATCTCACAATCGACCCGTTACCGTATATCGCGGGATTAAAAGGAGCTGGAGAATGTTTAGTCTCGCAACCGGATTTGCCTCTCAAGTTTCACCTAATCCCCCGCGACGGTTTCTCCTCGCCGATTGTCATCGAAGGTCCCTCGAAAGCGTTTGAAATCCACACACCATTCGCACACGACGGCATACCCATAGACGATAGATTTGTGATACCTTCCAGCGAAGCTAATGACGAATTTGTGACGTTATATTCCGCAGGCTGGGACGATTTCAAAGAAGGGACGTTTCTCGGCGAATGGGGCGCGAGCCAAGAATGGGACTTTCCAATCGCCTCGAGCTTAACGCCTGATTTCAACAACATAGACTCGACCGTTCTGTGGCGATACGTCGTGAACATAACGAAGAAAACCATCGAACGGACCGCGGCACCGGGTTGCGAAAATCTATGCATCGATCACCCGCATGTTAATCCGTTATACGAGGGAAAGCGGGAGTGTCGTTTCGTGTACGCTTCCTTGAGTAACTTTCGAGGCGTGAGTGGTCCGCCTCTTGGTTACGTCAAGATAGATTTGAAAACAGGCGAGAGAAAAGTGTGGTGGGCAGGTAATCGCACGTTTTGTGAAGAAATAGTAGTAGTTCCGAAAGAGAATGGAAAGAATGAAGACGACGTGTGGTTGCTCGGGATGTTTTCGTCTCACCAAGACGACTTTCCGGACGGTCAGTCTGGATTGTTCGTTTTAGACGGCGCGAAAGTAGAAAACGGTCCTGTAGCGACGATAAAACTGAACGAGAGAATTTCTCACGGTTTACACGGCACATTTACGCGTTCTTTGAAGTAAAAGGTGAGGAAGTAGTAGTTTTAGCATGAAATAGTATAATGTAAATGTAAAGCGCATGTGTACACAATTCGGTGAACTCACCCTCTTCACTTCGCGACGCGCAACTTTTCCCGCCGCGACGTCAACGCGAAGAAACGTAGGCGCAAGAATAAGAACGCCAACCAACCCCTCGTCGATCTCGCTTTCGGCGTTTCGAGGGCATATCACAACTCTGTCTCTGAGCAAATAATCCTCGTCTTCAGTAAGCAACAGATGGCTGACGAGGATGAATGCTCGAACGTTCTGCCCGTCTCGCGTTGTCCTTTTGGACACGGAACCGCGACGGTGGACCCGTACCCTGGATACGTTCACGGTAAGCACCCAGCTGTGTGTCCGCGCGGGTGCGTCCCGCTCAAGGCTGACGTATCGAAAGCAGAAGCGCCCAAGGACAAGCTCAAGCGCGAGGCGACTGAATTCATCGAGCTGTATGGCAAGGAAAACAAGGTGAGCGAAGAAGATACGATGCGAAGAGTCGCGGAAGTGTTGGAATCGATCGAATCCACGGGAACGTACACGCACACCATTGATGAGATCAGACATGGCGCTCGAGTGAGCTGGCGGAACGCTCCCAAATGTATCAATCGGAAATTTTACAACACGCTCGACGTCATCGACGCTCGCGAGGCGACGACGAATGAACAAATGTTTGAGGCAATCAAGACGCACTTGAAGAGAGGCATAGGCGCCGATCACATTCCAGTGTTGATGACTGTTTTTCGACCGCAAACGCCCGGCATGGATGATGGCCCAAGAATTTGGAATTCGCAGTTGATTCGTTACGCCGGACATCGCGGCAATGGCGAAGAAGTCATCGGCGACCCAGCAGAGTTGAACTTTACGGATACGGTTAAGAAGTACTTTTCGTGGGTGCCAAAGTCTGGGTCGCCAGGCATGTTTGATTGCTTGCCGCTCGTTTTGCAAATCGATCCGAAACAACCGCCGAGCATCTTTGAATTGCCAGAAGAGTGTCTGCTCGAGGTGCCCATTCATCATCCCAATGTTCCCGAAATTTCATCTCTCGGTTTGAAGTGGTACGGTATTCCAGCAGTGTCAAACATCACTCTCGACCTCGGAGGCTTGCACTACACCGCCGCACCGTTCAACGGTTGGTACATGGTGACGGAGATTGCGACTCGAAATTTCGGCGACGAGAGCCGGTACAACTTGCTTCCAAAGATTGCCGAAGCGATGGGAATAGACTCTTCCACGGAGGAGACTCTGTGGCGAGATCACGCCTTGGCTGCAGTCAACTTTGCCGTGTTGTACTCGTTCAAGCGCGCGCGCGTGAGCATTGTCGATCATCACACGGCGGCGGCTTCGTTCGCTCAATGGCACGCCGAGGAGTTGAAAAAGCGTGGATACTGCCCAGGCAACTGGAAGTGGATCATTCCACCCACGGCGTCGTCGACGAGCTCCATCTATTTGGGTTTGAACAAAATGACTGAGTACACGCTCAAGCCTGCGCTCGTCGGCGGCATGAGCGCAAAAAGTCTCGTCACGCGAGCCATTGCCAATGGCTTTTTTACGCCCTCCGGACCAGGCGGATCGATGATGCGGGCGACATTGGCGGTTGCAAAGTGGTCCAAGCGCGTACGTCGTGTTCACGGAGGCGTGGTTTTGTTTGCGTCTGATGGAGGTCGCACACAGTCTCGTGCGACGTGGATGTGGTCATTCTTACGGCAGCGCTTGCCCATGATTAGGCCGGTGAACATCGCGAACCCGGATGTCGACTTCAAGACAGCCATCGGAGAGTGCGGATTTATCATGCTTCTCGCGTCGACGACTGGTTCTGGACAAATACCCACCGGAAGCCAGCTCTTCTTGGACTGGGTAAACTCTGACGAAGGGAAAGACATTCTCAAAGATAAATATTTCAGCGTTTGCGCCTTTGGTTCTAAAGCGTACCCAAAATTTTGCGCGGGAGGGAAGCAATTCGCAGCCGCGTTGCGCGACGTCGGCGCCTCTGAAATGTTCAACGTCGTCTGTATCGATCAGCTCGATTGCGAAGACGTGGGCGTGCAGAAGTACATGCGATCTGTGTTCGACTGGCTGCTCTCCAAGGAAAAAATGACACCCGGCGTGAATCAACTACTCAAGGATAGCCTGGCGAGTGGGAAGGCGATTCAGCCCCCGTTTGCAATCAAGCTGCTCGCTCACGACGTGCACGGAAAACGCACAGAATACGAAAGACCTGGTGTCACGGCGACGCTCGTGGAACGCGAACTCTTAGGCTCCGCCGAACGATTGAGTACGGTTTCGGTGACGTTTGAGCTGCAAGACGTCAGAAAAGGCGTCGAGTATTACAAGCCCGGTGACCACGTCGCCGTTTGGCCGCGTACGAGCGAAGCCCAAGGTCGATTTTTCGCCGCGCACTTTGGAATCGAGTACAAGGAATTCATCGAAATCGTGTCGCTCGAGGATTCATTCTTTTCATTGAAGCTCGCCATCGACCCAGCCATTCCGCGTCGAGTCTCCGTCGCCGACCTGTTCACGAAGATTCTCGACATCAACGCCGAACCGCCGGCGGAAATGCTCGCGTCGTTGGCAAACTACGTCGATGAATCTGAGTGCAAGCAAATGCTTGAAAAGCTTGCGCGCGAAGAAGACTTTCGACGAGAGTGGTTGGAGCAGACGGGCGTGTGCGTCCGAACGATCTTTGAGCAATTCCCCACACTGTCGACGATTCACAACCGTGACAAGACGGTTGGTGTGAGAATGCTTCAGGATATACTGCTACAAATCCCCAAGCTGAGAGCTCGCTTTTACTCAGTCTCGAGTGCCCCAGACGTGTGCGGCAACGCGCGCTTTGCGCTCACCGTCGGACGACTGGTGTATCGCAGCGCTGATAACGCACGCATCAATCTCGGATTTTGCAGCGATTTCATAGCGACGCTATCGATTGGTACGAATGTCACGGTCGAGCTGCGACCGGCGCCCATGTTCAGAATGCCAAAGTCGAACGCGCGACCAATAATTATGCTCTGCGCAGGGACGGGTATCGCGCCGTTCAAGGGCTTTGTCGATCAATTGACTGTGCGCTCTGAACCGGGTGCCGAAACGTGGCTCATCTACGGGTGTAGAACCCGATCGAACGAGCTGTACGCGCAAGACATGCGTCGCGCGGAGCAGAGTGGGCATTTGACAAAGTACCTCGTCGCGTACTCTCGCGAAGAAGGGCAACTGAAGACATACGTCGACGCAAAAATGCGACAACACGCCGATGACATTCGGCGACTCGTCTTGAATGAGGATGCGCACGTCTACGTGTGCGGCGACGTCCGAATCGAAACGTCTGTGCAAACGGCGCTCACAGAGATCATGGGCGGACCGGAAGCTTTCCGCGCGTTGGAGCGCTCCAACAAATATCACTTGGACATCTTTGGTGCGTTTGACGTGCAAAAGCAAAATGAAAACAAGCTCGCAAATGCACGCAAGTCGCTATCGATGCGAGAATAGAAATCTAACTGTAAATCGCGCATGTGTACACAGGTACATAGTGATGATGATGAAGATGATGATGATGTTATTAATAATAGTACAAGCTCTTTGTTCTTCTTCTTCTTCTTTTTATTTTTCTAACGCGGTTGCGGCGCTCCCTCTCGTCGGAGCCTTTGGGATAATCTTAGCCTGCGACAATATCCGCCTCACCGTATCCGATGGCTGCGCTCCTACTGATAACCAATATTTAATCCTATCTATGTTTAAACCAACGTGTTTGTGCGAGTCCTTGGACGGGATCGGGTCGTAATGTCCGACCACTTCCAAATGTTTCCCATCCCTTGGCGCTCTGGAATCGGCCACGAATATCCTATAAAAAGGTCTGTTCTTCTGCCCGAAACGAGCGAGACGTATTCGCACAGGCATTATCACTCTTATTCTTACTCTATTCTTATTCTTACTTTTCTTTTTCTTTCTCTCCCTCTCTCTCTTTCTCGATTGATTGTGTTTGCTTCCCTTTTTGTTCTGCGGAGAAGTGCTTCTGTTTTTCTGTTTTCAATAAATTATTTTTCATGCATGCATCAATAACTGAAGCTGATGAGAAACAAACTCTCATCATCATTCAACGCCATAATAAATAAATAACTCCATCCACTTATATAAGAACAAAGAGAGGATATCAAGAATGCCCGCGTTTTCGAGAGCAGGGGAAGGTGGTATCAGCAGAAAGAACAAGTCCTCGATCGTCAGTCTCCCAATAATCTTGAAGAAGAAAGTAAACTTTGCGAAAATAAAAAAAGAAGGGAAAGAAGAATTAGCGCAATGGACGGAAACCAAAGTGACGACTATGTTATCGTTCGAAGACGAGGTTTTGAACGGCTTAATCGTGAACATGTTCGACGAGTGCAGCGAAACGGGCGAAGCCGTGGACGGGACTAAGTTTTACGAACAGCTGCTCCCATTTTTAGAGAAGGAAAACACGGAGACGTTCATGTCAGAGCTTTGGCAGTTAGTAACAAACTTGGACGAAGAAACAGGGGTCCCGAAACAATTTATCGAAGCGCGCGAGGCGCAAAAGAGAAAAAGAGAAGAGAAGGCGGATCAGTTTAGGAAGAGCAGAGAAGATTTGGACCGTAGAAGAGATGCGCGCCGCGGTAGAGATCGAGATCGAAGATCGCAGCACGGATATAATAACGAACGCGGTGGTAGTAGTGGTGGAGGAGGAGGAGGAGGTAAATTTCGGGGGCGTCGGCGCTTCGACTCGAGAGAACCAAAGCGGGAGTTACCATATGATAGATGATGTCAAATGTACTCTAATAGTATTGTAGAAATATTAAGCCATGGTTTTCGTCTTTGGCCACTCTTGATAGATCCAACCTCTGAATTTCTCGCACGCATCCGTGAAATTAGAATCGTTCGAGTCGGAAATCACGTCGTCCCCGTGGACAAAGATAGCGCGCATTTCCAAATCGATTTCATCCTTACTCGAGGACGAAGCCGACGCTAACGCTTTCTCGTATTCCGCTTTTTCCTCCTTCAACATGTCCTCAACTTCCACGCCCAACTCTTTCACCCACGCGTCGTGTTTCAAAGGACTTCCGGTGAGGTTGTTCACCAATCCAAGAAAGCCCGGGTTTCCGCTTCCGTGCACCCAATAGTTCTCGATTAACTCCTTCCCGACGCGAGGATTATCGACGATAGTACCATCCCCGGTTTTGAAAAAGTATTCACGAGTTTGGTGCACGGCCATTTCCGCGAAGACATAGCCGTGGTAATAGCAACTCGACTCGTCGGCGAGAATGTGCGGCACGGACATCAACGGACGTCCGGCTAAACCGCCTTGGATTTTCATTTCGACTTCGTCCGCGACTTTCAAAACGTTTTCTGGAGTTAAGTCTTTCTCGTCCATTTCGTACAACGCTTTCTCAAAGTAAGGCACCGCAATCATACCACGCAACTGAAAAACTTTATACGGGTGTCTCTCTTTAATCGAGCGTTCGATTAATTCCCACGGAATCGTCTCACCCTTGCGGTTCTTCGCATAGCGCGCTTGCCAGCTCGCATCTTCGCAGAGAGCATCGAGAAACATCGATTGCGTTTCCGCCAATGCAACGGAGAACGGCGCGCGTTCTTGAGAAAACAAAGGAGATCCTTGGACAATGTTGGAAAAGTGCGCGGCGTGACCACCTTCGTGCATCAACGTCGTCAACGCGGTGTTTCCGGACCCGATTTCATCCGGCGTCGCCAAAGAGGTAAAGTTTGTTTCGGACGGAATAAACGTACCGTCTTGTGTCTTGTACGGCGCAGTCGGCCAGTGGCAAAATCCGTTCGGATATTTACCCTTTCTGTCGCACAGATCCAAACGCATCGTCGCGCCTTTATATTTAATGTTCATTTTCGAAAAGGATCGACCCCACACCTCGGGCGCGTATTCGAAAGGGTAGTACGGATCGGTAAGTTTCGTCAACTCACCGCTCAGCGCGAACCCGGTGTTCCACGGTTTGGTCGCGTCCTCTCCCTTTTCCTTTTTCAACATTTCCAGGGCTTTATCTAGCAAAGGCTTCGTCGCTTGCTCTAAACCATCGAGCATTTCGAAACATTTTTTCTTCGAGAACCCTTCGGCGTTGGTTACTTTCAAGTCGTAAAAGTCTTCAAAGCCGAGCTCTCGAGCGAAGCGATTGCGTTCTTTGATGATGTCGCAGAAACCGTTATCCAATAAGAACGGACCGTTTTTCCTCAACATTTCCCAACACGATTTCCGAACGCTTTCCTCTGGATCCGAACGCATTTTGGTTCGAATGACCGTCGGCGTCGTGTCGACAACCTTTCCGTCTTTGTCCGTGTATTGCGTCTTCAAGTTGTTTCTGGATTTTTGTAAAGTACCTTCTTTCTTCATCATAGATTCTCTCAATGCTTTCGCATCGTCCGATTCGACGATGTAACACTTCAAAGTCTTTTCGATTTGGTTCAAAACAATTTTCTGTTCCTCGGAGACGCTTCCGTCGGTTCGTTTCAACAACTCTCTCACTTTCTCTAACGTATTCTGGTCACCCAAGAATGTCTCTAACGCGTTGAACGAAGTGTTCAAGTTCTCCACGGAGTTACCCTTTAAATCCATTTTCGTCTCCCAAAAGTTATCCTCGTAAGATTTGTGTCTTTGCAAATAGTCTCGGTTGAAGTTTTCGATAAACTCAGCCGTTGTTGTTTGAGAAGACGGAGGAGAAGAAGAAGCCATCGCGACGATGATTTTTTTAGTATTTGTCTTCGTTGTTGTCGTTGATGACGTTGATGGCGTTTTGACGAGTGATGACTTTCTTCGCGCAAAGTGAAGAGAAACTCTTCTCGTAGGAGTTTGAAAAGTATTCGCAGAAGCAGCGGCAGAAGATGATTTTAAATATCTTCTTCTGGATGATGTTTTTACAGCCTTAGTAGTAGTAGTAGTAGTCGCCGTAGTAGTTCTGAGCGCAGCAAATCTTTGCATGTGCCTTTTGGAGGTGTGTGCGTTTTCTGTTGTTGTTGTTGTTGTGTGGACAAAAAAGACAGAAAGTGTTGAAAAGACAAGAAAAAAGGACAAAAGACCAAAAAAGGAGACACCAAAAAGCCCCCTGCAAAGGGAAGGAAAGGAAGGTTTTTGGAACAAAAAAACCCTCTCCCTCTCTTTGCTGATGCGTAACTGAATTGTCTCCATTACGAGTAGAATAAAAATATGTTTTCTACGACCACAACACGATCGATGATTGCTCGACCATCATCGACTTCATCATCATCTCTACTCAAGAAGCAGTATCGCGCGTCACCGAAGCAGAGGAGCAAGAAAAGCATCAACGTGACGGTACGTTTTATTCATCATCATCATCGTCATCATCATCAATTTACCCTTTTTCTCGAGTATGAGTAAAACAAATTCATTTTCGATCAAAACAAATGACTTCTCCTCGCGACGAACGACAACTCTTTCTTCTTTCCCTTTCTTTCTCTCTGTCGTTGTATGCGCGCACGTCCTCGAGCTTCCATCATCGCGTCCGCGCGCTAACTTTTGTTCTCATTCATCATCATACACGCTCACATAAAAATAACAAACGTGTAACTATTATAAACAGACGAATGCGCAATCTCGAGTGAACATTGCAGACTCAGTCACGCAGTTGGTCGGATGCACGCCGATGGTATATTTGAATAAAGTAACCGAAGGAACGAAAGCAGAAGTCGCGGCGAAATTGGAAATCATGGAACCGTGCTGTTCGGTGAAGGATAGAATTGGATTAGCGATGATAAACTCCGCCGAAAGAGAAGGGGCGATATCGCCGGGGAAGTCTTTACTCGTGGAACCGACGTCGGGGAACACCGGCATCGGCTTGGCATTTATTGCCGCGGCGAAAGGGTACGATTTGACTTTAACCATGCCCGCGTCGATGTCTTTAGAGAGAAGAATCTTGTTGAAGGCATTTGGGGCGAACTTAGTGTTGACAGACCCGGCGAAAGGGATGAAAGGCGCGGTGATGAAAGCGGAAGAGATTGCGAAAGAGAGCAAAGATTCAGTTATTTTACAACAGTTTGAGAACCCGGCAAATCCGCAGGTGCACTTCGAGACGACTGGTCCGGAGATTTGGGAAGATACGGCTGGTCAGATTGATATCTTAGTCTGCGGCGTCGGAACTGGCGGGACCATTACCGGCACCGGGCGTTATTTGAAATCGAAAAATCCAAACATAAAAATCGTCGCGGTGGAACCGGCGGAATCTCCAGTTCTGTCCGGCGGTTCTCCAGGTCCGCATAAAATTCAAGGCATTGGTGCCGGATTTATCCCGGGAGTTCTCGATGTTGACATCATCGACGAGGTCATTCAAATCGCCTCGGACGATGCCATTGAGTGCGCAAAAGATTTAGCTTTGAAAGAGGGATTGATGGTTGGTATTTCCTCCGGCGCCGCCGCGTTAGCGGCGATTCAGCTCGCCGGGAGAGAAGAAAACGCTGGAAAATTAATTGCTACCGTGTTTCCATCCTTTGGTGAGAGGTATTTATCTTCCGCGTTGTTTGAAACCATCAGAAATGAAGCGCAAGCGATGACTTTTTAATAACATAAACATTTGAACAACTCACAACACACAAACAATTACATAGTAGCAGCAGAAATCGTACAAAATACAAAAACATAGTAATCTAATCTCTTTTCTATTTAACTAAAGCCGGCTAATAAGAGCAATATAAATGCGGAAGATAACGCTGCAAACGTTGCATTTGCCGTCGAGAATCCATCGTCGACGAATATTTGTTTCTTTTCCGCCTCTCTTCGTACGTTTTCCGTCGGAATCTCTTCGGGCTTCCAGTTTGTCCTCTCTTTCGGATCCTTCGCTCTTTCCAACACTAACGTCATCGGTCCGTCTGCTACCGTACCGCTCGCCAACGCCTTGAAAATCGATCTGCTCGTTTGATTATCCACTCCGTAGGTGACTACCATCCGTTTGGTTCCAGATAGATCTCCGAGTAAAGCCGCTCGCGGCCCGTATTTAATGGATACCGCGGTGAAGCCTCTCAACACGTCGCCGATGGCTGGCGATTGCGACATCGACGTCGCCGGTTGTAAACGTTGGACGGCGTCGCGTTGGTACGCTTTGGACGTGGGATTAAAATCGACCACTCGTAAGAATCCAAACGTGTCCACCTCAAATACAATCCCTAATGGTCTCAACGCTTCGTACGCTATGATGGAGCTCTCCGTCGCTAAGACTTTCTTGAACAAAAATTTCCTCTGGCTTTTTTTCTCAGCCGTCGGTCCCACCTCGATGGTGACTCGTTCACCACTCTGACCTTCCTGAACAGTTTGTAACAGATACCCTTGCGGTTCATACACCAACTTTTTAAACTTGTCTTTTTCTAATATAGCCTCTAACGCTTCAATCGCTTCCTGTTCTTCGTCTCTTGTGGGCATCCCATCGTCGATTGTTTTCTGTCCATTATCTTGTTGGAAAATTTTAACTGATGTGATGCTCTTTCTTTGAGAAGGATGACGATGGCTTCTTCTTCCAGTCAGGTGCGATTTTGCGGCACGCGAAGAAGGAGAAGATGAAGAAGATGTAGATGATGCTACCGTGCTGCTGCACGAGTGATGATGATGAGCACACGACGACCGCATAATATTATTTTTTTATGTGTTCTTGTGACGTTTCTTTCACACAGAAACAACTTTTACCATGCAGAAGAAGATTCGAAGAAAACATCATTCTTCAGCACACCTCTTTCTGTGTTTTGCGGATTACACGAGAAGAAGAAGATCCTCTCAACAACAACAGAAGAACAAGAACAAGAACAACAAGAAGAGAAGGGAAAAGAAAAAGAGACATCGTCATCATCATGAGAACGGCAGCGACGATGGCAAGGCGCAAAAAACGCTCTTCTTTCTCCTTCCTTCTCCTCTCGTCGTCGATGGTATTATGCGTGCTGCTCTTCTCTTCTTTGTGTGGCGCAGGGGAAGCGGCGAGAACGCTGAAACAATTCGCGGGCATGGAACAAGCGATGGCGGAACAACAAGGAGGAGCTCTCTCCGCGCAACAGAAGAAGAACAACGTGTTGGGTAAAGGGACGATCGTTCCATCCGCGGATGATTTAGAAAACCCAGTGAGGAACGAAAATCCAGCCTTGTTAAAACACATCCAAAACGGTGCGAAGGATGAGAGCGAACAGACGAAACGATTGAGAAAGTTGCACAAAGTTTTGAACGTGCACGGACACTTGAAAACGGTGGCGGATAGAAATCCCGATTCGGGCTACTTTGTCGTTGCGTTTGCGTTTATCATTTTGTGGATAGGTGTGTATGTGAGACAAACGGTGGACCACGTGAACCAGGTGCGCGCTCAAGAACGCTTGGAAGCGAGAGCGTTGAATAACAAGTTAGAGAGGAAACAGTTCGCGACAGGTAACACCGGGGATCGTGTTGCGGACGATATAGCCCTCCGATTCGAATTAGAGGAAGCAAAGAACGAAGCAGAAAAGCTCAGAAGACAGTTGAATGAAAGAGATGGATCGAATAGCAAAGACGCAAACGTCTCCTCTTCAACTTTGAGCGAAAGAGCTGCGGCGACGTTAGATTTTATCAAACGAAAAGATTGAAATACACATTGAATAAATACTTGGCGACGATGAAATTAATAAAAAATGTTCATAATTAAGCTAATATACGTTTATGCTTCCTCCATTCGCACTCGAGGAGTTCAACTCGTTCAGTTTTGCAATCGGAGCGGGCGCTTCTAAATCTTTCTCCTTGACTTCTTGTTCCAACTGGTTGCGAATCATGCTGCGAAATATTTCACCGATGCGTTCAACTGCACCAGCCGCAAGCACGCGACGAGTCCAGCTCGAGCGTTGCTTCAAATCCTCTTCGTAAAATAACAGCGCTTCACTCCCCATGGAATCCCACAAACCTCTGAGAACACCTACGTACGCTCTTCTGTGCGACAAAGCGCGGGCGAGCATCGAAGAGATGTCATCCACGTATTTTAAAACGGGGTCTAATACCGCGTCAATGTGCGCATCCGGTCTTGCATCTCTCAACGCCAAACGTAATGACGGCCCGCTCGCGGCAACACCAGCAACTGCTCTTCGCATGTATCCCGCGTACTGTGCTCTCAGCTCGCCGAGAACTTCAACCATTCTTCTGCCAAACTCCTCGTCGCAACCGTGTCCAGCTTCAACCCACTTTGAGAGGCGTTGACACAACTCTGGACGAAACATTTCCATGGCTTTTACGGCACTCAAGGCCGCCGCGAGCTCAGAGGGCAAACCTTGCGGTTGACGCTCAAACGTAGCGAATCGTTTCAAATCTTGCGTAGTTTTCGTCACCGTACGTTTTGCAACCTTTGCTGCCGACGTCGTGGCTTTTCCAAACGTCGTCAAAGCGCGCTTTGCATCTTTCGCCATGCTCATGAAATTATCCATCTTTGTGTTGTTATTGTGACTGAATTTGCTGACGCCGCCTCGCGCGCTCGATTTAAAGTTTGTGGAGTTTCTCTTGTGGCCATTCATTTGAGCAGTCGTTTCAGAAACCGCATCTCTAAAGTCACGACCGAGTTGTAAGTGCTCGACCGTTTCGTAAATGCGAAGCAACACCAGCCGCTCCGCGCCGACGAGTATCCCCTCCAAAGGCAAACCGATATCTGGCCAACGCGTCACAATTTTCTCAAAACCTTCCAAAGCGAGATGCATTTCGGCGTAAATATCGTCCATAGCAGCTTCTGAAATGCCTTTATTGTTCAACGCGTTCGAACAACCGGCTTCTAAGCGTAATCGAGCGGATTCGATCCATCGATCGATGTGCGATTGAAACAAACCTCTGGTATCAAATCTTGCTGGAACGCTCGGTGATTCGCCTTCTTCTCGCAACGAAGCGCTTTCGACTTCACAACAGTAATCAATGCACCCGAGCACTTCATTCGTCGGCGGAGCGTTCGGCGGCGTTTTCTTCAAAGCGTACGACACCGTGGATGTCAATTCGGCACAATAAATATCAGAAGAAACTAACGGTAAGGAAAATCCAATCGGCATCAAGCACGAGTCTTGGACGACGTGATCAACTTCCAACTCTTTCAAAATGTTTTGGCACAACGTACCGATGAGCTGGTATAAAGTCGAGTTCGTCTCAGGATCTTGCATGGCGAGCATTTGCGCGTCTCCTAAAATTACTGCTTTATTCCTCTTGTAACACGTTCGCGCTGCGCTCGATAAGTTGCTCGCCAAAATTTCAAATACTTGGTCGTTCGTCTCGTTTCGCTTCAACATTCTAAACAACTCCAATGAAACATCCAGAGCAGGTGCTGGAATTTCGTGCGGAGTTGAGTTTGCATCCACGATCCCTCGAAACTCAGATTCGTCCAACGATTTGTAATTTTGAAAGCAGACGCACACGAGCGACAACACGCCTCCTCTCACGTGCCCATTCAGAGTTTGTAATTCCATTCCAGACAAGGTGCCTTCAGCTTCTTTACGCAGAGGTAACTTCAAGTGCTGGCATATTAAAGACAAGCAATCCGCCGTTGGAGTCGCAACCGCTAACAAGTGCTGAACGTATCGTAAACTCGCGTAGGACTCGGAAACGTTATTGTTGCAACGTAACTCCTCCAGTAGCCATGCCCAGTGTCCGTGCAGCTGCAAACGTCTCCTCGTAAAGTGTAAGGATCTCAAAGCAGCTGCTAAAGCGATGTCGTATGCACCCGACGTGGATAATTGGACGCCATTTTTACTCGAATTCTTGCCAAAAAAACCTGGATCAGAACCCGGCGGCGCCGATGACGCGCCGATGCCAACCGCAACCTCAAAGTTCACGCTCAATTTTATGCTCCCTTTATTGTACGTGATATTTTTCATCGCGCCATCGTTTTCTTTATCTTTGACCGTCGCGTTTACGTACAACGGTAAATCAACTTCGCCGTTCGCTCTGCACCACTCGCACACGTCCTCAAGCGAAGCTTGCGCTCTAGCCGTTTTACCAGATCGAACGTACACTTCAACGACGAGCATTTCATCGCCAGGCCCGAGCGGCAAACGCTTGATTTTGGACACCATGGAAGAAGAAGGTCCGCTCTTATCGATCGTTTTCGACATCGACATTGATTCGTTGAAACTTCTCAACTTTTTATTCCCGTCTTCGTTCGAAGGCTTTTGCGTCGCGGGGGTGCCTCCGTTCGCGTGCAAATTCTCAAACATGAAATCCGCGACAGAATCAGCGCTTCCCGGACCGCCGGTTGTTTGTATCTTTACTTTACGGCCGCGGAGATCGTTCGTATTCATGGACATCCGCGGATCCCAACCTTTGGAATATTTTTTTAAACCGCGCTCGGTGATATCTACACCCAAAACGTCAATATTTAAAGCTGCCCATTTTGCACCACCAGCACCGCCAAGCATGCTCACATCGTTACCAGCTTTTGATGCTACATTCGCACCTCCACTTCTTCCGTTGTGTTCGCCTAAATCGTTAATATTATCATTCGACGTCGACGCTTGTTGATGCGAAGGAAAATACTCGTTCTGTGGTCTCGTCCCAACCAACACGGTTTCTAAACCGAATCCAACGCGAAGCTCGCGACATCTGTCCGTAAGAAATCGAACAGCCATGTCTACTTTAGACTGCGCAGCTTGGGTGCCGAGCGATCCTTCCAAACACGACTGTAAGCATGCCTCGTACGCGAATAAACGAGCTCGTTCTTCGCCTCGCCATGGTCCCAAATAACTCTCGTTTGAGATATTCTCTCGATTTATCGTCTGGTGGTGCTGTGGCTTTTTGACGATGACTTTCGTCGATTGACGGTTTTGTTGCTGGTGTTGTTTATTGTGATGATGCGTACCATCTTTGTTTTTAACGTGCGCATATGGTGAAACTGGTCGAGGCACGGCGATGGAAGTTTGTTTCGTCGGCGTCGTCTTCGTTTTCGGCGACCACGTGTTCCGTATCTTTGCCGGCGATATATTTTCAACCTGGTGCATCGAGTGTAAACTTTGCTGCGCAGATGCAATACCAGCGGAACGAACCGATGGTGAATGCGTTCTTTTTGTCGTATCGGATGTGGACGCATTTCTTTGTCGATGGTGCTCATATTCCGTCTCCGGCACCGCCCAAGGGTCGGCCGCGTCCATAGTTTTCCCACTAAATGCGTCGTCATCATCTCTGCTCTCTCTCGGATGCACTTGCGAAGAGCCTTGCGGGCTTTCCACCGCGTCTTCAAATTTATCGTTCAGATTCGTATTCGTCGTCCTTGTTTTTCTCGCGCCTCCTCGTTCCTCCTCCTCGCCCGCTGAGGTGGAACTATTGACTCTCGCAGTCTTCGAAGAAGTGTTCGCTTTCACGTTCAAATCGTTCTCGGAGTTCCTCAACACGTTATTATTATTGTTATTATTGTTGTTCGTAGTGCTCATTTGTTGCGTTTGTCGTTTCAGTTGCGAGCGCGTCGTGCGTTTGTTCCCGTGCGCCGAGAGCGGCACGTTTTCTCTTTTCGCCACTTCGATGGAAGCGGCGATATCAAACGCCGACGAGCGTTTCACACCGTTGGACGCTTTCGCAGCCGCCTGATGATGATCCGATGAATGTTAAAAGTGATAAATAACGAGACAAAGATAGAGAAGAAGGAGAAGAAGACGTCGATGTTAGATTCTATCCGATGATGGTGCGATGATGAGATGAGTGTATTCCCGAGCGCGCGCGCGCGCAAAATTCCAAATTGGAAAAAACAAAAATTCGAGAGCGAAGAAGGAAAAGAGTTTTTGGTAGTCGCAGGAGAAAACGTACCCCTCTCGTCCATCTCTGCGGATAATCGGCTTCGTTATCGAACACCCACGGGTCCGACATCTCTTTTACTCTATCTCACTTCCACGTATCACTCGCTCGTTTTGAGGTGATGTGTTTAAGAGAGTTTTTTTGTGACGGTGGACGTGAGTAAAAATGTGCCTTTCTATTCGCCAGACAGTTTTTTTTTCTTTCGTTCCCCCTCTTTCGTTTTTTTTGGATGGACATGTGCGCACAATTAAAAGTATTTCCAAATACACGATTGCTGATGTGTGCGCTTATTAGTGCTATTAGTATCTAAAGTAATTCTCATAATTCTCTCGGTCTATTATAATCAGTTCTTCTTCTTGCTGTCGTTCTTTTCCGCGACGTCGGCAAAGACGACGACGTCGTTCTTTTCCTCCTCGTTATCGTCGTAGTTCATTTTTCGAGAGAGCGCTTTAGAACGTTTTTCGAGTTGTTCTTGCACTAACTCGTAGGTGAGAAACGAAAATCCAGCTTGTGGCATGAGTTTCAGAGACGATGGCAAATAGCCGCGGAACATATCTCTCCAGCCACACGTTCGAACGGTGTTCACAATGAGTTGGTCCACTCTGGGTAACTTCCCGTTTGGAAGTAACGGAACTTGTCCCGCTTGTAAGCGAACGGTGCAATAATACAAAGGATAAGATACCGTGGAGGCTAACCAACCAGCCATTAAGCCGCACATCAACGTCGGTCCGGATCCAATGCTCTCGTCTTCGTCTATTTTTTGTATTTTCTTGTATTGCGATTTGAACGTATCGTACGCGCCGAATGAGATTCCGGCGTACGGAATGACGCCAATCATAGCCGCCGACCAACCGGCGTAGCAGCCACGCAATCCCGTCTCTTTGACGACGTTGACCATTTGCATCAGCGAGTTCCTCGCATCGCGCGTTCGATTCAAGGAAATTCGCGTGGAAATCACGTCGAGAGGGTACATGATTGTATCCGAAGTCATCCCGGCTAAAGCGCCGGCGGCAAATCTTTCCCAATTTTCTGGATCTCGATCACCCCCTTTCGTCAAGAGTTTCTTATAAAAATCGTACGCGAAAAAATCAATAGCTTTCCCGGGAACTGAAGCTATGGAGCTTGCCATGTTTCCTTTAAAGAAACCGCGAAATCCTTCCTTGGCCCAAATAGACGTGAAGCCCGAACCTAAAGTTTGGAACGCGTGCGCGGTTGCTCCGTTCGTTATCGTCGTCTGCGCGCCAGCCGCGACAGATGTGGCACATACCGTCCCAGCGGCAGCAGCATTCGCTGCCGCAATGGTCGCTTCAGATGTAGCCGCGATGCGAATTGCGATGACATTCAACGGAGAACTTACCGTTCTAGAGACTATCCCGGATATACCTCCGGCGATCAAGTGACCCCAAGGCGCGCCTTCTTTTCGTTTATCTGGAATCGGTAACCGTCTCGGGCCGATATCTAAACCAACTTTCATGTAGTACGGCGTTACCGTCTCTAGCTGACCAGATGGAATAAGAACGAGCAAATCACGAAAATCGTTCGCATTCAAAACAGTATCATCGCTAATGTATCGACACATGTTTTCAATACCTTTCCTGGCGATGCGTTTCCTCGTGTTGTTTCTACCGCTTCGTAAAGTTAACGTCCGCAAACTTTGCTTCATTTTCTTTCCTGTAATTTTACCTTCATCGTCCGTGTCTAAACTATCAAACGCTTCTTCTAAGGCTATTTCTTTCGATCTAACGAACGCGGCAAACTCTTCAAAGTTCACTTTCCCGGTCTCGTCGTCGTCCTGTCTCGAGGACGCTTCCGAGATAAACTCGTGCACGAAGGCTCTCGGCATTCTCAAACTTTGCGCAAACTTTTCTAAATCGTCCTGACCAATAGATCCGGCTTCCGTCGAATCAATTCTGTTGAACAATTCTCTCAATCTTGATTCGCGTTCTTGCCACGGTTTTCGTACGCCTCTGCGCAAGCAACTCACGCGTAAACGCTCCTTGATTTTATCCCACTCTTTCTCCGCTAAAGGACCCATATCCATGCTCGAGACGAGAAATTTACTCTCCACGAAACCGTCCGCCCCGGCTTTCATCACTACTTCTCTCACCGATACTCCTAAACTATTCAAAGCGTTGCCTATGTCTAACATTAACCCTTGTCGGTCCCAGGTGATTATTGTGATCACGTTCAACCCACTTTCTTCGTCTAAGGCGATGGTGACCAACGTCTCGCCAATCGAAGCCGGCACCTCGTCGTCCTTGGACGAAGTCGACGGCGCTTCGTCTTCGTCTGCGTCGATGGTGGTGGTGGTGGTGGTGGTGGTACTTGCCGTGTTAGTATCGATGTTGCTGTTTTGCGAAACGCTGGCCAAGACCGGATGACGACGTTTTCGTCGTCCTCTTAATTCTTCTTCTTTTCTTCGTGTTCTTTGCACCACCACCCCGTCGTCGTCGTCCACAGCTGCGGCTGTTCTGTTCTTTTTGTTGTTGTTGTTGTGTTCGCGAATCTTCTCTCTCATCTTCTCTGTTTCTCTCGTTACCATCGTTCGTCCTCGTTGCGCGAAGGCGCGCACGTTCCATCTTGGATGATGATGATACGTTGTTGTTGTCGTCGTTGATGATGTTGATGGTTGACTGTCTTTTCCTCTTCCTCCCGCCGCAAAAGCAGCCATTTTTCTTTTCTATAAGGTTGGACGACGCCGACGCGAACCTACTCTTTTCGCAACAACAACACTCTAAATAGAACACCGGTCGGTCGGTCGCGTTCTCTTTTAGGAAAGTACAACAACTGCGTGTGAACACGTGCGTATCCTCTAGAAGAAGAAGAAGACGAAAGCCGCTTTTCTTTTCTCTATATCCTTTTTTTTAAATTGCTGTTGTGTTGTGTTGTTGTTGTTGTTGTTGTTGTGTGTGGAGGAAAATAAAATTCTTCTTAAAACTGTGTTGATTGAAAATTGGTTGGTTTTTTTTTTTCAAACAACCTTCCTTCAAAGCTATTTACCGGTGTAAATTAAATTACTACTACTACTACTTTTCTAATAGTAATATCAAAGTAATCATTAAAAATCACTCAAAATGCTGACAACAGGTGTCGACCCTTCTGCAAGTTTAATGGGGTTCGACGCCATGTCCGTCATTGGCAGAGTGTGCGTATTCAGCGGCTACTCGTTCCTCGGTTTCGCCATGAAAAGATTGGATTTGTTTTCCAAAAAAGACGGTTTAGTCATGTTGAAGTTTGTCGTGAACGTGACGTTACCGGCGCTTCTGTTGCACACGCTCTCGACGAGCACGAGCATGTATACTCCTCACGTGAATAATGGTAATGGTCAACAATATTTTGTGACCAAATTTCTGCCAATCGTTTTGTGCTCTGCGTTCGTTTCGTTGACGGCGATGGGTTCGGCGTTGTATTTGTATTTTAAACGACCGTCCAACGAGAGAGGTTTGTTCGTCGGGAGCATGGCTGGCGTGAATCTAGGAACGTACTCGTATCCGTTCATAGAAGCAATTTGGGGGAGCGAAGGCTTACGGTTAGCCACTTTATACGATTTACCGAACTCTGTGTTCGTGTTCATCATCTCCGCGGTTGTGTTTTCCTACGAACGCTCCAAGACGAGAAAAAGTGAAAACGTTGAGCTTCGTCACGACGACGGCGGGATGTATTCCGGCGAGTTTATCACAGAAAGAATCAAGAAAGAAACGTACGCGAAGAGAAGTTCCGCGAACGTGCCCGAGGAAGAAGACGCGAGAATGACCAAAGATAACGGACTTTCTTCGATTGCAAAGAGGAAGGAACAACTGGAAAAGGAAAACGAACAAACCGGACCAAAGACAACGTTCACGACGCAGCTCGTCAAGAGTGGGTTGGGGTGCTACACGTATCCGTCCGGTGCCATCTACGAAGGCGAGTGGCAACAAAACGTTAAAAATGGATTAGGGGTGTATAAATACGCCAAAGGAGGATCGTACGTAGGGAATTTTAAATCCGGTGAATTTTCCGGTTTCGGCGTTCGTAAACTTCGAAGCGGCGTCGTCAAAGCTGGCATTTGGAAAGCGAACGAGTTGGAAAAAATAGTACCCATGGAGGAGTTGACGGCAACGGTGAGAGATGCGACGTTGCGCGCCGAAGCTGCTAGAATGAAAGTTGAATCGTTAAAGGAAGAGACTTTAAAGAAGAAGGCTTTGAACATGTTGAAATTCCCGCCTTTTATCGCGTTGGCGGTTGTTTTCGTCTCCAAAATCATCGGGCACAGTTTACCGACTGTGGTGCACAAATTGGCGGAGCCGTTAGCGAATGCGAATAATCCGTTGGTTTTGATCACCGTCGGCGTATTGTTCGAGGCTGGATTGAGGAGACAACAAACGAGAGACTGCATTGGATTTTTAGCCGCGAAATACGCGACTGGTTTAGCGTGCGCCGCGGTTGTGTCTGTTTTCATACCGAGCGGGTTCCCCATCGCTCGAGGTACGTTAGCGGCGCTGTGCGTCATGCCGGTTCCATCTGTTGTCGTCCAACAAGCGGTAAAGAACAATCTGGACGCCGATCTCGCCGCAAGTTTAGTCTCTGGTTCCCAAATCGCCTCGGTCGTGATGTTGCTCTTCTTCGCGGCGACGATGAACTTGGCGAGCAGACCGTTTTTGTTTCCTTTTTGTTTGTTGATCTTAGCCGGCGTCGTCGCTTCTGCGGGATATTTCTTGGACGAGTATCTCTCGCCAAGTCCACACACGACGTTTAAAGGTGCGGTCGCAGATAAGATCGACGCCATGTTGGATGTTATATTCAAGAACAATGCTAAAGAGGAGGATGTATTATCAATCGATAGAGGAAATAGCGATAGTAAAAACAGTAATAGTGGTAGCGATAGTATCGACGAAAATGAAGCCGCCGCAAAGAACGACGAGGATTCCAGCAGCAGAGGACCGAATGCGCCAAACGCGAGAAGTTTGAGTAACGAACGCTATTTAAACAACGTCTGGCCGAAGCGTTATGAATTTCAGGCGAAACTCTCTCTCGACTCGCGGCTACGAGGAGGAGGAGGAGGACGACGACGACGACCAAAGAAGATCAACTCTTATTCCGCGTCGTCGCCGCCTCCGCCGACGAGGACGACGACACTCAAAGTCATCGGACTCGCCGCTAGAACGAAGAAGACGGATATGAAGACGAGGATGATTAGGACGACAAGGACAGCAGAGTGCACGAGGAGAACGTTTTTACCGCTTCGAACAACGCCTTTATTTTTGTAGTTAGTTGTAAAATCATAAAATAATAATGACTGACACCCTTTGCCAGATTTTCAACATCTTCTTCGAAAGAAGAAGACGTTTTTTTCGTCGTCTGCTTTTGATGATGCCAACAACGATGAATGTTTGCCACGTCGCAAAAAGGGACTCTTCTCCTGAAAAATTTCTTTTTGAGGAAGCAGGGTATTTTCGCCTTTCTCTCAAGGAAAACTCCACTTTACTTGTCTCTCCGACGTTCTGCGTCACAAAGAAGACCGATAAGTCTATTCTGATATACATACATCGCACATAAATATGATGTCACATTCCTTTACGATGCGCACGGTGCGTTTATAATTCTCTTTTCACGTTCGCGCGTCTGACTTTCCCCGTCTCGTACGAAAAATTCGAAGGTTGCTTCGATTTTTCCACGCCGGCGCCGTCGGATGCCTTTGACAAAAATCGCGGGGTGATAACGAAACGAACAAAGTTTGTATTTTGCGAACATTTTTGAAGCACAAACTGTTCAATTTCGTGTTCTGTGCGCGTTTATAGATACAAGCGAGCAATGTATGACCGCATCGGTGGTCTCGCTCGCAGTGAACACGGGTGCCTGATTACGCGCTTTTTGCTTCCTCTCCCCCAATTTGGATAATGCGCTTTTTTATCATCTTCTCCTCGAAAGACTAACAAAAACACACCCTCTCCTTATATCAAATCGTCATCCAAAACAACATCATCAGGCGCTCGTTGCTAAACCGCTCTCTTCGTCGGCCTCGTCGTCTACCTCGAGAAGAGCGAGTCAAAGACCGAACTTGATGGTTCGCGCCGAAGCTAAGAATTTAACCTTTGATATGGCGGCGAGACAGAAAATGCAAGCTGGTATTGACAAGTTGGCCGACGCGGTGGCTATCACCTTAGGCCCTAGAGGCAGAAACGTCGTGTTAGAAGAAAAGTTCGGCGTTCCGCAAGTTATCAACGATGGTGTTTCTATCGCGAGATTTATCGAGCTTCCAGATCCGGTTGAAGATGCCGGTGCGCAGTTGATTAAAGAAGTTGCCGGTCGTACCAACGATTCCGCCGGCGACGGCACGACGACTGCTTCCATCTTAGCGAGAGAAATGATCATGTTTGGTTTGCAATCCGTCGCTTCGGGTGCTAACCCGGTCAACATTAAGAAAGGGATCGATAAAACGTCTGACTTTTTGACGAAGAAATTGAACGAATTAGCCGTCGACGTCAAGGGTAAGGAAGACATCAAGGCGGTTGCCTCTATTTCCGCGGGGAACAATGACGAAATCGGCGACATGATTGCCGACGCGATAGAAAAAGTAGGTGCGGATGGTGTCTTGTCCATTGAAAATGGTAACGGTTTAGAAACTATCGTCGAGATTGAGGAAGGTATGGAAATTGACCGTGGCTACGGGTCGCCGCAGTTTGTCACGAATAACGAAAAGTTATTGGTTGAAATGGAAAATGCAAGAATTATCATCACCGACGAAAAGATTGAGCAAGTGAAGGATTTGGTACCGCTTTTGGAGCAAATCACCGAAGCTGGCTCGCCGCCGGTTTTACTCATCGCAGAGGATGTCGTCGGTGAAGCGTTGGCGACGTTGGTCGTCAACAAACTCAGAGGCGTTTTGAACATCACCACCATGAAGGCTCCGGGATTTGGCGAGCGACGCAAGGCTTTACTCCAAGATATCGCCATCGTTACCGGTTCGCAATACTTGGCGAAGGATTTGGGTTTATCCGTCGCGACGGCGACGATTGATTCGTTGGGTTTTGCCCGTAAAGTTACGCAAGCTGCGACTACGACGACTTTTATTGCCGATTCTGCTTCTCGAGATGACATCGACTTGCGCGTCGCGCAATTGAAACAAGAACTCTCTGAAACCGATTCCGTTTACGACACGCAAAAGCTCTCGGAGCGTATCGCAAAATTGGCTGGGGGTGTTGCCGTCATCAAGGTCGGTGCGGCGACTGAGGCTGAATTAGAAGATAAAAAGTTGCGCATTGAGGATGCGAAGAACGCTACGTTTGCGGCTGTCGAAGAAGGCATCGTTCCGGGAGGCGGCGCCGCTTTGGTGCACTTGTCTGTGATGATTGAGGAATTCAAGGAAACTCTCACGGACCCGGAGGAGAAATTAGGCTGTGAAATCGTTCAAAAGGCATTAGTCGCGCCATGCAGATGGATCGGTAACAACGCTGGCGTTGAAGGTGATGTCATCGTGTCCAGAGTGGCGCAAGAACCGTGGGAGATTGGATACAACGCCATGTCTGGCGAATACGCCAACTTGATTGAAACCGGCGTCATCGACCCGAAGAAAGTTACGAGATCTGGCATCCAAAACTCTTGCTCTATTGCCGGTATGGTTTTGACCACGCAAGCCGTCATCACAGAAATCCCGAAGAAGCAATTAAAGGGAAGAGTGATGGATAGCAATGCGGACACCGCGAATGCGCCGGGCACATTTTCCATTTGAGCCTCTTCTCTCTCTCGTTTTAATTGAAAATCATAATAGCTTCACTACAAAACCCATTACTGTACCAGTGTTTTCTTCTACATGTTGCTACATTACAACTCGTCGTTTTTACCGTGGCCGTCGCTATTTTCTCGCTCGCTATTTTTGCTATTAATGTCCTCTTCGTCGTAATTACCAGCGTCGAGGAGTATTTCTTGAAACGTTCTTTCGTCTTCCTTTTCATTTTTGTACGCGTAACACCGAATTGGCTCGATGTTCTTCTCCTTCGTAACAAACGCTTCGTGTGAACACAGCAAAGGCGTCGCGAATTGTAAGTTATAAGAACACGTAGTCGGCTCTTTGACGCTCAAAACTGTGTTCTGTCCTTCCTCTGCGCACACAAAGTGTACCTCCGTTTTCCTCGTTTCTAACGAACCGATGTCGCACTCCGTACCGTCTGTAAAATGATGCACGTGAAACGCCGTCGCTGGAATACCCACCGATGCCTCTCGTTTCTTAATTTCCGTTTCATTTTCATCGTCGCGCGTTTTATTAGTCAAAGCTTCGTTAAATTTACCTAAAGAGTAGTCCACGGAAACTTTCGCGTTACTTTCTACGTGGTACTGTCGAACGTGTTTCTTGAAACAAAACTCGTACGTCCACCATCCTTCAAATCTATAGAAGCACGCGTTCGTGAGCGGCTGCAGTAGCGACGCAATCGATGGAGCGTTTGGTTCTTCTTCTTCTTCTTCTTTTTCTTCCTCTTCCGCATCTCCTTCTTCTCGTTTGTTGTCTCCCCCTCCGTTCTCTTTCTCTCCTTCTTCTCCTTTCTTCTTCTTCTTTAAAGACGAAGACGACGAAGAAGGTAAAACGCACGCGAACGTTTGCCCCTCGTGATCGGTGATAAATTCCAACTCTTTCCCTTTCGTTTTCTTTTTTAATCGTTCGCTCGTTATCAGCGATTCGTCTTCGTGCGCGTTGTTCAAAGCGACGATAAACGCGTCTTCCACGTCCAATTTCGTGGACGTTTCCTCCAATTTCCTCCGAAGAGAATCTTTCAAAGCTTGGTTTCTCTTTCTCAAGTCGTGTAAGCGCGTGTTCACGGCGTCGTCGAAGGACGATGATGCCTCGACGACGACGACTGCTGGGAGTACTATCAAAGCCACTGGAAGGAGGAAAAAAAGGAAGAGGAAGAAGGGTCTGGACATTATTAAAAATTAAGTAGTCGCTTGGGCGTTTTTCTAACGAAGTACGAAGTTTTTCTGACGAAGTTGCATAAAAATATCCCATATGGTAAGTGTATTCATGAGTCAAAAACATCTAATGAGTGAGTGTATTTTCGTTTGATGCCATCGTTACTCTCTCGTCATCGTCGTCATTGGCGCCGTTCGTGACTACTCGGTTTCTTTCAAGTACGCTCTTAACTTTGCGCACTGTTCGAGAACTGACCTGCGACTGGTCCCGCCTTCCGTGTCTCTGCTCTCCGCGGACTTTTCGTACGACCAAATTTCCGCGACGTCATCTTCAAACTTGTCACAGATGGATTTCAAATCGTCCACGGTGAGTTGGTCTAACGGGACTTTTTTATCGACGGCTAATTTCACCGCCGCGCCAGAAATGTGGTGCGTTTCGCGAAACGGCATGCCTTTTCTCACTAAATATTCAGCTAAATCCGTGGCCAACATTTCCGCGACGAGAGACGATTTCATCTTCTCCGGGTTCAACTTCATCGTCGCTAAACATCCGGCGGCTATTTGTAAGCAATCAGACATCGTGTCCACGGTTTCAAACATCCCCAACCAACCTTCCTGGAAATCTTTGTTATACGTAGTCGGCGTGCCTTTTAAGATGCACAGTAAACCCGTCAGCGTTCCGATTTGTCTCCCGGCTTTCCCTCTCAACAATTCCAACGCGTCTGGGTTTTTCTTTTGCGGCATGAGGGAACTTCCGGTTGAGTACGCGTCAGACATCTGCATCATGCCAAACTGTTGGGAAGAGTACACGATCAAATCTTCCGACCATCTCGAGATGTGCATGAGTGTCATGCTCGCCCAAAACATAGTTTCAATGACGAAATCGCGATCGGAAACTGCGTCCATGGAGTTTGGACAGACGCGTTCAAAGTTCAAATCTTTCGCCAACAGCTGTCGATCGACACCAAATGGATTCCCAGCTAATGCACCACTTCCCAGCGGCATCGTATTAACTCTCGGCATCAAATCTTTCAAACGCATGTCGTCTCTTTGCCACGCTGCGGCGTGCGACAATAACCAGTGCGAAAATCGAACCGTCTGCGCCGACTGCAAGTGCGTAAATCCCGGCATCACGTGATCCACTTCTTTTTCCGCTCTGTCGATCGCAACTTCAATTAAAGTTCTTAAATACTTTCTCAACACCGTCAACTCTTTTCTCAGCCACATTCTCGTGTCCGTGGCAACTTGGTCGTTCCTCGACCTACCCGTGTGTAACTTCCCTCCAATGTTTGAGTCGATGACCTCGCACAACCGTCGTTCGTTGGCGGTGTGGATGTCCTCGTCGCCTTCCTTCGCGACAAATGCATCGCTCTGCCACTCCTCCAAGACTTTCTTTAAACCTTTGTGGATTTCGTTTCTCTCTTCTTCGGTGATGATCCCAGTCCGGGCTAACGCAGAGGCGTATCCGATGGACCCTTCGATATCTTCCAACGCCATTCGTCGGTCAAAGGATAAACTTTCGTTGAACTTTTCCATGAGCGGATCGATCTTTTCGCTGAACGCTCCACCCCATAACTTCTTAGGCTCTCCCCCAGGGGCACCACCGTCACCACCTGTAGCATGAGTCGTCATCGTTTCTCGTCCTCCTCGCTTCGTATTATCAGTGGTGAACAAAGAAGAAGAAGAAGAAGAATTTGTTTTGTTACGGAAGCCGCCAACAACTTTTGCTAACGATGAGGATGAGGATGAAGAATACGAAACGACCGTCGCGATACCAGCGCCTCTCCTCTTCGATATTTGATGATGGTACGTGTGTTGTAAGCCTTTTCCTCCTCCCGCTCGCGTCGTCGTCGTCGTCGTCCTCTGTTGTTGATCTCGATGATGTTGTGCAATAATAGATGGTGTTGTTGTTGTTGTTGATGATGTTGAAGCGAGCATTATCATCTATTCCTTCCAAGTTGTCGTTGTGGAGGAATTAGTGAAGGAAGGTTTTTTCATCATCAGGTGTCAGGGGGAAAAATATCTCGTTCATTTACGAAAAAGCGATCTCTCATCTGCTCATGCATCGTCAAAAAAAAAGCGTTCTCCTCCCCTCCTCCTCCGTCTTTCGGAAAGGAAAAGAGGACAACGAAGACAAAGGCGCGAGAGAAAAGTACTTTCGATCATCGATCCAGAGAACGAGAGAGAGAACTGAAAGAGATCGGATTGAGATCTCTTTTTCTACGATCTACACAACACTCTTAGTAGAAAAAAGTAAATATACCAACTGTTCCTTCTTTACGGAATATTATAAAGCGGCGCGAATTTTGAGCTCGAGAAGGAGAGAGTAGACGAATCAATAATCATGGGTTTATTCGGCGGCAATAACAAAAACACCGACGAGAACGCGCCGCCGAGCGGGAGCAAGCCTCCGCACGGTCGGAGACTCTCTCAATCCATGATCAACACGGAGACTGGGAAGTTCATGTCCAAACTCATCAACGAATCGAGTTATTTGTCTGGGACTGGGGAAACGAATACGTTCGATACCGCGGAAGCTGTCGCGGAATCCGACGAGCTCATGAGAGAAATGTTCTTTTCCATAGTGAAGGAAACCGCCGGGGAGGAAATGTTGAATAAAATAATGGACGTGTATAAGATTTCGGAAACATTTAGCGAGTCACACTCCTCGGGGGACTTTGACAAGTTGAAAAACACCTTGGACGCGTTGAAGTTGGACGAAACGTTGATGTTATCCTCGGCGTATTCGAACTTGTTAAACTTGCACAACATCTCTGAACACGTAGCGACGAGTATGGAGGAGAGACACGCGCGATTGGACGATATTCCGAGAGGTCCGGCAAAGACGACCAACGGCGCGATTAAAGGTATGGTGGCCAGCGGCATGGATCCGAACGCGATTTACGACGCGTTATGTAACCAACACGTCGATTTGGTGTTAACCGCACACCCGACGCAAGCGCTGAGACAATCTTTGTTGAAGAACTACGGCAAGATCCGTAATAATTTGATCAATTTGCAACGTTTTCGTCTCTCACGATTTGAACGCGAAGAGATTTTGGAGTCCATTCGGTGCTGCATTCATTCGGCATGGAGAACGGACGAAATTCGCCGTTCGCCGCCGACGCCACAGGATGAAATGCGAAGAGGTTTGACGTATTTTACGAATACAATCTTTGCCGGGGTGCCGCGGTTTATGAGACGGGTGGATACTTCGTTATTGAACCACGGTTTGAACAGACTTCCTTTGGAACGCTCGATCATTACGTTTGGCTCTTGGATGGGTGGCGATCGCGACGGAAACCCGTACGTGACGGCCACGTGCACGAGAGATTCCGTCTACCTCGCCAGGTTACAAGCGACGACGTTATATTTCAAAGCTATCGAACAACTCATATTCGATCTTGCCATGTGGCGGTGCTCGGCATCTTTTCGAAAAGTTGTCGACGATATAGTCGCCAACAGACCACACGAAGAAGACTCGGTCGTGTTTGAAATCCGCAGAGGACGTAACTACACGGACTTTTGGAAAACCATTCCGGAAAACGAACCGTACAGAGTTCTCTTGGGCGAGTTAAGAGACAAATTGTACGAGACGATGGAACAATTACAAAAAGTTGTCGCTGATCCGTCCATCGAGTTGGATTTGGACGATGGTTCCGATCGTTTCATTCGCTGTAAAGAAGATTTATCTGGCCCGTTGATGCATTGCTACGAGTCTTTGATGGAATGCGGCGACGAACAAGTCGCCAATGGCTATTTGCTCGACGTTATTCGTCAAGTGCAATGCTTCGGTCTGAATCTCGTCAAGCTCGATATCCGACAAGAATCCGATCGTCACGCTGACGCCGTGGATGCAATCACCACGCACTTGGGCATGGGTTCGTACAAGGAATGGAGCGAAGAGAAGAAAATTGAGTTTTTGAAGAGCGAAATTGAAGGTAAACGTCCGTTGATCCCGCACCAGTTGGAGTGTTCGGACGAAGTTCGCGAGGTTCTCGACACGTTCAAAATGGTTGCGCACATTCAAAAGAAGGTTCCAGGGAGTTTAGGAACGTATGTCATTTCCATGGCGACGAGTGCTTCGGACGTTTTGGCGGTGGTTTTGTTACAAAGAGAGTGTGGCGGAACTTTAGAAACGTCGCTGAGAGTCGCGCCTTTGTTTGAACGTTTGGACGATTTGAACGATGCGCCGAGAGTTTTGAGACAACTCTTCTCCGTCGAGTGCTACATGAAAACGTTAAGAAATAACGAACAAGAAGTTATGATTGGGTATTCGGATTCTGGTAAAGATGCTGGACGTCTTGCCGCGGCGTGGGGTTTGTATGAAGGTCAAGAGAAAGCGGGTGAGGTTGCCAAGGAATTTGGCGTGCACTTGACCTTGTTTCACGGCAGAGGCGGTACAGTTGGCAGAGGCGGTGGTCCGGCGCACATTGCTATCATGTCGCAACCGGGAGGAACGGTGAATGGATCTATTCGCGTTACCATTCAAGGCGAAGTTATTGAACAAGATTTCGGGGAGAGAGAAAACTGCTTTCACACTTTGGATTTATACACCGCCGCGGTTCTCGAACACACTTTGAAACCGCCGGAAGGTCCAAAACCAGAATGGAGAGTCGTGATGAAAAAAATGAGCGAAGCTTCGTGCAAAAGGTACCGATCGGTTGTGTTTGAAAACCCTGATTTCGTTCCGTACTTCGCGCAAAGCACGCCGAGCACAGAATTGGGAAGTTTGAACATCGGTTCGCGTCCGAGTAAGCGGAAACCGAACGCTGGCGTTACGGCCTTGCGAGCGATTCCTTGGATCTTTGCCTGGACGCAAAGCCGCTTTCAACTTCCAGTTTGGTTGGGTATGTCTGCCGCATTCGCTGAGATCAAAGCGCAGGAAGGCGAACTGAGCACACTGAGAGAAATGCACAAGAAGTGGCCATTTTTTAAAGTGACGATGGATTTAGTCGAGATGGTTTTAGCCAAAGCTGATTTGAACGTCGTCGAGTATTATGAGAAGACGTTGGTAGATGAACGCTTGAGAAATGGGTTAGGCAAAGAGTTGAGGAACGAGTTGATGACGACCATCGACCACGTTTTGGAAATTGCGGACCGAAGAGAGTTGTTGGTGAACCCAGAGTCGAAGATTGAAGTCGACGGCCAACAGTGTCCGGCGCAACATCAGCAGTTGAAGAATAAGTTACAAATGCGTTCGATCTACATCACGCCTTTGAATGTGATTCAAAGCGCTTACTTGAAGAAACAGCGCGAAATCGAAGAGATGGAAGCCAGCAACGACAGTTCTTTCGACGAGTTGAAGTACGATCCATCGTTGCCGTGGGCGCAAGATATGATGAAGCTGCATCCGAGTGCAAACGCATTCAAATCGGCGGTGAACGATACGCTCATCATCACTATCAAAGGTATCGCGAGTGGCTTGCAAAACACCGGTTAAGAAAAGAAGGTACCTGGTGTATATATAAGTAAATGTATTTAAAAGAAAAAGAAAAAGGAAAAGATGTTTATAACAATGCATACTAAACTAAAATAAATTACACTACGAATCCTGCGCTTCTAAGCTTTGCTTCCACGTACGCGTCGTCTTTGTATGCCCACACAGAAATGATGACCATCGCGCACCCCAGCAATATCGGACCGTTCAACGGTTCGAAGAACAAAATGTGACCAAAAACTGTCGTTAATACCAAAGCCGCGCACACCGCGACCGTCTTCGTTACCGAGGAGGAATATAAAACAGACAGTGCGACTAATATTCCACCAAGAGCGTGCAACGCTGCTATGAATATAACGAGAAAGGTCCATCCTTGGAAGAGGTTTCCTTTCGTCTCGTAGATTGATATCGGCACGTATATCAGAATTGAACACAACGCCAGCTGAATGTTTCTATCCCAAACGTCGAGTTCCGTCGAAGAAGAAAACGGCGATGATGACTTCGCCAAAGACGCCGACGACGGTGACTCCACGTCTAATTTCTTACCTAAATTCTCTTCCTCGTCTTCTTTTGTCCTTTTCTTCAACACTTTCTCGAAATACACCGACCCGAACCCGCTTAACATCGTTTGTACGAGCGCTAAAAATACACCGAAAGCGTAGGATAAATCAAACATATCGCTGATGTGTTCGTACCAATTTTGATGTACGCGCTTGTGAATGACCGGATTATTCGGCGACGATTCCCAGGAAATTAAAGTCACGCCTAAGACTAACTGCGTCAACGTTCTCCACACACGGTTTGATATTCTCGAATTGAGCAAAATCTGCGCGAATATCGCCGTCGCTAATACCTTCAAATTTGATATCGCCGTGAACACCGACGCGTCCACGCGTTGCAACGAAGGATAAGAAATTAAATTCACCACTAAATACACGAACGCTGGTACCAGCATTGGCGTCGCCGTTTTCACCACCCTCTCGAAAATGTGTGTTTTCAGCCTCGCGAAACTCTTGATGTCCGTTTTTCGATATTTCATGCCAAGCGAAAACAAGAGTTTGAGGAACTCGTTGACACACAAGACGACGTTCTTGGAAAAATCCAACTGTAAAATCCCAACCGCGTACCTTCTGGCGAGCATAGATGCCGTGTTTTCCAAAGTTAAGGCGACTAAAAAGAGCGCGGCTAACTTGTGTCTATTCTTCTTCGTGTTGTTGTTCACGTTGTTATTAATGTTGTTATTGTTTTTATTGCTGTTGTCAACACCATCATCGCCTTCTTCGTAATAAAAGCTATCAAGGCGTTTCGTTTGATTTTTTTTACTACTCGCATCATTTTTACCGAACAACTCCTGCGCTCGGCCTGGGAACGACATCACTATTATCGCTCAAGAAGGACTCTCAGAGAGAAGAACAAGCGAGGAAAGGGTGTTTCTCGTCTTTTTAATACTATATGATACTATGCATCTCTCTCCGAGAAGAGGTGAATTTAAATTTTTAGACCGCCAAAATGGTGTGTTTGTAAAGAAAGGAAGAAGAAAAGGAAAAAAAACTTTTCACATGCTTTTGTTTTTGTTTGATGTGACAAATGCAAAAAACACGAAAAATTTTCTTTCGTCAAAAAAATGAACCAACACCACTCCTCCTCCTCGTCGGAGTTTTTGTCGTTTCCTCCTCCTCCTCAACATCAGTAATGAAGACGAATAAGACGATGATTTCGACGCACGTCATAGATGCTTTAGATGAATTCTACGGCGTGCGACGAGAAAGAAGAAGAACAACAACAACGGATGATAATCAAAGAGGAGGATTGATCGAAGAAGAAGATATGAACGTGTTTGACGAAGACGTCGTCTGTTTGTCCTTCGAAAACAATACTCACATTAACGAGAAGAAGAAGAAGGAAGATGGGAAGCAACTTAATAATAATAATAATAACGGTATTATTGACGACGACGACGACGACGATAAGAGAAATACGATGATGATGAGAGCTACTAAAACGAATAATGATAAAACGACGCAAACAATTAAATCTTCCAAAACCGGTCTGTTCGATGGCATACACAACGGTATCTTTTCAATCGGGAGGGGCGTCTCTACGGGAGCAAAGTTTATGGGAGATACGGTCGTTTCCGGCGTCGCGGTGACGACGAATGCGAGTTTATATTTAGGAAAAACGACCGTAAACATTGGTAAAGACGCGGTGATGCATTCATTTAACGCGATATCGTCGACGTTGATTACAACAGCGACGACGACGATGACGACGACGCCTTCAGATGTGGACGAAGAGTTAATCGATGACATGTCCAACGTCTTGTTATCCGAAGCGCCGCCTCGTCCAAGAGGCCTTTCGATTGAGACGATACTTTTAGATGCCACCACAAACACAAAACGAATAGCAACAACAACAACAACAGCAACAACATTAGCATCGTCATCCCTCGCGACGTGTATGTGTTTATGTGGCAACCGAATAGAAAAGGCGAAAATGGAGCAGAGAGTGTGTTCGTATTTACGAGTCGTCGTATGCGAAAGCTGCTTCGCCGGAGACACTCGAATCATACCGCGCGACGTCTTGCACCGATGGGATTTCACGGAGAAGCCGGTGTGCAAACAATCTTTGCGGTTTTTAGAAGACGCGTACGCGATACCGGTGATTTCTTTGCGAAAACTTGGAGAAGTGAATCGATATTATTACTCGACGAGTATTTCTTCCAAAGAAGAGTTTACTCGTTTGCGCGGCTTTCTGGATTTGCAGATAAAGGTCGCCTCTCTCTTCCACCGCGTGGGCGAAAAGTTAAGGCCGCACAACATGGAAAAAGATGACGAGGGGAAGAAGGAGGACGACAATGACGACAATGACGACACAGACGATGACGATGCTAGTAAGAACAAGAAGAGAAACCGTAAAGCGCTCTTACACTTTCTCGCGTCCATACCGGACGACAAGCGAAGGCTCGTCAGAGGCGGAGACGACGCCAAAGTTTCCATCAAAGAGCTCAAAGAGTTGCACGAATTTCGCAAACAGAGCGAGATTTGCGAGTATTTGAGCGCGATCGAAGACGAAGTCGTCAACGTGTTAGAGAGTTCTTTATAATATAGTGGGCGAGTTATTAGCAATAGCTGCACGCGTAGAAGATGAAATCATGAAATCATGATTCACATCGACACACACACACACACACACGCACCCATCGTTCTCTCTCTCAAACGTCTCGTTCTACAATGATCTGAATGTATCAATGAGCAAAAAAAATGAGTCTTGGGAGGATCGAACTCCCGACCTTCCGATTAGAAGTCGGACGCATTATCCACTTTGCTAAAGACCCGTGAGCATTAGGGTTGGGAGATATAAATATAAAGAGATCTGATGAATCGATTTAGGGTCAAATTTCATTAAAAAAAAAAACTTCCGTGGAAAAAAATTTGGATAATTACAACACACGCACACGCGCAAAGAAAACAGTCTCACAGAAATAAAGAGAACGATGATGATGTCGTCGTCGTTGACGATGGGAAGAATCACGTCTTCATCTTCATCGCTGAAAACGAAAACGAAGAATTCCTTCGTCGTAAAAAAAAAGACGACGACGACGACGATGAATTTCATCAACAATAATATTAATACAGTTAGGTTGAGGAAAAAGCGTTACAACTTTTCAACTTCGTTCAACCCTGCCACCGCCGCTTTGCACACCACCAATAACAACAACAACAACAACAACAACATTCATACTATTAACACAACAACACATTCAACGAGTTTTTTTGATGTGAGTACTTCTTCGATGCAACAACAAAATCGCCGCCGAGGAAGAATGTCATCAAAAACAAATGCAGCTGCATCTTCGGACGAACCACCACAAAAAAAAGTAACAGAAAGTAAACCGCGTTTACCTGCGATGGATTCCATGCGATTCTTTCTCATTGGATACATCGCCATTGGTCATTTCATCGCGTGCGCGACGAGAGACCCTCTGCTATTAAAAATGTTATCGCAAGTCAACGTCGTCGTCGGCGCTTTCTTCGTCTTGTCCGGGTACGTCGCCGCGTACACGGCGTCAGAGTTGAACAAGTACGAACACACGGAAAAGAGATTTTTACCGACAAAAGTTGCCTACACCATTCAAAGAGTCATGGGGTATTACCCGTTGTATTTTGCGACGCAAATTCTGTTCATGCCAGTGTTTTTGATCGCTGACGTGACTTACAACGGATGGGCAAAGTCAGCCTTGCACGCCGGTTTGACTTTTTCGCTCTCGCAGGCGTGGTTCCCGTCGCACGCGGAGTTGTGGAACGCGCCGACGTGGTTTCTCAGCGCGTTGACGTTTGCGTTCGTGGTTTTACCGTACGCGTTGCCTTCGATTGCGAAATTGAAACGGAAGGGATTACAAAGATTGTTCGTAAAGTTGATTTTGTTGACGTGTTTGGTGAAGTTTGCGTATTGCTACGACGTCTCTGGTTTTGCATTTTTTGAGGGCACCATGCCGCCAAAAACGCACCCGTCGTGGATGTTTTGGAATTCAGTTCGGTTTTCTCCGTTGTTTTCGACAATTGATGTGTTGATTGGTGCGGTTTCTGCTCGATTGGTGATGATTGACGGCGTCGAGAAAGTAAACTTTGATTCTGTTCTTCAGAAACCGGTTATTCCGTTACTCTTGATGATTGGTTTGATCGTCGGGAGAGGATACTCGATCGTTTCCATGTCTGACGCAATTGCCAGGAGCATTTTCGTACCTCTGTTTGCGTGGTTTACTATGAACATTCACCGCGAAACGGTCAGTAGCAGTCCTCGGGCGAGCCAATTTTCAATCTCGAGCGTTCTGTCCTGGAAACCGTTGACGTATTTAGGGGCGATTTCCTTCCCTATTTACATCTTACACGGACCAATTGGCCAGATATTCTATAAAAGAGTCGTAGCGAATAAAATTTTCGGTTTCGTATTCACGTCGAAACCGGAATTTTTCCCGGTCTGGATTGGAATCGTTCTCGTCAGTGCGGCGATTGTAAACGACGTCTTCTTGAAGAATAAGAAAGTGCAAGAGCTGTCGAAGAACGTTTCAAACTCGTTGGTATCGTTATCTATCTCCGAGTAACTCTCTTCGTTATTTTTGTGATTACCTTACTGTTATATGATTAGTACTATATTAGTTGTCATCATCATCGTGTAAAAGTAAATATTTTATTAAAACACTTTTTGACGCTTTTCTCTGCTAAAGTATAAAAGTAATCGGTTTCAGATCCTAGTGACCCCCCCGGAACGCACACGTTTATATGGTTTCATCATCTCGCTTTAAGAGAGAGAATCACCCCAGACGTTCAAAATATACTAAATTATTATCCTATTGTATACGTTTAAGCAATCCGTTGTTCTTATTCTTCTTCGTCGCCGCCTTCGGCGATGTTGAAGTATCTCAACTCGTACACGTTTCTATCCTTGTTCGAGGCAATCACTCTCAACCAGTCTCTGACGTTGTGCTTCTTCAAGTACTTCTTCGTGAGGTATTTCAAGTATCTCTTGCTCATGGCAGATTCGGAGGAGACGGTGACGGAGTTCTTGTCCGAGGACACCGAGACGGCGTCGCCTAAAGCACCCGCTTTGCCGCCAACTTTGATTCGTTCCGTGAGAAACTGCTCGAACGACGCAATGTCCATGATGGCATCGTCAACCTGTGCGTTGTGCGTGCGTGGAAACAGAACAGATGTAATATACAGAATGATAATAGAGAGTTTAAATGTCAGTTTACGTTTCGCAACGGTTCGAGAGCGAGAGTATACAAATCTTCCGATTCGCGCGCGTACATTTCTCCTCCTTCCGACGGAGGAGGAGGGCTTGAGAGAAGACAAAAAAAAAATGCGTCTCTCTCGGATTTCGACGCGAAAACGATGCGCGCGAAAGAATCAACACGTACCGGTCGGGTGCAATCGACGACGAACGATTGGACTTTCTTAGATCCTTTCTTTGCTGCTGGGGCCATTTTTATGTTTGACTTTTTTTTATCTGTCTGATGAGATTTTGCGCGTGAAAATGTGTTGTTTGTTCGATGGGGGGGCAGAGAGGGAAAGTTGAGTTTTTTTTTTTCGTTTTTCATTTTTTCAATCGTTCTTCTGTTCCGTCGTCACTTCTTCTTCTTTGACAAAGAAGAAGACAAGAAGAAGAAGAAGACAAAGAAGAAGATGATTTTCAACTTGGAAGGATTGACGGTGTACTTCCCGTACGAGTACTTGTACCCGGTACGTTTTAAACGAGTAGATTTTTTTACCATTGCTATTCTGTTACCATTTTCTTCGTCGCGCTTCTCTTTCTTTCCGTATCCGCGCACGATTCAGACGACGACGTAAACGACGACGACGACGACGCATCATCATCTCATCATCATCGTCAATTTACTCACAAGAACTCACATCATCACAATAATAGGAACAATACGAATACATGATCGAACTGAAACACGCGTTGGACGCGAAAGGTCACGGGGCGTTAGAAATGCCCACCGGGACTGGGAAAACGATCACGTTACTCTCGTTGATTACCAGTTATCAGTTGCAATACCCACACTCGTGCGGGAAACTGATTTACTGCACGAGAACGGTGCCTGAGATGGAGAAAGTTTTAGCGGAGTTGAAAGTTTTGCAGAAATATCGCGAGGAGCACGTGGAGAAAGGGAAAGAGGAAGAGACGCACATTTTAGCGCTGGGGTTGTCGTCGAGGAAGAATCTGTGCGTGAATCCGAAAGTTTCCGAGGAAGGATCGAGAGAGAGCGTGGACGCGAGGTGTAGAAACTTAACCGCCAGTTGGGTGCGCGATAAAGCGAAAGAGGAAGCCGAAGAAGGCGATCAAAAAGGAACGAAAATAAAAACGGTTTTAGAAAACGAGAAGATTAGGAAGAGCAATCTGTGCGAGTTTTACGAAGATTTAGAAGCGCTTGGGGCAGAAGCGGAAGTGCCGAAGGGCGTGTATACGTTGCAAGATTTGAGAGAGTTTGGACGGGAGAAGAGGTGGTGCCCGTATTTTCTCGCTCGACAAACGTTACAGAGAGCGAACGTGGTGGTGTATAACTATCAATACTTGTTAGACCCGAAAGTTGCCGGGTTGGTTTCGAGAGAATTCGAGGATAACGCGATTGTCGTTTTTGACGAGGCGCATAACATCGATAACGTTTGCATAGAAGCTTTGTCGGTGAACTTGCGTTCGCAGACGTTGGACGCGGCGCAGAGAAACATCACGACGTTAAACACGCGCATAACAGAAGTGAAGAAAACGGATAGAAAAAGGTTGCAGGATGAGTACGAGCGATTGGTGTCCGGGTTAGCGAACCAGGGTGCAATTTCAAGGCAAAGAGGTGAAGATTTAATGGCAAATCCAGTCATTTCCGAGGACGTCGTGCAAGAAGTTATTCCGGGCAACATTCGACGAGCGGAACATTTCGTGGCCATAATGCGCCGATTTGTCGAGTTTTTACGGCACGAGTTACGCGCACCATCAGTCGTACAAACCGCACCGAGGATGTTTATACAGAAATCAGAGGCTGGTGGTGGCGTCGACGCGAAGACGTTGAAATTTTGTTACGATCGTTTGACGTCGCTGTTGAAAACTTTAGAGATTGTTGATACGGAAGAGTTCGGCGCGTTGTCTAGCGTTGCTGATTTTGCAACTTTAATCGGTACGTACGATCAAGGGTTCACCATCATAATGGAACCGTACGACGAGAGATATCCGCACATTCCCGATCCAGTTTTACAGCTCGCGTGTTTAGACGCTTCTTTAGCGGTGAAACCAGTCTTCGAGAAGTATCAATCCGTATTCATTACGAGCGGGACTTTATCGCCGATTGATTTATACCCTCGATTGTTAAAGTTTCGGCCGAACGTCATGAAATCACTCATGATGACGTTAACTCGGAAGTGTTTGTGTCCCATGGTCATCACTCGAGGCGCCGATCAACAACACATCTCCTCCAAGTTTGACATGAGAGAAGATCCAAACGTCATTCAAAATTACGGGAAAGTTTTAGTAGGATTAGCGCAAAGTATCCCGGACGGTATCGTCGCGTTTTTCGTCTCGTACTCGTACATGGAAAATATCATCTCCAAATGGCACGATACCGGGATTTTACGAGAGATTATGCAACACAAGTTGATTTTCATGGAGACGCAAGACGTCGTCGAAACGTCCTTAGCTTTAGATAATTACCGCAGAGCGTGTAACGCCGGTCGAGGTGCCGTTTTTCTCTCCGTCGCGAGAGGTAAAGTTGCCGAAGGTATCGATTTCGATCGACACTACGGGCGCGCTGTAGTCATGTATGGCGTGCCGTATCAATACACGTTGTCTCGAATTTTACGAGCGAGATTGGAGTATTTACGAGAGACGTTGCAAATCAAAGAGCAAGATTTTCTCACTTTTGATGCCATTCGACAAGCGTCGCAGTGCATCGGTCGAGTCATTCGTTCCAAAGCCGATTACGGATTGATGGTCTTTGCAGATAAGCGATATAACTCGCACGATAAAAGATCGAAGTTACCGAAGTGGATATCCAATCACATGACCGAAGAACTTTTGAATTTGAGCACGGATATGGCGTTGACGGTGTCTCGAGCGTTTATGCGACACATGTCGCAACCGTTCTCGGCTGGAGAAGCCGGGAAAACGCTATTTGACCAGCAAAAAGTGGACGAAATCGCCCGACGGATGGGATATCCGGGAGGTTGCGCGGTGAATTTAGCGCCGCCGACCAAAAGAATTAAATAAATAGTGTAGTAGATACCAGTAGAAGTAGTTTTGTTTGCGCACCAGTACAGTAGCGAATTTCTAGATACATAGAGAAGAATACTATCCGCGCATATCGTCCACATCTCCGCTACTCTCTCTTCCCGACGAGGAGGAGGAGGAAGAAGAAACGCTCAGCTCGTATTCGGCTAATTTCGACGACTCCGCAACTCGCGTCAACTTTTCAATCGCATCCTCGCTCGTTTCGCTTTGGAATAAAATCTCTGCGATGTCCGCGTGCGCTTCCTCGGATACGCACCGTAAAAGACGTTCGAGTGGTTCTAAATCTTCAATCCTCCCTTCGTTTTCTAAGGCTATATCTAATCGCGTTTGTAACAAAGGGTTCAATTTTGCCTTTTCTCTGTACACGGCTTCGTCGAGAGGGCGATATCTGCAGAAGAAACCAATGTGCCAAGGCATGAATAAATCAAATCTCTTCTTTCCAATCGCATCGGCGCCGAAATATTCCTTCATGAACGTCGTCAATTTGAAATACACGAGCTCTATCCTTTCTTTCGCGGTGAATTCAATCGACGTGTTTGTGTAAAACTCTTTAAATATCCACGGTTTTATGAGCGCGCCGCGCCCAGTCATCGCGCCGTCGACTCCAGACAAGGCCATTTTATCTCTCGCCTCGTACCACGTTAAAATGTCTCCGTTCCCTATAATTGGAATCTTACTTCGGCTTTTAATCTCGCCAATCAAATTCCAATTTGCACTTTTCGTGTATCGCTGCTCTTTCGTTCGTCCGTGAACGATTAATACGCTCGCACCCGCGTTTTCAATCTCCTCCGCTAACTTCAAAGCCGGTTTATCGTCTTCTACGCCGAGTCTAATTTTCACCGATAACGGTAAAGGCGACCCGTTTGCTAAACCTTCGACCAACTTCGCCAGCTTTGCCGGTTTCCTCAACAATCGCGCACCTAAACCTCTCTTCGTGACTTCGTGAGTTGGACACCCGCAATTTAAATCCACGAAATCCGCGTTGAATTCATACGCCATCCTCGCCGACCGAACGCCTTCTTCGATGATATTCGTCGCGATTTGAGCACCAAAAATCTCCTCCGAGTCGTGTCGCCGTAAGTGCGTTTTCTCCACCGGGTTCCCTCGATTTAAGAATCTCGCGTAGGACATCTCCGACACGAGGACTTTTGCCTCGAACGTCGCGCACAGTCGTCGAAACGGTAAGTTGCCTCCTTTCGTCAGCGGGGCGAGCCATAAGTGATTGATCACTTTTTCTCTCAAACGTGTTTTCTCTTCCTCGGTGACGAGTTTATAGTCGTCCACTTCTTCTCGTTTCTTGCGAAAGTTTCTTCCGTCAAAGTGTGGTGGTTTTGGTTTCTTCTCTTTCGTCTCTTCGTTTTCTCGATGTTCTTCTTCATCATCATCTTCTCCGACCGTCGTCGTCGTCGTCGCCGCAGGCTTGGCGTTGGAAGAAAAAAAGAACGAAGAAGAAGAGCCGCCGTTCGCTTTCATCATCAGAATAACGGTATTATTATTCGTCTTTCCTCGATGATGATGATGATTATGATGATGATGGTGACGACGACTTTTAGAAAAAGAAGATGAGAAACCATCAGCAGCAGCGGCAGGAACGCGACGACGACTCGCGGCAAAAGCAGTTTTTGCCAAGCACCGAGAAGGCGGCGACGACATCGACATCATCACGTTTTTAATACTACTTTTGTGATAAGAGTCGTTTTAGAATAAAGGAGGAGGAGGATGCTTTTTTTTCACCTCTTTCTCTCTTCTCTCTTCTCTCTTTTTTTTACTTTTTTTTACTTTTTTTGCCTCTCGATCTCTCTTTTATCATGACTCTTCTTGCGTAACAACAACGAACCAACACCACGAGAGAGAGATTTAGAAGATTAAAATGATGATGACATCGTCGAAAGTCGGTGGTGTCAACGGTGGGTACGTGGAGATGGAGAGACAAGATCAAAACACAAGCACGACCTCGACGACACCGACGATGTTCTCAAAAGCAGCCTCGTTCGCCTCCTCTTCTTCCTCTTCTTCTAAAGGTGGAGAGAAGAATAATAATAAAAAGAATATCAACGGAGCGACGAAAAGGTTGTTGTCTCGCGCCTTTTCGAGAGTGAAAGACGACGACGACGACATAAACAACAACAACAACGAGGAAGAAACAGAGGACGAACACGAACTGTTATCGTCGTCGACGCCGAAATCAACGACGATTCAGACGACAAAAAGACAAAAGAAGAAGAAGAAGAAGAGTTTAACTCCAGCGAGAGGGAGTTTGTGGTCGCCCAGGAGAGACAACAGTCCTTTACCGACGAAAAAGAGCAGCAGCGATGGGGATGGCACAAAAAATCCCAACCACATGGAACGAGGGGAAGACGTCATCACGCAGTTTTTAGGGGACGACGAACCTACCACGATACACAACAGAGAGGCAGAGATGAGTAGCAGCACGAATAACACCAACAACACGAGGAGTAGTAGCATCAACAGTAGTAGCGGAAGAGGCAATAGCGAGAACTCGACGTCGACGACGGTCCTCGCGAGGAAGAGAAATATCTTTGCTCGATTCTTTGGCGCGTGTTTCGGAGGCGCGAATGCGTCGTCGTTCAATGACAACAATACAAATACGAAACAACAACGAAACATACGGGATGATGCGAAAGCACCGCTCAGGAAAGAAGAGAAAGCGCCGACAGTTGCCGGGTGCGTTCCGGTTCCGTGTCTTAAACCGCAGTTCTCCAACGTCGTCGGCGAAGGATTTACTTTGCACACGGGCGCGTATTTTCTCCCTGCACCGGAAACGTACAGATGCGCGAAAAGCGGCAACGCGACGAGTAAGCCATGTTTAGTTCTCGATTTAGACGAAACGTTAGTCCACTCGTCGTTTCGGCCGATACCGAACCCGGATTATATAATCCCGGTTGAAATCGACGGCAGGATAACCGACGTGTACGTGTTGAAAAGACCTTGGGTGGATTTGTTCTTAATCGAGATGGCAGAAAAATACGAGTTGGTGGTGTTCACGGCCTCGTTAGCGAAATACGCGAATCCTTTGATGGATAAACTGGACGTCCACGGTGTTGTTCGACACCGATTATTTCGAGACGCGTGTTACCCGTTCCAAGGGAACTACGTCAAAGACTTGACCTGTTTAGGCCGCGACTTGCGCAAAACCATCATCATCGACAACTCTCCTTATTCCTACATGTTCCATCCACAAAACGCATTACCGGTGTCATCGTTCATCGACGACCCAGCCGACGACGCGCTGTTCGACATGCTTCCTCATTTATACCAGCTCGCGGAGAGCGAAGACGTTACGGTGACGTTGTACCAAAACGAAGGGTACATGCCTCGCGCTCGATTTTACCCCACGCGCATGGACAGAGCGCCCGCGTACGATAGGTTAGGCAACAAAATCTAGATAGATACTAATTTACATAAAGGCATGAAATTTCCATTTTTCACTGATATCAGTTTTGCATGTTCTCTCTTCTTCTCTCTCTTTTTCGAAGCGTCGAAGTTGTGTTGTTGTTTGTATTATATTGCGATAGATATAATTGACTGATTATTGATGGAAAAAAACTTACCAAAAACGCAACAAACAAAAGAGTCTCGTCTCGTCTCTTCCATTCTTTCTCTCTCTACTACTCCTACTATTTATATTTGTTTCCATTATTCGATATGACGTCGTCGTCTGATGGTGGTGGTCGTGAGGACGGTGAACACGCCGCCGCTGCTTCTAAAGCTGCAGAAGAAGAAGAAGAAGAAGAAGACAAAGAAGAGAAGACGATTTTAGTTTTACCGGAGTCGAACAACGACGACGACGACCGAACCAAAAAGAACGACGACGACGACGACGCGCAACACGAACAACAACAAATAATAGACCCGGCGGTAGCGGCTGAAATTCCAGAAGACGTCTTGAAAGCGGCGTTAGGGGAGGATTCTTCGGGAGGCAGACGACGGACATCTCGCGTGACAAAAGCGAGAGTGATTATGATAGACGGACAACCGGTGTTGCGTTCGAACAACTACGGTTTAACCGAAGGCGAACCGAGCGTGTTTTCGAGCGAGTTGGGAGGAGACGATGGAAGTCGAGAAACGCGTCCGGGTCGCACGTCGTACGTATTCGAGCAGAAGAAACCGAGAAAACCGTACACGAGGACTAAACCGAGGGCACCGAAAATTTTAACCGCCGACGAAGAGGCGACGGCGGTGAACAAGAAAGATATTCAAAAGGACATCGAGTTGGCGATTTCGAAACGGGCCAAGTACTTACATCAACAAATATCGCATTTAAAGCCATTCATGGAAGAGAAGGCGGTGCAAGCATTAGAGGAGAGAGCGGAAAAGTATGAACCGAGCGATAAGCTGTTGATGCCAGTTGAGAATCAACCGGCGGCGATTACTGCGGTGTTGAGAGAGTACCAGCTGGAAGGTTTGAGGTGGGCTGTTCGAATGTTCGATCAAGGATGTTCGTGCATCTTGGCCGACGAGATGGGTTTAGGAAAAACGTTACAATCGATTTCGTTTCTCGCGTGTATCAAAGAAATGCGCGGGGTGAAAGGGCCGCATTTGATCGTCTGCCCTCTCTCAGTAATGAGTTCGTGGATGGACGAACTCGCCAAATGGTGTCCAAAATTAAGAGTCGTTCGGTTACACAGTTCGGATGAAAACGAACGTCAAAGGCTACGAAGAGAAGTCGTGATAAATACAGAAATATACGATGTCGCTCTAACGACGTATGAAATGGCGTGTAATCCATCTTTTGCGCTCGCGTTGACGCAAAAAGTGTACTGGAGATGCGTCATCTTAGACGAAGGGCACAAGGTGAAGAACGAAGAGACGACGGCGCATCAGATTTTGAAGCGCATTCACCGTCAACACACCATCCTTTTGACTGGTACGCCAGTGCAGAATAACTTGCACGAGTTATATGCGCTTTTATCGTTTCTTCACCCGGACGTGTTTACTTCCTCGGAGCCGTTCGACCGCGCTTTTAATTTGAACATGAGGGAGCATAAAGTCGACGAAAAATTACTCGCGAAGGCGCACTATTTAATGCGTCCGTTCGTTTTGAGGAGAGTCAAAGGCGAAGTGGAAGTTTCGTTACCGCCAAAAGTTGAAACGAAAATTATGTGCCCTTTGTCCTCGGCACAAACGTTCTGGTACAGGCGGTTACTGATGCGGGAATCGGGCGCTTTGCAATCGCTCGAAGCGGCGGCTTCCGAGAACGAGAAAAAACTTGCAGGAGTCGCCGGCGAAGATGCGAAGGAAAAATCTAGTAGCGGTGGCGGCGATTGGCGCAAATTGAATTCACTGTTGATGCAACTGCGGAAATGTTGCAATCACCCGTACTTGTTTTCGCCGGGTATCCAGGATGAAGGCGTCACCTTAGAAGATATCATCGAAGCCTCAGGGAAGTTATCGGTATTAGATCGCATTTTGATCAAGTTGAAAGAAAATGGCCACCGCGTGGTTATTTTCTCGCAGTTTACATCTATGTTGGATATATTAGCGAATTTTTTGCATTTGCGCGGTCATCAATACGCTAGACTCGATGGTTCTACAAATCGTGTGCAGAGGTCTATAGATATTGCGGCATTCAACCGTCCAAATTCGCCTGTATTTGCATTTCTTTTAAGTACTCGCGCGGGTGGTTTGGGCGTAAACTTGCAAACGGCAGATACGTGCGTCATGTTTGATAGCGATTGGAACCCTCAGGTAGATATGCAAGCAATGGCGAGAGTCCATCGCATCGGTCAGAAGAAAACGGTGCACATATATCGATTAGTTACTGCTGGCACCGTAGAGGAACGAATGACGCAACGCGCAGAGAAAAAATTATTCTTAGAAAAAATGGTATCCAGAGGCTCAACTGCCGCTGCAGAGGCTATGGAAGCGCTGGATAAAAACGATTTGTATTCGATGTTACGTTTTGGTGTCGATGCCGTCTTCTCTAAAGATTCTGGCGATCCGCCGACAGATGAAGAGTTATCCACGCTCATGGATCGAAGCGAGGAGGGCGAGCGCAAACGAAGAGATTTGCAAACGCTGAAAGAAGACACGCAGTTTACGGCGACTGATTTCGTTGAAGGCAAAGCTGAGGAAACTCCTATTTCAACATTTATGATGCCGGCAAAGATTGCAGAATCCGTCGGCGATGCATCTTTAGTTCAGGTGAAAAAGAACACGTCTTTAAAAGAAATCGCAAAGGAGTTTCAAAGCAACATACTTTCCGGTAAGCGCAATCGAAAGACGACGACTATGCAAGTTGACGGCGGTCATGGTCTCGGTATGGTTACCGTGTTAAAGTCAAACGATTACGATTTACAATCTGGCGAACCTTCCGTAAACGCGAAAGAGTCGGGGTTAAGTCAAGCGCAATTACAGGGCGGGAAACGTTCCCGCGGTCAAGTCGCGGGAAGAGATTACGGTCACGCGTACACGTGTCAAGGATGCTGGGACGGTGGCCAAATCGTCTGCTGCGACTTGTGCCCAGTTTCTGTTCATCCTGAATGCATTGGATACACCATGGAAGAAATTGGACGCACGGCGAGATGGTCATGTCCGCACCACACGTGCCACGAGTGTGGCCGGAAGTCTGCCGCGGTCGGTGGTTTGTTGTTTCGATGCGAGTGTTGCACTCGCGCCTATTGTGAAGACCATTTACCGCATGGTGCTGAGATAATAGGAAAATGTAAACGATTTGAAGCGTTAGGACAGATACACCCGGCACAGGCGTGCTTTATTCGATGCGACGCGGATTGTCAAAAGTTTGGTGAAGAACACGAGGAGATCAAGAAATACAACGCCGGAGGTGATGAACACGGAGGTGGTGTAAAGGGATCGTCCGGATGGGTAATGGGTAAAAAAGTTGCCATCACGGACGTTTGGATCGAAGATCGCGATACGGAGCTCGAACTGCCATTAGGGAATGGTTCCGTGAAAGCGCTGGCGTACGCCACGTTTACGGATCTCGTTCACTTTTTGTTGCGAACAGAAGGTCCGAAAAAGAACCAAAAGAAAGGAAAGAAAAAGAAACCAGAAGAAATAGAAAACGAATTAATTAACGATGCGATCATGGAAGAGGAAGCAGAGGAGGAAGAAGCTCCCGAGGCTGGTGAGGATGCCGTGATAAGAGGCGCTGTTGCGTATTACACGAAAAGGAACGAAAGCGTTGATGAAATCGCCAGAGAGCGAGGATTGGACGCGCGCGATATTGTCGCTTGGAATAAGGCGGAATATCCAAATATTTCACGCAAGTCGCAACTTTTAGAACGCACGAAACTTTGGATGCAACCAGCACCGCCACCATCAAAGACTTTAGAGAAATTGTCTGAGAAAGAGCAGGCGCAGCGCTTGCTTGAACAGCGCAAAGCCGCAGAAGCTGCAGCGGCTGCTGGATTAGTAAAGGGTAAGAATGAAAGCGCAAACACGCAAGATGCAAACGTCAACCCTAAAGATCCGTGCGTTTTCGGGCGACCTCTGAAACTTTTGAGACAGAAAGACATCGATCCTGCGGAACGCGATAAAATTATGGCCGAAATGTTCCGACGCGTTCGTCCTCACCTGGAAAGAAACAAAGAAATGGCGAAAGCACGTGAACGCGAAAATGCGGATTTGGCTAAGATTGAACAAGAAAAGGAACGGATCCGTTCGAACGAACGCAATCGTCGCCTAGAGAGACGCGAAACTGGTGCACCTGTTTCCGGGTACGATCTCTTGCGATCTGGATTAGCTTCCGGAGTCGAAGCCTCTATTAATCGAAGAGGAGCTCCTCTTCCCGTAGTTTTGCCGCATAAGGGTCGAATCGACGAAGAAAAAGTAACGAATATTAGAAACGCCATCTTGAGAACGCTCGGCGAACGCAGACGAAAGATGAACGCCGCGGCGACGACGACGAAAAAGAAGAAAGAAGGTAAAAACGAAGAAGAAGAAGCGTACATAACTTCCACTGAAATAAAAGTTTTGATGGCGAGACTTTATCGCGCGCACGATGCGGCTACTTTAGACCATGCTCGCGCGATGTGGACCCACGACGAATTCGGGGACGCTCTCGGATACAACTTGGCCATTGTTACTCTAGAACGCGATGGATTTATCGAATCCAAATTACATAGAAAATGGCCGGAAATCCTCGACTTATGCTCTTTACGATTACGAAAGGATGCTCAAATTCCGGATGCGCTCAGCGGTGAGTGCTCAATTGAACCTGTTGATGAAGATGAACAAACAGACGGCGACGTTGACGACAAGAGGAGTACGGGCGAAGCGAAGAAAAATCTCGTTATGGAAAAAGTTCCAGTCAAAGTTCAATGCGGAGGAATGGAAGGATTTATGCGTCCAGGAGCTCGAAGAGGGGAGGAAAACGTCATGTTCTACAAGAAAGATCGAAAAGGCAACGTTACTTCTGAGGAACAACTCGTCACGGCTCTCGAGTTTGAGCGTTTGGGTGGACGAGGCAACGCACGAAAGTGGCGTCAATCCATACGTATACATAGCGGTTACCCGATCGAGGAACTAGAAGCGGATGAATTGAAGAGGGGTGTGCCCATTGGTAAATGGTTGCGTGACGAAGGTGGCACGTGGCGTGCAAATGTCGTCGGTCGACCAGCGGAAATCTGGTCGGACGGTTCGCAAGCGTATAAATTTTGCGAGTTTGTGGGGTACAAAGCCGATTCTGGAGAACACGAAATTCGGTACGAAGATGGCACTCACCAGTGGTTGTTCATATGTCTGAATAAGTTCCGATTTCCAGACGGTCTCCCGGTGAAGTTACCGTACGAAAGTATTCCATCTGCACGTAGTCGCTCGCGAGCCAACGCCAATAAGGATGCGTCTGGAGGAGGAAGAGTAGGACAACGAGGCGTCGGCGGCGCGTGGGCCGCAGATGGAATAAATATGAACGCGAGAGGTACGCTAAACGGCGAGGAAGCTTTGGAATCCGGATATAGAGTGTATTATTGCGCAGCAGATGATACCATCGATGGAGTTGCAGCCGCTATTGGCGTGAACGCGAACGAGTTGTACTCGTGGAACGCGCCTTTTTATGAGGAAGGAGACTTGCCACAATCTGGACCGTTGAAAGAAAAGACTCGATTGTTCCAACAAATTCCGCCACATCAAGACGAAGTGCTTGCCGGAGCGGTCGCGTTTAACACCGTCAAGCATTTTCCCATCAAAGCTGCGGCTTTAGAGACGGAAACCGACTTTCCGGGCGAAAATGAAGAAGTCTATGACCGAGGTAACCCTGGTTCTAAACCGGGATCGAAGCGCAAAAGCGCGGAAGGAGGAGACGATGACGATGAATACGAGAACAATAACGAAAACAACAACGAACGAGAAGGCGAACAACTGAAGCAAGGGCGCCAAAAGAAAAATTCGAGGATAAAGAAGCGTGATTTCGTCGCGGAAGCGACGCAAGCCGCTATGGAACTCGAAGCTGAATTGGACGCCCAATGCGTCGTTCGAAATATCGCCATTCCTTTTGAGTACAAGGATAAATCCGGTTCCTTGTGCGATGGCGGACGAAGTGTGTATATGAAAATGAGTGATGAAAAGCTTAAAAATCTCAAAGAGCAACGCGATCGCGCAGTTTCAGAACAGGAAGAAGCGTACGAGAGTGCTAAACAAGAGTACGCTCTGGCGCAAGAAATGTTCGAGGCGCAAAGCAAAGCGTACGTCGACCAGCAAGAGGAAATTCAAGCAGAGAAGAAAGCGAAAGCCGAGGCAAAGATTACTACTCCAACAACTATGGATGTGGACGAGAAGGTCAAAAAGGAAGGAATCAAAAAATCAAAACGCACATTGATTAGAAAGCCAAAACCTCCGCAACCTCCGGAACAACCGACACCAATCGCCGATTTGGATTCGTACGAGGTCATTCCTGTCGAAGAGTTTGTTGATGACGATCCACAATGGCTCGAAACTGCCAAACGTGCGGGGTCACAAATAGATATCAAAGATATTCTGAGATCAAAAGGAGCGAGCATCGGCGACGAAGCCGTCGGGAAGTTCATTGAAATTCTCGTTCCAACGCGCGGTTTATGGCGACGAGCTACGGTGACTGCGTTCGATACTTTCACCGGAGAACACGAATTGACGTTCAAATATCCCACGCCGCGCAAAAACCCGATCCTTTTTCCATCGCCTTCAGATGACGACGAAGATGAGGAAAAAGTAGAGGAAAACTTGACGCAGCGCTTTTTCTTACCTCTGTTGACAGTGAGATACTTGCCATCCATCTGGGAGCCTTACGAGGGGGTTCCGGAACCACCTTTGGAAGATGGTGGAATGGTTTTTGCTTTACCTCCCATTCCGGTCGCTGTCGGTGGCATGCGAGGCATCTTGTTACCGCAAGGACGCCGCGGCGAGGAACTCGTTCGTTACGCCGTGCTTCGCCGAGATTCAGGTGACATGAAGTGCAGAATATCCGAATACACGTGTCCAGCGACTGAATTTGAGCGCTTGGGCGGGAAAGGTTCTGCGAAAAAATGGCGCCAGTCGTTGCGTTTAGTCGGAAAACATGCAGTCACCCAAGAAACGATGGGAAAATGGCTGAAAACGATTGGCGCGCAAACTGGAGCAGATTCCATCGGAAGACTAGTTGAAGTCTTTTGGCCCGTCCATGAAACCTTCTTCAATGCGGTCATTGAATCGTTCCGTGCGGATACGGGTGAGCACGAAGTTTTATACGACGATGGAAGCAGAGAAACCGTGCAGTTGAGCATGCAAACCGTTCGATGGGGCGGTAAGCAACGAGTTCCGGTGAATCATCCACTACCTGGATCGAACAAAGTCGTCGGCGGCGGGAAAGCTTCGAAGAGAGCGAAAACGAGCAGCAACGCGCCGCCAAATTCTGGCAAAAGGGCGACTAAAGTCATCGTTAAACAAACATGGATACAGTGCGACGACTGTTCCAAATGGAGGCGTGTTCCTGAAAAGTCAATCGCCAATCTCGGCGACGACGACAAGTGGGTCTGTAAGATGTCCGCAGACACGACGTATAACAAATGTTCGACGAAGCAAGAAATGACGGATGAGCAAATAGCCAAAGAATTTGAAACGTTATAACGATACTAAGTAAAACGATGACGACGACGATGCTCCTCTTCTTCTTCTTCTTTTCTCTTTTCTTCTAATACAACAAATGTTTTTAAAAACATACTTCTTAACGACGATGATGATGATGTAGACGTTTTCCGTATTCCTTTTACGTCCCCATTGCTCTGGCTTTCCTTCTCTCACCTCTCCCAACCGCGGTGTAACCTTTTTGAATATTCGACACCGACCTAGACGCGCCGCACGATTGACACCTACAATAACTTAACCTCGTCGTCGCCTCTTTCACTAACTGCGTGTCCGAACTCTTGCACATGTTGCAAATCACGTAATCGATAAAGTAGTGTCTCAAAACACCTTCGAACACTTTCGGCAGAAATCTCCCTTTAATAATCAGCCTTTGCTGACCGTCTAAAGTCCCAGTCGTCCCGAGTTCTGCCATCATGTATTGCGTCACGTGCTCGTGCGGTCTGTGCATCGCGTTGCAAATCTCCATCAAGTTTGCAAACACCGTCTTCTTCGTCCCTTCTCTCGCAATTTGCGGCGGTTTAATAATCGTTTTCGTCTTCTCCGACAGCGCCGGATTCTTCTCCTTGAGAATGCCAAAGACGCGACCGAGAAGTTCGTCGTAGTGGTAGTCTCGATCGGAACCGTCCCAAGGGAGACCTAACCCGGATTGAACGCCGCCGCCGGACGACGAGGTCGTCGCCTTTTCCTCCTCTTCGTTCTCTCCTCCTCCTTCCTCGTCGTCTGATAACGCGAGTTTCTTCTTCTTCTTTGATTTCTTCTTCTTACCAAACTCTTCGACTGTTGTTATTGTTAAAGTTAAAGTTGTTGTCGTTGTGAAGGTTGTTTGAGAGATTTTTGTGATTTTTTTTTAGTGGTGAGTTTTTTTTTTTTTGAAAGATGAGACAAGTGAGAAGAGAGATAACTGTGAAGGAGTGATTTTGTCTTCTCACCACTCTCCGCTCATCAAATGCTCTTCTAAACATCACCAGCAGCAGTTTTCAGGTCCAAAAGCGGCTCGACGACAGTCATCGCGTTCTCATCATCGTCACCATCTCTTTGAATGACGAATGAAAACTGCTGCTGCGTTAAGAAAGGAAGAAGCGGATGAAGAAAAAAGAAGACGAAGAAAAACCCAAAACGAGAGAAAAACACGAAACACGTACGATCCAAATCTTCTATTTTCTCCGCGACGGCTGCCGCGACACCAGCATCACCACCATCATTCGGAGCATCTTCCGTCTCGAACGCGTCGAAATCAACCTTCTTGGATTTTTTCTTCTTCTTTTTCAAGTCAAACTCTTCGTCGGACATGATTCTTTTTATACGATGCGTGTGATTTTGTGTCGGCTTTATCAGAAGAGAGGAGAACGAGAAAAAAAGGAGTTGTGTCTTTCTGAGAAAAGAAGAACGAGAAGAGGAAAAAGTGAAATTATTATATGTGCGACTGTGTAAAGTATCATACCATGAAACGCTTTTTTTTATAACAACCGACCGTTAGCTCGCGTCGTGGATTTTATTGTCTTTGTCTTTGTCGTCGTCGGTCGCGAGTAGTATTCGTCGTCGTATTCGTCGTTGTATTCGTGAAAAATGATGGTCGCGCGCGATATCGTTCGGCGGCGTTAATCGCAACGCCACGGCGAAGGAGCTCTTTGTTTCGCGCACGACGAGACCGGACCGTCGACGTCGGTGTTACACTCGTAGACTTTGTTGAAAGCGTCCGCGCCGAGAAAGATGTCGTTTTGTTCGGAAATCGCCGCCGATCCCAACCACGTGCTGCCGATGTCGTCATTGAAGTGAGTTGCGTTCAAAAACATTTCTCGCATGTTCACGACTTCCTCCACGTCCCATTTAGAAATACCGGTTCCTTTGAACTCCCTGGCGTTCAAAAACATGCGAAACATAATTCTGACCGACGACGTGTCCCATTTAGAAATATCTTGGTTGAAGGAGTGCGCGTCACGAAACATTTTCTCCATATTTGTCACGTGACTAGTATCCCAATACCCGATGGCTTCCTTGAATTCAAAATTCGCGTCGAACATTCTGTCCATTCTCGTCACGCTGGAGACGTCCCAGTATTTGAGACCTTTGCCTTTGAACTTGGGCAAGAAACGGAACATATACGCAGTATCTGTTGCATTTTTCATATTCCAATAGCTCAAATCGGCATCGAAGAGCGATAGTGACAGTTCTGTGACTGTTCCGCCGCAGCGGGGCAAAAGAACGCTTGCATCAAAGAGTTCTTCAAAATCTTGGACGAGCGAAACGTCCCATTGCGGAAGGACGCCGTACTCGCTCTCACGAGCAAATTCGGTGCAGATACCGTGAATTGGTTCTTCGCCGAGGCAATTACAAACTGCACCTTGAAGTTCGGCGAAATTGTTTGAAAAAACTCTATTACCGAGAGCATTGAAAAAGTACGGCTTTTTCAATTCGCACGTATCCGGCGGGCCACTCGTCGATGTCTCGCATACCCACTTGTTGTTAAACGCGAGAGCTCCCGAAAACATGTTCGTAAATGGGATGTAGGAAGACGAAAGATCCCATTTGCTCACGTCACCGGCAAACTTAATTGCATCGAAGAACATGTTTTCGAAATCTAAGACGTTGTGAACGTCCCATTTTGAAATGTCTTGATTGAATGATAGGGCGCCTAAAAACATATTTCGCATAACGGTCACGCTCGACACGTTCCAATCACCAATCGGTTTGTTGAACTTAATTGCATCGAAGAACATGCTTTCGAAACCTACGACGTTGTGAACGTCCCATTTTGAAATATCCGCGTTAAATTTGGAACATCGACGAAACATTCCACCCATATTTTCAGCATTCTCCACGTTCCAAAATGAAATCGGTTCGATAAAATTAGCGCAACCGTTGAACATAAACAGAAATTTTTGAGCTCGAGACACTGACCAGAATTTCAAACCAGTTCCCAAAAACGCAAATTGATCAGCGAAAGTATCTTCGAAATTCAAAACCTGCGACGTGTTCCACAAGCTCAAATCCGGATTGAATTGTTCTAAAACTTCCATTGGAAGCATTGGAGTACAAAGCGAAGAAAGCGAAGAAATAGTCGTTAAACGCAATCCTGAAAACGCATATGACATATCCGATATCTCAGACGTATCCCAATGCGAAAGAACGCCGTAAATGTCGCCATCAGAATTTCGCTCGGTGTAGCCAACTTCGAGGCAATTACCTTTCACGGGCTCTTCTCTCAAACATTGGCAGATAAGATCGAAAAACTCTTGTTGCGGCACCGGTATCTTCTTACCAAACTTGTTTAAGGGCGGCGGGCTCGGTGGCGGACTCGGCGGCGGACTCGGCGGCGGGCTCGGCATCTCCTCTTCCCAGCCGCGAACGAACAGCGCTTGCGCGCAAATAAAAACCAATGTCGCGCAGAACATAGTTCGAAGACGTGCCGTCCGTAACGCCATGGTATCAACTGTTACCTTCGTACTTGTATAGTCGGTTCGTAGTTATCGCTCGATGAAAATGCAAATACTTTCTGAAGAATATTTTTTTCTCAAACTTTTTGTCAGTTACTTTTTTCGCAATTTCGCCTCGAAGTAAAATCCAGTGCACGTACTTTTTGTGTAATTCGCAGAATGTTTGTTAACACTTTCCGAAAAGAACATTTCGTCGTTCTCTTCAATCGCGGAATAAGTCAATCGTCCATCGTTAACGTTTTTGGCTTCATTTCACGCAATCGGAATCCCAGGCGAATTTCTTCCTCGTTTCCACGGAATCCCAAACTTTTAACTTTCGCGAGAGGTACTTTGAATTGAAAAAATCCTTCTCGAGCACTTCATAATTTTCTAATATCCGTTCCTCCGAGGACGCTTTCACGACGACTGCGCCGCACAAGGTTTTGCTATTGCCTCTATTTTTCCGCCCTCCTCGTAACAAACCCCACGCTAAGAGAATTTGGGACGGTTTCCACGCCTGGTCGTCCGCGATGTCGGCCGCCAGTTCTCGTTCCTCGTCTCCTCCTCCACCTCCTCCTTCTTTCTCTTCCTCTCGCGTGGAAACGAACGCGTCGTCCAACAAGGGCGCCCCACCTCCACCAAACGGCGAGTACTTCACCACCGCGATACCTCTCGATTCGCAAAATTCAATCAAATCTTCCTGCGGCCACATCGGATGTGCCTCGATTTGGTTTACGCTCGGCTTAATCTCGCAATAACTCAACAGCTCCTCCAAATGTCTCACGTGATAGTTCGAAACGCCAATCGCGCGAATTTTGCCTTCTTTCAAGCACTTTTCTAACGCTCTGTACGCGTCTTTCCTCTTCTCTTTGTGTATTTCCGAGGCTGGCGAGACTTTCGACACGCCCGGCCAATGTAACATGATTAAGTCAATCGCGGGTATTCGCAACCGGATGAGAATTTTTGCAACTGCTTGTTCCACCAACAGTTTCGAATGCATCTCCGCCGGTGCGATTTTCGACGCGAGAAACGGCATCTTTCTCTCAAAATTCTTTTTCGTCTTCTTCTCGTCGTTCCCATCGTCGTCGTCGTCGTTAGTTGCCGTTTTTGTCGTCGTCATCCATTCCTCCAGCGCTTCACCAATATCGCTCTCGTTTTTATATATAGACGCCGTGTCAATGTGTTCGAAACCAATTTCCAACGCTTTCTTCACCGCTTTCGTGCACTGCGCGCCTTTGAGTTTATACGTTCCAAACGCCAAGCGAGGCATGAACACGTTCGGTGAAATCTCTATCGTCGTCGTTCTTTCGTTGTTGTTGAAATTGTTGTTCGTAGACGACGACGAAGACATTCTTCCGCGATATGAGAAGGAGAGTGAGTTGTTTGTGACGAACTCTCTTTTTACAACTGTTTCTTTCACTCGTCGCATCAGCGACACAAAAAACATCATCATCCTTTTCTCTTCTTCCGTCAGAGAAGAAGAAGAAGGATGGGCAACCAAATATCCACGAACGCGCCGAGAGTGCAGGTGAGCAACAACAACGCACACTTTTTTTATTCTCTCTCGTTTTCTCTTCTTCTTCTTCTTCGTCGTCGTCGTCGCATCTATAACTAACACGGGAGAACTCTTAAACTCTTACACTCAAATCAAACGTAGGTATCGGATTTAGTGCAAACGGACGTTCCAGAGTTGAAATATAAAGACGCGTTAGGTGGTGGACGGTTTTTCAAGACCCATCGGTGCGAAACGAAGTCGTTTACGTCGTCGATACCTTCCGCAGAAGAAGAAGAAGAAGAAGAAGAAGTAAAAAGAGGAAGAGAAGAAGAAGACAAAGGAACGACGACGAGAAGAAAAGCCACCAATAAAAATACAAACGAAGAGGAAGAAGAAGAAGAAGAAGAAGAAGAAGAAGAAGAGGCGAAAGAAAAATCCACCAACAAGACGCGTTCAAAAGTCATCCTCAAGAAAAGGAAGAAGACGACGACGACGACGAGGGGGGGGAATTTTAACGAAGTAGGGGACGTGGTGATTAAAGTGTACGTGAAACGAGGACAGGTTCCAGATTTACAGAAACACGAAAAACGAGTGAGAGATATCGGTAAGACCCTGTTGAAATATCCAAACTCGAAAGATATCGTGCACGTGTGGCCGTTTCAGAAGGTGAAGGAAACGGAAAGGGCGGTGTATTTGATGCGACAGTATTCGTTTTCGACGCTGTACGATCGATTAAATCAACGACCGTTTTTGTCGTTTTTGGAAAAGAAATGGATTTGTTATCAGTTGCTACACGCGATGAAGTTTACGCACGAGAGGAACGTCACGCACGGGGACGTCAAGTGCGAGAACGTGCTGATGACATCGACGAATTGGGTGTTTTTGTCAGATTTTGCGAGTTTCAAACCAAAGTCGGTGCCGGTGGATAATCCAGCCGATTTTACTTTTTACTTCGACGCTGGAGGGAGGAGAAGGTGTTATTTAGCACCGGAAAGGTTTGTAGATAGTAACGCGAACAGCAGTAATATTAATAACGATAGCAGTAGTAATCTTCAGGAGTTGGAGATGGAGAAGGAAAAAAGAATACAAAGAGGCGCGCGAAGAGGGAGTAAAGGATATACTTCGGACGGAGAAGAGGACGACGAATTTTATAGCGAGTATGCGATCACGAGAGAGATGGATGTGTTCGCTTTAGGTTGTGTTATCGGCGAACTGTTCACAGATGGTACGGCGACGTTTGATTTAGCGCAAGCGCTCGCGTACAGAGACAAAAACGAAGGATACGAACCGGACCATTTCATCGCGAATAATCTCTCGAAATCAGTTCCAAACGACAAGAAAGCCCGAGATGAAATTTTGAACTTGATTTTAGCTATGATTCAACGCGTTCCGTACGAAAGACCGTCGGCGGAGGAAATATTCAACTCGTGTGTTGCGTCTGGGTTTTTTCCTGCGTATTTTGACGCATTACACGCGATGGGAAGTGACATAATTAACGCCAACGCAAGTTTAGACGTCACGATTGAATATTTGAAAAAGGAAGTTCCCGATATCGTCAAGAAGATTCGGAAAGTGGAGGAAAGGCTACCGTCATCGAAAGCGAAAGGCGGATCGCCTGGTATACGTATTCTTGCGCAATATCTGTGTCTAGCTATACGCGCGTGCAATGTACAAAGTGTCCGGGTAGACGGATTTTATTTGCTTGAAAAGTACATCGGCAAATATTGCGACGATCAGACAAGAATCGATCTCATTGTCCCAAGATGCGTCGAAACGATAAAAGAAAAAGACTCTGAAAACGACGACGATAACGATACTGTCGTTATTGTGAATAACATCAACAGCAGTAGTACGAATAGTAACAGTCGCGCACCATCGACGTCTCGAGTGAAAGCTGCGGCGATTAGGACTTTAGAGGCGACGCTTTCTCGAGCGTGTGATTTGCAGAAATCAGATTCAAAGTTATTCCAAGACTACGTCTGGCCAGCTTTGCGTCAACTCGCAGCTTTATCGTCCAGTGCTGCACAAGCCAACGAAAGTCGGAACGAATACGCGAAAGTTACGTTAGCTGAAACGCTCTCCCGCTTTTGTCAAAACGCGTTTCGGTTTTCCGCGCAGCGCTCAGCCCTAGGATGCAAAGAAGTTCTCGATGAAGACCAAGCGAGCTTAGCTGAAGATTTCGCAAAGTTGACGACGGTAAAGTCTGGGACGATTTACTCGGATGAGATTGGAGGGGGAGATGCATCTACGTATACCGCTTTCGATGATGTGGACAACAATCAAAATAATTCAATGAACCCAAACAATACCGCTAATGGAGGTGATTTTGGTGAAAGCGCGAACACGAATACTACTTTTGGTGGAAAGAAAACATCGGCGAGTGACTCATTCGACATATCTATTCAAGCGCACAGAAACGAAGCGCGACAAATTATATTGGAGATTTTTGCGAGCTTGAACACGCATCCAAATGCCACGGTGGCTTTGTTGGAAAATATGGGGGGGATCGCAAAGTTTTTCGGCCGCAAAGAGACGACGAGTTTTTTATTGCCGCTCTTAGTGACGTGCTTAAATGCATCCGATTGGCGGACGAAGCGTGCGTTCTTATCAAACATTTCAGATGTTGCCATGGAATGTGGGGCATCTGTCACAGAATCGTTTGTCATTCCCTGCGCGGAGAGGTGCTTGACAGATATAAATGATGACGTGGTTCAGGCAGCATTACAATGTCTCCATAACATCGTCTCTGCTGATGATGAAAGTGATGAGAATACGGATTCAGATTATGTAATCGCAAGCGCCGTTTCGCTTGATTTGCAGACATCTGTCATTGTTAACGCGTGCTCAAAATCTGCGCCGTTGATGTGTCATCCGATCCAATCTATACGAGACGCAGCGATTGATTTCTTCGCCTCGGCTGCAAAGAAACTTGGACCAGTCGATACTTTTGCATTTCTCGCGCCAATAGTTGAACCATTTCAAAGAAAAACACTGGCGCCGTTGCCATCATCGTCGTCATCTCTTTCGTCTTCGAATGAACATAATAAGAGTAAAGATTCCGTATTGTTGTGGGCAACGTGCCCGGATGCGTTTCAAGACGCTCAAAGTTTACGAGCCGCTTTGAGGGATCCACCATTGAGCGAGTCGTACGACCGAGCTGTTGCTTCTTTATTGCAGAGTAATTTTGCTTCTGCTGATGATTTGAATAACTTTGCAAATACGGTCATCTTAGAATCTTTAGCGATTGAGGAGTCTGTGCAGCCTCTAGTACCTTACATTCTGGCAACGTTAGAGGCGCGACGAAGACAAAACGCCCGGGTTCTTGAATCACGCGAGGGAGTAGCTATTGCATCAGGAACCGCCGCAGCATCAAAGCATACTTCTGCGTCTGCCATTCTCTCTACTTTCCGCAAACCCCTCGTTGTGCCGAGCAAGTCTATACCTGTGGTGGACGTTGTGCAAACGAACGATGGTTTTGAGAATTCTGTCGCTTCCAAATCTCTCCCCGCGATTTCAACTGCGGCAAGGAATATATCATCGTCCGCATCGTGGGTTCCTCGCGGTGTGCTCTGGGCTCATTTGAAGGAGCACAGAAGTGCCGTGAATCATCTCGCCACGGCGCCTACGAATGCAAACGTGCCGTATTTTGTATCGTGCTCTGATGACGGGTCGTGTAAGATTTGGGATTCCAGACGATTGGAACGAGATGTATCGTTTCGTTCGCGCCTGACGTACGCTTCTCAGAGCGGCAAGATTAAAAGCGCGTGCGTCTTATCTGAAAATAGAGTCTGTTCAGGCTCCGATTGTGGGTCGGTGCACGTGTGGCGCGTGGAATATGTAAAAGCAACGAAAACATCAAAGAGCACCGGAGAAGACGGTCCAGAGGGCAGAAAAAGAATGTACACCGGTGCGGCTGAAAAGTACACTGGTGCGGCTCAAATATACACGTATGATATTTCGGAAGGTGCGGTCGTTTCCACCCTGGCGATTTCGCCAAGCGTTGTTGCCTTTGCAACGCAGCGTGGCGGATGTAAAGTTTGGGATTTACGGCAGTCCACCCGAGGTGACGGGAGAAGCGCGATTGTCTCCTTACCTTGGCATCCGAAAAGAGGCGTGATTACTTCTCTTGCAAACGCAAACGGTGAAGTATTGACATCTGATTTTAGCTCTATTCCCTTCGTAAACAGTGGGAATGTTAACGAAGAAGGCTTCTCAACCTCGCCATGGTTTGTTTTATCGACGTCGACGGGTGAAGTCGAGCTCATCGACTCGAGATTTATGACATCTGTTGCCCGATGGAAAGCTCCGACTCGAACAAGCGCGAGAAATGCATCATCCGCAGCAACGCAGCCACGTAGGAATTTGCGCACATTCGCCGACTCGATTTCATGCATGAGTGTTCGTGCGTTCTTACCTCCGTCTTCTGACGCCATGAAAATGATGAAACCTCTGGTTTGGTGTTCACACAAAAGGAACGAGATTGCCTTGTGGGATGCATCCACTGGCGAATGTAGAGAAGTTTTACGAACTTTGGACTCTAGTTTAATTGGCGTTGAGTTGGAAGCAGCGAGCAGAGCCCGGCCGAACGTGTTGGCATCTGGTACGAGTTTACGTAAACTCGACTCTGATTGGCGCTTGAGCGACCCTTTTTTACGCTCTCAAACGAATAAATACAGTCAAGCCGACTTTACTGCGACAACAACAAGCAGCGAAAGAGAAAAAAGAGAGGAGAATTCTGTTGAAAGCGAGGAGGATTCTAATTGGAGCGACGTCGAAATAAACGAAGGCAACGAAGAATCGGGATTCGACAACGACAGTTTCCGATCGCTCCTCTCCTTGCCGTCCGGTGTGTTAATCTCGGGAGGCTCCGATTGTACCATACGCGCGTGGTTTCCTGGAGATAGTTCAAAATCCCGCATTCTCTCCGGCCCGCCTCGTCACGGTTCTAGTCGACCTCGATACGTGGAAACCCGTCTAGAATCCACCTCTCGTCTGGTCCGCGTCGGCGAAGCGAAACAACGTCCCACGTTCATTCGCATTCAGCAAGAAACCTCTCCGTACCAATCATCATCGACATCCTCCTCCGGGAGACAAAGACGCGGTGGTGGTGGTTTTGCTGGTACTGATAACGACAACAACGACGGCTCCAGCGCGGCTGCTCGCGAAAACTCCATCGCGAGCAGAAACGAGGGCCACCACGACGCCATCACCGCGTTGGCGACGGTCCCGTCCTACTCCTCCTCTTCCTCTTCCGCCGGCGACGCGTTCAGAGGTGGTCGAATGCTCTTATCGGCCAGTAGAGACGGTGTGATTAAAGCTTGGAAATAGAGAGAGAGAGAGATAAATAGCGAGAAGTTGTAAATATTGAATCGTCATGTGTTTACATAGGGAAATCGCGCACACACAAAGACGAATACCCTCATAGATTTGCACACACAAGAAAAAATGCTCCATCACGCGACTCTGTCGACACGATGTTGCGTCGCCGTCGCGGGGGCATCCTCCAACGCTACCACCAGAACCACCACCACCCTCGCCTCGACCTCGTACGCCCATTTGAGAATAACCCGTCGCAGCGCAGGGAGAACAACAGGAGGGGTTTGTTGTTTCGCCGACGGCGCCAAAGACGAGGAGATTTTTGCATGGAAGCGCCTCCAAAGCGAGTACACCGCCTGGCGCGTGAAAAACAACATTCTCGCGCCAAACGTGGAAGTCGCGTACGTCGGTGGTAGTGAGAAAGAGAAAGGAGGGGACGATTTGTACCGAGGCGTGAAAGCGACGAGCGATATCGCGAGCGAGGACGATTTAGTCCGCCTGCCCAGAGAAGCAACCATGCTCGTCGTCGAAGGTCAGGAGAATCCACACGAAGAGTATATATCGAACGAGTTATGGGCGAAGGCTGGGGACGAACGGTGGGCGTTGCGAGTGGCGTTGGTACTCTTGTACGAGAAATCCTTGGGTTCTCGATCGAAGTTTTACGAGTACATCGAGCAACTGCCAAAGTCGTTCGAGAATTTAGGCACGTGGACGGAGGAGGAAGTGAGAGAATTGCAATACTCTGTGGGAGAGAAGTTCGCGAAAGAGCAGAGGTTGGAGAACGAAAAAGCGTGCGAGTTGATTCAGGAGTACGCGCGAGATGGCGGCTTGAAGACGATTGAGAGGGAGGAAGTCATTTGGGCGTTGGACGTAGTGCGGTCGCGCGTTTTTTCGGGAAAGATTGCAGACCAGGAGGCTTTGCAGAGGAAATTGTTACCTCGAGCTTTATCGGTTGGGACGGTGTTCGCGTCATTTTTGACTGCACAGACGACCGAGTTGAAATGGTTGTGCGTGTTTGCGTTGTTAGCTTTAGTTGTTTTCGATTCGACGAAGGAGAACGACGTGAAGACGGACACGGCGTATGTGTTGATGCCGTTAATCGACGCGTTCAATCACCAGACGATGTTAAAAACGGAGTTTGAGTTTACGAATTCTGAGTTTGCGTTAAAATCGCCGAAGAGTTACAAAAAGGGCGAAGAGGTGTTGATTAGTTACGGTTTGATGCCGAACGACGAGTTGCTTTTGCGGTACGGATTCGTGGACGATCAAAACGTAGCGGACACGTACCAATTCGAAGGGTTGCTCCCGTACTTGACGCAAAACGATCCTACGCTGAAGGAAAATCTGGAGAAGAATCCGAAACGCATCGAATCGTTGCGCTTCATTCCCGAAGGGTCCTTAGAAGATTTGACTTTGGAAGATTCCGCGTGGCGAGGCGCGTTTGTCAGCGATGGCACCGCGGAACCCAACTTATCTTGGGCTTTGCGATGTCTCTACGCCACCGAATCGGAATGGATTAACGCTGGCGGATCCTGCGACGGGTTTCGATTAGGCGGCGGACAAACGGAAAAGAAAGCCGCGCTAGCGTTGAAAATGGCGTGTGAATATAGATTACAAGAGATGGAAACGACGTATAACCAAGACCAAGGCCTGTTGAAAGAGAAAGGCGGGGAGAATTGGAAAATGCGACAGGCGATTTTGTATCGCATGCGTAAGAAGAAGATTCTCTCCGACGCGGTGAAAAGATATTCGGTGTAGTAGTATGTTTTATTATTATATTAAGGTAATTTTGGTATTGTACAAGACTATGCTACTTTGTTTTTACTTACTACTATGCCTATCTCTCCTCAAATCTTCACGCTGCTCAACAACTTCGCCAACTCGTCCTCCTCCTCGTTCGTTCTCACCGTCACTTTCATCAACATCTCCAAACATTTATTCACCAACGCGATTTGCGTTTTCGCAAACTGGCTCTGCGATGGCAACTGTTTCAATCTATCCAGACGTTTATAAAGCATCTGTCTCCTCTTGGCGTCTTCGCGTTCCATCGCCGTCGAGTAAACGCCACCGATAACTCTCCTCCCGTTATCCTCGTCGTCCGTACCTCCTCCGTCGGACGACGCCGCCGCGCCGCCGAGACTATACCTTTCCCGCTTACTCGTCCTCTCCCGCCTCTGCTGCATCGACCGTTTCTTCTTCTCTTTCTTCCTCGATAACAACAACGCACCAGTAGTAGTAGTAGTAGTAGTAGTAGTAATCGTTCCTCCTCCTCCTCGCACTGGCGACACACCTAGCCTGGCGTGCGACCTCAAACCCACTCCCGCCGTTCTCTTTTTACTCATCTTTTTATCTATTATTCGTCCACTCCTCTTCGATGGTTTTAACGCTACGAATCGTTTTTCTGCCGCTGTTGTCCCCAACACTCTTTGTTGCGTGTTATTCTTCGTCTGCTCCCGGTGGTCCTCCTCCTCCTCGATTTTAAAAGGGGTGTTGTTCCCGGTCGTCGTCATCATCATCACTTCTGGACGACGATGTCGAATTTGTTCTTCACCATCATCAAAGTAAAATGCATTATCGTCATCATCATCCATAGCGGTACGCATTTTGTTGTTGTTCAAGTTGTCGTTCTCGGGTTCCGCATCCGCGTCGTAAAAATCGCCGCTCGTTTGCCTCCGCATCATATCTGGATGACTTTGAGTAAATGACGAAAATCTCTTTTCCCCTAAAAAAGTCTCCATATGTATTCACGCGTATTTACAACGAGGACGACGACGAATATGTTGACTACGTTTTCTTCTTCTCACACTATCAGCAACACCGAGGCGGCGATTTTGAGCAGGCGCAGTAGGAGCAGTAGTTTCAGTGGTTTTAATAAAAGAAGAAGAGAGAGAAGAGAAGCGCTACTCACCATTTTAATGGCTTCAGGGAAGGAAGACGAGACAGAGGATAAAGAAGAAGACAAAGAAGACAAAGAAGAAGAGATGAGTAAACTCTCCCGCGCGATGGCAACCGCGAGACAGAACGAAAAGTTAGGCTTTTCTCCGGGCTACGTAAAAGGAGGTGGTGGTGGTGGTGGTGGTGTGTCCTCCTCTGTTTCCTCTTTGTTATCCGCGGAAGAATCCGCCGAGGCTGCGTTTGCAGATTTGATAAACACGAGCGCGAACGACGAAAGAAAGGAAGGTGATAATGATGTAAAAAAACTAAACCTCTCGGAACTTGCGAAAGGCAGTCGCATGAGCGAGGAAGCCGTCCGGCAAAAAGATACGAACATTGGAGGCGTTCTCGGTGATTTAATCAACTTAGGATCCATTTTGCTCAAAGGAGGACACATCGTCAAGAAGAAAGACGGACGCGTTTGACGATGATGACGATGGTGAGGATGGTGATGATGATGATGATGTGAGAGTTTTTTGCTGGTCGTACGTGCACGGAGAGTTCCACGTATCAGACCATTCGGGATCAGACCATTCGGAATTAGAATTAGACTTCTTCTTTGAATACTATTTATGTACTTTAACGCGCGCGTGCACATAGTAAGAGAGTGACATATCAATCGAATTTTGAAAATCCCTCATAAAGCAAAGTTTTTGCGCATACGAATAATACGAACAACAACGTTAACATGTTGTTCAGACTGGAGATTAACAACAACAATTCTTCCTCTTCCTTTTCTTCCTACGCGTTGCACCCGAACGTGCCGACAATCGTAGGACGGGACCCTTCCATCGCGCACGTTCCCATCGAGAATGAGAATTCTGTGTCGAGAAAACACGCGATTTTGACCGTCGTCGTCGCTACTTCTTCTGCCGATGTACGCGCGAAATCGATGGCAAAAGAGGAGGGAGAGGAGAGTGATACTACTACTTTTTTGGAAGTGACTGATTGCGGGAGTAAACTCGGCACTCGAGTTTCCAGCGTCGTTTCAACCAACAGAGAAGAAGGAGACGAAGAAGAGAAGAATACTAAACTGGAAAAATTAGAAACCGGGACTACCAAAAGAGTACCATTGATATTGACGCCGTCGTCGGCGGCGGCATCAGGTGGAGGAAAAGGAGGAGGAGGAGATCGAGGAGGTAAAAAGGTGTGGTTATTAAAGTTTGGCAAAATAGCCGCGACGGTGAGATGCATCGAGGAGGACAACGCCGCGACGAATACTAACGGTCTCGACGCGGCGGATGAAAACGAGGAGGAGGAAGGAGAAGCGACGGAAAGCGATGATGATGATGATGATGATGATGATGATGGAAGCGATGGAGGAGTGCACGAGGAGGAGGACGGTGACGCGGGAGTCGGGTGGAAACGCGCGAAATCAAAGAAGGAGAAGAAGAAAACGGACGGTAATAACAGAGGGCGAGTAAACGTAGATCGAGAGGAGGTGGAAGTGGAAACGGTCGTAGACGCGTCGTTGTTTCGAGAGCAAATACTCTCGCCTTTGAATTCGTCGCCACCACCATCGATGTTGGTTTCCACGATCGAGGAGGAGGAAAACGACGACGAAAACCGACTTCGACGAGTGGCAAACACTAGCAGCAACGACAACAACACTAATAATAAAAAACGATTCCAGAAGCAGTCGATTACGATAAACGGTAAACCCACAAAAGCCGCTCGAAATGGCGGCGGCGTGGAATTAAATTCTCCGAGCGCTATAAAAGTAAAGAATAAGAAGCAAAAAGTTCCGTGGCCGTACGAGACGGACGGCTACGAAACGTTGGCGCAATTCGAAACCGCTCTCGATCGCGAGGAAAAAGCCGCGCGACGGTTGAAAGAGAAAATGGCCGAAGACTTGTTCGAGGATTTTTCGACGACGAAACCGAACGCGTCCTTGAAAAGGAAGCAGGGGAGTACAGCGAGCAGAGGTAAACGCTCGTAAACATGGAGAGAGATTTGAGAGAGATTTTAACGCAGCAAAATGTATACTATTACTCACAGCGTGCAGAAGAAACACAACAATTTTTAACGTACCAAAAAACGTCAGAACGAAGCTCCTCTGTCTGCACAAAGTTATCCTTCGAAAGAAAACATCATCACACCAATGCTTGCACAACATCTCTCCCATCCCGTTCAGACGATGCAGACGACGATTCAGACGAACGGAAGAACGAATGCATCGTCTTCTCTTCGTCCCCTTGGTCTTCGTTGTCGAGGGAGACACGGAGCAGCAGTTTTAAAAGCATCCGGAAGAGGAACACCAGTGAGAAGATTACGCGTCGAAAACGTCATCACCCCGACGACGAATAAAAAAGCGACGACAACAACTGGGTGCTTGGGGTTAGCCGCTGCCGCACTTTTTCACGCACCGGCAGCTTTCGCCGCCGCGGCTGAGAATGCGGTCCCGTCCGCCTTTGCTGCCTACGGACACTATCTCGGTTTACTCCTTATCGTCGGTTCGTTGGCGACGGAGAAAGCGATTTTGAAGCCAAACATGTCCGGAGACGAGCTGATGAAACTGGTGATTGCGGATTCGGTGTACGGCATCGCCGGCGTGCTCGTTTTGTACACGGGGTATTTACGCGTGACGCAATACGGAAAAGGGTGGGAGTTTTATTCGCACGAACCGATATTTTGGTTCAAGATGTTCTTGTTCGCGGTGATGGGGTCGTCGAGTTTGTTCGTGACGATAAAGACGATCACGACGTTCGCGGAGAAGCAAAAGAGCACGGACGAAAACGAGACGTACATTAGCGAAAAGTTGGCGACGAGGATGGGGAAGGTGTTAAACGGGGAGTTGTTGGCGGTGTTGGCGATTCCGTTAGCTGCGACGACTATGAGTAGAGGGATTTTGTTTCAACAAGAGATGGATTGGCACTTAGGCGCGGCGCCGGTGGCGCTCGCCTCGGCCGGACTCGGGTTCAAGTACGTGAAGGAAGCGTTAACGTGGAGCGAAGATTAAAGTGAGAGAGAGAGAGAGAGAGAACGAGAAAGAGACGCACGCCTCGCCTGAAAAGCTCTATTATTTATTAAATCTATCCGTCTACATCTATCTACCAAAAATGTACTAAGCGTTCAGCGAAACAAAGGCGTCTTTGAACCGCCGTTTTTCTTCTTCTTCTTCTTCGCGTTTCCGGTGTAGAGCACCGGAACGACGACAACCTCGGACTCCAAATCTCGTTTGTTTTTGTTCCTCCGCTTCGATTTCTCTTCTTCTTCTTCTTTTTCAAACGCCGCGATGATTTTCTCGCACGTCTCTTTCTTCCTCTGAAACACAGCCACGAAGAAACCTTCGCAATCGTCGCCTTCGAACGGGTTTACGCGAACGACTTTTGCCGCCTCTGTCGTGCCCAAAACCTCCGCGAATCCTCTACGAGGCCATTTCGGTAAACATTTCGCGAGTTCAAATCCCAACTCTTCCGCTAACGGCATGACTTTTTGTACCACGTCTTCGTTTTCTTCGCGATAGATTGAACACGTGGAGTATGAGATTCGAAGAACGCCTGGGAATCGCATGGCGTGCGAAAGCGCCTCGAGTTGGAACTTTTGTAAACTCATCACGCGTTTCTTTCGCGTTTGTTCTTCTTCGTTTTCTTCCTCTTCCTCGCGTTTGATTTTATCACTGTGATTGTCGTCACCGTCGTCGTCATCATCATCGTCGTCGTATCCGTCTTTCAAAGCGTACTCCATCAACGCATCTCCTCTGTTTTGCACCGTCCCGGAACCAGAACAACTTGGATCGAGCAAAATCGAGCGCACGTTTCGATATTTGGCGTCGTTCACGTCCACCTCTAAAAAATTCTTCTTCGCTACGACGACTGTCTTCGAGCACCCGTATAAATCGACCGTATCTCGTAACCTTTGCGCTCGTCTGTGGTCTTTCTCGAACGCAAATACTTTCCCTCCTCGATTATACGTATTATTCTTTTTGTCCAACAACGCGGCGAGGTGGGTCGTTTTGTTTCCTGGCGCCGCGCACGCGTCGATAACGTCGGATTGACGAATGCGCTCAAAAATTGCGCTCATAGCATCTCTTCCATCTCTCTCATCTTCATTCACCAACAAACAATGCGCGGGCATACACGACGATTTCCCTTGCAAAATCAATTCTCCATTCTTGACCATTTTCATCCCGCTCAGTTTCTTCCGATTGCAATCCTTCGCGAATAAAATGTATCGACAATCGTTTCCGCGTTCTTTTTCTCCCCTTCCTAAATGCGCGTCTTCCTCCTCAAACGTAAAGCCTCTCTCTCTCAATTCTCTCACGAGAACGCCCACATCTTTCACTTTCATCGCGTTCACTCTCGCAAATCTACTCATCGGATCGTCGTTCACAATCTTCCTAACTTTTTCCGGCAACCTTCTCTCGACAAATTCCAACGCCGTTTGCGCGTTCGCTTTCTTCAATCTCCGCGCTAACTGGTTCTTCAATTCCCCTGTTTTGCTCACGATTAATTTTTCCGCCGATGTTAACGTCGTCGTCGTTACGTCACTCTGTTTCTTCTTCTTCTTTTGCTCTTCATCCTCCATGCCTGGTGGTAATGGTGGTGGTTTAATGCTCTTTCCCGGAGAGAGTAGTAACTCGTACAGCAACACGTACGCCAACGACGCTTTGATTTTTGTCGATTTTTCTCCTCCTGGCGGCTCGTCTTTTTTCTCATCATCCTTCTCTTCTTGTTCTTCTTCTTCTTCTTGTTCATCATCTTCTTCCATAAAATCATCGTCAAAAACCACGCTTTTTTTCATTTTTACGTCTTCGATGAGCAGTTTTAAAAGCGGGAGAACTTTCACGGTTTCGCAGACGATCGCGTGCGTCGCGGATGGGAAATCTATTTTGTTTTCATCCAGCGTCAACCGTTTTATGGATTGGCCGTGTTTTTTCTCCCGAGCGGATTTGAGGAGTTTGGAGAGCACACGCGCGGCTTGTAACCGGCACGTGCGGACTTGCGCGTGAGGGAGAGGTTTTCTTCTTCTTCTTTTGTTGATGTTATCGATGGTTTTGTCGAGTGGTGGTGGTGTCATCGTCGTCGTCGCAAGTGTGTGTATAAATGTTTTGAGGATTCTTTGTACGTATTATTAGGGGATTCTACTACTACTATTCCTACTACTATTCCTACTGAAGCGAGGAGGATACGTAATCGTCCCTGATTTCCATCGCGGAGAACAGGTTACTTTTGAAGACGGATTCATCGAATAAATACCGTTCTTCTTCTTCTTCTTCTTCTTCGTCGTTCTCGTCAATCTTCTTCTCGAACGCCACGCGCTTGGCCGTTTGGATGAAAATGTCCACGTCGGATGGTTTTGAAAATTCAAAAGAATGCGCGTTGATTTTGTTTATGATGTTTCCGATGCTTTCGTCGTTCGATTGATGCAAGCTTTCGTCGCGCGTTATGGTGTCCTTGCAACAACGCAGCACGGCGGCGACGCTCAAGGATTCAAAAAATTCCCGAGCCGACCCGTAGGAGGATTGTTGATGATGATGTTGAACCGCCTCTCCCGATTCTTGTTTTCTTCCTTCTCTGCCCATCTCCGCAATGATTGAATCCCAAATCATCAAAAGAAACTCACCTCGTTTACACTCTCGAACGTACGCCAGCTTTAAGAATCTCGGCAAATACAAGCGCGTGAGTGACATTTTGCTGAAAAAGATACGTGCGGTTTCCTCATCCACCGCGTGCATCTTGTTAAAAAACCTCAAGCAATACTCGTCGATGAAAGACTCGTTTTGAGATTGAAAATAATCTAGCAGTCGTAACGACGACTTTGTGCTATTCACAAACGCGCTGAAAAGAGCGTAGCAATCGTGCTCGACAAACTTTTGGCTGTAAAAGTCATCATCATCATCATCGTCGTCGTCGCGCGCTACTACCAGAGAGGCGTCTAATAATGCATCGTAATTCTCCTCGTCATCATCATCATCATCATCGTCGTCGTCGTCGTTGTTGTCGTCTTCGTTTTCGCCGTCGTCGTCATCAAATCTTCTCCCGCCCGCCGCTCGACACGTTGCCAAATACACCATCGCTACTATCTCGTGCATCCCTTGTTTATATTCTATTTTCACGTCACCACTACTCTTCCTACTGCTCTCCATTTCTTTTTCCAGAACGAATACCGTCAACACTCGAATCAATGCCGCTCGCACGTCCGGAGATTGCCAAAACTTCTTCCCTCCAAATCCTTTCCTTTCCGCGAACACGATTCGTCGCACGTCCTGCGTGACAACTCTCACCAACTCTTTTTTCTGAAACATGTGAGAAAAATTTTGCGTCTTCATCGCCGAGAGTTTTGGCGAAGAAGAAGAAGATGATGATGATGAATCACACGCGTAATTATTATTCTCGGAGGAGGAGGAAGAGGAGGAGAAAAACTCCCCTCGTAACTTTGCGTACGCGCTTCTCTTTCTTTGTGTTATCATTTTCGTGATTTCCCCTTCTCCTTTTAAATCATCATCATCTTCAACATCATCATCGAAAGATAGGAATACCAAATTTCTCCGCCAACTCTCGATCCGCTCTCGATGATGATGACGATGATACTCGTCGTCATCGCTCTTCTTCTCCTTCTTCGAAACCTCCTTTGTCTTCTTCTTCTCCATCATCATCGTCAAAGCGATACTACTCGATGATGATGTAATAAAAGAGAGAGAGAGAGAGAGTTAATAAAAGAGAGTCAGATTTAAAAGAGTGGTGACTTGTGAAGAGTAAACGAAGATGATTTTTCTCGAGAAAAAGAGAATCAATCTGAGCACCCAAAAAACGCCCTAAATCTCTTTTTTTTTTCTCTGTTGTTTTTGAATTTTTCTTCTTTCTCGAGCGCCTCAGATTCTTTTCTCTGCGAGAGTGAGATATCTCTCTATAATATAATAAAAGAACGCGCTAGTGTTTGGTACTCTATACTACGACTGCGAGTACTCTTTTACTCTTTTTCATTATTAATGTCGCAGAGTGCGCGCATCATCTCTTCTCGGGTTTGAAAGAGAAGGAGAAGAAGTGTGAGGAGTAGTCGTAGGTGGTTTTTGTCGTCATGAGAAACAACAACAACAACAATCATCAGTTTCAACAACGAGGAGGTAATAACAACAACGCATATAATAATAATAACGGTGGTGGAAATAATGGTGCGAGAAATAATGGCGGCGTTAAGATATTAAACGTGGCCGAGAAACCATCCGTGGCGAAAGAAGTCTCCAGAGTTTTATGCGGTGGACGAGGGTGTCAAAGCAGACAAGGCGCTTCGAAATTCAACAGAATTTTCGAATTCATCAACCCGTTTCCTATTAACAACGCGAGAAACGCTCAGATGAAATTCACCTCCGTCACCGGGCATTTAATGAATTACGATTTCACCGAACACGAGTACAAGTCTTGGGAACACTCGGACGCGAGAGACTTGTTCGGGAGAGCGAGGATTGCAAAGTTAGTGCCAGACGATAAAAAAGAAGTCAAAGTGAACTTGGAAAGAGAGGCGCGAACGAGCGAGTGGTTGATTTTATGGCTCGATTGCGATCGAGAGGGGGAAAATATCGCCATGGAAGTCGTGGACGTGTGTTTAAACGCAAACAGACGGTTGAAAGTGTTTCGAGCGAGGTTTTCAGCGTTGAGTTATCAAGACGTTTCGAGAGCGCTGATGAACTTGCAAAGACCGGACGAGGCGGCGTCGATCGCGGTGGACGCGAGGCAGGAGTTGGATTTACGGTTGGGCGCGGCGTTTACGAGGTTTAATACGCTTTGCGTGAAGAGGAACGGGGTTTTGGCGTTGTTAGGCGAAAACGGCGGTGGAGGAGGAGAAAGAGGAGGTGGAAGAGGGAACGACAGGGATAATAAAACCGTCATCAGTTACGGCCCGTGTCAATTTCCAACGCTCGGGTTTATCGTGCAAAGAAAGTGGGACGTGGACGCACACGTTCCCGAAAAGTTTTGGACGATTTCGATCGGGTATCAAATGGTAGAAGGTGGACAACAACAACAACAACAACAACAACAACAGAGACAACAACGACAGCGACGAGGCGGTGGTGGAGGGGGCGGTAGAGTCGTCGAATTTCGATGGAATCGTCAGCGCGTGTTTGACGAACATCTCGCGAACTCTTTGTTCGAGAGAGTTCAAAACGCACCACACGCGACCGTGTTATCTACTCGCGGTCAAGAGATTAAGAAATGGCCGCCACACCCGTTGAACACGTTGGAGATGCAAAAACGAGTGAACAGAGTCTTGCGCATCGCTCCGGAAAAAATCATGAAGGTCGCGGAAGAATTGTATCAAAAAGGTTTCATCTCGTACCCGAGAACTGAAACCGATCGATTCCCGGACTCGTTTAATTTCCTGGAAAATATCGCTTTATTTTATAATCACGACACGTTTGGTCCTTACGCGCGCGAATTAGTCGAGCGCGATGGGTTTCGCAAACCGCCGGGCGGGCACAGAGATGATAAAGCGCACCCTCCGATTTACCCCGCGAAACTAGCCACGGCGCACGAATACAACGGCTGGAAACGCGAGAATCAGCAAGTGTACGACTTTGTATTGAGACACTTCTTAGCAACCTGTTCGAAACCGGCGGTTGGGTATAAAACCACCGTCGAAGTTGATTGCGCCGGCGAGGGATTCAAAGCGAACGGGCTGATGATTGCCGACCGAGCGTATTTACGGATATACGGCCCAGGTCCGATATTCCCACCGGACGGGCCTCGATTAAATCCTTATTTCGATAACTGGACCGCCCAAGAAGAGCTTCCAACGTTTGAAGACGGCGAGCGGTTCCAGCCGTCGCACAGAAACCTCCGCGACTCGGAAACGGTGAAACCACAAATGCTTTCCGAAGTCGACTTGTTGACGTTGATGGAAAAGAATGGCATTGGCACCGACGCCACGCAAGCGCAACACATAGATAAGGTTGTCGGCGAACGCGGATACGCGAAAAAAGTTGGCGAAAACCGTTTAGTTCCAACCAACATCGGTGAAGCACTCGTCGCCGGGTACGATTCTTTACAGCTCGGATTCATGTGGCAACCGACCAAACGCGCCGAAATGGAAAAAGACGTCGATAACGTCCACAGAGGCTCCATAACGAAAGAAGACGCCATACGAAAAAACATCGAACCGATGCTCCGAGCTTTCGCCAAGTGCGAAAGCAACGAACAAGATTTAATACGAATCGTCAAACGGTTCGTCGAGCGCGGAAGGAACGTCAACGTCGAACAACGGTACGGCGGTCCCGAGAGAGAAAGAGACTTCTTCGAAGACGAAGAAGAAGACGAAGGAGCGTTTGACGATGCGTAAGATTTTGCTGTCTTTAATTAATAGTAGTATTTGAGTAGTAGTACGAGTAGTAGCAGTAGTAGTAGCACGTAGTTGCAGTGTATGGTACCAATAATGCGAGTAAAAGAGCTCATCATCATCATCATTAATCACAATATTATAAAAGTGTTTTGATGAACTTTTTGAAGACATTTTCGTCAGAAAAACAAAAAGATGGTCTCTACCCGCCGCACGACGAAGGCTCCTTCGTCTTCTTCTCGGCCTTCTTCTCCTTCTCCTCCTCCTGCGAGTCCTCGAGGACGAAAGAGAACTCCTTCTGCGAGCACCATCCTCCGTAGTCGTACTAAGAAGAACGGAGAGGAAGAAGACATCCCAATCTCGACTAAGGAGACGAAAAATCATCAAAAGCACGGATACGAGTTCGGAGGCCCAATCGGGGCGATATGCATTACTATCCTCCTCCCTTTGACGTGCTACTTCCTCGTCTTCGCGTGTAACGAAACCACGGGATGCGATTTAATTGAATCAATCATCGGTTTAGCAAAAGAGAAGAAGAAGAACTCGTTTTCTTTGTTGATGATTCCGGAGAAGATGACACCAGTGTTTTCTCTGGAAAGCTGCGTCCTGTTTCTGGGATGGATCGGATGGTGCGTAATGTTACACGCGCTTTTACCAGCATCAATCGTGAAAGAAGGCGTTGATATCACAAGTGGTGAAAGCGGTGGTGAAAAAGCGAGATTCAGATTGCGGTATAAACTGAACGGATTCCGCGTATTTATGACGACGGCGGTGGCGTGCGCGGTTGGGACGTACTTTGGCCAGATTCAGTTGCGGTCGTTGCACGCGAAATTTTTGAGTTTGCTCACCGCCGGGTGCGCTTTTGCGTTCGCGTTGACGACGTTTTTGTACGTCGCGTCGTTTAGAGTGAACAAAAATGATAAAAGTAAGAAGAAGAAGAAGACGAGGAAAAATGATGGCATCGATAACGGGCCGGTTGTGTTGGCGAACGGCGGAAACACCGGGAACGTGGCGTACGATTGGTTCATCGGGCGAGAATTGAACCCTCGATTTTCGAACAGTTTGTTCGACGCGAAAGTATTTTGCGAGTTAACTCCGGGATTAATAGGATGGTTGCTTTTGAATTTCGGGTTCATGCACGAACAGTACGCGCGATTAGGTTTCATCACGAAACCGATGGTTCTCGTCAACGCGTTTCAACTGATGTACGTCGTCGACGCGTTGTGGAACGAACCGGCGATTTTAACCACCATGGACGTCACCACGGACGGCTTCGGTTTTATGCTCGTGTTTGGCGATTTAGTGTGGGTCCCATTCACGTACTCTTTACAATGCCGATACATACTCGAAAACAACGTGGACATTTCTTTGGCGATGACCGCATTCATCGTCATCGTCCAAGCGACTGGGTACTACGTCTTCCGCCAATCCAACGGCCAAAAGAACACCTTCCGCACCAACCCGAACGACCCGTCCGTGAGACACTTGAAATCGCTCAAAACCAAACGAGGCACCAACTTATTAATCTCCGGTTGGTGGGGCGTCGCTCGACACGTCAACTATTTCGGCGACTGGTTGATGGCGTGGGCTTGGTGCTTACCTTGCGGTTTCGACCATATCGCGCCGTATTTTTACGTCGCGTACTTTGGCGTCTTGTTAGTCCATCGAGATTTACGCGACGGTGAACAGTGCGAGTTGAAATACGGAAACGATTGGAAACGGTACTGCGAGATTGTCAGGTTTAGAATTATTCCGTACGTTTATTAATAATAAAACGTGTATTAGTCCAACGTAAAAGGTCGTTATCCATTTTCTCCTCATAATACTACTCTTCACGCGTAACACACGTGATAATACTACTACTACCACCACCAAAGCTAAAAGCATAACAGTCATGTCCGCTCTTTCTTCTGCCTCGTCGTCGTTTATAACTGCGACCATTAAAACCACTCGCAAACAACAAAGAAGTCGTCGTCCGATCGTCCGACGAACAACAAGAGCAATGGCAGCAGAGAAGACACCCGACCCCGGGTCCGACCCGAAGGGTTTAGGCAAAGCTTTACCGATGAAAATGGACATCGACGCCATCATGAAACTCTTACCCCACCGATACCCGTTCTTATTAGTCGACCGAATCTTGGAAATCGAGCAAGGCTCGTACGCCATCGGCGTCAAGAACGTCACCATCAACGACAACTTTTTCCCCGGGCATTTCCCGCAAAGACCAATCATGCCTGGCGTGTTGATGGTGGAAGCGATGGCGCAAGTCGGGGGTTTGATCATGCTGGAAGGCGGAGGCGGTGATGGTACGTACTACTAAGAACTTATACATGTATTTGCTTTGTTTTTGTCCCCGTGAACATCATCATCGTTACGTGGGTATTAGTTTTGTTTGGACGCCTTTTTACCCTCTTTTTATGCTGAGCTGGACTTTTTCTCACATTATTCTCAACAGGTGGCACGCAGCAAGAGTTCTTCTTCGCCGGCATCGACGGCGTGAAATTCCGCAGACCGGTAGTACCGGGCGACCAGTTGGTCATGAAGGTGGTTTTGACAAAGCTGAACAAACGTTTTGGCATCGCGAAAATGAAAGGACAAGCGTTCGTGGGGGAGGAGTTGGCGTGCGAAGCCGAGTTGACGTTGGCGTTGGGGTCTTAAATACGATATAGAAGAAGAAGATGAAGATAAAGAGAGGTTCTTGTGTTTACTACGTGTTCAAGTTTAATGCGATGATATTTACTGATATCTGTTGTTGCGTTTTATGATGATTAAAGTGTGTACTCGTATCGTTTCTCTTTTATCTTTTTTGTTCTCTTCTCGCTTCGCGGCGTTGAAATCTTCAATACTTTCTCTTTTGGTTTTGGTTCGTCGCGTCGCGAAAAGATTGCTCGGCTCGTGACAACTGGAAGTACGGCGGCGCATTCTCTCCTTGGTGTACTTCGTTTGAACCCACCTCGTTCTCTTGCGAAAGAGGAGGAAACATAGAAGACAGCGGCGGCGGCGGCGAGTAGGGCTGTCTCGGCTGGGGCATACCTGTACCAAACGGAACCCCACCAAACGCGTTAGGATACGCACAATGACCACCACCACCACCAAACATCATCCCCGGCATCATCATCATCACCATCCCCGCCGGTGGCGGTTGCACCGGTTGCGGCTGCATCATTGGCATCGTCGGCATCCGCCGCTGTCGCTGGTGCGCCCCCGCAGCCAAACGCGACGAATTCGAAAACCCGCCCATAATTGTCAACTCTTCGCACGCCCCGCACACGACCAGTTTACTCTCCTCCACCACGCAGTCTCTGGCGACGAGTTCAGGTAAAGATAACATTGCCTCGCAGTTCCCGCACGCGAAAAACAGCATCCGATTCGCGTGTATTTTTTTCCCTTTACATTCTTCTTCTTTTTCTCCTTCTGACAGAAGAAGACTTTTGATCGGCGCTTCTGGGTCTGCGTTCTCCTCGTGTCCTTTGGTCAGGAAAATATACTTGCACTTTTCGCAGAGCTGAAGAGGACACCCTTCGTTGTTGTCTCCGTCTTCTTCGTCGTCTTCGTCGTCTTCTTCTTCTTCCCTTCTTCTTTGTCTTCTTCTCTGCGTCGTCGTCGATATCGTTTTCGTCGTCGCGTGCTGACAGTTCGGGCACACGGAACGAAGAACAACCTGCGGTTTTTCTTCTTCTTCTTCTTCTTCTTCGTGAGGAGGAAAAGGAGGAGGAGGAGGAAAAGGAGGAGGAGGAGGAAAAGGAGGAGGAGGAGGAACGAAGTGCGACGAGTTAAACCCGCGCATGTGATACACGCGCAAGAGCAAACGGCGCGCAGAAGTGTGTGTGTTTAAGTGTGTGTGTGTGATGAGATCGTGTATTTTTGTGCACACAATTATTGTTCTAAACAGATTCTTCTTATTTATATGTACAAAGGTTGATTTACAATGACGCTCTCTTTACTCTCTCTCTCTGTTTAAAATCCGATGATCTCTACTCTAGAGTACCACAGATGTTTTTATTAGTAGTAGTATCTTTTTTTCAATTAAACCATGTAACTGGCGTTGTATTCAAACCCGACGCTGACGATATCGTCCCACTCTCGCTCGGAAAACGCTCTTTTGAACTTTTCAAAATTTTCTTTTTGGTGTAATTTTTTCTTCATCTCCGCGAAGGCTTTTCGAGCGCAGTCTTTGATAGGATCGACATCGAAGGAACACTGGGCGGCGAGGATGATGGATTTTTTGAGCCAAAGTGGCGGGTCGTCGTCTATGATCGCACTGCTGGAGTGGAGTAAAGCGGAGAGCGCGAGGATGACCGCATGGCGTTGGACGAGGGAGGTTTGGTCTTGCGGTAAAGACGCGACGACGGAAGCGGAGACCGAGGAAGAGGAGAAACGCTCGACGAATTTCAACTCCGTTTGCGCCGTGAACGCTTCTCTTCGTTTGCCAGAGAGGAAGGCGAAGAGACTATCTCGCGCTGCCTCGCGCATTTCCACCCGCGGGTCTTCCAACAACTCGTTCGCGATTGTGTTTTGAAGCTTGTCGATTTGCGTTTCCTCGTCGAGGACAAACATGTGTCGAAACGCAAACGCAGAGGCGAAGAGGGAGGTTTGTTTTCGCGTCTTCCAGAAAGAAGATTTCATGGACGGTAAAAGCGCGTCGTCGACGATGTCTTGAAACAAAGTCGCCGCTCGCGAGCTGTTGCCGCCGCTTTCCGTGAACAAGACGGAACGCAAGGCGATCAAACACGATTTCGCTTCGGAGCCGAAATGTAAGTCCGAGGTGTTTTCGGCGCAAAGCAACGCGGATCGAATGAGCGTCGGCACGAGGTCAGAGATGGACATGATGTCACCCATGAGAATGAGAAGCTTCGTCATCGTGAAGATAGTTTCGAGAAATCTGCGCGCTCTTTTGACTTCTTCGGAAACTTCTTCTCCAGTCCCCGCTACCGCCACGGATGATGATACTCCGGATGCCAAAGCATCGATTTGCCTCGCCACTTCGTCACTACCGATGAGGATTTCAGTTTCCGCGTCCACGCGAGAGGCTAAGAAATCACCCACAAACGCATCGAGCTCAGCGCGAAGCTTCGCCTCATTCGCCGAAACATCATTGTTGTCAAGGTTGAACCTCGCCGCGTTTCTGTTCAACGAGATTAATTTTGCGGCGACGTGCGCGCCTGCATTTCTCACGCCCTGAGAATCGTGCACAAACGGCGAATTCGCCGCGGAGCCCTCGACGTCTCTCATCTCTTCAATCAACTTCATCTTGCACTCGACGTGATCGTCAAGCGAATAGCGAGCGCTCTCCGCGACGAAGATGGCGATAGATTCCAATCGTCGCATTTGCGATAACATGGACGCAGATGTCAATGGCAACTTTTCAATCATTCTCAGAAACATCGAATTGAAGTGCTCCTTATCGCTCCGTTCGGCGATTGAAAACGCCAAAGCGCGAAGCCACGTTTCGCGTGAAATATCCGACGTGTTTCCTCGCGTCTTTCGAAGGAGTAAATCGGTCGCTTTTTCGTCGCATAAGCGCACGGCAGCGGCGACCGCTTCGGCACGCGCGGAAATAGCCGTGTTGTCCAAAGCGGGGACGGCAGCAGACGATGTTGTAGTCGTCGTCGTAGAATCGAAGTTCGTGTTCGGCTTTTTGCGTCTGCCCGGCGATAAGGAGCCTCCTTCTCCTCCTCCGCCGCCACCTTCTGCCGACGATTTCTTCTTCTTCGAGGACACAGATCGCGCGTCGTCTTCGTGCGCTTGTATTTCACCAATGACATCATCCACCGTTTCGCGAAGTAAGTTCGGTCTCGCTTTAAAAAGCATTTCCCACAATCTCGAAAAGACAGTGATGAAGACGCCAGGCGTTGTCGCTATGCCTTCCATCGCTCGCGTGCACACTTTTGGAAACGGTCCGGCGAGTTCGTGACCGACGCCGTATAAAGACTCTCCAGCTTGCGAGAGTAAAGCAGATCTCGACTGTTGCCCACCTGCCCCGCGATCGCCGATGTCGCGATTCGTGTCTTCGCCTCTCGCTGCCGCGAAGGAGTACAAGAGTTTCTCCGACAACTCTCGCGTGTTTTCAAAATCCGTGTTCACCGCATCCACGAGCATCTGATCCTCAAAATTCTTATACCGACTGACGAGAAGCAACCCACACGCGCTCGGAAGCCAGGTCGGTCTGGAGTCACTGGTTAAACCTTCGAGGAAGATTCGCGTCGCGTTCCGAACAGATTTCTCCGAACAATCCGAAACGAGCGTAAACATGAAAAACGCAGTCGCCATCGATTGAAAGCTCCAATGTTTCGCTCGCTCGTCCGGAGGATGGAAAATATATTTGACTAAATCGTTCATCAAAGGCGTTGGTCCATCGGTGGAATAGTTGAGTAAATCCATGGAACGTCGAGAAAATCGAGCCGCAAAGTTTACGAAGGTTTCCGAAACCGCTTGTTGGGAAATGACCGTATCGTGAATGCATCTCGCCTGTAAAAGCGCGTAGGCAAACTTCAACAATGATTCCGAGGAGGTTTGCGTCGTCGCGACGATGCTCGAATTCGTTTTCAAAACCTCACACGCCGCGCGACATCGGTCTTCGTTTTCTTCGGGGATCATGAGCGAATCCGCGGAACTCTCGACGACTCGGGGTGCTTCTTTCGGATAACGTTCCAAGTCAGTTTCAATGGCATGCCTCGCCGCGGCGCGAACGCTCACGTACGTATTGTTGATAGCACACGATCGCAATGCGGCGAGTAATCGAACGCAACTGGAGTTTTGTCTCAACACGGCACTACTGCAGTATTCACCGCTCGACTCTCTAAAATATACCGCTTGCGCCCGTCGCCAGTGATGTTTAATGCGAGTGTATTCGTACACCAACCATCGCGGATATAATTCCGGGATTTTCGCACCGAGCATGATGTTTTTCTTTTTGCGTCCAGGGTGCGGCATTCGCAGACTCGCGGAGTCTTCCGCCCAGGCCCGCATGGCGGCTTTAGCCGCGTGGTATGTGGAATTTGAAGGAGACAAAATCTCCTCGGCGACCCTCGCGACAATCGTCAACGTCACCGCGTCGTCCGATTCGTGGTTTTCGAGCGCTAAACTCAACGCTTCCGCAGCGGCGTGACGCGTTTGCATGTCAAAAACCAACGAACCAGGCATTTCGCCGTGAATGGCTAAATCTGCAGACGCTGAATCTTCGTTAAAATCGGGGATCCGCGCGGTGAGACCCGTGGCGACTGCACCGATTCTCGCCGCTAATGAACGCACGCGGTGTCGACGACAATTGTAATCTTCCATATCGTTCAAGGACGAGAACTGACCGATGCTGCCGATTTTACTCACTTTTGCAATCTCGGCGAGCGATTGGCGTTTTTGTAAACTCGCTGGCGAGTTACCAGACGACGATGAGGGCGCGAGCGTCGTGGCGGTAAGCCCAGCCGCCGCGGGAGGCGACGGGCTTCTTCCGCTTCGATCGACGAAGGTAACTTGACTCGTGCTCTTCGGCGACATGGAGCGAGGATCGATGATGGATGAATCGTCGGGAGACTCGTTAATGTCCATATTTTGAATTGCGGTCGTCGCGCAACCTTCGAACAATTCCGACATTTCTGCCGAGGACTTGATTAAAAACTCTTCGATGATTTCGCGAAGAACTTCGTTCTTGATTCGATGATCTTCCTCGCTCGCCCAATTGAAAGGTTTCGGCAGACACAGTTTCTTTCTCGCTTCGATATCGGGTGGGCCGAAAGACGTGTCGTCCTTGGATACTTTCCATCGTAACGCGACCCAATCTGCGTACTGACGCTTGCCTTTCTTAATCGCTTCGTCGTCTTGCGTGACCGATTGCTGCGCGTCGAGCTGATCGATGACGTTGCCTAAAGCTAAACAGTACCGACATAACAAAGGTCCGGCGATGTACAAAACTGGATTCGATCGCGCAGATTCCGCTAATGCGAACAGTCGTCGACTCGATTGCACAACCTTGTCTTTTAACGTCGCTAAAGATGTCGTGTGCGCGCGATCAAAACCAAGCGATATGACGCCAACGATGTACGATAACCGGTTTATTCGTGCTTTGGAAAGTTCACCCGATCGTTTCGCATCCAATTGCGCCTCGTTCAATTCCAGTGAAAGCATATCGAACATAGGGTTGAAAATTTCTTTCGTTGCTTCGCTCGGCGACGCGATAAACACCGAAGAAACTAAGATGCCCAATTCTCGAGTCGCGGACGGTAAGGTATTCGTGAAAATGAACCTCGCAATTTTGCGAATGGCAAGTTTACGCGACTCCTCCGGTAAGCGAATCAAAAGCGTTCGAAACATGGGCGTGAACATGCAATTCGCGTTCATTAGGAACGAGGCGGATTGCTCCGAGGATTCACCGACACCGCCGGAACTGCCGCTGTGGTTGTTTGAAGACGCTTCTGGTTGCGCGTGTTCGAGCACGGCGAAAACTCGTTCTAAAACCTCCAACGTCCAATCGGACCAAACGACTGGTAGTTGCGGCACGCAATTCTCCTCCCCTGGATCGATCAAATTGGATACAGAGGAAAGTAAAATCGTGTAAAACTTCAACGCCGCGTTCGTTTTCGCCGCGTCGTTGACGTCAATGCACGGAAGCGTCGCTTCCAATGCGGAGACGACAAACGCGCCGGTGGAATACCCTTCGACTTCGTCCAACGCTTCCATCCTATCGCTGCCATTCTCACCTGCCTGCGAGAGCGCTTCCGCGTGTTCAGGCTGAACGAAAATCTCGTTCGGATCAATATTCACCAACATCGATCGTGTCACCAACGCCAACGCTTCAATCGCCGTGGATATTTGGTGTGAAGAATCTTCCTGTTGAAGCGTGTTTTCGAATCTACTCAAAGCGGCATACACCGTGTGTTTGGGTGTGATGTAGCACAACTTCCCGATTGATTTTACGGCGACGTGTTTCGTGTGACCGTGTTTGGAAAAGATCGCCCTAGAACACAATCGATCGGCAATTAAAGCCATCTTCGTCAACTCTTCGTCTTGCTTCCCCGTAAACGGACCTAGACCAACAGTTTCTTCCGTCTCGGCGCGATACTTTGCCTTTTCCAAGTACGCGACGAAATGCTCGAGAAACCACGCTAAAGCGTCGCTCCCGGGAGAGTCTGGGTGATAACAGTGCTCGAGAAAGTCAAACAGTTTCTCTCCGTTGTTGTTGCTGGTGCTACTGATGTTCGCGCTATTATTCCTCTCGTCTGCGTCGTCGTCGTTTGTTGTCGCCGTATAATTCAGCGACCGAAACGCCAAAAACTTGGCAATCGACCGCGCTCTGTGCGCGGTATCTAATACTCTCGGCGCGATTTTTGTCGCCGGCGATCCAATCGAACGCACTGAACTCGCCATCACTTGTAAATGTTGCGATTGTTTCGACCCGTTGTTCCCACCGCCATTTCTACCACCACCGTTGTTCGATGAACTCAACTGAAAGCTCCACAACGCGGCGGAATAAATCTTCGCGTCCAAACTCTCCGGCCATTGAATCCGCCCGCTCACGTCGTGTTTCGCGCATTGCGAAAACAGCTGTAAAAATCCTGACTTCCAGAACACGGAACTTGGCAACGCGTCGAATAAACGATTCCAATCTCCGTTTTCTCCCTCGATCATTCGTTTATAAAATTTCACGTCCTCTTCGTTCCCTTGCTTATTTCGTAAATGTCTCGTCGGTAAAAAAGCCACCATAAACGCCAACGAGGTGAAACACTCCTCGGACCAAATGTTCTCCAGATTCTTCTTACTCGCCTCCCAAATCTCCTCGCTGCTCCCCAACTTGAAATACCTCCGACTGGCTCTCGCTAACGCCGAAATCGTCGACCGCCACTCGGCTAAAACCACTGGACCGTAGTATTCGTTCACCTCGCCTTGAGAAACGTGATTGACTTTATCCATTATTGGTTTCCAATCAATCTCTAAAACCTCATCCAACTGGCCCTCGAACACCGATAAGGTCGTTTTCGCTAAATTAGCCCATTTCGTGCGCGTTTTCAAATCGATTCTCATGTCGTTATCCGCCAACGCCACCGCGAAACAATGATTGACCAGAGTAACAATGATGCGCACATCTTTCGTCGCCCGGAACGGTTTCGAGACTAAATGACTTCTCAATAAACTCGTGATGTCAAACACCGGTGAAGAAGAAGAGGAAGAAGTCCTTTTTGCTTCCTCTTCTTCCTCCTCCTCCAGCGGCCGCGTGGACAAAGCTCGTAAACTGGCCACCGTTTCTAAACTTTCGATTAAACGTTCAAACCGTTGTGGATCTTCTTTCGAGATGGCCTCGGCGACTTCGTTCGGGAGGTACTCGTTCGCCACGTCTCGCCACGTGTGCGCTTCTGTAGTTTTTGCTGCCGCGTGTGTTGCATGTGCTGCTGTTTTCGCGGTTGATGTCGTCATTTCTTCTTTTTCTTCTTCTTTCTTTACGCGCGCGTAAGCAAGTTGTGACGACACCTTCATTTTTCTTCGATCTTCTTCGATTTTTTCTTCTTTGTTTTCTCTTCTTCTTGGGAAAAAAAGAGGAGAAACTTTGTCTCTTTGTGTTGAAAATACGCAGAGAAAGAAGACGACGACGATTCAGACGACGATGTTTTTTCTCGTCGTCGTTTACGTCGCTTTGCCTCCTCGAAGAAGAAGAGCTTCGAACAGCCTCTCTCCTTCTCACTTTCTGCGGCGATGATGGTACGAACGAACGATGATGATGAGATGCGAAGCGAAGAGAAGGAGAAAAAGCGAGAGGAAGCATACAAAGAGTGTTTTCTCTAGGCGCGCGCGCTTCTGCCTGAGAGATATAAAATGAAGAAAGTGAAGAGATATTTTTGCTTGCTTCGCAAAGAAAGGAGGGACAAGAATGTGACTCTCGCTTTTGTTTCCAACATTTTTTTATTTTGCCTCCTAAAACCGCTCATCTATTACTAACGCTATTGCTACTAGTACTGCTACCGCTACTGTTACTATTACAGAACTGTAAAAGAGTACCATTTTCCTGCACTCCGAATTTTGAGGCTAAAAATACCGCGCGGGAAAGGACGGAGGACGAAGAAGGCGAAAGCGCGTTCGTTTCGGCGTCGTCGCGGTGGTCGTCCTTGAGATTGAGCGCGCCGTGAGCGTAAAACTCGTACCCACTAATGCCGACGCCTGAGGAACCTTCTGCTTCTGATGCTGATGCTCCCGTCGCTTCTCCGAGCATCTTCCCTTTCGCGTCACGAGCGAGCGCGGAAGCGAAACACACGGCAAATTGCAACAGTTTCAAAGGAGAGGACGGACAGTCAGTCTCGCTACCGGAAGAAGATGAAAAGGCAAACAGAGAAACACGTTTGAAGAGAAGGCCCCATATTTTTGCATCGTCGCCAATTGTCTCTGACGATGAACTCGCTTTCCTAACGCGCTCAGTTTCGATGAATGTTTGCACGTATTGGAACAAAGTATGGTATTCTTCTTCTCCTTCTTCCATTATCAAACACCGGAGCGTCATCTTCACCATTGTCGAGAAGCATTCCACGTACCAGAAGCGCTGGACGATTGGATACGCCGGAAAGAGGTCCTTCTCGTTTTCTAAGGCGCACAGTGATGCCGCGAGGTAATCAGCTTCATCGCTCAAGAGTTTATATTCTTTATTTATGCTCTCTTGCGGACGAGGTAAATCTTGAAAAAGAAGACCGTTGTCCGGGTTGCGTTCTCTGACGTCGCCGCCGGCAGTCGAGCACAGAGAGTGATCGATTAACGCATTCAAAACTATACTTTGTTCGTATGAATCATCCGAGCAATACCAAGAAGAAAGAGAAACATCGGTTTCGCCACCTTGGTCGATGATTTTCGAATTTGAAACGCCAAAGTCTTCTCGAAACATGGCAAAGGCGCATCGCGCAGCGGCGTAGCATCCAAACTGGCCTTTCCTCACCAATGCGCGCATGGCATTCTTTAATTTGTTTGCCGCGATGTGTGACTTTGCGGCTGCTCCACTAGCACCTCTCTGCTCTTCAAACGTAGCTAAAGCTCGATAACATTCTAAACATAATTCGTGAGCTTTCGGTAATCTCGACGTCGCCAAAGCGCACGCGTCGCGAGGTAAATTACCATCGAGCAAGCACCGCACGGCTTTGTGAAGACCGCTATTGTTCCCATTACCTTTCATGGCTAAAAAACATAACGCAGCTCGCTGATACTCTTCTCTATCGATAAACCGATTCGCTTGTTCGTTCTGACAAATATCATAAAGATCTTTGCCACCACTTGAAAGTATAGCGGGGAGCAAATCTGAATACACGGGACCATTCGTTTCTGTGAACAACTCGTACGCAGCACCGTTCCAATCATCAGCATACATTGCCATAGCCGCTCGCTTTTCAGCAGAGCGTAAAGATGGAAACTGGAACTCGGGAGTTTTTTTCCTTTGCTGCTGATCGTTCGCGACGATGCTCTGAGTTTGTTTTCTCTCTTCTTCCTCTTTTCTCGATTTGACGCGCATAATTTCCAACATCCTTCTCGTCGATTCTGGTTTTTCGTACAACGCGTTCCCTTCGGGCCCGTACGCAAAATTTGCGTCTGACTTATCATCTCGGTACGTGTCGTCAATTAGCGTCAAAAGCTCGAGGGCTTTAGATTCGGAAACTTCGGCACCTTTAGCCGTCGATTCCCACGGTTCGGTTTTAAATAACGACTGCGCTTTTGACGGTTTGGGAACCGTAGTCGTAGAAACGTGACCGGTGTGTCCAGAATTCGCCGCGCGAGATTCGCGCTTCACCGCAGCTTTCTCAACTGTCGGTACTCCTTCCCTCCCTGTCTTCTCCGTTTCTGCTTCGCCGTCATTACCTGTGGCCTCTTCATCTCGAGCGATAGGACTTCGACTCTGACGAAACGGTAGAGGAGATGGTTTCTCCTTTTCGTACATCGCACACTGGTTACCCATATCTGGCGAGCGTCTGAAATCGTTCACGTCGGCGATTCGAATGGTTTGGTCGTCACCACCACTGAAAAGGATGCCGCGCTCGCTCTCCGTTTTCGAGTGAGATGCGTAATTACGCAGCGCCCGAACGCGGCCTCGATGTCCTCGAAAGACTGCACGCAAAGACACTTCAGAAGACGAATGCACGTCACCGACGGTATAGATGCGCACGAGACCATCTGCATTAGCGCACGCGAGACACGTGTCCTCTTTTTCATCTTTACACCACTCCAATCGGGTAACGCTTTGCCGGGCTCTCGGCACGACGTGTGAAATCTTGCCAGTAAATTCTGAAGAAGCGTACTCTTTAGCGTGTGAGCGCACAAACACACAACCATCGCTTGAGGATGTTGCAACGGCGACGCTAGTATTTGACACGTACTTCCCGTTGTCGTCACACTTTATATCGGTGATATCTGTCGAATGCGAGGTCGTATCCTCCCACCGAAATTTCAAAATCGCGTTGTGATTCTCAAAGCAACTCAGATACCCGTTCGAATAGCCAACGACGAACGCAGACGCGCTTCGCGTATATCCAAATCGCGATATCGTGACATCTTTATATTTAAGGCGACTCGCACGTTCTCCTCCATCATCTTCTCCTTCTCGGATCGCCGCCGAAATGTCGAGATATGGTTCAGGCGCGTCAGATTTGTCGTCGAAGAATCCAGGAAGTCTTCGCCAATACCATAACTCTCCGGTTTCGCTCAGCGTAACGATGACACTTTCTTCGTTTATGGTGTTGTTCATTTTCTCGAGTGAGGGAACGATTTCTATTTGCATCACCGCACCGCGGTGTTTTTGAGGGAAAAATCGCATTTTTTTCTCTTCTCTCGTCAATTTATCGTCTCCGTCCTCTTTCTCCACTCGCATCATCCCAACCGTGCCGTCGTCCAAACCAACGACAACGCATCGCGTCACGTGTTCGCGATCAATATAAAAGCGACATGATGTAATCTTCCGTTGCTTATCTGCTCTAAATAGAATTTCCGTCTTCAACGCTTTGTCAAACGTAGTAACATCATGCGGCACTTTTGAGTGAGGCGCAACGTTTTCCATTTTTCGCAAAGTCCCGTCACCACACGCAAATATGGTCCAATCACCGATTCCCGGCACCACGTGATGATCTATGTCGTAGATAAAGCCACCAAGTGTTGATATTTGACCCTTCAAACGATATTTATACCCATCTTCGCTTTCCTCAAAAACGTCGTAAAAACAAATCGCTCTGTCCAATCCGTGCGTGACGATTCGAAAGGAAGGGGAATCGTCGTCGTTATCCTCCTCTTTCGCGGCTTTGAATAGTTCCAAGGAGAAACCTAACTTTTTATGTCCGCTAAAATCTGGCGTAGCGCGCTCTGCTTTTAGCCCAACGATAGAGCACGCGCTGAAAGGTCTGTTTCCATGGTCTATAAACCTTTCAACGTCAAACGCCAGCTTCGTAACTTCTCCTTTACACGAACACACCATCAGCGGAAACGTGTTCTGCCGGCGAATGGACGTGAAATTCATCCAGCACGTTGAATTTGACGTCAACGCATTGGACTTTTTACTGCTATTGCTATTACTCGAGCTACCAACGCTATTCAGCAACATCAGATTTTCTTTCCTCTCTAAAGTCATATCGCCGTCGCTCGACGACAACAGGCAAAAATATAAATCCCCGTTTCTGTTTCCGACGGCTAAATAAAGCTCGTCCGTCGCGTCTACAAACACCCAATCGAGCGAGGAAATAGGTGACTTACGGAAGCGTTCGTCTTCTTCTAAACCAAATACCCGTTCTCTAAATCCGCCTGGTTTGTACGCGTGAACCGCGACGTCTCCTGATTCAAATCCAACCGCCGTGATAAAAGTCGGAGCATTCTCTGACGACGATAACGACGACGAATACGCGTCCATGCTTGCCAAAGCGGTTATTCCCGACATGAACTCCGCAAACGCGAACGTGAATTCCGGCTCGATGTTTATAGCAATGTTGTTGTTGCTGCTGTTATTATTATTACTAGTACCGTTGCCATCGCGAGTATGCTCTCCTAACCGCCACATGCACATCACCCCACTCCCGTCGCCGGTTATAAAACTCCCACGCTCTCGCTTCTCTCTCTCAACCACGCGCACTTCCGCCCCTTTCCCGTGGCCACACCGGCTCGGCTGTTTCTTTGCGCCGTAGCGCGAAGAAGAAGAAGAAGACGTAGTAGTAGCAGAAGTAGTAGTAGTAATGGTAGGGCTCTCCGCGTTGTTATTCTTCGTCGAAGAAGACGTCCCGCAAAGCGTCGATATCTTCCCCACGCACTTCTTCGCCCGGACGTCGTGCACGCGTATCGCATCGTCCGACGACGTCGTCACCAATAAAAACACGGCATCGTCGTCGTCGTCCTCGTTCTTCTTCTTCTTTTCTCCTCGTTCTTCATCTTCGTCAAAATCAAACCAACTCTTTACGAACGAAACGCTCAGCGCCCGTTTCTGGTGCCCGGTAGAAATCTGCCCCAAAACCGCGCTCGTCTCGCCGTCGAGCAAAACCACGTCGTTCTTCGCGCAGTACGCGATTACATTCAGTACCCCCTTTCCTCCTCCTCTCGTTTTCGACGTCGACGACGACACTTCTTCTTCTTCTCGATGATGATGATGATAATTACGCGGCAACGACGCACCAAAATCGCGCACCAATCCAACCGTCAAATGCGTGCTCGAATACCAATTCGGCGACGGCATCGACGCTATTCCGGATTCAAAGTTTATTCTTCTTCTTTTACCATCATCATTATTACCAACAATATCATCGACAGAAGAAACAGTTACACCATCTTCAAGAGCAGCAGCGTTAGAATCACCAGAACCAGCACCACCCATTATTACTCTCTTGATTAGAGTAGTACCAGTATTTCAGGAAGTAATGTGAAAGTGCAACTGTTCTTCTCTTTCTCTTTTTTTGGCGAAAAAAAAAATCAATCGAAAAATTTTCGTTTTTCATTTTGCTTCATTTTTGTTTCAAACACACAAAACAAACAAGAAAAATTTAGGGTTTAAATGCTGACGTTTTGTCCCACGTGCGGGAATTTACTGTCCATCGAGAAGAAGAAGAAGAAGACAGAGGAGGAGGCGTTTGACGTAAACGACGAGGATAAAGAAGAAGATAAAGAAGACGAGCTTTTGTTACACTTGTGCTGCAAAACGTGCCCGTATTCGTACTCGATCGGCGGCACTTTTTGGTCGAAAACGGACGTCCCGATTCGGAATAAAAAACGCGTGGACGACGTTTTAGGTGGGGACGACGCGTGGAAAAACGTGGACACGACGAGAAGTCGGTGCCCGAAATGCTCGCACGACGTGGCGTATTTTTTGATGGTACAAACGAGGTCGGCGGATGAACCGATGACGCAGTTTTTCCGGTGCGTGGAGTGCGCGAATCAGTGGAAGGAGAATTAATGATAGTATATAGGTTGTTAGATAACTAGACAGCAGTACATGCGCCGGCGCGAATATTTAGTATCATCTCACATTTAAGACTCTTTCTCCCTATCTATCGCCCTTGGAGAAAACGTATACATGTAGGCTAGGACTATAAACGACGAGCTAATGTTGAGTACACATGTGCGTTTTCAAACCACTAGATTGAGTGAAACGCTTCTCGCAAACATCACACTCGTACGGTTTCTCGTTCGTGTGAATACGCATGTGGTTTTTCAAAGTATCAGAATGACGAAAAGCTATATCGCACACATCACATTCGTACGGTTTCTCGTTCGTGTGAATATGCATGTGGACTTTCAAACTATCAGCTCGACTAAAACGCTTCTCACACACATCGCATTCATACGGTCTCTCGTTCGTGTGAATACGCTTGTGGCTTTTCAAATCACTAGATGTACGAAAACGCTTCTCGCACACATCGCATTCGTACGGTTTCTCCTTTGTGTGAATACGCATGTGCGTTTTCAAATTACCAGATGTAGTAAAACGCTTCTCGCACACATCACACTCGTACGGTCTCTCGTTCGTGTGAATACGCATGTGTTCGGCCAATTTAGATGCGCTAACAAACACCTTCTCGCAAACGCCGCACTCGTGTTGCGTTCTCTTTCTCTTCGTTCCTTTCCTAAAAGCAGTCTCTTCTTTTCGTATCTGTTCGTCCTTTTCATAATCATTATCATCATCTTCTTCATCATCATCATCATCGTCATCACCATCGTCATCATCATCAACAACAACAAAAACATCATCATCCTCGTCAGGTGGTATTTGCAAACACAACACCGGTTCTTGTTCTTCTTCTTCATCATCACCCACAACCACCGTCTTTACGTTTACCGCGCGCTGCGGATGTGGATTCTTTCGCCGGCTCATTCTTCCTCTTGTCGTTATTAGTAGTATTGTTTTACCGCAGAGTCCCGTTGTTGATGTGTTGTTAAAAGTAACTAACGATATTCTTTTGAAAGTCTTCAAAGTACACCACAAAAATTCACTTTGTTGTTTTATTCGCCGGCGAAATTCGCGCGAATACATAAACACTTGAACAGTAGTAGTAGTAGTAAAAGGACGACGAAATGGCATCGTACGGCGAGGTAAATCTTTAACGTTAATTCTTCTTCGCATGATTTCGCGCGCACGTTTGGTTTTTGTCGTTCGCGTGGGTGTTGTTGTTGCAGAGCAGCGCGTTTGTTAAAAATTTCATCACGATGATGAGAAATGTTATGCGCGCGAATTCTATCGAAAACGCTCTCGAATACTGACGTAAAACTCTTCTCTCAATTAAAAACAAAACAGGAACCCGAGTACGAGGATGAAGACGGTGATTATGAATCCGAAGATGGCAGCGAAGGTACGATCATATCTTCGCGTTAATGTTTTTATCTCCCGCTCTCGCATCATCATTTGCCCTCTTTCCCTCTCAAATCGTCGGTGTTTTTTCCTCAAATCTCTCTTTTTGGCGGCGAAAGCGTTTTTTCTTTTGTCCTCCTCTGGAAACAAACACCAGAAAAAATCTGACATTTTATCATCCCTCCCACGACGACAACAACATTAACAGAAATGTTAGAAGAAGAAGAAGAAGCGACGACTTCCGAAGGCGCTTCAACGGCGACTCCACCGCTCGGCATGAAACCGTGGATTGGTTTACAAACCATGCCGCAACCGACGCGCGATAAAATCGCGGAACACATGCAGCGACAACAAACGGAAACCGGAGATAACGAGTTGACCGTGGTATTAATTGGTAGACAAGGCGTAGGGAAATCGAGCACGGTGAACGCGCTGATAAACGAGAAAGTAGCGAACGACCAACCGTTCGTGCAGGAAACGGTGAGACCTTTGTTGGCGTCTCGAGCGGCGGGGGGCTTCAACGTCCACGTCATCGACACGCCGGGGTTGTTGGATGGAGAATCCGTTTCGTCGAACGGTTTAATGGCTCTGAGAGCCGCTTTGGACGATAGAAAAGTGCATTGCTTTGTGTTTATGCAAAGATTAGACTCTTGGAGGTGCGATTCCGGAGACGAGTTGATGATTAGAGCCTTGTGCCAACACTGCGGCGCGGATGTCTTTGACCGAGTCGTCTTGGGCTTCTCTCACGGCGAATTAAAACCACCGAACGGCGAAACCACGCAAAAACTTATCGAACGCAGATACGCACAAACTGTCTCCATGATTAAAACTGAATTGAAAAAAGTGCGAAAGAAAAACTACAACGATTTCTCGCCGCCCATGGCGGTGGTTGAAAACAGTTCCCGATGCCCGACCAACGCCGAAGGCGAAAAGTGCGTCACGTTAGAAAACGACGAAAAAGTCCCGTGGCTGCCAGCTTTAGTCGGCGCCATGGTCGACGCGTCCACGCAATCCGTTAAAAAGTCAGAAGGCGACGGCAAATCCTACTACCTCTTCGATTACAAAAAAATTAAGAAATCCGGCGCCAACCCGAACACTAGGCATAAGCTCTGGATGTTCCCGGCGTTTCTCCTCCAGTGGTTCGTGTTGAGACCAATCATAGTGAAAGTCATCCGGAACGACATCCGCAAAGATCGCGCGATTGATCGATACGCGCTTTAAATTAATAATATATATCTTAATACATTTTATCATAATATACTTTATTATAAACTCGTAAAAATTAATACTCTTTTGTGTTGCTTATTATATATGACCTTCGCCCCTCTTCACATCATCACGTCATAAAAATTAGCTCACCGTTTCTTTAAATTATTCTAACGATGACGACCACCACGACCACCACCGCCGCCTTTTCACTTTCTTTCTTAAAGCGGCAGAAAGAAAGAAGGCGCGTTAACGTCAGGGGACGAAGAGGCGGAGGTAAAGTTGTTTTAAACTCAATCACCCCGTCGACGACGGAAACGACGAATCAGTCTGGAGACGAACCAACTTCCCGAGTGAATACGACGAATACCAAGAATAATATTCAACTCTCCGTGGACGAACGGTCGTTGGATTACCGCGCGCCTGGATTCACGGTCGGCGAAAACGTCTCGACGAGTAAAAGAGTCTTACCGAAACGGATCATCTTGATACGACACGGCGAGTCGCAAGGGAACATCGACGAAACCGCGTATCAAAACACCCCAGACTGGCAGATTCGGTTAACCGAGAAAGGGAGAGAACAAGCCGAGCAAACCGGGAAGATGTTGAGAGAAATGTTGGAGCGAGATAAGATCGAGGAGCCGGAGAAGGACCCGAAAGTGTTTTTTTACATCAGTCCGTACAGACGATCGAAGGAAACCGCGGCGGGGATCGCGCAAAGTTTAGATCCGGAGATGATCATCGGCGTGCGAGAAGAGCCTCAGTTGCGAGAGCAGGATTTTGGGAACTTTCAAGACGGACAGATGATCAAGACGAAGAACGAGAGGCAAGCGTTCGGGAGGTTTTTCTACAGGTTTCCGGATGGGGAGAGTGGTGCGGACGTGTACGATAGAATGACTATTTTCGAGGATCACATGGTGAGAGATATCGACAACGGGAGGTTTAGCGGAAGCACGAATATGGTTCTGTGTACGCACGGTTTAACGTTGAGGATATTTTTGATGCGATGGTTCCATTGGACGGTGGCAGAGTACGAGAGGATTACAAATCCGGCGAATTCAGTGCCGATTATATTAGAGAGAAGAGAGGAAGATTGGACCGTCGTGAATTGCGAACCGGATTGGGACAATATGTTCGGCGACGGAGACGAGGACGCGGATTTGTGCGCGCACCACGCGGTGCACACGAAGGAGTGTTACGAGTTGACCGAAAGTAGCATGGCGGCGTTGGAAGGGTGCACGGACGACATGTGCACGATGATTTTACCGGAAGAATGTTGGGAGAGAGCGTTAAATTTAGGTGTAAGTGACGCGACGGAGTGCTCCATAAACGGCGGGGCGGTTTCATGGAAACCGACTTCGTAATCTGTATGACTATTACATGTTTTTTTAAACGATATATAACAAAACGCGGTGCTGAAAAGAAGCCAAAAACTCTATATTACATAACTATTTCTTTGGGGGCGACCAGTAACCGTGCAATCCAGGAGGGACGTGCTCGTCCATCAATTGGATTTTACACTCGTACCCTTTACCTGCTTCAATGTTCTTCGCGTCGAAGATATACAAAAAAGTTTCATCCGAACCCGCATCGTTGACGAGTTGTAAAATATACCCGTCGTCTTCGTCGACCGCGTTCGGTTTCGCCGCGAAAATTGGTTCTTGCACGAAACATCTCTCGCCGTAGTAGTACACTTGGTCAATCGCTTTCTCGCCGCTATCGTTCGCGCATGGGGACACGTCGTACTTTACCAAGCACTGGTTCGGTCCCCATTTTTTCCCGTCTTTCACGACGGAACCACCCGTGTAGACGTATTTGTGTTCCTTACCAACCATGGTTGGATTCATGCACGGAAACTCGCAGCATCGGTCCGACAGGGATTCTTGTTTCACCTGTTTCGAGTCTTTTTTCGACGGGTTGACGGTAAATCGAGTGTACTCCGTTCTCGATCCATCTTGCCAGAACGCCGGAGTCACCATATCTAAGTTCATCGAGAAATCCATAAACTTCCAAGGGATGGAGTCTAAACACACTTCGCCGGTTTCTTCTCTTTCGAACGCGTTCACGTGGTGGAAGAAAAACTGGTTCTTCAACTCGTACGACTTCGCGACTTCGTCACCACTCAACATCTTTTTCGCTTTCTCGGTTCTCGGAAACATCCACAAGATTGGTCTTTTCCCGTCTTGCATGGCAATCGTTTCCGCCAACGCGCACTTGGCGAACATGTACTCAGTCATCAACTTTTGAAAATCTAAGCTCGTCGGGTTTTGGAACAAACAATACCAGTTCTCGGTGACTAACATGTCGTGAAAGAATCCAAACGTCGCGTTCGGCACGTCAAAATCCACGCGCTTCTTCTCCGTGCCGTCTTCGTTCCACTCGTAAAACGCGGCTTTGTTCGACGTGAACGGAAACGCGCTCGGTTGCGACTCGATTGAAAACGCAATCAAAGTCCTCTCTTTCGTCTCTTTGTTTTCTTCCACTCGGTAATGCGCCGCCATTTGCGGTACTCTCAAAGCTTGCCCTAACACTTCGTCCACTTCTTTTCCAATCGTGTTCAAATCGTTCTTCCTCAACTCGTGTGGCTTCCCGCCTTCCCACAACGCGTACACTTTATCGTTCCATTCGACGACGCCGGTGTTCGCCACATTCTTGACATCAAAATCGAACGGGTTATAAAACGAATCGCCTTTGGGGTTTCCGACGGCAAACGCGCCTTTGTATAACATTTGCTGCGCTTCTCGTTCGTCGTAAAATCCTCTCGTCTCCACAAAGTTATGCTTGAACTGAATATTCGTTTTATCCTCTTCCTTGTCGGACGAAGGCGCCGTAATAAATTCGTACGAGTGCACCAATCCGTCCCCGTCGAAGAACTGGTTAATCTCTTTCCCGTAAATATCCAACATCCCGGGTCCGTTTCTAAACAGAGTCCCGCCTTGTAATCCAGACGGAATCTCCCCGTCCACGACGCACGCTTTCGGTATCCTTCTCGCGTCCGAGCTCGCTTGCGTTTGGTTGCTCAAACTCGTGTTTCTATAAATCGACCGCCAATCTTTGATGGTTTGATTCGTCGGGTTCCAGGTTAAGTTTTCCGGACCGACTGGGCCTTCCTTGATCGGATCTCTCGATAACGTCCACGGAATCGACACTCTCGCTCGATCTTTTCCTCCTCCTTTTCCTCCTCCTTCAAAAGAAGAAGAAGAAGAAGAAGAAGAAGAATTGGCGACGTCACTTTGCGTCACATTCGCGACGTTTCGAGGCGTGACGACGAAACGTTTTCTTTTCACGGCAGCTTCAGATGCTTTTCCATGAGAGCAGGTTTTGGTAGAGAGCGGCAAATTGTGCCGCTCTCTCGAGGAAAAGAGAGGAGGACGGGCCCCACTCGAAGAGGAAAACATGATGGATGGTGTTGATGAATGTATTCTTTACTGTGTGGATATTTCTCTCAAAGTGAAGGAGAGCCACGAATTTTTTTTAGGCGAAATTTTTACATTTGACAAAGAGAGAGAAAGAAACTCTGCTACGTGTTAGTAGTATCAGTATTCGCTTGAGTAGTAGTATCATTCGTTTCCTCCTCTTTCGCCCAAAAACTGAACGCGAACGACGAAGTGTGTTGTTCTTGTTGGTGTTGCGAGAAGATGGTGGTGGTGGTGGAAATTTTGTTCTTGGTGTTGTTTTCGTTTGCGTTCTCGCCTCGCGGCTTCTTAGTAACGTTGTTGGCGTTTTCTGTCGTTTTCGCCAGGCGACCGACTCGCTTCTGCTGCTTTCGCGGCGGCGCGATTTCTTTTTTTGTCGTCCTCGCGCGCTGTTTTCGAGCGTCCTCGAGTATTTCCGGGTACATCTCGCGCATTCGCTTTTCGAAGGCTTCGCCGAGGGAGCGTCGCTGGGTTTTATCGTCGTATCCGCTCACCAAGTTGCTGTTCTTGCTGTCTAAGATTTTAAGGACGGTTGGCATATTTGATCGAGAGACGAAGTTTGCCGTGAGCGCTAAATGCACATTTCTGTCTTCTTCGTCTTGGTCTTGGTCGTCGTGTTCTGGCGGTAGGTTTACGACGCAATGCCACCACTGGCTGGGCACGAAAATAACGTCTCCGGCTTCACATATCGTCTCTTGAAAGTGGTACGCTCGTTTAGAAGTTTCCTCTCCTTCAAAATCGTCGTCGCCGCAACTTAATAACGTGTCGTAAAAGTTTTCGTACCATTCTAATGGCGTCAAAGGACACACGACGCTCGCGTTATCTTCAGATGGAAACACCCCGGGAGGGACTTCATCGTTCGGGAACAAGATCCATTTTTTTCTACCTCTGAGCACGGCGTTCCATGCGCTCGTGCCGTTCGGATCTACGTGGAACGTGCTTCCGCTACGATTCGGACCGAAGATCACCCACTTATAGTGTGGCCTCTTTTCCTCTCCTAAAACTTTAAAATAATCACCATCTTTGGAAAACAAATTGTGAAACAATCCTCCTTCTTCAAATATCTCGGTATTCTCCGTCCACATCTCCTCTTTCGCTACTTTCGGATCGAACAGTAACAACTTGCTATCGTCGGTATCGTTTTCCCGTAAACAATAGGAAAGGTAATTGTTCAAACTCGTCCGGTAGCCGCCCACTAAGAACGTCTCGTCGCCGTATTCATTCAATAACGCATCGTTCGTCTTCCACTTCTCGATCGCTCTCCACTCCTTCGCTAATCCTCTCAAAACAACCGGCCGATTTTTGTTCTCAAACTCCTCGCGAAACCGGCTCTCGATCGACTCCTCGTCCGCGAGCGTTCTCTTCTCGCTACTACTACAATCGATCTCAGGCACCGTAAAACTTTCCACCCACGTTTTTTTAATCTCTAAGTTATTAATCTGTTTCGGTAAATACAATGCGTCGGAATATACGCATCCCATTTTCTTCTTCACCTTTGTCTTCTTCTCCATCGTCAAAGTCGTCTCGTTCGCCTTTACATAATACAACTGTTTCCAATTTCTGCATCGCCTAAAATCAGCTTCCTCTAAACCAAACCTATTCAAATACAGCTTCTTCCACAAGGAATCGAACGAGGCGTATTGGAAACACATTTTACTCGCCATTGTGAATTTTGCGAGCGTTTTTGCATCGTCTATGTGTTCCAGAACGTTCATTAAAACTCTATCGTCGAGGAAACTCGAGAAGAATTCCCCTAAAGATTCTCGTCGAGAATGTAAATATTTGCGCTTCTCCGCCGGTGAGTCAAAGAGGAAGAAGAGCATCCCGAACGGTTTGACGTCGTAATAATCTTCATTTTCATCGTTGGTATCATTATTAGTAGCAGCACAAGAAGATCTCGTCATCTCATCTTTCTCGCTTTAAAGAGAGAGTTAAAGAGAAAGAGAAATGGGGGAAGCGAAAAGGCAAAGTGGGAAGTTCAAAGAAGCTGCTCTTTATAGAAAAATGTGAACGCCATCGATGCGTAGACAATTGCTCGCTATTGCTATGCGCAATTTCACCGCGACTCGGTGGTGGTTCTAACAGCACTTTCCTCGTTACCTTCCTCGTCGTCTGAATCGTTTAACAGGTACTTCAAATACGCCTTTGCGAAATCTCTGCAATCGTTCTCGCACAACGCCAGGTTTCGCCAGTCGTCCGAAGCGTAAAACTCCACAGCGGAGACGCGATCGACCGCTTCGTACAAAATCGTATTCATTTTGTTGTTTTTGTCTTCTTCGTCGTCGGAAGAAGAAGAACTGAGTGCGAACAAAACTGCTTCGAGGATAGATTTCCGTTTCACTTCTCCGATAAACTCTAACCCGCTGGATGCGTATTTCCTGGTGAACGTTTTGTGCACGATTTCGTGTCTGATGACTCCTGGAACTTGCGTTCTTAAGACTAACAGTTTGAACGCGGTTTCGATTTGTAAGGAATTCTTCGGCGCGAAATCGACTAAATACTGTAAAGAATTCGTGCGCTCATCCTCGCTGTCGTTCAAAATCTCCAGAACTGTCGCGTGGTGTAAGAACGTTTTAGGATAGAGTTTCCCGTTTCGTAACAGTTTGTGTACAAATTCGAAGCCGTCTAACGGTCTCAACGCGAGGAAGATTTTGATGTTAACTTCTTTTCCTTTTCCTCCCGATTCTTTCGTTGGTGTTGTTGCGCGCGTCCTCGATGTCTGCGCGCTTCTTTGTCTGCGCTTTCTTCTCACAAAACTGGTCGGAGGAGGAGGAGCTTTCGTCGCTCCCGCTTTCTGCGTCATCATCTTCATTCATTTTTGTAACGAACTCTCGTTTCCCCGGGGAAAAAAGACAGACGTCACAGTTTTATGTCATCATTTGGTCATCGTACTCGTACCAGATGTCGTCGTCTGCGAAGACAAAGAAGACAAAGAACACGAAGAAAGAATAAAACATGCACGACAGAGACGACCCTTACGTTATTTTGGGCATCTCTCCTTCCTCGGATGCGAAAGTCATCAACGACGCGTACCGGAAATTAGCGTTGCAATACCACCCAGACACGGTGAATAAGAATACGAATACGACGAATACGACTGATAACAACAACGCGAACAAGACGTTCGATAGAATCACGCAGGCCAGAGAAAAAGCTCTGAGAAGAGCGACAGGAGGAAAAGGAGGAGGATATGCATCATCGAACAGCTGGCGAGAGGCGACGCGACACAGCGACTTTAAAGGAGGAGGAGGAGAAAATTTTTACCAAAAGTACGACCATTTATACGAGCGAAGACGACATCCCATGCACGTGGGCAGACAATACGGCGGCGGGGTGTTATTACTCTGGAGTTTAAGTTTGGTGACCTTTGGGAGTTTTTTGTGGGAGATATCGCGCGCGGAACACAAAGTCGGTCCGGCGACGGAGAAGCGGAGAGAGAAGCGAAGGAAAGAAGAGTTTGCGAACCGAGAGAAAGCGAGGGAGATTGGACGGATGGAAAGAGGGAGTACAAGTGGTAAGTCTGCGAGAAAGAAGAAAGAAAAAGTCGTGCCGGAGATGATGACGATGATGGGAAATAGTCGACACGTGGCGAGGTTAGATGATGGAGGGCTTTTATTCGTAGAAGACGAAGAAGACGAGGAAGAAAAATTCAATCGCAAAGGATACTACGAGACGACGACGAAATTTAAACGCGTTAAACCGTTCGTCTCGAAGCACGCGGAACGAACGAAAGCGAACGCGCTGGCGCAGAAAAACTTATCCGAGGAGGATATCGAGAAAGCGTTGATACAAATGCGAACGATGGAACGCGAGATTGAGTGCTGCGCAAAGTGCGGATGGCCGCTACCGTATCAGAGCACGATGTCCTGCCCGGCGTGTGGGGCGAGGACCATACAAAAACGAGACGTCGTTCGCGTCGTAATTAACAAGAAACAGCAACCGGAAAATGGAACAACAGAGGAACAACAGAGTAGTCGTAGAGCGGCGGAGGTGAAAGAAACTTCTTCCGACGACGATCTTCCGAATACTAGTACTCATAGCGAAACAACTCATAGCAAAAATCGAGAAGCCGCCGCCGGGAGAGCGAGCAGCCCGGCGTCGTAGTAATATATTAGCACCATTTCGATGATGATTGAATAATCCAGCGAGTAGTAATAGCGCGTATTGTAAAACAGTAGTAGGTTGAAAGAAAACGGCCCGAAAGGGTAATACTAAAGCGCTCGCGTAAGTACTTTTTGCGCGGAAAAGACAAATCTCATCACGGAGTCCATCACCATTTTTTTCCTCACTAACTTTTCTCGCGTTTGCGCTTTATCTACCCTTTAAACATGGCGGAGGACAAAGTGGAATCTCTCGCGGCTGCCGTGAATTTGTTGACCCTTCTCGCCTCTGATTCCGGCAAGGAGGAGTTCTTTCTCCCTTTAACGCTTTCCCCGTCGGCAAACGAGTCGCCGACGGAAACGAGACAGAAGTGCCTGTTTTTCGAGTGCACGTCGACGGCGTTGCAAGCGCTCTCGAAGATGTTTTTACCGTCCACGCCTGAGCTGTTGAAAGTCTCCGCGCTGAAATCTATCGCGAAGAAAGCGAGGCGAGTGTCACTGACGGAAAGTCAGTCCTCGTTTAGCGCGTTGTTCGGGTACGGCATCTCGAAGACGAACGAAACGAGATTACGAACCCTTTTTACGGAAAGCGAGAAGGAAACAAGATATGCAGTTGTGATTAGCGTTCGATTGAGATGCGGAGAAAGCGTGGCGGTGTGTGGACTGTTTGAAGACGGCGAGAGCGGGTTCGGGAAGGCGTCTTCGGGGACCTCTTCGTTCGTGGCGTACCCGTTGGCGCCGTCGACGACGTTTCTGGAGCTCCAATCGACGCCGGAAAAGGAAACGGATGAGGTGAAGTGGTTGTATTGCGACGATAAAGGGAACGCGAGAACAGAAGATATGCCGTATTTTAAGTGGAAAGGAAAGTTGCGGCCGCATAAGATTTCGCACCAAGAAAAGTTGTTTCGAGGGATGCGGAAAGTGCCGGATGCGGTGGTGAAAGCCGAGTGGTGGGAGACGAGCAGACCGTTAGCGGAGGAGAGGGCGAGGCAGCAGAGAGTAGCGGACGAATTATCGCAAAAAGAGATTGAAAAGTTACGAAAAGCGTGCGTTATTGGAAGAGGGGCGATTGATTGTGTGGTGCGAGCGATTCGCCCAGGAGTTACGCCGGAGGCGTTGGACGCGTTGTGCCACGATTACATTTGCGATAAGAACGCGTACCCATCGCCGTTAAATTACTATTGCTTCCCAAAGTCGTGCTGCATAAGCGTAAACGAAGTTATTTGTCACGGTATTCCCGATTGTCGGCCGTTGGAGGAAGGAGATATCGTGAATATCGACGTCACGGCGTTTTTCGGCGGATACCACGGCGACTTGAACGAAACCGTGTTTGTAGGTAGTAGTGGCGATAAAAGCAATAGCGCTACAGAAGAAACAGCGAGCGAAGAAGTAGCAGATGGAGTAGACAGTAGCAAAAAAGAAGCGTTCAAACTGCTCAAGTGCGCGTACGAGTGTCTCGCGGAAGGCATGTCCATAGTCAAACCAGACACGCGATACAGAGACATTGGCGAAAAAGTCTCCACAGTCGCCTCCAAATACGACTGTTCGGTCGTCAAAACCTACTGCGGGCACGGCATCGGTAAGCATTTTCACTGCTTCCCGAACGTTCCGCACTACAAAGGCAACAAAGCTGCCGGCGCCATGAAACCTGGCCACGCGTTCACCATAGAGCCGATGATCAACCTCGGCAAAGAATGGCGCGACGAGTTATGGCCGGACGGATGGACCGCAGTCACTAAAGATGGAAGCTTGAGCGCACAGTACGAACACACGATGGTGTGCACGACAGATGGCGTGGACGTGTTGACAAAACGGAATAAAAATAGCCCGAGAGTGTTTCCGTTTACCGAGTTCGAGGATACCGGCGACGACGACAAAGACGAAGAAGAAGAAGAAGAGGCGGACAAAGAGAACCAGGTCATCGCGGAGCTCGAAGAACTCGTGAACCAATTCAACACCACCAAACTTTAGAGAGAGGCCTAGGAAACGATTTGAGGAGAAAGAGCGTGTGTGAGTAGCCTAGCTTTATATCGTTGTAGTCCTTATATCCACCCTTTCGGGACCCGCTTGCCACTCCACTCAAAACAGTTAAATTTTTAACCCTCGCTCGCCGCCAAAAACCTCAAAATTAAGGATTTCCACGCACAAAATGTTGGCCGCTGCTCAAACAACGAAGATAAACCCATCCTCATTCGCGGCGCGGGCTCGAACGTCTTCCTCCTCGTGCGATGGGGACGGTTGTCGATGCTCTTTTTGCTGCGCGAATGTTATTAAGAGAAAGGCGTTGAAAATGTCGACGAAACGCGAGGCAGGAGTCGTCACTCGCGCGGAACAGTACCGCCCTGGGATTAACATGCCGGAAGGTCCGGACTCGGACTTGAACAAATGGTCGAGGAAAATCACGCAACCGAAATCGCAAGGCGCGTCTCAAGCCATGCTCTACGCGACTGGATTGACCGAAGCGGATATGAACAAACCGCAAGTTGGAATTTCCTCGGTCTGGTGGCAAGGGAACCCGTGCAACAAACACTTGCTTTTGTTAGGGAACGAGGTGAAGAGAGGCGTCGAAGCGGCTTCGATGGTCGGGTATCAGTTCAACACGATTGGTGTGTCCGACGGGATTAGTATGGGTACGCCGGGGATGTCTATGTCGTTGCAATCGAGAGACTTGATTGCGGATTCCATCGAGACGGTTATGGCCGGGCAATGGTACGACGCGAACGTGAGTTTGCCGGGATGCGATAAGAACATGCCAGGGACGGTTATGGCGATGGGGAGAATTAACCGACCGTCGTTGATGGTTTATGGCGGTACGATTCGACCGGGTATTTCGCAGTTGGATGCGAGTAAGTCGTTGGACATCGTGTCGGCGTTTCAGAGTTACGGTCAGTTTGTGACGGATGCGATTACCGAGGATGAAAGAAAGGATATCGTGAGAAACTCGTGCCCAGGCGCCGGGGCGTGTGGTGGTATGTATACCGCGAATACCATGGCATCTGCTATTGAGGCTTTGGGGATGACGTTGCCGTATTCGAGTTCAATCCCGGCGGAAGATCCGTTGAAGATGGACGAGTGTTTCTTAGCCGGGAACGCGATTAAGCACTTGTTGGAGATTGATTTGAAACCGAGAGATATCATGACCAGAGCTGCTTTTGAAAACGCGATGACCATTGTTATTGCCCTCGGTGGTAGTACGAATGCGGTGTTGCACTTGATTGCTATGGCGCACGCGTGCGGAATTACTTTAACTTTGGATGATTTCCAAGCCGTGAGCGACAAGACGCCGTTTATTGCGGATTTGAAGCCGAGTGGGAAGTACGTCATGGAAGATGTGCACAAAGTTGGTGGCACTCCGGCGGTGTTGAAGTATCTCATGGCGAATGGCTTGATTGATGGTTCGTGCATGACGGTAACAGGTAAGACGTTGGCGGAAAATTTACAAGCCTGTCCAGATTTGAAGGAAGGGCAAGATGTGATCGTGCCGTTGGATCAACCGATTAAGAAGACTGGACATTTACAAACGTTGTACGGAAACATCGCCCCGGATGGTTCGGTGGCAAAAATCACCGGCAAGGAAGGTTTGTACTTTAAAGGTACTGCGATTTGCTTCGATTCCGAGGAGGAGATGCTCCAAGCATTGGCCGCAGATTCGAAGCAGTTTGTTGGTTCAGTCATCGTCATTCGTTACGAAGGTCCAAAGGGTGGTCCGGGTATGCCAGAAATGTTAACCCCGACGTCTGCGATCATGGGCGCTGGCTTAGGGAATGACTGCGCGTTGATTACGGACGGGAGATTTTCAGGCGGCTCACACGGTTTCGTCATCGGTCACGTCACGCCAGAAGCGCAAGAAGGCGGTCCGATTGGTTTGATTGAAAACGGAGATGAGATTGAAATCGACGCGGAAAAGAGAACGATGAATGCATTGAACGTCACGGAAGCGATGTTTGCTGAGAGAAGAGCCAAGTGGACAGCGCCACCTTTGGAAGCGACGAGCGGGACGTTGTATAAGTATACCAAATTGGTGGCGAGCGCGTCCAAAGGTTGCATCACAGATCTGTAATATCTGATTACCAGGTCCACAGGTACCAGTATATAAACTATCTATTGAAGCTACAATCCCTATCTATATATCTATCTATATATATATATATCTACTCATTTCTTTTTCGTTTATGCTTACTTACTAAACTATTCATCGATTTTCGGTCCGTCGTCTTCGTCGAACGACCACACGCTAAAATGGTGGTTCAGCGTTCGAACGCCGTGTAAACGCTTCCTGGTTTGGCTACTCAAGGCACCTTTATCATTCCTATCTTTCTCTATATAGAATATACGTTTTATGCGCGAGTGCGTCAGCGCCATGGCACACATCAAACACGGTTCGTGCGTCATGTAGATGTCGTACCCTGTGCATAAATATGGCTTGTCCGGGATGCCGATGGATTCAGCCATCACTTTTGCCGCCACAGATTTCCGACGTTTTTTAGCCTCTGGAGAGGTCAAATCTTCATTCTCTCCGAAATCATTCTTGCCGTTGTTGTTATCGTGCGCATCTGGATACAGTTGTAAATCCAGTCTCGCGACTTTCTCGATTGCAATCATCGCGCAGTGTTGCATAGGAAGACACCGCCTCGCCCCGCCTCTTTCGTCGTCTCGTTCCCCATTCTTCGCACAAGCGACCACCTCGCCGGTCTTTGGATTCACAATCTCGCAAAATCTCTCGCCTTCTTTTACTTTTAACACCAACGATCTCGCCCTCTCCGTCGCCGTCGTCCTCTCCTCGTCGTCCATCTTCGCCTCCTTCGAGTTCACTTCGCCTTTCGTCGTGGCTAACAAAACCGACGGCCACCACTCGTTCGCGCATTCCAACTCTTTCCTCGAGAGCACTTGTCGGTTTGAAACGACACACGGCAGTAAATCTTCCTTCGTCGTGTTCGTCACCTCTAAAACTTTTCTCGCGTATCTCTTCTCTTCTTCTCCGGAGACGCTCACGAATAAGAAAACGCTCTCCGAGTCGTCCGGGTTCGATTTTACTCTCCGAACGTGTTTCGGTGGCACACCAAAATCATCATCATCATCATCATCGTCCTCGTTTTCACGCGCACCCCCTCCTGTCTCTCCTCCAATCATCCTCCTCCTCCTCGCCAAAATTTCGCGTTCGTAGCTCGATGCTTGCTTCACCGCCAGCGAACACGTCTTTTTGGGAATGCGAACGCAAAATGCGCTCCGTTTGGAAAGTGGAATTGGAATCGAAGGTGCGACGAAGAATGGTTTTCTTCTTGAAAGCGCGTCGTCGTCTGAATCGTCGTCGTTTTCGCCGCCGTTTCGAAACATTGATAAAGAACGTGGTCGCGAGCGTGGAAGTGGTTTACTTGTCAATAATCAAAGCGCGTTTTTCATCATGTTCTCGATCGATGTGTGTGTTATTATAAATACGGATTAGATATTAACTACTAAAACAAGAGAATAAAAATGGGCAACCAAGAACACAACAGAAAACTTCGTGTACCGTGGTACCTACCTACTGTAGGTAAAAAGAAAGTTTTATTAATTACTTCTTTGACGGTTTAACGGCTTTGGTGAAATACATCACGGTGTAAATACCAGTCTTTCCGCCGTCGACCAGGGCGTCCGCGCCTTTCTTCAAAAACCCACTCACGCCGACGCTCCCTTTCGGGGCAATTCTCACCATCTCCAAAAACAAGACCAAATAATGGGTAATCGCGCGCCCCCAAATAGTCGTCTTGAAGCTCCAGAAATCTCTAAACGGCGACCAGCGTCGGTATGGGTCGATGGGTTCGTACCAGTTCACGTCGCTGGTTTTCACCAAATCTTCCTCTTCCTCCAACTTAAATCCAGCTTTTTTCATGGCGTTCGAGACGTCCTTGCAGCTTCTCGCGGTCGGTAAACCGTTCCCTAACAAAATATCTTGTCTGATTTGTTTGTGCTTTTCGTTTTTCGGGTCGTACTCTTCGGTTAAACACCACTCGTAAGACGCGAACACGCCTCCGGGTTTCAACACGCGGAAAATTTCCGCGTAACATTTTTCCGCGTCCGGCGCGTGACAAGTCGCTTCGATTTGGTACACCGCATCGTACGTGTTATCTGGAACCGGAATGTTCATAAAGTCAGCCTTAATAAACCCGCAATTGTCGTGTCTCCCGGTCGATTTGTTTATCTGTTCCCCTCTCGAAATCTGAAACGCGTTGTTATTCAATCCCGTCACGTCCGCTCCCGTGAACGCGGCAATCTCTCTCAACGGCCCACCAATCCCGCATCCGACGTCTAAAACCTTATCTCCTTTCTTCACGTTCAGTTTAGAGGCCAAATAATGTTCGTGTCGAACGATCGATTCTCTGAGCGTTTCCCACTTGTACCGGTGCGCGAAGTGGAAGGATTCGCCCCATCCGTACTCGTAAAACGAGGTCGCTAAATCGTAATACTTGTTCACGACGTCGGTGTAATTTCCCGTGCGTTTGGAGTCGTCTTGCTCTTTGAAGTATTCCTGTTTGACGCGAAAAGTGGTCGAGAGTGATAAGGAACGAGAGAAAAGAGAAAAGGTGTCAGTCACTGATCCGTTCCAAAACGAAGCGAGACGAAACGATGAAATTTTGCAAAACTTCGCACCTCGTAATCTTTCGTCACTCGTTCGCTCTCGTTCCTGTCCACGTTCCCGCCCATGTGTTTCACGTTAAATTTCTTGTTCTTTGACGCCATTTTGATGACGATGCGTGCGTGTTATCTCTCTCTTCTTCTTTCGCCGATAAGGAAGAGATACTATGTGGAGATTGATGAATATGCGTTTTGGATAGAGAGATCTGGTGGCGGATTTTGTCTCTTTTTTTCAAACAAAATGCAAGCAAAAGAGGAGAGGAAAAACATTTTTAAGCGCGAATATTTACGAGCATAATCTCACGTGAGACTTCTTTCTATCTATCTATCGCATATGGGGACAACGTATACATGTAGGTTAGGACTATAAAAGAGCTAATGTTGAGTGCGCATGTGGCTTTGCAAATGACCATATTGACGAAAAGCTTTATCACAAACATCACACTCGTACGGTCTTTCTTTCGTGTGAATACGCATGTGGGTTTTCAAACTACCAGATTCACTAAAACGCTTCTCGCACACTTCGCACTCGTACGGTTTCTCGTTCGTGTGAATACGCTTGTGTTTTTTCAAATTACCAGCTGTAGTAAAACACTTCTCGCACACATCACACTCGTACGGTTTCTCGTCTGTGAATACGCAGGTGGACTTTCAAATTACTATCTGTGCTAAAACTCTTCTCGCAAACGCCGCACTCGTGTTGCGTTCTCTTTCTCTTCGATCCTTTCCTAAAAGTAGTTTCTTCTTTTCGTGTCTGTTCGTCCATCTCATCATCATCATCATCATCATCATCATCGTCATCGTCATCGTCATCAACAACAACAACAACATCATCATCATCATCGTCAGGTGGTATTTGCAAACACAACACCGGTTCTTCTTCTTCGTCATCACCCACAACCACCGTCTTTACGTTCACCGCGCGCTGCGGATGTGGATTCTTTCGTCTCGCCATTCTGTATAGTATTTCTTCTTCTTCTTCTTCTTCTTCTTCTTCTTCTTCTTCTTCTTCTTCTTCTTCTTCTTCTTCTTCTAAACGTTGAGCGCGCTTTTGTGAGTTAAAATGACAACTTCTTTTCCCCCAAACTTTTGAGAGAAAAGTTCGTTATACTCCTCTCTCTCGCGCGCGTGCACACATACTACTTTGTTCCCACCACGAACCCCACAAAACAACACTTCTCAGCGCACACAGCCTTTTTCTTCGCAACAACACAATGTCTTTCGTCTCAAACTCAGAAGAAAGGAAAAAGAAATGGATGACTTTTATGGAAACGAATCGAATGTTCTTTGGAAGCGGCAACGACGAGAACGAGAACGAGATGAACGAGAACAAGTCGTGTCTGATCGTGGTCGATGTGCAAAACGATTTCCTCTCACCAACTGGCGCCTTGTCCGTCCCAAATTCGGAAGAAATCATCGAGGATGTGAACGCGTTAGTCGATGTATTCTCCGAGAGAAACGAGCTGGTGATTTTTACCCAAGACTGGCACTGCCCAGAGCACTCCTCGTTCGCGAGCGCGGAAAAGAATAAGAAACCGTTCGACGAGGTGGTGAAGTGTTACAAAAAAAACGAAGGAGGAGAAGTAAAAGTGGTGCAGACGTTATGGCCGGACCATTGCGTGCAAGGGACGAAAGGCGCGGAGTTTCACGAGAGAATTCGAGTCCCCACTTCGGCGAAAGTTATTCGGAAAGGGTTCCGTAAACGGGTGGATTCGTACTCGGCGTTTCTGGAAAACGATAAAGAAACGGAAACTGGGTTGAGCGAGTTTATTCGCGGCGTGAATAAAGGATTGGAGTTATCATCATTAACATCATCATCGAAGAGTGATGATAACGCCGCGAAAAGTCCAAAAATCACGCACTGCGTGATCGTCGGCGTCGCTTTCGATTATTGCGTCCGTTTCACCGCCGAGGACGCTTTCGAGCTCTTCGATCGCGTCGTCGTTTTGGAAGACGTGACTCGAGCGGTAAATCTCGGTGACTCGGTCAAAGAGGCCAGAAAAGCGATGGAACAGAAAGGCGTTCACGTGGTTAAAATCAGCGACGGGGACAACAACATATAATAGCGACATCGTACGTAGAGTAGTAGTAGTAGTAGTAGTAGTAGTAGTAAGAATCTCTTCAAAGAAGCAGACACACTTTATGTAATACTCTCGCTTCGTTGTAATACTAATACTAATACTAAGAACAAGAAAACAGCGATAAAGAATGGGTGGCACGGCAAACATCCGCCGCGAGGCCAAAGCTTCGAGGGAACAAGAGCAACTCGCGAAAACGAAAGCGCAGGAGCACAAAGCGAACGAAGATGCGAAATTCATCGGCTTCGAGAACCCGACGTTAAAACGAGAGAAGAAGAGAGAAGAAGACGCGAAGAGAGAAGACGAAATCGCGCTGAGGAAAGCGGAGAACAGAAGAATAGCGAAAATGGAGGAAGAGGAGATGAACAAAATCGGTCAGAAGAAGAGTTCGAGTAGTAAGAAGCTGACGAAATTCGAAATCGAACAGAACAAAGCGATGGATGCAAAGGCGAGATTGAAGGCGAAATTCGCGGCGAAGCGAGAAGCGGAGTCGTACGTCAACGTGGACGAAATCGAAAACACAAACAAAGCACGCTTTGACGCAGAAAATAAAGAAGCAGTAAAAGGAGGAGGAGGAGGAACTATCGACAGAGCGGTCAAGGAGTTGACAGGATTGGACATCGCGAAGAAAACGCAACCGGTTTCGATGAAGGCGGCGTACAAAGCGTTCGAGGAGAGAGAACTCCCCGGGATGAAAGAAGAACGGCCGGGGTTGAAGAAAAGTCAGTACGACGAGTTGTTGTCCAAAATGTGGAAGAAAGATCCGACGAATCCCGTGAACGTTAATGCTTTAAAGAACGGCAAATGATGCAGCGATAGGGGTTGATTGATACTCGTTTAGAGCAGGGATCAAAACCACCACACAAAAACAAAGTTAAGTTGTTGTTTGCACGCACACTTAAAGCGCACTTAAAGACAGTAAAATCCTCTCGTTTTCGAGCGCTCAGAAAGACCCTCTTTTTCCCTTCATTTCTTCTCAATGATTGCGTCTTCTTCTTCTGCCGCTGCTGCTGCTCTGTCGTCGTCGAGTCATCATCATCATCATCATCATAAGCAGCGCATTATCCAAAACTTCAAGAGAAAGACGACGACGAAAACAACAACAAATAGAAGAAGAGCGACGACGACAACAAAAGCTATAATGGGAGACCAAGGAATTTATAATCCTCCGGAGTCGAAAGAGGAGGCGTTTCAGCAGTGCGCGACCGCGATCGAACGTCTCGTAAACGCGTCCCAGAAAAAAAGCAGTTCGAATAAAAAACGAGCGATGCGAAAGCAAGTCTCGAAAAGAGGGCAATTTTTATGCGCGGAATTACCGGTGATGGACGACGGCGCTTTATCCACGTCGGAGATGGCGTTATCGCTGGTGTTTGACGAGGAAAACACGAGCGTGGTGTACGCGGACGAGGAAGCGGCGAGGAAGAGCGCAGAGAAGAATGGTAAAGTGGAAACGTTCTCGCTGGCGGAAGCGTTGGAGGTAGAGGCGGATTTCATCGCGAGCGAGAAGACCGGGGCGGTATATTTGGTCGGGTTTGGAGAAGACGAAGTTGAACAGGCGGTGAAGTTAACGAAGAAGATTAACCCGTCGCGGGCGATTGTTTTGGTGAACGCGGAGTGGATGCACGCCGGTGATGGGGGAGATATTTATAAATCCGAAATCATTGCGAGCGGGAAAGACGTGGATTCGATTTCAGAGACGGAGAAGTTTAAGAATCAATTCGCGGTGGTGTACTCGTATTTACCCTTAGCAATTGAGAATAAGGTATTCGGCCAAAACGCTGGAGGGGCTATATTCAAGTGCGTCTTAGGTGGCGCACCGAGCGGGACGCCGTGGAGAATATTAATCACGGATAAAGATGGAAAGTTTAGTCAAGTCGGCGCGATGCAACGAAGACCCGAAGGCGAGGACATTCAAAATACTTTTTATAACGCTTACGCGGCGACAAGTCAGGTGAATAAAGGCGTCGGAGCGATAAAGAGCACGTTCGATAAGTTCAAAGAGAATTTACCTAACCCGTTCGGTGGCGGCGGATAGAAGTAGAAAATAGTATAGGTCCAGTAAATTACTTCGTATTAATTCATTTTTACAAAATTGTGTTTCTCTCTATTTCTTCTTCTTCGTGCGCGCGTTTGCGCGCGTATGTGTGCGCGTATGTTATTCAGCACGTTCTTCTTGTCAACGCCGATGATTGTATTCTCTCCGCCACTGAAATTTTCATCATCAAGCAGTCTCGGCGAACTGCGTCAAATCAAACGTCAACACCTTTGAGCACGCCTCTCGTTGGTCTCTCGAAACGCCGACTAACGACTCCGCCTTGTCGTAAAAGTTATCCTTGAGCGAAATGACGATGGATTGCGTACCACCTTTGCCTAAGGATTTCGAGCGGACAAACCTAGCCATTTTTTCGACGTTGGATTTATCCAACGCCGCGTCGACTTCGTCCAAGACGAAAAATGGCGACGCGCGATAGGAGTGAATCGCAAAGAGCAACGCCAAAGCGGCGATAGTTTTCTCGCCGCCCGATAACATCTCCATCTCGCGGTATCGCTTAGATGGAGGCATGGCGGTGAAGTTCACGCCACCCAAGAACGGTTCGTCGTAATTTTCGAGCGTTAAGAACGCTTGACCTCCCGTTGGATGCGCGCTACCTTTCGTCAACTCTCGGTACGTCTCAGAGATTCTCTTCTCGACGTGCTCAAACGCGCCTCTAAAACGAGCGCCTCTCGTCTCCGCAATCTCTCGGAAGGTGATTTGACACGCGCTCAACTTTTCTCGCGCATTATCAATCTCAACCGCTTGTTGCTTTTCCTTTTCGAGAATTTGGTCGTACTGTTCGAGCGCTTTCATGTTTGGCTCGAGCTTTTCTAAAGTAGCGGCGCGTTCGTTGCACTCGTCGCGCATTTCCCCGTCGAGTCGGTCTCTTTGCGCCTGATCGATGGCTAAGCGCAACTCGGGTTTCAAGTCCGAATAGTCTACCGCGTAGTTTTCGTCCGTATCGTACTCACTTCTTGGCGCGTCCACGTCCATGGCGTCGTCGTCATTTTCTACTTCTTCGTCTTCTCCTTCTTCTTCGTCGTCATCGCCCGCAGTCTTTCTTTTTCGAGACGAACTCTTCTTCTTCTTTTTCGCACTACCAGAGCCGGCGGCGAGTTGCGCCGCTCGCGGGATTTCCAACAACTCCATGCTCGCATTCTTCAAGACGTCCAATCTCGAACCTCTCAACGCGTCCAAGTGATTATTCTTGGCGTTAATCAACCTCGAAAATCGTTCCCGTTCGTCGTTGGCTTCCGCGTTGAGCTCTTTCAGAGATTGCAATTCGCGTTCGACGCTTCTCGCGTCGTCTTTCGCGCGTTTCAATTCACCATCCAGCTCTTTCAACTGCGTCTTCATCTCAGCCGTGCTTTGATTGAGTTTTTCCAACTCCGTTTCCAAAGTTTCGATTTCCTTTTCGCACTTTTTGATATCTTTCTCGTTGCGTTTGATGGCGGAGTCGTTGTCGCGGGATTTTTCGTAATCGAGTAACTCAACGACGCGCGCGCGTTGCGACGCAAACTCTGCTTTAGCTTCCGCTTGTTTCTTTCGCCTCGTCTCTCGTTCTTCTTCGTGCTCGCGAATGTTTTTGATGCCGACACGCTTGGAAAACTCGGCGTAGATTTCGTCGGAAATGTCGTGGATTTTCGCGTCCAACTCGACAATTTTTGCCTCGAACTCTTTGATGGATTTCTCCGTCGCCTCGCGTTCGGGAATGATCGGTTTCAACGCGTCGTTAATTGAAGTCATTTCATCTTGAAACCGCTTCAATTTTGCCTCGACGTCTTTGTAATCTTCCTTCAAATTCGCCAAATCGCGTTCGTGTCGTTGCTTTTGAGAGTACACCGCGCTCTCCTCGTTTATGATTTGTTGCACCGATTTCAACTTCAACATTTCCGTTTCTAACTTTTCTTTTTCTTTACGCCACGTGTCAATATCCGCTCGCGTGAATCTGTTCGCTTTATCCGTCAATCCTTGAGAGCTCCCACCGGTAAGTTTACCTGCTTTATCGATGCTCGTGCCGTCTAAAGAGACGACTTTCAATAGCGCGCCGGCGTTCTTCTTGCTCTTGTCGTACGCAAGTTTCTTCGCCTCGGCGTGGGTGTCGCAGACGACGCAATCCCCTAACGAGTGCAACATCGCTCTGTGGTACGCGTTATCGTAGCTGACGACATCGATGACTAATTTCGCGGTGCCGCCTAATTCGCGCAAGCGTTCGTTGTTCTCGGACATCGTCTTGATGTCTTTCAACGGAATAAATTCCATCGCCGGGACGCGTTGGTCTTTCAAATACTGAATGCACTCTTTCGCGGATTCACGATCGTCTACGACTACCGCATCTGCGCTTCGACCTAGTGCCGTGATCACAGCTAACTCGTACTTTTTGTTCGACACTTTAATCAAGTCTGTGACTCTCCCGCGACATCCGGCGAAGAGCGATCTCATGGACGCGATTGCCTCCGTCGCTTTCATTTCGCGTTCGTTTTCTTTACGCAGGGCCTTCGCACTTCGTAACTTCTCAGTTAATGCGTCGATTTGCGTTTGGTAGTGTTCCGCTTTTGCTCTCGTAGATCGTTTCTCGTCCGCTAAAATCTTAATCTTGGCGTCTTGCGCTTTGAAATCGGATTCGGCCAGTTTCACTTTTTCGCCAACCTCTTTCAATCGAGCCTTTTGCGACTTCTCGTTTTCTTTCAAGAACGATTTACGTTTCTCCAACTGCGCGATTTTACCTTCTAAACGTTCCAACGTGCCTTTGTCAACGTTCGCTCTGTTTTCCGCCGCGTCGCGTTCGCGTTTGAATTTAAACGTCTTCGAACCGGCTTCCGCGCGTTTTTGGTTAAACTCTTCGCGTTGCGCGTCGCTTAATTCTACTTTCGACCTCTTCTCGGCTTTCTTCAGCTGGTCCGCGTCGTACAATCTCTCCGCGTCGTTCACTTCCTCCAACTGCTTCTCCAACTTTGTCACGTCTTGCGATCGAGAATCTTTATCCTCCTTTGTCTTTTCCAAGTTTGTTTGCAACAACTGTAATTTCTTCTTGTTCCTTTGCAAACTTTCGTTCGATTTGACCATTTTCGGCGTCGCTTTCGAGAGCTCCTCTCTCAACTTACTCATCTTCTTCTCCGCCACCAGCGCAGATTTTGCCACCTGCGCCTTCGTCTTCTTCTTCTCCTCTAGTTCGACTTTATTTGCCTCGTTCTTTTCGTCGTGCGCGTCTCGACTTTTCACAATCTTCAACTTTTCCTCCTGCATCGTCTTGATGCCTTCGTCCAAATGAAACAACTTCATCATCGCTCGATCCGTCTTCAACTCCTTCAACTCGTTCACGAGCTTTATGTGCTTCTCTGCCTCGTCTTTTTGCTCTTTAATCTGCTTTCTTTGGCTCATCAACGTCTTTTTCTTCCCGAAGACAACCGCGTTCTCCTCCTCCGCCTCTTTCACTTTCAACTGCGCGTCGTTATACGCCTGCTTCAACTCGTCGCTTCCGCTCAATTGTTCGAACAGTTGCGTCAAATCTTTCGGCGATTTCTGCGCGACGGCTTCGATATCGCCTTGAAAAACCAAAAAGTTTCTCGCTTTGACGAGGATACCAAACTGTTTCAACTTCTCCGCGTACTCTTCAAACGTCACCGTCTTGTTGTCGATTTTATAGTCCGAGGCGCCCGAGTTGGATATCGTGCGCGAAAACCGTACCTCGTTCTTCTCTCCTTCTTCTTCTCCTCTCTTCTGCCTCTTCTTCTTCTTCGAGTTTTCTTTATCTCCGTCTCGTCCTTCGCTCTCGTCTTCTTCTTCTTCTTCCTCTTCTTCGTCGTTGGTATTCAAAACGTACACTAAACTCACGCTCGCGTTTCTCTTCTCCTTCGAATCTTGCACGTCGTACGCGTACACCAAATCTCTCAACGTCGACCCTCTCAATTGCGCGGATTGCACGCCTAAAACGAACGAAATCGCATCCATCAAGTTTGATTTCCCGCTCCCGTTCGGGCCTATGATGGAGGTGAACTTTTTGAACGGACCGATGATTTGTTTCCCTTTGTACGACTTGAAATTCTCGAGCTCGATTCGCGACAGATGGCCAATCGGAGCGGCGTTTTTCTCATCATTCTTCTTCAAACCATTACCGCCATTACTACCAGGCGTGTTCGGTGGCATCAGCGGTAAAACCATTATATTATTATTATCAGTAGTACTCTTTTAATATGTAATACTATGTGTACGTGTTGTGTTGTTGTTGTTCGTGCGCTTATTAGGCGTTCAAAGTGATGTTCGAAAGAGAAAAAAAATTCAAATATTTTGGCGGGACAAAAATATGTTTAGGGTTTTGGTCAAAAGGTTTCACGACGTAAAAAAGAACAAAAAAAAAAACTGGATTTTGACTCTCGAGTTCTTTCTCTCCTCTTGATTACTGCGCGCTGTTTTGTCTTGAAGAAAACAAAGAAGACGAGAAAGATGAAGAGAAGCAACTTTGTCGTCCCCGGTGATGGTACGAGTAATACTAAGATGAATTCGACGACGATAAAATGGGACAAAGAAAAAGTCTCATCTTTGACCAACAAACAACTCCAAATGGAAAAGTGCGAAGAGATGATGAAACATTTGAGAAAGAACAACAACGCGTGTTTCACGTGCGCAGGGCCGGGATCTTTAGCCCCACAATACGCGTGCGTGACATTTTCAACCTTCATATGCACGAGATGCGCGGGCATCTATCGCGAGTTTGGGTTTCGAGTGAAAAGCGTGAGCGCGAGCACGTTTACGCCGGAAGAGGTAAACGTGTTCGTTTGCAACGGTGGGAACGAAACGGCGAGACGAAGATATTTCGCGAAAGGTAAGTACGACGAGAATAAGTATCCGAAACCGGAAAGCAGCGAGACGAATAAGATAAAAGGGTTCGTGAAAGCAGCTTTGGTGGATAAGATTTGGATGAGTGATGGTGTTGATGAAGGTGGAAAAGGAGGGGATGATGGGTCGACGACGACGCCCGCGCCGCCGGATGCGAAACCAAAGTTGTTTAGAGAGAAATCGCCGGATTTATTCGGCGGTTTGTTTGAAGATGAAAATACTGAGAAAAAGCAACAAGAACAACACCAAGAAGAACAAAAAGGGAATAGCTCGGCGAACTGGAGCTCCTTCGCGTCGCCGCCGTCGTTTCCAACCCCTGGGAATGAGACTGTTTTTAACGCGTTGGAACAAATCAACAATCCTACGAAATCTCCGACGAAGAAAATTACCTCCTCGCTCTTCGACGCCGCGGAGCAGGTACAAACCGGTGGATCTGGTTTTAGCCAAGGGTTCGCGTTGAAACCACCGCCGAGAGTGGCAAATGCGGTGTCTTTTCAACAACAGCAGCAGCAACAACAACAACAACAACAACAACAACAAGAAAACGGTACGACGGTTGGAGAAAGCGTGGGCGTGGGCAGCGGGCGTGCAATGTTGGACGACGATTTTTGGTCCCAACCAGCGATACCAACTGCTGCAGCAGCGCCGGTGATTAGTATGCCTGCAATGCCTGGCATGCCGCAAATTTCTGGATTAGGCATTTCATCGCAGCAGCAAAGCGCGCCTCCTCCTCCTCCTCCTCAGCAACCACTACCAGAAACACAACAGGCGGACCCGTTCGCTATGTTTGGCGGCATGACTGGCGTGTCGGCGCCTCCAAAACAGCCAGCTGCACAACCTCTAATGCCAGCTATGCCAACTATGCCAAATATGCCGGCGATGCCAAACATGCCAAACATGCCGGCAATGCCAAACATGCCGGCGATGCCCAGCACAATGCAAAAGACTTCTCCAAGACCTTCTCAAAATTCAGCGGCGTATAATCCGTTCGCGTAAATTAGATTTTTAGATAGCAGCACGCACGCGCAGAAAAGTGTACATATAACTTACAAATACTAATAAGCTAAAGTATAATGACTGATGATAATTATTTGCCCGCCACTGTGGGCGCTTGATTCTTCGCCTCTTCTAAACTCTTTTCGTAGTTTTCAATGCTCTTGAACAACTCGGCAAAGTTACCTTTCCCGAATCCCCCGCACCCAGCCGCTTGTTCCTTCTTCTCTTCTTTCGGATATTCGCAACCGATGCGTTGAATAATCTCGATGAATATCGTCGGTCTATCCGTGAGTGGTTTTGTAAAAATCTGAATCAGCACGCCTTGGTCGTCTTTATCTACCAACAAACCTAAGCGTTCGCACTCTTTCAAAGTTTCGTCGGACAACGCGTCGCCAACTTTGGCTTTCAAGTTTTGGTAATACTTCTCACTCGCGGGCGGTTGAAAATCAAAGCCACCAAACATGCCAGAATATTTTTTCATTTCCGTGACGGTGTGAATAATGTCGTCTGTTTTCAACGCCAAATGTTGAACGCCCGCGCCGTTGTTGGCTTCTAAATACGTCTGAATTTGCGATTTGCGTCGCGTTCCAAACGTCGGTTCGTTTACCGGAAGCAAGACAAACTCGTCGTTATTCGCTAAAACCATGGAGTTTAACCCAGAGTCGACAGTTCCAACATCCGCGGCGACAAATTCGGCAAACTCGTGGAATCCTAACATCTTTTCGATGTATTCCACGGTTTCGATCAAATCGCTCACGTTCCCGACGCAATGGTCCAAACGTTTCAAACCGTAATTCCTCTTCTCACTTTTACAGCTCTGTTCTTCTTGTTCTTGTTCGACTGCATCGTAATCTAAATACCTATACGTCTCATCGTCGTCCAAATGCGTCGTCGCATCTTCCACGAACCTCAACTCCACGTCTCCGTACAGCGCGACTTCCGCCACCGTCGCTTCGCGTCCGTCTTTCCTATTCCTCAGCGTTCTCGGCGCGCGAACACTCACGCCACCATTTTTCGTGCTCACTGCGTACGCCTCTTTGCAATCATTCACTCTCACACACACGCGTTTCACCGCTAAGCCGTGTTTCTCGACGAACTGTTTCGCTAAAGCTTTTTCTTCCTCGATTGCTTTCGTCGTTTCATCGTCGCTCACATTTTTCTCCTCCTTCTCGCCTTCTAAGTCTCTCCCGTACCCTTTTTCCTCCGTCATCACCGGCGCGGTAAACACAAACACCAGCTCGTTACTTTTCATCGCGTACGAGTTATAAATCACATTCCCGGTCGTCGTTTGATCGCTCAGACCGATGACGTTCATCCCGAGCGCGATGGCGAATCGATTCGCGGTCGTTTTCGCGTCTTGACAGAAAAACTCAATCGAGTGGAAACGCGTGACGGGGAACAAATCCGAACGCGGATTCGCGCGTTTAAAGTTTGAGTACCCGACCAGTTTTCGTTTCTTTTGTTGATTCGGTACCGTTTTTGTCGTCGTCATCGTTGACGATGTTTTTGGTGGTGGTGCATCGTCCTCGTTCGCAGGCGCAGCGGTTTTAGGTTTCATGCTCGTCGCTCTTTGCGAGTGGATAAAATGACGACGTCAACAGAGAAGAGAGGGAGCAAATGTTCTAAAAATAGCGCATATTTGGCGTGTTTAATTGTTGTTTGATTCGTTCGATACGTCACGTAAATGTATACGTGTGTATATGTAGGACTATAAAAGAGCTAATGTTGAGTGCGCTTGTGGCTTTTCAAATCACCAGATTGACGAAAAGCTTTCTCGCACACATCACATTCATACGGTTTCTCGTTCGTGTGCGTACGCATGCCGGTTTTCAAATTACTAGATTGAGTAAAACGCTTCTCGCACACATCACATTCGTACGGTTTCTCGTTCGTGTGAATACGCACGTGGACTTTCAAATTACTAGAATGACGAAACTTCATCTCGCACACATCACATTCGTACGGTTTCTCGTTCGTGTGAATACGCATGTGGGCTTTCAAAGTACCAGATTCACGAAATCTTTTCTCGCAAACATCACATTCATACGGTTTCTCGTTCGTGTGAATACGCATGCGGGTTTTCAAATTACTAGCTTGAGTAAAACGCTTCTCGCACACATCACATTTATACGGTTTCTCGTTCGTGTGAATACGCATGTGGACTTTCAAATCACCAGATTGACGAAAGCACTTCTTGCAAACTTCACATTCGTACGGCCTCTCGTTCGTGTGAATACGCATGTGTATGGCCAAACTTGATGGACTAACAAACACCTTCTCGCAAACATCGCACTCGTGTTGTTGCGTTCTCTTTCTCTTCGATCCTTTCCTAAAAGAAGTTTCTTCTTTACGTGTCTGTTCGTCCATCTCATCATCATCATCATCATCATCGTCATCATCATCATCATCATCATCATCATCATCATCATCGTCATCATCATCATCATCGTCATCATCATCATCATCTTCATCGTCATCAATATCATCATCAACAACAACAAAAACATCATCATCATCCTCGTCAGGTGGTATTTGTAAACACAACACCAACGGTTCTTCTCCTCCTCCTTCTTCTTCTTCATCATCATCACCCACAACCACCGTCTTTACGTTCACCGCGCGCTGCGGATGTGGATTCTTTCGTCTCATTCTTCTTCTTCTTCTTCTTGTAGTATCGCAAACCACGCGCGCAGCAGAAAACTATTCGCGAGAGGGGAGTGAAGTGAAGTGATTTTGTTTCGATTTCCACACAACTTCCCCGTAACAAACCTTCGAATTTTACCTAATACTACTAACAACTAAAACCTTCTTCGTGCGTTTAGTTGCGAAAAAGGAGGAAAAGACGAGAGAGAGAGAGAGAGAGAGATGGGGACGACGACGACCAAAAAGAATGACGATGATGCGATGAGAACACATAACGAAGAACTGAAAGCGAACGTGGCAAAGATGGATGCGTTCTTGGACGCGATGGAAAAAGCGATTGCGAATGCGAACGACGAGGACGAGGACACGGAGGACAAGAAGCGCATCACTTCTCCTTCCTCTGCTTCGAGCAAAATGGTGTCTTTGCAAAAAGCGGAAAAGTTACTGGAACGCACGCGACTCGGCTTGCTCGCGTTCGCGGTTTTACTCAAAACCAACGGCGTCAATTCGGACGAACACGAAGGTTTACGACTTGAGAGGAAACGGGTCGAGGCGTATTCCAGGAAAATAGAGGAGACGAAGAAACGAATAACGAAGAAGAACGAAGAAGAAGAAGAAGAAGAAGAAATAGGAGAGATTAAAGAGGAGAGTAGAAAGAATAATACTCGTCATCGCGAAGACGGGGAGATCCCGCGCGCGAACGGTCGCGTGGCGTCTCGCTTTGTCTTCAACGCGCTCGGCGGATCGAAAACGGCGGAGAAGAACCGGTTGAAGCAAGAAGCGCAGGCAAAGTTAAGACGGAGCATAGAAGAGGACGTGAAGAGTAAGTTCGAGGAGAGAGTGAACGAGAGGTATAGAGAAAAGGACAAAAGCAGAGGGACGGGTGAGAAGCAAAAGACGAAGAAAAAGAAGACAAACGACCACGCCGAGCCGGAAATCGAAGACGGCGAGTACAGCGACTGATGATGACTATTCAAAACTAAAGCGCTCGCGCACAAACACAAAATTCATCACTTATACAAAGGTGCTTCAACTGGCGGCGGTCCGATGATTAAATACAGCGCCAATAACCCGACCGTCACCCCTAACATCGCTTTCGTAAACTCCGCGCTCGTCACCGCGTTCAAAGCTCTTTGCTCGTCCTCTCGTATTTGATTTTTCGCGGCGTTGTTTTCTTTGCCTCCGGTAAAGAGTCCTCCTCCTTGTTTCATGTCCACGAAATCGTTCGGGTCGGTGATGTTCATCTCTCTCGCGAAAGACTTGAGTTTGGCTTTCAAATTTTCGTCGTCGTTTTTCTTGCTGTTGTTTTCGTTGTTGTCGTTGTTGTTGGAGGAGGAGGCGTGCGTTCGATGAAGCGTCGTCGTCCTCGATGATGATGATGGTGATGACGATGGAAAATGTCGTCGATGATGATGATGATGATGATGATGATGATGATGATGTGATGACGACGACGGCAAAGCAGAGCTCGTCCAAAATCTCAAAGAAGAAGAAGAAGAAGAGGACAACATTATTATTCTTAGCTATATATCAGAGCGTAGTATCACTGCGACGCGATGTGTTTTTGCGTCTGTCTGTCTCTCTGTCTGTCTGCAAGAGCGCTTTTATACTACGTGCGTCTCCTTGGTCTGGTGAAAGATTTTTTGGGGGGAGAAACTTCTTCTGCAACCACTTTTTTTGTTGCTCTTAATTGGGCAGAAAAAGAGATCACACGTTCCAACACTTTTGTGTCTCTCTCTCTCTCTCTCGTAGAACACATACCACATACCTCTTTTGCTTGAAAAGAGAGACAAAGAGAGAGAGTGTGTGTGTGTGCGTGTAAACGACGACGACGACGAGAAAAAAGTATCATGAGCCCCGAGTTGTTCAAAAACAAAGGGGACGACATGGATGGGAAAATCTTGCCCTTGCATTCGCCTCGAACACCGACGACGACGAATACGAATAATAACGGGTCGTACAACAACTCGAATAAGAAAATAGCAACCTTATGCGTGGGGTATTGTTTCAGTTCAGCGTTTTTAGCCATCGTGAACAAATGGGCGTTGATGTTGTTCCCGTTTCCATCGATATTAACGTTCCTGCAATATTCGAGCAGCGCAATCGCGGTGACTATATTAGGGCACTTTGCTGTCGTGGAACGAGTTCGATTGGATTGGCAAAAAGCGAGGCAGTTCACGCCCGCGGTGGTGCTGTTTTACGTCTCGATATTTACGAATTCGAAGCTTCTGCAACACGCGAACGTGGATACGTTCATCGTGTTTCGATCGTGCTGCCCTTTACTGGTGTTACCGTTGGAGTACTTGTTTTTACTCAAAGGAAACAAGAGTAGTAGTAGTAGTAATAATAATAGGAATAGTAATACGAGCGACGACGGAGAGATGATGAGTACGAATAGTAGTAAGAGCGGGAATGCGAGCGTGGAAAGAGGAGAAACGACGTTAAAACCAAAACTGTCGAGTTTAGTCACCATTCGACAACTCGTATCTTTAATAGCCATCTTTCTAGGTGCGATTGGGTTTGTCCTCGTGGATAAAAAGTTCAAACTCCACAGCTACTTTTGGGGAGTCGCTTACGTCGTATCCATGACCGTCGATATGGTTCTGATCAAGAAAATAGTCACCAACGTCGATTTGAGCACGTGGGGGTTGGTGTATTACAACAACGTCTTGGCGATGTTTTTGTTTCCAATAGCGTATTTCATTTCCGGCGATTACGCGCGGTATCCAGAAATGATAGCCTCACTTTCCGACGAATCCAACTCGGCCGTGTTAGCCATCTCCACCAGCTGCCTCATGGGCCTCTCCATCTCTTACTTTGGCCTCGGCGCGAGAAGATCCGTCGGCGCGACCACGTTTACCGTCCTAGGCGTCGTCAACAAAATCGGTACTGTGATCATAAATACCGTCATCTGGTCGCACCACGCCTCGCCCATGGGTCTCACGTTCCTCATGGTGTGCGTTTTCGGTGGGGTTGTCTACCAACAAGAAGCCTCGAAGACGAAGAAAAGTCAAAGACTGTTGCACAAGAAAAGACAATTTTTGCAGCACCAAGCGGGCGGGAGCGCCGCCGCCCAACAAAAGATGTAGTAAAAAGTATTAACAATAGAATAGAAGAGAGTCACTTAGTATATACCACGAGACTTTGCGCGATTAATTATAAAGAGAGAATCTTTTAAAGTCACGCGTAACAGAAGAACAAGAACAAGAAGTGATCGATCCAGATCATCATCCTCTCTCTCTTTTTCTTTCTTTTCGTCTTCACTTTTTCTCCTCCTCCTCCTCCTCCTCTTTACTCTCACACACATAAAAGCATATAATATGTTCGACGACGATCATCCTCGCGCGATACTCATAAAACAACAACAATCTCAACATCAACACCACTCTCTCGTCGATTACCAGGTCCTCAAAAAGCGTTTGAAAGAGTGCAACCAAGCGAACGTGGATCTCGCGCGAGAGATTTCAAAGGTGGTGATCACATTTCGTTCGTCTTTGTCTCGTATTTTTTACGAAGCGTCGTTTTAATAAACTCTCGCCTCTGTTGCGCTCTCGTCGTCGTCATTGGTCGTCGTGAGAAACAACGACGCGCGGAAACGAAAGTCGACGATAAGGACGACGATGCGAGAGAGAGAGAGAGAGAGAAATGCGTGCTTCTATGCAACTCTTTTTACTCGCAAAAGTTCTCTCGTTCCTTTTCCGGTCTGACCTTTCTCTCTGAACAATACTAACAACGTGGATAACAGATAAGAGGCGAATCGAAAGAAGCGAGAGACTTGGCCCACCGCGCGTCGATATCGGAATCTATGATGCGAGTCGCGCATAACTGCGAACGCGCGGAGTTTGCTCGACTCAGGAGAGAAGATTCGAAGAAGATGAAACACATGCGGGAGGAGATCTTAAGGTTGAAAATCCAGCTGAACGACCACCACCATAACCACCACGCGACACAAACGACGATACAAACGACTTCGAGAACAAGAGAAAGGGAAGAGGAGGTGGAGCAGCAGCAGTTCTTGGCACCGGCGGGAGCAGCGATAACGGCGGTATCGTCGCCACCGCCGCCGAGATCGTATTTGCAATTGAAGAAGCGAGAGACTGCGGCTCCGGCGGCGAGGAAAGGAGGCGAAGGAGAGTTTGCGGATACGAAGGAGTACTTTGAGAGTTTTTCTTCGGAGGAAGAAGAAGAAGAAGAAGAAGAGAGCAGTTCCTCGTGGTCCGCTTCCGACGAAAGTGGCTCTTTTGTGAGCGTCTCTAAGAGTAAGCGGCAAGTTGGATTGAAGAAGAGAGACGAGAACAAAGAAGAGAAGCAACCGCTGTTGTCTCTCGGTAAGAAGGACGAAACGACGACGGAGAAGAAGAAGACATTTTCGAAGACAAAGAAAACGACCACCACCGCGCAACCAGAAAACGAAAGCGAGCATCCGCTTCTCGTTCGCACCCTCCTCAAAGGTAAAGAAGGAGGAAAACCACCCTTACCGCCGCCCACTTCCAAGAAGGAACAACAAAGGACTTCTAAAAAGAAGAACGAAAAAGACGAGGTTTCGGGCGCCGACGACGAGCGAAGAAAAGGAGAACAAGAACAAGAACAACAAGAACACGACGACGAAGAACAAAAAAACCTCCTCGGCAAAAACAGCGGCCACCAAACTTTCGCCATGCGAATGGGATTCACGCGAAATGCCGCAAACGTCGACACCGAACACCGCCAAGAACAACAAAAACGAGGACGGCCGTCTCGCGACGTCGCCAAAAAAGTGGTCTCATATAAAGAGCCCAGTTTGTTGACGAAAATGCGCCGACCGTCGTCGTAACTCCACAGAAGAAGAAGAAGAACAACAACAACTTTCGAGAGAGCGTTTATTAAAAAGATATATACCCGAGTATTTAAGAGAGGACGACTGAAAAAAGAGAGAAGACATTTTTGCTCCTCTGTCTAATGAAATGAATATTATTGAGTACGAGTACGACGCAAAAAAAAGCATCAACACAAGCAAAAAAAAACACAAGAAAGAGAGAAAATTTTTAACCGAAAAATAAGGTTTTCACCGACGCGTTCGTTCGCACAAAAAACACAGACAAAACAACAACTACTTTTTCTCTTCTGTTTATAATAAGATGGCGTCTCTTCATCGCTCTCTGATGTCCTCGTCGATCAAAATCTGCACTTCGTCGTCTTCTTTATCGAAAAGAGCGCGACAACGAAGAGGAAGAGCGTTTGTCTCGCTCGACCAATCTTTGGTGAGTTCTTCGGATTCTTCTTCTCGTGATGATGATGAGGATTTTTCATCGTCTCGGCGGCGGAATCGGCTCGTAGGGAAAAAAGAGGATTTTGCTTCGAGGAGGAGGAGGAGGATAAAGACGCGAGCGATGTCATCGTCGTCATCAAATAATAACGTTCGAAATCCGCACCGAGCGAAACCAAACGTCCAATATTCCACGGTCGAGTTGACCTCAGAGTACGTTTTAGAGAAGAACTTTCACCCGAGTTACGACCACAGAAACGACCCTTTACGAGAAAACGACAGTCGATTAAACTCGCTGGCGTTTCACCATAAAAATTTGGAGGATGTGATTGCGTTATCAGAGACGAGAGGGAAGAACATGGTGGCGCCGATGACGACGCGGGTAATTTTCCCGGATTCTTACGACGAGACGAGGGCGACGCCGTACCCGATGGTGATTTGCGTTCCGGGCGATCCGGGGTACGGCGTGGATTACGAGGACGGGTATTATCACGCTTCGACAGAAGATATCGCCAGAGAAGGGATGGTTATGGCCTTGAGAGATTTAGAGTATCACAATAAGAACGATTGCATCATCGTTGATTTGTGTTTCAACACGTACACGTGGATGAACGACAGCTGTTCGAGAAACCACGAATCGTATCTCATGAATGTCGTTTTACCGGAATTGTTAGGGTACGAGGCGACAAACGTCGGAAAGATTTCCTTGATTGGGTACGGGACGAGCGGGTATGGCGTTTTATCGTTGTTGTACAGACACCCGGACGTGTTTCACAGCTGTGAGCGCGGACGCGCCTATTTGGGGCGGCGCCAACGAAGGTCGAGAAGTCGTCAGGAAAGAATATTTAGAGAGCTCGACGTACTCGTCCCCGAAAGGCTCGGAGATGGAAGAGATAACACCACCCGGGGAGAAACCAAAGAGTAAACAAACGAAAGATCAAGAGGATGAAGAAGACGAAGAGGCGAAAGAGGAGAAGAAGCGACGACGAAGTTTGCGGTATTACGACGCGTTTCCAGATTGCGGCGAGTCCTTCCCGGACGAACACAAAGTGTTGTTATTAGCGCACGCGGATAAGAACATCGAAGCGTTTTCTGGAGACCCGCGAGTGGAACAGTACCCGCGGTTAGCTTTAATCCCTATGGTTGAGTACGGTAGAGAAGTCGAGTGGTTTTCCGATGCCATCTCCAACGTCACCACGCACGACGTGCTCACCGGCCACGAGGAGGAAGAAGCGTGCCATGTCGGCCCGTGGTTAGCCACCGCGTTGGATTGGTTGAGAGAAGATTTAGGAGGAGGATGATGAAAAGTTTTTCGACGACGATAATATTAATAATGATGTTTTGTGGAATCACAACAACAACTCGTCGTTTTGCAAATATTCTTCGATTACAATGTTAAAAGTGTGTTATCCTTTCATCGTCTTCTCGTCGTCGTCGCTTTCTCTCGTCATCCTCTTTCCCACAAAGGGGAACAATATAATAAAAATTTTCATGTCTTGATACATATCATCTCTCTGTTTCTCTCTCTCTGTTCTCTTCTTTCCGTATACACGCAACCCTCTTCTTCTTCTTCTTCTTAAGTCTGTCCTTTTTTTAAATTCCTCAAAAAAAGCTTATCGTCTTCTGCTCGACGCTCTCGTCTTCGCCCCTTGCGACGCGGTGTACGCCACGTACGTCATAACCGAGTGGATAACCGTTTGCGCCTTCCACATCGGTTGCGCGTACGTCGTTGCATCCGGACCAAAACCGGCGATAACCATCAACGGTAACATCAGAGCTTGGGCAAAACATGTCATTTTCAACGCCGTCTTATCTTTCGGACCGGCGGTGAGTAACCCGTACGCGAAGCCGCAGAGGAGGCAAGCAAACATACGGAAGGCCATCTTTTTTTTTGAAAATATTTTTTTTTTAATTCAATTCACGGAAAAAAAGACAAATAAACATACCATGGCGACCGCGCCTTCGGTTTTCAAAAAGTACGGCGCGATACCTTTCGGGCCGTAGTACTTCACCCAGTTGTGGTATAAAGTCACACCTGTTGTTGTGTTTTAGATTATTACCCCATTTGAAAGAGAGAGAGAATTGATTGGAAACAATAATTCAGTTAAACGATGATGACAAAATTTGCTTTCGGGGAAAAATGATGTAATAAAAAATGGCCCGCCGCGCGCAACAACCAACTCAAAACCAAATGAAGAACAGAGAGAGCAAACGTCGTACCGTAAATGCCGTTGTACGCGGCGAGGATTTTTTGTTGAGTCGTCGGAGCCATTTTTGTTCTTGTGTATAAATATGTATTTATGTGTGTTAAAAAGTGAGGCATAAAATGTGAGTTTTTTATTCCCCCTTTTGGCAAAAAATACGAGCACACACAAACAACAAAAAGAACAGAGATAGGGGTTGAGAATCCACTCACTCTCTGCGCTTAAAAGAACAGACTCCAGACAGACAGACTCCCGCAAAATCTATGCGCCTAAAAGCAGCAAAAGGAAGAGCACAGAAGCTCCTAAAGTTTGGTGTGCGTGTGTGTGCGTGTCCCCCGGGGGTAGGGCGACCGGTTTAAGGAATACGCACACAGAGAGCGGAGTAAAAATTTTCAAAGGCAAAAACTAGACTCTCTGTAATATTTTTGCGTTTTTTTTTCTCGCCGCCACATGACAAAAAATCATGGCTTCCTCTCATCATCGCACTTCGACGATACAAAAGATCCTGTTCGCGGGGACGACAAAAGCGACGACAACTACCACCTCTTCTTCCTCCTTTTCTGCGCTCTTCGAACGCGCAAAACGTGCGCACGAGAAAGCGGGCCCGTTCGAGGCGCTTTTTATCCTCGGGGACGTCGTTTGGAAATCATCATCATCAGAAGAAGAAGAAGAAGAAGAAGAAGAGATGAGTAAAAAGAAACGGACGAGAGAAAGTGTGAACGCGTTCGTGGACGTGCTGAGAAAAGATGAAATTAGGATGAAGACGTTTACGATGGATTTGTTTTTACTCGAACAGTTGAAAGAGCTCGAGGGAGAAGAAAAAACAGGCGTGCGTTTGGTCGACGCGGAGGAATTCGATGGAAAAGACGAGACCACCACTCATATCGAAGGATTGAATCCGAGGGGAAGCGTGAAACGCATCGTCGTGGACGAGAAAGAAACGAACGTGTTTATGGTGAGCAAACCAGGCGTGTATTCAACTTTAATAAAGTCGGAAAAAGATGAAGAAGGAAACGAGAATCCGTTTTCTGTGGCTATTTTACCGGGTTCGTACGATCATTTGAACGTGAAAGAGTCGCACGCCTCCGCCGGGAACGCGATGTTAGCCGAGAAGACCGCGAAGGCGAACGGGGAGTTTACCGTTCAAGACGTGGAGGTGATTCGACAAACGGTGAGGAGATTGAAGGAAAATGGGTCGACTTTGTTCGTAGTGGACGTGTTGCTCACGCAAACGTGGCCGAAAGACGTGCACATGTTGTCCAGGTATAAGGACGCGATGACGCCGATTTCGGGAGAGGAAAAGAACGCGTCCAGGGATGTTGCGGAGATTGCGAATGTGATTTGTCCCAGATATCACGTGGTGGCCTCATTGCTTTCTCCGGAGAGTGAAGGTGAACAAAACATCGATCAGTTTTTTGAACGCGAACCGTACAGAAACGTTTCTGCGAAACACGCGACTCGATTCATCTCGTTGGCGAGCGTCGGCAACTCGAAGAAACAAAAGTGGTTGCACGCGTTAGGCATTGAACCTGGAGGCACCATGAACCCAATTAAGTTGTGTCAAATGCCACCGGATTCTACGCCGTCTCCGTATGCCATGGCTGGCGTCTCCAGCTTACAACAGCGAGGAGGAGGAGGAGGGAACCAACAAAGTTTAAAGAGAGAATTGAAACCGGATTGGCGAGATAACGCCGACGCGAAGAAGAAACAGCGATTGGAAGAGAGTCAAACGAGAGCGTTAGTTGGTGATGCTGATAAGACGATTCACGTGAGAAATTTAGATTATCGCGCGGATGAAGGCGCCATCGCAGAATATTTTGGCGAGTGCGGTGAACTCGCCGACCTTCGACTCGGCCGCGACGTGGAAACCGGAAGATCCAGAGGATTTTGTAAAATCGCCTTTAAAACGAAAGAGGGCGTCGATGCGGCTTTAGAGAGAGACCAACAAAACTTTTACGGACGCGATATTCGAGTTCAGATGGACAGACAACAACAATCGAGACAGTATAACGGCGAAAACAAAAACGGCGGATACGATCCGAACAAGAGGAAACCGCCGCCACCACCGGTATCGTGTTGGTTTTGCCTCTCGAACAACAAAGATACGCACATGATCGCGTCTATTGGAAACGCATCGTTCGTTGCTATGGATAAAGGTGGGTTGAACCCAGAACACGCGCAGATTGTGCCGATTGAACACGTCGCCGCATTTTCAATGCTTCCAGACGAGACGTGCGAGGAGGTGTGGTCGTATTTACAAGGCTTCCGAAAATTCGCCGAGGCGACGGAAGACAGAGGCGTGGTTGCGTTCGAGCGACACTTGACGTTGAAAAACAAAGGTGGTAATCACATGCACTTGAACGTGGTTCCCATTCCAAGCAACAGGAAACATCTATCCAAGAAGATCTTCGAACAAGCCGCGAAACGGTGCGACTTCACCTGGGATATCATCGCGCCGGAACACGCACAAACCGGCATCGCGGCGAGAAGCGCGATGACTTCTTTACTCTCCTTCCCAGAAGCTGAATATTACGCCGTGCATTTACCAGATGGCACTATTTTAATCACCGAAGTGAAACAATACGACAAACACTGGATGCAATTCGGGAGAGAAGTCATCTCGCACTTGCTAAAAACGCCCGAAACGGCGAATTGGCAAAGCGTCGTCCAAGACGAAGATGGCGAGATTGAACGAACCAACGCGTTTAAAGAAAGCTTTAAACCGTTCGATCCGGTCATGGAAGCCGAGGAGGAGGAAGAGTGAAGATTAAAGAAGCTTAGTCAACAGCAGTAGCAGCATAATAGAACCAGTTTAGTCATAGCAGGTAATTTAGTAACAATATTAATATTAATATACACGTTTGATATCCATGAGAAAGAGCGACGAGCTTTGCGATGCGATGCGCGATAAATTCTCGTATTTACCCGGTGATGTAAAAATCCATCTCGCTGATGTCTTTATTCAACTCGTGATGTTCGCACTCCTCCCACGGAATAAACACCAAAGTATTCAAACCGCGTTGCAAATCTCTCTGTCCGTCGCTGTTCGGGTGACCCGAAGTATACGCTCCCGGCGCGACGCCTTGCCTTTCCGCGCCTAAATTCCGTCTATACAGCGCCTCGTAATCGTCCACGCTCTCCCAATTTTCCTCCGTCGGTAAAATTCGTTTCGCTTTCTCCGTAATCTCCTCCTCGTCTAAAACCTCATTCGCGTCTAAATCTTCGTCCACTAACAAAAGTTTCACGCAATCTAACCTATCCGACCCACCTTTTAAACGAGATCTTAATCGCACCCAGAAGTGCGTTGTCGTGACGTACCCGCTCTCCGGTTTCATCTTCGCCGATTGACAGTGAATCCTCTCTTCTTTTTCTTTTTCGTCCAGCTGGTACCATCCTACGTTGACCGAAGAATCCTCGTTTGCTTTCTTGCCGTCGTACATCGTTCTCTTCACCACTCTGACAGGTTCCGGCGACGTTTTCGAGTACCACTCGCCGTTTTCGAGGAAACGAAAGTACCGATAATACACCACCACCCTCGCCGGTCGATGCTCCTTCTTGGACGTCCCAATCTCCCGTCTCGCGCACGCTTTCACGTACGTATTCCTACTCACGTACAATCCATCCGTCCGTATTCGATTCCGCTCGTAAAACATCTTCTTATAATTGTTCGAATACGCTTCCGCGCATCGTTTCCTCGTCTCCTCCCCGTTCACGTCAAAAAATCGAAACGCGCGTTCGCAGTGCGACTGCCACAAACTCTTCGTCGAGTGTTGCACGATTGCGTGCCACTTCTTACACACCGTGGAAACTCTGACTAAATCCCGAGGGGAGAGTCTTTTAAAAACCTCGTATATCGCGTCCACGTGCAACATGACGAGGATTTTACTCTTGTTATGCTCATCGTCATCAACATCCTCCGCGTTCATGAAATCGCACTTTGCATCATTCGCCAAAGGAGAAGGAACCCGCACGGAAACGTTATACAAGTCTTGCCACGGTCGAGAGAAAAATGACGACGACATTGACGAATGTCTTCTTGCCTCCATCTCTCGGTATATCCTCCTCGGTTTCAAAGAACGACGGTCGTCGAGTATGATAGTACTCTGTTATCCTCTCTTTCTCTGTTCTGTTTTTTAATGCGGTCAGTGGAGACGGAAAAGAAGAAGAGGAGTAAAAAACAACGCGTTCATCTCTCTCTCTGTAGAACTTCTTCTCGTGTGTGTGTGTGTGTTGGGAGAAAAAAATGTGAGGAAATAAGAAACTCTTCTCCTTGCAAATTTAATAGTGTAAAACGCGAGAAGGCGTGAGTACGTTCGTTTGATTCGTTGAGTATGCGATATAAATGTATAAGAAAGCTATAAAAGAGAGCTAATTATGAGTGCGCTTGTGGCTTTGCAAAGTACCATATTGACGAAACTTCATCTCGCACACATCACATTCGTACGGTTTCTCGTTCGTGTGAATACGCATGTGCGTTTTCAAAGCATTAGAATGACGAAACTTCATCTCGCACACATCACACTCGTGCGGTTTCTCGTTCGTGTGAATACGCATGTGGACTTTCAAATTACCAAGTTGACGAAAAGCTTTATCGCAAACATCGCATTCATACGGTTTCTCGTTCGTGTGAATACGCATGTGGTTTGTCAAATTACCAGATGTAGTAAAACGCTTCTCGCACACATCACACTCGTATGGATTCTCGTTCGTGTGAATACGCATGTGGCTTTGCAAATTACTAGATTCACTAAAACGCTTCTCGCACACATCACATTCGTACGGTTTCTCGTTCGTGTGAATACGCTTGTGGATTTTCAAAGCATTAGAATGACGAAACTTGTGGATTTTCAAAGCATTAGAATGACGAAACTTCATCTCGCAAACATCACACTCGTACGGTTTCTCGTTCGTGTGAATACGCATGTGGGTTTGCAAACCACCAGCTTGAGTAAAACGCTTCTTGCACACATCACATTCGTACGGTTTCTCGTTCGTGTGAATACGCATGTGGATTTTCAAAGCATAGGAATCACGAAAACGCTTCTCGCACACACCACACTCGTACGGTCTCTCGTTCGTGTGCGTACGCATGTGTACGGCCAATTGGGATGAATATCCAAACACCTTCTCGCAAACATCGCACTCGTGTTGTTGGGTTTTCTTTCTCTTCACTCCTTTAGTCGTCGTCGTCATTTCTTTTCGCATCTCCTTTTGCTCGAAGATTTCAAAAACGACTTCATCCTCGTCCGGAATCTTCAAACACAACACCGGTGGTTGCTCTTCTTTCTCTTCTTCTTCTCCTCCCCTCTCCTCCAATATATCACACTTCAAAACCGTCCTCGCGTTCACCGCTCTTTTCGGATGTGGATTCTTTCTTCGTCGTCTCATTATTATTCTCTAATTTAAACAACATTAAAACAACAACAAGAACAGTTGTGTAGATTTTTTTTCAAGTCAATTGTCTCTTTTGCTCTTTTTGTCTCTTTTTTTCATCCAAATTTTTGAACAACTCTCCACATAAAAAAATAAAAACACGCGAATAAAAAAAATGGAAGAAGAAATGATGATCGAACGAGACGAAGAAGAAGAACCGAAACGGCGAACGAGGTCGCCGCCACCACAAACACAAACAGAAGAAGGCGCACAAAAAATTCCAGTTTTAGTAGGAGGCGAGGAGGATTTGGAGAATACGAATAATACGAATACTACTGCTACGAAAAACGAAGAAGAAGATGAAATCAAAGATGAATTAGAAATCGGACGAAACGAGGCGGGATTTCTCATCGGAGAACGAGGCGCGACGAAACGAAAAGTGCAGAAAGTCTCGCAAACGAAAATCGAAATCGCAGATTCCGAGATAAATCCAGAAACGTCCATCGTGACTATTCGAGGAACAGAAACGAACCGAGCGAAAGCGCGGAGATACGTCGCGTGGGTTTTGAGACAACCGGAAGGGAAGATTTTTTGCGATTTAGGCGACGACGTGGTGAGAGAAAACGTCTCCGTGGTGGACGTTCCAGCGGAGGCGATGGCGTTTGTAGTTGGCGCGAAAGGGAAGACGCTGAGGAGCGTGGAGGAAGAATACGGGACCTTGATGTTTTTCGGACACACGGAAAAAGACCAACCGGACAGCTCGGAGAAGTTGATCATTTGCGGCGATCGCGAAAACAGGCGCGGCGCGGAGTTGAAAGTGATGAGTTCGGTGGAAACGAAGGTTCAGGGGTACTTTGTCGATTACGAGAAGAACGACCCCGAGTTGAAACAACCGCTGATGCAACCTGGAGACGGTTTGAAAGATGGATTCGCGTACGACCAGTTTCCGTTCACCGAGGAGGAGTTTTCCTACGCTTTGGGTAAGTTTGGCCGAGTGAGAAGAAAGTTAGCGAAAGCGTCCGGGTGCGTGATGGAATACGTCGGACGAGTCGCGATAATGAGCGGGAACAAAGAACAAAGAGCGAGGTGTTGGGATTACACCAACTGGTTGATGAAACAAAGACGAAACAACGGCACGTGTTCGGTCGATCCGAACGCGCGGAACGATTGCGAAATTTGCGACGTTCCTGGATCGATCGATTTGCCTCGGTTACAAGGAAACTGTCATAAAGTCGAAGAAGCTACCGGGACGTTTATTTTCACCACCGATTTCGAAAAACCAGTCGCGGAAGGTCAAGACAAAACGTTGCTCATTTGCTCTCACGACTCCGCCAGCAGACGCAAGGCCCGAAGAATGGTGGAAGATTTAATCGACGGCAGACGAGACGTGTTCCAAGACAACAACCGAGGAGGCCCGAGAGGAAGAGGAGGAGGAGGAGGAAACAGAGGAAGAGGAGGACAACAACAACAACAACGCGGGATGAGAAACGACGGCGGCGGCGCCGCGGAAGCCTGCCGAAACTTCCAAATGGGTCGGTGTACTCGAGGCAACCAGTGCAAATACTCCCACGACATGTCCATGGCGCCGATGCAAATGGGCGGCGGGAGCGGCGCAAACCGAGGCGGGAGAGGCTACGATGACAACCACCCCCGAAACAACAACAACATGAACAACAACGGCGGCGGAAGAGGAGGAGGATCTCAAATCATAAACCGACTCAGTCGAGGCGGCAACTCCGGTGGTGGTGGTAATGGCAACAGAGGCCGTCCGTATTAAACAACCTTTTATCATCGTAAGAAAGAGAGAGAGAGAAAGAGAGAGAGAGAAAAACACCCCGTAACATTAAGAAAGAATCCATTATATTAGCGCTTATTATTAGATGTAATACTGACGTTTTATCCGCATTGATTAACCACACGAAAAGATTTATATATAACACTCTATTACGAATAATGTCGCTGCGCGGGGACAACCCCTCTCGCTACAGTCGATACCACTTGAAGAGAGACCACGCCGGTGTTTCTCTCAACGGCAGCAACAAGTCGTCTTCTTCGTTGAAACGCGCGAGTTTACTTTCCGGATTGCTTTTCGTGTTCATCCTTCCGTCGGTGTTGAACATCGAACATCGCGCGCGGAAACACCATCATTACTCTTCTTCTTCTGAGTATTCGAGAGGAGGAGCGAACAATAGTAACAACAACGACGTAAGGTTGAGGTTTAAAACGCGAGAAGAGAACCACAGGGAGAACGATCGATTGCAGCACGAGTGGTGGAGAGACGCGCAAGAAGGGCTCGGGAAAGTTTGGCACAAAGTCTTTGACGAAGAAGAGGACGAATCTTTGACGAATACGGACGTGTACAAGCCGGAGAAGTTTGGACACCAAGTGGCGAAGAAGACGCACGAACGAGTGGTTGGGAATACAGACGAGAACGCGAGAAACGATGGAGGAGGAGAGTTCAACTTAGATAAAGCGATAGCGGAAGAGATGAGCAAAGACGACGACGACGACGAGGACCACATGGAGGGGACGACGTGGAAAGGCGGCGTGCCCGTGGTGAAAGGACACAAGACGTGCGAGTATTGTTCGAACAGAGGCGCGTGTTTGACGGAGACGACGTGTCAATGCCCGGCGATTTACGAAGGCGAGAGGTGCGAGAAGTTGAGAGATTTCGTGGACCATCCGAGGGTGATGAAAGGGTTCAAGAAAGGATTTGAAGGCGCGAGTTTGTTGGCGAAAGCGAACACGAAGAATAACATGCCGCTGATGGTGAGGAGGAATCCTGGACAACCCGCGCACCCGGGGACGGAGAAGGCGATGGTCACGGAAATCGGGAAGTTGACGAGACCGAGCAGGGATAAGTTGCCGGAGGAAGATCCGTTAGGATCGGTGGTTTTCGAAACGTGCGCGATTGTCGGGTCTAGCGGTATTTTGTTGAAACACTCGCACGGCGCCGATATCGATTCGCACGACGTGGTCTTTCGATTCAACTCGGCGACGACGAAAGGGTTCGAAAAGAATGTTGGGGCAAAAACGACGCATAGAATTACCAATTCCAGAAATTACGGGTTTCGAGAGTACGATTCCGAGTGCGTCGTGCAACACATGCGCAACGAAATGTCCTTGGTGAAGATGTTCAAGAAACGCGCCAAGTATCCGGGGTTGAATTTATACGGCGTGCATCCGCAGTTACACGGGTGGGTGGATAAGTCTTTTTCGTTTTTAGTCACCAGTGGTTTATTTGGAGCATTAATCGCCGCGCACAAGTGTGCTTCGGTGGATTTGTACGGCTTTCAAGTCTCAAGACACCACGGCGTGCAGTACCATTACTACAACGCCGTGGATGAACCGGCGAACGAGGAGAGAGACGGCGACGAGTGGTTAGCGGTAAAATCGTTAGTAGAAAGCGGTGTTTTGCACTTTGCGGATCCGTGTATCATTGAATGTCACGAAAGCGCGCGAGCTTGTTTGAATTGTCAGGAAGAACACGGGGACGACGTGCATTTGAGTCACCACGCGGGAGGCGCCGGCGGAGATTCGTATTCTTCCTCCTCTTCTTCGAATGGTGCGACGACGACAAATAACGCGCACGGGAACCGAGGACGACGAGGTGGTGCGAAGCACGCCGTGAAAAAGAGTCACAGCAGCCACGATTTCCAGAGCGAGTTTAGAAGCGGTAGTAGTGATAGCGATAGCGACAAAACCGAGGACGACGACGACCAAGTTTCGCAATCGTCCTCCTCGGACGAGTTCACGCATTAGATAATGTGTATATATAGAAATCAACCTCTAATAGTAAAAGTAGTAATACACTCCAGCCCCTATGACTGCCAAAACTGTCCCGCCAACTGTCATCGCGAGCTCTTTATATTTCATCCCTACCGCCGCGAGGTATCGCACCGCGCTCAACCCGAGCGCCTTCTTCGCGCCTTTCCCCGCCACTCGAAACAAAACCACCCGCAGAGCCGCGCCTAAAGAATCTAAAAACAAAAACGTTCGCCTCCGACTGCCTCTTTTTGCCATTCCGTACGCGAAGCACGTCAACGCTCCCGGTAAGACGAGTAAAATGGCGACTCCGTATTGGCGCATCAAGCGTTCGCTTTCGCGCACTTTCGCTTTGCTCACTTTCAACCACTTACTCCGTCTGTTCTCTTTGGTGAGATACGCGACGATATCTTTCCCGTACCATCTCCCGCTGAAGAAGTATAAACAATCCTCGATGACTCTTCGCACCACTCCGATGAGAATGAACGAGTAGAACGGCATGTTGGCCGCCGAGGCGATGGTTAAGTTCACGTCGTTCGCGTTTAAGAGAAGCAACACCGTGGGCATTTGGCCGAGGATTAAGATTAAAACGTCCGCGAGTTTCCCGAGTACGTTCACCAATGAAATCAGGAACACGCACTGAGAAAAGGTTAAGAGAGGTTCTCCTCGTGTTTTGGTTTTCCCGCTAAAAGAGCGCGTGGAGACGACCATTTTGACGATGAATCTCTCGATGTTTTCTCGCTTCGCAACAGTGGAGGAAATCGCTCCATTCTTGGGGCGCAAAAGTAGGGGATTGCACTCGCAAAGATGACGACGATGCCAGACGAGGAGAAGAGCAACGCCTACTCTTCCTCAAAAATCGTCGAAGTTGTTTTAGCCGATAAGAGAGCGCAACCGTGCACGCACGAAGACGAGCTGAGAGCGTTTGGTTTGCTCTTATCCTCCTTTTCTTCTTGTTCTTCTGATGATTTTGCGGACAACAAAAGAGCGACGAAACGACGGAGAAAAGAAGAAGACAAAGATGAAGACAAAGAAACGATGGACCTAAATATGGACGACGAGGAGGAGAGAAAGAGGAGCGCAGTTCGATCGAAATTCGACGAGTATAACGCGCAGGCGGATGGTTTCGTGGGAAGGTTTTGCGAAGAGAAAGAGGAAGAGCAGCAGTTTGAGGGTGAGGGTGTGAAAGAGAGAGTGCACGTGCTAGGGGATGCGTTGGTGGCGAGATGTTTGAGAAGAATTTTCCACGAGGAGAATGGAGACGAAAAAAGCGAATTCATCACGGAAGAGGACGTTTTAGACGCGGATTTTGAGAAGAGCGAGGTTTGGAGCGCGATTGTAGCGCGTAAAAGTCATGGTAGGAGTATCGATGATGGCGATGAAAACGAGTCTCGAGTACGCGTCGTCGTCGCTTCGGCGCTGGAGTCGTTCGAGTCGCGGGCGAAAATTGATCGGTTGTGTAAGAAGTTTAAAGTCGTTTTAGTAGACGTCGGCATCGAAGACGATCGAGGATCGGTTTTTGTGGTAGATTCGACACAAAACACGACGAGTTACGAGTGTTTGCCGAGAGATTTAGATGAGAGTAGTTTAAAGAAGAAAGAGAAGGCGCCGTCGTGCGTGTTGGAGAATTTCCCGTTTCAGTTTTCGCACTGCGTGGAGTGGTCAAGGCACGTATTTGAGAGGGTTTTCGTGAAGGAAGCAAAGGATCATTACGAGGAGGAGTTGAGAAGAGCAGAGGAAGAAGGAGGTGAAAGAGTTTACGATGAAGGTTTCGTGGAGGCTGATTCGGCGAATCGCGCGAATCGATTATTCGTCGAGCTCTTTCAGACGAAAATAGACGCCATTCGCGAGAGTTTTCCGAGAGATAAAGATGACGGGAAGTTTTGGGGCGACGAGAAAGGAAAGAGGTTTCCAGAACCGGTGAGTAACTTTAAGACCGAAATGAAACGAGTGCACACCGAGTTTCTCTTAGCCGCCCAAACTTTGTACAAGTTGAATTATCACAACGATAGGCCGACGTGGGATTATAGTCTACGAAGATTCGAAAGCTTAAACGGTAAAGCGCGATGGGACCATGCGATATTCGTGGAAACGTGCGCGTTACTTCGCGCGAGAACGTATCGTATCGACGTTCCAAAGTATACGTACGAAACGCATCGAGACGTTTTGTTCGATCTGCCTCGGAAAAATCCAGTCGCCGGATTCGTGGCGGCAAAAATCGCTTCGAGAGAAATCAAGAAGATTTTGTTGAATGAAGAAAAAGAGCGTCGCAGTCAAAACTCTTTCTTCAACGTCGTCACGAACGATTTTGTCGCTTCCGAGTGTCCATCGGCGTTTGTAGAAACAACCACGAATCGAAGTCGAAATCTTCCGGATTTGCAATGGACAATCTGGTCTGTTATCGACATCGACTGTTTTCTTCCTGGAAAGAACACGCTCGGAGATTTCTTACAAACCTTCCGCGAACAGGTTGGTTTGGAACCAGCGTCCGTTGGCGTCGGCGCTGCGCTCGTGTACATGGAATTTATGAGTAAAGAAAAACGCGCTATGCGAGAGAAAATGTCCGTGGTGGATGCGATTCGAGATACGTTGAATAGTAGCGCTAGCCTTAGTAAAGAAGCGTTCGAACCAATCAAGAGGAAGAATGGCGAAGAGGAATACGTCGTGTTAACCGTCCAAGCCGTGGACGAGAAGGATGAGGATAAAGATATTCCGGATGTGATTGTTCGCGTTAAATAAATGGAAGAATTAGAAATAATAATAATAGATTTTTAAAAAGACATCAGAGAGAAACACTCTAACACGGCGCGAGCGAAGCAATAAATGATAATAATAACTGTGATGAATACTTACAACTCTAACTCTTGATTGACTTTGCGTTTCCACTTGTCCGAATTCTCGTACGCGTTTGCAAAACTCAGCCCATCGCCGTCGATGCTGCATCCTGGAAAAAGCCAGTATCGCATCTTCGCGCCTAAAACTTCTCTTAAATTTCCGCTCAATCCAAGACTGTACGGATGTTCTATTTTCTTAATCGTGGTGGTCGCGTTGGTTCCAGTTGCTTTATTGCTCCCATCGCCGCCTTCGCTACTAATCGTCGTCGTCGTCCTTTCGCCATTCTCTCCAATTGGGTGCGTCAACGTCAGTTTTGAACGCACGCCTTCGTAGTGTTCAATCGTCGTGCAATTCTTCGATGTTAACCACACGTGCCACGCAAACAACAAACCGATCGCTAACAATAAGGGAAACGAAACCATTAACGCCGTCACTTCACATATTGCGTCCCAATCCCACGCATTACTATCACTATTACTCCCTGTCGTCGTCGCCGCCGCCGCCGCAGCAGCCGCCGTATTACTCGCCGCTAGTTTCTTCTTACCACTACCGCTTTCGCTCGCCACCATGTTCCAGCTCAAAATCATCGCCGAGTGCCCAACCGCCAACACCGCGTAAAATAAAAACAAGAAAAACGCTTTATAATTTTTATGCCCGACGCAATTATTAATCCACACGCAGTGATGATCCATCCTCAGCACGCATTTTTGGCACACTCTGCAGTGATGCGCTCTCGGCGGCTTATAGGCGTTGCACTTTTGGCAAAAACGTTTCAAGCCTTTCCCTTTCCGCTTCACCTCCCAAAAGTTATTCGCATCTTCCATGTCCGGTTGCCAACCGTCCGGGACTTTCCCAGCCTCGCACATCACCGAAGCTACGTATAAACACAGCGCTAACGACGTGGTGACGAACAAAATCGACCGGTGAATGGTCCCGTCCACGCTCGTCTCGAATCTGCCATACAACACGATCGTGCTCGTCGTGTAATAGAGGAATCCAAAGAGAAACAAGACGAAGAACACGGGCAAGGACATCTTCTGCCAAACCCTGCGCGCGACGCGACGCGCGCGCTGGCGCCGCGTTAAACTACCTTTCGGGGTCGTCACCATCGGCGTCATCGTCTTGGAAAATTGGTCGTCGTCGTTTGATAGATGATAAAAAGAAACGACGACACTCTGGCGAACACCAACGACGACACAACGACAGACCTTCTTCGCGCTCTCTCCTACTTTCTGATTTTCCCGCACTTGCACCCGCTCCCGCACTTGCACCCGCTCCCGCACGAGCAGTCTCTCCACGGACACCCCCCCGAAGATGAAGTCGTCTGAATCGTCGTCGTCGTCGTCGCCGGCGGCGGCTTGGTAGCAGTTGGAGTAGATTTGTTTCCGAACCCGAAGAAACCCATGTGTTGTTCGTGCGTTTTAATTGAAGATTTTTGGGAAAAAGAGACGTCACTTTTTTAACGCGCAAAAGCGCGCTCTGGTGCTTGTACTCTGCTGCTTCTCGGCGACGACGACGACGACGAGTTCGATGACGTTCGTTTCGGGAGGAGGATCTCACCGTTTTCTTTGTCTCGCGGTGAAAGTGGAAGATACCGGAAGAAGACCTTCTTCTTCTTCTTCTTCTCGTGGTCGCGACAAGAAAACAGCGGTAACAGTTGGGGAGAGAAAAGGCAAACGACGACCGCGGAGTAAAACGACTGCCTCGACGAACAATAATAGTAATAATTCGAACGGCAACAAAAACGCGTCAAAAGATTTAGAACTGCCAGAGCTGTTATTCGGCGCCGCGTCGACGTCGTTCGCGTTGACCGTGGATGCAATCACCTCTGGTCTCGATTTCGTCCAAAAAGTCACCTCGACTGAGAAACCTTCGAGTAAATATCCGCCCGGGCCGGATTTCGATAGCGCTTTCGAGATGGGACAAAATCCGCTGAAGTTTATAGAGAAAGTGAAGAGCAGGTACGGTCCCGTCGCTGGCTTGCGGTTGGCTGGGGAAAACGTGATTTTAGTCTCCAAACCGAGCGTGGCGAAACAGGTTTTAATCGACGACGAGGCGAGCTTTACGAAGAAAGGAACGGCGTTTTTCCCGTCCAGTCGATTGGCCGGAGATGGTTTGTTAGTGACGGATGGGGACGTGTGGAGATCGCAGAGGAGATTATCGAATCCGGCGTTTCGAAAAGCCGCGGTGGAAACGTACGCGAAAGCGATGAATGAGTGCATCGAGGAAACCATTCGCACGCGATGGCGAACAAACGGAGAGAGGGATATTTACGAGGATTTTAACGAGGTGACGTTACAAGTAGTCTGCAGGACGTTATTTGGAGAAGATGCGGTTGGAACGAAAGGGAAGGAAATTGTGGATTCAATTCGAGTCGCGTTCGAGTATTTCGCAAAGAGAAGCAGCGGGATTGAGATGATTTTACCGGAATGGTTTCCTCTACCCTCGAATATCTCGTTCAACGACGCGGTGGATCGGCTCGATAACGCCGTCTACGCAATCATCGATAAACGATTAGCAGAGATGGAGGAGCCGTGTTTCATAGCTTGTGCGACGCAAGAGATGGATTTACTAGACCGATTATTATCGGCGTCGTTGGACGATTTAGTCGAAGACGAGGAAGATCGAGTGTTGAAAGGAGCGATGGCGAGCTCCTCTAACAACGACGACGAAGACGACGCCGTCACCAATACTAACAGAAAGAAAATGTCCAGGAAACAACTTCGCGACGAAGTGATGACCTTAATCGTTGCCGGTCAAGAAACCTCCGCGATCGTGTTATCGTGGGCGGTGGCGTTTGTCGCCAAAGACGAAAGTTTTGGCGAACGCATCGCGAAAGAAGCGACGGAAGCGCGCATTTTAGCCTCCAAAAGGTTGAAGAAAATCCCCTTAGAAAAAGAACAAGAAGAATGCACGATCGCGGAAGAAGTCATCGACGACGACGGTAACTGCAAAGAACCAGACTCGGAAACAATTATCGCGCAAACCGAGTTGACGTTTGAATCCATCAAAGACTTACCGTTCACCGAGGCGATCATTTTAGAAACCATGCGTCTGAAACCGCCGGCGTACATAGTCGGTCGCTCAAACTCCATCTCGGACGTGCACTTGGACGAGAATAACAAATACGACATCCCGCGAGGCTCTACAATCCTCGTCAGTCCGTACCTCGCTCACCGCGACGGTCAATACTGGAGTAAACCGAACGAGTTCGACCCGAACCGATGGCTCGCCCTCGACCCGGAAACGAACCAACCGTACGCTCGAACCGCTTTACGAGGCATGGGGTACAAAAACACCTACTTCCCGTTCGGCGCGGGCCCGCGCGCGTGCATCGGCGCGCAATTCGCCATGTTAGAAGCGATCATTCTCCTCGCGTGTTCCTGCGAAAAGAGACGGTTTGATTTACCCGATGATATTGATACGAACAACAACAACAACAACAACAACAACAACAACAACTCACCCGGTACGAAAGGCGGCGGGTTTCCTAAAGACGCCGCTGGAATCACGTTGCGGCCGGAGAGTCCGGTGAGGATGAAAGTTTCCGCCATCCGGAGGAAAAATCTTTAATTACGCGTCGTTGTATTCTACTTCTCGTTCTACATTTTTAGTTTAACACCCTTCTCTTGGGAAAGAAAAAGGGATAACGCACTCGTCATATTTATTCACGTTTTGCCGTAAAAATGACCGACCACGGTTCCGCCACCTGGGAGGGATGGTATTGCGTCTCCGTCGTCTTCCTCATGTTCGTTTTGCTTCTTAAAAACGTCGCCGGTCCGGATGTACTCATGCTCGGCGCGCTCGCTTTAGAGCTCGCCGCCGGCATCGTCCCCATCGAGAGCGGCTTGAAAGGATTCTCCAACAAAGGTTTACTCACCGTGGCGTGTTTATTCGTCGTCGCGAGTGGGATATCAAACACCGGCGCGTTGGATTATTACATGGGGAAGCTGTTAGGGACGCCTAAGTCAGTCGCAGACGCGCAATTGAGGTTGATGATGCCCATTGCCATCGTTTCCGCGTTCTTGAACAACACCCCGGTGGTGGCGATTATGATTCCAATCGTCCAAAAATGGTGCCGAAAGTGTAAGATTTCGCCGGCGCAGCTCTTCATCCCACTCTCGTTTTCATCAATCTTAGGTGGGACGTGCACTTTAATAGGAACGAGCACGAATTTAGTCGTCGACGGGATGAGAAAAGAACGATATCCGGAGGAAAAAGCGATTGGATTGTTCGAGTTGAGTAAATACGGAGTGCCGGTGTTGTTGAGCGGATTGTGTTACATGCTCGTGGCGAGTCCATTTTTATTACCGGGCGGGAAGAAAGAGAATAAAGAAGATTCTGGGAACGGCAACGGAGATATGAACGATTCAGAAGATTTAACGGTTGGTGCGGTGGTACCGAGAGGAAGTCCGGTGGTGGATTCACCCGTGGCTATTTTGAGAGGATTGAACGGTTTGTATTTAGTGAGCGTGCAGAGAGGCGACGTGGTGATGCGCGCGGTGCAACCGGAGTTTCTCTTGGAAGCTGGCGACGTTCTGATTTTTACCGGGTTAGTGGATAAAATCGGCGAAGTGTGCGAAGAGCACGGGTTGGTGCCGCTGACGCACGACGTGGAGGAGAAGATGGTTGGAGGCGCGTTTCCGGAAAGCGTATCGATCGGAGGGAGTCAAGGAAATAGTTTAGATCCGAGTCCGAAATGGGCCGGCCCGGGGGATCCGTTTAGTAGTAGCAGTGATGGTGGTAATAAAGAGTTCGCGAAAGGCGGCGGCGCGAAAAAGGACTCGAGCAGAGTGAACACGCCGACGTCGCAGCAAGGAGGCTCGCCTAGGTTCCAAGACGATTCGTCCATCGTCGGTCTAGGGTACGAGCATCGTAAACGCGAAACGGAACTGCAACGAAGAGCGTCCGTGGACGTGCATAATTACGAAAAGTTGTTGCGGAAGTTTACCGACGACGGTAACGAGAACAACTATAACAACAACAGCAATAGCGCGGCGAACGGTGATGACGAACAATCTATGTTGCGAAAACAGTCGCACGAATACATCGATAACCGACAACAATCGTTGGCGGTAAAAAAGCATTTCGTTCTGCGGGCGAGAATAGGGGCGAAATCGACATTAATCGACATGTCCCCTCGAGAAGTGCTGTTTCGAAGGAAATACAAAGCGTCCATCATGGCGGTGCAAAGAGCCGGAAGCACGAGCACGTCCTCGAATGTAGCTGAAAACAGGTTAGGCAAAATTATCTTTCAACACAACGACGTTCTGGTTTTACACGCGGCGGAAGATTCGCCGCTGTTGGAACAAAAGAGAGAACGAGAGGAGGCGAAAGTAGAACGCGAAAAAGTTCAACAAGAAACGAAAAAGAGTCGATTGGCGCAGAGCAATTCTTCGCCGGGTGGTATTTTCCGAAGCGCGTCAAAGGGCGATTTGAGCGGAAGCGATATGAAACCGCCAAGCAGATCGCAGTCGAAGAGTAATTTAGACACGAGCTTCACCAACTTGAGCGACGTGGAGGGATTTGAAAACACGTCGGAGTTTACCTGCGGGGACGACTTGGAAGTTTTATTGGCGGATGCGCAGGATTTGAATTTTAGCGAGTTTGCGATTCCCATGCGCGTGGTCGCCGGAGGCGCTTTAGACGGGAAAACCATTAGAGGCGTTGATTTGGTCAACACACCGGGTCTGTTTCTCACGGCTATGCAAGAAGGTGGGGCGAAAGGTGTCACGAAAACTGTCGATCCTGAAACCGTTTTGCGCGGCGAAGACGTTTTGTGGTTTGCCGGGGACATGAGCGGCATGCAAACGCTTCGACGCATCCCGGGCATGGTGCCGCAAGACGACCAAGTCGCGAAATTGTCCATTCGTAAAACCGATCGACGACTCGTGCAAGCTGTCGTCTCGCAACACTCGATTTTGGAAGGACAGTCAGTCAGAGACGCGCATTTCCGAACCAGATACGATGCGGTGATCATCGCCGTGCAGCGATCTGGCGGTAGAATTCAAGCGCGTATCGGCGACATCGTTTTACAAGCCGGAGACGTTTTGTTGTTGGACACTTCGACGTCGTTTTTATCGAACCATAAACGCGACGCTGCATTTGCATTAGTTTCTGAGATTGAAGACTCTGCACCGCCGCAGTTTGACAAGTTATTGCCATCTCTGGGTACCGCGGTTGTCATGATTGCCGTCTTTGTCGCCGGCGCGCTCGATTTGTTCGTCGCCGCGTTGTTAGCTTCTGGCGTCATGTTAGCGACTGGATGTTTGACGCAAGAAGCCGCGAGGGCTGCGGTGAAATGGGAAGTCATCGTTACCATTGCAGCCGCTTTTGGTATATCTGCGGCTATGGAACAATCCGGCGTCGCCACTGCCATCGCGCAAAATTTAGTCGCCGCCGGCAACGCTTTGGGCACCGGCAAACCCGGTATTTTAGTCGCCGTATACCTCGCCACGGTTGTTCTGTGTAACATTGTCGGTAACAACGCCGCTGCGGCGTTGATGTATCCCATCGCCGCTGAGTCTGCCGAACAGCAAGGCATCCCAAACGCACAAATGAGTTTTCTATTAATGCTCGCCGCGTCGGCATCGTTCATGTCGCCGTTTGGATACCAGACGAACTTGATGGTGTACGGCCCTGGCGGGTACGTGTTTGCAAACTTTTTAAAGTTTGGCGGTCCGATGCAAATAGTGCAAATGATCGTTTCCGTGGCGGTGGTTTTGTTAGACGACAGATGGTGGATTGGATGGATCGTAGGTTTTGGCAGCGTTTTCGCGGTGTTTGCTTCAAGAAAACTTGTGCCTATGATTATAGAAAAAGTGAAAGGAGGAAGGAACGATGCGTCGAGCGAGGAGGATAAATTAGACAACGCGCTTTAGTACGGTATGTGTTATGAAACGACTTTACTTTATTTTTCAATTACTTCTACGTCCCTCCTAGTACTATATGGTAACTACATTTGAATCTATGAGAGCTAATCTATCGTCTCTCTACCAATTATCCACGTTTGCAATCGTGACTTTTTTCTTCATATCATTGGACGCCGCCAACGCGTTGTAAGTCGTATCGTACGCCGATAAAGTGTCGCCGTTTTCTTCCGCGGACGTAATCAGACTCTTCACCGCCGCTGAGTGTAGATTTCTGCGCTCGCTCTCAATTTCGCCTTCCATGTACGCCTCTTCTACCCGTTTCAACAACTTGGCGTTCAAATACGACTGCTTTGGAGGCACTTGCCCGCCGCCGTTGGCGCATCCGCTCGGACACGCCATCATCTCCACGAAATCCCACTTGTTCGGTTCTCTTTTCAAAGCCCTGGTGACGTTTTGGACGTTTCGAAACCCGTACGCTAAGAGAAATTTTAGTTTCACTTCGCCCTCGATTTTCAATTCCACTTCGCGCATGTCCGCGTTCGTCAGCGTCTTATACTCTAAATCTTTGCCTCGCAGATCGACGCCGTAGAGATCCCTCGCCGCTTTGCGAAAGACGTATTCGAGGTACGCGCCGGAGGTTGCCGCAAAGGCTGGTGGCAGAAGTGCATCTTCTTGTTCGTCTTCTTCGACGTCCATCATATCCTCCGTTCTAAACCACGACGCAAACATCGAATCAATCTTCGCGCTCGGCAAACTCCTCACGCCCGCCTCGTCCACGATGTTACACTTCTTCTCCAACAACTCCACAACCTCCGTCGTCGTCAACACGCAATCCGTCTCGTTGACGCCGTCAACATCATCATCTTTTCCTTGTCCAAGTACATCGCCTTCTCTTTTCGTCTTAAATTCCCTTCGACTCGCTTCCAACTTTTTATCAAAGCACGGCATCACCGACACGTGATACGCCTCCTCCTCCTCCTCCTCCTCCTCCTCCTCTGTATCCTCCGAGAAAGCAGCCCTTCTTCCCTTCTTCGCGAAAGTCCCGGCAATCGCCTGCGGACTCTTCGCTTTCGCCAAAAGATTCACATCTCGCAAAGCGTTTTCAGTCTTCTCCGCGTAACACACCCACCCAGGACACGCCGACGCAATCATCGGCAACAACCCCGACGACTTACTCTTCCTCTCCGTAAACTCCTTCGCGTATCTCGCCCGCGACGCCGCTCGCGCCTCGGTACTGCTACACACCGCCCGCGCGTTAAAATGCGTCTTAAAAAACCCGCACATTTTCTCCAACATCTCTTCGTATTTCACGCTATATTTCACCGCCAACGACGCCGTGGATTGCGGAGAGAGTGTTACTACCAATCTTCTTCTTCGTCCTCCTCCTCCTCTTCCTCTATCATGGGTCCCTCCTACTGGTTGGATGTTTCCTTCTGAGGAGAAATTTTGGCCTAAAAATTCCTCCACCGATTGCTGTTCCATCAAGACCGTTTCCGCGCTGGTGACGCACCCAGAGCACGCGAGACAATCGGATAAGGACACTTTTATCATCGATTTCCCATCTTTGCTGAAGTCTTCCTTCGCAACGTCGAATCGTTTTTTGTTTTCCGCTCCTCGTTTTGCGCGGAGAAGGATTTCCCCGCCGTCCCCTTCTCCGGCGTCGTGTAACCCGTCGTTTACGAGGAGTGTATTACCATCGGATGAGAGAGGAATGATGCACGCCTGAGAAGGCGCGATGTAATCGTTCAAAGACGAGGACGAGAGTTTCACGGCACCGCTGAATCCTCCTCGTTCTCCTTCCTGTGATGGTGACATTCTCAGGTCAAGCTTTACTTTGAGTTGTTTTTGTGATGATGAAAGAGCGATATTTAGTACTTGTACGTAGGGGTGTGGATTTTGCGAGAGAGACTTTCGCGAGAACGAATATGTCATGGGTACATCGTGCGGTTTTATGGATACTACAGGTTAATAGTACGAGTCTTTCTTTCTCTCTTTCTTTCTCTATCAGTCTTATTCTTTCTTAGTATTCTTCTTGGTTTCATTTTCTTTCTGTCCGACGACGGCGTATTTGTTCACGAGACTTTTAATCTTCTCTTTGCGTTGACTGGTCATGAAAGCGACGAGCGGGTCGAGTTTCGCGGAAGACTCCGATTTCGCGTGGTCGATGACCGTGCGAACGATTTTTTCCTCGTACTTTTTACACTGTTTCTTCGTGAGAATGTTCCGGTCTCGTTTGAGTCTGAGTTGCTCGAAGACGTATTTGGTGACTTGTTTGGTCACGCGTTCTTCGTAAGCTTCTTCGGTGAGCGTGTCGGCGTCGGCGGAATTGGCTTTGCTCTTCTTCGCGTTCAAAAGATCGTCGTCGTCGTCTTCGCCCAAAGCGGCGGCGTCCTCGGCGTCTTCTCTCGCCCGTTTCGCCGCTTTCGCCTTCGCTTTCGCTCTCTTTTTCTCTCGTTTCAAATTCGCGGCGTTTTGAAAATCTTCAAAGGAGGAAATGTTCATGTTCATGACTTGATCTTCGTCGGAATCCGTGTCGTTGTTATGATGATCCATGGCGGTCTGCGCTGCTTCCTTGGCGGCTTGAATCGCACGTTCGGCGTCTAATTTAGCTTGCTCCGCGGCTTGTCGCGCTGCGAGCGCAGCTTGGCCTTCGGGAAGATCCGATGCGGCTTTGACGACCGCTTCGCGCTGGTCGCGAAGTTTTCGTTCGGCGGCTTCTTTCGCCTCTTTGCGTTGCTTTTCGTGCAAGACGAGAAGCTCTTTGTCGGAAAGCGCGTTGGCGATATTCGTGGTTTCTTTCGCAACTTCGCTCGCGATGGTGTTCATGCCGTTGTTTTTAATCGAATTCAAAAGCGTTGTCGTTATGTTGTTGTTTTGCTTTGGCGCTAACACGTTTCCGTACGGCGAGATGGCACCGCCGACGGACATGCGCGTCTTATCGCCACCGAGCGCTAACAAACGCATCCACTCTCGAGTGATCATTTTAGACGTTTGCTTTAATCCCGCGTTTTCGTGTGATTGGAAGTAGTCTTTGATGGTTAATGGCACGCCCGATTTCTTCATCAACTTGAAATCAAACGGAATCGATCGGATGACTTTCAACGCGGTCATCGCGTCTTCCTCGTCGCCATCTCGTCGCGCGCGCTTGGCAAATTTACTCAACCACTCGTTAAACGTCGCTAATCCGTTGTGTTTTCCATACGCCCACTTTTCTTTTTCGGCATTGGTGAGTGATAACACGGCGTGCATCAACGCGCGTTTTCCGGCGCCCGTTTTCAACGCGTAGTGGTTTTCATTTTCAACCATAATTTCTGCCAAAGCGAGTCCAATAGAGTTCGTCTTCGCGGACGAATCTACCGTCATGGAAATTTTATACACCGATTTCGCTTCGTCTCTCCCGGCCAACGCGTCCGCGTCGACGACTTGGTTCCTCGCTCGCTCTTCCGCCTCGCGTTTGCGCTCAATAGCCGCCTTCATCTTTTCAAAGTCTTCACCTTCCAGCTCGCTGTCGTAATCGGAGTCTTCCATTAACGCCGCCTGTCGAGCTTCTTCCTCCGCTTTCTTTCGCATCTCTTCGAGATCGAAGACTTCGTCGAAGATTTTACCTTCCTCGCCGGAGAGTTTACGCAAAACTTGTCTCGCCGCTCGCCATCCGGTGAGCATGGCACCGCCAACTGTATCTGGATGTTCTTTACACGTGTGTTCGCCGGCAAAGAATAAGCGTCCTTTCAATTCTGGACGACCTAATTCGTCGTAATCCGCGGCGCCTCGAGAGCTTTTCTTTACGTACGAGTACGAGCCTCGCGCAAATGGATCTTTACCCCACGCGGTTGCTTTAGCCGTTTTCACTTTGATTTTCGATTGGTCGCCGTTGAAGTGCACTTTCGCCAACTGTTCCACGGCTAAATTCACGAGTTCTTGTTGCGACTCTTCCGTGACGTTGTTCTCGGTATCTTCCGCGTTCGAGCCTGCGACTAACGCGATCAACATGTTTTCGCCACAAACTGGTTTCAAGTTCCAGAACATGAAACATCGCGCGCGGTTGTTCATTTTCGACTCGTCGTCGCTGTCTACGGCGACACCGAAATAATCGCGATCGTCCGACCAAAACTGATCTTCGAACTCGATGACCAGCTTGTTCAAATTTCCAAAACCTAATCTATGGACGGCATTTCGTTTCGCGGTGGATAATTCAGGAACGAACTCGACGTCGTCGTTTTTTAGACACCCCAGAGGTACCGTGCACACCACCGCGGAGCCTTCGTAGATGGTACCATCGGCGCACTCCACGTTGACGCCATCGAATGGGTTTTTCGTGCTCGTGACGGTCACCTTCTTGACGATCGCGTTGAGTTTAATTGCACTTATTTTTTCAATTTCTCTCGCCAACGCGTCGGTGATTTGGCCGTAGCCGTTTCGCACCATGCAATGCGGCCCGCCAAACCCGCCGTACATTTCGTCTTGGTTCCAGTGCGGTAGCGACACGTCCCCGAGTTTCGCAGAACATCCGTATTCTAAATTCGCCCAGTGCCAATCGAGCAATCGTTTATCGTCTTTGGAAAACTGCTTGATTTTCTCCAACTTTTGTTGTTTCTTCTCGTCGTTCATGTCGTCGTCGTCGTCGTCGTTTTTGTTGTTGTTGTCGTTGTCATCGTCTTCTCCTCTTTCTTCTTGTTCCTGTTGTTTCTTTCTCAGTGTATCTTCTAAATACTCGCGCTCGAAATGGACTTTGGTCAGGTCTTCAATTATTTCGCCCAACCCGAGATCCGCGGTGGCGTCTTCGCCTCGCGCCTCCACCGTCTCTCTCGCTTCGTCCATCAACAAGTCTCTCAACTTTTCAATTCTCGCGTCTTTTTCGCCGGCGACTAAACTCCCGTCTTTGCCGTCGTATAAAGGACACCCTGGACGTAACTCGACGAGTTTCAAATCGATTTGCGAGCTGACCTCGGCGGAAGGATCCGCGCGAATACCTAACCACGGCATACCCGTTCTCGCTTTCGGGTTCGGTTCCGTACCGGTCACGATGGAGGCGCCAAAATCCACCGGCGCGGAAAACGTCTCTCTTTCTGTCCACACTCGCCCACCGACGCGATCTCTCGCCTCTAAAACAATCACCGGGACGTTTCTCGATTTCAACTGGTTCGCGCACGCTAAACCGGACGGTCCGGCGCCGATGATTATAACCGGTTTCGACGTATCCACATCTCTCTCCCGTATGTTTGGATGTATTTTCCCCTCTTCGACTGCCGGCGGTGACCTCCACTTGAAAGTAATCTCATCCCCGCCGTCGTCTACTTCGTCGTCGTCGTCTTTCTTCTCCTTCGATTTCCCTTCTTCCTCGAACAACCCGTCAAACGCCTCCGCGCCTTCCGTTAAATACTTCGTCACCACCTCCTTAATCAACCCTTTCTTCTCGCTCAAATCCGTGTTCAAACACTCCTCCGACCCAAGTTTCTTCCGAATCATCTTCTCCGTCATCACGTTCATGTCGCACGTTTTCAGCAATCGAATCAACTCTTTCGTTACGGTCGCGTCGTCGATGATTTCGATCGCAGGGGCGTTGGATCCGACCACGGCTTCTCCCTCCATATCCTCCTTTTCCTCCTCTTTTTCCTCCTCCTTTTTTTCTTTCGTGAAAACTCCGTAGTTCACTCCACCGTTCCGTTCCAGCCAATCGAACACGTCTCGAATCATCTTCTCCTCGTAATTTCTCACCTCTTCGATCACTTCTGTCACGTCCAATCGCCTCCGAACATCTCTCCGCCACATGGCGCATATCTTATTCCTCACGCCTAAATAATGCGCCTCGCTGTTCCCTCCGTCTCTGAGTTGCGTGTCGAAGTCTTTCTTTTCGAGGAACGAGACGCGTTCGAAGTCGAGACCGGCAGATGCGGCGGCGATTTGTTCTCGACTCGGAGGCGAAGAATCATCTTTGTCGTCGGAATCGGAATCGAGGAATAAGTCGTCCAAAGCGAACTTGGACGAGCGTCGGTAGCCGACTTTTCTTTTGTGGTGGTGAGTATGCGTCGCATTCGTGGTATTCTCAAAGGTGTTTGTGGCCATCTTTTTGCGTGTGCTTTTCCTTCGTCCTTATGAACGAATACAACAAGTGAGGAATCCGTCACTTACGCGAAAGAGGGAAACGACGGAAACTCGTTCGAGAAGAAGGACTCACTCCTCTTCGAAAATGAAGAAAAAAACCTACTACGACGTCTTGAACGTCTCGCCTGTCGCGACGCAAACGGAAATCAGAAAAGCGTACCACAAACTCGCGATTCAGTATCACCCGGACAAAGTCAAAGACGACGACGGAGACGAAGGAACGAACGCGCAGAAAGGGAAAAAGGAAGAGAAAACGGAACTGTTCAAGAAGATTTCAGTCGCGTACACGTGCTTATCCGACCCTGAGGAGAGAGAGAAATACGACGAGAGAATGCGAGGAATGTGTGGGAAAGGTTTGATGTCCGGGAGGAACTTGTATTCGGACGAGGAGGAGGATGATGGATACGACGTATTCGGTGATGATGAGGACCAATTTTCCTCGCAAGATTTGGAGCGAAGGCTGTTTTGCGCGAGAGTCGGCATCGCGGAGTGCGTGGTGAGAGTCGTTCGAGTAACTTTAGAAGATATATTCGAAGGGAATAAAGTATACGTAGAATCTGTTCCGGTTTTTAAGGCGGATTTTATACGGAAGAGAGTGGTGCCGTCCGTCGCGCGAGTGCGCGTGGTCGTTCCGAGAAACGCGCGAGACGGCGATACGATGTACTGTCGAAGCGACGGAAGTCAAATGCAACGCGTCGCGGTTGTCATTCGGGAGAAACCGCACGAGATTTTTTCGAGGAGCGAGAATAAACGAGACGATGTGGTAGCCTTGATTCGATTGACGAGGAAAGAGTGCGAGGAAGGCGCGGTGAAAATAATCAAAGGCTTGAACGGCAGAGAGATACAATTAAAGGTGAACAAAGGCGCGGTGGAAAGAGGGAAAGACAAGTGGCACACGGTCGTTGGGGAAGGGTTTTACATCTCCAAGCCGAGGATGGACGTGAACACTGGGATTGAAGCGACGACGACGAACGGTCAAAATCAAGGGAGTCGGGGCGATTTGAGGGTTCGATTTCGACAAATGTCCGGGTTCGAGGCGTTTTGGAGGAAAGGCTCTCGATTGTGGTGGGCGAAACGTATCGGTGGATCGATCGTGGCGTACGCGGCTTTGGAATTAGGTGCGACGGCTCTGTTGCACGTGCTGCTCGACGCGTGGGATATTTTAGAAGGACCCGGGGATCAGTTATTTTTAGATTCGTTTCCGGGCTTGTACGGGATTATCCCTTCGACGTCGATTATATTCGCCGGACGGGGAAGAGCCGGGAACGAAGGCAGCGAGACGTTACATAGAAATATAAACAAGGCATGGAACGCGCCTCGCGATATGCCGGATAACATACGGTCGGACCCGCCACCGCGCAGACCATTTTCATTCTTTCGGCGGTAGTTTTAGGTACTAAGAAGGTTAAAGAAAATATTGTAAAAAAAATAGTATTATGTTAGTACTAGTGTTAACTTTTACGCGTGTACGTAGCAGGTACTTCAAGGTACCAAAATTCAGCGTGAAGTACTAATCGTACCAATCGTCGATGTTCGCTTGGCCGCCGAACGCGTCGGCCAGCCCGTTGACGCTATTCGCGAATTCGTCCTCGGTTTTCTTGCTTTTACTTTTCTTCTTTTTCGATTTGACTTTTTCTGGCGCCACGTCGTTCCAGAATCGATCGTCCGTTTGATGATTGCCATACTTTCTCAAATCTGGTTGTCCAGAATTGATGGGGCCGCCTCCCCAGCCGCTCGGCGCGGGTGGGTGGTGCTGGAACGATTGGCCCGGGTTCGCGCTATTTGTCGTATTCGTTGCACCACTACCCGGTCGTTGATCAATGCCCTGTTGTCCGTTCAAACTATCGCTCCAACCCGCGAGTTTCCCGCTCAACCAGCCTTTCGCTTTGTTCGCGGCTTCGTTCGCTTTCGCCACGGCGGTGTTCAAACTCACGCCTTGCGCAGGCGCGGGATAGTACGGTTGCGAGCCAAACCCATCGTATTGTTTTGAGCTCGACATGCCGTTGCCGTAACCCCCGCCGCCACCACCTCCAGACGGGAAAAGTTCGTTATAATCTGGTTGCACAGTTGATGACTTTTTCCCTTTCTTTACACTCGTCGGCGCCGCGTACACCGACGCCGTGTCTTGAAACCCGTTGTTCATGGCGATTCTGGCTTGCGCTTCCGCCCTCGCCGATTCCGCCGCTTTACGCATGCGTTCTTCCAGCTCCTCCTCTAAGGATTTCTCGGTCGTTTTCTTCTTCTTCTCTTTCTTCTCTTTCTTCTCTTTCTTCTCTTTCTTCTCTTTCTTCTCTTTCTTCTTCTCCTTTTTCTTAGGTTCTATCGGCGCTTTTACTTCCTTGATTGCTTTCTTGTGTTTAATCGATTTGTTCTTTTCTACGGTATCCGCGGAGATTTTCCATCCGATTTCTTCATCCTCCTCGTCGTCGTCATCGCCCTTGCCAATCTTCTTGCTCAAACGTCTCGAGGCAAACTCGTCGTCGTCTTCGTCCGAACTGTTTTCGATATCCTCTACGCTACTACTATTTCCGCCGCTACTGCTACTACCTCCGCCCCCGTCGCTGTCGCTGCTCGCGTCCTCTGATTCGTCCTCGTCGCTACTCTCCTCGTCGTCATTGCTACTACTCAACGCCTTTTCGTCGTCTGGTTTTGCAAACGGATCAAACGTTGCCAACGTTGCTGACGATTGCTTCTTTTTTTTCACAACATCCACGTGCGCGGCCATCGCGGCGCCCATCCCGCCACCACTCATAGCCGCGACCACCACGGCGCGTTCCTCCGCGGTCATATTTTTTAAATGGTACGTCCGATCCTGCACGTCCGGGGTAGTTTTCAAATGTTTCACCCATTCTTCGGCGGATATGCCGCCTAAAAACTTCCCTTCGCAAAACCCTCGAGGTTTTGGCGGCGGCGGCGGTTTCCACCCGTCCTCTTCCTCCTCCTCGTCGTAATCCTTCTTGCGTTGATTCTTCTTTTTCGTCGCGCCGCCGCTACCGGTCGCCAGCAAACTCGGCTTGCCGCTGCTCGTCGTGTTTGCAAACATAGAATTCACCGCCGATGTCGTCGCCGTCGTCGTCGTCGTCATCACCACCGGCGCGTTATATTTTGGCAACTCCATCTTCACCACTTTCTTCTTCTCTTTCGTCTTCGTCTTCGTCTTCTTCTTGGTAAAATTCGAGTTCCCGTACGCGCTCGGAAACATCACGTTTTCCTCTTCTTCCGATTCCGATTCCGACTCCGACTCCGATCCGCTCTCGCTCTCGCTTTCGCTTTCGCCGCTGCTGCTCTCTTCGCTCTTCTTCTTCTTCTTCTTCTCCTTACTCTTCTTCTTCTTACTCTTCTTCTTCTTTTTCTCTTCCCCGTCGAGGCCGCCGCCTCTCCCTTCCGCTTTCTCCTTCAACTTCTCGCGATACTTCTCCGCCCATTTCGAATTGTACTTCTCTCTCGCCGGCGTGTGTTTCCCTATGTTCCCTTTCTTCCGCAAATACGCGTTCATGTTTTCGTTCCCCCCGTGTTTCATCAGAGATACCTGTTTCGCGTTCCAACTGTCCATCGTGATCGACCGCACGAACGACACGTGCACGCCTAAGCTCCTGTGTATGCCCGAACACCCCAAGCAGAGCCACAATCCGTTGGACACGGAGGCCCAGTCCGGGTTCCCGGTCGGGCAGTCCGCGCATAATTGGTTTCCTTTTCCTTCCTCCCTTTGTATTCTCGTTAGCATTGATCGGTGGTCTTCGTGTTGTTGTTGTTGTTCGTTTCCTCTCGACATCCTCCTCGTTTCTCTTCTTCTTCAAGAGCTTTTGCTCTTACGGAGATGTTTCCTCGCGCGGGTAATTTCCAATTCCAATTCTCTCTCTTTTCTCTCTTAAACTTCTTAATATTGCTTTCTCGACGACGACAACTCTCGACGATGAAAAAACGCTTTTTCCTCTCCGCTTCTTCGTAAAGAGAGAGAGAGAGAGCGCGTGTGAGAGAGACTTCTTCTTTCGTAAAGGAGAGAGCCTTTAAATGAAGCACATTCTGCGTTTCAACACCATACCAAACGTGTCGCCATTTCACACGCAACGACACATAATAAACCACTTTTGATGACGACGCGTAAAGAAGAGAAGCGACGGGAACACAAAAAGAGCAACAACAAAAACGTGACTCTGTGGGAACGGAAAAATAACGCGTTGCGTTTCATCGAAGACGAGGACAGGACGACCAAAACGTTGTCCGATTGGGGGAGATCCTCCTCGGTGTCCTCCGTTGGAGGGACGAGCGTGCAGAACACGAACAACGAGAACGAAGACGCGTTGGAAGTGCTCGCGAATTCCGTGAACGTTATTTTTAGCGACACGAATAGTAAGAGTAAGAGCACTACAAATGAGAACGCGTCGTACGTGACGAAGACGGAGTTTGATTTCGCGATGCAAGCCGCGCAGAACGCGCTCAAGGCGAAAACGAGAGCCAACCACATGTTGACGTTACAAGCGAAAGCGGCGATGCAAAACGCGGTGACCGCTTTAAAGATAACCGAGAAAGAGTGTCAAACGTTACGAACGCAACTGATGGATTTGAGGCGAGATCCAGATTTAGCGACGGAGTTGATGATTGAAGACGCGCTCAGGCGAGACCGGGAGCAGCTCAGAGTGGCGAAAGAACGGGTGAAGAAACTGTCGAACGCGTATAGGATGTTACAGAGCGAGATCGGGAAGGAGAGGTACGAAGCGGCGGCTTTTGTTAGCGGAGCGAGAAGAGGGGAAGAGGAAGAGGGAGGATACGAAGGAGAGCGAAGACGAAGAGAAGAGGGAGGCGGGACGACGTCGAGCGACGGCAACAAGCGCAATAATAGGAATACTACGCTCGTTTCAATTTTACCCGTCGCGATGGAATATCCTATTAAACTCGACAGAGCGCACGAGACGAGGACGATCGTTTTGGCGCAGTTGTGCATGCAAGGCTACGCGTTGGACGATTGCGAACGGGCCATGGAGGAGTTGCAATCGACGGATTTATACGAGTGTTTAGATTGGTTGGAGGAAAGGGAAGCGTTACGCGCTGTGTATAACGAAGAGACGTTGATGCTCAAAAGAGACGAGGAGGAAGAGAAGTTTGAAGAGGAAGAAGCTGAGGAGGAGGAGGAGGAATCTGAGGAAGATAGAGCGGCGAGACGACGGCGACAGCTGGCAGCCTCGAGATTAATCGACGACGAGACGACAGAAGATAACGACGACGACGACGACGATGAACGGAGTTCGTTCGAATTAGGTGATGAGTTTGATTACGCCAAATACGATTCATCGAATTTACGTTTGACTTCCGAAGAGTTGTACGCGGCAAGAGCAAGAGCGGTGCGCGTTTTGTGCGCGTGCGCCACGGATCCACCGTCGCGGCAAGAGCTTGATGAAAAAGAAGAACGACGAATGATGATGAACATAGAAGACAATCCCTTGGATTTAGGAAAGAAAGAAGAAGAAGAAGAAGTTTCGTTCGAATCGACAGATTTGGATGAAGACGATTCAGATTATGACGAAGAAGACGACGACGATAACTCGGAAGATTTAAGCGCGAAACGTAGAGCGAAGGAAGCCAAGATGAACACGCGCGCGAACCAAATGCTCAACTCACCCATCCGAAAAGACAAACATGATTTGGCAAAATCGGGTAAGAATTTGTCGTCACTGACGTCCGAAATTGTCATGAAAAAGGATCCAGAAGTTTTGCGGAAGGAATATTACATTCGAAGAGATAAGATGGCGTTCAGTTTTCGCGCGATTGTCGCGCTGACGAAACTCGCCGAATCTGCATCTTCTTCGTTTTTTATCTTACACAACGGCGGGTTACGCGCCGCCACGGAATGCTTGCGGAAATACGGAGAAACTTCCTCATCGTGTGCGAGAGCATCGTTCGCGCTGATTCGACAATTCGCCAGCGGTGGCGGAGGAGGAGAGGAGAATGGCGCCGACGATTTTTTCTCCTCCGTAACGGCGAAACATTTCGTACAAACCGAACGGTTTCGCATTTTGCCCTTGCTCGTTTTGCGCGCCGTCGAGGCACGAATGGAAGATTTCGACGTCGTTTCAGATGGACTGAAGTGTTTGTGGACGTTAATTGCGCTCGGCGGCGATCGAACGCGGAAGCAGTTGTTGAAGAGCAACATCGCGTTCACTATTCGAGACGCATTGGCGGTGTCGAAGGACGACGACGAACAATACCGCGGTCGACGGTTTAAGCGCGTCATCGGATGTGGGTTGGCCATGTGTTTAGATTGCACGGATGCGCAGGAGTTGTTCACTAGACTGAGCATACCAGGATTGATTCGAGCGAAGTTGATTGAGTTTCCTTCGATTAAGTTTTCTGGCGAATTTGCAGATTTGCGAGAGTTTCTGGCAAGCGCGAAGAAGAAGCCCACGCAGTGATTATGTATTCTAGTATTCTACTTTACAACTACTACTACTAATATTACTACACGTGTTCTTGTATCTACCGTTTCTCTTTCTCTTTCCTACTATAATACGTCTCTCGCTGAATCGTTCTTTTCTTTGGCGGTTCCAGCTGCCATCTCGCGTTGATTCGGTCTTGAAACATTTCGTTTAGCTCTTTGACTGTGCTTTCGGAAAACATGTTTGATCTCACGTCGCACTCTTCGCAGACCGTGTTTTCAGTCATGGCCCTTTCGAGCGATTCTGCGCTTTCATCCGTGATTTCGTTCCTTTGTAAATCCAAACCGAACAAAGTTACATTTTCCGACAACGCTTCAAATACTTCGTACGCGCCAGCGTTGTATATTTTATTATACCCCACGTTCAGTTGCTCCAAGCCTCGATTGTCGCACTCGTCTACTAACAACAAATCCGCGAGACCTTCGGCCGCGACTTCGTCCAAATCGTTCCCTCGCAAATTCAACAACTCTAGTTCGCTGCCATTTTCAATCTGCGCGGCGAGTGACGATAAAGCGTCTCTCACCGTTCTCCCGCCGCCGATGTCGTTGCACGCAAAGTTCAACGATTTCAACTTGGCCAAGTTTCCTTGATCAAACTTCCAATTCTCAACGATACACTTGAAGCCTTCTCGTTTGAGCGTGTTGCAGGATAAATCTAAATGCTCAATGCGAAGCAAGCGCAGGAGGTCGCCGGCATCTTTCACTCCTTCAGAAGAAATTGAATTAAAACCGAGCAGTAAAACTTTCAAACTTTTACTCGCGCCGCTACCACCTGGCGATAACAACGTCGCGCACCCTTCGTCGCCAATCCCATTGTGCGCCAAATCCAACCGTTTCAAAGTTGACTCGTCGTTGTGTAAAACCGAAGACGCCAGCGAAAGCGCGCCATCAGCGCCGATTCTGTTTGACATTAGATATAACCGCGTCAAACTTAAATGATGGGAAGCTGTCATGAGTGCGGTTACACCGGCGTCGGCGATATCGTTCGAGGCTAAATCGAGCCATCGTAGGCGAATTGGGTATTTTGCGCTTGGATTTTTGTACCCTTGACGAGTCAAAGCGCCGCCTAAGGACTGAGCCCCGTTATTCGTGCATGCAGATTTTCTCAGCGCGAGTCTGCGAAGGCTCTTCCACCCACTTCCGCCGTTTTCACCCTCGATTGTTCTCGCCACCGCACGAATTCCACCGTCGCCGATGCGTAACGACCAACTCGCGTCAAATCTCGAGACACCGTTTTTCGCCGCCGCCGGACAAATTTCTGTCAATGACTTTTCGCACGCCGCGTGTACCTTCAATCCGACACACGCCAACGTAAACGAAAGCTTCTCAAAATCTCTCGTCGATACTTTCCCCGCTGGTGTTGTAGCGAATGCCCGCCAATTATTTTCCAGACACCACACCAAGTCCCGTACGCTCTCGTCGAAATTGTTCACGTCCGGATGATGCTTTCGCACGTGCTCGATCAAATGACTCACGTTACACGTCAATCGTCTCAACTTGAAACCCATCGCTAAAGCTTTAATTTCGTTCACTTTAAATTTTCCGTTCTCGCCCAAATCAACCGCCACAATCTCCTCTAAATTACCACACTTCTTCGCCACCTCCATCAACATCGCTTTGGTATTACCACCGTTCTCTTGCTTACACTTGCTCACGTCCAATTTTCTCAGCCACGCTTTCGCGACGTTTGCGATGGTGAGTAAACTTCTTCCCTGACTAAAAATGGATGGCGTCACCTTCACGTTCCTGAACGCGCGTTTCGCCAGTTCGTCGTTTGCGTCGTCTGAATCGTCTTTCTTCTTCGCCAACGTCGCCGCGACTAAACTCTTCGCGTCTAATTTCCCGCAAATGAGAGCTGCCACGTCCACGTCTAACTCGTCAAGATACGGGAACATGAATTCCTCCTCGCTCGCATTATTCGTTGATGAAAACGCCTTCCCTTTCCACTCGTTCTCCCTCTCGCTTCTCTCATCTCGTTCATAGAAAAACTTATTCCGTCTGGCCGTTCTCGCCCACGGCCTCCCGTGTCCTCCAGATGCCGCGTTTAACGTCGGTCGGTCGCATCTGGAGGATTGAATGTCGGATTCTTTTTGTTCCGCGTCGCTCCAATCGGATTCTGAATCTGTCGAACACCACGTCGCCGTCGTGGCTTCTTCTTCATAAAATTCGTTGCCTTTATCACCATCATCATCATCGCCGCGCACGGTGGTGGTAGTCAATCGCGCGAGTCGCGAGACGAGTTCTTCGTGCACGTCGTGGTGGTTCACTTGCGGCGCTTGCGGCTGCATTCGTGTACGACGAGAGAAGATTTTTTATGAGGCGGTGGGAGAGAGTCGAGAAGAGAAAGAAAGAGAGAAAGAAGTGCAGTTGAAAAAGACGCAGATCTGATAAAACGTCTAGTATTGCACGAGTGGCTACATCCGCGACGTGTCTTGTTTGAATGCAAAAATATTAACGCACCCAGACTTGGTACACGTAGCTTATAGAGCTATTCGAAGGTAGTCCGCCGGGGTAATTAGAGGTAGGGGTTCCTTTATCTGTACCCTGTACCGTCAACTTTGTGTCTGTGTGTGTAATCAAACCGCCAGGCCCATTGCACTCATACACGTTCGCGTCGTGATCCCACTCGCCCGTTAAAGTACCCGGATAGGTGTCCGTTTGCGTCATGTATATATAATCCCCGCCTAAGCCGATCATCGCATCATCGTTGATGCAGGATAACCCATTATTATTATCCCCGAGTACATTATTATTGTCGTATCTGCACTGTTCTGACGTCATAAAACGCAAAGCATTGTTTCCGTAATGAAAGTTAATATATAACTCGCCCCCTTGTTGGGTTATTGGATCGTAAGGGACATTCTCAGCGCCCACTCTCGCAGTGTACTCGTACGTATGACCATGACCGGTGTAGCAGTTTGCCGAAGTCGCGCGCGTGTAATCGAGAAGTGATTTCGTCGCATTACGGAAAGGCCAAACAGTGTACGCTTGATACGAGCCGTCCGATGCATACCCAATCGTGATCATAATCTCTTCCATGCCTTTTGCACTTACCACGTCGCCATTGACGTAATCGTTATCTATTACGGATGAACTCATAGGTTCGCTCGAAAGAGATTGCGTCCAGTACGACGAACCGAATCCCATACTGTGTCCGTCGCTGGGATTCACAGTGTATGCGAGTTGCCATCCCCCGCCTTCAATTTCTACGTTGCAATATATATCCTGTCCATTTGAGAACTTGTTCGGGCCGTTAAATTCGGCGCAGGAACACGACAAGCAATCGGGAGCAGGGTTTGTAAAGGGAGCGCCTTTGTAGAAGTACACTTTGCCGGCCCATTTGATATTGCCATTGGACCTGGGATAGTAAGCTCTAGTAGCTCCAGCCAACACGGTATGTTCGAACATAGAAACGGAGATACCGAAAAAAAGCGTACCGTCTTGGGTATCGGGATCGCCGTCGAGATTGAAAATAGACTGAGCAGTAGCTGCATCGCTCGCGTGGATCTTTTCTACAAGCGTAAACTTCCAATCATAGTCCGAAAGCGTGTACGCGTAAAATGCTCCTGAATCTGGTATACCGTTACCGCTATCTTGATACGCCCCAATCAAAGCCGTGTCGCCGTGTAAAGAAACGGAACTACCGAAATTCGAATTAGCATCAGCGCCAGCGTCGCTCGATGTAAACGATGCTTGTTGCGTAAACGTCCCATCAGAGCTCGAACGCGTATACACGCGCACGCCAGAAAGAGCCCCAATCAGTGCCGTGTCGACGAATAGAGAAAGGGAGCATCCGAAAAGATCGTCTGCGGTCGCACCAGCCTCTGTGATTTTTGTTTGGTAAACAAACAAGCCATCTGGGCTTGAACGCGTGTATACGTCTATTTCACCTTTCTTACCAATTAAAGCCGTATCTCCGTATATAGAAACAGACCGACCGAGATAAGCGCCGGTTTTGTAAACGTCGTATCCAATCAACTGCTTTTCTGAGAACGTGCCGCTGGAACTTGACCGCGTGAATATGTACACGAGTCCACCATAAATGCCCCCCTCATTCATAAAACTAGGGTCACCAATTAATGCAGTGTTTTTGTATAAAGAAACTGAGGTACCGAAAGCTGCCGATGCATGTTCACCTGTCCTTGTGCGAATTGTCGAAGTGTGCTCAAACGTCGCATCTGAATGTGGACGAGTAAATACGTGTACGTGATTTGCCCCGAAGGAGTAGGGCGCACCAATCAACGCCGTATTTTCGTACACGGAAACCGCGTTGCCAAAACGATGCGATTCTCCAGCATAATACTCTGGTTCAAATATATATGGCTGCGCTGTATCTTCAGAAAGACTTGCGAGAAATATTGGCGGCGGTGACGGTGGTGGGGGAAGCGGTGGGGGAGGTGGTGCTTTGAACACGTATACAGATCCAGAATCTGATAATCCGTTATCGTCGTCGCCACGCGCCCCAATCAATGCCGTGTCGCCGTACAATGAAACGGAAACACCGAATTTATCATCCGCAGCAGCATCGCTGGCGTCGATTTTTGACTGTTGCGTGAACGTCCCGTCAGAGCTCGAACGAGTGAACACGTACACATATCCAGAAGATGAACTACCGCTTGCGTAATTGCCATGCGCTCCAATCAATGCCGTGTCGCCGTACAACGACACGGAAACACCGAAAGCATCAGACGCCGCCCCATCGCTCGCGTGTATTTTTGACTGTTGCGTGAACGGTCCGTCCGCGCTCGAACGCGTAAACACGTACACAGATCCAGAATTTGATTTACCGTTATCGTCGTCGTTATACGACCCAATCAGTGCCGTGTCGCCGAACAAAGAAACAGAACGACCGAATCCATCACTAGCAGCAGCATCGCTCGCGTGGAGTTTTGATTGTTGCGTGAACGGTCCGTCAGCGCTCGAACGCGTAAACACGTACACAGATCCAGAATTTGTACCGCTATCATCGTCGTTATGCGCCCCAATCAACGCCGTGTCGCCGTACAACGAAACAGTAACACCGAAATAATCATTCTCCGCCCCATCGTTCGGCTTGAGTTTTGACTGTTCCGTGAACGGTCCGTCCGCGCTCGAACGCGTAAACGCGTACACAGATCCAGCATTTGATTGACTGCTAGATTTCGCTCCAATCAATGCCGTGTTGCCGTATAAAGAAACAGAGATACCGAATTGATTACCGATATCGTTAGCAGCAGCATCGCTCGCATAGAGCTGTGATTGTTGCGTGAATATCCCATCAACGCTCGAACGTGTGAATACGTACACAGATCCAGAATTTGTTATACCGTTATCGTCGTCGTATCGCGCCCCAATCAATGCCGTGTCGCCGTACAAACACACGGAAAAGCCGAAATAGTCACCCGCAGCAGCGTCGCTCCCTGCGGTGATTTTTGGCTGGTTCTCGTCTTGAAGCAATGTCACGAGAAACAACGGAGGAGGCGGCGAAGGCGGCGGAGGCGGAGAAGGTGGTGGTAATGGTGGCGGGGAAGGCGCGACCCACGTACTTTTGATCGCATTGCACGAGCTCGCTGGACCGGTAACGGCATCGGTGCACTCGTATTTAGCTTGAAACGCGGTTGCGTCGAGAAACATGTTCGTTTGAGCCGTCGTCGCCGCCGTTCCAGTCCACGTAGAAATGTCTTGGTCGAACGCAGAAGCTTCATTAAACATGTACTCCATATCGAGCACGTTCGACGTGCTCCAACTTCCGATTGGTCGGTTAAACGCAAAGGCTTGGTAAAACATAAATTGCATATCCGTCACCTGAGACGTGTCCCAATTGGCGATGTTTTTATTGAACGCCGACGCTTCGTAAAACATGTACTCCATGTCCGTTACTTTTGACGTGTCCCAACTTCCAATGTCTTGGTTAAACGCCGCGGCGTAAAAAAACATGTGTCTCATGTTCGTGACTTGCGCCGTGTCCCACTGCGAAATGTCGCCGTTGAACCGAATTTTGTTTCTGAACCCTTGATTGACGCTTCCTGTTCCCGTCCATCCGTTCATATCCGTCACTAAACTCGTGTCCCAGTTTGGCATAGTTCCGTACGGCGTATTTTCAGCCGCCCATCTCGTGCACTCGCCAGTAACTGGAGCTTCCTCCAAACACGCGAAGACGAAAGCGTGCCAACTTTCGGAAGGGATTGGAGCCGACGGCGGAGGAGCAGGAGCAGGAGGTGAAGGTGGCGGCGGAAACATTTTGCGCTTGAACCATATTTGATGCAATTGGTTACGATCCCAGCTTCCATGATTATCGCATTTTTTCGCTGGTTGCCAGTGATATGCTCCCATTTGATAAAATGGATTATTTGTGAGATCTGACCCGCCGCAACAATTGTTGTCCGGCAGGTACGCCGAGTGATCGGGAAACTTTGTCGTCCCACTCTTATACACCGTGCCGTCGCTTAAACTATTCGTACCAGTTACGAGCGCGGTTTTAACCTTATCATGGCTCGTTGAAAAATGGATAACGCGGGAGTGGTCGTCTGTTCTGCAGTAAAACCGAACGGAATCGACATCCTCTGCAGTTAAGCCTAAATCTTCCAACCATATGTGCGAGTAACTCCCAGTTGGAGAGGATGGAATGGCTGTAACCAGCGGGTCGCTTTGCCCCTGCTTACGATCGTACGCGAGCAACAAAATCCAGCCATCACGATCTTGAAATACATACTTCCCATTAATTTCAACCCGTTGATTTGTGCGGCTCGTGCGTACAAATGCGAGTATGCCTCCGTGCGAGTTCTTGAAAGTATCATGAACTGATATTTGATTTTCGCCCCAAAACATGTAATTGTTGCCAACGGCGTGATCGTTGCCTACATTAATCCAAGGATCTTCTGAACCCGATCTGAAAAGATAGTACGCGTAGTTGCTTTCTCCGTTGGTGCCTTCAAAATTGCCCGAGGAGGCGACCAGATTCACAATACCGTTTGGGCTGTTGGATACGGTACTTTGGGGATAACTAATGTCCTCGAGTTTAAGCACAATCCAATACAACCCGTCCCCGGTTTTGAACATAATTTCATCCGCGTTTTGTCCCGAAAAATCTCTCCAATAGTCACCGATTGCGCCTGTATCTGAATACGTGCCGTATGAATAGCTCAAATCAAACCATGAGTTGGATCCTGAGTTGCCGGAAAACCACCCTCCGCTGGCCGGCGCCGACGCAAAGGACATCCAACCGCCGCCGGCTGTTTCTAAATCGCAGTAAATTTCTGTCGGGACCCCTCTCACATTAATCCAATACGTACCACTCGGCCGCCCAAGGAGGTCACTCGCGCTATCAACTGCCTCTGAGGAAGTCAGTCCAGACGGTGATGGAGGTGAGGCTGGCGGCGGTGAGGGTGACAAAGGCGACGTCGATGGCGGAGGAGAAGGCGCATCCCACGTGCTTTTGTACGAATCGCAAGAATGTGCAGGACCAGTCACGGCATCGGTGCACTCGTATTTAGCTTGAAATGCAGTCGCACCGGTGAACATGTTCGTTTGCGGCGTCGTCGCCGACGTTCCGGTCCACCCAAAGATGTCTCGGTTGAACGCAGAAGCGTAATAAAACATATATTCCATATTAGTCACTTGCGCTGTGTTCCAACTCCCAATGTCGTGGTTGAACGCAGAAGCGGAACTAAACATAGATCTCATATGAGTCACTTTCTCTGTGTTCCACTTCGAAATGTCGCCGTCGAAATAACTTTTATCGCCAAAGCCTTGATAAGCACTTCCAGTCCATCCACTCATATCTTCCACCAAACTCACGTCCCAATTCGGCATCGTACCATAATTGTTACCAGACGCCCACCTCGTGCACTCGCCAGTTACAGGAGCCTCGTTTAAGCACTCGTTGACAAACGCGTGCCAACTCGCACTCGGAACCTGCGCATTACACGAATTTGCCGGTCCGTTGATTGCGTCGGCACATCTAAAGGTGGCCTGAAATGCAGTCGCGCCATTAAACATGTTTGTTTGTTCCGTCGTCGCCGCGCGGCCTTTCCACTCATATATTGGTTGCTCGAAAGCTTCTGCGTGCTCAAACATCGATCCCATATCAACAACCTTCGACACGTCCCATTCTGCGATGGTTTGGTTGAACGAAGACGCGTTCTGAAACATCGAATTCATGTTCGTCACTCGCCACGTATCCCATTTCGAAATGTCGCCGTTGAAAGTACTTTTCCCTGCAAAGCCTTTTTGAAAGACATCTCCAGCCATTCCGCTCATGTCCGTTACCAAACTCACGTCCCAATTCGGCATAGTCCCGTGAGTATTCCCCAGTGCCCATGCAGTGCATTCGCCGGTGACTTCCGCGCCCTCTTCTGATAAACATGCTTCGACGAAAGCGTGCCATTTCGCATCTGGAATACACGCGGTACACACGCACGATTTCGACGGGCCGTGATCTACGTCCGTACACTCGTACTTGGCCTGAAACGATGACGATCCGGCGAACATGTAAGCTTGTGCAGTCTCGGTGGCGGGTCCCACCCAGTGTGAAATGTCCGAGTTGAACGCGTTCGCGTGATAAAACATCCACGACATGTCGGTGACCTGCACTGTGTTCCACCGTCGAACGTCCCGATTAAACGAGGGGACTTCATAAAACATGGCACGCATGTTTGTAACTTTTGAGGTATCCCATTTTCCAATGTCTTGATTGAATGCAGAAGCGCTGAGAAACATCGCGCGCATACTCGCAACGTTCGACGTGTCCCACCCTCCGATGGGTTGATTGAATGCGTAAGCTTCGTAAAACATGTACGCCATCGTCGTGACCGAGGACGTTTTCCATTTCGAAATGTCGCCGTTGAATTTTCTTCTTTCGCGAAAGCCAACCGCATTCGCGCCACTCCATCCGCTCATATCCGTCACCAAACTCGTGTCCCAGTTTGGCATCGTGCCGTAGTCGTTTTGCGACGCCCACGTCGTGCACTCGCCAGTTACAGGCTCTTCTGCTAAACACTCCGCAACAAACGCGCGCCAACTTTCGGACGGTATCGGCGTTAAAGGCGTAAGGGAGCAAGAGAAAATCGGCCCTAAAACGGCATCGTCGCACGTAAATTTAGCTTGAAATGCCGTCGCATTATAGAACAAGCTTGTCTGCGGGGAAAATGCCGCCGGACCAATCCACGAGTTGATGTATCGATTGAATGTGGAAGCGGAATAAAACATCCATTGCATATCAGTCACTTGCGATGTGTCCCAACCTCCAATGTCTTGGTTGAACGCAAAAGCGGAATCAAACATGCATTGCATCTCAGTCACTTTTCCTGTGTTCCAACTCCCAATGTCTTGGTTGAAAGCAGAAGCGGAGCGAAACATTCCATTCACCGTCGTCACTTGCGATATGTTCCAACTTCCGATGTCTTGGTTGAACGCGGAAGCGGAATAAAACATATAGCGCATATCAGTCACTTTTTCTGTGTTCCAACTTCCGATGTCTTGATTGAACGCAGAAGCGGACTCAAACATATAATACATATTAGTCACTTGCGATGTATTCCAACTCCCAATGGCTTGGTTGAACGCAGAAGCGACATAAAACATTTCTCCCATATCAGTCACTTTCTCTGTGTTCCAACTCCCAATGTCTTGGTTGAACGCAGAAGCGGAAGAAAACATATATGCCATATTAGTCACTTTCGATGTGTTCCAACCCCCAATGTCTTGGTTGAAGGCGCTACCTACCTCATCGCCAAACATCCATCCCATATCGAGTACTTGCGACGTGTCCCACATTGAAATATCTTGGTCAAATGCAGACGCGTTATAAAACATATCCTTCATAGTAGTCACTCCCCCTGTATTCCACTGCGAAATATCGCCATTGAAAGTCCATTTACACCCTAAGCCTAAGCATACTCCTGCGGTGTAATCCCATCCATTCATATCAGTCACCAAACTCGTGTCCCAATTCGGCATTGTCCCGTAACTATTGCCCGACGCCCACGTCGTGCACTCGCCAGTTACCTCCGCGCCAACTTCGGCTAAACACTCCAAGACGAACGCGTGCCAACTCGAACTTGGAATTGGTTCCGAAGGTGGAGACGGCGGCGGGGAAGGTGGCATCGGTGGCGGCAATGGCGGTGTCAAATACACTTCCTGCTTTGCCTTCACCTCCTCAATCATCGCTTTGATTTCAGCGAGTTCTGACACGACCTCAGCGGTGGCGCTCCGTACAAACGCCTTCTTGTCTCTCATGTTCGTAAATTTTTCCCTGAGCTTGACACCAGCGTCCGATCCGTCTGCCTCGGCGTATAGCGTGCTTACGTCGTTGCGCATCACCAAGTTCCCGCTTAGGGAAGAGTCCTCGGAGAAAACGAGCAAATTCTTCTCGCACGCTCCCCTTTTTGTCCATTCGGCGATATCTGCGGTACACATCGTCATATCGAATTCGTTTGGCGCATACGAAACGGGAGGAGGAAGAGGTCCTGAATTGGAAAGAGCAGGAGAACTTGCCGAAGGAGAAGGACTTGCCGCAGAAGGAATAGCCTCGCTTTGCGGCCCGACGTGATCTGTAAAACCAAGCGTCGCTTCAACTGTCTGCATGCAGCTCACGCCGTCTCCGCACGTCCATTCGTTCGCAGCGAACGCAAGCACATTGGGATTCGCGATGATAGCTCGTTCGGTAACTACGCCCGTATTCAAACCGTTCGCGTCGAAACACGGACAATCTCGATCGTACGCAAACGACTTTAAAGTACCGTCTGGTTGCGGCATGTTCGAGAACGTTTCGACGAAATCGCCGCACGTGCTGTATAACGCTCGACACGCGGAGACAGTCATCAAATTCGTCCCATCGCCGTAGCACCCAACTCCATAAGGCGCGCGATCTTGAACGTGATAATGATACACAGCCTGCGAAGGAGAATCTGGCGTTTTGCCGATGTGCGCGCCGCACGCGTCCAAGTTCGGTAATTTTTTGTTCGTAAAATCCTCCCACTTACCGTACATGATGTACGGGCCGACATCTCCAATCTTCGTCGAATGCGCTCCAGTTTGCTCGTACAAACAGTGATATCTTCCGTGAAAGTGGTAATCACCCGTGTGTCCGCCGCATGGCCCCACTGTTCCTCGATAGCTGTTGTCTGATTGAACGTTTGGAAACGAATTCTTCGCCGAGTCGTAACAAATCTTCCTCACTTTACTCTCCGCCAAACCAATATCCAAACCACCGGTAGAATCGTACAACAAGCTCGGCGTCGAACACCCCCAACCGGAAATGACGTTATCTTGCTGCGACGAAAAACCAGCCTCGAACGCGTTGAAAATGTGCGCGTTTGAAGGCACCGCGCTGCCAGTTGGCGCGTACGTCAACGTCTTCGTCGTCGTCCCATCGCCATAATCCGTATACGTTTCTGTTCCCGACGAGTACGTGCACCCGTTATCCTGTCGCAAACTCGCCCCGGCAGGGAGCGACAAAAATGTTGGGTTCACGCACGCTTTCGGAAGCGGCTGCGCGAGCGCAAAAAGCTTCCTCGATGTTTTTATTGCTGTTGTTGTTGTTGTTGTTGTTGTTGTTGTTCTCGTCGTCGTCGTCGTCGCCGAAAATAACAACAACGAAAACAACAGAAAGAAAATCGACGACATCGCGCTCGTCGCTCGCGAACGTCCTTCTCGCCCGCGAGAGGATACCATCTCTTCGCGCGCGCGCGTGACTCCGTCTTCTCCCTCGCTTCTTTCTCTCTCTGTCGAGAAAAACTTCTTCTTCCCGTTTTTCAGTCGCGACGCTCTTTTTTTCGTCGTCGTCGTCGTCAAAGTTGGAAGGAAAGGATTACGAAGAGAGAAGAGACGTTTTTTCTTCTCGATCGCGAGAGAAAGAACGCTTTGACCGCGCGAAAGGATGATAGACTGCGTTTTCCCGTTAAAGAAGAGCGTTGGTGTTCCACCGCGCGGCGCGTATTCGTAAACGACAGTAGTCTCGTCGAGAGAAATCTTGAGAGAAAAAACGGACGATTGCGAGATTTCTCCGGAAGGGTCGGGAAGGCGCGACGACGAAGTGAATGAAAGAGACGTGCCTCTTTTTTCTTCGATCGAGACCTCCTTCTTCTTAAGAGAGAGATGCTCGCTCGCTCGCTCGAAACAGAGAGAGAGATGAGAACAACAACAGATCTTGACCAAAAGAAGGACGATGCGTTTGTGTGTGTGTATTCTGCGCGAGATGTGATGCGCAAAGAATAATGGCAAACGAAAACGAAAAAGTAGCTGTTTAAAGTAGAGGCATAACCTAAACCGCTCCAGAGTGAAAAAATCGAGAGAAAAAGAAAAAGGTTTGAAGACATTTGTCTTTTTAAAAGTGCGTTGTTTGCACACGACGTGTTAAAAATACAACTGTTTTAGGAGGGCATTCATAATAACACAACTTTAGTATTTATGGGATACAGGGACCGCGTGAAGTCGTTGGTGATCCGTATCTACTTGAGCACGCACGAATTCGGTGGACCGGTGACGGCGTTGGTGCACGCGAATTTCGCTTGAAACGCAGTCGCGGAAGTAAACATGTAAGTTTGCGCCGTCGTCGCCGCGGATCCGGTCCACGAGGAAATGTCGTGGTTGAACGCAGAAGCGTAATAAAACATATATCCCATATCAGTCACTTGCGCCGTGTTCCAATTCCCAATGTCTTGGTTGAACGCTGAAGCGGAATAAAACATAGCTCTCATATGAGTCACTTTCTCTGTGTTCCAACTCCCAATGTCTCCGTTGAACGTAGAAGCGGAAAAAAACATACCTTGCATAGTAGTCACTTGCGCTGTGTTCCAACTTCCAATGTCTTCGTTGAACGCAGAAGCTCGATTAAACATAGATCCCATATCACCCACTTCTGCTGTATTCCACTCCCCAATGTCTTGGTTGAACGCAGAAGCTTGATAAAACATATGATACATATAAGTCACTTTCCCTGTATCCCACCTGGAAATATCAGCATTGAATGTACTTCTACCACCAAAGCCTTCATATGCACTTCCAGTCCATCCACTCATATCCGTCACTAAACTCACATCCCAATTCGGCATCGTTCCATACGGTTTTCCAGACGCCCACTCAGTGCACTCGCCAGTTACCGGCGCTTCCGCTAAGCAATCCGAGACAAACGCGTGCCAACTCGCGTCCGGGATGCACTTGGTACACGCGCACGAATTCGGTGGACCGGAGACGGCGTTGGTGCACGTAAATTTCGCTTGAAAAGCAGTCGCGTAGTTAAACATTTGTGTCATATCAGTCACCTGCGCTGTATTCCAATCCCCAATGTTTTGGTTGAACGCTGAAGCGTATTGAAAGATAGCTCTCATAGTCGTCACTTGCTCTGTATTCCAACTCCCAATGTCTTGGTTGAACACAGAAGCGACATGAAACATCCCCTGCATAGTCGTTACTTGCGCTGTGTTCCAACCCCCAATGTCTTGGTTGAACGCAGAAGCTTGATAAAACATAGAATACATATTTGTCACTCGCCCGGTGTCCCACTTCGAAATGTCGCCGTCGAATGTACTTTTACCGCCAAAGCCTTCAAATGCACTTCCAGTCCATCCACTCATATCCGTCACCAAACTCACGTCCCAATTCGGCATCGCGCCGTGCGCGCCGTATTTGTCCCACGAAGTGCACAAACCATCCACCGGCGCAATCGCTAAACACTCTGCGACGTACGCGTGCCAGTTTGCATCGAGAATCGGTTCCGGCAACGTGCACGTATTCGCCGGGCCGTCGTTCGCGTTCGCACACGCGAATTTCGTTCGAAACGAAGTCGCCGCGTAAAACATGTCGGTTTGCGCCGTCGTGGACGCGACACCGGTCCACGCAGAAACGTCTTGGTCGAATGAAGAACACTCGTAAAACATCCGTTCCATGCTCGTCACTTGAGAGACGTCCCAGTTTGTAATGTCCTGGTTAAACGAAGCGACAGATTCAAACATTGCGTACATGTCCGTGACTTTGGACGTGTCCCAACTCCCGATAGGTTGGTTAAACGAGGAAGCATCTAAGAACATAGACACCATGCTCGTGACGTGCGAAACGTCCCAGTTTCCGATCGGTTGGTTAAACGCGGAAGCTTTATCGAACATTGCAAACATGTTCGTCACGCGCGCCGTATCCCAATTCGTAATATCGCCGTTAAACATGTTTTTTTCTCCAAAACCAACGCCGTTCGGGTACCCGCTCATATCCGTCACTAAACTCGTATCCCAATTTGGCATCGTTCCATACGGTTTTCCAGACGCCCACTCAGTGCACTCGCCAGTTACCGGCGCTTCCGCTAAGCAATCCGAGACAAACGCGTGCCAACTCGCGTCTGGGATACACTTGGTACACGCGCACGAATTCGCCGGACCGGTGTCGGCGTCGGTGCACGAAAATTTCGCTTGAAACGCAGTCGCGCCGGAAAACATGACGCCTTGCGCTGTTGTCGCTGCTGTTCCAGTCCACGAGGAAATGTCTTGGTTGAAAGCAGAAGCGGAGCGAAACATTCCATTCACCGTCGTCACTTGCGATATGTTCCAACTCCCGATGTCTTGGTTGAACGCAGAAGCGGAATAAAACATCCATTGCATAGTAGTCACTTTTTCTGTGTTCCAACTCCCAATGTCTTGGTTGAACGCAGAAGCTTGATAAAACATAGAAGACATAGAAGTCACTTTCCCTGTGTCCCACTTCGAAATATCAGCGTTGAATGTACTTTTACCGCCAAAGCCTTTATATGCACTTCCAGTCCATCCACTCATATCCGTCACCAAACTCACGTCCCAATTCGGCATCGCGCCGTGCGCGCCGTATTTGTCCCACGAAGTGCACATACCATCCACCGGCGCAATCGCTAAACACTCTGCGACGTACGCGTGCCAGTTTGCATCGAGAATCGGTTCCGGCAACGTGCACGTATTCGCCGGGCCGTCGTTCGCGTTCGCACACGCGAATTTCGTTCGAAACGAAGTCGCCGCGTAAAACATGTCGGTTTGCGCCGTCGTGGACGCGACACCGGTCCACGCAGAAACGTCTTGGTCGAATGAAGAACACTCGTAAAACATCCGTTCCATGCTCGTCACTTGAGAGACGTCCCAGTTTGTAATGTCCTGGTTAAACGAAGCGACAGATTCAAACATTGCGTACATGTCCGTGACTTTGGACGTGTTCCAACTCCCGATAGGTTGGTTAAACGCCAAAGACTTATAAAACATGCTATCCATATTCGTCACGTGAGAAACGTCCCAATTTGAGATGCCGTCGCCAATAAACGATGCGGCGTCGTAAAACATAGATTCCATGGATTTCACGCGCGACGTGTCCCATTTCGAAAGATCGCCTCGGAAATCCGTTTGATTGTAGAACCCCATGTAACCTCTTTCCGAGGAGTATTTTTTACCCATATCCGTCACCAATCCGGTATCCCAATTCGGCATCGTCCCGTACGTCCCTACTTTATCCCAACTCATGCATTCGCCGTATTTCGGTTCAAGTTCTAAGCATTCCGAGACAAAAACGTGCCAACTCGCGTCCGGGATGCAATTGGTACAAGTGCACGAATTTGCCGGACCGGTGACGGCGTTGGTGCACGCGAATTTCGCTTGAAACGCAGTCGCGTAGTTAAAGATGCCACTCTGCGCGGTCGTCGCCGCCAAACCAGTCCAGATGGAAATATCGTAGTTGAATGTATTCGCTTTGTAAAACATATTAGCCATAGAGGTTACTTGCGACGTGTCCCAGTTTCCAATCGGCTGATTAAACGCGTAATCTTCGTAAAACATTTCTTGCATAGACGTCACCGACGACGTGTTCCAGTTTCCAATCGGATGATTAAACTTATACGCGCTACGAAACATTCGGTACATGTTCGTAACTTTGGATGTATCCCAGGTCCCGATCGGTTGATCGAAGCTGTTCGCACCGTAAAACATTCCATCCAAGCTGGTTACTTTGGACGTGTCCCAATTTCCAATATTTTGGTTGAAACGATACGAGTGATGAAACATGAATCTCATATCAGTCACTTGCGACGTGTCCCAATTTCCAATGTCTCCATTAAACTTTATACCACCTCGAAACATAAGGTACATGTTTGTTACTTGCGAAGTGTCCCAATCGGATATATCACCGTTGAAATTTCGTATGTTTCCGGTGTCGTGTCTCGTCCCGAAGCCTTGATGCGTTGTCCCCCATCCGCTCATATCCGTCACCAAACTCGTGTTCCAGTCGGATATGACGCCGTGATTGGTTTTTGATCCCCAACTCGTGCACGCGCCGTGACCATGTTCAGCTAAACACTGAGCGACTGCATAATGCCACCCGTCGGCAGGGATAGGAGTCACAGTCTCGTACCACTGCTCGGTCCAATCGGGGTCGACGGTCGTGCACGTCGATGGATCGACAGAAAGCTTCGCAGAATTTGTGCACGTGTATTTCGCCTGAAACGCTTTCGCGTACGCAAAAATGTTGGAAAAACTGGTGACTTGCGACGTGTCCCAACCACTGATGTTTTGATTAAACGCGTAATCTTCGTAAAACATTTCTTGCATAGACGTCACCGACGACGTGTCCCAGTTTCCAATCGGCTGATTAAACTTATACGCGCTACGAAACATTCGGTACATGTTCGTCACCTGCGACGTATCCCAGGTCCCGATCGGTTGATCGAAGCTGTTCGCACCGTAAAACATTCCATCCAAGCTGGTTACTTTGGACGTGTCCCAATTTCCAATATTTTGGTTGAAAGCATACGAGTAATAAAACATGAGTCTCATATCAGTCACTTGCGACGTGTCCCAATTTCCAATATTTCTATTGAACTTTATACCACCTCGGAACATGTGGTGCATTTTTGTTACTTGCGACGTGTCCCAATCGGAAATATCGCCGTTGAAATATCGTATGTTTCCGGTGTCGTGTCTCGTCCCGAAGCCTTGATACGTTGTCCCCCATCCGCTCATATCCGTCACCAAACTCGTGTTCCAGTTGGGCATCGTTCGATAATTGTTCTTCGAAGCCCACGTTTTACAATCTCCGTGAGTGTGCTCACTTAGACACTGAACGACAAACGCGTGCCAACTGGCGTCCGGAATTGGGTCGCCCCCGACGCACGAGTTTACGGGACCGTCAGTCGCCGACGTGCACGAAAACCTGGCTTGAAACGCAGTCGCCGAGTTGAATACATCATCTTGCGTCGTCGTCGCCGCCGTCCCCGTCCACGAAGAAATGTCTCGATTAAACGCAGAAGCAGAGTAAAACATGTTCGCCATGTTCGTTACTCCTGAAACGTCCCAGTTTGCGATGTTTTTATTAAACGCAGAGGCAGAATGAAACATTTGATACATGTCCGTGACCTGCGACACGTCCCACCTTCCAATGTCTTGATTAAAGTCGAACCCTTTATAAAACATAGCGCGCATGCTCGTCACTTGCGAAGTGTTCCATTTAGAAATATCGCCGTTGAATTGTGAAAACGAAGACTTCTTTCCGAACCCGAAATAATCATCCGAGCCGCTCATATCCGTCACTAAACTCGTATCCCAGTTTGGCATCGTCCCGTAGTTATTTCCCAATGACCACGTCGTGCACTCGCCAGTTACTTCCGCGGCATCCTCCGCTAAACATTCTGCGATGAAAATGTGCCACATCGCATTCGGTATCGGGTCTGGTATGAGCACGCAAGAACTCGGAGGTCCATTAGTTGCGCTCGCGCACGCGAATCTTTTCAAGAACGCCGTCGCGTCGCTGAACATGTGTTCCGTATCCGTCACTTTTGATGCTTCCCACTTTTTTATATTCTTTTCAAACGCGACGGCTTGTGCAAACATTCCAAACATACTTGTCACTTGCGAAGTATCCCAATTCCAGAGGTTTTGATTAAACGCGGAAGCTTGATTGAACATCCCACGCATATTCGCAACTTTTGAGACGTCCCATTTAGATACGTCTTGGTCGAAAGAAGAAGCTTGGTAAAACATGTTCTCCATGCTTGTTACTCCCGAAGTGTCCCATCTCGATACGTCCGCGTTGAACGATGTTTGAGTTGCAAATCCTCGGTAGACTGTCCCGTCGTAGCCGCTCATATCCGTAACTAAACTCGTGTTCCAATAACGCATGGTGCCGAAATTTTTCGTCGACGCCCACGTCGCGCACTCTCCATCTATCGGCGATTCCGCTAAACACTCGCTCACAAAAGTAAAAAAGCTCGCGTCATCCGGGATGGCGTGACGCATTCTGAACCAAATTTGATGTAAAGTGGTCGCCGAGTACGCGGTCGTGGTTGTATAGGAAGCGTCGTCGCATTCCCACCGCGACGCGCTCGCGCCGGCGCCGATGCTCCAGTAATACGCGTCCGATTTATAAAACGGCGTTTCCGTGAAATCTTTCGCATCATTGACAGAATCGATTTCGTCTGGCAAAAAACCCGTGTGTCCATCGTGTTTTCTCGTCGCATTTTCTGTCCAGTGTGATACCATATTACCAGACGTCGAACCGCTCACGATTGCGGACTTGATCCACTCGCTCGTGAGCGAGAAATGCACGACGCGATTGTGATTCGAGCTCGTGCAAAAAAAACGAACAGAATCAACGTCGTTTGCCGTTAACGACAAATCGTTCAACCACGCGTGCGAATACCCTTCGTTCGGCGACATCGGTGGCGTTCCCGATACGAGCGCTTCATTCTCGCCGCCGACGTGCTTATACGCGAGTAACAAAATCCACCCGGTTGAGTCTTGCAACAACTCTTTGCCGTTGATGTCGATAACAGCAGCGGGTGGCGGCGACGGACTCGGAGGCGGACTCGGAGGAGGAAACGGTGAGCGGAATACGTACACTTTGCCCGCATTGGTCGCTTTATCGTCATTCGAAGTAGCTCCAATAAGAGCGGTATCGCCGTATAACGATACCGAAGTACCGGTATCGTCATTAGCCGACGCGTCAATCTTCGTCTCTTCATTCCAAGAAACAGTGTTGATTCCATCCGATCCATATGATCGCGTAAAAATGTACACCGCACCGGTATTAACAGTAATGAGAGCGGTATCGCCGTGTAACGATATCGCCTTGCCGAATTGGTTACCAGTCGCCCCGTCTGAAGCGTAAAGCTTCGTCTCTTCAGTCCAAGAAACGGTAACTCCGTCCGATGCGAGTGATCGCGCGAACACGTATACTGCACCTGCATTCAACTCTGGATCATCCTCATAACTCCCCACCATTGCGGTATCTCCGTGCAAAGAAACGCTATTGCCAAAGTTACCCCAAGAAGACGTGGATGGGTTGGACGCGTACAGTTTTGTCTGTTGCGTCCACGTCGTCGTCGTTCGAGAAAAGACGTAAACGGATCCCGCGTTGGTGCCTTTATCATCGTCCGATATCGCTCCAATCAACGCTGTGTCTTTATGAAGTGAGACTGACGCACCGAAATGGTCGTAGGTAGCTGCGTCGGACGCGTAAAATTTCGTCTCTTGAGTCCATGATGTCGAACTGACTTTTGTAAAGACGTACACCGCGCCGGCTCGAGTACCCTTAGCATTATCGTACGACCTTCCAATCAGAGCTGTGTCGACATATAGCGAAACGGAAGTTCCGAAATACGTCGATGCAGACGGATCCAATGGATATATTTTCGTTTCTTCGTTCCACGATCCACCCGATCGGGTAAACACATACACCGAACCACTTCCACCACCTTGGTCGTCATCTTTCCAAGCTCCAATTAACGCCGTATCGCCGTAAAGCGATACACTTTTCCCGAAATTATCGCCGGCGACTGCGTCGCTCGCGTAAATCGTCGCACCCGTATCCTCGAGCATATTCGTCAAAAATATTGGCGGATTCGGGGGCGGATTCGGCGACGGCGGTGGACTCGGCGGCGGCGGATTCGGCGGCGGACTCGGCGGTTGATATACTTCGGATTGTTTCTCCTTCACTGCCAAACACGTCATTTTCACTGCAGTAAGTTCCTGCGTCAGGCGCTTGACTTCATCAACGAGCTCGTCCATTTCTTCATCCTGCTCTGCAATCTTTCTCCCCACTTCAATTTCTTCGCCGTTCAACAGCGTCATGAAAAATTTCTTCTTCACGGTCAAACTGCCGTAAAATTCGGTATCGTGCGCAAAGATGACCAAATTCTTTTGGCACAGATTCGTTTGCCTCCACTTCGGCACGTTCGCGACGCACTGCGACGACGCTTTCGCGCCGCCGTCGTCATCAACATCGGCGGCGGAAACGCCGCCGCCGCCAAAGCTCGTCCCGAAAATAAAGGCGACAAACGCGAACGCGAAAAGTATCCGCTTCCTAAACTTTGAGAGACGAAATACCACCACTGGTTGCATCTTTCTCGCCCTTTTCTGGTGAGAGAAAACGGACGATCGAGAGATTTCTCCTGAAGGGTCGCGAAGGCGGGGATGAAAGAGACGTGCCTCTTTTTTCTTCGATCTAGACCTCCTTCTTCTTAAGAGAGAGAGAGATGAGAACAACAACTTGAAAGATCTCTTCTTCTTTTACCCGAAGGAGGACGATAATGCGTTTGTGTGTATGTATAATGCGCGAGATGTGACGCGCAGAGAATAATGGAACGAAAAGCTGTTTAAAAAAAGTAAACCTAGAACACAAAAAGGTCCACTACGAGTTAAAAAAAAAAATATCGTTGTTGTTGTTTTGAAAATAGTGTGTAAAGAAGTGGAAATAAGTGAGGATATTGAAATACAACACTCTGTGAAATAATAATCTGTATTTAGGGTAGTTAGGGTTGTGACTCTTACACACCCCCCGCAAGACTCACTTCCCACGTCGCGCGCCGCAGATGGTTGCATTGGTTGAACATAGGCTGATGTGTCTTTTTTGTTTTTCTTTTTTCTTTTCTTGTGTATTTTTTCTTCTTTTTTGTTTGTGGTTTTTCTTCTGTTTTTTGTAACACTGGATATATAAAATTCGTTCTTTCGTGTGCTTCTCTCATCGCTTCTTTTCTTCTCTCATTTTGTCGCGACATCGAGAGTCGTTCGAGAAAATCCGATGAGTCGTCGTTCTCATTTCTCATCGACGACGAACGTTTTAATAACGAAAGTTTGGCGAGGTATACGTCCGCGATGAGTGAGATTGTTTTTTTCTGATCAGAGTACGAGACGGAGACACGATTTGACGACGACGACGAGGAAAAGAGACGAGGGGAAAAGAGGACAAAAACGAACGCAAAAACGACGTATGCGTTGATGATGAAGAATACCACGAATGAAATCGAAAGAGGATAACGCCGACGACGAGGGGTTGTTTACCCCTCCGTCGTGTTTTTTGTTCGCGTGCGGCGCTTTCGCGTGCGACTTTGGAGAAGGAGGAGGAGATGAAAATGTCATCGGCGTAACGAACGCTTCTTCTCAAAGTCATCGTGACATCGAACGCTCAGGAGGCGCTTGGACGAAAAACGAGAGGAGGAGGACTTTTGAGATGTCGATGATACCCGAAGGCGACGAGTTTTGCATAACTTCGGCGAAGGAGAAGAAGGGAAATAATCAAGAAGAAGAACGACGAGATGGTGATGATGATGATGATGTCGTCGTTCGAGCGGTTGGATTCTCGTCGTCGATGAAACATTGGGCGAGTTGGACGAAAGGCGAGGATTTGGAAGTTCGAGACGAGGAAGACGATAAAAGTCGTTCTCCTCCACTCGAACTTCTTTTCTCGGGATGGAACCAATTCGGGCAACTCGGCGATGGGAGTTGTCAATCGAGAGCGCCTGATGATTTTCAACCGGTGCCTCTGTTCTCGCGGATGAACATTCGAGTGCGGAAAGTTGCGTGCGGTTTGTTTCATTCCGTCGCGTTGTGCGAAGGCGGCTCCGCCTACGGTTTCGGACAAAACCCGCAAATAGGCGCGCCGAAAGATGTCAAATACTCCACGATACCACGCCTCATCGAAGGCGGCGATTTAAACGACGAAGACGAGATTGAATTCATCAGCTGCGGATCTCGCCACACGCTCGTCGCGACGAAACGAAAAGTTTTCTCCTTCGGCTCCAACGCGAAGCGCCAGTGCGGCTTTTTACGAGACGACGATACTACCGACGACAATACCGAAAACGACGACGACGAAGAAGAAGAAAAAGATAACGTCTACCTCCCTCGCTTAACGCTCTCAATAGTGCGAGGGTCCTCTTCTCGCATACATCGCGTTCGGTGCGAACGATGGAGTTCTTTCGTCCTACTCTCGTCGTAACGCGTTGTTTCATACGACTCAGTACGAGCTCTTCTGCGTCACAACTCTTCCTCTCATCAAAATGCAACACGCGCACCCTCTTTTCCCGGCGTCGACGGAAAACTTCCTCCGCCGTGGATTCTTCCTCCTCTCTTACCTGTGCTTCACGCATAAAGTCATATTCCAAACCTTGCATCGCACCAGCCGCCAAACGAGCGCGACATCGCTCCTCCACTCGGTCGTGGAAACGTTCGTTTTCGCGCTCGTCGCGTTGCCGTTTTGGAGAAAACTGAACGGGCGAGCGATGTTCGTCCCGATGAGCAGCGGGTCGATTTTTCTCCGCAGGTTCGCCAAGAAGGAGACAGAAAGGAAGAGGAACAGTGATGCGTTTCAAGGAAGGAGGAGGAGGAAGAAAATGATGCGCACAAAGAGCAACGTAAACGCGTTTGTCTTTGGGGAGGAGGCGAGGAGGGATTTTGGTGAGGAGAAGGAAAAGAACGAGGAGGGAGGAGGCGGAACGATCACGATGAAATCGATCGAGTCGAACGTTTCGAAACTGGAACGAATGACGCCGGTGTTCAGCCAAGAGTTGATGGCGTTCGTGAGTGGGAATAAGAGCGAGTTGTACGAGAAGAGGAGAAAGAGGAACGTCGCGGAGGCCGTCGTCGCCAAGCGAGGAAAAGAGGAGGATTTTCGGCAACCGACGAGTCAGTTTTTGTCAGTTTTTAGCGTCGGCTCGAGGAATAGCAGCGGTAGTGAGAACATGGTATTGTCGTTGACGGACGAGAGTTGCATTCGGCCGAGCGAGTTGGCGAAGAAACATTTTCCGGCGGTTATGAATGCCATGCGAGAGGTGAACGGGATGAACGTGAGAGTGGTCGCGTTGAGGCCGAGTTATAGGTACGAGGAGAAAAAGAAGAAGAAGAAGAAGATGAAGACGAGCAAGACGACGAAGAAGAATAGCGCGGAAAATGACGACGACGACGACGACGACGACGATAGCAATACTAATAACAACAACACTAGAAGAAACTATTACTTGGAAGAAATCATAGCGAAAAGCAATCGACTGAATCGTCGGAATAAACCGAAACGGTTCCCTCTTTCGGATAGTTTGTACACCGCGTACGCGTGCTTAGCGAAAGATGCAGACTGCGATATCTCCGATGTTGGCGTAGAGGCGGAATTTTTAGGGCATCCGGTACAGAAAATGCCACTAGATGTTGGCGAAGTCGTCTGCGTGGACTCTTTGGCGAGAAGTCGAATGTTCAACGCGGGAGAGGCTATTTTAGAATACAACGAAGAAGACGAGGAAGAAGAACAATACGAGGATAACGACGACGACGACGAGAACGAGCACCGGCTGCTCCGAAAGAATATCTTTGCCAAAGCTGGCAAAGGATGCGTCGTCCTCGTCTTTGACTTGCTCGATCCGAAATACGAACGCAACGGCACCGCTCTAGGCATCGCCAAGTGCGTGGAAGAAATGACCAGAGTTTTCGGTAACGAAAAGAGCAGCGCGTTTGAAAAACTAGCCGTGAGCATCAAGTGTAATCTATCTTAACGAATCTAGTGTATATTTGTATTTATATATTACACAAAATGTCATCGTTCTTCTTCTTCTTCTTCTTCTTCTTCTTTGGCATCGTCTAAACCGACGCCTAACCAATCGTCGTAATCGATCCAACCGTCGTCTCTATAATACATACCCGGTCTGACTGGAACTCGACTCGGCGTCGTCCGAGAATCAACCGCTGCCCACCACTCCGCTTGCGTCCGTATCCTCCGCTCTTTCGCGAACTCTCGCGCGAGCGCTTTCGCTTCCGCGAACGGTAACGGTCTCCCTAGCCAATCGTCCATATCAATCCATCCGCGATTTCTGTACGCGTTCCAGGGATCTCTCGGAATGAACACGCATCCGCGTCTGCGGTCTTTCGCCCAATCTCGCCAATCGTCCTCGTCGTATAACCCTAACGTCCAAACGAACTCTCTCGCGACTTCGTATTCCAAAATAAGCCGGCTTCGGTGTTCCAATTTCTTTCCTAACTTGTTTTTTCCCCATTGCCTCCCGTCGCCCCATTTCGGGTCGATTTTTTGACTCGTGATGACGACGACATTCCGCCGTTTACTGGTAGATGCGTTGTTGTTGTTGTTCTTATTGTTGTTGTTGCCGCGGAGGAGGTGGATGGAAGGATGGTGATGACTGCAAAGAGAGGAAAAGCCAGTCATTCGATTTTTGCGTGTGTCGGTTTGGAGTTTAAAATTTTCTCTAAGACTCGTAGTACTCTTGATTTATATTGACAAAAGCTTATATTGCCGCTTTCTCTCTCTCTCTTTCTCTCTCTTTTCTCTCGTTTCCTAAATATATATGTGTGTGTGACGTTTAACCAGCTCTGGCGTCGTTCGGCCCCGGGCCTCCGGCTTGTTTGCTCATGATGATTTGGTCTACGCGCAACACGGTTCTGGCGGCGTCCACGGCGAGCTTGAGCGCCCAGTGTTTGACTTCCAACAAATCGACGATCCCGGCGGATTCGCAGAGATCGACCGTTTCCTGGTCGCCGGAAACGTCCACGCCCATTCTATTGTTATTTTTGTTACTACTACTGTGCGCGGCGTATAAAGAGGCGATGACGCTGGTGGCGTCTAAGCCGGCGTTTTCGGCTAAGGTTCTCGGGACGAGTTCTAAAGCTTGCGCGAATTTTTGGATGGCGTATTGGTCCAAGCCGGTTTGGGTTTTCGCGTAGTCGCTGAGGCGTTTGGCGAGAGCGATTTCAGTCGCACCTCCGGCAGCAACCGCTCGCGAGTCTCTCATTAACGCTTTGTACGCGTTGATGCCGTCGTCCATGGCGCGTTCTAAATCGTCCATCGCGTTCGCCGTGGCGCCTCTCAAGATGATGGTGCTCACGCGAGAGGCATCGTCTTGTTTTAAAACCAACACTTTCGAGTCGCCGATTTCCACGACGTCGATTTTCGACGCGTACCCTAACTCGTCCGGTTTAGGTTTGCCTAGTTTAATCAACGTCGTCGCGTTGGTCGCTTTACAGACTCTTCGTAATTCAAATTTTGAGGGGATTTTCACCGCCATAATTTTCTTGCGCTCTAAAAAGTGCAACGCCAAATCGCCGAAAGATTGACCGGTGAACACGACTTTACAGCCACTTTCGACGATTTCGTCGATGTACTTCTCCACTTGCAGCTCCTCGCCTTTAGAATATTCCTCTAAATCTTTACCGCTTTGAATCAAAACCGTGCCTTTCGTCTCCGTGGCTTGCGTGTCCACGGCGCACCCAAACACGGCCACCTTGGCGTTTTCTACGTGTCGGACGGACCCTTCCACGTTTCTCCGTATGACCATCCCGTGAATCGTTTGCACGTCGTTAATGTTTCCGCCGACAATTTTTGCCGTCCTCACGTCTTCCACGTTAAAATTCTTCGCGTTCTTCTTCGGGCACACGTCCACGCACGCCTCGGCGACGATACTCGCCAACTGTTCCTCGTACCCGCTCTGTTTCGAACTCAACGTCCCTTTCAACCGTTTCGCCACGGCCACTTTATCTCTCACATCCATCGTCTCCGTCCCTTCAATAGCTAACTCCTCATTCAACCACTCCAAACACTTCTCCAACGCTTTCTGATACCCGTCTCTGATCTCGCTCGGGTGCAACCCGTCCCGAATCAACTCCTCGGCGAGACTCAACAACTCCCCGGCAAACGACACCACAAAGTTCGTCCCGTCCCCGACTTCCCTCTCCTGCGCTTCCGCAGCCATCACCACGACTCTCGCCGCTGGGTGTGCCACTTCTAACTCTCTCACGATCACCGCCGTATCCGACGTCACGAATAATTTTTCCAGATGGTTGATGACCATCTTGTTCATGCCGTTCGGGCCGAGACTCGTTCTCGCGATTTTCGAAAGCTCTCGGCACGCTTCGATGTTTTTAATCACCGCTTCGTCCAGGCCGGATAAGTGCTTGTGACCATCCTGTTGTTTAAAATAAAAGTCGTTTTATGTGTGATAACACATCATCATCATCGTCATCGTTTTGAAAAGAAGATTATAAGATCAGAGAGAGAAGTCAACGCCGAGATCGAGAGTTTCCTTCGACGACGGCGGAAAACCACGTTCGTCGTTGGAAAAAACAAACACATCTCTCCCTCTCGTTGTCGTAAAAACACGCGTCAAAGAGGACATAAACGTGAGACAACAAAAAGAGAGAAGAACGCATTTTTTCGTACCTTCAGCATGGCTTGGAGCCCGTACGGCATTCCAGCCGACATTATTACGTGCGCGTTTCTTCTGTTCTACAGAGAAGGAGCAAGAGTAGTATAATACTCTCGCGTGAAATGAAAGAAAAGTGTGCTCTCGTCTCTCTGTTTGTCTCTTCCTTTAAAAAAAAAAAATGGAAACCCTAAATACATTTTTTTTTTTCCTTCCTTTTGTCTTTTCTTTCTTCCTTTGTGACGACAGTTGCGTGTTTTGTGTTGTTTGGATATTTTGTGCGCGCAACAATAAAAACAACATGTATTCTGCCATCGCGTCTTTTGCTGCCGCGCAACAACGCGCTCCTCAAAAACAACAGCATCATCGTTCTCATCATCGTCAGGAGGAGCAGCGCAGAAGAAGGCTTTGTTGTAGATTTTTATATTTTCGGTCGTCGACGACGAGCAAAAGTCGTCGTTCTTGTGGTGGTTTTGGTGAAGAAGCACACATCGCGTCTCGATGTGACGATGATGATGGAAAAACCGAATCAGACGAGGAAGAAGTTTCAGAGGAGGAGAGAACCACACGGAACAACAACAAGAAGAAATCAGTCTGCATCGTCGGCGGGTGCGGACGGATTGGGTCTCTAATCACTCGAACAGTTTTAAACGACCCGGAGAGACGATACGAGAGAGTGCACGTGTTGACGAGAAATGTGAACAAATGCATCGCACAAAACGACACGATGAAGGAAGAAAACGAAGAAGAAGGACGATTGACGTTTGGCGAGTGCGACGTGACAAATTTTACCGCGGAGCAGTTATTAGAAAGCGTGAAAGGGTACGACGAAGTCGTCGCGTGTTTTGGAGCGCAGAGAATCTCGAAACCGTTCGATTGGATCACGAACGCGGAAAACGTGGACGAGCGACATCCGAAATCGGTGAACTTTTGGGGCGTGAGGAAGTTGGCGTTGGCGGCGAAGGAAGGCGGGTGCGAACGTTTCGTTCGAGTGACTGGGATGAGCGTCGGGTATTCTGCGTTTGACTTCATAGCGGTTTTGTTGAATAACGTGTTATCGATGACGATTAAGTTTCAATTGCTCGGGGAGTTGGCGATTCGAGAGGCGTGCGTCGCGAACGACGAAACGAAATCGTCGAAAAGGATGTCGTATACGATTGTTCGGCCGGGGAACTTGACAGATTGGGAAGGAATTGATAATAATAGCGACGACGAGAAAAATAGCGGCGCCAGTAGTAGCAGTAGTACGAAGAGTAGCAGGAGCAGCGGCGGCGCAAACAACAAGAAGAACAACAACAACGAAAGAGTCGTCGTTCTAACGCACGGCGCCAACCACATCGACGCCTCCAAAGTCAGCCGAGAAGACGTCGCGCACATTATCTTCGTCGCCTTACAAAACAGAAAAGCGACGGAAAATGTTACCATATCCATCGCCGGTGCGAACAAAGCCACCGCGGGTATGCGAAGCGCCTTTCGCTGGGATCCGGCGAGAGGAGCGTATTGGGAAACGCAAGCCATCGACGACGCGAATGTTCAAATCCTTTCCAAATGGTCTGACTTGGACGTGCGTAAATTTCAACCGGACGAGGAGAACGACTTGAAGGAGAAAGCGCATCAGTTTTGGGCCTGGTCTTTTTTGTTGAGCGCATTTGGAGTCGCCTATTTATTCCTCCGAGCGATATTCTCTTTGGTTCGTTTCTTTATGCTTAGTTTGACGAGTAGTACTTTCGCGGCGGTATAATGGTGTGACGATGATGATGATACGATGATGATAATACTAATAATACTAATAATAAGAATAGTAACGCATATTATCAAGTATAAAATTAAGTACTGCTTCTAATCGCGACCAACTTTACGTCGAACAACAGCGTCCGATTAAAATCTTTCAACGTCTTGTTATCCAACACGAAATCGAGCGCTCTCAACCCACCAAACGTCGTCGGTTTCGGTCCAACCCCGTTATATCGTTCACCGGGATTCCGACTGTATCCTAATTTCTCCTCTAACTCGCCGGCGATTTCGATGCGTTTTATACCGCCTTTCCCCATATTCAACACCGCTTCGTCGAACGCCGGTATCGCCTCGCCGGATCCAACTCGAAACGTAAACGGCGCGTCCGTCTCTCGCGTCGACTCGATCTTCTTCGCCTGGTACCCCGCGGTGTACCCGACCCAATCGACGACGACCACGTCGCCTTTCTTCGGCACTTTCGCGAGATCGCCTTCTCGCAAGTCTATGTATCTCAGACCAGAGTATGAGGTAAAAAACTCCATATCGCCTTCCCGGAGAGAGGTGTTGCTGTTCGAGCAGTTTTCGCAATCTTTGACTTGGCCTTTTAATTCAGCCGCTTGTGAATTGGTTGTTCTCCCCGCAAAAGAAGACAACAACGCGCTCATTCCCGTCATCAAAACCGTTTTTCGTCTGTTGTTGTTGTTGTTTTCGCCGCTGCCTTCCTCCGCGATGAGCGCAGCGGTCGTGTGAAAGTTTAAAGCCGTTCTTCTTCTCGTTAAAGAATACGAAGAAGAAGAAGAAACACTCGTCGTCGTCGTCCTCGTCCTCCTCTTTGAAGTCGTTCCTAAAGAGGGAGGAGAAACAGACGCGTTGCGAGAGCGACAGCAGCAGGAGTTATACGACATGTGAGATGATGTAAAACTTCGAGTTTTGAAGCAAAATTTTCCCCTTCTTCTTTTTACAAGACAATCATTTAGGGTTTTTGAGATAAACCCTAAACGTGTAGCCTAAAAAGAGGACGCGGAGGAGAATTTTTCTCCAATCATATCACACGTACTACACGACTTCTATCCATGTCGCGAGGACGAGAAAAAGCATCATCTCTGTCGTCATCGTCAGCGGCAGCGACAGGAACGAATATGAGTCTCGGGTACAGAGGGAGTAATACCAAGTTCAATTACGATTTGGAGCGACAACCTTTAATAAATGATGAAAATGATGATTTTGATGTCGAGAACGAAGAGGACGCGACGAAAATGTTCGGAACAACTTTGAGGAGGAAGAAAAGGACAACGACGATCAAAACCGCCGCGACAGTCGCGTTCGCGTGCGTCGGGGGATTGTTCGCGCTCGTTTCTTCCTCCTCTGGTTCTTCTTCTCCTGCATCGTTAGTGAAACGTTTTGTGCGTACGAATGAGGGTGTTGGTGCAAGTTCTGCTCTGGCCGACAAAGCGTACGGACGAAGAACAACATCGACGACTTCTTTCCTCGGTTTCGGCGGCAAGAAAGCGACGACGACGGGAGTGAAAACGACGAGGACGCCCAAGGTCGTCGATGGTGTCGCTGTTGAGAAGAAGACTTTGAAGAAGAAAGAGCAAGAGACGGTTCTCGAGGACGAACCGAAACCTCCGGCGCTGGACCAGGAGAGTTTACGACCGAAGGAGGAGGAAGAAGAGGAGGTGAAAGAAGCAGAGGAAGAAGAAGTGAGAGAAAAAGCAGACGAGAGTGAGAACGACGGCCCCGAGAGCCAAAGCGCTTTGGAGGAGATGGAGAAGAGCGTGGAGGAGGACAATAGTAAAGCGGCGGAAAAAGTTGCCGCGGCGTCGGCTTCCGCTGGTAGCACTGATGAAAAGAGCGGGAAAGTCATCACGTTGCACACGGCGTGCTCGCCTCTGGAGAGATTGAATTTTGATCCGAAAGAGTGGACCGGCGTCGTCGGCGCTCGCATTGCAGTGGCGCGATTAGACAACCCGAACTTATCCTTCTCGAAATCCATCGAAATGCGCGCGACCGAGTGCGGTTCGTACGAAATCGAAGAGGAAGGTGTCTTGGAAGACGGCGACAATTTCGGGTTTTATTTGTACCCAATCGTGAACAAAGACAGTCACGCGCCGCATCTCGGGTACCCGGTTAAAGATGTCGGGTGTTACGTCGCCGATCAATCCGGGTTTTGCCCGCAACAAATAGCGCCGATGGTGAAAACAATTGGCGGACCGTTCGGGTTGAGAGAGTGCACGAAGCCGAGTAAAGTGAGCAACGAGGAAACTGGAACCTCGAGCGTGTTCTTTTCGAGAGTTTACAGTAAAAGTAGCGAAGATTCGAGCAAATCTTCGAGCGCGTATCAGTGGGGGTCGTGCTCGGAAACGTGCGATTACAACAAGAATTCTGTTTGCGCTACTACGCAGAACGCTCAAGAAGAAGATGTCGCGGGCGCGGGCGAACAAGAAGAAGAAGAACAAAAAGAAGAAGAAGAAGAAGGAGAAAAAGAAGAGAAACTCTCCAAGAAAGAACTCTTAGCTAAGAAAGAGCGCGAGCAAGCGTTGAAGAACGAGGAAGAGATGGCGCAAAAGCTCTTAGCCGAAGCGATGAAGAAGGAGAAAAATTTGAAGAGCGAGGCGTACGAGAAAAAGATGGAGAAGAAACGCTTAAAGAAAGAGGAAGAGGAACGCAAAGAGTTGGAAGCGAACATCGATAAAGATGAAACAGTGGGCGAAAAAGTCATCGACGAAGCCATGGAAGCTCCGATTTATGACGATGAAAAAAAGACGAGAACGACGTACAGCGTGGTGTCGACGCCGCCGGAGCCGGAGAAGAAAAAATCCATCACGGAAGGCGCGATCAAATCCATCGCCGATAAAATCGCCGAGAAGTTTGGGTACGAGCCGAAGAAGGAAGAAGAAGGAGAAGTCGTCAAGAAGGAAGAAGAAGAAGAAAAAGAAGAAGAAGAAAAAATAAAAGCGAAAGTAAGTTCCGATGATGACGACGAGAAGAAGAGTGAGAAAACCAAGAAGACGAAGAAGAGCTCTTCTTCTAAAACAGACAACAAGAATGTTCTTTACAAAGGTCACGAGATACAACCGCCGAAACCACCAAAAGCGAGCTCGACGGTGACGTATACGGTAGTTAAGAAACCGGGAGGCGTGACATCGTCCACCGTGACTGGAAACGTTCCGAAACCACCCGCTGTTCTTCCTCCGAAACCGGATGGTATTTACGAACGCGACCCGTCGGCGAAGCCGACGGACGTTTCCAACGCCATCGCTATGGAATCCAACGTCGGCGTGAAGCCAGCTTTGGCAGAACATCACAGCGAAAAATACGAGAGTTCCAAACACGCGGGAGAAACCGATGAAGAGCTCGTTCCTCCGAAACCTCCGACGATTCAAGATGCCTCTACGTCGTCCTCGGGTACGACCATTTCGGAAAAGCCTCCTTTACCGCCCCCGCTCAAAAACTCGGTCCACGTCAATGGAGGCGCGGTTCCGCCGCGACCGCCATCGGTACAGTGCGCCAAACGCACTGACGACAAAAAACGTCTCCACGACGAAACTTTTGAGTTTGCCATCGAGAAATGTCTCGAGGAAGAACCCGTGCAAGGTTTATGCGAACGGTTTGGAAAGCTCTCCATGTTTGGCGTCATGCCGGAATGGGACGTCTCGTGCGTCACCGACATGACGGATGCGTTCAAGTATAAAACGTCCTTCAACGGCGACTTGAGCAAATGGGACACGAAATCTGTGGTTGATTTTTCCGGCATGTTTTCCAGCGCGTTCAAGTTCAACCAAGACATCTCCAAGTGGGATACGTCGCAAGTCACGAGCATGTTCTCCATGTTCTACTTCGCCAACTCCTTTGACAAAGACATCTCCAAGTGGGATACGTCCAACGTGAACGACATGACGGGCATGTTCTACGCCGCGTCCAAATTCAACAAAGACGTTCGTCCTTGGAACGTGAAGAAAGTGAAATCCATGGAATCTATGTTTCGCGAAGCCGACGAGTTCGATAAAGATGCGTTCAAACACACCGACGCTTTATTGACAACCTCGAACATGTTCCGTAACGCCATGAAATTCAACTCGAACGTAAACGATTTAGTGATGGATTCAGTCAAAGATGCCTCGTACATGTTCTACGGCTCGGAAAAATTTGACCAACCTCTGGATAACTGGAACACCGCAAAAGTGGAAAATATGGAACACATGTTCCACTACGCCTCCAGCTTCAACCAAAACTTGAATCGATGGGACACGTCCTCGGCGACGAACATGAACGGCCTCTTCCAATCCGCGAGCACATTCAACGGCGACATTTCCAAATGGAACGTCTCCAAAGTCGAAAAAATGTTCAGCATGTTCAAAAACTGCAAAAATTTCAACGCGGATCTCTCCCACTGGCGTCCGGAGCGCGCCGTGGATATGAGCTACATGTTTTACAACTCCGCGTTTGACGGCGACGTCCGAATGTGGCTCTCGAAACAACCCAAGCTCGACACGACCGAAATGTTCGTCAAAGCTGCGTATTTCGGCAAGAAGTGGAAGTGCGAAGACGCCGACCACGGACCGCCGCATTCTTGCTCGCTCAAGAAAGAAGACTAATATTTATAAACGTGTGTTTCATTCACGTTTCATTTCATTTGTAATACCAAACTAATACTACAGACAGAGCAAAAAGTTCCTGCATTTGAGACGTCACAACAACAAAGATGGGTGCCGCGTTGTCCATCTTTGGAAAAATAAACGAAGAATCGCCTCACTTTTCCTTGCTCAAGAAAACAGCGGAGTATGAAATCCGACGCTACGCGCAAGCAATCGCGGTCGAGACGAGCTACGAAGCGGTGCGTTTGTTTTTTGTATGCGACGACGACGCAGACACATCAGAATTTTAGAATTGGAAATCGTTTTATCGTAACTAAACTAAACATCAACAACTCTTAGGAACACGTGTTAGGAGGTCAAGGGAAGAGTTTCATGTCCCTGGCGAAATACATAGGCGTGATGTCGAAACCAGAAAACGAGCGAGAGGAGAAGATTTCCATGACGGTGCGTTTCGTTTTCTTGATTGTTTTCTAAATTCATATCTATAACAAAGGCACCGGTGTCCATGGGAAAAGTGGTCGAAGCGCCTAAAGGCGATAAAGAACAACAACGGTATAACATGCGATTTTTCCTACCCGCGAGCGAGATTAAGTCAAAAAGCGAAGCACCGCAACCATCGAAGGAGAACGTGAGAGTGGTGGACGTTCCGGAACGAACCGTGGCGGTGAGAACGTTTAGCGGGTACTTTCGGAAAGCGAACGTGGACGAGAATACGAAGGCGTTGCTGGAGAGCTTGAGAGGAGACGAGGAGGTGAAGAACGTCAAGGAGGATCACGTGGAAGTTTTCGGGTGGAATCCGCCGTGGACCATATCTTTTCTGAGGACGAACGAGGTGCTGGTGCCGTGTGATTTTGTGCCTTTGAAGAAATAAATTCAAAGAAGAGTTTGGGAAAAATGTTATAGAGAGCGCGCTTGTTGTGTGTTTAAAAGAGAGAAACTTCGTTTGTTTTCTAACTACTTTTGCTGTATCTAAATGCATTAAACTATTTATGCGGGGATCAAATCGTTCGTGTTTACAGCCATGCTCAACTTGGCTCTCCATCCCGGGAAGCTTTTCGCCAAGTCGTGTTGTATCCAATCCGAAAAGTCTCTGCTTTCCTCTCGTCCTCGAGTTCTTCTCAAATCGTTTCGAATGACGCGAATCACGTGTAATATCGCATTCAGGCGACCGTCAACTCTTTCCTTCGATTGCATGTCCAAGGCGTGCGTAATCTTTTCTTTCACCACGGAGGGGTTCAAATTATAAACATTTGTGGCCGTTTGGTACGGTGTAGTGGTAATCGTATCGGGTCTGTATTCGTTAGGCGCTGATCTTCGTTCGACAACCAAGACGGCTTCTTCTTCTTCTCCTTTTTCTGTCTTGTTGTTCTTGTTCTTTTGCGTTTCCACTTGGATCAAATACTGATTTCTGATGTTTTCCGGTAAATCCTTCCACACGGAATCGTCCACTTTTGTCGGCAACTCGTACTCTTCGTCTATTCTTCTTCTTGCGGCAGGTTTCTTCGTCGTCGTCATTTCCTTCTCAGGCGTCGCGACGAACTTCCTCCTCTCCTCGCGTTCGTCGTAAGTTAACTCTTTCCTCTTCCCTCCACCAACCACTTGCACCGACGGCTCCAACAATTCCCTCCACCTCGATTTCGTCGACACCGGGTGTAACGGTTTCAACTCGTACCTATTCTCTCTCTCGTCCACTTCGCTCACTTTCATCTTGTTCTTCCTCCTCGAAAACCTTTCGACTAACCGCGCCTCGAAATCCGCCTGCGCTTGGTTCCCGTACGCCAGCGGGCATTCGATCAAACACTCTCTGCTCGTCACCGGTATCACGTGATAACAACAGTTGCGTTCCTCCTCAAACGATACCGTCAAGTGTTCCTTCTTGCTTCTTTGTCGCTCGACTTCCTCGCGAACTAAAGTCTCGAAGCATTTTTCTTCTTCTTTGGTGGTGGTGCTCACATTTTCTCTCTCCTTTTCCCCTTCCTCCTCGTCTGTCTCGGAGAAGAATTGGACGGAGATAATTTTACTCGTTCGCTCTTCTTTTAACTCCGGCAGCGGTGGAGAGGACATGTCCCCGGCTTTTACGCTCAACCGTTTACGCGTATGTTTTTCCGGCGTTTGCGATGGGGTCGTTGTTTGCGTCGGTAAGATCTCTTCTTCTTCTTCGTCGTCGTCGGTTGATGATGATGATGATCCCAAAGAGGAGAGATTCTCCGTCCAATCGGACACAACGAGGGAAGATTTCTTCATCCTCGCTCTCCTCTCTTTTCTTTTGCGCACGTGTTCGAGAACTTGAGGTTCAAAGTGACCTCGACTTGGCCCGCTCGTCGCTCGGAACACGCCGTGATCTCCAAACATTTTGACGATGAGAAGGAGAAGGGAAAAGAGCGAGACGATTGAAGTGGATTTTGTGGAGAAAAGAAGTTTTTTGTAGGAAAGTATGAAAAGACAGGGTGCTCAAATTCTTCTACGATTACCCTTTTGTAACGAGATGTCGAATCGCCCATTCCTTACGTTTCTCGGGAGAATAATTCGAGACCAAGTTGCTAATTTGGAAGTCTTCATCTTGTTCTTCTTCTTTTTTTCTTGCTTTTTTATCGCCCCGGTCGTCGTTTCCGTCTTTGGTCGTCGTCGGCGTCTCGGGTTTCGCGGGTGGTTCTCCTCTTTCTTCTCCGTCACGGGGGGTCAGCTTTTCGCGTCCGTCTGAGAAGATGTTTTTCAGCTTTTCGTTTTCTTTTCTCGCGAGCGTCAAGTCCAGTATCATCTGTGAAATTCTTCGATTCGCTTTCGCGATCGTGAGCTCGTGCAAGTTGCGCTCGAGTTTAATCTTGTTTTTAAAGTATACGTTAGCTTCTAGCATGAAGTGGCTTAACTTGTTTTTGTAATGTTCGCGAAGTAACTCGTGCGCTCTTTTCACTTCCATGTCGACCAAAACTCTTTGCTGCTGCTTCTGCTCTTTTTTGCGCGACAACAAACTCGGCCTCTCGTGATTGTGTGCGTTTTCGTACTTCACGAGGCCGTTTTCGTCCACTTGCTTCCTCGCCGGACAATTCGGACGCGTACATCGGTAGTAACTTCTCGTTACTTGTGAAGAAGCCAATTTGATGTTCTTCCGACCGTATTTTCGCCACTTGAATCCGTCGAGGGTTTTATGGGGATTTTCCATCGTATCGTGCTTTTCTGTTTCTTCCTCGCCGTTTTCTTCCTCCGAACTGTCGTCGGTATTCGCCGAGACCATCTCTTGAACGCTCGCGGACAAAATCTTTTCCTTCAATGCCTCTCGCTCGTCATCTTTGGGACTATTATGCCGACTTCTCGGTCGTCCAATTGGTCCTCTCCCTTTCGTTTGCGTCGTCGCGTACACTCTCAATTCGCTCGGCGTTCCGTCTGTCCTTCCCCTTCGCAACGTCGCGTTCCAGTGGTTCTTCACCGAATTTTCCGTCCGTCCGGGTAAACCTTTCGCGATATCCGCCCACTTGTTTCCGAGCACCTTGTGTAACTCGATCAACTTTGACTCTTCTTTCGTCGACCACAACCCGCGTCGAATGTCCGGTCGCAAATGATGGTTCCATCGTTCGCGGCACTGTTTGCCAACTCGCCCGTTCAGCGCTCTCGAAACTGACGACCAGCGAGTGCCAAATTTCGCGACCAAACGAATCAACTCCTCGTCTTCCTCTTTGGACCACTTCGGTTTCGGACCAAAGTGGTTTCGGACCACTTCGGGAGTCTCCTGGAGAGTCAAAGAGTGTTTATTTTGATTCTTCTCTAAGAATGATTTTACATTAACGATGTCATCATTAGTAACAGCTTCAGAAGAGCCGCGGAACGACGGTCTGAGCTGTCCCGAACGAACTAAATCAATCACCGATACATCATCCCGTTCCGTCTCCTTCGTTTTCGGATGCCACACATCTCCACCCCGCAATTCGTCCGTTACGTGTTCCTTTAACGCGTACCTACCCGGCGCAATTCTTTGAAAGTGCGCACCTTGCGATAACACCGCGGTGACTGAGCCATTCGGCGTCTTGCACGTACCCGGATTATACAAGTCCAACCGCTTCGCGATGCTCACAATGTTCGCCGCCTTCATTCCGCCCGGCCCCGCCATCGCCAACAAAGCGTACGCCGAATGTTTAATCGTCCCGAGCTTGTATCCTAAACTTATCGCCTTCTCGGAGCAATCCTCGTCAATTTTCAAAATCGTGTCTGGATCGAACGTCTTCGGATCGGTCGAAATCGGTTTCTTCTTCTTCAACTTTTGCTCAATTTGCTCAAACGCCGCGAGCAAAGAAGGAATCCTGCATTCGTACTGACGTCCTTCTTCAAAGCGCACTTCGCGAAAAGGCGTTCGTGTCTTTGCGACTCCCCACGCGAGCGGACGGCCGCGTTTCAAAAGCTCCTCTTCCTCCTCCTCTTCCTCCTCCTCGGGGGCGCATGTGATTTGTACATCATCGTCGTCGTTTCGTTTTCTTCGTTTCGCCGTCTCGTTTTCTTCTTCGTTTTCTTCTCCTCGCATCACCGTATTACTATTGATACGCGTGCGTATACGTGTGTGTGCGTGTGTATATATAAATGCGCGCTTTCAATCGGTGAGTGGTAAAAGAAAAGATGTTTGTCCGGTCGACGCTTTATTACTCCTGCGATGAGATGAGTGTGATGTGATGATGAGTTGATGATCGCTCAAAAAGCGTTGACCAAGCGAGCGTTTTTTTTTGTTTTTTTTTGAAAGAAAGAAAGAAAGAGAAAACGAACCGACACAAAAACAACAAGTGTTTTTTTTCTTCTGCTTTTTTTTCTGTCCTTCTTTTGAAAGGGAAAAGTGATTGTAACTTCCCCATAACGAACACTTTATTTTAAAACAGAGAGAAGAGAGAGAGAGAGAGGAAAGGGAAACGATGGCATCTGCTGCTGCTGCTGCTACCGATGCTTCTGCTGCTGTTGATATCGAGGACGAGGACCAAAAGAGGAGGAGGAGGAAATGGAGGAGTTTGAGGAGGGAAAGTAAAATCATGGGACAGATTGATATCGAAATCGAATCGAATTCTTCCCGAGGACAACAACAACAGTATTTATCGATACGATTAACGAACAAAAACTACGACGACGCGGCGGAGATGTGCGTGAACTTTTGCGAGGAGCGCGGGTTGCCGATGAAAATCGCGCCGGCGTTAGCGTTACGGCTGAGAGCGGCGTATAAGAAGGCGCTGATAAAACAGGCGATGGATTCTTCTTTGAATTCTTCTTCTGTTGGAGGCTTTGAACGCGAACGCGAACGCGCAAAAACGGAAGGAGAAGAAGATAAAGAAGAAGAATACAAAGAAGAAGAAGAAGTTCGACGAGAGAAAGTGCAACTACTGACGTCGAACCCGGCGGATATGGCGAGGCGCATAGCGGAGATTAAGAAGAATAATACATTTAACAAAGAAGATGAGACGACTACGGCGACAAAAGCGAATACAACGACAAGCAAATCGTTTCAAATGGTCACGCCTTCAAACGTTGGGTCCTGGAATCCAGTTGCGAGTGGGGAAATGACGATGCAAAAAATTGGTGCGGATGCGACGAGAGTCGTGCGGAGAGAACGTGAAAGAGAAAGAGAAGAAGAAGAAATAAACGGAGGAGGAGATTTGTTGGAGGTTATCGTCGTCGACGAGCAACAACAACAAGAACAACACCCGTCGCATGGAGGACAGTTCGAGTTCGAAGAAGAATGCGCATCTGAAGCGGATCTGGAGGAGGAAATGCTAGAGTTTGAAATCACGCCGACGAAACAGGATTACGCGGATAGCTTCGCGCGTCCTTCCGATTGGTTCGTCCAGGACTTTGAAGACAAAGCAACGCTTAGCGCGAAGAAAACAAACGAGACTTTTAAAACTCCATCGAAAAAAGAGAGCGACAGAGGTGAAGGCAGCAGAGGTAGCGGCGCGGCGGTAGCAGCAGTAGCAGCAGCAGCAGTAGACGGCGACGACGACTCCGATACCTCCTTATCCGAGAAAATTATTCACGCCTCGCCTGGGTTCAAAGATTCCCTAAAAATGTTTGAAGCCATGGACGCGCCGAAGAAGAAATCGAGCTTTGTAAAATCGCCGACGATGACCGCTCCGGGATTCGTCTCACCGATGGAAACGAAAAAGCCAAATCCGCGGTACGCGCCTCGAGATTTAAACGAATAGTAGTAATAGTAGTAGTAGTAGTAGTAGTAGTAGTAGTAATAATAATAATAGATGATAATGTACAAAAATGTCGCAACGACGCTTAGTTTACATTTACAAATCGGGCAAACCGAATTGATTCAGTAACATGAGATAACTGATAGCAAGCACGCTAATCAAAATCCCTTCCGTAATGCTCGCCTCGCCAACCTTATCCTCCTTACTTTCAAAGAAAACGTGCCTCGCCCCTAAATACGCGATGATGTACCACCCGGGCCACCTCAACCCTCTCCCCCACCACCACACGCTCCCTTTCGCCTCCAAATACTCCGCGTTGAAATATTGAGGCGCGCCCATCGCTTTATAACACTCCGCGATTAAAAGTTTCGTCTTTTGATTCATCTTATACTCCCTCGGTATTAACTTTTCAATCTGTTGTAACGACACGATCGCCTGGTCCCACTTTTGTTCTTTCATCAAACTCTCCCCGGTTTTTAAACATTCTTTCGCGCGCAAGACGTCGTACTCTGAATATTCCGCCGGCAACAAACTCTCGAAAAATTCACTCGAAAACACTCGAATATCTCTGTTCGCGTTTGGGATATCGAAGCCGTCTAAAACGCCTCCGCCTTTCGGTCTGGTGTAGAATTCCGAGAGCCAGGGGAATACGGTCGCTTCGCACAGGACCAGAATTCCTTTCGTCGCTAACACAGCTCTTCGAGAGGACTTTGACGTTTCGGAATTTGCGACGTCACGATTTTCCCCGACAACCACAGTTTTGGGAACAGACGATGGAATTCTGTTTTTGAACTTAATCACCGCGCTTTCTTCCTTTTTCTCGTTCGCTCTTCTTTTCACGTTGGTATTCTTGTTCGGCTTTAATAGCTGCTGTCCTTGCTGCGCGACCACCGCGCTCGTCGTCCTCATTCTCTACACAACAATAAACAACCACTTTACTAAATGGGAATATCTAAAAAGCTTTCTCGTGTGTGTGGTGGAATATACTCAAAAGCTTCTCATTGGCTGGAGTCGACAAACCCCTAAATACCCAACACGCGCGACCACTTTTTCCCTCTTTTCTTTCTCCCTCCTTTTTTAAAAGCTCTCTCTTTTCGAGCGATTTCGTATATTACTCTGGCGAGGCCAAGTGGTCTTTTCTTTCGATTCTTTCCCGTGGCTTTCCCCACTTAAAACACACACAAACACACACATATTTATCGATCAAACGCAGCACACGCAACGTATAAATACGATGGGAGGATTGAAAACGATCGCGACGGTTGCCACCGTGGCGTTCGTCACGACCGGGTCTTCTCTTTCCCGCGCGAATGGAAAGGAACAGCAAAAGTTAGACGGAGCGGCGTTTTTGGAAACGTTCGACGACGGACTCAAAGGATGGGTGAAATCGGAAGTCGAGCAATACACCGGTGCGTAGTTGTTTTTCTCTCCCTCTCTCTCGTCGGACGAACGATACGTGCGCGCGTTTGTGTTGGTTTCAAAGCGCTCGTCGTCTCGCGTTTGAAAGAAATACGCGCGAGAGACGAGAGAGAAAGGTGTACGAGTACCAATTCCGATCGTCTCGGGAAAAGCGATCGCATCATCATCGTCTCGTTGGGCCGCCAAAAACACGTTTTGTTCGCGAGCTCTTTAGTACATTTCATTCACCAAAAGAGGCGCGCAGATGATGATTTTGTGTGATCCTTCGTTCGTCCTCTGTTTTCCGTCGCGCTCGCATATTTTTGATTACTCACCAATACATTCTCTCTCTCTCTGTTTCTCTCTCTGGTGACTGTCTTTTCACAAACAAACAACAGGCGTCGTGGAACTGGCGAACGAAAACGGCGAGAAATCTCTCAAAGTTCCGGAAAAAGCTCGACACTACGGGTACACGAAACAATTAAGCACACCGTTCGATCCGCGCGACGGTTTCGCGATTCAGTTTGAAGCCGCGCAAACGGAAGGTCTGGATTGCGGCGGCGCGTATTTGAAGTACTTGACGGAGGAGGCGAACACGGGGAAAGAGATGGACGGGTCTTCGCCGTACGTTCTGATGTTTGGTCCGGATAAGTGCGGGTCGAATAACAAAGTGCACGTGATTTTTAAACACAAAAGTCCGAAAGACGGGGAACTGGAAGAGAAGCACTTGAAGGATCCGCCGAAGATGCCGTCGGACAAGGCGCCGCACATGTACACGCTCTTGGTGAACACGAAGGAGCACACGTACGAGGTGAAAATTGACGGCAAAGTTGAAAAGGAAGGGTCTATTTTTGAAGATTTCGAACCGCCGTTTAACCCGCCGAAAATGATCGACGATCCGGAAGATTCCAAACCGGAAGATTGGGTGGACGAGAAGCAGATTCCGGACCCGAACGCGAAGAAACCGGACGATTGGGACGAAGACGCGCCTATGGAGATTTTGGACGAAGAGGCGACGAAACCGGAAGGATGGTTGGACGATGAGCCGGAGGAAATCGAAGACCCAGAGGCGGAAGAGCCGGAAGATTGGGACGAAGAAGAAGACGGCGAGTACGAAGCGCCGTTGGTACCGAACCCGAGGTGCGAGGAAGCGCCGGGATGCGGCGAGTGGGAGCAGCCGATGAAAGAGAATCCGGACTATAAAGGCCCGTGGTCGGCGCCCATGATCGACAACGTTTTGTACAAAGGTGAATGGGCGCCAAAACAAATCGAAAACCCGAAATACTACGAAGATCCGACGCCGTTTGAGAACGTTGGTAAGATATCCGCGGTAGCGTTGGAAATTTGGACCATGAGCGACGGTTTAACTTTGGATAACATTTTGATCAGTAAAGACTTCGACACGGTGGATAAAGCCGCGGAAACGTTCGACTTCGAGGCGAAGAAAGAAGCGAAAGAGAAAGCGCTGAAAGAAGCCGAAGAGAAAGCGGCGGAAGAGGCGGAAAAAGCCGCGGAGAAGGCGGAAAAAGCCGAGGCAAAGAAAGCGGCCAACGCCGCGGGCTTCCCAGGGAAAGTGACTGATTTAATGTACAAGGTCGTCGAGAAGATTCCGGGTAAAGCCGGTGAAGTTTTAACCAAACCGGTTGACTTCATGGCCGAAAACGTCGCGGCTTTGTACGCGTTCTTGGCGACTTCGTTGCTTTCCATCTTGTATTTCATCGTGTCGCCGTTCGTTAAAGACGCGAAGAAAACCGCCGCGACGAAGAAGAAGGTTGGCAAGGCCAAGAAAACGGACGAGGTCCAAGAAGACGACGACGAAGAGGAGGAAGAAGAAGAGGAAGAGGAGGACGAGAAGCCGAAGAAGAAGAACGGTCGATCGAAGAAGTAAGAAGAAGAAGAAGAAGAAGAAGAATGGGAAGTTTTTTCTCCTCTTCGATTCTTTCGCGTTTGTTCTTCCAAGACTAAATTAAAGAATAGCAACAACAACACAATGAAGTATATACACATATAAGTACACGAAGTATTATTAATCGCGTCGTGTTTTACAACTACAGCGTCTCTCTCTCTCTCCCCCCCCCCTTTTTATGTTCTATCTTTAGAAGACGTTCCCTTTGAACCATCCACCGCCTTCATCCCACAACCAACTCCGCGCGGCGCGCTCGCAACGTCCTACGCGTTTCTACTCCTCCTTCTCTTTCTCCTCCTTTGCTTCTTCCTTGCTCATCCCGACGTGCATCGCGAGTGCTCCAAAAAGTGCCACGTTTTTCCAGAACATGATCGTTTCGATTTCTCGCGAGGCGCTGAATTCCTCTCTGCGCCAAAACGGGTGCATTATCGGCGTCACGCACGAGACGAACGCCATCAGGAGTTTACTTCCCAAGGTGAAATTCAGCATCAGCAAAACGCTGCCGAGTATTTCAACAATCGTCCCGCACATGGCGATCGTCGCGTCGTCGAGCGCGAGTAAGTGTTCCATGATTTCTTTTTCTGAAGAGACGCGTTTCAAATACTGCGTTTTGGCTAAAGATGCGCTCAAAGCCGCTCTCGTTTCCGCGAATCGCGGGGCGATCGAGTGCTCGAGCAAGTGGAAATCCGACATGGAATTCGCGCGTGTGAGCGCGTGGTATTTGTGCATCCCGGAGAAGAGGAAGAGGGAGGCGAGTAACGCGCGGCCGAAATGCGCCAGGAATTTTCCTCCTCCTTTACCACCACCACCCATTCTTTTGCTGCTGTCTGTTGTTGTTGTTGTTCTCGGTGTGTGTGTTCTCCGAGGAGAAGCTTTCCGGAACGCGTTCAAAGCGCGCGAGGAGGAGCAATGAAGATGCGAAAATGCATCGCTGTTTCCCCATTGCGATTGCATCACATCGCGCGATGGATTTCTCCGCGCGAAACGCCGACGACTTCGTCCTCCCAATCGTTGTTCGAAGAAAAAGACAAAAAAGAAGGAAAATGAAGAGCTTTTTCAACGACAAATCGTTGTTCTCCTCTGCGTTTTCTGGGGTTTTCCTCCTCGTTTTTGTCCTCCTCCTCTCTTTGCGTTGTGTGCGTGAAATCGAATGCGTCGATGAAAATGACGACGATGGTGTGACTCGCAAAATGAACGCCGACAGTGACGAGGCGTTTCGAAGGAAAAAGAACAGAAACGACCGGTACGAGGAAGAGGCGGAATACGCGGAAGAGGAGGAAGAGGAAGAAAAAACGAGAAGAAGCAGGAGCAAGAAGAAAACGAATAAGAATGAATTTGCCCAATTAGCAGGCGAACGAGGCGAAGGACCAGAGCTCGTCGCGCTGGGACCGAACGCGGAAAAAGTGCAACTCTCGCAATTCGAAACGAGGATGATGGCGGGGAAAGATGGGAAGATGTTCGTCTCTGTCTTACCGGAGGACAGGTCGATGCAGTGTCAAGAACGCATCGACGAGTGGTACCCGACGTTTCGGAAGGTTGCGCGAGCGATGGACGCGGCGTATAAAGTGTTGGAAGTGAACATGCCGGGGAGGACGGCGCAAGCCATCGGGGAGGTTTTCGGGAAGATGAAAAAGCAAGAGGCGAGGAGGTTTGCGTGCGGGGTTGTCGGGTTGTACGGGAAATCGGGGGGGTTGAATATTTTGAAAGGGAATTATAGCGATCCGGTGAGTTACATGGAGTTGTTGAGTAGCGCGAGAGACGGGGTGACGGATTTGAGGACGGCGGGCGAGAAGGCGCCGAGGTTTGGATCGGGGTCGATTGGGTCGTCGTCGTCCTCGTTCGACGACGACGGCGATAACAAACACGCGGCGTGTGATTGGCTCGCGAGACCGCGCAGAGAAGGAGATGCCAAAATGCGCGTAGCTGTGTTTGAACCGGTAGACGAAGACGTGTTTAATTTTATCGCCACGGTGATAGGGGAGAAGAACGCCGCGTTGTTCTCGAGACAGAGTTTGTTCGGGTGCGAAGTCACCGTCGGGCAACCGGTGCGCGAGAGTTACGGGATCACTCTGGTCGCCGATATCGACGAAAGTGACGACGAGTTCAACGTAGACGCGGAAATTAAAGTCATGCCTATATTCGCCAACAAAAACGCCGGTTTCAATCCGAGATTAGGGAAGGAGGATTTTATTGATTTCTTGGATAAAGTGATTTTAGCGAACGCGACGAGCGCGTTTCGAGAAATGGTGGATACCAGCATCGACCATAACTGTGCGAATGATATTTGGGAGTTGATGAATAACTTGAACGATCAGTTTTACGAGGAAGTGGCGCGAAAGAAGCAACAGCGACAAACGCAAGAGGACGGAGAAGGAGAAGAGGGAGAAGATGAACATTTTACGCCAGAAATCGCGTGGGACACCATTCGCGAACCAATGCTGAAAGCTTTAGACGCGCACGGAAAGAACGATAAGAATTTACAACCCACGCAGTGGATGTGCGGGCTAGCTGGATCGATAGCCGCGTTTGCAGAGGCCAAATCCGAGTTGGCTTCGGCGAACTCGTTTATGGGCGAATTGATGACGTTACGAAAAGAATCGATTCATTTGCGAACGCGGAATGCGGTTTTAGAGAGAGAGTTAGCGGAGATGGAGACGAGACTGCCTGCAGGAGGAGCTAACAGTGGTGCCATGGGTTTACCGAAAGCGAAAAAAAGAGGCTTTGGTGCCGCGCCGAAGGAAACGAATACGCCGCCGCCGACGCCGACACCTTCCTTTGACGAAGAAGAAAGGTTGCAAAGACAACAACAAAAGATACAGCAACAACAAGAAGAAGAAGCGGAGGCTGCAACCGCCGCCGCCGCTGCTGCTGCAGCTGCTACTAGAGAAGAAGAAGAACGGCAACGCCAGGAACGAGAAGCAGTAGAAGCTCAGCGCAGACGAGAAGAAGAAGAAGAACGGCAACGCCAGGAACGAGAAGCCGTAGAAGCTCAGCGCAGACGAGAAGAAGAAGAAGAAGAACGGCAACGCCAGGAGCGAGAAGCCGTAGAAGCTCAGCGCAGACGAGAAGAAGAAGAAGAAGAACGGCAACGCCAGGAACGAGAAGCCATTGAAGCTCAGCGCAGACGAGAAGATAGAGAAGAAGAGGAAGAAAAGGAACGGCAGCGCAAAGAACAGGAAGCTGCCGAGGCTCAGCGCAGACAACACGAAGAAGCTGAAGCGCTCAGGACGCAACGAGAAGCTGAAGCAGCGGCGAACATTCCTCCTCCCCCCGTCGAAGACGAAGATCCAAATCTCACCTTCTGGTCTGCGCACGAAAATCAAGGGAAAACGTATTACTATAATTCGCAAACGCGTGAATCGACGTATGAGAAACCTGTCGGGTTTTCCGAACCGGAAAAAGTAAAGAATGAATCGCCTCATGTCGAGTTGTGACGAGGACGGCACGTAGATTTTAGATTTTAGTTGGAACATTCAATACCAGACAATGCGTTTATCTCTATTTTAATGACTAAATTTGTTCTTCACGTCTCTCTCTTTCTCTTTCTCACTCACTTTCTCTTTCTCTTTCAATCAATATCTTCGCCGCTCACGTTCGGTTGTTCGCCTTCGTTGACAACCATATCGAAATACTCGCTCAACGGGGATCCCCAGGAAGCGTCTGGTGCCGCGACACTTTTCGGTTGAGTACCATCCTCGTACATTTCGCTGTCAAATATCTCAGGAACTGGCGGGAAGAGACTGTCGTGTTTTGAACTTGTCGTTTTCATTCGAGGCACCATTTGTCCAGCACCGTTTGAGATGAAACCGCCACCCCCGGTGGGGTACAATTTTGGACGTTTCAACACGGGACAAGTAATTTTAAGAGGTAAAGGAGATACGATGGTGATATCATCGTCGCGGTTGACGATATCTTTGTCTTTATCCCCCTCCTTCATCACTGCTGCTGCTGCTGCTGCATATTTCTTAACGTCCGTCGCGAACGGACCCCCTTGCACGCTCAACGACTCGGACGGATTAATGCTCGCCATCATCATCGAAGCGCTCGCCACATGCGCTTGGTTCATTTCGTGAAGGAATTCTGTTGCAAGCGTCGTCCAAAAACCTCCGAGTTTACTCAAATTCTCGAGTATTTCTCGCCCATTGCCAAACGTTTGTAAAATATCTCGGAGCGTATCTTTAATCTTTGAACGCTCAACGATTGCATTCTTCGCTTTAATTGAAGACGAGCCTAAACTTTTCTTCAACGTTGGTAGAGACGATATCTTCTGTAACGCCATTTTTGCGTTTAAGATTGGTTTAAACGCGTGACTCTGCGTGTTTTTGCGCGTATTCATCGAGAGAAACTTGTGATCTTGCAGTTGGTTTCTCTCGTCGTTGTCTTTGTGTTGCTTCACGAGCGCCCAGTGGTCGTCGACGGCTTTCTCGAGACATTCGCGGGCGGATTTCAACATCATTTCCGCGGATGCCAAGACTTTGTCTTGCGTACGATTTCCGGTGGCTGGAAACATTTCATCGAAAATGGGGATCGGTGCCGTGGTCGCTTCCACAGTCGCGACGGCAGCGGTAGTTGCCGCTTTTGTACCGCTCTCTCTCGAACCTTCCGCTTCGTGGTCTGCCGCTAAAAGTGTTCTGTCGCCAAAGACGTCTTCGAGCCCACCCAAAAGACTCGAATCGTGTTTTTTAATCGCATCCAGTGGAATGTGTTCGTCCGCTAAGAACTGTTTCGCTCGTTGCAGCGCTAACGCTGTCTTCGTGGAAGGCGCCGTCGGTTTCATCGACCACATAGAAAAGACGTCGGAATCGTCAAAATCGTCGACAATCGGAAATTCGTCCTCCTCTTCTAATGCCGCGGCTGCTGCTTTCGATTTCTTTTCTTTCGGTGGCGTTTCTAGCGCCGCCAGGCTTTGCTCGATCGCGCGTTTCTTCTTCGCCAGAGACGTTTCTTTCGCCTTCTTCGGCGTCGAAACTTTCTTCGACACTTTTTGCGCCGCCTTCTTCTTCGTTCCTTTCTTTCTCGGCGGCGTTTTCGTCAGCGTCTTCTTTTCTTCTTCTTCTTCTTCTTCTTCTTCTTCGTCTCCTTTTCTCGCGCTCAACGTCATCGCTCTCTTCGTCGGCCGATTTTTCTTCACCCCCGGCGAAATCGCGCCGGTTTTTAGCAACCCGAGAACGTTCTTCTCCACACCTTTCTTGCTCCCGTTCCCCGCGCCTCTCGGCGTTCGCAAAAAAGGTCTCTGATGAATACACCTTTTCCCTACGGTCTTCATCCCTGTTTTCTTCGTGCTTTTACCTCCTCCCTTATTCGTCGTCTTCGTCTTTCGCGGTTCCCCCAACGTCTTCTTCGCCGTTTCTGTATCCTTTATATCGCAAAATTTCGGCAACGCGACGTCTTCTTTTTCTTCTCCTTTGTCTCCTCCCTCTTCTTCGGCGGCGCACGCCAACACCGCTTTCATCCTGCACTCCGGGCACGCGTACGCATCCATCCCCAAGATCGTCTTTGAATCCTCCGCTTTCCTCTCGCACTCGAAATGGCTAAAGTTATCGCAATACTCGCACCCGATCCACATCTCCTCTTCTTTTACCTCCTCTTTGTTCTTCTTCCCTTCTTCCAACAGATCTTTTCTGTACACGCATTCGCAGTGGACACAAAACCACCCACGTTTCCAAAGCAAACCGCACGCGTTGCACAACGACACGCGGTGCTCCTGCCCAGTCGAGCTCTCGATCCTATCCACCCAGCCTTTGCGCCACATCGGCGTCTCTTTCACGCCTGTTTTTTTTGTTGTGATCAGAGAGAGAGAGAGACATGTTACATTCCAAGAGAAAAGAGAAAAAAAGGGAAAGAAAAAGAACGAAAGTCCAATCCGCTTACCGCACGACGCGCATTCAACGTGGTTCGCCGATCGTCTCCCTTTCGTCGTTGTTGTTGTTTTGCGCGGTGAAGAAGTCGTCAAAGCTTTAACACTTCCTCCTTCGAGTGTAGGAGGAGACGAAGCTTCTTTCATATCCACACACGTGCAAGTTGTGTGATCACTTTTCTCTTTTTGAGGTTTTTTTGTTTTGGTCGAATATTTTTTAGATGAATTTAATTAGCCGAATAGGTATAATAAAACGTATACATACGACTGCTGATTTGTTTCATTATTACAAAATACGAAGACATCTCACGCGCACTTCCCACCTTCAACCGGAACAGCGTTCGGTATGTACCCGTATTCGAGCAATTGCGCGACGCCGACGTACAGACCGGCGACAAGGAGTAAAAACGCGACGCCTTCGGCGGCGCCGAGCAAAGCGAACGGCCCGGCGGGTAAACCGCTCCCCGTGGTTGTTTTCTTATACGCCGAAGCGCCTAAGAGTCCAGCGACACCGAGATAACTCACGCCTTCGATTGCACCGACGAGACCACCCGGACCGGCGGGTAATCCGCATCCCGTTTGCTTCAAAGTGAACAACGAGTAGGAAACGACCGCGCAGGAAAGCAAACCTGCGATTCCGGCGTAGAGTTCAACCGAATTCTCTTCCTTTTCCTCCTCACCTTTACCCCCAGCTCCTGCTGCTCTGACTATTCGGAATGAGGAGGAGGAAAAGGAGGAGCGACGACCACTCTGTCTCGCTCTCAAACTCGCGGATGATTTAGACGACGACTTTGATGAGAGCACTTTGAGCGGTTTGTCGGGAAAAGTCGTTACGACTGTCAAAGCGCTTCTGTTTTGCATCGAAATCATCATCACCTAATACTACTACTACTATAATAAAAGAACTCGAAAGATGATGATGTGTGTTGTCCAATGAAGAACACGCACACAAAAGACAGCTGATTTTCTTTCTTTGCCAAAGCAAAAAGTGAGAGTAGTAGTAGCAGTAGTAGTAGTAGTTGTTGTTGTGCAAAGTGCGTCTTTAGTATGGCGAAAATCCGATCGAAAATCCTTACTTTTCCCGGGAAGAATAATAAAGGAATAATACTAAACGCACGACTAACGCGATGATAGTTTTAAACGCGACGTCGAAAAAACTCCTCGCCGTAATCCTCGCTTTACTCATCATCGTCCTCGGCACGTTCTTCGGGGAAACGCAAGCGAGCAAAGGCACGACCGAAGCCGGGAAGGCGTTCTTAACCGAAAACGCGTTAAAAGAAGGCGTGGTGTCCCTCCCGTCGGGTTTGCAATATCGCGTGTTAAAATCAGGACCGAAAGGAGGGAAGAAACCGAAAGTGAACACGCCGTGCTTGTGCCACTACAGAGGGACGACGATCGAAGTACGAATTTATGACTTTTTTGCAGGAACAGCGCGAGTGAATCGAGTATTCGCATCAACGTTTCGCGCGCGAGATGATCGGAAAATTTTCGTCTCATTTTCCCAAGCGTTTTCTCTCTCTCTCTCTGGGATAAAATCGAAGCGCGCCGTTAGAAGAGCGGAAATGTACGCTTCGCCGGAGCGGACATGAACGTCGCTTTCATTCGTTTCTCATCTTTAAACGCTCACCTTCTTTTGTGTCTCTCCTTTAACGATGACAGGGCGAAGAGTTTGACTCCTCGTACAACCGCGGCGAGCCGACGAAGTTCGCGCCGAACCAAGTGATTAAAGGCTGGACGGAAGCCATGCAGTTGATGTCGGAAGGCGATAAGTGGGAGCTGGTGATTCCGTCTGAACTCGCGTACGGGGACAGAGCGATGGGTCCGCAAATTACGCCGGGATCCGTCCTGGTGTTTGAAATGGAAATCGTGAAAGTCGGCGTCTAATTTTACCTTCTTCGCGAGTCTGGTGTACGACTCGCGCGAAGGACCGATTGGTTAGTTTAATCTTACATGTAGTACTGTTCTTCTTTCTTTAACGTTCAATTTGATTAAATATTAAAAAATTTCATAAATAATTCTCATCATTCTCTCCGTCTTTCGCGATTGTTGATGTTACTTTGTTGTTGATGACTATTTTCCCTTCTTCTCTCTTTTTTTTTCTCTCTTTGTCCTTACACATAATAATACTCTTACATGGGTTACGATAGAAACCTCTCTCTTCTTTACGCGTACCCGGCCATTTTCGCGTTCTTCATCGCGTTTTTGTCCGGTTTGTCGCCGGCTTGCATCATCGCGACAAATTCTTCGTAATCAATCAAACCGTCTCCGTCTTGGTCCGCCATCGCCACCAACTCGTTAACGTCGCCAAAGTTCGCCCTTGCTCCAGCTGGCATCTTATCCAACGCCATCTTGAACTCCTCGATGGTAATCGACCCGTCCCCGTCGACGTCAAAGTACGCAAACGTCTTCTCCATGGCGTCGCCCGAATGTTGGCTCGCCATCGACAACGTCGCCGCGACAAACTCTTCGTAATCCAACTCGCCGTTACCGTCGATATCGATTTCGTTCATCAACTGTTGCAACTCTTCCGTGGCTTGTGATGAGCCTTTCTTGCGCAAACCAGCTTGTAACTCCGCGATGGAAATCGTCCCCGAGTTGTCCGTGTCGAACGATTTGAACATTTCTCTCAAACCTTCCAATTCGTCCGGCGACAACGTCTTCGCCATGGCAATCAAACCCAATTTTTTAAACTTGGTAATCGCCGCGAACGATTTTAATCGTTTCACGATCGCGTTGTCCAACTTCTTGGCCGGAGCGCCACCAGTCAACCACGGATGATTCAACGCATCCTCCGGCGAGATTCTCTTCTTCGGATCTTGTACCAACATTTTAGCGATCAAATCCTTCGCGCCGGCGGAAATCGCGCCCCAGGGATCTTGCTCCAAATCGTACTGACCTTTCAAAACCATATCAAAGATGCCGTTCTCCGTGGTGGCCCAAAACGGCGGCACCCCGGACAACAAAATGTACAAAATAACACCGCACGACCACACGTCCGCGGCTTTACCGTACGATCGTCGCAAAACTTCCGGCGCGACGTAATACGCGGAACCGACGATTTCGTGAAACACTTGATCTTCGTGGAAAAACGCGGACAAACCAAAGTCGATGGCGCAAATCTTCGAGTCGTAATCTTTCGACTTCAACACGAAATTCTCCGGCTTCAAATCTCTGTGCACCACCCCCAACTCGTGGCAATGTTGAATCGTTTCCACGATCGTTCGGAAACAATCCGCCGCGTCCTTCTCGGAATACTTGCCTCTCTCCACGATTCTATCGAACAACTCTCCGCCTTGCAACAACTCCATCACGATGTACACGTGCCTGGCGCCTTCGTACGCGCCTTCGCAACACACGATGTTATCGTGTCCCCCCAAGTGATGTAAAATAGAAATTTCTCTTCTCACGTCGTCGATGTCTTCTTTCGACGTGAGTTTCCTCTTCGCGATCGCTTTGCACGCGTATTCCTCGCCGGTTTTTTTGTTTTTGATTTTATACGTCGTCCCGAATTGGCCTTTGCCTAATTCTTCGTGGAAGGTGAAAATGTCGTTGATGTCCGAGGTGGTTCGTCCGAGGACGGAGCCTTTCTTCGATTTGGCGCCTAACGGGCCGTTGGAGTGGATTTTCACCGATTTCTGTTTTCATTCGAGAGGGAGATGAGAAAGGGTCGGTTGAGAATAAGAGAGAGAGAGAGAGAGCATCGGCCGATCGTTTCGCTCATAATTGGCCAATTATTATAGAGAACAACACGCGCGCGAGTTCTATATATTTATACACACACACACACAGGTGTGAGATAATAAAACAAACAAACAAACAAAAAAGCGTAAGAATAGTACCTCTCCTTTCGCGGTGGATGCGGCGCAACCCATGATGTGGTTTAAACAATAATAATAATAATAACGCGCGCGTACACAGGTTGTTTGGTGGAATATTTGTCCAATTTCAGTCGACAGAGTTTTTGATTTTTTTGTTTAGGGCTGTACATACAGTTAGGGTTTAGGTAAGACTTGGGAAAGAAAAGCGGTCCTTTTTTTATTATAAGTGGGAACTCTGAGACGAGGATGACGACGAGGATGACGACGAGGACGACGACGACGACGACGACGAGTCGAGGGAATCAGCAGCAGCACCAATATTATTATTATTATCGTTATGAGCAACAACAACAAAAACGACGACGACGCCGACGACGACGAGGAGGAAGAGCATTTTGTAAGAATACGAGCGATGATGATGATGATGAAAGTGATGAAAGATACAGCAACGATAAAGCCATCGAGGCGTTATCGTCCAACGAGGAGAACGCGTGGTCGGTGAACGTGTATCACTCGAAGAGGAAAGAACACAAAACAGACGAATTAGGCGATATTTTGAGCGAAGAAGCAAACGATGGAGATAATATACTTGAACAACCAGGGTGGGACGCGCAAGGGAAATTACGGTTTTCGATTATGATTATCAGCGAAGAGCTGGGACTTTCCGAAAAGCAAGTGGAAGAAAGGGTCGGGCAGTTGTTCACGTTAATCCCGGGGTTGAAAACGAAAGTTGGGATCATGAAGACGGCAGATTTGGTGAGAATAAGTGCGAGCATACCGGACGTGTACAAATCGTTAGTCGCGTTGAAGGAGGTGTTTCCGGACGCGGATTTGCCAACCATGATTACGAACAGACCGTCAATTTTATTAGAAGAAGCCAAGGAAATGGAGAGGAAAGTGAAGCAGTTGAGAGAGGCGTGTCCAAGGTTGAATTGGGATGCGATATTAAGCGACCACGCGTATATTTTCGAGATTAAAAATCCAGGCGAGAACTGTTTGGCGTTGAAAGAAAAACTCGGGACGACGGTGAAAGACTTTGAGTTGTACGTCGCCAGGAACCCGATGTCGTTGCTCAGCGTGCAAACCGGGGAAGAGTTGCTCGAGTACGATAACGGAAGTTTAAGACAACTGAAAGAAAATTTAGAGGGAGCGCCGAAAGCAGAAGGTTGGTAGAAGTTTCTTTCTTTAGCGATACAAAATACAGACGCGCGACGCGGCAGAACAATTGTAATAACATCATCATCCCCTATAAAAAACTAAGAAGGAATGCATTTCGCTTTCACGAGCTCTTTCAGCTCGTCGATGGTCTGTCTCACCACCATTTTTCTCTTTTCCTTCTCGCATTTGCATCCTTTATCGACGCATCTCAAACAATAAATCAAGCCTCTGCCTTTTCGAAACGTGCACTCGCACACGACTCCGGCCCAGTTCAAATCGCCAAGGCAGATGCAACAATCCAACTCGTTAAAGTCGCAAAATTCTTCCATTTTGACGATTTCGCCGCACAACGTTTTGGCTTTTTCTCTCCTCTCTTCTTCGATTTTGACTCTCTTGTCCATTTCTTTCTTGACGGTGTCTTTCCATCCCGGCACGCGATCGCACCCGTTCGTGAGCGTTAACAACAACTGGTCGTGCGCGACGGATTGGTATCTTTTATCACCGACGTATCGTTCCGTGGCGAACGCACCAAACGGTAACCAATCTACCGGAGCGAAATTGACCGCTTCGGCGCAGTTGTATCCAGTGTTGAATCCGGCGTGATAGGAGTACGGAAACGTGATGATGTAACTCCTCGCGTTTTGTTGGACTCGATATACCGGGATCCCGGCTGCTTTGATTTCTTTCGGCGATAAGATGGTCACCAACGAGTGCAACAAATCCGGTTGCGCCTCGAACAAATGCGGTAAGCGCGTTCGCATCAACTGTTCAAACTTTTGCGAATACTCCGCTGGGATGCAATACCAAACCTTCGGGTCGCCGAAATGGTGGTAATTGACGCTATAAAAATGGTGGTCTTCCACGTGCCAACAAAACGTAGATAACGTCATCCCGAAATATAACCACGGGACGGTAATGCCTGTCGTTCGCTCCACGTGAGATAAACACGAGCTCGCGTTGTATGGCATTTTCGTCACGTTCCAAGGGTTGTTGGCAAACTTTTTCTGCTCCTCATCTTTGTGATTGTTCGTAGGCATTCCCGATCCGGTTTCAATCGTGGCTATGTCCGCGCCGTATATGACTTCTATGTTTCGTCCCTCGCTATCTTCTATGATCCTCCAAAACTCTCTTTCCATTTCCGGGATAGAAATATCTTTCACCGGGTTCCCGGTTTTCGCGTCCGAGAAATATCTCGCCTTGAAATAATCGGAATACCTCTTCATCGTTTCCATCGTGTGCCTCGCGCCGCTTTGGAAGCCGTACTGTTTGGTTATTTTTTCTACTTCTTTCTTCACGTATTCGTCTCTTTGTTGTTTTTGCTCTTGGTATTTGATTTTTGAGAGCGAGAGCGACGGTTGGTTTTTACTGTTCGTTGTTGCAGGTGCAGCGCCACCCATGCGTCCAGCAGACGGCGCCGGAGGAGCGGCGGTTGTCGTCGGCGCCGCCGACGCCATCCTCCCGCCACTCGCCATCGCCACCTTTTCGCCACCAGCTTCTTTCATCCTCGCCCGTTTTCCTAACCCGGCAGGTCTGTTTTGCAACTCATTCACGGCTTGAATCCTCGTTCGAAACCGCATGAACTCTTTATTCGGCAAACAAAACTCCGGCTGCCAACTCTTCGGCGGAACGATATTCGCCAACCCAAACTTCTCCGCCTCTGGCCGAATCTTATTTATATACTCCAAAGGGTCCCCGTTATTCCACTCCTCTTCGGTTGGAAAATACTGCGGACACGGTGGAATATCTTTCAACCACTCGACGCCTTTCTCTGGCTCGTATCTCGTTCTCACCGGCGGGCCTTTGAGACAGTCGAAACAGCCTTCCCGGTCGAAACAGCACTTCTCGCACCCGAATATCTCGTTCGTCGTGAGCGTAGAAATCGTGGGTGGTTTCAATTTCGGCGGGTCTCCGGATCCCAGATTGCCGTTGTTGTTGTTGTTGTTGTTGTTGTTGTTGTTGTTGTTGTTGTTGTTGTTATTATTCTTCTTCATCGCGTCTCGTTTTCGTTTCAACGCTTGCGCCACCATTCGTTTTTTCTCTTCCTCGTCTGCGAAAATCGGTTGCGAAGTGCGCTTCACCGAAACCGCGGCGGGAGTTTCAAGAGGCTGAACACTCGCATCTTTACCACCTTCGCTTTTCTCCTCTTCGTCCGCCAGTTTCACCACCGCGTCGTCATTGGAAAGACGCGGAGGAAGATGAATTTGATGCGTCAATCCCGTGGTGGTCATTTTTTTCCAATCTCCTTACGCGAAAGCGTTGCACAAAAAAACCGTATCACGCGACCTCGCGAGGACAAATTCAACGCCAGTTTCCGTTCGCCCTACCTCTTGTCTTCTTTTTTCTGCCAAGAGCGAGTGCTTTTTTATCAGAGTGGCGCTGAGTTTCGTGACGAATAGTAATGTGTTAGCGCAAACAGTGATGAAATTGCCTCTTTCCTTTGGTGTGTAAAAATACAAAAAATAGTCTAGGGTTTCATAATTTGTGAGTTCGTTAGAGATCTCGAGGAGGTTGACCTTCTTTTCTTTCTCACTTAACACTCAAAATCAGCGCTCGAATACTCCTTCTTTTGTTGCGAAGAAGTGAACGAAGAAGACAACAAAGAAGACACAACAAAGAGCAAAACGCAAACGAACGAAACGGAAAGGAGGGTCGAAAAAACTCTGCTCCTCTTTCTTTCTCTTCCGAACAACAGCGCGTCTGCGTACGAACACGTTTTTGTTTTTCCCAACGAGAAGAACTTACAAGACAGAGAAGAGATCTTCATCTCCGAGAAAAGAGACGAACAGAGATGGGCGAAGACGAGGAGGAAAGGTCGAAGACCCCGACTGCCTCCTCCTTTGCGACGATTCAGACGACAAAAACGACGAGTTTTGCGAAGAAGAAAAGCAACGACGATTCAGACGACGGCGAACCTTTAGGAGGTTCGTCGCAACAACACGAACAAGTTCAACACCAACAAATAATCCCAGAGTTTTGGACCGAGGTGTCCAGTTTAACGAACGCGCTTTTGGAAAGCGACTTGAACACGAAGAACGCGACGCACTGCCTCTCGAACTACGTTTTGGAGACGTTGGTGTTACCGGCGATTCATCCGGACGTGATATCGATAACGCGGAAGAAGGAGTTTTTGGTGGCGTTGAACGTGTGCGAGGTGAGCGTGGCGACGGTGTTGAGTAAGCCGCACGTGCTCAAGACGTTGTTGAAAGACGACCCGGAATCGGTGACGTTTTTTATGGAAAGCGCGAATCAATTCGCGATGAAAGCGATTGTGGTGAGCGGAAAAGAGACTGGTTCGTCGATGTTGAGAAGAAGCGCGAGTTTAAGCGCGACGAGTCAAACGAGCGGCGGCGGTATCGACCAAGAAGAGGAAGCGGCGACGCAATTCGATAACGTTGATTTTAGGGCGTTGAAGAGAGCGGCGAATTTGCTTCGCGCGACATTGGACGGCCGCGAATACGCACATACTTGGGCGACCGAGGTTATTCGTGATTCGAAAGTTCGCTTAGCGGAAGAGAAAGCGTCGTTAGTTGCAGCTTCGACGGAGGCAAAGATGGGAGAAGATGATGAAGCGATGACGATGTCTACTACATCTTCTTCTTTTACTGATGCCGCTATTGCGACGGTGACTGGAGAGCAACATCAACGACCGCGCGAGTCACGCGATTCCAACCGCGCGGTAAAGGAAAGAGAAGCAATTGCAAACGCTCAGAGAAAATGTGAGAAGGCGCTCGATGAAATCCGAGAAGAAGCCGTGGCTGCGGCGAACGTAGCCGCGGAAAGGAAACGCTTTGAACAATCAGATGTCGCCAAGGAAAAAAGAGACGCGAAGAGAGATTTCGACAACCGAGAAAAAGTGCTGGGATCATTTATTGGTTTGAAAAAAGCAGCGACGAGCGACGACGATGCCACGAGTGTCTCCGCTGGTGGAAAGGAAGAGAAGAAAAATACTCCTTCTTCTTCTCTGAAAACGAATTCGAACGAATCGAACCGCGAAAAAGCACTCGCTCGCGTTCTTCTTTCTGCGAAGAACGTGGGTGACGATGGAGACGGCAATAACGACAAATTGGATCTTTGTGCGAACATTCTTTTGAATGCGATCGATTCGCTTTTGAAAGGAGGCGTAACGCAGGAGGAATTTCCAGCACTCGTAGCTCTCGGTGACGCTTTCGAATCGTTCGTAACGAAATGTACCGGCGTTATTTCTTCCGTTATTAGTGAAATGCAGTTCTTGAGTTTGTTTGACAATACGTTGAATACACTTTCGCGGGCACACGCGGACATATCTCGCAGCGATTCAATTCGAGCGCGCTTGGCTAAATCTGTCGCTTTGTTGGCACCGAATCGAGAAACGATGACTAATACGCGCTTAAATGTCATCTTGACTATTTTTGACGAAACAATGCGTCGGCATGAAGAATCACACGATGACGACGTTGCCATGAGTCCGGACGTTTCTGCGATTGTAGACATGGCGAGAAGTATTATTGGCGCACCGACAGATGCGAATCCGTTCGCGCTGACTTTCGGAAGTACTACTACTGACGACAACTCTGTTGTTGGTGATTTACCAATGTCTCTGCGAAAATGTATCATCGATCGTGCAATTTTCGGCTCTCAAAAAGTCTCCAAGAGGCTTTTCCGAATCGCCTGTGGTTGGCTCGCTCGCATCATCTCAGAAGCGACTGTCACCACTGCGGAGGAGACTAGTGACGACGAACAAAAACGTCTCGCAGCCGAGCAAGCGTTGGAAGGTATTTTCAAATCGAGCGAGTTTGTCTTCGGACTCTCCGTGCATTACGACCCAATTCGAAACGACTCGAGTGCCGATCGTACCGAAGGTAGTAGTTCGTCGGAAGACGACGACGACGAATACGACTTGGAAGATTTCTTCCAAGCCGCAAACGCGAAAATCATTTTTGGATTACTCGCCTGGCACGCGTTACCGGCGAAAAAGCGCCGCGCGAGCGCTTTGGATGTGTGCTTTGTACGCAACGATTACCACGAACGCCGTGGCAGAAACAAAATGAAGAGTTCAAAATCAATTGCAGCTGCTCATCGCGTTGCTTCAACTTTGGCGCACTTGGTGCGTTTCTTTGATAATCCGCCAGATTTTGTTCTCAAATCGTTCAAAAACCTCGCGATTGGTACAGAAAAACTCGTTTCGGTCGAAGACGAATTCTTATGGTTCCCGTGGAAAGCGCAACTCGGCGATGTCGAACGCGTCGAAGCGTTGCAAGCCTCGAGAACAAAGATAAAATTCGCGAGTGATCTTGCGAATCTTGGCGCTCACCAAATGTGCGCCATTCTCGCCGACGAAGATAATTTGGCGCAAAATAGTAACTTTGATCAGCAGATGGCAAATAAATTGAAAAGAGCTTTAGGACGACTGACCTTTTTATTGCCTTACGATGCGGCGAGAATTTACAAATCGCAAATAGGTGGTAGTTTCGTGGAAAGAAAAACGCCGTTGGGTTCTCTCGAATCCATTGACGAGGACGAAGAGATTGTTAAAGAACCGTCACTTGAATCAACGAGTGGTCAACAACAGCAACATTCGATTGGAAGCGACATATCACGCAGCCGTGGTGGTATGACTTTACTCCATCACACTCGTGACTTAGTGGTGTCATCATCTTCGGCGTCTTCACTCGTCGCCGTGATGAATAGCACGGAAGATCCTTCAAACAAAATTGACGTCCTGAAGATTTTTGCGTTGGGTTCGTCTCTTCTTCAAGGAACCTCAGTTGATTTGAATAAGAATAGAAACGCTAGAAATCCACTCGTATTAGCTGGATTTGACGAAGCGCTCATTGCGTTGACTCGAAGTGTTGAGACGAACGTAGTCGTACCCAACGTAGTTGTTTGGACGGATTTAGCTCGCGCTTGCGAAACGCTTATTGCGCGTCGCGAAGATGCTATCAACGAATATCACAACGCTCAACACGAAAGCGCATCGTCATCGTCATCATCAGGTATGATTGAAAACTTTTGTGATATGGTTGCTTATGCCAAGCTTCCAAAATCGATTGCGGATCAGGCTTTTGAAACGTATTTTCCGAAAGATATCTTTGATCGATACAACAACGATGCGTTTTTCGCCTCCATCAGTGAAGATAGCTGGGAAAAGTTTAAAACGGAAACTGCGAAAAATGTTGGTGCGCGTGGAAAGAACTGCGGATTAAACGTAAATGTTGAGCGTTACTTTTTGGATGAAATTGCGGACATGAATTCAATGACATTGCTTTTGGAGAGAATCTGTGCGACGACGGTGGCGTTGTGCAAGAAACAAGGCGAGATTGACGCGCGCTTGAAGGAAGGGATTGCGGATATCTCGTCGCCAATGAAATCAACCGCCGCGGCATCTTTGAAGCGATCGTTGGATCCTGAAATGGTTGCGGCTCGCTCGAAATTGTCCGAAGTAATGGAGAAACTTTCCAGAGCTCCAATGTTGAATGGATTGTCAAAAATTGCAGTGACTGCCGCGGACGCTGCAAGACCAAACTCTGTAACAGAGCTTGAAAGAATAGATATTCACGTATCACGGGCGTTTCACGAGGCGTTACCGGAAACCTTGCCGATTGCTTTGAGCAATATTGCGAAAGATGCTACCTCGAGTGCAAAAAAGCATCCTCTGAAAAAGGAACGGATGCCGGAATCAATAGTCACAGCGGTAATTGATCGAGTCAAACGTGCGACGTTACTCGTTGCAGAGAAAAGTCAGAAAACCGATACTCGTCTAGCTGCACGGGGGCACCCGAACGTGACAATTTTCGTGCGTGCAATTTGTGACACTTTCGCTTCTTTCTCCGATGAAACGAAACAGTACTACTCGGCGGAGGTGATGTCGTCTATTTGCGACAGCATCGCGACGATCTCGAAAGTTATGCCAGTGGAAACAAGAAAAGCGCTCGCGAGTATCGACGAATTGAAGACTGTGGAGAGTATTACCATGCTTCTCGACAGTGTAAAAGTCAAAAGGTCAGCTCGCTTATTGGTGGATGTTTTGGAAATATCGTTAGAATCCGAAGACGATGTTGTCTCGCGAGCACTTAGAAGTATGCCTGGCATTATCGAGAAAGGTCGATTCGATGCAGCGGCTTACATTTTAAAACGATATTTAAGCGAAGACGGTGCCGTAAAAACGCCTCGTTCTACATCTCCGTCGCCATCGAAGGACGTGATAGCGAAGAAAGATACGCGATATGTCGAATACGCAGCAGAAGCAGTTATTGACTCGTTGAGATCTTTTTATTTAGAAGATGACGAAGATAATGAATTTAAGTCTGGCGCAGAAAGTGGTATATTTTCAACCGCATTTAAACAACGTGGTGTGACAGACAAACCTCGAGAAACTTCTTCGCTCGAAAGCTTTGCAAAATTACTTCGTCTCGTCGTAAAAGCAGGCAAAGATGCTTCTCGCGTCATGTCTAACGAGGCTTCCTTGCGTCGATTTATTACGAGTACGCCGAAAGACACGCATGGTGGTGTTGATTCCGATACTGGAACACCAGAGCCAAGTGACTCTGTAACCCATACCCCTACTTCCGACGATGTCGCAGAGGACATGGAATACCAGACTATTGAAGAGCAAATTGCGAGGGACGGTGAAATTGAGCACGAGTTGTTTGAACAAGAATTACTCGCATTATCGAACGTTCCAATGATCGAGCGACTGTTACGCCAAGCGAATCTTGAAGATGTAGAAGGTGGTGGTGTCCCTCCCGACGCGAGTGCGAGACGCGAACTTACGCTCGAGGCAGCCTTTTCGAGTCTATTGAGTGAGGCTCGTGTTGCGTTTGGTAACAGACGCTCTACTGGTGGCGATCTGCAACAAAGAGGGAGTGTGAATGCCCAAACAACTTCTTCACCGCAAGGCAGAGTCGTTGATGTACCTTCTACTGGTGATGCAAAAGGTGGCGAAACGTCGTTGAATTCAGCTAAGAAGTGTTCTTACATATCTCAACGCGATTACCAGCGCCAGCACTGGTATTATTGTTACGATTGTAATCTTGTAGATAACCGCGGATGCTGCTCAACGTGTGCCGTGACCTGTCACAAGGGACATCGCCTAGCGTATTCTCGGGAAAGCAAATTTTCGTGCGATTGCGGCGCTGGTCAGTCCAAACGCGACGGTGTGTTACGTCCTTGTGGATGCATTACGGTCAATCAGGCGAAGTTGACTAAGGATGAATGGAAAGCTGAAGTTGTTGGGAAACCCTCGGAAATTATTCACCCGGACTCGGATTCCGAGCTCGAAGATGAATCTATCGCCGCCTTAGAAACCTCTGCGATCGAGAAAAAACTCATTGCTACGTGGACGTTACCGAGAGAACTTTCTGCGAAACTTGGTTCTGCATTGAAATCTGCGAGAGTGAGCGACGTTCTTGAACGAGTTGCGAACAATTGTGTCGATAAACTCGGCGATCACGAAAGCGACGATGATTCATCCGAGGATGAGGATTACGTTAGAGCGTCGGCGAGCAAATCCGCAAAGGAACCAAATATGTTGAGCAAGAAGAACAAGGAGAAGTTTAATATGAACTTCGGTAGAGCAATGAAGCCAGGAACGTTTGATGTGAAGGCGAGAGAGGATTTCGCCGCGCAGACTCAAGCGATGTCTCAGGTTTTACCGTTACCTCGTAAAAGTTGTGTATCTGCATCAACTTCTGGTCTACTCGCTATTGGTGAAGGTGACAAGGTATCAATACTCTCTGCAGATGAGCTTTATCATTCAGACCGTCTCGCAGATAAGTGTGATGCTTTGTTGCGAGCGAAGGCGACGTTTGAAGTGTTCAACGTGTGTTTCAATCCGAGCGATCCTTCAAAGTTGGCCGTGAGTGGCTTGCGTGACGTGCACGTTTTTTCACTTTCAGAAACTGCTGAAGTCATTAATCGCATTGCGATTGAGAACATTTTTGATGAAGAGCAAGAGTTTGGTGCGTTGCTATCTGTTAAATGGGTCCCGGGTTGTGCGGGAACTTTGGCCTTGTGCTCTCGCGACTATGCAAAACTCTATGATTGCGGAGGTAAGAACGCGTTGGTTACCCCGGACGCTCCAATAACATCAATCACGCCCCCGATTGGACGAAACTTTGTGGATTGTGCTTTCTTCATTGATACCGATGGTGCGGATGAGAAGTTGATTTTCTTGGGATTACTCGACAACGGCGAATTGCATTGCTTGTCGCTCGTTGGAGACACAACCTTCATCTCACTCTACGAGAATACTTTGATTTCAACAGACTCTTTCCCAGAATTGACGCGTAGAAATGCCAAGTTCGGCGAACCAGATTCCCCAACTCTTTCTTTTTCGCCTCGGGGCAAGAATGGTGTTTCGCTTCACTATTCTCAAACACATGATGTCTTAATTGTTTCCTACGAGTCGGGAGATACTGTAGTCACAGCACTTGAGCGCGATCAAGACTATCCGGATTCGTTCAAATTAAGGGCACCAAAAGTTATTCGCGACGATGATTGCATTGAAGAGATGATGATGAGTCCATTATCTGCGACTTCAACCACTGGAACCGGATCTATGTTTGATAGCCAACCTTCATCGGCACAATATAGCCAACCATCTTCGGCGCAAAGTTATGCAACAGGATCGAGTACAACGTTCTCCATTCGCGGAAAAGGAGATGCGAACAAAGGCCTTGCGTATGTAGGCGATTGCGCTTTTCAACGCGATTTTCGCGCACGATCAATCGGGGCGGATCCAGAAGTTCCACCTCTTTCATTTCTTACTGTATCTCGACGCGATATGTCTACAAGAGTCTTGACTTTTCAAAACGAGAGTAATTTTGAAGGCGTGGATACGCAAACTTTGCTCAATACAAATAATATTGACAGTGGTCCCGAGTCTTCTACTTTGCGTGGTTTCGCAGGTTACCAACCTGATTGGGATCAAAATCATGCCGATAATAGAAAAACGATGTTGTGCCTCTTATTGGAAGATGGTTCTTTTCGCGTGTATTTCTACGGGGAGGACAGAGAAGAGGAACACCGCAGAAAAAGAGAAGAAGAAGATGAAGGAGAAGAAGGATACGATGACGGTGAAGAAAGAGTATATCATCCAGAGTCACATTCGTCACCTTCGGCGCACGACTCTGGTGATGTTTTGTACTTCGAAGGCTGTTCTGAAGTTACCGAAAAGTGCGCGATTTACGGAGAGTTCCATGCTGTGGGAGATAACGATGAAGATCCAGTTTCTTCGGTTAAGGAGTCCTTAATCTCGGAGGATTTGAATTCACAGATTCAAACCGCGCGTGCAAATGCTCCTGCGGCGTTGTGTCTTTCATATCCTCCGGCGGCGCGCGATCCTAAGCTTCAGAGCTTCGCGGGTATTCGAGTTCAGTTGAATTACGGAAGTTCTGCGGAGGACGCGAATTGCGTGCCCAAAAGTGTTGAAATATTCAAAGGTGGAAGAAAAGTTTCTCTGATTGACAGCGAACATGCACGAAGTAATTCTACTGTTAGAAACGCCAACAATTCAGATGCTGCTTCTGGAGTGATGGGTAACACGAGGTGGTTCGATATTCCACTGAACTCAAAAGAGTCCAAGTTATGCTCGGAGAAGAACGGGTTGTTGACTTTAGTCTTTCACCCATCCATGAATGCACCTCGCGGTGCATGCTTTAAAGTTGCACGCGTCGTGGCCTATTCATGTCCGAAAACGCACATCGAACAATCGATGAAAACACGCGCCATCGCTTTGCGCGAGCGATTGTCATTGCACGTTCGATCTAGGGTTGCTCGTGCAACTCGCCATAAAGAGCTTACCAGTGGCACCGAAGCGCCATCTTCTTCATCAAGTGCGAGAAAGCTATCTGCAATTGGGTTTCCAATTGTTCTCGATGAAACCTTTTCTGCGATCACGGTCTACGCGCGACTTGAGCAAGCAGCGGCAAGCAGTGCATCCACGACGCCTGTGAAGGTTCCGAGGCGATTGTCATTTTCGAAGCTGCAGAACCAGTCCGCTGCAGTGCGCGTATTTGCTGCCGATGGCTGGTTCCCGTCATCAAAGACCAAACGCAGCGCGTTCAAGGCAATTTTAGCGAAAAGTCCGGAAGATGTTTCCACGAAGGATTTGTGCGCCGTCAGCATAGCGTTGTCCACATTTCGCATGATTCAAAAGAATTACGAGTGGCGTCGCGACGCCAATTGGGCTTTACCAGATTCTGACATAGAAAGCTTCGCGCGTGCGTGCAAGTATATTGGTCGTCCTTTCGTACGCCGCCCACTAACTATGCAAACGTGTGATGACCACTTTCATAAACAAACTCTGGAAGCGCTAAGACTAGGTTTGTGTTTGACGCCTCGGGTTGTTAGGGATTCTCACGGCGCTTTTGATTGCGAGGAGTTTGTGCCTTCTTTGGTTCAGGCGCTGATTGCATCTTGCGAAGGATTTGCCAACAATCCCCCGTCGGCAAAACTTGCGCAAAAAGCTGCCGATATTGCCGTAGCGTGCTTGAAATCTGCGGATGAAAACTTCTCGAGATCGGTGGCGCTAGCTATGCTCGATAGTTTCGCGCCTCGGGTACCAAACGTGGACTTTTTCTTTGATCGCGAAATATTGAACGACGGTGGCAGCAATGATTCCTTGAGGCAACCAGTTTTCCCAATTTCTTTAAGAGATGATGTGGATGTTACTACTAGTTCCTCGAATCGCAATGTATCTCGCCTGCGTCGACCGACGCTTTTAACTGGTGGTCCTTCCAGTGGATTTGCAACATCAGAGAACACGCCGAGCGGCGTGGGGATTCTTTCGAACTTTCTCGCAGGGAATATGGTAAGTGGTGGTCACCGGTGCGACATGTGCGACGAATCCATCGAAGGCATTCGATGGCACTGCGAAGTTTGCGACGATGTCGATTTGTGCTCGGAATGCCGTGATCGTGGAGGTATTACCGGCGCCTTACTCGAACAGGGGCATCGCACGACACATCCCCTCGCGAGAATTGTGCAACGACGCAATCCTCCTCCGTCGAGTGACGGAGGTGCAGCGCTTCTCAACAAGAAGAAGACTTTTGTCACACTCACCGAGTCAAATAAAAAGCTCATCGGTGCGATTGTTGAAGATATCTGCGATCCCACGCGTGCTGTGGCAACGAAGGGGTTGAGCACGTTGTTGTCCAAGGATGGCAGTGAAATGGGTTTTTCATCTCGCGTCGGAAAGGATTCGAAGCCGCCGAAACCCAGTGTGACGGAAGCAAATATTGTTTCTCCCGCGCACGCGATGTTCTTGCGGACGCTCTTAAAGAGCGACTCGGACGCATCGGTGTTAGTCGCTAAATTGCTTTCGAAAGGTATTGTTGTGCCGTCTATTTTATCGAAGCCTGGGACGATGGGGAAGAATAAGAACGTCTCGGATCGAGACTGTCGCATACTTGCGCTGTCGGCTTCTGCGGCCATGGCTTCGAGCGGGAAAGATGCGGCACTGGCGTATCCGGATGGGAAGGATGGCGCGCGTGATGTCTTAGAATGGACGAAGCGTGTTGTGGAATCTCTTTTGGGAAAAATTGCCGAGTTTGGGCGAAGTGATTCGCTCGATAAATGCAACGATAATATCAACACCAAAATAAATATCTCTGTAGACTCTCAAAACATAGACTACCTGAGAGAGGCTAAGGAAAAGAGTAAAATGCGCTCAGAACAACGAGACAAGTTGATTGCGGCGTTAAAATGTGCCTTATTGCAAGCCAAGTACGCGAGAGACGCAGTAAACAAGAGCGAATCTGAATCCACGAGCTTTGATATGGATGCAGATCGCACGACAGGTGCGGAGATATCAGACATTTCAAACTCGACAGCAGACATCCAAAGCTGGACAAAGCTTATCGTCCAAAGTTATGCTACGTCTGAAAGCTTACGTCTCGATATCGTCGATTCCGATGCTCACTGCGTTGCTCGTTTTACGGAATTTGAATTTGTCGTGGACAGTCTCGCGAGGTCTGTTGACGTGCAGAACGAAAAATTTCAAGCGATTAAAGATGCTGGAATTATCGTTTCTGCGTGCGAACGTCTCTCGTTTTCGCTCAAGAATCGTGTCAACAACGACGGGACGATTGAGAGCGAAAACAGCACGACTCGTTTAGTTTCGGTTCCTCTGAAAAGGTTGTTTGAGGTGCTTTCTCAAACCCCAGAAGCGTTTGCATTCTCTCTCGCGTCGATGCCTTCCGTCATTGTCGCCGCGGTAAAAGCTGCGGCAAGAGCAATGCCGCGCTTTCCACTCTCTGCGGTGGATCAACGCGAACACGCGTGTTTGCTCTTCGAGTTTGCTGCCGAATACTGTGCTGAATCAACGAAGAAAGAGCTCTCTGGTGTGGTCGATTGCGTTATTCAAACCACATTGTTGGGTTCGTCGAAGAAATCTGCCAGAGATGCGGCGATGACGTGTTTGCGAGCAATCTGGAAGAATCTTAAAGATGTTAGCATAGAAAACGAACGACAAAACATTTATTTGGTAGGGATGGCGAGATCTTTGACAAAGGCATTATCGAATGTTGCCTGTGGCGCACGAATTGAGCGCGTGTCTCAAATCGTAGCGTTTGCTCTCGAAAAGGACTTCTCAATTTTTGCCAACGAACCCGACGTGATGGCTAATATTGAGCTCTTTTGTGGGAATGCTCGCAAGGCGAGCGAAAAGTTGAGGACACATCCGAGGAGGGAAATGTACGCAAAATTGGAAGCGCTCGAAGCCCAGTCGCAATCTTTGGTTGCGAAGAACACCACCACCGCTGCAGCCGACGATGCTAACTTGCTGCCGCAGCCGATGGGGACCTCAGCGCACGAAAATTTCGTGAATTTCTTACTCGAAACCGATGAAGATTTTGCGAAACACGCAAAGTGGCTCGAGATTGACCCGAATCCGGACGATATTTCGCTCGCGTATGCGTCCACGCCCTATCGGAAGACTCCGTTGCATCTGATGAAAGGAACGCGGGCTTTTACCGCGAACGCCTCTTTGACGATATTTAGCGAAGTATACAGATTGAAAGAAGCTAACATCAACTTGACGCCGTTGCAAACGAGAAAATCGTCAAGATGGCCGAAATCTGTCTCCATCTGGGTTGTTCCGTCCATTGTGTCTGCCTCATCTTCGATTTTGAACTCGAGTGGAAGCGCCTTTCTATCGAGCAGGCAACTACCTCGCGCGTCTGGATCGAATGGCGCCGATAATAATATTGTTTCTTCTCTGAAATCAGCGATCTCATGGGAGCAACCAAGTGAACCGTGGCGATTCGTTGGAAATATTTCGTTCAAGAACAGACAAACTGAAGGTATGCTTACGTTGAGCATCCCCGAGGACGTTTCTGCGATTGCCATTCGTATCGATTCGTTCCACGTTGATATGCATGAGAAAGCTTCGGAAATGCTTCCGTGCCCGCGTTGTAGCCGACACGTACAAGATGCTGCGCACGGTATTTGCCGTTATTGCAGAGAGAATGCGTACCAATGCCGACAGTGCCGAAATATAAATTACGAGAATCTGACGGATGCGTTTTGGTGCAACGAGTGTGGTTGCGCGAGGCAAGATAAACTCGACGCGTACATTACTTATTCAGAAGTCATCGGTGACGGATCTTCTGGTATATACACAGAAGATGAAGCCACGAGTGCGATGAAAGCGCTTGAAATTTTAACCGTAAAAGAACGTGATACTCAAAATATATTGAGGCAATGCGAGAGCGCTTGCAGATCCTTGCTTTCACGCGCAGCTGTAGTTGACGAAAGCGAGATTTTGAACGCAGAGGTGAACAAGACGGCTTCGGCACCTTCGACGCCATCAAGAACGAGAAGAACAATTGGCGGTGGCACCAGCAGTACTGCTGTTCCGGCATCTTCAACGTTAGTGTCGGGCTACGTTCCAATTGGACGAAACAACGCCACTGCTTCGGAGGATGCACTTGCGAAAAATGGCGACTTTGAGGCCCTGGCGTTGAGGTCGTACAAAGAAGTTGCAAAGAACGCCCGCATTACGTTGTCAAAATGTCAAGCCAAACGCATTTCTTTGCATCGTGCACTCGAAAGTTATGCACGCAGAGGTGAAGGAGGTTTTATCGAATCAGACTCGTCGTTGCATACGATGCACAACTACTACGGCGAGGAAACCAATCATTTCGGTTCGCTTCGTTCGTACATGTTTGCAATCGTCCCAGCTCTGGTTTCTCTTGCTCGTGAAAAAGTCTTCTTTTACGCATTTGATTCAAATCATGTAAAGGATGCTCTTTTTGCGACCTCCTCTATCTTGCCACAAATGGCACCGAAGTTTGCGCGCGTATTAGTTGCACTTGCCGTTGCGGACGCGAATGTGGATACGCGATCATGGTTGATTAAGCAATCTTCCGAGCGAGCGAAGACTTCTTCGCTTCGCCCCGAAGGTGGTGGAATAAATTTCACATCTTCTACTTTCGAAACCGATGTCGATGTCTTGTCGAGGCTTGCACGAATGGAATTGGTGAAACGTAACGATGCCAGCGGTGATGCCACAGTTGCCATTTTGCAACTTTCAGAAACGCTCAACCCTACGAGAAATCCAAATCATCGTTTCGTGGACGTCGCAGTACGTGCAGCCCTGAAGCTCTTCGAGCAAGATGCAATCGCGAGACCAGGTGGACGACGACGCATGGATAACGAAAACATCGATGCTATCAGCGGTTGCGTTGAATGCTTCGTCAACTCTCGCGTTTTGGAGGAGGAGACTGTGCGACTGGCCTCGAGCGCATTGATCGCAATTTCGAAAGGAACAGAAGAAGAGCGTCTGGCGGTGTTGAAATCCCTCCTTGAGTTGTTAAAGAATACGGATGTGGTTTCGAACGATGATGCCGCAGAATCCGTCTACGCGGCGCTCGAAGCGAGCATGTGTACCGATTGGGAAGTGAAAACAGACTCATTCGTTTTCACGTTTGCTGATCCGTCTCAAGTGAAGCTCTCGGTAAGAACGTTGACGGAGATGCTCCTCGAAGTTGCAAAGTACGCGTGGCATGAAAGTGAAAGCCTTCTCGAGCAGCATGGACTCGTCGACCCATCCTTCGGTCTTGCTCTGAAACGATGCGCTAAGTTCGTCTCAGACAAAATAGTCTCCGAAGAAGACAACTTGCGATGCGAAAGTTTGAAAGTGAGCGAGGAGGATATCCAAGCGATTACATACGCAGGGACAATTGCGAGAGCGCTTGCTGCGCACAGGGCACCGCACGCAATTTCTGCAAATATTGCTTTGGCAAAGCTCTTGGACGCGTGTTACGGGGCGAGCGATGTGAACTATCCAAACACTTCGAGAACGTCCGTTGCTGGCGCTTGCTTTGAACTTTTGCGCTCAACGGCGAACGCGAATTCTCGCAGCGCTCGATTCTCTTCAATATCTCACAATATATCTGATACTGTCCAAATTGTTTTACCCATGGGTTCAGTTCTGGATGAACTCAAACGGTGCGCGCTTCCGAAACCGAAGCCAAAACGCACGTGTTTGGTTCGCCTGGTGAAATCGTCCACGCAAGAAGAGTTTATCCGAGGGCACATGTCACCTTCACCGTACGATGTCGCGGAACAAGTTCCAGTTGGTGATAATGAAGGTGATAATAACGCTGCATCATCTGACATCGCTAACGCGGGGGCGGGTGTAGACGCGGACGACGATGCCACATTTGGCGACGAAGCGCAGCTGGAATCTACGCCGACTTTTAGAGATGTGAAGAATTTCATCTGCGCTCAACTCGACTTGGTCGGTTTGATCGAAGATGATTTTGGCATGGAATTGCTCTCATGCGGAAACAAGATCATTTCGCTTGATTTAAAAGTCGTCGATGTGTACGAAAAGGTTTGGGTTCCAATGCAACAAAATCAGCAGAATGATGGCAGCCCTCCCTCGCGACTTATCGGTACGAACAGAATTCCGCCAATGTCAATCACTTATCGCTTAAGCGGTCTCGACGGTGAAGCCACCGAAGATCGCATTGATTCGGTCGCAGCGACAGTAGATAAAGACGATCCAGAAGTTCGCTATGAATCGACTTCTTGTTTGCGCTTTAAAGGCGGTCTATCTGCACTTGTCGCTCTCGTGCCTACGATCTCTCGCGCGGCGAGAATGAAACCAACAGCATTTGAAACCACTAGTAATAGTAATAACAACGCATCGCTCTTCCTCAAGGAATTGTGCGTTTCCAGAGAAGACGTCGCGTTTGTACGAAAGTTGAACGATAACGCAGACGTCCTTGCACTTTTGCAAGCAGCTTGCGAGTTGAAGGAAAATAGAATCGCGATGTTGGACGACAATGCTCTTCCGCACTTGCTTCGTGAGGCGGCAAGAGCATTCGAGGCTCGAGAGGATACTTTGGCAAACGATATTTTAAAAGTTGTCGATCGCTTGTTAGCTGAAGAACAATCCAAAGCTACGTCAGAGCAATCTTCGATTCTGATATCTAACGATTCTTCTTCGCAACAAACTATGCTAATGCATGGAGGTAGCGTGGATGATTCCGCTTCCTTGGACTTGTCTGTGACGGTGGACACTTCATTGGCGGCTCGACCAGTCACTCCACCACCAAGAACTTCTACACCGTCTATCATTAATTTAGCTTCTTCCGCCGCTCTCGGTGGTTCTGGAATAGATTTGTACTTCTCCGACGCCGAGTCTATGCACGAAGAAGACAAGAGTCTCTTCGACGCGGCATCTGTGTCTCGATCCTTCCTAGACAAGTTGAAAAGATGCATTGAGGACGGGGAACCGAAACGTTGTGACGTGTTGGCAAGAGTTTTGCCGCGACTCGCGTGTGCCGATGTCACAGCAACGACGCATTTGGTTAAGTTTAGCGTCGACGCGTTGAACACATTAAAATTTGATGGACAACAACGAGGTAATGATGGGGAAGTGGTCTTTGGCGCGCAAAACGATCCGACGTGCGATTTGCTCGCGTTAGAATCGGTGGTAAAAATTGTCCGCTGCGCACCACACGACGACTTCGGTCGATCATTTCGCGAATACTTAGCGGTTCCAGCGATACCAATCATACGCTCTTACATCGTTGACATCGTCGTGAATGATCTAAAGCGCACTTCGGAGGCGTTTGAAAAAGCGATGGTGAACTACAAGGCGTTACCGTTGGCGTTGAAAATTTTAGAGGCCATGTCCAGAGAATGCGAAAAAGTAGCCACTTCTGCCGCGCACGCGCTTAACTTGCTCGTTACTTTACACACATTAGAAAACGTAGTCGTGCCGAGAGGATTGGGCACTTTGGCTGAGAATGCGTTGGAGACGATTGAAAACGCCTCAAATACCGCGCAAATTGAAATTGAAAAGATGCGGGAAAAGACAAAGGAAGAGAAGAGAGAGCTCGCGAAGAGGAAACGAGAGCAAATGTTGAGAGAGATGAAAATGAAGACGCAACAGTCGGAGAGAGGGGTTCCAGCTGGGGACGAAGAGAGTACGGTGCTTAAAGCGGAAGTTTCGGACGCTTTGAAGAGTCAGATGGAGGAAGACGCCGCGTTTGACGACGACGCAGGTGCATTGCGCTGCCGAGTGTGCTTTGAATCTATCAACGAGAATCCAGAGGAAACTTTGGGTTTATATTGCTTCTGTACGCCGGTTAGCATCCCTCCAACTTCGGTGAAGTTTACTCGGGAGGAAGATGCCACAAACGCCGCAAATTTTGTCATAGAGGAGGACGATGATGACGACGACGACGACGAAGGCATGGCAAACGACGCCGACGGGGATATCATTGAAATCATTGACATGCGAGGCAATCAAGCAGGTACAAGCGGTTCTTCTCTAGCTTCTGCCTTGTTTGGAGGACGTGGTTTTCGCGGTCGAAATCGTGCTGCCGCAAGTGTAGACCCCAAAGTTGATGCCACGAGAGGGTGCTCCACCGTCTCGCACTTCAACGCCATTCACATCTCGTGTCATTTGGAAGCCAAAAGAGCAGACATCAATCGTCGTCCACCAAAACGAGAATGGGAAGGTGCTACCTTGCGAAACGCGGAGACGCTGTGCAACAGTGTCCTTCCAGTATGGACGTCGTCTGATTTACGTTCCTCGAATGTTGAACGCACGTCGACGAGCGACGAAGAGTATGAGGAGCGACGACGACGATACGGTCTGGCGGTGGATGCGTGGTGGGACAACGTGGGCCGAGCGATGCCAATGAATCGCCAATCCTTCGCCATGCGTCACGATCGATTTCGCGTATCTACTTTCGATTGCGTCATCTTGCTGGGTAGATTTGCCACGAATAGTTCATTCTCTGTCGAGTCTCGAGGCGGCGGCAGAGAATCAAACGCTTCCTTGTTGCCGCAACTGCTGCGGTTGATGCAATTCCACGGCGAATACGTTTTCGATGCCTCTGCAAACCCGAGCACGATGACGGACCCGTCCGCTTCGCCTTTACGCCGCCAATCGTCGTCTCCTGTACCGTTATCGGTCGGTAAGAAACGAGATATTGCGCAAAGAGAAGAGTGGCTCCGCTTGGCGAATGCGTTGGTGGACGAAGATTACGGAGGCGACGAACTGGCGTTCTTTGACGCCTGTTTCGATATTGAAGCGTTCGAGAGCGACATGTACGCGATTCTTTTGTTTGCCGCGATGACGTTCACGAAAGAAAAGTGGGAGAATTCGATTAAAATATTCATTCGTCGAGCGACGGCGTTCGCCTTAAGGTGTGGCGATGATGGGTTACGAGGTGCATTTACCTCCTCGGCTTACGCGCAACAGCTACGAAGTACGAGTACGATGTCCTCAAATTCGGGAGGAGTCATGTCACCTCCAGAAACCGATACCGACGAACCTATTAGTATTAATACGTCTTCGCAACCGATCGTCCTGGCGGCAAAACCAACTTTAAAATATCTCGCCATGTGCGACGAAATCAACGCGTGGTTGAGAAAGGATTCTCCCGAGGTATTTTACACCCCTGGCTTATCCGTCTCCTTACAGCACCTCTCGAGAGCGTTACTAGACGAGGCGGACCCCTCCATTCGCGACCACATTCGCCGGTCGGAAGCATTAGCTCTGGATCAACAATCTCGCGATCAGTTTGGGAACATGGAATCGTGCTCGCACTTGTCCAAGAGAACGTTGGAAGTGGTGACGGTGATGGACGCGGAGGAGGATGTTACAAACTTGTCCAAAATCGGAGGAAGAAATGTAACGGTAAACGACATCATCGAGAAAGGCATGGCGTGAGAACGCAGAATAGACAACACGTGGTTTGCGATATATTTAGTAAGATATCGGTTTTCTTAATTGCACTTTAATAAGCATCGACGCTCTTACCAACCAGTCATATATATAAATAAAAATCTCTCGCTCCTCTTTAGTTTCGCTTTTTCGATCCGCCTCTCTTCGGCGGCCTCGGTTTCGATCCACTCTTTTTGCCATCCGTTTCCATCACGTACACAGCCAAACTTGCCAAGATCAAAGCGAACTGCAACCCGAGCTTATCCACGGAATCCTTCAAAAACGTCACATGAAAGTGAATGGCAAACGCCATCGTCGCGGTTAAAATAAAAGCGCCTTTCTTCGCCTTCCCTGGCATCCACAACATCAAGTACCCGATAATCTCCACCGCGGCGATAATTTTCGCAAGTTCATACCCGTTCGATTTGTTACATCTTACTTTATAAGGAATCTTAAACGTGGACAGTAAGTTGTTCGCCCACGGCGTCCACGCGTGTTCGCACCACGCGTAACATTCCGCCGTGTTGGCAGTTGGTGTGCAATCGCCAGATTTTCCAATCGCCACCGGGCATAAAGGGCCGTCGCACCCGAGGATGGGAAGAGCGAGTTTACACGACGCCGCGCGTAAGTATAACGCGAGAGGGATGATTTTCAGGACCGTAAGAATCGTAGACTTCGCCTGTGTGATGTGTGTTTGATGAGAGCGGGGATATTCCTCTTAGGTCAGTAGGGGAACAAAAACGAATTGAATTTCCCCAAAACTGCGCTCTACTCTTTCCCGTACCTTTTATGTACGAAAGAAGAAAAGAAGAACGAAACGCAGAAGCGAAAGAGAGGACGCGAAGGAAAGGAGCGCGCGACGGAGGAAGACGCGAGGATGAGACGATCGCACCATTTTCTTTCCGATATAGTAATTGTGTGTGTTAAATGTGCGCGTGATAAAAGAGGGATTTGACGGCAAAAAAAGCAGACAAAATGAAAAATGAAAGCGCACAAAGAGGAAAGAACGTAAAACACAAAAGAAAGTATACGTACCAGATACCGCATTAATAATACACACACGAATTAATATTAGTATTACATCTCCACGTGGCTGACTCGTAAACCCAACTCGCGGTCGTTTTCCGGTTGCGCTCGCGCGAACCTCGAGGAATATTCCAACGCGTGATAGTCTCGAGAAAACGCGACGAAGGCTTTGCAGCCGTGCTGTAAAAGCCACGGTTGCGAGACGCGAAGGCCGAGCGTTTTTCTTTGCTGTTGTTGGCGATGAAAAGCGCTACTTTCGTCGGTGTTGGTGTTACCGCTGGTGGTGGTGGCACCATCGCGGACGGTGACGACTTTGCGCCAGGTGCGACCGTGGTCGTGGGAGGTGGCGAGGGTCAGGCGCAACGCGCCTAAGTTGGTGGCCGCGTCGGAGAAACTCGCGCTATTGCTACTACTACCGCTACGGCTACTCTTACTAGTCTCACTACTTCTGCTACCACTGCTACTACCGATACTCTCGTCGTCGTCGTCGTCGTTTTCCTCATCACTCACACCGTCTTCTCCTTCGAGAGTATCGAAGTTTGATCGGTCGTTGTACGCCAACACCAACGGGCCTTTGGGTTGTAATCGAAAAAGTCTCGCTGCGGCGTCGAACGTTCGCATCTCGGAGGACATCTCGCGTGGTGTCGTCCACGTTTTTCCTACATCCGTGGAAATGGCAGTGTACAATCGCATGCTTTTTGCCGTTCTTCGAACGACGAGCCCGTCGTCCTCGCCTCCAACCACCACTTTCGGTCGAAACACGGCGTACAAACCGCCCTCCCCGATTTCCGCCACCGTCATATCCGCCAATAAAATGCCATTCTTTCGATCGAAACCCAAGGATTCGTGTAATCTCGACGTGTCCCACGTCTTTCCCAAATCCGAACTCACGATTACCCCGCACTTTCTCACCGCCTCGGCGCCGCACTTGGGATTAAACCCGCCTTCGCCGGTGCCGCCTTCGCGGTGTACCCCCCTCCCGTATTGCGCCAAAACAGTTCCGACATTCACTTGTTTCATTCCATTTACGCACACCGGCACGACCCAATCCCTATTCCCAGTCTCTGAGTTCGCCTCGTCCATCTCCACTGCCGGTCCGTTCAACGTGATTGGCGCGCCGTTGAAATCTGCACTCTTTAACACTCGTCGAGGTGTCATCCATTCCTTTAAAGTCGCATCGGTACTCGCCACGACGTAGATATCACCACCTCTCACCCACGGTTTGATTGGTTTACTCCCAAAACCTAACAACGGCACGCTCTTTTCTTGACGACACTCCCCTCTCCTCTGCGAATCCGACACCGCGTAAAACACAAACGCCCTCCCCTTTCCGTCTCTCTCCGCGAACACGATCGGATCCCACATCGGCATCCCACTCCCTCTTTTCCAATCGTTATCATGAAACTTCCCAACCTCCTCGAACGGCGTCGAAACCTTCCACCCTTTCCCTTCCCCGGCTCTGCTCGTCGTCACTCTCAGATGTTGCCCTTCCTCTCCTACCGCGTCTTCGCTCGCTCGAAACACCGCCAGAACCGTTTCGTTCGTCAATCGAGCTAAACTCGGAGATCCTACGTTTCTAATCCTTTCGACATCCGACAGCTTCCTCTGCCAACACGACGAAACGCTTCCTCCGGGACCGCCTTTCGCGTGACATAAACTCTTTCTCTTCAGTTCGTTCGCGGTTAATGTGCCTCGTTCGCTCATCCAGTAGCTTTTCCTCGTGGTCATTTTTGGACTGTTCGGTAAAGGCGACCAAGAGGCGCACACCTCTCTCGCTTCGCCCGGGTAGAGCAGTTGTCTTTTTTGCTGCTTTATCTCGGAGTTCTTTTTATCCTCCTCCTTGGTATTATTCTCCTTAAAGTTGTTGTTTAAGTGCTGTCTTGATTCGCGTAAACTCGTCGTCGTCTTAAAGGTGTTTACCGTTACGCGCTTTTCCCGCTTTTCCCGATGATGATGATGAGAAGAGTAATACCAATACCAACAGAACACTGAGAGGAGCAACGAGAGGCGAAAAAGCACTCTGCGTGACAGAAAGTTCTTTTTCCTTTTGTTTGTACGACGACGACGGTGCGAGAACATCACGTTATATATGTGTTTACTCTGCGCCACAATCTCGCCGCACAACAACGGGGTAAAGATGTGACGCACAGAGACGAACGAGAACAGAAGTTTACGGAAGACAAAGACGAAGAAAAACGTCTCGCGAGCTTATACTCGACATGAAAACGATGCACTCCGAGGAGACCCAGAACGAGAAAGACGCCACGAAAGGACGAACGAGGCAGTTCCCACACGCAGTTGGGAACTTTGCAACGTCCGTGAGGATTCGATGTCGCGCGACGACGAAAGAGACGCGTTCGCTCTCCGATCTCGCGCGAGACGTGCAGCGACAAGTGGTATCGTTGTTGGACGACGAAAAAAGCAACGACACGAAGAAGAAGAAGGAAATGATTAAAGTGCGCGAAATCATCGCGCGCGGAGGAGAAGACGCTTTGCACGTGTCCTTGTCCAAAGTGTTTCCAGTGCGAAAAGAACAGAGGGAACCGTACCGGTCGCAGTTGAAAGCGAGTTTCAACAAAGCGTTTCGAACGCATCGAGGAAGATTCGATTCTTCTTGTTCTTCTTCCTCTCGCAACAACAACGCGTCGTTAGAGTTGAGAGAGTTGCGCGTCTTCGTGAACGACGAAAGGACGACGACGTTTGTGGCGGCGTGCGAGAAAGACGACGGGGACGACGCGACGCGGAAACGCTCCGGGTCCGAACGCGTGAGGGAGATGATTCTCGCGGTGAACGAGGTGAACGAGCGGTTTGGGTTTCCGAAGTACGAATACGAACCGCGCGTGATACCGCACGTGTCGTTTTGTTACGCCGACGGCGATTGGGAGGAAGAGATGAAGAGGGCGGTGGAGGCGGTGGTAAAGGAAAGAAAAGAAGAGGCGAAGGAGGACGCGTCGGTGGTTGAAATCACGTGTAAGACGGATGCGGTTGATTTGTGCATTTCCGGATGGGAGCCAAAGAAAGTCTTCAGTTCTGAGAGTTTACCGCCGCCGCCGATATGAATAGTAGTTACGCTTTTACCGAGCGACGATAGAAAACGTAGTTTTATTAAAAGAGGCGTAAGCGTATCTAATAATAGCGCTTTAAAGCATGAATAATAATAACAACAATAACAACAACACACGACGCGCATAAAATGTACCAATACCCGTGGTACATGGGTACACTATACTCCAAATATAATACAGAGTCTTCCTTCTTCTTCTTCTTCTTCTTCTTCTTTAACTTCTTCTACGAGAGGAAGGAAGAATCATTTAGTAATCGAAAAATTCGTCACCCATCGAGTCGTCCCACGTCGGCGATCTGTTGAATTGCAACGTCACGCACGTATCTACGCGTGGTCGACTCGGTAATCCTCTTCTCGCCATTGGCTTCTCGGCGAACCACCTCCTCGTGTATCCAGCTTGTCCCCAAGAGGTGATCATGTATGCAATTGCATCGAGTCTTTCGATATATTCTCTTTCCGTCGTGGGATACGATTTCTGGGCGAGATGTCCGACGTACAAATTGAGAGAAACCCATTTACTCATCCCGCCTCCCATTTTAACGTGTTTGAGTGCCATGTCGTGAAACCTATCGTACTTGCCGTAACACAACAACGCCAATTCTCTTCCCGTCAACGGTAATTCGTCCACGATTGCGTATCCGTACTCATCCAGTTCCGCTTCTTCTTCGACGGTATCTTCAAACTCGTCCAACGCGCACTCTTTATCATCATCCATATCGTCGTCCACCGACGATAATATCACCTCCTTCAAAGCATCGTCCCAATTCGAAGGCGTGTTCTGTACGCTCGTCTCGGTGATATTTCTCGCCAATTCCAACGCGAATCGGTCTTCGCTAAAATTTTCCTTCACGTCTCCCTCGACTGCATCCGAGGCATGTAATCTATCCACTTCGGTTTCAATCGTTTGCGTATCCGGACATCGACCGGCTATTTTCGCCCCGTTCGTTCTTGGGTTAAACGTTAACTCGACTTGGTTTTTAATCTCCTCCCAGATCTTTAAAGCGGCGGATGAAGTCGATTGAGATGGTCCCGCCTTTGTGCACACATTTCGTCTTCGTTTTCCAAAACGAAACGTCGTTTTTGGCGCTGAAGATGTCGCGACGACGACGGTCGAAGGAGCGCAGATGAGACGGTTCATACAGAAGACGATGATGATAATGGTGCGTCTGATGAGAAGATCGAGTTTTTATGTTGCGTAGTCTTCACTCGAACGGCGACTGTCCGCGCAAAAGGCGAAATGGAATGACGTCAACCAGAAGGACAGAAGGACAAAATTTGGTGGTTGGAGGATGCGAGACGAGGCGAGATGTGACTTTTGTCGTATACTTTCAAATTTCTCTCTCTCTCTCGTTTTTATTACACGCGGACGACGATATCGTCCTCCTCCTCTCCGTCTGCCTAGTAGCCGCGACTCCTACTCCTCGATGTATATGTTGTTGTTGTTATTATTAGTAGTAGTAGTGACACTGTTCGTTCTCTTCCCTTCTCTCCACTCTTTCATTTCGATCTCGTACCTGGCTTTGTCCTTCTCGTGTTTCGCTTCGAACGGTTTTCGGTCCTCTTCGGAGAGCCTTTGCCACTTACGGCCCAAGAGTTTCATGGTTTCCGCCGGGTGCGTGCCCTTCGGCGCGATGGACGGGCGAGAGACTTCGCAAAAGTAAACGTACGCGGACCTGGCGTTTTTCGGCTGGCCCGCTTCTTTCTTCGGTCGTTTTCTTTTCCGCTCGTCGTCGTAGATTTCAAAGTCGTCGGCTTGGAACGCGTACCCGTCTCTATCGTATCCCTCCGACGGTTGGTACGATTTCATCTGCTCGTCGTGACGGAGTTTGTCTTTTTCCGCGATTTTCTCGTACGGTTTTCTATTCTTTTCCGATAACGCTTTCCATCGGACGCCGAGTTCGGCCATGATGTCCGGCGGTCTCATATCTGGCGATTGTTGGACGATTTTCATTCTTTCCTTCTCGGCGAAGTAGAGATACGCCGTTTTCACCTGTTTCGGCGCGTTTGGATCTTTTCGTCGTTTCTTTTTCGCTTCTACTGCGCCGGAGACGACGTTTTCGCTGTGACTGGTTCCATCCGGCGGAGCGTACCCGAACACGGAAAAACCACCGTCGATGGCTAATATCTGTCCAGTCACGTACGAACTCGCTTGCGAAGCTAAAAACACCGTCGCCGTGGCCACCTCTCTCGGCTCGCCGACTCTCCCCATCGGCGTTCGTCTCACCACGCTCTTCTTATACTCTTCGTTCTTCAAAACCTGTTTCGCCAAATCGGTGTTTATGTACCACGGAGCAATCGCGTTCACCCGAATCCCTTCTCTCCCCCACTCGCAGGCTAAACTTTTCGTCAACTGGTTCAACGCCGCTTTCGACATCGCGTATATCGCGCCCGTTTGAATACTCGTCAATCCGGCGACGGACGAGTTGAAAATCACCGACGTGCCTTTCCCGATGATACCTTTCTTATACGCTTGCCGTACGATATCAAAACTCGCTTCCAAATTCGTCCCCATTAAAGAGTGATACTCCTCGCGCGTAAAATCTGAAGTTTTCTTCCGAATGTTAAACCCGACGTTCGAGACGAACACGTCCGCTTTGCCGAATTTTTCCTTGATTTCCGTTAAAAACGAGTCTCGTTCTCGTTCTTTGCTCACGTCTTTTATCGAGTGATGATATTTGCAAACGTTTTCGTGCGGCCACGCGTGGTCTTTGTCAACTCCCGTGCGCGAGCACGTGATTACATTTTTAGCGTTGCACGCGCCGAACGCGTCGCAGATCGCTTTGCCGAGGCCTTTCGTCCCGCCGGTCACGACGCAGGTTTTGTTTGTTAAACCGAACGTTTGGTGGACGAAGGAATTCGAATTGGAATTGTTCATTTTTATGTTCACTTTCAGACGACGATGATTTGTAGTAGTAAAATGAGAGCAGAGTAGTAATTGTTCTCGTTGAAGTACAAACACGAAATGAAGGTACCAGGTGAAGCAAAAACGATCGCTTGAGGTTATGATGGGTGGTGTTTCTTCTGACGAATTGGAGTTTTGAATTGGCTTTTGAATGCTTATTGGCGATATGTGGGAAAAAATGTCGACGAAGACGAGCGGGAAAGCTCTTCTTTGAAAACCACTTTCTCCCTGTTTTCACGCGCAATGATGATGTTAAAATGATGGCGATGACGCGTGATACGTATTACCTATTGCTATGTATTTTACATACGTGTTATACAAAAGTACCATCATGGGAGCGTGTGCGCTATCCGCTGCTAGATGATGTAATCTTTTTCTCTCTCTCTCTCTCTAAAGCGAACTCGAAGAAGTGCTTTTAATCACCACTCTCATGACGTGTTCCAACTTCCAGACGTTTCGGAGGTGCTTTTCGAGTAAATCGGCTTGGAACGCGTCCCTGGCGACGAATTGCGCGCTTCCGTCGCCTTGCGATCCGACGCCTTTACCGCCGTAACTGTAAATTTTGACCTTTGGGTCGGCTAATATGGCGTGGAGTTTCGGCGCAGTCAGTTCGGATTCACACAGCGGAACTAAGTGCAGATCGAACGCGCGTTGGTACTCCGTAAAGGTTTGACCGAGGAGTTTGGCGTTGTTACTTGAGAGCGCGCGTTTGGCGGTTTGGACGTACTCGTAAGAGAGTTTACCGAGGAACTTTTGCGCGTCCGCGTGCGAAGCGTTTTCAACCTTGGGAGGCACATTTTCAAAGGCGGATTGCAAGTCCTTCAAGATTTTTACCGTGTCTTTTTGGCCGTCCAAATCGCACACAACGATGTGAAAGCATTCGTTGTCGCTCGTACTCTCGCCCCCAACCGTCCTTTCGTTCCCAACCGGCGTCTCTTCGCACTTCATCTCGTCGCCGTCGAAGGTCATCGTAACGCACACTCCACTCCCAAACGCACACGCTTGATCCATTCGACCACACCGAGACGGCGTCGCAATTTCCCCCAAATATGCCAACTCCATTTGCTCCAACACACTCATCTCCTTCTCCATCGCGTAACACTTCGAAAACGCTCTCGCCACGAGCACGCATATCGCCGCCGACGAAGACAACCCTTTCTTCACCGGTAACGAACATTTCGTCACCTCGACGCATATCCCACCTACATTTCCGTATTTCTTATACACTTCTTGAATCGTTCCCGCGATGTACGACCAGAATTTTCCTTCGTTCGCGATTCGCGATAAATCCTCGGACCCGTTCGCTACATCCCACACGACTTCGTTCGTCTCGCCTGTATCCGTCTTTGTTCGAATCGCAATTTTGTTCCTCAATTTAAACGCGGTCGCGGATATGCCTTCGCTCGTGCCGACGACGAGACAAGACCCAACTGGTAAGGACGGATGTGTTCGTCTAAATCCGCCCGCCTGTCGTGTTTGAGAGATGAGATTTGAAGAAAAGAAAGAGAAAACGTGTGTGTGAGCTTGTGGGTGTTGGTGCGCCTGCATTTCCCCTAAGAATAAACTAGTATTAAGAACGCACCCAATCGGAATGTTCACCGAGCAAACATAACCTCCCGGGGACGAAAATGAGGTGCTTTTTTTCCTCCTCTGAATCAGACGCGATGGCCTCGTCGAAAGGAGAATTTGAGGGAGGGGGCATTGCGTATGTGTGTGCTTCAGAAATGTGTGTGTGTGTTTTGTGTTGCAACATGTGTGTTTGATTGAAAAATAAGCGCTCGATCGATGTTGCGACGCGCAGTCTCTTTCCACTCTCTTTTCACTCTCTCTCTCCCTCTCTTCAAGTAAGTTCTTTTTAAACTCCTTTTGTTGTGTTGAATTTATTGGTAGGGGTACAAATCAAACTGCGGGAAGATTTTGTTCCCGGTGACGAGTTCTTTAGCGACGAAGAACGCCGTAGCGACCATAGCGAGTCTTCCGTGTGAGAGCTCTTTCAATTTGTAATCGAGATACAGCTCATCGCTCGCATCGGGACAGAGACCGAGCGGGTCAAAACCAATCTCACCGGGAACGTAATCGTCTCGCAGAGTGAATAAGTCGGACGTGAACGGATCTGCCCATCCTTTTTGCACTCTCGTCGCTTCTCCGATGAAGATGACGACGCCGAGCGCGTACCAGAACGGCGGCGGAACTTGTTGAAAATGATTTATAGCCGGACCGGTGATAGATGCGTCGAACAAAAACGAGGACCCTTCGACGTATTCCCCGACCAAAATACCAACCGCCGCCAGCATGCACACGCGTCCGTGCGTCAGTTCAGCTTCGCGATATCGTTTGAGATCATCGAACGTTTTTCTTTTCGATAATCCCAACGGGTCGAACCCGTTCTTAAACGGTGCAATGGCGCCGTAAATGCCAATGTCCCCATCCGTCGTCGTGGGTAATTGCCGCTCGACCATTGTGGAGGGCGGCAGCTGTTCCCCAACCTTCGCGAAAACCGGGGTAATCGCGCCGGAAGCGCTCCTCTTCTTTTTAGAGATACAAAACTGTCTTTCTCTCGTAAGAGTCTTGGAGGAAAGTTTCGTAGTATTCAAGCGTCCTGGCGCCCCTAAAGAGATTGAAAATGCTGAGGACATGATGACGAGTACCTTTGATCGATCGATGTATTGATTGATTGATTGATTATGCGTTGTTGTGCGTTCTGCGCGCGGGCAAAAAGTGTGACGTCGATATCTTTGAATATTTTTTCCCTCTTGGAAAAAGAACACATGCGACACATGCGAAACGTATGGCTGAGAAAGAAGCGAGATGATATGCTACGAAAACGTCACCACAGCATCGCATCATTTCAACAACAACTTCGACAACTGTCCTCTCTCGTCTTCGACGTCTTTTTTCTTCGCCACCCATATGTTCGTCGAGTGTTCGCCGTGCGGATTCGATATTCGATCTTGATCCATTCTTTGTTCGAACAAAATGAAATCTGAACACACGCACACGACGTCTTCTTCGCGTATAACTCTCGTTTCCTGCGTCTCCACAAAAATAATGTTACTACTACTCTCCTCCTCTATCTCGTCTAAATCGTCCCGCACTTCTTTTTCTAAAACGACGCACTCTATCCGCCCGTCTTTGCCCCTCGTTTCGACCGTCGCGAATTGATATTTTCCCGAAACGCTCTCGTCATCGTCGTCGTCTCGAACGCATATCACGTCCCACTGTTGCACACCAACCGCCGATTTGTTTGGTGTCATTCTGTTCTCGCGACGACGAGTATTCATCATTCCAAAAACGCTGCTTTTCCGCCGTTTCGTCCAATAATACTCATCATCATCGTTACTACTCCTCAAAGGAGTCGTTCCTTTTCCGACAACATCATGAGTAACAGCATGTACTCTGCGACGACGATGATGCGTTTTGTTGCGCGTCCTACTACCATCGCGACTAAAAATTCCTCCTCCTTTTCCTCCTCCTCCTCCAACAACAAGAGCTCTTCCCTCTTCTATCGTTAATACTAACGAGCGCATCGTGCGTGTGTGTGTGTCAGAGTGTGTTTACTAAAAACGCGCATCTTTCCAACGGTGTTTGGTCTCATTTTCTCCCCTTTTAATGTTTAGGGTATTAAACCCTACCGGTTGCAAAAGCAACGAAGGGAGTTCCCTTGGAAAAGCGTGAGATCGCAACACAAAGGACGACTACTTTTACTAGTACTATTAGTATTACTACTCCTGCTGCGACCGCTTTTGAAAAACATACGCAAAAACAAAGAGCGCGCTCGAGAAGAGCACATCGGTTCAAAGGCTTCGGTGGTACTGTTCTCTTCTAAAGAAGAAGAAGAAGAAGAAGAGAGAGAGATTTCAACTTCATTCTTCCCTTCTTTTGAAAAGAAAGCGAGACATCAGAGACATCATGACGACGGAAGTGGCGGTCCCACCTCCACCCGCAGGGAGCGGCGAAGACGGCGGCGACGGCTCGGACCCGAGGAAACAACAAGCCATCTCCGATTTCACGAGATTAATGCTCCAACACAAAGAGTTAGACGCACGAGTACGGAATTTACGCGCAGAGTTGAAAGAAACCAGACTACAGTTTGATAAAACAGAACGAGATTTGACCGCGCTCCAATCGATGGGGCAAATCATAGGGGAAGTTTTACGGCAGCTGGACGAGGATAGGTTCATCGTGAAAGCGAGTTCAGGACCGAGATATATCGTCGGGTGCCGGTCGAAACTCGATCGAGAGAAGTTAGTGAACGGGACGAGAGTGACGTTGGATATGACGACGCTGACGGTTATGCGAGCGTTGCCGAGAGAGGTGGATCCGGTGGTGTTTAACATGTTGAGCGAGGCGCCAGGGAAGGTGGAGTATTCCTCGATTGGAGGGTTAGGGGAGCAAATTAGGGAGTTACGAGAGAGCATTGAGTTGCCTCTGATGAATCCGGAATTGTTTTTACGGGTTGGGATTGCGCCTCCGAAAGGAGTGTTGTTGTACGGCCCGCCCGGCACGGGGAAGACGTTGTTGGCGAAAGCGATTGCGAGCAACATCGATTGCGCGTTTTTGAAAGTCGTTTCGAGCGCTATCGTAGATAAGTACATCGGAGAATCTGCGAGGTTAATCAGAGAAATGTTCGGGTACGCGCGAGCGAACGAACCGTGCGTTATTTTCATGGACGAAATCGACGCCATCGGAGGGAAACGATTTAGCGAAGGGACCTCGGCCGATCGCGAGATTCAAAGAACGTTGATGGAGTTGTTAAATCAACTGGACGGCTTTGATGTTTTAGGTAAAGTAAAAATGGTCATGGCGACGAACAGACCGGACGTTTTAGACCCGGCGTTGATGCGTCCGGGACGGTTAGACCGAAAAATTGAAATCCCGTTGCCCAACGAACAAGGACGAGTAGAGGTGTTAAAAATCCACGCCGCCGGTATAAACAAACACGGCGAAATCGATTACGAAGCGGTCTCAAAAGTCGCCGAAAACTTTAACGCCGCGGACATGCGAAACGTGTGCACCGAGGCAGGCATGTTCGCCATCAGAGAAGATCGAGACTACGCGACGCACGACGATTTCATGAGAGCGGTGAGAAAATTGGTCGAGGCGAAGAAATTAGAACCGACGGCGAGTTACGACTCGTCGTTTAAAAACACGGACAAGTAATTACTCATCATCGGTAGAGAGAGAAAGAGAGAAAGAAAGAGAGAAAGAAAGAAAGAGAGAGAGCTGTAACTTGCACGGTTTTAATAAGAGAAGAAATATAAACTCGAACACGACGCAAAGAAAGCGTTTCATCCACCACCGCACACCTCAGAAGAAACTCCAGCAAACACGCGCACGATACCAATCTCAGAAGAAGAAGAAGAAGAAGAAGAAGAAGAAGCAGACCTAAACAGGGTACTAAAAGTGAGAAAGAGACTCACACTACCAATGTCTCAATCGGAGGCGGAAAAACTCCTCAAACTCGCCGACGCCTCCGCGCGAGGCAGTCTCTTTAAATCGAAAGATCTCGAGAAAGCGTCTCTGCTCTACGACGACGCGTCGAAGATGTTTCAAAGCGTGAGACTGTTCCATAAAGCAGTCCTGGCGAAAGAACGGTGCGCAGAATCGAACGAAGAGACGAACAATGTGTTCTTAGCGGCGCGGTCGTACGACCAGTGCGTTTTGTTAGCATCCCGAGCGGTATTGGAGACGAAGGAGTTCGATGTGAACGATTCGAAGGCGATACAGTTACTGAGCGATTTCTCTGCGAGAGCGAGCGCGTGTTACGCGTCGAGCTCGAGGATGCAACAAAGCGGGGAGTGTTTGGCGAAATGCGCGAGGATTTTAGAGAAATTAGGAGTCAAAGGGGAGGAAAAATCGGTGTCGTTATACGAGCGAGCTTTGGATGTGCTTTGCGAGAACGAGTTGGAGTTGTACGCGTCGGACGCGTTTCGAGCGCTGTGCGCTTTGCGGTGTAAGACGGGTGCGTTTCGAGAAGCGGCTGAGTTGTGCGTGAGATTTGCGGTGGCGTGCGATAAAATTAGCAGCACGGCGACGCAAAGGAGGTGTTATTTGCACGCGATTATCGCGTATTTGTGGGTTGGTGATGTGAAGGAGGCGGAGCTGAGTTACGCGGATTTTATGGAGATTGACGCGTTTGCGAACTCCGAGGAGAGTCTGATTAGTTACGAGCTTTTGAGAGGGTACAAAGAGGAAGACGCCGGGATGATTGAGACGACGTGGAGAGAGCGGAGAGTTCCAGAGATAGCGGACGCGTGCTTTAGCCGATTGAAATTGCCGAATCCAGCGTTTCCGTTGAAAGGCGGGTCGATGATGATGATGGGAAGAGGAGGAGGAAAAGAGGAGGAGGAGGACGACGATTTGACGTAGCGTAGATGCGGAGACGTTATAGTACTAGTAGTTTTGTACGCGCTAGAACTTTCTAAAGTGTGATGTACTATTAACAACAAACAACACAACAACGAGCTAATACCATTTGATTCCGTGATCGTCCACCTCTGCGCTCAAAATCTTCACCTCCTCCACCGGTCTATCGTTCTTCCCGACTTTTACTAACCCGATCTTTTCTAACGTCTGTATGTGTTTACTCACCCTCCCGAATATCGTGTGCTTACCGTCCAACCACGGCGTAGGCGCTAAAGTAATAAAGAACTGACTCCCATTCGTATCTTTCCCGCTATTCGCCATGGACAAAATCCCAGCGCCGACGTGTTTCAAATCTCTGTTTTGTGCGCATAAAGTAGAAAGAAGGAGTAAAAGCTCGGTAAGTATTAAACGCCAGTCTCTCGAAAAGCAAAAGCGCGACTCGAAACGTCGCCGCCAAACGTTGCAGCAGAAAATAAAAACGAAGAGATGCGCTCTACACTCTCGACCAAACAAGAAGTTTCCAAGAAGAACAATAAACAACGGCATCGTATCGATGGTCTTCTTCTTCTTCTTTCGATCATCGTCCGCTCGATCGTCGTCCTGATACTAAACCGAAAGCAAAATACAAGTGAGAAAAAAACGCTCGTCAAAAGACGAATCAAATCTCTCGTTTCTCTCCTTACCTCGTGATCTCGTCCTCGAACTTCCCGCCCCAAATCGAGCTCCCACCTCTACCCGTCCCGCTCGGATCTCCGCCTTGCGCCATGAAATCTTTAATCACCCTGTGGAAAATCAATCCGTCGTAGTATCCTTTCTTTGCCAACTCGAAGAAATTCTGCGACGTTTTCGGCGCGTGCAAGTAATACAATTCCAACTCTATCTCTCCGAGCGTGGTGTGGAAAAGGACGGTGGGCGCGCCTGGAGGGTTGTCCTTCGAGTGCAGTCTCGGGGTGTACTTTTGTTCGCTCATGATGGAGGAGTATCTCTTCTCAACGTCGTCGTCGTTGTCTCTTTCCGTTTTAGTTTTAGGGGCGTTTTTAAGTGAAGAAAGTAGTCTCAACAGAATTTTCTACGTTCGTCGTCGCGATGCGAACGTGTTGTGATGTCAAAAGTGTTCTCGTTTTCGCGTATTTACAGATCGGATAGTGCGCGCGCGCGGTGTTGTTGTTGATTATTACAGCGCTATTATTATTATTATAAATCGGATGATTTAACTTCTCTCTCCGGCGTCTCTTTCCTCTCCGCTGCTTGTTGAGAAGAAGTACTTTTTCAAGACTTCCACGCACGCTCTGAAGAGTTCGAGCAAAAGCGTAAACGGAAAGGTAAACACGGCGAAGAAGGCGGCGAAGAGACTGATTTTCGTATCGTCGTCTCGTCTCTTTTTTTCCGATGAAGATGGTGACGGTGACGTCATCGACGCTTTCGGTGGTTGTTCTTTTTGCGCATCCGTTGGAACGTTTTGCGGAGGCGTGGTGCTGTAGCCTAAAACGTCCGCGGTGCGTTTCGTCGCGCGGTTGGCGAAGTATTTGTTGTTCGTCGTTTCCGCCAACTTCCCCGGGCGCATTGTGTTCCCATTCTTCGTCGTCGCCGGCGCGTCGTTGTATTGCGCCATCTCGTTCAAAATCTGCTCTCTCTTTTTGCGCGCTTCGAATAAGGCGGTTTCGTTTTCGTTGGCAATTTGGGAAACGAAACCGCTCGTGGCGGAGTTTGTTGCTGTTCTAGATCTTGGTGTTGTTGTTGCTTGCTGCGTCGTCGTCGCCGCTGCCGCCGATGCTCCTAATAATTCCTCTTCTTTTTCTACAATTTTTTTCTCCTCTCTCGTCGTTTTCACCCGTTCTTCGACTGGCGGCGTCGACGACGTCACCGCGCTCACCACCTCCAACGGCGCGTCCACCACCTCCACTCTCGTCTCCACTTTTCTCTCTTTCGTCTTCATCAACAAATCCACCTTCTCCTCTCTCTTCTTCGTCTCGATTTCTTTCTGTTTCTGTCTTAACTGTTCGTCCATCGTCTCGAAACTCTTCACCAACGAAAACGCGACGATAGACCCCGCCATAGTCATCAACGGTTCCGCCAACACGGTCGAAATCGCCGCCGTCGCCGCCGTCGCCGCCGCCGCGGCGCTCACAATCTCTTTCTTATTCGGCACCGCCTCTATTTGCCTCCTCACAAACTCTGCTTTTTCCACCGCTTGCTTCGATATCTCCGCCGCTCTTTCGCTCGATTGCGCCAGCGTTGATCGCGCAACCACGCGCGCCTTCTCGCCTTCCTGCACAATCTTTCGCGCGTTTTCCGTCGACGCGAACTGTCTCGCGCGTAAAATCGAGTTCTCTAAAGTTCTCGTCGCTCTTGATTCCTCCTTTGTTTTACTTTTACTTTTATTTTTTCTTCTTTTTCTTCGTAATAAAACCGTGCCTTCGCCTAAACCGTCGTCGTCATCCTCCTTTTCCACATCACTCCTATCGTCGTCGAAATCGTCGTACGACCCTTCCCCGGTATCTATGGACTCCTCCCAAAACTGATCCTCCGCTTTTTCTAGCATGTCCATGGTAATCGTCGACGATCGAATGGACATGTCTTCCTCGTCTTCGCTGTCTTCGGCTATGATTTTTCCCATGTTTTGTCGCACCAAACGGCCTCTTCTTGGTGGTCTTCTGAATGCAGCGCTGCTTCTTCTCTCTTCTTCTTTCTGTCGTGAACGCGAGGAGGAAGAAAAAGAAGAGGAAGATGGAAAGGAACACCGCACGATCGATGATCGCATCATCATCTCACCAACTCCGTCGTAAAAGTGTGTCTCGTTTCGTTCGTCTCTCGTGGTTGTATTATTTTAAAATTGTGAGGAAGTTTCCCCTAAAAATACACACAAAAGACACAACACAAACAACAAACAACAAAAAAAAGAGTGTAATCGGAAACCAGCGCATTCATCCACTTTGCCACACAGCCTTACTTACGCAGAGAGCAAGTCGTCGTTGTTGAAGAGAGAGAGGATGACTGAGGCGGGGATCGAACCCGCGATTTCTGGCTTGTTTCTCACCAAAATTGTTGTTTGCGTTAAACCCTAAAGGCGGTTGTTTTAAGATACGAATACTTCTTAGTTTTTTTTTATAGCGAGAACTGTTGATCTTTTTTCCTCCAATTTCTTTACTTTAGAGAGAGAGAGAGTGTGTGTGTGTGTACACATATATACTCTTTTCAAACTCGAGCGCAACAAACGCAACAACAACAACAACAACAACAACGCATCACTGCCTTCTTTCTGCGTCTTTTTCTTTCGTGTGATATATAATATACACACAGTGACACACGAACAACAACAAAAACACAGAAAAAATTACTGTGAGATATTTTTACGGGAGAGGAAAGAAAAAAAAAATGGAAGCATCGTCGAACGCAGATGATCAACATCATCTCAAACAGCAAGAAGAAAAACTACGAGCGAAATACGGCGGGATGATCCCAAAGAAGAACCTGATCGTGTCCGACCGGAAACATTTCGACAGCGCGGACTACTGGTCGCGAGGGTCGAATAAACAACAACATAAAGAAGTTGTTGAAACAGAGAAAAATTCTTCTCATTTTGTTGAAAGTGGTGCTGACTCATCACAAGAGAAGATGCTGAAACCAGTGCTCGGAGCGAAAGACGTGGCGGGGTTAGGGACGTCGCCGCCGTCGGATGCGAGCACGTTTACCACGAACAATAACTCCTCGCAGACGAAGAGAAGAACGAGCATGGACGAGAGCAGAGGGAGGTGGGATGTCCATAGTTTTAACAACAACAACAACACCGCGGTGAACTCGGCGTATCACGCGCCTAAGAACCACGAGTGATGAGAGCGAGAAGAACGCGGGAGAGACGAAGGAAATAATAATACCCTTTTTCTCTCGTTTTCTCGCGAATAATAATACCCCGCTATTAATACGAATGCGAAAGAATGTAATAACAAAAGAGATTTTAGTTTAAAAGATGAAAGAGAATAATGAGTTGATGAATAAAAAGAAGAGGGAAAAGAGCTCCTTTATTAGAGAGTATTTCGCCCGTGATGTTTTAGAATTTGAAACGAGCGCGCGCGCAACTTTGTTATAATAAGCTGATGTAATACCAAACAAACTTTATACACCCCAAATAAAACGTTCTTATTCATTGCACGAAAAGAGAAAAAGAAGGAGTGTTTTTGCTCGATGCTTTGGATGTGTTGTAATACTCCTTCGTGTAATAAACCTATGACTACATTCGTTTTTCGTTCGCTACTAAGAAATCCTCTCTATCTATATGTAATAATAATGAATTAGATGTTCAACTTGGTTCTTCTCCAGTGTCTTCTCTTGGCGTTGTAACGAATGGTGTTCCCGGTCTTCATGCGAATCCATTGCGGGATCGGGCGGTTTTGCTTTTGCTTTTTGCCCAAGATTTTCTTGATTTTGAACGTTTTTTGCGACGGCTGTTTTTTTTTTTGAGAGAAAGGAAGAGAGAGATTCGGTGAGCAAATGAAAACCAATATATACGCGTAGAGTTGCAAAACGTGACGAGAGAAAGGTATGCGAACGCGTTCCTCCCGCGCGCTCGACGCGTCCACGTTGAAAAGTATCCAACTGACAAAGCGATTCCTCTTTGAGCGAGAGATAACGCGTTTAACAGGGAACTAACAGAGGCGCAAATTCCGCGCGCGAAAAGAGAAATCAAGCCCTTCTCTCTCGCCCAAGAGGAAAAAACACGACCAAAATCGCGCAAATCATCTCTCTAAACAATGAGTTTTGTTTTCTGTAACGCGAACGTCATTCCTCGCGTCTCTCGAGAGAATCGCGCGTAAAAGAGTTACGTTGTTATCGTCGATGAAATGCGGGGAAAAAAGAAACTAGGACGTACCATTTTGTCTCTGCTACGTGTATAAATGCGCGTGAAAATTGACGAGTTTTGGCCTCTCTTTCTTTCAAAGGACAACGCATTTAGGGTCTCATGTTGATACCCTAAATTGGTACCCTAAACGTGTTTTTCGAACGTTGCCTCTTTTAAGCGCGCATATCTTCTACACAAAAGTCATGCAACAACAACAACAACAACAACAACCGCCTTCGTTCGCACCACACGGTGGTGGTGTTCGTGGTGGTAGTAGTACCATTGGAGATGGAGGAGAAAGACAACAGATGATGCAACAACAACAACAACAACAACAACCGTCGCTTTTTATTCCTCCAAATCCAAATCCTTCGAATACTAATCCATTGCACCAACACCACCAACAACAGATGCAATTCATGCCGTCGACGTTTGCGCCGCCTCCTTCGTCGGAGGAGGTTCCGTACAACGCTGAACCATCATCATCGTCTCAACAACAACACCATCATAATCAGAGATCGTCTTTGGACGGTGGGAGTGGCCGGTACCAGCCTCCTCCGCCCTCGCAGAATTTCCAACACCACCACCAACCGTCGTCAACATCATCATCGTTTCAACAAAATCAACCTTCTTCGAGCGCGGGCGGCGGTTTTGGCGGCGGATGGGCGGCGTTGTTCACTCGGACGAAGAGTTTCGGGAACGTGCAAAACACGACGTCGTCGTCTGGGGCAGCCTCCTCTGGAAATCGCGGGTTTCGAGGGAAAGTGTCCTGGTCCGGCGGTTTCCCGGACGAACCTCCGCTTTTGGAGGAGTTGGGGGTTGACTTTGCGCAAATCGCGCGGCGAGCGAAGAGCGCGATGAATCCGCTGCCGATGCGAAAGAAACACACGCGGGAGACGTCGAAGGATGACGATTTAGCCGGGCCTTTGGTGGTGTTTGGGTTGATTGCTACTTTGCACGCGCTTCAAGGGAAGGGGCATTACGGGTATATTTTAGGGTGGTCGGCGATTGCGAGCGGTTTGACGTGTTGGTTGTTGAATCAGTTAACTGCGCAGAATAACAACGACGCCGGGGAAAATTTGAGTTTGAGTCGAACGGCGTCGGTGATTGGGTATAACGCGACGTCGATTTTATTTTTGAGCGTGGTGAAAGCGTTCGTACATAGTGAAGGTAGTAGTAATGGTAGTAAAAGTAGTAGTGGCGGTGGTAGTTTTTCCGGAACGACAAACTCGTTTGGTATTTTGGCGTTTGCGTGTGTTTGCATTTTGCAAGCGTCGAGTAAATCGAGCGGGTTGTTTTTACACGGGATGGGTCAGTGCGGCGAAGGCAAACGGTTGGTGGTGTTTTACCCGATGGTTTTGCTCTATTCTTTGTACGCGCTGCTTACTTTGTATTAAAAAAACTATAAACTATATTCTACGTATTCGTTGATGGAGGAGAGTAAGGCGATCGTCGCCACGTCGGTGGTGAACACGCGATTGCCCAGTCCGACGTTTACGAAATCGAAAGTCTCAAACGTTCGCACCTCTTCTTCGCTCCACCCACCTTCGGGACCAACGGCTAAGAGTATTTCGACTCTATTCGTCGAAATCGCGCTCTTCTCTTGAGCAAGTGCCTCGGTAACGGACACGCTCGCGCTCGACGGATGCGCCAACAAATTTATTCGTCTTCTCTCCTCTCCTCCTTCTCCCTCTTCTTCATCTCTCATCGACCGCAACAACCATTCAAAATTCGCACCTTTCTTTCCGTTCACTCTTTTCGCGATATTTTCCTCTCTTCCCTTCCTACCTTCCTCGTCTCCCGACGATAAAAGCGCCTCCAATACCGCGTTCAAATTCCTGCACTTGCTCGCGTTTGGAAATTTGAAATCCAAGGCGTTTTGCTCTACGCCGCGAGTAAACTCTCGAACCAAAACGTCCTCCGTCAACACCTCGCTCTGGAAATAACACCGCTCCGTCTTCTCCGCGCTGAACATGTGCACGTTTTCTACCCCGAACTGTGCGAAAACGGAGAGTAATCGTCGCAATACTTTCGGCCGCGGCATCGCGAGGATCAGCGAAACAGTTACCATTTTCTCTTCCTTTGCCTCCTCCTCTTTGGTGCTCAAAATTTCAATCAAAACACTTCTCTCGTCGTCGTCGTCGTAAGAGAGAATTCTTCCCGTCGCTAAGCGTTCGTTCAAAATCGTCGCTTTAAACTCGTCGCCTTTGTTCGTTTTTTTCAAAACCTGGCGAAGATGTTCGAATCGTTCGTCCGATTGGCGCAAGCGCACCACAACAGTTGAAGATTCGTTTTCCGACAACTCCAATTTCGTGAACGCGATTCGGTTTTTATTTTCGACGACGTGAACGAAAGGTCTCCTCCTCCTCCTTCCTCTTTTTTGTGGGACCAAAACCGAGGTCGTTTTCGATTTCGTTCGTGTCGTCGTCGTCGTCGTCGCCGAGGATAGCAGAGATGATGACGACGACGACCACATCCCGTTTTGCGAGCGTAACTGTTTTGGATAAAATGGAGAAAAAAATTCGCCACAATTTCGTTTCAACGAGACATGTTTTGCCTCCGAGCGGCGGGGTCCCCCGCGAAACGCGCTCTCGCTTTACTCGTCACAAAGAGAGCGCAGAAGAGGCGAAGGACTTTTTCGGTGCTTTCGTCGTCACCAATAGCATCGTCGTCATCATCATCGTCGGTCCCTTTGAAGAATACGGGAACAACAACAACAACAACAGAAATTCCGAGCGAGAAACGTCCAGCTCGAGTGGAACACTGCGACCTCAAATCGCTCTCGAACAACAAGAAGCTTTCCGAAGCGTTGCACGGTGAAATCACAGACGTCACCGAACGGTATTTTCAAGCGTTGATCGAGTTTGGCGCGGTGTACATCTCGGACGAGCTCGAGGAGGATTTTCAGTTGGAACCGAATACAGTTAAGCACAAAATGAAACGAATACGCTCGGATGTCATATTACCGGCGGGTTCGAGACATTACGTGCGGGCGCACGTGAATCCAAGACGGTTTCTTGCGGCGGGAGAAACGCGATGGATGGACTGCATTTTGAAGGAAACGGACGATTTTGTGGTCGTGATGAAACCTTCCGGGTTACCCGTTTCTCCTTCGGTGGACAACGCGAAGGAGAACGTGCTCCGTTGCGTTTGGTCGGCGCTGAGAGTAGGTAACGAAAATGATGACGAAGCGACGAAGTTGTTCCCGACGCACAGGTTAGACGTGACGACGAGTGGCGTGGTGGTTGTCGCTAAAAATAGCAAAGCCGCCAGTATCTTCTCGAAAATATTACGAGACGGTTTCGTGGAGAAGCAGTATTTGGCGTTGACGGAAAATCCCGCGAAAATTGGATTGATGACGCACGAGTACGAACCGTCGGAACGAACGATTGGGAAAGGCGCGAGGACGGTAAAAATGAAGACGTTAAAATTGTCAGAAGACGATACCGCGTCGTATTTGAAAAAAAAGACGCAAATTCCTTCTAACGTGGCGATATTGCGCGTGGAAAAAAGTGAACCGGTCGCGGTGAATGGAAAGACGTTTTACGAGAATACGGTTAAACTTATCACCGGTCGGACGCACCAGATTCGAGCGCAATTTTCGAAAGAGAATTTAGCTCTGATAAACGATTGTTTGTACTTGAACGCTAACGATGGTGAGACAGCTCCTCCGAGAGTTCCAGAACCGGAGGAAAAGATTGGTTTACACGCCTTGAGCTTAAAAATAAACGCCGAGACGTCTTTAGGTCCCAAAGGCGTCGAGTTCCGAGCCGAAAACGACATATGGTGGCGGTCGTCGTAACTACCGGTGGTAGCCATAGAGTAGTAGTAGTAGTAGTAGTAATAGATGCGCGTAGAAGTAGTTTTAGCACGATGATGTAACAGAAGAAATTAGTAAGTTTTATTACTCACACACAAACAAAACACAAACACACAAACACACACACACTCACGCTCGCGCGCCCAAAAACAAAACACGGACGCATTTTTCCTCTACAACATACTTCTTTAAGCGTTTCTGCTTTGGAAGTCTTTCATGAAAGCGGCCAACGCTTCCACGCCTTCTTTCGGCATCGCGTTATAAATAGACGCTCGCGCACCTCCTACAGATCTGTGACCTTTCAAGCTTTCAAATCCGGCGTCGCTGGCTTCTTTCAAAAACTGCTTCTCCACGTCGCCGCCTTTCGCCAACGTAAACGGAACGTTCATCATCGATCTGTATTTCAAATCCGTCGGGCAGTTGTAATAGCCAGCGGACGCGTCGATCGTGTCGTACAAAACCTTCGCCTTCTCTTGGTTTCTCTTTTCCATCGCGCTTAAACCACCTTCACTCAATAACTTGGCGAACACTAAACCGGAAATGTACCATGTGTAACACGGCGGCGTGTTGTACATGCTCTCGTTTTCGCTGTGCGTCGAAAAGTCCAACATTGTCGGCGTGTTCGGCGCCGCGTTGCCAATCAAATCTTCGCGAATGATCGCAATCCCCATACCCGCGCACGCTATGTTCTTTTGCACTCCACCGTAAATAATCCCGTACTTATTCACGTCGATCGGTTTGCTCAAATAGTTCGACGAGTGATCCGCGACCAAAACGGCGCCGTCCGGCAAGCCAACCGGCGTTTCCTTAAACTCCACCCCACCGATGGTTTCGTTCTCGCAAATGTGCACAAACTTCGCCCCGTCTCTTAAATTCCACGTATTTCTCTCCGGAATGGTTGAAAAATTACTCTCCTTACTCGTCGCCGCTTCTCCGGCGTCGCAAAACTTCTTCGCCTCCCCCAACGCTTTCTTCGACCACGCGCCCGTCGTCACGAAGTCCGCTTTCTCCTTCCCCGTCGGACATAAGTTCAACGCGTTCGATGCAAACATCGTCGACGCGCCGCCTTGCACGAAAATAACTTTATAGTTCTCCGGCACGTTCACCAACTCGCGAAAATCCTGTTCCGCTTTCGCCGCTATCGACATGAAATCTTTCCCTCGATGGGACATCTCCAACACGGACATTCCGGTGCCTTTGTAATCGACCAAATCTTTTTGCGCTTCTTCGAGAACGTCCAACGGTAACATCGCCGGGCCCGCGGAGAAGTTGTACTTGCGATTACTGTTATTATTATTATTACTCGATGATGCCGAAACTATCACGGTTTTGGTGTTGTTGTTCGAAGAAGTTCTTCCGTTCTTTCTCTTCTTCTTCGCAAGAAAGACATGTCGGTTGGAAAAACGGAACGTCTTTCCCGAATTCGATGATGATTTCAAACGATTTTGATGGACATCATCCTTTCTTTCAGAAGAGAAAGAAGATCTGATCTGAGTGCATTGAACGCATTTTGAAGCGCTGATCATCTCGAAAGAGTGGTGAGTAAAAAGAGTGTCGTCTCGTCGAGTGTTTTCGCGTGAAGATCTCGCACGAATACGAGAGTGAAGAGAGACGAAAGCGCGGACGGAGGAGACTTTTGGCGGCTTGAGCCCATACTAGGGTTTAACACCCTAAATTTTCATGTGGTTGAAACGTCTCTCTCTTGATTCATTTTTCTCCACAGAAAACAAATGAGTGGACGCGCGTTCGACGACGGAAGCCAAGGCGAGAAAGACGTCGGGGTGGATTTCACTGGTCGCGCTTCGTTCCTCGTTTCTTCTTCTTCTTCTTCTTCTTCTTCCTCTCCGGTCTTTTCGGTCTGGATCGTGAACAAATCCGGCGGTTTAATCTTTTACAAAAACTACTCCTCCGACAAAAACACGTTGGACACCAACGACACGTTGCGCTTGGCGTCCGTGTGGCACTCGTTACACGCGATATCGCGAACGAATTCCGTCTCTCCGGTGAAAAAAAGTTCAGGAATCGAGTTGTTGGAAACGAGCACGTTTGATTTGCACTGCTTTGAAACGAAAACAGGGATTAAATTTATGGTCTGCAGCATGAAGAAAGCGATTGGGGTGGAACGACTGCTGAGACGAGTGTACGACGTGTACGCGGATTTCGCGATGAAGAATCCGTTTTACGAGTTAGAACAACCAATACAGGCGGAGTTATTCGAGGAGAGGGTGATGATTGCGGTGAAGAGTTGTCGGAATGCGAACAGTGGTCATTATAGCGGCGGCGGCGGTGGCGGCGGATACGCGTCGTCGTTGTATTAGAATAGAAATAGATACGCATACAGTAGCTAAAATAGATAATACTAGAACAAAGAGTGCTGCGTGTAATTTTATATTAACTCATGAAAGAGATTCAATACAACGTGTAAAGTAGTTATATATTGATGATTAAAGATGGTGCCCTGTCTCTATATTCTAAGTGATCTATTCCCATTAGACAGACGTCTCCAGCGTAATCGACCCATCTTAAAAGTCGGTAGAATATCCTCCTCAAGAAAAGAAGAAGAATTTATTAATAGCCACTCGGGGCATACCCAGCGCCAAAGTCGCCGCCTTGTTGCTGATCCCATCCAGTCGGGGCCGGCGCTTGGTCCCAGTTGCCACTCACCGGCGCGTATTGCCCGCCTTGGCCGCCTTGTTGCTCGTCCCACGAGTCTTGCGCGTAACCGGCGCTGGCGTCGTACCCAGCCCCTTCCGTACCAGTCGCCGCGGCTGCCGCTTTCGCCGCTTCTTGCTCCTCTTCCTTCGCTTCCAACTCCTCCGGGTCTCTGTAGAAGAACAAATCCACCATGACGTCCCACGGGTTTTGTAAGCTCACGGAACCGCGCATTTGCAAAACCATTCTCGCCAACAAGTAATACAAGCAACCGATGGAATGCTTCGCCTTGTTGTTCGCCGGAATCGCGACGTCCACGTATTGCAACGGAGAGTCCGTGTCGCAAAACGCAATGACCGGTAAGTTCACGTACGCGGTCTCAGAAATCGGCTGCGAATCCGTTCTCGGGTCCGTCATGATCACCACTCTCGGCTCTCTAAATTCAGAGTCAATCTGGTTCGTATACGTCCCCGGCATGTGTCTCCCCGCGATGGCTTTCGCGCCCGTGTATTGCGCAAACTTCAAAACCGCTCTTTGACCGTACGGTCTTGCAGATTGACAGATGACGTCCGCTGGGTTTTCCGTGGCGACGATGATGCGTGCAGCCATCATGAGCTTGTCCCACGTTTTCCCGAGGTTGATCACGTGAATGCCGTCGTTTCTGCGCTTGTACACTGTAAAATGAAGAGAGAAAGAGACGAGAGAGAGATGTGAATAAACCACTTTAAGCCTAGAAAGACCGATGATGATGATGATGATGATGACGATAAAAGAGAGATGATACCAACACAAAACTGTCATCATCGCAACGTTATCCGCGCGCAGGAATACGAACAGGTCGCATCGAGACCGTTCAAACTCGCTTTCCACCTTCGCGTCGCGCTGTTATTATCATCATCATTTTTTTTCTCAAAATCGCGCGAAAGACGCCCGAGAGAGGAAAAAAAACAAATCTCTCTTTGAGTGTGATGCAATGCATCAAGAATAAATCTTACCGTATCTTTCCATTTGAAAGTTGACGTTCTTGGTCCCCAAGTGGCATCCAGCCGCCAACATCATCTGGATGTCTTGTTCTTTTTGTGACATTTGCACCATGATTGTTATTTATTTATATGTGTGCTCTATATATGATGATGATGATGATGATGATGATGATGAAGCCACGAGGGAAAGCCCTGAAACCCGAGGAAGAGGGCTTTGTAGATATTTAGGGTTTCAGTGCCATTCAGTTCAAAACCAGAGATCCAAACGAACGCAAACAACAGAAAAACGACTCAAAGAGAGAGAGTGCAGAGAGAGAGAGAGATCGAAGAAGAAGGAGAAGAATAAAGAGAGAATAACACGAAAGATGACGATGAAATCCTTTGTCTCTTCGTCTTCGTTTTTATCTTTCTCGAAACCTATTACGAGTGCGACTAAAACGATTACTACAAATGGAGGAAGACGAAGGAGGACAACGGCGACGAGAAAAAGAATCATCCGCGCGAATTCAATCGACGAACTGACCGGAGGGACCACGGTTGGCGTGGACGATTCGTTACAGAGAATGATACGAGCGACGAACGAGCTCGACAGAAGGTTTCGATCGGGATTACCATTCGTGGACTGTTCGTCGGAAGAAGGAGTTGTTTCTGTTCCTTTGGCGAAAGAGTGCGAGTACGAAAACGACGTGTACGCGGTGCGAGGGAAGAAGGAAGTGGCGAGTTTAATGAAACACTGGTCTTCGAGCGACGACGAGAAGAAGAAGAAATCTAAATTTGAGTTTCAGTTCGAAACGTTGAGAAGCGCGTCGGTCGAACCCGGGAGTTTACTGCTTCAGTGGAAAGCGACGTGGAAACCGGAAAGCGCGAAGAAGAGAAAGTTTACGAACACGCTTCTGGAAAAAGCGAAACCGTCGGATAGCATCGTGAGTTTGAAGAAGAAGATGGATAGGGCAGTTTTCTTAGCGACGGAAGAGGAATTGGAGAAGGAGAAAGAGGACGATCCGTTCGGGTCGGTGTATATTTACGGAGTGACGACGTATAAAGTGAACGGGAAAGGCGAGATTGTGAGGAGGGAGGACAAAGTCGATTGGAGGTTCGCCGATAACGGAACGGAGGAGTTTAAGCCGAAGAAAAGTAGAAATAATAGGTGGAGCAATAGAAATCAGAAGAGTACTAGTAGTAGCAGCAGTAGCAAAATGTCACCGGAACGCGCGGAGTCTTTGCAAAAGTTAGGGTACAACGCGGTGTCGTCTTCGTCCTCCTCGAAAACGGAAGACGGCGCGAGTGGCAACGACAACGACAACAACAACAACAATAATAACAACTCGTGGGCGGGCGACGAAGAGGCGGATTTTTACGACGATTTGGAGGCGAAAAGAATGGCGGAAGATATCGCGGCGACAATGTTTTATAACGCATTATCGCCTCCAGATGTTGGCGAATGGTCGTGGTTTTTAGACACGGTTGTTGAGTTGGAGTACCAATCGTTCACCAAAGCTATGGGCGACGAAAGCACGGGGATGTTATCGAAAGACGAATTCGTCAAATACGTTTTAGCGGTAGCCACGTTTGGTTTTTTCGTGCCGACGTTGTTGATTTGCTATGCCACGTGGCAGATATTCACCGGCGGCGGGATGATGGGAGAAGACGGAGGCTTATCGCAAGCGGCTTTGGACCAGATGGACCCGTACGATCGAGCGGAGTATCTCTCGATGAGAGAGAAGGAATTGAACCAACAAAAGAAAGTGCAAGCGGGTGCGGTCGCGGGCGAATCCGCGGCGGCGCAGTCTGCTTCACCTTCTCTCGCCGCACCACCTCCGCAAATACAACGAGAACAACAACAACAACAACAACAACAACAACAACGCGCGACGACCGATGATGATATCCCGGCGTGGGGAACGCAAGTATGGCTCGATATCATCCGAGGACGCGTTGGAGCATAAAACGAAAGTAGCAACTGTAATACTATCGATAATAATAATAATAATAATGATAACTTTCTCTCGATTACAACAAAGTACTTTCGCTTCCAATCTCTCACATCCGCGTCGTTTTTCTCCGCGCCAAACAAAGTCGACTGATGACTACTTCGGCGGTTTCGGCGGGTCCTTCACCTTAATCACCGGCGCAAAATTCTCCGGCACCGACCACTTATCCTTCGGCAAATACTGATACACCCCGATTGGAAAGTGCGATCGTCTTCTCTCCGGCGTGTTCATCCACCTCTCGAACCCTTCTTTCGTTTTCCACTCTTGCGAAAACTCGTACGCGTTCGCCCCAATTTCCGTCAACTGCGACGAGACGTAATCGGGCATCGTTTTCATCTTCTCCTCGCGAAAACGCATCTCGTCCAAAAAACGTCGCTTAATTTCCTCCAGTTTCACACCGCTTTCGTCTCGCGGGATGGTGAACGTGTTTTTCGCCACGTACGGGGTTTTCCCGTCCGTGCCTGGCGCCGCCATCATTCGCACGTTCCTTTTGCTCCATCTCTTCTTCTTCTTCTCGGCTGATTTTCCCGGGGGGTGACGATGAAATCCTCTCGTCGTCTGAATCGTCGTCGTCGCGAACGATGTCATCTTCTCGTCCTAAAATTCTACTCTCTGTCTTTCTCCGTCTTTCTCCGTCTTTCTGTGTCTGTGTCTGTCTTTCTTGCGGTGCGCTCTCTCCTTCGCGCTCTTTCTCTCTCTCTCTCTCTGAAGCTTTTTTTGCTTCCCGTGGTGTCCAAAACACCAACCTCTCTGAGAAACCTCTCTGAGAAAACGAGAGCGCACGAAAACGACAGAAGACACAAAGTTTTGCCTTTTCTTCGCTCTCAGACAGACAGACAAGAAGGAAGGAAAGCGTTGTACACCTCTCGCCATTCCTCAGAGCACGAGAACGACTTTTGGAACGCTCGAGAGGAAAGAAAAGCTTTTCACTCTTTCTCTCTCTCTCTCTCTCTGTATATATCTATAGAGCGCACACGGCATCATCATCATCATCATCAACAACATGATCTCCTCCTCCTCTGTCTCCTCCTCGTCACCAAAATCGATGATCAACACCCCGCGCTGTTGCTCGCGCGTTGTTGTTGCCGCAAAGAAGGGTTGCGAAAAGATGTGTAATCCACGGACGAATTTGAATTCATCATCATCGTCGTCGTCTCTGATGAGAATCAGAAGGAGTGTCGTCGCGCTCGCGTCGTCGGAAACCAACACCGATCTGCTCTTATCCTGGAACGAAAACAACATCTCCTCGAACGAGGAATTAAACAACGCCGCAATCACCGAGCGACGAACGCGAACCGCCGAGGACTCGAGGAGGATGAAGATGAAAAAAGAGATCAAAACGTTCCGAGAGCGGTTGAAAAAAGCGAACAAAACGGAAACGGAACGCAGGAGGAAAGAAGACGCGATCGAACTCGAGATGCAAGAAGATGAGACGAAAAAACGTAACAAGGAAGACGCGAGACGCGAAGCCGCGGATCGAGCGTTGGCGGGTGTGTTTGAAAAGGAGAGGAAACGCTTGGAAAAAATCGAGCGCGAGCAGCGCGAGGAGGAGGAGGAGATGTTGGGTTTTTTGAGAGAGAGGATCGAACGGTTGGAGAAGAACGACGAGGATATCGCGGCGTACGCGAAGGATGCGTTGGTGGTGGCGAGGCAAGCGGTGAAGGATTTGGAGAGCGAGTTGGAGACGCAGAAATCGGCAGTAATGAAGAGGAGGAAGCAATGCGCCAAGGAGGCGAGGAAACGCGTGAAAGAGATGCAACGAAATCGCGAGGCGGAAGAGAATCGCGTCAATAAAGCGTTGAAAGGAGGAAAAGGTGCTAACGACGAGGATAACCAGGAGTTGGAGAAGAAACGGTTCGAGTACAAGTTGAGAATGGATACGGAGCAGCACGAAAAGATGTTGATGGACGAGGCGCGATTGCAGTTGATCGAAGACGCGGACATTAAACGCGTCGAGGTTACTCTAAACGAAGCGTTAGTCGCGGTGGAGAAAGTCAAAGACGAGGAAGGCGAAAGAAGAGACTTTGTTCAGAAAGAATTATCGGTCTTTTTGGATGATTTTGCGATTAAAGATTACGAGGTGCAATCGAGACGAGAGAACTTTGACGCCACGTTATCGAGTGAGTGCGAAGCGGTGTCGATTATCGCGAAGAAAGAGGAAGTGCAAATACGCACAGAGGAAGAAGCGAGGCGCGTAGAATTCACGAAGTCGCTGAGAAGCCAACGGAAGAACGAGGAGGAACGAAGAGTGAAGTGGGACCGAGACCATTTCGCGGACGTGCAAAAGTTGGAAGAGATGAAATCGAACGAAGCGAGCACGAGACGAAGTGAAAACACTCGAAGATCAGCGTTTGCGACATCGTTCGCGCAGAAAGATGCAAATGCGGCGGCTATATTTCTCGCGTTATATTTAGAGTCCTTAGAGAAGAGCGATTTGAGCAGAGAGGAGGATATGGCGGACGTGATGGAGGCGGACGGGGCGTTGTACGTCGCGGCGGAAAACCTTCGCAAGAGACGCGAGAGCGAAGAGTACAAGAGAGACTTTGAAACGCGCAAAGCGGTAGAAAAGAGCGAATATTTTGCGGAGTTGGAGAGAGTGAAGAAAGTACAGGAGGTCAAGGCGCTGGAGGCGAGAGAAAAAGCGAAGGAACGTGAAAAACTTCGCGATGAACGCATCGCGGCGGCGAAAGCGCAGAGAGCACAATTTCTCGAGATGAGCAAAAAGAGAGCGGAGGAGCAGAAAGAGAAAATGCGCGTCTTGTCCGAGTTGAGAGAAAAACGACGAGCGGAAGCCGAGGAAAAACGTTTGAAAGAATTGGAGGACGAACGCGTGCGAATGGAGAAGAGAATGCAAGAAGAACGAGAGGCGGTGAACGGCAAGAAAGAAGCCGCTGCCGCTGCCGCTGCCGCTGCTACCGCTCCCAAACCAATCGCGACGACAACTGCTTCCGCGGCCGTTACTTCGAAGAAAGAGGAAACGGCGGTGAATAAATCTACGAGTGGTTTCGTCGCGGCGAATCCCTCGGCTCCTATTCGCGCCTCTGGATCCATCGCCAAGATGAAAACGGATGCTCTTTGGAACGAAAACTATAAAAAGTTTCTCAAGTTTGTCGATCAATCGTCATCATCATCATCATCATCATCATCATCATCGACGATGACTATACCGAAACAAGAAGAAGAAGTCGAACGACCGAAGAAGAAAGAAGAAAAAGTAGTAGCAGAAAAGAAACCGGTCGTGGCCGCCGCCGCCGCCGCGAAAGAGGTACCGCAATCCATCCTCGATTCTCGAGATGCGGTTGCAATCGCACAACATCTCGTCGACAGCAAATACGATGCAAAAACAGTCGCCAACGCGGTTTCCACTTTATACACCAACGGTGGTCGCCGCGGTCCGGACCTCGCGGAGGAGATCTTCATGACTTTGCCTAAATCCATCTCCGGCGCCGCTCTAGTCAACATCCAAGACAACGCCGTCGCGTGCAAACTTCTCGAAAATTGCGAGCCGGGACGACAAACGGTCGAATTGAGCGAGCCGTCCACTTCTGAGCCTTCTTCAGAACCGAGGAAACAGTTCTTCCTCGCGTACTCTTCGCGAAAAGCTATGTACGCCGGCGTCGAAATCCTCGAAGTCGCCACTTCCGTGAACGAATCTCGCGCGGTGGAAATCTACAGCAACATCTCTCGCGTTCCGCGCGCCTCCATCGTCAAAAGAGCCGTCTTGCAGCAAGGCTCCCGTCCAGGCACGGAATCCAAAAACCCGGAGTCTAAACCACCATCCAAAATTATCTGGATCGCGAAACTCTTGGCCAAAATATCCCCGCCGTCCACCGCCGTGCAAACCTTGGAAACCTTTCGAGGAGGTAAAAGAAAGGGTGACGAGAAGATGAACGCGTACGTCAAAGACATCGTTCAAATCATACGCAAGAACGAAGGCGGCGACATCGAAGGCGCGCAGGCGTTCGCGAAGATTTTAGAGAGTCGGCTGTTGTTATGATTTTCGCGTTTTGATTCGAAATGTATTTATTATGCACTACTACTGCGCTTATTTATTACTACGTGTTGTCCGTACATCTTCTCTCCGTTGTTCGACTCTCTTCGCGCTCCTCGCCTGCTTTTTTGCTCCTTGTCTCGTTTGGTTCCCTTTTCTCTCCATTCCAAACGTTCCTCTCATAATTTTCGCGCTTGCTTTTCTTTTTCGATCATCGCGTGTGTGTATCTCTCTCTCTCTCTCTCCTTTGTTACCACCGGTAGTGTCACATGGGCGGCGTGGATTTCCGCAAGCGCATTCTGTCCGTCTTGCGCACCACGAAGAGAGAGAAGAAGAAACGAAAGAAAGAATCAGATTTGCCGTCGAAGCCGTCGCCGTTACAACGCGAAGCAAAAGGAGAAGAAGAAGAAGAACGACGACGACGAGGAGTACGAGCACGACGAGAGCAAGAACAGCGAGAACAACAACAACCGAGTCACTTCGTCCAGTACGCGTCGCCGAAAACGCTTCAACCGAGCGCGTTCCCGCGTTTGAAGTCGTCGTCGTTTAAAGAAGACAAAGACGAAGAAGAAGAGGAAGAGGAGAAGAACGAATACGTTCAAAAACCAGTCCTGAGCGAATCGCAACTCCGGAACATATATTCGTCGAACGAGAACACAAACGACGGTTCTTATTTTAAAGGACATTTAAAGGAGGAGGACGCGTTGAACGATATCTTGACGACACCGATCGTAGGGAGGAAAGTGTTCGTGGCGGAAGAGGAGAAGAAGCGGCGACGAGCGCTGAGCGATAAGAGTAAGGCTTCGCGGTATTACGGTTCATCCGGGAAGTATTCTTCTTACTCTTCGAGAGGAGGAGAAGAAGAGTTCAGATTTCGTAGCAACGAGGAGAATTCGTTCGATACGTTTGCGAGAGCGGCGAAAGCGAGTCGAGCTGCGTACGCGACGTCGAGTAGTCCCGGGTTTGGGAAGCCGGCGTTGACGTTTGATCGAGAGGAGAGGTTGTTTGAAAAGCAAAGATCGATCTCTTCGAGGCACACGCCGTTGGATTTAGTGAAGCAAGCGTCGGCGACGAGAGAAGAGTTGAGGGAGATTGAACGAAGAAGACGAGTAGAGAAGGAGGAAGGAAATCGTGGCGGCGTGATCGATTTGACCGGAGAGGCGGGAGACGCCGAAGAAGAAGAAGAAGAAGAAGAAGTACCTGCGGAGGTGATTGATCTGACGAGCGACAATCCTCCTTCGTCTTCTCATCGGAACGAGAACATCGCGGCGACTCATTTTACTCCAGCGGCTCCAGACTTTGGAGATTTACGAAGAACAAAAAGTGCGACGCCGAAAATGGGTGTCGGGGCGAGCTCTGGTCGCAGTAGCGGTGGTATCAAGGATGAAATCAACAAAGCGCACAGCGCCGACGTAGGCTTGAAAAGGTTCAGCAGACGAAAAAAACACATAGATCTCATCGGACGCACGGCGCGAGAGCTCGTCGAGAGCGCTCCAGAAGGCGAACAGTTGAGTCAATACAAAGCGCAAGTCGCAAAATTTGCCTCGGAGGCGTACGAAAACGACGACGACGACGAAAAGAACGAAAAGAACGAGAACGAAACGCAACGAAACTTAGTAGAGGAATTAGATGAAAAGGATGATACCGGTAAAACGATGGTAACGACGCCGAAAACAACTACGACCGTAACGAAAATGGGCGGCACGCACACCAAGTTTAACATCTCGCCGTTATCACCGACGGAGTTGAAATTAGAAGCTTCCGCGCGAGCGGCGAAACGCGCGACGACGACTTTCGCGGCGGCGGCGGCAGAAGAGGAAAAAGATCCTCTGCGCGCGCAGTTAGAAGCGCTTCGCTTGGAACAGAAGAAGAAAGAAGAGTTACGCGTGAAAGCGACCGAGGATCGAGTAAAAGCGGAAGAAGAGGCGGCAAAAGAAGCGATCGTGGAGAAAAAGAAAGCGAAAGAGGTGGACGTTTTCGACCAACTTCCTACGCCGGAAGAGGATGAAAGAATCGACAACGCGTACGACTCTGGGGAACTGGTCAACCACGCTTGCGCGCGCTTACCCGGGCAAGGCGTCATGCCGTTAAAAGGTAAAGATATTCACACCTTGGCGCCTGTCACGTGGTTGAACGACGAGTGCGTTAATTTTACGCTCGGTATCCTCGGTCGTCGCGAACGAGAACGGTGTGGACCAAAAGGTCATCCTCGATGCCATTTCTTTAACACGTTTTTCTTGAACAAACTGTTCCAAGACGACGGCGAGTACGATTACAACAAAGTTCGTCGATGGTCGACGGAAAAAAAGTTGGGCTATTTGCCAATCAAATGCGAAAAAGTTATCGTACCGGTTCACCAAGGTGTTCACTGGGTCTTAGCTGTGGTTGATTTGAAGCGCAAAGTTGTTTCCTATTACGATTCATTACTGGGGAAGGACCGAGAGGTTGTTCGAAACCTCATCAAATGGGTCGTCGACGAAGCGAAGAACAAGTTGAATGAAAATTGGGATATCGGCGAATGGAGAGAAGAGTACCCGTCCGAAATCCCCCGGCAAATGAACGGGAGCGACTGTGGCATGTTCATGCTCAATTACGCTCGTAACATTGCCAGTTTCACGGACGAAGATTTGAAGAACAACGCGTTTACGTTCCACCAAAGAGACATGGTCAATCTCAGACGACGACTTGTTTTGGAAATCTTAAAGATAGGTCTGGAAATGCCCGCGGACGATTAAGTAGTAGAAAAGGCAAAGAAGAAGAAGAAGAAGAAGAAGCACGCGACGACAAGAACGCAGAACGAAGAAGACGCGAACATTCTGTCGTCGTCAATCACACGCGCACATTATAAGCAGCAATACATAATAAATGCAATTTTCAAAACAAAACAAAAGCAACGCAAAAATTCAAACTCATAAAACTACGACTTCTTCGCGTCGTCGTCATCATCGAGACCTCTAAAACCACTCGTCTTCTTCTTTTTGCTGCTAAACATTTTTTTAAAACTCCGTCCTTTCTTTACGTCTTTCATCCGCTTCGGCGCCGACGGTTCCTCGCTCGTCCCTCTTTCGTCGTCGTCGCCGGTTTCCTTTCCAGTCTCACCCTTTTTATCACCACCACCACCACTAAAATCAAACCCACTCGTGGCCCTTTCGCAGTTCGCGCATTGCCGGTCGAAGCTCTCCCGATGGTACACGTACGCGTACGTCATCGCCCCAGCTTTGGCGCACAGGATTGCTCCGACCACGATCGATGCTTCCACGAACATAACGTTACTCAATGTATATGAGAACAAGCAATTAAGGTGGTTTAAAGCCACAAGGTCCCCCCAAAATCAAATCACAATTCAACAATGCACCTTATAATAAAACAAGGAGAAAAGAAGGAGCAGGGAGGAATGAGCCAAAAGAGAAGCGTTCTCGTCCGTTTCTCTCTTTTTCTCTCTCTTTTTGCCGCTTTTTGCGGCAGACCGCAGCGGCACACCGAAAGGTCTCTGATTTGAAGATGATTTGAACGAAGTGTGCGAGAGGGTGTTGCGCGCATGCCCAGGGTTTAAGACCCTAAACAGTTGGTCTCTTCATTCTTGACTCAAAATTGGTTCAATTTCGATACAAAAAGGAACGTTTTACGACACACACATATACACACACACACACATATATTTACACCCGTAAGTGCGCGTCTGCGTGCGTCTCTCGTCGTTACACGTACTATTAAAGAGAGAGAGAGAAAGAGAGACGCTGTGTGCTGTGAAATCACGACGTAAACGACGAGGAAATTATGATGATGATGGAGCGGTTTTCGTGGTCTCGTTCCTTCCCATCGTCGTCATCTTCGACTCCTCCTCCTTCTCTCTCTCGAAAGAGTGGCGATAAAGAGCGTCGGAGGAGGAGTCGCTTTTTTTGTTCTCCCTCTGGTTCTTCTTCTTTGTGTTCTTCTTCTTTTCATCCAGAGAAGAATAGGAAGAAGATTGATGATGATGATGATGACGATGATCATCAAAGCGCTTTACTAAAGGCTTCGGATGTTTTTGGAACATCGACGACTTTGCAACGAAGAAGAGGCGCGAGAGCAAAAGTCCGAGCAATAACGAAGGAAGAGGATTCGGAAAAAAACGACGACGACGCGTTGTCGGACGATCAGCCGAGATGGTCGGGAGAACCGTCGAGGGCGGATGCGAACGCGACGGAAATAGAAACGACTGCGACGCCGGCGATACAACCCCCTGCGACGACTTCTGGGTACACTCGTAAATGGAAGAAACGAGATTTATCGTGGGCTCGAGACGCGATTCCTTTTTACGTGATGCTCCCTTTGGACGTCGTCTCGAGAGACGGCGTTCTGGAGAACAAGGAAGTTTTAGAAGTCGCGTTGGACGCGTTGGCGAGAGTAGGCGTAGATGGCGTCATGGTGGACGTTTGGTGGGGCATAGTCGAAAGGAAACGCCCGAGGAATTACGATTGGACCCCGTACTACGAACTGTTCCAAATATGCGAAAAGTTAGGTTTGAAAGTCCAAGCGGTGATGAGTTTCCACGCGTGCGGCGCAAACGTCGGCGACGTGTACGAGATCAAGTTACCGGATTGGGTCTTAGAGTCTGGGATTCAAGATCCAGATTTGTTCTTCACGGACCAGTACGGGTACAGAAATCCCGAGTGTATTTCGTTGTGGGCGGACGATGCGAGAACAGTCGCAGGAAGGACGCCGAGAGAGTGTTATCGAGATTTCATGGTGTCGTTTAGAGATACGTTTGAAAATTTATTGCAATCGACCATCTCGGAGATTGCGGTTGGATGTGGACCGTGTGGAGAGTTGCGATACCCGTCGTATCCAGAAAATAAACGTTCACCGAACAGTTCCCAGTGGCGTTTCCCGGGGATTGGCGAATTTCAGTGTTACGATCAACGAGCGTTGGGCGCGTTGGCGAGGCACGCCGCCGAGGTTGGACGCATCGAATGGGGCGGATCTGGTCCGCACGATTGCGGCGGATACAACAACTTACCGCAAGAAACTGGTTTCTTTCGGGCCGATCGAGGGAGTTGGGACAGCGAATACGGTCAATTCTTTCTCGATTGGTACGCGAAAGAGCTCGTTAAACACGGCGACAAGACGCTACAAACTACGCGAGAAGTGTTCGATTACGAGAAAACTGGCGTTGACGTAGCCATCAAATGCGCTGGCGTGCATTGGTGGTACAACTCCCGTTCGCACGCGGCTGAGTTAACTGCCGGGTATTTCAACACTCGATCGGGCGATTTTGTCCCCGAACGCGACGGGTACGAACCGATCGTAAAGATTTGCGCCAAATACAACGCGCGTTTGAATTTTACGTGCGTAGAGATGGTGGACGGCGATCACCCGTGGTTTTCAAGGTGCGGGCCGGAAGGTTTACTCAGGCAAATTCGAACCGCAGCGGCAAAGTATAACGTGCGAGTGGCGGGCGAGAACGCCTTGTGTCGTTTCGATCGGTCCGCGTACGAACGCGTTATTAAAAATGCGCGAGGGGAAGGCGACGACGTGGAGTTATGGAAGACGGGCGAAAAGTTACCACCGATGGCGTGTTTTACGTTTCTTCGAATGTCCAGAGAATTGTTCGAGCTGTATAACTTTAACAGCTTTAAGGAGTTTGTGAAGCGCATGAAAGCGGCGACGGTGAGAGACAATCTGAGATTGTCGAGATCATCCTCGTCCTCTTCTTCTTCTTCTTCTTTGAATTCTTCTTCTTCTTCCTCGTCTGCGGGGACCATCGGACGACCTGGCGGTGCCGCCGGTGGCGAACGAGACAGTTCAAGTTTCTTCACGACGAACTCGACCAACGATAACGGATCGCTATCCTCCTCCCCACCGATGTATAACCCCAACGAGAACTTCTCAACCAACAATACCGCTTTCTCTGGAGGAACGGTTGTATCAACAACAAATAGCAGCAGCAACGGCGCGGCGACCGGCGGCACACCCGTTGCCGCCACTGGCAACGCGTACATAGATAATTATAACAACATTAGTCAAGACAATAGCAGTAATAAAAGCTCCGATAGCATGGACAGCATTGACGAGGACGATTACGAATTAGAAGATGGATTTGCGGATCGCGGCGAGGCGCCTCCTCTGCAAGAGCAAGTGCAAAGTATCGTTCAGCTAATGAACGAGTTGTGATAAAATTGTAACAAACAAACGACTCTAAAATCATACACTTTAAGATGTATACACGTACTCACAGTAGTAAGCGTAATTCTACCACTGTATTAATTAAAATCATGTGCCACTGTAGCACATTTGTATTTATTTATTATATAAACTGCAAGCTAAATTCACTCGTGGTGGTTTCGTTCGGGTTCGAATTTTAAGTAGAAAAACAAAATCGAACAAACGCACGGCTTTCTGTCTCTTTTAATCTTACTTTCTCTCTCTCCTTTCTCTCATTCTTTTCTTTCCAAAATCTCTCTTCTCGATTACTTGTTCATATACATCCCGACTAAAAACGATATCAACGCCACGATCAAAACCATAAGAAACGAAAACCCGTTCGCGCCCGGCTTCATCGATTTCGACAACTCCGTTTGCAACTGTCTATTTCGCTTCTGCATCGCTTGCATCTGCGCCTCCAAACTCGCCACTTTATCCCCGTTCGGTCTCGAACTGACGCTCTTCCCACCTCCTTTCTCAACGCTCGCCGCGCTCGGCGTCTGCTTCGTCGAAAAATACCTATTCAAACTCGGCCCGCTTCCGTCCGTCTCTTTATCTTCCGGCACGCTCGCCGGCAACCCGCCGGCTTCGGTAAACACAACCTTCAACTTCGTCTCTTGAATCTTCTTCCCGTCTTTCGTGAACAAAGCCGGCACGTCGTCTCCCTCGCCTTTCTCCGCGACTGTATTTTGCACCAAAAACTTATCTCGACAGTTTTCCAAATCCGCCGGCACTTCCCTTTGCGCTTGCATGATCACCGTCACCACCGTCGTCGCGCCCGCGGGGACGATGCCGGTGTTCGGTTTCACGCAGTACTTCTTCGGGGCGGTCGTTTTCACTTTAAACGCTTGGTCGTGAGAGGTCGGGTTGTGCACCGTTAAGTCCGTCGCGATTTGTTTCTTCAGTTCAACTGTATAATATTCGTATAAAAAATGTCAGTCAAGCTGCTTTTTCCTGTCTCGTTTGACCAAAGAAGAAAGAACAAAAGTTTCCGTTGAACGAACCCACTACTAGAGGGGAGAAAAAAAAGCACACTCAAATTTCTCTCTCTTTAACTCTCTTTCACTCTCTCTTTCGAGGAAGACGAAGAAAAGAAGGGCACGAACAGAGATGGCGTCGTCCCCGTCGCGCGCTCGCGCATCTCTTTCACTCTTTCTTTCGTTTTCGACATCGAGAGAGAGAGAACTCTGCGACGAGATGAGAGGAAAAAAACGAATAAAATTTCCCCCCACGAAGGAACAAGGGAAAAGAAGAAATCTCTCTCGGTCATCCTAAGAAGAAGAAGAAGAAGAAGAAGAAGAAAAGAACGCGCGAATAACACTCACACTTAAACGGAAGCTGTTCGGTCGGGGTGATGACTAAGCCTTTCTCGGAGGACATGTCGTGCTCTCTCTTTGCGTCGTTCTCTCTCTCTCTCTCTGTTTGTGAATATGGAAATGTGCGCTCTCGTGTGCTTTCCCTCAATAGAAGGCTTCTTCTTTCCTTTATAAAAAACGCGCGCTCTCACGAACAGAGCAACAAGAACAACGAAAGCAGAAGACACCTCTTCTCTTCAGGTCGTCTTCGTCGTTTACTGCGGTTACGATGCCGTTTCGAAAGGGAGTGTCTACTGCGCGTGTAAAAGCAAACAAAAGGATGGGTTTGAGTGTGAAGCGTTTTTCCCTTGAAACTTTTTCTTCTTTTTGCTTCCTTTTTTTCTCAGTATTAATTGGGCGGTTTTTTTGAGGGTCTCTTTCGCGTAGAGTGGTGTACTGCTGCGCGTGGTGATTCTTAGTACGTGTTGTTACGTTTTAAACGCGTGGGTTTGCGCTTTTCTTCGGCGTTACAAAGTTACAAAAAGTTTTGTGCTTCTCTCTCTCTCTCTCTCACTCTCACTCTTTTTATTACTCGGTAGGCCCTCTTCTCGCTCCAACACTTTTTTTCTCTCGTATTTATTTCTTCGTTTTTTATGTATCGCTTTTGCGGGGTGTGCTTTTTGATCGTCTTCTTTTCGTCTCTTGATGATTTTTTACGCCAGCCACGTTCTCGGGTTCATGAACGCATCTAACGCGTCCGCTTCTCTACTCCCTTCCTTCGGGTGCATGTCGTATTGCCATCTCGCGGTGAGCGGCAAAGACATCAAAATGGACTCGATTCTGCCGCCGGTTTTCAAGCCAAAGGTGGTCCCGCGGTCGTACACCAAGTTGAACTCGACGTATCGGCCTCTTCTCATTTGCTGCCACTCTTTTTCTTCTTGCGTGAATGAATCATCTTTGTGTTTGTCGACCAACGGGATGTACGCCGGGACGACGGCTTGCGCCATGTCCGTGGCAAACGCCAACAACTCCTCCTTCGGTCGGTCGTTCATGTCGTCGAAAAAGACGCCACCAACGCCTCTGCGTTCGCCTCTGTGCTTGATCATGAAGTAATCGTCCGCCCATTGCTTGAATCTCGGGTAATATTCCGGATCGTGCTTATCGCACGCGCCTTTCAACGTCCCGTGAAAGTGCGCGACGTCTTCGTGAAAAATGTAACTCGGCGTCAAATCCGTGCCGCCGCCAAACCACCAAGCTCTCGGCGCCCCCGGGTCGTCTCTCGGCGAATCAGTTTCAAAGTAACGATAGTTAAAGTGCACGGTCGGTGCCATCGGGTTGATTGGGTGCATCACCGAGGAAATCCCGGCTGCAAAAAACGGAATCGTCTCCGTCCCGGCGCCTTGCCCTCCCGTCGCCGCTCTGTACGCCTCCGGCGGCATTTGCCCGTACACCACGGACACGTTAATCCCGGCTTTTTCAAAAACCTTGCCGCCTTGCAACACTCGAGAGATGCCTCCACCCCCGCCCGGTCTTTCCCACGCGTCCTCGTGAAACTTCCCCCCGTCTAATTCCTCCACCGCTTTGCAAATATCGTTCTGCGCCTGTCGAACCATCTTCTCGAATTTCGCGCGCATTTCGTTCGCGTCGCCTTCCCCGCCCGGTCGCAAAAGCGTCAACGGGGCTTCGTCCAGAGCGACTTCCTCCTCAATCATCGCCGCTTTTATCATTGTGCTACTTTTTTTCACCTTGTTGTTGCGAGAACTTCTTACACTCAAACACGATGATGATGATGGTGCTCCTCTTCGTGACGATCTCCCCAACACGTTATTCATCTTATTCGTAGTAAACGACGACGCGTGCATCGTGTTCGCGGCCATCATCATCATCATCATCTTAATATAAAAACGTAACGCTTCTTGGTGCTTCTGCGCTAATTAATAATAATAAAGCAATGTCAAAAAGCTCTCAGCGACAGTCCGAAGCGCTTTATATAGCTATAATATCTGAGGAGCGATTTTATCCTTCCCAGAAACAAGATCTCTTATTTAGGGTTTTAGAGTTTAGGGTTCTCCTCTCGGGGTTTTAATTGGATTTGCAACGATATCACACACATAACAACACGAAGAAGAAGAAGAAGAAGAAGAAGAAGAAGAACAACGACGAAAGCATAAATCTCTCTCGCGAGAGGAGGAGATAACACGTAACACCATGATCGTCTGGCAGTACTAGTTTTTGCAAAGGTAAAAAAAGAAGTAAGATTGTTGTTCTGTCGTCGTTGTTTGTTCGAGAGCGTTTATTTGGGGAGAAATGAAAGAAGCCCCAACATCATCATCATCATCATCATCGGAAGAGGAGGAGAACGAGAACACGCTTTCAAAGTCGGAAAACAACGAAAACGACGAGGACGACGAGAGCGCGCTTTTGTCTCGAGGGCATCTCTTCGACGCGTTCAAGTTTACGAGCGTTTCGAAAAACCCTCTAGTAAAAATATCCACGCGCGTGTTCGAGAAGTTCCTTCCAGATTTGTTTGTTAAGAGAAGAAGAAGAACGAAAGAAGCGAATGCGAAGACGAACTTCGCTCGAAAAGTAAAACAATGGGTATCTCAAATCGAGTCGAGTTACCAAGACTCGATCGACTATCACAACAGAGCGCACGCGACGGACGTCACGCAAAGTATAGGGTACATGTTAGGGAACGGTTTGCGAGAAGAGTTGGACGACGTGGAAGTGTTCGCGTTGATATGCACCGCGGTGGCGCACGACTGCGGACATCCGGGGAAGTCGAATCTGTTTTTAGTCGAGACGAAGAGCGAGAAGGCGAAGAGATGGAACAACGAAGCGGTGAACGAGAATGGGCACGTGGAATTCGCGATCGAGGCGTTTGAGAAGTGCGAGGTGTTTCGTAACGACGACGACGACGTTAGGAGTAGTAATAGAAGAAGCGACGAGAAGAATAGGAGCGAAGAAATGAAGGAAACCGTGTACGAGATTTTGAAGACGGCGATATTGTATACCGATATGAACAAACACGAGACGTTAATAGAGGATTTTCGAGAGGCGCTGGAGAGAAATAGAGGTAAAAAAGCAATCAAAGAGTGGGCGAAGAAAGAGGACGTGCACGTAGCCTTGGGGTACGTTTTGCACTGCGCGGACGTGTTGAACGGATGCCGTCCTTGGCCGGTCGCCAAGAAATGGGCCGAGTTGATCACGGAAGAGTTTTGTAAACAAGGCGACGTGGAGAAGTCGTTGGGATTCGAAAAATTAACCGGTGCGCACGTGGACAGGGCTTTACGAACGGATATCACGTCTTCGAGGCAGGCGATTAAGTTTGCCGAGGAAACCGTGAAGCCTTTGTACGGACTGTTGAAGGAAATCGTGCCCAACGCCGTTGAGCCTTTATTGACGCAGCTGGAACTGAATGTAGAAAAACATCGCGCTTTGATTCAAGAGAGTCAAAGATAGTAGTATATACCTAACTAAGTGCAAAATTATAACATTATAACAACCGATTCATGTATCCAAACTTCTTCTCAACTACTTTTAAGTAGTAGTAGTATTCTTCGCGGGATGGTTTCTAATTTTTCTCACGCGAGTTTGGTTCGGGTCAAAGCCGCCTTCTTTCGCACCAAACACGCTCCATTCGGGAGTTTTACATATGTAATCCTTCGCTTCGAAAGGCTCGCCTTTGGCGACCAGGTCTTGGAATTTTTCGTAATCAATCCAAGTGTGCCATTCTCCGTCGATTTTATAATCTTTCGTTCTCGCGAGCAAGACGCAACACGAGTGACTGTGTTCGCAAGCGAGCTCGTACGAGGAAGCACCTTTTTCTTCCTGCTCTATATTTGTCAATCGACAAATTTCTTGGGAGAATTTCACCACGTCCTCGTGATACGGAACGTTCTTCATCGTCAACGCGCTCGCGCTCTTATCGCTCGAGCCGCAATACGTTACGCCTTTAATCTCTATGAAATCCGGTTCGCCGAGTTTCACCAGTTTCGCGTATTCTTCGGCTTCGGCTAAGTTCCAACCGGCGACTAAAGTTAATCTGTACACCGTTCTTTGCGGTTTTGTTTTTAGGCTACTCAAAGAACCTACGAATCTATCCCAATAATCGCTATGTAACGGACGATCGATCGCCTTCAACGTCTCCGGCGTCGCCGCGTCTACGGAGACGTACAGCTGCGTGATTGGCGGTAAATCTTCGATGGCTTTCGGAAACTGCGCGTTGGTGACTAAAAATGTCGATATGCGCTTCTCGTGGAGTAACGAAACGAATTTGCCGATTTCCGGGTACATTATTGGTTCCCCGACGAGCGACAACGCGCAGTGTCTCGGATCCATGCCTTCTTGCAACTTGGCCTCGGTGACGCCAGGCACGCCGCGCATTTCGTTGATCATTTTGCGATGCTGCCCTAACGCATCGTTCACGATATCTTCTGCGGGATTCATCTCCCATTTCCATTCCTTTCCGACTGGATTCGTGTGATGTCGCCAACAAAACACGCATTTATTTGCGCACGCCAACGACGGCGTAGTTTCCATGCACCGGTGCGATTCGATCCCATAAAACGCGTGCTTATAACACCCGCCTCGACCTCTCAACATTGCTTTCGTCCATCTGCACAACTTCACACCCGAGTGCGTCCCGAGAATCTTGTACCCTTGCTTTGTCAACGCTTTGCGAAGCTTCGGAGTGACCATTTCCGGTTTCGGCGCGTTTGGATCGCGCGCGCTTCCATCGCCCCCGACATCTTCCACGTCCATATCGTCCTCGGATCCAGAAAAGTAACTTTCCGTGTCCGATCGATCCACTTCATCCTCCTCCTCCTCATCGTCGTCGTCGTTTTCTACTTCATCTTCTTCTTTTACATTCTCTTCATCAGCTTCCTTCTTCTTTTTCTGTCTCCTCTTCTCCGCCGTCGTCGGCGGAAACACTCTCCCTTTCAACTTCTCCGTCCACTTCTCAAACTGCGTTTTCATCTCCACCTCGCTGCTTTCGTCCCCGTCGAATTTCCTCAAAATTCTTTCCGCGCCCATCCTCGCGAAGTGTTTATCGATCATTCTCGCCGCTCGATTAAAGTTCTCCTCGTATTGCGAATCGCCCACGCCAAAGACGCAAAATTTGAGCTCCTTCAAATACGACCACCCGGCGCGTTCGTCGTACGCTTGCTCTTCGCACCATTTCATGAAATGTTTACACTCGGACGCGATTTCGCCCCCAGTCGTCGTCGAGACGACAAAAATTGCGCATTTCAGCACCTTTTTTCTTTCCATTTTTAGTATTCCTTCTTCTTCTTCTTCTTCGTTCGCGAACGTCTTCTCCGGTTCGAGCACTTCGCTCAAATCGATAACCGTCCGGTCTAAATCGGCGCCTAACTTTTGCGCTAAAGATCTCGCGTTGCCGCTCGTGCTCGCGTAAAAAATCCGCACGGAATCATCGTCGTCGTCGTTATCACTCTCGCTCTCCTCCGTCTCTTCTTTCCAAAAGCTCTGTTTTTGTTCCCGTTTCTGTTTCTTCTTCTTCTCAGCAGGAGTCGTCTTCTTCGCTTTGTTGACTTTTACGCCGTCATCATCATCATCCTTAGGAAAAATCCCCTCGACTCTTTTCTTCTCCTTCGCGTGATACCAACGATACTCGCACAAAACAAACCCAACCGAAAAAGCGACGAGGAGCACTTTTTGAGTAGTAGTAGTATTCACCATGACGCGTATCAGTATGATGATGTGTGTCTTTTTTTTCTCTCTAATGTTTGTTTGCTTTCTTCTCTTTTTTTTTGTGTTTTTGTTGTTTTGTTGCACACGAGAAAAACAGGACTCTGTGTCTGATTTTTATTCTCATTTTTGACGAAGACACATTTTTTGTTCACATGTGATTGAACCGTTGATTTTCGCTCGAGAGTATTCATGCGCACATCACGCGACGTGGCATTTGAGACAGAGGTCGTCTCACGATGTGGGAATATTTGCGCGAGAATAATAATCGAGCAAAAAAAAGATATTTGAGTTTCTCGAATACTAAATTGAATATGTTCTTCTCGTTAGAAGAAGATGAGATGTGTTCACATGTGTGAGTAATATGAAGTTGGTGCATCAGTTCCGAAAATTTTTTTTGGCTTCTCTCTTTTTTTTGTCTTTTTCTCATCATTTCTTCTTCATTCCAAAAGAAACAAAGAGCGCTTGCTTCTCCACACAAAACAACGACACACCAACACACACAACAGAAGAACAACAACAACAAAAGAAAATCAATCGATCAAATCATCATCAAAATCAAAATGCAAGGCGCGCGACAATCGGACGTGTTCTTCGGCGAACGCGAGAGCGGGCAAGACGTGAGGCAATCGAACGTGACCGCAGTTCAAGCGGTGGCGAACATCGTGAAGAGCAGTTTAGGACCCGTTGGGTTGGACAAGGTATTCTAGTTAAAATTCTGTTTTCGAACCGGGAAAAAGTCAACGTTGGCATCGCGATGGATCGTTTTTTTCTCTCTCTCTCTCTCTCTCTGCTGAAAGCGCTTCGTCGCGCTCGACGTTTGGCGGAAGTTTTATACCTTTGCATAAAACTAACTTCTTCTTTTCTTTTCTAAAAACATTAGATGCTCGTGGACGATATCGGCGACGTGACGATAACCAACGACGGCGCGACGATTTTGAAACTTTTAGAGGTGGAACATCCGGCGGCGAAGATTTTGGTCGAACTGGCGGAGTTACAAGACCGCGAAGTTGGCGATGGGACCACGTCCGTGGTCGTGTTAGCCGCGGAGTTGCTAAGAAGAGCGAACGATTTAGTGAGACAAAAGATTCATCCGACGTCGGTGATTGCCGGGTATCGATTGGCGGCGAAGGAGTGCGTGAAGTATTGCGAGAAACACATGGCGCGAAAGGTGGAAGATTTAGGAATGGAAACGATTAAGAACGTGGCAAAGACGAGCATGAGCTCGAAAGTTGTTGGGATGGATTCAGATTTCTTCGCCGGTTTAGTCGTGAACGCGTGCGAGAAAGTGAAGACGTACGACGATATGGGCGACGTGAAGTATCCGATAAATCGAGTGAACATTTTGAAGGCGCACGGGAAATCGGCGAAAGAGAGCGAAGTTTTAGATGGGTACGCGCTGAATTTAGGCCGGTCGGCGCAAGGTATGCCGACGCACGTGTCGAACGCGAAAATCGCGTGCTTGGATTTCAACTTGCAAAAGACGAAAATGTTGTTTGGGATTCAAGTTTTAGTCAACGATCCGAAAGAGTTGGAAAGAATTAGAGAAGAAGAGTCGGCGATTACCTCGAGAAGGATTCAGATGGTGTTGGAAGCGGGTGCGAATGTTATTCTGTGTACCAAAGGTATCGATGATATGGCGTTAAAGTATTTCGTAGAAGCTGGGGCGATTGCGTGTCGACGCGTGCCGAAAGAAGATTTGAAGAGAGTCGCGCGGGCAACGGGCGCGCAGGTTTTGAGCTCATTATCTGATATGGACGGGAACGAATCCTTCGACCCAACGCATTTAGGGGAAGCGAAAGAAGTGTTCGAAACGAGAGTGAGCGATGACGAGATGATTTTAATTAAAGGCTGCAAATCCTCGCAAGCGTGTACCATGCTCTTGAGAGGCGCCAACGATTACTTCCTGGACGAAATCGATCGGTCTTTACACGACGCCTTGTGCGTCGTCAAACGTTGCTTAGAATCCGGTTCGGTCGTTCCGGGAGGAGGAGCCGTCGAATCCGCGTTATCTGTTCATCTCGAACAAAAATCCGTCTCGTTGGGTTCGCGCGAACAACTCGCCGTCGCCGAATTCGCCGAGGCGTTGTTGTGCATCCCGAAAACTTTAGCCGTCAACGCGGCCAAGGATTCCACCGATTTAGTCGCAAAACTACGAGCCTACCACTTCGCCTCTCAATCCGGCAAGGAAGAGGACAAACACTACGCCAGTTACGGTTTAGACTTACACAAAGGCGAGTTGAGAGACAACCTCGCCGCCGGCGTCCTCGAACCGACGATGAGTAAGTGCAAATCGTTCAAGTTTGCCGCCGAAGCCGCTATTACGATTTTACGAATCGACGATATGATCAAGTTGGAGAAAGAGGACGGCGACGGGCGAGACGGGTTTTAGTTTAACAACAACGCCATGATGAAATTCGATGCAAATTCTCGAGAGAGAGAGAGAGTTACAGAGAGAGAAGGAAGAGAGAGAGAGAGAGAGAGAGAGAGATGTGAGAGCGTAGATTATAGGAAAATGAAAGGAAAATGTGAAAAACACAAACACTATCCTCCCTTTACAGAATTCGTCAAAATAAAGAAGAACCCGCTCGCTTTTGCGTCATAAAATGAAACGACCATGTTGTCTCACTGAAAAACACGAATTATGATGATTTTCTTTTCGCTTTATGTCATCCTTACACTACTCGCGCGTCTATCTTCTTCACTCGCCGCCGGGGTCACATTTGGCCCCGTCGACGACCGACGACGTCAACCCCTAAAAATGGATAAACAAGAAGAACTTGCTGCTCGTAGTATCACGGGGATAAGCACGGAGAAGACGAGACAGACCACCTTATGCGTCATCGGGGACGAGAAAGGCAACGTCGAGCATTTGCGGTTGTTAATAGACCAGTCCGAGAAGAACGGACACGAAGTGAAGATATTCCAGTCCGAGAAAGATGCGATTGGGGGAATCAAGTATTGTTCTGCGCTTTTCGCGTTTCAGCGCGGCGACGTCGAGTACCGATTGAGAGATGAAATTGTGAGACTGAGCGAGGATGTGAGAGTGAATCACATTCAAGGGACAGATGTGTTGACGTCGAAGAAAGAGTTGATGGAGCTTGGGTTAGATTTTGTGCCGGAAAGGAGAGACGGCGGCGGCGTTCCGGTAATACGGAAGAAGCCGACGCACGGCGGTGTCGAAGTGATGTTGAGTGGCGATACTTTGAAGAAGAGTGAATCCATGTACCAGAGATATATCGATAACGCGTTGCAAATAGATGGAATGCCGTTCGATTATGGCGTATACGTGTTTCTTTCGGAAACGCATTATTTAGATGGCGAAACGAAACAGGCGAAATTGACGTACGAGGTATGGAATGACGTCATGCTTCGGTTTGCGACGAATGGCCAGTTTGTAGAATCAACGTATACGAACGCGTGGAGTATGCCGAGTTTAGTGAACGCTTCTTCGCCGGGTAAAGACTTTCAGGCCAAGATGGCGTTCGCGAGGTACTTGGGCGAGGAAAAATCGAAAGCGCTTTTCGAAACCATCGATCGACGCATAGAAGATGCGTTTAGAGCAGCTCGGCCGTATTTGTCCAACGCGTTCACAACAACCGCTTTTAGTTTGTTACGATTTGATTTTGTTATCGATGACAACTATTTTCCGTGGTTGATTGAAGTCAACGCGTCTCCGAATATCAAGCCGTCCTCAAAAGGACAAGAGAAGATGCTTATTGAAATGCTCGATGTCGTGTCCAAAAAATTGTTCGCTTTAGAAGAAGATATCGTGTTATCACACGAGCTGACGCGAGAAACAGACATCCGCAAGAAACGGTACACGAGAAAGTTAGCGCAATCGGAGTACACGGACGTGGACTGCGTCGTGAGTGATTGGACGGCGTACGAGCCTTCGATATGCGCAGATCCTTGCTACGCCTCCACGCACACGCAGGTTCGCTCTCGAATCATCACGACTCCCCAACGTGGCAGCGGCGCCGCGTGCCCTCCAAATTTAATCGAAAGTCGAGTAGCAGATTGTCCGAACGAGTGCCCTCCACCAACGCCGCCTTCGCCACCGCCTTCGCCTCCACCACCTTCCCCTTCGCCGCCTCCCCAATGGAATTACGTAAACGAAAATGGCGCTCCAGTCGTGTTCACAACGAGCTCGTCGACGACGAGCACTAGCAGTAGGAAGAAGAGTTTAAAACTATTAGCTTTCGTAGTAGCGTGTGTAGTCTTGTGACGAGGTACCAGTTGGTACCATGATGCATTAACAACAACTCGTGTGGTGATAATATTTACAAAAATGCACCCAACAAAAAATTAGGTAAGTTGTACAATTTACATCGCATGCGGCCAATGTCTCGACCCTTGCTGCGTTCCTGGTTTTTCGTCTCTTCTTTCTTTCCAAGTGGTGTACAAAGTCTTCTCGCGATGGTCGTTGGACCACGCAAACTCGAATTTCCCGACCAAAATGCGATCGCCCTCGCTGGCGCCGGCTTCCTTCAGCGCCTTTTCAATGCCACTCATTTTCAATACTCTCGCGAAACGTTTATAGCTTTCAAAGTAATCCCAGTTGGTCATTTGACAGAATCGTTCAACCGCGGTGCCTCTGACGACGAACGCGTACGGGGTATCTTCGACGGTAAAATCTTCAATGCGCGCACCGTCTGCCGCTCTTTTCGCTCTCGATTGTTCAATCTCGAGCGACTCTTCGCTCTCTAACCGTCTCGGACCTAACATTTTGTGTGTCTCGGCGACTTTGGACATCAGCTCGTCCACGCCTTCTTTCGAAACCGCGCTGATTTCAAAGCACTCCACGCCTTCGAGTTTTAACGTCTCTTTCAATTTCTTCGCGTTCGTTCTCGCTTGGTCGCTCACGTCGATTTTATTCAAAGCGACTAATCGAGGTTTGTCTAACATCGTCTCATCGAAGAGCATCAGTTCGCTCACGATGGCATCGTGCGCGTGCAAACAGTCCTCCTCGGAACAATCCACCACGTGTAGCAACAACCGCGTCCTTTCTGCGTGCCTCAAAAACTCAAAACCTAGACCTAAACCTTCGCTCGCGCCTTCTAATAAACCCGGCACGTCCGCGAAGACCATTCGCGTGTAATCTCTTTCGACCAAGCCTAAGTTCGGGACGATGGTCGTGAACGGATAATCAGCAATCTTTGGTCGTGCGGCGGAAACGGCGGCTAACAGTGAAGATTTTCCTGCATTTGGCGCACCGATAACACCCACGTCCGCGACTAATTTCAGCTCGAGCTCGATCCATTTCTCCAAGCCTTCCTCGCCGAGTTCCGCTAACATTGGCACTTTGTTTTTACTTGTTTTAAACGACGCGTTACCTCTCCCGCCTCGACCACCAGCGATTATCGTCTTCGTTTCTTCGTGTTCCAACAATTCGCACAGCACCTCTCTCGTTTGCGAATCTCTCACAATCGTCCCGGCTGGTACTTTAATCTCCAAGTGATAGCCGTTTGCGCCGTTACATTTCGACCCTCCGCCGTGTTTCCCATTCTTCGCTCGATGGTGCACTTTCTTCCGAAACATTTGCAACGAGTGCATGTTCTCATCCGCGGTAAACGACACGTCCCCACCAATCCCGCCGTTCCCTCCACTTGGACCACCGTTCGGTACAAACTTTTCTCTCCTAAACGCAATCACCCCGTTCCCGCCGTTCCCGGATTTCACGTAAATCTTCGCCGTATCGAAATACCGCATCTCCGACGGCATTCCTTTCCCTCGTTCCAATTTTTTCATTTTCTCCTTCTCGTAATCGTAATCGTCTTCGAATTCCGCGCCTAATTGGTACATTTTCCCGCCCGGCGTGAACACGTTGATGTCGTCGTCGTCGTCTGAATCGTCGTATTCAATCGCGTCGTCTTCATCAAAGCTCTCTTCCTCAACATCATCAGAGCTTACCAATTCGCCCCAAGAAGAAGAGGCGTTCGCCGACCCATCCTCCTCGTCCTCGATTTCCTCTCCAAACTTTACCATTCTCCCTCCGTTTTTCATCTCCTTCTCTTCCTCTTCTCTCGTTTCGTCCCACTCGAAGTACTGTTTGAAACTGTTGTTGTTGTTCTCTTCCGCGTAAAACTGCGCGCGAGTGCGCATGGTTTCCGACTTTTTATCCGCCGCGGCTTCTAAACCTTCAAACCAATTTGACGTTGCTGCTTTCGAAGATGATGACGGTGGTTCCTCCACGTCGTTTTCTGAAGAGGACGACGACTTCGATTCCATCACCTTTTTAGCCGCCGCCGGGGAGGAAGAATTCTTCCCCAACTTTGTCTTCTTCTTCTTCTTCTCCTTATCGTCGATGGATGGAGAAAGAGAAGGTTTCGCGCGACAGAGCACCGGAGAACAACAACGACTGCTGCTGCTCGTTCGGTAACGACTCGCAGGAGAGAGAGTCGAAAGAAGAAAAGACGCGCGCATGATGTGAGAGTTTATTTGTGACGAGAACAGCTTCACTTAATTATTTTTAATGTACAACTGGTGTGTGTTTGGGGTGGATTTTACGAGAACTACTTCGATTTCTTTTCGTTCCCTTTCGTTTTCTTTTTCGAACCTTTCCTGGGTTTGATCCCCATGAGCTGCGGACTGTGATTGACGGCTTCGGCCCATCCGAAGGACGGGTGTCTTTCCCACCACCCGTCGGTGTCTTCCCAAACGTCCCAGTGGTCGCTTCCGTCGCTGGAGTGGCCGTATTTGCGCACTCGTCCGTCTGGCCAGTGTTCTTCTCCCCAGTCTTTGCTGACTTTGTGACCGTCGCGGTCGTTCCAGGTGGAGCCTTCGCGTTCGCCTTGACGGCCGTGAGAGGCGTAGGAACCCCATCGTTCGGACCAACGCTCGCCCCAGGAGCGACCGCTGCCGCCGTCTTCGCCGACGTCTCGATCTGCCCAAGAATCGTTCGTTTTCATGCAACCGCCGTGGCCGTCCCATTTTTCTTTCCAGTTGTGGTTCCATCGAGACGCGTGGCCGTCCTCTGGGATCTCGTTTTTACCGACGCACGATTTCTTGAAACATTCTCGGTCGACGACGCCGTCGCCCCAGTACGCCTCTCGCCAGTCTTCGTGCCATTCCGCGCCGCTCGCGTTGGCGCCCCATTTGTTCGCGGACCGTTCGATTTTTTTACTCGCGTCCGTGAAGAAACCTCGCGAGACGTCGGAACAGGAGATTTCAGACCACGATTCTTGCCAGACGTTGCCGTGACCGTCGCGTCCGGATTTTACGGCGCCGAGTTCTTTGTAATCAAACGCGTCCGCGGTGGACCACCACTTCTCTTCCCATTCGACGGACCCGTCCGCCGACTGCCCTCTCACTAACGTCCATTCGCAAACGCGCCCGTTTTCTAATTCGCTCGTGCCAGCTTCTCGCCACCATCGCGTGCCGTCGGAAAGCTCGCCGTGCGTTTCGCCATCTGCGCCTAATTCTCTCACCGCGGACGCGAATTCCGCTTCCGTCGGCGCTCTTTGGTCTGCTTCCACCTCGTCCGCTTGCGTCGCCGTTTGGCTTTCAAATGCCAGCGGCAACTCTTTCGTGCCTTTCGCTTGAACTTGAGACTGAAAATCTAAATTCAGCGTTTGCGTCACGCCGCGTTCGGCGACTTGCACCGCCTGTTCGATTCTAGTTTGCATTTGCTTCTGTAATTTAGGCACCGGCGCGCCATCGGTATCGGATTTTTTCCTCTCCGGAGGCGTCCAAGACCAGAAATCCATCCCAGTCGCGTCGCCGTTCGCATCGTCGTCGATGTCAATGGAATGGTTAATCGAGTGCGCTTTCTTCTGCGCGTTTCTCAGCGTCCCTCCCGCCGCTCCTCCTCCTCCAGACACTCCAGATGCCACATTTGCTGCCGCATCGCTCACCTCCTTCAACGTCTTCGCCGCACTTTTCTTCACCGTAGATAACCCATCCTCCACAATTTTTTTCGCCCGACCAATCTCAATCGGCGACGTCACCGCCGACCGAGCTTGCGCGGCGTTCAGCGCCGCTTTCGCGCGTTCGATGGTCCCGATCGGCGACGCCGCGCGTTCGAACAAATCAATCACGTTGGCGGACTTTCTCGATTTTTCTTCCTGTTCTGAAGTCGTCGTCTGAATCGTCGTCGTCGTCGTTTGGGTCGCGGATGATGATGGTGATGATGAGAACGACGACGGCGGTGGTTTTGATGATGTCGGCATCAATCCCGAATCTCGATGTGGTTCTTGTTCTTGTTGTTCTTCTTGTTGTTCCGCCAAAGGCTTTGTTGTTTGGGGCAAAAAGTCCACGCCGTAAATCACGCTCGTCCTCTTCGGTGGCAACACGTCCTCCTCGCCTCCTCCTCCTCCTCTGTCCGAGGAAGGCGACGATAAAGACGACGGCGAGAAACGATGATGATAATGATGATGATTTTGCGCCTTCTTCCGCTGACTCCATTTTATCCTCTTTTGAGTGCACAAAGCGGGGACAAAATGAACGACTTTAACAGCGACGAGGACGACACCGTTACCACCACCCATGATGATGCACGTGGTAGTTTTATGTGTTCTCGTTCTTTTTCTTGAATCTTTCCCTCGTCTCGAGCTCTGCGTCGTGTGTTCTTCTAGCGCGCGCGTAATCCCTTAACGAACTTTCTGAATAAAATAAATTTAGGGTTGGTTAAATGCTGATGAATATACGACGTGTATGTGTATACTTAGAAGTACAACTGAGCTAATGTTGAGTACGCATGTGCTTTTGCAAATGAGCAAGTTGACGAAAAGCTTTATCGCAAACATCACATTCGTACGGTTTCTCGTTCGTGTGAATACGCATGTGGGTTTTCAAACTATCAGCTCGACTAAAACGCTTCTCACACACATCACATTCATACGGCTTCTCGTTCATGTGAATACGCACGTGCCTTTTCAAAGCACCAGATTCAATAAAACGCTTCTCGCACACATCACATTCGTACGGTTTCTCGTTCGTGTGAATACGCATGTGCCTTTGCAAATGACCAGAATCACGAAAACGCTTCTCGCACACATCACATTCATACGGTTTCTCGTTCGTGTGAACACGCTTGTGGACTTTCAAATTACTGGATTGAGTAAAACGCTTCTCGCACACATCGCATTCGTACGGTTTCTCTTTCGTGTGCGTACGCATGTGTGTGGCCAATTTAGATGGTGTTACAAACACCTTCTCGCAAACATCGCACTCGTGCCCTCTCTTTCTTTTCACTCCTTTAGCAATAAAAGCAGTTTCTTCTTCTCGCATCTGGTGATTTTGCTCCACGACATCGTCGCACGGCACGCACATAATCCTCCATAATTGCTTCACGTCCTCGTCTTCTCCCTCTTCTTCTTCTTCTTCTCCCTCTTCTTCTTCTTCTTTTTGTATCTGATGATTTGCCTCGACATCCTCATCATCAGGAATCCTCGAACGCACAAACACCAAAGGTTCTTCTTTCCCGCTTCCCTTCAAAACCGTCCTCGCGTTCACCGCTCTTTTCGGACGTGGATTCTTTCGCGGTCGTCGTCGCATGTTGTTGTTGTTGTTGTTCTTTCAACGCGTCGTCGTCGCAGAGCAGAAGAGGTTCTTTCTCAAAGCGTAAAGAGTATGTAATAGCAGAGTGTTTAAAGTCTTGGAAAAAAAAAATTGAGACGTTTCGCAGGAAATGAAGAAAAAGCGTCTCAAAAAAAAACATTCTCCTCAGAACGAACCAAACACAAATCACTCGAAAACAACTCAAAATTCTGCTGTTGTTGTCTTTCTCTTCCGGTGGATGCTGAGAGGAAGCAGCTCGCGGTGTCTTCGTTCGCTGCTCGCGTCCTCTTTCATTTCCTCGTCTTTATCCTCTCCTTCGAAAACTGCGCGCGCTGCTTTTGCCAGCTTTTGTGCTCGAGGAGGACTTTTGAGAACGGAAGGAACGCGTTTTATTCCAAGTCGTCGTCGTCGTCATCGTCATCCGTCTTTGAACGACAACAGATTTTCCCCGAGTTTAAGTCTGTCCTCTTTGTCGCCGCATCGGAGAACGAGAAGACCAACACCAGCGAGAGGTACGGAAGGGTTGTTTTTCGCGTCGCTTCCTCCCGTTGGTCCTCAGTTGGCGTCGTTTTCGGAGGCGGCGTCATCGTCTTTGTCTGTGTTCTCATCAACAACAACAAACATGGTGTCCGTGGCGTGGATAATCGGCGCGGCTTCGATTGTTGATTTTGGCATCCAACTCGTCGGTTGGGCGATATCGAGCGCGATGAAAACGGAAAAGTATTACGATTTGTGCGGGTCCGGGGCGTTTGCCGCGGTCGCGGTTTCCACGTTTGCGTGCACGAACGGGGAACCTCGCGCGGCGTTGGCGACGACGGCGTTGTTGGCGTGGGCGATGCGCTTGGGCGCGTTTCTCGTCACGCGGGTGCATAAAGACGGAGGGGATAAAAGGTTCGACGGGATTAAAGAAGACCCGGCGACGTTTGGGATTTATTGGTTCATACAAGGGATTTGGGTGCTGGTGACGGCGATGCCGGTGATTTTGATCAACGCGAACGCGGTGACGCAAGGACCGTTGAGAGCTTTAGATTGGATCGGGTTTGCCATTTTTGCCGTCGGATTGACCATGGAAACGGTCGCCGATCAACAAAAAAGAGCGTTCAAAGCGGACGAGAGGAATAAGGGAAGATACATCGATAGCGGTTTGTGGAGCGTTTCGAGACACCCGAACTATTTCGGCGAGATTACTTTATGGACCGGGTTGAGTATGGTGGGGTTGTCCGGCGTGGCGAAATACGGCGCCGGCGAAATCATCGGGTGCGTCCTGTCGCCGTTGCTGGTGACGTTTTTAATCACGCAGTTGAGCGGGATTCCGTTGTTAGAGAAGAGCGCGGACGAGAGGTGGGGTAACGAAGAGGCGTATCAAAAGTATAAGAGAGAAACGCCGACGTTGGTGCCTTACATTGGGGGCAAATAAAAAATCTTACTTCTCGCAAAAGCATAAAGTGTACACGTAACCAATTTTGTGATTACATCATCATCTAAGACGTTCTAATAAAAACTTGTTCAGTCATCTTTTACTACTCGCCGCCGCACGGCGGCGCGGTTATATTGCTGCTATTTTGTTCGGATGTAAACTCCCACGCTCTCCCTCTCGACTCTTTTTCAAGTTTCGAACGCGATTTTTGTGTCTTTTCGAGGACGTGTGCGCCAACCAATCGCGATCGCCGCGGAAAATTCGATCGCCGCACGCTTCGCACGCGCGTTCAATCCACGCGTCGTTGTTTTCCTCGAGATCAACAATAACATCGCGGCGAGTGCTCTTTTTCGTCGATGGTGCGTTTACGTCGTCGACAAACTCCTCCGTAATGAATCGTACCGCTCGGGAGACGACTTCGTCTTCCCAAAACGCGTTCGCCTTCGAGGACGAGGGCGGTGATGCCGCCAGCATCTCGTGCATTTTCGTCGCGTCTATTTCGATCGTCGGCGCGGAACGAAACTCGCTCGATTCTACCATGTTTGCAAACTGTCTGCGTTGGCGTCTGGCTAAACGTTTCGTTCGCGCGCACATTTTCTCGAATCGTGTTTCTGTGTCGTCATCTGTTTCGTCCAGAAACTCTCGAACGCCAATGGCTTGCGCCACACCTGTGTTTGATTTCGCGGCGGTCGGGTAGGTTTCGATGAACGTTTTAATCTCCTTCTCGACGCCGTCGTGGCGCATTCGCTCCAAGCGCGTCTCGAGCGTCTTTTCCAACGCCTCGTTCTCCGCGACCACGTGTATCACTCTCGTCACGGTAGGTGGAAACATCAGTTGTTGCTCGTTTTGCTGTTTTCGTTCGTCGTCGTTTGCTTTGTCTTTTTTGCGTTGAAATATCGTTGAAGGCAACAAACTTTCTTCGCCGTTTGCCTCTTCGGCTATTTGCAAATACCTTCTCACGCGTCTCGCGTCTTTCGGATGCAGACGCGCGGCTGCTTTTGGATCCAATTCGCGCAATCTCTCGTGCATCGCTCGTCTCTCTTCCAAGGAAAGTTTATCCACGTCGTCGTCGTCGTCGTCGTCATCGTCCGATGTATCCGGCATCGACGCCTCGCGTTCAGGTAAAAAAGTCTTCAACATGGCCGCTTTCGCGTAATACGGCGTACCGCCGACGCATACGACGACGCTCCTCTTTCCATGCCTCTTCGTCCAAATCTTCTCCACGATTTCTAAAAATGATGCACGAAACCACCGCACGTCTTTTTTCTTTGTCTTTGTCTTCTTCTTCGTCCTCGTCTCCTCCTCCTCCTCAATCCCAACGACCCCGAACAACTCGTGCACCACCTCCCCTCTCGTCTTCTTCTTCTTCTCCTTTTCCTCTACCAAAACTCGCGCGGTCGCGATCGGCAGTTCCTCGTGCACTTGCAACGCGTCCATGTTCACGATCGTCACCATCTGGTCATCGATATCATCGTCGTCATCATCAGACTTCTTCTTCTTTACCTTCTTTGTCTCCGAGTTCGTCGTCTCCGAAAATGAAGATTCCATTAAAATCTTCACCGCGATATCTTCCGCGACCTTCGTCTTCCCGACACCGGTCGAGCCCAGGATAAAAACCACCCTCCTATTCTCATCGTTCTGCAGTATCATCGTCGCGTCTCATTATTATATTTCGCGTCTTCTCAAAGAAGAGAGCAAACAAACGTAAGTGTGTTTTTGTGACACAAAGAGGAAGAAAAATGAAGAAAAAAGAGAGAGAGAAAAGAAACCTGTCTCTGTTAGGGTTTAAGACCCTAAACATAAAAAGCAGAGATCAAATTTTTCCTCCTCCCAAACATCATCATCACATAAACTACGTTTGAGGGAGCGCGTTGTTGTCTCACCACCACCCCTTTCTTCTCTTTGCTTTCTCCTTTTTTGTTGCGTTTTGTCGTCAGAGAGACGACGACGACGACGTGGGAGGAACGACTTTTTTGAAGAGAGAGGTGGTGGGGTGGTATTTGTTGTCCTCCTTAAAGAAGAAAGAGAGAGAATTTAGAGCGCTTTCTGTAGTTTAGGGTTTAGGTTTTAGAGAGCACCAAACATGGAGGAGAAACGCGACGTTCCGATCGAATTCCGCTTGGACGCGCTGGAAGAAGAGCTCTTCCGCCTCCACGAGGACGTTCTGGAAGCAGAAAATGTTTCTTGGTTACCGAGAGGGCATCACGCGCAACAACTGCTTTCGGAATACAACAATGGGTTCGGGATGATGATGATGATGATGATGCAACAACGAGAACAACAACAAAAACGTAAACGAGATGACGATGGAGGAGATTTGAAGGATGACGACGATGCTTCTCATCATCATCATCGCAGTAGACATGGTCGAGAGAAGGAGAGTAATGGGAGGAATTTTTATCATCATCGCGGAGAAGGAGGAGCGGCGACGTTGGCGTTGCAACGTGCGCCGTACACGCTCGCGGAAGCGCACGGCGTCGACGAGATGGAGAAGAAAGCCTCGGCGAGAAGTAGTCAACCTTCGTCTTCTTTTCCAGCTAAGAAGAAGAGCGGGGGTAGTTTTAAGAGTAAAAAGAAGAGTTTCGGGAGCTTTGGCAACTTGGCCGGCGCGGCGGGCGGCGGGAAAAGTTTTCAAGGAGGAGGAGGGAAGAAGAAGAGCGCTTTGAAGCAACACAAAGGAGGCGCGCCGACGATGCTGACGAAAACGAAGACGTCCTCGTGGTGGAGGTGGGCGGAGGAAGTGTTTCGGAGGGTCGGAGCGAACGATGTGGCGAGAGTGTTGCCGACGAAGAACTGGAGAGACGACCAGGCGTTGAAGATACCGCCAATTGGGAATAGGAACGGGATGATGATTTTTGACTACGACAATGGCAACAACAACGAGGAGGGGGTGAGCGAAGAGGAACGGTTGAGGAGAGCGGCGGCAGGAGCCGCGGCGACGACGAGTGGCCAACAACTCCCACTCCAACACCAGCAAGCGCCGGCGCTGGGTGCGGCGCCTTTACTGCTTTTACAGTCGCCTTTTGACGCGTTCAAACCGCTAGGGGAAGAAGCGACGAGAGCGACGCAGTCGTTTGACTGTTTGCAAAGCGACGAAATTCGAGAGTTGTGTTTTGCGTTTTTAGCCATGTCGAGAGAAATAGGAAGTTTGTTGCGGAAAGAAAGCGACGACGAAGAAGACGACGAAGATGACGATGAAGATAAAGAGGACGAGGACATCGCCGCGTCGTTTTTGGAAGATATTTTCAACGGCGACAAACAAGCGCGCGATAGATGGATGAAAGCGCCCGCAAAGAAAGTCGCCTCGAGGAGTAGCTCGAGGACAAAGTTAGCGTTAGCCGCGCAAGAAGAGGAGAAGGAGCTGACCGAGGACGATTTAATCGTCATGCGTGCGCGGATATGGTTATCGGAGATTGTGGTAAAAATTGTCGAAAGACGAAAACAAGCCATCGAGAACCACGGGAGGAAATTTGATAAAGATGTGGTCGTGGTGAAGGATACGAACAACGCGGGTGTTGGGTACGGAGCTAATGCGAAGTTGATGGGCGCGACCGTAACGAAGAAACGCAAAGGCACGGCTGCGAAGAAAGGCAAGAAGAGCGCGTGGACGACGAAAGCGAAACAATTGAAGCAACAAGAAGAAGAAAAACAGCAACAAGAACAACTGTTGCTTCTGCAACAACAAGAAGCGCAAATAAAGTTGGAGGAAGCGGAGAAAGCGAATGCGCGTGGGATGAGTGGATCTTCTTTCATGGAAACGAAAGAAGAAATACTCGCAAAGAAGGTACAACTCGAGAATCGCATTCGGGCGACGTTTGGCGCATCCGGCGATCACGACGCGGTGGAGCGCATAGCTCTGGGCGAAGCCGCGCACCCGCACACTCTGCAACTCATGCAAACGGCATTCACAACGCCCGAGTTTACCGCAACCATAGAAAAGGAAGAAGAGACGCCCTCGAGACAACGAAAGATACCGGCGGGAAGAAGAGGAGCTAAAGGAAATAAGAGCGCGTCGAAGAGAGCGAAAGCGTGCGCTTTGTGCGAAAAAGGCTCGGATCACGCCAAGGCAACTTGTGGGACGGATGAGGCGCAGTTTCGGTGTGAGAAGTTGCGCGAACGCATCAAAGATGAAATTATGGAGAAGAAGCGGAAGGCAGAAGAGGCGCTCGAGGATGTCGCAGCGGAATGCGCGGAAGAAATGAAAGAGAAAAAGTCCGCCTCGAAAACGAAGAAGCGGAAGAACGAGAAAACGCCGGCGCGAAAAGGAAGGAGTCACGAAGAGACGACGACGCCGAAAGTCAACAAAACCCTCAAATCACCATTCTCGCCCGATACCAACGGTAAAGTCAAGTTTCCGTCTTTAGCCGTCGTTCCGATGCAAAGATACGGAGGTGATGATGAAGATAAAAGCAAAAGCGACGAAGAGGACGATCCGACGGCTAAAGATGCGAAGGACGAGTTGAAGCGTTTACAAAAGTATTTTTCAAACAACCCAGAGTTGGTTTCGTGCGCTCCGTGCGATGACGTCGAGAACGAGTTGCTCACGTGCCAATACGAGCTTCTGTATCAAATCAACGCCAATCGATCAAACTTGACGAAATTCTTCCAAGAAATTACCGGCAAGATTGAAGAAGAGGCGACGTGGTTTGAGAACAGATACGTTGGCATCAGCGAAGCGAATGCGTTCGTCAACACCATCCGCGAAGCACGGAGGAAGGAAAAGAGGGAGAAGCGCGCGAGAGATCAACAGCAAGCGTTTGAAAAAGCCGCCGCAGCAGCGGAAGAGTCCAAACGCCAAGCGTTTCGCCGCCATCTCGGGGAACAGGTTGCGGCAGCGACCGGTAATCCGGACGTGAATCCGGATCAACTCGTGATTCCTGAAATGCCGGATGAATCGGCGAACGTTTCTCGCCCGCGGCGCGGCGTCGCTTTGGCCAACGCCGCGTTACAAGTGTTAGGATTGAGAGGTAAAGTTGCCGGCTTCTTCGGAACGAGTCCGAAAGCGAACGCGTTGGAGTCGAAACAGTCTTCGTTTACGGAGCGATCGTTAGATAAGAACGCCGATCATCAAAATAACAAAGGTATTGCTATCGGAACCGTCGACGCGAGAAATTTGTTCCAACTTCTCGATCCTTTACACGCCTCTACGAGTCGAACTGTTTTGGACGTGTGCAACGTCTGCGCGAACTCGTGTTGTCCCGCGAAAGTAGTCAAGGATAAAACAATCTACCGGTGTCTCGGATGCGACGTTACGGTGCACGACGAGTGTTACGGTGTTTTATCCGAGAAGAACGAAAAGCACAAATCTTTCGTCTGCGACGTGTGTGCGCACAATCACGGGAGCGGCTACGGATCTTGGCCGGATGCGCAAAAACGCACGGCACATTCGCCTTTGTTAACTTCCGCCGACGAGAAATTACGAGCACAGGGGAAAAGCGTTTCGTGTATTTTGTGTCCCGCGAAACTTGGCGCCATGAAGAAAGCATCCCTCACGCTTCCAGTTTCGCAGAGAGCCAATCAACAGAATTCGACAACGACGGCGTGGGTCCACGTGTCGTGCGCGGAATTAGTCCGAGGCGCGACGACGAACCCGTTCGCCGATTCCGTAGAGATTAATCCAACCGTTTTTGGTGGAACTATTCACTTCTCCGGAACGCCGACCAATAGAGCCGCCGCTCAAACTGTCGCTGTCGCGCAACCGCCGCAAATCGATACGCCTATCCTGTCAAATTCGTGCACGCTTTGTTATTCGCGAAGAGGCGGATGCGCTGCGACGTGCGCGTTTGGTAGTTGTCGCGCGCGGTTCCACTTGTGCTGCGCGAGAGCTGCTGGTTGGCACGCCCGTTTCTCCGACGGCAGCACTTCTTCCAAAAGACAACCGAGGGCGTATTGCGACCGGCACTCGCCCATCCAAAGAGAAAAAGACGAAAGCAAAGGCGTCCAAGTTGCCAAGTTGTCGCTCACGGATAACGAAAATGAGGTCATGGTTCAAACCGTTCGCGCGTCTGCGGATGGGAAACGCGGGAAAGTTTCCATGCTTAGCGCGTTGAGAGCTATGCAGAGATCCATGCGTCTCGAATGCGAATCTGCTCACAATCAAGGCGGCGGCGGTGTTGTTACCGCCAACGCTCTCGGTCTCGGCGTCGGAACCACCTCCAACTCCGCCGGATTACTCCAACACCAGAGCAGCTACAGCAGCGACGCATCTTTCCTCGACGGTATCCTCCCAAACAAACTCCCCCCGACGTCAAACCCGGACTTATCCCACCCGGGATCAAACGGCGGGACTCCCAAAAAAGCGCGATCCACCGCGTACGCTCGAGGCGCGAGTCGAGGTAAACGCGGCTCCGTCCGCGCGTCCAGAAATGGAAGTCGAGCTCCAGCTACCGCGCTCATGAGTGACGAAGAAGCAATTCGGGCGAACAGCACGTTGCCGGAAGGTTGGGCGTACGTTCCGAGAGAGACTTTAGATAAGTAGTAGCGCGTAGCTTTGGATGTGAATATTTTTGCTTGTTTTCGGTTTCCTTTCGATGCAGTAGACGTCACTTTTTTTCGGATAATCATGGCTTCTTTGGCGGCGACTCGTGCGAACGCGCACGCAACGTGTCTCTCCTCCTTCAGGCGGGGAGGCGCCCTGTCCACCTCCGGCAGACACAACGGCAGACACAATTCTTTGGTGTCTTTTAGAAGCATCTCGTCGGAAAAGACAAACACCGCAGCAAAAACCAAGTCGTCTTCATCCTTGAGCGAAGAAGTAAGAAACGATTTTCCAATCCTCCGGTCGGAAAACGATTTCGGAATGCCAATCGTCTACTTAGACTCCGCGGCGACGTCTCAAAAACCTCTCGCAGTTCTCAACGCGCACGCGCAGTTTTACGCGACCGCAAACGCGAACGTCCACCGAGGCGTGCACTACTTATCCGCAAAGGCGACGGATGCGTACGAACAAAGCCGCGCGAAAGTTGGAAAGTTTATCAACGCGAAAACGGACAGAGAGATTGTGTTTACCCGAAACGCGAGCGAGAGTTTGAATTTAATCGCAAACACGTGGGGGGAGACAAACATTAAGGAAGGGGATGAAATCGTTTTATCCGTGGCGGAACATCACTCGAACATCGTGCCGTGGCAGTTGTTGGCGGAAAGGAAAGGCGCGGTGTTGAAATTTATCGGATTGGATGAGAACGAATGTTTGGACTTGGAGGAGTTGGAAAGAACGGTGAACGCGAGGACGAAGCTGGTGTCGTTGCCGCACGTTTCGAACGTGCTCGGTTTTACGAGCGACGTGGAAAGGATCGTGAAAACGGCAAAGAGCGTCAACGCGACGGTAGTTTTAGACGCGTGTCAAAGCGTTCCGCACATGCCGGTAGACGTGCAAACGTTAGGGGCAGATTTCATCGTCGCCAGCGGTCATAAGATGTGCGGTCCAACCGGTATTGGGTTTTTATGGGGCAAGTACGACGTGTTGTCCGAGATGCCGCCGTGGATGGGCGGCGGCGAAATGATCCAAGACGTCTACTTGGAAAAGTCTACGTACGCACCACCGCCGGGTAGATTTGAAGCCGGCACTCCGGCGATTGCGGAAGCCGTCGCTTTAGGCGCCGCGTGCGACTACCTCTCCAAAATAGGCATGGACCGCGTCCACGAGTTTGAACTCGAACTCGGTGCGTACCTCTACTCCGAACTCCTCAAAAACATCCCCAACGTCCGCATATACGGTCCAAACCCACTGAAAGTAAACCCTCAAACTGGCAAAAACTTCGAACGCGCCTCCTTAGCCGCCTTCAACGTCGACGGCGTCAACTGCTCGGACGTTTGCACCTTACTCGACCAACTCCACGGCGTCGGCTGTCGAAGCGGTCACCACTGCACGCAACCGTTGCACCGACACTTAGACGTCCTCGGTAGCGCTCGAGCGAGTTTGTACATTTACAACACCAAAGAAGACGTGGATAAGTTCATCGAAGCGTTGAAAGAAGTCTTGGAGTTTTTAGGCGAACCCGTTTAAGTGCACTATTTTATTCACACAGCGTAGTAGTACACACACACACACGCGCGCGCGCACATTTCTCTCGCACATCACCTTTACTCGTCGTAGCTTCTCTGCCAGTCGATGTAAATGCTCCGGTACCTGGAACTTTGCGTAACCGAAGACACTCTTTTGTACCAGTTTGTGTGTTGGACTCCAAATGCGTTTTGTTTTTTTTTGTTTTTTTTTTGAGCATTAATCTTCGGCAACACCGAAATTCGGCCAACTTTTTTCCGGTCAGTTGCCCCTATAAAAGTTGGCCGAAATCGGTTAATTTTGGCCAACTTTTTGAAACCCTAAACCCCAAAAAGTTGGCCGAAATCGGTTAATTTTTTTTTTAGGGCCGTGGAGAGACTTGAGACTTGAGACTTGAGAGACAACCATGGAGAGACTTTACGGCTCCCATAATCGAGCACGACCTTCGCGTATAGTTTGCCAACCTTCTGACGTAATTTTATGGATAAATACGCCTTTTGATACGAAGAACTTCAAGCGCAAACGTATGAAAGTCTTATAAAACTGCACCACTTTTGAAGGTGGTATTTTCTGTTTTTTGGGGAGGCTGTAAAAAAAAAATTAACCGATTTCGGCCAACTTTTTTGTTACCCTAAATTCTTCAAAAATAAGAAAGAAAAAATTGACCGATTTCGGCCAACTTTTTTGGCTGACCGGAAAAAAGTTGGCCGAAATTCGGTGTCGCCCATTAATCTTATTAAAAAAAAAAGAGCTTCAGAAACGCACGAGAATGAAAGTTGAGAATTTGAGACCCTAAACATAAAACCAACTTTGCACGAGAGCGTGATACGTCATCACTTCCCTGTCCCCTCCACGCGCGCGCGTTGACTGGGGACCGCGCGCGAGAGAGAGGCGCTGAAAACCGCGCGGATGCACGCACACACCTCATAAATCGTTCGCAGGAACTCAAAGCGGGAGAATACGCGCTTTTTACAGAGTCTCTCTCTCCGTTTATTTTCTTCGTCGCAAAAAAAGAAAAAAACAGAGGGAAAATTGGGGGAGAAAGAAAAAGAAAGAGAAAGAGAAGAGAAAGCGGTAAATTTTGTATCTGTATCTAAAAAACGAATTTTTTTTTGCATTTCCTCTTCACTTTCTCGCGCGCGCATTTGCGCGCATTTGCGCGCGCATATAATATCACTTTTTTATTTGCGTGCGCGCGCGCGCACGCGCGCGAGAAAGTCACACGCATTGCTATCATCGATAGACCTCTATCGATGATAGTGGGTGGAAGGGTGGGAGCTCTTTTCTTCATCGTTTGCTTTCTTTTTTATTATATAGATACAAATCGATTTTTGTATCTCTCCTCCCGCATGTGGCAGATTGAATGAATGAAAAGAGCTGGGAAAGAACGGACAAAGGGGGTTCGAGTACACCGGGGAGTTTTGACTCGCGCGGGCGAGTTTCTCTCCTTTTTTGTGTTCTTTTCTTTGTCGTCGTGTTATTGCATATCTTCTCTCTTCTTCATCGAAGAAGAAGTCAACGACGACACATGGAGGAAAGAGCATTTTTTGGGAAAGAATTCCAAGCCTTTCATTTTTGAAAAAGGAGTTTCAGTACCGTTGGGGGAGTTTGTATCGATTAAAATCGAGAGTTCTCTCCTTTTTTTTTTGGGATTGATTTTGGATGGAAAACATGTTTTTGGATTGCAGAAACATGTGAGACAATACGACGTCTCTCGAGCATCCATTTGCGATGCTCAGCCTATCATGACACTCGGCTCTCATGAGATCGATCGAAGAAACTTTGATAGGTGAAGTACGTTGATTTTTGATTGAAATATAATAACGTTTAATTTGCGCGGCGCTGACTTGTAGCGATCGCGGCACCGACCTTTGAAAAAAGGGGAGTTGTCCGAAGCATGCTCATGTAACGACTATTGAAATATTTTCGGCAGAAATGAATCTGGGAGCCCGTGGTGGTCTTCTATCCAGAGAAGTCTCGTGCGATGAGATTTGGGAACGGAGGAAATGGAGAGGACGTAAAGCTTGTGCGACGGTGTGTTTCTGTTCAAACACCACAGGAAATATTTAGGATGGGGAGTTATAGTTGAGTTGTAATACTTGTTGAGGTCCATCAAATTTTTAAAAGATTCATGTACGAGCGGTCCACAAACGCGCACAAGCAGCAAAAACTTTCTTCTCGGGGGCGGCGTTTCAGTGCTTCACACTTTTTACGCACTTCTTCCACTTCCCCTTCTCTGTATTCCGTTTATTTATATACTCAAATGATTGCCATTCAACGCACCTCTGCATCACTCGTCGGAGCGACGACTGGGGCGAGATCGTCCCCCGCGACGTCGAGAAGAAATCATCGCGCCGCTGCCGCTTCCACCGTCACCCGTCGTGATGGGATGCGTTCTCACGTGACGTCGATGGAACGAAGGACGAAGAATTCGTTCCGACTCCCCGCGATCGCGATGCCGTCTCCCGAAGTCAACGAACAGATGCAAACGATGACGTACAACGAAACCGGGAAATGGCGGGAGAATTTTGACCTCGCCGGGTGGGCGAAGGAGATCAGAGAGGTACGTTTCTCGTCCCTTGAATTCAAACGACGTCCTTTTCCCGGGTGGTGATAAGGATGTGGATTGTGTTCGTTTTGAAAGCTTTGTCCTCCGCTTTGTCCTCGATCGCATCATCATCTTTCGAGGGGAAAGAATAGAGTGGTTTTGTGCGTTTTACTTCCTTCTCTCTGGCGCGATGAGATCTCGGGCGAGACGCTCGCCAGAACCTCTCTAGAGGATGGATGACTTTTCGGCGCAAATGTCTCCCCTTTTATCCTTTCTCGTACTCACGAGCAGCCCTCTGATCTCCTTTTTTCGCTTCAATAACGACGACGACATTATGAACAACATTAATAACAGGTTGAAAAAGAACAACGCTCGGATAAGTACCACGAAGAGGACGTGAAGCACCTGAAGAAGATCCTCGGATGGGCGAACATGTGCTACTACGGCGGACTCGGGGTTATGTTTTTACTGCCGCAACTCGGCGTGGCGCAAGCGTTTGGGGCGAACGTTTTAGGCGCGTTTATGATGTCCACGGCGATTTGCGCGAGATGGACGATGGTTGGACACCACGTGTGCCACGGTGGGTATAACGCGGCCATGACGGAAGGGAACGAGATTAAAGGGAGGTTTCACCGAAGGAAGTTTGCAAGAGGGCCGTGGAACAGAATCATCGACTGGATGGATTGGATGATGCCGGAGGCGTGGGACGTGGAACACAACCACTTGCACCACTATCAGTTGGGGGAGGATGCTGACCCGGATTTGGTCGAGAGAAACATGAAGACGACGAGAGAAGGGCCGATGCCGATGTGGGCGAGATACATGCAAGTTGCCGCGTTGTCCGTGATTTGGAAGTGGTTTTACTACGCGCCGAACACGATGAAGGAGTTGTTCGCGAGAAGAGCGAGAGAGGCGGAAAAGAGAGGCGAGGAATCGTACCAACCGTACACGACTGGGTCGATGCCGTCCACGGTATTGACGACGGTCCAATCTGCGTTCCAGGGGAACTTTGGCGCGATTATTGAAACCGCCAAGTGCTTCGCGCCGTACGCGACGTTTCAGTTTGGCGTCTTGCCGGCGGTTGGTTACGCCATCGGCGGCGCGCAAATGGCCATGGCCACTTTGGCGACGACTTTATTGGCGGATTTGTTCACCAACTTGCACTCGTTCATCGTGATCGCGACGAACCACGTCGGTGACGACATTTACAGATTTGAATCCGAGACGAAACCGAGAACGGACGACTTTTACATGCGAGCAGTTATCGGCTCTGCGAACTTTCGCACCGGGGGCGACGTCAACGATTTCATGCACGGCTGGTTGAACTACCAAATCGAGCACCACATGTGGCCGGACATGTCCATGCGATGCTATCAAAGAGCGCAACCGAAAGTTAAGGCGATTTGCGAAAAGTACGGCATGCCGTACGTGCAAGAGAACGTGTTCAAGCGCGTTGGGCAATTGGTCGATGTCATGGTCGGCAAGCGCACAATGCTCGTATGGGAAAACGGAGATTAATTTTTAGCGTTTATTATAACTACCTAGCCTCGAACTTTATGTGTAATTACAACTGAAAAGACTTAAGTGAAAACTTATTTTCTTCCTCACTCACGGAAAGATGTCGCCGTTCAACGGATGCTGCTCCGCGTTTTCCTTCTTGTTTTTCTTTTCCGGTTTCGCGCGACGAAACCCGTTCAAATATTTTTCTAAAGTGTCCAAAGTCAAATACGGTTGGTCCTCTTCGCACACCGAATCGTTTTGCAACTGCACGCGATCCAACACCGGCGTCGGTTCCACCGGTCCTTCTTTTTCTAAAGCATCAGCCGACCGTCGAAAAGATTCGCAGACGTCCTTCTCGAAAGGGTCTAAGCAAACGCCCGTGGATAACATGACTTCGACTCGAAATCGAAGCGGGTCGTCCGGTGGAACGTGGAAACACTCGTACATGCGAAAAACGATGTGAGTTAAATAATCGAGCTCTTTCGAGCGTTCGCCGAGAATTTCGTCTAACCCTTCGACGACGAGCGGGTTTCTCTTCGTGCACGAGAAATCAGAATCCAAATCGGATCTGGCATCAAAAGAAACGTCGGCGGAGGAATTCGGAGCGCGCGGCGGTTTCCGCGGGCTCAAGAGGGGATCGCCAAACGCGTTCGTCTTTGACGTTCCACCACTATTGGTCTTTTGCGTTGTCATCGTCGCAGCTTTTGGAGGCGACGAACTCGCCGCCACGTGTTGTGACGATCGTTTTTTATCGCCACTTGCTCTCTTTCGTAAATCCTCTTCCAAGTGCGCGTATTTCAAAATGTTCAACAGCGAGTGCAAGTGCGACTCGGACGTGAAATACAATCGCGTTCGCACGTGTCTATACGGCGAATGCACCTTCTTTTCGGTCGCGTACCGCATGTTCAAACGCGTCGGCGCGTCTTCCTCTTCGTCCTCGTCTTCGTCGTTTGGATCGGTGCTGTTGTTCTCGTCCGGGGAATTTCTGTTGTTCAAGAGCGACTTCTTGCCCAAAAGTTTGACCGTTTTCTTCTTGTTCGTCTCGACCGCGTACGATTCTTCTCTGGTGTTGCTCATATCAGCGAGAAGTTTACCCAACAAGCCACCGGCGATAGTGGCACCAATTCTAAGCTTTGAGATCGGGTGCGTTCCGTATTCGTTCGGAACAACGCAGTCCGCGAGTTCTTTACTTAAAATGTATAGTTCTTCTAATCCATCGAGTTTTAAGTGCGCGTTGTGAATGGAATCGTATTTCGCGGCGTCGTAAACGTCCGGGACTTTTGAAATATCAAACGTTTCTTTGCGCCCGTGGAATAAATCTTCCTCGAGTTTTTTCCATCGCGTGTGCATGAGAAGAAAACTTTCGCCACCGCCAGGCAATTCGAGCGTGTTACTCGCAGGCGCAGAACCTCTTGGTGCGGTGGCTGAAAAGTACGTCAACGTGTCCACCCACGTGTCCGGCGGTAACGCGTTGTCTTTCAATCCACGGTTTTTGCCCAGCGCGATGAGCACCTTACGCCAACGGTTACGCGCTTTCAACTTATCGTTCATTCGAGATGCCATTTCGAGGAGCTGTGAAGATATGCCGTGAACGAGCTCAAATACTCGGCGAAGTTTTTTGGAAGGTGAAGATGGGACGCTCGCGAGAGCGACGTCTTCCAAGTGACTGTACTCGCCCTCCACCGAGGTCAAGAAATGGTGCGAGTCCAAAAGCTTACCTCGTTCGACTGCGGCGATACGATCAGCGATGAGCCAGGAATTTCCAGAACGTTCGATGTTGAACAAACCTTGAGTTTGCGTGACGAGTTCGTCGTACTCGTTTTCTTCGTGGATGTCGTCTCGCGAGGAGGCTCGGCCGAACCGAACCGCTCGAGGGGTAGCAGTATTTCCACTTGATTCATACATTCCGTCCGAACCCGATCGACTCAATCGCGCATTGACGTGAGTAATAACATTTGCGTTGTCAACAGCGGTATCGTTTGAAGGTATGCTCCCGTGGTTTGCAGCAGTATTCGCATTTCCTTCGTCATCGCCCGGGTCGCCTTTTGTCATCATCCTGTACAACTTGTTCTTCGCGTGTAAAATTTCCGCTTCGACTTCGTGCGTCACGAAATCTAAAAGCTTTGCATCTTTAGTCACGAGTGACGCTAAAATAGGCGTCAATTCGCCTTTATGCGTTTCGAGCGCCAATAAACCTTTCGCGAACGCCGCCGCGGTAATCTGCACGCGACCTTCATCGGAAGAATAAATTTTTAAATCGTGACGATAGGTCGAGTGTAAACGCAAGAGTCCGTCCGAATCGGTCGGGTAATAACTCCCACGAGGATACATGCGCTGACGGAAATCTTTTCCAAGCACTTCGGCTTGGTTTTTACCCAAGTGCGTCAAAACACCACCGAATTTGAGAATGAGCAAAGCGGATTCGACTTGTTCGACGGATTGCCCGGTTCGCGGGTCGATCGTTTGGACCCACGAAATCGGTTTCAACTGTGCTTTCCGATTAATCCCGGAAAAGTGCCCACCTTCTTCTAGAATAGCAATCACTTGTCGCCAACCGTCCAAGTTTTCTTTCGCTTCTATTTTTTTTGGATCCTCCGCGTTACCTTGCATGGCGGCTAAGTTCAAATCGTTCTCCGTATCCCCGAGAATCGCTTCGGACTCTTTCTTCACTTGCCCCCAAATAGAGCGACAAATATTCAACAACTCTTGCAATCGCTCCGGCGTTTTCAGTTTCGCTTGTTTTCTCGTGTTATTTTTCGTGCATTGCGCGAGTAAATCTAACAATGGCTTCTGGTGCACGCGAAGTTTCATTTTCTGCTTCGGCGTTCTATCGCCGTGGCGAATCACCGCCAAAACGGCTCGTAACTCTTCTGGTTTACTCGCTAAAGCACTGTTATTGTTGTTATTCATATTGTTGCTGCTGATGTTGTTGTTCTTAATCCCACCGCCGGATGGAGAAGGTACAGTGCCATCTTCGTGATCCTCGTCCTCTTCGTTGATTGATGAACGACCGGTAATGATGGATTCTCTCTGTTGTTCGGCACTCTTGATGTTGACGTGATCGGGTCTCACGGCTTTTAAAATCATCGCGCGGAGACACAACGCGGCATCTTCGACAAACTTTTTGGAATCTTTGACGAAACTCCACCCGTTTACGTCGCAAACGTAGCTCTTACCTTTCGCTCGCAACAAATCAAAGCCGCAGACGTTTTGTCCAAATGCAATGCACACGCGTCTCGCGATTTCTTTCTCCTCGGGCGAAAGCAAAACCGGGTACCTCACCTCCTTTCCGTTCGCATCTCTCAAAACGCGGCCGTCGACGACTGGAGATTTTCGCGCCTCGGCGTGCGCATAATCTTGACCTAAAGTGTACACTTTCACGTCGGTGCCGTTGGTGGACATAAAATCTTCGTAAATGAACGAGGTGGATCTGCGAACGCGCGAGTACGTGACGTACTCTTCGTTGCCTTCTTCTTTTTCTTCTTCTCTTTCTCCTTCTTGTTGTCCTCGACTTGATGTCTTAGACGCGTCTGCGCTTGCGTCTCCTTTCTCGTTCTCGCTGATAGTTTCCATATTCATCATCATCTTCTCCACCTCTTCCAACCTCCTCGCGTCGTCGTTCAACTCCGCATTTGGCCGGTTGTTTGAAGCGCCGTCGCTCTCTTCCCCTGCCGCGGAAGAACCTCCTCCAACCCCCGTACCATTTCCTCCTTCCTTCTTCCTCTTCTGCGCCGTCGGCGGAGGATAATACGTGCTACTTTTATTCCCAACCTTACGAAACAACTCTTTGTGTCCACCGCCGACCGTGTGTGGATAGTAAATGCTGATGTTATGATTCTCCGCGTCCACCGGTTTCTCCACGAACGGTTTGTATATTCGTTTCCCTTTACACTCGACGTAGTCTTCCTTCTCGTCGAACCCGTCGTCGTCGCTCGTTACGTTTTCCGGGTATTTCACGCCGGATATCGCCTCTGGATCTCTCTTCAGTTTCTCCATCAACTCTTCGTCGTCATGTAATTTCGAGACGTCGTTCCTGTTCACGAACACGTGGTTCGGTACGGAGATGTTATTCTCCATCAACGTTTGGTACACCAGCCTTCGGTCCAAAAGCGTCCATTGTCTCGTCACGTCGTTCACCATGAACGGTTTTCGCAATTTCACGTACATGTGTGCTTTCTCCAACGGGAACCCACGGCTGAAAAAACTGATCAACGCGTCCACAATTGGCCACGATTCAATGGGATCGTTCAAAATGACTTCATCTGGGAAGACGATGATGTCGAATTCGTTGAACGCGGATAAGCGTTGGAGGATGGATTGCATCTGCGCCGAGTTGGATTTTTTGTTCATCGCGCATATTCCGAGCTTGACTTTCTTGTGCAGAGGAGGCATTTTGAGAGGAGTGGTTTTTGTTGTTGGTGCTCCCGGTTGCTCTCCTTCTCGCACAAAACGCACGAAAAAACAACTCTCTCTCTCTCTCTCTCTTTATCTCTCTCTTTCTGTGTTTGTGCGTGTTTATGAGCTTCTTTTCAAAGGCTCTCTTTCGCGCCGCGAGACGAGAGTTAAATGTTTCTCAAGGGAAAAATGAGGAAAAGTGGCGGCACAAATGTGCCTCCTCTCTTGCTCGTTGAATACAACACTTTGCGCGCCGCACTCGTTAAAGGAAGAAGAAGAAGCGCGCGGGCAAAAGCCGCGTCCTCATCGACGCGTCCTCGTCGTGGTTTCCTCGAAAGGTAGAATTAAAGAGCGTTTGCTTTTTCTCTCTTCCCAAAAGAGACTTTACGAAGGAACGGAAGAAAAGAAACAGAGAGCGCAGAAACAGAGGTCGTTACGAAGCGGATTGATTGAGAAACGAATCTGATTACGATGAGACCATTACTGTCGACGACGACGAGACGCGCGACGAGAGTCACGCTCGCAATCGCCGCGATTGGGTTACTCTCCCGCTCGGCGTTTTTGAAATACTGGATCGAGTACCATCTTCAAGAAGAAGAAGAAGAAGAAGCGAAGAAGGAATTGGCGAACGGAGAGACAGAGGAAAAGCTGACTCGGATGAAAAGACGTCAAAGAAGAAGGCGGAGAAGGCGAAGGAAAAGAAAGACGAACGTGGACGAGGAGACGGAGGAGGAGGAGAGCAACCAGTCGTCGTCGGAAAATTCTTCGTTTTCCTCGTTTTCTTCCGACGACGGTTCGTCCTCTTCCTCGGAGTACTCCTCCGCCGAGGACGACGAGTCGTCTTTCGCGTTGGCGAGAGAAGACGCTCTCGGCGGCGGGGAGACGAAAACGCCGAAACGGTTAGCAGCGACGACACCGCGGTTAGCGAATACTAATAATACGAAAAATGCATCATCTCGAAGCAACAGCGAGGACGAAAACTTCGAAACGCCGGTTGGGACGCCGAGAGCAGTGAAACGAGGCGCGACCATGGATAGGATTAAAGAGGAGTGGAAGAAAGAAGGGAAAGAGAGCGGCAGTCACTTTGAGAGTTCGGACGCTTCGCAGACGAGTTTGTTCGAGTATCGAAGAGCGGAATCGGAAGGCGATCGAGGGGAGAGTCGGAGTGGTCCGGGGGAGTATTTATCGCACACGACCGATCCAAACTTTTTCGCCTCGACGAAGTTTTTCGCGTGTTTAGAGCTCGAAGAGTCGAGGGAACTGTTTGGAATGAGCGAAGAGATTGAGATTGGCGCGAACCAGGTGCTCTTTCGGCAAGGCGATGAAAGCCGGGACGGAATTTATGTCGTCGTTGAAGGTCAACTCGGGGTGTACGTGCAATCAACGAACACGCGCAGTGGCGGCAGCGGCGGTGGCGACGGAAGCGCATCGTCGCTGGTGAAATCTTCGTCCAAGTCGAGCAGTCATCATCATCATCATTCGGTGAAAGATATCCGGCGTTCGTTCGATAGAGCCGGATCACCTGGGTTGCCGAATATGGGGAGGAATCAACAAGCCAGTCGAATGAGTCGAGCAAACAGCTCGACGTCGCATTCGAGAACATCTTTGGATAAAGAGCGTTCACAGACACCACCGATGGGCGGCATTCGCGCTGCCTCTCCGCTTCCTCCAAAATCATTTAGCATAGGTCCGGCGCATTTGACGAACATCTTGAATAAAGGCGAATCTGTCGGTGACGTGGACGTTTTAGATTCCGCGAGGCGGTCCGTCTCGTGCGTGGCGATGAAGAACGGAGCGAAACTAGTTCGCATTCGTCAAGACGTTTTGTTCGCGTTCATTAGAAAGCACCCGAGAACGATTCAGGTTTATTTAGAACAAGCCATCGCTCGATTGTGGCGAGTCGCGAGATTTACTTTGAGAGATTTTCTCGAATTGCCAAGAGACGAAGGCGACGCGGAGTATTTAAGTCCCGGAGCAGAGGATTGTTTGGTGTTGAAACCGAAGCCACCGATGATGCGCGCGCAGACTTCACACGAGAAGTTTTTTGAACAAAGCTCAGATGATGTTGAGAACGGAGGGTCGTTCCCGTCGACCGTTTCGGAGTCTTCTAATTCGTTGGACGACGGTGCGAAATCAATTAACACGACGGAAACGCCCGAAGACGCCAATCCAACGAACAAACTGTTAGTGAATTACCAGGAAGAATTAGAAAAATACGCGGGCGGTAGAAAAACACTCTTGGCGAACGAGGTGTTCATCACCCAACGCGATAGTCAAACGAACGCGTATTTCATTCTTTTATCCGGGACGATGCGACGCGACGCGGTGCCATGGCCCGAAGGCGACGGCGTCATCGGTCCGGAATTGAAAGCACCTCGTTTGGTTGGCGCGGCGCACGCAATAACCGGTGCTAAGTTTGACGAAACCGTTCGTTGTTGCACGGATTGTGAGATTTTGTTGATCACGCCGACGGTATTACACACGTTGTGCGTTCACGCGCCAGATGCGTTCATTGCGTTACAATTAGCGGCCTCGTGTTCTCTAAACAGGGCCATTCGCGCTTTCATCGCGGCTGGCTTAAATCGCCAGTGGCTTTCTGCCGGTGACCAAGCGTTTCGTTCGGGCGTAGACGCGACGTCTATGTACCTTGTCATCTCCGGTCGCGTGTCTATTTACAACGTCGCGTTAGGCGCCATGCGGTACCGAAGTCGAGGCGAAACTATCGGAGACGCGGCGATGTTGTCGCAAACTGCGCACACATCTACGGCCATATGCACTCGCGATTGCGAATTAGTGCGAATGTCTCGGGCGAGCGTGCAAATTATATCGGCCAAATATCCCGAAGTCGCCGGAAGATTGTTAGAACACGTCGCTCGAAAGTTGGAAATCAACCAGCGCGATTTGAAAACCGGCGAACGATATCGTCCGGAAATCGTGACCATCGCCATCGTTCCCGCGACAGACGCCGTGCAAACGACAAAGTTACCGAAATTTGCCGCAAAGTTGAGAAACGCGTTGGAGAGGTTAGGCAAAGGGTCCGCGTTCATTTTGGACGAAAAAGCCGCGGAAGAGGTTGTGCCGGAAGGCTTTCGTCGCGTAGAGACGGCATTTTATCGGTCCAAGTTAACGAGCTGGATGACAAGAATCGAAGAAGAACACCGATTTGTTTTGTTCGTTGGCGATAGAAGTGGGCAGAACGCGAGTAATCGATCGTCGTCGTCGAGTGGGTGGTCGAGAGTGTGCGTATCTCAAGCCGATTTAGTGTTGGTTGTCGCCGAAGGCGGCGCGGCGGCGTCGTTCGCGCCTTCCTCTTCCATGCTTGAGATGCAATCGCAGTCAACTGGTATGAGCGGTAATAACGAATACAATACCAATACTGGAAATGTATTCATCGGTAACGGCGTCGATCCATCCCCAGCTGAGGCCAGGTTACTTTGGAAACGTCGTAAAAAGCGAATCGTTCCGGTACCGTCAGCCTCCGAGGAGGATTTTTTAAATTACCATAAAATTACCAGTAAGAAAAAGATACACCACCGACGCCAGCACAGCTACAGCAGCGACGCGATGAAGCAAAAGAGCGACGAGAATTTTGTCGAGATTGATAATAAAAATACCGCGATTTTAGCGCAAATCGAGTTGGTCTTATTACACGCGAAAGGCGAATCGCCGAAAAATACGCGTAGATTTTACGCCAACAGACCAGGTTTGCGCCGACACCATCACTGCCGGTTGAGTTCCTACTCGGATGCAGACGTCGATCGAATCGCAAGACATATCGCTGGTTGTGGCGTTGGCGTTGTCTTGGCCGGTGGCGGTGGTCACGGATTAGCGCACTTGGGCGCGTTGAAAGCTCTCGAGGATGAAGGCGTACCAGTCGATGCCATCGGTGGCGCGTCGCAAGGCACGTTAACTGCTGCACTTTACGCTCGAACGGCAAATTCAACCGTCGTGAGCGCGCGAGTTCGAAAACTTGCATCTTTGATTGCCTCTCCTCGACGACTTCTAACCGATTTAACGCCTCCGTTCCTCTCCATCTTAACCGGCGAAACTATCGACAAATCCATCAGAGATATGTTCGGCGAAAAGATTGAAATTGAAGACTTATGGATTCCGTTCTTCTGTTGCGCGACAAATTTAACCACCGGTAAGTTGGTCTCGTGCACATCCGGGACGGTGTGGCGGTACGCCCGAGCGTCGATGTCCGTGCTCGGTTTCTTACCGCCTATTGCGGATGAGATTACCGGAGATTTGCTCGTCGACGGCGCGTACTTAAATCCGGTCCCGGTGGACGTGTTGCGTAAATTATCGCGCGTGGAGTCGACGATTGTTGTTGACGTGGAAGATGAACACTACGCCGCGTTCAGATCGTTGACGGCAAGAGATGGTGGACTAGGCGGATGGCGTTTACTCTGGGAACGCGTGAGCCCGTTCGCGCAGGCAGAAAAGCTTTGGCAGTCGATCAAGAGTGGTAAGCGAGGGAACAAATCCTCTTCGGAATCGTTCAACGCGTATTCGACGTCTTCGTCGGAATCAGAATCAGATTCCTCTTCCTCGGATGTTGATGGAGGCAACACGAGAGGAGGTTCGACCCCCGCGCGAAGGAAAGGAGGAAAATCAACAAAGAAGAATAAGAAGAATAAGAAAAGATCTGTCTCGACTGCGACTACAAACGCCGCGCCGAACTACGCGACTCTTCTCGGCGCGTTACTCCGGGCCACCTCGCGACGCGAAGTTGCAGAAGCTGCAAAAGCGTGCGAGATTGACGTTTACTTGCGTCCACCGGGAGTGCCTCCGTTCACCTTTCACACCGGTTTAACCGACAAGCGCACGGACGATTTAATACGACGCGCGCGATTTAAAGCCGCCGAAGTCATACGCAAGTGGCAAGAAACCAAACGCATCGCGATGAAAGACGACACGGAAAACACGTCGATACAAGCGACGTCTTACTACGGCTTTTACTCGTCCACGACGCAAAATTCGCAAGGAAGATTATCTGCCATGCAGCCAATCGTGACGACTTCTCCGCGAGGCGAAAGTCACGTCGCCCAAACTCCTCCGCGAGTTCCTTTCCACCCTTCTGCGATGCAAACGCCGACATTACACCCGTCACCTGCAACCACCGACTCTCCGCGTGGGCAGTATCGACGCGCCTCGTTCGAGGACGTCGACGGCGAGGTCGACAGCGGCGTCGCCATCGTCAGCGAACGCGCGTTCTTGAAACCCGCAAAAACGAAGGAGGACGAAGAAGCGGAAAGAACGGAAGATAAAAAAAAGAGCATCACTCCGGCTCGGCAAATCATCGACGGTAAAGCAATCGTAAAACTCAGTGGTACCACCAACTTCGACGAAAAAGAACACGACGACGTTTTGGGGAAGAAGAAGACTTTGGCGGGAAAGTCGTCGTCAAAGTTGGAGACTGTGTAGTACTAGTATTTTAGTGAAAAGCAGCAGAAAAGTGCACGCACACTCTACACATAATTAGAAACATGTTCTCCTCCTCATCATCGTTACAGGCGTCGACTTCCCAAATCGTTCACCACCAGAAACTCACGCTCTCTCGCAAAAAAGCATCGTCCGATACTCTCCCTCGAGGTGTCCTTCAGGTGCGCGCTTTTCTTTCCGCGGCGGAAATGTCGACTTTTGTTCCTCCTGCGCGTCGTTGAATTTACTAATCTCTCTCTCCTCTCTTTCCCCAAATCACATCACACATAAAACAGGTTCGCGCGGGCACTGCCACCACCGCGGACATCAAAAACGGGTTGAGCATCATGCTGAACGGGCAGCCGTTCAAAGTTGTCGGTACGTTTGTTGTTTCGCTTTTTTTCGTTAAAGCGCGCCGGCAAAAAGCCTGTCGTCATTCTCTCTTTATCTACGAGGGAAACTTTATCTGACAAAAAAATGTTCCTCCTCCTCCTCGCGCGACAGAGTTCCAACACGTCCACCCGGGTCGAGGCGCCTCTTTCTGCCGCACGAAAGTCCGCAACTACTTAAACGGCAACACCAAAGAAGAGACGTTCAGAAACGGCACCACGTTTGAGGTTCCGGACATCACCAACCTCCAGATGCAATACACGTACAAAGACGAAGACCAATACGTGTTCATGGACATGGACACGTTCGAGGAGTGCCGATGCCCGTCGGGAGATTTTGAGAAGTTCATCACCGAAGGCATGACGTGCTCAGTGTTGCAGTGGGACGGGAAAGTAATCGGTGTGGAACCGCCGGAGAAAGTGACGTTGGAAGTGACGATGACCGATCCCGGGTTGAAAGGGAACACGGCTTCCGGAGGAGATAAACCCGCGACGTTGGAAACGGGCTTGACGGTGACCGTGCCTTTGTTCGTGAACATCGGCGATAGAGTCGTCGTGAACACCGCCAACGGTGGAGAGTACAAGGAAAGGGCGAAGTAAAAAGTACTTAAAACTTCGTATATATAGCCACACAGCCACGTATTGTTTACATCTTTTACATCTTCTATTAATTATTTCACTACTCGCGTCACATCATCGTCGTACAAAAATGGTCGACACGCAACAAAAATAACAATTTAATAACACCATAATGGCGAAAAACCCGCGCATGGCTGTCCTTGACTTTGCCTCCAGAGAAGCGAAGCGATCGCAGTACTGTTCTCGAGCCGCCGTGAAGCTCGAGCAACTGCTTTTAAAGTTCCCGAAAGTGTTGTCTTCTTTGCAGAAAGGAAAAGTCGTAAAGTGCGTAGACTTGGGTTGTCATCCAGGTTCGTGGCTGCAAGTGTTGTCCCGGAAAATAAAGAAGGCGGAAATATACGGGTTTGATTTAAACGAAATCGAATCGTTGGAGAGTTTGAAGTACGTGGACGTACATCGAACGCGAACGTTTCAGTGCGACGTGTTTGAGAGCGATGAGTTGATGAATTCTTTACAGTTGGATAAAAATGTGAATTTGCTGACATCGGATATGATGGCCAAAACGACCGGTCAAAACGATGCGAGTGCGTCGCACGAGTTAGCCGTGCGCGCGTTTGAGTTAGCCACGAAAGATTTGCTCGCGAAGGATGCGCATTTCGTGTGTAAAATCTTTGAAAGCGAAGAGACGAGGGCGTTGAAGATGGAAGCGAAGAAAGCGTTTGCGAGCGCGAGTCTGTTTCGACCAGACGCGGTGAGGAAAGGCAGTCGAGAAATTTATATGGTTGGCGTTGGGTTCAAAGGTTAGCGTAGGCGTAGTTTTTAGTAGTAGCTAAATGTTGTACTATAGTAGCGTTAATTAGTTCTGTTTATCAATTTTATGCGCGCGGGGCGACTAACTTTGAATACAGAATCCCGAGACTCGCCACGCACAAGGTCGTTCCAAACGCGATTTCCGCGTACCTCGAAACTTTGTCTATTCTTTGTACGCGCAACGCGTACGCGTCGTCGTAGTCTTCGGTGACATCTGCTAATATGTCACCCTTGTTGTTGTTGTTGTTCTTTTTCGGACGCGTCTTCTTGCCGTATTTTTTGTTCAAATTCGACGTATCGCCGGCGCTTTCGACTAAGGCTATTTTTTTATGCAAACTCGTCGAGGATTGAATACCCGCGGCGGCTTCGCTTTCGTTTTCTATGATTTCCGCTTTACAACTCCATCGACTGGACGATAGAACTTTGACGTGCGCGCTTGTGCCCATGTACTTTTCCACGTTTTCTTCTCCTCCCGGTAATAAAATTTGCGAGTAACTCTTCGTGTGTCCGACCAACGAGACGCCGTCGGCGGCGATGTCAGTGATCCACACCTTCATTTTCTGTCCTTCCAGTTTTGTCCACGGGAAATACGATTCGGTGAGTTTTGTTAATTCTCTCGAGCGATTTTTTACGGTGAGCGTATTTACTCGTTTCATTCGAAACGCCGGCGTGTTTGGCCGCGCGTAAAACTGACTGATGTGTACCTCTGGAAACTTGTACTTTTCAATCAAACTCATCGTCTCTCGCCACTCGGATTCGGTTTCGCCCGGAAATCCGCATATAATATCCGTCGCGATGGTAATATCCGGAACATGTTCTAATAAATAATCGCACACCTGTTCAAACTCTTCTCTCGTGTATTCTCTCTTCATATCGTCCAAAACTTTCGAGCTTCCGCTTTGTACCGGAATATGAATCCAACTGAATACCGACGGATGTCGCATAGCTTCCGCGATGGCCGGTAAGTGCGCTAAAATATACGGCGGATTCGTCATTCCTAATCTTAACATCACCGATTGATCCGCGGGTAACACGTCGACCAACGCTTTAAACAACTCCGCGACGTTCGAGCCTATATCTAATCCGTACGCTCCGGTATCTTCGCTCGATAACCAGATTTCCGTCACCCCTTCCTCGATCGCCAATTTCGCTCTTCCTATGATCGCCTCGATCTCGTAACTCCCGAGTTCGCCTCGCGCGTGTTTCGTCTTACAATACGTGCACTGTCCTAAACATCCCGTGCTCAGCGGAATAATCTCCACGCGTTCGTTCCTTCGAACTTTCGGCAAGTCCAACTTCGGTAAGCTTTTCTTCTCCAACATTAAAACTCTTTCTCCTCTTAGCGTGCGTTCCACCGCTTCGACGATTCGATCGATTTGCGAGACACCTAACAACGAAACCTCCGCTAACTCTTTCGCCTTTTGGTCGCCTTGAGGCACGCATCCGCACACCACCACGGGCACCTCGTTCGTTTTCGCTCTCGCGAGAACGGTATTCATCGCCGCTTGGCTCGGGTTTTTCACCGTGCACGTGTTCACCACCCATAAGTTCGCCTCGCTCGGATCGTCGGTTAATTTATAACCGTACGCTTGCAACTGTCCGGACATGAATTCAGAGTCCGAGTGATTGTGCGCGCACCCGAACGTTTTCACGTGTATCCTTTGCGTGCCCGGGACAGAGTGATGATTCTCTTTGTCGTTGTCCTCGTTGTTACTCGTGTTGTTCCGATGATGATGGCCACCGAAAACAAACCCGTTTTTGGGTTGGTTCGGTAACTCTCGCGTTATCTTGCCGACGACATTTCCTCCTTTTCCTTTTCCTCCTCCTCCTCCTCCGAGGTCTTCCAAATCCTCGATGAACTCTTCTTCTTCTTCTTCTTCTTCTTCTTCTTCTTCTTCTTCTTCGTTCATGTTGACGGCGTATTTCTCTCTCAAGCTCTCACGTCTCTCTCTCTCCCCAGAACAACAGAAATCGGCTCTACAACATAAACCCTAAACTCTCCCAAAAAAAACAGGTTTTCTCGAGGGCAAAAAAAGAAAATTTTCTGCCTGATGGAGAAGAATCTCACACGTAAGGAACGAAAAGAGAGATTTCGCCTCTCTCGTGCATTCTGAGCCAAGAAAGCGCGAAAGAGGGGAAACGAGTTCTCCTCGAAAAAAACTCTGCACTTTATGAAACGCACTTCACGTGTGTTTTGCCGCCAATATATAGAATAACCGCGTTTGTTGGTTGTTGTCGGGAGTCGTCGTCGTAATTCGCTATCGTTTTAATTTTACGATAGGAAACGCGAAGAGTAAACTACCGCTCGTTCTCGAAAGTGTCGTTCATCGCGCGCGAACACGTTCGCGACACCAGAGAAGAAGAAGAAGAAAGGTAAATACTAATGGATTTTGGATTTTGTTTTTTACGGGAATGTGACTCACAACGATGTTCTTGTGTCCCGTTTGTTTTTGGTAATCGCGCCCCGCGCGCGAGGGACGAAAATCGACTCGAACTCAAACGCGGAATGAATCGTTCGGTTTAGAAAAATGGTATCGATGTTTCTATGCGATACAATTTGACATCGACCAATCGCGAGATGGCCTAACGCGCCATTTTTTACGCGCGTTATTTTCGAGAGCTGCAAAAATCCAAGAGAGTTGTTTTGGGCGAGTTTGAAGGGGGGAGAGGAGGTTTGTTTCCTTCCCTTAATGTGTTTCCGTCTCTCTCAATTTGCGCGCTTTGCGCGCGCTTCTCTCTTCGTTCTGCGAACTCACGCGTACCTTCTCAGTCACACAAACACACAGCGTAACATTTATACCGTCCAAATATACATATAATCATGGCGACGGCGAAGATGAAAGGGAGCACCTTCCCCAGGTACGAACAAAATCGATTTTTTTCCTTCCCAGTCGTAAGAAAGCTCTCTCGTTGCTTCCTGGGCGCGCGCATCAGTCGCTCTCGGAAGGACACTTGGAAGCGAAAGAGAAGAAAAAAAGCAAATTGCTTGGTCCAGAATTGTTTCGTTTTGAAGGAGAGATTTATTTTTCAACCAAAAAAGAACAAATTTTGTTCTTGGAGGAGGGGTGTGCACCTTCTTTCATTTTTTTCCTTCTTGTCTGTGTGACCTCCTCCTCGAGAAGGCCTTTGTTTTGTGTTTAAACGAACAACTCACTTATTACGTTTTTGTTTCATCATTCATAAAACAACTCAAAACACAGGTTATCATCGTTCGACAACCTCCACGGTCTCCCGTCCTTACAGAACCAGCAACAATCGAACGAGTTTTTCGACCACTGGACGCCGGACGAGGATAACTTGTTCGAGCACTCGTTGGCGCAATTCGAGAGTTCGGTGCCCTTGTCCATCAACGTGCACGCGATGAACGATTTGTCGCCGCAGAATGGAATCGGAGCTGGGAATCATATTAACATTTGGGGTCAGATTTCACAAATGACAAAGACGCCGGATGGGATCAGGAAGAGATATAATCAGTTGGTTGATGATATTCGAGCGATTGAGAGCGGTCGAGCGAGAGTGCCAAACAACCACGTCGGAGGGAGTTGCGAGGATATGACCAGTCCGTGGTGGGGGAGAGAGTTTCAAGACGCGCAGTTTGGTGACACGTCGAGTGAGCCGAGTAGCTCGGATGGAAGTTTGAATAACGACGTGCAGTTTAAAGTGCCCGGATCACCGTCGAGTAAGCTGACGAAGAACAAGAAGAACGGCAGCGGCAACGGCGTGCAAAAGAAGAAGTCTTCCGACGGCGGCGGCGCGACGAAATCGTCCGCGTCCGGGGGAACGCACGTGACAGCTGGCAGTACCGGTGGTTCCAAGCAACAGCTCACGCACGAGCAAGAGAGAAGAAAAGGCATTCCGTGGACGGAAGAAGAACACCGTTTGTTTCTTCTCGGATTGGCCAAATTTGGGAAGGGCGACTGGAGATCGATTTCTCGAAATTTTGTCGTTTCGCGAACGCCCACGCAAGTTGCCTCTCACGCGCAAAAGTATTTTATTCGCTTAAATTCGATGAATAAGAAAGATAAGAGACGTTCGAGTATTCACGATATCACCGAGGCAAGCGGAGCTTCTGGGGCGAGCACGGCATCTGGCGCCTCGACGCAGTTTGCGCGATAAAAGAAATAATTTTGTACAGAAAAAGAAGCGAATGAACAAGAAGAATTAATGATCATCTGTTGTAGAAGTGAATGAGAGATAGCCGTGTGCGTGTGTGTGTGTGTGTGTGCGTGTGTGTTTGTAACGTGTTGAATTAAAAATTAGCGGAGGTTAATGTAATGATTTGAGAGGGAAGAGTTATGTGATTGTGAGAATAGAATATATAAAAATAGGAGGAGTTAGCGTCGAGTGAGTGTATAGAGCGAAAGAGATAGAAGGGCGTTATAGGAGAGTGATTAGGAGGAGGACAAAGAGTTGATATATTTTATTATCCCTGTCGCAATAAAGAAGAAGAAGGAGAAGAATCGAATCATTTTTTATTGATTAACTTTAAAATACGAGGAAAAAATGAATATGAGAAGCGAATGTCGCGTCGCGAGTAGTGCGAGCGTGCGAGAGAAGACTGCGCGTAGACGAAAACGACATTCAGTTTTTATACCAAAAAGAACTTTAAGTACTATAAAATATAAAACGTGTTTCTCTCTATCTAATCTCCTCTTACAATTGCACGCTCGTCACGTGCTTCACCAACATCCCCGTGACGTTCGCCCCGTTCTTTTCTATCGTCGCTCGCATATTCGCCTCGGCTCGTTTCGCTTTCGTCTCCAACTCTTTCGCCAACTCGTCGGACCCTCCCGTGGCTTGCGCAAGCATGTGTTGGTACTGTTGCTCTCGCTGGTTTCTGTACGATTGGATTTCCGCTTCCGCTTCGTCTTTGGCTTGTTTAATTCTCGCCGTTTTTTCTGTTTGTTTGTTTGTTCAAAGGGAAGAAGAGAGAGAGAGAAGTTCGTGGTGTTTTTATCCTTTTTGGAGGAACATCCAGCAGTCGAGGGAAAAATCAAACGACGCGAGAAAAGTGTTTAAAAAAGACGCGTTCGAGAAGAACGAAAACCTACCTTGTCTCGCCGCGGTCACGATCGCGTTCGCCTCTTGCTCCGCCTGTAAAAGCTTTTGAATCCCGTCTTGTTTCTGCGAATCCATTTTCTTTATTCTCCCTAAAATCTACTTTTACACTCTCTCTCTCTCTCTCTCTCTCTCTCTCGGTTGTTCTTCTGCTCTTCTCGTATTTATGTATTGCAAAAGGGCAAACTGTGGCGAATCGTTAAAATCACACTCTTATTCTCTCTCTCTCTTTTCGTCTCGTTCTCTGAACGGGGCGTGTTCTTGTTCTTGTTCTTGTTCTTGTGACGATGAAAAGACGGACGAATTCTCTCGATTTTTGATGAAAAAAAAGAGAAAAACGACAGTTCTTGAGGTTTTTTAGTAAGCGTCACACACATAAAGCGCGCGCGCGATAAACAATAACTACTACTCCTCTTCTCGCGAACGTAAAAATGTCCGTCCAATCCTCCTTACAGGCGACAACGTCCCTCGTCTCCCAAACGAAGCACTTATCCAACCAGTTCAGAAAGTCGTGCTCGGTCAAAGCGTCGACGACGACTTCTTCTTCAATCGACACGAACACATTCGCGTTGCACGGGAAATCGGGGCGAAAATGTATGCTCACCGGGAAACGAGCGAATAACGGGTACACGGTGTCGTTTTCGCACATTCGCAACAAGAAATTGCAACAGGCGAATTTACAGGTACGTGTCAGAAGTCGTTTGATGTCGCCAGTTGGGTTGCGCGTTTGTTTTCCGCAACGATGCCATAATTCTTCTTTCTTTTATCCACCCTCGTTCGGGTTTTCTCAGCCGGAATTTACCTCAAAAGCTCACCTCTTGAAACTTCTCTTTTTATCTTCCTTTCAACTCTTCTTACAGTACAAACGCGTATACTGGCCGGAACAAAAGCGATACATTCGCTTGCGCATTTCCACCAAAGCGATTAAAACTTTAAACAAAGTAGGTCTGGAAAAGATGGCGAAAGACGCCGGGTTAGACTTGATGTCTTTGGCGTACCAACAAGCGGACGAGGCGAGAGCCGAGTGGTTAGCGGCGAACGCGGGCGAAGAACCGACGAGAAAGGATAAGAGAGCACCGACTGGACCGAAGAAGTTATTCATCCCGAAATGGAAAGAGGCGAGAATGAGCAAATTGAGCCCGGAGGCGAAGGATGCGGAGACGAAGAGGTTTGCGGAGAAGTACAACATGACCTTGGCGTAAAACCTCTCGACGACGCGAGACGGATGAGAGAGAGAGAGAAGAGTTCATTAGCAAATATTATATTATATATAACACAGATTGTAAGTAGCCTTTAAAATTAACACGAAACAAAACGAACGAATACTAAGCCATAAACTTGGTGCAGAAATCTGCGCCTGCCCACGCTTCGAACTTTAAATCTCCCGGGCGGCTGCCGCACGCGACGGCAGTTTCGCACGTTTCTCTGAAGGCGACGGGCGACTGCGTGATGGTTCGCGCTAAAGAGTCCGTGACGCGTTTGAACTCGATGTGATGCGCTTGCCACGTGCCATCGTAGAGTGGACACTTTGTGCGTCGTTGACCTCTGTCAAACTCCAACTTGGAGTCGTCCACTCGAAAGCTGATGCCGTACGTGTCGTGAGCGGCGACGACTTTCAAAGAGTCGCCCGGTTTCAACGTCAACTCCTCGACGTATTGCACCGCTTGTTGCCACGTGGCGCCTTTCTCGCCGTGTTCGGCGAACGGGTTCGTCGTCAGCGTAGTTTCCTCGTCCAGTTCTAAGTCGAACCAAAACGCGATGGCGTTGAACGTCCCTTCTTCGGTTATTTCGAAAGACATCGGCTCTTCTTTCGGCTGCATATTTTCTTCCCACGCGTAAAAGTCAAAGTTGAAAAACGGTTTCGGTTTCGCGAGCGCTCTCCACGCCGATTTCGGAAGCTTCTCCAAATTGACGCCCTCGTAATCGTCTCGATATCTCCACCTGTTTGCGTTCGTTAAATCGATAGTGTGTTTACCGTCGAGCGTTTGGTAGTTTTGAAACCTGTACTCGATTGGCGCCGCGAACATTTTCGCCGCGCGAGGGACGAGCGTGGCGTCTGGTTTCAACAATCGGTGCCTCGCCATGCCGACGATGTGGAAGGCGCCTTCGCCGATTAAACCTGAATCGAAAACTTCAAACACGAGAACGTCTGACTTCTTATCCATCTCTGGACAGTTCCCGTCTGGTTTCAAACCGTGCTTGATTAAACCTTCGGATTCTTTCGTAAACAAACGTCGGACGTCTTTGTTGTGAAACATAATTTTCAATCCATATCCGTTTATGCACACGGTTTCTTCTCCGACGTCGCACATGTGACCGTTCTGTTCGCAGGCGTGCACGTAGTCAGCACCCGCGCGCGCGGCAAACATGGATAAGATCCCACTGCCCGCCCCGGCGTCGAGCACCTCGCAAGAGCCTTTCTCGCGCTTCTTGCGCTCGACGGCGCGTTTTATCGCTTTCTCGTACGCGTCGTTTCGACCAGAATCGTTGAGCATGTCGAAGTGCCAAGAAGGGATGTGTGCGTGACGTGCGCGCGTTTGCGGTGGCGAAGATTCGAAGTAGATTTGCGTCGAGTCACGTTTGATGGCGACTTGCGTGATATCGCCTTTCTTCACCGGAACGTCGTCGAGGTACTGGACGCCAACGTTGAAGGACTCGCAATAGGATTTCCTACGAATTCCTTCTCTTTTGCCGCCGCCGTTCACGGTGTTTTCAATATTACCGTCGTCGTCGTCGTCGAAAGTCGAGGCGACTTTGGGTGGCAGAGACGAAAATACCGTCGCCTCATCGAGTTCGCCTTCGAACCAGAACGCCACGGCGTTCCACGTGCCGTCCTTGATAATCTCAACGTTTTCCAGCGCTTCAAATTCCCACACGTCGTCGTAATCGATGGTACCGTCGCTTCCTTTTTCGGGGCTCTCTCGTAAAGCTCTTTGTAATCGCTCGTTCAAATCCACGGCGCAACACTCGAACGGTTTGGACAACACTTCGTGCGGCTCTTCGTACAAGTTCACTTTTGCGCACTGCGGACTCCATCGATAGTTGTTCATCGCCGATAAATCGAACCCGGAAACCGTCGTTAATCGCAACTCAATTAGTCTCGCTTTAATTGTGACTTTTGACGGTGTCACCGTCGCGTCTGGCGTCACGAGCTTTCGATGGCCGCAAATATCGATCGCCGATAACGCACCTAATCCAAGGGCGGTGAAATCGAATAAATCTGTCACGATTTTATTCGCGCGACATGGCAACTCGACCGGGCTATTTCTATTCATATCATCGGCAATACTTTTGTCTCTACTTTTAACTAGTTCTTTCACCTCCGGTTCGTTGCCTTTCTCGTCTTCTTTCTCATCGTCGACTTTAACTTTCTCGCAACTCTCGAGCTTTTGATCCACGAGCGAAACCTTCTCGAACAGCTTTTTATTCGCCTTTCCTATTTGCTTCAAGTTTCTGTACAAGAACTGGTTACGTTCAATGGCGATGACGCGCTCTATCGCATCGCTGTTCGCGACGAGTGCGGGTAAAATGCCGCACCCAGAACTCAACACGATTGCAGTTGTTTTTTCTTGCGCGGTTTCTTCTTCGCCGGATATCGCCCAGCTCCCAATCACTTTTTCGTACGCGCGAAACCTCTCGAAATCCACCAACCCTTTGCAAATCTCTGTTTTCGGTGAACTCAACTCGGCTAAACCGATGGCGTAATTCACCACGCCTCTTTTCCTCGGATCTTCCATGAACCTCTCGTAATCGATTTTCTTCGACCGCGCGATTGGTAAAAACGTTGGCCTCCACGCGTAATCCTCGACGTCCCAATCCGGTCCACCCAACGTTTGCTTCCACTGGTTAATCGTCTCTTGATTTCTATCCTCCCTTCTCGCCTTTCTCAATCTCAACGCTAAATCTCTTCTCACCGCCTTCTCCTCCTTCTCTTTCCTCTTCCTCTCCTCCTCGTACATCTCTCTTGCCGCCGCCAAACGTTCTTCGATATCTTTACTCCCCGGCATCAACTTCGCCGCCGTGTTCAACGCTTGCGCGGCTTTCAAATACTCATGATTCGCCATCAAACTCGTACCCAACCGATACCAGGACTTGGCGTCCTTCTCGTCCAACTCGACCGCTTTCACCGAATCGTGTATCGCTTCCAATCTCTCCCCGATCTGCAACCGTGCCGCCGCTCGATTACGCCACAACGTCTTATCTTTCCTCGCTCCCGCAATCGCCGTCGTGTACTGCTCCGCGCTCTTCTCGTACTCCCCGCTCTTAAAATACACGTTCGCTAACTCTTTCGCGCGTTTCACGGCCATGTCGATCGCATTCGGGTCGATCGAATTCAACTCCAGATTGAACGTCTTCTCGATCGATTCAATTTCCAACCGGTCGTACGAGGATAAATCGAAAGGATGAGACGCCTCCTCATCTTTTTTCCCCATCATCTCGAACCCCTCATCTCTCGTCTCGTTTTGCTCCTCGTCGTTTTCCTTCGCGTCAAAAGAAGGAACACCACCACCGCTCCCGGTACTCGCAACCACCATATCGTTGTTTTCGTCGTTTTCTTCTTCTTCTTCGCTCGAAAGATAGATGCGCGCGTGAAACGCTTTATATAAAAGTCAAAACAAAAACGCAAATGTGAATGTGTTTTTTTTAATTCGGATTGAAAAAAGAAGCGTTTCAGAGTTTAGGGTTTCTATAAATTTCATAAACCCTAAACCATAAAAAACCCGACGAGAGAAGACGCAGAAGCGCTCGAAAGCGCTTTATACACACCGAGCGAGTGTAAGGAACAACAGAGAGGAACGGAGAGTAATACGACTGAGAAGAAGAAGAATGGGCAACTTAGCGAAAGGCGCGTCCTCGTTAGTCGGGTCCCCGGCATTAGTCGCCGCGATGCTTTCCTTCACAATCGCGCAAATCTGTAAAGTGTTCACGCATTACCACACGCACGGGAAAGTCGATTGGGGACGACTGGTCGGGAGTGGAGGCATGCCTTCGTCGCACACGGCGTTAGTGGTCGGGTTGACCACGGCGATAGGATTGAAAGACGCGTTAGATTCGAGCATATTTGCGTTGTGTTTGGTGTTTTCACTGGTGGTAAGCGTTTCGTTGTGATTCTCGTGTGGTCTTCGTGCGCGTTTATATATCGTCGGAAAAAGAAGTCCGTGTCTTGGGAGGTGGAGGATATCCACGTTGGATCTCTCTCTCGGGAGACCGAGCGCCGGATGATGATCTCCCTCTCTTTGCTCTGTTTTTCGTTCGTATCTCGTGACTGATAGTACTCCGTCGTTTCTTTTTTAAAATCAATCGCTCATCCTCACAGGTTATGTACGATGCCACCGGCGTTCGTCTCCACGCGGGCCGCCAAGCGGAGGTTTTGAATCAGCTCATCGTCGAGCTCCCTCGAGATCACCCGCTGACGGATAGCAGACCTTTGCGAGATTCTCTCGGCCACACGCCGGTGCAAGTCGCCGTCGGGGCGCTTTTAGGAATGGTGGTAGGATACGCGCACTTTAACATGTGGTTGATTAGTCAAGGCGTGGATTTGTGACAGAGAGAGAGAGAGAGAGAGAGAGAGAGAGAGGTCTTCTTTTTTGGCTTTGTTTTAGCGTTTTACGCTCGCGCACGCTTTACCACGCGCGAACGGAAAGAGAGACAGAGAGGAAAGAGATCTCCGCATAGAAGAATATAAGAAGGGAGAGACAGAGAGGGGGAGAGATATTGTTATCACACGTATGTATTTAGTCGGTTGCTTTAACGCTTCGCCCTTTCCCGTCCGTCTCTTCTTCTTCTTCGTTTTAATTTCGAAATTTTCCACACAAACCATGACGCGTTTTCTCGCGGACCAGACGAACACGCATCCTCCCTCCACGTCGTCGTCCCCGAAGAAATACACCAGAGATGAATTAGAGGCTCAATTTATGCGGTTGTATCGCGAAATGTGCGCGAAGGAGGAAGAGGAGGAAGAGGAGGAGGACACCCCTCCTGCGGGAGTTGACTCTCCCGAAGACGTAAACGACGACTTTGGTCAAAAACATCATCGCTTTCTCGTCGGAAAAGACGACAAAGAGGACAAACAATTGCGAGCAAAAACGTCGTACGTGATGGACGTATCGACCCTGGAGGAAAACGAGCGGGTAAAACTCGCGCGCGTGCGAGAACAGCAACGGAAGGACTTTGAAATCGAAAGGTTGAAACGAACAGTTAAGATGCTCTGCGAACAACAACAACAACAACAACAACAAAGACAAAAAGGAAACAATGACTACGACTACGACTACAACAGCGAAAGCGATCGACGCAATCGAGGACGGAAAGGAATCGATGCGGAGAGCGTTGACGTGTTGACCGAGTACGACGCGGAGCTGAAAAGTAGAGAGATTATTATCGCAGAGTTGCGCGAGGCGCTGAGCGAGACGAAGAGAAACGCCAACGCTCGGACGATCGAGAGGAAGCCGACGAGCGCTTCGTCTTCGACGAAACTTACGCTGAACTGCAACACGAGCGACGAGAGAGAAGAGATTTTATTCCTCAGACGAGAGCTTCGAAAGAGTGAAAACGCTCGAGAGAAAGACTCCGCGAAGCACCTCGACCTCGCCTTGCGCGAAAAACGCGTCGCGCTTCGCGAGAAAGCCACGAATACTCGCGATAAACGATTAGAACTTCTCGAATTCGAAAGAGCGAAAATTCTCGAACGCGCGAAAGTCGCCGAAACGAACGTCGCGCTGTTGACGTCGTCCTTAGAGAAAGTCGAGAAGCAAAATCAAAAGTACTTGGAGCAACTCCGCGCTTCGCGCAAACGAGACGTGGTAGCGGACAGATATACGAACAGAGCGTATTACTATTAGATGATGTGTTTTAGAGTTTGATAGACAGAAAGAAGAAGTAGATGGCTCGCAGACTGCTCGAAAAGAGTGCGCGACCGTCGTCGTCTAGGCTCGCGTTTAGATTCGAGGCTTTGCACAGATGCGTTTAAAGAATACTACGAATACTCAGACGTCAGAGAGAACAAAAAACCACACAACCCACAGACGTCTTTTCGCCCGAAACGTTACGGTCTCTCTCCCTTTTCTCGCTTTTCTCGCTCTCTGTTCCTGCCTGACAAAGCTCTCACGCATGAAAAAAAAAGCTCCTCTCTGTGTTCTTTTGTGGTCCACACCGCCTCACAAAAAAAGAAACACACGAATACTAATGTTTGCCACGCACCAACAACTTCGCTTTTCCTCCCCTGTTTCCACGTCTGTGACGACCACCACCCTCAGGCAGAAGAAATCACCTCTGATGAGGACGATCTCGAGAGGCGGGGTCGTCCACGCCGTCGCCATGGGTACGTTCTTTTCTCTTCGATTCCATTTTTTTTTTATCGTGACGTGGTGATCCATCTCTCGGGATGACGTCCGACGTGTAATCTTTTTTCCAATCATCATCAGGAGTAAAGAGCAAAGCTTTTGCGAGACATCGATTTTGTCGCTCTCCATCCGCGACTGCGGCGGAGAGGCGCTCGTTCTCACTCTGTCTCGCGCGCGCGTAAAGCTCTTTTTGTTGCGTTTACATTTTCTACGTCCACTTTACTCTCATCAAAGCGCTGACAAAACTCTTCTTTATCTCTTTTTCTCTGTTTTTTTTGCACCAAAAACGACAGCGAATCCAGCGACTGTGGCAGATACCAAGGCGAAATTTACCAAAGGCTACCCGTACCCTTTACCGTCGATTTGGGCGACAGTTTTACAAGAACTACTGGTCGGGATGCATTTCACGGTGACGAGCTCGAAATATCAACACGAAGAGATGCGAAGTTTAGGATTCGTCTCGGTGTTTGACCAATTGTTCGAGGGGTACCCGACGGAAGACCCGAACGCGAAGGAGAAGATTTTCAGCACGTTTATGGAAGCGCTCGGTGAGGACTCGAAGAAGTGGAGAGCGGACGCGGAAAAATTGTCCGCGTTTGCGACGGAACAAACGAGCATCGATGGGATCATCGCGAACCCGATGTTTGCCAGCATGAAATCTAAAGTTGAATCGAAGAGTTTAGTGTACGACAAGTTCATCGCGATTGGTTTTTTCCGAGCGTTGGAGATGAGCAAACAAACGTCGCCGGAAAATTTGAAGAAGATTTCCGAGGCCAGCGGGGTGACTTTGGAGAAAATCAACGGCGATTTGGGTCTGTACAAATCCGTCTTGTCGAGAATGAACGCCGCGAAGGAGTTACAAGCGGAAGTTTTGGAAAGAGAGCGACGGAAGACGGCTGAACGCATGGAAAAGAAGGCGGCGAAGGACGCGAAGGAAGTAGCAGAAACGAGCGATTAGAAGAAACAGACACAGACACACAGATACAGACAGAAAGAGAGAGAGAGAGAGAGAGAGACTTTAGAAGGAAAGAGAGGGTGAGAGAGAGGAAACAACATTACATTATTCGCGCTGCGTATTACAAATTTTAACCACAACAACGATAGATTTTTAAAACATGAATGACGAAGAAATTAGACGAGAAGAACTTTTTATCCACAAACTTTACCGCGTACAAACACGTATACCAAATGTCCTTCCCGGAGGCAATCAAAGCGATCCCGGCGGATTTAGCGTTGCACCCGAACTCGAAGTTCAAGCGGTCCGCGCAAATCGCCAAACTCTTTATAGACGAAGCAAGAGGGATAGTCTCGATGATTCCGTACGGCGTTCGGGCGAAACTCGTGCACAAACTGACGCCAAAAGCGACGGAGATGATTTCGAGAGACAGAGGAGAGCGGAGAATGCAATTTAAAGAGACGAGAGTGAGCGTAAAGAAAGATTTCAAATACGGAGAAGACGAGAGGCAAAAGTTTGACGTGTATTTACCGCCCGCGCGATCGATACGACGAGGAAAGAAAGATGATTACGACGACGACGACGAGTACGAAGAACGGGAGGAGGAGGCAGAAAATGTGAGAGTTCCGATGGCGGTATTTGTCCACGGCGGCGTGTGGGCATCTGGCGAAAGGTGGCAGTTTGCACCCCTCGCGCATCGATTAGCCGAAGAAGGCATAGTCACGGCGGTTATTTCGTATTCCTTGTACCCGGAGAAGTCGGCCAAGGCGCAAGCGGAGGAAGTATTGAAAGCGTTGAAGTGCGCGATTATGAACGCGAAGTTGTTTGGCGCGGATGCGAGCAGAACGCATTTGGTTGGACACTCGGCGGGGAGTCATTTATGCGCCATGGCTTTGTTGTTAGATGAGGAAGAAACGCAAAAAAAGGAATCGGAGAAATTGAAGTCGTTCGTCGGTATGTGCGGCGTGTATAACATCGAGACGCATTACGAGTACGAGGATAAAAGGGGCGTAGCGATGTTGAGCACGATGGGAAGAGCGATGGGTGGTAGGGAGAAATTTAAAGAAATGTCGCCGTTTCATATTTTAGAAGATAGAAGTAGTAGCAGTAGTAGCAGTAGCAACAGCAAGAGTAGGAGTAGCGATAGCGGCGGCGAAGACAACGACGACGACGATGTGACCAAGTCATCGTTTCCAAAGACGTATTTGTTCACCTCGGATACCGATATTGTCGTCCCCAAGCGCGAGTCGGAAGATTTGCACAAGACTTTGCTTAAAATTGGTGTAGACAGCGAGCTTTCGGTGTACGATCACGGCACGCACGGCGAGTTTGCGCTCGGATTTAAAAAACGACCAAAACCTTTGAGAGCGTTTCACCGCGATTTGATCGAGTTGCTTCATTCCTAAGTGTAGTAAAAGTAGATTGGTTTAATTATTACATCAGTGCATTCTACAATTACCCTTCCATGGCTACGTCGTCCGCGTCGGCATCTTTCAGCTCCTCCGCCACTACCTCTTCCTCGTCCTCTAACTCATCATCTCCTCTTCTCCTCATTTCCTTACCTTCCTCGAACGTTTGTTTCCTCTTCGCGATCCTCTCCAATCCGTCGTCCACCTCCATCATCTTCGTCTTCAACCACTCCTCAACTTTCCCGGGTTGTCTCGCCAACATCGACTGCGTCTGAATCGTCTCTTTCTTCGGCTTCCAAAACACCCTTGGCAACGCTTCCGTCCGTAACTTCCCGTTCGCGATTTCCCGCTCGCAATCCGCCGCCATCGAGCGATACAACTCTCTCTGCTTATATTTCATGTCGACATCTAAATCTATTTGCTTCTGAATCAAAGCTTCGCGTTTTTCCCAGTATTTCTCTTTAAATTCTTTATAAATCTCTTCGTTTCTCGTCACCGCTTTCGTTTCCGCTTCTCGGAGTAAATCTTTCCGTTGCGTCTCGCGATCTCGCGTTTTCAGCAAATCCGTTTTCGATCTCTGCAAAGTTCCCAAGACTAAGTTCCCAAACATTCGTTTCGAACGTTTTCTCTCCGGATCTTCTTTCAACGAACCCCCTGAGTCTCTGTTTTCTCTCGTTCGTTTCTTTGGTGCTGTCATCATTGCTTCTTCTTCTTCTTCTCCCCCTCGTTCTTGTTGTCGTTCGGACGATGATTGTTTCTTACGACGAGGAATCGGTCCGAGAGATTTGATTTCGTCCGAAATTTCTTCGCGGGTTTGTCGCAGCTCGTGGAGCGTCGTTTTCAACTCGACCGTCGCCGCCGAGTCCGACGGTGATTGGGTGATAGTAGCACCACCCTGGTGTTGGTTAGTATGGCCCCCGCGAGAGTGGTGGTACGTCGTTGTTTGCGTCATTTTGGTGTCAAATGTGAAGTTAGTTTTGACGGCTATTCGTTTTGTATTTCAGATATTTATAGTGTCTAGTATTCGTTTCGCGCGCTTTTGAGTTATCTCTATCGCTCTCTCTGCTCCGTCTTCTTCTTCCTCCTCCTCGTTCGTTTGTCTTTTTTACAAGAACATCCCGTCCGGCACGTTTTCTTTCTTCTTGTACAGCACTTTGTCTTTAGCCGTTTTGAAATCTTGGTGCGTGATTTGCATCCTTCGCTCTCGCAGCGCTAATAACCCGGCTTCGGTGCACAACGCTTTGATGTCGGCGCCAGATAAGTCGTCTTTAGCCATGACAAATTCTTCCAGTTGCACGTCTTCGCTCAAATTCATGCGCGACGTGTGGATGCCGAAGATGTGTCGCTTCGTTTTCGCGTCCGGTAACGGAAACTCGATTTTCCGGTCGATTCTTCCCGGACGCAACAACGCCGGATCTAAACTTTCGATTCTATTCGTCGCCATGATGACCTTCACGTCGCCTCGGTCGTCGAAACCGTCCAACTGATTCAACAATTCCAACATGGTTCTCTGAATCTCCTTCTCACCTCCGCTTTGCGAGTCGTACCTTTTCGTCCCGACCGCGTCGATTTCGTCCAAAAACACAATCGACGGAGACATATCGTCCGCCACTCGAAACAATTCTCTCACTAACTTTGGTCCGTCGCCTAAATACTTTTGAATCAACTCGGATCCAACCACTCTTAAGAAACTCGCGCTCGTTGAATTCGCCACCGCTTTGGCCAACAACGTCTTCCCCGTCCCGGGTTCGCCGTATAAAATAACTCCTTTCGGCGGTTTAATCCCGATATCCTCGTACAACTCCGGGTGCGTCAGCGGTAACTCCACCGCCTCTTTAATTTCCATGATTTGATCTTCCAATCCTCCGACGTCGGCGTAACTCTCCTGAGGCGCTTTATCAACCTTCATGACCGAAACCATCGGATCGGCGTCGTCGGCTAACACGCCAACCACCGCGGAATGTTTGTGATGCAACAGCACCGCGCACCCGGGCTCTAACTGCGTTTTATCCACAAACGACAAGATGTTCACGTAATACTCCGGCCCCATCGCCGAACTCACAATCCCGTGATTATCGTCTATGATCTCCTCCAAAGTACCGACCGAGAGTGGCATCCCTCTCAAGTCGTCCAATTTCGATCGCTCCTCTTCGTCCCGTTCATCTCTCGGCGTCGCTTTTTCCGCCTCTTGTCTCGCCACGAATTCTTCCTCCATCAACAGCCAATCTTTCACGCGTTCTAATTTCAACGCTCTGAGTTTACATTTCGTCGCCGGCGCGATCGGGGGTAGTTTCCCACCAGCCGCTCCAGAAACGGTCCCTCGCTTTTTCTTCTTCTTCCCGACTCGTTCCGGAGGCGTCGGGGGGACCCACTTTTTCTTTTGTTTTTGGTCGCCTTTTTTGCCTTGTTGTTGACCACCACCCTCGCCAGGGAGCGATTGTCCGTTTCCCATTTTCTTCTTTCTTTCTTTCTTCTTCTTCTTCTTCTTCTCGCGGTTGTAAACGTTCTCTCTCTGATCTTTCTCTCTCTCTCTTATTATAGCACGTCTCCGTTTCGCGTCGTCTGAATCGTCGTCGGAACGCGTTTCGCTTATTTAAGAAGAACAAGAACAAGAAAGATGATCTCCCCCGCGTAACGACGAAGTGTTTTCAAACGAGATCTCCACCGCACTCTGCGTATATACCAAGCGCGTCTAATTCACCACCAAAGGAAGAACGCTTCGCACGACGAGAGAGTGCACCACAAAGAAAGGTTCGTTATTTTCAGCAAAGGTATTTGTCGTCGTCGAGGAAATGCGAGAAGAGGGGAGGAAAAGAAGGCGTGTGTTGTTCTTCAATCGAGAGCGCTGATGTGATGATGAGGTCGAGCGCAGATGATCCTTTTTTTCGTTTTTTCAACAGTCTGACAGTCTGACAGTCTTCTCGAAACAAAAACAAAAACTTTTTTGATGAAAAAAGAAAAAAGAACCGGTCTTTTCTCTGTCTGTCTGCACACGGATGTTTTTTTGGAAAAGAACCACTGCAGGAATACATATATATCCGCAGAAGAGTTTTGATATTTGATTTCCTTTATACCGTATTCTCCACGAGGTGGTGTTCTTCTATCGTTGCGATTGATGTCGCGGCAGTTTTAGCTCGACGACGACGAGATGATGACGATGATGCGTTTTGCCCCGATTTTCGCGATTTTCGAGTTCTTGGTGGAACCGTTGCGTGTGTACCCGTGGGTGATGGGTGCGATGGCGATTGTTTTTTTCCTGCTCGGTGATGCGAACGGGTCTCGACGTCGTCGTCGAATTCATCGGACGACGACGACGACGACGACGAGGACGACGAGGATGGAAGAAGAGAAACAAATATCGGAGCTGGAGAAAAAACAGAAAAAACTCGTCGAGGAAATGGAAACCGCGGTAAAGCGAAGGGTGGAAGAAGCGCTGAGAGAGATTGAAGAAGAGAGCAAAAAGAAGAAGGAAACAAAGGAGGAGAAAGAGGACGTGGAGATGGCGGATTCGTCCCCAACTGCCTCTGCCGCGCGGCCGGCTCGTTCGGCGTCCACGAGGACGTCGCCGGTTGCTCCGGGGACGACGCCGAGCAAAACCACGAAGAGCGCGAACGGGACGGAGGACATGTCCTGGGCGCAGACGAAGAGCGACGAGGGCGAGGAGGAAATCACGTCGCCTTCGAACGAGTACACGCGCGTGGTCTCTAAAACGAAGAAGCAAGAAGAAGCGAGACGACGGAAGATGGAGGAGGAAGAAGCGGAAAAACGACGACGAGAGGAAACGAAACGAGAACGAGAGGAGAAGAAGACGAGAGAAGAGAAGGCGAGGGTGCAAAATAGAATGGAAGAATTGAAGCGAGAGAACGAACGATCAGAAGAGCAAAACCTTCTGCGCGAACGATGGCGAGAAGAGGCTATGAAGCATTTACGCGAGTCTGGAGCGTATGAGCACGCGGAAAAGAATGATTTACACGCCTTTCTGACGCTGACGATGAAAGAGGAGATTGGTATCGATCGCGCATCCATCGAGACGTGGTACAAAAGAGCGCAAAGAAAGTTCCACCCGGATAAGTCGCAAAACATGACGGAAGAGGAGAAAGTTCTCAACGAGGAAATATTTAAAACCTTGGTTCTCTTGCTCAAGAGATGGACGGAAAATGGTAAACCGCTCGGAAGAAAGCAACCGCCGCGGAGAAGGCCGGAAACACCCCCCGAGGCGAAATTTTCCAAACAAGAACAAGACGACTTTAAAAGCACCGAGAGGACGTGGAATCGAGCTCACGCGAAGAGTGGCACGCGCCGCAGGTCGTCGCCGTCGGAGAAGAAGAACAACGGGGGATCATCCACGAGCAACAACGACTCTTCGCGAAGCAACGGATTTCACTTTTCTTCGAACCCGTTCTCGAACGCTCAGCCGCCGCGGCAGCAAAAACAACATCAGCAACAACAACAACAACAACAACAACAAGCAGGTCTGAAGAAACCGTTTAGCACGGGACCAAAGAAGAGCAAAACCGATAGCCAGCCGTCGTCGCCGTCGACGCGATTGTAGGCGCATTTACGTAGAAGAATAGTTTGAAATAGTTTGGAATAATAAAAAAGGAGAGAAACGCAAAGCTGCTGCAAAAGAAAAACGTCTTCAGTTTTGGGAGAGTACATGTTCCCCGCCGCGCGAACGCACCAAAAAACCTCGTACCCCGTCGTTGTTCAATCGCGAGCGTCGTCGTCGTCAGCGTGTTGTCCTTCTTCAATCTCTGTTTTTGCAGCCGATCGATATCGTCGACGTCTTTCATCATCTTCATCTTCATCGTCATCACGAACAAAAAGCACCGTCGTCGTCGTCAAAATGGTATCCAAGAAGAGCGCGTTGATTTCACCGGAAGAGTTGCGCCAAACGCTCTCCTCGCAAGTTATCCTCGATGCGAGTTGGTACATGCCGTTCGTCCAACGCGTACCGAAATCTGAGTTTCAAACGAAGAGGATAAAACATTCGCAGTTTTTTGACATCGATAAAGTCTCCGATTTGAAGGAGAAAAATTTACCGCACATGTTGCCGAACGCGCGCGCGTTCGCGATGGCGTGCGACGCGTTAGGTATTACGAACGATTCTTCAGTTGTGATTTACGATCGAGCGGAGAGCGGTATTTTTAGCGCGGCGAGATTATGGTGGATGTTTAAAGTGTTTGGCCACGGCGGTTCGGTGCGAGTGTTAAACGGCGGCTTCAAGGCGTACGAGAAACTGTACTCGGAGGACGCGGATGGGATGGATACGAACGAAATCGGGATGGACGAGGTGGAGAAGAGCGAGAGAGCGTGCGTGGAGGCATACGAAAAAGAAGATTCTGTGACGACAAAGTATGAAGCGACATTGGATTTGAACCGATTAGCGACGATAGAGAGCGTGAAGAAAGACGTGTGCGAAACGAGCGCGAAGCAGTGCGTAGACGCGAGGCCGAAAGGACGGTTTGACGGAACAACAGCGGAACCGAGAGCCGGTTTGGCGTGTGGGTCTATTCCAAATTCGAAGAACGTTCCGTTCCCGGAAGTTTTAGATGCAGGGACAGGGAAGTTTAAAGACGCGGAGCAGTTAAAACGAGTCTTCGAAGCGGCTGGGATGGAGTTGGACAATCAATCCAAGAAAATTGTGGCGACGTGCGGCACCGGGGTGACCGCGTGTATATTAACGTTAGGAATGCACGAAGTTGGCAGAGACGACGTGGAAGTTTACGACGGCTCCTGGTGTGAATGGGGAAGTCGGGAAGACGTACCTGTAAAAACAGCATCGGCGTAAAAATAGATGTGTATAAAATGTGTGTGTGTGTGTGTGTGTGTGTTCAATACTATTATTTTGTCTCTAACTTTACAACGTCAACAGTAATTTAAAGTCTTCAATCGTCTTCTCCAACGCGGCAATCTCTTGCTTTTGCAACTCAGACTTTTCGCTATTTTGCGCGCGGATGTTTTCAGGCACTCTCTCTTCGTACGAATCTTCGCTCATGGTTTTCTCTAACTTTGCGTTCAATTCCGAGATTAATTTTAATTTTTTCTCGACCGATTTCGTTTCTTTCTCCGCGTCGACGTGGCCTTTCAACTCGAGGTAGACTGTTAACTGATCGTTAATGACGACCGCACCGCACCCGACCGGCGCGTCAACGCTTGCGTCGATGGTAATATCGCCAACGGAAGCCAACGCTTGGATGCCGCTAAAATTCTCTCGAATGGCATCGACGACGTTTTGATCCGAACATTTCGCGTACGCGTTCGGTTTAGCTTTCGCCGGAACGTTGTAGTTGGCTTTCATGGATCGCAAGGATTTAACAAAATCGATCGCGTCTCGCATAGACTTTTCCACCTTCTCGTTCGCCCACTTCTCCTGAGCTTTCGGATACGCAGCAATCATAATCGATTGCGGCGTGTTCGCGTTTTGTTTTCTCGGCAAGCGTTGCCACAACTCTTCCGTGACGAACGGCATAAACGGATGCAACATCTTTAAACCGGCTTCAAGTGTGACCCACAACGCGTCTCTCGTTTTCTTTTTTGCCGCTTCGTCGTTGCCGTCCATCGTCGGCTTGATTATTTCAATGAACACGTCGCACAAATCATTTTTCCAAAACTGGTAAATAGCATCGGTGGCGATGTTAAAGTTGTACGATTCCATCGATTCGTCGACGATAGATAACGTGTTGTTCAAACGCGAGATGATCCATCGTGCCGCAATCGGACTGGAAGAGTCTGAAACGTCCAACTCGGTGTACTCGTTATCTACCGGTTCGTACGCGTCGCCCAAATTCGCCATGGCGAATTTGATTGCGTTCCAAAGTTTGTTGCACCAATGCCTGTACGCGTGCACACGCAAAACGTCCAAATTGACGTCATTGCCCTGTCCAGTGTAAGACATCAACGCGAATCGAAGCGCGTCGGTTCCACACTCCGGGATACCTTGCGGGTAATCCTGTTTCTGCCCAGCCGTCGCTTTCTTTAACTCTTTCTCTTCTAAGTTGCCATTAGCCAAGGTTTCGTGAAGCGCTTCCAGCGAGATACCTTCGATGACGTTGATTGGATCGATGACGTTCCCTAACGATTTGGACATTTTTCGTCCGTGTGCGTCTCTCACCATGGCGTGTAAGAAAACTTGCTTGAACGGTACTTTACCAGTTAACTTCATGCCCATCATGACCATTCTTGCCACCCAAAAGAACAAAATATCGTGCCCGGTTTCAAGCAACGACGTCGGGTAGAAATCTCTCAAATCTGGCGTCTCGTCTGGCCATCCAAAGACGGAAAACGGGAACAAGCCGGACGAAAACCACGTGTCCAATACGTCCTCGTCTTGCGCCAACGTGAATTTTTTTCCCGGAAACTTCCTCTCGGCTTCCTTTTGCGCCTCGGCTTCGTCTCTCCCGACGACCCATCGGTCGACTTTTTCGCTCGTTCCGCCCGGCAAGCCGTTGTTTTCTTGATCGTCGTCAAAGTTGACGTAAAACGCTGGGATTCTGTGGCCCCACCACAACTGTCTGGAAATGCACCAATCGCGAATGTTTTCCAACCACCGAAACCACGTCGCTTCTTGCTCTTTCGGAATAATCTCCATGCGTCCATCTCTGACCGCGTCGCACGCATCTTTCGCCATATCCGCGCAGTTTACCCACCATTGCGGTTTCAACATCGGTTCGATGACATCTTTCGATCGCGAACAGAGACCGAGTCTCATCGGGTTCGGCGCTTTACCTCTGTACAAACCGAGCTCTTCCAGCTTTTTCTCAATCGCAACTCTGCACTCAAAACGTTTCATGCCTTTGAACAACTCGCCACCGACGTCGTTGATGATCCCATCTTCCGTGAAGCAATTGATGAATTGCAAATCGTGTCTTTTTCCAGTTTGGAAATCGTTCGGGTCGTGCGCCGGAGTAATCTTCACGCAACCGGTACCGAATTCCATATCGACCAAGACTTCGTCGCAAATGATTGGAATTTCTCGCAAACTATCGAACGGATGAACTAACGTTTTGCCGTGGTATTTCTTATACCTCTCGTCATCTGGGTGAACTGCAACGGCCACGTCGCCCAACATGGTTTCAATACGCGTCGTCGCGACGACCAACTCGTCGTCGTTCGGGTCGTCTTTAATCTTGTATGCGAACGACGTGATCACCCCAAACTCAACTTTCTTCAAGTGTCCTGGGACTTGCAACATAGTCGGTCCTTCCACGTCGATGTAATCCACCTCGATATCCGAAATCGCCGTCTTCAACTGGCAACTCCAATTTACCAAACGATTATCTCTGTAAATCAACCCGTCTTCGTGCATCTTCACGAACGCCTCTTTTACCGCCTTCGATAACTTCTCGTCCATCGTAAACGCCTCTCTCGTCCAATCTAAACTCGAGCCGAGCCTCCTCAACTGGTTAAAAATCTTCCCGCCGTACTCGCCTTTCCATTCGAACACCTTCTCGAGAAACTTCTCTCTCCCTAAATCGTGTCTCGTGATTCCGTTTTCTCTCATCAACTTCTTCTCGACGACGGTTTGCGTGGCAATCCCCGCGTGATCGGTCCCGGGCACCCACAACGCTTCGTACCCGCTCATTCTCCTCCATCTCACGATCGTATCTTGAATCGAGTTCGTCAACGCGTGCCCGATGTGCAACGCGCCGGTGACGTTCGGCGGCGGAATCACAATCACAAACTTTGGTTTCTCCGACCCGTTCACGGCTTCGAAATACTTCTTCTCCTCCCACCAGTCGTACCACGCGGCTTCCACCGCGACTGGATTATAACTCGTCGCCATCGGAACCGTCGTCGTGTTTTTCTTTTTCCCTCTCTCCGTTTTCAGCGCGTCTTCCAACGCCAACACATCCTGCGGCGAAGGTCCTTTCGCTTCCGCTTTCTTCTTCTCCTTCTTCACTTGACCACCACCTTCATCGTTCGCTTTCGCTTTTTGCGCTGCTGCTTGTGCAGCTGCTTTTTCTGCTTTCGCCGCTTGCTTCGCCGCGAATTTCGCATCCTTTTCCGCCTTGGCTGCTTTTTTCTTCGCCTCTCTCTCGAGCTGCTCCGGGGTTTTCTCTTCTTTCGCCGTTTCAGTGGTTGCTTCTTCTTCTTTCGTCATGATGTCGACGATGCTTTTTTCTCTCCGTTGAGATTCGATTCTTGCCCGATGGTGATGATGATGATGATGATGATGATGTTCTCAGATTTGTGAATCGATTCGTGTATGCGTGTGCTCTGTGTAGAGAACTCTGCAATACTCAAGCGCACTACTCGCGCACTATTCGTCTCTCGTCCTTTCTCTCTCTCTCTCTCTCTCTCTCTCTCTCGAAAGCAAAGCGAATACAAAAGTCGTTTCAAAGCTGTCCTGTGAGAGGGTTTTTATGGAGAAAAGGACTGACGGCTTTCCTCAGAGAGAGAGAGAGAGAGAGAGAGAGAGAGAGAGAGTTTTCGCACACTAACACGTGCGGAAAAGCACGACCACGCGCGAAAACTCTACCACATGCACGCTTTTGTGTTCGTCGAATTAAAGAGCGTCTTCTGCGTGCATTGGATTTTTGCTTTCGCTCGCAGAGGAGGTCGTCTGACGTCGTAATCCTCGTCTCGAGAGAAGGAAAAGAGAGTGGAATCATCCAATCGGAAATGGAACACCACCCGAGCGGTGGTTCTCCATTTCGGAACGGTGTGCCTCGGTACCTCCTCGTCCGCGAGTTCCTCAACGCGCGCGTCTCGGAAACAAAACTCCTGTGCCATTCTTTGAAACGTAAACTCGGCGAAGATCTCTTCGGGAGCTCCGCCGTGAGCGGGAAGAGCAGGAGGAGAGCCACCAGTCCGAGGAGTTGGAAATTTTGGCAACGAGACGAGAGGAAGAGGAAACGAAAAGGAGGAAACGAGGACGAAAACGAGGAGGAGCGTCTTCCTCGCGAGAAGCGAAGGAAAGAGACGAGGAAAGAGTCGTGGAGAAAAGAGCGCGGGAAGTTAGCCACGCACGAGTGGTTGGCGAAGAGGTGCGCTCACTTTTCTCTTCTTCTTTCGATTTTGCGTCTCGATTTTATATTTCGTTCGCTCTCGCTCGCTTTACGCTCGATGCCGATGAAGAATAAACACGCACCCAGCCAATCCGAGATGAACACGATGGCGACACGCGATTTAGTTACCTGACAGTACGCACTGAGGCATGAATAATGAGTTTGATTATTGTGTGCTTTCTCCTCTCTTTCTTTCTTTCTTTCTCTCTCTCTTCTCTCTCGCGCGTTGCGTGCGAGCTGCGCTTTGTACTTACTCGTTTCTTAAAAACGTTTTAATTTGATAAAACAATCAATACGCACAGGTTCGTCATGACTTCTATTTCCTCCGCGAACAAAGAGCAAAGTTTGACGGAAAAGGAGAAGAGAATCGAGGCGGAGAATACATCGAAGCTCGTGAACGCGTTGGGAGTAGACTCGACGTTTATGGAGAACCACGTGGCCATCCGCGCGTTGCCTTTACACCGGTTCGGTAGAAATCGAGGGTCGAGATCGATGACGAAAGCCTGGAAGTCAGCGGCGGTGGTGCACGACGCGACGTATTTATTATATCGTAGGGACGAAAAAAGTGCGTCGGCGGCGTTGCCATCAGTTTTATGTAACGTAAACGCGCTACCGAAACGTGTGCGAGAGATCTTTCCGAACGACGAAATCGCGAATCTCGCGCGATTCGACGTCGCGGGTAAATTGGCGCTGAAACTCATCAACGAAACGCTTCGGACATCAATCAAGTTTAAGAAGATTAAAACCGTAAAGAAACAAATCGAACGGTTCGGTGGAAACGGCGACGGTGTGCAGTACGCTGCACTTGCTGCCGTAGATCCACGAATAGTCTACGCCGACGATCAAGTCGCGCCTCCGCCAAAAAAAGAAGGAGACGAAAGAAATCTCTCTTCGACACCACCGAGCGAAAAAGATATTTCCGATGCGCGCCGCGATGCGAAGATTGTTCGAGCGAGACATTTAGCCGGCGTTGATATGAGTGATATCGCATCGGCCGCAAATATTGATCTTTCTGTGCTTCAACAAAGGTTTCGAGTGTGCGCGGTGGCGAGACCAAACAACGACGGCGCGTCGTTGTATTTTAACGCCAATTGGGCACCAATTGTGTTAAAATCACTAGTAACGCGTGGTGCGTACGCGGCTGGTGTCTGCGAGTGGATCGATTTGGGTATTTGGCGAGGGGCGAACGTCGAAAAGGTGCGCTCTATTTTCATTGGTAATGAAGCGAGCGACGACGATACCGCGACGATATCGACTCGAATCGTTCTGAGGTTCCCGAAGAAAGGCGTCGGCAAGAAAGGCGATGCCGTTTTCGACGAAGGCGGGAAGACCAAACTTGGAACGATTGATCGCGTCACGCCCGTTTCTATAGCTGTCGCAGTCGCTTCGGCATCAGTTCTCGCATCCGCTTGGTCTGAAGTTGTAACGAAAACGAAAAAAAAGAAAGGAGGCGTCAAAGTTCTCGTCAAATCGACGACGAAAGGAGACGTGAGCGCTTTTGCATCTTTGGCAAAAGAAACGAACGGAGATTTCAGCTGGTGGTAATAGCATTGTAGCAGATTAGATTTGCATAGTACCTAGGTTAGATATGTTTTTAGCGCACGCGTTGACGTGTATTTCTTGTACCAGTACTTCCAATTCATAAAAATTCTAAATGTTACGTTCGACTGGAATCTTTGAGTTTGGCTTCGCACTGCGCTTTATCCATTCCCGGAAACTCAAACTGCCACTCCACGGTTTTCTCTATCCATTGCTTTAACAACGGTCCAGGTTTCTCCATTCCTACTGCTTTCATCACCTCTTTACCATCTAGAACGGGTTTTAATTCCCACGGATTACCAACGCTATCTTTTCTATCGACAAGTTCAAACTCGTCTCTCACTCTCGAAAACGCCTCTTTGCACTTTTCGGCGACGCTTTCCGCGACGGCACCTTCGTCGATATCACCACTATTTTGTTGTTTTAACGCATCTTCTACAGCCGCGACGATAAAAACTATATCGTAATCTTTCCCGATCGAACGAATTTTCAATCCAGCTTCGGTTCTCGTGAACGTTTTCAAGTTGTCAAAAATAACATCTCTCGTCCCGTCGATATTCGAGTGCGTTCGCACGACGCTCTCCGCGTCCTTGTTTCGTAACTTTAACGATTCCATCACGACCACTTCGCTCAAAGGAACTTCTTTCTTCTTCTTCGTAAACGCTTTACTCTCTCTTAATCCTAGCAGCCACAAGGCTAAATAAAACCGTTCTTTGCGATCGGTCTCCTCGCTACCATCCGCGCCTTCCGTGACCCCTTCAAACATCTTTAACGCCATGGCGACTCGCATCCCGACTGCGACTGCTTTCACGCCAAACTCTTGCATTTCCATCGAGAACGTCTCCTCGCAATCCATCACGATGCCGCCCATTTTCATTTTCGTCACCCACTCCACCGCCAAGTGCGGATTTGGTCCTCGCAACATCCCCGCCACTTCCTTCCCGACTCGTTCTCTGCTCACTTTCGTTCTCAACCCTTCTCTGACTTGTTCGTCCTCCACCGCCACTCCAATATCCTCCGCCAACGTGAAAGCGTACCTGGACGCAAACCTCACCGCTCTCAAAACCCGCAACGGATCGTCCACGAAAGTCCTCTTCGCCTCCAACGGCGTCCGGCACAACCCGATTTTCAAATCCTCGATCCCTTTCCCGGTAAAATCTTCCACTTTCTTCTCGTTCAAGTTATAATACAACGCGTTAATCGTCAAATCCCGTCGCATGGCATCCTCCAAAGGCGTTCCAAAACTCATGGTTGGAATTCTCGACTCGTCCGCGTACGACTCCGAGCGCAAATTCACAAAATCCAACCACACGTCTCGGACTTTCATCGTCGCCGTCTCGAGATGTTTCGACTGTTCCGGGTTCGATTGTATCACGCCGACGCCGCTGATTTCTTCGCCTTTACTCGTTAAATACTCGTTCACTTTCGCCGCGAATTCCGCGCCCAAACACTTATCTAAAGCGACGTCGATATCGTTCGATTCCAACCCGAGCAATTTATCTCTCACCCATCCTCCCGCCACTCGCAACGTCAAACCCGCCACATTCGTCGTCGCTTTCCCACCATCATCAGTTTCTCCTTTCTTCTCGTTATTCACCACATCCAAGAGCAACGAAAACACCTCGTCCTCTTTTCGTGTCAAAACAATCTCCGCGTTTTCCTTCATCGTTTTCGGTGGATCCGTGAAAGGTGATCGACTAAAACCTCCGACAGAAAACAAAGCGTTGGTGTTGTTGTTGTTGTTGTTCGTGGCAGAGGTGGTCGCAAACTTGCGCTTCTTTATCTTCGTCTTCGTCTTTATGAAGTCGTTTTGTGCTACGCAATAATTCTGAATTGGTCTCCTCCCGGGAAACGAACCAAAAGCAATCGTCGTCGTCGTCGTATTCCTGTCGTGTGATGATAACACTCGCGCGTGCGCGATGCTTTTTATTATTCTCGCGTTTTGCTTCTTCGCACGACTACTCCTGCAGCACGACGACAAAAACAGCTTCGCGTGCGAGGAATAACAGCACGCTCGCATTAAAATACTAGAAATGCAAGTGTGTGGGAAAACGCTCCAAATGCATTATAACAGTCCGCTCGTCAAAGTCACTCCGTCCTCTTCGTGCGCTTCAAACGCGTACGACGACAGAGAGAAAGAAAGCAAAAATTTCAAACGAGGGGATGACTTTTGCACTCATCACAAAAGGAGGTTCTTTTTTGATTTTGGTCCTTTTGTCCTCTTTTCGACGATGCTGGTCTGTCTTTCTTTTCCACCGCAGCAAGAAGAAAAAAAAAATTTTGTCGAGAGAGAGAGAGACGTGGCAGCAGAAAAAAGAGAGAGATTTTCGTTTCTCGTTGAAACGTCACGCACACAAATAAAACACGCATCTTCACGCATCACAACAGGAGTTCTTTTTTCTTCTCTGTGATTCAACGACACTTTTCTGCGACACCACTTTTCGTTTCAGAGATACAGCGACAAAAGAAACAACGTCGTCAGTTTTTGTTCCTTCTTTTCGAGACGCGGTTTACACGTGTTAGTAGTAGCATCGTGAATACCATTTCGATTTTTATCCAAAGGACGACCCAGCTTGGGGAACGTTTTTTTCTCTAATCCAAAAATCAATAACAACAACATCATGGTGCATCCAGTGAACGCAAACACGATCAACCAGAACGTCCTGACCGCGGAATACGCGGTCAGAGGCCCCATCGTGGTGAGAGCCGGCGAACTCGCTTTACAGTTGAAGAAAGACCCGTCTTCGTTGCCGTTTGAAGATATCGTCCTGTGCAACATCGGGAACCCGCAATCGCTCGGGCAAAAACCAATCACGTTTTATCGTCAAATCATGGCCATTTGCGATTACCCAGATTTGTTAGACTCGCCGGAGTGCTCGAAGATTTTTCCGGAAGATGTCATCGCGAGATCGAAGGAGGTTTTAGCGAACACGGCTGGAGGGACGGGGGCGTACACGGAGTCGAAAGGGTTGAAGTACGTGAGAGAGCAAATCGCGACGTTTTTGGAGAAGAGAGACGGACACAAAGCCGATCCGGAGATGATTTATACTTTGGATGGAGCTTCCTCTGGGGTGAATTACATGTTAACGTTACTCATTCGTGGGAAGCAAGACGCGATGTTGGTGCCGATTCCGCAGTATCCTTTGTATTCCGCCGGGTTGGCGTTGTACGGCGGAACCTTGTGCCCGTATTATTTGAAAGAGGAGAATAACTGGGGGTTGGACGTGAACGAAATGCGTAAAGAGGTTCAAAAAGCCAAGAAAGACGGGGTTGAAGTCAGAGCGTTGGTGGTGATCAATCCCGGGAATCCAACTGGGAACAGCTTGTCGTTGGAGAACCAACAAGAAGTTGTGAAATTTTGCGCTGAGGAGAATTTGATTTTGTTGTCCGACGAAGTGTATCAAGATAACATTTACGTGGAGGGTAAATCATTCGTCAGCATGAAGAAAGTCGTGGCGGATATGGGATACGGGGATAAAGTCGCACTCGCATCGTTGCAGTCCACCTCGAAAGGTTTCTACGGCGAGTGCGGGAAGAGAGGCGGATTTATGGAACTCTACGGCGCCTGGGACCAAGGCGTGTTGGATCAGTTGTTAAAGTTGGCGAGTATCAACTTGTGCCCGAACGTGAGTGGACAGATCTTGATTGGCCAAGTGTGCACGCCTCCGGTCGAGGGCGATGCATCGTACGCGTTGTACGAGAAGGAGAAGGCGGACATTTTGGCGAGTTTGAAAAGACGCTCGGGGAAGTTGGTTGACGGTTTGAACAAGTTGACCGGCGTGACGTGTAACAACAGCGACGGGGCGATGTACGCGTTTCCGAATTTAACTTTTCCGGAGAAGTTTCTCAAAGACTGCGAAGGTAAAGGAAAGATGGCAGATGCCGTGTATTGCATGAGTATCTTGGAAGAAACCGGTATTGTCGTCGTTCCTGGGTCTGGATTTGGCCAAGCCGACGGGACGTGGCACTTCCGAACGACGTTTTTGCCCGGGGAGGATAAAATCGATGCCGTCGTCGAAAGATTGAGCGCGTTCCACGAGAATTTCATGAAAAAGTGGATGTAATGAAAGGGAAAGAGGCGCAAGAGTGAAGAAGAAGAAGAAGAAGAAGAAGAAGAAGAAGAGAAAGAGGAAAAAAATGAGAGAAATGAGAGAATTTTTATATGAAGAAGAAGAATTGTAAGATTATCACAAGGCGAAGTCATCAAATTAAATCAAACTTGAAAGTATAGCGTATTACTCGTTCATTCTAAAAGTATGGCGCGTTTTAAAACGATTCGTACGCTTTGTGTACGTTTGCTACTAATTTACTCTAACTCGTGTGTCGCGTCATCTCAGAGGCACAAACCAACGCGTGTTCAATACTCGTCGCGTAGTTCGCGTAATACGAAGGTTCTTGCGCCGCCGCGCCTTTGTTCTCTTCGTCTTTTTCTTCTTTCACCTTGCGTTCTTCCTCCCGTATTCGTCTGGAGTTGCTCACGTGATCGATGGCGCTTTGTTGCATAGCTTTCGTCGTTCTCGAGACTTCAGTTAATGAAGCGCAGCACTCTCGCAGATTTTCCAACGCGTGGTCCAATTCTTGTCCTTCGCCTTTGATGGAGTTGATGATGGAAAGCGCGACAGACGGCTTCGGCGATTCCATCGGTTGCGGCGAATTCGTATTCGCTTGCGGAGTTGTTATCGGCATTGGTGAGGCAGCGACGACATCTTCTTGCGTACAATAAGTCTCCAAATCGCTCAAAGAGATGTTCAATCCTAAGGTGGATATTCGCATCACGAGCTTTTTCGCGAGCGCCATCGCCGAGTCTTCTAAGCTTTCAATCTGCGCCGTGAGCAGTTGGCAATCTTCCGAATTGACGCCAGATTCTTTTCGGGCGGCATCGCGGGCAATTTTTGCCGCCATCATGCTGTCGCGCGTGAGCACGGACTCGTTATATAGCTTGATGAGTTCGGCGTCTTTTCCAACAGGTTGTTCAACCGCGGAAAAAACTCGTTGTTTTTCTAGCGTTTGCCTCGTTTCTGAGGAAGGCGGCGTCGATTCTTTCTTAACTCCTAGATTCGACGGTTTCTTTTCCTCCGTCTTTTTCTCAACTTCTTCGTCTTCTTTACTCGGTGATGGCGTCGCAGCGTTGACGTCCAACATGCGCTGCATCTTTTTCGGCGTCTTTCCGCCGACGACGCTCAAAATGGTCGGATCGTTCTTATCGCGCGTGTTGTTCGTTTTTAACGCCTCCAAGATGGCAACTTTCCTCTTCTCGTTCGCGTACTTTACAGATCGCAAGATGGTTTCCACTTGTGACTCTTGCGTGACAACAGAAGCACCCGGCGTCATTGCTGGAATGTTCGATAACAGTTTATGTTCGTACTCGCGAAAATTCGTCCAAGCGCCTTCGCGTTCTCGAACGCGAGCGTTGGCGCGGAAAAACTCGTTGCCCATGTTTTTGTTCCTGATATCGTCGTCGTCGACGACGACGTCATCGCTGACCTTTGTATTCACATCTACGTCTTCCTTTTTGATGTCGCCCTCCTCGGCGTTCGCGTCGAGATCCGTGATCTTCTTGCGCGGAATAAATTTTCCACCGGCGTTTGCGACACCGCAGTGCGCTCGGAAGGCGTGTTCTTCGAAGATTTCCGGATCGCAAAGTCTCGCGCCGCCTGGCGCGTCGATACTCACGGAAACTTTGCCAACTGATAGTACGACTACAGTTGCCGGTAATCCTTGATATTTTGCCACCGTTTTATCTCGTTGCTTGTTCGCTTCTTTTTTGAGTTCTTCGCTGCTCAAATTCTTTCCAAACGCGACATCCGCGTGTCTTCTACAAAACAAACCGTCTTCGTCGCACGCTTTAAAAGAACACCGCCACAGTTTACCGTCATTTCTTAAGCACCGATTACCTCTCCCTGGAATCCACGGCTCCGTCGGGCACGTTTCGTTGATGTTATCCGCAGCGGGAATTGTAGAAGACTCGGGGCCGATGGCGGCTTCGGCTAAGAGTTCCGCCATTTCCGCGGACGTTTTAAACCCGTTCGTCGGCGGGTTTGGTGGGATCAAGGCGACGTCGGCATCAAGGCCGTGACATCGAACGCGCAAAGTCACAGCAATGAGTCTGTCTATTTCATTTGGTATTCGCATGGGTTCTGGAAGACGCTTCAACAAAGCGTCGTCGTCAATCGCGTCCGCGTCGTAGATTTTTTTCATCAAGGACGTTTCGCGCTTGTACTCAATTTTTTTCGCCGGCGGCGTTTCCGCCGGCGCTTCTTCAAGAGCAGCTGGTGTCGTCGTCGTCTTTTGTTTCTTCGCCGTTGATTTAGGCGCTTGGTCCTCCTCTCTCGCTCGTTTTCCAGCCGGCGTCGTCGCCGGCGTCGTCTTCTCCGTCTTCACCCCTCCTTCCTCTCCTTTTATTTCCTCCTCTTCCTCCGACAACTCTCCGCCTCTTTTCTCGTACCATCTCTCTGGCAACGTCGGCAGACCGTTCTCCATCCAACTTTGCTCCACGTAACTCCTCAACTCTCGCTCAAACGCCCTCGCCTCTTCCAACCCTTCCTTTTTCTCTTTCCCGCTCACGCCTTTTCTCTTCCTCGCGTCTTCCATCACTCCCTCGCTCGCCTCTCTTACCACCCACGCGATTTGCCTAATACATTGTTCGTACGTCCTCAAAGGCTTCTTGCACCCTTTCTTCGCCAACCCTTTCTCTCTTACCCGTTTCAAATCCTCGATTAAATTCTGCCCGCTCGTCTTCTTCCCTTTCGGCCAGTTCATGACCACCGCGACGAACGCTTTCACGTTGTTCAAACTAATCTTCGCGCACTTCCAGCTAAAAATATCCTCCCCGTCCTCTTTCGACGTGCCGCTCGAGCCCTCTGCAAAGAGTGGGAACTCCATTTGTAAACCATTTTGTAACCAATAATCGTTCACCGTCAGCGCTACGTCGGCGAGAAAACACTCCTTTTCGTACCATCCTTTCCCACCGTCTTTCCCGTTATTGTAATCGCTCCAAACTAACAAAGCGTGCTCTCTCGTCCACTTCCGAGAAAACTCCGACGCCACGTCTTTCGCCGCGTGCATCTTCTTCTTTTTCTGCGTCGTCGTTGTCTTCTTCCCCGTCTTCTCGTCCTCGTCCTCGCGAGTCGTCGTATTCGTGGTAAACTTCGCGAGCACTTTTTCCAGAAGATCGAATTTACTCGTCGCGTTCGATGAACATCCTTCCTCTCCTCGTTCTCGTTGTTGTTCTTCTTCTTTTTCGAGAATTTCCTCGTTCGCCGATCGCAACGCGTCGAGCGCGAGTTCCAAACTCGCGCTTTCTTCCTTCTCCGTTTCCTCTTCTTTTATTGTTGTTGTTGTTGTTGTTTCACCCATTCTTCTTTTAATGTTGTTGTTGTTGTTGTTGTCGTGATGTGTGTTTTCTTTCTGCCGGTGGTTTCTTACGAGAAAAAAAAGAGACGATTCTACACGTGGAGAGAGTCTGTGAAAATTAAAGCAAAAGTGTCTCTCTCTCTTTCTCTCTCTTTAACAACACTAAGAACGAGTTCAATCTCTTCTCACTGCCTCTTCTGAAACTGCTCGAGAAACTTCTGAAACTGCTCGAGAAACGAAGCGTAGTCTTCGTCCGTCGGCGGTTCTGGACACCCTTTTTCGAGCAAGTAGTTTTCGCAGTCGTGGTGCTTTAAGTACCGAGCCGAAGCGATGTATCGCCAGTTGTCAAGAGGCACTTTCGCCTCTTCGACTAAGTATTTGAGGCAATCGAGTTGGCCATACATTGTAGTGTTTCCCACGCAGTCACTCTTCACCTCATCAGATATCTTTCTTGTATCGACGAAATATTTCAAGATCTCCACGTGACCACCGCATGCTGCCTGTTGTGCCGCTTCTTTTTCCGTATCTCGCGAAGGTTTCACTTTGTCGAAAAGAAATCGAACACAGTCGAGGTGTCCTTCTATAGCAGCTTGAACGCACGACTCTTCTACATCACACGGGCAACCATTAGAGAAGCAGTATTTCAGCATCTCGAGATTACCTTTACATGCGGCCTTATTAATCGTCTGTTCATCCCACTCGCACTGTTTCACTTCTCTCGCCCACTCGAGAAACTCGAGTTTTTTCGTTTGAGCAACTTGGACGCAAAACCAGGCTTGATCCATCACGTTTCCTAAATCATCTTTCTCTCCCCAGGGAAAGTGATTCCACGCCCATTCCAACGTCGAGATGGATGAACATTCGTAAACAATCACATGTAATCCCGATACATTTACCCCGGCGTACGCAAGCACATCTTGACTCTCTCTGTTCACCTTTGAAAAGAACCACCGATCTGTCTCGTTCAATTTCGGAATCACATGCGAGACGAACACATCTCTGTGATGCATCACCAACCCGGTCCAAATCTTTGAAGAAGAAGAAGAAGAAGAAGAAGAAGAAGAAGAAGAAGAGAGCGAGAGATTCGCCAACGCTGCGTACATCTTCGCACTTCCCAAAGCCTCCTTTTCACCTTTCTCGTCGTCGTCGTCGTCGTCGTCGTCTTCTTCCGAAGAAGAATACTTCAGCGCATCCCATTTGGAATAATCTACCATGTGCACTGTGCGTTGACTTTTGAACGACCGTTTTTTGGCTTCGTACAAAAAAACGACGAGACTTTTGATGAAAGAAAAAAAACGAGAGACTTTCGCCGGTTGCGTTTTATCTCCGCTCTTCTTCTCTCGCCAAACTTGTTCTTCGCATCAGTATCTCCTCTTTCTTCTCGCAGTGGTTGTGCGTAGACTTTTGATCGCGCGAGAAAAAAGAAGGAAATGCGCAAAACCGTGGACACGAAACACGAGAGGGAAAACGAGCACGACGTCCCGTCGTCATCCTTGGGAGGAGGAGGAGGATTAAGAGGAGGATCGATGATGAAAAAACAGAAGCATTACGCCGCGACGACAAAGACGACGACGAAAATGATGAGCAACAACACTCCGTTTTCAACGTTGCCGTATTATAAACACTTGCCTCCGTTACACAACCAGGACGAGTGGGAGAAAGAGTGGGAGCAGTTGCGAGCGGCGATTCAGTGCGTGTTCGAAAACGCGACGAAACACTTGTCGTTCGAAGAGCTGTCGAACGTAGTGTATAGGATGGTGCTGAGCGGGAGTTCGACGACGCGGTTTATGCGGGAGAAGTTGAAAAAGGAGTTAAGGAAAAGAGCGTGGATGATTAAGGAAGAGCTGAAAAGGATGGAGAGGACGACTTTTGCAAGTGGTGGTGAAGGAGACTACGGCGGCGGGTACGAGGAAGAGGAGGAAGAGAAGAGCGCGTTGGCGTTTTTAGAAGCTATGATTAGGAAATGGAGCGAGTTTGAGCAACAAGTGGAAGTGATTCGGGACGTGTTCATGCACATGGAGAGGAAAAAGTTGGACGACGGCGACGCCGCGAACGGGAGCGGCGGGAGTTACGCGGGGAGAGGCGCGCCGGCGACGACCCCGGCGCAAAGGAGAGAGAATGAAAAGAAGAAGAAAAAGTTGGGCGTGCGATCGTTAGGACGGGAGATTTTTTCGCAGAATATGTTTGGGATACCTTCGAAGATTGATCTAGACGACGAGAAATACGCGCTCGAAGCGAGGAAAAGTACGATTACCGCCCACTTGCAAGCGTGCGTGAAAATGCTGCTCGATCGCGAAAGAAGAGAAATGCAAAGACGAATCATGGAATACGAGAAGACGGAGGAGGCTGAAAATGCTCCGGTTTCGCTCATCGCCGACGATGAGAACGACGACGAGAACATCGTTGACGACGATGTGGAAAGAAGAGAGGTGATGGTAGCGGCATCAGCGGCGGCGGCGAGGGCGGCAAAAAGCAACGAGAACGAAGAAAGCGCATCGACAAAGAGGAGAAGCGTGATCAAACGCACGGCAGAAATGTTTTGGACGCTCAGCGCGCGAGCGAGCGAGTGTGGGTACGAAGACATTTACGAGAATATCATCGCCTCTGAGTCCGTTCTCCAGGCGGACGAGGTATACACAACGTATACCTTGAGCATCGCCGAAAGCGCGCGAGACTGTTCGCAGTATTTGCGAAGGTGTAAGACGCTTCTGAGACACGAGAAATATCTCGTCGCGGATACGATGGCGTCGAAATCAGACACCGCGAAAAGGATCATTCGCACCATTCAAACTGCAATGTTCGGCATTAAGAGTCAAGCTCGCGAACATGCGTTTGTGAGAGGATTCTTTGCGCTGATGATTAATGATGACATGAATATGAATCCGCAAGACGATCTCGATTTGCGTTCGCACGAAGAGCTGGTAGTCGTCGATGGCGTCACGACGACGGCAATGATACCGCAAACAACATCAACTAATAATAATAATAATAATAATAATGCATCAACGAGGGTTATGAATTTGAGCGACGAGGTGCGATATGCGGACGTCCGTCTCGCGTACGATTTGTTTGCAAAATTAACCAACGAAGACGGACTCGACACTTTGAGATCGGCCTTGTACGTTCGCGTCGAAGAGTTGGGCAACGCCATCGTCGTTGCGAACGAAAAGAACCCCATCGAATTCGTTCGCGCGACGATACTTCTGAAGAATAAAACAGATATGGTCATAAAAAAAGGATTTCGTGGCGATAAAACGTTCACCAACCGCGCGTATGCCGCGTTCGAGCACTTTTTGAACGAAAACAAGAGGTCGAGCGAGTTTTTATCGTTGTATTTGGATCATTATCTCCGCGGTAATCTCTCTGTCGAGGACATGGAAGTAGAAGATGATCAGAAGAAAACAACGACTACGCAGCAAATATGGAAAGAAGCCGGCAAAGCGACCATTGTTACGACATCCGACGCGGCTATCGACGCGTGCATAGCCATCTTTCGATTTTTGCGAGAAAAAGATACATTTGAAATGTATTACCAATTGCACTTGTCCAAGCGCCTGTTGGCCTCCAAAGCCGTATCAGACGATCACAGCGAACGCGACGTGGTATCAAAACTCAAGCTCGAATGTGGGTACCAATACGCGCAAAAGGTTGAAGTGATGTTGAACGACGCGAGTTTATCTAAAGCGATAACGAGAAAATTCAACGAACTCGTCGAGCATAGCCAACGCGGTGGCGATTATAACACGAGGAGCAGACTCATCACGACTGACTACATCGGAAAAGATACAGGTAACGTGCACCCAGACGTAATTCTGGGAGGCAGAAAGATGATGAGAGATGAACGGTTTTTTGAAGTTACCAGGAAAACAGAACTCGGCGTGAAGGTGTTGACAACCGGGTCTTGGCCGTTGACAAAATTGAGCAAATTGAAGTTTCCGAAAAATTTACCGCGCACGTGTCAAGATATGCAAAAACTCTTCGTGAATCATTACGAAGCGAATTACGGGGCCAGGCGCATCGCGTGGCGTCCGGATTGCGGCACTGCTGAGCTCCGAGTTCAGTTCAACTCGGGCGAAAAGCTGTTAATCGTCAGTACGATGCAAATGTGCATCTTGGAGATTTTCAACGACCACGAAGCGGTATCCTTGCGCCAAATCTCCAAAATCTTGGACGTGGAATACGACGCATGCATCAAAGCTTTGCACAGCATGGTCTTCTCTAAAGAGAAGAACGTTTTGCTTCGAAATAAGAAGACATCCATGTCTCAAACGAATAACAACAACAACAACGAAGTTACTTCTATGGACATCGGCAACGAAGGGAGAATTTCCAAAGACGACATCTTCATGTTCAACGATAACTTTGAGTCCAAGCACTACCGCATTAAAATCGCCTCGGTGTCCACGTCCAAGAAAGAAACCGTTGAAGAGGCGAAAAGAACCGCAGAAATCATTCACGAAGATCGAAAACCAGAAATTGAAGCCGCTATCGTTCGCGTTTTGAAAGCGAAACGAAAAGTCGAGCACAACGCGTTAATCGCTGAAGTTGCCGTAGCGCTTCGCAGCCGATTCAAGGTTGACGTAGGGGAAACGAAAAGACGCATCGAACGGCTCATCGAGCTCGAATACGTCGCCAGAGACGATGAAGATCGAAAGATTTATCGGTACTTGTGTTAAAAATGTAGCTTTGAGTGTTATAAAAATGTGAAACGTTTAGTCATAAATACCGTGTAGAAGTAAGTACCATAATAACGATACGAATCTCTTCTCTTCACTCTTCACTCTTCCTCTTCCACAATGGTAAACGTCCTCTCCAAGGCGTTCCTCAACACGCTTCCGTTCTTCACCTCTACTTTTTCTAAAAACGAGACGAAGTCTTCCCCCAAGTCTTTCCTCGTTGCTAAAATACGTTCCGCGCAGTCTCTCGGGCTGACCTCTCTCGTCTTTGGCTGGCTATCATCTATCGTAGGGACAGATCCACGATTTACATCTGTCACAGTCGTCAACCCCGAACTGGCCAGTTTTATCAACCACTCCTCTCCAGATTCTCTCTTGGGTTGCCCCGCCGCGTTTTTCCGCGTTTGAAAGAACGGATTTTCAGCAATGTAGTTATTTAAGAACAAATGCATCTCTCCGTTCGTTTCTTGAAGGTAGTGCAAAACAGTTTTCACGCTTTGCACGGTCAATAAATCCATCAACTTTTCTTCGTTCTGCGTGTGATACGGCGAATTATTGCCCTCGCGTTGTTCCGCTCTCGTCGTCAGAGGAGCATAACGCGCTTTGTTTCTTCCCCTCCGTGTTTGTCTCTCGTTCGATTTTGAAATTTTCCATTTTGCCGCTCCGTAACTTTTGTGACGAGAAGAAGAAGACAAAGAAGAAGACAAAGAAGAAGAGTTTTCGCGAGTGATGCGAGGATACCCTCCTCCTCCTCCTCCTCCTCCTCCTCGAACGGCGATACAAAAGGTGAACGTTTTTGGCGATGAAGTAAAAGCTGTCGCGCGCATTTTAAGAAACAGATGAGAAAAATTTATTTATGGCGGGAAAGAGTCTCGTGTGCTTGGAACTTCTTCCGTTTTATGTATGTGTGCCTCGCGGCGGAAGGCGAACCTTTAGATATTCACAACCGACGACTAAACACGATTTAAAGCTAAGTAAGGCTAAATTAATTATATAGCGCCCTCTTCAATTCGAGAAGCGCTACTATATCTCTCTCTCTCTCCAAAAATCTACAAACGTTCCACTTTCTCTTTATGTTTACGCGGCAGCTTTTTTGGCGACGGAGCTCGCGCGTCTCTTCGCGATGGACTCCGATCGTCGTTCTCTCTGCTCCTTGATTCGCATTTGCAACAATTTGTGGTACTCCCCAGCTTCAGCCTTGGACTTGGCAATCTTCGCCTTCTTCACCGCGGCTCTCGCTCTCTTTCTTTGCAACGTCAACGGAGTGACGACTCTTTGCACTTTTTGCGCCTTGGATTTCTTCTTTCCCGTGGCTGATTCAAACTCTCTTCTCATGGAGTTGACGTACGGAAAGACAGAGTCTTCCTTGGACAACGCAAACAACTTGCGAATCTTCGACGCTCTCTTCGGACCGCGCATTCTCGGCACTTCGGTGTCGGTCAAACCCGGCACGTCCGCGTCGCCTTGCTTGACGATGGCGACGTTCAACACCGAAATGTCTTGCGAAACGATGCACCCTCTGCACGCCTTTCGGCGACGCTCGCCTTTTCTTCTGCCGTGGCCTTGGAAGCCTTGCGTGCCTCTCACTTGTAAGAGAAAGACGCGTTGGTTCGTCAACACGCCTTGCTTCATCCCGAAGCCTTGCTTGTCGTTGCCGCCCATGATTTTAAAGATGTAGCCTTTCCACTCGTCGCCTAACGAATCGGCTTCGACTTCGGCGGAGATGCGCTTGTCGTAAAACACGCGGAGCTTGTTTTCATCCGTGATTTCAATCTTCTTTTGGCAGCCAGTGGCTGGGTTCGCGATGTTGAGCTGTATTAATTTGAACAAGACAAATAGAAGAAGAGGTGAGTTTGAGTAACAAAAATGGCATCAAAGCGCCTTCATCCCGAGGAAAGCAGGACCTAAAAGACCTTTCCCGGAGGAAAAAAATCACAGGGAGAAACCATCATCACCGGACGGTTTGTGTTCGTGCGAACCTCACGCGCGTTATAAAACGACATCATCGCACGAACCGAACGCGTTTACGTCCGTTTTTTTTCTTTCGAGCGCAGTTCTTTCGCGGACCTGACGGCGCGAGAGAGAAAGCAAAGCGCAAATGCGCGCAAAATCTTCCTCTTTTTTGTAAAATTTTCGCCGTAAAACCACCTTTAAAGGAAGAGGAAAACGCGCGCATTCATTTTACAAAAAACAAAACATTCGACCATCTGCGCGAACAATACTCGAACGCGCGAACGATCGATACGCGTAATATCGATACATATCCGCGCGAAAAATCGCAAACGAATCGCGTTGCACATTTGCTTACCTTCATGATGATGTGTTCCTACAATCAGCAAAGCCAAAAATCAAGTGAAGAGGAGAAACGTGAAAAGTGAAAGGAAACTTTTCAGAGCATTTATTTTTTAGGGTTTCATTTGCAAAAAGTTCTTGAAACGAAGGAAAATTTTTGAATTCTTTTCCTCAGAAGAGAAAGAAGAAAGATGACGCGAGAGGCGACGACGACGACGACGACGCAGACGACGACATCGAAAAACGCTTTGGAAGGTAATGATGAAGGTTTAGGAGGTGATGGTTTTGATGAGGACAAAAAAAACGCGTCGTTTTTTAGGTCCTACACCTCCCTCCTCTCCCGTTGGCCGGCGAGGAAAAAACACGTCGATTTCCTCCTCGCCGCACTCGGCGGGAGCTTCGGACGCGACGCGAAAACCTGTCTCGCGCCGAACGTCCACGTCCACGGCCCACCGTCGGTCGGGAAAACCATGCTCCTGAGAGATATGTTCGACCTGCTGGAGAAAAAGTTTGGGTTCGCGTACGCGTACGTGAATTGCGTGGACGCGCACGAGAAAAAGTTGATGTTTGAAGCCATCGTGGAGCAACTTCGACCGCACTTCAAGGAGGAAAGGCGACGTCGGATGTTGGCGAAAGAACGAGCGAGAGCGATAAAAGCGAAAGAAAAAGAGTTTAAGAGAAAAGAAGAGGAGAAGGAAAACGAATGCGACGACGAGAGGAATAATAAAAGCATGTGCGACAACAAAACCTTGGAGGATGGGATGATGGAAGTAAAAACGTCTTTGGCGTTGGTCTCCGCAGCCGTGGCGAAGACCGCGACGAGCGCGGCGAACAAAAAGAAACGGAAACGCGCGATACACGTGGCAGATTTCGTGCAACTGTTGAAAGAAAACTTAGATAGAAACGGGCCTAGGATTACCATCGTCGTCGACGACGCGCATCGACTGGCGGAGCAAAAAGACGATCGATTTTTACCGACGCTTTTGAAAATTGGCGAACTGACGAAACGAAACATTCACGTGGTCACCATCTCCTGCGAATCCATACAGACGTTTCAAAGCAACGTAGATTTAGTCAAACCGCAAACGATATTCTTCGACGCGTACACGAAAGAGGAACTGATTGAAGTCTTGTTGAAGGAAGCGCCGAGAGATATCGCGAAGAAACATTACCGGGCGTTTCTGGTTCCCATGGTGGCGGCTTTTTACGACACGTGTCGCGCGCCGAGAGAGCTTCGAACAGCCTTGGAACCGTTATGGAAGCGGTACAGCGAGAAATTATACGAGGCGATGCGTAATGGAACACCCGAGAACGAGTTGCCAGAACCGCGAAGGTTATACGCCAACCTGATGAGCGCCAAGAAGATGAAGAAAGTAACGAATGAACCCGCCGCCTCTTCTCAACAAAAACAACAACAGCAACAACAACAGGCAAAGATTCACGCGGGTCTCACCGTCCCTCTCTCCAAAGCCAACTTGGCGTTACAACGCGGCGAGTGGCCCGTCCCAGAGGAGCGCTACTTCACCGGAGAAGCCGTCTTGGAAGATGCGACCGGAGACGCGGCGAACGCCACCACCAACACCTCCTCCATCGCCAAAGCTTTAGACTTTGACATCCCAAAACTCACGAAGTTTCTCCTCCTCTCCGCGTACATCGCCTCCAAAAACGACGAGTCCGTCGACAACCGCATCTTCATCACCGACGCCACAGGAGGCGGTAATCACCGAAAACGCGGTCGCCTCGGTCACGACCGCAACGCCGACCGCGCCGCCCGCCGCTCCTTGGAAGACGCCAACGCCTTCAAACTCGAACGCCTCCTCTCCGTCTTCCAACACATCGTCCGCCGCTCGTACGAAGAAAACGGCGCCGACCTCGCCGACCTCGAAGAAGAGCTCCTCTCCGCCGATGTCTTCACCCAAATCTCCAGCGCAACCTCCTTAGGTTTGCTCGTGTTGAGTTCCGGCGACGCCATGTGCGGCGGTAAATATCGCAGCTGCGTCTCGGACGAGCTCGCCGAGAAGTTGAGCAAAAATCTCGCCGTCGATTTGAAGCTTTACATACACTACATTTAACAGAGTAGAAAGCTCTCGTCTTCCCGCGTGTAATATAACAGTAGCAGTACTCCTCCTCCTCCTCCTCCTCCTCCTCTTTTTAAAATCTCTCTTTCTTCTCTCTTCATCTCTCTCTGCACTAAAACAGTGCGCTCTTAAAAAGACGCGTTGTTGTTCTCGCGTTGTCTTTTCTCGTTTTCCTTTCCTTTCACCATTTCAAGTGTTTTTTCCGAGAAGAAAAACCAAAAAAACTCACGCGAGAGTTTCTTTCTTCACTTTTATCCTCTATTTAATAAAGGCTCTATCTTTTACTCTTCGCGCGCTTGTTGTTTACGAGACGACTCGCGACGCGACACCAAAAGCAGCAGCGCAGTATTATTGCCTCTCGCGCGCGTGCGTGTACGTCACGCGTCTTTCTTTCTCTTTCTCTCTCTCTCGTTCTGTTTCGAAGAGCGAGAATAAGAAAAAGAAGAAAAAATATCACGAGGTTCGAGAAACGTCTTTTCGTCCGGGGCTTCTTCTGAAAAGGACGAGATCAAAACATCGTCTTCATCAAACTCCGGCACGAAGAAGAAGAAGAAGAAAACCAAGGAAAGCAAGAAAAAGAAGAAGCCATCTGAACCAAAGATGTGTTTGGAAGGCGCGATCACTCGCGAGCAGCGAGAGCGGTTGGAACAAACCGAACGCGAAGACTTGGAGAAGGCGTTTTCGAAGAAACTTTCCCTGGTGGATGATGGGAAGAGCGGGGGCGGGAGAAAAGCCTCCTCCTCCTCTTCTTCGTCCAAGAAGAACGCCGATGCCGCGACGACGGAGTCTTCTGATTTGAGAGAGGTGATCGAGAAAAAGCGAGCTGGGGCGAGCGCCGAAAAGGGCGTCGGGAAGAGCGGTGAAAAGGTGAACAAGGAGCAGCAACACGCGCAGTCGCCGTCGACGAAGAACTCGAGGCAACGCCGGGCGGAGATGAGGAAAGAGAAGAGAGAAGGCGCGCAGGAGACGAAGAAGAAGAGCAGCGATAAGAGCACTTCCGTTGCGCAAGCGGCGACAGCGGCGAGCGAGAGTGGGAAGAAGAAGAAGAAGGAGAACGACGTCGGCGGCGAAGCTTTGGAGGTGCTGAAGAAGTCGCAGGAAGAAGCGGCAAAGATGGAGAAGAAGAAGAAGGAGGAAGAGGAGAAGAGTACGGCGGACGAGGAAGGTCCTCCCGGGTATCCGCAACCGAAATATTCCGATTATCTCGCCAAGAAGGAAACAGAAAAGGAAGAGGAGACGAAGAAGAAAGAGTACACGTCGCCTTTCGCGCACATTTTGCAGTGCGCGCCAACGCCGTTACCGCCGTCCTTTGATACGCCTCAAGGTGCCAGAGGGGAAGGTTTTGTTCTCGGCGATCGCGATAAGGTGCCGACCTCTCTGTTCAATGTCGACTCCACGTGGCAAGGATCGGCGGCGTTCGCGCCGCCGACAAAGTTGACGAGAGAGTCCATCAAATCGATTCCGTCGTTTACTCCCGGCACGCCGGTGAAAACTAATAACAACAACAACAACAACAACAAACCGCGCGAACGCATTCCGAGAGAGGAAAAAGACGATCACCTCACGGCGAACGATTTGTACAAAACCGAGCTCTGCCGATCGTGGATTGAAACCGGCGAGTGCCGATACAACGACAAGTGCCAATTCGCGCACGGTCGCGACGAGTTACGCTGCGTCGTGAGGCACCCAAAGTACAAAACGCAAGTCTGTCGCACGTATACGACCACTGGTCAGTGCCCGTACGGCAACAGATGCCGTTTCATTCACGAAAAGCTTCCCGAAAAAGGCGTCTTGGGTACACTCGCGACCAACGGGCACTACGTGATCACGGAAGACTGGAAACCGGGCGGAGGCAAAGATCCTCTGTGTTTGCGTAAAAACGTCTCGGGAGAGTTTGGCGACATCGCCGTCACCGAGGACAGTAAAGACGAGGATAACACGCCGAAAAGGTTGGGCATTTTCCGACACATCACGCACGATGAATCGTTATCGTTATCGGAAGGCCAATCTTCGCCGCCGTCCTCGCCGACCTCCGCTGAGGAAGGCGAGATTCGAGGCGCGCGTACCTATCAAGAACAGGATCAACAACACCAGCGCGCGAACCAAAACCTGGAATTCGAAGGATTCGCCGGACCTATTCCTCGCACGCCGGATTTGAGCAAGAGATACTTCTAGAAGCGCTCCGAGAAAGAAGAAGAAAGGGAAGAAAGAGAGAAAGAGAGACACGCACATATATTTTAGCACGAGAGAGAGACACGCGCACAAAGAGAACGATCTTTATATATATAATATAACATATATATCGAGGAAGAAGAAGAGAGAGAAGGGAGGAGACGTACAGGGCAGAGAGAAGGTTTCTGCGCGTAAAAGACACGTCTTCGTTAGTATTTGTAATTGTAATAAACGCATATAATTATTTCTCGAGAGAAGGAGCTCCTTTTCGCGTATTTTTTACAATGTCTGAAACCCTAAATACAGTCACATCCTCTCCCTGGAAAAAAGAAGGACGTTTCCACAAAGATCTCTCAAAGAAGAAGAAGAGGACGAAGACGAGACCATCATCGACCCGTCGTGATGATGCTCTTTCCTTCTCTCCTGCTCGAGGACGACGACAACGACGACGCACCGAAACCAGCGTCTGGGGGGGTTGTTTTTTACGACGATCCTCCCGTGTTTTTCGAGGAGGAGGAAAAAGAAGAAGACAAAGAAGAAGAATTCGCCGCGTCGATGATTTTCCATCCGATGGATGGAAAAGAAGAAGACGGGAAGAGGAGAAAGAAGACGAAGAAGAAGGAGAAAGAACCTTTACCGAATAATACTAAGAATAAACGAGTTCGAGGAGAGACGAGAGTGACGACGACGACGCGTTGTTCGGATGGATCTTCGTACGATGATGATTTTGCGACGAATCGGAAGGTGGATGCCTACGACGACTGCTCGGAGGAGTGCTTGCGCGAAGTCGTGTTGAAGACGATGTCGGAGAACGAACGAGAGAATCGAGAGAAAGAACAACAACGAGAGGACGTGGAGATGGGAGCGACGACGACCAAAACGAGAGAGGAGTATCGTCCGTCGAATAGCGAAAATTACAGCAACAACAACAACAACGAGAACGGATTCGACGCGTTCGATTTGGACGATTTTATGGCAGACTTTGTGCCGCCGGAGGAGATTGGTCTGCCGCAAATGAAAGACTCGAACGGAGATGTTTTGAAAGAATCCGAAGCGCAAAGGAAGGATCGGTTGAGGAGAAACAGAGAGGCGGCGCAGTTGTCTCGCGCGAGGAAGAAGCGGCAGTTGGAGGAGTTTGCAAACGCGGCGAAGGTTTTTCGGGAGCAGTTTTTGCATTCGAACGCGCTCGTTGGGAAGTTGGTGAATGAAAATCACGTTTTGAGAATGCACTTGGCGCATTTGGCGAGGTTTGTTACCCCGGCGGCGGCGACGGAGGCGCAGAAGATGAATTTACCGCCTTTGCCGCCGCCAACTTTGACGATGCAGCATTTGCAACAACAACAACAACAAAATCTGGTTACTTTGAGGCCTGCACCCGTAGCCCCTTCAGCGATGGCACCGGGAGGAAAGATTTTGATCCCGCCGTTCAATCCGCACGCGTACGCCAAGGCGGCAGACGCGAACACTAGCAATAATAATAATAATAACAACAACAATGGCAACGGTCAAAACTCAAACACGAACTCGCCAAAGCGACAAAGAACGAAGAAATCTTCAGTCGTGGCCACGGCGACAGCGCTCGCGCTCTCAACCGCGTGCGTTTTGAACAATACGAACAAAGCCGCGACGGTTGTTGCGAGAAGTGGTACGGCTGCTTCTATAGCCACGAATGTTGGGCGCTTGGCGACGCGACATCTGACCGCTTTACCGGGATCCTTCGTGGATTCGCTGGAAGGCGGTTCTGAAGACGTCGGCATCATAGCCTCTCCGGATCTCAAACAAGCGCTTGAAATGAACTGGACCATGCCCGATCAAGCCGAAGTGGAGGAGAACAAGCACTCGAAAGCGCTCGCGTTTGCCTCGGAAGCGATTAAAAAATTGTCGTTTGATGACAACGACGACGACGACAAAATGAAAGTGAAAAGGGAGGAAACGGCGATGAATTTATGGTCGAAGGAAGACAAAGAAACTCGCACCATGCTCTCGGACAAAGAAGCAAACAAAATCGACCCGTGGTTTGCCGCTTTTCGCGCGGCGAGAATGCACGACGTCATTCAAAAGATGTCTCGAGTCGATTGCGCCGAAGTCTTTCAGTATAAGCTTCAACCGGAAGAGGAGGAGGACGTGAACGAGCAAACTATGTCTGACGCGGCGAACGTAATCACAAGTGAGTACGAATCGCCCGAGCAACGCATCGCGAGAAAACGCGCGTCTGGAGCGATTCCGTTGGACGACGGTTCGGGGTATCCGCAAACGACGACTTCGCACACAGTCTTCCAATCGGAAACGAAAACCACCGCAACGTCGTCTGAGGACAAGAACAACAATAATCCGTCTTCATCCATCGTATCCATGCTGTTACCCCCGTGGGAAATGACGAACGGTGCGAACGATAAAAGCGCGGCAGCAATGTTGCGACGTTTGACGAAGACGTTCATCGTCATGTTCTCCAAAGACACCGGTACGTACACGACGTACGCGTGTCGATTACCAATCGCGAATTTGTAAATAGCCATCAGTCATTTGTAAATACTTAAACTATTTTAGGATCTTATCACAAAAGCTACTAGTGTTACAACACATGCTTTCGCTCTGCTCTACTACGCTTCTACTATCGATACATTTGTTTTATGTTATTGTTTCTCTCTCTCTCTCTCTCTCTCTCTTTTACTTTTCTCCAAACGCCGCCCGGATCGTATTCTGGTTCCTGGTAAGCGGAGATTCTGGAACGGCGAGTTCTCTCTGTTGGTCGATTTTCTTGACCATTTTAGCCATCTCCACCTCTTGGCTGCTTTTTTTGTTACCGCTCGCTTTCTTCTCTTCGTTCTCTTTCATCATCCTTTCCTTCTCTTCGAACCAAGTGGTGTTATGTTCCGGCTGATGATCCGTTTCGAAATCGATGTGCACAAACGCTCTTTCCACCTCGGGTAACTTTTCGATGCGATCTTGCAACGCCTCACCGATATCGTGCGCGACTCTTACGCTCATATCTTCCGGCAACACCACGTCCACTTCGACGAAAAAAGCTGGTCCAAACGTGTACGCGCGAACGGTATCGACGCCTAAAATTCGCGGATCTGAATTCCAGGCTAAATACGTGAGTTTCGTCAAAAATTCCGGCGGCGCCGATAATCCGACCATAGCTTTGATGTTCTCCAAAGCAGTCACCGACCAGTTTTGCACGATGTACGCGGCTAAGATCATCGCACCTAGCGGATCGACCCAATAATACAGCCTATCCCCGATAATAGCCGCGATCAAACCGAACGTGTTCGTAATCACATCGTTCCTGTGATCTTGCGCGTACGTCTGCACGCTCCTATTCCAACTCCCCCGACAATACAGGAACAAGAAAAATTTCACCACGATGACTCCAATCATGACTCCAATCACCAACTGCAAGTCCTCCAAGTGATGCGTGTGTTCTTTCCCGACTAATTGCTGCACGCCTTCGATGAACACTTGAAACCCGAGGGTCCCCATGATGCACGCAAAGACTAAAATCCCGAGCGGTTGCATCCGACTCTTCCCGATCGGATACAAATACTTATTCATGTTTTGCATGTGCTTATCCGTAAAGTACAAAATCAACCCGGAGACTAAATCTAAAAACGAATCCAACGCGCTGGTTATGATCGAGAGCGACCCCGACTGCACCGAGGCGAAAATTTTCACCGCCAACAACAGAACGTTCACGTAAAAACTGATGCGCAACGCCAAAGTCTCCTGCTTTTTCCGTTCTCTGAAATCCGCGTCGGCTCGGAGCAAATTTTCTCCTCCTTCTCCATCCTCTTCGACGTCAACAGCATTACCACCAGATGATGACGATCGCGCCGCCGACGATAAAGGATGGTGATGCCCATCACCACCGCCCCCATACGTCGTCCGCTCGATGAAATTCTCCAACTCTTGGAACTGTTCGACGATTCGCGTCTGTCGGGAATAATACTTCGCGACGGAACTTTTCGGATTCGAGGATTGATCCGTCAACGAAGGCAAACGGTTACGAAGACCCTCGAGCTGTTCTCGGCGGTAGGACGAGCCGGAGTCAATCAGTGGGTGGTGGTGGTGGTTGGTGTTCTGTTTTTTTGCGGTGTTGCCGTGCGGAGTGACCGCATCGTCCGCGTCGTTTCCCATTATTGTTAAACGTGTGTTTGTGTCTTTTTTTGTGAAGAGGATATGATATATAAAAAATGTCGGATGAAAACGATGCTCTCAACTCTCTACTTTACATACGCGTTGCAATCATTGAATCACTCTCGATGATGGTTTTTCGATGACGATGGTAATGATGGCGAGTTCTTCGATGCGTCTTCTCCATCTCTCTCGATGGCCGAGTTTCGCGCCTCTCGTCGTCGCTAGAATTGACCCTTGAAGGACTTCCCGCCTTTTTTTATTCTCTTCCCTCGATGCATCAACTCTCCTCTCTCGATGGCTAAGTTGAGCGCCTCCAACTGTCCGACGGTGTCTACTCCGTGCACGGCGTCTTCGACCCACCCGAGTTTGATTTTATATCCCGCCTCGATGACTTTGTTTTGTTCTAAATCCTCGCTGATTTGTAACATTGATTCCGGCATGCGCACGTATTCCGGAAGAAAATCCGCCCGGTACGAGTAGATGCCCAACTTTCTTAAATACTTTGTATCTGGATCGTACGTCCCGCTCTTGTTGTGAGGGATGATTGCTCTGGAGAAGTAAAGCGCGTTCATGTTTCTATCGACGACCACTTTGACGTTGTTCACGCCTTCCACGTCCTTCCTGTCAATCGCCGGTCGGCACAACGTTCCCATGCACACGTCGTCCTCCTCCGCCTCGCAGACGATTTGAGCGACCAAATCAATATGTTCCGGTTCAATAAACGGTTCGTCTCCTTGAATATTCACGATCACGTCGTACTCTTCTCCTTTTTTAATGCACTTTTTGTACACTTCCAAACACCGCTCCGTCCCGTTCACGCACTCCGGATTCGTCAACACGCATATCCCGCCAAAACTTTCAACCACTTTTTTAATCCTCGCGTCGTCCGTCGCCACGATGCACAGATCTAACGCTCTCGATTTGCACGCGTTCGTGTACGTGTGCCAAATCATCGGTTTCCCGGCGATGTCCGCGAGCGGTTTCCCGGGGAATCTCGTCGAGCCGTACCGAGCCGGGATGATCCCAAGAACCCGAGGTTGCTTTTTCTTGTTTTGCTCGTCGATGGATGCCGGTAAACGCCCGCTCGGGCCGTCGTGTTTGTGAGATCGCGCTAAGGCGGCTTTTTTCGCGCGGTAGTCCACTTTGCCGTCTTGTTTACCAGGGGTGAATTCTGGGTGGTTCTTGGATTGGCCGCAGCCCATTTTGTTTCGTTTTGTATGTGTTTTGCGCGAGCGCGGAAAGTGCGGAAAGAAATGTCGTTTCCCGACCTTTTGTGAAACGCAGATATTTATACTTTGATTTTATGGGGGGGGGGGGTATATTGTTGTACAAGTCTCTCTCTCTCTCTCTCTCTCTCTCTCTCTCTCTCTCTAAATCGTGCTGCGTTGCGTGCTATCTTTAGTTGCTATCTTCGCGTGTTCTTTTTCTCTCTCTTTCTCTTTCTCTTTCTTTCTCTCTCACTCTTTTCTTTCGCGCTTCGGGGTGCGCATAAAGGACGTTTCGATATTAAAAGAAGCCGCCTCGGCCGAAACCTCCGGATCCTCCCGGTCCACCGAATCGATTCTCCGGTGGAGGTGGTCCGCGCGTATGGAACCTATCCGGTGGCTCGCGACCGTTTGGGGTCGGTAAACCTCCTGGCATGCCGCCCGGGACGCCTTCGAATCCGGTAAAATCGCCAGCACCGTTCGGATCCGGGAAGAGATGCCCTCTTCCTCGTCCCGGACGCTGAGGAGGACCACCGATACCTGGGATGGATCCAGGAGGCGGTAACGGGTTGAAACCGCCGGTTGGATCTGGGTTCGGGTACAAATCGTACGCACCGCCGGTTATGCCGGGAACAAAACCGGGGAAACCCGGGACGATGTCGCGGTGCGGGTAGGACGGGCGATAATTGTTGTTCCCTCCCCCCTGGCGTCCTCGTCCTTGTCCTCGAAACGACATGTTTTCGCGCATTCTATTCATAGACTCCTCTCGAATTCGCGCTTCTTCGCGTTCTCTTTGGTTTTGTATTAATCGTTTGTATTCTGCTTTCGGGACAATCTCTCCTCCGTTTGGTCGAAAATCGTCTTTCGTCCTCGTCTCCGCCGCTCGAACCGCGCCGGCGACCAGTCTCCCCGCGTCCACTTCCATCGCCTTCACTTCACGAACAATCCCAGGAAACTCTCGTTCAATCGCGTTCAAAAAGAGTGCATCTTGTTTTCTCTCGTTCTTTCCATCGACGACAGCTTTAAACGCTTTACACGTCGCCGTCAACGCGCACAAATCCACCCCTCGAACTTTGGTAAAAATCCGTTCCAACAACTCCTTCGGCGTCGCGCGTAAACTCGGCGGTTCTCTCCTATTCGGCACCGTCGCGACGGCTTCCGCGTACGCTCGGTAGATTGGATCGAACATAGACTCGGAAAACAGTTCGTGCACTTCGATGTCCGATTTATCGCGCAAAAAGTCCTCCTCGCCCCTCTTCTCTACACCGTCCCCGAACGCCTTCTTCGCGTCGAATATCTTCCCGCCGTTACCTCCGGACGACGACGAATACGTCTCCTCTCGAAACGTCGCGAACGTCACAAACTTCCTGGAAGAGTTCTTCTTTTCGCCTCCTCCTCTCTTCGTCCAATCGCACGCTTGGAGCACGATATCGAACCGAGTGGTTATTCGTTCCTCGGGCACGGCGACGTACGTTCGCCTCTGCACGGGCTTTAACTCCTTTTCCTCTTCCTCGTCTTTCAAAACGGTCGCTCCTAGGCTCAAAGCGTACGCGTGCTGCGCGAGAATCGTCAGTTGGTGGTACGTAAACGTGCCTCTCCCGTCGTCGTCGTCGTCGTCGTCCTTCTTCTTCTTCTGCGCTTCTGCTCGACACGAACGAGCGAACTGTTCGCGGAATAACGCGTTCATTTTTTAAGTCTCGCGCGCGCGCGTACAGTGTGTAAAGCGCTTGATGATGATGCGCAGAGAGAGAGAGAGAGAGAGAGAGAGAGAGAGAGAGAGAGAGAGACGATATCTTCGTTTTGTGATTGAATGTAATAACGAGTGAGTGTGTATCTATAGCGCGCGCGATTCGATTTTTAGGGGAGGAAATGACGCATGTATTTAGGGTTTTATAAAAACCCTAAATACTTCCTTTAGTAAAGTCTAGGGGTTTGACGCGCGCGACTCTCTCACTCTCTTTCCGGCAGCAAAGAGCACTCGCACGCTTTGCGTAACATACACAGAACAACGAGAAAGAGAAGAAAATGGCAGGCAGTGACCCAACCTCGGTGAAACCGAACCAATTCGTAGAACTCCACGGCCACGCGAGAGAAGTCGTCGAAAAGACGTTCAAATTCTCCCCGAGAACGTTAGGGGTGATCGGGATTTTCGGCATCGCGGTGCCGTATTTGTTATACCAAGGGTGCGTGAACGAGTTTCACGCCGCGGACGATAAGTACAACAGGGAGAGGAAAAAGTTCATGTGATAGAGAGTAAAGAGAGAGAGAGAGAGAGTATTCCTTAGCCTTGATAGAAGTCTTGTTTATATAAATCAGTAGTTTTTGTCCGCATTCTTCAGAATTTCCCCGCCTTATACAACACAACAAACACTACTAAATGCTGGGGCTCTTCTTTCGAAGAGCCGCTTCTGCCGCGAAAACGACGAGAGAAAGGTCGCTGAATCTGTCGCTGCCGGGAAAAGGAGGAGGAAAAGGAAAGACGACGAGTTTTGGGAGTTCTCATCATCAATCTTCGAAGACGTTCCATTCGTCGTTCTTCGGAGATGCGAAAGCGTTTTCGTTATTCGCGGCTCGGTCGGGTTTCGTGAGAAAGAACAGCAGCAACAACACGAACAACATCAGAGAGAGAAGCATAAAAAGAGAGTTCTTCACGCGAGGCGAACGAGATTCGTATGATAATTATTATTCGCGGGGGGGATATACTACGACTACGAATGAGAGCAGAAGGGACACCTCTGTGGTGTGGATGCTGATTGGAGCGAATACCGCGGTGTACTTGGCGTGGCAAGAACCGGAGAACTTTAAGACGATGAGGACGCATTTTTTGGTCTCGGAGAGTTCTTTGGCGAACGGGTACTGGCACACCGCGTTGACGGCGGCGTTTTCGCACAACTCGTTCAATCATTTGTTCGGGAACATGTTTACGCTGTATTTCTTCGGCAGAGATGTGGCGTTGGCGTGCGGAGGAGCGTATTTGCTGAATTTATATCTCGTTGGTGGCGTGGTGTCGAGTTTAGCGCACGTCGGGTACGAGAGGTACGAGAGACGGAAACGTAAACCGCACGTTGGATTTTTCGACAAGAGAGAACACGAGAGTTTCTTCTCGTGGTTCGACGAGCGCATGGATAAAATCGCGAGGTTAGCCGCGCCGGCGAGTTTAGGCGCGTCTGGAGCGGTAAACTCGATCATTGCCATGAGCGTGATGATGATGCCACACCGGAAGATTTATTTGTACGGAATACTTCCGTTGGAGTCGTGGGTATTCGGCGCGATGTTCTTGTTGAGAGACTACGCAGGATTAGGAACTCAAGACGGGATTGGACATTCGGCGCACTTAGGAGGAGCCGCGGTTGGTGCTTTGGCATTTTTGTTGAGGAATGGCAGAATGATACGATAGAATACATAGAGTAGATAGAGTAGTAGATGCAAAATACTTATATTTTTACATTCTTTCACTCGCAAATCTCTTAGTTAAACAAAAGTAATCAATGCGCTGGCGAAGCTGTGTTGTTTTTTGCGGTGTGTTTCTACATTTCTGTGTTTCTAAATGGTTTTATTTCTTTATCCTCCTCTTCTCGTGCGCTTTGGAGCAGGCGCGTCGGCGTTGGCGCCTGCTCCTTCTCTTTGACCATCAGATCCGCCGCCTCTGCGTCTGTTGGTAGCGTCGGGAGCAGCCGTGGCAGCGCGGTTCGCATTCGCTCGTCTCTGCGCCGTTCTCCTCGCCACCGTCGCCGCCGTAGGTTGACGAGGAGCGGTAGGAGTAGCTCGAGACGACGGCGGGGAGGGGCTAGGCGCGCCGACAACTTGACCATCCCTCATGAACTGGTTCAGGGCTCTCTCAAAATTCTCGGCAAACTCGGCTGTGCCTCTCTCGCGAAGTTCGTTGCGAATCATCTCTGTGTTGGCAGAAATGAGAGCCGATGGCGCGGACTGATGGCCTTCCGGCAGGTTTCGCGGAGGGGGCGCCCAGCCAAGGTGGCGAATGCCATCAAAAGAACCAACATCGTTTCTTTCGGCCGGAGGAGAAGACGGTTGGGCCGATTCGGGATCCTGCATTGTATATCTATGCATTTGCGCGAGAGTTGCTGGCGATACCATCGCTGGAATGACCGTGGCAAACGCGCTTGAACGATCCAAGTATACCGTTCGCGGTAAGCGGAAACTTCGCGATGCACTCACGTTTTGCGTGTAAACGCCGTTGCCAACCTCAGTTCTTCGCTCGTTTCCAGCTGGTGCCGCAGCACGCGCCGGTGCCCCCGTCGCCGCGGCCGTCGCCGCTCGGATCGAATTCATATATTGAATCGTCGATTGTCTTCTCGCGCTAGCCGGCGAAAAAGAGGGAGCGAACGCTGAAGCCGGTAAGGCCGCAGGGGCGACCGATGATACGCCGCGCGCCAATTCCGTCCAAAGTGCGCCAATCGCATGCATTTGGCTCGCAAGTTCGAGAATTTCGCCATTTATGACGGCTTGTGCATTATCATCTCGTCTCTCCTGCGACGAGGACGCGTTCGGAGCGCTTTGAAAAATGTCACCGGATCGCACGCGTGCGCTCAACTGCGTGAGCTGCGGGATAAGACGCTGTGCAGATCTCGATGCAACATCGAGGGCGGTTGTCAACGCGTCGACGTCTCCTTGCGCCGTTGAGATACCGTTTGCAAAGGTATTAGCGTTTGCGTTATCACTCGCAGCACCGGGGACAGCGTTCGTAGTTGTTTCGTGCGTGAAAACCGGGGCAGCTTCTGGGACGAAATCTTCGGAATCGGATTCCGAGTCGTCGCCGAACAAGGAAATTTCTCTCCCATCCATCAAACCAATCGGTAACGGATAGACTAATCGATGGAATTGCAACGCACTTCTGTCTACTCCTCCGTACAATCGAGAATGGCACTCCGAACACAAATCGTAGTCATCTCTGTTTGTGCACTTGTATCTCGCGCCGCGAATTGGCATCACGTCGCATGCATCACAGCAGACGCCGTGATGCACGACGCTTTCGAGATGTTCGTCTTCTTGTGGGTTCTGTTGCTCTTGCTGCTGCTGCTGTGAGGCCGCTAAATGTCGATCTAGCCGCATGGCGTAGGTTGCAAGCGTTTGCGCGGGATTCGTGCGGGAATTTCTTCTATTACTGTTGTTGTTGTTGTTGTTGTTGTTGTTGATGTTGATGTTGGTGGTGGTGGTAGTATTTTGTTCTCTCGCCGCTGGCGGTGGCGCGCCGTTTCCTGTTCCTCTTTCTGCATCTTCTCTCCTTCGTCTCGGCGGCGACGAGAACATCATCGGGAAACCATCTGGCATCATCGCGCCCATCTCAATTTCCACCGCAACCGGGCCGTCCGGAGTATCAAAGACTTGCGTATGAACGGATCCGTTGGCGCCAAAACCGTCCTCGTCGGTTGGGAATCTAGGCGGTTGTAACCCGTGAGTTGGTCGCCGCTCTCTCGACGACGACGAAGTTCGGTTATTCGATGAAGGATTTGTTCCAGTGTTGGTGTTTTGTCCCCTTCCTCGGCGCTCCTCCGCCCGCTGACCTGTCGCATCGGCGCGCGGTTGAACCAACCCGCCACCCGCGCGGTCTGCTCCTACTATCTGCGATAGAATCATGCTTCCAATTCTTTGCGGATCGAAAGCTTCCGGATTGGTCCCGCTAAACGCCATGCTTCCTAACATCCTCGCGTTCGGTGGCATCATCATGTTGGTCATCCCGCCGACAACCTCCACGCCCGGCGGTAAACCTGGAATGTTCAACCTTTGAAACACAGCCTCGCCGCCGCCGCCGCCGACGGCGCGGCCCATAACTTCCTCGATGGACCGAAGACCGGAACCCCTCCCTCTCATCCCATTCTCCCGATTATGCGGCGCGTGCGGATCATTCCTCAACCCTTCCGGCGTCCTCGCCGTCGCGGACTCGGGCGCTTTCCTCACCATCAACAACACGTCGTTATTTTCCACCGGCGCCGAGGATAAGCTCGTCTCGTCCGCGACCAAGCGACCTCGACACAAAATCCGCTGTTCCGCGGGTTTCACTCCAGATTTCGTTTCCACCAGTTTCTTCAGAGCGAGGATTTTCGTCTGTTTCAGATTGATGTAACACGTAGCGCGAAAGCGTAGATTGTGGAAAAGAGTGTCAGTCAAAGTCAAAGTCAAACACCAACTCTTTCGCTTTCCCCGAGGTTGAAAAGACGAAGAAGAAGAACCGCAATCGAAACGTTGTTGAGGACAGAGAGAAAGAGAGAGAGAGAAAAGAGGGAAAGAAACGCGTGAATTCATCGAAATTCGCGCTTTCGTTCGTTCTCCTTCTCGCGTCTTCTTCTGCGTCGTTCACTCTCGACGGGATGCGTTACACGAGAATTGGAAACGAGATCTTCTCTTCCCTAACGCGCGAGAAGCGACTCTAACACGAAGAAGAAGAAGAAGAAGAAGAAGAAGACTAAAGAAGAACGAAGCGCAGAGAAAAGAAACGAACACGCTTGCGCGTCAGAACAACATAACGTACCGTCGCGCACAAGGAAAACTCGTACTCCCCGACCGGGTCTTGCGAGCGGACTTTGATCTTCAACAACCGCTTTTCCCCTAAGGAGGAAGAGGAGGGTCCTTTGGTCGTCGCCGGGGCCGACATCTCTCTCTCTCTTTCCCTCTGAAGTCTCTCTCTCTCTCTCGGAGAGTAGTAGTAGACGTGCGTGTTGTTTCTGTCGCGTGTGTGCGTCTCTCTCTCTCGTCTCAGGCAAAAGGAGAAAGAGTAAAGGAAAACTCTGGGGAAAAAGTTTCCTCACTTTTCTGTTCTTTTTCCTCTTCATACAAAACCACGCGCACATATACACAGAGAGAGAGAGAGAGAGAAAGAGAGAAAAGAAGCGAGACGCGTGTGCTCTCTCGTTATATCACTCGTGAAAGTGTGCGCGCGTGAGTGCGCATAAATCAGCCGTAAACGCGAGAGAGAGAAAGAGAGAGAGACCGATGGGAAAATGGATACAAACGGTGAAACGTTTCCCTCTTCTGTTCCTCGCGTTACTCTTCCTGACGACGTTCGTGACCTCCTCGATGACGGCGATCGATTTTGTCCTGAACCGAAATATGGGGTTAACTTCTGCGCCGGAAAAAATCAACCGATACTACGCTTTGACGTTCGCCACGTACGCGATGAAACCGGTGTTTGCGTTACTGAGCGATTGGTTTCTGAGTCGAAGCTCGAGTCGTGATGAAAACGACGAGAAAGAAGGAGAGACGACGAGGCGAAGAGAGAGAGGACATCGCGCGAAGTTCGCGAGCGGGTGTTGTATTTTAGCCGGCATATTTCAGTTCGCGTTATCCTTTGCGAAAACGCTGAAGGAAGTGTACGGGTTTGGGATCTTGATGACCGCGTGCGTGAGTGGGGCGTACGCGAGTTTGGACGGGATATTAGTGTGCGCGGCGAAAGGGACGAAGACGATTGAGACGACAACTTCGGGGAGAAACGAGGAAGAGATGCGACGGATGGGCGGCGGAGAAAGAGAAGGAGGTGGTGAAATAAACGCAGAAGAAGAGGCAGAGGAAGTACGCGCGATTGAAGAAAGAGAGAATAACGCGCATAATTCGAAATCAAAGAACAGACGGATAACGCAGGTGAACGTGCAAACAGTCGCCATGGCGACGCGAACGTTTGCGGCGATTTTAGGAAGCGCGTGTTCGGTTTTGTTTTTGGAGATGTTCACCGCGCGAGCGACGATTGCGTTGTCGAGTGGGTTTGCAGTTCTGGCGTCGATTTTTGCGCTGAGGATTCAAGAGGGAAAAAGGAGCGCCGGAGGAGCGCGCGAAGTGGACGAAGATTTGGAAACGAGAAGAAGAAGACGAAGAAGAGCGCAAACGTCGACGAAGAAATGGCCGTGGAGAAGATTCTTCTCGGACCGCGAATTCATCGTGCTCGCTTTGGCGTTATTCATCTACCGAATCACGCCAACCGCCATGGATACGTACAATTCGTTCATCTACTCCATCTACGACAAAAAACTACCAAACAGTGCCTTTGGTATGTTTCAATTCTTCTCCAACGTCGGCGCGCTGTTCGGCGCGTTTGCGTTTTCCTTCTTCCACAACAAATACTTCGTCGAAAAGAAGCAACAACAACGAGACGACGGAAATCTTCCTCCTCATTCTCCTCCTGGAAGAATAGGAGAGTTACCATCATCATCATCATCGTCAAGATATGCAAACGCTCGAATCCGACAAAAACAACTCCTCCTCCAAACGCCTCGATCGAAAATGAACGTCTTCCTCCTCGGCGGCGTCGCCGACGTCGGCTTCCAGCTCGTGCGACTGTTCGCGCTTTACCACCCGCCTCAAATTAACCAACGCAATAGCGGTATGCGCGCGGCAATCATCCTGTCCATTCTGGAACTCGTCATCTCCTTCGGCTCTCGCTTCGCGTACATGCCCATCGTCATCCTCTCCGCCGTCGTCGCCGAAAAGTGCGAAAGCAAAGAAGCCTTCTCTTTCTCCGCCTTGGTCTTCTTCGCGGACCTTTCGTCCATCTTCGCCGGCTTCATCGCCGCCGATATCGTCGAGCGATGGAAAATAGGCGCCGCCGTTAAACGAAAGTTGGACATGATGTACATCACCGGACGCTCCTGGCGTCCTCTGAAAAACTTCGTCTACTTATGCGCGTTTTTAAAACTCTCGGCGGTCGCGGTGACGCTTTTATTGCTCAAGCTCATCTTATCCCGTTCGTCCTCTTCTTCTTCCTCTTCTCCTTCTTCTTCCTCTTCTTCCGAGGAGGACGAGGACGAGGAAAACGAAAACGAGGAGGCGTACTACGAAACGGTGCTCGCCCCGGCGGCGACGGCGGCGGCGACGGCGGCGACGACGATAACAACAGCGCGAGACGATGACGAATATAATCAGTTTAGTCCGTATAGAATCGATCGATAGATACTAGATGTGCAGTAGTATTCCTAAGATGTAGTCATCATGCCTAGTTATTTTAGTTGTAATAGTTGTAGGAGTACTCCTGTAGGAAAAAAGCTTCAGAAATGCAAGAAAAAGATACGCACGTGCGCGCGCACAAAATGACATCACGCTTTCCTGCTTTTGCTTCTCCGTCTTCTCGATAACGGAACACGACTCCTGAGAGTGAAATTTCCGTCGCTCTTTTTTTACCCGCGATGATGACGACGACGACGACTTTGACGACGACGAGAACGCGAAACGACGCGAGTTCACCATCGACATCCGTTCTTCAGTTCTCGTCGTCGTTAAGAAGAAGAACACGAAGAATTGGCCTCCGCGCTTCCCCCTCCTCCTCCTCCTCCTCCTCCTCAAAGAACGAGACGGATGAAAGAAATGAGACGACGACGACGACGATTGAAAACAACAACACTTCCAAATTGCAACAAACAGAAGTCATCACTCGCTTGTGGTCCAACGTGAACGAAAACGAGGGGTACGCGCACGAGTCTGGGTCGGTTTTCGGAAACGCGGCGTTGATTGCCGGAACCACGGTTGGGGCCGGCGTGTTGGCGCTTCCGGAAATAACCGGGCCGAGCGGGTTTCTCCCGAGTTCAGAAGTGTTGGTCGCGATGTGGATGTATTTCGTGGCGACGGGATTTTGCTTGGCGGAGGTCAACTTGGCGACGTTATGCGCGCTCGGGAGTTCTAAAGATGGGGTGAGTTTGTTTTCAGTGACGCGTTCGACGCTCGGGAATGGTGGTGCTTTGGTGTTTAGCGCCGCGTACGTATTCATGCACGAGTGTTTAACCATCGCGTGTTGTTTAAAAGGGGCGGAGATTTTGTCGAGCGGGAAATACGTCGCGGATGTTGGATTCGACGAAGCGGTTTTAGTATTTGGTGGTGCGATAGGTTTGTTCGTGGCGCTGAGCAACGAAAAAGTTTTGGATTTCACCAATCGATTGTTGGTGCTTTTTATCGTTAGCGCTTTGATCGGGTTGGTGAGTTTGTGCGTCGGTGAAGTAGACGCGGCGAATTTGGAGAGAAGTGATTTTAGCGTGGTAGGCAATACTATCCCTGGCGTAGCGGTTGCGTTCGTGTATCAATCCGTGTTGCCATCCGTGGTTTCCTCGTTGGAGGGCGACGTGCCAAAGATTAAGAAAGCGACTATTTTAGGGACCGCGGTGCCGTTGGCTATGTTTTTGCTGTGGAATGCGGTCGTTTTAGGTGCTTTATCCGGAGAAGATTTAATGACTTCAGGAGTAAATCCGGTGGATCTGTTAGCCTCGAAAATCGAAAGTGGCTACGGCACGGTGTTAATCGACGCGTTTTCCTTTAGCGCCGTGGCGACGTCCTTCATCGGATTCACCATCGGATTGAAATCGTTCATCGCGGATGGGTTACGATCGGTCGACGTGAAATCCGAACCCATATCCTACGCGTTGACGTTAATCCCGCCGTTAACTTTCGCCATCACCTACCCCGACGTCTTCATCTCCGCCATCGACAACGCCGGAACGTTCGGCGTCATCGTCATCTTTGGCTTGTTGCCGCCTTTAATGGTGTACAGTTATCGAAAATCTGCCAAAGAATTTGAATCTAAGATTACCATGTCGACCGAAATGACGCGACAAAAAGCCTTGATCGATACCATCGCTTTACCGGGTGGCGACTGGACCTTATTCGCCATCTTTGCCTTTTCCGCGTGCGTCATTTTGCAAGAGCTCGTCGAACGCGTCGGCGGGTAAAGCCGATCGTAGAAAAAAAGTTGTACATATATATTTTTTGCAGTATACTCTGCGTGTTGAATTTCCTATCGATCATCGACAAGGAGTTCTTGACGAATACGGTTGATTGGTGTGTACGCTCGTAGTATTTTCGAGAAAGGGAAGCCAAAGACCGCCGCCAAAAACTTCACTTTTTCTCTCATCATCATCATCACCAACCCATCATCATCACCGATACAAACGCGATAAACGAGCATCACTTTTAGAAAGTAGTCGTTTTGAGAGTAGTCTCATATAACATAAAATGAAAAACAAAAAGCGCAAGCAAGAGCGCCAAGCGCGTTTAGAACGGGACGACTTTGAGAATCGAATCCGGGAGGAACAGACGAAGCATCGCCACATCGACCGGACGAAAGTCTTGCTCGGCTCCGGCGGGGACGTCGCCTCGGATTCCGAGGACGAGTTCGACGAGGCGTACCAAGGTCAGTTTGGCGAGGTTTTGGAAAAAGAGGCGCTGTTTAAACCAGAGAAGAGTAAACAACATAAAGAACCGGAACATACAGGCATCAATAGGAAAGAAAAAACGCTCGTACTGACAAGTCGAGGGGTTGTCGCTCGGTTTCGCCACTTGATGCAAGATTTACTCTGTTTACTCCCGAACGCGAAGAAAGACGCGAAGATTGATTCGAAGAACGATAAAAGAGCGGTGGTGGAGTGCGCGGAGTTGAGAGGGTGTAACAACGCGATATTCTTTGAATCGAGGAAACGGCAAGATTCCTACGCCTGGTTCGCGAAGACGCCCGAGGGACCGTCGATAAAATTCCACGTGGAGAACATTCACACGATGGCGGAGTTGAAGTTAACCGGGAACCATTTGAAGTTTTCTCGACCGAGTTTACACTTCGATCCGAAATTCGACGACGAAATGCACACGCGCGTGATTAAAGAGATTTTAGTCCACTGCTTCGCGACGCCGTGGAAACACCACGCGATGAAACCGTTCTACGACCACCAGATGTCTTTTTATTGGGAAGACGGAAGAGTGTGGTTTCGAAACTACCAAATCGTCCATCCGGAAGGGAAAGAAGTGCGAGCGAACTTCTCCTCCATCGAAAACGGCGTCTCCTCCGGTGGACTCTCCTTAACCGAAGTCGGCCCGCGCTTTTGCCTCCACCCGATCAAAATCTTCCAAGGCGCGTTCACCGGGAAAGTCTTATACGAGGACGAACTCTTCGTCAACCCGAACGTGCGACGCGCGGACGCGAAGAAAAAAGATAGCGACGTCTACGCCAGAAAAGTCGCGAAAAAACAAAAAAGGAAAGCGCACGTCGCGATGAATCAGTTGAAAAGAAGAGAGGATGATTTAGATGGGTTTTTTAGAGACGACGACGCTTTTTAATGCGAGTAGTATTCATCCTCCGTTGTATCCTCTTTGTCTCAAATGTCTGTCGATTCTCGTGACTTAAAATCCACGCAAAACGACGTAAACACTCTTATTACTCTTCTACTCCTATGTTTCGATGACGACGACCAAAAGCAAAGCGTCGAAAGTATCCTCCTCCGGCGTGTCGAGAACGTTGCACAGCACGCGCAACGCGCGTTCGAAACGGACGAAACATTTACATCCAGAGAAGCGATTGGATGCGTCGTCGTCGAACGAAGAAGACCAAGGAACGCATTTGACGGAGGAGGAGGAACGAAGCGATGAGGAGGACGATTCTTTCGACGACGACCGAAGAAAAAGGGGTACGAAAAGGAGAAGGAGAAGGAGAACGGATCGGAAGGGAGGAGGAGGAGGAGGAGTACGCTCGGCGAAGAAGATTGCGGACGAATCAGAACTTTTGTTTCCTCTGAGACTCCTTGGGAAAAAGGAGAGAATGCTTCTTCTGCGTTCACCCGAGACGACGACGACGACAAGAACGGGAGTCATCAAGAAGGAGAAAACGTCCATCCGAAAACACGCGGCGGAGAACGTGTATCGATTGGTTGCGTGTTGCTTGCAGAGCGGCGATTTCGAGTTAGCGGCGCGAACGACGGCAGCGTTGTTAGCCATCAGTCGGAAGCGGATGTACCGGGAGGAAGAGGCTTTGGAGGACGGAGGACGGAACGAGGACAATGAAGAAGAGGAGGACGAAGACGAAGAGGCGAATGAGAGACGGAGGAAGAGAAAGACGTTGAGTTGGCACCATAAAGTCGAGCGGAATGATTGGGAGACGCACAAGAAGCACGAGCGATTAGCGATGAAGAGTTGTTTGGAGTTGATGAGTGGAGGTCGAGGAGGCGAAGAGGAGGAAGAGGAAGAGAGAGACGCGAAGGTGATTTATGCGAATTTATTGAAAGAGGCGAACGTTGGGGGCGAGAGGCATCAGGCGAGGTTCGAGAGCGCGTTCGGGGAGTTTTTCCGAGCCGCGAGGAGGAAAGCGAGAGAGGCGAGGGTGAGCACGGAGAAGGCGAAGGCGTTGAGGAAGGCGAAAAGGAAGAAAGCGCTGCCGCACGCTTCCCGGTTTGGCGGGTACGACGAAGAAGAGAAAGAAGAAGAAGAGAAAGAAGAGAAGGAGGACAATAAGCTAGAAATAAACCTGGGACCTGAAGTGACAGAGGCCGTGCGGTTACTCGAAGGTCGCGGCGTCAAGATGTGTAATTTCTTTCCCAAAGACAAGAAGAAAAAATTACGTTCCAGCACGCGTTTGCTCACGGATGCGGCGATGTTGAAAGTCGCGCTTTGGTTTGAATCCGTGAAAGACGAGACCGTGCGAAAACACGTGCTACGGCTGGAGATGTGTCGATCGCCACTCACGAGTAAAGAGATAGAAATGAAAAGAAGAGGTAAATCGATTGCGAAAACCCTGGATGCTAGAGCCGAGAGTGGAGCGTACGGCGACGATTCGCTACGAACGAGTGCGCTCATTTCCATTTCGAGCTTACTCGAGGCCAGGGCGACAAAAAAGAACAACAGCAACAACAACAGCAACAACGAACGACAGGACATTAATGCGAATTTTTCTTCGGCGTCGTCGAGCGACGACGCGATCAAACTTACCATAGCTTTCGCGATGCTCACTTTGGCCAAAAATCCAGCGAATTGGCAAGAACCGGAAATGACTATGGTCACCGTGGATGAGCAGTTGAGAAAGCTCGTCGAAGAGTTCCCGAACGATAAAGACGCGAGAGAGGCTTTGGCGACTTTTTTGATTCGAGCATACGCACGCGGGTATCGAAAAGACCACGCGGAAAGGTCTCGAAAAGGCTTTGCTCCGCCTAAATCCCGTCCTCTTGACTGCATGGACGCGCAAAACATAGCGAGTGCGTGTCTCGCCGCCGTGCGAGTCGACCCGACGTGCGAAATATCCACGCGCTTTTTAATGCATTGCTGGAAGTACAATTATAAAGCGGAGAATGTGCAACGCATAGAAGGAATTGATTTTTTGGAAGATGCGTTCGATGACGACGATGAAGGAAGTATCAACGAAGCGGGGGATAATTTTAGCGCGATGGATACGGCAAGCGTCGCATACATCGGAAGCGCGATTGATGTAAACGAGTTATTACACGTCGCGTGCGAACGCGTTGAGTGTTTTCCGAAAGACGAACAGTCTTGGAAATATTTGAGCACCGCGCTAGTGGGCGTCGAAACGTGTATAGGAGAAAACGACGACGCGCACGCGAGGCAATACGAGATTATCTTTCAAAACGTGAGCACGAATCGCGCGTGGTGGCCGGAACGGATGTTTGCCAATCCGAAGGAAATTACTTTCTCGAACATCGCGCTTTGCAAATACAAAGCCGTCGCGGCGTGTATCGCATTTCCGTTTGATGAAAGATGCAAGCGATACGTGAGCACCTTTCAAACTTTCCTGACAAAAAATGCGAAATCTAGTCCGAAATTCTCTAGCGTCAGATCCCTGCTTTCGTTTTTGAAGGATAGCGTCGAGGTGAAATACGAACGCTTGCTTACTCCGAAAAACAAAAAAGTTGCGCGAAAACGCGATCGAGTTACCAAATCGCACGAAGGAAAGAATAGGAAAGAAAGTGAAGACGACGAGCTGAAAGACGTAGAAGTAGACGACGCGATGCTCTAAAGATGTAAAACAGTAGTAATAGTATCTGTAGTTGTAGGTTAAGAGAAACGATGATGAAAAATCTTGAGCGCCTCAATTAATTACTCCCGCAATGCCAACGTGATCGATACGGGGCAATGGTCGCTTCCATTCATCTCCGTCAATATTCTACTGGACACCACCTTCACATGTGCGCCTTTTGCGAACATTTTGCTGCTAGCTAAGAAGTAATCCAAACGTAAACCTCTATTCTTTGGCCTGTTCCCGACTCGTTGAGACCAATACGTAAACCACCCGCTCTTCCCAGGATGGAAATAGCGAAAGCAATCTTTCATATCGCACTCTCTCGTCATCACTCCAAACGCGTTCCTCTCTTCCGGCGTCGTCCCTGCTGATTTTGGAATGTGTTTTGCGTCTACGTTATAAATGTCGATATCTAGATGCGCCACGTTTAAATCACCGCCGTAAATCGTCGGTTTCTTCGCCTGCAACGCGTTCAAATGCTCGCGACACTCTTTTTCCCACGTGTTGATTCTCCAATCCAAACGGTCCAGCTTTTGCCCGCTGTTTGGAACGTACGTGAATAGTGCGTTGAACGATTCGTATTCCAAAGTAATCGCGCGGCCTTCCGAGAGATGTTTCCCATCGAGCAACCCTTCCGTGACTTTTAAAAGCCTTGATCCGTCGTATCGCCTCGCGGCGGCGGCGTTCGTAGGGATTGGCGCTTCCTTCTTCTTCTCGCTCGCGCCGCCGCCAAACATATCCTTAATCGACGTTTGTTTCATCGGCGATTTCCCACCTTCTTTTTTTCTCGCCTCTTCGCACTCGCCCTTCGCCAAAACACAAACTCCAGCGTACCCTTTCTTCGCCGTCGAACACGCAAACTTCACCGTCGTAAACTCAGGCAACAACTCCTTCAACTGTCTCGTCGCCTCCTCCACGTTTTCCGGATTAAGCTTGTGCTCGGAGAACATCATCGCGTCGCACTTCGTTTCGTCCGCAATTTTTCGTAAACATTCGGGTTTATTCTTTAACAAAGCGCGCAAACCGGCGACGTTGAACGCCACCGCGGTGAAGCGACGCTTCGTTTCGTCGTCGTCGTCTTTGAAATCTTCGTCTGCGCGTTCCAACGCATCTCGGGGGATGATTTCTGGAATGAGCGCCGCTGCGACTTTCTTTTGCTTCTTATTCCCGTTTATGTCGTTCGCCTCGTTCTCCTTCTTCTTTTTGGTGGTCGCTTTTGGGAGAGGGGAGGACATTTTAAAGCCGACGATGATGAGAGTACTCCGCGCGCAAGTTGTGCGCAATTTCACCTCATTTCCCCAGACGAAATACCTACCACAACAGATATCAGATATCCATGTTACACCGGGGCCTCCTCCTCTTCGGAACGAAAGGGGCGACTAATCTGATCAGATGCGCGAGATGTGCGTGCGTGCGGAAGAACGCGAGGATATCGAGAATATCGACGACAATAACAACTGCTTCTTCTTCTTCTTCTTCTTCTTCTTCCTCGCCGTCGGGAAAAAAGAATCTCTCGTTGCAAACGCAGTTGGACACGAATCGAATAAAAAACAGGCGCGAATGCCTCCCAATCCCGACCGCGATTATCGCGGTCAAATCATCAGGAGGAGGGGACGAGAACAATTTGTATAAAAAGTTGGAAGTTGATTTTGAGACGAAGATTAAGCGATACAATCCTAAGTTTGAGATGATTTCCTGCCCACAAAATCCAAAGAATGAGAAAGGTATCGAAGAGCAAAAAGCGAGCGAAGGCGAGCGGGTGATGAAGAAGATCGATGCGAGAGATTTTGTGGTTTTGATGTGCGAACGAGGACAATCGTACACGTCGGAGAGATTTGCGTCGGATGTTTTGTGCAAGAGCGGGGATTTAGGCCACGGTAGGTTGGTATTTGTGATTGGAGGGCCGTTCGGGCACGGGGAGGAAGTGCGAGCGAGAGCGGACGTGTCGTTGCGATTGAGCGAGATGGTGATGAATCATCGCGTGGCGAGGATGGTCCTCTTGGAACAGATTTACAGAGCGTGGACGATTGTTCGAGGGGAACCGTATCATCATTAGCTCTTTTAAATGTCGTTAGCTAGGTAGCTTTTATTTTTTATGTATGCTTTTTAGTTATTAGTCTATAATTCTATCATTTTAACTACCGGTACACTTCTTAACTAAGTACGCGCCGCATTCTAAATGGGGTGTGTATGGAAACTGGTCAAACACCGCGAAGCGCTTCATGTCGTGCGTTTCGGAGAGGATGAGCATATCTTCCGCCAAGGTCTCCACGTTGCAGCTGATGTAGACAATGTTCTCGAATCTTTGTAGCATCTTGGAGACTTCCGGGCCGCATCCGGCGCGAGGCGGGTCCACGAGGACAGTTTTGATATTCAGCGTGGTTAAATCTAACTGAGTGTCCTTCAATCTCGTGAACACGCGTTCGCCGTCGATGGCTTGAACAACCTCTTCGGCGGATAAGCGCACGACGTGCGTGTTTTTAATCCCATTCATTTCTATGTTTTCTCGAGCGGCGGCTATGTTCGTTTTCGAAATCTCCGTGGATAAACACGTTCGAAAAAAAGGCGATAGTGCCACCGTAAAATGGCCGTTGCCGCAATAGAGTTCTAGAAAATCATTCGTATTCGAAGAAGGCGCGCAACACGAACGCGCAAACTTGAGCATTTCGGTCGCAATCTGCGCGTTCGGTTGAGCAAACTGCCCTTCCAATTGCTTATACTTCAAAACTGTACCGTCCAAGTGAACATTTTCCATCACAAACGCATTCCCTATCACCTTTCTCATCCTATTCGCTCTCCCAACAATCGACACGTTCAACTCCGGATGCATCCTATTCATCTCCTCTCGCATCCCTTCCGCCGCTTTCACCCACTCTTCGTCCAACTTCCGGTGATAACACATCGTCACCACCACGTCGCCACTCGTCGCGGTCAGAAACTCCACCTGAAAAAGCCTCCTCCTCAAATTCGCATCGTCTCGTTCCACTAAACTTCTCACCGAAGGCATCGCCGCTCGCATCGCGTCCGATCCCATCGGGAACGAATCCACCAACACCGTCTTCTTCTCCTTGTAGATTTTCCCGGACGGAAGCGTCGACGTCCCCAAAACTTCAACCATGCTATACCTCGCGTCTATTGGACCGTCTAAATGCACCCCAAATACCGCTCGCATGCGGAAACCGCCATTCGTTTGCTTCGATTTAAATATTTCAATGTTGTTACTTCCATCGCTACCGCTGCTACTCAACAAAGTTGGTGTTGTCTTAATTCGTTTTTGCAACAAAACAGCCACCGCTTTGGATATTTTCTCCCTCAACTCCTCCTCGTACCTGTGCGGGCGCACGTCCACGTCCAATCCTCGCCCTTTTTTGAAATTCGTCTTCTCTAGCTCGTGATGCTTTTCTTCTTTTTCTTTTCTTTCCGTCCCCGAGGAACTGCGACTACTCGGAGAAGAAGAAGAAGACGCTTGGGTGCGGATGCCGGCGCACGAATTGTCCCGAGGAGGAGGAATAGGAAAACGACCGAGACGACGACGACGCGAGAAAGGCACAGGAGGAGAGTAACGACGGGACGAAGAAGAAGAAGGCGTCGAGGAGAGGAACATGTTCCTCGCGCGAGAAACGAGAAGTGCCGCCATTTTTTATCCGATGTTTTATGTGTGTCTGTGAGAATGCGTTTCCCCAATGGTGCGACAAAAAGTGCAGCCCCAAAGAGGGAAAAAATGTATACAATTTCTACTACGCCCAGAACGCCGTCGCTCTCATCAATTTTGATGCTCTCATGATTTCCGAAAAGAATCCTTAAGCTGCCGCGTTAAAGGAGGACACCGCGCCGGCGAGGACTTTCTCGTGCGCGTCGACGTCGCCGAAGTAGGAACACCTCAAATCTCTCTCCTCGTCGTTATCCTCGTCGTCGTAAAACTCCTCCTCCTCCAAATTCTTCCCGTCGTCGTCGTCGAGAAACGATGATGATGCATCTGTGCTGCCGAATTGACGAGGACGACGACGAATGCTGCTCAATCCGCGTCTGGATTTGAATTGACCCAATATGGGCGGCGAGGCCGGTTTGTTCATGGCTTTCTCGAGAAAGGCGAGTCGAGCGCCCGGTCGAGCGAATAACGCGCCATTTTGGGAGAGTAACGCGAGTTTGGAGACGACGGTATTGGCGAAGGACTCGTGGAGTCGCGCGGCTTCGGCGACTGAAAGTTGCGCGAGCGCAGGGTAGGTGGAGTAGAGAGAGGACGAGGCAGAGGAACCAACGTCGCCGCCGCCGCCGCCGCCGAGGGAGGACCAAAAGGAAACGTTTTCGTTTCTTCCCCGAGCAGATGTTGTCGTCCATCCAGTTTGGAATGGTGTACCAGATGGGCGGATAATTGGTTCATGGACGGTACCGTCCAGCGCTGTCGTCGTTGTTTGTGGCGCCACGGTATCCGTCGCGTCGCGTTCCGAGTGGCTCTGCGTCGACAAAGTCGTCGTCGTCAGCGCAGAATCTGGGAACGTCACCTGTCTCACGCGTTTGACCGCCTCGCGATACGCGCACGTCGCAATAGCAACGTCCCTAAACGTCGGTCGTTCGTGCTCACCTAAAACGTTCTCATTGTTTCGATGGTCAATACTACCTTTACCGTTCAACATTTCGTCCCCAAACTCGTCCACGTTGCTAAACATGGCCGCGGCGATTGCCATCCCTAAGTCAGCGAGCGCGCCGTAATCTTCCACCGCTTGTGCCGCTCTTTTGGATGCAATCGACGCTTGCGACTGTCTGTGTTTTCGCATTTGTATCGCTTCGAGGCTTAACATGCCACCAATGCTCCCTCCTACGCCATCGAAGCCGTCAACCCCTCTTACTACGCCGCCGCCGACGCTGGACATGGAAACAGCAGACGGAGGTCCCGCGCTCGATCTCGAGTCCGCCACTATAGCCTTCTCGTTGAAGTCACGCATGGCTCGCGCCACTGCCGTTGCCGGGGCTAAAGCGCACGCTAAGAATGCGCGCTTGATAGATAAAACGTCCAAGAAATCTGGCGTCTTTTCGCCGTCCTCGTCCTCGTCGTCTTCGTCCGCGTTCGCGTCCGCGGCGAATCGTCTTCTCCCCGGCGCGACAACGCCAAACGCAGCGGATGCCATCGCATCGCTCCTACTGTATAGCAACGGTAGTCTCCCGTACTCGAAGTCGTCACCACTCACAATTTTCAAGCAATCGTCAAACGCTAAGATTTGCGAAAACGCGTATTCGGAAACGAATTCGCCTCGCATCGCTCTCATCAACGGTTCCAATGCTGTGCGTTCCGTCCCTGCGGCTCTCGTATCCGGTCGAAACGCGTACGGTTCGGTCAATATCGATTCGCACACGTCCCTGCAAATTTTAAACGCGACGTAAACGACGTACCCTGGAACAAACTTTGAAAACAAAGAAAAAAGAGACGTCGCCGGCGCCAATCGAAACCAACTCAAACAAATTTGAGCTACAAACGCGACGACTACCATCTTCGCGGAATATAAAACCACAATTGGGTCCATCGCGACATCAAACGCGATTCGTTTCACTCGATAATACCGTCTGCGCTGACCGGCCTGCGAAAACTGAAAGTGTAAGTCGTCGTGAAATCTCGGAAACGTAAGAGCCGCCAATCGCACTTTCTCCAACAACGCTTTGTGATTCCCATCGGCGCGAGAGCTCACAATTTTCTCCCTTAAAATCGACGACTCTTTGCTCACTCCACCACCACCACCACTAAACTGGTTCCTCGATTTCTCCAACCAGGACAAAATCCTCGACGATTGCACGATCCTATCCCCGTGCCCGGAAAATGGCGCTAAAACTGTTCTCACGTTTGACCAAACCGACCAATTCCACGTCGCCCACGCCCGCGCCAAACCTAAACTCCCCGCCGACAACACGAACGCGTACAAGGCTCCAAAATACCCAACGCTATCATACTTACCACCACCGCTGCTACCACTACCACGACTACTAAACATTGGCATCAAAAACATCCCAGCCACGAAAACTCTCACGAGAACAAACGCCAAAGCGTCCGTCGCTCTTTTCGCTTTCCATCGCGTCGCGTTCATATGCGAGCGCGCCTCCTCTGCTCGCTTCGCCGAAGGACGGCTCGCATCAGGGAGCGCGATCCCGTGACTCGAATCCAGCATATCTCTCGAGATGAGAAAGTGATAGTTTCGAGAATCTGAAACTCCGGGGATATTCTGATGCCGACCGCCGTTTCCGCCTGCTTTCGCTGCCGTCGGCCTCCCTGCTCTGGCGGTCACGAAGGAGACCGGCATCGCGAGTGCAAAAAAAATCCCGGACGTTTTGCAAAAATTCGCGAACGTCCCCAGTCTCACAAGGAACAGGAGGAAGTAAAACGCGGACACCTTTGATACAGAGTCGTTTTAGTGTTGTTGTTCGAGGTAAGTAAGAAGAGAGCACGTAAACGTCAGCCATGAACACACACCACGAGTAGGGGGAAAATGAGCGATTTTGAATTTCCCGAACAGTAACGACTCTTTAAAAAGACCAAGAGAAAACAAAAACGTACCGGCACGACCATGCCAAACGACGCCCAGAGCGCACACGCGACCGTTCGGAAGAACGCGACGTCGGATAAGTCTTTGCGCCAAAACTCTGCGCGGTATCTGTCCATGATATTTTGAGTTTGTGTGAATTTTAGAACGGAAAAATAATGAAGGAAAAGGCAAGTTTTTCACAAATATACAGGACTAATATGTAGGTTGCGAATACATACGCAGAGTCTAAACGACACGGTGTACACACTCTCGCTCTCTCATTTCTCTCTCTTGTTCTTCTGTTTCTACTCTACACGTGCGTATTATTAGTAGTATCGTTATTATTTCTTCTTCGTCTTCGTCTTCTTTGAAGCGTCGCGGGTTTCTTCTTTCGTCGTGTTCCCGGCTTGGCTCAATATGCAGTTCCACACGACGGAACAGCAAGACATGTACAAAACCTGCCTATTCACGGGAACGAGTGCAAAGTTCACGCAGCTCGCGGGCACCCAAAACGCCCAGCCTTTTTGTAACGTCGGCAACGCGTCTCTTTGCACTTTTTCTCGCCAACTCGTCGCGGTGAACGTATTCGTGAGCAGTTGCGACCAGGCGAAGAAGCACGCGACGACTACCGGCCCGAGCGCGGCTTGGTTCAAGAAGACTTTCGTCGCAAACGGGCGGATGTTCGCATACGCCAACGAACCGGAAACTGTGGGCCATTTTGCTCCCAGGAACGCGTACCACACGTGTTGGAGTGGACCGTAGAAGGTCAGGTTGAACAGAGACTGTCTCGCCGTTCTCGGGGAATCGTACTTCTCACTAAAGCTGTTGCTCGTGTGTTGTTGTTTTCGTTGGTGTTGGTGTTGCAAAGTTTGCGCGACGCAATCGCCGACGATGCCTAAACCAGCGCTCGTGAGCGCGGATTTCATCATTCCTGGTGGTATTCTAAATGAGGACGACGACGAGTGCGCCACACCGTTGCTACCAGCCGCCGCTTTCGTCGTCGTCGAAGGCTGATGATGCCGATGACCGTTGGCGGATTTCCCCAGACCACGAGGAGTAGTAGTAGTAGTATTGCGCATCATCATCGACCCCGCGTTCTTCGCTCTGACGACGACTCGCTTCCAAAGTTCACCGTAGTTATTCCCACTGTTGCTATTCGCGATGGTGATGAAACGCATTTAGTATTAGTATTAGTGTATATATGTGGAGTTCAATGTGTCTTGAAGTTGTCTTTAAGTGTATTTTGGTGTCTACGAGTATATCGCGCCGTATAACTACTGTACATTTTCGTGCGTGCGTCTATCTCTCTATCTCTCTCTCTCTCTTTTTCTCTGTGTGTGTGTGTGTTCTTCCTTCTTCGTAACTGTAGTGAACGATATTCGCTTGCTCCTGTGTCACGCGTTTATGTCAGTTACACTTTTAACTACTCCTAGACTACTACTCACGAACGACGAACGACTCGACGAGACGATCACACACATCACACAAAAGCTACAAAAGACTACTACCCGCCAGAAATGGGCGGAATAACCGCCACCTCGCTCCCACTCCGAATCTCATCTTCATCCCCTTCCGTGTACTCGCAATCGACGGATATCGCGGCCGTTTCTAAAATCCGAGCGAGTTTTTCCCCGTGCTTTTCAATCAGAGCGACTTTAAGCGCGGACACGTTCGTCGTCGCAAAGGAGGAGGAAGAGGAAGAGGTGGCGAAAGAAATTCGCTCGGACTCTGTTCGAGTCGCCTCTCGAGCGGAGGCGAAGTAAAGGACGGTGACGGTGACAGTAGTGGACATGTGTGAAAATGCGTGCTGGTAATGTGACGGCTGTCTTGACGACAAAAAACTACTCTTTCTCTCTCTCGCGCGAGAACGACATCTGAACATTTTAAACGTATTATAATTACGCCATCATCATGCTGCTAAACCTCCAATCGCCGATTTTATCGCTCTCTCTTTTCAAATTCTTTTTAATCTTTTCGACCAAGTTTGGATCTTTCTCTCGCAACTCTCGCAAGCTTTGGCCGTCGATGGCTAACGCTTCGACGTTGCCTCGAGCGACGATGGTCATTTGGCGAGGATTGCCGGTTAATAACGCTTTGCCGCCGAAATGACCGCCAGGGGCGAACGTTCGGACAATTTTACGGATTTGCTGCGGGTTTTTCATGTTTATGAGTTTGTCTTCGTCGAAATCGGCGTCTCTGGCGACCATCGCGGCGCGGCCTTTGAGGACGACGAAGAACGTTTTCTCCTTGTCTCGGTCGCCTTCGCGGATGATTTTTTCGCCGGATTCGTAGCGGCGTTTTTTAGCAGACTCGACGATTAACGCGCGTTCGTACGGGGACATGCCTTTGAAGACTTGGACGGAGTCGATGAGTTTTTTGTCGCGCGACTTTCGCCAGCTCGTGGAGAGTTGTTCGCGATATTCTATTTCGTCCATTTTTTTGGCGTAGTATCCCATCATGGCGTCGCCGTCGGTGGAGAAATCGGACGTGGCCGCCGTGAATCGGTCTTGATCTTTGTCGTCGTCCTTTTCGTCTGCTTTTGTTGTCCTCTTCTTAACTTGTCCGCGTAATCGTTGCGCTCGCAACGTGGCTCTCTTGAAATCCATCTTGTCGACGACTAAACACGTCGTCGAAGTTTTCGCGACGACGGTTTCCCCGGCTCTGTGGTTCTCGTGAATTAACGATTGCTCGCCGAAATACGACCCAGAACTGGCCACGCCAGAGTTAGGCGTCAACGCTTTCCCGCGCACGATCAGCACCATTTCTTTCTCCACGTCGCCGCTTTTGCTAATCTCTTGTTTCGGTTTGAACACTTTAACTTTACACATCTTCGCGAGCTCGTTGGAGACGTCTTTATCGAAAATCCCAAGCTCTCGAAATCGTTTGGCGTTCAAATCTCTGACTATAACCCGCTCTTTCCCGGTGATGTATTCTAAAATGCTGAACATAGCCGCGTAGTGCGGCGCCGTTCTCAAAAAGTGTGGAATTGCGCCTTTATACAACTTCAGCGGTCCTTCTTTCAATACGATGTATCGCATCGCTTCGATCGAGTTTGAAAAAATGTGCGGTTTCAAATACACGTACGCTCTGCTCGTATCGATCGGTTGCATCACCGCCACGCTCGCGGCCGCACTCAACACCCCTGACACCCCCCCTAACCACGGCGACCCGGGTGGAAACACCTCTTTCTGAATCATCCACTCGCTCGCGACGCTTTGCACGGTTAAATTCACCGAGGACCCCAACATATCTCTACACACGGACGCGCCGACCCCTTTATAAAGCGCCTTCCACCCTTCGCCTTTCATAATCGTCGAAAACGCGTTCGTCAACCCGGTATATTCGCACATATCCGCGGGAACTTGCATCCTAGTCTTCACTAAATCGAATGGGTTCGAGCTCACCGCGCCTAACGCGCCGCTCAAACTCCCCGCCACGAACCGCTTCCACGCCGGCACGGGAACCTCCTCTCCCGTTTGCGCGTTTCGATGTTTCCCCGGCGGATGTAACGCTAACAACAAAGGCGTGAACAAACCAATTCTAAACATATTCTTGCTCGCTTCTCTCGCGACCGCCGAGGGTAACCCTCGATACGGCCCGGCGAGAAAGCCTTCTCTCTTCGCCATGTTCCTCACGACTTCGAACGAACTCTCGCCCCAATTGTTCTTCCCGGGTAACTGCTGCAACGTCTTCGCTCGGTCCATCGGGTTCGTGCAGCACACCGCTATGGCGCTCGCCACGCAGGCGTTTGGAATCGACGTCCAGTTCGGGAGTTTGATCTTTTGTAACGGCGCGTTGAGGAGATTCTTCACGTTGTTGTTGTTGTTCGAAGAAGAAGAAGAGGGAGAAGCGCTGTTCGTGGTCTCGCCGTTATCCGTTGAGGAATATTTCTTCCCCAACGGAATGCGAGGGAGTCGTCCTCCTCTTAACGCGCTCGAAGAAGAGGCTGAAGATTTAACGGACATGATCTCTCCCTCTCTCTCTCTGTGTGTGTGTGTGTGTGTTTTACGCGTCTCAGAGATCCTCTCCTCTCCTCTTCTTTGTCTTTGTCTTCTTCCCGGAGTAAAGTTTTGTTCGATGTATAAATATGTGCACGAGTGGGGGAGGTCAACTTCTAAGGAGAGAGAATATGCTGAAAAGAGAAATATTCCGCCTTTGAAAGCGCGTCGGCGATGAAAGAGAGCGTTTTATTATTCATAGTGTTACGATTTAAATAATGATTACACGGTATCCAAGAGTCGCGCGAAGACTAAGAGGAGCTACTTACAAACGTTCTGGTCGCGGTGGTGGAGGTGGAGGTGGCGGCGGCTTCGGCGGCGACGCGGCGAAAAGGCGGCGTCGGTGTCGTTATACTTCGACGCCCAATCGAGCGGCTTTCTCTTTCACCGTCAGGAGCGCGTTTTCTTTTTCTAACAATTCGAGTTCTTTTCGGAGGAGGAGGAGGTCGGACGGCGTCGTCGCTGGGTTTTCGAGCATTCCGATGACTTCTTTGCCTTTGGCTTGAAGGTCGCTTCTGCTTCCGCTTTCGTCCTCGTCCTCGTCTTCGTCTTCTTCTTCTTCTTCGTCCTCGTCGTCGTCGTCTCTGTGGTGGTGGTGGGAAGAGTGACTTCTCTCGTTGCTAGATGTTCTGCTGTCGTCGGATAAGGCGTCGTCGTCTTCATCGTCGCCGTCGAAGGCATCTTCGACTTCGTCCACGACGTCTTCCATGACTTCGACGAACGACTCGTGCGCTTTTTCAACCTCTTGTTCATCTTCCTCTTCGTTTTCTACTCCGGACTCCTCCGCGTCCTCCTCGCTATCGTCCGCTTCGGACGCGTACAACACCTCAGCGTATGACACTAAACCGGGCATGTTCAAATCCCAGCACTCTGGGTGATGCACTTTATCGCACTTTTGCGTCAAGAATTGTTTCGGGTCCGCGACTTCGACTTTGGGAACCTCTCCCGCCGTATCCGCTTTCCAGCCTAAAACTTCCCACCATTCCGCCGGTCTCCCCGGGTACTGATTGGCTGGAGTTCCCATGATGTTCACGCCGTGGTCGCATTTGTCCGTCGGCGCTCGGCCGAACGGCTCTACCGGTGGATGTTTCGACGGTCCTTCTTTCAAAGTTGAGCAAATGCCGAATTTCAAATCCGAGCTGACTTGGCGAACCAAGTTGCGAAACTTCAGCGGCCACTCCGACGGCGACTTGCGTCTCCACGCGTGGAATTTATTGTATTCGCTCTCGCTTGTGGCAATTTGAGCTAATTTCGCCGCTAACTGGTCGATGCTGGCGTAATCTCTCAAATCAATCACGGCATCTTTGGACGGGATGTAATCGTCGAACCCGTCCCAACCGATGTAAATCGGAATCGAACCTCTCGTCAGCGCGTCAAATATTTTCTCAGTCATGTAGTGCGGACACTGGACGCCGTTTTCCAACGCGAAGTAAAACATATAGTTCGATTTCATTTCCTGCTGCTGTTCGAAGTCACCTAAACGTCCCACATCGTCCGGCGGTGGTGCGATATTTTGCTCGCACCTCCCCATGCTAAACACCGGAAAATGCTTCGACAACGCCACCAACAAGTTGATGCGATCGCGCTGGACGCAATCTTTGGACATCCACGCGACGACTGGGATTCTCTCTTCCTTTGCTTTCGTAAAATACTTAAAGTCTCTCATCAAAGACCCAACAGATGGCCCGAACGGGTACCAGACGCTCGATCGCAAGTTTGAATCCGGATCGCCGTTGAACCACGCCAAATACTGCATATTCGCCAACGATTTCTGCGAGTACTCCGATTCACCTCTCAACTCGTAACCGTAATGGTCCGGCGATTCGTGCGCGTAATAGAAATCGACCACATCTGAACTCAGTTTCGGTGGCGGATGAAAAACGTTGTCCTCCGCTCTCGACGTGATGTTCCCTTGCTTGAAATCATTCTTGAAAATATACGCGAATTGGCTGAACACCCTGACGTCGCACCCGGTAAAATCGCCATTTTGAACATCCGTTCTCACTTCTTTGATGCACATGCCTTCTTGAAACATAGAATCAAAGTTATACGTGTACGAATCGTCCCACTCCCCGGGTAAACACATGACGAACCCGTCGTCACCGCTGCTCCCGCTAAACGCCGGCGTGTGGTACCACGAACTCTTATGATGCGCCCAGTTCGGGTCAATCGATGGAAACACCGATAGGTTCGGAATATCGTTCTGAATGGCGAGTTTGATCGGATCGTTCGCGTTCGCGCCGTCGCTCATCTTGTCTTCAATCATCCGCAAGTCTTGACTACAAATTGGAGCTCCGTCCGGGCCATCGCCTAAACGACTGTTCGCAGAAGAAGACGACGACGACGAAGAAGAAGAAGAGTGATGCCGAGATCCCAATCGAAACGACACGCTTCCTCTCGCGCTATTATAACTATTACTACTCCTACTACTCGCAATCGTGCCAAAACCTAACAACGCCACCGCACCGAGCGCAAACGCGGAGACGCGAGAAAAAGGCGAAGATCCAAATCCTTTCCCCGCGGCATCATCAGCTCTTTCATCGTCATCATCATTTTCCCCGAGAGTGCTCACGCGTCGTTGCTCCACGTCATCCTCCACCGATCGATAATACTGCGCCCTCATGAGAGTATCGCTTTTCACGATTACAACAACGCGAGAGAGAGAACGAGAGAGACGGTGCTTTAATGCGTAAGTATCCAGAGAGAGAACGAGTGCGTCTCCCCCTTCAAGTGTTTCTCAGGAAGAAAAAAAGAAAGAAAAAATTGGGACATTGGATGTTTAGGGTTTTTAGAAGTGCGGTGTATAAAGAATAATAGTATAATAAATAGCATTTAATAAAAACCTCTTTTCTCTCTGTAATAATCTCTCTGACTCTCTCTCGTATTCTCTCTCTCTCTCTTTTTCTCTCTTTGTCTCTCCCGCGTGTGTGTGATGTGTATGTATATGTGTGCGCGCGCAAACCCGCAAACGCGCAAACTCTTATATGGCTAAAATTTTCAAATTTTTCACCGGGGGCGTAAAAGCGCTTTCTACGCCCGCGCGAAAAGAAGAAGACGAACAACCTCGCGGTCGGTGGATCTCCTCGAGGAGAAGGAGAAGAAGAAGGAGAAAGGGTGATGATTTTGGACTTACATGTCCTCTCCCGTCGTTCTCGTTCTCGTTCTTGTTCTCGTTCTCTCTCGTTCATCTCGTCGAGTAAAAAATGTGCTAAAATCCGTTACCGCTGCTCAATGGTGGCCGCGGGAGGATTTCTTGCTCGACACTTGACTCAACAGCGCTAACCGTTCTTTCAAAGCCTCCACTTCCTCTTTATCCGCGCTCGGCGCTCCGGCGTCAAAGTCGTCCGTCGTTTTCGTGACGTCGTGCTTCGCTTCCCCGGGCGGGGGTGGCGCCGTCGGTTTTTTTTCCTTGATCACCGGCAAGTCCGCGACGGTTTCGTGGACGCGTTCTAACGCTTCGGCTTCGCGTTTGGCGATTTTAGCGGCTAATTTTTTCTCCTCTTTTTCCTCCTTGAGTCGTTCTTCTTTCTCTTCCTCGGTTTCGTGCTTCTTGGAGGACTTGGAACCTGACTTTTTCGTCGATGTCGTCGATGTCGTCGTTTCTACGTCTTCCTCCGATTGCAACTCGGATTCACCCATGCTCGCGGTTTTCAAGGAGTTCTTTCTAGACAAGACTGGTCCGTAGTCTTCCTCGCGACCGTGCGATTCGCCCTTGTGCGAGGAACCGTTGTTGTTACTCAAACGCACCGGGGTTTTACCTTTGCGCACGTCCACGGTGCTGACGTAATCGGGCAACCCGTCGCCTTTCTCTTTCATTCGTCGCATACCGTTGGAACTGACTCCCTTGTTTTGGTTATTGTTGTTGTTGTTGTTTTGGTTGTTGTTGTTACCGCTCTCCGCTCTTCGCATTCCGCCTCCGCCGTTGTTGTTGTTGTTGTTGTTGTTATTGTTGTTGTTGTTGCGTCTCGGCTGTTCTTGATTCCCAATCTTTGCCGACGCCGTCTTCAACGTGTGAAAGCAATCGACCGAGTGATCGTCGCAAGTTTTGGTCAAGAACTTCAACGGCGATTGGATCTCAACTCTTGCCACTGCGCTGCTGTCCACCTTGTGCGCCGTCTCAACTTTCCAACCGGCAACTTCCCACCACGCGGCTTCTCTCCCCGGGTACTCCGTGACCGGCATGCCCATAATGTTCACGGAACGATCGCACTTCTCCGTTGGCACCGCGGCTGGATGGTTCTTCGGACCCTCCTTCATCGTCGAACAAATGCCAAACTTCATGTCCGAACTGACTTGACGTATCAAGTTGCGGAACTTCAGTGGCCACTGATCCGGCGATTTCGTTCTCCACTCGTGCGCCTTGGCGTACGCCGCGTCGTTCGTCGCGATGTCCGTCAACTTTTTGGACAATTCCGCGGGAGTAGAGAAGTCTCTCAAATCAATAACTGCATCTTTAGAAGGGATGTATTCCTCCATGCCGTCCCAGCCTATGTAAATCGGAATCGAACCTCTCGATAACGCGTCCCAAATCTTCTCCGTCATGTAGTGCGGGCACTGAATGCCGTTCTCCAACGCGTAGTAAAACATGTATTGCGCTTTGGTTTTTTGCTGGTCGCCAAAGTCACCCAAACGTCCTGGGTCATTCGCCGGTGGCGGAATATTTTGCTCGCATCTCCCCATGCTAAACACTGGAAAGTGTTTGGAAATTTCCACCAACACGTTGATGCGTTCTCTCAACACGCAATCTTTAGACATCCACCCGATGACTGGAATTCTCTTCTCTCTCGGCATAGAAAACAACGAGTAGTCTCTCAATAACTCACCAATAGACGGGCCAAACGGAAACCACAAACTCGATCGATGCGATGAATCCGGATCGCCGTTAAACCAGGCCAAATATTGCATGTTTTTCAACGATTTCTTGGAATATTCCGTATCGCCTCTCAACTCGTAACCGTAATGATCCGGCGACTCGTGCGCGTAATAGAAATCAACCACGTTCGAGTGCAACTTGGCCGGAGGACCGAAGAAGTTCTCCTCCGATCGCGCGGTTTGGTTCCCAACCTTAAAATCGTTCCTCCAAATAAACGCGTACTGGTTAAACACGCGGATATCGCACCCGGTAAAATCGCCGTTTTGAATATCCGTTCTCACCTCTTTAATGCACATGCCGCTTCTAAACAAGGACAAAAAGTTATACGTGTACGAGTTATCCCACTCACCGGGAACGCACATGGTAAACTTCCCCTCTTGCGCGTCATCCCCAGGTACCGGGTGATGATGCCACCCCGACTGCGCTTGCCAGGTCGGATCCACGGATTTAATGATGCCGATGTTCGGCAAATCCTTCTCCGCCGCTTTCAACAGCGGATCGTTTCTTCGATCCGCGTTGCCCGGGAGCCGGGATTGCGTGATGGCGTCGTAGATTTCAACCAAGGATTCGTTCGTTAACGGCTGCATGTATAAAAGTAAAACAAAAAGAGGTATATTATTAAAGGTGAGTTTCGAGCGCAAATCGATAAAAAATGTCCACCGTCCGCTCTCCGCGAACGTCGTCGTTTTCTCTCCACATCTCTCTTTTCGGGAGACCTTTTGGGTGTTGATCTCTCCCGTGACCAAAAGCGCTCGTCATCGGAGGATGAAGACGATCGAAAGGAAAACGCATCAAACTCGTTCGTAAAGAAAAGAAGAAATCGAGAAGAACAGATCATCATCTTCCTCGTTCTTCTTTCGATGCGGATGATTCTTTCATCTGAAAGAACACGAAGGAGAGAAAGAAAAACCGCGGCGGCATCACGACCCATCACCCCCGCGGCAAAAGAGAGAAAAAACGAGAGCTCTGAAACGTCTCAAAGTCGAACGATAAAAACGTACCGCATCGCCTCCGTGTTCGGCCCCGAGCATTTTCTGTTTCACCGTGTGCCCACCGTAGGCGAACAGAACCATCCCGGCGACGCCGAGGGCGAATGATTTCGTCGTGATTCTCGATGCGAAAGAGGAAGATGACGATGAATGATTGGAAGAAGTCGACGCTTCCATCCCGATGGGGATGGACCTTTCAACGTGGTGTTCGGAATCATTTTCTAAGAGCGCGTCGCGCTCGGAGAAAGAAGAAAAAGCCATGCTACGCACAAACACACAAAAGAAAAGGTGTTTTGCACGCGGCGGCAGTGGTGCAGCTCTTCTCTGTTCGTCTTCTTCTTCTTCTTAGTACTCTCAGTTGTGAGGATGGATTTTTCGTTGTTTTCTTCCCGCGGAATGGTTTGCGACACGTTTAGGGACTCAAATGTCAAGAGGGCGGATTTTTGCTTTGCGAGCGCTCTGTTGTTTACTCTAAAAGTATTCGTACGATTACGGTGCATCGTCGTGAAGAGTAGCATTGTTTGAAAATGTTTGTGCGTTTTACTATGCGTAGCGCGTACGTAGAAGAAGGTTTATTATTATTAATGTGTGTATTAACTTACATGTATTAAAACATTTTTCAAGCTCGTTAAAATAAAGTAGTGTGTGCGTAAGTAACGTAAATCATCATCCGCGTCGTAATCTCTCTCTTCTTCTTCTTCTTCTTCTTCTTCTTCAGTTCTTCAACTCTTCCTTTTTTAATTCAACGATCTGCTGGCGTGTAAGCCGGTCGTTTGCGCGCTCGCGTCCCAATCCGGCGGCGGGCAGGACGGGTAAAATTCCAGCAACTGAGAATCGTGACCAAAGTTTTCTACGACGGGCCACCCTTCGTCGGTGCCTAAGTTCGGGGTAAAATCGGAGACTCGAACGGTTTTGTGCGAGCCTTGCGCTTTACCTGCTCGCGCGATTGTGGAGGGAAATGCTTGGGTGGAAGGATTTTCCGTTTTCTCGCCGCCGAAGAGTTTGGACGTCCACTCGTTGATCGAGAGAAGTTTTCTAGTGGTGGATTGGCCTCTTCTCGACGAAGAAGAGGATTTTGATGAGGAGGAGGAGGAGGAGGAATGTCGGCTGGTGGAAGAAGAAGCGCCAGAGTCACCTCTGTGTACCACTCTTTCTTTCTCTGACATGCCAACTTGGGGCGCTTGGTCGTACCCAGGCGTCGGAACTTCCGAGGAATAGCCGTACTTTTGGAAGTCGATAGCGTACGCCGCCTTGAAGTTGTTCACATCTTCATCGGAGATGTGCCCGTTGGTCCAGCACGACGTCACGACCGGCTTGACCGACTGTCCGACTTCCGTGCCTCTGTGAACGACATTCATTTCCGTGTACTCAATTTTGCTGGATACTCTTTCCTTCAAGTATTTCACCAAGTTGTCTTGCATGTTTCCGGTTCTCGGGTCCATGCACTTCTTGTCGACGTCGGAGATCATGCACGTCTCCAACGGGAACACGTATTCCGCGTGTCTGGCGATGATGTACGCCGGCGTGTGGTGCGAGTGGTGCCACGTAACCGCACCTAACATGTCCGCACAAATCGGGAACGCATCTTTCCACACCATCTCCCCGGCGGTTTTCTCCGCCACGCACGCGTTGACTTCGTCCTCCGTCGGCGGAATCTTCGAGTCGCACTCCGCCATGGCGCTGTCGGAATACTCGCCTTCTCTGTAGCACTCGATCAACGGCGAATTCAACACCCATCTCGTGACGGTATGAATCCACTCGGAAAACTCCTCGCAGTTCTTCTCGCTATAGCCCGCGTCCAAGGGAGATTCGTGAAAATATCTCGCCTTGAACCACGCGAATTCAGATTCCGCTCTCGCGTACGGGTTTCTCACCGTGACGAACGAGTTCTTCAAGTGTCTCGTCGCCGGCGGCGAGTGAAAGTCTTCCGATTTTCCCACCACCCAAGCCGGGGCAATTTCAAACGGTCTCGTCAAACCTAAATCTTCCGAGTTGCACGATCCCAACTTACCGCCGACGGCGCCAACCATAGATTCCACCGACGTCCCTCCAGATTTCGGAATGTGAAGAAAGATTGGAAATTCTTGCCCTTCTTTCTTCCCAGCGATGGATTGATCAAAGTTCGTTGGATCGGAATACGTTTCGGTCGGGTATCCGTCCACAGATCCTAACCACGGGAACGAGCGTTTTTGTTGTTCACTGTTGTTCATCTTGCTCATCGTCCCCGCCGTGACTAAAACTGTCGCGCCCGCCAAGGCGACAAAACCAACCGTCTTCTTCAACGTCGGCAACGAAGAAGAAGAGGAGGAAGAACCATTATTATGGTTTCCGTTGATCAGAGGTTGCTCCTCGCCGACACTGTTCTCGATCATCTTTCTGTGTGTCGTATCTAAATCTCCCTCCAACAAAATTCGCTTTTTAATCCCGCGGCAAAAATCCCTTCGTCTTATAAATCTTCTTCTTTCTTCTTTACGATGTATAAAGTTCCGAGAGAAAGAACGAAAGAAAGAACAAGACCTTTCGTAAACTCTCTGCGTTTCAAACCACCTTTAAAAACTCTCTTTGAGTTACGCGAGTGCGTCTTCAGAGAAAGAAGAAGAATATAGAGAGTAGGGAAAAGTTATTGTGTGGATGAGGTAAAACGAATCGAAAGAAGAGAGTTTTCCCCCACGAAAACAGTCAAAGAGAGAAGAGGGTGTTGGGGGTGTCGATCGACTTTTTCGTCCTCTCGTTTTGAAAAAAGCATTCATTCAGTCAAAGCTGGTGGAGAAAAAGAGCTTCCAAAACGAGAACTCTCAACGAAAAAGAAAGAATGAGAAAAGAGGACGAAAAAGCACGGACAGAAAGCTTCATTTTTCCAAGCAAACGGGAAGAGAGAAAAACAACGTATTCTTACAAAAGAGAGTATAATAAAACTTGTAAACTCTCTCAAACGCGCTCTTTCGAAGAAGAAGAAGAAGAAGAAGAGAGAGGTCAGAGAGAGGCTTCTTCATTCTCGTAAAGCGGAATAAAGAAGTTCTTCTCGCGTACGCGCGGTTGGGTGTTTTGTGCTCGAGAGAAAGAGAGAGAGAGAGACTTTTGCTTTCGTGGTAGAAAAAAGCTCCCCCATTTCTGAAGCCGCGGCATCATCATCATCATCATCAAATCTTCTTTCTATTACGAGCAGCAGCGCGCGCACGTTTAAGAAGAGAAGAGAGAAATAGAGAAGAACGAGTGTATATATATATATAATAAGTATGGGTCGATCGCTCAGTAGTAGTTCTCACGAGAACAACAACAACAACGGACAACACGGCGAGAAATCGTCGCTGTTAAGTAGCAGTGGCCGCGATCGGGATGGAAAAAGGGACGCGCAGCGAACGAATGAAAAAGAAAGCGGAGAGTCGACGTTTCAATACCTCTCGTCCATCTTAGTCTCCGCGCTCGCGTTAACCGGAGCAGTCGTCGGGGTGGTTTCCGTCTGGCAAAGATGCCAAGGCGGGAATTGCATCCCGGAAGGGTTCTTGTTACCCGGAGATCACAGCTGGGACGTGACCACGTTCCAGGACATTTTGGACACCAGAGAAGCACTCTTGCCGGAACAAAAACGAATGCCGACGCACTTGTTCACGTGGACGGAGAAGTACGGGTTTAAATCGTGGACGATTAAAGAAACCGGGACACCGGAAAACGTGGACGATCGATCCTCTGGGGTTGTTCAGTTCTTAAACGCGATCATGCCGAAGGAGTTTCCGGAGAGATTTAAAGCCGGGCAAGCGCCGTTTCACGTGCCGTGGGTGACTTCGGATTTCCCGCAAGTCGAGTGCATCGACTCGGAGAAAGGGTGCCCGAATTTACCGACGAGAATTTTCTCGTTCGGTACCGTACCGAAGAATAACAAGAGAATGATTGGATTATCGCAAGCGCCGACGTTGCCGTTTACGCCGTGTTTAGCGCACGCGTACGATCCGGTGAAAACGCAGTGCGATTGGTTTTCCACGAAGAATCCGGACCCGAAGCAACCGATGTGCGCGAGCGCGAGGTTGGATTTTAAGAATTACAATTCGGAGAGCGCGGAGAGAAAAGCATTCGATAAGCTGTTGAACAAAGCCGTCTGGAGAGGCTCGGATTGGCACTACTTGGAAGCGTACCCGAAAGTTGGGACGTTGGATGCCAACAGATACGTGCGAATCGCGGGATTGTGCGACAAAGATATCGATACTATTCAAGAGAACATCTTGGATAACCGAGGTCGCTCGGATACGGACGTGAGACACCGCGTGCCGCCGAGATTGCGAGCGGCGATCATTGCGAACAAATATCCGGACAACTACGACATCAAATTTAGCGACAGTAATCCGCGAGCGCCGGCTGAGAATTGCATCGACGATCGAATCCCACTCTTTTCTAGCGGAGACGTGTGGAACGCCTGTCAGTTTGAAAAGTATAAATATTTGGTCGATATCGGAGGCGGCGGCGGGACGTCGTGGAAGTCTACGTTTCGATTCTTGGCCATGCCGGGTGTTTTGTTCCATCACGAAACGATGATGCGTGATTCGTTTTACGATGACATAACCCCGTGGGTGCATTACATTCCGTTGAACGAGGACATGTCGGATTTGCACGAGAAATTTTTGTGGGCGGAGAGCCACCCGGAGGAGGCGTTTAAGATTTCCAAGCAAGCTACGCAGTTTGTGAAGGATTTTATCACTCCGGATGGTCTTAAAGAGCACGCGCGCAAACATTTTGTTCCGGAAATGAAGGATTACATCGAGGGGTACACGGTCGCCAAGGAGGATTACAACTTAACCACCGCGGATATGGTGAATAAGTATTCGGGCGGGACGTTACAAGTCACGCTTTATGAAGGCATTGGACCGGCATACAGCGCTGGACCATAGCAAAGACACGAACGAGAAAGAGAACCATAAAATAAACCGAATCGAAGAAGAATAAAATGTACCACCACAAGATATAGGAGGGAGAGAGAGAGAATCGAAGAGCGATTCACAACACACGTAGTATCCGAGAGACGATTTACTATTATTAGCCATAATCAATAACTTCTATTTAAATTTCTTTAATGTGATTTACATATTACACGATAAAGATTGCTTAATTACCGCTGCTACAGTGTACGACGCAGATACTGCTAGTTACGACTATATACTGCTTTTGGCGTTTTACAAGCTCTATCTATTATTAGTACTTCCGCGGAAGAAAGATCAAGTGGCGAGCTCGCCTCTTTCGATCATTTCGTCTCGCAGCTCTTTGTTCGTATTCCACACCGCCCATCCAACTTCGCTATCTTTCTCCACGTGCACTCTCGGTACTCTCAAGCCGCCCGCGCAAAAGAGCATTTTACGGTTCGTCGGTTCGTCGTGGTCCAAGTCTAAGACGGACGCGTCTCCTTGTTCTCGTTCGATTTCTTCTTTGTCTTCTTCTTTGTCTTCGACGACGACACCCAGACGTCCTCCTCCCTCGCGGTCGGCGGGTAAATCCTCCTCGTCGTACGCCTCTAAAGTCGCCGCCCTGGGAATTTCCACGTTATTGCCACCTAAAAGTTTACGAGTACTACGTCGACGTTTCACGATGCGTTTCGAGCGTTTCAAGCGCGCTTCTGCGATTTGCTTTTGCGTTTCCTCGAGTTCGATTTCCGCTTGGATCTTAGCGTCGGCGAGTTCGCTGGACATTCGCGTCAGCTTTTCAATTTCCTCGTCTTGTTTTTTCGCCAGCTTGGCTTGCTTTTCGAGTTCTTGCTTTCTCGCCTCGGCTAACGATTTCAATTCGTCTTCTTTCTCGAAGCGATTTTTTTGCGCTTTCTCCCAAGAAGTGGACATCTTTTTCAACGATTTTTCCTCCTCTTCGTCGTGGCCCATTTCAGCCTCTGAAGTAGAAGAAGATGATGATGATGATGTCAAAACAGCGCTCTTTTGTTTTCCTCCGGGAAGCTCTTTGCTGTACCCGTACTTTTCAAAATCAACGTCGTAGGCTTTCAAGAAGTTCGAGATCGTCTCTGAAGGCATGTTCCCGTTTCGCCAGCACTGACTCAACGTCGCTTTGTTCAAATCTTTGTTCCCGGAGATGGAATTGACCACTTCTGGGGTAATTTTCGGCGAGAACTTTTCTCGTAAATACGACATCAAGTTTGGTTGCATCACCGCGTCTGTATTGCTCGACTTTGTTCGAACGTCCGTACAAAAACCTTCCTTATCGTCGAAACAATCTTCAATGCTAAACACTCTTTCCGCCGTTCGTCCTAAAACGTATTGCGGCACGTGGTGCGTGTGGTCTTTCCCGATTATCGTGCTCGACCCGTCGCTCTCTATTGGGCCTTTCCCGCCGTTCGCGCGCGATAACGTCTCGTCGCACGCCGCAATGCTCCCTTCGCTATACTTGCCTAGTCGATAACACTCCAATAAATTATTCTTCAAAACAAATTCGCTCGAATCTTTCAACCAGACGCCAAACTTTTCGCAGGACATCCACGACGGTTTTGGTTCATCAAACGTCGCTCGATTTAAAACTTCGTTATAGTAATACACTTTTCCTTCGTTGTTGACGTACGTTTGCCAATTATCTGTCGAGCTTTGCAACAACTCGTACTCTTTCGGGTACTTTCTTAAAAGGTACCAGAAATACTCGCTCTCGGCTCTTGAATACGGATTCCTCACCGTCGTGAATGAATTTTCTAAATACGTCTTCCCTTTTGCCACCTTCGGCGGCGAATGAAAATCTTCCGCTTTTCCTACGTCCCACGCCGGGTGCACTTCGTAAGGCCTCGCGGCTTCGTTCGACGCCCCGTTCGTCTCTCTGCTGTTACAACTTCCAATCCTCGCGCCGACGTTGGCGACCATTGCCTCGACCGAAGTCCCTCCAGCTTTTGGAATGTGAATGAAAATAGGCAACTCTTTCCCTTCTCGTTTAGGCAATATGCTCTTATCGATCAAATGTTTCTTCCCGTACACTTGGTCGTGCACGCCGACTAATAGTTCTTCCAACGCTTCTTCCTCTTCTTCTTCTTTTTCTTCTTCTCGTTCCTTCTCCTCTTTTTCCTTTCGTCGACGCTTCTCCTCTTCGCTGCCCTCCTCTTTCTTCTTCTTCGCAGTCGTCGTCGTCAAAGTCCCTCTCGCGTCATCCTCGCCCAAAGATGGCTTTGAGGACGTGGTGGAAATTAGCAACGCGCCGTCGCCGTTAATTTCCATCTCTCCTCCTCTTTTTCTCGTCAAAAACAATCTGGCGTTCTCGAAGAAATGTTTCAACGTTTCCAACTCTCCTTTCTTTCCTTCAATCATCATCATCGGTGAACTCGTTTCCGTCGTCGTCTTTGTTACCGTCATCACAGACACCGCGTAAAACGCGAGGGCGATCAAAACGAGCACCTTCACGCCGACGAGTTTAGATGCAAACGGAAACCAGGACGAGGAGGAGGACGGCGACTTTGACGAATCTTCTTCTTCTTCTCTCGAAATTGAGCCGCGCATCATCATCATCATCTTTTCCGTCGTCGGAGTATTGGCGTTCAAAAGCGACGCGGTTTCATCATCGACAGGAGTAGTAGTACTCTTCCGCATTTCCTCAAACTGTTCTCTAAATCTCTCTCTTTTGCGTGCGTGCGTGCGTGCGTGTCCGTTTTTATGCGCGCGCGTCCGCACTCTAGAGTCGTTCGTTGATGCGCTGAGGGAGAGCGATGATGAGATTTTGTGAGGAGAGAGTTTTGCATTTTTTTTGTTTTTTGTCCGCTTTTTCGTTTTTGAAAAAAAAAATTCATCTGCTCTGATTGTGCTTTACTACATACATAACACTATTTTTTTTTTTTGGAGTCTACTACCAGTTTGCGTATTATTACACTAGTATATTTAAAATTCATCGTCGTCGTCTTCATCGAAGAATTCCCCTTCGTCGTAATGATAACTGTTGTTATTCTTCTCTGCTTTTTCTTCGTCGTCGTCGAAAACGTCGCTCTTCGCACTACTACTACTACTACTTTTCATTTTGAGTTCCTCTTCGTATCTCTTCGCGCGGCTGTCGCCAAAGATATCTCTCGCTAAAGTTTTCGAGACGTTGCGGTCGTTTTCGTGCGCGAGACCGATGCCTTCGTAGAGTTGACGGAAGATTTTTTTGGACGGGACGACGCCGAGTTGGTTGACGAGTTCTTTGACGATGACGGGCGCTTGCGCGGCGAACGCGCCGGAAGCGGCGGCGCATTTGAAGAGAGCGTCCAACGTGTCCGAGGACAGCGGCGTCGCCGGGTTGTTTTTGACGAATTGGGAGACGCGTTTGCGAGCTTCGGAGATTTGGCGGAGTTCGGCGCACGCCGCGACGCACGCGTTTAACGCGTAAAGGTTTGGACGGATGGGATTTTTGTTGTTGTTGTTCTTGTCGGATGTGCTCTCGTAGACTTCGTCAAAGACGCGCATAGCCTCGTTCGGATCGATTCTCGATAAACTTTGCACGCACGTCGCATAAAATCGATCGTCGGCTATATCACTGCTCGCTTTGAAGTGCTTTTCAAAGAGATCGACGACTTTGTCCGGTTGACGCAATTTACCTCTGGCGAGCGCGAGCGCAGTCAACGATTCCGAGGTGTGCGCCACGCCGTATAAATCCATATCTCTTTCGGCTTCGTCCACGTATTCCCTGGCCTTAACCAGTAACGGGTCGCCGCTGGAGTCGTTCATATCGCTCAAAGCCGTCTGCATCATGTCTTCTCTCTTTTCGCCGTGCATTGGATATGGAAAGTGCGCCAAGACGTCCGAAACTTCGCGTCCTCGTCGCTCGCACGCGAGGAAGAGTTCTAAAAAGGTCACCGCATCGGGCGTGATGTTTGAAGACGCCATAGACTTGTACGCCTTAAATGCCGATTCGACGTCGTTGTTTCTCGATAAAGCGCCGATTAACGCGTTATACGCAACAGCATCCATTTTGACGTGCAAGCTTTGCATTCGAAGTAAAATGTTGGACACGCGTCGTCGACGATCTTGAACCAAACGTAAAGTAGCTCCGTCGCGTTCCATCATGGAAGCGTAGAATTTTCCAGCGAGAACGAGCTCCGTGACAAAAGAAGCCGCATCAGGGACGATGCCAGCGTCCAACATTCGCTCTCGCAATGCTTCTACTCTCGAGAAAGTTGCATCCAATCGATCCTCCAATTCGTCCTCATCTTCGTTCTTGTGGATGTCGTCTTCGATGAATGTTTTCCGGGTAATCTCTTCTTCTTCTTTAACTTCTTCTTCTACTACTTCTTCTTCTTTAACTCCTTCTTTTCGTCCGTCGTGAGAGTGATGATGATATAGAGGGGATAAGAACGCGTTCAATTCCGCGCGCATCAACGCCGTGAACGAATACACGTCTGGTCGCACTTCGTTCGCCGTCATCATCTGAAACGCCTCTTTCGCTCTCGCCACATCCCCTCTGTTTGCGAACATCGTCGAAACGGCATTACACGCCGCGCGAACTTCTTTTTCGTGCGCGCGAATGGCGTATTGCGACGCCAAGTCGAGCACAATCTCCTCGCTTTCTTCTCCAAGGTTCATGAAATCATCCTCGTCCTCGGTGCTAAAACTATTCCTATCCTCGTCGTACGTCGTGGTACTCCCTCCTCCTGTTCCTCCTCCAATCACTCGATGCTGCCTCGCGCTGGCGGTTTCTTTACGCCACGATTTCCACGGATTTCGAGCATCTTTACTGCCATCTCTTCTGCGCGACTTTTGCATCGCGTCGCGTTGTTTTAAAAACTGTGCCGCCGCCAAGCCTCGAGCGCCGGACCACCCGGTGCGATACTTGACGTTGTACCTTTCCGAAAACTTTGCAGTTGGCACGGAATCAGAATACACACGTTTGCCTAACCTCCATAACAAAGTATCCAGCGCATTTTCAGCCATTTCGAGGCTCTTTGCCGATGCCGCGGATTCTTTGCCGCCTTTCTTTGCAAACTTTCTGTTCGCGATTTTACAGTGCGCCGAAACGCGTTCGCTGTGGGCCCACATGGATTTATGCTCGTTTTTAAACATCTGCCAAACTTCCTCGACTTCGCGAGAGGTTCCGTTCGCGCACGTCCCTACCAAACGCAGCTTTGCTTCCAACGCGTCCGCACCGGGCGTTAAGTTTGGTTGGTTCATTTGAAACATCAATACTTCCGTGGCTTGGAAAATCTCTCGACTCGCGTGCTTCGCCGCGTACCTCAACAAAGTGGTGAATAATTTTACCGGCAAAGCCGTCTGCGGTGCCGGTTGATGCATCGTTCGCGCCGCCTCCGTGGTACCATCGTCGTCGTCGGGTAAATCCGCATCCGCATCTTGTTCATCGAAAATCTCGCTCAATTGCACCGCCTCCCCGGGCGCTTTCAAACGCACGTCCCATCCGCTCTCCTCCCCTAACGACGACGAAGGCACGCCCAAACAGTGCATCTGCAACCACTCGAACGCCTCCTTCACCCTCCCACTCCTACAAAACGCCAACAAAATTCCGTGGTGCGTCGTCACGTCTGGCACCACATTATCCGCTACCATCGACTGCACAATCTCCAACGCCGCCTCCGGGTCGCCGCTATCCGCCGCGCAGTGCACCAAAACGTTATACGCGCCTCGCCCGGGATATCGGTGATGTTTCCTCAACGTCTCGAACGTTTCTTGAACCGCTTTCGCATCTTTTCTCCGCCGAAATCGTCGCATGGTCGCGACTAACGCGCGTCGTTTTAAGTCCGGAGGCAAGTGCGAGTCGTCGATGTCTTTAAAAGAAGGCGGCTCTGGTTTCCTCTCATCATCGTCGCCGTCCGCCTGCACCTTTTCGGTGGCGGTCGAAAAGGTCAACCCTTTGCAACACGGATGCAACAACCATCCTCTCGACCACCACCCCCTGAAGGGCTTCTCGCGCGACGAAAATGGGCCGACGCCGCTAAAACTGCTCTTGCACGTTGTGCTGCTTTCTCTTCTCTCTTTTCCTTTATTAGCTCTCTCAAAAAACGTTGTTCTCGTTGTTGTTACGGATCCTTTCGGTTGTTGATGATGATGATGAAATCCCCCGGGGAACGCAGATGACGCCAAACAGGACGATGAGACGCTCCTCTCTGCTCTCGTATCATCGTTCGTATTCGTATCCTCGTCGAGAAATACACAACAAGACGCGCATCTCTCGAGAACTCCTCCTCCTCCTGTTGTGCCTATTCCTTTTCTTCGAAAACAACGCGTCGATATCGTCGTCGTCGTCGTTAACATCTCTTTTGTATCTAATACACGAGTAAGTGATGAAATTCTGATACAAAACTCTGAAATTAATACTCGAAAAACGCTTGAATTTCTCTCGGTGTAAAAAAAAAATATATCTCCGAGATCAAGATCAATTTTCCGAGGCAAGATGACGACGCTACGTGCCGGGGGCATCGTTTCGGAGAGCATGACTTTGACGAAATCTTCGTCACACCACGTGATCTTCCTCGTCGACGGGTCGTTGCAATCTGTATCGGAGGAAGGCGACGAAAGTTTCAACCAGTTGATTGATTGTGATTCGCATGTGGTGAAAAGGAGAATTGATGTCTTAGTTTCCGTGGCGAAGACTTTAGCCGTCGAAGGGTTTGGATGGAGAGAGGGAAAGGAGGAGGAGGAGGAAAACGCGAGGAGAAGGTTCGGGTGCGTGTTTTACGACGCCTCCTGCTCGAGCGCGAACGCCGATGATGCGCTCGTCGCGAGGAAGAAGCAAAAGACGAAGAAGAGGCGATTGGGGTGTTCCATGCTCGATCTGGAATCTGTCTTTCAATTTTTCGCGTCGTTGAAACACGAGGAGCATCAGACGAATGGTGGTGCGTTTATAACGTTATCGCAAGCGGTATCGCAAGCGGCGTTGATGTTTAAGTCGACAAAAATGGAAGAGTGCGGAAGCCGGGATCTGGTTATTTTGAATGCGACGGAAGGATTACAGAGTTTAAGCGTCGCGGAGGACGTGGTCGAAAAGATGGAAAAGATGAACGTCACGAGGAGTGCGGTGTTTTTCCACGGCGATTACGCGTCGCCATCATCGAGTTGTTTGTGGCCGACGGCTATTGAAGGTTTAGCGAATGCGTCAGGTATCGCCGCTATATGCAATTTGAGACCGCATCAAGACATGTTTTTGCGTCAGTCCGAGAGATGCTTGCGAGCTGAGCTAGAAAATGGTGGCGTTTTACGCGAAATCTCGGACGGAGAGGCAACAAACGGAGAGGCGACGGAGCAAAAACTGATTGAAGCGACGAGACGCGATAAAATACTAGAAAAGAATCGAGTTCAAGAGAACGCGATGTTTCCAACGAAGATGAACGAAGACGACGATAAAAACAAAGAAGAACAAGAACGAGGACAACAGCTCGTTCGACGCGGTGAAAACTGCGCCTCGCAGTTTTCAAAGTTTGACGTTCTCGAAGAAAGACTGAGTGGCCTCAACGCGAGTACGTCTCTGCGAGTGCCTATTCTTATTCTCCCTAAGAGTGATGCAAACCGAGACGAAAAGCAAGAAAGCACTGGGAAAGAAAATCAAGAAACCAATAGCGGCAATACCGAGCCATTCATCCATCACGTGGATGTTGAAGTGGAGAACATTCCTAAAGTGCTCCACGCCATGTTCGAACCGTTGCTCGTTCTCTCCTCTTGTTCTCGAATGCGAAAGGATAAATCGAAAAAAGTTCGGCCTTTACTCGGTACGTCGGGTGACATAATAGTTCGTCAGGAGTATTTCTTAGGCAACAAGCACGAGCCGAAAGTGATAATCGAGTTCAGGAAAAACGAAGGCGGTACCGATCGCATCGCTTCGTTCAATCGAAGCGCCTCGAAAGTGGTTTCGTTGATCTGGCCGTTGAAAAACGCCGACGCGCGTGTCTTTTGTATAAAGCACGAACTTGCAAAGTACAAAAAGTTCTTCTATTTCAACAGAGAGAGCGGGGAGTCGTACGCGGAACGCGTGTCTCAGTTTCGAGCGATACTCGAGAACCCGCCCTCCCTCGAGGAGCTTTCTGGCATCGAATCGTCGAAGACGCTGCGGGATATGGCATTAGCCGCGCCAAGTTTGTTGGGTCTAATGTGCAATCCACCGGTTTCCCAACCGGCATCGTCGTCGTCGTTTGAACCTCCTCCTCCTCCTATTCAAGCGTCCGAGTCGTCGCCGACTGCTTCAACTTTCACTTTAGAAAAATACAGACAACTCGAACTCGAACAAAAAGAGCGCCGACGAAAAATCCGAGCGGCTTTGACGAAGCAGAAGAACAAGAATACTGTGGAAACGGAGAATAAAGTAGAAAAGGAGGAAGAAACTCCGCAACGGCAAGTCATAACCAATAGACTCCAAGCCTTGCGAGACGAGCTCGAGCTTCGATTAAACGAAGCCGAAACGGCCCAGAAGACGGCGAGCGCGAAGACCGAAAGGACGAGCCAACCGGATGAAGAGCAAGAAAAAGAGAAGGTAGTGAGCGAAGAGCGAAATACAGATGATAAAGGCGAACCCAAAGACAGACAAAGCAAGAAAGTAAACAAAACAAACTTGCTCTCTTTCTTCGCGTGAGACGAGACGACGATACGCGTACAACGTTTTCTCAACATATCGAAACGCCACACGCGTCCGTTATATATATTCCGATTACAACAAAACCCATACATATCGAATCAATCAAATCAATCGAATCAATTTCAATGACTCCCTTCTAAACTATAAAACCTCAGTCCGCAATACTTGCATTTCGCCGGATTCTCCACGCTCGTATCCGCCAAGGTGTAAAAAGTCGCCGGCGCACCGAGCGCGGCGCCTTCCCCGAACCTCTCCTTACACGCGCCAGGAGAGTGGCAGTTCACTTTACTCGCGTTCACGCCAATCGGTGGAACTTCGTTGATCCAATCGATCGGCGCTTTCGACGCGTCCGAATCCAGCCATTTCTTCGTATGTGGGGTATCCTCGGGGAGGTAGGCAGGGCGTTTCGATTGGACCGGTTGGTGCGGTTTCCAATTCGCGTCCACGCCTTGTCCTTGTCCTCCGTTCGACAAAGAGGACATTTCTCGTTTTCCTTCCGCACGCCGAGAACTCTCCGTTTTCCTCTTTATCGTCGAAGAAGAAGAAGAAGAACGAGAAGACGTGGACGCGAACGCGGAGGAAGAGGATCTGATGTCGATGATGATGCCGCTGCTCGTGCCGCTGCTTCTCTCGCGCAAAAAAAGAGTTCGATCGACGGCACTTTTCACCACCGAGGAGAGTACTTTTGATCTGCTCATGATGTTGATGTTCTCGTTATTCTCGTCGCGCGTGAGTGTTCTTGTTCGTATTCTTATTCGTATTCGCGTCGTTTGAGTTGTGTGGCTTTTACACAGGATTGGAACGACGAAATTTCTCCATTTTATCCGCTCTCGTTCTCGGTCGCTTCCTCCTTTTCCTCCTCCATTCGGCGCATGCTCCTCGCGCAGAAGAGATTCAGAGGCATTTCTTTCTCGTCTTCTTCGTCTTTGTCTTCTTCTCGGGGCTGCCGCTGCGTTTGGTCGCGAGGATATACTTGGTGTTACGAGAGGCGCTTTGGAGGAAGAACAACACCCCGCTTCTCGTCGTCGTCGTCGCCGTCGAATACCCCCACGGAAAGGAGAGAAGAAGACAAAGAAGAAGCACTAAAGGAGGAGATCGAAATAATGACAAACCCAAGATCGCCGAGGAGTCACGACGGTGATCATTTCCGAGGTCAAACGGTGCAGGAAACCGTCGCGTATAAGAGATATTTAGCGGTGTACGACCGAACGGTTGAGTTCTCTTCCCCTGCGACAACACCTGCAAATGCTGAAGAAAAGATCTCGATTAAATACGACATCGTCGGCCATCCTCGGTCGGGGTTTCGATTCGTCGCGGTTCTGCCGTTTCACAGCGGGACGAGAGAGTTTACCGTATGCCGCGAGTACATTCAATCAGTGAACGCGAGCGGGGTGACGGTGCCGACAGGAGGGCACGAGCCGGAGAAACACGGCGAGGATATCGCGAACGCGGCGAAAGCGGAGATGAACGAGGAGGCGAAGTTGGTTGGTGGGAGACTGGTGAATTTGATGGAGAAGAAGAGCGAGAACGAAGGAGATAGGGAAGTGGGCGAGGAGGAGGGTTTCATCGAGACGAAGTGGTGTAGGAATAAGTTCGTGCCGTTTTTATGCGTGGATCCAAAGGATGTGGAGGAAGGTCAAGAAGGTAAATTAGACGTGGAGGAGTTCGCATTGGAAACGTTTAGGGTGGATTTGAAGGAGTTAAAGAGGATGATGTACTCCGGGGAGATGATGTTGCCGAGTATTATCACGTGTCAGATGAGTTTGGACTATTTAGTTAAGAGCGGTTTGATTTCAAAAGACGAGTATCACGGGTCTTCTTAAAAGAAGGTTGATTGGGGGAAGAAAGAGAGATTGATTTACACGCGAGTAGTAGAGTTTTGTCTTAAATATAATAGCTATGTATGCGCGCTCTTTGAAAGCATATGCGCGTATTTGTATTTTATTAATAACGTTATGTGTGTATTTAAAAGGAAAAAATCAAGCCCCGAAAACGAACTCGACGACTTTGTTCCAAGTGCCTCTTCTCGGTTGCAAAGCTACCGAAGCGCTTCCATTCAACATTGTCCGCTTATTCCCACCGCCCCTCGGCGATCGATCGATGCTGTTTCTCTTATTGCTCCCAAAATCATCGACATCGTCGCAAACGCCGCCGATATATCTCGCGTCCTTCTCCGACAACGGTTTCACGCCAATCATAATTCGATCGGATATGCGCGTTCCGTTCAACTGCAACGCGCGTTTTGCAAACTCAGGTTTTTGAAACTTCACGTGCAGCCAATTCGCGCTACCTATCGCCGAGTGTGAACCGAATTTACGAGTATATTGCGGGCTTCCGTGGTATTTTCTAGGTGAAAAGCCATTCGCGTTACCGTCGGTATTTCGGCTAAACGGACTCTTCTTTCTACTCGGCGACTCTTCCAGTTTCCTCCTCGCTTTGAAAGCGTCATCGTAGTCCTCATCTAAGAAATCGTCGTCGTCGTCGTTCGGCGGTAAAAATTGTCCAAAGTTTACCACGTCTCCTATTTTCTGCAGTTTCGACAAAACGAACGTCGCGTCGTCGTTGGTAAAACCATACACGGTCACCCAACACGGCGTTTGGACGCTCGCCATGGCTGCCTCCACCGCCGCTGGATCGTTGGCGTCCACCTCGGCATTCCTCGTCGCGTATGCCGTACCTAAACTCGCAGTCGTCGCCGAAGCGCCACCTTTCGATCGCTCTTCGTTGTTCATTCTTTCTTCCGTCGTCGCTCGAGATCCGATGCTCGTCCTCCTCCCTCCCCGGCCGACCGTCCCACCTTTCCCAGCATCTCTCGTAAAAAGCGGCATCCCTTTCGCGTTCACGTTTCCAAAATTCACCTCTCTCTCCGCCATCTCCTTCCTCCTAATATCCGCGGCGAACAAATCGTCTTTCCCGCTCGCGCCGCCGCCTCCTCCGCCGGACGGCGAATCCAACTTTTGCGGGTTCAATCCCGCGCCTCTTTGCGTGCTCGAAAACAACATCGAGCTAAATTTCGGCGCCACGTGTTCTCTCAAATGTCCTCCTCCTTGTCCTTGTTTTTGTGGACTCGGAATTTGCATTTGGCCGTCGTTCGCGAACGCGCGCGCGGTTGGTTCGTAATACCCCAAGTTCACCCCAGACGGGTTCCGTTGGAAGACGTTTCCCACTGGTGGTGGTGACACATCATCTTTGTTTCCAACAAAAGTACTAGTATTCGCATTCGGTGCCGGTGAGCTGGTAAACAGGGACGACGACCCACCAACGCCTCGTCCTCCAAAAGGCGTCGGGGCTTCGTTGTTGCGGCTGGTTTCGTTTCCGAACGGCGTCGTCGTTGGTGTCGTCCTCGCTCTTTGATTTTCAAACGGATTCCCCGTCGATCCAAATTGGTGGTGTTGTCCTTGTTGGTGTTGTCCTCCACCGGATGCAAAAGGCGACTGAGGTGGGAACGACGCGTCTCCTACTCCTCCTCCTCCTCCGGCGGTGGTTTTCGCGGTGTACGGCGAAGAGTTGTTAAACATAGCGCGCGGTAATAAAGAACAGATTTAAACTGAGGGGAAAAGGAACCATTTTCCCCCTGAAATGCATCAAATATACCCCCCGCCGGAGTATTGGTCTCGTCTCTTTCTCGAGCGTTCGAGCGTTCATCGAAAGCATCGAAAGAAAGGAGGAGGAGAAGAATCAGAGCATCATGGACCCTCGCGCGTACGCGACGCTTTTCCCTCGCGAACGGTTCGAAACGTTCGTTTCAGCGCCGATTCCGCTTCGTCCACCTCCGGCGGATGTGCGCGACGACGACGAAGAACGACAACAACAGGCTGGAACAGCTTCCCAAAGTCGTCCGATTGGCAGAGCGAGACACTTCGCGTTTGGTTTCGCCGGTTTAGCGAGAGCAGCGGACGATGATAACGACGAAGGAGGCGCCTCCGTGTTGGTGCACTTGATGCCGCCGACGAGGAAACGGAGCAAAAGCGCTTCGTCGTCGTCGTTGAGAAAGACGACGGTGTTGTGCGCGAGTTCTTTCCAACGCGCGTTTAAAAACCCAAGGAAACCGACGGAAGGGTTCGTGGAAGTGCGCGTGGATGTGGCCAGTTGCAGTCGCGCGGAGAACACCAAGAACAACGCGGACGTCGTCGAACGGGCGGCGACTATCGCTCGGGTGATTCGAGAGACTGTTTTTCCCTCGAGAGGACAAGGAGGAAAAGGACGTGGAGGATTAATCGATCGGAGCGTTTTAAAAGGCGACGGATTAGAGGGAGATAAGTGTTGGAAATTTATCGTGGAGTGTTTGGTCTTGGACGACGATATGGGGACCATGGACGCGTGTTTGGCGGCGGTGGTGGCGTGCGCGAGGAAGACGCGAGCGCCGAGTATTCTAGCTGGCGGCGATAACGCAAAGGGGAAGGGAAAAAAGAGGCAAATGTTGGCGGTGAATAGAAATTTCAAGCCGGTGTGTTTGACAGTTGGCGCGTTTAATCTTTCCACGACGGAGAATACCGACCCCGGCGAGAAGAAGAAGAATATCGGCGATGGAAGTAAGAAGCGCAAGATGAACGAAGAAGAAGAAGAAGATGAAAAGGTAGGGGACGAGGATGAAATAGAAGATTACGAGCCTCCGAAGCAAATAGTTATCGTGGACCCTACGTACGAGGAGACCAAGTTATGCGACGCTTTAATCAACGTCATCGTGGATGAGAATGGGAACGTGTTAGGATTAGAAAAGAGTCACCACGGCGCGAGCGAGGTGGACGAAACTGTGTTAGCGAAGGCCATCGCGGCGGCAAAACTTAGACACGGGGAAGTATGGAAACGGATAGAACAATTCGACGAGATGGAAGAAGAAGAGGAAGACGACGACGAGGAGGAAGACGAGTAGAACTACTTGCTTTCGTATGTTTTCTATACCATTAGGTACTTACACATCTTTCAAAGATGTGAACTAAAAACTACCTCTGTTTCTTTCATCTACTACGCGCATACCTAAAAATCTCACGTCGGCGGCGCCTCTTGCTCGTCGGCAGCACCAAACGCACTCACGCTACCTTCGCGTTCACTTCCTCCTCCTGCTGCTCCTCCCTGGGTTTTCTGCTGCTTCATCTGCTTCGCTAAGCTCGCGTTTTTCTTCCTAGCGTTTTCCAAATTCTTCCTCCGCTGCGCCTTCACGTCCAAGTGCTCCTCCCACAACTTCCTCCTCTCCTTCATCCCAACTTCTTCGCCTAACCGCATCCACAACTTCCTCATCTGATCTAAATTATCCACCACTTCGTCGTGCTTCTTCCGCAAACTCAAAAACGAATTCCGTTTCTGCAACTCCTTCCTGATCCGTTTCGCTCGCGCAAAGTGCGGATGCCTTTCGCCTTCGCGGATCTGATTCCAAACGCGTTCCGCCGGGTTATCGAAATGAAACGTTTTCCCCGTAAACAAATCTTTCACCACATTTTCCACCAAATTCTCATCATTCCTCGTCGTCTCTGGGAGCATCTTCTTCAGCATCTCCCGATCTTCCTCCGTTAACGTTTTCCGCCACAGGTCGATTGGATTTTTTAGCACTTCTCGCAGAGGTGCGTTTTCACTCATCATCTTCTCCATCGCGAACGGAGGTAGAAAACACTCGTCCATTTCGGTCGTTCGACCGATGATGTCCAACTCCGGGTGACTCGCCGGGTACGTCATCCCCGCGCCTTGCCATCGATGGCCTCCTATTTCTTTTGTTGGTTCTTTGTATTCTTCGTCTTCTTGCTTCTTCGTCTTCTTCTTTTGTTGGGTCGTCGATGTCGTCGTCGTCGTTCCTTTTCTCTTCCCCGTCGTCGCCAAAGGGGACGATTTTGCCGATGATGCCGGCGCTTTCCGAACAGGCCTCTTCGTAGACTTCGGCTCTGATACGAACTCGTCAAAGTCGTCGTCGCTGATACCAATGGTATTCGTTTTCATCGTCGGTTTGGGCGTTCGCGAGGACGTTCGAGCGGGAGCTTTTGCGTTCGTCATTTTTTCTCTGTTTTTTGTGGTGGAACAAAAGAGGCAAAATGTTGATTTTTTCAATCTACAATTACATTTACATTTTTGTACATGTTACACAGTATTCAGAGCTCTTCCTCTCTCTCTCTCTCTCTTTCTCTCTATCTATCTCTCTCTCTCTGATTACTACATTAAATGGAAGCTTTTAAGACGTGGTAGGACACCCTCTCTCGTCCACGACCGTGGTCACCGCGGGTTGACACGCGTCCGCTATCATTCTTTTGTCGATGTTGATATCCGATCTCAAATCCGCGAGCGAACCGTACGTGCCGCTGAGGACGACGACAAAGCCGAGAAGGAGAGAGAGGTAGACGAACGGTTCGAGCCATTTTCTGTTGTTGATGCTATTCCTCCTCTTCGTCGTCGGAAATTCGTCGTCCTCGACGAGCGTTAAGCGCATTATAGACGGTAAAAGGAATGTCATCAGCGCCATGCCGAACGATCCCACCAGGCCTTGTAAATCGAGCAACACGTCGCCTTTACTCGCTAAGAAAATGGCTGCCACGAGCGTTTGCGTCAAGAGGAAGAATGCTCGGAAGAAGAGGCGGAAGGTGAACGCCGTGACTTTGAAGAGAGGATGTTTTTTGCTGAAATAATCCGTCGGGTCTACGCCAAGCATGACTTCAAATCGCGAACACAACGCGACGTTGCAGAAAAACACGGCGTAGTAGCACTGACCGAATTGAAACGCAATCGATAACGCGTTGCCAAAGTCGTTCGGAAAGTTGAGATTGATGTCCGCCTCCGTGCTAGCGCCGTAACTTCTATACCCAAGCGCACCCACGAATAGATACACGGGAGCTGATATAAAATACGACCAATTCATCACTTCCGGCCATCTCTCCGGTTCTTGCATCTCGCTCATTTCTTCTGGATACAGACCGTGCCCGCCGTAGGCGTACGCGAAATTTGCGAGAGAGACAAACTTGCTCCTCGCGCTCACCGCGGGAAACTGCGGTTTAATCGCGCACGACTTCCACGGCGTCCGGTGCAAGACCTCGTACGTAAATACGCCTACGCTTAGCGTCAACGTCCCGATGGCAAAATACACGAACTTCGCGCTGTCGTGAAACGTCGGCAATTGGACGACGGGTAATAATAAAATCGAAACTATGAGCAACGAAAACGATTGGCACCATCCGACGCCATAGAAACCTCTCACTTTCATCGCTTTCGTCAGCATCGCTAAATATTGCGCCAAGTAGACGAGTTGACAGACCGCGTCCAAGTAAAAAGTGAGGAATTGAACCACGTGGACTGCTTTCCTCGTCGCGTCTCTCGCTCTCGTCTTCTTACTCTTCTTCGTTTTCTTTCCTCCCAGACGAACTCGGCGCCGGGCGCTCTCCCCGAGGCTCCATCGAACCGCTCCGTCATCGTCGTCGTCGTCGTCATCACCACCGCCATCAGCATCACCATTGTCATCATCATCACCACCACCACCACCAAAACTAAAGATAAATCTCGTCACCGCTTCTGCTGCCATTTCCGGATACGTTTTCAAATCTGGATGTTTCAGGTACGCTTGCCCGATGACGCGTCCCGTCCAATAACTCCACACCGTGCTTGAGACGAAACAAACCATCCCAAATTTCCAACCGGCGGCTTTAAAAACTGCCGGCATTGAAAGAGGCACGAGCATGTAATTCAAGGTGTTCATGGTGATGTTTGCCACCGTCGCTCGTTGCAGGTTTTCCGAGATGACTTCTCGTCGTTCTTGGTCTTCGTGTTCTTCTTCTTCTTCTTCGAAAGTTGTAACGTCGCCGTTATTAAAAATGTCCTCGGAGAGAGGCACGTACGCGTGCGAAGATTCGTTATTCATCTCCTTCAGCTTCCCTCTCTCTCTCTCTCTTCTCCTCTCGGAGCTTTTAGCAGCACATATTTATGGAGATTTTTTCTCTCTGCTTTATGTAATAAGTGTGATGTAAACGCGTTAACATTAAACGCGGGGCTGCTGCTTCTAAACGTGTCGCTACGAGTATGAGTATCATTAATAACGATACGTGCGAGCGTTAACATGGATTATTATGCGCTATTTCTAAACTATACGCGTCCTGCTAATACTATTATTATTCAACTATTCTTCCTCGTCGTCGTCGTCGTCTTCTTTTACGCCTATATCCTCCTCCGATGATATTTCTGACATGTCTTCGCTGTTTTTCTCTTCGTCTTCGTCGTCCTCTTCTTGTCCTTCTTCGTTCTCGAGGCTGCCGCTTTTACGCAACGCCTCGTACCTTTCCTCGAAGAATCTTCTCCCGGACATGGACACCGCGCCTTGTTGCGCGTGCGTCGTCGTCGTGGCAGCAGCAGCGGCAGCAGCATTGCGGGCGGTAGTCGCATCATCTATTTTGTCGTTGTTAGTATTCGTCTCCGTCGTCCATTTTCCCAACGCTCTCTCCGCGTCGAACGCTTTCGCCCACCTTTCAAAATTCTCTCGCGTCACCGCGGTCCCGGTTTCCCGCATCGCTTTCAACCGTTCCTCCGCTTCCATCTCCAACCGCTTCTCCACCATTTCCTCGGTCTCCTCTTCTTTTTCTCTCACGCGCGTTCTCGAACGAAGCCACTCTTTCGCGAATTCTACGAGATCGTACATCATCGGCTGTCCGAGCATGTTTTCCGTCTTTGCGAGATCGAGTAACTGTTTCGTCAGCTTTTTGCACTCCTCGTCGTGTATCTTCGCCACGGAACGACATTTTAGAAACGGCATCTCGTTTGGATACTTCGTCGAGTGCGCGAAGACGACGCCTAATCGAGCGTCCACTAGATCATCGCTGTTGTTTTTGCTCTCGTCGGTGTTGATAATCTCCGACGCGTCTTCGTGAGACGCGAGCGGAGATAAGACGATTTCGTAGCATTTTACATCCGGAGGGACGGATTGTATTCGATTTCCGTGTTCACAAACTTCGTGGAAATCCTCCATGAAAATCGATCTTAACGCTTCGATTTCGTCCATTTGTTGTTGCAGCTCATCGTCTTCGTCCGTCATCTGTTGTTCTTTCTCTTTAAAGTGTATTTCTTTACGAGTATGAGTGTTCGTAGTGTGAGTGTTTTGTGTGGTACATTCCCCAAAGATTTCATCACTTTTAGGACACGATGGGGAGAGGACGAGTCGAGCGGCAACTCTGTAAATTCCTTTTCTCCTCGAGGCCCTCTTCAAATGTTCAAGAGCGATGTCTGTCCAGTCTGTGGTTGCAAAATTCTGATAAGAAGAACATCCATTTTTCCGCGTTGAGACAACACAATCCTTCTCATTTTAACGGTATGGAATCCAATTCCATCCCGGAACCGACGACGACTTCAGACGTGGTCGACGCGTATTTTTCGCACCTTTCCGTCGTCGATCAAGTGCAGAACGACGCGAAAGTTAAATTCGATTGCCTTGTGGACTTGAATTTGAAACCGTACGGCGGGGCGTTCGACAGGACGTCGTTCTTTCGAGGGGAAATTACCACAATTAAGTGTTTCGAAAACAACCCGCTCGTGAGAGAAACCTTGACGAAGGAAAGCGGTGTAAATCGAGTGCTCGTCATCGACGGCGGCGGGTCGCGGAGATGCGCGTTACTAGGCGGCGAGATTGCGAAGATTGCAGAGGGGAATCAGTGGGAAGGGATCGTAGTGAACGGTTGCATTCGAGATACGAACGAGATGCGATGGTGCGGCTTGAAAATCCCGATTTTAGCCGTCGGGACTTCGCCGGTGCCGTCGAGTAAGAGAGATCCGGGGGTGAAGGATCCAAAGTTTGGCGTGACCTTTGGTGGGGTCAATTTTAAAAGCGGGAGTTGGGTGTACGCGGATTGCGACGGCGTTTTAGTGACCAGAGAGAAAGGGCCTTTGGTTTGATGCATTCATTTTTAGTATATGCAGTTAAATGATGACGATGATGATGATGATGATGATGACGACGGAAAATGATATCCTTATTTTCAATTACACAATGCGTTTTTATATCTTTCACAACAATAATAAAATCATTTTCTTTTCTCTTTTTATTATTCATTCTGAAAACCTTTTAATCTATAATCCTTCTTATGTAATCGACCGTGAACAACATGCCCGCGTTCGCCGGACTCGCTCTCAACAAACACGGAAACAAACCTCTATAAAATCTCCCGACGCCGCCTTCTTTGTACAACGCCCCTATGGCATCCCCGTACCCTTTGAACCTTCTCTCGGCTGGGTTCAACTTATCCGTCATCACCGCGGATTTAATCACATCGATCGGGTAGAAGAACGACCAATAGAAAATCCCGCCCAAACCTCCGGAGAAGCAAATCTCCGCGTTGCTCGCTTTCCCGTCTTCATTTCTCGCCGCGAACCAGTTCTTCGTGTTTTCAAACACCCCAAAATATACCGAACCCGCGGGTAAATTTCTCGCCAACGTCGCCCCCATCCCATACCACGGACCTCTTGGACCCATGTATTTCACGGCATCCTTCACGCTCGAAGCCATCGATTGCGGCACAAAACTCGGATCCGCTTTCGCGCGTAAAATTTGCTGCTGCGATTGACTCTTGAACAAATCAATCGGCGATTCAAAGAACGACCCGGCAAACCAGGCCAACCCCCCGGCTTTACAGTAACTCAAAGGATCGTCCGGAGACACCCCGACCCACTCTTTCGCTCTCGCGTACGCAAAAAACAACGTCGCTCGAAAAAACATCTGCCCGGCGAGCGGCGACATCACGCCTTTATACAACCCGCCGATGCCTTCAGATTTCAACACCTTCGTCGCCGCATCGACGGCGCCGGAATACGCCGGATTCGTCGAACTCTGCGTTTGTAACAACACTTTCACCGTATCGAACGGATGCCCTAACAAAGTCACCGTAATCCCACCGCAGGTCCCCGCGAAAACATCCTTCGCGAACGACACCGCCTTCGAAGGCGGTTCAGAGGAGGAATACGCCACCATTTGATTTTTGGTCGTCGTCTCTCCTCCTCCTCCTCTTTGTCGACGAATGATATTCGTCAGTAAAGAAGACGAAGAATCCGGAGAAGAAGAATACGAAGAGGAAGCGCACGAAGCGCTGCTGAAATCGCTCGAAATGGTATTCTTACCAACACCCGCTTTCGTATTCCTCGCGTTCGAATGCAAAGACGACGACGTGGACGAGCACAAACTTTCCCCATCCGAGTAATCCAATCCATACGGAGTTCGCACGACCGAGCGGAACGTTTCCGATAATCTCACCATTTTTTTTCAAATGTATGTGATAACAAAAGAAGAACAACAAGTCAACAACAACAACAGTTCTTCGCTTTGCGTGTATTATGTGTGTGTGTGTGTGTGAGAAGAGTGAGATGTGATTGACGTTGTTTTTAGATAGAGCACGTCTTCAGTTTTGGATATTTCTTGTGGTGGAACGACCCCCGTCTGCACATGAAAAAGTCGCACTTTGACATGCGAAAAAACACACGTGGCAGCTCAAATCAAATTAATTACGAGCACATGACTCACCCTAAACTGTTGTTAAGTTTTTGTCTCTCGCGCAGTTGCATTTGCATTTTTGCTTTCTTCGTATTCTTCACACGTCTCTCGCTTCACTTCTGTCTGTTACTCTTATAGTTTGAATAACTCATCATGGGAGGGAAGAGCACGAATACGACTCTGGACGACGGCAAAGTCCAACTCACCCCTTCGCACTTACTCGACGTGATCGACGAAGAGTGGTTGGAAGATTCCTTACCGTTCGACGACGTGGACGTGCCCGCGAACATGCGCTTATCCTCGTCCGCGTACGAGATGGATTACGCTTTGTTGAGTGGCGTTTCCGGAGCGCAAGGAGGCGGGAGTGGAAGTGGTGGAGGGATTTCATTTAGTGCAGGGACCGCAGGAGGAGGAGGAGGGACGCAAGGAGATGGGAATAGTGGGTTAGCCGGTGGGGCGGACGACTTTGTCGGAGGCACGGACGATGGGATGCGAGACGAGGAAAGGTGGGGGAGAGCTCGCGTTTAATGAAGGTGTTTCCTTCCTCACATTCTCTCCATAGTAATTAGCGACAATAGCAATGGTGGGGTAAAAGCAATAATAGTGTTATAATATATATCTTGTTCGTTCCTAAATATTACCAAAAGAGTACGATTCTTCTTCGTTTATTGTCCTCGTCGGCTTAAATTACTTCTTCCCTAAGCCCATGTCGATGTTCTCAATCTCCCGAGCTTGGCCGACGCCAAACTGGACGGAGATATCAACCGACGGTCGCAACTCGCAGCAATTCTTGATCGCGATGTGCGCGGTGGAGTTCAAGAATTGGCTTTCCAATTCCTTGTCGATGCCTTTGTTGTTGTCCAAGTCGACGTACGCGCGTTGGTCCAAGTTGTAATCAAATCTCGGCGCCCATTTTCTGCTCCCTAATCTCGCCGTGTACGAGCAGTTGTCAACCATATACGCGACACCTCTCGCATGCATGTACGGGTTTAACGAATCAACCGCCTCGATGACGGACTCGTTGCAAACTTCCGAGAACGAGTGACCTTTTTCGCGCAACGTGTCGATTTGCGACATCATGCACGCGCAATACACGCCCGCCGTCGTGGCGTTGACCGGAATCTCCGATTCCACTCTCTCAGCGCGAACTTTCTCCCCAACTTTCCACATTTCCGTCCCGTCGATTTTGCCCATCGGGAATTTGTTAAACCTTTCAACAGCCATGCACACCGACTTGATTTCGTTCGTCGATTGAACTTCTTCGTAGCACTCGTAGTGAATATCCTTCGTCGGCGCGTACGCCGCGGAATACGCCTTCATAAACTCTTCTTTCATCGCCGGCGTAGTCATCAATTCATCGTACACCGCCTTGATCCCCTTGGTGGAAATCGTCTTTGTGATTGGTCCAGTGATGCATTCCACGGTTTCTTTAAACGCTTGCTCCTTGGACATGCCGTTTCGGACGTATCTTCTGTACAAAGACTCGACGATGCCGTGCACGCCGCCCAACAAAATACCTCTCTCGCCAAAGATATCTGATCTGTATTCCATCTCCAAAGTTGTCGCAAACGTAAAGGGCGAACCCAAAGCGATGGACCAGCCCAAAGCGATATCCGTGGCATCCCCAGTCGCGTCTTGGTGCACCGCAAACGACGCGTTAATACCGGAACCGTTCACTTCCTTACCTTGCTCGTACAATCGTCTCACGGACGGGCCCATACCTTTCGGCGCCACCAAAACAACGTTGATATCGTTTCTAAACTCCGCGCCGTCGGATTTCATGACGCCCAACAAAAACCCGTGGGACAAACCTAACGTCGACCCTGGCTTCATGGCGGCTAAAATTCTCGGGTACATCTTCGCTTGCGCGGCGTCCGAAATCAAAAGCATGACCAAATCAGACTTTGCAATCACGTCAAACGTCTCGCCGAGAGTCCCTTTCTCCTCGGTAAAATCCAACTTTCTCGCCTCGTCGTTCGACTTCGAGTCCGGTCTCAGACCAATGCTGACGGAAATTTGGTCCGCCAACCCAGCTTCCGCGAGCGAATCGCGAAAATTTTGCGCTTGCGCCGGCGCTTGCGACCCCCACCCGATGACGCCGATGGATTTGACGCTCTTCAACGCCGCCGGCAACAACGAGAACTTATCTCTGCCGCCACGAACGATGTATTCTTGCTCGCCGGCGACGTCAACCATCTCTTTGGTGAACACTTTGGTGTTGATGTCCAACTCCGGCGCTTTCACCGCCATGGCGGAGACGGAGAGACCTCGTCTCGAGGAGGAGGAGGTCTTGGCGGCTGATTTGGAAGATTTTCGGAATCTGCCGTAGGACGCTTTCGCCGCGCAGTTTGCGATTTGGGCGGAGGATGCAAAAGCTGACATTAGTATTACTTTATGTGAGTTTTAAGGCAAATGTGAATTCCGTGCGTCGCGAGACGTTGCGAACGAAGAAGTGGGGAGATTCGCGCTAAAGTGTTATCCAAAATGGTTGAAAAGTGGGGAAAAAAATCTGAAGGTAATATTTAGGGTGTTCAACCCTACATAAAGGAAGTGAACACCCTTTCCAATTAAAAAACATCATCATCATCATTTTAAACGCTCTCTCCTGCGGCGATCCTGAAACGCACGCAACATCAGTCAATCTTTATCCGAAGAGGAGTTTTGAAAAGAGTCAGAGAGTAAGATGTTCTTTTTTATGAAAAATCAAAACGAAGAAGAGAAAGAACAGCTCTTGTCTCTGAAGAAAAGAGATGCCGATGTACCGTCTGCTTCATCGTCATCAATCCGGTTTTTCACGAAAGTCACCGCGTGCGCGGTGTTGCTCGCCGGGATTGGCACTTTAGGGAAGATCAACGTGTACGATAGGCAGCAACAACGATTTGAAAGCAGCGGGGTTAAACAACAGTTGGCGTTTTTGGGTGAAGCGGATGGTTTGCCTTCCTGTGGCCCGTACGTAGACGACAACTTACGAACGAAGCTCCTGCATAACGGCGAAGAGGTGCAGGACGCGGCGATCGGATACAAGGAGTGCGAATTTTTTTCCAATATAGGCAGCAAAGCGAAGCTGTTGGGAGATCAACCGAGCGAGTGCGTGGCACCGAACACGGTGATCACGACGTACACGTCCGGGGATGATTTCTATCACAACCTCGGTTTGGTCGTGAAAAACTTAAAAGACCAAGACTGTTTTATGAAACGGTTTTTGGTCGTGTGCGCGGATTCGGCGTGTAGCGAACAAGCCACGGCGGATGGCTACAACAACATCGAGTTTCCGGAAGATTCTTCGAACTCGGATACCTCGTACGGGAGGTTCACGTGGATGAAACAAAAGATTTCGTTGGGCGTTGTGGGATCCGGCGTGAACATGTTCATGGTCGACGCGGACGTGGTGCTTTTCTCGGTTCCAGAAACCAACTCTTTTTTGAGCCAATCGAACGTGGACGGAATGTTCCAAGAAGATTACATGGACTATCACGGCGCCTATACGAACGGGCCGGAGTGGACGAAACAGTACTTGGACGGCGTTCACGCCGGGGCGAGTAACTTCAACTCTGGTCAAATGTGGTACAGAGCCTCGGAGCGCGCCTCTCGATGGATTCAAACCAGTTTAGCGCACGGCGTCATGTGCTCGCCGAACTGCGGTTTGGAACAGAATGTCTTGCACGATGCCGCAAAACAGGCGCCGGTTGGTGACACAGAGTTAGGGGTCGAGCCGTACGCTTTGAACATCCAACCGTTGCCGATTACGTACGCCACGTTCTGCAGTCGAACGACGGATATTTTACACGATTGGGAAGTCGTGAAACATATGGGAGAATGGAAAACGTTGCACATGTGCTGCGCGGGTTATAAATACGACGGCATGGGTAACGCAATCGAGAAGAGAAAGTGCGCGATGCAAACGCCGGGTCCTTCGTGTGTCGAAGCCGGCATGGGCAAGGAAGAGAGATGGGATTACGTCGCGCCGGCGGAAACCACCGAAAAACGATAAAAGATTATACATACTACTATCAAAAGTTATTATTATTGAGACCATTCTTTAAATCGCGACCGCTTATCGATCGCGTGTACTATCATGTCATATATACTTACATTATTATTATTATTACTTCACAAATCATCCGCGTATCTCTTCGCTATATCGACGAAATCATCCACGCACCTCTTCGGCATCAAATCGAACAAACTCGCCTCCATCTTCCCTTCACCCAACGGCACTTTCACCGTTTTCAAAATCTCCGTCATGTCTTCCTCGGAGCACTTCTTCCCGTTTTTCACGATCGTTCCAATGACCACGTTCGCCAACCCTTGGTGGAAACTTCCCTGAGGTTTCATATCTTTCAGGAACAAGTGCCATCCGTTCACGTCCACGTAACAGTCTCGACCGATGTTTTCGGCGAGTTCGGAAGTCCCGAAAGATGAAGCGCCGGAGAGGAAATCTGCGACGTCGAAGAACGATTCGACGAAGTCTTTTCCCATGTTTGACGACGCCGAAGTCGTCGTAAAAGCACTCCTTTTCCTCCTCGAAAGCGTCGTCGCATTCTCTTTCTTCTTGCTCGAGACGAATAATCTCTTTGACGATAACGACGAAGAAGTCGCTCCTCGCAACATTTTGAGTATTCCTTTGATTTAAAAACGTCCGTCGCCGTCCTGTCTGTCAGTCAGTCTGTCCGTCAGTCTGTTCTTGTTCTATTCTCGCGCGCGTGTCTTTGTATCTAATGACGCTCTCGAATGGAAATCTTCACTTTTTTCAAGCGGAAACCCAAAGCGAGGACGAGGAATAAACCTTCTCGGAACGACGGAATGCACCGTCGGTGATACGATACACACGAAGAAGAAGAAGTTAAAGAAGCGTCTCCAAGAGTCGTCCTTTCATCATCGCGCAGCGGGTAAGAAACTACACTAGTCGAGAAGTATCGTCTCATCGCGCGCAAAACGTGTTGTATCTCTTTAATATTCCGCAAAACTTCCCCAGAGCGAATCTCTAACCGAAGACGCTTTGAAACGCTCGGAGAGTCTGCGTCTGAGACTCGATTTTGAAGAAGACAAAGTAAAAGAAGTGAAAGTAAAATGAAATCCTCCCTGTTCGGCGGCGTTTCCAAGAAACCACGCAGAACGCCGAAAGATTTAGCCTCGAAATCCCACCAGTGTTTAGAACGAGTGATTAACAAGTGCCCTTTGGAAAAAGACCAAGAGTCTCTGGCGAAATATTTCCAAGAAACGCGAGCGATATTACACGGGGACGGGACGCACGATCTCGATCCGAAAATGATACAAGAGTTAGTGGAAGAATGCGTGAAGCAAAGCATTCCGTGGATGATATCGCAAGGGTTACCGATGTTGGAATTTGAAGCGAGGAAAGACGCGGCGGCGACGTACAACGGATTGGTGAGAGCGAAAGATTTGGAGACGGGGAGGTATAAAGTGGCGGAGGAATTGAGCGAAAGGAACGACGGAGAGGAACTGGAAGGGTTGATTTTAGGGTACGAGAAGCAAAGTTCCGCGTTAGCGTACGGGGCGATGTTACGAGAGGTTGTCAGGCACGAGAAGGTTTTAGAGAAGGTGTTGAGGCGAGAGAGTTTCTTGAAGTTTTTTGAGTACATGCAGTGCGAGAACTTTGAAATCGCGAGCGACGCGATGGCGAGTTTTCGAGAGTGTTTAACGAGACATAAAGATACCGTGGCGAGATTCTTAATCGGAGACGCTTACGAGGGGTTCTTTGAGAAGTTTAACGATTTGTTGGAACGAGGGAATTACGTGTGCAAGAGGCAAAGCTTAAAGTTATTGGGGGAGATTTTATTAGATCGAGCGAGCGGCGAGGTCATGATGAAATACATCAGCAAAGCCGAGAATTTATGCTTGATGATGAACTTGTTGAGAGACGATGCGAAATCGATTCAGTACGAGGCGTTTCACGTGTTTAAAGTGTTCGTGGCGAATCCGAACAGGCTGCCGGCGGTAACGAGCATTTTGGAAGCGAATAAGGAAAAGTTGATGCACTATTTGAGCAAGTTTCACGAGGAGAGAGATAAGGACGACGCGCAGTTCGCCGAGGAGAGACAAACGTTGATTGATGTTTTGCAAGGCATTTAAATTTGAAATGCATTTTAAATTAGTACATATTATTACCTTTGATCATCTTCACGCGGTTATGGGCGGTATAAAAGTTTCGTCAAGGTCTTCTCCTTCATCATTCGAAGAATCCTCGATCGATGCGGCATTTATTTTCATACATCCCAACGCAGCCTCAGCGATAACGAAATCTTTCGCCATCATTTTTTTCTTCGTTTTCTCCACGCTTACTTTCAACTCTCCAGTTGTTTGACTTCTGGACGCTTTACACGTCTCTTCGCGCACTTTTTCTGGGAAACGCAACAAAAGCAACTCGCCTTTAATCAACACGCGTACGATTTCCGAATGACAATCGACGTCTACCAAAGACGTATCGAAATGTTTCGGTATTTGAACCCTCAGAATGATCGTATTCGCATCTGCATCAATATCTTCACCTTCACTGCCGAGCGTGAACTCGTACTTTCCTTCGTTGACTTGCAAAATCGCGTCGGTATTCTCCGGAAGCTCGTCGAAGCCTTCTCGCGGCGGTTTCTTTGGTCGCTCGAACGTCCTCTTACTTTGAATCTTCCTCGATGACGTTTCTTTTTCTTCCTCTCGATTATTTTTCGTTCTCTCTTCTTCTAGAAATGATTCGTACCGAGTTTTCGCGTTCCACACGCAACCGGTCGATCCACTCGCTTTCTTCTCCTCGATCTTCGCTTTCAACGCCTCGACGATCTCGTTCTTCTCCCTCGCGCACTCTCGTCGCTCCTCCTCCGTAATCTCCTTCCCGTCTAGAACTGCTAACCCTGGCAAGCATCCAATCACGTATTCCCTCAATCGCTCAAACTCCTCCAAGCACGGATTGCCGATTAAAAACAAACTCCTCAAACGTTCACATTTTGAGAGATTTTCCATCGACGGTTCGATCGACGTCACATCGAGAAAGTTCCCAGTCAAATCCAATTTTTCCAGAGATTCGCACCCGTCCAGATTTTCAATCACTGTGATGTTATTCAGAGAAACGTTGAGGTATCTCAAATATTTCAACCTGTTCAAGTTCTCTGTTGTCGCGCATATCATATACGAGACAGCGAGAGAGAGAGAGAGAGAGAGAGAGAGAGAGAGAGAGAGAGAGAGAGAGTCAGTCAAACGAAACACCACAAAACGCCTTTTTTTATATCTCTCGTCCTTCTAAAAAAACTCTCCTACCTACCTAACTTTCCAATCTGATTCTCGTGCAATAAAAGTATCCTCAACTCTCGACAGTCTCTCTGTAAACTCTCCCCTATACGTTCTAACTTTTCTTGGTGTAAAGAGACCTCTTTTAAAGTTCGAACGATCCCGTCGTTGTGTTCGGCGCGTTTTTGGAGCAAACCGCGCGTTATTTGTCTTCTTTGTTGTCGCATTTGACATGCGCTTTGTTTTGACTCCAAATTCTTTCTTTTTTTTCTTGACTTTTCCTCAAAAAAAAAAGAAGAACAAAAAACGATAGAGAGAGAGAGAGAGAGAAGATATACTACTACTCCTACTACTGCGATATATATAATGGGACTTAAGTTTGTGATCAAACAGCGCCCAGCAGCACAAGACGACGAAAACGAAAACGAAGGAGAGGAGAGCACTAAAGAGGAGGAGTTATCCAACGTTTCTCTTTTGTTGGAGCAAGAAAAGACGAACACTGAGGAAGATGATTCGATGATGATGCGACGAGAAGAAGAAGAACAAGAACAAGAAGAACAACAAAAGTGCACCGCAGAAGGCGTTCCAATCGCATTCCCGGACGAGTACAGAGGCACATCGGCGATAATCATCACCCCGGATGGCATCACCATGCACAGAACGAGCCGTGGGGCGTTTAAATGCGGGCAGTGCAAGTATTGTTCGCAACCGAATTTAAAGCAGAAGTGCCTGTACAACAACGCGGTGAAGATACAGCGCGGCGAAAACGCTGCTAATAATTATAATAATTCGGGGGTTCCTAAAGCGAGAAGCGCTATGGCGACGTCATACGTGGTACCGGCGTCGTATGCGAACTCGAAAGCAGCGGTGGCCGGCGCGGCGTTTTTCGACAGCGATCAAAAGCAAAAGAATAAGCTCTTCGCGCCGAGGAAGTTCGCCCCGACGAAAGGTAAAGAGGAGGAGGAAAACGCCGCAGTCGACGGGTTTATTCGGAATCGAGGACCGATGGCGGCGCAGAGCAAGTACATTGGTATCATCAAAACGTCCACGGCGAAAGTGGTCGTGGCGAAGAATTTTGACGTTAGTAAAGAAGGCATCGCAAAGACGGCGACGCGATGGAGGAAAGAAAAAACGCGCGTGCCGAACGTAGATTTCGACGAGGAAGAGGAAACGGAAAAGTTTGGATCGGACGTTTACTTGTGGAAAAGGCAAAAGGGAGAATCGTGCGAACGACCGACGTGGACGCCGTTGCCGGAAACACCGCCGGAAACGAGCGAAAAAAAGGAGATGGACGAGGACGACAAAGCGTTGTTGCAACCGATTTTACCCGGCATGGACGACGGACAGAGAGCTGCCGCGCCGCGACGTTACAATTTTCAATCAAATACAGTAGCAATGGCAGCAAACGAATCGAAGGATGGATCGTCGGACGTGAAACCTCTCCTCGCCGTCCCGGTTCCATCCGCCGGCGGTCGCGTCTACAACGACAAAGTCGATCCGTCTCTCCTCGTCGTCGCTTGCAATGAACCGGGATGCCTAGAACGCTTTCTGGACCGCCCACGAATGCTTCGCCACGTCGCGAACGCCCACCGCGAGAAAAGATACATCTGCACCTGGGAAAATTGCGGAAAAGCCTTCGTCGATAACAGTAAGCTTCAACGACATATCGTCACGCACACGCAAGAGAAGACGTTTCTCTGTGACGTGTGTAACGCGAGCTTTGGGTTGAAGTTCAATTTGCACACGCACTTAAAGAACGTCCACGGGATTCTTCCCTAGAGAGAAAGAGAGATAGAGAGACCCGAGAGAGTGATGATGCTCGATGTAGCCCGCATTAGATGAAATAGCCACAAAAAAAGCGTCTGTTGTTGTAACATTGAACTACACGCGAATAGCCTCAAATTTACTCGCACACACAACACGACGAGAGACTCTCTAAAAAGATGTCCACGACATGCACGACCACAGCGCATCACGCGTTGTCGTCCCACGTGCTCTTCTGCAATTCAAAGAGGACCGCAACAACAACAACAACAACAACATCGCGAAGACGACTTCGGGCGATGACTTCCTGCCCATCGTCTTCCCCAAAAGGAGTGGATAACGCCGCCTCTTCGACGGACTTACCTCCTCTCCCAAACCTGGCGGAACTCGCGGATACCGCTCGAATAAAAATCACAAAGGAAGAAATCTCCGACTGGGAACCGAAAATCAACGCCATCGTCGGATGGTTCGGGCAATTGAACGACATCGACATCGAGAAAGAGTGGGAGAGGTTAGGGAAATTGCAACTGAGTCAAGAGGAGCTGGAGAGAGAGATGCGCTTGCGATTGAAATCGACCATCGACGAAGGGGGCATCGAGTTCGATCGAGAGGAGTTATTAAATAAGGCGAAGAACTTTGATAAAGGGTATTTCCGAACGCCGAGGATTATGGGGAGCAGTAGCAGTAGTAGTGATAGCGAGAGTAGCAGTAGTACCAGTACGAGTAGTAGCGAAAGGAGCGCGGCTGACGACGACGCGGGGTCCGCAGTGGAACAGTTGAAAGCGTCCGCTGCTGCCGGAACGAGTGGACCAGCGCAAGCGTTGAACGATGACTTGCTCGGTTTCAATTTGGTGGTGGGTGAAATCGTGTCGTGCGAACAGCACCCGGATCCGGAATCGAGCAAGTTGTTGGTCTCTCGAGTCGACTGCGGCGAGCCCGAACCGCGATCGGTCTGTTCCGGCATCGCCGCGCATTACGCAAACCCTCAAGATTTAGTCGGCAAAAAAGTAGTCATCGTCGGTAATCTGAAAGCACGAAACATGAAAGGCGTGCAATCGCACGGCATGTGCCTCTGCGCGTCGAACGAGGATAAATCAAAAATCGAAGTCGTCGAAGCTCCCGAAAACTCTTCCCCGGGCGAACGACTCACCTTTTCCGGTTTCATCGGGGACAAAATGCCCGACATTCACGGCGAAAACAAAGTCGTAAAGAAAAAGTTATGGGATAAAGTCAAAGACGGTTTCAATTCCAACGCGGAAGGGAACGTGAACTGGTTCGGTTCGGATTTAATCGGCGTCAACGGGAGCGTCAAAGCGCCTTCGCTGAAATCCTGCCGCGTCGGTTAAAGAGGGCTTTTCGCGTCTGAATTCATTCTGTGCACCTATTGTTATAATGCGACTAAGACTAATGCGAGTATTACTACTACTATTATTACTGAAAATAAACGCAAGATCATCCGGTCCCTAATGTTTTCGATGATGACATTTTTTGTTGGTTTTGTTGTTTCACAGCTTGTTTCAAGCACAAGAAAAATTCAAATATCTGCCTCATTCCCCAGTAAAAGTGCGTTGTTTGCACACACATAAACACACTTAAACATCATCGCTACTTACTGTGAACAAAGAGAAGAAGAAGAAGAAGAAGATAGAGCGCATAATAAGCATCATCATCGCTTAAGTCTTTAAAGTTTAATAATTTAAACGATGAGCACCACCAAAACCACGTACTCGTTTCCGATCTTAACCAACGACGAAATCCGCTCGTGTTTGAAAGAATTAAAAATCGAACTCTCCGAGCGCGATTTACTCCGCCCGACGCACGAATCTCTGAGACACGTCTACGAATCCGCGTACGAATTATTCTTCAACGTGAATTTAGACGAGGACGAATCGTTCCAACCGGACCCGGAAATCGCGGAGGAAGTCGGGATGGAATTTCCGGAGTTGTACGAAGACGCGATTCCGAACGTTTTGTTTTTAAGTCGATTGCAAGAGTTGATGTTGAAAATAGGCGTGGAGGATTTTTCGTTCAAAGACGTGTGGAAACCGGAATACACGCGGACGAGACGAAACATGTCCGCTCTGATTAATTTTGCAAAGTTTCGAGAGGAGCAGTTGATTGAGTTCGCGGATATCATCAACGAGTGCGCGGAGGAAGAGGAGAAGTTGAGAGAGGCGAAGCGAGAACACGAGCGGTTGCGCGCGGAGGTGGAGCAAGCGGAGAAGAGGAAAGCGACGGAGGAGTACAGGGAGGAAGATGAGGAGGAGTTGAGACAATTGGAGAGGGAGAATCGGGTTTTAGAGGAAGAGATTGCGGAGCAAGAGAGAGTGCTGGCAAGGCAGGAGAGAGAAATCGCCGAGGAGGAAGAGCACGCGATGAGAGAGCGAGAGCAATTGGAAAAGTTGGAGGAAGAGTTAGCCAAAGCCGAGAAGACGAATAAAGAGTTGAAAGAAAAGATGGAGGAGGAGAGGAAGAATAGTAAAGAGATGGACCCGGAATTGCACAAAGCGATGGAACAGATGAAAATAGAGGAGGATAAAGTGGCCAAGTTGGAAGAGAAAGTGAAAGAAATGGAGGAAGATAGGCGGGTGATGGAGAACATCGGCGAACGGTTGAGAGAGGCGAACGACGTGATGGAAAAAATCTTAGAAGAGCAAGAGAAACACGATAAGATGAAAGAAGCGCTGGAAGAATCGAAGAGTAAGATTGCGGAGAACGAAGAGGAGACGTGGAAGTTGGACGCGAAGTTGGAACAGTTGAAACGACAGGAACAGACGCTCAATGAACGCATGCAACGATTGAAAGCGCAAGGCGAGTTGAAGGAACAAGCGGCGAGGGCGGCGTTGAAATCGGCGGAAGAAGCATTAGAGGCGGAGAAAGCGCGAGCGGATTCCAACAAGGCGAAGAACGAAGAAGAAGAAAGAGAAATTCTGGCGCTTAAAAAGAGCATGAACAGAGTGAGAGAGGAACACGTGCGAGAGATGGAAGCGTTGGGGAAGAAGTTTTTGGAGTTGAGACAGACGGTGAGAAAATATCACGGCGTCTTGTTCGAGGCGATGTCGCAAGTGGACGACGAGATTTACCAGTTGGATGAAAACGGAAATAGCGGTCCCGGCGACACGCCCATGAGTGAAATGAGCTCACCAGGTGGCTTAAGCCCCGCCGGGTTCAATATTTAATTTTCTATAGTAATGTAAAATACGTAAGTACATCAATTTTTATCATTTAAAATGCAAACATCATCATCATCTCTCTCTCTCGCTCTAAAATACGCATATAATTACTTCGTTCTCTTATAAATCTTCGCCAACATGCTCGAAAACAACTCCTTCGGCAACACCGATTGGCCTTCCATGATTTCCGTCAACTCCTTGTAACTCTTCTCCTCGTACTCCAAATACAACTTCTCCAACTCCAACTCGACGTACAACGCCTTGATCTTCTTCTCGCATTCGGCGTCGTCCTTCCCGTAATTCTCTTCGATTATTTTCCGTTGTTCCGCCGTGCACTTCTTCAGCGCTTGCACCACCAACCACCCGCACTTGTTGTCCTTAATATCCGTCCCAATTTTACCAATCACTTTCGGATCTCCGTAGCAATCCAAATAGTCGTCTTGGATTTGGAAAAACTGGCCGAGTTTTACGCAAATATCGTTCGCCACTTTGTACGCCTGTTCGTCTTCAATTCCACTCAATCTCATCGCCGACGCCGCGGGTAAATAAAACGTATAAAACGCCGTCTTATACGTCACGATTCTCATGTACGCTTCCTCGGTGTATTTACTCAAATCCACGACGCCAATCGGCGCGGTTATTAAATCGATCAACTGCCCGCTCGCCGTTTGGTACGTCACCTCGTGGAATAACTCCAACAAATGCGCGTACGCCGGATCTTTCACTCCCACGTGACGTTTCAATAGCTTATAAATTTGCATCTCCAATAAAATCCCATCGTTGATGGCGTTCATTTTCACGTGCGGTTGTCGATACCAACACGGTTGCCCCCGTCTCGTGATTGACTCGTCCATGATATCATCCGCTACCAAAAAATACGCTTGGAGCCATTCGATGCCCCACCCGACGACCATGGCTTTCCACATGTCTTTCTCCGACACTTCATCTTTTCCTAGAGCTCGCATCCCGTCCATGACTGCGATTCCTCGGTTTAATTTCCCGTGCGGGACGTTGTACGAAATCATCTCCCGTATCCAATCGACTGCGATTTGGACCTGATTATCCTCGATTTCATCTCGCACGAGTTCTTCTTTCAACTGCTCGAAGCACTTTAAAAATTTCGTCTTGTCGTCTTCGCTCATTGCGAGTCGTAGAGTATTGCGATGTGTTTTGTGTGACGCGTGTATGTGTTAGTATATATATATATATATCACGTCTTCGCTCGCAGTCGTCGTGCTGTGATGACTTTTTCTTATTGGGGAAAATACACCAAGAAGGAAGGAGAGCTCGTTCTCTCTCTCTGCTAAAAAGAGAGACGAAAGGAAAAAAAGAGACCAAAGAGGCGAAAAGGAGAGACCATTTTGACCGGGTCACACGGTTGCTGAAAAAGTATAATATATAATCGAATTTTGATGGATCTCTCTCTTTTTTCCGTGGTCCCTTGGGAAAAAAAAGCGTCGTTTCGCGATAATTCATTTCTCAATTTCACTCCTCCCTTATAAGAAGAACAAACGAGAAGAAAGATAAAAGAAAGAGACGGAAGAGAAACGCTCGGTGATATAAAGAGAGAGAGAGAGAGAGGGAAAGAGAGCGAGTCTAAAAGAGCATAAAAAGAACACGGGCAAAGAGCCCGCCTCGTGAGCGCGCGCCAGGATTGGTCGACGAGAGATTGAGGAGAGGACAACGGAGAGAAGAAGGAATACACTCGAGGGAATAAAAAACGAACAACAAAAGCTCTCTCTCGCGCGCGCACGTGATGCACCACAACCGCCAAGCCTGGGCAGGCGTGGAGAGTCCTCTCAAACCTACGATCTCTGTGAATGTGGACGATTTCGAAACCGACGAGTACATCGACGACGAGAACGGTGGAGGACAAGGAACGACCAATGCGAACTCCTTTTTCCCTACCGCAGGGGTGGGTGGAGGTGCATTTGACCAACAATCTCAACGCCAACGAGAAGAAAAACCGACGTCGCCGTCACGAATAAATTTTTACTCGCCGTCGATTCCCATCGGTGGTGGAGGAGGAGGAGGAGGGTTCTCCTCGTCGTCGCCGCCCTCAGCGGGTGCACATCCCGTTGGAGGCGCTCAAATTTGGGGAGGAGGAGGAGAAAAAGCGACGTCGCCGCCGAGTCCTTTAGGGATGATGGGAATGATGGATACGACTAATACTATCGATACTAACGCGACGATGATGAGGAGCAGCATGACGAGTTTAACGACCCCGACGACGATGTCGAATAATAATAACAATAATCAACAACAACAACAACAGCGAGTGCAATTGCACTCGAATCTCTACATTAAAAATTTACCAGAGAGAGTGGACGAGTTGCAACTGAACGCGATTTTTTCCTTACACGGGAGAGTAGAGTCGTGTTGCGTAATTCGAGACGCGACGACGCAAGTCAGTCGAGGGTTTGGGTTTGTCAAGTTTCAAACGTTCGCGGACGCGGTGAATGCGATTGCGAATATGAACGGGAAGGTTATGCATAAGAAGGCGATCGAGGTGAAATTCGCAAACTCGGATTCGAGCGGGACGTCGGTAAACGGGTCGAATCCGCAATTTTCGAAACAGAACGTGTTTGGGGTAGCTCCTCCGACAGCAAATATTAATATCGCGTCAGCGTCGACGGCGCAGCAACCGGTGGTGAGTTTGGAGAATTTCGGGTCGCCGGACCAAGCGAATTCGGTAGTGAATAACTTGTTGAGCTCGACGGCGAATAACGCGGCGAATAGTAGCATCGTGTTTGAAGCCATCGCGCAGCAGCAACAACAGTTGATGCAGCAAATAGAGATGAAACCATCGGATAATATTTACGTAAAAGGATTGCCGCCTATTATGGCGGAAAATGATTTGATGCGTTTGTTTTCAAAATTCGGCAACGTCATCGAGTGCCGATTGTTACACGCTTCCATGACAACCTCTGTCGGAGCGTTGATACGATTCGAAACGGTCGATATGGCAACTTTAGCGGTAAATGCGACGAATGGAATAACTTTGGTTGGTGCGACGACGCCTTTAACGGTGCGATTTGCCGATTCGAGCTCGAAAAACAGACGAAGACAAAATAATAATGCGACGACGAATAATACGAACAACGGAAACAACGATAAATCCGTCCGAAATGGCAATCAATACAAGCCAAACGTGGAGAACAAGAACAACAAGAAATCTAACCGATATCTCAGCACATCGTCGCCGAAGAGAGGTGGCAGTAAGCATAATAACACCAGCTACTTATCGACGATGTCGTCGGATGAAATTAACCACGCGGGGTTTTTGGCAGATGAAGCGGAAAATTCGGATCTTTCATTCTCCTCGGGGGAAGATTTCGCGGTGGCGGCCGAATTTCGACTCAAATTAAATAATTTGCCGACGTTATGTAATGACTTGCTGTTGTACACAACATTTGCACCGTATGGTGCGATTAAGTGGGTGAAAACAGCGCTCGATGATGATGGGAGATGTTCGAGCGGTAACGCCTGGGTCGCGTTTCGAAGGAGGAAAGACGCGGAAAACGCCTCCGCGAACTTGCGCAACACGAAACTTGGCGAACGAATCGTCCAAATTGAAAGGACGTACAACTCTGTATAAAAGAAGGATATGTAAAGAAAGAGATTTTTTGCGGGTCGCGGCGGCGAACGAATTCATTTTTTAACTACTAATACAACAAACCAAATGAAATAATAACATTGTTGGTTTTACGTGTAACAATCGAACTTAATGAACATAATACTGGTATGGTATCCATAGCGAACATGTAAAGAAAAATTTATATATATATTATTATCTGTGATTGTCATCTACTACATAGTTATCCTCGGCTTTCTTCCAAGGACTTCTTTCTTTCGGGCGCGCTTCTTCCTCCAACTCTATTTATATTCAGCGTTTCCATCGCAGTCACTAATTTTTCTGGCGATATGTCTCCTTGCACGAACGGAATCGCTTCTTCCAATCGCATGCGCAGACGCAAATATTTCGAATTTTGCGGCTTGATTTTCTTCTCTTTCCCGGTTTCATCCCACTCTTCGGGTTCTTCTTCTTCTTCTTCTTTTTCTTCGTCGTCGTCGTCGTCCTCCTCGTCGTCGTTTTCTTCTACTTTATTATTACTACGCGTTCGAGCCGCAAAGGTCCCGGAGGAAGATTCGTTTGAAGACGAAGCGGCTTCGTCGTCGCCGAGTACAGTCCTAATCACGTACTCTGCGCACGCCAACTTCCTTTTCCTGAGCCTCAATTGCTTTCTTCGTTGTCTCCCGTCGCCTCGTCTGGCCGCTCTCGCCTCGGGAGTATCGTACGACGCGTATTTCTTATACCTCCCTGGATTGACCAACTGCGGCCGCACGTGCGTCGCTTGCGTGCACTCGTGGCAACAAAATCCGTCCAACTTTTCAGAACATCCCTCGCACACTAAAAACAAGCGATTACAATCCACGTTCGGGCAGTTTCTGTGCGGTGGCGGCGCGTTCTTTTGTTTACACACGTGACATTCCAACGTTGCCGCTTTCTCGCCAAGGTCCGCCGCCGGCGTTCCTTTCGGCGTCATCGCCAACCGATTATCAAACACAAACAAATGGTCGTCCCACGCGTGCTTCTCCTCGTTCCCAAACTTTTCAAAATACGCCTGCACACCTCCTTCCAGAACCATGACGTTCTCGTATCCTTGCTCTTTTAGCACCGTGCTGTACACGTCGCATCGAATTCCACCGGTACAATACATCATGATGGGTTTATCTTTCGGCATATCCGCCAACGGCCCGATTTTATCGTCCACGTTCGTTTCCACCGTCTCCCGAAACGATTCTTGGACCGGCCTTTGCGCACCTTTAAAGTGCCCAACGTCCCACTCGTACCCGTTCCTCACGTCTAACAGCAAAGGATTCTCCTTATCGCTTGGATCCTCGTTCGCTTTTTCGATCATCTCGTGCCATTCCTCCGGCGACAAACTCGTCCCGCGTTTCGATGTATCCGCAATCGGTAAATGCGCGGTGCCGTTTTCCAACTGCACTAATTGCGGTTTCACTCTTAAACGAAGATCCGGATGTCCGTGCTCGTGGTAAGGATACACCGAGATCCGCATCCCGTTAAACGGTGCTCTCTTCTCCACCCATCTCGCGTACGTCTCACCGTCCGTGCCTTTGCCGCTCATTTGCGCGTTCACGCCTTGTTCGTTCAAGTATATCCTTCCTCGGATTTCCAAGTTGTTCGTCTCGATAAACTCTCGGTGCGCGTCCACTTCATCCTCCGCGTTTGAAAGCACGGTGAACTTGAAAAAAGTAATCAGTTGGTGCGTGTTGTTCGTCGTGTTTTTATTCTTCTTCATCGTTACGCCTCCTTCTTCGTCTTTATCTTTGTCTTCTTCTTTCGCCGCCGCCGCGCGAGTCAAAGATGAGAAACCCCCCTTCATTCGTTTGGACGTGATGAATGTCGAACGAAAAAGCGAGAACAACAGCCCAGAACTTCCACCACCACTTCTCCGTTCGTTAAAACTCCTTAATGAGGAGTAGTTTAAAAGCGCTTCGTTCGCTCGAGACGATAAAGATCTTTTGCAGTAATGAGAATAACAACACGTCGCTCTGCTCGCGCAGCCTGATGACATTATTATTCTTGTTTTTTCTCTCACTTTTGTGTTGTTAAAAATAATAATGTTTTTGTGTCAAAGTGCGAAAAAGAAGCAAAAAATGGCAAAGAAAGCAAGCAGCTTTCTTTTCAAAAAACAGAAGAAGAGACAAAAAAGTGATCAACTCTCAACAGTCGTCTTTTCACAAAAAAAAAAAAGAAAAAAACTCAAATCATCGTCATTCTTCTCATCATGGCGCCGAGTTCTTCCTCCTCGAACAACGCCTCGTTCACGAAGATATTCGAGCAGATACATCACAAAGATCGAGGTGTGTGCTACTCTCTGCGCGCGCTTTCGCTTTCTTTTTATTTTTCTCTCTCTCGACCGAGGAGGACCGCAGAAATCATCGTCGACGCATTTCGTAGACGAGATTACATCTCTGACTGACAAACTCTTCTTTTCTCTCTCTCTGTGTATTAATATAATCAAGATTACCGATGCATGGCGGTTTCCGATTTAACGCAAGAGCTACAAAAAGATACGTACAAACCACCGACGGCGTCGGACGTTGAGGAGAAAATCCACGAGGTTGTTCTCATCGCCTTGGTGGACATTTTCAGCGATTGCCGAGATTTGGCGATTCGAGCGTTGCCGACGCTTTTGAAAAAATCGACGAAAGAGGCGAACAAAAAGACGCTGCAGATTTTGTGCGAAAAGATCGCGCCGACGGAGAAAACGTTCGGACCGCACGTAGATAAGGAAGAAAGGAGTCGACACAAGGAAAGCGCGTCGGTGGCGTTGAAAACGATCGGCGTGGAGGGGTATTCCAAGGAGGTTTCGAAAGAGTTTTGCGGGAAGTGCGTGCCGTTCTTCGACCGAGTGTTGGGAGACGCGAATAAAGCGACGGTGCACGACGACGCGACGGAGATTTTGCAGATTTTGTGCGAAACGAAAGCGGAGTTTGTGGAGGCGAAAGACGTCTCGTCGTTGATTCAAACGACGATATCGAAAATAGAAGACAAGACGTACGGGCAGACGAGTAGAAAGAGATGCGCGGGGATTTTAGCATCTTTGAGTCGCGCGGCGAACGCGAAAGAATTAGCTGATGTTGTCGAGAAGACAGCGGCGAGATGTGAGAAGGCATTAGCGGAGAAAGATGTGATTGGGTGCGAGTTAGGGGCGTTTACGCTCGGGATGATTGCCTCGAAAGACGGCGGCGGGAAACGCTTGGTGGCGGAAAGCGCTACCGGTGGCGGCGGCGGTGCGAAGAAGACGAAAAAAGGCGGAGCAAATGGAAGTTTGGCATCGAAGACGGTCGTTCCGGTTTTGTCCAAGCTTTGTACCACGTTGGTGGAGAAGATGGAGAATAACGAGGAAGCCGATGAGGCGTTTGCATCCATCGCGGAACAATCGCTCATGGCGTTGGAAACAATCTGCGGGCGATTCGGGGAAGTGACTTCGAAATCAGCCAAGGAGAAGCAACTGGAGGAAATTTTACAAATGGCGGTGAAGTTGTTGACGTACGATCCAAACTACGACGACGATGAGGAGGAGGAGGACGACGTCCCGGCAGATGAGATGGAAACGTGCCAAATCCGAACACCCGATCACACGATGAAGGATGCGGATGACGAGTGCGAGGACGACAACGACGACGACGACGACGATGCGTACGATGAAGATTATTACTCGGACGAAATAGAAGACGACGATAGCTGGAAAGTTCGCAGAGCTTCTGCGAGAGTTGTGGGCGTAATTTTGTGCTCCGCGTCCGAAGGTATCCTCCAAAGACACCACGAAGTCGTGTTCAAGAAATTCTTCAAAAGAATGAAAAGTGACCGCGAAGATGCCGTAAAATTAGAATGCTTCGACGCTTTGACGGCAGCATTTGCCGCGTTTCCAAAGACTTGCGAGAGCGGTTTGACGCGCGCACTCGTCGAAAAAGCGCGAGACTTAGCCATTGTCAGAGCACAGCAAGAGTGCGCGCTCGAAAAAGCGAAGAAGACGTCTCAATCTGCAATCGCAGCGGCAACGAAACGCAAGATCGCGTCGCTGAAACTTCTCGGAAAGATTGGTCGCGCAAACAGAAGATTAGCTTTTGTTGAAGCGTCGGAGATATCGCGCTCGAGACTCGCGGATGCTATTGCAGGCGCCGCGGTGACGACTTTCACGGACTCGGGCGCTTCGAGCGAAAAGGATTCCTCCGCAAACCTGCGACTCGAAGCCGTCGCTTTTGCATCCGAAGTGCTCCGCGTGCCTACCGCAGACGAGCTCGATTCAACAAACGGAGATGCTCTCGCATCGGCAGCGCGAATTGCGTTCGCAAAAAAAGATATCGATAGGCTGACGGAGGCTGTATTTTCCTGCGCGAATGACCCCTACTACAAACTCGCCGCGGAAGGTTTGCGCGCGTCTGCGTGCATAGTTCGCAGAGCGCGTCCAAATACGAACGACGCCGTTCAAGATAAAGAAAGTTGCTCTGTGCTAGCGTCAGGTTCTCTCGAACGCGCGATATCGCGCTTGTCTCAGCAAGACGAGGACCAAGAAGTTAAAGACGCCTCGGTGACGCTCCTCGGCGATGTCCTCACGCACTTGGGCGATACGTTGAAGCCAGCTCAGCAAAAGCAAGCGCTCGATTTGTTATTGGAAAGAATGCAAGCTGAATCGACGAAATTAGTTGCAACGCGTAATGCCGCGAAAGTTGCACGACATTCACCCGCTCAAGTCAATCTTTCTGGAGTCGCCGGGGATGTGATTCGTGAGTTTGCTTCCTTTCTTCGCAAGAACGATCGACATTTACGCGAAGCTTCGATAAACGGCGCGCGAGCGCTCGTGGAGAGAAGCGACGAGAAAACTCTGAAGGATGCGGATTGCGTGTCGTTTGTGGAGGATGCGGTCACTGAGCTCGGTGGCTTCGTTGAAAACGACGCGCACTTGGCGGCTATGTGCGTCAACGCCTTCGCGGCTATATGCGAACGGTGCGCGAAATTGAAAAATTCCGCGAAGAAAGCATCTGAATCTGAACCCTTAGCAAACGCGTTAAAGTTCGTGAGTTCGAGTTTGATTCAGAGGCAAGCGTTACTGACGCTAGAGAGATACTTTGAAGCTGCGGTTGTTGCCAGGAAGGAAACGTTTGAAGTCATCTACAACGAGTTGTCATCGATTTCCACCGTGTCACCTAATGACATGGAAACGGACGATCAAGCCATGGTTCGCATGCAGCAACAAGATATCGCGTCTGTTAGGTTAGAAATGAAAAACCGCGCCGCGTGCATCGCGAGTGCCACTCTAGCGGCTGGCGATAAAATCATCAAGAGCACCATAGCAACGCTTATCGAGGAAATCAGCGATAAAGATGGTAAAAGACAAGTCATCTCGCTTTGGACGCTCGGTGAAATCGGGAAACGAACGAAACTCGACGATTCCAACGGCATCGATAATACTTTGTGGAAGAAACTCGAAGAAGACAACACGGACGAAGTGAAGACGGCGGCTGCGTTTGCGTTGGGAAGCTGTGCTGTTGGTAATAAAGACGCTTTTTTACCAAAGATTCTTGAAACCATCAAAACCACGAAGAAAGGTGTCCAAGAAATCTTGAAACACGGCGCACTGCGCGCACTTCGCGAAGTCATCATTGGCGCCGACGGTTCCTCGGAAGATGGCGTGCTCGCTGGAGAATCCTCGAAAATGGAGTACATGATGTCGCCAAGGAAGAAACGAGTGAAACGAGAAGACGACGATGTTCTCTTCAAGTCCACGCAACAGGCATGGGCCGTCGTCCTTGCAAAAGCGCGCGACGAAGATTTGAAAGACGATGCTGTCAAGGCGGACGTCGCGGAAGTTCTTGGTCGATTTGTCGCGAGAAACCACTCGCTTGTTAAGGAAATCGAGGAAGCGTTGAATTCAATCGTCAAGGGCGCGAAAACGCCCGAAAACGCGACAAAAGCTGCTTTGCTGGTCGATGCCGTTCGGTTTGCGCTGGTATCGTTGCCGAAAGCAGAGCATTTCAAGTGTTCTTTAGAGTCGTTTGTCGGATTGGTCAAAGACGCGGACCATAATTGTCGTCGCGCCGCGCTGCAGCTCCTCTCCGTCATCGGTAGAAGAAACAGTTCACAAAACGAAGATTTATCGCCTTTGTTGGCGAAAGTCTTGCCAGACGTGCTCTCTCAGCTCCAAGTCAACGATGCCTTGATCAAAGAAATTGATTACGGACCGTTCAAACAGAACTTCGATTACGGTTTGGAACTTCGAACTGCGGCGTACGATTTCATCGACGTCCTCTTAACGCGCCCGAAGAGTTCCCTTGGATTTGCAATCCCCGAAGACGATATTGAATCGATGGTTGACACGATTGTCATCGGATTAAAAGATCCGGAGAGGAGCATCAGGATGGCTGTGCACGCCACTTTTGAAAAGCTTTGTCGAGATTCTGTTCCGAACGGAGCTGAGAACGTCGTAAAGAATGCCGACAAGGTATGCGAACTTTTGTTAGAAACGATGTGGACGACAGCGAACGAAAAAGCTGTGCAACACGAAAAAGATCAGGTCGACGAGCTCGTCAAATCGGCGTTGAAAGTCGTAAAAGCTATGGAAAGTATTCCCGACGTGGAATCGTACTCGAAAATCGTCGAAACGAAGAAAGAAATCGTCGATGATGCGCCGCTTGCCAAGTTATGGACAGGAATGTACGACTCGCCGCCTCACGAAATTTAAACGTTCTTGAAATACAGGAATTACAAATAGGTCTGCCAAATCTAATAATAATAAACAAACACACTGCTACTAGTAAGAACAAACATGTAATACTATAAACAAAAGAAATGCAATAATACATCATACATCATCTCTATCGTCTCCCAGGAAAGCCCCCATCGTCTCTGTCGTACAAAGACGCTTCGAAATCCATGGCGTCTTCCACTCTGTCGCCCATGTGCAACAATTTTGCCGCTCTTTCAGAAATACCAAACTGCGCCATGTGCTCTTCGACCCAATTATCCCAGCACCAAGAGGCCTCTTGGAGCTCCCAACGCAATCGTGCTCGGTCAGCAGCTTCGGACATGGCGAGAAATGCGGACGTTTTCCCACCAGACGCGTCAACCTCCAACGCTAAATCGACAATCGCCTAAAATGGATTTTTCATTCAAAGAGGAAGAAGAAGAAGTCAGTACGACAGAGAGAGAGAAAGAAAGAAGGAGAGAAACGAAACGACGAAAAAAAATAATTGGCTAAAAGTCAAAGCTCTCTTTTCTCTTCTTTCAAAATGAAACGTGTTGGCTTTTTCTTTGTGTGGAGCGACTACGGAAATGGATGGCGCATTTTCTTTCGACATGGTTTGCGAATTCCGACATCCACAAATGCTGTTTCGTCACCGTCGCCAAGAAAAAAGCTTCTGTTTCATCGCGATATGAAAGAAAGAAAAGAGAGAAAACAGGAAACGAAATCCTAATATAGATGCCATACCTGTTGAATTTCCGGTAACGCGTTAATTTCCGGCGTCGGATGTAAACTCTCCAACCGTTCAATCTTCCTCTCTCTCGCTCTTTCGGCCACTTCCAAGACCAAACAAAAATCGTTATCCGCTTTTTGTTTCACAAAGTTCGTCAGCGTGAAATACTCCCCGTCTTGAAAAGTGTGATCCGCTGGCTCTCCTAAGTGTAATCTTTGCACCTTCTCCAAAATCGACCCGGGTTCCGCCGTCACCTCCGTATACGCCGGCTGCAACCAGTCGTCGTTATCGAACCACCCGTCGTCCGGCCCGGAGCTAAAATCAGAACTCATGAACGGATTCGACGGCGAGACCCAGGCGTTCTCGTCGTCCTTCATCGCCGAAACCGACGCCGGTTTCATGAAATAATCGTCGTCGTCCGCATCTGATGAGAATCTGCTGCTCGACGATGATGTCGCCGGCGGATTGTTCGCCATATCGTCCAGTTTCATCTGCGTCCTCCAGTCCAGGTTATCGGTAGAAGACGTTGAAGATTCTTCGTCGTCCATCTCGTCGTAATCATCCTCCCACACCTCCTCGTCTAAATCCTCGTCTCCAGCTGCTGCTGCTTTTACTTTCCCTCCTCCTCTTCGCGCGAAGGATAAAACAACGCCTCTCGCGTTCCTCTTTCCCTCCCCGAGACGACGATGAGGATGATGTTGGTGATGATGGCGGCTCGTCAGTTTCCCGAAAGAATGATGAATGTTGTTGGAACAAAAACTCGTCGACGCGCCTCGCGTCGTCCTCGTTAAAAAAGATGACGATTGCATCATCATCCTCTCTTTTGTTCAATACTCCGTGTTGTTGTCAGAAGAAGAAGACCAAGACTCGTGCTCTAGACTGTGTCGTTCTTTTTTTAAACCAATAATGCGGTTATTTTATCTTTTTTTTTCGTCGTCGCGTTGTTGTTTTTTTGTGACTGCCCCATTTTTTTCAACTTTTTTTTCCTCCTCTTTCTGATCACATCAGACATGCGCACTCTTCTTCAACCTCCTCGTGCGACTCTCTTTTAAAGTCTCGCGTACTAATGAGCATATAACACTATGAGACGAAAGAATCCACATCCTAAACGCGCGGTGAACGCGAGGACGGTTTTGAAGGTTTCGAGAGATAAAGAAGAAGAAGTGGAGGAAGAAGAACCTTTGGTGTTGTGTTTGAAGATTCCTGACGAGGACGATGATCTCGAGGCAAATCATCATCAGATACAAAAAGAAGAAGAGGGAGAAGAGGGAGAAGACGACGACGTAGAGCGATTGTGGAGGATTATGTGCGTGCCACGTGACGATGTCGTGGAGCAAAATCAGACGCGGAAAGACGCTAAAGGAGTGAAGAGAAAGAGAGGGCACGAGTGCGATTTTTGCGAGAAGGTGTTTCGATATCCATCCGGTTTGGCCGTACACATGCGTATTCACGCGAACGAGAAACCGTACGAATGTGATGTGTGCGAGAAGTGCTTTCGTCAAGCTGGTGATTTGCAAAGGCACGTGCGTATTCACACGAACGAGAAACCATACGAATGTGATGTGTGCGAGAAGCGTTTTGCTCGATCTGGTAGTTTGAAAATCCACATGCGTATTCACACGAACGAGAAACCGTATGAATGCGATGTGTGCGATAAAGCTTTTCGTGAATCTAGTAGTTTGAAAAGGCACATGCGTATTCACACGAACGAGAAACCGTATGCATGCGATGTGTGCGAGAAAGCTTTTCGTCAATCTGGTGCTTTGAAAACCCACATGCGTATTCACACGAACGAGAAGCCGTACGAGTGTGATGTGTGCGAGATGCGTTTTAGTCGATCTGAAAATTTGAAAACCCACAAGCGTACTCACACGAACGAGAAACCGTACGAATGCCACGTTTGCGAGAAGAGGTATCGTCAATCTAGTGGTTTGAAATACCACATGCGTGCTCAACATTAGCTCATCATTTGTAGTTCTAAATCATCGCATGCACTGACATACACATCATCGCACAAGAACAAAAACATAACAAAGAGAGTTTTTTTGGGAAAACGAGAGAGAAACGACTCTTCCGTCTGGAAGTATTTTTGCCACATTTCTGCTTTGCACAACAACACCATGGGAACAACAACACACGAACCAACGACGTCCTCAAACTCGCTCAATCTCGTGCATTCGAAAGCCTCGAAAGCGTTCGCCAATCTGTGCGGGAATTTAGCGCAGTTCAACAACAAGAGGTTCGGGAACGACTTGGAGAAATTCGCAACAAAATCGAGGAAGCGTTTTGACGGCGGGAAAAAAACGACGACGGAAACGAGAGAGAATTCATCGTCGGAGGCGTCTTCTTCCTCCTCTTCTTCGTCCTCTTCTGATGATGATGATGACGACGATGACGATGAAAGTAGCGATGACGACGTAAACGACGACGAACGAAAGATATCCATGTTTGCGAAAAATGCAAACGCGAAGAAGAAGAAGGCAAATTTGCACTCGAATGGTCACCACCAAACGGAGGAGGAACTGGCGAATATCCGCAGAAAAGAATACAAGATTAAAGTGAAAGGAGACGACTCGCGAAACGTGATACCGGCACCTTTGGAAAGTTTTAAGGATTTAGAAACCACGTACGGATGTTCGAAGTCTTTGATTACACGATTAGAGGAGTGCAAATGGCTCGAGCCGACGCCGATTCAACGACAAGCGATACCGATGATGCTGAGAGACGTGGAGACGTTGGCGGTGGCGCCGACTGGGAGCGGGAAGACGCTCGCTTTTTTGTTACCTATATTTATGCGACTCGGGAAGAGGAAAGATGGGGGGGTGAGAGCGATTTTGTTAGCGCCGACGAAAGAGTTGGCGACGCAATCGACCAGGATTTGTACTCTGTTGAGCGACGGATTGAGGTGCGCGAGATTTCTTTCTTTCCTCTTTCACGCGTCTTTCTTTATATCGCATTCATTGTTCGTTGTTGAAGTGAAGAAGAACTGAAACCTGTGACGTCTTTTTTACGACCATTTAAAAGGCGTTTCGTGAGGTGTCTCTCTGTATTCTTCTGAGTGTAGAAATGTGAAGCAGACGTTGGTGTTTGATATCCGACGAGAGGACGCTTGTGATTTTTACGAGTTGAAGAAACGGTTGGCGCTAAAGAGTCGACAGTGAATAGCAGCTCTGATCAACAAATATCGTTCTGTTCTTCTTCTCTTTCGTTTCTTTCTCTTGTGCGTGTATACTAACAATCTCTTCTTCCCTTTTCCTTTATATAACACAGGGTCACGCAACTCTCCAAAGCGAACGCGGCGAACGATTTCGATAAAGTTGACATTCTCATCTCTACCCCGTTACGATTGGCGTCGCTTTTAAGACAAAAGAAAATTTCGACGCACGCGGTTGAATTCTTAGTCCTGGACGAAGCCGATAAACTCTTCGAGATGGGTTTCGTGGAGCAAATAGATGCCGTCGTGCACGCGTGCGATAATCCAGACTATACAAACGACGACGACGATAAAAAGAAAAAGAAAAAGAAAAAGAAAAAGAGTCCCTCATCGAAGACGACCAAAAAGAAAAAATGTCTCAAAGCTTTATTCTCCGCGACGCTTCCGGAAACCGCCGAGCGATTAGCGCGAAGCGTCATGCATCACTGCGTTCGTCTCACCGTCGGCGAAAGAAACTCCGCCAACGAATCCATTTCGCAAAAACTCATCTTTTGTGGCAAAGAGAGCGGGAAAATTTTAGCCGTCAAGCAAATGGTCCAAAAGGGCGTTCAAACGCCATTGATTATCTTTGCGCAGAGTAAAGATCGATGCATCCAAGTCGCGAAAGAGTTAACCGGAGGTGCGTTAGGCGAAGTTGGGTTAATTCACTCGGACATGTCCGATAAGAAACGCAAATCCATCGTCGATCTGTTCCGAATAGGCAAACTGAACTGCTTGTGCGCCACGGATTTGATGGCCAGAGGGATGGATTTCGCCGCCGTAGGCACCGTCGTCAACTTTGATTTCCCGTTAACGAGCACGGCGTACATCCATCGCATCGGACGGTCGGGAAGAGCCGGCCGAGTTGGAAACGCGGTCACTTTCTTCACCGAAGAAGACGCGAAAAGAGGCACGGTGCGTTCCATCGCGCGAGTGATGCAACGCAGCGGCTGCGACGTCCCGAAGTGGTTGTTAAATCTCGAGGCGGATAAAAACGAAAAGAAGTACAAGCCGTTGCGAAAGGACGGGCGCGAGAACAACCCGAGAAGAGACCGAGTCGACAACAAAGAAGGCTACGTTTCGAGAGACATTCGCGCCGGGAAGAAAAAGTTGGAACACAAGAAACAGAGGAAAGCGATGTTCAAAGAGATGAAAAAAGCCGCTGCCGCGACCACCGTCGAGAAGAACATGACATCCAACGAAGACGACAAGGAAGACGACTACTTCCCGCGAGATAACGACGACGACAACGCTGCTCGGAACAAGAAAAGGAACAGACGCTCGTCTAAATGAAGATGTGGAGAATGAAGTCATGTCCTTCGTCATTGAACGCGTAGTCTGTTGTAATAAAATTTCCTCACAACAAAACTCATCAGCATCTTCCTCTTCATCATCACGTCACCGAGATGGGTTGCTGCGCTTCTACACCGCAGGATCAACCGTCCTCGAGGAGTACTAATACTACTAATAAACTCACCAAAAAAAACGTCCAAACGCGCGTGCAAAACTGGCACTCCACCGGCATCGTTTCCCTCCGCGATTGTTCGTTAACGCGGATTCCCCTGGAACCCATCGCTTCGTTAGTTGAGATGATGCAGACGAAGGACAATAAAATAAAGACGATAGACGTGACGAACAACCGCATAGCGGAAATTCCTATCAGCGTGTTCGTGGATATCGGCAAAAGCGTGCAACGATTAATCCTCGGGAAGAATACGTTGAAATCATTGGACACGTTTTTCGTACATTTGAAACAGTTGAAAGTGTTGGACGCACACGCGAACGCGATCGAAACGGTCGATTGGCGCTTATTAACGAAACACTGCACGAAGCTGAAAAGTTTAAATTTGAGAGGCAATAAGTTGAAAGAGGTAAACTTGGAGGAACTCGGGAAGATGGAGATGTTAGAAGACGTGGACGTGAGCGAGAACGGGAGGTTGGATCGATTAGGAAGGAGCGCGGAGTCGTCGTCGTCTTCAACACCTAATGCTACTCCCACGGCGACACCTTCCGAGGAGAAAGACCGTGAGAACGAAGAAAAATGGCGAAGCTTAACCTCGTTCGCGGCGACCAAGTGTAACCTTCTCTCCATCCCGGACAGTTTCCTGCCACCGAAAATAAAAACGATCCTCTTAGACGATAACCCTCGACTCCTCGGACTGCCTCGCGACCTCTTCCAAAACTGTCCTCTCCTCCAACGCGTCTCGGCACACCGCTGTCCGGCGATGGAGAGTAAATCCATAGAAACCATGAACGGATACTCGGAGTTCTTGGAAAAAGTGCATCAATCGAACGATAAAAAGATTAAAGTCGGGGTTTTGCTCGGGAGTCGATACGGTGACGACGGGTTCGATCGGAAGATGATGGGCGACGAGCGCTTGGACGGTTTGAAGAGTTGATATCTTCTTGAAGCTGTTCACTGCTTTTTTCCATTTAGTGGTCGACAACAACTCTTTTCTTCACTCATACGTGCAATACTATCACGCCGCGCTGTATAAAAATGACCACCACCACCACCATCACCAAACCGACGAACGCGAGGCTTCTTATTCTCCATTGCGTTCTCGTCTTGCTTCGATTCGTTTCTGCAATGTTCGGCACGGGATACGTCCACCCAGACGAACACTTTCAATCCATCCAACCGGCATTTAGAGACGTGTTTTCATCAGGCGGAGAAACAGACGAAACACAATCGACGACGACGGTGAAAGAGTTGACGCACATTCCGTGGGAGTTTACGGCGAAAATGCCGGTGAGAAGTTCCATCGCGCACGCTTTGATGGCTTCGGTGCCGTATCGGATTTGGCTCAAGATTTCCCCTACGAGGAGCAGCACTTGGTGGCTGTTCGCCGCGCCGAGAGCGATGATGACGTTATATTCTTTAATCGTCGATTTTGTCGCGATAACGATTGTAAAGCGAATCTCTGATAAGGCGCAGAACACATCGTCGCCCGTGCGATACTTGCCACTCTTACTGGCGACGTCTTGGCCGATGTTTGTGATACACGCGAGACCGTTTTCAAACGGGATGGAAGCGACCATATTCGCGATGGTTTTGATCGGGATGATGGATTCAACGACGACATATAGAAGTAACGAGAAGAAAACGGCGAAGGAGGGATTGAAAGAGGATGTTGTGTTGGTTCTTAGAGGCGCATTAATCGCCGTGGGAATCTTCGTACGGTTTACGTTTGCGATTTTTGTCGCGCCTTTGATGGTATTCGAGTCCTTTCGATTTTTGCAAACGCCAAAGCTGATGATGGAGTTTCTGAGACGAAGTTCGATTGTGGCGGTTTCGTTTGCGGTGGTTGCATCTGCAATAGCTAAATTGGACGCGAAATATTACGAGAGAACAGAAGAGGAGTTTTATTTCGCGCCGTGGCACGCGTTGGTGTACAACGTGAAATTCGCGGGCAAACATCACGGCGAGCACTTTAGATTGACGCATTTGATGTTGAATGGTTTCGTTCTCTTTGGACCGGCGTATGCGCTGTGCGTGTGGAAATTGATTAAAGAAACGGTGTTGAAGAAAAAGAACACGAAGGAGAACGGTTCGGAGACGAGTCAAAGTTTGCGACCAATCTTGTATTCGTCTTTCGCTTCCATCGCCGTTTTGTCGATTTCTTCGCACCAAGAGGCTAGATTTTTACTTCCAGCGATGCTTCCCGTGCTTACAGTTGCGAGCTATGAGCTTGCTCGATTATACGAGAACGAAACTCCTGTTGCGGTTAAGGATAAGGACACGAATAAAACGAGCGGTGGAGTGCGCGTGAAATTCTCTCTCTTCTGGCTCGTTTGGGTGACTTTCAACGCGTCGGTGACCATCTTTTACGGGTTTGCGCACCAAGCTCGAATATCGTCGGTAGTTCTAGATCTTCCCTCATTTGCCACCGATCCCGATGGTGTGGGATCCGGAAACCGCGGTGCTAAAGCGTTGGTTGCGTTTTGGCGCACGTATCCTCCGCCAAACGCTTTCCTGGGAAAAGATGCGATGAAATCAATCGCCATCAAAGAACACTCGCAAGAAAGCGCCGAACGTTTTACTCATTCAATGAAAGTCATCGATAAAAACAACAAATCCAAAAAGGAATACGATTACTATTACGTCGTCGCCCCGGAAACGAGCATTCAATCCTTAAAAGACGCGTTTGGTGAGGAAGCGCTCCTGACGATGAAAAAACAATATCTCGGTCACTTCAACGTGGAAGAACTCGCTCGCGAAATTATAAGGCAACGAGGCTTACCATTCTCGCTCGACGCGTACACGTTATCGGTGTATGAGATTGAAGTGTTGAGTAGTAACGATGCGCAAGATCGATGAATCGATGATTATGTTGTTTGTATATTAGATATATGTATTTTAATAATAGAGCGTTGAAATGTTTTGCTAATGAGAGCTCCACTGGATCTTTGAAATGTCAATCCCTTCTTGCACCATCTCGTACAACGGACTCATCTCTCTCAACTTTTCCACGACTTCTGCTGTCAACTCTACCGCGCGGTCCACCTCTTCCTCCGTGGTGAATCTCCCGATTCCGTATCTAATGCTCGTGTGCGCCATGTCCTCTTCCACGCCCAGCGCTCTCAACACGTAACTCGGTTCCAAACTCGCGCTCGTACACGCCGACCCAGAGGAAACCGCGCAATCTTTTAAACCCATCAATAACGATTCACCTTCAACGTATGCAAACGATACGTTCAAGTTACCCGGGTATCTTTGCTCCTCGTCACCGTTTACGACTAAATACGGAATGCGTTCTTTCAACCCGTCCAACAATCGTTTGGAAAGCCTTTCGACGTGTTTGTGATCGTATTCCATTTCCTCTTTAGCGACTTTGCAGGCTTCGCCTAACCCGACCAATAACGGCGTCGGTAACGTCCCGCTTCGTAAACCTCTCTCTTGACCACCACCGTTGATGATTGGTTCCATTCTAACCCTTGGTCGTCTTCGAACGTAAATGGCACCGACACCTTTCGGGCCGTAAATTTTGTGCCCCGAGATTGACATGCAATCAATTTTCATCTCGTCCACGTCCAAGGGAATCTTACCAACCGCCTGCGCGGCATCCGTGTGAAAAAACACCTTATTCGCGCGACAAATCTCCCCGATTTCCTTCAATGGCTGCACGACTCCGATTTCGTTATTTACCGCCATCACCGATACCAAACACGTCTCCCCAGGGCGAATAGCTTTCTTCAACTCCTCTAAATCGATCAAACCGTTCGTTTTCACCGGCAAATACGTCACGTCGAATCCGTTTTGTTGCAACTGCCTGCACGAATCCAAAACGCACTTGTGTTCCGTTTGCGTCGTGATGACGTGCGTCTTCCCTCCCGACTTATAAAAATTCGCGATGCCTTTAATCGCCATGTTATTCGACTCCGTCGCTCCACTGGTAAAAATAATCTCTTTCTCCGTCGCTCCAATCACATCTGCCACGTTCTTCCTCGCCTCTTCGTTCGCATTTTCCGCCTCCCACCCGAAATAATGCGTTCGCGAGTGCGGGTTCCCGTACGAGCTCACGAAATATGGCAACATGGCGTCTAAAACTCTCGGATCCACTGGGGTGGTCGCTTGCATGTCCAAATACATCGGGCGGCCTCTCAGAGTGATGCCTTTCATTTCAATTTCGTTTTGACTTTTGTTACTGGTTTCTTCTTTCGTCGCTGCCGTCGTGTTCAAAGCACGACCAAATCGTCCTCCTTCCGCGAAAGAAGACGATGATTTCGATTGCGGTTGCCGCAACGAAAGACACGTCGATGATGGTAAAAACACATTCTTAAAAACGCCGACGTTTACAGAAGAAGAAGAAGAAGATAAAGAAGATGAAGATGAAGAACAACAAGTCTCCATCGAAGACACCGCTCGTCTGGAAAAGATCGAGAGCGAAGACGAGGACGCGCGACGAAACATTCTTTTAGTAGTACTCTAGTATGTGTGTTGTTTGTTGTTAAGGTTGTTCTTTTATTTATAAGGTCTGTCCAGTACTTTTCCTTTCTCTCTGTGTTCTCGTTTTTGCGATTTTCATCGCGCGACTTGAGATGAGTACGCGTCTCTCTTTTGTATCTCTCTCGACGAGCGCTTAAGCGCTCGTCTTCTTCTCTTCCTCGACGTCTTCTTTCTTGTTCACGAGCACGGCGTCGTTTTCTTCTTCTTCTTGGTCTTCTTCGACCATCGTGTCTTCCAACTGTTTGAGCATTTTTTGCTTCTCGGCGTCTTCGCTCGGACCGGCGATGTCGACCGCAACCGCGCGCGGCGTGAAGGGCGGTTCGGTTTCACCGAGGACTTGGAAGATGCCGTGTTCGCAGTACGCTTTGATGGAGTCAACGTTGATTGAGTTCGGGATGCCGATTTTGACGCCTCTTCCGTTGCTTCTTTTTGCTTCGATCGTGCGATCGACGTTTATGCAGCACTCGATGTCTTTGGCGGAATACCCGGGAACTTCCGTCTTCATTAACACCACGCGGTTGTCTTGTTGTTCCGTCGGTTTCTTCTCTTCTTCTCCGCTGCCCGTGATGGTGGTGGTAGTCATCATCGGTTGATTGACTTGCGCCGCCACTTCTTGAGACGGTGGAGATGGCAGAGGCGGAGGCGACGTGCTCAATACCGGCACGATCCGCTTCTCAATCGCCAGCGGGTCTCGCAAACGGAGTTCGAGCACGCCGTTCTCCACCGCGCACAAAGTCACGTGCTCGGCGCGCAACCCTCTCGGTACTGGCACCACGCGTTCAAACTCGCTCGACTTATCTTTGAGCTCCCCAAAAATCTTCAACCTTTCTCTCTCGGCATCCAACTCGACAGAAATATCAGAACTCGAATACCCCGCCACGGCAAATTTTAGCGTTACTTCGCTTTCCTCCGCCGGAGGACGCTCCGCTTCGCCGGAGGCAACCTTGACGTCGACCTTCGGCAAAGTTATTTTCGGCACGACCACCCGCAAAACGCCGTCGCACACCAAACCTTTGGCGTTTTCGATGTCGTACGTCGCCTTTCTTTTCAGCTTAATCGTTATGTTGTTTCCTCCTCCTCCTCTTTCCGCTTGTTGTCGTTCGTCGCCGAGAAAGTCAATTCTCAAAGACGTGGGCACCCCAATCGAAGAAAGAAGTTTCGATTCGTCTTCTTTTTTCGAAGAATCTCGAAGACAACCGCCTGTTAACGTGACCTTCACGTCTCTCGCGGACACGCCGGGAACGTTCATTTTCACCATTGTTCCTCGGTTCGTTTCTCTCGTTTGCACTTGCCTTCCTCTCCAGGACGACGTCGTCGTGAAGAGCGCGCGCTTTTGTTCTTGCGATGATGATGATTGTTGCCCCCGCGTGGAAGAAAAAGAATGCGAAGGAGGCAACACGGAATCCACCGCGTCGAAAAACATGTCCTCCAATTCAGCCGCTAAAGAGGCGTCCAAAACGTGGAACGGTCGCAAAGAAGTCGTTAACATCATGTTTACGTTTGATGTTGTGAGATGTGTGTGTTTATTGTGTATGTGTGTTTGTTTATTGTATTGTGTATCTTATAATGAAGAATTTTCCACATGTGTGTGTTTTGAATAACTCCTTTTTCCTCTACATTTTGTATCTCTAAAAAGTGCTCAGATTTCACCTTTTTTTCTCCCACGACCAGAGAGTCTCTTCGTCTCCGGAAGAGGCTCGAGGAGCGACCCAAAACCTGCGCGCTGGTACGCAGCAACCGTGCGATTACATCGAATCTCCCGCTGCTCTCGCGTTTCAACGAGCACTACTCCTTTCAGCCGCCGTTCAATTTTCCTTGTTTAGGTTCGCATTCTCACTCTTGAGGTTGTTCGCATTTTCCTTCTTCAACGCGTTGGTTGATGTGCGCGCGCGTTTCTCGTTCGGATGCCATTATAGTTCTCACCAAAAGTCCTCTGACTGATGGGTGTGTTTCTTCGGATATTTTTTTTGGTTCTTTGGTGAAGCTTGATTTTTAGGGGTTTTTTGGCTGCGCAAACCAACTCCTTTTTTCTCATCATTCTATCTCTCGGGGGTGTTTTGGCGAAAAGGAGTGCGGATATCACGTAGTATTCACATGCGCGGAGCGACACCGACCACCACCACCTTCGCAGAAGTGAAGACGACCACCCTGTTCACGAGTTTTTCTTCTTCTTCTTCTTCTTCGACCAACAAGGCGTCCTCTTCTCGTCGGAGTTTTCGTAAGAAAAGTCGTTTTGGTGCCTTTGCTTTTGCCGCATTTCGGGGGAACCGAAACACATCATCTTCTTCTTCTTCTGGTGTCTGTTCCGACGCGCGCGGTAGTATTGCGAAAAGTGAATCATATACCGACGACAGAGTGGTGTTGTCGTCGTCATCATCGAAAGGATTTTTGGTTCGAACGAAAGCTACGTATTCGAACAACGACGACGAGGTGATGAAGAAAGATACGAAAAAATTGATTGATTACGGTCGAGTCGGTGTCGCGTTCGCCTTTCCGGCGTTGGCCGGGTTCCTTTTTGGTCTCGATATTGGCCTCTCTTCGGGCGCGCTGGAGAGCATAAAAACATCCTCATCGGATTTCTTCAATTTGACTGCGTCGCAATCGGGTCAAATTGTCTCCGCGTCTCTTTTTGGCGCGTTGACGGCATCCGCGGTCGCCGCCGCCGGCGCCGGCGAGAAGTTGGGATCGAGGAAAGAAATCGCCTTGGCGGGAGTGTTGTATTTAATCGGCGGGACTATGGAAGCGAACGCGCAGTCGGTTGATTTTTTAATCTTTGCGAAAGCTATTTATGGGTTAGGGATTGGATTTGCCATGCACGGCGCGCCGGTGTACATCGCGGAGACCGCGCCGAGTTCTCTGAGAGGAACTTTGATTTCTTTGAAAGAAGCGGCGATTGTGTTTGGGATTTTGTGCGGGTATTTTTGCGCGAGTCAGTACGTCGGGGAAGATGGGGGATGGAGATCCATGTTTTTAACCTCTGTGCCATTCGCAGTGTTGACGTTAGTCGGTGCTGGGTTCATCTTACCAGATTCTCCGAGATGGTTGGCGTCGAAAAATATGGACTCGTTTCCGGCGCTGAAAAAATTGCGAGGGCCGAACGTGAGCGAGATGGAATTGATGAACGAATTAGACGAGATCAACATGTTTGCGAACGTGAGGAGGAAAGAAGAGATGGGAAGAACGAAATCGCCGTTTGCGATTTTAGATAAGAAATACGCGAAAGCTTTGTACGTCGGCTTATCGGTGGTTTTGTTTCAGCAATTAACTGGGCAACCGTCGGTGTTGTATTACGCGACGCAAACGTTCGAGGCGGCCGGGTGGTCGGCGCAAGGCGCCTCGAACATTGCCGTCGTGGTTGGCGTGTTCAAACTATTCATGACCGTTATAGCCGTGTGGAAAGTAGACAGTTTAGGCCGGCGTCCGTTGTTACTCGGCGGGGTGAGCTTGATTACGTTGTCGCTGATGGTTCTAGCGTTGGCCTCGCCGGATTTTGCGGGATCCGGCGTCGAGGCAGCGGCACTTTCAGAAACGCAAGCGCGCATTTCCGTGGCTGCTATTTTCTTATACGTAGGCGCGTATCAAGTGAGTTTTGGTCCAATTGCGTGGTTGTTAGTCGGGGAGGTGTTCCCGACGAAAGTCCGTTCGCAAGCGGTTGGCATCGCGACGCTTTTAAACTTCGGGTCTAACTTCATCGTCAGTTTAAACTTGCCGTACGCGATTGAACAAATTGGCATCAAGTCTACGTATTTCGGGTTCGCGTCGATTGGCGTTTTGAGCGTCGCTTCGATATATTTCAGTGTCGTGGAAACGAAAGGTAAAACGTTGGAGGAGATTGAAGATGCGTATACCGTCACCGCGACGAAAGTCGAAGAAGATCGATGATTTTCTTTTACGAACCAGGCACTTCTTCGAAGATGATTAGGAAAATATTAATATAACAGCTGTATTGTACCTCACGCGAAATCACTCAACCCTACTATTAACGGATCGTCGAACGATATTAATCTATCCGCTTTAGAAATCTCAACCAAATCTCGATCGGCTTCCGATACTCCGCACGTTTCGCCGGCGAAAAGTTCTGCCGTTTCACCCTTTGCAGTCACGCCTCCCGGTAATACCGAGTACGCGATTGAAGGCGAGTCGCACTCGACTTTCCGCAAAGCGCTGGTGATGTTTTTAACAACGCGACATTCGCCAGCTCTGAGCGTAATTCCTAGTTGCGGCCCGAAAATTCTCGCGCTCTTTACCGACTTCGGCCTGTACCAGCCAGGGAAACACGACGGATCAGACGTCGAGGAAAACTCGTTTCTGCTCGAAGAATTTTCTTCACTTCTGCTCGCGATGCGAACTTGAGCGGCGTTGACATCATTGGGATCGATGGAGGATAAAAAGGTCGTAAACAAGTCATCCAAATCATTCTCCAGAGATTCTAAAAACGTAGAGTTTGCCGTGCCGTTCGTTTGCCGTGCCATCGTCGTCGTCGAAGACGTCGTTTCGCCATCTGTCTGTTTGGTCAATAAGATCTCAGCAACGCGCGGATCGGATTGCGCGACCATTTTCATGAGATAATCGCTCCCGTCTTGAAGCAGACGAACTAACTCAGCGACAGTTGGATCCGACGTAGTAGCGGCGCCTGCGTTGAACGAGAAGAGGAACGCAAAGACGGATGCGAGAAGGATTAATTTTCTGGATGGAAACATAATTTTTGTATCGCAATCGAAAACGAAGCGTTTTTAATTTATTTACCCATTCATCGTTTTTGTCACTTCAACAATTTAAACTACTTTTCAAGTCTAACTTGAAGACGCGCTGTGTTTGTTTCCTACCATCTCTCTCGTTGCCGATGCTGCTGCTGCTGCCGAATTCCTCTCGCAGGACAGTCTGCAGATTTGTGGCCGAAACCGTTGCAGTTGTAACACTTCATTCCTCCGCCGCCGCCGCCGCCGGAGCGGTTGTATTTCATCGAAGAAGGACAATCTCTCTGGAAGTGACCAACTTTCCCGCATTGTTTACAAGCTTTAGCTTGGGGATTAAACGGGTGCGACAAAATGCTCGGGCCGAAAAGAAATATTGATTTTCTCCCGTTCTTGAATGAAAAGTTAGGCCAGTTCGCGTACTCCGCTTTGAGTTGATTCATCGCCTCTCGCAGTTTTTCCGTGGCTGGATTCGGCGGTAAGGGAGGCGGCGCCGTCGCGGATTGAAAGCTAGAAACAACTGGTGGCGTCGGTGCTACCGCATTTTGCTTCGGTATTGAAAAGCCCGCACCTCCTCCGGCCGAGGAAGGCGTTGGTGTTGATTTTTGTCCAATGAGAGGTCGTTTGTATTGCGGCGTTTTCGTCTCGGAAGCAACTACTGAGGCGGCGGATGCCTCCGCAGCGAGAGCAGACTTTTCATCCTTCTCTCGCTTTTGCTTCCATTGTTCCTCCTCTTCCTCTTGTTTATCTCGAACTCTTTTCTTTGCTGTCTGTTCTTGCTTCTTCTTCTGCTCTTCTGGGACGATGAACTCAATCACTTCTATGCCTTTCTTTTTCTCCGGCGGTACGCCGTTGGTGGCGGTGGTAGGAGTTATAATTCCCACAGCCGACGGCGACTTTTCTGCACTCTTATTCTTATTCTTATCGACAGCATCTTTCTCATCTTCTCTCGGAGGTTCCGGCGTCGACTGTTTCCGTGCTACTTTTCCTTCTACTACTTTTTTGACTTCTACTTCTTTCTTCTTCGCCGATGTTGCCGCCGGCTTCTTCTGCTTCTCCGCCGACGCCCCCGGTGTTTTCTTCGTGGCACCTTTCTTCTTCTTCGCGCTGCTCTCTTCTTCGACTAACGCTACGACGCTATCCATCACTCGCTTTCTTTCGCTCGCGAGAGTTTTCTCGTCGCTCGTAAATGTGCTCAAACACGTCACTTTCTTTGTCCTGAAAACCTTCGCCTCCAACTCCGTCTCTCTCCTTCCACTCGCCCCGGTGTTCGTAAACTTCATCGTCGCTACTCTGGTTTCAAACACGTTGTCTTCCAACGATTTCTTTTTCGGAGGTTGCACCAAATGATGTCTCGCATTCATCACTTCGACGATGTCGCCGATATCAATCCACCCGGAATCGTCCTCGGTGACGAAGATTTCGTACTCGTTCGCCTCTTCGTCCGACATACTTTTGATTTCGTTCGGCTTTAACCCTTGCTTTGGACAAACGTCGATGAATTTCCCGACCCACTCGTGTCTACATTCGTTTCGAGTAAGAATTCTAACTCCTTTAAACGTTCCTTTCTTCTCGTCGATCTGGTCGACTCGCACCAATCGATTCTTCTCCTTCACTCGAACGCACGCGCCTACGCTCACCATCGCCGCGCCAGCTTCCGCGATTGGCCCATCCTCCTCCTCTCGATACGCATGTTTAAACGTAATTGTCGTCAGCACGAACGCCTCTCTCCCCGTCCTCGCCCCTGCTTTGACCAATTTCGTCTCGTACAGCTCATTCAAAGTCGGCCAACGCCATCTGCCGTCCGTCGAGAGCGTCTCGTACACTTCATCCGGGACGTCATTCTTCGCGCCTCCGTTCTCATCATCATCATCATCATCATCCTCGTCCTCGTCCGCAAAATCGTCCTCCTCGTCCTCGCTTTCTTCCACTCTCTTCCCTTCCTGTTTCATCCACTCTTTCTCCATGTCTTGTTTGTTCTTAATCTTCAACTCTTTCGTCAGCAAAACTTTCATCATCTTCTCCGTCCACCTCGACGCTTTCGGCACCAGCCTAGTATCTCTCTTCAATTTCGGGAAATCGATGATCCCGAGCTGCTTGTCGAACTCGTAAAACACCATGGCGAGATTTTTGTCCGGTTTCGAGGAGATAATCGTCCCCACGTACCATCGTTTGGTCCCTCCGGTGCCGTATTCCACTTCGATGCGTTTCCCCACGTGTTCGTCTTCAAATTCTTCGTTCGTCGTCAAAGGTGAAGAAGGTGGTTCCGGCGTCGACGTTTTCTTCTTCTTCGGCGTCGTCGTGGTCGTCTTATTCTTCTTCTTCGGCGGTCGTCCGGGACCTTTCTTCTTCTTTGGCGGCATCGTAGATAGAGCAGAGTATTTATAATGAAGTGAATTGGAAAATCCAATTCGAGGAAAACTTCCAAACAAAAATGCTGCGACGGAAACCTTTAAAGATGATGATGACGACGACGCGAAAAGCCCGCTGCTTTGCCACGTCGTCAATATCATCAGCATCTTCTCCTTCTCCACCACCTCCCTCGACGGTATCCACTCGCGACCCGTCTTCGTTCCATTTATTCGACGACGATTCAGACGACGCTGAAGTGGAAAAGAACTTCCGCATCGACGCGCACACCGACGAGTGGTTTGAAATCAACCGAGAGGAACTGCGATCGTCCATTTTCGTGCACAAAAACTTCCGCGCGCTGTGGAAACCTCTCAAAGTGGAAGATATTTCCATGGACTCGCTTATCTACGCGAAACTTTTAGAGGAAACGCCGGACGTGATTTTGTTCGGGACGGGGAAAACGCTGAAGCAAGTTCCCGAGGAAAGCTTGAAGTGGGCGAGGAAAATGGGCATGGCGGTGGAGGTCATGGACACCGCGAATTGCGTGGCGACGTTTAACGTGTTAGTAGAGGAAGGGAGGAACGTGGCGTGCGGGATATTATTGAGTGGTGGTACTCGCGAAGGAGGTGGAAACGAGTGATGAGTATGTCTCGCGCTCGCGTATGCGTACAAATCACATTACATAATAGAACGTAGAACGTAGTCCTTTTTGTAACAGTAGAGCATTTACAGCAGCAGCAGAGCAGTTTCGTTCGTGTACACCCGAGAGCGAGAACTCCCTCCCGGTGATAGATGCGTAGTTCTTCAGAGCGTCTTTTTTGCTCTCTCCTCTTTTCTCTCTGTTGAGCGAATGCGCAAAGTTGGTGATTTTCGAGTCAGTAGTGTAACGACAACAACAACAACAACGAATATAGTTGGAACAAACGAAACAATAATAAGAATGTCGCTCCGAGGCACAAACTAGAATCCGACGGTAATAATTCGAGATCAGTTAGTTTTGAAGGAGAAAGGCTCTCGAGTGTTTCCGAGAGGTGTCCTAAATATGTTATCCATCGTTCGTGTTGGCATCTTGGAAACCATCGCTTCCATTAAACGTTGGGAAGGTCCGGGGGTAGTCCGCCGAATGATGATGAGAAAAGAAAACAGAGAGAGAGGAAAGAAGGAAAGGACAAATAAAAGAAGGACAGATATAAAAGAAGAGAACTTTCACGCGGCAACGGCCGAGTCAAAGTCGCGCGCTCACCTTCGTCGTTTTCCTAGCGTGGCATCCTCCGCTCCGTTGTAGTACTAATGCGGCGCCCTCCTTTTCTGCGGAGGGGAAAAGGGCTCTCGGAGTAGGGTTTAGGGTTTAGAAATCGAACTCCAAACCCTAAATCAATATCGGAAGCCGCGGAACGACCGATGTTCGTATCTCTCCACAACTACACACGATATACGATCACATATCTTCAGAGAGAGAGAGTATATAAGAGAGAAAGAGAGAGCGTTGATCATCATGAATACTACCACGAGTAGAAGTACTAGTACTACCAGTTCGAGTATAAGCGGGGAAACGCAGACTCTGTTGGGTGATTCCTCATCATCTGATGAAGGAGGAGGACGCGTGAGTCCTGTTGTTAAGAAATCATCTTCCAACAAAATGAGAGCGTACGGAGGCGCCGTCGGTGCGGTGTGCGCGACTGCCATGGTCGCGTTGGCCGTCGCGAATGGTGGATCTGCTTCTTCTTTTACCGGTGGTGATGTTACGGCGGCTGGTCGTGGAGTTCTTCCAAGACGAATGGCAATGTTAGGGAAAGGAGGGTCTGCTGCTTCCTCCTCCCTCAAAGCTGAGGTTGACGCTTCCGTCGAGACGAAAACAAAGTCTTCCAGAAAGAAGTCTTCCTCATCAAAGTTGGCGAAATCAGAGAACGATGACAAGAAAAAAGACACATCCATTCTCGAATCCGCGAAATCTATGCTCTCGTCGTTCATGCACTCGCCGCCGGTGGAAGCGTTGGAGGAGAAGGGCGAAGAGTTGAAGGAGGAGGTGGAAGAGAAAGCGGCGGAGACTTTGACCTCGGATTTGGAGAGCAAGAAGCATCATCATCAGCACTCTTCGAAGAAGAAGGAAAAGAAGGAAGAGTTGGCGGCGGAAGAAGAGGCGAGCGAGGCGATGGAGAAGGAAGAGCCGCCTTTGGTGGTGTCGTCTTCTTCTGGAAAAAAGACGAGGCACAGCGGTAAGAAGCACGAGAAAAAGGAGGAAGAAGTGCCGGAAGAAACGAAAGAGGCGAACGAAACGGTCGCTTCCTCTTCTTCTTCTTCGAAACACCATCACCATCTTTCGGAAATGGCGACAGAATCTGCCGAGGAAGACGCCGAAGTGCCGCCAGAGGCGCCGGCGAAGAAACACTCCTCGTCCTCCTCCCAAAAACACCATAAAGAAGCTAAAGTAAAAGTAAAAGAAGCAAAAGAAGAAGCAAAAGAAGAAGCAAAAGAATCAGAAATGGTGGAAGACGAAACGAACGACGATGAAGAAGAAGAAGAAGAAGAAGTAACGAAAAAAGATGAAGAATCTGCGGCGGAGCCAGAGGCCACTTCATCGACGACGAGTACCAAAAAGTCTACGGTGACGGTCGATGAAGCCAGCGGCGTGACGACGGTTGAGGAAATCGAAGAAATCGACGATGATGACAGCAGCAGCGGTCGCTCGGTCGAGGACATCCAAGCTGAACTCGAGAAAGATGCGGAAGAAGAAGAAGTGAAGAAATACAAGCCAGACGAGGATCAAGTGGAGGAAATCAAAGCGGCCCGCGCCAAGGCGAAAAAATTTCTCTCGGAATCTGGCGAGTTCTTAACCTCCTTCGGCGTCGACGATGAGGACGACGACACGACGAGCGATAAAAAGGGTGACGCAGGTTTGGGCGAAAAAGAAGACGAAGAAGAATCGAAAGTTGATAAAATTAAAGACATGAACGCGTATTTGGACAATATTTTAAGCGACGATTACGATGGAGGAGGAAAAGCGACGACGGAACAGGACATGACGCCGGAGCAAGACAAGGCTGTCAAAGCTGAAATCGCGTACGCAATGGATGAATCGAAACCGGCCATGACGGATGCGCAAAAAGATTTGATGGCGAGCTACGAGTTGATGATGCACGTCGGCAACTAACGCGCGTCGGCAAACAACTAAATTCGAACTATATTTATTAAATGTGTTGTATATTATCACCCCACTACTATCTTTTTTATTACTTTATTCTACGCATTCTAAAAGCTTTACTATACTCTACTGCATCAATCGAACGCCGCGTCTTCTTTTGCTCTCTCCTCTTCCATCACCTTTTGTTTCTTTTTCTTCCTCGCCTCGTCGTCTTCTACCGGCTCCTCGCCGGCTAAATTTTCCTTGCTCGCTTGTTTCTTCAAAGCGGCGCCGAGCGTTTTCGCGTTCTTCTTCTGAAACGCCTTCATCGCCTGATCAGCCTTCTTGGCCTCCGCTTCTTCCGGCTCCTCGCCTTCTTCTATCGTCATTTTTTCAATCGCATCTAAATTCTTCAGCAAATCCGGTTCGTTTCGTAAACATTTCGTCACGATGTACTCCTCCAACTCTTTACATCCAACCTCCTTGGCCGCTTTCAAAAACGCCGACAACGCCAACTGTCCGGGAGGGAACAAAAACATCGCATCCGTCAACAATTGCTTCTTTAAATCCTCCTGCGATTTAGTATAACACTCTCTGATTTTTTCTACGACTACCACTTTATTATTATTACTGCTACTACCATCCTCACTCCCGTCGCTATTCACGGTATGAATCGCATCCGCGCGAAACCCGCGCAGCGGCCGAAACGCGCCGAACGAAATCAACTGAAAATCTACCCCTTGCAAAACCGCCAACTCCGCGTTTAACACCTTGTTATAATCGATATCTTTCACCACTTTACATAATTGCTCCGCGCTCACGTACGACTCTTCCACTTTACACGCCAAGTACACCGAAGCCACCATGACTATTTTCAAATTTGTCAACACGATTGGATTGCTTAAACAATATCTCTTGAACAACGTCGTCGCGCTGTGCGTCACTTTCACCGGTAAATTAAACGCCGAACATAAAGGGTCTATTTTCGCCTCCAATCGTTTCCGGTATATCTCTTCCTCTTTCGCGGTCGGGAAGGAGAATTCTTTTTCCATCATCATCTTTAGTTTTTCATCATTTTCTTCAACGCATTCTTTCTTCTTTAACGACGAGGACGACAGCAACACGTCCAACGCTTTTTTCCTCTGCGCGTGTCTCCGCTCGGCTAACTCGTTCGGAGACGTAAACGTCCACGACTTTTTCTGCGTGGACGTTTGGAAATTCATCGTTGTTGTTGTTATTATTATTATTATTATTAAACTGTTGTTGTTGATGAGTTGTTTAAGGAGTATTCGCAACAAAACAACAAGTGCTTTTTCTTTTGCGTTTTCTCGTGAAAAATTTTCTCTTTGTTGAAAAAGCAAAATGACCTCCTCTAATTAGGGTTTAAAGCCTTTAAAGGCAAGAGGCAGCAGACTTTTGCGTCGAAGTCTTCAGATTCAAACACAACTTTTTACTACGAATACTAGTAAAGAGAGAGAGAGAGAGAGAGAGATGAGGGAGACGACGGCGAGAAGAGCAGCGGGGCTTTTGTGGCGAACGACGACCACCGCCGCTTGGGGGAGCAAAGTGCGAGGAGGAACAGGAGGGACGAATAGGAGTAGTAGCAGCATCACGGCACCATCATCACCGTTGGGGACAACGAGTGCAAAGAATGGAATCATTTTTCATCGGCGCTTTTATTATAACTCTTTGAGAAGAACAACAACGATTGGTGGTAAAGGTGGTTTGACGACGACTTCGACGACGCGTTCGCGTCGTCATCGTTTTCTTCATCCGTCGTCTGAATCGTCTTTTTTGATGGTAAAGACGTTAACGTCGTCTCCTTCGAAACCAACGGAACAACAGAATAAACCGACACCGATGAGGGAGTTGAGAGACGAGTTTTTGAACGCGAATTCGGTGGCGTATTTAGAAGAGATGGAGAAACGATTTAAAGAGGAGGGGGGTGAAATAGGGATGGATAAATCGTGGTCGACTTTACTTAAGAGTTTAGATAAAGGGATGACCGGGAAAGAGTTGTCGTCGATGTGGGAAGACGCGAAGAACGGGAACGCGCCGTTGGCGAGAGAGAGGAGAGCTACGCCAAGCAGTTCGACGGCTCCGTCTGAAGTCACCTCAGATTTGATTCAAGAATCCATGCGCTTACTTTTATTGGTTCGCGCATACCAATCAGCTGGCCACGAGATGGCTACGCTCGATCCGTTAGGGATGGAGAAGAAGAGCGTAAACGTGTCGTTGGATCCTGAGTTGTACGGTTTCACGGAGAAAGATTTAGATCGCGAGTTTTTCCTAGGAACTTGGCGCATGAAAGGTTTCTTAGCTGAAGATCAACCGTATTGGACGTTGAGAGATATTTTGTCTCGATTAAGAGAGACGTATTGTGGGAACATAGGGTACGAATACATGCACATAATGGATCGCGAGAAGTGTAACTGGTTGCGAGAACAGATTGAGACGCCTACTCAAAAAGGATACAAACCAGAACGGAAGAAGATTCTGTTTGAGCGATTAGCGCGCGCGGAATTGTTCGAGACGTTTTTATCGAACAAGTACACCGCGGCGAAACGATTTGGATTGGAAGGGTGCGAAACATTGATTCCCGGGTTTGAAGAAGCCGTCGATCGAGCGGCGGATTTGGGAGTGAAGAACATCAACATTGGCATGCCGCACAGAGGACGTTTGAACGTCTTAGCGAACGTTATTCGTAAGCCGTTACAAACTATCTTCAACGAGTTTAAAGGTGGACCGAAACCAACTGGCGAGTTGGGCTTGAGCGGATCGCAATACACCGGTTCCGGGGACGTGAAATATCACTTGGGTACGTCCGTGGTCACCAGAAGAGGCGTGAACCAAGATAAGAAAGTCCAACTGTCGTTACTCGCGAACCCGTCGCACTTAGAAGCCGTAGATACAGTGGTCATCGGCAAATGCGCGGCGAGACAGTTTTATACAAAAGACTATGAGAAAGAAACGGTCATCCCGGTGCTTTTACACGGCGATGGCGCTTTTTCCGGTCAAGGTATCGTGTACGAGACGTTGGATATGTCGCAACTTCCGGAATACCACGTTGGAGGTACTTTGCACATTGTCGTGAACAATCAAGTCGCCTTTACGACCGATCCCAAACATTCGAGATCGTCTATGTATTGTACTGACGTCGCAAAGTGCATCGAAGCGCCGGTGTTCCACGTCAACGGGGACGATGTCGAAGCCGTCGCGTGGGTCATGCAACTCGCCTTGGAGTGGCGACAAAAGTTCAAAGCCGACGCGGTCGTCGATATCGTGTGCTACAGAAAGTTTGGTCACAATGAAATCGACGAACCGATGTTCACGCAGCCTTTGATGTATAAAGTGATCAAAAAACACGTCTCGGCGCATCAACAATACGCGGAAAAGTTGATTAAGGAAGGCGTTTTAACAGCGGATGAGGTGAAAGCAAAACACGCGGAAATCTTGAAAGAGTTAGATACGGAGTTTGAGATGTCGAAGAACTACGTCCCGAAGTTTCGCGATTGGGTTTCGTCGCACTGGCAAGGCTTTAAATCGCCCGATCAATTCGCGTCCATTCGCAACACTGGCGTCGACCCGCAAGTCTTGAGAGAAGTTGGCGCGAAAATTACCGAAATTCCAGAAACGTTTACGCCGCACAAAACCGTCAAGCGCGTGTACGATGCCAGAAGGAAAATGTTTGAAACCGGAGAGAATGTTGATTGGGCTACCGCGGAAATGCTTGCGTTTGGTACTCTGCTGAACGAAGGTAACCACGTGCGCTTATCCGGCCAAGACGTCGAAAGAGGTACGTTTTCTCACCGACACGCGGTTATCAAAGATCAAAGTACCGGTGAAAGGTTTGTACCGTTGCGTAACTTATACCGAGACAAAATGGCCGAAAAGGGCTTGAAGTATTTTACGGTGTGTAACTCATCCTTGTCGGAATTCGGCGTCCTCGGTTTTGAGCTCGGATATTCTTTGGACAATCCGAACTCGTTGGTCATTTGGGAAGCGCAGTTTGGCGATTTTGCCAACTCTGCGCAAGTTATTATCGATCAGTTCATCTCCTCTGGCGAAGCGAAGTGGTTGAGACAAACTGGTTTGACGTTGCTCCTCCCGCACGGCTACGACGGTCAAGGTCCAGAACACTCCTCTGCTCGATTGGAAAGGTTCTTACAAATGTCTGACGAAGATCCTCGCGTCGTTCCGGACATGTCCCAAACCAAGCGATTAGCCATTCAAGGCACAAATTGGCAAATCTGTAACGTCACCACCCCGGCCAATTACTTCCACCTCCTCCGACGCCAAATCCACCGCGATTACCGCAAGCCCTTGATTGTCATGTCGCCGAAGAACCTGTTGCGTCATCCCAAATGCCTCTCGCCTTTGAGTGAATTCGACGACGTCGATTCTCTCACCGACGCTCAAGGCACGCGATTTAAACGTTTAATCATGGACAAAACGGCTAAAGTGCGCGGTTTAACCAACATTCCAGTCGAAGACCACGTTCAGCGTCTCGTTTTCTGTTCGGGTAAAGTCTACTACGAGTTGGATGCCGAACGTGAAGCGTTGAAAGCGGAAGACACCATTAAAATTTGCCGCATCGAACAGTTAGCCCCGTTCCCGTGGGATTTAGTCGAGCGCGAATTAAAACGCTATCCAAACGCCGAAGTCGTCTGGTGTCAAGAAGAACCGTTAAACATGGGCGCGTACACCCACGTCGACCAACGCATACGCACGCTGTTCAAGCACCTCGGCAAAGAAGGCGAGTTGAAATACGCCGGTCGAAACCAAGCCGCCAGTCCGTCCACTGGCTACGGGTCCGTCCACGCGGAAGAGCAAATCAAACTCATCAAAGACGCGTTGGTTTTATAATAATAATAATACTAGAAGTAGTATGTAATATTAACCACACAGACATCCATTATTAATAAAACACGCTGTTGTTAATACGCGCGACCGCAAGAGAGAGACAAACTCCTCTCTCGCGTCTTCATTTTTCGAAAAAAACTTTCCTCTTCTGCTTCTGCTTCTGCCACAATGCCTCCTCCTTCTCCTTCTTTTTTTCCCTTTTGCCTCCTTACGTCAGCTTTTGTTTATTTTTATTTGGATAAATATTCTGTGTCGTCTCCTTATTCTTTCAACGCCCAAACACGACCTCTTCTTCAAAAGTATGAGCACTGTCTGCGCTGCTACGACTCAAATCGCCTCTCGAGCGATGAAGACGTCCTCTTCTTCTTCGGGGTGTTCTTCGTCTTCTTCGTCTTCTTTTTCTCCTTCTTTCTCTTCTCGGGGCGGTCGGAATTCTTTTTTGAAGACGGCGACGCAAAAATCGTCGTCGTCAGCGATTTTGCCGATGAGACGAAGGAAGAAGATTTCTGTGCGCACGAACGCGGTTTTATTTTTACCACCTATGCCCGGGGGTGCTGGTGCGGCGATGATTGGTGCGATAGACGCCGATCGAATCGCGGAAGTGTATGATTTTTCGTCCTCGACGAATCAGATAGAGGTGCAAAGAGTGTTTGAAGTCGCCGACGCCGCATCGGCGGAGATGACCTTGGAACAAGCGCCGGCGGTGGACGCGACGAACAAACCACCAGAGAAGGAGAAGAAATCGGCTTTACAAAAAGGCGGGTGGCTCGGACCAATCACGAACGCCTTAGAGTCGACTTTAGAAGGTATCGATGGCATTTTAGCACCCGTCGCGGGGACGAATTCGTACGGGTTCTCTATTCTCGCGTTAACTTTGTTGGTGAAGTTGGTCACGTTTCCGTTGACGAAGAAACAGATCGAAGGTTCGGTGAACATGCAAGCGCTGCAACCGAAAGTGAAAGAGTTACAAGCTATGTATGCGAACGACCCGGAGAGGTTACAGATGGAAACGGCGAGATTGTACAAGGAGGCGAACTTTAACCCGTTGGCGGGATGTTTGCCCACCTTCGCGACGTTGCCGGTGTTTATTGGTTTGTACCGAGCGTTGTCCAACGCCTCGGTGGAAGGTTTGCTGCAAGATGGCTTTTATTGGATTCCGAGTTTAGGTGGACCGGCAACGATTGAAATGCGAAACGACGGCGCTGGATTTTCGTGGTTGTTCCCGCTCGTGGACGGGGCGCCGCCCATTGGTTGGCACGACGCCTTGTCGTACTTGGTCTTGCCGGTTTTGTTGGTCATTTCGCAATCGGTGTCGCAAAAGATCATGCAACCGGAATCAGCAAAGTCAGCAGATCCAGCGCAACAACAATCGCAAGCGATTTTGAAGTTTTTGCCGCTGATGATTGGCTACTTTTCCTTGAACGTGCCGGCTGGATTGACTTTGTATTGGTTCTTTAACAACATCGTCACCACTGCGCAAACGGTGTATTTGCGAAAGACGACGAAACCGATCGTCAACGTTGGTGGTGCATCGGCGGCTGGTGATGGTGGTGGAGCGTCTTCGCAACCGGTGAGAGTGGATTACGTTCCGAAAAGAGAGAGAAGATCGGGCGCGACTATTCCAAAGGCGGCGGCTCCAAAAGTTGACGTCTCGAACGCCATTTCTGCGGAGTTTACCGATTTTGACGAAGGACCTGCGAAAGTGAAGAGCGCAGTAGAGAGCGAGTTTGGGGATTTTGAAGATGGACCGGCGAAAGTTCAGGAAGATGGTGAGGATAGTAGCCGTGGAAGTCGAAGAGGCAGCCGAAAGAAGAGACGCGGAGGGTCCCGATAATTCTTTTTTGTCGAATAGCCTTCATCTTTAAGAATGCAGTGCGTTCGTTCGGGTTAAGAACAAGAACGCGTTGCAGTATCACAGCGAGTCGCGTACAATTACCATACAAAAGTTTAATATCCTTGTAAAAACGAAAAATACAATACATAGAACATTTTCACGGCTCCAATTTCTCGTCTTTCTTCTTCTCCTTCTTCTTCTCTATCTTTTCATGTTTGTTTTTGGTAACATCATTATCATCGTCGTCGCTATCATCCGTCTCGTCGCGAGCATCGGCTCGGTGTGGGAACTTGAAAGTTTCTATTTCTGTCTCGGAATAGTTGCATTTATCAAAGTTTGTCACGGCCTTGTCGCCTCGATATTTCAAGCTCGCCAAGTCGTAGCCTCGCGCGGCTTCTATCTCAGTATCGAACGTTCCCAGATACACGTACTTGGATCCTTTCACGCGGCCCAGACGCGATTCCCACAACTGTTTTGTCGACGCCTTGCCTTGTTGGTTGGTTGTACTCTTAACATATTTTGTCACGCCGCGATATTTTGAAACGCCTCGAGTAAATCCGCTGGATTCTCGTCGCAACGCGGCAACGTACGCGGCAAAATCATAGGATTTCATCATCTGGATATCTTCCGCGTACGTTTCGTAATCAAAATTTAAATTAGCATCTCTCCCCCATAACTTAATCGCGGCTTTATCGTAGCTTTTCGCCGCCTCAAGCTCTGTTAAATACCCACCTAAATAAATCTGTCTTCCTCGCGTCCTGCCGCCAGGTTTAGGCGTCGCACGCGCCAAAGAAGAGTCCCATAAGTGCGCTTCGTATCTTCCTGTTAATCTGTGCTTTGTTACACCTGTTTGTTACACATGAGTTATCAAAAAATAGTTACAAATTATAAAAATGCTGTACCTCTCATCTGCGAGGTCCTAGACGGATTTTGAGGTTTCGCCCGCCGATTGGATTTCGGCACCGCGTGCAAAGAACGTTTTTTCTTAATGTCTTTCACGGCGACATCAGGCTCTTTCTTCGACGCATTCGCTCGCCACATCTCTTCGTTCAAGGGAAATCTTGTTTGATCCGGGATGGTTACAGATATCGTCATCGTGTCTTCGCTCGAGAAGAAATTATCGCTCGGAATCAACGCCTCGTCATCTTCGTCTTCGAAATTGAAATTGCTCTTACGTTTCGGATTGTTCGCGCGCGTCGCATCAGACATGCACACTCCCCACACGTCTATATCTTTATCTCTGTTCATGAACCGTAATATCCCTTCTTGCTTCTCGTCGTGCATCAACATGGTGTTGTTTCTTTGCGCCTCTTCCTCGGGGGGCGAAGAAGGCAGATAGTGCTCTTCCTCGTGGTTCATGATCAACTCGAGGCATGATTTCAGACGTTTCTTTTTCCGTTTTTCCGGCTGCTCCAAACACCCCGAAGATACGAGCAAAGGAGGCAAATGTCCTCCATCTCTCGTTTCGTAACACGACGCGCCGCCTTCCTCGTCCTCGTCGCTCGAGCTGTTTCTGAGCAACTGGTCCAAGTAATAATCCAGGCAAGGAGGCAATGAAAAAGTATCGCTCGCGGGAGCGTGAGCGTTTTTCTTCTTTTTTTCTTGATCCTTAAGAGTGAGCGTTTCAACGAAAGAACGGAGCGCCTCGTCGTCGTTGTCGTTATCGATCGCGAGAAGAGTGCTGGTCGTCGCGGCGGTGGTTTCATCTTCCGCGCTCATCTTTCTACATTCGTCGTTTACGTCGTCGTCGTCGTCGTCGTCGAGGGAATTTTTGGTGGTGGCGGCGGCAAGGAAGGAGGAGTTTCGAGCGCGTATTTTTTTGTGAAGGAAGCGTTTTGAAAAAACAAAAAAGAGAGAGAGAGAGGAGAGAGAAGAGGGTGGTGCGTGTGTGCGATTGTTCAACTTTTATGCAATTCGTAATAATCATCACCGATATGTATTCAAAAGTAGTCATCAAAAGGGACCATATTTACTCACGGGATGCTCTCTCCAATCTCTCCTCTCCCGTTCATATCCGCGGAAACGCGTTCGCTGGAAAAGATTGGGAGTCTGTTTTGCATGTGGACTCTATCGATGGCCCATAAGACGCTGTCGTCCAATCTAGGGACGCTCGCGTCGAAATATTTTACAGTTTCTTTTAATTGGTTCAAGGACGTGTGGCCTACGAGAGAGGTTGTGTTCGCGCGATTATCTTTGGCCCATCGTAAGCTCAACTCGGTGAGTGACATACCGGATTGTTTCGCGATTTCATTGTACATGTCGACGGCCCTTAAAGCTGGCGCGGATCTGTACCTGTATAAAGTCGAACCCCAGCTGTAATCGTCCATTCGACCGCGCGGATTTTTCAGTTGCGCGACCATGGCTTTCTCTGAATCTAAATCTGGCGCGGCTAACTTGTCCAAATACTTTCCGGTCAAAACACCTCCAGCCAGCACGTTATACGCCATCCACCCGACATTTTCGTGTACTGGCGAGCTTGCTTCCGAAACTCCATTTTCTAACATCCTTCTATTAATTAAGGAAAAATCTCCTTGCAAGCAGCACGGTTCCGGCGCGTTGACGCTTCTTGCGGCGTAGCACATCGCTGTTAAACCGTAAGCGTTGTCGTTACAAGATCCCCATCCTCTCAGTTTTCCTTCTCTGATCAAATCTCCCATGGCCTCTGCAATTTCTTCAAACGACGCCGCGTTTCGGTAATACGGCGCCGCTTCGTTTTCTAAGTTGTACTGCAAAGACTGCCCCCAATTACTCTGAGGGGTATACCGCGCCGGCCAGTGCATTGTGTAGACGTCTACATAATCCGTGTTCAATCTTCGCAAACTACCTTCTAAATCTTTCTTAATGTTCTTCTTCGTGACATTCGCTCCACCTGTAATTTTAGTCGCGATGACCACCTTCTCTCTCCTCGATTTATCCTTCTTCATCCAGTTCCCGATGATTTCTTCTGAATATCCTTCTGGATGCGCTCGATCAGACGGTATCGGATATTGTTCTGCGGTGTCTATGAGACTCACGCCCGATTCCAAGATTCCAAAATCCAAAAAATCGTGGCAAACCTTTTCATCCGGAGCGTTAAAATCCGCGCTACCCCATCGCTGCGTCCCTAACGCAATCTCTGAAACGAAAATGTCCGTATTTCCTAACCGTTTTTGCCGTATTCCGTTGATAATTTTGACGGTTTCGTTCGTGGTGCCGACTTTTGCAGACGATGAACTCGTCGACGCGTTCGCCGTTCGTTCGTTATTAAAATCGAATGGATTCTTAAACGAAGGGAAGGACCCCAGGGCGACAAACCCTTGCATCACTCGTCGTCGTCGAGACGAAGAGGAAGAAGAAGAAGAAGAAGAAGAAGAAGAAGAAGAAGAAGAAGAGGTTTGGTGCTCGGCGGAGAAGAGCAGGGAAGCGGATAAACTAAACATATTTTTCTTCCTTTGCTGTGACGATTTTGCTCGTGCGAGAAAAAATTGAAGAATCTTTCTCTCTCCTCTTTTTGCACAATTGCGGTATTGCGCTGCTGCGTTTAACATGCTCTTTCTATTACACTATTATTATTTGCCTCTCTTATTATTATTATTATTGCTATTGTTATTAGTTTTTTTCGAGGTTTTCGCGATGGCGCCAACCTTTGCGGACGAAGCTCTCTTCCTCGCGGCGACGATGGTTTTACTCTCTCGCTCGCCGGCTTTCTTGGAATTTTTGGACGCAGAGGTGGTGCTCACTTTGACGACGGCTTTTTTCTTTGACGTCGTGCTTTTCGCGGGAGAAGCGTCGTGAGATTGCATCCAGGTCGCCACCGGACATGGATTCTTCTTGCTATTCTTCTCCCGACACTTGGACTGACCGTAATACCAGCCTTTACCGTCGATGGAGGCAAACGGCGGGACTTTTCGTAATCGCGCGCTCATGACTTCAAACGCGAGTCGTCCTAGGTTGGAAGTAAACGTGCCGATAAAAGCATCGCCGCTGGCAAGGAGCTCTACGTCGGCAGCGGTTTCCGCACCCACTCTGTCTGGATCGCCATCTCCCGCCTTCAACCTTCTTTCGATGAATCCAACTTTAAAATGATCCGATTCACGGCGCCTTTTGGCCATGCCTTTGGAATATTTGTCTCTATTTTTCTCCCAAGTTTTCGGAGAGTACCAAGTACGGTCGACTGGGGCAACTAACAGTCGATATCCGTTTCTTTTGGCATCTTTGCGTGCTTCCTTCACCGTACCGTCGTCGTCGGTAGCCAAGAAGACGAAATTGAAAATGTCTTTACCGTAGGCGTTTCGTATGCGTTGAATCTCTTTCGCGTATCGTCCGAAATTCACGCATCCGCCGTATTTCTGTGTGCGCCCTACTGCCACGCAACTATCTCCTTTACGAACATGCACAGATATAACTTTATTGCTATTATCTTTCTCGCCACCCAAGTTTGTCGGCTTGGGCCAACCCATCTTAATTTTTAAATCCGCTACTTTTTTGGCAAAATTGGCATTGGGCCTCCAAATTCTGGCAGCCACTGCCGCGTGGTAATGAAAGAACGACAAAGATTCTCGAATTGGCAACAAAACCGCCCGTTCTTCCGCTTTCTGAAAGTTATCCTGATTCGCATCAATCGATGCTCTTTCGCATTTTGAGAGCGGCTTTACATAACACGCCAAACTCTGATCGCCGCACGTCTTACCGCTGAATCCAGGCAAGGAATGCGACGCAAAATCAAACTGTTTATTCCCACTCTTCGCGGCTTGCGCGTACTCGTAAATTGCATAATTAACAATCGCACCAAATCCAGTCTCTGGCATGTGGTGCGCCGAAACTTTCCCGCACCCTTTCGCCTGGTGCGCGTCAAAGAAATCCGTCAAATCTGGAAAGATTTTCAAATTCAAGCGCTCGACTGGTGGCGTATATACCGGGACGCCGCTCATAGAAACGCATTTCATCGATGGAGACATTAATTTCCCAGGTGGACACAAGAATTCACCTAAAGTTTCAGTATTGGTGCCACTATTACTACTACTACTACTACTACTATAATTCTCTTCATCTGATTGACCATTCGCGCCAAAGTCGTCTCCCTGGGAAACACCCATCGAGGAAGACGCTCTGAATTCAAATAGTCCTTCCGAATTCATATTACTATTATTACCACTCTCTCCGTCCGCATCATCATCCGCATCCGTTTGATCGCCAGTAAACGTATTCCCATCGTCTTCAATCAATTCTAACTCTTCTTTATTCCTCGTCAGCATCGATGATGCTCCAACAGTATCGTCTTCATCAAAATACAATCCCGCACTTTTGGAACTTTGGATATGGGCGAGATAGAGAATAAACACCGAGAGACAGACAAATAGGAACGGGTAAAGTTGGATGCGAAGAGATGACGACGAGAGTGATGCGACGAAGTTCATTACGCGTCCGGTTTTTGTGTCACAAGCTCTGCGACAGCGCGCGAACGCGGTGCTCGAGCACCAATAGTATCGGACAAAGAAAGCTTTCGGAAATGTGTCGAAGAATTCGTATTTTGGTTATTTTTGAAAGAATATCAAACAACCGCTAAAACCTGCTACAAAACCGCTAAGATGAGCCGACTGCTGTCTTCCTCGACGACCTCTCTCACAACCCGTCGAAGAATTTAGCGGCTTTTTTTTTCGCCGCGTTGGTGTGCAAGTCGCCGCGTCCGGGTAACCGCCGGTTCTTGCCTTTGCCCTTTTTCTTCTTTTGTTTCTGCTTTTTTCTCTCGTCTTCACTATCGCTTTCGTCCATATCACTATCTTCTCGGTTGTTATCCGCGTCCATGGCGTCTTCTCCCCCGTCTCCTTTCGCATCTTCTTCGTGTAAGAAGGACACGTCCCAAATTTTCACCGTGTGGTCGTGACTGGCACTCGCCAAGGTATTCAAATCCGCGGTCAATCGCATGCGTTCGATTGGATACTCTCCGTGTTCACCAACTAAGCCTAACATTTTGTTTGGAAACACCGTTATGACGCGAATGAGCCCGTCTGAACTCCCAGTTAAAACGATGTCTTCGCTCACTTTCACCATCGCGTCTACGCTCGACGGGTGACCGGGAAACCTATCGTTCGAGTCGATCCAATCCCCGTAATTCCAAATGTTCAAGTTCCCGCCTTGCGACCCGGCGACAACTTTCGTCCCATTCTTCACCACACAACACGACAATAACTCGTCCTCCATGTTATCGCTCTGTCCGAGCACTTTCATCGCATTCAAATCGAGACACGCCAACGTCCCGTCTCCGGAGGTTGCGACCAACGCGTTTCGTTCGCTCGTCGTCTCGTGGTACATTTCCGAAACGAAATCTACAAATATCTCGTCCTTCTTAAACGAATGCGCGCACCGTTCCTCTCTGACGTCCCAAATTTTTATCACGCCTTCATCGCACCCGGTTGCGATGATATTCGCGTCGTCTAAAACCGTCAGTCTCGTTATCGCTTCCTCGTGCGCTTCCGCGAATCTCCCAATCGCTTGCTCCGTGGTCGAATCAATCAGCATCACCGAACAATCACCCGACCCGGTGGCTAACACGTCTCCGTTTCTCATGTGCGAGAGCGCTCGAACCGATTCCGAGTGCGCTTGAATCGTGCTCTGTTTCTTTACTCTCTTTTTTCCACCTGTTGTTGTTGTTGTCGTTCGCCGCCACATCTCGACGCCGCCGGTTATTAGACCAACCGCGAATGCGGTGCCGGAAGAATCTCGGAAAGACACGTCCATCGGGTTTTCTTCCGTCGTTATCGTTATCGATTCTTCATCATCGTCTAAATCGTCGTCGTCTTCACCGGCTTTATTACTCCTCATTCTTATTAGTATCACTGTTTAAAGTAAGGACAGGAGTGTAAATTAATGAAGAAGAATTGGAAAATTCAGCTGTCAAAAACGACGGCAAAAAAAAAAAGGATTTGATTTCTATTTATACCATGGGCACAGTGGCCGAGCTCGATCTCTCCCGATCATCTCGAGAAGAAGGAGGAGAAGACGACGACGACGATTTGAAACTGCTCTCAACCAGCGCGAGCGAACAAGAACAAAAATATCCTCTCTCCATCGTCTGGTGTGCGATTCCAATCCTCTCGGACATTTTCCCATTCGTCGGTCACGTCGGCATCACCAATTCGAGCGGATGGATATACGATTTCATCGGCGATGGAACCATACACCAATCCGCGAGCAATAATTTATCGTTCAATCGAGTGATGCGAGTGATTCCGTTGAATATTATAAATTGCAAGCATCCGATTGATGAGAGTTTAAGGAGGGTGATGATGCATTACACGAGAACGAACGAACGGTATAACTTGTTCGGGCAGAACTGCCACGACTTTGTCGGCATCGTTTTGAACCTCTCGGAATACGAGGGGAAAGATGATTGGAATTTAGTAGACGTGGCTTTGTTAGTGTGGGGGGTGAGAGGGAACGGAGGGAGTTTTGTAGATCCGAACGCGGCGTATCGAACGTTTGGGCCGGCGTTCCTGGCGTTCCTGGCATCGGTTGCGTTTGGTTTCGCGAGAGCTTTCGGGCGCGCGGTGTTAGGTTTGTACGCAGCGGTAGTTGGATGGTTCGTGTTGTACGTGTTTGTGTTGAACAGAAGAAGGAGTTGTTCGATACGAGCCGGGTCAATTCCGTTCATTAGGAATAGTAACAACAACGACAACGACAACGCGAGCAGTCAAGGAGGAGACGTTTAAACGATACAGTTTTTAGAAGGTACGTCGCGTCGTTAAAAGAGTCCGTGAAGATTCCAATCACCAGCTACTAGAACCGATCGATATCATTTCTTTGATGATATTTTGAGGATGACTGTGTTCATTTCTGAGACTCTCTCGTTCTTTATTGTTCTTTTAACATCGGGAGTTTCGCGTTGTGCTAGGTATGGTGGTATTGGTGAAATATCTCCAATTCCTCCCAGTTTCAGTGTATCTTTTTTCACTAATTAATTATCAGTGGTCTCCATTTATTATCTCTCTTTTGCAGAAGAAGAAGGAAAGAAAACAGAACAGAAAATGGCGGCGAAATCGAACGACCCGTGTCAAATATGCGATCGATTCTTCACGTTTCTGTTTACATCCTTGATTGGGTTTTTTACGTGGTTCTTTAAAGGGACTTTGGATGGAAATAGTCCATTTTCTTTAATTGCTTTTCCAATCGTGTTGTTATGGCATTCGATTTTTATTTACGCGATACCGACTGTCGTCATATACGTAAAACGAGCCTACAGAGTGTTTTTAAGTTTCCTGTGTAAACCGTTCGGTGGGTACGTTCTGGATGACTCGCCTCATTTCCACACGACCGCGCTTGTTTTAGGAAAATACAAAGAAAAAGACGGCGAGGAGAGTTTGAAAGAGCTGTTGGAGGAACAAGGCTGTAAGACGTACGAGGAGTGGCACAAGACGATTGAACTCGTACGATTTAAAGATTTAGGGCCAATTGGGAGTAAGAAAGTGAGCGAAGAGAACAACAACACGTTTTTGTTCAAGAACGGCATCGACCCATCAGACATCGGCCAAGGCTCGCTCGGAGACTGTTGGTTACTCGCAGCGATAGCATGCCTCGCCGAACATCCAGAGGCCTTGAGAAAACTGTTTATTGATAGAGAAATTAACCCCAGAGGGTATTATAAACTCCGTTTATTTCACGCGGCGAGAGAAAAATGGGTCACAGTTGGCGTTGATGACCGATTCCCAGTTAAAGTTGCAACCACGAAGCTCTTAAAGAAGAAGAAATTGTTGTTTTTAAGAGAAACCGACAACGAGTTGTGGGTTTGTTTACTGCAGAAGGCGTTTGCAAAGATTTTTGGAGGGTATGCGCAACTCGATGGAGGACATTCTGTCGTCGCATGGAATTTCCTAACCGGGGGTAATTGTATGATCCTCAAACGCGAAGCAAACGAGACGGTTTGGGATAAGACTGAGTTTACGTTTGGTTCCGAGAAATCGTTCAAGGATTCGTATTGTATTCGTGTGGGTCGCTCCTCGGTATTTTATCGTCCTACCTCAGATCCAGAGTTTAAGAAAAAAACAGAGGACCAAGTTTTCGACATCTTGAGAGCGTATGCGAAAGCGAGATGTTTGTTAGGCGCGAGTGTCAATAAACGCGACGACGAAGAGGTGGAAGCGAAAAGAGAGACTGGATTAATCGCGCAACACGCGTATTCTATTCTCGAATGTCGTCGACCGGGGATGAAGAGCATGGACAAGGTATACGACAAAGGCAAAACGGGAGTCAAACTCGTCAAATTACGAAACCCGTGGGGCGACGAGCACGAATGGAAAGGCGCCTGGTCCGACGGTTCCAAAGAATGGACAGAAAATCCAACCTTTGCGGAGGAATTAAACTACGTCTCTAAAGCCAACGACGGCGTCTTTTGGATGGAATGGTCTGACTTCAACGAAAATTTTACAAAGATTCAAATATGTGACCGAGACGCGAACAAAGATCTCTCCTTGGAAATTTTCGAAAACCACCCAAAATGTGGTCCTTGTTTAGGTTGCGCTTTTGGGTGCGCTTCGTTTTGGTGCAAGTGCAACGGTTGTCGAGTTATTTATTTTGGAAACGAGAAAGGGGATGCCATGAAGTCTGGCGCTGGATGCACGAAAATTTGTACCGCCGTGTGATGACGAGAGAGAGAGAGTAACGCGCGCATGAAATTTGTATGTAATAATAGCAGGTACTAGTAGTAACATCATCTAAACATCTCGCGTTTGAGTGCGCGTTTCTCACGTTTCTGCATGTGGCAAGAAAAACTTTATAAAAACACACGCGAACTTATTACATTAAAATCATGGGCACAAACGCTTTAGCGGCATCCTCGCATCTCTCGAGCACGAGTACACGGCAGCATCCTCGTTTTCATCTTCGTCGCGCTGCGAAAACGCATTCGTCCTCCTCTCTGTACCGTCCGTGTCGTGGCACTTTTCATCGGGGGCGTATCTTTTGCGCTTCCGATGATGATGAAAACAACAACAACAACAAAAACGTGCTCTCCTTCCTGTGTCCGTTGCTAAAACTCATCGGCGGTGGCGATGCCGCTAAACCGAGAAACAGAACGTTAGAAGTTGCCACTTCTGGGTTCGCCTCTATCGCGCGAATTCAATACGGGAAGACTGTTTTAGAAGAATGCATTCAGAGGAGGAAACAACAACCGAAGTTAATTTTATACGAATTTGAGGCGTGCCCGTTTTGCCGTCGCGTGAGAGAAACACTCTCGATGTTAGATTTAGATTGCGAGATACGACCGTGTCCGAAAGACGGTCGATTTAGAAAAGAAGTATTAGAGAGAGGCGGGAAAGAAACATTCCCGTATTTCGTGGACGAAACATCCGGAAAGGAGATGTACGAGAGCGCTGATATTGTAAACTATTTATACGAGAAGTACGGTAACGGAGCGCGAGTGCCGGAGAATTATTTCACAAGCACGCTCATCACGGGATGGATGCCGACACTTTTTCGTGCCGGTAGAGGAATGACGAAATACGAGCCGAGAAAGGAAGGCTTCGTGAAGCCGCAGTCCGGAAACATCGAGCTGTTTAATTACGAGAACAATCAGTTCGCGCGATTGTGCCGAGAGGCGTTGTGTGAGTTAGAATTACCGTATACGTTGCGCAATGTGGGCGCTGGGTCGCCAAAAAGAGAAACGTTGACCGAAGCTGGTGGGAAATCTGTCCCATTTCTTATCGACGGAGATGTGAAGATTGGCGAGAGCGATGAGATTGTCGCGTATTTGTTTGAAAAGTACGGTGGCGGATACGTCCCAGAAAAACAAGGAGCGTAATATACTTATTCTCCTTTTCCACTACCGGTACTGCTAATATCTACTTTATCTAGTTTCTTTTGTAATGCCGCAGCAACTTTAGCCTTCCATTCCGCGCTTTCGTAATATCCGTCGTCATCTGCTTCTGCTTCACCTTCACCTTCTTCTTCTTCTTCTTCCTCCTCCTCTTCCTTCGCTAACGCTACAAACTCCGGCGCATCTGCTTTCCAAAGTGCTTCGCCATCTGGTAACCCTCTAAACAAAACGCACTCGTTCAACAATCTCTCGCACGTCGGGCGTTCGTTCCAATCATACGTGATGCACTGTCTACAAAAATCCTCGAGTTTTATATCGAACCTTGTTCTATTTCCTTCTCCTCCGGCGTCGTCCACGTCGTCGACAATCTCGTACGTCAAAACCTCCGGTTCTTTCTCAATCGCCTGCATGGTCAAATACTCCGTCTCCCTGCGAAACGGATTCTTTCCACTAACTAACTTATACGCGGTCAAACCTAACGACCACACGTCGCACGCGTACGTCGCTTTCGCTTTCGCCTGTAAAATCTCTGGTGCGCAATATTCCGCCGATCCCACAAACGAGTACCCTCTCTCCTTCTTTTTCACCATCTTCTCTTCAATCTCTCCCGTTTCTTCATTCATAACTCTTCTCTTGATAAACTCTTCCTTATATTCCACGTTCAAATCTAAACACGAGCCGAAATCGCACAATTTCACGTGTCCATCCGACCCTAATATTATATTTTCCGGTTTCACGTCTCGATGCGCCACGCGCAAAGTTTCGTGGCAATACCGCAACGCCTCCGTCACTTCCTTAATGTAAAACGTCACCTGTTCTACACTCAACCGTCCAATGCCAAAATTTTGCGTTCGTTTCATCAGCATCGCTAAATCGCCTTCCGGTGAACACTCCATGGCTAAATATAACGAATAATAATCGTGAAACGTAAAATAGAGTTTACACACTCCCGGAAACTCCGCTCTGTTCATCACGTCTCTCTCTTTCGTCACGCACGCCATCTTCTCCTCTTTCGCGATGAACTTTTTATCCATAACTTTCAAAGCGATCGGTCGTTTCAGAAATTCCTCTTTTATCTTCGTTCTCTTGTTCTCGTTCAAGCGAATCGTATCAAACTTCACCATTCGAACTTCGCTGAAACTCCCATCCCCTAAGTGTCTCACGGTGACAAAATCGGAGACCGAAAATGCCAGTTGGAGTTGTTCTTTCACAGCAGGTAAAGGTGGAGTGTATTTTATATACTTTCCATCGATTGGTTTCACAGTAGTAGCAGTATCATTATTCCTCCTCCTCCTCGCATCATCATCACCGCCGTCCGAAGAGGACAACAAAGCGGGTTCTTCTTCGTTCGTCATTATTTAGTATTTGATTTTTTCTTGCGTCTCTTCGTTGTTTCCTCAATTTTGCCTCAAAACGAAAAGTCAAACCACCCGGAAAAACTTGAACATTAGAAGGAGCAATAGCAGAGAAAACACACATAAAAAATGACGACGACGACGGAAACAACAACGTTTAATAAAAGGACGTACTCGAGTTCCGCGGTTCGAATAGGGAACTGGCGAGAAGACGAGGCTTTAGAATTGGTACGTTTAAAAGACGATGGTTTGTTCTTGTTTGTTTGTTTCGTATACTCGTGTAGGGGAATTTTGAAAATTTTCTCTCTCTCCCTGACGCTCTCTTATAAACAACAACACTCCGGAGACGTAAGCGTTCACGACTCACTATCTTCTTCTCATTAACATGAACGATGATACACACAGGCGAAACTCGAGGCGTACAAAGAGGCGAAAAAAAATGGCACTCGACACGTGGACGTGTTGCTCGAGAGAAGAGAACGGTGTTTGCGAGAACTTTTGCTCTTCAACAAAAATTCTTCCTCTTCTTCTTTTGATACAACGACGACGAGAAAGGATGATGACGAGGAAAAGAAGAGAGTTGAATTCGGGTCGATGATTCAACTAGCCAACGGGGCTTCGAATTATGAGGATGTGATGGAGTTATATCCAGCCGATTGCGATTTTGCGAAGAAGAAGACAGGATTGGAGAAGGTGGAACACGAGTGCACGGTGGCGCCGTCGCGGGATGCAGAGGCGATGCCGAACGCGATGAATACGTTTTTCGTGAGAAAAGGGAGACCACCAAGGAACGACGTCAGTGGTAGAAGTTGTAGAAGTTGTGACGAAACGTTTGTGAGATTTGGGGACCGGATCATTTTGAGCGCGAATCCGATGCTCTTCGATAAAGAAGAAGAGGAAACGCCGGCGCGTTATTCGATTAAAGATTTAGTCTGTTCGACGGTTTCAAAGGAGTTCAACGAGTATCTCTACGGAGGTCGAAAGAATGCAACGAGAAAAACGTTCACCGTTTTTCGCGAATCAAATTTAGCGAGAGAGAATGAGTTCGAAATCGTTTCGTGGCAAAGCGTTGGCAACAACAACAATACGAGCAGCGCTTCTTCCACGATAGGAGGAGAAGACGCGCATCCACCGGTGAATACCAACGATGTCTTTATGCTCAAGCATTGTGGTCGTGGCGGCTATTTGCGGTGTCGCGATCACGAAAACTGGTCGACGCCGGATTTTGGGGTCGTAAAACCAGTCGTCAGCGATGAAAACGACGCGTTGTTGAGTAAGCGACGCTTTGACGCTTCGTATTTGTGGAGATTCCGAGCGATTTTTTCATAAATGCATATAGGAGTAGAATTATTATCTATATAAATATTTGCGCGCTTTAGTATAGAATTGCGTTTACATTATGCTACAACAAGAGGGATTACGGTCAGCGTCCCGAGCGGCTTTCGCTGCGGCGATGGACCGCGTTCGACCGGTGAAATAATCGTCTCGCATGGGTAAAGACGTTCGCTCGCCGTCCTCGCTCACAAACATCATATCGCCCGTCTGTCTGTCGTATAGACAATAGGTTTCTAAGGTATCCGTATCGCTCCATGTTATTGATTTCTTCATCGTCACTTCTCCTTTCTTCACGGAAATATCCCGATCCTTTCGAGAGCTTGGAAAATTCTTCAAGACGCCAAAGGATGGTACTCGTAGCATCTCTCGTTTTGCCGCCAAGACGGAACCGTGTCGTTCTACTTTATATTCTTCAATGCTTAATTCATACGTCTCTTCAGCTAGCGCGCCCGTTTCTGCGCTTTGCTGGTCTTTGCTATCTTCGCTGTTGTTCTTATTATTTTTACCACCTCCTTTCTTTCCTCTTTGCATGAGCTTATCCTGCGCATCTTTCTGCATTTTTAAAGCGCTCTTCAGCAAAACTTTCTCGGCGAGTTCAATCGTATCCGAGGAGGATAAATTTGAATGCACCGATCCGTCCTCAAAGTCATCCATCTCACCAACAACGCCATCAGAACCCAATTCAAAAGTCGACATATCTTTTGTTTGCTGCTCCCGTAACACTTTCAACTCAGTCGCTAACAATCGAGTAAACTCTTTCGTTTTCACTTGCCCGTTGCCGCTGGTATCGGCTTGCGCCATCATGGCGACGATGTCCGCCTCAGAACTCTTAACGCCCAACCGTTTCATCACCGTCTTCACGCTATCTACGGTGACGTATCCGGTATCCATCTCGTCCAAAATATGTGTCGCGTGTAAAACAGCGTGTTGATCAAAGTGTGCAAAGACCGTCATCGCTTGCGCCACGTTCGCGTGCGCGTTGTGCAACACTTTCGAGAGCGTCCCGACAGACACGTCTGCGTTTTCTTGCCTCGCTTTATCGAGCAAAGCTTCAATAGCCATCGTATCCACACCAACCGACCGTAACCTTCCCACGTTGAACCTCACCTCTCTCTCCGTGATTCTCCCGTCCGCGTTTTCGTCCCAAAACGCCACGTTCAGCAACACCGCGAATTCCGACAACGAGCACGTCTCTTCCGCCCGGTCGTCCACGCTCGACTCGTCGTCCGACGGCACGCGGTAACTAAAATTCGCCACCGAATCGTGTCTTTGCAGCGTCGATTTCATTTGCGGTTGCGCACTCGTCGGTGAGTCTGCGAACAACGACGACGCCACCGCCGACGAAGTTGTTCGTAACCGCAAGGGCGACGTCGCGTTTTCCGGTGGCGTTTCCACTAAAGGCCTCTCGATTTTTGGCGAATCTTCATCCGTCTTCTCTCCGTCGTCGTCGTCGTCGTTACCATCGTCTTTGTTTTCTTCTCTTGCTTCTTCTCCTTCGTCGTCGTCTTCGTCTTCCGGCTCTTCTTTCCTCGACCCTTTCTTCTTCTTCTTTTTCTTCGTTCGAGCGACGAGATACCCGCCGGCGATTTCCCCGTTTTCATTCTCCTCGTCCGAATCCGGAAAGTAGTTCATCTGGGTGAGCAAGTGCATCGCTCGCGCCATGATACGATGATGCTCTGTGTGTGTGTGTGTGTGTGTATGTAACTGTGCGCGTGTGTGTTTTCCGACCGATCGACTCGCGCTTCCGAGAGCAAGCGAGCAAGCGACGGAGAAGAAAAAGTGTGACTCTCGATGAGATATATAAAAACCTCTCCTCGTTAAAGCGATTTGGATAGATGATAGACCAAAAAGCGTTCGGCTTTTTTTTTTCATACTTTTTGTGTGAAAAGTGAAAAAATGAAAAAGAACAGACGGGAGGGAAACAACTCTGCTCTTTCTGCGAAAAGAAGGAGAGTTTTTTTTTAAACGCGAGAGAATTTTCGTACACTTTTAAGCGCGCTTTTGTTTGCTCTTCAGAGAGAGAGAGAGAGAGAAAAAGAAAAACGAAGAAGACGCGCTTCACCCCAGCGAAAAGCGTTCTTGTTTCGTCGTTCTCCCTCGTTTTCTTCCTCTTGACTTCTTCGAGTATTTATTTTTAAAGAGAGAAGAAGAAGAACAGAGTTTGGGAGAAGAGAGAAATTCATCGACATGATCGAAGAAGCGCGAAAAGAACAACAAGAGGAAGAGGAGAAGAAGAATGCGACTGACAGTGCTGAGGACCAAGACCCCGCGACGACGAAGACTTTGAGCAAAGAAGAAGATGAAGATGAAGAAGACTACTCGACGTTAGAGGAAGTCACCAAAGAACTGTCCGACTTAAACAGTCGACCGGCGTGGTTCGACCCGCACGTTTTCGAGAAGGATGATTTCAACCCAGACGTCTACATCGACGAGATGTCTCCGTTTGTGACTCCGGAAGATTTAGCCGTGGAAGTGGAGAAATACGCGGACGACTTGCAGAACAAGTTAGTGGAAATGGTCAATCGAGATTATAAAGATTTTGTGGCGCTGACGACGGATTTAGTGGACGTGGACGCGTACGTGAAGGACATAAAAGAACCTTTGGAAGTTTTAAAAGGAGAAGTGGAAGAAGCGCGGGACGTGGTGAAGAAAGAGTTGGAGAAGTTGCAAAACGCGTTAGATAGGAGAGACGAGTTGGCGAGAGAGAGGGAATCGCTGGAGTTGATCATGGAAGCGACGACGGTGTGTAGTAAAGTGGAACGATTGTTGGAGGAGTTTGGGACGTCCGGGGACGGAGACGACGGAAAGAGAAAGAAGAGTAGTAATTTAAATAATAGTAAGGCGGAGTTTGTAGGAGGAGATGGAGGAGGAGGAGGAGGAAGAGAAGAAGGATTCGAGGACGACGGGGACGAGATCGTTCTCGTGGCAACCAACGTGGACATCGATATGGACGTGGATGGGGAAGGATTAGAATTCTTGCGCCCTTCGAAGACGTTTTTAGCCTCGGCTGAGAGAGCAGAAAGAAACGCGTCTTCCTCGGATAATAATACTTTGGCGGACGAAAATAGCGCGTTATCACCGAGAAAAGGTGGTTCATCTTCGGATGCGACGACGAGTAGTAGTAATAATGATAGAAGTGACGGACATAATTCTGCGGAAGAGAGGGCGCGAATTTTGTCGCGCGTCGCCGGCGAAGTGAACAGATTGAAGTTCTTCCTTTCTCAAGGTAAAGATTCGCAACAAATCAGAGCACTCAGCGACCGCGTGAAAAGTTGCGACGAGACGCTGCTGAAAGAACTCAACGGCGCATTCGCGGCTGCGTTGTTAGGCGCGAGCGAAGAGAGCAAAAAAGGTGGCATTCCCGGGACGAAACTAAAATCGGCTGCGTCTGTGAAGTTTCTATTGGAAGCGTACCAAGCCGTCGGACGCGCGAGCGATGCAGAGAAAACAGTCAGGAATGCTTTGGTAAAACCACTTGTATCAGAAGTCACCGACAGCGCTCCAGCACCGGCTGGTATCGGTGCTCGCGAGGACGTTTCGGAAATCTTGAAGAATTGCTCGGGAAAAGCGGTCGACGCGGTGTCTTTTCTTCTCGATATCGCCAAGGATGTTTCGTCGTCGGAATCGTCGTGCGATTTCTTAGGCGGCTCTGTTTTAGCTGAAATTGACGCGCAACTGCATGAAAAGCGACCGAGCTCTTTCTCTCCGGGCGTACCCGAAGCGTTCATCTCGAACTACGCCGCTTCGATGGCATTTATCGATGCTTTGCAGGCGAAAGCGAAGACGATATCGCAAGTTGCCGCGGATAAGTTCTTCGATTCAGATGCTTTGCGTACGTTTCATAAGCGATGGAATTTGAGCGTGTACTTTACGCTGCGCTTTCAAGAGATTGCCGGTGACGTAGACGCGACACTCACAAGACCGGGACTGGAAAGAGTGGGAAAAGGAGATGCGACGACGCCAACGGCAAAGTCACCGAAGAAAGACGGACCCCCGCAGTCCCCGAAATCGCCCAAAAAGCAACAAGAAATTAACGACGTACCTGGAGTATTCTCTCTTGCCGCTTCTGACGCGGCGTTCCGAAATGCCATGCGGTGCTTTGCCGACGACGTGTACGTACCGGCGCAGGCGGACAAGTTTGTTCGTCTGGCAGCGCAAATCGTGTCGCGCTATCGCGCGTGGGTTTCGGTTGGAACTGAATACCTGGAAGAAACTGCGCTTATTAACGCTGCCGCGGAGAAGAGTGAGAATACTTCGGATGATGCGGGTGGTTCCTCCTCAGCAGCAACGGCGGCGAGACGGACGACGAGCTCGAACACGTGGGGCGCCACGGCTGGTTGCGAAGAACTCGCCACGGTTCGTTCGGAGGTTGAATTGTTCTCTAAAAAAGTAAAGGAAGATCTCGTTAAAGTTGCGGCAAAGAAAGTTGGTGGTGGTATTAAGGACCCTGAAGATCGCAATGCGGCTACAAACGCAACGAGCCAGTGCCTAGAACTTGGCGCGGTCACGCTCGATGAATTCCTGCCCAAAATTACGTCCGCCATTGCTCTCATCGTGACCGAAAGATGCACCGAAGCGTTGAAGCAACTGAAAGGCATCACGGCCACGTTTCGAATGACAAACAAACCAACCCCGAGCAAGCATTCGCACTTTGTGCCAATGTTGCTCCAGCCTCTTTCAAAATTCTGTGAAGAATCGCAACGAACGAGACGTCTGTCTCCCATAGCCGCGAAGGAGTTGACGAGAGAAGTCTGTGAAGGCGTGACGAAGAAATATGCGGAAATGGCGAGCGATTTAGTCGCTACTGTCCTGAAAACCGAAGCGAGTTTGAATCGCTTAAAAGACAGACAAGGCAAAGGTACGGCTGCTTCGGCTGATGCGACAAAGACGGGTGGTAAATTGAGCGACACGGATAAAATCTTAAAGCAGTTGCATCTCGATGTTGCTGAGTATGCGTCGCGATTAATTTCTGTGAACGTGCAACCGAGCTCGCTGGAGGCGTTTCCAGCGCTTTGGAAAGCGTTGGCTCCCGAGGACGAACCGTTGCCGGCATGATGCACCAAAGCAACTGCAACTATGTACGTTTATTAGAACTATTGCAATCTATAAGTTATTTCTATACAATCTATTATTGAAGACTATTTAGGACATACCAATCAAATCGCTCGGCTTTTCTTCGCGTACGTTCGACTCATAACTTCGATTGGGTATCTCCACTCGACTTTATCACTACCGACGTTAAACTCAAATCGAAGCACCCAAGCCAACTCCATTTTCGTCGTTCGAAACGATCCTGGAGCTTCTAACGGGACTGACGCCGAAAAGAACGTTCGACGAATGCGTTCTATGCACCGTTCAGAGCCTTCCGCCCATATCTTCCGCAAGACTGGCAACTTCGAAGAATCAGCACCTCCATTACTATTGCTACTGCTATTACTGCTACCACCACCTTCAATACTACTCAACGCAATCTCCTCCGTTTCCAAAGTCCAAGAATACGATTGAACTGGCATCGCTTCCATACTTTCTGGCTTTGTGTTTTCAAAATCAAATACGCACGAGACCAACTCCCCGCAGGCAACCACCGGTAATGGGTTCGCTGGCGTTATCTTACAAATAAACTTATTCCCTGTTGTAATCGCGTACGTTCTCTGTTGCGATTTCTGCATTTTTGACATCTCTAGAATTTCCCTCAAGCTTTCGTCTGCGTCGCCGCCTTGCAACGTCGCCTGGCGCAACTCTACGTCGTCGCCCCAAGTATCGGATGACCTGTCCGACCAAGACGGCAAAACACCTCTAGGCGTCACCGGTCCACTCCTGGCAGCTGGATTACTACTGCTATTATTATTATTATTGTTATTGTTATTATTATTAGATCCACTAACACTGTGATTGCCGCTGCTATTAAAACTCTCGCTTATTCTCAAATCCTCGAATCGAGGCGTCCCGCTCAAGCTTTTCGGCGGCTTTGGCCCGGCGTGCACTTTCAAAGGCATTTCAATCACAACCGGTTCCATCTCTCCTCTTAACTTGCACGAAAAGATCACGCAATAATAGTACCGACAAATCTGACCTCTGTACGTCGGCGGTAACCCAGGCGGTATTTGAATCGTAAACTTTAAAACGTGTCGTTCGTTCGGCCTCAAGAGCACGTTCTCTAAAACGCTCCCAGGTGGCGAACGCGCGATGAACCGTTCGCCCGATTTCAACGAGTTATGCATCGCGTTACTACTGGTACTGGTACCACGCGGTGGTTGCACCCAAACCGGGTTCAGGCGTTCAATCCCTCGCCATTCGACCTCGATGGTTTCCACGAACGGGAGGAAGGAAACGTCGTCGTTGGTCTCGTTCGTTCTTTGAGTAGGTGATTGATGATGCGGCCCCCCGGAACGACTTTGCGCACCAGCAGTGGCGCCGTCGCCGCGGTGGTGAGTAGCATCGTACCCGTCCCCGAGAGAGACGACCAACTTCACGACGGATTCTTTTCCCGGAGTCACTCGCGCGCGATCGCCGAGGTCTGCGAACAGTTTTACTTTCGACGAAGAGGGGAACATTTTGAGGAGGATGTTCTGCAGTTTTTAGACGATGTTTTTTCTTCTTTACGACTAAAAACAATCTATTACTAACTGTATAAGCTATTATTATTACCCGCTTTACACCAGATCCGCCCACCCGTTAGACGGAACGTCGCTCTCTTCTTCTTGTCCCACTTCTTGTTCTTCGTGGTCTTCTTGTTCATCTACTTCTTCTTTACTGTCTTCGGTCGCGGCGTCCCCCTCTTCTTCCGCGTCGGCGTCTTTGTCGTTGTTGTCTTCTTCTCCTCCTTCTCCTCTTTCAGACGAAGCAGACGATGTCGATTTCGGAAAAGCGTCGTTACGAAAGTGCAAGTTACCACAGTTCATGGTCGTTTCCTCTCCGTCGTCGCAGTAGACCACTTTTTTTTCTCTGGCTAACGCTCGGAAAATAGCCACTTCTACGTCCATGCCGGTACTCACGATTTCCCTCGTCGGCGGGTACCGACCTTTCCCAGAATCAAAGTATCTGTACTTTTCCAGCTTTGAACCATCGGAGTGCGTTCGACCGAATCCATACAACGATACTCGATCGCACACTTGCATTAACGCGAACGCGGCGACAAATCCAACCGACGGCTGCGTGCCTTTCGTTTTCAAAGTAAAACCCATCTTCTCGAGCTTCCATCTGTACAATTGGAAAAAATCTCTCGCCGCCGCTTCCATTCTCGGCGTGACCACGATTAATTGCACGTCCGTTCGCCGCCATTTCTCCCTCAACGCTTGCGCCAGTCCGACTGATTGTAACGTGATACCTTTTGTCGCGCCGGTTAAAATTAAATTCGCCCCCCACTCCAACGGCAAATCCGCCGGCGATAACCCGCCTTTTTCTGGAAGCGAATACTTGTGGATCCACGGCTTCGATAAGGCTCTGAAATTAGACCGCTCTCCGACATCCTTCGTCTGAGTATGTTTATCCCCATTACCTTTCAACGGTGAATCCGCCCGCGCTTGGTTCAATCGCACGACCGAATCGTGCGACTCAATCGCGCTCGCAAAATTTCTCCCCACCACGTTTCCGCTCGACCCGACTAAAGCACAACTCGAATCCGATAACTTTGAATCCACATCTTTAAACCTTAACTTAATCGCATCAAAATCAATCGCTAAATACCTCTTTGGCAACGTTTCGAACCGAAATTTCTTCGCGTTCGATTGCGTGATAAACGCGTCGCGTTTGTGTAATCCAGTAGGTAAAATTTTCGGATCGATATCTATTCGCGGGAGCGCGTCCAAGGTAACTTTCACGTCGAGAATAGTACCTTTGATGGTTTCGTCTACATCTGGTTCGGTGAGGTTATACATTCGTCTGTATATCCCTCCATCCGAGGCTCTTTGCTCGCTATTGTTCGAACTACTACTACTGCTGCCACTGCTTCCACTGCTACTACTACTAGATTTTTTACCGCTGCCGCTCGAAGAAGACGCTCGTCGAGGGGTCGTCGTCGTCGTAGGCCTCGTCCTCCCTTCGCTATCTCTTTCGTGCTGCGGCGCCAAACTCTTTTGTTGCTTCTGCTGCTCTGATAATACGTTCTCGTTCTCGTTCCTACTCCTAAAAGAGAGGTCGTCCTCGGTTGTTCTCAACAAGACGTTCGGCAACGCGAACAGGATGAGACTGAACAAGAACAAACCGAGCGTGATTAAAGTGTCCCTCGATAGTCCTCCAAGTAATGCAGCTTTTCGTCGTCCACGCGGTTGGTGTTGGTGTTGTTTCGGGGAGAAGAGTCTGCCTCTCATCGTCGTCATCTCTTTCTTCTCTTTGCGCAGAAGAGTGTCGATGCTTGTTGTGTGTGTGTGTGTTCTGATACTCTATGAAGCCGTTTTGAAATAAGAATGCGATGAACTCACATCCCCTAAAGCTAATAACAAGAATAGACTTCAGACTTCACACAGACAAAATGATTACGCGCGCTGCTTTTAATGTGGGCATTATTCCCACCGATACTAAAACGTCTTCCTCTTCTTCGAGCTTCGCTCGTGGTGGTGCTGCTGCTGCTTCTCTCGCGAGACACAAAGAACAACACCATCCCATCACCGTCGTCAAACATCACCGTCGTCATCATCATCATCTTCTTCGCGCGACGAAGAAGGGGGGCCCACAGAAGACAGAAGACACCAACAAAAGTAGCAGCAAAAGTACTAATTTCATCAAATACCAATCGAAACCGTACACGGATAAAGACGGCGACAATCCTCGTCCGTGGTACATCGACGAAGCTTCGGGCAAAGCGAACGGAATCGTCGTTATCGTCGTCTTTTTAGCCTCGCAAGTGTTCATAGGAACGGTGTTGCAACCGTTGGCGGTGTTTATCAATCAGCTGTGGGAACCCATCGTCGGTGGGAATTTGTATTTAGACAACATATATTGATATATAAGTCCGATGTCCCTCCATATCGCGCGCTGATGCGTTGATGAAACACATGAGTATTCCCCAGAACACATCCTCACAAATAACAAACACCTACAGACTCTCTCTTCCGCTTGCTTTATATGTTCTGAAAAGAGTGAATGACCACCACCAAAACCAAAAGATACGTTCGCGAAGACGGTCGCTTACTCGACACGCTCCGCGAACAAACGTCGGTGTTAAACACCATCACTCGATCGACGTCTTCGTGCGAGTGGCACTCCGACGAGACGAAAGTTGTCTGCTCGATTCAAGGCCCGAGAGAACTCCAATTCTCCTCGCTCTCTCAGAGCAAAGAAGACGGAGAACGGCTGGTCGTGGAAAGTTACTGCAAGTTACTTCCTTCGAAAAATGACGACGAGGACGACGGGTCGTCCTTCGACGACCCTTTGAAGGAGGAAAAAGAGAAGGAAAGAACGACGGAACAGTTTGTGAAATCCTGCGCAAAGGCGGCGATTGAGTTGGAGAAAAACGCCTCGTTTGGTCTCATTGTGAGCGTGCAAGAGCTGAAAAACGACGGGAGTTTTCTCTCCTGCGCGTTAAATGCGGTCGGGTTAGCGTTGATTTTATCTGGAGTCGAAACGAAAGGATGGATGTGCAGCTCGACCGCGTGTTTGATGGAAATGAGCAGTGGGAAAGGGGAGGGGGAGACACCCACATTCGCGCTCGCGCTCGACCCGACGAGAGAGGAAGAGATGAAAGCGAAAGCGACGATGACGTGCGCGTTTTTAATCAACGAAGAGACAGAGGATAAAACGATACTGCTAGGCACGAAGATGCGTGGAAAAATGACCGAGACGGAAGTGTTTGAATGCGTGGCGTTGTGTAGAGATGCGGCGACGAGCGTGTGTACGTATTTCGATCGAGTGTTGACGCTTCGCGAGAGAGAGTTCGAAGAGAGATATCGAATCACCGACGAGAAGGTGGAAAAGTGGAAGAAGATGATGGAGAGCATCGCGGAGGAGACAAAAACCAAGGCGGTATGATAGAGATATTTAGGTAGATGATAGATTTAGTGATAGTTTCAGGATATTTAGTTAATAGTATGGTATGACACAATATGAATGAATTTTGTTTGTAATGTTCCATGAATGAAATCGTCTCTTCCTCTCTCTCTCTCTTTCTCTCTCTCTTTTATATTGTAATTAAAGCGTTCCTTCTTTACGCGTGGTAGCCCAAATCGCCGTGCGCTTGTATATTTTGCGCCGCCTCGGCTTGCGCCTTCGCAATATCGTCTTGCCGCGATCGCCCACTTTTCTGGTCTCTGAACGCCGCTGCTTTTTTCTTCTTCTCTTCCACTTGAGCTTTTACTTCTCGCACGCGTTGTAACAACTCTGCGTTCATGTAACTCACTCGAAATGTGAACCCAGGAGGTCGGCTCGCGGCCAACGTCAAGTTACGCCACTTATCCTTCAAATCTACTCCTGTTCTTTCCGATTGCCCGAACGATTGCGTTAAAATTTCCGACCACTTTCCTAAGCCGTACGCGGCGACGCCATCGATCAACGCTTTCACCTCTTCTTCGGTAAATCTTTCGCGATCTTTCGCTTTACCGTCGGCGTTGCGGTACGGTTTCTTTTGTTGCGATTTCACTTTATCCTCTGGGTCGATGTCGTCTACGACGTCGACTGCAACGCCTACCATTTGTAAGGCAGCGCGGACCTCCTCTTGCGTCATGTCTCGCTCGTCTGAAAGAGACACCTTAAATTTAGCTAAATCCTCTTTCAACGTCAATATGATTTGAACGTTGTTTTTAATTCCGGCTTGCCTTACGGTCATGGATCTCTTACACACGTTTGCACCCAGGGTTAAAATCATATCGTTCAAAGCCAACTTCCCGCCTGTCCTATCCGATATCTTCTTCTTCAACGCGGTTATCGCCGCATCCTTCTCAATATCTAATTGCAACGGAATGTTAATATCTTTACCCATCATACACATAACGGAGAATTGGTACTTTTTGTTCGCGTCTGCCTCATCGTCCGGCGAGAACGCGTACGGGTCCAACGGTATGTTGTTGCGAGCAGCGATGGGTTGTTGCGGGCGAGGGACGAGTTGTTGTTGCTGTTGGTGGATTTGGATGTGCGGCTTTTTCTCTTCTTCGTTGGCATCGTCGTCGGAGGAATCCGCCTGGGGTCGTTGTTTCTTCACCGGCGCTTTCTTTGCCGGCGCTTTCTTTGCCACGGCAGCCTGTTTTGTCGTATTTTTTATTGTTCGAACGAGAATAACACATTGTTGTCAGTTTTCTCTCACTTGTCTCTTGAATATCTCGTCGAATTGGGAACGAAAGTGCCAATTCAAAAAAATTGCCTCGAAACACATTAGAGGAGTACTCTTCTTACCTTTTTCTTCGCCGGTACGGCCTTTAAAGTACCTTTACTGACGACACCTGATTTCGAGGAAAGAGAGAGAGTAATATTTTGTCAGTCTTTGTTCAAACGTATTCTTGTTGTTCGACGAGAGAGAGAAATGGAAATATCCGACACGACGAAAGAGAATTCAAATTGGGAGAGACCGCCGGGAGGGGAAGCAGAGCGCTTCGTGTGTGTGTCGAGTGCGCAGAGCGTCACTGCCCCGCTTTAAGATTCTCTCTCTCTTTCTCTTTTCACATCCTCACCTTTTTTCTTCTTCGGCGCAGCCATCTCTCTTGTATCGTAACCGAGGGGGGGGGGAGTTCGTTAGTATATAATAAACTTTGCGTGAGAGTGATGAATGCAATGGGGTTTAGCGCTAAACCCCAATCAAAAGCGGATCAAAATTCTCCTTTTTTTTTTGTTTTTTTTGTTTTTTTCCTTTCTTGAATGAAAAGTTCCTTTTTTTTGGTCCTCCGCAAAAAAAAAGAGGCCACACAAAGTCGTCAATAACAACCTCTTCTTCTTCGTATACGCGAACAGAATATTATACATATATAATCTTTATTAAAGCAGATATACTACTTTCCATTTCATTTCCGGCGAGTGCTACTACGACGACTACGACGACTACTTGTGGTGGTGTCACGAAACGTAAGAGCAACAACACGCGAGGAGAAGAGAGAGACAAAAAAGCGTTCGATCATCAGTCTGAGTCTGAGAAGAAACAATCAAATCTCAAATAAGAGCGAAGACTTTTGCACGCGCATAGTTTTATTTTGTGGAGAAAGAAAGAAGAAAGATGAACATTCAAATCGAGGATATTCTCGGGCAAACCTCGAACGCGTCTTCCATCCACCCGGCCTCGAGTTCCAACAACAACAACGATAACTTGTTGAGATGTAAAACCAAAATTGTTTGCACGTTAGGACCAAAATCGAGAGAGTTGCACGTGTTGGAGGAACTTTTGCGAAGCGGCATGTCTGTCGCGCGATTTAATTTTTCGCACGGGTCGCACGAGTACCATCAAGAGACGTTGGACGTTTTGAGACAGGCGTGCGCGAACACTCGGTTAATGTGTGCGGTTTTATTAGACACGAAAGGACCGGAAATTAGAACTGGGATGTTGGAAGACTCGAAGCCGGTGTTGTTAACCGCCGGGAGACAAGTGACGTTGACGACGGATTATAGCGCGTTCGGGAACGAAAATATGATCGCGTTGTCGTATAAGAAATTAGCCGAAGACGTTGTTCCTGGGGCACAAATATTGATCGGCGACGGGTCGATTGTTTTGGAGGTGATTTCCTGCGACATCGCAAACGGGACGGTGCAAGCGATGTGCACAAACACGGCGACGCTCGGGGAGAGAAAGAATGTGAATTTACCCGGGGTGGTTGTCGATTTACCGACGATCACGGAGAAAGATCGCATAGATATCGTAGAGTGGGGGATGAAAAATAAAGTGGACTTTATTGCGGCAAGTTTTGTCAGGAAAGGCTCGGACGTGAGAAACATTCGAGAGGTGTTGGGCGAGGAAGGGAGAGAGATTCAAATCATCTCTAAAGTTGAAAACCAGGAAGGTTTAGTAAATTTTGACGATATTTTAGCCGCCTCAGACGCGATTATGGTCGCCAGAGGTGATTTAGGCATGGAGATTCCGACCGAGAAGATTTTCTTGGCGCAGAAATTGATGATTGAAAAGTGCAACGCAGCTGGGAAACCAGTCGTCACCGCGACACAAATGTTAGAATCGATGGTGCAAAACCCACGACCGACGAGAGCGGAAGCTACCGATGTCGCGAATGCGGTTTTAGACGGCACAGATTGCGTGATGTTGTCCGGTGAAACTGCCGCGGGGTCTTACCCAGTAGATGCGGTGAAAGTCATGTCGAAGATTTGTAACGAAGCGGAGGCGTCCATCGACCATTACATCTTGTTCAAAGCTATTTTAGCGCAAGTGGAGAAACCGATGATGCCGTTAGAATCTTTGGCTTCATCCGCGGTTCGCACAGCGCAGAAAGTTCGAGCGGCTTTGATTGTAGTCTTGACGCACGGAGGGAGCACGGCGAGGCTCGTGGCAAAGTACAGACCGAAAGTGCCGGTGTTGACGGTTTTTGTGCCAACGTTGACGACAGATTCTTTGACGTGGACGTGTTCCGGCGAGACGCCGGCAAAGCAAGCGCAGTTGACGAGGGGTTTGATTCCACTCTTGGCAGAAGGTTCCGCACGAGCGACGGATACTGACACGACGGATGAGATATTGTCTGCGGCGGTATCTTACGCGAAAATCGCTGGATACTGCGAAAAAGGAGACGCCATCGTCGCGTTGCATAGAATCGGGAACGCGTCTGTGATTAAAATCCTGAACGTTGGTGAATGAAAAAGAAGAAGAAGAAAAAGAAGAAACATATACAATTATACATGATACTCTCTTGTTGTAAAAAGAATATTTTCACTAATACACATATACATGATAACTTTTTACCATGGTACAATCGAAGAATCTATACACACAAACAAACTAATCTACTTTCTTTAAGGACGGGGTATTTAACAAACCGACGACATCTTTCATCGGAAACGCGAAATTTTCCAGCTCCACCCTCTCTCTCGAAATCGTCAACGGGTTCGCACACATCGATGAGTCTCTCATGTTCAGCGTCTCCCTCAGTAACTTTCCAAATCTTCGTCTTTTCTTCCCCCGAACCCTGGCGCTGTTACTCGCGTGATCGTCGTCCTCTTTCACCAACTCAGAAAACTGCTTCGCGAACACTCTCGTCGTGACGAGAAACCACATCGAACCAAACATCAACCCAATCGCGGCACCCGCGACGACTTGCTCGATCGTGTGGTACCCTAACTCGACTCTAGAATACCCCACGATTACTGCTATTGGAACAGTCATCAACGAAAGCACAGAAGATGACACATCCACTCCCGCTTTTTCTCCCTCTCCTCGATATTTCTTCGCGTGTTTCCACCTCCTCAACAACACCAAAACCGACATCGCGCTGTTAAAAAACGCCAACTGCGCGTGCGAACTCGGCATCCCGTGCGTGTCGCAAAAATCCAATCTCTGACACGATTTCGGTCTCTCCTGTTGCAAGTAGTGTTTTAACAGCTGCGCTAAGCATTCGTTTAAGAATATTCCAACCACTAAGGTGAAATCGAACAGTTCTCGTTGGGAACAGAAACAGGCGATGGTGTGCGCGACCGTGAAGATTGGAGATAAAGAAGCGATGGCTAAGAATTTGCCTTTGAAATAATAGGAGTCGTCAATTATTGGGTATCTCACGTACGTCAATGAGAACGGTTTCGTCGTCGTTTTCATCGTCAAGTCAAGTCTCTCGCAGACTAAACTTGAGAGAAGTAATTTTGGGGAAGAAAAGCGAAGCGTCGTCGTTACTTTTTTTGTTCGTTAAAACAGAACAAATAACAACAACGATCGACTCTCACGCGCCGGCTTCGAATACGGGGCGGCCGCCACGCGCCGACAAAGAGAAGGAGGAGGAGAAAAGAGTTTTTGAGAGGAACGTGTCGTCTTCCTCGCTTTCCTCTCTGACGAAACGAACGAGACGCGCGAATTCGTCTTTCGTATCTTTAGAGATTTTGAGCGGAGAAGAGGAAAGCGTCGAAAGCGTTTTCCCCCCGCAGCAAACTTCTCCTCGACGACGACAAAAAAGCCGGAAAAATAACGATAGGATGCGGAATACTAATTTTAACGCGTTGACTGTAATGAACGAGCGGTATCGAGTCGCGTTTGACATCGCGCTTCTTTTGATTTTATTATCCATCGGCTTCTCTTTAGAGTTTGCCGAGCCTTACGAAAAATTTCTCAACGAGAATTTGATTTATCGACTGCGATATCCGATGAAGAAAAATTCTGTTCCAACGGCCGTTCTGCCATTTATCAGCATCGTGTTTCCTTTACTGTGCATATTTCTGTGCTCGAAAATGGATACATCGGGGAGAAGAGCGAGAAGCACGGCGGCGAGTTTGGGTTTACTGTTATCCGTCGCGATATCGTTTGTGTTCGTGAACAGCGTGAAACAGGCATGCGGAAACTATAGACCGGATTTTGCGGCGAGATGTTGGGGTAGCGCTACAGCTGACCCGGTATGGAAAGAGTACGGTAAACCAGATTGTGGAAATTTGGAGAATGAGAGCTTATTGAACGACGTGAGGCAAGGAAGAAGATCGTTTCCGAGCGGGCACACGAGCATGTCTTTTTCAGGATTGTTTTACTTGAGCTTGTATTTAATGTATTATTTGAAATGTTTTGGCGGTTCTAGAACCAACACCGAGCGAACAGAAGCGTTCGTTTGGAAAGTTTTGATTAGCTTAGCGCCGCTTTCTGTGGCAGTCGGAGTTGCCATCACGCGAATTCGCGATATGTGGCATCATCCGGAGGATGTGATTGTAGGTTCTTTACTTGGCGCCGGGACGTCAGCGTTTGCTTTCTCGCTGCAAGGATTTAGCGTTTCAGACACGAACACTTCTTCGAATCTCTCCAAGTATCAAAGGTTGAACGCCGAGGGAGTCAACGACGCCTCTCTCGAGGACGATAACGAGGAAGACGAACGGACAAATATGGCGGTTCGTCCAAGTTCGATGTTAAATTTGAACGAAATGTGAATAAAATGATGATGCTTTCATTAGCGAGCGTGCTACTACTACTGTAAAATGGCTACATCTACTGTAAAGGCTATAATTCGATTGGTCGCACGCTAACTTTCTTTCCTGCCTCGTTTGGATCTTCAAAACTCACATTCTTCTCCCCGAAATTCATAGCAAGCGAAAATCGCTCTCGGTGCGAAGCTACCACTCCGTGCAATAACTTGGGCTCGAACAAGACGAGTTTTCCTCGTTGAGGACGAATGATTACGTACTCGCACCACTCTCCCATATTCTCATTCTTCCGCATTGCGGCCGAAGCCGTCCTCAAGAGCAGATCACCAGGCTTTGGTTCCTGCGCCGCTGCGGAGTCAACATCGGCTTCGTAGTCGTCGAAATAAAACACTCCGCTAAGCTTAGCGCTCGCGTGGTTATGCAAGCCGTTGCTGTTATTTGTACCGAGCCTGTTTATCCAAGACGTGGTCATTGGAGGACGAGTGCGTTTCAACGACGGGAACGATTCGAGTTGCATACTCACAAAACGCAGGAACTGAGGGAGAAATTTCGACGACATCTCACCCTTCTTCGCTTCTTCCTCATCATCATCTGCTACTGTCAGTCTCTGTAGAAAATCTGGCGTGGAGTGGTAACCACCGTCTTCGTTCGATACGCGAATGCCTTTTCGTGTCGTGACTTCTTCTTTCGAGCGAGTGCACAGAGCCTCTCTTATTTCCTCATCAAACTCTTCCAGCATAACTGTTTTCACAGCCCATTCGTGTCCGAATTCGTTGGCTGATATGTCATCGACTGGAAACGTCCTCAGTTGATTGAATTCATCAATCTTCGTCTCACCTCCTTCTTTTGGTCGCGCTTGTCTGTACTCTTTGAATGGGCCGAGAATCTGTCTCAGAAGAACATCATGAGACATTATTTTTGTACAATTGTAGAAAAATTCAGGAAATAAAACTAAGTATTTGTCGATTGTCGAGACGATAGATACATACTATTGCGCCACTGATACTCGCTCTCATTATTAATTTTATGTTGTACTTAGATATATTATTATGATACCCGATTATTGTTCTTACTTGTTGTTAGCCTATGATGACATGTTTTATCGATATAGTGTTAGAAAGTTTATGCTTATTTAGCTGCGGCGGGAGGTGGTGTCTCCGCGCCGCGTTTCCTTTGATACTTCTCCAATTCCGCCGCCGCTTTCGCTGCTCTCTCCTCATCTTTACTGCGATACTCTTTGACTTGTTCTTTGAGCGTTTCCGACGCAGATTCTAACGTTTGCTTTCTCTCGACTAAATCGAAGCACTCGATGATGTCGCCTTCCTTGAAATCGGGCCATTCTGGATCGCCGCCGATGCCGCACTCTTCGCCAGAGTCGACTTTTTTCACCGCATCTTTAAATCTACGCAAAGAACCAACTTTACCATTGTACATTTCTTTTCTGTTCGGTCCTCGAACAACGCGCATGAACGTTCCTTTTTTAATGCTACCTTCGAGAACTAACGAACCTGCAACTTTAGAGGAACCGCCGCCAAAGACCGCTTTCACTTCCGCCTTGCCAACCGGAACTTCATCCTTTACTTCGGACAGTTTACCTTCCATGGCGTCTCGGATTTCGTCAATCAATCCATAAATAACATCGTACGATCTTATTTCGACTCCCGCGCGTTTAGCAACGTCCTCAACGCGATCAGAGGCTGGCGTGTTGAACGCCAGGATGATGCCACCAGACGCGGCTGCTAAATCAACGTCTGACTCGGACACTTCGCCCACAGAAGACAAAAGAAATCTCAATTGCACGCGATCTTGAGGTAATTGCATTAACGCAGCTTTAATAGCTTCGGTCGAACCGGAAACATCCGCTTTTAGAATCAAGTTAATCGTTTGCAGAGAATCCTCCACGACACCGGAAATATTCGTCAAACTCGCCACGTTACCGGCGACGGCTCCGAGACGAGAAGATCTCGCTTCTTCCGTAGCTTTTTCGGCTCTTTCTCTCGCATCTTGCTCGGACTCGCAGACTGCAAACTCGTCTCCGGCGACTGGAACACCATTCAAACCCAGAACACTGACTGGCATGGATGGTCCGGCGAATTCAATCTTCTCTCCTGTGGCGGACTCCATGGCGCGAATCTTGCCATGGACTTCTCCGACGGAAATCGGATCACCGACTTTCAAAGTACCAGCTTGGACTAACAAAGTTGCAATTGAACCTCTCTGTTTATCCAGTTGCGCTTCGATGACGGAACCTAACGCTAGTTTATTCGGATTGGCGGAGAGTTCGGAAATTTCAGATTGTAAGGCGATAGTTTCCAACAAATCATCAATGCCTTCTCCAGTCTTCGCGGAAATTGGAATCATGGCTGTTTCTCCACCCCATTCTTCACAGGTCAAACCAACTTTGGCCATTTCTCCGCGCACAAACTCAATATCCGCAGCCGGTTTATCGATTTTGTTGATGGCGACGATAATTGGCACTTCCGCCGCTTGCGCGTGCGCTACGGCTTCCTCTGTTTGCGGTCTCAACCCGTCGTCCGCAGCGACGATGATAATGGCAATATCCGTCACCCTCGCGCCTCGCGCACGCATAGCTGAGAACGCTTCGTGACCTGGAGTATCTAAAAATGTAATTGTCGTTTCTTCTTCGTCTTCTCCAACTGGAGTTGTGATTTGATAGGCGCCGATGCCTTGGGTTATTCCTCCGGCTTCTCCGGCGGCAACTTTCGACTTTCGAATGTAATCTAAAAGCGACGTCTTCCCGTGATCGACGTGACCCATGATTGTCACCACTGCCGGTCTAGGTTCTAAGAACTCTTCATCTTCTTCCGTGTTGAACTTTGTGGTTTTCCTCGCTTCGTGCGTGACGCCTTTTTCGTCTTCGTCGATCCACTCCACCGCCATATCCTCGGCAACGGCAACGACAGTATCTCTGTCTAGCATTTGACCCATTTGCACGGCAATACCCTTCATGAATAAAACTTTGATGATATTTGCCTGAGTAGTGGCCAATTCAGCCATGAGCTCTTCGATCATGAAACCATCTTTCGGCACAACTAACAGCTCCACGGCGACATCCTTCTCCTCCTCGGCTTGGATTCTTCTCATCTGCACTCTCTGCGCTTTACTTTTTCTGCCCTTCTTCAAACGGTCAGTCCCCCCGGCGCCGCCGAACGCGGCATTTTTCGGACGACCACCTCGGCCGGTACCATCTTGCACGCGTCGATCAAACTTATTTCCGGCGCCTCTACCCGCGCCTCTACCGGCGCCTCTACCCGCGCCTCTACCGGCGCCTCTACCGGCGGCAGACCCTCTTCCTCCTCTTCCGCCGCCTGGCCCCGAGGGTGCAAATCGGCCGCCACCACCACCCGGTCCAGCTCTCGGGCCGTCTCTGCTTTGAAATCCTCCTCCTCTTCCACCGCCTCGACCGCCTTCAAAGTCACCTCGACCTCTCCCTCGGCCGGCTCCCCGACCTCCTCCCCGGCCTCCTCTTCCACCGCCATCTCCAGGTCCTCGACCGCCCCCTCCATCACCCGGCGTCGTCGTCCCGTCGCGTCTGATCAACTTCCCATCCGGGCCTCTCACGAACCTAGATTTTCTCTTCGGTTCCTCCTCGTCGTCCGTGGAGGCCTGACTCGTGGCCGTCGCTTCCGTTCGAACGAGTAAACGCTGTTGTTTCTGTCGTTGTTTATCATCATCACAGTCGTCGTCGTCGTCACCCGAAAAAAGGCGCATCGCCCCGAACGCCGTCACCGGCGGCAGAGCGACAGAAGACGAAGTAGAACTCGGACGGCGCGCAATCGGTTGACTGTGCATCGCAGAAGAGTTGTTCCGCGTGGCAAATGATGATGGCGTCACCGCCTTTTGCAGCGAAGAAAACATGATGATGAGTGTTTATCTCTTGTTCTCAATTTTGCCGGCTGATGACACACAGTGTGATGGAAAATAATCCGTATATATCAGTCGTCCTCTCTCTCCCTCTCTCGTCGTTTTAATACTATCACGTGTTATCCAAACGCGCGTTTTCACGAAACAGAATTATTTATATCTGTGTAAACGTTTGTGTGTGTGCGTGTGTGTGTATCCTTCTTAGACGCGCGCACAACAACAAGGAAAAGATGAGGAGAAGAGGGCAAAAAATGAAAACCTCAAAAAGGAAGGGTCTTCTCCTCTTTTCCTCTTTTTTTGTCTCTCTCTCTCTCTCAAGAGTATTTTTTTCCTCCTAAAATTTTCCTTCTTCTTTCTGAGAAGTTTTTTTCAAGAAGAACCAACAAAAACACTTCAAAAAACGACACCACAAACAACGCTTTGTTTCGCTCGCGTTTACGTATTGTTTTATATATTGTAAACACAATCAGAAGACAAACGCAACAACACTTTTTCGAGCTCGCGAGAGAAAGATTATGCGGTATTTAACGATAAAGATACCAAAGACGCCGAAGGACTTTTTTTATTCTTCTTCTTCTTCTTCGATAGAGAAGAAGACGACGAAAACGACGAAAGAAGAAGAAGAAGAAGAAGACAAAGAAGAAGAGTTCGAGGAGATTCCTCCAGAGGAGCTAGAGAAGGCGCGAATTGGATTATACGTTCCGGAGAGGAAGAGAGAAACGATGGCGTTTTTGTCGAGAGCGGCGAAGGAGAAGCGCTCTGCGATAGAGAGGCAAGGCTTCGCGAAGGAGTTGGAAAAAGAAGAACAAAAAATAGACGAAAAGTCGATGCTCCTCGGGACGACAGAGTTGAGGATGAAGACGATCAATAATAAAGAGATGTTCCCTGGGGAAGATTTACCGGTAGAAAAGACGACGAGAGCGATGGAGAAGAAACGCGAAGAGGTCTTCAGAGACTTGGAACTGCCGTATCTTCCCGGGACGCAAACTGAAAACACGGTGCGAAACGTCCTCGAGACAGAAACCAGACGGTTTGAAAGAGATTTGAGAAGAGATGAGAACGGAGAGAACGAAGAGGACGACGACGATGACGATGAAGAACACGATGGGAAGAAAATTAGAAGACAGACGCACTTCTTTTCACGCGCGGAACGCGAACAGCTTTACGAGCTTCCGGCTGAGACGTTGGCTAAGCTGGACTGCGTCGAAAATTTGTTACGTACGATCCACGTGCATCCGCCAACGCAGAGAGAGTTTGACTGTTTCGCAGGCGGAGCGGGGATGCGAGAAAAAGGGACAAAGAGAGCATTTTTGGAGTTACCAATTCTCGTTGACGAACCAAAACGCACGTTTTTGGAACGCGTGTGGCCAGTAAGCGGTGAGGAGCGGAAAGCGATCAAAGTTTCCCAAGACGTTCCCGAGAAAAGTAAGTTTTCTTTGCTTAGCGAGGAAGAGACGACGCGCGTGCCGCTTTTCAAACCTTCTAAGATTAAAGATATCGATGCTTACGTTGAGACTCGAAAAATAGTCGCAAAGACGAGCACTTTACCTTCGTTCATGTTGCCCGTCGAGGAGAACTATCCGATACGATACAATACTACAACGGTCACCGGAGACGTTAACGGGAACTCTGCGCCTCTTTCGCATTCTCCAGAACGCCCGCTACTACCAGGCACAGCGACCGCTAATATTGGATATTTACACTCGCCTCCTCGCGCGGATCAGCAACAACAACAACAAAAGCAAATGATCTCTCCTAGATTTCTTGCCTTAAACTTTCCAGAAGGCGAAGAGATGGTACAAGATTCCGTCGATTTCCACAAATCGAAGAAAACGACGATGACGACGACGGCGACGGCGACGATAACCAAGGGATTTTCGCCAAATGGTAGCGGTGGTAAGAATGTTGGTAGTGCTTCACGCCCAAAAACTCCCGGTACTGGCATAAAGCAGCATCTTCAGACGAAGCTGAACTTTGCTTCTCCGCAAGCGGCAACGCAAAAGAGAGAGAACGAAAAGCAGCCAGAAATAGAATTTTTCTCCTTTCGTGTTCCGGAACAGCCGCATGGCTTTGCGATCGAAGAAATTGCACGTGAGTACAACACTATTCGCGAAAGAATACCAGTCCATTTCGGTAGTGCCATCCCGACGTTTGATGTGAGAATCGACTACGATTTATATGTATCGAGGATGGAAGAGGCTGAAGAACGCGAGCGTCAAGCAGGCCATATCGACACCGCTGCGAATTGGAGACGCTTGAAGGATTTACTGACCGTGGCATATTTGTTAGAGTCTTACGGCGTTACTGTTGCGAATTTGCAGCTGCGATACACGAACAACTACGCGCACACGTCTTCAGGTACGAATAATAACACCATCTTTGTCCGAACGAAATCCAAGGCTGAGGACGCTTTAGAAGCTGCCGTTTCCAGCGTTCAACGAGGTGAGTCGCTCGATAGCCCGAAACTTGGCGGTTTACGACCACTTGTTAAAGAATGTAGAACGGATGGTTCCGGTCGCACAAAGATGCTCATAATTGTTCCTGAACCTAAACCAATCGGACCAATTGTGAAATACGTCCATTTTGTTGGCGGTCGAGTCAATTGCCTCCCGTCTCAAAAGTATCTCCACGATGGACGATCAGAACAAGAAGAAAAGTTATTCGCAGAAGAGGTGCGTAAAATTGTATCCAAAAACAATCTTGATGCCTTGATTATCTTGGAGCAGCATTTTGAGCGAGCAAGTTTTCCCGTTTCGGATTTTGCCATCGTCGTATTTTACGCTCCAAGCCGAAACACTGAGAGTATCGTCCAGAGTGCGATAAATGCGAGACGCTTCCGCGGGATCGAGAGAAACGGTGCGATAAAAATCTTTACAACCGATCTGGTACCAGTTCCGCGTAGTAGTCAACGAGACCGAACCTTGCGCACAAACAACGAGCTCAAGCTGCCGCAGCCTGATTTTGATTGGGAAGAGGACGAAAAATACGTTGGAGAATACATGGATGACGATATCTTAGGATTCGACGATATCATCCCGATTGATAACCCTACCGCTGATGTTTCAGAACACGCGAAGTCGCATCATAGTGTGACCCAAACGAGACTTGTTGTCCTTCGAGACAAACAATCTTCGAGCATGATTGATCGAATTGAACGGAAAGTTCAACAATCAAGCCTCGCTCGCGTTATTCGTCGAAGACTTTTCGATCGTATCGTCGACCCGAACGTAAAAGAGATCTACGCCAAAGTAATCTCTTTAATCGCGTCGAACGATGGAGTGAAGGCTATTTGTTTGTTTCGAATGCGCGACACTCGCGAGATACAGAGCGGAGACTTACAAGAAGTTTTCTTCTTGGCGACTCGTTGCGCAAAAGTTCTTTCGAGATCCTTCTATTGGACGGAGTTTATTTTTGAAATAGATCCGGAATATTTAGAAGCGAGAGAAGCTGAGAGTTTTGTTTCGGAACTGCACCGTCAGGTGCAGGTATCAAAAAATGAAATAGATATCGACGTGACATTCTGTTCGGAACGTAATATTGTCGATACTGTCTTCAAGGCGATAACGTTTGAAGCTGCTACCACTGGTCCCGGTTACGAAGACAAGATCCAATCAAACGATGACTCTTTTCCGTACCTTGCGGAGAAAGACTTCGCGCTTTTACCTGGCGAATCTTCTAGCGTGTGGGAAATCGCTTTGAGTGACTTGTTTCCTTACGTCAATGCTATCACGATTTTAGTTTTGATTGAGCACGGTTTGGAGGTTGACAAAGTGGTCAAGGACAGAAAGCTTACGAGAGAAGACTATGAAACCTGCCAGCGTTTGTGCGGATGCCCGATGAAAGCATTCGAAAGTCTCGAGGAAGGCGAAGAAGACAGAGATGGTGCGATGCTGGGCGTGTATGAGAATGACTTGTTCGATGCGGAGAAAAATATGCGTTCGCCGTTGCAATCTCCGATGCACTCAAAATCTCCACAACAACAACAACAACAACAACAACAACAACAACAGTTCTCGAATCGAGACATGCACTTTGTGCCGCCATCACGACCTCATTCTCATCCTCTCCCTCCTCGCTTTGACAAAACGCTTGGAATTGGAACATTCATGGGATCACCTTCATCGCCTTCGCCCTTAAAAACAAACGCGCGCGGCGGCGGTGACACCGAAGCGTATTATCACATCGATCGAGACGACAACGACGACGGGCCTAAAAATACGACGTTATCGAAGCACCAACAAGGTCGCGAAGCCGTCCTCCGAATGATGTCCAAGCAGAAAAAAAGAGCCACGAATGCATCGCGTTCCATCGCTTCGCCGTCGAAGATAGCATCAACGGCTCCACCAAAAGGCGAATTTTTCGCCTTTCACGAACACTTTCGACCAGAGGCGTACCTCTCTAACGACGCCAACAGTCGTCGGTACGGGAGAAACAAAAAGAAGAAAGAGCCAAGAACGCGAACGACGACTGGTGGTGGTGATGGAGGTTTTCCCGGCAATTTCCATCGAAACGCGGAAGATATCCACGATGAGTTTCCAGTATCGCCGCTTCATAATAACAGGCGAGGAGGAGGAGGAGGAGGCCAAAATCGAAAACCTCCTTATTATTTCGATTGACCAACAACAAGAGAGTGGGTTGTGGTTTTTGCTGACAAGGCACCGCACAAAAAGTAGTTACAAGAGAGACACACACAATTATATCTAACAACAATTGTTATTCATATTCTAACAAAGAGACGCACATCACGCATGATATTCACATCATCAACCACGAGTTACTTCGCGGCGCTCGTTCCTTTTAAGCGTTCCTCGAACATCACGCATCATCGACTTCCGCGAAGAAGCAAAGCGTTGACATCGCAAACAACAACAAAAAGTGTTCTGTCCGAACATCCAGAAGCAGCCGAAAAACAAACGAAAAGCAAAACGCTGTTGGATAACGTCCGCTTCGTCTTATGTTCCCCACAAGGCCCTCAAAACATCGGCGCCGTCGCTCGCGTGTGCCAGAATTTCGGTCTCACGAAGAATTTTGCCATCGTGAATCCAGACCCGCAAGCGTTGGACACGTGCGATACGCACGACATGGGTGGTGAACAGAAGCACGATATCGGCGTCGAGTGCGTGTTGAAAGAAGAGGCGAAGAAATTTGCGGTACACGCGAGTTGGATGATTGAAGAGGCGGAAAAGAATATCACGCACATGCCGCATGGATTAGAAGACGCTTTGAAAGATTGCACATTTGTCGTCGCGACGACGGCGAGGAGCCGAGAGAACATACCTTTTCTCACGCCGAAAGAACTGAAAGAGGTCATAAGGAAAGAGGCAGAGAGAGGGAAAGTGGCGGTGCTGTTCGGAAACGAAGCGCGGGGATTATCAAACGAAGAAATAAAGTATGCGAACGTCTGCGTGTCTATTCCAACCGCTGGACACCCAGAAGAGATGACAAAGAAATTTCGTTACACCGGAGGAGCCGAGCCTAGAGGGAATGGTGGTAAAGTTGACGCGACGCCAGTCTCGCTGAACCTCTCCCACGCGGCTGGAATTTTGGCGTACGAGATACACGACGCGCTTGCAAATGTCAACGCGGACGTTGGCTTCACGTCACATTTATTAAACGTAGAGGAAAGAAAACGATTGGCGGACGAATTATCACTCGCTCGAAGAAGCGTGGATATCTTTGCGCCGAGTAAAAACGTATCAAACGGCGAAGAAAACGACGAAGAGGAATGTATGCTCGATGAACAAGAGTGTTTGTTGCACGAAAAAGAATCCAAAGCGATTCAATCGGTATTAAACGCCGGCGCAATCGCGTCGAAAAACGCCACTCCTTTATTCTTTCTCTCGCGCCGGTTAAAAATTTTAGGTGATCTTCGCGCGCTCGACGATATCGTCAAAGATTTCTTAAACACAAAAGCGGCTGCGCCGCAACTCGGCAGCGAAAAAGGCATCAGCGATGCCATTCGAGACGGTTTGGGTATTTCCTTGACGAACGCGGAAACGAAGAGAGTGTTCAAATACGTGTGCTCGAAAGAGTTTTCGCGCAATCACCAGGGGGGGCCTCCTGTGAATTTTTAACCCTAAACTGTAAACTCCTTTAAAAGCCGGCTAATTTCACCAAATTCCTCATCTTATAACAACTTCTTAATTCGCAGGGCGCAACAAACCTGCCTTTTCCTCCCTTCACTTCTTCTTTCTTTCCATTCAATTTTTCAGCTGCTCTTTCTCTCTCTCCCTTTTGTGAGACTCCCTTCCAACAAAGAAAGAAAGAAAGAAAGAAATATGCTTCGAACGCTCGTCGCGCGACACGCGGCAAGGAGTCGAATAGTGCTCATCAACAGCAGTAGCGACTTTAACGTCGGGGTGTTTTTTCTCCGGGAGCACTGTTCTCGTGGTCGATTCTTTGGTGGCGTCGCGTTCACGCAACAACAACAACAAAAACAGCCAAAAACAACAGAAGTCGTGACATCATCATCAAAAGCGGTAAAAACGACGAGGAAAAGTGAGGAGACGAATAGAAGACGAATGTCTTCTTCTCCTTCTTCGCGCGATGATAATGATGATGACGACAACACGCAGTTATTGAATGCTAAATACGGTGAAAATATATACACCGGAGCGTTCTCGAAAACCGTGAAACGAGTAAAAATGCTCTCCTTGGGCTCCTTAGGGGCAACCGTCTTCGGCTGTCCTTTACTCATAGAACTGTCCTCCGGGGCGAGCTTAGATATGTCCTCGAAAATCGTATTAGCCGGAAGTATGAGCAGCATCGGCCTGTTTACCACGGTAATGTTGCAATGGTTCGTCAATCCGTACGTTCGACGGTTATGGGTCGACTCCGAGACGAAAACAAAAGTCACCGCGGAGAAGACGAGTTTGTTGTTGCAAACGTATTACGCCAAATTCGAGTTGAAAGATATGGGAGTGTGCGAATCGAGTCACCCGCTGGTCACGTGGGAGGCGAACGGAGAGAAATTTTACGTGGAACCTGCGTCGACGTCGGAAGAGACGTATAAGTTGTTGGAATTGCAACGGTTTGAACCGGACACGTCGAAAGACGCGCCGATGGGATACGACGACGACGAAGACGACGACGACGGACGCGAGAAGAATAAAAACACCTAGAAGAGAAGTCGGTTTTGAAACAAGTACCTGTAGTTTGTATAGTTAGTAATAAGAGAATGATTATAAATACACGCATAGCAGCAGATAACAGATAACAATAATACAACATCTATATTATATTTCTATGCCTTGCTTATAAATCCTCTTCAACTCTCGCATCGCGTCTCTTCGTTGCCTCTCCAACGTCGCTTGCACGACTCCTAACTCGCTTCTCAGCGCTATCGCGTCGGTACTCGGCGACGTTCGCAACTCGCCTAAAACTTCCTCCACTCCAGCTAACGACTTCTCCGTACCTTTCTCTGCTTTGCTCAACGAACTTCCCAACGCTTTTAACTTTGCTACGCCTGAATTCATCTCCGCGATTGCGAGTTGAGTCTCTTGGGAAAATCCCTTCAACGCGACGTCCGCGGACGCCGCGCCGTCTTTCAACGTCTGCGCTCTTCTCGTCAACTTTGCAAACGCTTGCTCCTCGGACTCAAATCTACCAATTGTGCTTCTCCATAATAAGCGTCTGGTTGGTGGTAACGCGAGTAAAACTACAGATCCACCCGCGATTGCGCTCGCCGTCGGATACGACTCTATGACTTCTTTAATCTGTTGCGTGAACGATTTAAAAAACAAATCTTCCTTCTTCTTCATCTCTTCCGCTATTTCACTCGCTTTCAATTCAGCTTCCATTTTCATTTCAGTCGAACTCTCTCGACACACGTCTATGGTTTTCCCTATTTGGAACGATATGGAGTGTAAACTCTCGTCCATTGATTTTGAGATTTTATTGGTTTTCTGTTCCACTTTTTCTCGCGTTTGCACCACCGAGTCGATGATGTTTTTCATAAACTCTTTCGGCATCGTCATCGTTCTTATTTTAAGGAGAAGAGAAGGAGAAGTTTATCAGAAGATGATGATGATAACAACAAAGACGGAGAAGGAGGAGGAGGAGGATCAAAAACGACTTTCACGTCCGTCGTGTCTTATTGTAGGAGAGAGTACTCGCTTTAGTGGTAAGAAAGTTTTGAAGACAAAAAGAAGACAAAGAAGAAGATTCTTTTTTTCGTCAGTCTGTTTTTTAGCTTGGACTGCCCTTTTTTTGGTTGTTTTGAGGATTTGCTTGCTCTACACATCCTCAAAACAAGAAAGAGAGAGCGCGAGAAAGAACAAAAGCGAAGCACTTTTGCGTGATATATATATATACGTATATATAGTGCAAAACAATAATGGTCGATGAGGACGTGATGCCTCCGAGAGGAAGTCAGTTTAGAAGAAAAAGCAAAGGAGATGATGGTGGTGGCGGCTTTCATGTCGGTGGGAAAAATGATGGAAAGAAATTTTCAAACAACAACAACAAAGAGACGTACGACCGAAACGGCAGAAAGCAAAAGAAGAAACACAAAGGAGGGAAGAACACGTCGTTATCTTTAGAGGCGTTCGCCAGAGCTGGGAAATCTACGTACGATAAGAGAGAGGTTTTAAAAAAACGAAGAGCGGAGATGGCGGCAAAAATAAACAAGTTTCGTAAGGTGGTAAAAAAAGCGGGAGAGTTTGTGGCGCCGACGAAAGGTTTCGATCCGGAAGAGTACGCCAGGAAATTGACGAAAATGGAAGATCCCGTCGGAGATAAAGCGTTCGTGGAGAGAGAGGAGATGGAGGAGTACGTTGGGAAGAAAGTTTTACGAGGAGGATATGACGACGACGACGACGACGACGACGACAGAAAAAAAGTACCAGAAGAGAGCGAAGAAGAAAAAGAGGACGACGACGCGCCTCCGGAAGAACGCCAAGGCGTTTCCGAGAAAGGTAAGCACAACAAAAAGAAAGAACGACCGCGAACGGCGCACGAGTGGAAAATGCTCAAAGCGCAGCCGGAACGAGACCGCATTCGAAAGGAAAGAGAGGAAAGGGAGAAAAAATTCCAAGAGGCGCAAAAAATACGAGACTCGAAGCGAAAAGAGCGAGGGAAGTTGAGGCACTCCATGATGAAGGTGAATAAAAAAGGTCAGCCTCTGATGAGGAACAGAATCGATGCCATCTTAGCCAAGTTAGAGAAGAATTAGTTTTAATGTAAGTCATTCATTTTAGCTTTAGCGCGCGTTTATAGTAGTTTATAAAAGTGAGTAAAAGCTTTTGTTTTGGTTCACGAGAGCCCAAAAAAAAAAAAGCTCCTCCTCCTCCTCCTCTTTGTTTTGCAAGTTTGTTTTGTTTGCTCATCATTCGTTTTTGGGAGATCTTTTGGCGATTTTTCAGGATATACTTTTATCAGCAGAAAAACCAATCGCGCGCGCGCGCACACGCTTCACAAATCTACGTCATCTTCATCACTTTTATCGGAGAAAAATGAGCGGTGCCATCGCGTCAACCACCACTTCCGCGTCGTTTTTTGCGACGACCACCAGAAAAGTTCACAGATCGACGACCAGCAAACGAGGATCATCTTCGTGCGTCGTGTCGTCGTCGTCCGAAGAATTTTCTCCGATTGGAGAAAAAGACGACGACGACGTAAATAACAATAACAATAACAATAATGTATCATCGAGTAGAAGAGCGGCGATTGTGAGCGGGTTCTCGGCTGTGCTCGCAGTTTCTGCCTCTACTTCCCCTGCTGCTTTTGCCGCGGATAAAGACGAGGAGAAGAAGAAGAAAGTCGTCGCAGTTCCGTACACTCCGTACGTCCCGCAAAGCGAATCGAGCGAAGAGATGTTGGAAGTGGCGAAGCAGTTGAAAGATGCCGGAGCGCGATTGTACGGTGCGTTTTGGTGCGAGAACTGCAACAAACAAAAAGAAACGTTAGGTAAAGAGGCGATGGAGATGATAGAGTACGTGGAGTGCTTCCCGGATGGGGTGTACCAAAATGCACCAGACGGAAGAGCGGATGTGACGAAACCGGCGGAGTTTTGCGGGCCGTACTCCGAATCGTGGCCGATGTGGGTTTTGCCGTCGCCGTCGACGCCAGAAACGCCGGAGATTGGAGTGCAAGGTAAAGTTTTGAAAGCAAAGGAGTTGAAGAAGTTGGTGAAAGAGGCAGGCGGTGAGAAGGTTGACTTGGTGAAGTATTTCACGACGCTCGAAGTCAAGTAATGTACACAGCAACGCTATTATTCTTTTAAAACAAAACGTCTTCTATTCTATATATGCTTACCTAGGTACAACTAGCTAACTATCGTCATCAATATCATCGCGCGTGCGTCCTTTTTGCCTCTCTTAGCTCGTCTATTTCTTTGTACGCAGCTTCCCAATCGATCTCTTCGGGTGCTAATTGTTTCGTTGGAGACGTTTTCGGTTTCGCGTCAATATTATTATTCTTACGACCAGCTCGCATCAACTCGTTCGCTTTCTTTGAAACCTCTAACTTTTTCACCTGCTCTTCTAATCGTTTTTCTAACTTACTAATCCGTTTATTTTGTTCGCGAATGACGTGATGCGATTCTCTGTTCTCTTCGACGACGCGTTTGGTCTCCCTCGCCGATACCATCGCCGCTCGTTCGGCTTGTCGTATTCTCTCGTTCAAATGTGCCTTTTCTGCGTTCTTCTCGAACATTTCGGACATTTTCACGCTCAAACTGTCGCACTCTTTCTCTAGCAGTTTCACTGATTTCTGTAAAAGTTTCACTTGCTGTTCAAACTGATTCGAGCGCGCCTGTTCATCCATCAACAGCAGTTTCTGTTCCTCGATTATTTTTTGCATGAACTCGACTTTTCTCGTCTCTTTTTTCCTACTCTCTCTCAATTTCTGTTTTAACTTTGATGTTGCCGTCGTCGCAGTCGTTCCTCCTCCTACTCTCTCGTTTTTTATGATGATGTTACCCTCGTCGCTGTCCGTGTCGTTCACGTCATCATCATCATCATCATCTTCCTCTCTCGTCGTCCTCACCGAATTTTTTATTTTCCCCTCCTCGTCCAGGGAATCCTTTTTTATGATGTCGTTCATCCACGAACGAGGCAGGAACTTGGACGCAAACTGTCTGTCTCTCGCTTTTGTCGTCGTCGTCTGAATCGTCGTCGTCGTCGTCATTTTATTTTCTCTGATATTCTTCTTCGTCTTCGGTCGTCGTCTTCATTCGTCGTCGTTGTTTGCGTGGAGTTTTTGTGTAAAAGTCAACTGTTGTTTGAAAAATCCACCAAAGTGCAGAAAAGAAGAACAAAACCAAAACTCTTTCCCACTTTTCCTGCGTGGTCTCGTCGGGCTGCCGCTGCTTCCAATACATGAAAAGCCTGCTGTTCAAGTACGGCAGAGGAAAAAACGGGAGCAGCAGTACATCACCGATGGCCACGATGTACAGGTCCTCGCATCAGCATCATCATCATTCGTACAACAACAACAAACCGTCGTCGTCGTCGTCGTCGTTTTCGTCGTCGTCGTCGTCGTTGTTCATCTTGCTCAAGAAAAACAGATATTGCCGTCGCCTGATTGTTCTGTTCATTTTGTATGTGTTTATGCAAACGTTCGTATTCTTGAAGACGTGGTTTCCCGGGGACCCGACGCTGAGAAGAATATCCGAGAGTTCGTTGAAGCTGATGTTCAGTCGAAGCGGGTTTTCGTTCGGGACTTCTCGAGTCTTCTCGAAGAGATATTCCTCTGTGAAAGGAGGAGAGGGAGAAGTGAAATTGAGAAATCCAAAGGAAACGAGACAGACGAAGAAACAGTACGTGGTGCAAGGACAAATTCCAGACCGACCGACGTGGGGGGAAGATTTTGACATTCACAAGTACGTGAAAGATGTCAGGTTAGGAGAGAAAGGAGGAGGAGGAGAAGAAGAAGAAGGGTATAAGCAACTGCAGTGTTTCTTCACCGTGGACGCGAACGAACCGAAAGTAGTGTTGTACGACGACGGCCGCACGCATGTAGTACACTTAGGAGTAGGAAATACGGGGATAAATATGAACGAGCTGACGTGTGAACACTTTCGTGCGACGACGAGCGTGGAAAACGACGATAGAATAGAAGAAACGTGGAGTATAGAATCAGAAGGGGAGAACGTCGGCAAACTCGCCATCGTGTCTTCGGCGACAAACGTGGAAATGTTGAGCGAGTATCATCGAACTTTGCTCAATCACTTGGAGTACGCGAAATCGCACAAGTACGCCAATTACCTTTCATTAGTAAAACAGAAAACCTTAGAAGGACGGTCGGGGAAGTTTGCAAAGCACTTAGCGATGGGTGCGTTGATCTCAACGGGAGATTTTGACACCGTTTGTCACGTAGATTTAGATGCCTGGTTTGCAAGTTGGGCACCGCTTTCATACTACGCGAAAGCGTGGCCGAGAGATAAGGATCTGCTGTTTGGAGATACCGATCAAATATGGATCAACTCTGGTTTAATGATTGCCCGAACGACGACGTGGAGCGCGCAGTTTTTCGAAAAGGTGATGAACGCCGTGCACAGTGTAAATGCAGAAAACGACGAAAAGATTGGTTTTAAAAGAGACCAACCGGCCGTGTGGCATGTTTTAGCCGAAGGATGGAGAGAAGAAGGTAGAATGCCGTATAAAGGCACGGAGTGTGAGAGTTGGAACCAGTGTAACCCGGACGAAAATCCTGTGGAGTGTTGGCACTGGTGTCATTGGGATGCGTTGCAGAGAATCAAAGGATGGACCGGTTTGACTTCTCTGAACGCGTTGCCAAATATCCACTTGGTCCCTATCGATGTGTACCCACAAATGCACCGCATGTGCATTCGGTCGTGCTATTCAGTCGCCGCGAGAGCAGTCATGGGCATTTGCTCGGGAATTACACGAGGCTCGGCGATGTGCTTGCCGAAAGACGTGGACAAGATGAGTTTGTGCGACGGGAAAGGGTGCTTGGAGCAAATGGAATCCAACGGCGGGGCGTGGTTGAAGCATACAGGGCATCAGCACTGGAGAGACGTTCTGCCGAGTTGCGTGCCAAGAAATAGGAAAGAAGCTGATTTAGAACAGAAGAATCCGCTCGCTTTGTGTTCGAAATCTTCTTAATTGTGTTGTTGTAGTATGAAGGACTTATAGATTATTATATAAATGACTTATTAGAGCGTTATTAAAAGATGGATTTATTAGCTATTCTACATTTTTGCGTGCTCGCGCGTCGCCGCCTTTCGGATGAAATCCGGAACTGCGCAACGACGTTGAGTCACCCCTACCTAATATCACCGCGACTGGTGCGCTACCTTTTCGAGTCGGTGACAAAGGAGCTAACAAAACGTCTCCGTTGCTCATCTCGCCGTTTTCCATCTCCTTCATCCTATCCAACTCGCTCGCAAACTCGTCCCCTATGGATTTTTCCGCCATCTCGATCTCCTCTCCTTCCTCGGGTATCCCACCCGGTCTCGCCGTGCTAAAACACTGAGGTCCTATGTCTACACCTCCTACTTTTGCTCCTAAAACTTCGTTGTATATCGCTACTATCCTCTGCGTCACGAGCACCGTCACGACTAAACCGAACACGTAAAACAACAACTCCACGTGCGAGGCTTTCGAACCGTTCGCTGCTTTACGCCCCGTCACTCCCAAGTACACGTACACAAAACTCGCCGGAACTATTCCAGCGTAGGTGCACCAACAGTACGGCCAAAACGGAACAGCGGTTAACCCGAGTAAGTACGACATCACAGTATACGGCGAAAACGGCGAGAGACGTAAGAGCAAAACGATTTGCCTCGAGTCTCTGACAACCGCTTGATCGAGAATTTGAAACCTACCGCCCTCTGTAATAAATAACTTCTCTATCAACGGTCTCGCCGCGTATCTCGCGATGAAGAAGGAAATAACACCGCCTGTACCCGCGGATAAAACAATTAAAATAGTACCAAAGCCAGCACCAAAAATCACCCCGGCGGCAACGCACGTCGCCGAAGCCGCTCCGGGAATGACCGCGAATGAGGTCACGACCGCGTTAAAGATGAAGAAGTTTACCGGGTTACTAATCTTTGGTATCACGTCGTCTTTCAACGACAGATTTCTCGACCCGTGCATGACTAATAAGACGGCTATTAAGAGGACGCCGAGTAACGCGATGCCTCTCACCCACAATTCGATTGGGATTTTCGATTTCCTCCTCTCGGAAAGAGACCCGTCCAGTAAGACGTTATTCGTCATCGCTTGACTGTTCGGAGTCATCGGTGACCGAGGCGTTTTCGGTGGTACCGGCATCTCTCTCTCTCCCTCTTCCTCCCCTTAGTACGATACAGAGAAGAAAGAGCCTTCTTCTTCTTGGGGAGGGGGAGAGGGAGGGAAAAAACTGAGGAAAAAAGAACAAAAGAAGGGAGGAGAGCCAAAAGTGGTTCTGAAACCTGATTTTTCGCTTTCTTTTCTCGCTCTCGCCCAAATCGTCTCTTCATCATAAGTTTTGTTGTCCGCGCGAAAGGAGGGAGCACACACCCAACAACACGCCGCTTTATATGCACCAAATTTTATCATCAACATCACCATCTATCCTCCACGGACGACAACGCAGACAGACAACTTCATCGAATACATCCACCAACAACATCAACGGGCCTCGTCTTTCCTCCTCCTCCTCCTCCTCCTCTTTTCTTCGTAACGACATCGTCGACAACAAATTCAAACTGGTAAAGAAAATGCAACGAACGTTCTTCTCTCGAAGTAGAAGAAATCTGCTTTACCCTTCCTCGTCGTCGTCTTCACCTTGGACGAGTGGAATGCTCTCATCAACACTCAACAACATCGTTGGTTTCGGAGGAAGAAGCGAGAGTCGGAATGGTGCAGTCGCCATGGCGGCGAGACAGCATTCGAGCGATACGAGCAGGAGTCGATCACCTACAACTACTTTTTTCTCAAAACAGCACCAACCGCAGCGCCGGCTTTCCTTAACGTCATCTTGCTCTTCACCGTTAACAAAAACAGCAACTCGAGCGATTTCTACTTCCAGCGAGAGCATGCAAGATTACGATTCGAGTTCTATTCAAGTCTTGGAAGGGTTAGAACCTGTACGCAAACGTCCCGGGATGTATATCGGTAACACCTCCACGAAAGGTTTGCACCATTTAGTCTGGGAAATATTAGATAACGGCGTGGATGAGATTCAAGCAAATCACGCGAGTAATGTCCAGCTGACGTTGGAGAAAACAGGACACGTCGTCGTAACTGATAATGGTCGCGGGATTCCAGTTGAGATTCACCCAAAAACTGGCAAGTCAAGTTTGGAAACAGTGTTGACGATATTACACGCCGGCGGTAAGTTTGGCGGAGCCGAGTCGGGATATTCCGTGAGTGGCGGCCTGCACGGCGTGGGCGTTTCAGTCGTGAACGCTCTATCGGAAGAGTTAGAAGTGACGGTTTGGAGAGGCGACAAGGAGTATTTCCAAACGTTTTCGAGAGGGAAGACAACTTCGGAGCTACAAGTCTCTGAGAGAAAGGCAAAAGATGGGAATCCGAAAACCGGGACACGAGTGCGATTTAAGCCCGATAACATGATTTTCCAAAAAGTACAAGAGTTTGATCCAAACATTATTCGCGCAAGAATGAAAGAACTAGCGTTTTTGAACTCGAATGCCGAGCTTCGCTTTACGAGCGTGGATAGCAAAACCAAGGAAATGAAAGAAGACGTGTTGAAATACCCGAACGGCTTGACGGATTACATCGTAGATTTGAACAGCGATAAAAATGCAATCCACGAACCGATTACGTTGAAAACAGAGCACGAAGGAGTTAAAGTTGAGTTATGTTTGCAGTGGACGCACGATGATTACTCGGATACGATTTTAGGCTACGCAAACTCGATTCGGACCATCGACGGTGGATCTCACATCGACGGTTTGAAATTTTCGTTGACGCGTGCTTTCAACACTGCGGCAAGAAAAGCGAAGTTGTTGAAAGCAGAAGATACTAATTTAGGAGGGGATCACATTCGCGAAGGTTTGTCAGCCGTCATTGCCGTGTGGGTGCCACAACCCGAGTTTGAAGGTCAAACGAAAACTCGTCTTGGAAATTCCGAAGCGCGGAAAGCTGTCGAAGCTATGATTTCAGAAAAGTTCACGGAATACCTCGAGTTTCATCCCGAGGTTTTATCCTCCGTTTTCAAAAAAGCACAAGCCGCGCTCAAAGCTTCCGAGGCGGCTAAACGAGCGCGAGATTTAGTGCGCAGGAAATCCGTGTTGCGATCGTCTTCGTTGCCAGGTAAACTTTCCGATTGCGCGAACTCAAACGCCGACGAAACTGAGATTTTTCTCGTCGAAGGTGACTCCGCCGGTGGATCGTGCAAACAAGGACGAGATCGCGCGTTTCAAGCGGTGTTGCCGTTGCGTGGTAAGATTTTGAACGTCGAACGTAAAGACGAACAGGCTATGTATAAGAACACGGAAATTCAATCGATGGTGACCGCGCTCGGTCTCGGCGTCATGGGTGAAGATTTCAATGTGAACAACTTGCGATACTCAAAAATAATCATCTTAACCGATGCCGATGTTGATGGTGCGCACATTCGAACGCTTTTATTGACCTTTTTATATCGATATCAAAAAGCGCTGTTCGAACAAGGACACATCTACGTTGCCGTGCCTCCACTTTATAAAGTCGAGTCGGGAAAGAAAAATGTGAAGTATTGCTACGACGAATTAGAGCTCAAGAAACACTTAGATACATTAGGAGATAATCAACCAAAGAATTTGCAGCGATTTAAAGGTTTGGGTGAAATGATGCCGCAGCAACTATGGGATACGACGTTAGATCCCAAGACAAGAACTTTGCGCAGACTCACGGTGGACGATGCAGCTATGGTCAATCACACGTTTTCGCTGTTAATGAGCGATAAAGTAGGACCGCGCCGCCAGTTCATCGAAGATGAAGGACCGGACTTGATGAATCTCGACGTGTAATAACATTAAGATTAAGCTATACGTTAGTATTACGAAAGAAATAACAATTCTCATATTATGCGCACTGCCGTCGAACGCCTGATAGCATTCGATCCACTTCACTTAGCAGCGTGATTTCTCCATTTTCTTCTACGGAGGATGTGCCAAGTGATGAAATTTTGAATGAGTCGTATGTTATCGGCGATACCGAAAGCGGGAAGAACTTGTGCTCAATCTTCGAGACCTGTTCGTGCGAGACTTTTTCTTCCTTATTCCTGCGAAGTGTTTCGATATCACTCTTTAACTTTGTGACTTCGCTTCGTAACTCGATCAACTCTCGATGAATGGGCGATAATAACGCGCTCATTTCTCTCAAGGTGATTGAACTTGCGGCGTTTGTCGCACTAGTATTCGACACGAGCACTCTCTCCGCCGTCTCTTCCTCCTCCCTCTTCTCGTTTTTTATGCGCTTTTTCAGTGCTTCTTCCTCTTCGTCCTGTTCGTCGTCTACCATGAGTTCGCGCACATCGCAGAGGATTTGAGATGCGAACGCTTCGCTCGTCTCATCGTTGAGCTTTTTGTCGAACCGGAGTATAGAATCATTGCGCACGGAGGTGCAAGATTTACAGGTACATCGAGCGTGATGCATCACTTTTCTGAGCGTATTTTTTTTAACGAGGGGAATAATTTTAAACGAGGTTTGAGAAGAAGGGATCTTTACATATACTCGTCGTCGTGCTTTGTGATTATGGTTGGAATTTTAATGGTATTATTGAACAAAATGTATGCTTATCCTATTCTATGTGTACGTGTGCATGTCTTGACCGCCACACGTATACTTTACTAAACTTGTATCTACTTCGCGGAATCCTTCTCAACCTTATTAGATTCCATCGAAAACGGCTTCGAAGTCTCTTCTTGTAAACGTCTGAGCTGCTCTTTCTTATCTTCAGGCAAATTCGCTAAAATCTCTGGATCTAATTCTCCACTCACTCCACCCGCATCACCACGAATTTGGGACAAATACGTCGTCCACTGCACGTGAAACTCTCTCCAGTGTTCCTTCGTCGTCTGTGTGCTCCTCAGGTGTTGACGAAACTCCGATTGGACGTACTTATCCCCTAACGTTTTCATCGGCTCCGGTAAAGCGGCAACGTGTGTTCGCAAGATTTGTCTATACAGAGCGAGGATAGGCCTAGCTTTTTCTAGAAGAGACGATGCGGCTCCGGACATCTTTTTCTATCGCGCGCTTTAGAGAAAAGAACGTTGTTTTTAATCTATGTCTGGTGTTTCAAGCTTTCAAGAATCAAAGTTATAATTGTTGCTGCTGCTGTTGTTGCTGATCCGCCAACACTCCCATTTGTTCTTTCTCCATCTCCATCATCTGTTCCTCTCGATGCAATTGCACGATTAATGGCACGACCAAGACTAAAAACGTAGTTCCAAACGTCCACGCCGCTTGCCCGGTCGAAAATGCCCAACGAATGCAGTGCTCTTTCGTCTTTTCCCAGTCTCGAGTTTTGGACTTTTTGGACGCTTTCGATGAAAACGAATCCGCCGTGCCTGGAACGATATCCATCTTTTTCTTCTTCTTCTTCTTTTTCTTCTTCTTTGTCTTCTTCACACGCGCACACACTCTCTCTCTCTTCCTTTGTTGTGTGTTGTTGTTGTTGTTGTTGTTGTTGTGACGAACTCTTTTTTTTTTCGATCTGAAAGGAGGACAGGACGAGTGGACGACGACGATTTTTACGAAAAAACTTCTCTTCTCCCCCTCTTTCTCTCTTTTTTCCTTTTTCGCCCTCCAAAAAAGGGGCAGACTCGGGTAGGAGATATCTAAAAGCGGTTCACTCTGTTTTTCCGAAAAACGGCATACATAAGCTTCGTCTCACTCGAGCTTTAAACAAAACTTTCTCATTCTATCACGACTTTTAGTTTTTGAAAGGACATCGTATCATGTCCGCTAATCCTTTCGCCGCGTTAGGCGAAGACGGGCCGAATCCCGTCGCCGCGAAAGGTGCGAAATTTCTTTTTTTTTCCTTCCCTCTCCTCGAAAATTGATAACTGCATCAAGCAAGTTTTCGCCTTGTTTTTGGCTCCTTTTCAACGAAGAATGAGCGAGAGAGTGAGTGCAATTTGCGAACGCAATCGATACCGCGAGAGCTCTGCGCGAGATTTATTTCATCTCGATACCAATCGAAACGAATGTAAATATGTTCTGTACGTTCGAATTGATTGGTTTCAGAGGAATACATACGTTCAAACGTAGATATATATCCTCACGATTGCGTCCAGTCACTCGAGCTAACCCTCTCTCCCTCAATTCGTTGTTTTTCTTTATTTTGGGTTGTTGGAGAAAAACACTCCTCTCTGTGGCTTGTTTGTTTTTAATTAACTGACATCTCTCTTTGTTCATTACCTGAATAACAGACAAAGCGAAACCGGCTTCGCACAAGGAAGTCACCGGCGGCGCGAAGGAAAAGCAATACGGTGCCAAGGGCCAGCAAGGCGACAAGAAGAAGCACACTTCTGGTAAGCACGACCGAACCCACCACGGCAAGTCCTCCGAACACAAAGGAGGCGCCGGTAAAGGGAACTGGGGCAAAGCTGGTGACGAACTCGATGCCAAAATGGACGATGGAGGCAACGAATCTGCCACGGAGCAAGAAATGGAAGCTCCGTCCAACGAAATCTCCTTGGAAGAGGCCATGAGACTCAAAGAGGAGAAGAAGAAAGCCGTGGCAGCCCTCGCCAAGACTGGGCCGGCCAGAGCGGTTGACTCTTCTGCTTTCGAGTCCATGGCAGCGCCAAAGAAACTCGAGGACGAAGAGAATCATCTTGATATGCTCAAAGTCGACGCGAAGTTTCGTAAACGTGGCGAAAAGGAAGTGAAGGCGAAGCAAACGCTCGACTTGAACTTCAAGGTTGCCCCGACTGAATCGAACGACCGCGACGACGACAGACGCGACCGAGGCCGTGACCGCGGTGGACGCGACCGCAACCGTGGAGACAAAGGTAAAGGTGGCGGCGGTGGCGGCGGCGGCGGCGGACGCGGAGGTGACCGTGGACGAGGTGGCCGAGGTGGCAACTCTGGTGGTGGCCGTGGCGGCAACTCTGGAGGTGGCCGTGGCGGCAACTCCGGCGCTCGTGGCGGCGGTGGTGGCGGCGGCGGCGGCCGAGGCGGCCGAGGCGCCAACATCAACGTTGCGGACAACGCTGCTTTCCCGTCGTTGGGTTAAATAATATTTTTATTATTGGTGTAGAGGGTGATGTGAGTGAGTGAGAAAGAGAGAGGAGGAGTGGGAGAATTTTTAGAGAAGAGAGAGAGAGAGAGAAAGAGAGAGAGAGAGAGCATGTGTGTGTCTGTAATTGAGCACGCAGCAGGGTAAACGGAAACGAAGAATTATATTGAAGGGAGAGAACATTTTAAAACAGTAATAGTAGAGAAGGGAGGGAGAGAGTTGATTGTGGAAGACGAGGCGAAGTCGAAATTACGAGTATGTGTGTGACAACAATGAGAAATTGGAGTATGTACATTTTTACGCTGAGAGCACCAACGAGCGCCGTGTTAGAAGAAGCTGTTGCGTCTCTAATTGAAAAACAAAAAAAATAATATCTTGCGCGTTAGAAATAGCAAGGCAGTCTAGTATGTGATGACGAATCCGATAACGAGTTCATAGAGAGAAAGAGAGGAAAGAGGAGGATCAGAGAAAGCTCATGTTTAGATTGGCAGAGTAGCTACGTAAAAATATATTTAATAATAATACAAAAAAAAGAACAATATCGCAAAAAATATCCATCACTTCTTTTCTTGAACATGCGTCTGCGCGACGAATCGTCATCATCGTCTGGTGTTCAGATATCCGTCCACAGCTCGATAGCTTTGGATGAAACCATTCACGACGTGAAATGGATCCCATCCAGTGCTCGGTTTTGCGTGTTAGGAGCGCACGCTCGAGGCACCGGAAGTCTCCAAGTCTTTGAGCTTGAAAACACGCACCCTCTGGACGAGGAGGCTTCTTCTTTATCTCCTTTGTCTTCATCACCGGCGAAACCATCCTCTCGTCTCGTTATGAACGCAAAAGGAAAATGCGAACACGACCACGCGATGAAATGCGGGACCTTTGCCGGTTCAGACGCGATTGAACGCGAGTTTATCGCGGGAGATTTTTCTGGTCAACTTCTCTGTTGGGATGTGGAATACTTGACCAAACCAACGCGAGTGGTAAAAAACGCGCACGAATCAATCATCAATTGCATAGATGGATGCTATAATCAACACTCGAAAGTGATCGTCACAGGAAGTCGAGATGGGTCTGTGAAAGTATGGGACTTCAGACGGAAACAATCTGATCCCGTCGTGAATTTTGCGCCGTCCGTCACCACAAAGGTCTCGCCAGAGTGCTGGTCTGTAAATGTAGGCAATGCCAAGAACGATAGCGAACCGATGATTTTAGCAGGATACAGCGACGGTACGGTCAAAATGTTTGACCTTAGAAGAGTGAAGAATAGTGGTGAGTATTCAACGTCGCTGTATTGGGAAACGAATGTTGATCGAGGCGTCTGCGGAGTAGAATTTGACCGGAAAGCTATAGAGATGAATAAGTTTGTGGTGACGTGCTTAGAATCGCAGTCAAAAGTATTCGACGCACGTACGTTTAATCCCAAAAGAGGTGGCTTCTCGAGCTCTGTCGTCACGGAAGTCATGGAAAATGGTCCCACTATATGGGGTGTAAAGCATTCTCCCTTCAATCGAGAAATTTCTGTATTTCTAGGTGGCGACGGCACTTTATCGGTGCATAAATACGCGTATCCAAAACAAAGACGTTTACAACTGAACGAGGAAGAGTGTGTCGGTAATGCCGGTCAAACGCACCTACTGGTGGAATCAAAAGTATCCACGCAACCCATCAGCGCGTTCGATTGGAACAAAGACAAAGAAGGACTCGCAATTTGCTCGTCTTTTGATTCGAGAATTCGTTTACTTTTCATTACCGGTATGAATAAGCTCTAATTTGTATACATGTATTTCTAAATTACAAGGGATAGTTCAGACCGTCGTCTTCCACGTCGTCGTTGTCTTGATTGTACGCCTCTCTGTGAGGATTTCTTTGGTCGTACAACCGCTGTTCCAGTTCTTCTCTTTTCATCCTCTCCAGCATCAATTCCTCGATCACTCGTTCGTATTCTTGGGCCGTAATACTTCCTTGTCCTCCTCCTCCTCCTCCTACTCCGTTCAAGACTCCGTTTTCGTCTCCAATACCGCCGCCCGATATTTTTCGCACTAAATCTTCAAACTCTCTTCTTACCACGGATGGTAAGTTTTCCAACAATTTCTTCGCCCTTTCTCGGCTCAACACTAGCACTTCACAAAAGCATAAAGCCGTGGCCGAAACTTTCGATTGACCTCCAATCGTACGTCTTCCTAATCCACTCAAAGACGCTTCGCCGATGTAATCTCCCCGGGTCAAAATCACCGCTTCGCCTCTCTTCTCCAATCCTAACTCGTCGCCTTCCCAACACTCGACTTCACCTTCGGAGATGAAGTATAAATTCCTCGCCGTTTCGTTGTATCGAATAAAAACCTCTCCCGGCGCTAAATGTTTCATCTCTAACTGTTTTAATATTGCTACTTTCAAAGAATTCGAACACCCTTTTAACAACTCTCCGTTTGTCACGCTCGGATTTATTTTCAGCAAAATTTCTCCTTTCAACGACTTTGGCACTTCCTCTAAAATCGCGTTATCTGCAGTCAGTTTAGAGAAATGGTCTCTGTTTCTTAAATGTTCGTAAAAATCAATTAGATCATTCGATAACTGATCCGGTAACTTTTTCCGTTTGATGAATTCATTCACATGGTCGATTCGACTCTTATACAGCCTCGTTTGTCGGCCAAACGTGTCGTGGTAAATATTCGTCGCCGACGTGAGCGAGAACAAAACGACGACTGCTCCAGTACACGCGAAGAACAACGTCGTCCAGCGTTCTAAATTCGATTCTGGTTTGAAGTTCATATCGATGGTAAACATGACCATAACCGCGTGATACAAGGATAGAGAGTATTCCGTGTATGGATCGCTCATCAATTCGCCATCCCATATCCCTTTCTGTTTGGCGACTTCGAACCAGGCGTGGTCTTCCACCCCGTCTATTTTCACGACGAAGAAGAACACGCAGGCGAACCAGTGCGCGTACACAAACGTTAACAACACGTACCCAACGATATCCAACAAAGCGTATCGAATTTGTGGCATTCCGTCCCATCGATTGTAAAACGCTCGGTGAATCCGGTGCACTCGTAACACCGACGCCATCTTCATCAGTTTAAACATACGCAACAGCTTCGTCAACCGTAAAGCGGACACGCTATCCGTCAATGAAGATTCTCTAAAGACTAAATCTAAAGGAATTGAAGATATGACATCAATCGAGAACCAGCTCGTGATGTATCGATCGGATATTCGTTGTCTATCCATGACTAAGTTGTTCCCGGTATCGTAAAATCCAGTGTTGAAATTCACGAATATATCGACGATAAAGACCACGTCTACGACTCGATACATCAACTCGTGAAACGAACTCATTTTAACGTTAAACGCCAAGTGAAAAGGACAGAAAATGGCGTTGTATATCACGGCTACGGCTAAGAAAGCGTCCCATATTCTCTTCCCTTGCGCGAGCGGGTGAATAGTCGTTCCTAAATCCACTTTCTTCCTTCGTCCTAAACGAAAAGGGGTGAGAAAAGTTGACGATGATGATTTCTTAGTATTATTGTTTAGCCCCATAATAGTGTCGTTGTTGTTATTATATTTTCTCCCTCCTCCTCGAGGGGAGGAAAGCGACGACTTTGAAGAAGGAGAATGGAGATGGCCTTTCATCTTCTTCTTCGTATTATTCGTACGCAGAGAGAACGAACGAGTGAAGAAGAATGAGCGGAGTTTTGTTTTGTTGTTGCCTTTGAAAAAAAAATTGCAAAGAACTCGTTCGAGAATTCTTTTTTGAGAAAAGAGAAACGAAATTCTTCTTCTTCTTCTTCTTCTTCTTCTCTTCGTCTTCGCTTCTTTTTTTTCGTCAAAAATCGTCGTCGTTTGACCCCCGAAGAGGAATCAAATTCAATCACCATACCGCATCATCATCATCGTCGAACAGAAGAAGAAGAAGAAGAAAGAGGCGAGAAGAATACTTCTACTACTCTTCTTTCAAATTCAAAACAGTCGTCGTCTTCGTTGTCCTCTCCAACCTCCTCCTCTCAATCAAACAGTATGTCGAACAAACGAGGAGGTCCGGCGGAACCCCCCTCGTTTCTCCAAGAAGTCGCCTTTCTCGCCGTCTCCGCGCTGTTCAGTTGTTTGGTCCTTTCCTTCGGATTGAAACGTTTAGACCCGAACAGACAAACCTCAAAAGCCGCGGAACAGAGGAAAAAAGAAATCGCCAAACGTTTAGGTCGACCTAAGTTAGTCACGAACGTGTACGAAGACGCGATCGCGGCTGACGTGGCGAACCCGGACCATATTAACGTCACGTTCAACTCCATCGGTGGATTAGAAGACACGAAAGAAGCGCTGCAGGAACTGGTGATATTACCATTAGTGCGGCCGGAGTTGTTCTCGAAATCGAATTTGTTGAAACCAGCGAAAGGAGTGCTGTTATACGGACCTCCCGGGACCGGGAAGACGCTGCTAGCGAAAGCGTTGGCGAAAGAGTCGCAGGCGTGCTTCATCAACGTGCGAACGAGCACGTTGCAATCGAAGTGGTTCGGCGACGCGCAGAAACTCGTCACCGCGGTCTTTACTTTAGCGTGGAAGTTACAACCGTCGATCATCTTCATCGACGAGATTGATTCTTTTCTGGGAACCAGGAAAAACAGCGAACACGAAGCGGTGACGCAAATGAAGACGGAGTTCATGACGTTGTGGGACGGTTTCAACACGGACTCAAACGCGCGAGTGATGGTGTTGGCGGCGACGAATCGCCCGTGGGACGTGGACGAAGCTATTTTGAGACGGTTGCCACGGTCGTTCGAGGTTGGTTTACCGAATAAAGAGCAGAGGGCGAAGATATTAGGCGTCACCTTGCAACACGAGAAGTTAGAGAAGGGATTCTTTTTGAACGAAATGAACGCGCCTATTTGGCAAATTGCGGAAAGAACGAAAGGATATTCTGGATCTGATTTGCAAGAATTGTGCAAACAAGCTGCGTATGGACCTGTGAGAGATTTGCTGAGAAGTGAAACGCGAGGAGAGAATACCGGAGGTGGGTGCAGAGCGCTGATGATGAAAGATTTCGATGAGATTTTGAAAACGTCGAATACGAGTGCTCAAGCCGCGAGCAGTTACCAGTACGCAGACGAGATGAGGAAGAATACTAGAAGCGCGAACGCGCGAGAAGGGTACCAAGACCCAGAGGAGATAGAAAAAGCACAATTGATGATGCAACAGATGATGGCGGGTTTATTCCAAGCCGCTCAAAACGAATCTTCTCGATCCGGTTCGCCCTCCTCCCAGCCGAAAGAGCTCGACTAAGAAGGGGGACGCCGCAACTCTTGCACACTTGCGTGCAACAAAAAACATTTTTAGTCCAAACATTCTAGAATTGCAAAGAACCAATACCTACGCGTTGAAAACAATAACAAACCAACTCACGATAGACGAATGAACATATTGAACCCGTTTTTGCGCGTGTGAAAGCGTTGAAGAGCGCCCTTCCCTTTCTTTCTCTTTCTCTTTTGTTTTCGGCTTTAAAAATTCTGCAAATAAGCATATTCAATTTTAAACAATTGTGAGGATATATTCCCGTAAATAACAGTGAATTACGTATCAATATTTATTTTATCATGATGATGAATTAGAAATGCTCAGGTTTCAAAGTTCCTGGTCTAAAAATAAAATAATTTAATAATTTAATTACATAAATAATTTCAATTCAATTCATTCCCCAAAATAAATCGAATTTTTCGAAACCATTGAAGAGATTTGTATTATAAAATAATATTATTATACCAAGTATACCGATTATAAAGTAAATTAAGTAGTATTATAATCTTTCTAAAGCTATTTGGATTTTTTATTTTTATTTTAAAAACATTTTTAATCCATTTGGGATATTGAATATTCGTATTTTCAAGTTCTATTCATTCAGTGCGATACAATATTAATTGATATTATATTGATTAGAATGGGGATTATTTAATATTCTCGTTGTCGTGCAATTTTTAAGAATTCGTATTAATTAAATTTTCAGAAAAAAAAAGAAAGGCCTCTCGCTTCACAAATTTGGGAAGAGAGAGGAAGGAGAAGAAAGACAAGACCATACGATGGCGACTTCTTCTTCTTCCGCCCCTTCGGAAAGGGTCTACCGGAGCTGCGACGTGTCCACGAGCGTGACAATAGATGTTTCGGGCTTGCACGGAAGATTTGCCGCAAGTGAAGGAGAGAAGAAAGAAGTTCTCGTTGGAGTTCGAATTCTTTCTTCCTCCGCAACGAACTCAAACTCCAACAATCAAGAAAACTTTACGGAGCTGACAACGTCTACCTCCACGAGAACCTCTTTATACCAAAACGGCTGCGCTATTTTCCAAGAGACGATTGGATTCCCTATGAAAGTGAACGATTTGCCCTCGGATTCAGTCTTGGAATTATCTTTAGTTGACTGTAATCACCATAACCAGAAGAGCAGGACACAGCCTCGTATTGGTGAAAAACAACCAAACAGAGGAGCCGGAGGAGGAACGCGCACGAGGAACAAGAACAACGAACGAGATTTATCCGTAATAGGTTACGCGCGCATTAGATTATTCGACGAAGCAACAGGAAAGCTCGTCCAAGGGCAGAAACGGCTGCCTTTACAGCTCTCTTCTTCTTCTTCTTCTTCTCCTTCTTCTTCGAGCAGAACGAGCGAGCTGTTCAACGCTGGGGGCGAGACGAATACCAACATCTCCTCTTCACCTCAGGAGGAATCTACCACGGAAAAAGAACTCATCGTATTCACAGAAGAACTCGAGCGATTCGAGGAAATGCTTTCGAAGTACGAGCGAGGCGAAGTGCCGCACGTTTCTTGGCTCGACAAGATGACGTTTTCGAGAATACAGGAAATGCGCAAGGCGAGACTGGAAGAGTTGGAGGAGATGAGCTGTTACGTCGAACTTCACGTGGAATTCCCAACGTACGCGCTACCTATCATTTTTAGCGAAGAAGTAGTATCCGATAGTGTGAATAAATCCAGGAAGAAGAATTGGGAAAGCCTCGTGTGGCTCATCGACGAAGAGATAGCCATTGAGACCCAAAATCCCTCTGAGATCATGCACTACGAGTTGACGAGAAGTCACGGAAGAGAAGTTGTCGATAAAGATTTGAAACCAAACGCAGGAGAGAAGGCTCGATTAGCCATCGCAATGTCCTCTCCGATTACGAGGAAAATGGATATGGACACCCAAAACTTGCTCTGGAAGTTTCGATACTCGCTGAGCTCTGATCCGCGAGCGCTTACAAAGTTTCTCAAAAGCGTCGATTGGAACGATAAAGACGAAACGAAAGCAGCGATTGGTTTGATGCATCAGTGGACACCCATCGGTCCTGCAGCTGCTTTAGAATTGCTTACACCGCATTTCAAAAATATCGACGTCCGAAGCTATGCTGTGGGTGTTTTATCGCGAGCAGAGGACGATGAGATTCTAGTTTATTTGCTCCAGCTCGTCCAAGCGTTGCGGTATGAACCTTCGGATGATTCCGTCTTGTCTAGATTTCTCATCTCCCGAGCGCTTAAAAACGAAGTTTTGGCGAGTTTTTTGTACTGGTTCCTAGTCGTTGGTTTTGAAAACCCGAGCTTTGAGCGACGTGCCATGGCGACTCATCAGATGTTTGAGCAAGCCTGTCACGACCTGGGACCGAAAGGGACGCAACAGTGGATAGCGCTGAAACGACAGGGCGTGTTGATTGAACGCTTAACTTCAATCACCGTTGACATTTTGAACTTAAGAGGCGCGAGGAAGGTTGAAAGACTCCGGGCTATTCTGAACGGGCAAGGCATAGGAACGGAGTTGACATATTTCACGCACAACATACCGCACTTGTTGGATCCTTTAATCAGTTTAACTGGAATCAACTCCGAGGAAAGTTTCGTGTTTAAGAGTGCCTTGAGTCCATTGAAACTCGCGTTTCGAGACATCAACGATGAAACCCAAAACGTCATATTTAAAAGAGGCGACGATTGTAGACAAGATCAGCTGTGCGTGCAGTTGATTCAGCTCATTGACAAGTTATGGAAGCGAGAAAATTTGGATTTGCGACTGACCACGTATCGCGTCTTGGCCACTTCCACCGAAATTGGTTTGATTGAATTCGTGAAATCTTCTGCTATAGCTGACATTTTGAAGGAGCACGACAGTCTCCGCGCGTACATCGCTATTCACAATCCGGATCCGAAAGGACCGGGAGGGTGCACCATGCAGTCAATGCAAAATTTTGTTAAATCGTGCGCGGGATATTCAGTCATCACGTATTTACTCGGTGTTGGTGATAGACACTTGGATAATTTGATGCTCACGAAAGACGGAAAGCTCTTTCACATCGATTTTGGATACATGATGGGCAGAGATCCGAAGATTTCTCCCCCGAGTATAAAAATCAGTAAAGAAATGGTAGACTGTTTGGGAGAGTTCATGGACGATTACAAACGGTATTGCGTCGAGGCGTACAACTTGTTGAGAAAGCCGCACTGCGTGACGTTGATTTTGAACTTGTTCGAATTGATGGCCGATTCGGATTTACCGGATTTACGAGGTGATGCCGGCGCGAAGTTGGAGGCAAAGTTTGCGATTGACTTGGACGACGAAGCCGCCGGGACACACTTCATACAAGAGATTCAACGAAGTATGAATGCGTTATTTGATCCTTTGTTTGAGCGAATACACGCGGTAGCGCAGAGAATGCGCTAACAAGATTAAATAGTAGAGTATAAATAGTTTGCAGGAAGCATTTAGTAGCATAAGATATAATACACACAACAAAACAACAAAGCATATGGGCCACGACGACAAATTATTCATCCTGGTTGGTGTTATTCGGTTTACGCGTCAAACTCTCCGCGTTGAACGTCATTTCCGATTGCGCTCTTTCCACCCAGTTCATAGCCGCAATCGAACCTTCTCTCGACTGTAACAACGCCTCTAATTCGCGGTATGATGGTCTCTCCTCAAACGGCGGCAACGGTTCGACTTGCCCAGTTTGCTGATTTAGAACAAACACTTGCCACGGCCCGCCAAAGACTTTCTGCAGTCGAAACGTCTCGCCTTGAATTCTTTGTTCTTTCAAGAAATACGCAATCTCAAATTCTTTCACAAACTTTTCGTTCTTCTCTCTCCACGGGCCGAAACCGAAATCGTTCAATATGTTTCCGTTCAGCACCCACTGCGGGTTGATGATCATGTTCGCTCTCTTGGCATCTTTTGTTATTTGTTTCAAGTCTGAGAGAACCTCCGCGGTTGGAAAGGTCGTGCATACGTCGTCACCACTGGTCACTTTCACCACCGCGTCGGCGTCGTCGATGACTTTTTTCGCCACCGTCTTCTCTCCGCTCACCGCTTTCATAAGCGCTTCGACCATAGGACTCATACTCTGATACTGTTGCCGAACGCCTCCCGGCCAATCATCTAAATCCGTCGCTCCAATCAAAGGAATATCAAAAGTCACCTCCACATTCTTCTTCCCGCTTTCCAAGGCTTTTTTCACCGATTTCGCGGCTAACTCAACCTGTTGCGACGTGCTCTTGGGAAGTTCTTCTAACTTTTGTTGTTGTTTTTCCGTCCCCGTCGTTTCCGTTTCCGTCGTCGAGGTGGATGACGTTGACGACACCGTGAGATTTCTTCCTCTTCTCCCGTGTTGTCGTCTCGCGAAAGGAGAAGAAGAAGAAGAAGAAACGAGTAATCGTTGTTGACTGCTGCTGGTACTCACGAGGCTCCTCGTTGAAAAATCACACGTCGTCTGAATCGTCGTCGTCGTCATCGTGCGCGTTTGGTTGTGAAGAATGATGATTACTCAATCGCTCTGTATGAAGTTTGGTCTCTTTGTGGTGCTCAAATTTGCTCTTCAAAATTTTTTCTCTCTTCTTCTTCACAAAAACACAAAAAACGCATCGATGCACATTTGCAACGGATGCTGGGCGGAGATTGAGGACCACGCGTACATCACTCGATGTGGACATCAGTTCTGTGCGTCTTCCTTTCTCTTCTGTACTACTGTTTACGACGCTCGCTAAAGTTTTTTTGTTTCTCGTCTCTCGTTTTGTCGTCGTTTTGTCGTTCTCTCTCTCTCTCTTCTTCTTCTTCTTCTTACGCATATTTTATTATTAAACCGCGACGCTTTCTATTCGCGCAAACAAACAACAGGTGAAGAGGACATACAGAGAGTGTTGAGTTCAGGCGAGTGCCCAATCTGTCAAAAAGCAGTGCTCGAACGACACGTGAAGCAAACGCCGCTCGTCTTGGAAGAGGAGAAAGTTCAGGTACAAAACGTGTTTGTTTTTCTTCTTCTTTGTCTTCTTTGTCTTCTTCGTCTTCTTCTTCTTCAAAATACTCACACTAATAATAATAACAATAAATAGGTTGCGTTGAGAGGATTCAACACGGACAGTATCTTCACCGCGGCGTACCACGCGCAACAATTTGCAAACAATCAACTGGAAATGGCGTACGCAGCCATACAAGAACGAGGGCAAAGAGAATTCGAGAAGAAGTACGCAAAGGCGCGCACGAAGCTGGAAGACGTACACGCGGCGTATTCGAAAGAGAGGGCGAGGAGGCAGGAGATGATGAAAGCTTTGAACGCTTCAAAGACGAAACAGAAGGAAATCTATCGAAAGTACGAGCAAGTGTGTGGCCAGAAACGCAGGTTGGAACAGATGTACAGCGAATTGAGAAGAAGCCACGGCGTGGGCGGCGCGAACGCAATCCACAAGCGAAGCTTCTCGAACGAAGAGTTACGAGGAGCCGACGGTGGACCGCACTTGTTGGACGAAGACCCTTTCGGCGATACTCCGATGCGCGATTCTGGAGGAAGACGAGGAAGTATGGGCAATCCGGTTCGCCGCTCCTTACGGACGCACTCGCCGGTACCAATGCGATCGTTGGACTCGTTGAACGACTCACACGGAGAAGTCACGACGAAAGCTATGGAAGCACCAGCTCCACCGGTAATGAATACCAACAAAATACCATCTTTTGGGCAAAACAACAACAACAACAACATCAACAACAATAACAACAACAATAACGACAGAAGACGCTCGAGTTTTGGTATAAACGCGACGAACAAAGGCGGTGGTTTTGCTCCAGGTTTGGCGTTCGGGAGCAAACCGCAGTATAACAAAGTCGCCGCGAACCCGTTCGCTTCCAAACGATTTTAATCACCACATTATCCCGACGACAATTACTTAAGTATGTTAATGCTTAATACGATATATTCAACTAGACTTTAGCGAGAGAGAGAGAAACACAAACATATTTTCTAATATACACATACACATAATCGAAGATACACTCGATACTTTATTGGCGATTTATTATTTATTACTAAGATGCTAGGACATTTTTTCTTCTCAAAGGAACGATTGAATTGCTTGATTAAGTGCGGATAAAGCGCCACCACCTATTCCATAAACAGCCATCGCTCGAGGACCGTTCATGCTCTTATACAAAACACCAGCGCCGGCGCCAGCAAAAACGCTACACGCCGGATCAAATCTGTGTTCCGTGTAAATCATCGACGCCGATTCTAAACCGGCGTAAAACAATCCTACCGCACCCCAAGCGTTTCCGAACGTCCTCCCTCTGTACGACACTGCGTTCAGCACTCTGTTCACTTTTAACTTTGTCGTATCGATTCCAATTGATTCTCTAGGCGTTTGCAATCCTTTATACAAACCTATTCCTCCTCCGGCGACGGAGCCGCCGAGGTACCCCACACCTGTCAAATACGTCAAGTTTTCGCTCCATGATCTCGTTCGCATCTGCCTTTCTTCGTCGAATAAGTACTCTGGAGTCGTGCTTATGGAGTATAACTTTTGCGACATCCCCGGGTCGAACGGCCCGCCCAACCCAGTGTACGGATTATACGGCATCGAAGAACCGCCGCCGCCTGTATTTGCTAAGGAGGCGGACGACGTCGTTCCAAATCCGCCGCTCAAATCGGCCGGCGTCTGCGCCGTGGATGATGTGCTCGGCGCGGGAACAATTTCATCCAACTGTTCCGATGCTCGACTGCTCGAACTGCTCGCTTGTTCTTTCTTCCCTCGGATGCCTAATAAATCTCTCAATCCCATGTTGTCTGCCGCGTGTTTTCGTGTTTTGCTGATGATAATTTAATTCGATCGCCGTCAAACAAAATCCCTTCTTCTTCTTCTTCTTCTTCTTCTTCTTCTCAGATGACGAATCGTTTCGTAGTCGCGAGAGAGGAGGACTTTTATTCCTTTTCTTTCGTCGCGTTCGAAAAGTAGTATTCTCACGCTCTCTCTTTGTTGTTGTTAATAATAACAATACTACGTGTTGTGTATAGTACGGACAGACACTGTGTGTGTGTGCGTGTGTGTGTGCGCGATTATTTTATTATCCCAAGCAAAGTTGTGCAGAAGAGTGAAGGCGAAAAACGAGGGCTCTTTCTCTCTCTCTCTCTCGCTTTTCCACACAAACCACAACGAACGGGTTTTGTCTTTTGATGCTTTTTTTTCCCATCTTAATATAACGAGAAGAAGAAGAGAGATATAGTATACGACAGAGTAGAAGAATAGTAACATATAGATAGAAATATATTTAAACACGACCGAAAAGATGATGGCGTCCACGACGACGAGTGCTCGGACGCAGCTCACTCTGACGACGACGCGTTCGATGAAGATGAGAATGACCAAGAACTTCACCACCACACGAGCAGGTGGTTTGAACTCGGAGAAACTCTCCAACAACGACTATCCAATCGGAGAAGTCGTGTTAGGCATCGAGCTGAGAGGTCACGGGGCGAAAGGGGCCATCATCGATACCGCGAACGCAGATTTTATGCGACCAGGAGTTGAAGTTGATTTAGAGGAGTTGAAGGAAGAAGCGGTGGAAGAGGCGCTGTCGAAAATTGCGACCCATTACAATTGGGGAGGTACAGTTGGCGTGAGCTACACGAGAGCGGTTATGCGAGCGTGCGGGAACCGGGATATTAACAAACACATAGTGAAGATGTTTCCAAAATCAAAAGGCAAAGTGGGGTCGATGATACACACCGAAGCCGCGGCGTACGCGCAAATGTATTACGGGCCAGGCCGAGACGTCGATGGTGTGGTATTAGTAGTCACGATTGGTAGAGGCTTCGGGACTGTGGTATACAATCACGGGCAGAAAGTGAGAAACATGAACATGACAAACTTCACGTGGACGTACGAAGGAGAATTAAAAAAGTTACAACAGAAGTTTAATTGGGAAGGTATCGCACCAGGATTTCAAGATGACAAAGACGAGGAGGAGAAGGAGAAAATAACGCAGTGCATCGATAACTTTGGCTTGCAAGGAAGTTGGGAGATGTCGTTCGATGACGTTGAAAAGTGTGATATCGGGCCGAAAACGAGGGAAAAGTTGGACGAATTTTTAGCGTGGGGCACATTAGTCGACGAGTATCTTCAAAAAGTTACCTCGCACGTGCAACCCGAGCGAGTGATTCTTTTGACGACTGGACACGCGAGCACACTACCAACAAAGTTACTCTTCAAGTTATTTGCGCCAGGCATAGCTTCCGCCGGTGTGAATCCCACGGAGGCTTTGCTCATCTCAGAATCTCCGTCTTCTATTGTCAAAGGTGCCGCGTTAGGCGCGATGCTGGAGCTTTCCAACAAAGCTACAGTTGAGATTCTTAGAGCTGCGATTTGCAAAGATATCACCGGTGCGCCTGAACCGAGAATTTTGACCGACGAAGACATGCAATATGTATTTAAAAAATTAGATAGAAACAAGGACAGCCAATTAGACGCAGAAGATATCCTTCGCGGTGCCGCTTTGTACGATGTAGTACTTTCGGAAGTAGAAGCAAACACGGTGTTGCGAAGTTTTGCGGGAACGTCAGCTGCTCGAAATCAAACGGCCTCGTTTGACGATTTCGAGCGTTGGTGGGTAAAAACAGTCAAAAAGTCCGTGGTCAAACACGTGCAGAGTCAAGAAGAACTCGAGACATATTTGCAGGAGAAAAGTTCAGCAAACGAGAATCCGGTCATTGTTTTGCAGTGTGGATACTCGTATTGCAGACCGTGCATAAAATTTGAACACTCGTACGAATCCGTGGCGAAAGACCCTCGGTTTAAGAATATCAAATTCTTAAAAGTTGTCGGCGACTCTTCGCCCGCGCTTTCGCATTTGACTCACGAGCTCGAAGTAGAAAACACGCCGGATTTCCGTATATTTCGAGGGGACAAAATGGTGCAAAAGTTTACCGGAGCTAACAGAAAGAAACTCGAAGACAACCTCATCGCTGTTCTAGAGAGCAAAGACGTCAACCAAATCCCAGGGATTATAATCAAATAGTTTGCGAATTAAGCCTATAAAAGTCAGATGCCTGCCGCATGTAAGTAATCTATTTATTTTAACTACAGTACTTCTGCTGCTATTACATGCTACTATCAATCCTACATTCTATCATAAATACTGTGCGCGACTATTTCTTCATATCCCTGTTTTTTACGCTCGAAGAAGAATGGAACCAAGCATTGTCTTTGATTTCCTTCTCCCAATTCGCGCTCCCGTCCAACACAGCGTCAAGTTTGGTGCATACGCCATCTTCGACACAACTGATTCCTAATTTTTCATACTTAAGCTTGGAAGGATGCCAAACGCACACTGAATTTTCCCCAACATCATTTACGAACGATTTCCAAGAAACGTTTTGATCCAAGTCGACGTAAGCAAAACGCAACAGGCGTTCAGACTTAAATTTTTTAGCGAGCGCTTGTAAGCCCTGTATTTGCTCCACAACCGGTCCTTTGTCACGACTGTTTATGAATTGAAGCACGACGTAAACGCTCTTTGTGAGTGCCGTGGTCCTTTCAGAGAATTCGCTCAGGTTCATGACGATATCATTAGCGTCGAGTGCATTGGACGTCGAAGTATCCACAGTATCAGCAGATGGAACGTTTTGTGCGCTCCTTGCAAACTTTCTGTTACGCAAAAATCGAAATAGGGATATCTGAAGAACAAACATGAAAATAATCGGGAAGGGACCAATCTCTACCATCATGATAACAGATTCTTCCAAGACTCGAGCAACAGTTTGCAAAATGTCCATTCTGAACTGTTCAAGTTGCGTTTTCAAACCAAGGCGTTCCTGTATCAAAAGCGCTTTCGATACCTCGTCTTGGAGAGAACGACTTGTTTCATCGGCGTTGAACAGTTCCCCAATCCATTCGTAAACTTCTTCGATATCTACAGCATTACCCTTGAATAGAACATTACTCATCTTACCGGGTTTGTCGGAAATGAATCGCAGCGCTCTCAACTCCGCGTTCGAGGATCCCCTTTTGAAGGAATACGCTTGACACGCCTTCTTTTGTTTGACGCAATCTATCCGAGCGAAAACAATCTCATCGTTTTCTAAAGCAGTGGATAAACTTACTTTCATTGCATTAAGTCCTTCTTCGTTACTCTCATCTCTTTCTTTTTGTAAATCCTTCTTGATGCTACTCAAAGTGTGCTTAAGAGACTCAGTCGTTTCCCTTTCATCACCTAGGAGGAGCACACAAAGTCGAGTCAATCCGCCAGATTTGCAACGTATATCGTCCATACTACGTGACATAATCTCCGGAATGAGTTGGAAATGATGCTCGGTAAATAAGCGCTTCAAGCTCTCCTTGCCAGAAACGCCGTGTTTCACGATGACTTCGTTCGATTCGGATTTCAGAACGACCACTGCTGGAGCTGATTCAACCCCGTATATCTGTTTCCACTTTCCTTGATCTCTTTCCGTGTGATGAATTCTGACCACATGAACATCATCCGAATACTCCGTGGCGAGTTTACGCAAGGTTGGGCTCGGCGTCGTGGCGCGAGGTGAAAAAATGATAAACTTAACTTTGTCGTTCTTTGGCGTTTTCTTGTTCTCGTCCTTAATATTTCCCCTAATTGTCACAGGAGCAAAGTTCTGCTCCAGCTCTTCCGACGCAACACTTGGAACCTCTTTCAATCGCAACAGCTTATCCATCACGAACGATCCTAAATCGTCCGCTTTCATTTCGCCTCTATATCTTTGCGCGCACCAAAAGTTGTTGCATCCTTGCGCGAAACCAACAACTGCGGGTAACTTGGTAAACGCAATCGGTTCGTTGGACATGAAGTACTTCGGGGCAACTTTCACGGCGAGCCGTCGATAGAGCTTTTGGTTTACTCTTCCAAACTTTGCAAAACCATCGAGAGCTCTGGAAGCCTGTTCCCAACTCGATGACGCTCTTTGCGACGGTTCCGAAGCATCGTCATAGACTTCGATAAGCCAACTATTCCCGCCGACAGCGCCGGCGTTATTGTCCTTGCTGTTCCTCCTTCGGTTAAACACGATGGACTCGAACGCGCTCAAACTCGTAAAATCGAACGTTTCTGAATCAATCGAATCAATCGTCTGTTCTTCAGAATCCCACCCACCTCTTTTCATTCGCGAAGACGACGAGGAGGAGGACGAACCTTTCTTTTTCGTGAAGCGCTGGTATCCGCCTTTTTTCTCTCCTTCCTCCTTCTCTTTCCTTTTCTCATCTCGTTCCAAATCTTTCAAGTTTGCGTACCCGGTTACGTCGTAATTCCTCCTCTTCTCCGGATCAATCAACGTCTTATACGCCATTTGAATGCTCATAAACTTTCGCTCTATCTTTTCTTTTTCTTCATCATCGTTAATCGTGTGTTGTTTATCCGGGTGAAACCGTAAGGACAGTTTTCTGTAACTTCTTTTGATGGCGGAAGCGTCGGCGGTTTTGTCCACCCCTAAAATAGCGTACGGGTTCAAGTCTTTCTCTCCGGAGATAAAATAAGAGAAGAAGGAGAGAAAGAAGAAGAGAAAGAAGAAGCGAGAGGATGCTACCGCTCTCATCATCATCATCGCGTTAGGTCTGCGCGGCGCGAGGAGTACGAGTTGTTAAGTGTACACACAGTCGTGCTCTCTTTTTTTTCTTCTTCCCGGGGTCTCTTTTGTGGACTTTTTGGCGATTTCGAATTTTTAGGGTACAGAGAGGGTCCTTCTTTTCCCCCATTCTTTCATCACGCTCTTCTTGTTTGTTCGATACACCTCTCTCTCTCATATATCTGATTACAAGAGAACAACGAGAACAACAAGAAGAACGAAAACATCGCGCAACACACACAAAAGATGGGGATTCGTCGCCCGATGAGCCAATCCTCGCTGACATCACCGTCCATAACGTTCATATTAGTCTTCTGTTCTGGACTCTATTTAGGAGCTTTACTCCCGAACGAAAACTGGCGACCGAAACCATTTATAAGTAAAGATAGTCCGAGATATGGAGGGCAAATGTTACGCGCGAGCTTTATGACGTCGAGCAGCGAAAGCCAGGCGATTATACCGGGAGCGGCAACCGATTGGGTAGAGAGTAGAAGTGGGAATAGTGATAAGAGGAATAGGAATGGGAATAGGAATAGCAATGGAGGAGGAGGGGGAGGTGGTGGTGAAGAAGATAACGAGAGCGATAGTTGTGACTGTTCCAAGAAGAAAAGCGCGTCGGAACTTCTCAGTTCTTTCGGTGAGAGTGGATTAGGACAACTCGCCTCGCCATCGATTAGCAAAGAAGACGCGTTGGCGAAAATCGACGCGTTACAGCGAGCGCGAACGCACCTGGCGAAAGAAAAGGCAAACTTAGAAGGTGAGCGGAACGCGCTGAATAAAGTTGTGAAAGAAGCACAAAGAAGCGCAGACCAGTGTTTGAAAGACTTGAAGAAGAAGAAAGGAGGACACTGATGAATTCAGTGTTTGATGATACGTATCCCGTCTCCCTCGTTCTAATATTCTATATTACTACATCTCTAGCGCTGCGTTTCAACTCTAAATATACTCCTAAAATTCAAACTATTTATTCGTCTTCGTCCATTTCGCCGACGTACTCGGCGATTTCATCGAGATCGATATCGTCATGTACGGTAAAATCGTCACTCAATTGGACTCGAGCAGTATCGTTACTCTTATTCTTTTGCACCAACTTACCCCGGCGGCCTCGCAACTTCCCGGCGAGAACGACCACACGACCACCCGGTTTCTTCGGGATGCACGTTTCTAAATAAGATTGACGAACGTTCGATACCAGCGGCGAAGTTCTACCGTTATCTCCATCGATTTGCACAGTGCACTCCTTGGGCGTTGGAATATCTACAATTGTTCCTTTCTTCAGATAGTATATCCCGCCAGAGAAAGATTTGGAGATGATTCGAACGCGAACGGATGGATAGAGCCACGGATCATCATCATCATCATCATCATCATCATCCTCTTCTTCCGATTCTTCTTCCTCCCGCGCCTTCTTACTCTTCTTACTACCCGCATCGTCGCTGCTCTTTCGTTTCTTATCTCTTTGAGAATCGGGAGCGTTTACCATCTCGTCTAATTCGGAGCATCGCAACGTAATGACTTCGCCCGAGGAATCAAGTTCAAACTGCGCTCTCCCGTCTGCTTTCTGAATTTTCAACACTCGTCCCGTTAACCCTTCGTGCTTCCCTTTTGCCACGTACATGCGCTTCCCTTCTTTCACCCCTAACTCTTCCTTCTTTACGAGCTTTTCGTCGATAGATTTTACGTTCCTCATCCCAGGCGCTCGAGACGCGTTTGGATCTCTCACTAATATCTCCATCTTTTCCTCTCTCGTTTCGCCCGGTTTCCGTATCTTCTTATCGTTGTTGTTGTTATTCTTCCTCAGAGTTGCACCTGGTACATCCATAGTATCCGCTCCTAATCCTAACCTCCCCATCCTCGGCACAAATTCTACAGGATCTGCTCTTCCGCTCTTCGCGTTCCTTCCAACCCCTTCGCCTTCTTTCCAACCCATCCCGCGCAACATTGCCGCACCAAAATCCTCAATCGGCATCGACTCGTACGCCTCAATTGACGCTTGCTCAGGTAAATCCTCAACGTCCTCTTTAAAAGCATCCAATTCTTTTTCCGCTAAACTCTTTCCGATGAACGACTCGTTCTTATTCTTGTCTTGCTCTTTCTTCTTGTTCTCGTACCGCACTTTCGCTTCGTCGCCTTTCGGTGCCATCCTCGTTAACCCATACGTGGTTTTGTTGCCCTGCGCGGTTTCGCCTCCGATCGTTTCTGATACCTCGAATCGTTTGTCGTCGTCTATTTTCTCGCTTTCCGTTGGAAGAAAACTTGGTGCCTGTGATATTATTATTATTATTATTACGAAGAGTGGGGAGGTGAGCATACGAACTGATTAAAATACATTCCCCTATTCGAGAATAGAAACATACGAATCGAGAAGACAGACGATACAGATGCATCTGAAAATACACAGCACGCGCTTACCTTTCTTTGCCTCCCGGTCCCAACTTCAAAAGTATTCCTCATCGCCGGAATACTCTTCTTCTCTTCTCCTTTTTTCTTCTCTTCTTTCAAATGCACCCGGTCTTTCCCGACCGCTAAAACCGCCTCTCTTTTTTCACCGTCTTTTTCTTCCTCCTCTTCTTGGACGTTGATTTTCTTCTTCTTTTTGGTCCCTTTAATCCCTCCGGAGAAGCCTGCGAAAGATGATGATGCCATCTTTCCGTCCTTTCTTTGTGTGTGTGTGTGTGTGTGTGTGTTTGATGAGAAGAGAGCGCTTAATAATACTATAATAAACAAAATAGGGGATTGGACGATGAGTTTTGACGAGTTCGTTTTCTCTTTTTTCGTCTTTTCTTCTTCATTTTTAAAAAAGACGTCGTCGTCGCGCGTCAAAATCATCACACAAACAGAAAAGAAGAAGAAGAAGAAGACAAAGATATGAACAAACTCAACGCAGGCCAGAAGAAAGGGGTTCAGGAATTCGTTGCGGTCACTCGGACGACCAACACGAACGCGATAAAATATCTGAAGAAGTTCGCGTGGAACTTACAAGCGGCGGTGACGGACTTTTTGGAACATCCACCAAAATCGACTGCGTCGTCGTCGAGTGGTGGTGGTGCGTTTTCGGAATCGACTTTGGAAACGTTTTTCCAGAAGTACCAATCGGAAGAGACGAAGAAAGAAACGGCCACGGATAAGAAAGAAATCGATGCGGAAGGAATCATGCGGTTCTTCGACGATTTAGGCATCAATCCGGAGTCGGATTTGGTCACTTTAGTTTTAGCGAATAAGATGAACGCGCAAGAGATGGGGAAATTTACGCACGAGGAGTTTACGAGCGGGATGAGACAACTCCAGTGCGATTCGATGGTAAAGTTGAAGAAGAAAATACCGGCGATGAGGCAGGAATTGGTAGACTCGTACGCGTTTAAAGCGGTGTACGAATACGCGTTCAGATTCTCAAAGGAGGAAAATCAAAAGGCGTTGAATTTGGACACGGCGTGCGCGATGTGGGAACTTTTGTTGAAAGATAAGTGGTCGTTGTTGGATAAATGGTGCGATTTCTTGAACCGAGAGCATAAGAAGGCGATTTCAGGGGACACCTGGAATCAAATTTTGGATTTTTCGAGGGCGTACAACTCTAGTTTGTTCGGGTACGATGCAGAAGGGAAGGACGCGGCGTGGCCTGTTTTAATCGACGAGTTTGTCGAGGAGCAGCTCGAGAAGTTAAAAGAAGGGATGAAATGAGAAAAGAAGAAGGAAGGAAAAGGTGCGAGTGATAGAGGAGGTGCAAGAAATAGCTGATACAGTACGTAGCATTATAATTAGGATACACACACGCGAATAAAATGTCATTAAAACGAAGATACACAAAAGATACAATACAAATAATTATACAGAAGGAGCTTTTCTTTTTCGCGTACTATGTGCAGTGTATGTTACAACTTTAAGTTTTTCTCTATTTTTATTCTACGTATATATAACATGACGTTACTTTCGACGTCTTAATTCGTCGTCCTTTCGATACGAAGCTGGCATTTTATCTCTTCTTTCCTTGATATCTGTTTCTGAAGCTGGTTCTGAGGACATTTCCCCTGGCTGGGTCGAGATGGAAATCGTATCGTCCTCGCTCGCTAAAATCGACTCGATGAGTTTATCTTGCCTCTTGTCTCTCCCCCCAATCGTCGCACTCGTCGTCGATTTAATCGTGTTCACGACGTCGTCCATCATCGTAGTCCCTTCTTCCTTACCGGACACAGATTTCATAAACACGATCAACGACGTCATAATCACCGCGAACGTGTTCAAGCAAAACCAGTTGAAACCGACGACTGAAATTGTTGATAGAATCGGATAAAAATAGAGCGCTTTCTGCAGAATGTTCATCCGCAAAGAGATTGTCGCTGACGCCGAATAAATCTCCGGCAACATCCCACTTTTCGTCTGACCTCTCGGGAGTAACTTTACCGCAACTCTCGTGAAATCTCTCCTTTCCCGTATCTTTGAAAACACTCTCACGTCAATCGTTTGCTTCTCTTCTACGAATCCCACCAGGTGAAACGGCCAATATGCCAGCGTTTTCATCCACCTCACTAACGGCGATTGATATCTCAAGAGAGTAGGTCGCATAGAATCTAGTATCGTTTCCCCACTCGTAGTTACCAATTCTGCTTTCACTTGAAACATCCCAACCTTTCGATTATATTCCGAATCCGGCACGTCCAACTGCACGTGCACGTCAAACGTGGAATGCGGAGAGACGATCCGTTCTTGAACTTTTCTGGAAAACCAAGGGAGGAAAGCCAACGTTTTCTTCACGATGTTTGTCGTCGTCATCGTCTGTTCTTTCGTTGAATTTTCTATTCCTTTACCACTACCTTCCCAATAGATCGGTTGCTCCACGAACGACGCCATCGCGGTCGGTGTTTTCTCCGCGAAATTGAAGAACAAATCCTCTCGCATTATCGCGGTGCCGGATGGCAAGACCAAATATCTCAACGCGAACGCAAAGAAGATGGAAATGAAGAGGAAGAAAGAGGAGAGAAAAAGAGCGAATATGCTCCCTAAAGCCGTTTTCTTGACCAGAGATGCCATTGTGTGTGAAGATGATGAGTACAACACAAAAAAGGAAGAGGAGGGGACGATTTTCTAACGTTTTTCGTAGGCTAAACGCTCAACGCAACGAACAAGGAACAATCACAAGAGCTTTTAAAACAACAATACATTTTTAACTTCTATTAAAATAATAACGTGTACGTATACACCCACAAACTCGCACATTACGCTGGCAACTTGCTCGCGGTGATCAACTCCAACTTGCGTTGCAAAAACGCCGATCCGCACAAGAACAAAGTGCACATCCCAAACATCGCCGATAACGGAAATAAAGCGACGTTGTACAAAATTACGCACACGAACAAGTTCAAAGGAATGCGGAAAAAGTTCATCACGGTCGAGCGAACGTCTTCGGGTACGTATTGCGCTCTCATTTTCATCATCGATGGCCAAAAAATACCAACCATAAACTCAAAGACGAGGAACCCACACAATTGCAACTTGCCTTCAAACGTGATTGGTCCTCCTTTATACCCACCCGAGCCTAACTCGAACGTTTTAATAAACACTGGAATAGATAACGAGCACGCGGAGAGTAAAAACACCGATTGCATGTATTTTTCAACTCTTAAATCCGATCTCGCCATTAATCTCGAAGACATGGACGAACCGATCATGCACGCAACCATCATGGTGGCAAAAATCATACCGTGAGGAATATCCTCGCCGTTAGGTGACAACGCCGGCGTCCACAAAAAGACGAATGAGTACATCGACGCTTCAAACAAAGATTGCATAGCACCCAAGTAGAAAATCTTCTTATCGGAGAAAATCGCTTTGTACGCGGTCGAAAAGGACTGCTGTAAGTTTGCGTTCTCGACGACGTCGCCGGTGTTTTCCGACCAAGTGAGAAAAATGACCGCGCCGCCGATGGCCAAAAAGCACGTCGCCGCATCGAACGGTGCCACCGGACCCAAACTCATATCGGTCACTAAATAGTTCGCCACTAACCCGGAAACGATAGAGACCAACCCGTTCCCTAAGAAGATGGCTTTCGAGAATGTTTTATCTAACCACTCCGCTTCGTATCCTCTTTTGAAGTGTTCCGCGACCAACCACGACTCAAACACCGTGAACAACAAACTCGTCGCAATGCCACCAAAAAACCTCCCGAGCATTAAAACGTAATAATCCGACCAGTGCTTGGTCACGCAACTCGCGATATACGTCGCCACGTACACCAAAGCCGCCGCTTTCCTCCCGTGCTTATCCGCCATAGAACCAACCACGGTGCCGAAGATCATTGAACTCCCAAACCCGGCGATGAAAAGTTTCCCGATATCCCCGGTCGTGTATCCGTAGTGCTGATATAACGCGTACACGTACGGACCTTGCAACCAATCTCCAGCCATCATCAAAGAATACACGAACAAATAGTTATTTCTGAAATTCAAGAAGGACGAAGGCATTTGCGTCTTCTCTTTTTGGGTGAACTTTTGGAACTCCATCAGAGCGCAAAAAACAGCCAGGACGCTAAACTGCGTCCAGTAATACGCTTCCATTTTCTGAGAATGAACGGTGTAATGAGGCAACTTTGGTTATTGATATTTTGAGATTGTTCTTCTTCTTCGGCAGTGAGAAAAGCACGACGAAAAGAGAGAAGAAGAAGAGAGCTTTAGTAGTAGCTTTCTTTTTTTCTGAGGATGGACGAATTTTGGGTTTTAGCAGAAGGACGAGCGAAGAGCAGAAATTTCTGCAGAAAAGGCAAACTGTTTGAAAATTCAAAACTGGGCTCCACATAAAATCAAATATCACCATCCTGGTGGACGAGATGGAAGACGACTTAGACGCCCTCATCGACGATGAGAACGAGATGGAGGAGACGTACATCGATGAAGACGAGGAAGACATGGCGTTTTTAGCGGAACAAGACTTAGACGACGATGAAGAAAACGCAGGAGGTGCAACGCAAAATCCGCCCGGGACGCAAGATTTGGATTGGTTAGAGAACGAAGCAAATGGAGGTGCAACGCAAAATTCAAATAAACGGGGCCCTTCAGATTTCGAAAAGAACAACACTGAAAATGATGACGACGATGATGGTGACGATGCGGAAAAAGCAGCGGCAAAGAAAAAGCGTTCGATAAACCCGACGCCATCTTTAACCGAGGAAGAACTGGCGAAAGAATTGGCGGAGAAGAAACGAAAGCAGCAAGAGTTGGAAAGGAAAGAACGAGAGTTGGAGTTGGAACTTTTGAGATACAAATCTGTGGCGAGAAACGCTCCGCCTTTGTTGACTTCAGCCGAGGCCGTTTCGGCGGGATTTAGAGTCATCAGCGTGACTGATCCGAAAGATTCAACGCACAGAGTGTATTTGAAAGTCGAGGAGCGTCCGTTTGGGGAGTTGGATGGCGATTCGAACGATGAAAATGATGTTTTGTTGAGCGAAAACCAGCTGGCGCGAAAGAAAGGAAAGAGAGGTTACGACCACGCCCGGGCGACGATCAATCGCATTCACTTGTTAAATGAACCCATTAACGACATGTTGATGGAAATTGAAGAGAAGAAATCAGCCGCGTTGGCTGCAAGCTTGGAAGAGCAAGCGAACAGAGAGAACACGATGCCGACGGAGGAAGAGATGCGAAGCGCAGAGGAAGAAGAGACGATGAGCGTGGAAGACTTCGCTGAGATGCAAAGAAAGAAGAAGAAAATTATAGAGCTGAAAGCAAAGATTGCCAGTGCATCGTGGTTGACGAAATATGCGCCGAGAAAGTTTACGGATTTGATTTCCGACGAACGATCGAATAGAGAGTTGTTGAGATGGTTAAAAATGTGGGACAAAATCGTGTTCAACAAAAAGACGCCGGATCAAATGATGAATCATTCAATTATTAATCCGTCGGTTATGAAGGCAAGCAACGGCCAGAATAGAAATAACAATTACAACAACAACAGCAGCAAGTATCAACAAAAAACGGAAGAACTTTACGATGCGTCGGGAAGACCGATGAAGAAAATAGCTTTGGTTTCTGGCGGTCCTGGCTCTGGCAAAACTACGCTCGCGCACATCGCAGCGAAACACGCAGGGTACAGAGTCGTAGAAATCAACGCTGCGAGTACGCAGAAATCCACCAATGGTCTCGTGGAAGCCGTAAAACAAGCCGTAGAAATGCGCTCGGTGTTGGAATCGATGAAGGGAATCTCCGTTTCAACAAGGAGTGATAGCCAAAATGCAAGGCCAAACTGTTTAGTTATCGATGAAATTGATGCCATATTTGGCGGAAACGAAGGCAAAGGTGCCATGAGTGCTCTTCTGAAACTTGCAAACGGAACTTTAGGCGGCAAGAAGAACTCGAATGGTCCTCTGAATCGTCCGATTATCCTCATTTGCAACGACATGTATTCGGCAGCATTGCGACAGTTGAGAGACGCATCGAAGCTCGTCAGGCTGCGTCCGCCATTGGCGGCGAGAGTCACCGGTAGATTAAGAGAAATTAGTTCGAAGGAGAAAATTTCATCCGATCCAAGAGCGCTCAGTCAGTTGGCAGAGACGTGTGAATTAGATATTCGCGCGTGTTTGAATCATTTGCAATACAAGTCTCTCGCGAGAGGAAAATTTACCATGGCGGATGCTCCTATTTCCGGAGAAAGTAAAGACGTTGGGGCGAAAGCGTTAGAGATGATGCGCGATGTATACAGAGGTAGACATGCCTTCATGGAGAAGACGTATCCGGGACCGGCAAAGCATTTCAGCTGGATGTACGATAGACTTGAAACATTTGGAGATGACAATTTATTGTTGGAGTCTACTTTTGAAAATCTTCCCAGCGCAAAGCTTAATGATTCGACGATGGAAATGTTTGCTTTGGCGTCAAATGACATCTCTAACGCAGATATTTTTAAAAGTTCAAAACTAGCAAACTCGACGGATTATTTCTACGGTCAAATCGCTTCCGTGCACCATCGCGCGAGCGGTTGTAGTACCATGGATTCCGTGGAGTTTCCAAAAATCAAAACCGCCGAGAGAGAATTGCAAAGGAAAAGAGAAATAACGAAGGAATGGATGGAGAAAGCGAAGATCGATTCGCGATCTATTTCAATGCGCAATTCTAGTTCAGTTGACGTGTTACCATACGTTCTGACGATAATAGCTCCCGACGTGGGCAGAGCTGCCGGGTATGATTTCATGTCGCAAAATGAGTCGGAGGTGTTGAAACGGGCAGTCGACGTGACGCGTTCAGCCGGTTTGACGTATGCGAAAACATCGTCAAAAGGTTCATTCGATAGAAGTACGTACAGTGCTGGTTTACAGCTGCAACCGGCGATTGACGAACTCGTAAAATACGGATGTGGAGTTCCTGGAATGGTGTCGAAACCAATCTCTGCTAATGGTGCTGCGATTCGCATGTCTCGCGAGGAATGGATCGCACAACGAAACGCATTGAACGACGAAAGAGACAAGTTAAGAAACGAAAAGCTCGTCGACCGACGCGAGCTCGGTCCTAACGCCCGAGAATTGGTCGCCCGAGAAGTAACCATGGACGAAATCCGCGAACGCGCGAGAAGCTACAATCCCGAAGGCGTATTCACACCAGAAAAAGGAGGCGAACGAGGCGTCGAAAAGAAGCAGTTTACGAATCAAAACGTCGTAAACCTGCCTCAGTCTGCCGCGTACGACGAGATGAAGAAAGCGAGCAACGCGAGACTCGAGCTTGGCTTTTCCGGCGGGAACAAACACAGAATAGCCGCGAGTACCAAACCAAAATCTTTGACGACAGTTGGCGTGACCAAGTACAAATACAACGAAGGCTTTACGAACGCCTTGCGAAGAACGGTGTACATGAAAGATTTATTCCCGGGAATGGTAGCCAGCAAAGATGTAGAGGAGGAAGAAGGGGAAAAGGAGGAGGACGAGAAAGAAGCAATCAATAATAAGAATAGAGGAGAAGAGGCGATGATGGTTTAATAGTTCAATCGAGTATTTTGTGCTTTTTTTTTTTTTTCTTCTTCTTCTTCTTCTTCTTCAGTACACCACAATTCACAGATTTGCAAAGAGGAGCTTCACTTAAGAGAGCAAGAGGCGGGTCTCACATCTCACAAATACACATAATAAAGACGACATGCTCGCACAATCTCGATTCTTCTGTGCGCCATCGACGTCTTCTTCCTCTTCCTCTCATCGCACTCAACACACTTTATCGAGCAGAGGAGGAAGACGTTCTGGCCTTCGAGATGAACAAAAACGTCACCCGAAAGTCCATCAAAGAAAAAAGAAATGTACCCACGCGGCGTTGGCAAACGCAGACATTGAACGCGCTCGAGGAGGTGATTTTCGCGAAGCTGCAGAGTGCTTCGTTGACGCGTTCTTCGTCGACGGTAAATCGAATCCAGACGACCGAGAAATCGGCTCTTTAGAACGCGCCCAGGCGTCTGATTTATCCAAAAGATACTCAAATGCGAAGAAAGGGGCGATGTTCATCGTGCGAGACGACGAGACGTGCGATTTGATGGCGTGCGCTGGGGTAGAGTATCGACGATATTTGGGCGATTACGACTACGAAAACGTTCCGGAAGACGTTGATAGATTCGCGCTCGGGTCTTCGATAACGGTACCGATTATTGCAAACCTGGCCACCTCTCGAAAGGCTCGAGGGAAAGGCTACGCCAAGGCGTTGGTGAGAGAGTGTGAAAAGGAGGCGAAGAATAACGGTTTCGAAGAGTGCGCTTTAATTGTAGAAAGCACGAATAGTAAAGCTCGTTCGTTGTATAAAAAAATGGGCTATAGAGTTGCGAAAACGCTGAAAGATCAAAATGCGTTGAAGATGCAGAGCGACGGAAAAGCGAGAGTCGTGAAGGTGACCACGTTGCTAATGAGAAAGAGTTTACTCAATCAAAGACAGAGCATCGATTTGGAGAGTCTCGTTGTTCCAATCGGTGCAGTGGTAGCTTTATACGCGCTCAGTGCTAACGACGACCTTCGAGACGCCATCTTTGGCTTTCTCGGCACTTCGTAAAATAGTGTCACGAGAGGAACAACATCGCGACGACGAACTTGAGATAATAAGAAAGTGTGCGTACACTGTGGTGATTTTCATCTGTTTCAATATTTATAATTACGTTGTTAATATATTAATCTTTCCGGAGGCAATAATTCCCCGGAGTAGCTGCCTCTAAAGAGCTAAATTTATCCTTTACTTTAGTTTACTGTACGTACGTTAATCGTCGTCTATTTTCTTTTTATTTGTTTATTTTCTTTCGTGCTGCGGCCTATAGCGTATTTTACTCGTTCATCGCCATCATCACACCTCAATTTTCTTCTTTGCTCTTTCTCTCTTAAAGTCCTCCAACGTTTTGAACTTGGTTTCCATGATCTCTTTCAAGTCGTCTCTCATGGTTGGTTTCTCTGGGCCTTTGTAGTAAAAATGGAAAGCCCAAAACTTTTCCAAGCCGTAGAGCGATCCACTTTCGTAATCTCTTAACGCATACTCTTCAAAATCACGATATATCGCAGTTCGAAAACGTGCTTCTAAACCGTAGGAATAGAATCTGAACAAGCATTGCAACCCGTAGTGGTGGTTTGCTCGGGCGTCTTCCTCCGCGAGGCGGCAGAACTCTTTGTACATCTTCACGTTGAAAGTTTGCCTCAAAAAGTAACTCCAAAATCGAAACAAAGTGTTCATTTCTTCTGATTGACCACAACCAACTCGCTTACGTTCCTCGATGCAACGCTCGTGGAAAGCTTTATACTTTTGCTGCTTAAAGCCATTCTCTTCTAACAAAGCGTGCGACACATGAGAAGGCGAGTCTGCTGATCTTCTTTGCTGCGCAGCTTGATGCATTTGAGAGCCAATTTTTGGAGAAAACGAACCCATCAACCAGCCAATGTCTTCGCGTTGCGACTGTCCATCTTTAGGAAGCGATGAAGGGAAAAAGTTCGCCGTATCTTTCTTCCACGAGCCAGTGACAGAATTTTTCACCGGTGTCGACATTGCCGGCGTCGCGCCTGACCCAGTAATCGGTCTCGCTGCAGAACTCCCCGCGGTACTTCCCGGCCCGTGACGGGCTCCCTTCTGAGTGACAATCATAAGTCGGCCAACATCAGCGTCGTTCATATCATCCTCTTCGTATTCGTCGTCGGTATTTTCGTCGTCGGACTCGTTGTTATTGTTATCGCCAAAGTCTTCGTCCATCTCGAAATCGTCCGCCTTTGTCGGTGCTGAAGTCGCAGATTCTACTGCTGCCGCGTTGCTATCTGCTGATTGCGGCACGCTCGCTGATCCATCGGCAGATAACAACCAGTTTCGCCATTGATCGCCACCGACTCGAATCGCATCCTTAGCCTCGTTAAATTCAATCACCGTCGACCCTTGCAACGCTTCCGATAACGCAGTCGGATCAGGAGTAAGCATGCGCACTCTGTTGAAGGCGCCAATCACAGAGAGAGCAATCCAACCTTCCGTCGGGTCCATTTTTTGTCTAAGGAATAAGTCGCGGCATAAGTTATCGACCGAGAAGTAGTATTCAACTTGTCGCTTCAACGCCGCCAAAACCTGAGCTCTAGTCGCTACCGGGGCTGCCATATTCTGTGGATAATATCCATAACTTTGCGGCGGCATACCCCTTCCCCGCAAGGGATACCCTTGGGGCATGTAGCCAACGTTGTATGGCTGTTGGTTAAATCCTCTTCCACCGTTGTTAATACTTCCTCGCCCTCTGCCGCCTCTTCCTCTACCAGAGTTATCGTTGTCGCCGCCTCCTCTGCCTCCTCCTCCTCTTCCTCTACCCCCGCTACCGTATGCATATTCGCCGCTGTGATCTGACCCGATGGATCCTACAGAACCGTTTCGACTGTGTCTACCACCACCTCCAGTTCGTCCTCGTCCTCGGGCTTTAATGTTCGTATCCACACCGCCGCCTCTGCCTGGGCCGGTTCTTCCGCCCGGGCCGGTTCTTCCGCCCGCGGGCGCATTCGCCGGTCGATTGTTGTTATTGGTGTTGTTGTTGCTGTTCGCATTCGGATTGGTATTATTGTTATTGTTATTGCTGTTGTTATTGCTGTTGCTTTGGTTGTTTTTGTTTTTGTTTTTGTTTTTGTTTGCTTCGCTATTTTCGCTGTTGCTGTTATTATTTGCATCTTTCGGCGTCGCATTCGCGCCGTCCTCGGTTGATTTCTGATTCTTTTTCGAATTCGAGTTTGAAGCGCCTTTCGTTCCGTTCTCCGCCGCTGCTGCTCTCAATAACTCGCTCTCTGCGCCAGTAGGCACCGCGGTTTCATCTCCTAATGACGGCCACACCACAGTTTCCGCGACCGCCGCAGTCGGACTCGACCCGGGCGTCCCTCCCCCGAGTTTCGCTCCTCCCCACGCCGGTTTTGAAGGGGCTTCCGCCGGCACTAAGTTCACCGGTTTCTCCTTCTTATCTCCGCCTTCTTTCTTGTTCTCGGACGAGTCTTTATTATTAGCGCTATTGCTATCGTTGTTATTTTTATTCTTCTTCTTTTTGCCCGAAGATTTATTGTTATTGTTATTGTTTGAACCCCCCGAGGAAGCTTTGTTGGAATTGTTGTTGTTGGAACTGTTGTTGTTGTTGTTGTCTTGTTGCGAGGACGTTGTTTCAATCGTATCATTTAACGTATCCTCAACTTTCTTCTTCCCGCCTCCGAACAAGGACGCGAACGATGTCACGGCTGCAGCCGCCATGCTCCCAACAGTCGTCGCGGTCGATTGGCCTTCGTTCGAACCCGATTCTTTTTGCTTCTCTTCCTCTGGTTTCCTTTCCGCTGCGCTCAGCGAGACAGCTTGTCCTCCGATGATGTTGTTATCATCTTTCTCTTTTTTCGTCCCTTGTTGCTCTTGGTTGTGTTTTGTTTGATGAGCGGAATTTTGAGCAGCTTGTCCCGAATTCTTTTTCTCGTCTCCTGCACTTGCCGGCGAGCCGGAGGACTGCTTGAGGACGTTAGCCCACGGGGCGGACATTTTTCTATATCAATCGAACACTTTGTCGCGAGAATCTACTCTTTCTCGATGCAATTATCCCTCGCTTCGAGGCGCTTTCCTCGTTTGGATTTACGTTTTCTGTTACGCGAATTTGCAAAAACACCGGGAACAAAATTTTGTCTGTGTTTGCAATTTGCGCTTGCTCTCTCTCTTCGCGAAAGGAGAAAAAAAAAATGAAACTCTCTTTTCTGCCTAAACGGGCGTCTCGCGAACCGTCTTCCTAAGATAACTTTACTCAAACGCGTTCGAAAGTATTCAACGTCTGCGTTTTAGAGAGAGGTACTCGGGATATTTCTACGCGCTCAACACAAAGCACCCCGATAAAAGTAAAGAAATGTACTTGTTCAAGGAAAAAAAAGGAGGAAGAGAAAAAAGTTGCTTCGAGCTTTTTGTGTTTTTTTCTTCTTTTCCTTTTGGATTTTATGATTTGGTGTGGATGTGCAAGAAGAACAATAAGGAGTAAAACAAACAAAACTATTCAAACTATTCAATATTTCTTTTTACTCTTTCTCTTCCTCCTCGATCGCTTCGCTCTTTTTCATCTTTTTCATCTTCGTCGCGTCTGCTGCTGCTACTGCGTCGTTCTCCTTGGACGGAACGACTCTTTTTACGCGCTTGACGACTTTTCGAGCCTTGGGAGAACCGCCCTCGTCGGTTGGCGCTTCGACTTTTCGAGAGCCCAACTTTTCGGCTAAGCGTTTAGATTCTGCATCGGAAAGGGATGACGCATTCTTTGTCACTGATGATGCGACTCTTCGAGGGGACTTTGCAGACACTCGGCGAGTACCTGGAGCGACTGGTTGTATCACTCGAGAGGAGGAGGAGGAAGAGGAGGGGGAGGAGGAAGAAGTAGACGGTTTCTTGATACGACCACTCGTCGTCGCACGAAGCGCGCCTGTTGGATCACTTTTCTTCCGTTCCGGAGCCGAAGACGCCAAAGAACGCGAGAAAGATGAAGGAGAAGAAGAAGAAGGAGAAGAAGAAGAAGAAGAAGAAGGTTTCTCGAAATCCATACCATACGGGCTGAACGTAGTTGACGACGGCTTTGTGTCAGGGGTGTTGAGTTCCGACATGAAAACGTCCGCTCCCAAATCTCTCAGAGACGCTTGTTCTCGCGCTCCAGCAGTCAACTGCTTCATGGTTAAACCAGCGTGCTCGTAGAGAAGATTCGCTATGTACTCGCGTCTGTCTCTTTCTGGTGCCGCCTGCCAAGTGAACCACGGTATTTGAATGACCGTCCATCCTTGCTTTGTCAAGATAGCCTCTCTCAAGTTATCGCCACCGATCCGAACAGTTGGACGGTTTATCGAGTAATGGGTCGGCCCATCGGCTTCGATACAAATTTTACGACCTTTCAACGCAATATCTAACGAATACAAGCCACCTTCGGTGAGGAATTCGAGCTCGTGAGGGACACCCATTTCCGACAGTGTCGAAGAGACTTCTTGATGAAACCCAGAAATCGTCACGCACGTTCTCGTGACTTCCATCCAACTCTTCTTCGCCTCGCTTTCCAACTCCGGGTATATTAATTTCCCGAACGGGGAAAGGATCTCGTACGCAAAATGAGCCTGATAAATTTGATTTAAGGACATTTCCCCCTTGCTCCCTCCTCCCGTCACGAAACGATAAGGATGATCCTTATCGGAATATTTGTTAAACTGTTCAATGTCAATCGTCGCTATCTTTTTACGAAACACATCAAAGATATCTTTTTCCTCGATAAATCCCATATTTGCAACTGCCCAAATACAAGTCGTTAACGATTGGGTGGTGGCTTGATCCATCTGCCGTATCATCGCTTGCATGAGTGCATACACCACGTCTTGCGGAATATTTAAACCTAAAATCGACCACGACCATAACATTTGCGAGATCCCCTGGACTGTAAATTGGTCATTTTCGGCTTCCATTTTTGCTCTTTTACTCATTATTTCCACGAAATCATCGTTTGGTAAATACGTTAAGAGCGCCAAGCTTCGCATGTAATTGACAATTGGTTGCGTGCAATTTTTATTCTTCTGGTGTGGATCGTACGTCACTTTAAGCCATTCGGTCATTTCGCTCAACACGTGTTCGAAGTACCTTCCTTTGTCGTTCGGATAGGCACCAATTTCCGCCATTCCGTAGAATGTATTCACGAATACCATGATCGTAAGCGTATCCTCTGTGTATTCATTTTTGAATTTCGTGGACTCGGATGTATCGTCTGCGTTCCACTTTTCTTTTACCATAGTACATCGCGTTTGTAGTCCCGCGAGATAATCCACAAATTTCTGACTCGGTCGAAAATTTCTAAACTTTGTGTACGCCCAGAATGCGTTGCAATTTTCCACCGTCGAGCGGTTATGTAAATCATCGTCCCATCTGCTAGTCATTCGTCGTAAAAACTCGTGGTCTGGTTCGTATTCCAAGCAAGCGTAGGCCCAAAGAGTATTTGAAATGCCTTGAATAAACATCGTCTCAATTTTTGGTTCGATCATATCTTCGATTCGCTTGAGTAAACCGTGCGGTAGTGTGTAAACTTCACCGAGGCCTTGCTCTCTTAACGTTGCGAGAGCCCAGAGTATATTCGTGAGCGACTGAACCGACCACACTCTTGGATCGTTGAATAGGTTCTCTGTCATGCTGTGAAGGAACATGCTCGCAAGATCTTTTCCCATGTCAAATCTGAGTTGCGCACACGCCCACAAAATATTGGAAGTTTCTTGCGTCTTAAAGTTTCCAGCACCAAAACCATACGCTGAAGTCGTGCGAGGTTGCCCTAAATGCATCGCTATACCTTTTCTAAACGCTGCTTCAGTTTCCGGCCGAAGCTTATAACCAAGTGTGCCGTACGACCACAGACAGTTGGCGACACCTTGGGGAACGTAGCCTTCCATGACGTTCAAGTTCAATCTTTCGATGGCATCCAAAAACTCAGCTCTGATACTCTGCGGAACTTGCTCCGGAGGAATACCCGAAAACAAGTCTTCCACGTTATGATCATCGCGTTCAAAATAAAGCACCTTTTCATCGTCGACAGCATCTTCGTATTTACCCGAAGGGCTCATGATCGTGAATGCCCAAAGCACGTTCGAAACGTTTTGTGCGGCAAATTTCGCGTAATTGTTCTCTTTTGCGCAGTTTATGTACTGTCGCAACAAAAGTGTGGTAAATTCGTTTGCCTGCAACCGAGTTTGCACGCCGCAGTGCGCTAGCCCCCAAAGTAGATTCGAGTATTCGCGGCTCGAAGGCGTTCCGTACTCGAGTGCAAGTTCTCTCAAGTCGTTTGGATCGTTCGATCTCGGTAGCAACTCTTCAATACGCCGAATCAACTTTTGAAAGTGTTTGTTCGCCAAAATGTTCTGGCACGTGCGGATGAGGGTTTCGTTCGTTGCAAACTCGTCCTCGCCTTCGTCGCCACCTTTCTCCACTAAACTTCTCGAGTTTGGATTTACTTCTGTTAACGAAATCGGTTTTTTGTCGCTAGATTTTCGAAGATATTTGCTATCGCGAACAAAAGTCCCACATTTGTGAGCAGCCGTCGCGCAGTTCACCACGCTAAATTTGTGAACGTTACCGTTGATGAAATTCAGCAACGCTTTCACGTTTGGTTTCAGTTTTAGCTTTTCGTTTTTATCTATTATAGATTTTCTCGTTTCTTTTTTGTTATTCAGTCTGCCAGTTTTTCTTCTTTTCTCCTTTATTTCGTCACGAGTGTCCGCGATTTTTTTATTCGGCGGTGGTTGACTCGAGCTTTTCTGCCGAGTGGACGACGACGACGACGATGATGGCGAAATTTTCCGCGGCAATCGCTCGTTCGAAATATCCCCGTACGCCCCGCTCGATTCTACTCGTCGCTGCACGTACCTTCTCGCGCTGACCTCCTTCTTTTCCTCTGCGTACGGTTTTCTTCTTCCTCCTCGTGGACTTTCGTCGTTGCTATTTTCACTCGTTTTTCTCTTCTTCTCATCTCCTTCTTCTGTACTACCACCACCGGAAGAGGAGGAATCGCGTATCGCGCGCGTCCTAAACGTTCCCAGGAGATGGCAACGCGTTGCTCTCAAATCCAACGATGCGTTCCTTCCTTTTCTCCCGTCGTCGACAAAGTCTTCCGCGCCTAAAACAAACCGGAAACGACGCAGACGATGATGATGATGACTCACGCACACTCCCCCAATCTGGGTACGTCGTGCAGGTAGGAAACGAAACGATTCAGACGACGACGACGAAGAAGCGTGCGAAGAGGACATCGCCCTCGTCGTGTTCTGCCGTCTTTCCGTTCGCGTGAGTCCTATGTTGGTAGTACTCGATGATGATCTCGTCAGTGTTCTCGAAGACGAAGACGAAGACACCCCGGCGAGCACACAAGCGTTCTTCGCGTGAGAAGGCCGAGAGAAGCCCATTCCTATCAACGGCGAGGACGCATTTTGATGTTGAGACGACGACGACGACGACGACGACGTCGTCGTTGCCGCCGCCGACGTACCGCGCAGCAGCAGCGCCGAATGAAACATCTCTCTGTCCGAGAAAAGAAGAGCAGAGAGAGAGAAAAGAGACGCTCACCAAACGCGCTCGTCTCTTTCTCTTGATGATTTTTTTATGCCGTTAATTTCAAGCGAGAAACTCAAGCAAAGAAGAGAAGTGATACTATGTGCGCGTATGTACTTCATCAGAAGCGAAAACGTGAAGTCAATTCAATCACAATACGTTTGATGTTTTGGACAATTTTCATTTATAACAAAGCTTTATATATCTTTCGAAACTCTCTCTCTCTTTCTCTCTCTTCCCATCTCTTTCTCTTTTACTCTCCTCTCGCGGAGCGCGTTCTTATCTCTTCCGTCAAAAACGCGCTCTCTTTCTCACCTCTTTCTGTTAATCTCCACGCATATACGCGCGCGCTTCTTCTCCTCTCTCTCTCTCCCTCTCTCACTTTTAGCTATTCTATTTGTTGTTTTTGATGACAATGCAATGATGTTTTTCGCGCAGCAACACTTTTATTATTCTCTTCTTCTTCTTAATAACTTTCGTCTCTGTCCAAACGACCGAGATAGTATTGCAACGTGTTCACCACCAACTGCTCCATATTGTCGTTCAACGCCTTTCCGTGGTACGTGCACAACATGGTATCCACAGCCGCGGCACCAATCGTGTCGATTTCCGCTTGGACGACGTTCAAATTCAAATCCTTCAACACGCGAACAATCTCAGACAACAACCCCGGTCTGTCCGTAGTTTCAATCAACAACTTGGACTTGGTCCCGTTGGAGACGGAGGTCACCGTGATTCTCGTCGGCACAATTTGTCTCTTCTTCTTCGTCGGAGTCACGTATTCGGTTTCCGCATCGTCTGCCACTTCGTACGGCTTTGAGTTTCTCGCCGTTTGCTGCACAAACTCTTGCGCTTCCGGGTGATAATAGCACATAGTCGTCAACACCGTTTGTCTCAAATCCTCCAATCTCGCCGACGCCGTTATCTTCTCCGAACTTTGGTGGTCCGTCACGTAGAAGCGGTTTTGGTTGCTTTCCGTAATTTCCGCTCGGGAAATATCCAAACCCAAATTTCTAATCGCTTCGCAGGTATCCGCGAGCTCCCCGAGTTTGTCTCCAAACTCAATCTCGAGGATAGTCGCCAACGGGTCCGACAAGTTATCGATGATAACTTTCGGGACGACTTGCTTCGCTTCGTCCGTCGCCGAAGCGCGCGTGACGACAACGCTCGCTCTGCGGGTCGTTTTCGACGTCGATGTCGTTCTGTTTGTTATTATTGTTTTTGCAGATTAAAAAAGAAGACGATGATGATGTCAGTATTATGAGCTGTTGGTATTTTTTTTTCTCCTTCTTCAGCTGTTAGGGCCCTCTTTTTTTCGTCTTATCTCAAAGAAAGAGGCACCTCTTTCTCTCCCTCGAGCGTTCGACACGTCGAAAAAATCGAACATTTTCAGGCGAGAAAGAGAACAAATTTCTTTTTTTCGACGAGGAAACGACACGAGACACGACCTTTAACTCTCTCTTTTACTCTCTCCTCTTTGAAGATCGCACTCTCACAAAATCGATCATCGACTCGATGATCGGGCGGGTGACCACCCAATGCGAAGATCTTTCGCGTTGTTCGAGCGAGGACGACGATCATCATCATCGTCGAGATCGACAACGACGAGAGAGAGTAAGAGAGAGAGGAAAAGAGGAAAGAAAAAAAAACATTCGGAAGCGACGAGAGAGACGAAGGGGTCCAAAAACTCGTGAGTCAGACACATTTTCTTCTCTTTCACGAAATTTTTCGAAGCGCTTAAACGAAAACGTACCTCGCGCATAACCCAACAACCGGGGCGCGCGCGCGTGCGGTAGCAGCGTGCATGGTGTGTGTGTGTGTAGATGTGAAAATAGAACCCGTGAAGGTTGCGTGTGTCGTCGAGTGTGTCTTTATAATAAAAAGCGTCTCTTTGGAAATTTTCTGGCGATAACGCAAGAGTGTTGGAAAAAATCTCATCTCGTAATCTCGAACGGGGAGCAGAGAAAGGCGAAGAGAGATGGATGGTCTTGTGCCAAGTCTCTCTTATTACAACAATTTCTAACGAGTACTAAAAAAATACAAACTCTCTCTTCGTGTTTGACGGAAAACTAATACTCTTCATCATCATCATCATCGTCGTCGTCGTCCCAGGCAGATGAAGTGTTCGTTTTTCCACCACCACTACTCCTACTACTCCTACTACTATCACTACTGTTGTTACTGCTATTATTATTAGTATCCTCGTCCTCGTCCTCGTTCATGCTCACCGCGAACGAGGACAAGTTCTCCACGTCGTCGGCTTCGGACATTATTTCGTCGTCTTCTTGAGATAAACGCATGTATTCCACTCGTGCAAATCGATCCCACTCGGTTAAGTGTTTCTCTTCTCGCTCTTGACGAATAGTAAACGGATCTCGGGTTTCGAATAAGATGAATTTGTTCAGATTGAACAAGACGTTGAACGTGTTCCCACTCATGGGCAACGAGCGCACCATGTCCTCTAAAGTGATGAAACCTTCAATCTTTGGTTTTATCATATCCGTCAATTGGCACACGATATCCTCGAAGAACACTGGTTCTTGAGCCAAGCACTCCATTCGTTGCAATTGCTCCTCGTAAAAATACGCTAAATCACCGCTAGATAAGAACCCGTCGTTATCGATGTCCACGCACTTGAACCAATATTTAATGGACAAGTCTTGAGATTTGTACTCTTCGGATAGGACGAACCAAACGAAATCTTCGTATCCCATTTTACCAGGAACGCCGGAAGTGAATGGCTTCACGCTTTCCGATAAAACGCGATCGACGATTTTATACGTCAAAGCGTGGTTCCCGTATCGCAACAAATCGTCTCGGTCGATTAAGAAATCGTGGTCGGTATCGAGCTCCCAGAATTTGCAATAAATCACGTAAAAGTGCTCGTAGCTGAAAAATCTCAAGACTTTGTTGATATCCTCTTCGACTTCGCACTGTTTAAACGCGCTGATCAAATCGGATTTCTTCAACTCTCTCAACGTCATTCGACCGTTCCAATCTTTATTTACCGTGTAAAAGATTCTATATATGACGGTTTCTAAATATCGATCTTGAAACTCCGCCGTGTGCTTCAAAAACTCTAATCCCGGATGAGTATCGAGCAACGCTCGAATAACTGATCTGAAATCGTTTTGCGAGACGAAATCGCCTTTTTGCTTCGGATCTTTCAAGATGTTGTAAATCATTTCCGTCTCGTCGTTATATCTCGACAATGTTTTCTTCCAAAAGCGCAAGAAGTCATCTCTTTTGATTTGAGTCACGTCTTCCGAATCCTCTTCTCCAAAGTCATCTTCAAAATCCTTCATTTCCGTCGTATTCGCTGATTTTGTAGACGATACCGACGATGTCGGACCATCCTCTACTTTACTACTGCACATATCCGTCGCGCGTTTCATAATCAACGGGCCAAAATAACTCGGAATGCCGATGAATTCTCTCACCAAACTCGAAAACGCTTCTTTGCTCAAAACGCCCGGCGTTTCGTTATGCAAGACGTCGTTGAACTTTTGCGTAAATTTTTCCATAATCTTTGCCGATTTGATCTCTGGAATCCACTTCTTGTTCGGGAAGAAGAACTGAGGAATCAAATAGTTCGGCGAAGGCGAAATCGCGGACGATAATGACGACGAGGATGCAGACGAATGAGAACTCAACGCGCCGTTTCTTTGTCCACCTCGGCTTGGACTCAAACCTTGTTGCTGTTTTGCAAACGGCGTCTTATTCTCCAAAATCAACGGTGAGGACTTTTGATGTTGCTGTTGCTTCTCCACTACGTTCTCCTTCTCTGCCTCCAAAGCTAACTGTTGCACGGAACTCGTGATTGTTCTCACGCTAAAATCTTCGCTATCGTCGCTCTCCGGGATATCAAGAATCGGCAGCTCCGAGTCGTTCCTCTTCTCCTCGTCGCGCGAAGAAAACGACGACGTCGATAAACCCTCACCAAACTTCAACTGCTTCTTTTTACTCTCTCTCGTCGGCGACAACATCGACCCGGGCGATTTAATCGGCGACTTTGGCGGCGACGCTGCCGTAACGCTCGACTTGGTATAAAAACTACTCCTCGTCGGCGACTTTGGCGGCGCGAGGTTGGTATTGTTTTTGTTTCGAACCGGCGAACCAAACGGAATCGACGACGACGACGACGTCGCATTCGCCGCTTCTTCTTCCTCGCGAAGAAACGCGTTCGATATCTGCATCACAGAAAAAAACAGAGAAGAAGAAGAGAAGAAATGTGAGACGTTGTTGAAATATTGAGAGCGTTTTTGAAAAATATCAGGCGAAGAAAACGAGAAGAGTCGTCTCGATCCGATGATTTTTAAAAGCGACTCGGCAAAGAGAGAAAAAGCGTCGTACCGCGATCCGATTGTTCGCCTCGTGGACCCAGTGTAAGAAATATTCTTCCATCTTTAACTTTGAGTTCGGGCGCAACGGCGTTTGAAGCATCATTTCGACATCCGTTTCTGTTTTAATAATAAGAGAGAAAAGTCAGCGGTGGGGAAAAGTCAAATGTGTCGAAGTTTTTAAAATCAGCGAGATTTAGTACTACGACTGCGCTCAAACTCAGAAGAGTTACAGAGAAGAAAAAGAGACGCGTACCTTTCAAAAGACTGGCGGCGGACGAAACCGTCGTCGTCGTCGTCCCGCTCGTGGTTCTCTTTCTGCTCTCTTTGTCCATCCTCGTCGTCATCGTCACGGACATCTTTTTTTTTTGCTCTAGATTTCAAACAGCCGTCGTCTCTCTTCTTCGTCTTCTCTCACTCACTGGATGCCACCACACGTTTTTATAATAATAAAAGTTTTCGCCTAGCCTCCTCGTGCGCGTTGTATATTATCCGTTTAATACTAACACGCGCCTTGCGCTCGACAGTAGTAGGAGTAATGCTCTCTCTATTTCCAAGCGCCACGCGGAGGAGTGGTGGTTCAACTTTGGAGGAGAAGTTGGCGGGCTTTTTTTCTCGAGAGAAAAACCGCGATTTTTTTCTCAAACCTTAAACCCCCCCCTAAGCGCAAAAGAAAAATATCGCAAAAACTCAACTGTAAATTCCGAACACACACACACACAGAAACGCGCTTAAACGCTTTTCATACAACACTTGCGCGAAGAGAAATACGCGCATTTCTCGCTCGAAAAGGACGGAAGAATACTTTCTGTCTTTGTTTTTCTTTGGTGTATTACTCATACTCGATACAAACTTTGCTTCTTTAGCGCGCGCGTTTAGCGCACTTTTCGGAATCGAAAGAATTTACGGACCGTGCCCTCACAGCACGCTTTTACAGAAGTGACTGTACATTTGTTATACCACTAAAAGGAGAAGAAGAATGATAATAACGAACATTTCCAACGCGATTTTGCGAAACACGCAAAACTTGGCCAAAGTGTCCATTTTTGGCGGGTTTGCGTACGGGTTTATCCAAACCATGAAGAGTGGAGAGAGCGCGCTCGTGCCCACCTCGAGATGGGTGTCCAGTCACGTTTTATCGTCCAGTCAGCACAAAGGAGGGAAGGAGGAACGAAATAGTGCGGGAGAAGAAAAAGCCGAGGAGGCGACGGTTTTACGACGCCACCACCACCAAAACGATGGACCGAGCAGCAGCGTTCGCGGAGAAGGAGTGGAATCTTCGGATATCGAGCGGCGGAGAGTGAACGCGTCCGTGGCGTGGAGCAGCATGAGATGAGATACAAAACTATCTCTTCTTGCGTGTGTAATTAACGCATGTAACAATAAAAAAAAAGGAAAGAGAGAGAAAGGCATGATGAATATGTGATGAATATGCGATGAATATGATGCTGTTTTCTGCGGAGCTTACTTTCTAGATTTGTACATTATACTACCTAATATACTACTACTCACTACTACTGCTAGTAAATACCTTTTCTTCTTCTTCTTCTTAATTGTTTTTCTTCCATATCTTCATCCCGTTTGATATGCCGTAAACTTTCGCCAACGAAACGACGAACAAGATTCCACCTAAGACAATCCATAAAAGCCACCATAAATCATCCGCGGCGATTGCGGCAACAGACACGACTAACTGCACGAGTTGCATCGGGAAACCAAAATTTAAGAAATCTTTAAACACGTATCCTCCAGGGCCGTAGACCATCAAGTTCGTCTGGTACCCAAACGGCGACATGAACGACGCCGAGGCGCCGAGCATGAGAAGGTAGGACATTTTGAGTAACGATATGTTGGCTTCTGCAGCTGCTTCGGCGGCAATGGGAAACATTAAAGCCGCGGCGGCGTTATTCGTGACGACGTTGGATATCAAAAACGTCGCCAGGTAGACGCCAACGAATAAGCCAATCTCTCCAGTATTTGTCGCCGTTCCCAACTTCACGAGCTGTTCGGCCATAAAACTTGCCACGCCGGAATTTTGCAGCGCTTTAGATAAACCAAACGCGGCGGCGATGGTGATAATGACGTCCCATTTGATGGCATCTCGCGCTTCTTGTTGAGACAGCGCGCCCGAGGCAATCATGACACCAGAAGCGAAAATTGCGGCGACTAGTAAACTCATCACGCCAAATGTATATAAAGCAATCATCGCCACTGCGCAGGTTATGGCCGGTACTAACAGGGAGAGCCGCGGAGGTGCTGAATCCTCTAAGATGGAAACCAAAGCAAATCCTTCTCGAACTAAATCTGGGCCTGCGTCTAATAGTAACACATCTCCAGCGTGCAACACAACCTCACCCATTTTGGCATGGACTCTTTGGCCTTCACGATGAACTGCTAAAACAACTGCGTTGTAACGCGTACGAAACTTCATATCTCTGATACTTTTCCCAACTAAAGGCCCGTTTTTAGCGACGACGGCTTGAACAAGTCTTCGGTCCTGATTTGAAGACGATAGTTTGGATGCTTGGTCAGAGCCGAGCGTCGTCAAGCCTGGGATTTTTCGAAGGGAAGAAACTGCAACCGCCGATCCCGCGTACCAAAGGATGTCACCGGGCTGTAATTGCTCCGTAACATCGATGGTTAACTCTTCTTGTAACACATTGCTAGCATCGTACACGCCGCGCTCGATAGAGACGAGGAAAAGTTTCGGCAATGTTCTCAATCCGGCTTCAATCGCGCTCTTTCCAATGAATTGCCTCGCTGTGTCTTCAATTTGTACGCCGATCAAAAACTCTTTGGCGTCCTCGCCCAACTGCGCGACATCTTCCCAGGGAATATCAAAATCAACTTTACATCTATCTAAGCCGATTAAATCCTCGACGTTCATCTCCATGTTGGCAACCGCGGTGAGTTCGTTCCTCAACGCTTCGTTGTATTCGGCGTCCTCGTTTTCCTCATTTCCGCGTTCGACATCTAAAACCGCCGTCGTTGTCGTCGGTAAGTCGTTCGAGCTCCGGTTTCGTCCCGAAGAGTTGAGTAAGTTATCGTGGCTACTTCTTCGACTATTTGAGCCGCTTCCTCGCCCTCCTTCTTGCTTTGCCTTCAAAGCTGCGTTCCTGGCTATTTGTTGCAACGTCACCAAAGGCGAATCTGGTCTGACCTGCACGACTAAACCGTCGTTTGCTTCTAATCGAACGTCTCGTAACTTTCCACTCGTTGCGCGTCCGTTCCTTTGAACAGCAACGATGGCACCACCGTATGTCGCGCGAAAGTCGACGTCTTTTACAAACTTATCCACCAACGTCGATCCATTTTTCACCTTGCATCTCATAACCATTTGGCCTCGTTCCTTTTGCGCTTGGGCGCCAGTGGGCGCCAGCATCGCTTGCACCACAGCTCGAATCTCTTCTCTCTTCGTATCAGGATCCAGCGCTACTATTCTCCATATAGAGACAGAGCGTCCCCCAACCGCGCTTGCTTCGCTGTGTAAACATTGCACTTTGAGACGATTGAGACTCTTGGAGATGTCGTGTAATAAACCAGGTCTATCGGCTGCGCTGATTCCAAGTACCATTCGCGTGTGATCGTCTTCGGATGCGTCCGGGTCTTTCTCCACGGAAACTAAAGCTGGGCCAAGTGCTACGTTCATCTCCGCAGCTGAAACGGAAGCTTCAGCGCCTCCTATGGTATCGGACGTATCGCGACCATCTCTGTATAGATGCGCGGCTTTGTCTCTCCCGTCAATAGCTTGGGACCGCGCCAATGCCTGTAAATCGAGAATTTCTCTCATCGCTTCCGAGGAAGCAGTCTTCGATATGGACACCACATTTTCGTCAGCAGTCAAAACTTCCGATGGCGATGAATCGTCGTGGTCGTCGTCTTCGTGCGTCATCGCAGTCAAGCCGTGGTCGCTACATATGCTCCCGAGAGATTCAATCAATCCAGTAAAGTATAAAATGTCGCCTTGATTAATGATGAATTCGGGCCCAACCGCTCGAATCAAACTTCCACTTCGTCTCACCGAAACGAGGTATAAACCTGGCAAACCTCTCATTCCACTCGCTTCGATAGTTCTCCCCACCGCGTCCGACCATGGCGTCACCTTTGCGCCAACGATAACGTCCTCGTTATCGTTGTCTCTCTCAGCTCTGTTTGCTTGCGAAGACGATCCGGTTCGTCTTCCTCTTTGCAGATTCCCACCCGGCAACAAATATCGAGAAAATATAAGCACATACACTATTCCGCTAAATGCTACCGGTACGCCATACTTTCCTAAATCAAAGAGGCCAATATCCACCTTCTCAGCGCCTACTTTGTCTTTATTCTCTTTCGCCCACGTCTCCAACATCCCGGCGACGACCAAGTTTGTCGACGTCCCGATCAACGTGCACGTCCCGCCTAATATAGAAGAAAATGACAGAGGTATTAAAACTTGTTTCTTCGATATCCCATTATTCTCCGCCCACCGCTGGACGATAGGAATCATGACTGCCACCACCGGCGTGTTGTTCAAAAACGCCGATATAATGGCGATTGGAATCATCAACCGAATCTGCGCCGACGCAATCGTCTTTGGCTTGCCTAAAAAGCGGCCCATGTACCAATCTAAACCGCCCGTGCTGGATATGCCCTGCGCGACCACGAACAAAGCCGCCACGGTGAGTAATCCTTCGTTGGCAAATCCTTGTATGCCTTCTTCCACCGTGATTACTTTCCCGGTTATTAAAAGTGCGAGGGCGGCACAAAACAGTAAATCAGATTGCACGTAGTCTTTCACCAAACACACGAAAGAGATGGAGACGATGAAGACGGTGTACCACGGTTGAAAGTATCCATTGCCACTCATTATTATTACGGTGTCGATCGTCGATGTTTCTTCTTTGCGTTCATTATTTGTGTGTTATGATGATTCTGTGAGTGTGAACAAGCGCGTCACAGATAAGAGGAAGATTCACACAAAAAGATTTATTAGTATTTTTACACTTCTTTTCCGTTCACTACTACGATGTCTATTATTATCTCGGTCCTTTAGTGCTCCCTTCGCTTTCCTCCTCCCCGTCGTTCTCGTCCTCGTCGTTCGGAGATAACAAACCTAAACTCAACAGCATATCTCTAAACATTTCGTCTCTAGCTAAAACCGCTTTCGGTTGGCTTACCATGTTCCGTCTGAACTTATCGCTCGTCGCCAGGTTGATCCACGCGGCGACGATTTCATCCTTGATCTCCAAGGCTAATTTGGTTTCGTTTTCATCTCGGACCATTTTAGCGAACGAACTCGTGATGGTGTCCCACAAAGCGACAGAAATTTCTCCGGATTCGAAGTATTCGCGAACGAATATGCCGCTCACGTCTTCCGCGGTGACTTTTTGGCCTTTCTTGCTTGCCTCCGGGTACTTGGCCGGTCGAAACGCGCAGTCACCAAAGATGTCGACGGATAATTTCAACGTCTTTTCGAAAAGTTCAGTCATCTCGGTCGCTTCTTTTGGCAACAAATCTTTGTTTTCTCGCATTTCTTCGTTCAACCAGGACTTGGCTGGCAAATAAAACCCGCTCGGAGTCGTGCGTTGCATGGTGAAAAATCGCAAAATCAACTCTCGGTCGCGCATTCTCAAATGTGGCATTTTCGATCGATTCGCAAACAAGAAGCTTTCGTTCAAGGTCAACTCCTCCAACAAATCCGTATACGCGCCTTGATAGATGCAATTCCTCAACTCTTGTTCGTTCAACTGCGTCGCACCCATGTTCAACCTCTCAAAAACCTCAAACACAAAATCCGGTTGCGACGTCTTGGAAATCGTGTGCACGTTCAACGGGTAATCCAAAATAATCTCCTGGAACGTCTCGTTCAACTCGTCGAACGTCTTCCCGTTCAACTCGTGATAAACCTCCAACCCACTCAACTTAAACGCTTGCCCGCCCGGAAACTCGTTCTGCACGAACGACCATATCGACGTCAAGCGCTGCTTCCCGTCCACGACTTCCAACTTTCCCGATTTCACCTCGTGGAAAAACATCGTCGGCACTGGAATGTTCAACAATAAACTCTCGATTAACTTCGACGCCGTCCGAACCGTCCACACGTACTCTCTCTGATAACTCGGTCTCAAATCAACCTTCCCTCGGTTGATTTTATCGATGATTGAGGATACGGTAAAATCAGATTTCGATATTCTCAACGCGTCTCTCGTGGTATCGCGAAAGAGTTCCGCCGCCGCGTCTTCCGCGGAGATGTCTGTGTCGTCCTCTCTCTTCTTTTGCGAGGAGGAGGAGGAGGAGGAGGACGACGACGACGATTTCGCGCGCAGCGCTTTCGTCGTCGTCTTTGCCGATGATGATGATGATAATTTTTTCTTCGCCTTAAAGTTGTTGTTTGCTTTTTTTTTCAAAGCGCTTCTGTTCTCCTCTTCTTCCTCCTCCTCGTCGGCTAACATCTCCCACAGAGGCTGTTCCGACGATACGTCGTTTTTATCGTCGTCGGTTCTCGTCGTCGTCGTCGTCATCACTTTTGCAGAAGCATCAGATTGGTACTCACCACCACCATCATCGGAAGAGATGTCTTCCGCCTCTAACAGTTCGTCCCATAAACTCTTGTCCTCGCGATCTCCCAACAAGGAGGCGGGAAGGATTTCGGCCCCGCGTTGTTTGGAGGAGATTTTATTCCTTCGTCTCGCAAAGCTCAGAGAAGAAGCTTTCTTTTTCGAGAACGAAGAAGAGGAAGAAGAGGAGACGAAGGAACTTTTCGTCGTCCTCGTCGTCGTCGCGGTGGTTTGTTGCGGAAGCGCAAAAGTCGTCGTCGTCATGGTATTAAAGAGAAAGAAACTAAACAATAAGTGTAATCAATATCAATACTAATGGAGAGAGATATTTTTCAGAAAGGAGCAAGTTTTTTTTCAAATTTTGGCGCCAAATTTTTGGGCGAAGCATTTAATGAGAAAAAGAGAATTTCAGCATCAACTGCAGTAATAAAACTACTTTTCGAATGCGAACAACGAGATGAGATGAAGATGAGATGTTTGATGACGAAGAAGAGAATAATCGAGATGATTTTACTCGTATAAGTATACCATGTCGTGACTACATTCTCTGCTCATTCTTTTTACTACTAAAATCCGTCAAATGAGATCCCTTCCTCTGCGTTTTCGACAAACACGCGACCGAGGCCGACGCCGGTGGATAAGTCGCATTGGACTATTTTACCAATCGCGGAGGAAGAGGCGTATCCGTTTTCGCGAAGTTTTTGAATGCACTCAGTCGCTTCGTTCGCTGGAATCGTCGCGAGCATACCGCCGGCGGTTTGTGGATCGAATAAGAGTGGATAGGCGGAGAAATTTTTCACGTCGTCGATGTTCGCTATCGCTCGGTTTAACCGCGCGTTGGACTTTTGGAGGCTACTGGTGATGCCGTTTTGTACGCACTCGACGGCGCCGTCGAGTAAAGGGAGTGAACTTAAATCAATAGTGGCACCTGAAGTGGCGCTGTCTTTGATCATTTCGTGAAGATGGCCTAAAATACCAAAGCCAGTGACGTCCGTGCACGCGGTGGCGCCGTGGAGGAAGAGAATTTCCGCCGCGCGTTTGCTCGGTTGTCGCATGCTTTCTAAAGCTTTTTGGACGTCCGAGGCTTTCGCTCGGGACCGCATGTCGGCTGCGAACAAAGCGCCGGTACCGATTGGTTTGGTTAAAACGAGAACTTGACCGGATTCGACGCTCGTTTTCCTCAAAATCAAATCTTTTTCGACTTCGCCGGTGACGGAGAAACCGAGCGAGAGTTCCGCGCCTTCGCCAGAATGGCCGCCGCCAAGGGCACACCCGGCGTCGCGCAACGCGTCGCACGCGCCAGACATGAGTTGAAACAACGTTTCTTCAACTTCCGATTCGATGCCAAACGGGACGACGACAGTCGCTAGCGCACTCACGGGGTCTGCGTTCATCGCCCACACGTCGCCGAGCGCGTGGACGGCGGCGATTTGGCCAAACACGTACGGATCGTCGATGAAACTTCGAAAAAAATCAACCGTTTGGACAGAAACTTTACCAGGAGAGGTTTCAACGATAGACGCGTCGTCACCTGCGCCGAGCAAAACGTTCGGATGCGTTGGAATCGGTTCTAATCGTTTCATAACTCGCGATAATATCGTGGAGCCGACTTTCGCGCCGCATCCGCCGCATCGCATCGGCGTCGCTTTAATCGCATCTAGCGCCTCTTGTCCGGCAAACGCGGCAACTTTGTTCGCTTTAGCATTTAGCGCGTTCTCCTGCTCTTCGCGTTCCATTTTTTCCAGCATCTCTAAATTCGGTTCGTACATTTTCATCCACTTTTTATCGATTTTATCTTTCCACCGCCACAATCTTTCGCCGACGGCGGTATCGTGCGCGCCCCAAGATCGAGATCCGTACGACGCGATGGCGTGACCGTCGCCAGTGCTAATGAGCGCTAGGCACGTCTTTTGCGGCGTGAACGGGACGACGTTTTCTCCAACGCACCGTCTTCGTAAGTTCTCTGCTAAAGGCGGACCTTGTCTGACGGCGTACACGCCCGCTTTTGGTCTCGGATGTTCGACGTTGTTACACACGTCGCCAACCGCAAAGACGTCTGGAATGTTCGTCGATTCTAAAGTCGCTTTAATGTTTACGAACCCTTTTTCATTCAACTCTAAGTTTGTATTCGTACGCAGCCATTTCTGCGCTTTCGCATCCGTGCACCACACGCACTCGTTAAAACCGAGTTTCTTCCCAGACTCTAAAGACAAACTCGACTCCGCCACTTCTTCGACGCCGTCGTTCTCGTACACTTCAAAGTTTCTCGCTTTCAAAGCCGCTAATATTTTCTCCCGCGCAGATTTTCCGTGTCCTTTGAGGACTTCACCCCTCGTCACGAGCGCGAACTGATACGGCAACGCAGCGTCGGAGGAGGAAGAGGATGACGACGTCAGGCCAACTTCGCTGGCGAACCTTCGCTCCATGGCCAAAGCGAGTTCCACGCCTCCGGCGCCGCCGCCGACGACCACCACTCGAAACCGTTCATCTTCTTTCCTCTTCTCATCGCACAATTCTTTGAAGTGTCTCAGAACGGTCTCAAACCTCGTCGCAAACGTCCCGATTGGTTTCACCGGCGTGACGAGAAGCGCCTCTTCTTTCGCGCTCTCACTCTTCGCCGAGGCTTCCGACGGCGAATTCGAGGACGACGCCGCTCCCGGCAACATCCCCGGCGTAATCCCAACATCCAAGCTGCACACGTCGTACTTCACGCTCGGTTGATTCTTTAACAAAACTCTCTTACTTTTGTCGTCGATCCCGACGCACTCGTCGTGTATCAATCGATGTCCGCCTTCGCGGCATAACTTCCCCAAGTCCACGTGACACTCCTCGTACGTGTACTTCCCGGAGACATTTCCGGGAAGCATACCGCTGTACGGCGTCATCACGTCTTTCGCGACGAGCGTGATTCTCACGCCAGGTTCTGGGTGCATGGTGAAATTTTTCAGAACGAAGACGTGCGAGTGTCCGCCGCCGACCAGGACGATGTCTCTGATGATTGTTTGACGACGACTTTTCATGGTGGTGGTGTTTGAGTTGAGGGCGGCGGCAGCGATGTTTCCAATCGATGATGATGGTTTCTTACGACGATGACTTTTGGATCTCCTGCAAAAAGAGGACGAGGATGAAAACAAAAACGACGACTGTTTTTCGCAAACTTGTTTTTGTCGCGCGCGAGAGAGCAGAGTTTTCGTCGTCTGCGCGTACATTTGTGTGGAATGCATCGATGAAAATACAAGCTCGTGTCATTCGTACTTGTCTTCGATACTACGCGCATCTCTCATCTAAAAGTCTAATGAAGTATATCATCTCTATCTCTACCTACCTACCCCCGAGCATTCTCCGAATGACAAACCTGGCGACGTTTTCTAACACTCGGAACGCGACACCGACAATCATTCGAACGCCGGCGGAGCGCATCCACGTCGCGGCGACGGTGGCGAGCGCCGCGAGCGGACTCAAGGCGAGCGGATTGTTGTGTTGATTCTGTCCGCCGTAGTCGTACGATTGTTCTTCGCTCCCGCCACTGTATTGCTGTTGAGTAGTATTACCACCACCCGCAGAAGATGATCTTCTGACCACTCTCCCCGCGTTTGGTCCGCTGATGACTCGCTCCACAATCTCTCGCTTCCCGGTTCGCATATCCGTTGACGTGACTCGAGAAACGACGTTTCCGTTTTGATCTTGGAATCTTTCTTCGCTGTAACTCGCGCCAAACGCTGCCGCACCTCTCGTCATCGCTTGCATCCCTCCGAAAACGGCTCTCGCTAACTCTTCTATGTCTATGCCGTCGAAGCCGGGAGGCGCGCCGGCGGGTCGCCCACCTCTCCGGAAATTTCCATACGGCGCGTACCCGCCGCCGTTCATGCCGCCCGTGGATCCCATAGACCCTCTCATTCGCATTTGGCGTTCAAATTCCCTCACGAAAGCCTCACCCGTGGTCCCAAACACGTCCCTAAAAATTCTATCCGCATCTTCTCGCGTAAAATCATCGCTTCTTCTGTACGTGTACTGTTGCTGCTGCTGATTATATTGTTTCTGTTGATATTGTTGTTGCTGTTGTCGTTGCGCCTGTCGGTACCTCCCGCTCGCGCTCGCGCTCGACGCCGATCCGTACTCGTAACTTTGTCGTTTCATCGGATCCTTCAACGTCTCGTACGCTTCGCTCACTTTCTTAAATCTCGCCTCTGCTTCCACTCTTTTCTCCGGATTTCGATCTGGATGCCATTTCAACGCTTGCACGCGATACGCTTTCTTCAAAACTTCCTCGTCTGTCGTGCCTCTCGGGACGTTTAATATTTCGTACGGGTCTGATGAAGAAGATTGCATCGCGCGAGTGGAGGTTTGGAATCCCCTACTCGTCGCATTTCTCTTCATAAAATCTTCAACGACTGGCCCACCACCACGAATACCTCGTTTTATACTCTCATCACCATCGGCGGTCGTCCTCGCGCGATGATGATTGAAATTTCGACGACGATGCGATGTTGTCTCGAGTGTTGTTTCCCGAAGACATTCGCTCACAGAATCTCGTTTTCGTTGCACTTGTTCGGACGACCACCCAGAAGCTCGAACGCGGCAGAAACTGCAACACCTGCCGCTCAAAATCCTGGAACTCGTGCTTCTCGTCGTTTTCAGTAAAGAAGAGCCCTCCCGCCGAAGAAGAAGACGAAGCGTCTCGCGCCTCCTCCTCATCTCTCTCTCTCTTTTCCTTTTTTGTTTTCTGAAGAAAACGCGAGAGAAATCTTTTTTTTCTTTCGTTTTCTGCTCTTTTTCCTTCCTCGTTGTTTAGAAACCATGGTCATGTATGGTGTATAATTGAGACATTTGGAGTTGGGTTCTTAAAGGGAGGCGGCGGAAACCCGAACTCTGTGTCCATTCAATTAACTCTTTAACCCAAAATCTTCTTTCAAATAATGACGTTGTCTACCATCCGAACACGAGCACGTGACGGCTTATCGGGTTTTGAAAAGACTGGAGTGTCGAAAATCACGTCAATCTGTGTGAAAAAAAGGTCCGTCCTGTCTTTTAAGCGAGGAGCGTTCTGAGACACAAGTTTTTTAACAAAAAGAGATCTTTTTTTCAATTCACGCGTTTTTGTGGCAAGAAGCGAGTACTACTTCTGTGTCACAAAATAACGGCACAAATAAACTCTACTAAAGTTTGTATTTATATACACATTATTACATTTACCGGAAGATGACGACGACGACGAGGATAACGAGCGGTAATAATAGTCGCAACTTTTTTGTTGGAAACAAAGTTCCTCGCGCGCGTCGCAAAACTCTCTGTCGTCGCGCTCTTCTTCTTGGAGAAAATCATCATCGAACGGTGGTGATGATGATGATGATGAAAAAGATAAGTGCGAGAGATGAGAGGAGGAACGAGAGAAGCAGGTTCGGCTGCGTTCGAGTAGCGGCGGCGGCGAGGAGTAGTAGTAGTGGTAGCAGTAACGACGACGACGACAAGAACAACAGTAACGGCGCGACGGCGACGAGAGATGAATTATTGGAAGAAATTGAAAAGTTAAAAGCTGAAAACGCAAAGTTGAAGATGTTGCAGATGCAGTTGGAGGATGTTTCTTTGCCTTCTTCTTCTTTGTCTTCTTCTTCTTCGAAGTCGACGACGACGACGACGACAACAATAAAAACAACGAAAAAAGCCGCCGTCGGCGCGCTTCGAACCGATCCTAAGAGTGAATCTGAAATCGAATGGCCGTTACCGATTACCGCGGAAGGATGTCCCGTAGGCGAGGAAGACAAGAAACCGTTCTGGGAAACGAGACCGAAGAACGACCCGGACGAACTCTTTGAAGGAAAAACGGCGACGGAGGAAACAAACAGACCGAAAAAAATTGCGCACGTTACGGCAGAGTTAGCACCGCTGGCAAAAGTTGGTGGATTAGGCGACGTGACGCAAGGGTTAGGTCGCGCGATGAAAATGCAAGGCCACGACGTGGTCATCATCTTGCCGTTTTATCAATCGCTCGACGCGAACGAGATTTTCGATTTAAAACACGTGATGGATTTTGACGTACCCAAAGGGACGAAATGGGACGGAGAAAATGTCGTGTCGATGATGAAAACGTCCGCGTATTCGGGAAATATCGGCGGGTGCGACGTGATTTTATTGAAACCGCACGAGGAGACGAATTCGAACATTTTCAAAGGCGGGGCGATTTACGGCGGGAGTTATAATGAGCTCGAAGCGTATTTATATTTCTCCCGAGCGAGTTTAGAATTTTTGGATAAATCTGGAAGAGACCCGGACGTGATTCACGTCCACGAGTGGCAAACGTGCGCGGTGCCAATGTTGTATTGGGAAGAGTACCACGGGAAGACGAGTTTGAACAAAGCGAAAATTGTCATGACTATTCACAATTTGGACAACACCGGAGAGTGCCGAGAGGAGGAGTTTTTCGCGACTGGCGTGAATGGAGAAAAGTTTAACGTTATCGAGAAAGCGTTGGATGAACGAACTATCGGACACAATCCGGAAAGAATGTGTTTAATGAAAGGTGGCGTCGTGTACTCGAACAAAGTCACGACCGTTTCGCCGACGTACGCGAAAGAAACTTTGGACGGGAACGGCGGCTTCATGTCCAAAATTCTAAAAGCGAACCAAGAAAAGTTCTCCGGCATTTTGAACGGCATCGATTACGATTTGTGGAATCCGGCGTTAGACGCGACGTTGCCGGCCAATTTCGCCCCAGGGAATAAAATGACCGAAAACAAAAAGCTGTGCAAAAAATACTTACAAATCGGCTTGGGATTGGACGCGGACGAAACAAAACCGTTGATCGTGTGCATCTCGAGGTTAGTTCCTCAAAAAGGCATTCACTTGATCGAACGCGCGGTCACGCAATCCGAAAATAACGGGAATCAGTTCGTGTTACTCGGCAGCGGCCACAGCGATGGTGGTTTCAAGCGAATGGCCAACGAAGAGTTTTCCCAAACGAACTCGTCCAACGTCCGATTGATGATTACCTACTCCGACGCGCTCTCTCGATTAATGTACGCCGCCGCGGACTTTGTCTTGGTCCCTTCAATGTTCGAACCGTGCGGTTTGACGCAAATGATCGCCATGCGCTACGGCGCCTTACCCATCGTCCGTTCTACCGGCGGACTCGCCGATACCGTCATCGATTGCGACGCCGACCAAGAAAACGGCAACGGCTTTGTCTTTTACGGCGCCGACGACCAATCCTTAGACGAGTGCATTCAAAGAGCCAACAAAACGTTCCAAGACCGAAAGAAGTTTCACGAGTTGCAAGAACGCGTCGCCAGAGTCGATTACGGGTGGGAAGCGAGCGGTAACGTCTACGCGGAGTTGTACGAGAGTTTGTAATTAAAAGACACACACTGTTGATATTTTTTGCATGTTATTGCATCTCATAACTGTCTGTACTTTATCCAAATCTCTTCATTTACTCATCACTTATTAACAACCGCTTTTTACGGCGGATTTTCTTTTCCAATGACGACAACGACGACGACGCGCGCGGCAGCTTTGATGAGCACCACTCGCGCCTGTTTGTTCCTTCGCAAGTCTTCTTCGAAAACAACGACGAGAACGAGTGGAAAATGCACATCGCTCTTAAAGGGGAGGACTAATCTTCCATTTCAACGAGGAGGAGGAGGACAACGACGACGCGGGAGTGCGCGAGGAGGAGTGCGCGGGAGTGCGTCGTCGTCAGCTGCGACGACCGCTGATGTTGTTCGTAATAATAATACTAACAATAACAACAGAGTGAACATTCAACCATCGTCAGATGCGAGGAAAATCCACCTCCCGACGTTTGTCGCCTTGTTAGTGGACGTCGCTGAGGACGGGTGCGATATCATTCGAGAGGTGACATCGAGAGGCGATTTGGCGGTTAAAGACAAAGGCGGGAGCGAAACGTTGGATAAAAAGTACATCATGGACGCGCAAACGGAAGCGGACAGACAGGTGGAGATTATGGCGTTGAGACGAATTACGACGTTCGCGGGCGGGAGGTTGCGCGTCGTCGGCGAGGAATCGTACGAAAACGCGTTAGAAGGCGAGGCGGAGTGCGACGACTCGACGTGTTTTGCCTCGTTCGATGAGGAAGAGGAGATGATGAGGAAAGAAGAAGGGAACCATTACGTAGATAAAGATATCTTAAAAGAAGTTTTGGAGGCGAAATGGCCGCCGGCGATTGCGTCCGGGGAGATTGACATTTCCAGAGTGAACGTGTACGTAGATCCTTTAGACGGAACGAACGAATACGCGAACGGGGAAAGACCGGCAGTGACGGTCTTACTTGGTGTCGCCGTAGATGGTGTCCCAGTAGCTGGGATTATCGGGCAACCGTTTTTTGGTTGGAACGCGAACGTTAACGATTCGAAACATTTAGAAAATTTGGGCAGAGTCGTCTGGGGCGGCCCCGGCGCCGGGTGTAAAGGTCTTCGAGTGGACGAGACGCAAAAAAAACTCGTAATGCCTCCAACAGGGCCGCACGTTGTTTGCTTGAACAGAAACATACGCGACGAGCGCCAAGCACCGGTCATGGAACAAACAAAATCGGAAGTCGCCGTCTTAGTTTCCGCGACTGGGTACCACTATTTGTGTTTGCTGGAAGGCAGAGCGCACTCGGCGATGCTGTTACGGAAAGCGAGTAAAAAATGGGACACGTGCGCCGGAGAGGCGCTGTTAAGATCCGTCGGCGGTGCAGTCACCGATACCGTTGGTCGACGATATAATTACGATTGCGACATGCCGGGCGTCCCGAACGTCTGCGGCATGGCGGCGTCGATCGATATCGATTTACACTTGGAGCTCACGCACTCGATCATCCAGAAAGAAATCGAAAAGTTGGAAAGTTTGTACCCTTACGACGTGGAGTGTTCGTCGATTAAACAACCGATTTTAAAAGAAGCGTACAGAAAGAATGTCGCGTTTAAAGCCTTATCAGTGGATGCCGGTGGTGTTCTCGTCACGCCGGCCAGAGCGGTCCACGACGTCTACGCCGATCACGCCAAAACGTACGGCTTTTCCGACGTCACGCCCGAATCTGCCAAGAAAGCGTTTAAAAGCGTCTTTTCCACGCCTCTGAGCGAAAACGAATTGCGGTACGTCGGCGACGGACGCGAATCGTTTTGGAAAAAATGCGTCTTTGCCGCACTAAACGTCGACGCGTCTAACGAAGACTCTTTAAAACGAGGCAACGAGTGTCTCGACGCGCTCATGAAATTTTACGAACAACCCGAAAATTGGGCCGTCGCCCCAGGTGCCATCGATGCCTTCCGTCGCTTGCGCTCGCGAGGCATCAAAGTCGTCGTCACCAGCAACTGGGACGACCGCTTACCGAACATCTTAGAAAAATTAAACATCATCGACGAAGTCGACGCGGTCTACTGCTCCGCCGTCGGCGGTTTCGAGAAACCTCACCCGAACGCGTTCAAACGCTCCTTAGCCGCCATCGATATCACCGACAAAAATGACTTCAAAAGCGTCGTACACGTCGGCGATTCCGACGTCAACGACATCTTCGGCGCCCAAAACGTCGGCATCGGTTACGCTATCAAATGGGGCGGCGACCGAGAGAACGCTCGCGTAACCCCGGCGTTTGATTTCCAAGAGTTGGCGGATGAAATGATTGCCAGCGCGTACGCTTTTGCAGACGATTCGAAGACCACTCGGCGGTACTTTTTTTAAAAGTAGTAGTATTGCGTGTGTAGGTGTGTGTATATGTATATGCATATATATATATACGTAGTTCAAATTGTCTCACGTAAGTTGTCTTTAACTGTTTTCGTACTACAACACATTTATTATTATTAGGTGTTTGCTCTTCGGAAAAAAAGTTTTCATTCCCTCGTTTTTTTTGAATTTTTCCTCAAAAACACTTCGCGTATTTTCTTCTTCTTCTTTACCTTCTTCGCGCGTTTAACGACGACGACGACACCCGAGGACGAACCCCAACCGCGCTGCTCAAAAACGTTGAGAACAACTTTAAAGTGATTTAAATCAGTATCGTCTTCTTCTCATGGTGGCCAAGAACAAAAGTTACGAGGAGTTTTACGAGGAGGAGGAGAAGAAGACGAGTTTTACGAGGACGAAGAACGAGGACGAGGTTTTTTACGAAGACGACGAAGAGTTTTCGACGCCTCCGAAAGAACAACAACACGGTAGTTATGTTGAAGAAGCGATCGTGTGCGTGCACACGCTCGTCCACCGGTCGAAGGTAGGCGTCGTCGTCGGTCTTCGCGGGAGAACGATATTTGACATCGAGCGAAGAACCGGAGCGAGCGTCTCTATCTTGCGAGAAGAAGAAGAAGAAGAAGAAGGAAAAGGAGAAGGAGAAGGAAAAGAGGAAAGAGTAAAAGTCGTCTTAACCGGCACGGCGCAAATGTGCAAAGAAGCGGCGAAAATCATCGAAAGCATCTCAGATGGGAACATTATCGACGAGAAGACGACGACCGAAAAAGATGGAAGGAAAGAGACGTACGGACGACGATCGGTATCCGTTTCGAGAGCCGGAGATGGTGAAAAGCTGCTGCGCCCGCTCGAGAAAGCGTTTTTAGGGTGGACGAGGAAAACGGGAGAAGAGAACGAGGTCGAAGATGTATATTCGAGCGGAGAAGAAGATATTATATCCACGGAAGACGGAGAGAACGACGACAACGGCGAGGTAGAGGAATGCTCGTTTAACCACCATCACGCGACGACGACGACGGCGATGACGACAAAGCATCGAAAAACACCGCCCCCGTACGAACGAGACGCGTCGAGGTTCTTCGGAACGCTCTCGACGGCGACAGTGCGAATCCCAGACGCCAAAGTGGCTTTAATTATCGGGAAACAAGGCGCACACATCGAGTTCTTACGACACATGACCGGTTGCTCTTTGAATATGGCGAGCCAGGTTGTGGATGTAGGGGACGTTTTTTTGAATAAGGACGAGCGCGTATTCAAGGCGGCGACGAACATGGCCGAACGCGTTTTGTTGATCGAGAGCACTTCGTTAACAGATGTGGCCAGGTGCGTCGCGCTCGTGGCTGATATCGTCGAAGGCACCTTGTACTTACAATCGAAAAAATCTGGAGGAGTTGGATTTTCGTCCACCGACGACGACGCGATGCCATATATGAAGGAAATTCACGTCTCCATCCGCGAATACGCGAGCGTAATGACGAAAACGACGTTTCGCGTAAAAACGAAAGCGAAAGAAGTGAAGCGCACTTGCACGTTTTCTTCTTCTTCGCAACAACAACAACAACAACAACAACAACAACAACAACAACAACAACAACATCAACATCAACAGTGCACGTCTACAACTTCTTCGCAATCGAGACGCATGTCCACTTCCTCCTCCCCGGAACGGCGTTCCTATCACCAAGAGAACCGCCAGCATCGAGTGCGGCAAGAAAACGAACAACAACAGCACTATTCCTCTTCCTCGTACTACGACTACTACGCAAACCCTCCTTCATTAAAGTTTGATCCAATAACGAACGAGTTATTAGCAGTCGTACCACCTCACGTTGTTTCTGCACCGCCACCACCATCAATCAACGTAGTAAACGTCGACGAAGACAACTATTTTTGCGAAGACGACGAGTCCGACGCGTACAGCACCGACTCCGATTTCGCCGCGTGAGAGAGAACGCGCATCGACGAACGAGAGAAGCGCGCGTTGAACGCGTATATACATACACGAGAAAGAAAGAGAAGAAAAACACAAATCTAACAGACAATGTAATGAACACACACACACACACACACACACACACACTACGCAAGAGAGCATACACTACCACAAAGTAAAGTTCGCATTATTATTTCATTATTATTATTATTATTACGTTCTCGCTCTATATAAACTAATGATGATAAAACATCCTCGCTACGTTTGAATCCTCGTTCTCTAACTCCAACTCCATATCCTCTCGATCGTGCTCGTCGTGATGACGAGCGTGGTGAGGATGAGAAGACGACGACGAAACGCGATCGATCCCATCACCATCACCACCACTCCCATTGCCACCACCATTCGTCCCTCGCCTTTTTTTCTTCCCAAACATCACGCGCGAAAAGAACCCCTCGCCTTCCTTGTAAATATGCTTCGTCTCGCTCCCAATGTAAGGAAGGACTTTCCTGTGCTTATTGTGTGCGGCAACGATCGCGGATAAGTAGAGATAAAAGAGCACGCTGAGGATGAAACTCATGCAGAATATCCCCCTAACGTGTGTTTTGTGCGTCGCGTGATTGAAAGAGAGCAGAGAGAAGAGTTAGTAAAGCGCGTTCATAATCCTTCCATTATATCCACAAACGGATATCTTTTTCCACGCGAGAATAAAAAGAATACCATCAAGTCGTAAACGTACCTGTATCGTCTCCTCTGTAACCTCGGCGTGACCGGTAACTCCAGCCCTCTTTTGCTCAACCCTTGCACTTGGTTGATCGCGTGTTCGCTGAACTGGAGCATGGACGCGGACTTTCGCATCTGGCCTCTCGAATTCGTATTCGTTCCGGCTTTGTTGATGATGAGAATGGTCTCCCCGTTGTTTTGTTGTTGTTGTTGTTGTTGTTGTTCTTTACTATTATTACTATGACTGAAAATGGTGCTATTTTTAGATGACGACGTCGGCGATGGCGTGGACGAATCCGACGAGCGCGTCCGAACGTGATGGACACCACCACGTTCGGACGAAGAAGAAGACATCTCTGCTTCTTTTTCCACAACTTTTATCTGACGGTTTCCGGGGAAAAGTCAAAGACTGCACAAAAAGCGTTATTAAATCTCTCTCTCTCTCTCTTATTATTATTATGTCTAAAAACAAACGCGCTTCAATAGCGTTGGAATGAGACTGTTGTTTTTATTTTTGTTGTTGTTCTGTTATTAAAGACGCGTAAAGAGAGAGAGAGGAGAGAGGGAGCCCTTTTGCCGGGGTCGTTAACAACTACATTTTGTAGTCGCAGAGAGAGAGAGAGAGATGACGAGCGACGATGCTTTTATTCCGAATGCGAGTGCGACGACTGCTGAAAAGAAAAGAAGGTTCGATACCATCGACTTCACGACGACTACTACCACGAATACCGCGTCGTCCTCCTCTTCGCATTTATTCAAAAGAGGCGGCGCCAAAGCGACGAAATATTCCGAACTTCTCGAACGCGAGAAACCAGACGCGAAGTTACCCACGAGAGAAGAGCTGAGAGTGAAAACGACCGAACAGTCCAAGGAACAGTTCGATCTGCTCGTCTCCGCGTGGTCGAGAGAACGGAAAGCGTCGACGAATAACATCGCGGTAGCAATATGGGACGAGAAGTTGAAACTGGCGAAAGTGGTGAAACAGAAAGGGAAGTCTTTGTCCAAGTTTGGGTATTCCGCGGCGGCGGCGAACGGGGCGACAAAAGAGACGGGGGCGAATGCGGCGACGGTGACGACGACGACGATTGCATCGTCCGCAGATAACGGTGGAGGGGCGGTGTATTTGTTCCCCGAGGAAGTCGCGTTCTTAGTGGAAACGGAACGGGTGTGTTTGTTTTGGCAAGCTCGAGGTAAAGGTTTAGAACCGGCGTCGGTGAAAAGCATACACGAGATGTTGGAGGAGTGCGGGGTGTCGATGGAGACGTACGTGACGTACGCGCAGTTGTGTAGGATTGGGTACGTGGCGAGAAGATTCGGGGCGCCGTGGGTTGTGCCTGAGCGAGTAAAAGCGAACGCGAGGAAGAAGAGAGAAAATGAGACGTACGTTCATCGGATAATGGCTGGGGAAGGGGAGTGGGTGTTTAAAGGGGTTGACAACAACAACAACAACAACAACAACGACGACGACGACGACGACGACGACGGTAAAATGGAACTCGACAATCATACCGTAATCGCTGAGAGCAAGGAAAGAGACGCAGACGCAGCGATGGAAGAAAAAGTAGAAATAGACGACGACGAAGCGGTAGAGATTGTTCATCATCCGGGCACTCGCCCGTGGTTTCATTGGTCCGGTTCAAAACACCACCCGTGGTTAGGTCCGGAAATCCACGCTTCGTACGCTCAAACGCAAAAGGTCAAGCTAGAGGAAAGAAGAAAGCGAGAAAAGGAGAAAGAAAAGCTTCGACGCGAGAAAGAAAAGCAAGAATTGATGAAAATGCGCGAAGGTGGGGGTAAATGGCCAACCTTTGACGTGTGGCGACCGAATGGAAATTTCAAGAAATCAGGCCCGGGCGAACCGGACTTTCGAATCGCGGTATGTTCCGAGAGACCGCCGCATGGCGAAGAAGCGGAACTCTTGTGGAAACGCTCGAAGAATGTCAAGATAAAAATCGCAAACGTGGAAAGCGGAGCAATTATGCTGTTTGATCTAGAAGCAGGTTTAGCGCGGTGAGATGCCAGAGTGCGCGCATGCTAAGTTTTAGTTGCATTCTAACATATTACTACTAGAAATAAATCTATTCGTTTCGCCGTCGAATGTAAAGTTTTTCCCGTCAATTCTTCGCGTGACGGGATTGCCGATATAGATGTAACTCCATCCCGAGCGTTGACCTCGTTTTACCTCTGCGAATATATTCGAATCTTCCTCGACAATGCGTAAAGCGCTCATGTCTCTTTTCGCCGCGGTAAACACGTCTTGCCTGGTCATAGCTAAAGCAGAATCTTTGGCGCCCAAATAGCGAGCAGCATTCTTCTCGGAATTCATTTCGCTCACGAACGCGTTCAAAAATCGCACTCGCGCCGAGACTTCTTCTTCGCTGAGATGAAAAGAAGAAGAGGTGGAAAGTTTTTCGATTTCTTTTTGCGCGTCTTTGCGAACGAGATTTTCAAGTCGAGTGCCTAAAACAGCATCCGCCAAAAGCTTCCGAAGCTGAGGCGCGAGTCTCGCTAAAGATATTACATACCCAGAGACGTACGTTAGGTCGTTTTCAGAAAGCGCGTCGAAGGTTTCTCGAAGCTTTGGCGTTAGCTTTGCGCACGAGTCCGGCGTGAGTGCGTTTAACGTTCTCAGAACGTCTCTCTTGACTTCCCTCTCCTTCTTCTCGTCGTTGTCATCGTCTGCTTCTTTGCATTTTTGAGTGGATGTTGGAACGTTCACTACAATTTTGCGTTTGCCGCTCGATCGCTCTTTCCCGGTATCTTTTCTCGATTTAAACCTTTCGAACGCGAGCAGTTTGCACGCGTCCAAACTCACTTTTGCAGTATACGCCGATGTAGTTATTCGACACGGGATACCTTTTGCGTGGTACAAATCGCACCCGGCTCTCAACAAGAGTTCTTTGACGCCTTTCCCGCGGAACTTTGGGTTCACAACTAACCGATTCACGACGCAAAATCGTTGCACTTTTGAGGCGTTCAGATTATCGACGACGTTTTCAAACTGCGGCGGCGCTTGCTCCGTGTGAAAGCTCGCGTATCCAATCAGATTTCTTTCGTCGTCATCCTTGTCGTCGTCTGCTTTACCGACGACTTCTAAATACACGCCGTGAAGAGTTGGAAGAGAAGTCACGTAATGCCATCTTTTGAAATCATCGTAGCGTTCTCTCGTCGATTTGACAACGACGAAAGAATTACTACCATCGTCGTCGCTTCTATACTTCTCTCGGTTATCGCGAAATAGGTTCGAGATATCGTTCGAAACTTCCAAGAGCTGCTCTCTGACTCGTAAGTGCACGGATGGAAAGTAATCTCGAGTGTCCTCCTCCTCCTCGTCTTCCTCGTCGTCTGCCGCTCGAAAAAAGTGAGACGACGAAGAAGATACCATCGTCATCGCGGTTTCATCTTCTTGAAACGTCATCCCACTGTTTTCCGCGAACGTTTTCGCCAACCGTTTCACCTCTGCTCGCCATCCTACTTTCTCGCTTGCGATACCGCATCCCCACTCAAACGCGTCAAAACCGTCGCCGCTATGAGTATTCCTCACTCTCAACCAGTCCTGTCTGTTTCCGTTCGTTTTCATCACCGGAACTAACTTCTCGTGTTCGATAATCATCGCTATCGTCGTCGTCGTTTTTTGAAGATGTTGTTTTCGACGTCGTCGTCGTCGCAGTAAACTTAAACACAGTTGAAACACTCGCAAGAGTTTGACTCCAGAACATCCATCACCTCCCGCCAAAAGTACAATTTTTTTAGTTTGTTTACGACGCTCAACTTCTCCTTCTTCTTTTATCCAGCGCAATAAAATCTCCATGAAATGTTTCAGGGAGGATTTATCGCGCAAAGGAGACTTGCCTCGCCAACGGTGCGTTTTGATGTTATCATCATCATCATCATCATCATCATCATCATCATCATCATCGTTACAAGAAGAAGAAGAAGAAGAAGAAGAGCTCTTCCCAAAAACGACCACTTCATCCATTCTTCTTTTATCGCTCTTCTCCTCTTCCTCTTCCTCTCGAAAATCAACCAAGAGCACTCTCTCGTCCTCAAAGTCGTCCTCCTCTTCTTCCTCCTCCTGTTGCTGCTCCTGTTGTTGCTCCTGCGACATTTACTCTCTCATCGCATTCGATGTGTGATTTTTTTTTTCTAACGAACTTTTACTTTTTTGCAACAATTGGTGAAACTTAAAAATCGTTCGAGAGACTTTTTCTTCGAATAATAAAAAGTCCATGCAAATGTGCAAAATGGGTGAAAAGAAGCCAAATTTGCTTCTTCGCGAAGAAATAACGACCAAAAAGCAACGACAGAAAAAGAGCCGCGCGAGAGATTCGATATTCTCATTCATTCATTCATTCATTGCACGAATAGAGTACTATTATTAGTAGTATTATTATTAGTATTAAGTATTATTACACGCGCACACACACGAAAAGCGATACACATGAAATAATGCTGGCAGCGGCAGCGGTGAGCGCGTTGTATAATAATACTAAAAAGAATGAGATGAACGAAGAGAAGAAAAGAGACGGGGAAACGATGATGATGATGATGGAAGACAACGTTCATCGCATCGAGGACGTTGAGAAAAGAACGACGACGACGATGACGAGGATGAGAGCGCGAAGGCAAAAACCAACCGGAGAAGAAATGCTGACGAGGAACGGCGCGTGGGAAATTCTGGACGCCCTGGACGCGCGCGAGAAGAAGAAGGGAAAGAAGAAAAAAGACGCGCTCGTGAGATTTTTAGAAGACTTTCGCGCGGTGCACACGCTCGCGCGAGAGGTGTTGCCAGAGTGCGAAACGAAAACCGCGACACTCGAACGCGTCGAGAATCCCATCTTTTTGGCAAAGGCGGAAAAAAAACCAAGCGTGTATGTGCAACGATTTAAAATCGATACGACGACAACGACTGGGATGGTGGATAACGACGACGACGCGATCGAGGAAGAGGTGGAGAGAGCGGTGAGGAAGGCGGTTGGGTTGAGCGCTGAAGAGGAGGAGGAGGAGGAGGACGAAGCGCCGTGCGAAGTGCGCGTGCTGGAAACGTCCGAAGGCGTCGTCGCATCGTCGTCTATGGATGCGGTTATCGTTGTCGTGGACTTTCGAGAGAAAGAAGGATCTGTTCCAAGCGTATCGTTTGGAAGCGACGACGACGAAGAAGAATATGAAGAAGACAACAAAGAGAAAGTAAAAAAAGAAGAACTTTTCGAAGGTGGTATCGTGGAACCAGATCTGGAAACGTCGTTGAAAGAGTTACATCCGTTCGCCATCTCTATCCGACAATTATCCAAACGAATCGGTGAAGACAACGTGTTTTTAGTCGTCACGCACTGCGGCGACGACTACGTCGAGAAAAGAGACTGGTGCGAGTTAATCGACGTGCCGCCAGAGAACGTGACGTTTTGCCAAAGCTCGTTCGTGCACGCGCTTTCCGAGGATTACAACAAAAACAAATCGAACAAATCGAGCGCGACGTACGTGGATATTCCAGACCGTCTCGTGGAATGGATCGACGATTGGAGAGAGGAAAGAGGGAAGTCGCTACGAAGCGAGTTTCAACGAGAGAGAGAGACGGTGCATTTCTTCGCCGCGCTGAAAGATGCGTATTTTATTCCGTTCGAAAAGAAAAAGAGTAAAAAAGAAGATAGAGAAGATGAAGAAGAAGAAGAAGAAGAAAAAGAAGAAAAGAAGAAAGAGGAGTTAAAGGCGTCGACGAAGCGAGTGGATGATGAAAATGCTGCCTCGGCCAAAGACGGTACCGCCGTAGATTCTGCGGTGGCGGCTAAAGACGATGACATTTCCAAGAAAGTCATCGATAGTCACTCGAGAGTTGCGTTGAAAACAGTCTCTGCGTGCTTCGATCGCGCCATTGAAGGCATGGGTGCTGGCGTCATCAGCGGCGCACCCGCGATGGCGGCGAAGTTCGATAAGAATTACGCGTCCTCGTCTGACAAGATGATTACGCGCAACCAGCTTCACTATTTCGTATCCAAATACGCCGTGGCGCAATATCCAGCCGCGTTTATCCTCGCTTGGGCCATTCCCGGTCCGTTGATGGCACACCCGGTGCATTTATCCAACCGATTTCGCATCGCTCTGTGCTTCGCCATCGTCGGAGGACGCGAATATATGAACATGGAAACAATCGCCACGACGTTGGCGCTCGGCGCAGGGGCGGATGGATTGGCCGTTCTGAACGCATCTTTTGAAGAAAATGATTTGGAGAGACAAGAAAATGACGACGACGACGAGGACAACGACGATGACGCGAGCGATGAAAGCGGTGACGACGACGAAGTTCGTCGCGCCTCTGTCAAGGTAGAAAAGGAAAAAGAAGAGGAATCCGCGGAGGAGAAGAAGGAGAAGAAGGAGAAGAAGAAGAAGGAGATACCGCTTCCGGTTCCAAAAACGAAAGAAGATGAAACAAAACATGAAAAAGGAGAAGAAGAAACGAAAGCAAGCAGCAGCAGCAGCAGCAGTAAATTATTAGCGTCCTTCACGGAACGAGTCAACGCCGCGTTGAGCGCGATTGAAACGTCCACATCTGAGCTCCGTCAAAATGCCGAAAATGCCATCAAGGACGCGTTTACCATCGCCGACCGAACGGTGGCGAAAGCGGAACGAAAAGCGAAGAAACTGACGCGCAAATCGCTCAATCGAGCTTTGGACGACGGGTTAATCACGAGAAAACAGGCTTTGCAGATGAGCAAAGGTTTCTTCCGAAACGCTTTTTACGAGTACGTCGTCAGAGACATCTCTGCTTTGATTTGCGGACCGAGATATTTATTGTTCACGCAGGCGGATTTGACGCAAATTGTAAACTCGTCGATGACGTTCTACGTCGCCGAGGCGGCGTGTAAAACGTTCTTACCGGACAGATTCAACCACAAGGAGAAACTAGAAATCGATGGTGGTAACGCTTCGGCGATGGGGACAACGACGCTTTCGGCGAAATCGCTCGCGGAATCAGAGGCGGGGATTAAGGCGAAGGAGTACTGCGACGCGGCTTCGGAGAAATTCTCCCAAACCGCCGAGTCTGCAAAGCAAACGGCGGAGGCCGCGAAAGTGAAAGCGCAAGAAGCGGCGGCCAGAGCGGCACAATCCGCACACGATGCCGCCACGAGGGCAGCCGAATCTGCGCAAGAAGCTGCCAGAGCGGCTCAAGAGAACGCGCAAAAGGCGAAGGAGGCGGTCTGGTCCTACGTGTCCTCAATTTCTTCCTCGGTCGCCGCGGCGGTTGCCAAAAGCGACGACGACTCTGACTTGATCGATAAGAGTTTAGATCCAAACTCGTACGCCGCAAAGTTGGTCCCGCAAATTCCATCGTACAAACTTGCCGCCGCTTTTGGCGGTCCCGCGATGAAGAAAGCGTTGGCGTTCAACCTTCCGTCGCTTCTCGCCGACGCCGATTGTCGAAATTTGGGTTTCACCAAATCCGTCTGGACTGGGAACTCGAAAGAGTTGGACGACTTGTTCGCGAAATACGACCAAGAAAAACGCATCCGCGCCGTCGCTCGCAAAGCTTTAGTCTTATGTCTCCAATCTTCGAACAAGAAAAGCGTCGCCGAGGAGCTCAAAAAGTGCGGTTTGATGCAAAGCGAGAAATCAAAAATGCACTTAAAGTTGGAAGAGCGACAAAAAGAGCACAAAAAAGAAAGCAGCAACAGCGCGGCAACCTCACCCACGTCAACCCCTCCTCCTTCTCACTCCACCGCCTCCTCCTCCTCGTTGGTATTCGCCAACGTCCAGTTACCATCGATTCCTTCCCCTTCCAGTCTCTTCGCCAACTGGGGTCGAGGAGGAGGCGTCGGGTCGAAAGAAACGACTGCGACACTCATCCCTGCCGCTACCGACGGGAAAACAACTGCAAAAAAGGACGGCGACGACGTAAACGACGACGAAAAAGACGCTTCGCCGAAATCGCCCATCGCCGTTGTAAATCGCACTTGATGCTACGACCAACACTATTTATTTATATATGAATGTATTGAGAGCGCTCGCATTTACACTTGAGTATTTTTCATTTTCCTCGGATTTTGATAATTTTGTCTACTTTTTTTCCTCCAGAACGAGACTTGAGATGGAACGATCACTCAACAGACACAACACCATCAACGGGTTTGAAGAAGAAAAAGAAGAAGACGACTGTCATCATCAGGTAGGACGACGACGTAAACGACGGCGAAAAGACGTTTAAGCTCTCTTTTTCGCGAAACGCGTTCATATAGTAGTGTCTTTCGCATCATCGTTTCGGATTTATTCAAAATCTCTGCGCTCGTTTCCCCCAAAATCTCGGTTCTCTAGAGGTTTACTTTATTACGCGCGCGCTGCAAAAGAAGAGCGAAATTCGCTTTTCCGCAGCATTATGATCGTCCTTCATTGTATTCTCTTTCATACTCACTCTCTCTCTCTCTCTCTCTCTCAGATGAAACAACAACAAAAAACGCTGTCGGAATTCAATAAAAAAATTCCTTTGATTTCTTCGAGCAAGGGAAAAGAGGAGACACAGAAGGAAGCGAAGAACGCCTTTGCCGCTCCCTTTAAGCGAAAGAATTTTTCTTCCGAAGAAGGAGGAGACAGGGAAGAGGAAGAGGAAGAGAAGAAGAGAAGCAAAGGAAGCGAAGAGGGAGACGCATACGGCGAGGATGAGGATAAGAACACGCCGCCGACGAGAGCAGCGCCTACTGCGCGAGAAAGAACAACGTTGAAAGAGACAGAAGAGGACGATGACGACGATGAAGAAGCGATTTTAGGGACAGATGTGAAAGGCGAGAAGAGCGAGCGGATTTCACCTGTCGGTATCGATAAGGAAGAAAAACCGGACGTGGAAGAGGAGAAGGCGAACGAGGAGAGAGCCGCGCGGGAGGCGAGCAAAGAGGCGACGACGACGACGACAACGACGAGTGTTGGTAATACTAACGGTGAAGAAGAACAAAGGAAGATGTCGGTGTTAGAGCTCCACTTCGGGAAACGGAAACCAAATCCTCCGAAAGAGCTCAAGTACGACCAGAAACCGAAAGAAATGGAACCAAATGCGGAGCCGTTGCCGGAGGAGTTGGAGGAGTGGAAACAGTTCGCCGAGCAACAGTTGGCAAATTTGGTGAATTTAATGAGACAGAAAATAATCGATTGTTTTCACGTGAGAATAGCGATATCGGTGATGATGATAGCCTGTCCAGCGAAAGAGTTGAGAGAGGTGCTGAAGGATTTAAGAGACATGAAAGTGATTGGAAATACCATGCGACCGTATTTGATTTATTTGAGAGAAATTTTAGACGGGTGCGGCGAGAAGTATCGAGATAAGTTAGACGCGGACATGGAGTTTTCCTCCTCGGATGAAGACGAGTCTTCTTCGAGCGATGACGACGATGATGATGACGACGAGTCGGACTCCGAGGAAATTCCTGAAATCACCCGCGGCAATGGCCCGCTCGCCACGACTGCGCAAGTTCGCGACGCTACAAAAATACAAGGGTGTTCGTCCTCCTCGGAGGAGTCCGACGGCGACAACGACGAGGAAGATGATAACTCCTCCTCTGAAGAAGAAGAAGAAGAAGAAGACGTGATGAAAAAACCTAAATACGACCGCCAACGATGCCAACTCTTCTCTAAATTCCTCGGTCGTTTCATGATTGAAAACAGAGTCCAAGAGCAAGTCGAAGCCGCTCGCCTTCTCCGCGCGGACGAGTGTCGAGAGTTTTCCAACGAAGAGTGCGTCCAGTTTTTAGATCTCTTGCAGCGACAGGGGAAAATCATGATCGACGGGCCCATTATTCACGTCATATAGTCATAAACAGGATCTCATCGAAACGACTAAAGTAGACGTTGTTGTGTATTATTATTATTATTTCATTTTGCATCAAAAGGACAAAAGGACTTTTTTTTCAGTTCCATTTCTTTCCAAAAAACAGACAAAACTCGTCTTCATAAAAAAAAGGGTCACTCACGCTTTATTTAACAGAGCTTTCTTTCCGCGTTTTGTATCCTCGCAACACACACACACACACACACACACGCATTCGGTGAACACACCGTACTCTTTGTCGTTGTTTTTATCGCGTTACTTTTTTATCATCGTCATCATGCCGACGGTGAACTTAAAAAGAGACGATTTGTTCCAAAAGCTCGGGAAAACGTTCACCGAGGAAGAGTTTGACGAGTTGTGTTTCGATTTCGGCATCGAGTTGGACGAAGTGACCACGGAACGGGAGATGTCGAGCAAGTTTTTAGGAGTGAAAGATACCAAAGAGGGAGGAGACGGTGGTGGTAAAGAAGAAGAAGAGAACGACGCGGTTATTTATAAAATCGACATCCCGGCGAACAGATACGATTTGCTCTGCTTGGAAGGCATAGCGAGAGCGTTGAACATCTTTCGCGGGCAACGATCGACGCCGGTGTTTCGAACGGTCGAACCCGAGAACGGGCAGGAGAGGTTGCGAGTGAAAGTCAATAAAACGGTGAGTTTAGTGCGACCGTTTATTGTCTGCGCGGTGTTAAGGAACGTCACGTTTACGAAAGAGAGGTATAATTCGTTCATCGATCTGCAAGATAAATTGCACCAAAATATATGCCGAAGACGAAGTTTAGTCGCCATCGGGACGCACGATTTGGCCAAGATTGAAGGGCCGTTTACGTACGACGCGAAACCGAAAGAGGAGATTGAGTTCGTGCCGCTGAAGCAAACGAAATCGTTTCGAGCGGATGAGTTGTTGGAACACTATAAAAAGAACGACCAAAAATTGAAAGCGTACGTGCCATTGATCGAGTCGAGCGCGGTCGCGCCGGTGTTGAAAGATAAGAACGGAACGGTGCTGTCTTTGCCGCCGTTGATTAACGGGTCGGTGAGCGCGATCTCGTTGGAGACGAAAGACGTGTTCATCGAGTGCACGGCGACGGATTTGCACAAGGCGAAGATTGTATTGAACACGGTGGTGACGATGTTTTCCGAGCACTGCGCGAAACCGTTTCAAGTGGAACCTGTAGACGTGGTGGATTTTATGGGGAACGAAAGGAGTTATCCGGATTTTATGACGCGATTCGTAGACGTGGACGTAGATTACGTGAACAAACGAATTGGAACCGAAATTGAAACGAAAGAGATGGCGGCGTTATTGTGTAAAATGCAGTTGGCGTCGAAAGTCACCGCGGAGAAGACTTTACGAGTGGAAATTCCACCGACGAGATCGGACGTGTTGCACGCGTGCGATATCGCCGAAGACGTGGCGATTGCGTACGGATACAACAACATTAAACAAACCATTCCGAAAGCGTCGACGATAGGGAAAGGTCAACCTATTAATCATTTTAGCGATTTGGTGAGAGAGGAAATCGCGAGAATGGGCTTTTCCGAGGTGTTGACGTGGATTTTGTGTTCGCACGACGATAACTTTAAAAACGTGCGAAGAGAAGATAACGGAAACTGTGCCGCAATTGTCGCGAATCCTTCCTCGATCGACGTGCAAGTGGCGAGGAGTTCGTTGTTGCCGGGCGTTTTGAAAGCGTTGGGGGCGAACAAGGACGCGCCGTTGCCGGTGAAACTCTTCGAGGTTGGTGATGTCGTCGTCATCGACGAGAACGCCGACGTCGGGGCGAGAAACTCGAGAAGATTATTAGCTTTACACTCCGCGCAAACGTCTGGTTTAGAATCAATCCATGGGGTGTTAGATAGAGTCATGCAAGTGACTGGAGCGGCGGGGTCGTTTGAGCCCGGGCCGGGAAACGCCGGCTACGAGTTGATACAAACGAGAAACGAGCCGACGTTTTTCCCGGGAAGGCAAGCGACGATTGTTCGAGACGGGAAAGAGATTGGCGTGTTTGGGATCGTCCACCCAGACGTTTTGAAGGAGTTCGATATCGTGAATCCGGTTTCGGTGTTGGAATTAGAACTTGAACCGTTGCTCGAGAGAACGCAAGAAGCGATTGCCAAAGGGGGACATTAATTTAACGCATATCAGTTTTTTACGCACGTGTTATTAATTTATAAGGTATTTAGTTTCTTAGAATCTGTCTGCTATGTTTCTGTTCTTATTTTTGCTTAGTATTATAGATGGAGCACGTTTTACGTTTCTTCTTGTTATTGTCTTGGCGTTGTTGACGTCGAAAAAATCACTTCTTCACTTTCTTAGTTGCTCTGCCCGTTCTAGTCATCATCGTTTTCTCCGCGATCACTTGCTCTTTCGATTTCTTCTCCTCTTTTTCGGCACTTTTCGGCGTCAAGGCGTGAATTCCAGGCGCTAATCCTTGCTTCGCTTGCTTCTCTCCCGTTCCTAAAGGCGATGAATTATTCGTAGGAGTAGCAGCGGCAGCGGCGGCGGCGGCAGCGGCGTTTGCAACACCAGCGGCAGCCGGGGCAGCACTTCCTCCTCTTGGTCGTGCCGGAGAAGATCCAACCATACCACCAACGCTCATCGCCGCTTGGCCTTTGCCGGCTTGCGGCTGGTAACTTCCCATTCTATGAAGTTGCGGCACCTGAGAGGGTGAGATTTGCTGAGCGGCAACAGCGGCTACGGCTTCCGTTTTCGAAGCCGCGCGAGCCAGCTGTTGCTGTTGGACGTGCGGCGGCACCTGTTGCATGTGCGGCTGCTGCTGAGCTTGCATGGGAACACCGTTACCAGCCATTTGCATTTGACCTTGCATCTGGTGTTGCGGAGGTTGGATGACGCCAGTGGGATATTGCATCCCTGGCTGCTGTTGCATCTGCATCTGTTGGTGCTGCATTTGTTGTTGTTGTTGTTGTTGCTGCTGATGCTGCATCTGCTGTTGCTGCATCGGATTCATCGCTAAGTGCGCCAACTCTGCCGGTGATTTCAATGGAAACATCTTCACGCAATCCTTCCAGCTCTGGTGAGGTTTAACGCGCTTCTGTGGATCCATGCCGACGCGCTCCCGTAACGCCGCGCGACGAATCTTCGCGTATGAAGAGCACGAGTGCGCCACCGCTTGGAAGTGCAATCTAGCCGTTTCATCCTCCAACGGTAACGATCTTGACATAACGACGCGAGCGGAACCCTTGTCCAAGTTGAGCGCGGCGAAAGCTTCCGGATCGTTCTCCAACTCAACCGCTCTCGTGAGCTGTTGAAAGCGCCATCGGCACAGTTCCGGACGACGATACGAGCCTTTCAAGCTCGCCGAAGCGCCAAACGCGTCGGCCACGAGTGCCCAATTCGAGCCAAACTCGTGGACGATGGCACATAAAAGCGCATCTTCCGTCGCTGTCCACGGCTTCGCGGCGCCTTTTCGTTCGCCCGCGGCGGCAGCGCCCTCTTTTTTCCCTTTCTTGTTGCCGTTCTTCTTGACGCCAAACTGCTCCTCCATCCCCGGATGAAACCGAACAAACTGACCTTTCTTATTCTTCTTACGTTTCCCGTTTTTGTCGACGACGTAACCTTCTTGGTCGAAGAAGTGACCTCGTGCGGCAGCCGCGGCGAAGAAAGCGCGTCTGCGCTCTTCGGACGGCGTGAGCTTCCCGTCTGGACCAGAACCAGCTGCGCCTTTTTGGCCACCTGCGGTTTTTTGCTGAGCGCGTTGGTGGCTTTCTCTCGTTCTCTCACGATCTTCCCACTCTCGAAGTCGCCTTTCGTACTCGGCAAACTTGTTCGCTTCTTTCCCGATGGCACTCTTTTCAAATTCGTCGCGAACGCTTTCGTACGCGTCGTACTGCAAAGCTGGAAAATCAAAGAAGAAGTCCTCGGCTGCGTCTGATTTCTCGTCGTCGTCGTCTTCGCCATTCTTACCACCGCTGGACATGGACTGATCGTCGTCCTCGTCTTCATCATCAGATCCTTCTCCTTCTTTCTTCACGGCTTCGTCGTCTCTTTTGAAACTCTTCAATCCGCGCATGGTGAGCTTCTTGTTCATCGAGTACGGGGCAATCAAAGCGTCCAGATCTAATTCTAATCCACCATCATCCAATTTAAGATCTCTGGCGTATTGCGCGCGTCGTAGCTCTCTTTTCTCCGGACTCGACAACATGCCTTCAGTGTCCACGTCTGTTTCCATGTCTTCCGCATCCGTATCTTTACCGGTGGTATTCCCAGAAGGAGGAGGCTCCGGCGTCGCGTCTCGTTTTCTCTTGTTCCCTTTTCTCGTTGGTTGTTCTTTCTTTTCATCTTTTTGTTTACCTCTCGCAGCCTGTCTACCTTTACGACCTCCACCTCTCTTCGTCGTTTCTTCGTCGTCCTCTTTCTCTTCGGCTTCTTTCGCGTCGACGGCTTGTCGCACCGCTTTCGCCTTCTCTAACGAAGCCAATCGGTGCAAATACTTAACCGCCCACCTTTCTATGCCTTTCATGGAACTTCCACGAGGAATCTCCGGCGTTTTTGGATCAAAACTCACGAGGAACATCTCGTCATCGTCTCTTTTACTATCTTCGCCGTACCCAGTCACGTCTGTCAACGGCGTACTCACATTTGTCGGCGGCGTCGACCGCGCTGAATTCGTCCTCGTATTCGCACCTCCGTCGTCGCTTTTTGGCGTTTGTGGATCGCTTCCACCGCCCCCACCACCCGCAGCGGCGGCGTTGACTGCTGCTCGATGTAACCTCTGACTCGTTTGCGCTTGCGCCGACGAGTGTAATCGAAAATTCGTTTCCCTCTCCGCCGCTTCCAACGCGAACCGTTTCCCGCCGCACCCGAGCTTTGCCAGCTCAGTCGCTTCGGGTAATTTGACCTTCTTTGCCTCTTCCCAACGAATCTCCCAAAACGCGCTCACTTGTTTCGCCACCTGCCTCGCTGCCTTGGCATCTCTTTGATTTCTTCTTTCGTTCGCTCCCACCGGCACGCCATTGGCTACCCCAGCCGTCAGCGCCACCTGCCTCGCCGCTTCCAACTTCCAATCTCTCTCCGCCGCGAAATCTCTGGCCAGCCATTTCATCTCCGCCATCACGTACGACCAATGCGTCGCCTTCCTCTTCTGCTCCCCTTGCGCCGGCGCGTTCGCTTTTTGCGTTAACAAGCGCACCTTCTCCTTCACCAATTGCGCTCGAGCGATGGCCATGTTCTCGTCTTTAATCCTCCGCTTCCGCGCTTCGGGCGTTTCCACTTTTCGTTGATTCGATGTCTTGTTATTATCGTCCTCCTCGTCGCCCGAGGAGGATTCGTTGTTGTTTTTGTTGTCGTCGTCATCCTCCGATTCTTTTTCTTCTTTTTCTTCTTCTGATTCTTCTTCTTCTTCTTCTAGTTCTTTATCGCCGCTCTCGGACTCCTCCTCCTCCTCCTTCTCTTTCGCATTCGCATTCGTGGCGGCATTTCTGGCCGAGGCAGTCGTCCCGCGTCCTCGATCTCGAGCCATAATAATCAAAAAACAACTCTCTCAAAAGTACTTTCTTCTCTCTCTCTCTCTCTCTCTCTCTTCTGTTGTTGCAATCTAAAGCGATGATGATGTGACGATCCGTTTGATGATATGATGTGTGTTCAAATTTAATAAATTTTCTCTTAATTTTCCCCTCTTTTTCCAGTCCTGGACCACAACAGAGCGGCGAAACTGCCAATGTCTCTTTCCGATCAAAGAAAATTGAACACAAAATTCTCTCTCTCTTTTACTCTCTCTTTCAGGATCTCTTCTCTCGCTCTGATCGTACCCCTCCGTATGGTGGTCTCCGACGTAAACGACGACAACGACAGAAAGAACACAAAGCACAACACAGAGAGAGAGAGGATGAGAGGGTCGAGGGTCTCTCTCTAATTTTGCGGCTCGAATTGAGGCGAGCGTTTGTTTTAACTTAGGTCAAAAAAAATGCACCTCGAACAAGAGGCACTTTTGAAAATTAGGGTTTAAGGTTTCAGAAGAATTTTTTTTCTCTCCTTCTCTTTCTTTTACTCAACAACCACCCCAGAAAGAAAGAAAGAAGAGTTTTGCATCATCATCGTCGCTCTGTGTAACGCGCACTCTTCTCTCTCTCTCTCTTTGCGCGTTACGACGACACAGACGCGCACACACACAACGCGCCCTTTTCCTTTAAAACTCTTTCTTTCCGCTGCTCGTGTTTTTTTGGGAGAGAGAGAGAGTGAGAGAGAAAAATATCTTTTGGGTTTTTGAGCACCACCACCACCGCGAGGAGTACCACACGGGGAGTACCGTTGTTTTGATGATGATGATGATGCGCGAATAAAAACCGACTCTCTGATATGGTAAAAACGACGACGACGCGCTCGTCTTCGTCGTCGTTTACGTCGTCGTCGTCTGAATCGTCGTCGTCCGATGACTGCGACGTGAACGACTCAGAAGAAGACGAACGAAAAGTGCCTCTCTCCGATGAGAGGATGATGACAATGATGATGAAGATGGAAAGAAAGCTGAAAAAACACAGCAAACGAGTGCAAAAAGATATTCAAAATATCCTTTCGATGGCAAAAAGTCACGCGAACGCGCACGCGATATCGACGAGAGAACACATAAACGTGCATTGGGAAACGACGCATATGTATTGCGAATCTATAGAGAAAGCGGTGGATTCTACGGAGGATTTAATGCAACGCGTGGTGTCGGTGGCGGCGTTCGCGGAGAAGTTGAGAGCGCTGGCGAAACGGACGAAAACGCTGAGGATACAAGCGGAAGTTTTGGAGAAGATGTGCGAGGAGAGAGGGATACTCGTGGCAACATCGGGAGGGAAGAGAGGAAATAATAACACGTCGTCGCCTCTAAGTCATGGTGGTGGCGGCGGCGTTCTTTCGTCGTTGTCGCCGTTGCGTTTTTTTCGATCCGGATCGGCGTCGCCGAAGAAGAGGAACACGCCGCCGGCGTCGCCGTCTTCGAGGACGTCGAGATCGAACGACGTTTTTGCGACTTCTCCTTTCGCGAAAGAAGACGACGAGAGGAAGAAAGAAGAAGAGGAGAGTAGATCGTCGATGACACCAGAAGTACAAACTCGACCACCTCTTCCTCCTAAAAATCTTCCTTCTTCATCATCATCCCCGACGCCGTTCGACCCTTCCAACATCATCGCCTCCGTCGTCGAACGGAAAAAGATCGAACGGTTAGCCGAGTTGCGCGAAATCGAACGCGTCAAAGAAGGTAAATACGGCGTCGTCACCCCGTACGAAAACTCGTCACCGGCGGAGACGCCGAAAGGAGGCAAATCATCGAGTTTCGAAGAAGAGTACGAAAGAAAAGAAAAAGAGGTCAAAGTCGCTCTGGACGAAGTCGTACACTCGCTCGGTAAGATGTAGTGAATAATAGCGCAGCAGATAATAGAGTAGCGTCCTAAGAAGAGAAATGGTTTGCACATTATTAATCGATTTTTAGAGAGAAAAGAAGAGAATAAATCTCCTCACAAAACAACACGCGCACTAAAAACACATTCTTCATCTCTTTAATAATAAGTGAGAGAAAAGATGACGACGACGACGACGACCACCTCGAAGCTTTGTTGTTCGTGGTGTTCTCGTAAAAGTCGTTCTCCCCAAAAATCAGCGGCAGTATCGGCAAAAAAGGCGTGGTCCAGCGGTGACCAATTCGCCGTCAAAAACGGGGAAGCATTCGCATTCGGGAAGAAGAGAAGAAGAAGAATGAATACTACTGCACGCGCCAACAACGCCGCTGATACTACTGATGAAGATGCTTTTGCCGACGTGAATACTCAGAAGAACGCAGTATCGTCGTCTGAATCATCGTTATCGTCATCGCTGAGAGAATCTCTCGCGAAAGAGTTATCCGTGCTCCTTTCCAAAGTGCATTTGGGGGCTGCTCCTCTCACTGCGCAGGAGAGTTTCGAAGCGCGCAAAAACAGGCTGGAAAAAGCACTCTTGATGGCAACTTTATTGGAAAAAGAAGAGCACGATGATCATAAATACGACGACGAGAAAAGGACGACGGCGATTCAGACGACGAAAACATCGACATTTTTGTCACGGACGCGTACTACGAATACGAAGACCAACGACGACGAAAACGCTTTAACGGAAACGATAGCGCGAGAATTAATCAACCACGACGTGCTCGGTCGTTACATGAACGAGATCGCTCGATTCGCGTACATTCGTAAAACTTCACACTCAGGCGCGGCGTCGCGGCGACGAGCGAAACGGCCGAAAGATCGAGCGAGCAACCAGAAGAAGCCGAGGCAAGGGTTGACGAGAGAGGACATGAGGAGAGAGCACAGGAGATGGTGCGCGGCGTGTCAAGTGTTCGTGAAGAAAGAAGACGCGTTATCGGTGACGAAAGTTTTGAATACCGTCGTCACATCGTCGTCTGAATCGTCGTCGGGAGAAACTTCCTCGGAATCGTCCTCTTCCTCGTCGTACGCCGATTTCATCGAAGCGACCACGCGAAAAGAACGCCGGTGTAAAAAAGAAAAAACAAAGAGGAAACTCCTCCCGCACGCCATACCGACGCCGACGTACAAAATCGTCGCGTTCGATCACAAGAAAAGCTCGAAATCCAACCCGCCGCCGAACGGGCGCTCCATGTTCGTCTGCCGCCGAGTGTGCTGCGTGAACATGTTGAACGCGAAACGCGTCGCGAGCAACTTGAAGTATAAAATGCCCTCAAACTCGTCGTCCAAAAAGAGTAGCGACGATAGCAGCAGCAACGCAGACAATAGTAATAGCACCGCCACCACCACCGCTTTAGAAATCATGCGCGACCTGAAACTCTTAGCCGAACGAGCGGAAAGAGACGACGGCGTCGATTCCTCCGGGTGGAAGTTGCGCAAACCGAACGACGGCGACAAAAACGCCAAAGGTCGCCATCCGCACCGGTGGACCGAACCGCCCACGTGGGTGCAATGAAATGAAATGAAATGAAAAAGAGAGGTGATGAGGTACTCCTCTTCGTAGATACTCTCTTTTTGCGAACAACCTAAGACGAGAAAAAGAGAATAATGTGTGCGACAACAGAGAGCGTTCACATTTCTTAATAAGAGAGTCATAAATCAGGAGGAATTTTAAGACAAAAATCCATCACATTTTAGCACAAAACACGCGCAAATATTACTACTTTACTACTCAATGTCTTCTCCTTCTTCTACTAAACTTGTTCGAGTTTCCTCGTGGAACGTCGCCGCGATCAACGACAACCCGTTCGAGTATTACGTGACCATCGACAGCAGCAACAAAAGCGACGTAAACGACGACGACATTTCGGATGAAAATGGAAACGATGATGATGTGGACGCTTTGAGAAGAAGAAGACAAAGAAGAAATCAGAAAAACTACGAAAAAACGATGGAAAAGATCGACGAGAAGTTGATCAAAGCGCGCGAGCACGAGGTCAGAGTGAAAGATATTCTCTCGAAAGAGATGTTGCTCGACGTGAAGAGAGAAATCACGAACATGAAAATCGACGATTCTTGGACGGAACTCGAGTGCGATTCGGCGATGGAATTCTTCGAAAAACACTTCGCGGAGAGGAAAATTTTGAGCGATTTTTTACTCGACGGCGACATTGGCGCGAAACGGTTGTGCTCGATGCCGGATCGACTGACGACGAAGAGCGAAAAGGGGAAATGTCGTCCGTGCGTGACGACGTCGTACGCGGATGTGAGCGTGTTGAGCGACGACGCGAAATGGTGGCGAGCGTGGTTGGCGTACGCGTTCGACGAGAAGGACGGCGTCGCGAAGCGGTTGAAGTTTTTAGATAACAAAAAGTACCCAGCAATTACGGACGAGGAGGTGAAGATATCGAGACCTTTGCAGATGTTTTGTTTGGCAGCGTTCGATAAGAGTTTGATACGGTTGATTGGCGAGGCGGATGCGAATTGGGCGGAGACGAAGAAGATGTTGGTGGACGCGTTGGTAGAGAGGAAAGTGAACGCGACGATTGATATTTTAGAACGAGTGGCAAAGGAAGGGAGAGAAATCATATGTTTACAGGAAGTGTCGGAACAAATGCGAGACGGAATCGCGAAAAGCGAGGTGTTGACGGAGAAATTTGATTGTTTATCCGGTCCGGATTTCGACGCGACGAGGAATCAGAATTCCATCGTCTTGGCGAGTAAAACGTTTTTCGAAAGCGGCGTGTGGGAAGTCGTCAGCGTAAATAAAACGAAATTGCCCGCAGGCGTCGCCAGCGGTGATTTGTGCGTCGTTCGCGAGGTCAGTTTAGAAGAAAAAAAGGACAAGGACCGAAGGAAACCGTTCGCCATCGCCTCTTTCCACGGGGACACGAACGGGTTACAAACCGTCGACGTCGTCAAAGCCGTCAACAACGAATGCGGTGATAGTTCTGCGCTAATATTCGCTCTCGACGCGAACTGCCACCACGATGATAACAAAGGCAAACGCCTTTCGGTCGAAACCATGTACGGCTCCTTGGCCGCGGAAAATCTCCAAAACTGTTGGGGCGACGAACACGCGCTCTGCCCGACCACCACTTGCAACGCCCGCTCTTTCCTCCAACCGCAATTAAACAAAGCCGTTTTTTACAAAGAAAAGTTAACGAGCAACCTGGTCGACAGACACCCGAAAGATCATCTGTTCGTTTCCTCTGGACAGTTCAAGGTGAATACGGAAATGTCCAAACGCGTCAACGACGCTTCCGAGGACGCGTTCCGATGGGTAGACGACATGCCTTTCCCGACGCTTTCGTTCCCGAGCGATCACGCGTTGGTTTCCTTTGAACTAGAGTACAACGACGCATCTTAGTGTGGTAGCTTTGTTTTGTTCTGTGTGCGCGATTAGATAGATAGATAGATGGTAGATAGAGTAAATGTGAGTTTAAATGTTCCGTACAAATATCAATATTCCTTTATTAAAATTCGTCGGCATAATTCGTCCCCGCCGCCGCGCGTAAAGACGCGCATACGCACAAAAAATGGGCAAAAAGAAGCTCGCCTCTTCCTCGAATTACGACCAAGATGAGAAATTTAAGAAGTTTCCGTCCTTCCAATTGCCTTTCAACAACAACAACATGAACAACAACAACAACAGAGAAGGGAAGAAGAAGTCTTTCCTTTCCAATTTAAAAGGCAAAATGGACTTAAACAAATACAAAGAAAACTTAATGGCAACCGCGGCTGGGAAGATCATCGCCGGCGCGGCCTCTGGAATTGGTTCCATGCTGTTATTTGCGGCGGTATTTAAAGTCGTCTCCGCGAAAACCGCGGAAACGTCCGACGCGAAGAAAGAGGCGAATAAATTAGACATCGAAAGAAAGGCACGTTTGGCGGACGTGCGAAGACAGTTAGCGGGTCCTTTGAGAGCGTCTGCGATTGAGTTGCACGAACGGTTGGAGGATATCTTGTGCACGCCTCCGAGACGAAAATCGCAACTGGAGAGAGTTCCGCAACCGGTGAACTTCTTCGCGCTGCACTTTCCGGATGATCCGTCGGATTGCGTCAACTCGACGTTGTTTCGAATATGCGCGTATTTAGAAAAAGTTTTGCAGTTTAATCACGGGGTGCACGTGGAAGGAGTTTCAGAGGAGGACACGTGGCAATATCTTCTCGATAAGAAGCTCGCGAGCATTCAAAGAGCGATGGCGAGCTCGATTCCGAGATTTGATGCGGTTTTGAAAGGGGAGAGGTTGACCGAGGTGATCGCGGTGATGGTGTCGAGGGCGATGGTGCAATACGACGACGACGGGACGGCGGGGGCGTCGAAGTTTGTAGATAGTCTAGTTGGAGAAAAAGAGGCCGAAGATTTAGCAGATGCGGTGGCAAGGTACAGAAAAAGAACTGCGGCGATTCATCGCACGGATTCGTTGGGCAGGTCGCAACAGTTGTTCCCGGAATTCGAGCCGGCGACAAATTTGAAAGAGCGAGATTTCTCGGCGAGTCATTTCGAGTTTTCGAGAGAATACAGATGGCCGATGCGGTTTTTCGAGGATCATCAAATTGCCATGGCAGAAATATTTGCAAGCATACGGCCGAAATCAGAGCAAACGCAAACGATCGGCGGCAGGCCACAGAAGGAGATTGAATACATCGCTTTCGTGGCGAAGATTGAGGAAGCGTTGGCGTTGGAATCGGAGAATCCGCCCGGGTCGATGCGTTCTAATCCATGGGTGCACTGGATGCTTCCGGCAAGAAGTGAAATCGCGCGATACGCGAGTTTGCAAGCGCAAAACTTTAAACTGTTGAGACGGAGAGAGATGCGTGAGTTGACCGCGGCTCGCGCGAGGTTGGTGCAGTTGTCGAAAGCGTTGCAAGATCTCATCGACATGTTGTACATGCGCTTCGATCACCCGGCGTTCAAAGTGAAATCGAGAGACGACAAGTTCAAACACTTGAAACGTTTGGAAATGAAGAAACGACAACAGGAAAAGTTTAACAGACAAGCCTCGGCACGAGCGCAAAAGTATTGGAAGATTATAGAGGAGTACGTGCCAGTCATCGCGAGGAACCATTCGTTAGAGGGTATCGATAGGAAAGGCGAGCGGCAGCCGTGGAAGTTTCAAATTCCATTTCGGAAGGATTCTTACGAAATTCCAACGAGAACGGGTTGGGAAATTGTTGTCGCGTCAGTTGGAGTCGGTTTTGCTATTTTGCTTCCGCCGTTGTTGTTGCAATCAGTCGCGAACAAGGCGGTGAAGAGTCCACGAATTCCTCTTTCGGAGTGGTTGCAGAAAACGCCAAAAGAGTTGATGATCGCGGCGAAGAAATCCTCTTCTTCAGCCTCTATTAATAATAGCGGTAGGAAGAAACAACAGTCGGTACCAAAACCTAAGGTAATGGTGGAGGAAGAGATCACGTATGTAATCGCGAAAGATGACGGAGAACGAGGAGAATTCTCATCCGGGCTGCCACCGGCTTCTTCATCATAATAGCGCGCATGACAAGTATGTAAAGACAAGGTACATTTTGCGCTCAAATACAATTTATTGACTACTTTTTGCTGCTGCTATTGCTACAATTGCTACCATTGCTATTACTATTTTCTACTACTCTGCACTTTTGCTTTCTCTACCGCCGATATTATCGCATCGCTGACGCAATACCACTCGCCCCACTGGATGACGCCATTCTTATCTTCATCCGCCGCGTTCGCCAAAGCTTCCATCTTTTCCGTGATTGATTTGCTCGCGTTTCGGAATCCAGCCATTTTTATAACTTCCAAAGACGCGACTTCAAATTGCGCTTTTGTCAAGTACGGAAACGGAAACGTCTCGTCCGGTGGTGAGCAATGCTTTTTGAAGACGCTGAATGCGACCGCATCGTGTGAAATTGCGTCGCTGTCCAGTTGCGAGGCGTTCGCGAAGGAATTCTTAAATCCGAATTGCGCGATTTGTTTCTGCAAGTCTCTTTGTAAATCCGCGAAGATGGAGTCTATGGAAAAGTCACCCCCGTTTGATTGATTATCGCTCGTTTCAAAACCCTTATTCTCACTGACAAGAGCCGAGGAAGCTTCCATCGCGAGTTCAGTCGCTAACGCGTTCAGCGCGTCCATGGCGGAGAATGTATTTTGCGCGCTCTTCCGCGACGGTTCTCGTAAAGCCTTCGAGCTCGCAAAAGAGCGGATGCTACCACCACTTTTTAACGGGTTATAGTCCACGCTCATTCGCGCCGTACCATCAAACGACACATCAACGTCGTCGAAGTCGTACGATTTACGTAAAACCGTCGGAGTTGTCAAAGCAAGTCGAATTTCGTGACCACAAATTACCGCCGACGCGTCTTCGAGAATTTGCGAAAGAAATGCCAACGCAAACGCGTGGACGTTACTGGTGATTTTCTTCAACGCTTCCGGTTCGATTTTAATTTCCTCAGTTATGGAATCTAAAGCTTGCCAATCGGGACGAAATCGACGTATTTTTGTGTAATCGCGCGGCGCATCTTTCGCCACACGCGTTCGAATCTTTACCGTGCGGCTTAAAATACTAAACTCAACTTTCTGTGTTGTCTCCAAGAACGCGTCCAAGAAGAGCTCGAAACAGTTGGCGTATAAAGCGCGCTCGACGTCGTCTGGAATGGCTTGAACGTTATACGCGGCATCTGCGAGGAGCCAATCGATAAAGGCTTCCACACTTGCTCGGTTTATAGCGTTTCTATTACTCGTTGTTGTTGTTGATGTTGATGATGATGATGACGACGATAACGATGTGGTCCTTGTCTCTCCATTCTCCTTGCCCTTCGCGACGATAGGAGTCATGTTAAACCGTTCACGAAGAAAAGTGAAAGCATCGTTAGTGCTATCAGAATTCATCGAAGTTATTCCTACGACGTCGTTTGTATATTCTTCTTTCCTTAATTTCAATTTCTTATCGTCGTTCTTCTTTCGTATGACTTGTATCGTAACGTCCATGCCTAAAAATTCCGCAATCACGCTCGGCGCATTCAAGCCGATTTCTCCTAAAATGCCTTTAATAATGTCCACGTAGGTTTTCCTTTCCAGTTCCGGGGTGATAAACATTGGCGCCACGGCTTTACGTCGCGTCATGAAATCGTCCGCCAAGGCTTGCGCAAGCTCGTCTGCATCGTCCGACGACGACGATGATATCGTTTTTTGTTTGTTCCTCTTCCTTTCGTCTTCGTCGTATTCTTTCTGATCCTTCACGCGAAGATTGAACTTCACCGCGTAATCGACGTTTGGGAGAGAGACTTCGGAGTCGATGGCTTCGCACGCCATCGCAATGACTAACCTACCCACATCTCTTTCTAGCTCCGGGAAAAGTATACCAATCGGTGGAATTTGGAGTTCTTCGATGACTTTACCTAAACGTTCGTCCGAGGCGGTTTTGGCGATTTGAATCGCTCGGCTTCTTCTCAGCGCCTCGCGGCGTTCGCGGAGCGAGGTGTCGTCTCCTTCCTCTTTCACCTGTTCGCGGACATCGAAATAAAATTCCGCGTCAAAAATTCGCGCGGAGAAGCTTTGTACGCCGGATTCGAGGAACAGCGTACCGGTTCTCGCCGCGATGGATAAAATTTTCTTTGACATTTTCTTCTCCATCTTTTGCAACAGTTTCGACGTCGCGCTGCTATTTTCGCCGTTGTTGTTGTTAGTATTCTCCACCACTTCCGCGACAAACTTCTCCAACTCGTCCTCTTTGCTCCCTTCTAACGCCCCGTACGTCTTTAGCCTCTCCGAATCTTCCCCAACGAATCTTCTCTGCACGACCAACGGATGTCCCAACACCCTCGCGTCTCCGCTCAAGACGATATCGTCCAAAGTCTCAAACGCGCCTTCCAATCCTTGCTCCAACGCTTGCGCGTATACCCTCGTCTCTATACACTCCGGCACAATAGGTACGTCGTATAAATCGTGAATCAACTTTGCGTAATCTTTCAACAAACTCCGAAACTGAGGATCGTTTTTCGCAGTTCTCGTGATTTTCGGTGTATCAAACGCGTAAAAATTCTCCTTCGCGTACTCGAACACCTCTCGCAGTTTACGCCACCGGTCCTTCATAAACACCGGGATCGCTTTCTTCATGCGTTTGGTCGTTTTGACGACGATATATACCGCTTGAATAACGAATACAAACAATAACGCGAGTTTTTCGTTTTCGCTTTTTGCGAATGTCTTCGCCGCGTTTTGTACCGTCGCGTTCCCTCGTTCCGTACACGAAACCTCTCCTTTTGCCACTTTTCCTCCCTGTTGTTGGTGTTCTTCTCTTCGTCGAGGATTTGGAGGACGAAGACGGTTCAGAAACGCGTACGCGTTGGTCTCGCGCCTCGTCTTTCTCCCCCGAGGAAAATGGTGATGAAAAACGCCCCTCAGTACGTTTCTGTTACAAAGAGAACACTGTTTGGACGATGACGATGAAGACCAACAAGGCTTTGACGATGCTTTCGACGAAAAGAGCGACTTTTGTCCTCGCGTTGTTCTTCCTCTTTCAGAGCAGCGCGACGATTTAATCGTCGTCGTCGGCGAAAGCGTCGTCGTCGTCATCAATATCACCTTTACGGAAACAAATGGGGGAAAATGAAAATGTCTTCAGAATTTCTCTCACGACATTTGGTCTCGTTTGGCGGCGGGAAGGATACAGAGAGAGAGAGAGACAAAACGCACAACGCACGCGGGAATAACGATGAAAAGAGCACAAAACGAGACCAAAAACTTTTCACGAAAACAACAGTGGTGGTAGTTTTAAGAGGTGAGACGCGCTCGAAGGATTAACTTCGGTGGATACCCCAACGTCTTACTAAGACGGGGAAATTTACCACGATCACCGGGGAAAATCCCCGCGCGTTTGAGCAGAGAGTGCTGGGCGGAAACGTCGCTCCCTTTCTCTCCGGAAGTTCTCTTTTGGAGTGGAAGACACTCGCGATCTTTTAAACAGTCATTTAATCAGTCCGGACGCAACGGATGACACAGAACGGGGTTTACTCTCGAGCTGACGTCTCTCTTTCCTCTCCTCAGTACAAGACATACACAGGGTCGCATCGCATCAAAATCTCATCTGCGTTTGTCAACGCTTTTATATCATCACGCGTTCAAATATGAGATCTCTTTTCTTTCGTCGTTGAGTGTTTGGGCGGCTTTTATGAGTATCTTCTACCGCGCGCGTTTGTATGTGTTCGTCTCGAAACTATGCTTTTGCGGGTCTACGCTCGCTTTACTATTCCTACTACTACTACTACTACTTCTACTACTGCTACCACTACTGCTACTACTACTAAACCGCATCAAACGACGCACCAATTGTTGTTCCGGCGTTCCGAATTCTTTCATCGCGAAAGTTCTCCACCGCTTTGTCAAAGGTCGAACGTCTGAGTTTCATCGGACACCGGTCGAAGCGGGCGTCCTCTTTTAAGACGTCTCGAGCAATTTCCCACGCGAAAATTGCATCCTCCTCGTCCGCAACGCCACCTACGGATTGCGACAACGCGGAAACTGTTTCTCGGCACAACTCCGCGTATCGTTGCAGAGAATTTGATTTGAACTCCAACAAGAACGCATCGAAGGAGGCGACCATGTCTGCTTCCGAAAGAGGTCCGCCCGAGGAAGCGCGACCGAGCGGATCTTGGGAGAGTAATTCGCGAACGTCATCGATCGTTTCCACGTCATCGATCGATTTTATGGATTCCGCTAATAACGTTTCGAACTGTTTCATCGCGTCGCCTTTGTCTTGATTTCTTTTCAGCTTTTTCAATCGATATTCGTCGTCTCGTTTCTTTTCGAGTATTTCGCGTTCGCGTTTTTCTCGCGCGATTTTCTCGCGCTCCAGTTTCGACTCTTTCGTCGTCGTCTTCGTCGTACCTACTGCTTTTTCAGCTGCGTTGCTCGATAACTTCACCTTGTACTTATTAAACGCGCTCCGTCTCTCCGGCATCGTCGCGAAACATTCAAACGCATTTTTATCCAGCTTTCTGAGTTTCGGCATGTCCCTCTCCCATCGAGAGTGCTCGTTGATTTTCGCCTTTTCGCACAGCGCGAAAAACACATCCAACGCTTTACTCTTATTCGCCGCGTTAAAGTTTTCGTTCATCGTAATCTCATCACTGGCAGTTGTCAAAAGTTTTGGCGATGCATTATTCGTTTTTGGTTCTTCTTCTTCTTCTTCTTTCTCTTCGATGATAACGGCGCTCGCTGCAGGCGTCGTGGTCGCTCGGCGCGGCGGATCGAAAGCCGGTTCCGCTTCTGCTTCTCCCGTCCCCGCCGCAAAGGCTGCTCTTTGATGAAATTGTTCTTTTCCTTCTTCGTTCTCGTACGCGTCCGGGTCAAACTCGATGTCATCATCTTCTTCTTCAGATTCTTCTTCTTCTTCCGTTGTTTCGACAGCCTTCTCCTTGGAAGCAGCCTTTTGCAAAGGTTTCTCCCACTGTCTTTCTTTCGTCTCTGATGAATCGTTTCTGAACCAATACGGTCGAGTCAACAGATAATGTTCCACTCGGTACCACTCTCCCTCCTCGACATCCTCTCTGAATATTTTGACGACTTCATCCTCGTCCTCGTCCTTCGTCTTAATCGTATTCTCGTCGTTCCGGGGGGGAATCCTCCACCGGGATCGTTTCAAGACGACGTCGAAATAAAACACCTTCCCCGTCTCCTCGTCGACGTACTTTCGGTACCGGCTGTGTTTGGACGAAAACATCCCCGACGTGTATCCCCACAGAGAGACCCCGTATTTCTCGATCGAGAAAACGGTCTCTGGGTCGTTTTAAAACCTCTTCTCTGAGCTTTGAAATGAAGTTTTCCGTACGCGTGGAAAAACCTTGAAAATGCATCACAAAACAGACGCATCAGAGAGACACATCAGAGAGACGCAGAGAGACGCGCTCCTTTTCCTGACAGAGAAGAAGAGACCAACGAGGCGTTGAGAGAGTCACGAACGACTGTAAACTCTCTCTCGTGAGCTCTCTCTCAAACGCTCTCGCTCTGTCGGTGCAACAAAAACGGAATTCATCCTTTCATTCGGGGAGTCCTTTTCATCATCACCAGAACGCGCTCCCGTTTACGAAGTGTACCTCTGTCGTCTGTCTGCGGGAAAGAAAAGACGCGCGAGACCACCAAAAACGCGAAAGGAAGCGCGCTCTGTGACAAAAGTCAATCATGTCCTCCGCTCTGGTGCGTGCACCGCGTTCTTCTTCACCCGCGAATTCGTTTTCTTTTCTGTTGTGTCTGCGTTCGAGGGAGGAGGAGGAGGTCTTTCGAGAGGACGAAATACGCGCTTTCGCGCTCAATCGTAATTTTCTTTGACGATCGGTTCATAACGGATGATGATACTTTTCGATTTCGACGTGTGTTATGTAGTACTCTCTCTTGTTTCGGCGACGATGATGCGAGCGCGACTGACTGACTTCTTCTCTTTCTTCTTTTCTTTGGTGGTCTTCTTCTTTGCGCGGCGGTCTTCTTTCGCTACGCTTTAATACTACCACTACGTATGAATAGGCGCAATCCGCGGGAAGGCTGAAAGTGTGTTCGTTATTCTGCGGGTGCGGGGCGTTTGATTTCGGTTTGGCGCAAGCTGGGCACGAGATTATCATGCAAACCGAGGCGGACGATTGCGCGCGAGAGGTGTTGACCAGTCGTTTCCAAGGGATTTTTCAGCCGACGCACGCGTCTTCGGTGGTGGAGTTGCCGGAAGAGACGGACGTGTTGACGTGTTCCTTGGGTGGGGTCTCCGGGAGTAGTTTGATAGGACACAGTGAAAATGAAGGGACAGTGTACGACCACCAAATCGGGGAGTTGGAGACTGGTTGGCGAGAGAGTTGGTCTTCGAATTCGGTGCAATCGAAGATGAAGCAGGTTTTACGGTTGGCGAAGAATCGGTTTACCGGGAGGTGCGTCCCGTGGGTCGTCGTCGATTGCGGGTCGGAGAGGATTTTAGATACCGCGGATGAAGGGCAACCACCGATTATTGCCGAGTTAGTGAGAGAGTTTGAGCAACTTGGATTTCGATGGGCGCACCGAGTGGTGCAACCAACCGCGTTTGGTATCCCGGACGATCGAGGACGGTTAGTGTTTTTAGCGAGTAGACACGGCGACCCGCGAGAGGTTTTGTTAGTCGACGAAGATACGACGACGAGTAGCAACATGAATTCAGCCTCGGATTTAGCTTCGCAACGAATGAATAACAAAAACGCGCCGACACTTTTTGCCAGGTGTGGATTTACCCTTTTGGAAGACGAAGACGAGGACGGAAGTCAGTTTCAAAGAGCGACGCCGAAATACAAAGCGTCGACGATTAACGTGTGCGCGGACGCGAGGCCGGATAGAGACTCCGTCGTGTGTTCGGTTGATGGTCAATTAGCGCCTCTAGACGTATCCGATGCGGAAAGTTTACAAGGTTTGTTACCTGGGTGGACCGTGGTGTCGCCACCGGGCGTATCGAGAACGTCAGAAGCGGTCGTCGGCGAGATTCTCAATCGATGGCGCGCGTTGAGCGCGACCGGAGGGTGCGTTCCGTTAGCCGAATGGATTGGACGACGATTGTCAGATCCGTACGGAAACGGGAAAGGGTTTGATTCCAAACGGAAATCCGCGCAAAAATTCCCGAAATGGTGCGATGGGAATATAGTCAACGCGAACGAGATCAACCCGAGAGATGTGAGATGGGCGACGACGACGGGCGCGAATTCGCTTTGCGCGCAAGAAGCGGCGGTAGCTGCCATGACGGCTTTAAATAACAGCAACGGCGAATTAGGAGGTTTCAAATGGCCTCAACACGCGTATAACATTGGTCACGGCCGCGTTTCGCATCCGATGAAACGCATTCCGAAACCAGAGTTTTTGAAACATCCGGAAGCGAGAGAGAAGACGGCGTTGAAAGCGTATTTACGAACAACTTTGGAAAATTGCGCGGGGATGAATAATAACCCGGGCGGTATCGAAGGGTACATTCCAAGAGAAGTGATTTTAGCGTGCGTTCGAGCGACGAGAGAGGCTGGCATGGCACCGCCGCCGCCGTTGGCCGCATTGGAGAGACAGTTTGGCGGCGCAGGGAAGGAAGTCGCGCCGCCGGCGTCGAGAATACTAGCCGGAGCAGATAGAAAGAATTTGACTGGATCGCACTCGGAACGAGACTTGTTGGCGGCTGAAACGCTCTTAGTGACAACCACAGCCACTGCTTCTGGTGTAGCCATTCGAAACGGCGGCGTGGGGTCGAGAAATGGTACCGACGTTCTCAACGTCGCCGGTGGAAAACGACAAAACGGCGCTGCGATGAATAACAACGATAACAACAACAACAATAAAGAATCATCAAAGCGACAAAAGTCCTCTCTCAAGCCGATGGGAGCAGCTCCAGTTGAGGAGGAAGTAGTCGAACCAGACGATGGGTCGTTTATCGTCGCGGGCATTCGCATGATGAAACCGCGAGAATCGCAAATCGTCTGGGCGAAATTGCCGGGACATCCGCATTGGCCGGGATTACGAGTGGACGAAGTGAAACACGGGGACGTCGTTCCAAAAGCGGCGAAGCAAATGCAAAAGGATGGGAACGATGTTTGCGTCGTATTTTTTGGCGAGAAATCGTTTGGTTGGTTACCAGAAACCTCCATCGTCGATTTTGAGGTTGGTTATAAACAACATTCGCACGCGCCGGTGAGAGGAAAAGCGCGATTTCTAAACGCTTTGAAGTACGCGAACGCGGAGAAAGAGTTACGAAAGAACGAAGCAAAGAACGGATTGGCGAATGGAAACGTAGGTGGAAGAGCGACGACGGTAGCAAATGCTGCCGCCGCCGCCGCTGGTCCCAACGGCGCGCTCGTTCCTCCGGCCAACCCGATGGGCGCCGTCGAACCGATCGATTACGAAGCCGTCGAGAGGAACAAAAAAGAGGTCGAGAAAGCCTTATCAGAAGGTCGATGCCCGTGTAAGATGTGCGAAAACGTCAAATCTATCCGCGATGCCAACCCGGAAACGTGCTTGCGCTTGCGATGCATCTCCGCGTCCACTTCGGGTAAAACCGGCGCCAAACTCGCCTCCCAAGGAGGAAAAGCGGTCGGTAAAATGATCTCCATCCTTTGGCCGTTAGATGACGCGCGGTACATCGCCGAAGTCATCTCCTACGACGCTCGCGAGTTGAAACATCTCGTTCGGTACGTCGAAGACGACGTTCGAGAATACGTCAGCTTATGGGAAGAAGACGTCCAATTCGTTCGCAGCGGAGTATTGGGCGAACAAACATCATCGCAGCAAGGTGGTACGACTGCCGTCGTCAAAGGCGAGGAAGAGTTGACCGGCGTCGATTTGTTGCTCAGTTTAGGCTCGTAATACATAGTACTTACCATATTCTCTAGTTTAGACTGTACTTGTATTCATCAGAAAGAGAAATCACACAACACAGAGAACTCCCCCATAAAAATTTCACACATAAAACATGGGGAACGGCCCGTCGAATCTCGCGCGCACGTTCTCCGAGGACATCGGAGAGGTAAGAGAGATCATTTTCATCGTTTGTCTCGTTTTGTCTTCTCGATACTATATAATACTTCTCTGTATTCTCTTGTGTGATGATGAACGAACTTTTGTATCTCAACTAACTACTTTCCGTTTTTATCTCGTTCCCCAACGATGAAAGTTCTTCGGCGTGCACACCAGCAACACCAACCGAGGAGGACGGGCGACGACGACGTCGAGAACCGACGACGAGGACGACAACGGCCCACTCTCAAACGAAGGCGCGCTTTCCGCCAAAATCATCGGCGCGTTACCTTTGGAAAAAGTGGAAACGAAAAGGTCCCTCGAAAACAAAACGGTGAAAGAACTCACCGCAGAGGTTAAAGAGAACCAAACGAAGAAATGCCCTCGCTCGAAAACAAAGTTTGAAGGCCCGTACCCTCTCGAAAAAGCAGAACTGGTAGATTTTGTGTTACACTTAAGAGGCGAACCCGTGTGTTCGGTGTGCTTCGACCAGTTCGAGGAAGGCGAATACGTACGAGTGTTGCCGTGCGCGCACAGGTACCACATCGAATGCGTCGATCGATGGTTAGCGAGTAAATCGATTCGGTGTCCCGTGTGTCAGCACCCAGCGGACGAACGGTGATTACGAACAGTAGCAATAGCTTCATTCCGAATAGTTTTTAATAGCAGCGGTAATAATAATAAGAGCAGCGTTTGTAAATTATGCGTTTTGCGCATCGCGTACTCTCTCACGAAATCAACCATATCGGAGTCACGTTTGGTCGACATTTTAAATGCGCGCACAACATATTGACATGATATAAATAAAACGCGAAGAATGTCATCGTCAGAAATAAACGACGACGACGACGACAAGAAGAGGAAGGATTTGAAGACGACGACGGAAAAGAAAGCCTCTCACTTCTCTCGCTCGTTCTCCGATTCCGTCCGGCATTCCTCCGAGCAAAAGCGCAAACAAAACTCCAATTTGTTCTTGATAAACCTGCTCAGGTTTCGCGGATTCGGAGGCGAAGACACGGGATTAGGAGGATTAAACGAAGAAAAAAGCGTTCGAGACGTCCGAAAATTCGTCCACCGAGGGAACAAAGTCGGCACCGTCGTCGACCACGCGCGAGAACGCGTGGTGAATACAGTCGGGAGAGTGCTCGAAGTTGGAGTGAGAGAGAGTTTAATTGAAGGAGGAGAGAAAATACGCTTCGAGAGGAAAGAGTTGGCGAGAAGACGCAAATCATCATCGTCATCTTCTTCTTCATCTTCGTCGTCTTCTCCTTCTTTTAAAGAGGAAGAGAAAAACGTCGTCTTGCCGGCGTTTTCGTTCATCGCGCACGAAGCGAAAGAGTTTCGGCGGCTTCGCGCGGCGTTTGGGTTGAGCGAGGAGGAGTATTTGAATTCGTTTAAAGGTTTGGACGGCGTCGACGACTTGGAGGACGAGAAGACGAGTTTGAGAGTGATTGGGAGAGCAGATGCGGGCGGGAGGTCTGGGGCGTGGTTTTTTTGCACGGAAGATGCGAGATTTCTGTTGAAGACGACGACAACAAAGGAGAAGAACGTTTTGTTGAAACGTTTGAGGAAGTATACGGAACACGTGGAGAAGCACGGGAGGAACACGTTTTTGCCGCAAATTTACGGGTGTTACTCGATTAAAATCGGGAAAGGGAGAGGCACGTACAAGACATTCTTGGTCATCGGGTACTGGTTCGCGACGCAAGTGAAGGTCGGAAGTCCTAGGTACGATTTGAAAGGAAGCCGGTGTAAACGGACGGCGAAAGAAGATCCGACGAAAGAAGTGGAGTTGTTGAAAGATAACAATTTCGTGGCGCACGAGGAGAGGGATTGCGTCAGGACGTTGCGGCGCAAAACGATCTTGGAAAGTTTAAAGAGAGACGCGGATTTTCTGTCGAGCTTAGGGTTGATTGATTATTCGCTGTTGCTAGGGCACCACAACATGAGATCGGATTCGGATCTTCCGTCGTTGACTAACGTTTCTAAAAAAAAGACGTTCGTGAAATCCGCGTCTATGTTCGGGAGGGTAGAGAAAGGGGAAAAAGACTCGGAGAAACACGTAACAACACGAATGAAGACAACAACGCCGCGAACGTTACCATCTCTCTCGAGTAGCGGCAACGAGCCGGCTTTAGTTGGAGACGAACAAAGAGTCAATCAGCTGCGATTCGCGAGAACGCCAACGGGGGTAGCTTTCTTCGGCATCGTCGACGTGCTCGCCGAATGGACGACGTTCAAATGGTTCGAGTGGTTTTTCAAGAGCGCATTGTTTTGCGGGAAGAGAGACGTGAGTTGTCAACCGCCGAAAAAGTACGCCGAGAGGTTTAAAAAGTTTATGGAAGAGCACGTCATCAAGGAAAGAGAATAAAAGTTTGTTTGTGTATGTGTACTGAAAGAATTTTATTATCATTACTAGAAGAGAGTATGTATGTTGTTGTAGCTAGTTATTAACATGTATCGGCTCTTGTCATTACGCTCCATTCAGTAAGCGTTCAATGGCCGCGCTAACGTTTCCGTTTGTGGCCACCAAAGCTCTCACGTTCTCCGCCGGATCGAAGAAACCCATATCGTTGAGTTGCGAAATCTGCGCCGCGTAGGCCGTTTCCGGATCCGCTGGCGGCGTCACCGATGGAGGCGCTCCCATTCCTCCGAACGGCGATCCCCCGAGTCCACCACCAGCAGCACTCCCCCCCATGACGCGCTGCAAATGTTGCATTGCCTGCAAAGTTTGTGGGTCGGCCAACGCTCGAAGAAACTCTGGATTACGCATTTGTTCCGCGATTTGCGGTTGTTGTCTCAACATCGCATCAAATTCCGGATTTGACCGGCGAAGATTTTCGAGAGCGTTTGGATCCGATGCGATTTGTGACATCGTTTGACTGAACATTTGCATGAGCGCTGGGTTGTTCTGAATCGCTTCCATCTGGCGTCGCATGGTTGCTTCGTCCGGCATGCCGCCGCCTATATTTAAACCGCCGAATCCTCCCGAACCGCCTAAACCCGCGAACGGATTTTGTTGTTGAGCTTGGGACGTTGAAGCACCTGCGGTCCCGGCATTTGCCGCAGCCCAAGGATTCGGTAACGGCGCGTCCGAGTTACCACTAGACGACGCAGCACCGAATAAACTTGCAAACGGGTTCGCATCCGCAGCCGCCCCGTTGTTGGCGGCCGCCTCGCTATTTTGACTATTTTGTATCGCGTTTTGCAACGGCACCTCCACGTTTTCGTACATTCTCCTCAACGCGTTAAACCCTTCCGGATGGCTCTCAATATTCGCAAGCGTCCGATCGGTTGCCGCCATTTGCTCTCGCATTAAATTCGGATCCCTGGACGCTCTCAGCGCCCTCGATATGTTTTCCGGATCCTGCATCGCCTGCCTCAACTCTGGATTCGCGTTCATCAACTGTTGAATCTGCGGGTTTTGCTCCATCACCTGCATCATCGGTCGTAAAACTTCCGGGTCTTGCATCGCTTGCTCCATGAACTGTCTCACGAACGGGTCGTTTTCAATCGCCCGAATCTCCTCCGGCGTCGGGTTCGGCATGCCGCCCGCTCCGAACCCGCCGCCTCCAAACATATCAAAACCACCAGAACCACTCGCTCCTCCTCCTCCTATACCACCACCACCTAAAACGCTGCTGTTAAACAACGTCGCAAAATCCGGCGCTTGCGCCGTTCTTTGACTCGCGTTCGCGTCGTCCATCCACGTTCGCGGCGGTGTCGGTTGCCCACCACCACCACCTTCATTGTGACTCGCCGGAGGACGACCACTACTTCCCCCGCTCGTAAGAGATGGTGATTTCTTCGGCGCCGATTGCACCAAATGCACCGCGTGCCCTTCCCCAATCGAACACTCTCGTATCGTTTTCTCGTCCTTCAAAACGTGTCCTTTGTAAATCAATCGAATCGATTCCTTTTCGGATCCGAGCGTCGTCGCCAAATCGGCTTTCAACTCGGCAATCAACTTTGTGAGTTTGATATTTTTCATCTCCAGTTTTGGATTTGTGGATGTTTTCACGATGAACGATATCGTCGTCTCTTTGTCTTCTTCTTCTTTTCCTCCTTCGCTCATTCTTTTTTGCGCGCGGTGTGTGATCTCTCGTTCTTCTTCTTCTCGCTTCTTCTTGCTTCTTCTTGCTTCTGTTGTGTGCGTTTTTTCTTCGATCTTTTTTTTTTCTTAATATTTAGGGTGTTAAACCCTGTTATAAAACCGCCCTCGAAAGAGGGCGGTTTTCTTTGTCTCTGGATAGAGACATCGAGACGACACAATTTATAGACACGACGCACAGAGGAGTTCGTTTCAAAATGTTGTCGACTTCTTTTTCCTCGGTAGTTATTCCAACCAAGGTACGTTTCTTTCTTTTGTTATTGAATGCGTTCGTTTGTGTGCGCGTTTGAGAGGACGTTCGCGTCTTTAAAGAGAGACCTCTTTTTCTTACGCGCGCAATTTTTGCAAAATGTTGTTGCGTCGCCACCCTCTTTTCTCTCTAAATTTTTGCCGACGGCGAACAAATTAGAGAAGAAAAGGACGACGACGACAAAAGGAGACGAGATGATATTACATATTCTTTGGTGATTTTACGCTCGAGTATTCGTCAAACATACGTTTGAAACGAGAACGGCCGCGACGTGCGCTCGCGCGGGTGGTTTCCGCTCGTCTTTCCGGAAAAGGAGGAGGAGAAATCGTCGCTCGGAAAACCTCTTTTTTTTGTACGAAAAGGGCACTCGAGAGTTTTTGGATAAAGAGGATGAAAGTACTGACACAATATGTTTTCTTTTCTCTTTCAGGCGTCCGCGTTCGCTCGCGGCGAGAGTATAAAAGCCTTCAAACCTAGCAGCAGTAGTAGAAGACACCAAAAACAAGCCGCCTCTTTTGTCGTTCACGCGGCGGCGTCCGGGGAAGCCGAGCGGTTGCGCTTACACAACTTGAGCCCGTTGCCGGGGTCGAGAAGAAAACCGATTCGCAAAGGTCGCGGTTACGGCGCCGGCCAAGGCGGGACGTGCGGGTATGGCATGAGAGGTCAAAAAGCGAGAGGTGGTAGAGGCACTAGACCGGGTTTTGAAGGCGGTCAAACGCCAATGTACAGAAGGTTTCCAAAATTGAAGGGCATTGCCGGCGGCATGAGCGCCGGGAAGCCGAAATTCGTGACGGTGAACGTTTCCGATTTGGCGCAAGCGTTGGCGGATTCTAAGATCAGCGCGGGCCAAGACGTCGATTTGGACACGTTGAAGTCGGTTGGTTTGATCAAAGCGACGGGTTACTACAGAAACTTGCCGTTGAAGGTGTTGGGCGACGGGGAGCTTTCGCAAGGCTTGAAAGTCAAGGCGGCTGCGTTTTCAGCCTCCGCGAGCGAAAAGTTAGCCGGCGCCGGCGGGGAGGCCATTCTCGTCCAAGGGAAAAAACCAAAGTGGAGTCGGGAAGCGCACGAAGCCGCGCAGGCGGCTGCTGCCAAGTAAATTGAGAAGAGAGAATACGTGTTATTTCTTGAGTTGTTTATACTATACATTAATTAGTTCATATTATTATTACACATATACACAAGGTTGTCGTTCGTTGTTGTCCTCCCTATTATTGCGAAAAGACCACGTCGCGTTCGTCGACGCCGTCCAACTTCATTTTATTCCTCACCGCCTGTTCTGGCACGCCCAAACGTAGCATCTTGTGATACTTCTCGTGCGCTGGATTTACACGTATTCGTCGCGCTCCTTCTTCTTTCTTTTCATTGCTAGTTTGTGCGTTTCCGTCCTCGCCTGCTCTCGCACCTTCTTGTACCAAATGCGGTGAAAATTCACCATCAGGAGGTTCATCTCTCTCCGCCGACGAAGGCGGGAGAGGTGGTGGAGGCGTTTTCACAGCCTCTCCTTTCCCTCCTCCTTCCTCCTCCTCATCAAATCGTTCTAACTTCTTCTCCAAAAACTGTAAACTCCGTTCCATCGTCTCCATCTTCGTTTCGATTTGTTCTAACCCGCGTTGGCTTCTCGCTCGAATCGCGTTTAAATTGTTCGCGCAATCGACCGCGAACGCGTTCACGCACGCGACGGTAAAATGGTCGTTTACTCTTTTGTCGTTTTCATCGTTGTTTTCAACAAAAGTCTTCTTCGTCTTCATGTGGTTTTGAGCGCGTTTATGTTCGTTGCATCATTCGCATCGTTTCCTTTTAACGCTTTGGGAAAAATTCAAAATCTCTTTACTTTTTCTCGCGATACGAGAATAACAATACTCTCTGATACTAATGTCCGGCATCGCTCTGGAAAACCAGCGCGAAGTGCGCTCGATCGTGACCCGTAACCAAAACGGCGCGCTCGTGAACGCGAGAGATATCGCGCAAAAATTTACGGACGTGTTTGAATGCGAAATCGGTGCGATCGTCACCGCGCTCGTCAAAGAAGGAAACGACGAGGAACTGAAGAGCGTAGAAAACGCAATCGTCCGGGACGGTGGGAAACTCGTGCTGGAAGCGAAGACGTACGAAATGGCGATGAGCGATTTAGAGCGAGGGTACGCGGGAGTCGCGAACGAGCAGTACCCGTTCGAGGAGAAGACGAGAGATTTAATCCAACGAAACCGGAACCGAGTTGCGAACGCGCCCGAGGCGAAAGTGATGGAGGAAAAATTTAAAAAAATGGTCGCGAACGCCAAAGGCGAGGATAACGGGGAAGGGTTTATCATCACGGACGAACACGGGAACGTCGGTGGAAGCGGTGGAAGTGGTGCTATTTTGAACGCGAAATGTCCAATCACTGGCCTTCCGTTGAAAGATTTAATAGAGCCGGTGGAGGACGCGGTTGGTATAGTGTACGAGAAGCAAGCGGTGTTGACGTTTTTAGGGAGAGAAGGTAAGAAGAAGTGTCCGGAAGCGATGAGGAATCACGTGGTCACGAAAGAGGAGTTGAAGGTGAGCGAGAAAGTGATGAGGATGAAACGGATGGGGGAGAGAACGAGAGAGGCGAACGTGGATGAGATTATCAGTCCGTAAAAAAGAAGAGCGCGGAAATATTTGCATCCGAATTTTGAGGAGAAAGGGAGAAACGTTGTATAATAACATAAAAGCACACGACGTAACAATATACTTTAGCAGAAGTAGTGGTACTATTTACTGATGTGTTGTAAGAAGAAGAAGAAGTAGAAGACGAAGAAATTTGTTCATTAAATGTAGTACGGGATATTACACAAAAATAAAAAGGGATGACATACTCACTCTGCTCTTATTCTTAGTAAAGCCCGATAACTTTCCACCACGCGCCGCCGACGACTGCCCACAAGATAAAGTTAAACGCTCCAACAATCGCGCCAAGACGGAAGTAATCCTTCAACTCTACGTAACCGGAACCAAAGTACACGGCAGATTGACCGCTGGCGTAGTGCGTGATGGCGCCGAACAAGTTGGTGTGAAACGCCATAGTTAAACCGGCGAGCATCGGCGGGACGCCCGAGGCTAACATCATGGCCAAAAATGCCGTCGATAACGCCGCGACTTGCGCAGTTTGCGAGGCAAAAAAGTAGTGAATGGCAAAGTAACTGACGTGTAAAACCAAGAATACTTGCGGCCACGCCAAGTTCGCGGCGGTTAAAGCCGCCGAAACTTTCGTCGCGATGAATTGAATAAACCCGAGTTCGTTCAACTGCGCGGACATGCCGATCAACACGGCAAACCAAACGAGCGTATCCCAAGCGCCTTTTTCGTTCAAGCAATCGGCCCATTTAATAACACCGGCAAATAATTGCATAGACATGCCAAACATGGCGGAAATCACCGGGGTAATCCCAAACGGTTGGAAGATCCAGCAAAACACGGTGATGCTCATGGTGATAACCACGGCCAATTCGTCTTGCGATAACGGGCCGAGTTTCTTCAACTTCTCCTTCGCCATCGCGGGAGCTTCTGGCGTGTCTTGAATTTCAGGCGGGAATAGCTTATACACCAAGAGCGGCGTCAAGAGTAAACCGAGAATGCCCGGAACGCAGGCGGCTTTGAACCACGTGATCCACGGGTTCGCGATGACGATCCCCAACCCGGCGGCTAACTTTAAGGACAGCAAGTTTTGCGCCGCAGCCGTCATGCACAAAGCGGACGAATGACCAGAGCATTGCAATTGCGTTTGCATGAGAAATGAACCCATCTTCTTTGCCGTCGGTCCAGGTTCAGACCCGTTACTTTTGGCCAACGAAGAGATGATGGGCAAATAGACGCCGCCGGCTCTCGCGGTCGTCGACGGCATCGCCGGCGCCAACACAGCTTCGGAAATGCTCAACCCGTAGGATAAACCGAGCGTAGACTTACCGAGCTTCTCGACAAACATAGTCGCGATGCGATCGCCCAAACCAGTGGACACGAATCCTCTGGCAAAGAAAAATGCCAAAACAATCAGCCAAATGACATCGTTCGTCATCGCGCCAAACGCTTGCGCGAAGGTCAACGTCTTCGTCACCACCGCCGTGGTCAATCCAAGAAACGCCCACGCACCGACCGGTAACGGAGACAAGACTAAACCAGCGACCGTGGCTAAGAAAATAGACAGCAAATTCCAGGCTTGCGGGACCACCCCGTCCGGTCTCGGAACGACGAAACAGACGAATAAACCGAAACCGACCGACATCGCCGCTGCTTTCAAATTCGCGCCTTTCCAAACAAACTCCGACGAGGCAGATTTCGCGCTCGGTGAAGTCACCGCGGAAGAGGAGGAAGCTTTCGGAACGAAGTGCGCTTTCCTCGTCCCCTTTGTCGTCTTTGTCGTCGCCAAAGCCTTCTTCTCGAGAAGATGATGATGAGAAGTTTTGGATATGCCATCATCGTCCCTGAAACTACATTTCCGCAAACCTTTTTGAGTGGTACAGTTCGAAGCAGCGGCGGATCGTTTCGAAGATGGTCTTCTCGTCGAAACTTTAAAATTTGCGCTCGCACGCGTCGTCGTCGTCTGAATCGTCGCGCTCATCGTCGTGTTCGTTAAAAGTACGCAATAATAATAATAACAACAAACAACTTTTTGTGTTGTAAAGCGCTTTCGAGAGAGAAAAAGTTGTTAAAAAGGCCACGTGTTTGGGTCAAAAATAGGGCAAAAAACCCAAAACCTTTTCTCTCTCTCATTCATTTCATTGCGCGTAAAATTCAGCACAAAGAATAGCCCTTTTGATATATACATACACGTCGCGATCGAAAACGAACATGTTTGCATCCACGACCGCATCGACGCACATTTCGTGCTCGCAAATTGCGAAAGTTTCTTCGGCGCAGAGGAAGTCCTCGAACACGCGCATGGCATCCTCGGCGACGTCTTCCTCCTCCTCTTCGTTTTCGTCGTCGTTCGAGACGAGACGATTTATGAAATTGAATGTCGCGAGAAACGTGCGAGAGGCGAAAGGCGCGAACGAAAGAGGGATGGCTCTTTTAGCGAAAGCGACCGCGGAGGTACGAATTGAACGTTTTTTTTATACGTTTAGTGCGCAGAGATGCGGGAGAGACGACGGTGAATTCAGAAGAGGAGGCTTTTTTTACGCGTAAAAACCTCCTTTTCTCCTCGCCGGCGTCTCGCTCTTGTCACCAAATTTGGGGAGCTTTTTTTTTCTCGCTCTCTCTCGAAGCGATGACCAACGAGCAGCGACAAAAACTCTCCTCCGTCCGCGAGTGAGCAGACGTTGTTGCTTCTCTGTCAGAGTTGTTACCGCGTGTAAAGCAGCCCGTCGGGTGAAAGAAGAGCGGGGTACATTCTCACCATCGTGTGAATTTTTTTTGCCTTATCTGAAAAACATCTCTGACACTCTTCTTTTCTCTTATAACTCATACCACTAATAAAAACAGGCTGCTGAAGTCGTCGCAGAAAAAGAAGCCGTGTGCTACTTGAGAAACGTCCACATGTCTCCGTTCAAAGTCCGCAGAGTGTTGGATTGCATCCGCGGTAAATCTTACGAAGAGTGCTTGATCATGTTGGAATTTATGCCGTACAGAGCGTGCGAACCGATTTTATCGGCGTTGTTCTCCGCCGCGAGCAACGCGAAGAACAACTTGGGCATGAACAAGGCGAAGTTGTACGTTTCGGAGTGCTACGCGGATGGCGCGGGGACCATGAAGAGATTCCACCCGAGAGCTCAAGGTAGACCGTTCCCGATCAGAAAGAGAACGTGCTCGATTACTTTGAAGATGAAGGAGCAAGATTAAATTCGTCGAGGAGATGACGACGACACTCTCGAGAGAGAAGAAGAGGGAAAAAGAGAGAGAGAGAGAGATAGAATATGCAACACTATTGAATTGTACTTAGTTAGCTTACCACACGACGACGTGTATAAATATGAATCGAAGAACACACACAACACACATTATTATTACGAACTTCAGCGCGAAGCAAAACTCTCTCTCCTCTTCCTTTTACTACTGTTACTACTCCTACTCCTACTCCTACTCCTACCGTTGTTCCTTTCGTTTCACGACGATTCAGACGACGACGATCGCCATAACCACCGCTTCTTCTTCTTCATCTCTCTTCGCTCCTCTTCCTGCTCCTCTAATAATCTCCTCCGCTTCACGATGGACTCGTGCACGTCTTTATCTAATTTTTTCCTCCCTTGCGTCACCGCGTAGTAATACACGCCTCCGCTGAAACAGAGCAAAGAGGACGCGATGAGGACGTTGCCCGTTCTCCGCGTCGACGCGTCGAACGTCATTTCTTTCTCTCTTTTGTCTTCTTCTTCTTTGTCTGTCTTCTTCTCACGGGTTGTCTTCGTCTTCTTTGATAGAATACTATAAAGTGATGACGACGACGGTTTCCGAAATGTGAGCGTTTTTTTGAAGCGAGTTCTTCATAAACGCGCATAAATAAGAGCGCATAAAGATATAAAATCGTTTCCAAATTCACCCCTCAAATCGCGATCAAAGATGAGAAAATAACGACAGAGCGTGAATTTGCGCTCTGATGAACGATGGCACGTTCGCATCCTCGCTCGTTTATTGCGTCGTTTACGTCGTCGCGAGATTTTCGGATGATTTGGAAAGAAGAGAGAGGTAACGGCCGCCACCGATTCTTTTTTCTTTTCATCTCTCTCTTCTTTCTTCTCAACGATTAATGCGGAATGATCGAGTACTTACTGCCGCCCCAGTCGGAGAGACATCAATGTTGTCGTGACGATTGGTTTATTATTACAAAATGGCTGACTGCAAAAAGCTTTGAGAGCGAGAGACCATTTCGAGAGAGAGAAAAGATTTGATTTTGTTTTGATTTCGCAGACGTGGTATTATTATATTGCCGTGATGACAATTCGGTTAACCCAGCTCGCTTTGAGCCTCGGCTTTGAAGAAGACTTGTTCCAAACTTACACGACTTTTATGACTGAGCAATATACGATTTTATGATGCGTCTTCGTCGTCGTCTCGTCGTCGCGCTGTTTGGGCGTTCTCGCTGACATTTTACTCAACCGTTTTCATCTTCTGTATTATTATCATCGACAACAGAGCAATCAGAACAGGTTCATATTTAGTAGACATATATGTGTCAATTTTACGCGTCCGTGGCGAAAATGCCGCGTTTATCCTCTCTCTTTGCGTGTGTGTGTGTTTGTGTAGTTTGTGCGAGTCTGGTTCGATGTGCGCGTCGTCGCGACAAAGTCTCAAACTCTTTTACATCGACATCATCAAAATCGCAAAAGGATATCAAGGAAATGAGGATTTCTCTTTCCCCAATTGATCGACGTTGAAAAGAAACCGGAGCGCTAGGTCGCCACCTAGCAATTCTTGCCAGAATTAACTGATCCTTGATATTGTTTGCATCGTATTCCTCTCGCCAGATGTATATGAATGATGTGGTGATGTTGGTAAAAGATGAACGAACGATGATTGCGCTCTCGCATATCGAACGAGTTGAAGAGAGATGCTTCAATTTTTGCACATACAAACGCACGCACACATTTTTCTCCTTTCGCGCTCTACGTCGACTTTATTTTTATGTCTTCTTCCATATGTTTATAACGCTTTCTATTTCCACAGAGAAGAAGAAATACTGCCTCGCGCGAACGAGAGATATGATGAAACAAAGGTAGGAAACTCTCGAGAGGTCAAAAAAACTCGCGTATGCTTCTTTTAGTTGGGCGGCGTTCAAATCCTATGAGTGTTAGCCCCGTTCCCTTGAAGCGAGAGTAAATGTAATCGTTGGAGTTCGAAGCCCGACAGATTGCAGGTCCTGAAGTTCTCGCTATCCGCTCGACTAAACTACACGACGTCGTTGCGGACTCAGATTTCAGAAATCTTTCAACCTCTTGTTCGATTTTTTTTTGCGCGCGCGCATTGGTGAGAGAGAGAAACAGACAGAGAGAGACAGAGAGAGAGAGAGAGAGAGGAAAGCAGAGATATGCGCGCTCGTATTTTCTCGGGGGGATCACATCAGGCAGCTGTTCACGCTGCTCAGTGCGTAGTTCGGCGTTCGAACCCCCGTAGAGCGATTCGTTCGCATTCTGAGTTCTCGCGGCGACATTTCTTACTAACTTGGTGCCCGTGCGTTTGACTCTGGAAACCGGACGTACACTCTCTTCTTTTCTTTTCTCTCGCGCGAAACGCCACTGCATCGAGCTCTACATCCTGCTCTCTCTGTCTGGAACTATTTTGCGATGACGAAAGAAAAGAGGTTTCTTTTAGCGGTTTATCAAAGCCGAATGCAATGAATAAACCCAAGAAATAAACGACTTCTCCTTCCGCCGAGCAATTGATTCTTCGTAGATAAAGACGGGATGATGTGATGCAATGTTGCACGCGTGTGATAAAGATCGATGATAGAATACATTCCTATGCGCACTGCGAGCGGGGGTCAGGGAATCCGACGCTTGCGTCGGGCGAACCTTCCTTGGTCAGCCCCCGTGACGATTCGTCGTCGGCGTGGCGCTAAGTTCGCGGTTCGGCCGCAGTCTGAGATCTTACTTTCCTCACGCGTTGATGTTGTTTCTCGCGCTCGTTTAATCGTTTGATTGCGTTAAAGCAACGACTAATAACGCCTCTTCTTCATATTCTTCTTTTATTCTACACACAGAGATGGATAGATCTTACATAGACAGATAGAGAGCGAGAAGCGCTCGAAAAAGCGGTTGAAAAACACGCTCGCACATTACAGCTCGATGATGAAAGAAAAAAACAATTTTGCGCGCGATGACGATAATCATACATTGTTTTCACGACGGTCTTCCTATCGAGGATTCATCCTCATGCCGAACGATGTGCTAGTACTCTGAGCGCTCAAATAATAGTTTTACTTCTATGTGATGTATTTGCGTTTAACGAATAAGTATTTCAAAAGTTGTTTTACATTCCAATCAATACACATACACACATATATGTATATATTACGGACACTCCAGCGTCATCTTCGTCGGATCTCCACTCACCGGCGACACCCCGTCCGCGTTCGCGCAAATCCCCATCAACACGTCCTTCCTTATGATCACTTGCGACCAGTCCGAATCGTTCGCCTTCACCGTCTCCAAGTTACTCGCGCCCGAGACGATCGCGTTCGTTAAATTCGCCCCGGTAAAGTTCGTCTTCAGCAAGTTACACTGTCCTAAATTCGCGTTTTCTAAGTTCGCTCCCGTGAAATCCGCCTCCTCTAAGTTCGCTCCGAATAACGAGATCCCCGATAAGTTCGCCCCTCGAAAGTTCGCTCGTTTTAACGACCCTTTGGTGAAATACGTTTGCGTTAAATCTTGGTCGTGGTAATCGAAATCGTCGCACGCGTTCGTCGCGCACTCGGACGTTTGCGGGATGGCCATTGCATATTCTGGTTGAAAAAACACCCCTCCCCCTACTACTTGCGAAGCGAATGCGACGGATACGCACAAAGTTGTCGTTGCTTTCGTCAACTTCGACGATGTCGTCACGTCGTCGTCTTCATCTTTTCCCCGATTACGAAACGCACAGACGACGTGTCTTCTTCCTTTTAGCGTCGCGGTGGTCCTCCTTTTCGCCGCAAAAGAGGTAAAAAGAACCGACTCTGACGCCGATGCGAAGAAAACCATTAAATCCTTTGTTTTATGTGTATATTTATGCGACTAAAGTACGCGTAATGCGAGACGTTTTTATGAGGCGAAAAGAGCATTTTTCCCCACACAAAAGAAGCTTTGAGAGACGGGCAAAAGGATGACGACTGACGGAAAAGAAGACAAAGACAGCGCGGGAACGGAAGAAAACGAGGACGAGTGTCTCGTCCCCAATGGAATGCACGGAGAAGAATCTCTCGGTGCGCCTCCCGCGGCGACTCAAACTCTCACATCGACGATGAGCATTTCGAGCCGTCGCGGAGACCAAACGACAACCGGAAAAGGAGGAAAAGGAAAAGAACGAGAAGGACGTGACGACGACGAACACGGAACGAACGAAACACAAAAGATTCAGATGAAAACGATGGGGATTGAGACTACATTCACCGGAGATGGAAACAACAGCAAGAAGAAGAAAAAAATCGCCCTGTTCTTTGGCTACAACGGGGACGGATATCAAGGCATGCAACGAAACCCAGGCGCGAAAACGATCGAGGACGATTTAGAGTCCGCGATCGTCAAAGCAGGAGGAATCGCGGAATCGAACAGCGGGGATTTCAATAAAGTGCACTGGAACAGAGCGGCGAGGACGGATAAAGGCGTCAGCGCGGTTGGACAGGTGGTGAGTTTTAAGTGCATGAACGCGGACGACGGGAACACGGAGACCATCGTAAGGTTGATCAACGAACATTTGCCGAGGGGAAAAATCGTGGCGTTTGGAGCGACGAGGGTGACGGGAGGGTTTAGCGCGAAGAATCAGTGCGATAGGAGGAAGTACGAGTACGTGGTACCGGTGAGAACGTTTGATAGGAGGTTTCCGAAGAAGAGGAAGCGGAACCCCGTGGACGGCGACGATGAAAACGGTCACGATGAAAAGAAGAACGATGAAAACGCCCCAAATGGCGAAGGATTAGAAGACGAAAAAGAAGACGACGAAGAAAACAACGATACCCAAGAAGAAGAAGAACCGTACGTCTTCACCGAAGAGGAACGAACAAAAGTGAACGACATTTTGAAACATTTCGTCGGCACGCATAATTTTCACAACTACTCGACCAAAGTCGATTGCGACACGCCGCAAGCGCGTAGGTTTGTCATTTCGTTCTCGTGCTCGATGCCATTTAAAATTCAAGGCGAAGATTTCGTGAAGTTTGAGATTCTCGGTCAATCGTTTCTGTTCAACATGATTCGAAAGTTGGTCGGAATGACCGTCGCGGTCGCGCGAGACTTCTGCGACGTGAGCGATTTGTTATTCGCGCTGAGGACAAAACAAAGAGTCAACACCCCCATGGCGCCCGAGCTTGGATTATTTCTCTGTGAGTGTCAATACGACGCGTATAACAAGCGCTTCTCTGCCGAGCGCGAACCGTTGCGCTTGGAAAATTGGCGCGACAAAGTCGATGCGTTTAAACACCAAACCGTGTATCAACACATATACGACCGCGAATACGTGATGAAAGACAACATGGGCGAATGGATCCGTAAATTCATCAGCGACAAGAACGGGTTTCGAGAGCATTACGATTTAGCCATGCACCGCGCGCTCTTGAAGGAGGAAAAGTTGGCGCCTTTGAGCACGAAGAATTCTCAGAAGCAACGCGTGAATAGCAGTCAAAATCAACAAGGTGCCAAAGCGTCGCCAAACAAACCATCATCATCCAACGGAGGAGAAGGAGAAGGAGACGTCACTACTAAAAGTACCGACGACTCACAAGCAGGAACAGCAGCATTACCAGCAGCAGCAACGACAACACCAACACCAACAAAACCAGAGGAAAACGAAGAAGCTTTGCTCCTCCTCGCGGCGAACGCCGCCGCCGAACGCGTCGCCAAAAAACGCAAACTCGAACTCGAAAAGCAAGAAGCGCGCAAGCGAATCGAGATTGAAAAACAGGAAGAAAGAGTAAGAAACGGTTTAGTCGTCGGTAAAGTCGAATACGATGAGGACGAGATGAGCGATTAGGTAAGAATAGTACTAAAAGAATATATATAATACGCTACTCCTACTACGCGCTTCGTCTCTTTCGACGCGACTCTTTTCTCTCCTCTTATAATTACATACGGCTGTTTTTCCGTTCAAATGCAACACAAAAAACTCTCTCCACAACACACGACAACACCTCGCTTTGGAGAAGAAGAAGGGAGACGCGCGACAGCGAGAACAACACGATAAGACAGAAGACGCAAAAGGGTTCTTTTACTCCTCATAATAAATCGAATACGAGTACGAATACGAGTGCGATTAAAATATGTTTCGTTGGGGGAGCCGAAAGGCGAAAAGCGTTGATGTCGATGATGATTTTGACGAGAGGACGATGGAGAACGTTGGGATTCCGACATCATCGACGAGAAGAAACGAGAGAAGAAGCAAACCGAGAAAACCAGAGGACGAAGACGAGAACGAGAGAAATAACGCCGATGCGTTCAAGGCGAGGAAACCTCCGAGCCGAGCGCACATGACCGACGAAGAGTTGGTGAGAGAATGGTACGCAATTTTGCCCTCAATGTATGTGACTTATTCTAATTCTTATTCTTATTAGGCCGTACCTCACGCGAAAGCAAGTGGAGGAATACAAAACCATGTTCGACGATTTAGACATCGAAAGCGACGGACGAATATCCGCGGAGGACATACAGGAGCGATTGCGACAGGTTGGGTCGTTTAAAACGATCAAACAGATAAAGAAGAATCTGCGGCGATACGATTCGGACGGAAACGGGACGTTGGATTTTTGCGAGTTTTTGACGCTGATGTTGCACGATTTGAATTTGAGCAATCCGCAGGAGACGTTGAGGAGCGTGTTTTTGACGTTTGACGAGGACACGGATGGGAAAATTACCGCGGCGGAGTTGAAGAGGACGATGGAGATGGTTGGGATTCCGGTATCCATGCGGGAGGCGAAGTTCGTGATTCAAATGGCGGATCGAGAAGGCGACGGGGAGTTATGTTACGATGAGTTTGTAGATTTCGTGTTAGGGGCGGAGCAACACGAGAAACCTGGTGCGGAAGGAATAACGAGCGATGCGGAAAAGGCGACGAAAGACGGCGCGGGCGTGGAATACTTGGCGCCGAGGTTGCTCACCACGCGATTGGGGCAATTTTTTAGCAGATCTTCGGCGACGGAAACAAACGACGGAAGAAAGAGCGCTCGACGAAACGCTCGACGCGGGGGGGATTCGGACGAAGAGGAGGTGTTATCGGACGAAGAGAACGTTGTTTTAGGTTAAAATGTGCGGCAACGCGTGTAAACTACAAAACTATTATTATTACAACATTATCATTCGATCTTCATCTTCTTCTTCTTCTCTCGTCATCGTCCAAAATCCTCCTCCTTCTCCTCGAACGACGACGACGCGTAACTCTTCGGATACAATACAAGAAAAACGTACCACCACGCCGATATCGGAACCGCCACGGCGACCGACACAAACTTCCAATCGAACGCCAACGTCGGCAAGGACACGCAAAAGACGCCAAAAAGTACAATCGTCCACGGTTGGCACCAAAATGGCTTCTGTGACCACACCGAGGAGGCCGAGGAGGAGGAGGAAGATGTGTTCGCCTTTTGTAGCAAATTAAGTTCATTCAAGTCTGCCGGACTCGGCACGGACGAAGAAGACGCTTCTTCAAAGAAGAACGTCTCGTTCTCGGCGACGACTTTCGCTTCAAAGTCGTCGTCCTCGACATTCTCCTCGTTGGTATTCTCGTTCGTCTCGCTTTCGTTTTCGTTTTCGTCGTCGTTGAAGAAGAATGATTCGTTTTTCGACGACCTGAACGTCGCCGCTTTGTTTTTCCAATTCGTGTTTGTGTGTTTACGACGTAAACGACTCGTCCTGGGAACACCGAAGAAAACGACGCAACGAGGAGAAGAGAGACGACGACGATGATGAAGACCTTTACATTTAAGAAGCGAGGAGGAGGAGGAGGAAGAAAAGGAGGCGGAGAAGGTTGTTCCTGTTTGGGAGAGTGATGGCATGTTTTGTGTGGCAATGTGACCTACGTACAAATATCTAAATACTACGCAAAATGCTAAAACGAGAAGAAAAAGATGAGAAGCATCTTCATCATCGACCGGCTCTGCGGTCGTTATAATTCCACTGTTGTTGTTGTTGTTGCTGCTGTGGCCGGTGCTGCTGATAATTCTGCTGCGGCGGCGGCGCTACATTTTTGGCGTTGGCGTTGTACATCATTCCTCCTCCTTGTCCTCCTCCTCCTGCGGAGGTCGACGAAGCTATCGTCATCATCTTCGCCCGGGCGAGCTCGATGCAGTCCCTGGCGTCTCGTAGAAACGCGTCGATAGCGTCCACGTTTCGAGAACTACTCTCCGCGGTTTCGGCGATTATGATGCACGTGGCGGCGATGCCGGCGACAACCTCTTCAGCGGACATGTTTCGGAAAGTTTCGATGACGTGGTTGATGTTTGGAGGTAACGGCGGGTTTTCGAGCAACGCTTGGACGAGCGATGCGGCGCGACGGGAAGGCTGGATGTCGTACGGTTGTTGGTTTGGTGGAGTTGTCGTTGTCGTCGTCGTTGGTCGAGGCGTCGGTGAATTGGTGATGTTTGGTCGTTTGTATTGTTGTTGTGGATGGTACGGATCCGCTCCGGTATTTAAGTTATACTCCGGCGACCGCTCGCGTTTTCTTTCGTTGTTGTTGTTGTTGTTGTTGTTGTTGTTGTTGTAATCAGCGGTAGCATTTTGAGTCGTCGGTATCGGAGCAACCGCCGAGGGTTGTTTCACCGCCACTTCTCGGTCCCAATCCATTCTCACTTCCCCACTTTTCCTCCCGTTCAACAACTTCTCCTCCCACTCGGTGAACAAACCCTTCAACCGGTCGTAATCCGGCACTTCGCCGTACTTCAACTGCGAAATCGTCCTGGAAAATCCCACCAACGCTTTCGGCAACTGTTTCCTATCTTCGCGAACGGCTAACTCGCACAAATAGTTCGGCACTTCCTTGCAACTCAATTTTTTCTCCCTCGCCATGACTTTATAATTCGCATCTTCGCTCTCGTCCACTCCGACCGCCATCGTTCTTTTCCACGGCAACGATCCGCAATACAACTCGACTAAAATGTATAACAAAGAAAACAAATCATCTCGGGGACTTTGCTCTCGATTTTCCATCGCGTTCGCGCTCGCGTACGTCGTAGTGCCTCTAAACTGCGCGTCCTCTCTTTCCGCGATCACTTTATCCGTCGTTTCGTCCTTATACCGTCTCGCTAACCCGAAATCGATGAGATACGTCTTCGCTCTCTCGGCTCGCGAACCTCGCCCGATGCAAATGTTCCCCGGTTTCACGTCTCTGTGCACGTATCCTTTTAAATGCGTGTACCCTAATGCGTCTATCGTTTGCGCCGCGATTCGCGCGATGGTGATTTCCGAAAATAACGGTCGCTGTTGTTGCTGTTGTTGTTGTTGTTTCGTTTCCGAAGTAGACGTTTTTGGTGTCGTCGTCGTTCCCGCGCCGCCGCTACCGCCGCCCCTCGAATCTTCTTCAACCGAATTGGACGAATTCAACTCAATTTCCCTCTTCAAATCCGCCAGGTTCTCACCAACCAACTGCATCGCGATGAACGGATGTTCCTTCCCTCTCTTCGTCTCAAAAACCCCTTCCTCGTAAATCTCCACGATGCCTTTCCCACCTAGTAAATTCCTCATCGCCATCGCTTCTCGTTTCGTCGTTTTCATTTCCGATTCGATTTTGATCGCGCAAAAGCGACCGGATTTTGTCGCGTTCTCTTCGCCGCCGCCGGTGATATCCACGGCGGAGTATACCTCCGCGAATTGTCCGGAACCGATCTTCGAGTGGGAGTCGATTTTGAAACGGCCGGAGGAGAGGAGGTCGTTTCGTTTTAACATCTTATTTGTGGTAGTTTTCCTCTCCTAAATGCGTCTGTTTTCTGTCCAATTTATGCCGAAAATTCGCCTTACTATGACACGTAAGAGACAACGAATACGAGTACAATACTAAAATAAAATGGACAAAGCGGCGCAATTAGTGGCCGTTCTCGTGTTCCTGGTGTTCGGTTTCTTGTTCGGGAACATATTTCTGTACGTTTTGCTCTCTGTTTCTCTCTGTCTTTCTCTCTCTCTTAAACTCGCCGATGACTTACTTGAATTTTCCAATTCTTCTCTTCTCTCTCTCATGTAAAACAACGCGGGATATGCGTTATGTACACATCATATCATCGTCATCATCATTCAAATCAGATACTCTTACGCGCAGAAAAAGTACAACCCTCCGGAAGGCAGAAAACCGAAAAAGAAAATCGGCGCGAAGAAGAAGAAAATGCTGGCGCTGAAAAGCGGCATAAAGCAGTAGACAGTAGAAGTCAAATTGTATAGTACTACTAAATACGGATGTTATTTTTATATCATTATCGGCTGGCGGTTCGGTTCGATTGTTCGACTCTCTCGAGAACGAAACCACTCTCCTTTCCTTCATCTTCTAATTCCTCGAAGAGATGTCTGTTTTGTTGTTGTTCTTCCTCCTCCTGAAAGTCTTTTTTGTTCAACTCCCAAGCGCTAAAACCAGCCATGCTTTGCTGGAACATGCACAACCGTTTCCAGTTTTCCTTCTCGAACATTTCCGAGCCGATGACGCCGACGACGGTTCTCTTTGCGATGGAGCAATCGCCCAAGGTACAATCTTCCGCGAAGATCGATTCGCAGTTGGCTTCGCACACCGCGTCCACGCCCATGCCGTGCGCGTATAAGCGTCGGAAGCTTTCGTCCGAGAAATCGTCCAAGGCTTCGGTTTCTAAGGTATATTCCACGTGTTTTCTCGACGCGGCTTGTTTGACGTACGACACGGATTTCTCCGGATTAGCTTGCGCGTTGGTCGTGTTTTCGTTTGCAATCCGCTCGTCTCCGAGTTCACCGCCTTGAACGCTCGCGTGCGCGTTGTTTCGGAACAACATCGCCATGGCTTCGTCGTACGCGTCGCGAGACTGGTCGGTAAACCGCGGGTACCCGCTCGTCGCTTGCGCCGGCCTAGACTCGCAGTGGTTCCACCAGTACGTGTTCGGTAACCGCATTTCGAGAGCTACGTCTGAATATTTCTCTCGAATAGCTCTGTTTGCGCTTTGTAACATTCGTTCCCCGTGTTTCATCAACTGGTCGTGGTAAAACGTGAGAAAAAATTGTCCGTAATCCGTCCTCCACGATCCGTTGTCTTGGAAAAAGTGCGAAACCGGGCCGAAATCGTTCACTTCTCCGGCATCGTGCGGTCCAGATTTCCCCCAATCGCTACAATTTCTCTCGTTGGCGTACTCTTGCAACGCTTTTAACGCGTACTTATCGTTCACTTGGAAACTCCCGACCCCCGGGAACACCCACACGTCTTCCGGAAACGCCGGGTACCTCAACTCCCCGTTCGGCCCGGCCCCAATCGTCGCCGTCGTAATCGTCCCGTTCGCGAAATACTTTTCGAACGTGTTCACAAAACTCGCCATAAACTCCTCGTAGCACTGATTGGCCGATCGAAACGTCTTCCCGTCCCCGGTCGGTAACAAACTCTCGTCGCCTTCGGCGAACAAACTTATAACCGCGTTTTCTCTTAAACCAGATTGGTCCATGTAAAACAACTCCGGGTTCCCTTCTTTTCCTTCTCTGCTCGCAATTTCGTGCACCCAAACCGGTAAGCTCGCGGTGCACCCGTCCCCGTCGTTACCGCCGCACTCTCTCGCGTGAAACGCAAACTCCACGGAGACTTCCAACTCGCCCACTTTATCCACAATTGCAAACAACTCCTCGTACGCTTGCCAATCGTACACCTGCGGTTCGTTTTCCACGATCCCCCAGAACACGGTCACGTGTACGCCTCGCACTCCGGCGACTCGTAAGGCGTCGAAGCCGACTTTTAGAGCTTTTGATTTCGTGAGGAAGTTTGTGATGGATATCGCATCCGGGGCGAGACGGCAAAAGAGAGGGATGATTTCGTTTTTTTTCTTCTTCTTTATCGTTGTTCTTTTCGTGTTGTCGTCTGATGTTGTTTGGGAGGACGTTCTTCTTCCGGAAGATGACGATGCGCCTCCTTCTCTCTCCGTCGTCGTCGTCGCGACCACCCGATGACGATCATCGCGTTCTTCTTCTCCGCTACTTTCCGCGCGAACGCAGAACGCATCGTTTCGTTGTCTTCTTCTTCTTTGTTGTTGTTGTTTTAGAAAATGCTGACTGTTCGTGCGAGCAAAAAGCGACGCTTTTTTCTGCGACGCGACGTTCTTCTCATTCGTCGTCGCACTCAACGTCCTCGCGCCGCAGGAACACAAAGCGCTCATATTCTACTCGCGCGTTAGAAGAAGAAAATACCTTCCAACGAAACGCGCGTCTCCTCGTGCCTGTTTTATCTTCGCGTCGTGGTCTCTTTGCGCGCGTACCTCTTATCTGCCGACAAATGATGACCGTTTTACGTTTTATCGTTTTCTCGTTTTTTCGAGGTAGGTTTTTCCTTGGCTGAAAACCATCGCCCTCGCAGTTTGAGATCAATTTTTTCCTTTTTTTTGCTCGGTTTCTTGGTGAAACAGAGAGATGCCATTCCCCTTGGTGGACAGACAACCACGAAAAAAAAAGCAGACGAACGCAGAATTGAAACGACGTTTGCTACCCTAAACAACAGAATTTTTTTTTTTCAGTTCTGTCGCCTTCCTTTTTTAGACCTTTTCTGCTCGCATTACGCGTAAACAACACTACAGAGTGTGCAGAGAGTGTGTGTATTTTAAACACATCACAGAGACCATTCGTCTCGAGAAGAAGAAGAAGAAGAAGAAGAAGAAGAAGAGAGAGAAGCGCAGAGTAGTAGTAGTATACATATAAGAATAATGACCGGAGGAGGATCGTACGACGAGGTCGATCTGGAAGACATGGATTGGAACGAATCGCTCAAGGAATTCACGTACTCGTGCCCGTGTGGGGACATCTTTCGAATCACGTTAGAAGAGCTCAAAGACGGAGAGGAAATCGCGAGATGCCCGTCGTGTTCGCTCGTGTTGACGGTGATTTACGACCCGGACGAGCTACCTTCGATAACGAACGTTGAAGCGGCGACGTCGGGGACGACGGAGGAAATTGCATAGAAGAGAGAGCGCAGGGGTGAGTGCTTTACTTTAGAACACACTAGCTGCCGCGCGGAATGCGTTGTATTATAGAATATACGCGATAGAAGAAGAAAAATACATAAGAAGAAGAAGAAATCATACATTATTACATAGTATATTAATCAGCTTTGATGTCGACGTCGGTGCTTCGCGCGAAGCGTTTGATGCGCATGGTCGGGAACACGCGCGGCGCTTCCTTTCGCCGCCTCGTTCGCTTTTCCTTCTCTTGTTCCGTTTCTTTTTCTTCCCCGTCGTGACTCTCATCGTCGCTATTACTACTGCTACTGCGACTACTTTCGCTATCGCTATCGTCGTCGTTAAAGTCGTTAAAGTCGTCGTCTTTTTTTCCCGGTTTTGGCGGTAAGGACTCAAACTCCACTCGATGAATAAACGCGACGAACGAGCTCAAAACTAAGCTCGTCAACATGACCACGTAAACGCTCAAAGCGGACGTGCTTTTCTGCGCGTAACATATCGTGCTCGTTTCCATGCGCACGATGAAATCGTTTTTTCCATCGTCGTTGCAATCCAACACTTGAGCGCGAGCGATGGGCATGGACGGTAAGAAAATGGTGGCAATTTTCGTCCCGGACGGGGAGACGATCACCGCTCTTTTCGATCCGACGACCAAGGAAGCCTCCGAGGTGTGACGGCGTCGACTTTGCTCGTTAAAGAAAAGACTTCTTTGCGATAAAAAAGGTGATGGTGCCGTTGGCGAACCACCACCACCACCACCACTGACGTCGTAATTTGTTCGGTTCGTGCTATCCTCATCGCTCGAGGAGACGACGACGTTGTGCGATACGCCGTGGTGTCGATGGTGCGTGCGAAACTTAAACGTCGCCAAAGTTGGAACGAATCGATCCATCTCTTTCGAGTCGTTGTTGTTGTTTACATCAGAAAATAAGTCGTATATGCCATCTTTCGGTGGTCCATTCACGTCAATCTTCCAACTCGCGCGCGTATTTACCATCCACCTCCTCGTTCCGTCTTTCGCGTAACACGTCAACTCGCCCCGGGAGTTTAAAAACACCGCGTCTTTCGTCGCGCGACGGAAAGACCTGTCTCGTTCGCTCTTATCGTCTCTGCGCACAATAATTGGCGTCAACACGTCCACGTCGTCTTTATTTTTGTTTCTCAAGTAAAAATCGCCCGAATTTTGTTGTTTCTTGTTGCTCTTCGCTCGTTGTCTCGGCGTGCTCTTCATGGAACTTTTCCTCGTCGGTTTACAAATGGACCCTTCGAAGACGGTTTGGACATCTGGTGCGCCCGAGGTGACCGAGGCCCAACAACCGGGCGAGAAGTTGTCCATTGCGACGTCTGCAATGTGCGCGCGATGACCTCGAGCGTCTAAATGGTCGATGGCCCCGTCGCCGTTGATATCCGCGTGGTACCCGGGATGTTGCAACGCCAGCTGACAAATCAACTCTCCTGTGAACGCGTCGAGAACTTCGACGCCGTCGCGATGGTGCGCGATGATTGCGTTCTTGATGTTGTTGTTCGAAGACGACATCATGTGTTGGTGATGAAACCGGCGGTTGTGATAATCTAACTTTTCGCGTTCGTCGTCGCGGTGGTGCACCGCGCTCTTGCCGAGGTTCAAATAAGAAAAGCCTCGGGAAAGTAAACTGGAGAAATCGTTCGTTTTATCCGCCACCGCGAAATTCGGGTCGCGAGATGCGGCTTTCAAGTTGGTCGTCGCGGCAGATGTCGCGAGCGGACCCGGGTCTCGTCCACCGCGCGCTCTTTTTTTACGACCGCCGAACGAGGAGGACGTTTGCTTTTGACTCTTGCTAAACGGCGCCGAGCGCATTCGCGTATCCTCCGCGTCTCTCCACGCGTGAGGGAGGGCCTCGGCTAACGCAGACTCTCTGTACGATCTACAAATTCCATCCGTTTTCGATTTATGCTCTTCTATTTTCGTCAAGTGCGAATCCAATCGAACTTCGTGCGCCGGCGTGGTGGTTCGTAAAAGTTCCGCCGGATCGGCGACGAAATCTGAGGCGACGCGACGCCAGACGAGTTCACCACTTCTCGCGTTAAATGCGAGATATACAAAAGCCCCGTTTTGGGAGGCAAACGTATCGTTGTCGTCTTCAATGATATCTTCAACGCCTTCCTCTTTGAATTCGATCGTTTCGTCTCGTCTACCGCCTCGATGCATTGAAAGCATCTCGTCGTCCTTCAATTCTCGTGCGTACGCTTCCATGCCTCGCTCGTAATCTTCTCCCTCTTCTCCTTCTTCGTTTTGATACTTCTCGTACTCCACGCGCCCACCGACGACGACTAACCCGTCCTCGTTCTCCCCTTTTGCAGAAACGACCGTCACGGCAATCTCTTCCACTCTCATCGAGTCTCCTCTTCCTCCTCTTCCTCCTAGATGATGACGATGATGCGCTTTACCGCTAAACAGCGCGTCCCTCGCCGACCGCTCCCACTTCTTCTTCGCGTTGTGATCAAACGTCATCACTTGCAACTCTTCCGTCACCGCCACAAATATCGCTTTCCGTTTAATCATCACAACTGTTTTACGTCGTTGTTTACTCCCTATCCCACTCCCACTCCTCCTCCTCTTCGTCTCGCCTCTTCGTCTCGCCTCCGGTCTCCCCGCCGCGAGCGCGATAACGCGTTTCCCTCCGTGCTCGTCTCTCATCCGATGCGTCTTACTCTTCTCGTTCGTTTCTCGTAAATCGACCATTTTTAGAAGTCTCAAGGTGTTCTCGTTCCCTACATCTTCATCTTCGTTCATTCCGTTCTCGTTGTTCTTTGTCTTCTGTCCTTTTCCTCCTCTGCTGCTTCCGTCGTAAATTCCAATTTTATTGCTCTCGTCAAACGCGATCAAGGTTTCTTGCCTTCCGTCTCCGTTCAAGTCGAAGAAAAGCACCGGTAAGAGCGGTTTTGGTGGAGAAGAAGACGAAGAAGAATCGACAGTTAAAATCTCCCATTGCTTCACGAACGACATCCCGTTCAACGACCCCACGCTATTATTCCTATTGAAAAAAAGACAACGAAGCAACGCGAAGCAAAAAAGAGAGAGGACGAGGACGTCTCTCGTTCTCAGCGCGGAGGACGACGACTTTGCCTTTCTTCTTCCCATCCTCTCTCTTCTCTCTCTTACTGTGAGGAACGCGCTCAAGGGAAAATTCAGAAGCTGTATATTTAGGGTGTTAAACCCTACCTTGGCTGCTTGATGATGCATTTTGGATCTTGGTGACCATTAGTACGCGCGCACAAAAGGAGACACGCACAGAGAGAGAGAGAGAGTAAGAGAGACGAGACAGAACACACGCACGCGCACACACACTTTACGCGCGCGCAGAATAATAAAAAAAATGGCAGCAGCAGCTTCGAGCAGACGGACGACTCGTTCGAGGTCGAAGAGCCAATCGCCGGTTCCAACAACGCTTCCCGAGGAGGACGAATTGGACGACGGCGACGACAAAGCGGTAGGGGTGACCAAAGAAGGAAAAAAGGAGAAGAAAAAGAGCGGTTTGAAGAACAACAGCAACGGCAAGAAAAGAGAGAGCGCGGAAGGAGGAAACGAAGGAGGAGGAGGAGGAGGAAAAGAATCGCGGGAGAACAACGAGGAGGAGAACAACAACAATAAGAAAGCGAAGAAAGAGGAGAAAGAGGTTGATGAAGAAGAGGCAGAGGAAGACCCGCTGCTGTCCGGAGGAGGTGGTGGGAGCCGACGAGCGAAAGTAGATTACGCCGCCGTCGCGGCGGCGGCGACTGGCGGCGGCGGCGGCGGCGGCGGCGGCTTCGTGATGAAGAAGAGAACGACGACAACCGAGGAACCGACGACGACGACACCGACGCCGGCTACGAATGATGTCGCGGAAGAGAGGCAGGTAACGAATGTGCCGCCGCCACCTTCAAGTGCCACGACTGCGAATGCCACCGCTGGTGGTGGTGTTCCAGATCAAGCGTCGGTGAACGCGATGGTGGCGCAGGCGCAGGCGAAAGCGGCGGAGTTGGCGGCGATGGCGATGCGAGCAGCAGGAAGTGGTGTTGGTGGTGGTGGTGGTGTCGGTGTTGGTGGTGGAGGAGATGCAGTTGGTGGTGGTGGTGGTGGAGCCAGAGGATCTGCCGCTGGAGCAAACGCGGCGCCCTTGAAAGTGGAATTTCGTAAATTCGACGCGTCTCAGCAAACGTTCGTGCCTCCGGGCGAAGCGCAGAATAACTCTACCAATCGGTTCGGAACTGGACCTTCCGATAACGTTTACGAAGAAACTCGAACGGTGAAATTGGACTGCCCGCAGTCTTTAGTCGGTAAAATCATCGGTAAAGGTGGGGAAACTATTAAAGGGTTAGCATCGACAACTGGCGCGAAAGTTATCATCGACCAGATGTCCATGGCGGACGGCGAACCGAGGAAGATTGTCATCACCGGAACGAATACGCAAATTGAAAAAGTATCAAAAATGTGCGAAGATATCATGAATGGACCACACGGGACGGTCTCCGCGGTCCAAGCCGCGCAACCCGGGGCAATTGTCGTAAACGTAGAGTGTCCAAAAGAGTGCGTCGGAAGAGTCATCGGTCGAGGCGGAGAAACGATTAAAGGCATTCAGTTAGCTACCGGCGCTCGAGCGCAAATCGACCAGACGTGTACGCCATGTTTGGTCATTATTTCTGGCGACCCGCAATACGTAAACGTGTGTCAACAAGTCGTCGTAGAAATCATCAACGGAGGTTCCGTCGCGCAATTTAACGACCTCGCTCGACAACAAATGATGGGCGGCGGTGGAATGATGATGATGGGCGGCGGTGGCGGAGGTCAATCGCAGCAGCAACAGCAGTTGTACCAGCAACAACAATACGCCATGCAACAAGCGATGATTGCGCAGCAACAACAGTACTATCAACAACAACAACAGCAGCAGCAACAACAACAACAACAACAGGCACAACCGATTCCTTTGCGCAAAGTTGGAGACTGGCAAGAGTTGGACGACGGTTCCGGGCGGATATATTATTATTCCTCGGCGACCGGAACATCCACCTGGGACAAACCCGACGGCTTTTAGAGAGAGAGAGAGTTGAAGAGAGAGAGAGAGTTGAAGAGAGAGAGAGAGAGAATATAAATTTACCATCGCACAACAACACATTAGTCAACATTTTATAGAGGTAAACAAAACACACAATAATACAACACAACTACGATACACAAAAGCTATTCTAACTCAACGCTCCTCACGCACGAACACCTCCACCCTTTCCGGAAGCATCTTCTCGTCGCACTCCACCTCCCCTCGCTCGCACTCGATCGGCGCCGGCGACGACAAATCCACCACGCCCCTATGCGTGGTCAACACCAAACCCAGCGCGTACGCAAACACAGTGGCGAAGAGCAACGCTTTACTCAACATCGATTGAACTCCCGCGTATTTCTGCTCGTTTTCTGTCTCCTCCTCGAAGCGCGTTCGGGCAAAATCGCCCAGAATCTCTCTCGCCTCTCTTCGAGGACTCTTTGAATCGTCTGAATCGTCATCCGATGACATCTTCTTCTTCGGATACAAAGCATCTATTTTCTCTTGATTTTCTCTCACGACTTTTCTCTCCTCTAATTCCATTCCTTTTTTCCACACGTATATCATCTTCTTCTCGTTATCTTCTCTATTTTCGTCCTCGTTTTCATCATCTAAATCTCCTTCTTTTCCCTCTCGCGGTCTGTTTCGTCCAATCTCTTCCATGGTTTCCTTCGCATCCTCCGGGTTGAAATCATTCATGATGAAATCGGGGAAAAAATTCGGTATCGAGTATCTCAAAATCTCTTTCTCTTTCACGGTCACTTTCACCTCCCTTTTCCTTTTCCTTCGAGCGTTTTTGTCGTTCTCGTTCTCCGAGGAGGAGGAACACCGCGGACGCGCCCGGAAACGATGGAGAAAAGCGCGGTGGTGAGAGCAACAGCGCATATGGTATTCTGTGTTTAGATATGAATTTCCTCCATTTTATGACGCTTCTGACGAGACATTCACCCTCGTCGTCTTTCGTTTTCGACGTCAATTGGAGGAGGAAAAGGAACGGGAGGAAAAGGAACGATGCGGTCCACGCGTCGTCGTCTTTAGTCTCGTCGTTTACGTCATCAGCCGACGACCAAGAACATCGTCGTCATCATCAACGCGAGCAAAGAGGATTCCGGGGAAAGAATACAGTTACGACTGCTAGGTGTGACAAGAACAAGGTGGACGTGTTCGTGTTCATCGATTGCGATAACGTCCGGCCGAGATTTAGTGCGAGTGACGAGGAGGCAGCGGCGCAAAGGTTTTTGCACGCGTTCCATCGCGCGGCGAGTTGTTACGGCGACGTGGTCTCTCTTTCTTTATACGGGAACGAGAAGACTTTTGGAGAGGAAGTTCAAGGCGATGTAAAGCGAGGAGGAGAAGAAGACGAAGGAGAAGGAGAAGAAGGAGGATGGACGCGTGCGAGGACGAACGAGAGGAATACGAAGAAAAAGAGTTTAGGTGAAGCGTTGGAATCCGTTCGAATTTTAGGCTCGCGCGTCCGCGTCGTGCGAACGCAAAGTCGACGAAAACAAAGCGCGGATATTCGATGCGTGTCGGACGTGGTCGACGCGATGCGCAAAAGCGCTGATAATGAAACCACCACCACCACCGAAAAGCTTCGCCTCGCGTTTATCGTGTCGAAAGACGCCGGGTTGTTGAAAGAAGCGGCGTCTCCGTATGTTAGAAAAAGAGGGGACGTGGTTATCTGCGGCGACTTTATAAATAACGTAGGCATGAGGGAGATTGACTCTCACCCGATCGAGGACGCGTATCGCGAAGTGGTAGAGAAGAAGATTGGCTGGTCGAGCGGCGTGAAAATAAAAGGCAAACCAGGATCAGAAGCACTCGCGATAGGCTCGCGATTGGTGTCGTGGAAAGACGAGAGCGTGTGGTTTTACGCGAAAAGCGATGAGGACGTTGAAAAAAGAAGGAGAAAAAGCAACGCGCCGAGAAAGGCGGCGAGAAAACGGCGGGAGGACCCGTATTTATTCATGATTCCTGGACCTTCGTCGAGTGAAAAAGAAATGGAAGAGAAAGAGAAGGACGAACGGTTTTATCAAAACTGCGTTCGATACCTTCCCTCGTCAATCCAAACTGAAATGCGCGACATCATCGACGCGTATTGCCGTCGTCGTCGTCGAAACGTCGATACCGCCGCTAACGAAAACAACAACACCGTTTTCCTCTCCAAACTCCTACGACGAGAAGCGAAAAGAAAACTTCTCCCGGTTCGCTCCAACGCCTGTTTCGCGTCCGCGTCCGACGTTCTCGTGTACTTCGACGCCGGTCCGAAGTTAGGCGCGGTGTTCGGTAAGTGGCTCGAAAACGGCGACTTGGAGATGTTATGGTGGTAAACTAGAATTTTGAGTAAAGAGTCTTATAAGGAAAAAATTCGTCACTTCAGAAGCAAAAATGTTCGCGTCTTCTCTCGGGCAGTTTTCGTCTTCGCTTCATCTCGGGCGCACTTCTTCGTCTTTGTCGTCGTCGTCTTCGTCAAAAGTCGGTCTCGTTTTTGCCGCGAATAACAGCAACGACGACGTTAATAAAGACAACAACACCTCCGACGACGAATCGATTGCCGCCATCGAGCGTCGCTTAAAGAACTCCAAGAACAAAGTCAAACTGACCAGTAAAGAGAAGCAAGAGCGAGATTCTGGGTTTCCGAAGACGAACGATGCGAAGAAAGGTCGTCCGGCGACGTTGTTCGACGATTTAGGGATGAAACGATCGTTCCCCACACCCGGGGCGAACGGGATGTTGAGCATGTGGGAGGGAGATCCGGAGAATTGGGAGAAGATGGAACCTTTGAAAAAACTGTGGGTGGTGTGGTCAGGGGAGAAAGGATGGATGTATTGGATGAACCAAGGGAGCTTATACGGCGCGGCGTTTATCGCGTTCTTGTGGGTGTGTTTTAGATTCATCGGGCCGATTTTGGGATTGTACGAATTGAAGTAAAACTTTTACGAAAGCCGTTATTCGTCGTCGTCGCTCCTATTACTACTCCTACTTCTACTCCTCCTACTCCTACCGCTATCATCATCGCTGCTACTACGACTACTACTACCACTTCTTTGTCTGTTTGTGTTTGTGTTCTCTTCTTCTTCTTTTCCCTCCTCTGAGCTTCGTAAACATCGCTCTTCTCGTTTACACAAATCTTTGAACTCTTTCGTCAATTTTAAGTACTCTTTCCTCTTCTCGATGTGCTCGCGTTGGTCTTCCGCTAACAACTCTTCCGCGCGTTTTTCGTTCATTTTTTTCCTCTCCGTGTTGTCGGCAGTTTTCGAAACCGCGGAGGAGATGTCTCGCAACGAGTCTCGCAAGCTTTCCTTCCCGATTTTCGTGTCCAATAAGTGGAGCTGTTCTTTGACGGAAGTTAAGAGACTGATTTCCTTCGCCGCGTGTTCGCTTCGTTTCGCCAGGGAATTGTACAACGCGAATTGTCTTTTCGTTTCGCGAAGTTTACGCGTGACGGCGTTTTTGAGCTCTCGGAATCTCGTTTCGTACTGCGCGAGCTCGGCAGAGTGCGGGACGTCGTCTAACCGTCTCGATAAGATGGCGTTTTTTTTGCTCCGTTTCGCGAGTTCGTTGACGCGCTTGTCGCGTTTTTCCTTTTCTTTCGCGTATTGCGCGGACGTTTCCGCGATTTTAGCGAGTTCGCCGGTCTGTTCGCGCTCTTCTTCGATGGATGTCACCTTCGCTTTCAAAACTTTCAATTCCTTCTTGCACGTCTTACGAAACAACGCCTCTTCTTTCTTCAGCGAGGCTCTGCGTCTGGCCATGTTCGCCAACGCGTCCACGAGTTGCTTTTGCGCCGGGTCCGTGACGCTCTTTTCGAGTTCTACTCTTTTTGCAATTACTGTTTCGTTCTCTTTCCTTGCGTTTTCGTACGCGTCCTTCGCTCGTTTTGTTTCCAATTCCGCCTCGTCCATTTCTTCTCTCTTCGAGTCCAATTTGCGCTTTTCCGCCTCCAACCGTCTCGCGACGGCGCGCGTGGAGCGTTCAATGCGCAGTATTTTCCCAGCCGCACCAGATAACCCGGCGAAAGACGTCGACGCACCACCACCACTACCACCATCTGAAGTATCAAAGTCGTCGCCGAACGCATTCATCGCTTTCGCAATCTCCCATCCTTTCATCTTCACCAACAACTCGGCCACCGAGTTCGAGGACACGTTGCTGGCGTTTTCATCGTTTTCATCGTTCTTCACCAAATATTCCGAAAGCATACGTTTCAACTTGGCCTCTTCGCGTTGGGCAAGTTCCTCCTCGCTTAACACCGCATCTTCTTCCTCTGCTGTCATCGTCGTCGAACCTCCGTCCTTCTCCTCGCCTCTGTTTTTCGCCGCGGCCCTCGCCATCATCGACGACCCTCCTCCTCGAGCGTCGTACAACCTACTCTTCCCGTTCACGCGATGACCAAACTCCATGAGGCACCCGTTCCTAATCTTCTCCTCCCCTTCTCGCTCTAAATCTCTGTTCGCGTTCGATTCCGCGGCTCTCCTAAACGTCCTCGTGTTGTTCTTCGTAACGCTCTCGCGTAAGAACAAACTCTGCAATCGAGACCGCCTAATCCGCCCAGATTGACGACGCGTTTCGCCAAATAGACTACCACCACCACCGCGTTCCCATTCTCCCTCTTTGTCTTCTTTAACTACTACTTTTTCTCCCGCGAGTACCATCGCTCGTTTCGTCAGCCATTGCACCACCGGGAACACTTTCTCCGAATCCAACCCGCAAATCTGGTGCGCTCTCAGAGGTAAAGGGCACCCGAGTTCACCGATCCCTCGTTCCACCTCTTCGCAGAGTTTCAGTTTTTCTCCCATCGTCATCGTTTTCTCCTCCTCTTTTCCTCGCTTACTCTTCTTGATCTTCACGCCGACGTCCCATCGACACCGTTGCAAGAGGAAAACGAATCCAAACAAGAGATGGTCAAAGCGAGTGTTTTTCTTCGCACTGTGACTCTCACTGGTCCACTGAAAGTGCGAACCGACGGAGAGCAAGTCGAAGACGTCCTCGAGCGTCCGCTCTTCTCGGTCTTCTTCCAACGCGTTCTCCTTCATGTCTTTAATGACGTTGAAAATTCTGAAGCCAATTCGCCATTTTTACGCGCGCGCGAATACACAAATGCGCGAAGAGAATACTCCTAAAGAAGGAGAGGAAACCCTCCACTTCTCCTCTCTCGCGCACCGAAAAGTATTCGCACACATTCGTAAGCACCCGAATTCGGACGTTTCCGGAGCTTTACTCGTTCGCGAGGACGACAAAGACAACGCGTTTATTGAAGATGCAATCCCGCTGTTCCACTCCGAGTCGGGAAACGTTTCCGTCTTGAATGAAATCGCGCTGACGCATATCCAGAAGTACGCGAATACGAGTCACCCAATTGGTACAATGCGCGTGGGAGGGCTATATTTCGCGAACGGGAATTTATACGCGGGGGTGTTGCCAGATCGCGCGCAAGGATTGGCCGAAGCGGTTGGGGATGGTGCAAGAAACGGAATTCGATGTGTCCTCCTCGAACCGACCGCGTTTGACGCGGAGACGAAGAACGTTTCCACGAGCAAGAGTAGTAGCCCGTTCAGGGTCTTCAAGTCGAACAACAACAACGCGAACAACGTGAACTTTGAATTGAAAGAGCAAGACAAAGGGACTGTCAAAGTCGTTCTCGCGCCGCCGCTCGACGACCTCGACGCCGCTTCGACGAATACGAATACGAAGGACGTCTGTGACTTTGACGACCATTTCGACGACGTCGGTAAAGACTGGAGGAACGCATCCTTTTCGTAGAGAGATATAGATATAGACTACCGCGCCGCGCTATAGATTTGTGTATATTTAGTTTATATATATAGTTTAGCTACTGTTTCTTATTATTATACTTTGTTCGCTATCTCGCTCTTTCCCTCCGGATGTGTTTTGCTCTCGATCGAAATCAGAGACATTACACACTCGCGTTTCTTCTCCTTCTTCTCTCTCTAATGCTCCCCAGATTGTTGCGCTTTGAAATGTCTATATTCCGTCGGCCAAACGGTCACGTACGCCGTCGCGAACACCGCCCCCATCGCGTGGTACACCGGCGCAATCGATCCCGTTTGGATGTACTTTTCCCTATACTCTTTGGAATATCTCTGGAAATTCTCGATCGCGTTCTCTTTGGTGATTGTTTTTTTAAGGAACTCCGGGACCTCTTTCACTTTGAGAGAGCCGAGTTGACGGAAGAACGCGGACATTTTTCGTGGTGGTGGTGGTGTTGTCTCTTTCTTGGGAAAGAGAGCGAGACAACGCGTCGGAGTTTTGAGGATCAGTTCTATTTGTGGGATTTTCGTTCAAAAAGAGTAAGTAGTGTGTTCGAGTGACGCGTGCGCTCTCTTTAATTCTTATCTATGCGTAAGTAGTATCTAGTCGAGAGCGTTTTGCGTAAAATGCTCAAATCATCCTCACTTCTGTTTCTTCGCGGCTTCCTGTTTCTTTCTCTCTTTCCAACTCTGCGGACGAATTAAACTCGTCAGCGCTATCAACGCGACGGACAAGACGTGAATGAACCAATACATTCCATTCCACGCTCGGACGCTTTCCTTGAACTCGACCAAATGAAACGCCGGGGTCAAATAGAGCAAACCAAGGTGCGTCTGCGCTAAGCTAAACAGTTTCCAATATTTTACGAATCGTTCAGACATGTAGTCGCGTTGCCATTTGTACGTTTTGCGCGCGCAGTAAATGATCAACGCCGTCGAGGAGAAGAACATCCAGTACCCGGCACTGAGACCGTGCCAGATGCCGGAGACTAATTGCGTGAGAAGAAGTTCGACTAACCCAGCCTTTCGATTTTTATCACCGCTTCTGCGCACTCGGAATCGGTGGATGCGATCGTAGCAGTAATGTCGGAGCCAAATCCCGGTGCGAATGTTCCAATGCGCGGGAATTTCCGCAAACGTGTTTGCAAAATCCACACCAAACGGATGGACGTTCGTCATCGCATTCCACTCTTCCGGTCCTTCTCTGCCGGTGATTGATTTTTCCGCGTTGATCCCGTTATACGCCAACCCGCACGCGGCGGCTGAAGCGTCCGCAAACATCCACACGAAATAGTACTTATACTTCCCCGCCGCGCCCGCTACGTACACCGTCTTCAACTTTTCCCACAACGACATCATCTCCCATTCGTTTCCGTTGGAAAACACCTCTTGCAAGCTCACGATGTTGGCCAAATATAAGTGCAAACCCAAACATATCATCGCGCCTATAAATCTTTGCATCGTCAACACCATCCAAGTTCTCGGCCATCCTCTCGCGTAGTGCGTCAACTTATTCCTCGGCGAGTTCGGGTCAAAAATACCTTCCTCTCTTAACCACATTCTAAACGTTTTAAACTCCAACGTCGGTCCGGAAACCAACGTGCACGGAAACATGCACCACGCCAAATACTCCAGCGTCTTTGGCGCTTCGGAGAGTTCGTGTTCTTTCATAAAAGACGATTTCTCCTCGTCTTTTATTTCGTAATCCTCGAAGTTCATCGCGCAACTCGTCGTCTTCAAACACAGCACCATCAACAACCCGGTGATGTCAATGTTCCCTCGTTTCCACTCGCCGCCGCTATCCGCGCTGTAGTGGATGTACACCAGGTACCCGAACGACCAGAGGAACGTTACAAACCCGACGCCGATTCGTTTTCGTCTTTCGCTCTTGGTCTTCGAATCTCCCGCTTTCGTGCTGCTCGTGAGTTTAAGTAAACATAAACTCGGCAATGAAAGGTAAAACGCGTGCACGGTTGTCTTCCCGAACGTCATCAAGGAAATCATCGTTCCCGAGACAAGACTTAACAGTGCTTTTCGTTGAAACTGAGATCCTTTTCTGTCTCCACCTTGAATCGTGCGAAACAGCACCCCGAGTGGTAATCCCGAGAACAACGCCACGGTGAAAAGAATCGTCCCGCGAGGTAATCCGGACCGTAAGGAAAGATGGTGGAGCACGTACAGGCGAAGTTTGACGATTTGTGAGACGTGCGCTTCGAGGAACTTGATGATGTTCATCGAGATCATCATCAACGCATCGATCATCCTCCGAGCGAGGAGGGAATACGTACTCTCTGGGGAAAGAAGTGAAGCCATTTGAGATACGTTTTATCCTCATTTTTCCCTTCATCTCAGAACACGATACGATGCATCACCGGGCGACTTTGACGACGTCGTCTTCGACGTTCGCGAGGACAAGTAGCGGTAGCAGTAGTGGGAGGCGTTTGAGACGATCAGTGCGTTCTTTTTTGGCGTTCTGTGACGGGGTAGAGGTACACCAAAAGGGAGTCTCAGGGGGGAAATTCGTATCTTTTCGAACGGGGAGACGGATGAATGCGAGCAACTTAAACGCCATCGGGAAAGGCACGAAGCGCATAACAACACACGCAAAACAAGAAAAAGACAAACTCGCTCGCGATACCATCGATTTATCGAAACGAAAAATCGGTCCCGGAAAAGAAGCGCCGGTGAAAGTCACGTTCCTCGGCGCGAACGATTCCTCAGTCACCGTGGATTGCCCCACGGATCAGTACGTGTTAGACGCCGCGCTCGAAGCCGGATTGGAACTTCCATTTACCTGTCGAGGAGGCATCTGCGGCGCGTGCGTGGCAAAATGCGTCTCCGGAGCAACCGACCAATCGGATATCACGGACTTAGAGTTCACTTTAGACGAGGATGAACAGAAGGAAGGGTTGACGTTGTTATGCATGGCGTACCCCGTGGGCGATTGCGTCATCGAGACGCAAAGCGATTGGGGCATGCGAGTGGGCGAGTGGAAAGGCGCGACTGGGGAGATTTTAGGACGAGACCCGACCAAGTTAATGGACGATGATCCGAATAGGATTGGTTTGTAATGGTTTATTAAATAACAACACGATGTGTAAATGCTACGTCTCGCTCTCGTACCCGCGCGTTCTGTCTCGTTTTGCCTTGAAAACGTCACAATTCGGCACTCGAATTCGCCCGCAAAAACACCAACACGTCACGCGACGCATGCAGAAAAAGCACTTTTTCTCGTCGTCGTCGTAAAAGATGTGGCCCTCTCGAGGAGGCGGAGGAGGAGGAAATACGAACGCCCCGTACTCTCCGTTCGAGGATGATTCCAACGAGAAATCCTACGCCGCGAAGTTGTACACCAAGAAGAAGAAGAAGAATTACACCAACAACGGTTTACTCTTTAACGGATATAATAACAACACGAACAACAACAACAACAACAACAGAAAAGGAGTGAAAATCATCGGCGGCGTGTTACTCCTGATGACGATTTTGAGAGTGTTTTGGTCGTCGCGTTTGAGTGCGACGAATACTACGAATAGGACGAGTGGTTTTAGGCACGTGGATAAATACGACAGAGAAGGGAACGCGAAGTCGATGATGGACGGCGGAAACGGCGTCGTCGTCGATGGGAATAACGAGTATTACGATGTGAACAACGATTCAGACGATTCAGACGGGAAGAAGACAAAGAAGACAAAGAAGAATCTGTGGTCGCGAGCGACGAACGACGCTCCGCGCTCGTCTCGCGTATCTTCGCAAAAAGTAGCCGCGAATTTAGTCATCGATCATCTCGGTCGCGCGTTAGCGCCGATGATATCGAAATACGTGGATATAGATGAAGACGGCGCGGTGGACGCGAACGAGTTGGAACGATTCGCGGAGAGAGTCGGCGGGGTTGAAAATGTCGGGAAAGGGTTCACGAGCGCGGTTTTAGCGGCGTTGACGGCGACGTGGGGGGACGCGGAGAGCGGTGGACAGCATAATCGGCCGATTGAGAAAACGCCGTGCGCGTTGGAGTTTAATCGAGGGTTGAGTACTGGGGCGGAGTTAGAGGTGACTTCGGACGTGCAGTTTAAAGGGGTGAAGCCGTTTTGCGTCGAGGCGTGGGTGAAACCGAGCGACGCGGAAACCACTCGGAATGGGTTTCAAGGGTACGGTGGCGCGATATTCGCGAAGAAGATGAGCGACGAGATGCACCCAGACGACGACGAAACCGACGTGTTGTTAATGGACGAAGACCAGAAAAAAGGAGGGAAGAACGTCGGACGAGGCCAGTTTACGTTTGCGTTGGACGACGCCGGAGGTTTAACGTTTATGAGAGAAACCGGCTTGACGACCGCGTTACGATCGAAAAGACACTTGAAACCAAACTCCTACACGCACGTCGCCGCCTCTTACGGGTTTGGCGACGCGTCCATATTCATAAACGGCACGTTAGACGCGACGAGGAAAGAAGGCGCGATTTTACGCGGCGACGACGTGACGCCGCTCACGATTGGAATGTTGTTAGATAGAAAAGGCCGCTCGAGGTTAGGTTTCACCGGAACCATCCAAGAAGTCCGCCTGTGGAACCGACCGTGCGACAAAGAGTCCATGAAACGGTACTACGAGCGTCGATTAGTCGGATGGGAACCTGGACTCACCGCATATTGGCCCATGAACGATTGTTTCGGTAAAATTTTAGCGGAGAAGCGAGGCGAATACCGAGGACGCGTGACCGGCAGAGCCGCGTGGAGAAGAAACGGACACCATTTAATGACCGACGACGACATCGAACTGTGCAAACACCTCGCCAAAGGCGTCATCGATGAAAGCTTAGCCTGATTTTATTGAGAGAATAATGAGATTTTTGTTAGTATTACTTGACTACTTCTACTCTATTGCTACTAACTCCTTTGACACCTTTTGAAAAAAACAAGAATTTAAAAAAAGTTCTCTTCATATACCTACTTCTAAACCCTAATTCAATTACCCCTACACTTCTCCTTCATAATACGACGTGTCTATTCACCGCGACATACTCGCCGCGCATACGCGATGACGATGTCAATGTGAACAACAAAACGGCAACGACAGGTTGCTCCGTTCTCTCTCTTCTTGATAGAAGAGAGAAGAACAGTGGGTGCCTATTAACCCTAAACCATGTAAAATCCTCCTCTATCGTCCAACGTGCGACCGAATGGATTTACAACGACCAAAAAGTAACAACAAAAAAGAGCGAGAATAAAATAATAGTGTTATTATTAGTTTGCGCGCGACGCTCTACTGCAATAAACTCACGCGCGCACGCCGTAGTGTCACACACACACACGACGCGTTCAAACAACAACGCGTATTAGTATTACGAAGAAGGAAAGTCAATGGGCACGTATATATTTCAAGCCGAGGTGTTTCTCTCTCTCTGTGGTATGTGGTTAAGAAGACTCGATGTCTTCTTCTCTCGCCGTGCACAGACACACGCGGGAGCGCGAGTAAGCGAAACGAGTCGGCGGGCGCGAAACGCCCTCTCGCACGAGCTACGCTACCCCACAAAATAAACGAGAGAGAGAGACGAAGAAACCGGGCAGCGATTGGATGCGAGATGTGCTTTTTTTTTTAAATATTACTCGTAGTACGCGCGCGATGAGCGCGTTTGTTTACGTTAACCAACTCGGATCGCCTTTAGGTATTATCCCGTACGGATTTAACGCGACGTGCGAGGTGAAATAATGCGTCTTAATGTCCCACATGTTGGTCGCTTTTCGAAACGCCGGCATCGCGTATAACCGTTTCACGTACGCGCTGATGTTCTTATACTCGCGAATGCATTTTTTGTTCGTTTTAAAGTACACGACGTACACCTCGTCGAATCGAACTAACGTTTGGAACACCCGAACGTCGATTTCGGTGACCTCGTCGTCGCTCACCAAAAACTTCATCTTCGAACGCTCGAGAACGCTTTCCAATCTCTCCAAACCTTCGTATAACTCTTCCACGGCTTCCTCGTACGCCTCTTGCGTCCGCGCGAACCCACACTTATAGACGCCGTTATTAATCGCGCGATACGTCCACTCGTTCATCTCGTCAATCTCTTTTCGCTTACTCTCCGGGTACAAATCTAACGTCGCGTTCTTCGCGAGCGGTTGAAACCGCGCGTTCAAATCTCGAATAATCTCGCTGCTCTCGTTGTTCACGATTCGCTTTTCAGTTTGATCGTACAAGATTGGTACCGTAAACGGACCTTTGTACGAATTGTCGTGCTCTTCGTAGAAATCTCGGATGGAATAAAACTCCGTCTTCTTCGTCTTCTTCGGGTCCTTCCTCGTGTGATACGCTTGCACCTCGAATTTCGCGCTTTCAATCCCGGACAAATGTTGAATCCATCGACAGTTCTCGTTGGGAAAAACCCACCCGGCGTGTCCATCATCTTCATCCGTATCCTCCTCGTCCTCTTTTCCTCTTTTTCTTCTCGTTTTCTGCCACGTCGGGTGCACGATGTCCACCTCGATTCCATCGTCCAATCCTTTCAGATAGAGGACGGAAAGACATCGCGTCGCCCACGGGCAGGCGTAGGAAACGATGAGTTTGTATCGGTTTTTTTCCGAAACGATATCTGAAACGCGGTCTCGGAAACTGGATTCGTTTCGTGCGAACCTGCCTTTCCGGTCGACGGCGGCGACTGCCGTGTGTCGTTCTCCGTCGTTGGTCATTTGGATGTGACGAACACTCTCGAAAGTTTTCCAATTCATTTCAACGAACGCTTCTTCATTCTCTTTCGCGCGCGAAAGAGAGAACGAGTGACTACTTCTGCGACAAAAACAACGACGCGATGATGACGTGCGCTGTACTTCTGAGGAGGATGACGACGACAAAAACGACCAACACCATCACGGCCGCGCGGTATTGTTGTTCATGTTTTCTCAACGCGAACACCCATCATCATCACGGGAACAACAGGAAACGAAGTAAAAGAGGACGACGAACACTCGCGTCGTTTACGTCGGATACCACGACTACGACGACTACGACGAATGCACCGTTGCGAATTGTAAGCTGGAACGTCAACGGATTACGCGGAACGATGAAAAAACACCCACACTTCGTGAAAGATTTATACGAGAAGACGAGATTTGACATCTTGTGCGTGCAAGAGACAAAGATGCAAGAAGGGAACGTAGGGGAAATGGTAGCGGTAATCGAGGATGACGAGGATGAAAATGATGATGATAAGGGACCAGGAGGCCTGCATCATAATCAAAACGATCAATTAGCGGCGTACTTTTCATGTTCAACAGCGAGGAAAGGGTACTCGGGCGTGGCCATGATCACTCGTCCAGATGTGAAGTTTACGTCAAAACCGCGCGAAGGGTTTCACCAACGCGCGTTAGACGAGGCGGATTTCGAAAAGACGGAGGAAAACTTGGAGGCGTTTCATTTGTTCAATCGAGAAGGGCGGGTGATGACGTGCGAGCTCGAGAAAGCGGTGATTATAAACACGTACGTTCCGAACAGCGGCGAAGGGTTGAAACGGTTGAGGGAAAGAATCGAGGTTTGGGAGCCGGCGATGAAAGCGCACGTCTCGTGTTTGAGGGAAGATATGATGAAAGAAGAAGAAGAGAAAGCGATCGTTTGGGTGGGGGATTTCAACGTCGCGCACGAGAAGCGCGATTTATGGGGAAATTGGACGCAAAACGAAACGAGCGCCGGGTTCACGCCGGAGGAACGCCTCGCGTTTTCAAACCAACTCAAAGACTTACGTTTAACCGACTCGTTCCGATATCGACACCCAACCGCGGACGACAAGTTCACGTATTGGTCATACAGAGCCAAAAGCCGAGAGCGAAATCGCGGCTGGCGCATTGATTACGCCTTGGTCAGCGACACTATGAAAGAAAATATCAAAGACGCGTTCATCGTCTCCGACTTTCTCGGAAGCGACCATTGTCCGTTAGGCGTTGAACTTCGCGTGTGATGATGAAAATTGACGACGCGCGTTCAATAGTATTCAATCGTCTGTGTCATCATCCCGTCTTCGTCGTTCGTTCGTTCGTTAAAAGAGAGTTTCGCTCGAAAGCGCTATAACGAGATGATACAGACTTAGCGTTATTATTTTGTATAGACTTATTTCATACGTAGCCTTCTTCGCGTAGAATACACGCAGTAGTCCTCCTTCACGCAAATTTGAATTTTCCTCACTTTTGTCTGTCGTTGAAACTCCTTTTAACGCTCTCGTTTGTCTTCTTTTCTTTCTCGCTCTTCCTTTAAGAGAGCTACGAGGACGACCAAGAAGCGATGAGAAGCGATGATGACAACGAAAAGGACACCAACGCGTCGTTTTTGTCGGGAGAGACTTTGAAAACATCGACGACGACGACGCGGAGAGATGCGTTTTTACATCGTCGGAACAAAGAGCTGTTTGTTGTTGAATGCGCGCGACGTTTTGTGAACAACGCGAAATCGACGAGTCGTGCGAACAAAGATTCTACAAAAGACGACGACGATGCAAAGGTATCATCCATTTCGTCGTCGTCTCGAGGAGGCGGAGATGATGGCGACGACGACGATATCTTCTTCTTCGACGCGATGTATAGTTCTGTGCACGAATCGGTGCAAAGATTGCTCGAGAGCGAGACAAGAGTGCAAAGTTTGCGAAGGAAACATCATCAGAGCGCGAGTAGCAGCAGCAACGACGATACCAGCTTCAGCGGTGCGGCGTTCGCGTTGGAAACGACGACGCCACCTGTGAAAAAGAGAGGCGATGGGAAAAGGAGCATGCTTCCGCAAATCGACGACTGCGCGCAGTTTCCGAGCTTGAGTTCGTCGCCGGTTGTCGCGACGACGCCGTTGGCGAAGAAATTGGGCGGGATGAGTTTGAATGGCAGCAGTAATAACAACATAAACGGAGCGTTGCCGTCGCCGAGGAGAGTGACGCCGTCGCCCGTATCGAATGGTGGTCCCGGAAGTGTGGAACGAGCGGCTTCACCGCCGGTAGTTTCGCCTTCTTCTTCGCAACAGCAACAGCAACAGCAACAGCAACAACTTCCGAGGAGTCAAAGCGGCGGCGTCGTAGGTGCACCGAGACGGATTCAACCGTCTCTGCTCTCTGGTTCATCAAATTCGAGTAATAGCAATACTTTCACGAATAAACAGCTGTCGCCGGTGCAGCAGCAGCAACATCAACAACAACATCAACAGAAGCGGATTCAACCAACCGCTGCAAAAAGCAACAACAACAACAACAACATTAACAACGAAGTGTCAGTCGAAACTCCTGAATATATCTTGGACTTGGCAAAAGCGTACGCGTTTGCGCTCGAGTGGTTCCATAACGGTGATATTGAAAAGTCCATCGTAGATGTTCTCAAAATGCTCTCGATTTCTCCGGATGCGTTTCCGTTTGGCGTTAGTCCGGGCAAGGAAGCAGAAGAAGAGTTTGAAATTTTCCCATCCGGCGTGTTCGTTCGTAAATTTGCCGCGCTCGTTTTAGCCAACGCCGGGACGCTTCCGTTTTCTCTCGGTCCAACAGCACTGGAGGCATTATCTGAATCTGAAGCGGTAAAAGCGCACGCGCCAATGTTGGCGCAAGAGTGCGCAAACTTTCTCTCCGCGCTCGCAGCGTCTGCAACAACCGTAACAAAAATATACGACGACGCGACACCTTCGGCTTCATCGCGAAAAAGAAACAACAAACGCGGAGAAACAGATAATGGCAGAGGGGGAGCCGTCGGTACACGCGCAGATGTAAGTTCGGTTCGTAATCCAAGCAATAAATTTGGATTAGTGTCCAGAGCGAACGCGCACGCTCGCGAGAAATGGCGCGACCAACTCGTCGCTTTGCTCTCCCCGGATGCCAAATTCAACGCGTCTTCGTTCATGGCATCGACTGGTGCAACTGGCGCGCCGCCGTCTAAATATTATCACCAGAACGCCGCGAACGCGTTCGCGAGAAAGTGCAGAGAAGTTTTCGATTCGGCAAAATCTAAAGAAGACGCCAGATGGCTCGCGGATGTTTTCGTACGAAAAATGTTGAAAAGTGCCGGCGAAGGCGAAACTGAGGAAGATATCGGAGCCGCAGTGTCGGCGGCGAAACTATCGGCGTTGCGAGAGCGTTTGATGGGTGGAGGCGGAGTCAGTACTAGTGCTGGCGCGCAACATCAAAATCCTCAACGTCATAACAACACGCACGCGAATGGAAGAAGTAGTAGTAGTTTAGGCAGAGGTAGTAATAGTATTTTAGGCGGAGGTAGAGGAGTCCATCAAGGAAGAGGAGGAGGAGGAGCGGGTGGAAGAGGTGGAGGAAGAGGGAATCATCACGTTGCACCGACACCACTCGCTTTGCATCAGCAACAAAGTAACGAAACATCCTCATCGACGACGACGACGACGACGACGACTACGCAAGAATCATCGTTCGCAGCAATGTTTCAGCCAGCTTTTCGACCGTACGTGTGCGTATTGGAAACGGCAGATTCCGCTCGTTTCTCCGCCGCGGTGTCTCGGTCACTCGCGGATGCGCTCAAAGCGCTCGATAACAATTACGCCGCGTCCGTGCGTAAAGGCAAAGGAGAAGATGGAGTGAGCGAAGGAGGTGAAGAAGTGGACGATATTTTGCGTTCGTTCGGGGTGAACCCGAAAGATTTCACCGCTCGCGCTCTCGCGGCAAAGTGTTGCGGCAAATTTCTTGGTCTTTTACGATTTTGCTTAGACGGTTACTCTTCGATCGTCGCTTTCGACGGATTACCTACAATAGAACTTTGCGTGGAGAGCTTGCGCATTGCAACTGCCGAAAACGAGCTCATGCTCACTCTCCCGTGGGTATCGGAGTATGTGAAATTCACGCCGTGGGAAGACACGGAAGAAGCGACTTTAGTGTTTTCTTCGAAAGGCTTCGTCGATTTAACGTCATGGTTCCGTTCGGCTTCGAAAAGTGCAAAGCTGTGCATAGTTAATACTAGTGATGGAAGTAATGGTGCAACTGGTTCTGCGCCATCTCGGTCTCTTCGATCTGTCGAGGACGTTTCATTGATATCGGCGGTGAGCGTTCGCATGATTCGACATCTCGTTCGAGAAACGCTCCATTTCAAGGCGCCAACGACGACTGCGAAGTCGTTGGAGTACGCAAAGTTAGCTTCAACGTCGCAGTCGCATCCCGCGGGACCCGTGCCGAAAGCATTCCTCGCAAACGCTTTCGACAAAGTAAAAATTTCAGTGGAAGAGAATGACGTGCTCGCGGAGTGGGGGTCTAATTCCGCAGCGGGCGGACATGATTTTACGCCAAACGTCATCGACGATTCCTTGTTGCAAAAATTGATTGGCGTTGACGTCGAGAGATGCATCACGGCGTTGCGAAACGACGACGCGATATCAAATCGATGGAGCCAGGAAGAAATCGAATCCATTGAGAGTCAAATTAGTACGCATCAAGCTGCGGCAATTTTACCGTCGAAGCAAGAACAAGTACGCAAAGGAGAAGACGAAGGAGACCGACACCGGGTCGTTCCAGTTCCCGTTCGAAAGATTGCGCCCGTCTCGGCGACTGCACTTTCGTCTGCTTCGCCTCCTACGAAGATTACATCCACAAAAATGGCGGCGCTCGAAACGAGTCCATCGTTGCCGTCCGTACCGTCCTCGTCTACGGCGAATCCAACTCGAAGTTTACAACGCGCGTTTCTCGCGGCGAATCCTCGACACAAAAATATCGTCGACTTTACCGTCGACGCCGCGGTATTAGCTTCGGTGGACCACGCGGTGCGACACGAAATACCAAACGCGTTGAAGTGCGTCTCGGAGACGCTCGATAACGCGTGCAGACTAGCTGCGACTGTTTCCGCGGCTGAACAGAAAAGATTATTTACGAATACGAATACGGAGCACATTACGCAGAAGAAGAAAATGGCCAAACCAACGCTGGAAGATGCGTGGAGTTCGGCATTTGAGACTGCAATTGAACGCGCGACGATGTTAGCTCTTCGAGAAATTGGAGGTGTCATCGAGAAAAGAGCCGCGGACGATGCGGCGAAAAGAGCCGGCGCGGCTGCAGCCGCGTTGTTACGCGAACCCTCGGACGACGACGACGACGGCGACGGCAAGAATGATGGCAAGATGAAAAAGAAGTCGAGAGCGCCTCTGTCTCCGGAAGCCTCTGCATCTGCAGCTGTCGCCAGAGATGCTGCCAGACAATCCGCCACGGAACGCTCTAGGTTATCGGCACCGTTCGAGCTTCGCAAAGCCATCGTTGATGAGGCGTCGCGAAAATTGCGCGTGGCGCTGAAAAATCTCTCGAGCGACGAACGAGGAGAAGACGGGGAAGACGAGGAGGAAGAAGAAAACAATTCGGTCGTTCAAAGAGAGAGGAAGAACACCACCCCCCCATCGGCGATGATTATCAATGCTAATGAAAAGGAGACATGCGACGAAAACGACGAAAACGACGAAAACTTAGTCGCCGACGTCCAATCAGCGGCTTTGAGCGCCATCGCGAGAGCTTTATCCGAAGCGCAAGGTTGGGCGCCAGGATCACTCTTGGCAGTATCGCGAGAACTTGCAAACGCTCGAAACCCAGGCGACGAAGTAGGTGCCAAAGAACTCGCGAGGATGTGCGAGAACTGTTCGAATTCAATTCGTTCCGTGTTGGCGTTGGATGAGAGTTGGAGAGACGCGCTGTTCGCGTCGCAGCAGCAACAAAAGCAAAACGCGGCAGCAGTCTTGTCTTCGTCGTCCGCTATGTCGCCATCAGACGCGGCACTCGGGCCGAACGCCTTATCGACTGCTGCGGCACTGCTCGCAAAACCGTCCGATGCGCCCGGAAAAGCGTTCAAGAAGAACGCAGAAGCTGGTCGACCGAGAGACGCGTTGGCGAGAGCCTTGTGCGCGCTCGCTCGCGCTTCCATGGCGCTCTTCTTAGCGCCTCCGCAACCGGCGTTGATTAAGCCCGACCGACACGGTGGCGTCTCTCTTTCGAGCGCGTTAGTTTCTTCTGCGGCTGCGAGCAGTGGTGCAGATAACAACAGCTCGAACAGTAACGCCGCATCGGGTGGTAACACGGACGGTACGAAGCAAAATATCGGGTGGGGCGTCTCTCGCGACGGCGTGTGCGAATCCGTTCGTTTGGCCGTCTTGAACGCCTTCGCGCTGGCGTCTCCGATTTTGGAAACTTTGGACGCCTTCGCTCCACCCGACGCGATTAGCGTCTGGAACGAAGTCTGCGGCGAACTCCTCTTCCCGAAGAACTGGATTCCAGTCTTGAGAGTGTTCCCGCATTCGCCATTCGCGCAACTTCGAATCGAAACCATCGTCTGCGACGTGTTCGCTTCGGTTCCCGACGGCAAAGCCGCGACGCTCCGTTTAAAAAAGTTTCTCGAGACGCAGTTTGCTTTCTCTTCCAGCGAAACGCCGCCTTCGGCACCTAATAAAACGACAATCAACGCCATGGGCACCTCCCTCCTCCTCCGCTTCCTCGTCAAACTTCTCGACGCTCGAATCGAACGATACCGAGAGGAAGAAGACAAAGAAGAAGAAGACAAAGAAGAAGAAGACAAAGAAGGAGAAGAAAAAAAGGCATCCTTCTCGAGAAAAAGGGACAAACTTCGACGACTCGAAGACGAACTGAAAGGTTGGGAGAAAATTCTCCCTTCGGCGCGCTTCGTCTCTCGAGACGGCCCGAACGCTCGCGCGCCTCATTTCGCGAGTAAGATCGAACGAAGGATTTTCGAGTTTTCGAAAATTATTCTTTCTTTGAAAGAGTGAGTCCTCCTCTTCTCCTTCTTCTCTGATGAAACCATCATTGTCATCGTCATCATCCTCAGCATCCTCTTTTGTCGATGAAAATGTTCATTGAAATAAAAATGTGAGTAAAGGAGAAAAATCGCCTCAAAAAGGTGACGTGTCATATCTACTAACTAATCTTTACCACAAATATGTTTACCACGACTACTACTTCGACCACACCAATCACCACGCAAAAGAGGACGACTCGTGAGCGAAACAATCGCGCTGTCGTCGTGACGAAATCGTTTTGGAAGAAAGAAGCGCCGCCTCCTCCGCCTCCGCCTCCGGCAAAGAAGAAAGGATTGTTTGGGAATTTCCAAAAGCCATCGGGTGATGTTTCCCCGGCTCAAGGAAAGACCAACACCGTGAAAGACGTGGAATACGCGTACGAAGAGACCAAGACGGAAGCGTACGCGAGAATCCGGAAACAACGAGCTTTGAAAAAAGCCGAGTTCGAAGCGCGCGAGAAAGGCGGCTTCTCGCAAGCGCTGTTTAAAGTCACCAGAGCGTTAGATTTCCAAGAAGATATCGCAGCTGACAGAGGCTTGTTGAGCGCGGCCAAGAGGATGAGGAAAGGCGAGTCGATGTCGACGGAGCAATACGGCGCGTTACGCAGGAAGGTTGGAGGGACGAAAGGAGGGTTTTTTGGGGAGTCCGTGGACGTGAAAGGTGAATATACCGATAGCGGGTGGACGAAGCGAGACGAGGACACGACGACGAGCGAGGTTGCGTACGCGCCTTTGCTCGGATTAGTTCTCGCGGGCGTCGTGGCGACGCTCGTTTTGGTCGTGCAACAAGTGCCGTAGTAGGATGATGATGATGATGCTTTTCGTAGTGTTGTTGCGTGCTATTTATATCTGTACTAGTACTATCTATCTATCTATCTTTCTAAATTCATCTCTTAAAGTAGTGCTTTTTATATTCGTCCGAGTTGTACCAGTTCGCGACGCTGGCAACACCCTCTTCCAAAGAAATTTTGGCCTCGAAATCGAGAAGATCCTTCGCTTTGGTCACATCCGCGAACGTTCCGCCGACGTCGCCGGGTCTTCTCGGTTCGACGATGATTTTGATATCGTCGTCTGATTCAGACGATGTTTTCGACGATGCTTTAAGCTCCTCAGATGCGGCTTTTTGCACCGAACTCACGAGCCGTCTTAAAGTCACCGCTTCGCCTCTCGAAACGTTGACCGTTTCGCACGTCGACCCGTTTTCCCTCCACAGCGCTTTCTCGATCCCCGAACATACGTCCGAAATGTGACAGTAATCTCTCCAACTCTCGTCACCGTCGCCAAACATCGTCAGTTTCTTTTCGCGATTTTCATCGTCTAACAACGTTTGCATGAAGCGAGTAATCGCCATATCCGGTCGTCCGTAATTCCCAAAACAGGTGAATATTCTCGTTATCGTTATTTTCCTCTCAATCTCCGTAAACGCTCGCGCGTAACTCCTCACCACCGCCTCGGCTGCAATTTTTGAGAGCGCGTACGGACTTTGCGGAATAGACTTCCCGTCGTCGCCCATGATCCCTTCATCTTCTCTCGATGGTTTTTTTCTCTCAAAATTATCCCCATACGTCGCGCCACTACTCAAGAACACAAAGTTCGCTTCAGAGCGCTTCGCGAGTTCAATCATAATCGCCGTCGTTTCAACGTTCGCTCGAAACGCCAGGAAAGGGTCCTCGAGCGTATCTTTCACGCCCGAATACGCCGCGCAATGGATAATGCCATCGATCGTTTTACATACGTTTGAATCATCCTCTGCATCAAAATCATTGTCCTTTGTCTTCTTCATCTTTCGCAACTCTCTTTCAATCATCGAAAGCTCAATTCCGAGCGAGATATCTCGATCGATGAATACAAACCTTCTCTTCCCAATGTGCACCAATCGATTCAAATTCGCTCTCTTATCTTCCTTTTTGTACGGACCTTTCTCCACGTCCAGAACGTCGATGCCAATAATAATCACGTTTTCGTGCACATCATCATCCTGGCTTCTGTTATTTCTTCTTTCGAGCAGATGAGAGACGAGATTGGACCCGATGAATCCTAAACATCCCGTTACCACAACAACTGTTTCCCCGAAATTCCTCTGCCCGGTCTCTTTCTCATCCTCGGAAGCAGCGAAAGCAAAAGCACTGAAGCGAGGACATCGTTCGCGTCTTTTTCTTTCCCCACGCGCGGAGGAGCGCTGAGTATCACCGCCGAAACGCAAAACACCCGGACTCAAAGGAATGCATTTGGAATGCATTTTAGGGGAAAAATTCGTCACTTCCCCTACTTTGCGCTTAATGTTATGAAGAGAATGACGACCAGAAATGGAAGACAAAGAAGGTATTTCTCGGTGATGGTGGTGCTCGTGGTGACGTGCCTTCTCTGTCGCGGAGAGTTGCTTCGAAACGAGGAGGAAAAGGAGGAGGAAAAGGTGGTAAACATCATCGGCGCGAAATCGTCGGCAACTCGTCGTTCCTTACTCGCGAGCAGCGCTTTGATGACATCCGGGAACGGAATACACGACACGAATACCACGCGTTTTCCTTCGACCAAAAGAGTAAAACGAAGGCGGATGAGAGAATACGAAAACGACGACAACTACCGATGGGGCCCTGTTGCGAGAGAGCGCGATGATGAGAGAGATAAAGAAGGGAAATTGGAAGCTTTGAGGGAAGATATTCGCCTGGAGACGAAGAAGTTGGAAATCGCTCTGAAAGAAGAGCGAATACTGTTTTCCTCAAATGATGAAGAAGCGTGGAGAAAACAAAAGGAAACGAACCAACGAGATGAACAAGAAGTGCAAGAACATGGAGGAGGTATTGAAAAGTGGCCACTTTTGAAACAACACGAGGAAATGTTCGAGAGGTTCTGCGGCGGCGAGGGAAGCGAGAGCGGCGCTGGATCGATGCGAGAGGTGATGGGAAAGTTACGGAAACAGGCGGAGTCGTACGACGAATCAGATTCAAACGGGAACTTGGTGATATTTGAGGCGTATAATCCGTTCTGGAACGGGTTTGGGAATAACATGAGGCGATGGTTGAACTTATTTGTGGTGGCGTCCAGATTTGACTCGTTCGCTTCGTATTTCGATTTCGGCGCGTGCGGGATGGAGGAGTACGGGAGAAACGCGGAGAACGACGGCGTCGAAGGGAAAACGTTTTATCGACGCGGGAAAGATGGGCAATCTGCGTGTCAGTTTGACCCCGGGATGTTTTTCAAAGGCGACGGTTTCGATTGGCAGTGGACGCCGAAACGGGCGAATGAAAATCCAGAACGGTTAAGTCTGGCGAGCGTGACGAGAAACGCGACGATTTTGTGCGAAGAAGACGTGAGCGACGACGTGAGAGATTGTAAATTGTACGACGATAAGGATTTGGACCATCGACGAAGACTTTACGACAACGGTGACGACGCAACGTATGTGGTGAAACCGTTGGCGAGTTCTGGTCGAATGTCGAGAGAAGAGATTGATCGAGCGGAAGGCGCCGAGGCAAAAATTAAAGCCGCCAACGCCGATTGGCTCAGAGAGTGGTTCAAAGAGGAAGTCGCACGCGACGTGGATCGAAAAGGAGTTCGGGTGAAACTCACCATACACGACGTGTTTGTCATGCAACGCGAAGGAGAAGTACTTTTTAACGTCTATGGCATCGACGGAGACGAGCCTCCGCCAGATTTAGGCGACCCGGAGTTGCCGAAAGCGTGCTACAATCGACATTTTTTCCGGCCTCGAGAACACGTAAAAGAGGCGATCGAGGAGGTGTTTGAGAAATCTTCTTCAAACGGCGGCGGGGACATGAAAAAGTGGCGCTCGTGCGCGGCGATTCATTTAAGGACTGGGTTTGCCGATCACCAAGCGCAATGGGTGGCAAAGTATCGTATGCTCTCTGAAAACAAACGCAAGGAGTTGGAGGCAAAGTACCCGTGTCGTTCGACCGCCGGCGGGAGCGAGAGAACCGCCGAGCGATTCGTGGACGCTTTGGACGAAACCTTTCGCAAGTGCGAACCGGATTACTCAAACGAACGAATATGCACGCTGTGGCACCAGAAAAATGAAATCACGAAGCACGTGAATTTGGATATTGAAAACGAGAGCAACGTATTGAACGGGCGGCTGAAAACGTTCGATGTCGTTCAGGATTGTTGCGGCAGTTCCTTTCGCGAGCCGGACGTTGCGGACGCGATGGAACGTTGCGGATTTGTTCCGGAAGGGATGTATCCAGAGTTGGAAGTGAAGAAGAAAAATGATGATTTTTCGTCAACCAGTCCAGTGAGAGCAGCGCTTACCTGCGCGTTGCGCGCGTCCAAATTTCACTTAGAGTCTCTCGTCGAGGAGGACAACGACAATTCAGACGACGACGATTCAGACGACGAAGCGTTTGGCGTCTTCCTTTTAGGGGATTCGCCAACCTTCATCAAAGCCGTTCCAAAATTACCAAACATCGGTAAATATTTCGCGCATCAACAAGATCCAGACACAGTTGGCGTCACCATGGGAGATAGCGATTGTTCTGGAACCTCCTGCGTCGTTCGAAAAAAGGGCGAGAAACATTTGAGTTGGATGCGTTCCGTCGTCGACGCCTACGTCGCGAGTTTATGCGAGGTGACCGTACAGCTTCCCGGGAGTAGTTTTGCCAACGGCGCTATTCACCAACTTCGCGCGCCTGGAAGGAACCGAACGTCGTCGGCTTTTCTGTGGAGTGGCGAAGTCGTCTTGGGACAGCACTTAGCGACCCGAGACGAAACGACGAACGAGATTGCGAGAGAGACAAAAATCGGGTACGACGGGAACCTCGAAAATTACGTCGCGCTCGGCGCCGCGCATTGTAAAACAATAGATTGAGATTTAGAGAACTAATGAAAGTAGAGGTCAAATAGAAACATAACATAGCGTAAAAGTTAGATATATAATCATACAGATAGCAACAACAACATAAAAAAAAACCTTCCTCCTAATCGATTGATTCCAAATCGCGATACGCAAACTCCCCCGCATTCTCTTCGTCCAACTCCTCGTCCTCGATTCTTCGATCCGGCAGACGCCCGATGGTAAAATCGTGCACCATCCTTTTCGGCGGACGTTTCGTGCTTTTCACCATGTACATCTTCGCGTCGTCGTTGTCTTTACCTTTTCGACGAACGGCAACTAAAGGCATATCCATGGCTCGTTCCGCGAGAGATGATGGAGTCATTGCCAGCGGATTCGCTTCGTCTTCGTCGTCGTCTAAAACGAACGTTTTCAACGCCTCTTCCAATTTCAATCGGTCTTCCTCTCCGTCTTTGCTTCCCCCTCCTTTCTCGTCTAAAAAATACCTCGCGTTCTCCGGGTACGTCAAATACTTCTCCCCTTTCATCGTTTTCCCTCGCCTGTCTAACTCTTTAATGCGTTTCTGGACGTCTTTATCTCCGATTAAATCCGCGACTTGGTCTCCGCAATCGATTTCGGCGTAAATTTTCGCCAAAGCGTGTTCGATGTCCTCCAACTCCCTTATGTGTTTATTCCGTTCGGAAACTTCGGTTTTATACCCGTGGTGTTTCGACGAAGACGTGGACGCGTACTCCTCGTAATCGACTTGCAAGTGCGCGTACATCTTGGTCGTTTACGTCGTCGGTCAAAGTGATCAGAGAATTGGAGTTTCTTTTTGTGGCATTTTGAAAAAAAAGCGTTTTCGTATTTATTAGTACAAATTATACAATGTACATACTACGCGTAAGAAGAGTAATCTTTAATCTCTCTCTCTCTCTCTAATTTCCTCTCTACTTCCGCGACTGTTTCTACGATCCGTCTGGCTTTTAGTTCAACTTCTCCCCACTCTTCGAGCGGGTCGCTCAAACGCGTGATGGCGCCGCCGGCGCCGATTTTCATTTCGCCGTCTTTATACGTGACCGAACGAATGACCACGTTCGCGTCGAAGGCTTTGTTGCGACAGGACCAAAAGCCGACGCTCCCGGAGTACATCTCGCGGGGTTGTTCGTTTTCGAGTTCGTGTATGATTTGCGTGGTTCTGTATTTCGGCGCGCCAGTCATGGAGCCGGGAGGAAAGGCGAACTGAAACGCGCGAATGGGCGAAATCCTTTTGTCGTCGTCGTCGGCGTTGCCTTCTGCATGATTTTCACCAGAGGACGTCGACGGTAACGTCCCGACCACCGTCGAGACGAGTTGGTGCACCGTTCGATAACTCTCAATCTTTAACAAACCCGGTACTTTCACCGTGCCCACCTCACACGCCAAGGACAAATCGTTTCGCAAGAGATCCACAATCATCAAATTTTCCGCGTTGTCCTTCACGGACGTTTGTAAATCGCGCACAGCTTTGACGTCTTCTGCACACCCGAGCGGTTCCACGCGCGCGATGGTTCCTTTAATAGGTTTCGCTTCCAAATTGCCATTTTGGTCGCACCGTAAAAATCGTTCGGGCGAGGCGCAGCACACGTACATGTCCGAAAAATGCGCCTTCTCTTCGCCCGCGCCGTTTGAAAAGTCAAAAAAAGCCGCATACGGCGCTGGATTGCGTTCGCGCAAAGCGTAATACAACTCTCGATACAGGTGACGGGTTTGTTTGTATGCACCCACATCTCTGCGCGTTAACGCATTCGTCAGACAAACTTCGTACGTGTGTCCGTCTAAAATGCGTTCTTGCGACGTTTTAATTTTCTCCATGTACTCCTCTTTATCGTCGCGCCATTTGAATCCAATAGACTCTGCTAACTGCGTGCAGTTTTGAGTCACCACCGTCTTCTTCGGCATCTCGTCGGCGACGTGTTTCACTTTATTCAGAAGGCTCCGATTAATATCTAGAGTTGTGGTCGCGAGCCATTCCAACGCCTCGAAGAGATCCTCCGTTTCCGGTCCATCTTCGGTGAGCGTCATCGCGTACACCATCTTCTTCTCGTGGTCGACGACAACCGCTTGGTCTACGAAATATAACGCCGCTTTCACCATAGTATTACTATTACTCGACGAGTCGTTTGCAAAGAAAATGGGCGAATCGCACTCCTCGCGCGTTTCGTACGACAGCGAACCAACGAAGCCGCACGCGAAAAGCAACGCCTCTGGTAGCCCTTTCACGCTTTCCCCATCCTTCACCGCGTTCACCTCGTCCACGATGCACGTGGCAAAATTCTCTTCGGAGACGTTAAATCTCTTCAACTCTTCGTCCATGTATTCTAGAATGCTGCCGTTTCCTCCGTGATGATAACTTTTCACGATTTCGTCTTGGTTATTCATGACGACCAGTTTGCCGTTCATTCGCGCTTCTACGCGTCGCCACAGAGGACCACCTTGGCACCCCATGACACTAAATCGCCCTCGCGGCGTGTCGTTGTCGCCGTTGCTGTCGTTAGTACCACTACTACCGTCTGCGGTAGCAGAATCCAGCCAAAATGCATTTTTCTTATCGCTAAATAACGTCCTGAACACATCTTCAGAGCGCGTGGGCGAATCGAGAAGCGAAACTTCTCGGGCGTGTAATCTGTACGCGCTTTTCTTCTGTTTCTTGTTACTACTTTTGTTGCTACTCTTCTTATCCTGTGTCTCCCTCGAAGCGTTTACGAGCTTCATCAAGACAGTCTTCCGTTCCTCGCTTATTGTTGTTGTTGTTTCATTCCCTTCTTCTTCCTCTTCCATCTCGCCTCTCTTCTCTTTCCAATAGGCGTCCGCGATGTCCATGAAATTCTTCACGATTGTTTTCCCGTGCGGCTCGGTACAAATAGACTCCGGGTGAAACTGAACGCCGTATTGCGGATACACCTTATGCCTCAGCGCCATCACCGTCCCTCCTTCCTCTCCTCCTCCTCCTCCTCCTCCGTTTTCTTTCTCGCTCTCGACGACATCCGCCCACGCCAACGCCACGAGCTCTTCTTCTCCTCTCACTTCCTTCTCCGCCTCCTTCCTTTTCCCAGGGAACAACGCCTCGAGCGAGTGATACCTCGTCGCGTTGAACACCCTCGGCACGCCCTTAAACAACAACCCTCCTCGACGACTTTCTTCTTTGTCTTCTTCTTCTTTAACTGTCACCTCGGACACTTCCCCGTGCTTCGGATGTCTCGCGCGGACGACATCCCACCCGTATCGAAACGCGATCGCTTGGAACCCAAAACAGACGCCAAATATTGGCACTCCTCGAACGAGTTCGTCTTTTGCATTTAACAACGCATCCACGACGCCCGAATCGCAAATGCCGCTCGACGGCGTCCCCGGCCCCGGGGAGATGACGATTCGGTCGATTAAGTGCTCCTTCACGAGAAACCGAATATCTGAGACAGAAATGGCGTCGTTCCTTACCGTCAGAGGAAGAGAACTATTATCTTGACACTCGGCGATGACGTGCGCGAGAATGTTCGAGTACGAGTCGTAATTGTCGATGAGTAACGTCCGAGAGTGGTGCTGTTTGTCATCATCGAGACGAGAACAGTTGGCGGCTTTCCCGTCGTTGGGGAAGTCATCCGTTATGGTGTCGACGCTTTTAAAGCCGCTCATACCGTTTCACGAAGACAGATGATCCGCGCTCTGATTAGCACCGCCACTGCCCTCTCTCAAACTGTGTTTCGTGATGATTTTGCATCGTACACGCGCGATACAGAGCCCGCGAAAGCGCACTCGTAGTAATGCGGTTTGTTGCTTTATCCAATCTTCAAAGTTTTTCCTCATTAGAGAGAACTCTCTTTACCTCTCTCTCTGAGTCGCGATACCGAAGCAATTCTCTCCTCCTTTTGCGCCTCCTCATCGTCTCGACGCGCACGACGAGGACATTCACCATTTACAGAGAACGCGCGTCGTAAAAGTCCTCGCTTTTCTCCTCATCAGAACAGACACACCATGGGTGTTTCCCCAACTCCGACGAGTCAAAACGTCGGCGAAAAACTCATATGGATTGCCATCTATTCGCTCTGCTCGTCCTCCATGCTCGTGGTGAACAAACTCGCAGTCGCGGCGATCCCGTTACCGACGGTCGTTTCCGGCGCGCAGCTCGTGTCGAGCGCGATCGTGCCTCTTTTGATGCAACTGTGCGGGTACTCGGTGATTGGAAAAATGACCTACGCGAGGTCTCTCCCGTACGTGGTGTATACTTCCATGTTCGCCGCTGGGTTGTTTGCGAACATGAAAGCGTTACTGCTGACAAACGTCGGGGCGGTGATTGCGGCGAGGTGCTGTTTGCCTCTCATTGTTTCAGTGATTGAGTATTTCTTCATGGGGAGAAGTTGGCCGAATAAACGATCGATGGTTTCGCTGGTGCGTGTTTGGTGTTGGTGTTGTTCTTTCTCGCGCTCGATTTTTCTTCTCCTCAATCTTCTGTTCTTTCGGTCGTTGACACTCAGTTCTTCTCTGTTTCTTCTGAAACAACGTTATTACATTAATAGGGTGGCGTCGTCTTCTTCGCTTACTTGTACGTTTCCCAAGACTCCGGTATCGCCGTCGAAGGTTCCGAAGGGTTCGTCTGGCTCTTCATCTGGTGGATGCTTTTGGCGTTACAGATGACGTATGGAAAATGGATGACCAGCGCGATTGAGATGACCCAATGGGAGCGAGTGTTTTATACGAACGCGTTTGCGGTGCCTCCGAATATGTTGATTTGGTATTTTAGCGACGATTCGAGTCCGGCGAAAGCGCACGTGATGGACCGTTTGGACTCGTACCAGAAGAACATGTTGTTGTTGTCGTGCGTCATTGGGGTGTGTATTTCGTACAGTGGGTGGCGGTGTAGAACGGTAGTCACGGCGACGACGTTTACGTTAGTTGGGGTGGTGAATAAGATGGCCACGATTGCGTTTACGATGATTGTGTGGCCGAAAGAGACGACGTTTGCGAAAGTCGTCGTGTTGATTTTTTGCGTGTTGTTCGGTTTGTTGTATCAGGAGGCGCCGATGAAGGCGAGAAAGGAAGGGATGATAGAGGGAGGGAAAAGCGCGACGGAGAGTAACATCGTGAGCATCAGGTCACCTAGACACGTGCACGCAAAGTGATAGATTATATATTTGTTGTTGTACTTTTACTACTACTTTTTGCTTTTTTATCGCCGTTTTCTTCGGAGGCAAACACAGCTTTCCTCTCTCTGTCTCTGTCTCTGTCTCTCTCTCTCTGTGTGTGTGTATGTGCGTGTCTTTTATTAAAGCAAAGTAATCTTCTTCTTTCAACAACAAAACTTTATTATATTGTACTAAATGTCTTTTTTTTATTCCTCGGGCTGCGGATTTTGGCTCTCGTCCATATCGCTCGTCCAAAGCGTCAAGTTATCTCTCAACAATTGCATAATGAGCGTGGAATCCTTATAACTCTCCTCTCCTAACGTGTCCAATTCAGAAATGGCTTGATCAAACGCTTTTTTAGCCATTTGACACGCGCGTTCCGGCGCGTTTAAGATTTCGTAATAAAACACGGAAAAGTTCAACGCTAAACCGAGTCGAATCGGGTGCGTGCTCGCCAACTCGGCTTCCGCCGTCGCCTCCGCGGCTTTATATGCCAACAACGTTTGTTCCGCGGCTTCTTTTCGCTCCGCCCCACCTTTAAACTCCGCCAAATATCGCCAATAATCACCCTTCATTTTCTTATAAAACACCTTCGACTCTCCATCTGCGCACCCATCCTCCAAATGCTCTTTAATCAAATCCAATATCCTGCCGCAAATCGTCGTCAACTCTTCCTCCACGTTTGCTTTATAATCTCTTATTAACTTACACGTTTCCGAATTCGCGCCCGATTTACTCTCTTCTTTCGTTTCAATTGATGACATGATTCTCCACGACGCTCTTCGCGCGCCGATGACGTTTTTATACGCCACCGACAACAAGTTTCGCTCCTCCACGGAGAGTTGCTCGTTCGCTCCCGTTTTTGAGGCAACCTCGGACATGTACTCCATCATTTCATCGTATCTGTGTTAAAATATTTCCAAAGAAAGAGAGAGAGAGAGAGAGAGAGAAAATGCGTCAGCCTTTCGTGCTTTAAGCAAACGAGGAGAGAGAGAGAGAACAAGGAGAGGAATAAAAAATGTATCATCCCTCGCGAAACGTGCGAAAGAAGGTTTTGTGTTGGTTCACACGTGGCCTTTATTTTTATTCATCGCCTTTTCGGCAGAAAAAAGAAAAAACTCTCTTTCCTCTCGCTTTTCGGTCGCTGTGACAGACATCTCTCTCATCACCATCGGGTTGTTTCAATATTCCCTCTTCTTACGCGCGCGAGAACACAAAGCCGGCGCTTCCGAAAAAAAAACGCGCGCGAACGCGGTTTCGACACATGGAAAACGAGTTCTCTCGCGCGAAATTGCACTCGCGCACGCCGCGTTCCGTTCGCGTTTCCCTCTTTTACTCTCAAAAACAAAATCAAACACACGCCAACTCCGCATCATCGGATGAAAAGTCGTTACGCGAGTTGACTTTTTGTCTCTCCGTAAAGGAAAAAAAAATGAAAACGCGAAATCAAAATCGTCGCTCGAAATCCACCCTCAAAAACCAACGCGCGACGCGTAAAAGCGCACAAAAGACGTACCTCTCCGCTTGCTCGGCCAGTTTCGCCTTGAACACGAGATCGTCGCGTTCCATTTTGACTCTATGTGATGCGTTTGTGTGTATATTTCGTTAAAGCGCGAACGATGTGATTTTAGTCTATTTATGAGCTGGAATCGAGCGAAAGTACAACTGAAGAGAGTTCGCGCAAAAAAAAGACAAAAAAACTTTACTTGTGTGTTTTCAAAGCAAAATTTTGAAGGAAAAAAAATTCAAAATCACTCGCGTCACTTTCTTTTGTTTTTAACACAAAAACAGACTCGTGTGTACTACACAAAAGATAAAAAGATGACGACAGAAGAGAAGACGAAAGAAGAAGAAGAAATCGTCCCGACGAAAACCGCAGGCGCGATCTTATTCTGCGGATGCACGGATTTCAAGAACGTCGGACGGACGAAACAAATCGACGAATCGGTGTTTGCGAACGTGAACGTCCCTTCGAAAATTTCCACGTTTGAGAATGAAAATGATTTGGAGTTTACATTCATCGCGTCCGGTTCCGCGGCGGCACACAACGTGGCCATCGATACGAAAGGGAGGTTATGGGCGTGGGGGAGGAACGAGAACGGGCAGTTAGGGACCGGGGATAAAGATAACAGGAACGCGCCGAGTGTGGTGAAAGGGATTCACTTTGGCGAGAATGCAGACGGCGAGGGCGAGGAGGCGGTGAAAATCGTTTGGGCGGCGTGCGGGAAGAACCACACGATTGCGATAGATTCAGAAGGTGGTTTTTACGCGTGCGGGTCGAATAAGTCTGGCCAACTCGGGGTTCCCATCACGTGGTCGAGGCAGAAGAAGAACGTGGACGACGAACGCGTGGAGTTTGTGAAGAGCGCGAGCGCGACGCAGGCGAAGTTCGTGAAAGCCACGTGCGGGGTGGATTTTACCGTGTTGACCGACGCGGATGGGAAGATGTGGTCGTTTGGATGCCCACAATACGGACAGCTAGGCCACGGGGACGATCACGAGTACAACATGAAGGAAGGCACGGTGAAGTTGGCGTACGAGCCGCAACCGACGCCGAAGATGATTAGGAGCGGAGATTTGAACGCGGAGAAGGATTATAAAGTCGTCAAAGTGTGCTGCGGACACAATCACGTGGCGTGCTTTTGCGAGGACGGGAAACTTTACACGTGGGGGAACGGTGGTTACGGCAGGTTAGGCCATCGCGTGCAAAAAGACGAGTTTTCACCGAAAATGGTAGAAGTTCAAGGGGGCGATAGAAACTTGATCCCGAAAGACGCCATTTTGGCGTGCGGGAGTACCGCGACGCACTTTTCCGCGTGCATGGGCCAGTTATACGCGTTCGGAAAGTTGAAAGTGAGCGGCGATAACACGATGTACCCAATGCCGCAGATGGATTTACAAGGTTGGGTGTTGAGAGATTTCGCGAGTGGCGCGGTGACCTTCGCGACGTGCCAAGACGAGATGACCGTGACGTGGGGCGCCGGCGGGTACGGCGAATTAGGCTACGGGCCAGAAGGAAAAAAATCGAGCGCGTGCCCGGATGTGGTGCCGTCATTGCAAGGGAAGAGAACGATTATGGTCGCGTGTGGGTTAGGACAGACGCTGTTTTTGGTGAAGAGCGAAGACGTGAAGGAAGGCGTGCCGGTGTTCGAGCCGTTGCCGGAAACGAAAGGCGGAGAGAAGAAGAAACAAGGCGCGCATTTGATCAAACCAGGGGGTGCGAAGAAAGCGAAGAAGTAATCGCCACCGCGCGTGTTGATGTGTCGTCTCACGTGTGTGCGTGTGTGTGTGTATGTGTGTGTGTGTGCGTCATCATTATATAAAATGGACCAATTATTATTTTAATTAAAAATTTTATGAAGTCAGTTGAAATAAACACAAACCCGTGGTCTACGCACGGACTTTTTACCAATAATATAAAACGTCATCAGTATAGTAAGTAACCACACATACGCACGCGCAAACGCGTTCATTCGTTCGATGCATTTAACTCAAACCCATGATTTGTTCGGTTTCCGTGTCGACGCTAATCTCGTAATACGCCGGTCTGGTCGGTAACCCCGGGATGGTAGGGAACGCGCCGACGAGCGGTACTAAAAAGCCAGCCCCGGCGGATAATCGCAAGTCACCAATCGGTAACGTGAATCCAGCCGGCGCGCCTTTCATGTTCGCGTCGTGCGAGAACGAGTATTGCGTCTTGGCCATGCACACCGGCAAGTGGCCGAAACCTTGTTCCGTGAACAAAGCAATCTTCTCTTTCGCTTGCTCGGAAAACTCCACCCCGCCGGCTCTGTAGTATTCCTTCGCGATGTGTTCCACTTTCTCTTCGATGCTCATGTCTTCCGTGCTGTAACCGAGCTTAAACTCGCTCGCGCTCGCGTTTTCCTCGCACACTCTCGTGACAGCTTTGCCCAACTCGGTGGCGCCCAACCCGCCTTCGGCGTGGTGCGTGCAAATTTCAACTGCAGACGCGCCCGCCGCTAACGCAGCTTGTCTAATCGCTTCGTGTTCCGCCGGCGTATCCGTCGGGAACGCGTTAATCGCAATAACCACTGGAATTCCAAACGATCTCGTGTTTTCGATGTGTCTGGTCAAGTTCGAGCACCCGTCTTTGACCATGTTCACGTTTTCTTCCAAGTACGCGAAATCGAGGGGCTTACCCGCTTGTACCGCCGGCCCGCCGCCGTGGCATTTCAACGCACGAACCGTGGCAACAATAACCGCACAGTTTGGTTTAAGCCCTGAGGATCGGCACTTTAAGTTGACAAACTTTTCCAAACCAATATCGGCGCCAAAACCGGCTTCCGTGACCACGAATCCGTCTTTACCGACCATCGACAACGCAATCTTATCGGCGATAACGGAGGAGTTCCCAGTCGCGATGTTCGCGAACGGACCAGCGTGAATCAACACCGGCGTTCCTTCCAAAGTTTGCATCATCGTCGGTTTAATCGCTTCCAACATCAACGCCGTGACCGCACCAGTGACGCCCAAATCGTCGCAGTTCACCGCCTCGCCCGATTTGCTCGTTCCGACAATCATCTTCCCGAACCTCTCGTCCATATCTTCCAAGCTCGTGCACATGGCCAACACCGCCATAACTTCCGAGGCGACCGTGATATCAAACCCGGTTTGTCTCGTTTGGCCTTTCTCCGTCGGCGACTCACCAATCGTTATTTGTCTTAAAAATCGATCGTTCATATCGACGACTCTTCTCCACGTGACTTTATCGGCGTCCAAATCCAATCGAACAAATTTCGATCGTTCCTTTTCCGACCATTCGTCCGGGTTGGTCTTCTCAATACCTAAACGTTTCAATCGTCTGGTCATGTTTCTGGCAATCTTTCTCTCGCCTTTCTTGTTTGGCGGAAACAACCTCTTAAACAAAGCCTCGTCGCTTTGCGTGTTTTCGTGAAACATCCTCGTATCCACCGCGGCGGCAATCAAGTTCGTCGCGATACCTATCGCGTGAATGTCTCCGGTCAAATGCATGTTCATTTCTTCCATGGGGATGACCTGAGAGTACCCGCCTCCAGCGGCACCGCCTTTGATACCAAAAGTCGGACCCATCGACGGCTGTCGAATGCACGCCACGGCGAATTTCTCCAAATGCGCGCCCAACGCTTGCACCAATCCAATCGTCGTCGTCGACTTCCCTTCCCCCAACGGCGTCGGCGTAATCCCAGCAACGACCACGTAGTGTCCTTTATTCTCTTCCGTCATTTTCTTTGAGATCTTATCGGAAATTTTCGCCTTGTAATGCCCGTACGGCTCGTATTCCTCCATGGAAACTTTACACTGCTCCAACACGTGAGAGATGCGAAGAGGCGTCGCGGCTTGCGCCACCTCGATATCCGACGGCACCGGTTTCACGATGTTCTCCAGCTTCTTCCCGGGTAAACTCATACTTGCCGTTGCTTTCGTGGTCACAGAACTAAAACTTCTTCTTAAAACGCCCGAAACTCTCCGCGTCGACGACGATGAAAACGACTTTGGATACGATGAGATTTTCGCGATTTTAAACACCGCTTGTTGCGCGCTCATTCGACGGACAACAGAAAAGGGGAGTAAAGGAACGCGCGCGGGTTGTTGTTGTTGTGTGTGTGTGCGTGTGTATATGTATATATATATATAAACCGCAAGAACCGCGCAGAGAAAGAAGTACGTGTCTTCTTGTTTGTGTGAGGATTAGTTCAGTGGATAAATTGGAAAAACAAGTCTCTCGGTTGCCCAAAAAGGACCTCTCGAAAGGACAAAGGAGTCTTTTGTCTTCAAGGAAGTACACTCGAAATGAACACGTCTCTCGCTCTCTTTCTCTCTTTGTCTCCCCAAAAAACTTATTATTCAGCTTACAGTATAATTTCGAAATTTATATCTCCACTCGTATTCGCGCGAGCGTTTCAATTATTCTTATATTGCAACAGTAATATTGCTCTGTAGTGTCCGTTCGTTCTCGTGACTAAAGGATGACGACGGAACCACCCAAGCTGGAGAGGAAGCTCACCAGAAGCGATAACTTCGGGAATAAATATCTCAAAGCGGTATCCTTACCCGTCGCGTGGTACGATTTCGACACCTTGAATCCGAACACCGTCCATCACGAGAAGCCGTTGAAGCTGACGTTGATTCTCATTCACATCGTCGGCCTCGCGGCGTTTGTCGGGCAGTGCGCGTATCATTACCTGGACACGATAAAGGAAACAACCGTTACGGCGAAGGATGTGGACGGCGTGTCCGGTTGGTCGTGTAAAACGCTCGTGCCGGATCCTATTTATAGTTTGAACATGTCGTATAACGAGTGCGTGAACGAACACTACGTGAAGCCGACGGTGGAGAACTTGGTGAGATACGGCTTATTCGGACCGTTGGTATTTTCGGGCTTCGACGGTGGTCAGCCCGAAGATTCATACGACGGTCCCTGGAATATGAGTACTGGGTTGAGATGGTCAATCAACACGATGACTCTGTATCACAAACCGTTCCCGAATCTTTCCGACGTCGTCTATACGTACCCGTCGACGTGTATCGTTCCGTTTTACGCAGGGTACGAAAAAACTGAAAAATTCAATCCTGAAGATGGGTACACGTCACCGCTGGAAATGCCTCTCTCAGAGGCATACAAACGAGGCTACGATTTTTTTAACGGCTACGGGTTCATCGGTTTAGGAAACAAAGAACCGGAATTCGATGATACGTGCAACGTCAATCAACCCTGGAATTGCGGAAAGTACGTTACTTTTCATCCGTCGAGCGAGACTGATTATGTCGCTCAGTGCAATGGTACCATTTCTGAGGAGGAGCAAGCGGACCTTTTCGCCAACGGCACCTACGCGTTTCCGCACGTTTTCGCGCAAGAGTTGAAGTGGAGCGCACCGGCGAACGCTCAACCGTACGTCGAAGAAGGCAAAGGAGATTACTTCGTCGTGTACAAACCAAAAACGGTGGGCATCACGCCGCTCTATCCGAAGACAACGACTCTTGAATTAGTCACGAACACGGCAAGTCCGAGAACTGCGACGACGTTTTTTGGCAAAGAGCGATGCAACTTTTACGAAAAACAAATCGCCGTCGAGGCCTTTGAATACATTTTTTCGTGGCCGAATTGTCATCCGTGTTCCATCTTCAAGCAAAATTCGCCCTTCTTCTGCGAACGCGACGTCCAAAAAACGTGGCTCAACATATTCGCCCTGAGCATTTCGAACACGCTGTTTGTGATGGGCATCATGATAACTTGGGCGCCGTTGCTTCTTCGAGTCTTTCTCGGAAAGTACGGATGATGTATATGCTCGTATTTAATTGACATTTATACTTTTAAAAGTTGTACCATTCTCTTAAATATCTCCATAAAAAAGCGCATCACCCACACGCAATTATACTAAAGAGAAAGGACGCTCTGTATACACATGGTGGAGAGAAAAGAAGAAAAAGAGAGGAGGAAAAGGACGCCAAAAACGTTGTCGAACGCGCGCGTCGCGTTCGACGTCTCTTTGTTTTCGTGCGAGCGATTTTTACGATCGAAACGCGTGCGAGCGCGGTTCGTTACGCCTTCTCCGAATGCTATGACGAGTGGTTTTGTCAGCGATGATGACGATGCCAACGATAAGCAAAACAAGAACAACAACAACGAGAAGAGGAGCGCGGATGATGAAAGAGCGATCGCGTTCGTGGACGAGAGTTCGGGGGATAGTTTACGCAACGGCGTCGGGTTGAGCGCGTTTTTGGATTTGACGGGTTGTTCGAACGTGGTGGATATGACGCCGACGGAAGAATTTTCGATGAAGGACGTGTGCTCGATACGAACCGGGGAGCGCGTGGCACCGACGGCACCGCTGGTGTTTTTTATAGGGACGACGCTCGCGGAGAGTGGGGAGAAGATTGTGAGAATATGCGGCGAACGACCGGAAGCGTCGATGGTGACGGTGTTGGTGTCGACGTGTAAGGAAACGCAACACGCAGGCGCGAGAGAGGTGAGAGAGGCGTTTGATTTGTGCGTGAAAGACGTGGAGAGGTTGATTTTAGAGAAAATTGGTGGTAATGGTGATGGTGGTACTACTAATAATAACGCGAGCGGAATTGGAGAAGGAGAGGAACAACAACAGAAACCGGCTGAATCAAAAGAAGAAGAAGACGATTGGGACGAAGATTGGGGCGACGACGACTGGGAAGATAAACAGAAGGAGAAAGCATCTGCGGCGTTGGAAAATACCATTTTAGCAACGGTGTCTCAGAAAGTAGTCATTCAGTTCTTCCCGGGTACGATCATTGCACCGTTAGGACCTTCGGCGTTTCGATTTCCCACGTCGTCCGCGGTCGGCGAGTTTGCGCTCGATTACTTCGGGGTTGAAAGGACGACGGCATCGGAACTCGATGGTAAAGAAACTTCCATTTCGAAGAATAAGAATAAACAAACCTTCTCTCGCGCACAAAAACTGTCCATTATTGGCTCGCAACTAGACGCTTTCATCACCCACGGCTTAGGTTTCGATGATGAAGATCGCGTGGATTTCTACGCGCTCGGTCCGATTGCAAAGAATATAGCGCGAGATTGCGTGGATAGGAAAGACCAGAAGATTCCGAACGAAGACGATGAACTTGATACGTTAGCAGTATTAGGCGATAATGCGTACGAAACGATCGATGAAAAGTTGAGACAAAGCAAAAAAACGTGTTGCGTGATGTTGGTGGACCGAGCGATGGATCTCGCGAGCGCCTCCGCGGTATTCACAGATTCCTTCTACGGACGTATCGATGAAGTCGCGTCTACGAACGGAGCGTTTTCTTCGCTCGACGCTGAGAAACAGGTGAGCGACGAGACCGCGCATCGCGCTTTAGAAGAAGAACTGTCGAGGATGTCGTTTCGCGACGCGTGTAGGAAAGTTTCGAGATTACTCTCAGAAGCGGCGAGAAGTGACGGCGTACACGTCGAAAGTGTAATCGCAAACGCAGATGCGCAGACGTCGAATAAAAACGTTAATAATGACATCACGTCCGCGAGGTTACGCGCTCTGCGACAGGCAATATTAGATAGCGTAGGTAGTAGTGATGGTAGTCATAGTCATCAGTGGACGTTACGACTGGCGTCGGTCTGCGCGGCTGCTTTGGAACTAGAAGAAGGATCAGAAACGTCAGATGCAATTGGAAATGTGCGAACGCTCTCGGCGACTGCACACGCGTTTGGTTCTTCAGGTGTTGCTGCTGAACTCATCAGTGCTTTATCTGGGAAGAGAAAACAAGTGTGTGGCGTTTCGTGCGCGCGAGCGTTTGCGTACGTGGCTTGCGGCATGACGCTCGCCGGAGAAGCCGTCTCTCGAGAATCCAGCGCAGATGCTGCGATGCATCAAATGGACGTGAACGATAGCGCATTATTCATGAATGGTAATAATGACGGCGAAATATTTACGAGAAAAGATGCAAAAGCAATCGAAGAAGCTTTGAAATGTGCGATTTGTGAATGTGTCTGGAACGGCGACGATAGGAATAGCGAAAACGTCACTTTCCTCGGGAAGGAATTATACGACGCAATCTCCGAAGCTCGAGGGTATAAAAAAGAAGGAGATGAAGATGCATCGCGTGACGAAGGGAAGGAGAAAGAGAAAGAGAAAGAGAAAGAGAGTGATGATGAAGAAGATGGTTGGGGTAACGACGACGACGGTTGGAGCGTGGACGACGACCCTCTTTTAGTACACCCGCCGCCATCGTTGAGGACACCTCGAGTTGAACTTCCGGATGATGTTCGATTATTCCTGGACGATTTTGTTCAAGATAAAGCGCTATTCACGAGTACGTGCGAACTCATAGTCTCTTCTCGTGTCATATGCAGGGAAAAAACTTCATCAGGGGAAGGTATGATGAATAACGCTACCGTATCCATTCCGTTGAAGCACTCCCGAGGTTCACTCATCGAGAACGATGGTGCATTCACCTCTCTCGTTGCCGATATCGCATCGCGTGTCGCGTCATCGAACGATACTTCGGGGTGTTGCAAAGATGCCGAACGTATCACGGCATCTGGATCCATCGGAACACTCCTCGCCTCGGCGACGTCCACCGCCGGTGGGTTCGTCAAAGGTTTTGGCTCTGGGCTCGGTAGACTCGCGGGTAACGTGCTCGATAAAGTTTCCAGCACGGTTTCGAACAGTAGAAAACCGAGTGACTGCGATTGTTTCGTTTTATTCGTCGTAGGGGGCGTATTTAAGGATGAAATTATGGCGGCAAAAAATGCATGGAGAGAAAACGGTGGTGAAGCGAGCGGGCGGTTACTCCTAGTCGGCGGCACGAACGTGCTTTCCCATCGCTCAAATTCGGTTTTTTGAAGTTAAAGCATAGCATAGCCAAATGGTATCATATATAATAACAATATCATATTTCTCTAGATATATCTTCATACGCGCGAATGGCTGCATCCGAGAGTGGGAGCACGAACTCGCTGTTCGACCATGCCATATCGTCCGGTAACCATCCTTTGAATATATCGCCGACATCATCTTGAGATGAACGACCGCCATAGATGCGATCACCGTCGAATTGAATCGGGTTCAAGCCACTGCGCAATCCACCGCGTTCATTTATCCGACCAGAATCGAGCATGAAGTCTAACCAAGCATCGATACCTGGGGACGATGACGGCGCGCTGTGCGGTACGGACGAAGTGTATCCTCCGCCCTCATTCAACACCGGGCGTACAAACACGTCGCAGTGCAAAGCCGTTCCAGACGGTGGAAATACTGGTTTCACCAGCGATGAGCGACGACACAAGGCTAAAACGTCGTCGCTACCACCAAAAGCGACGGATATATCACCGTTTTGTAACGCCCGGAGATACGTTTCGTCATCTGATACCTTGATTTTTGCGCGCAGTCGTCGCAAAGCGTCTCTCTGAGACCGTTCGTTATCGATAGTCTTGGGATTGATTGTATTACGAGGATCGCCCATTTTCAAAGCCGCGGAGAGAACTTCTCTCGGCGCATCCGCACACCCTACGAACGTTTTGTTCCCAAAGCGTGGATCGAAAACGTCCGTCCAATCGGTAATCGCCTCGACGCCTCTGGGAAGTTTATCCGCTCTGTATGCCAGCAATGTTGCCGTAACTCTGTAAGGCACCGCGAACAGTCTTCCGTTGGGATCCGTGCTGCGCACAATGTCACCAGTTCTGTAATCGCGAAAACACAAATTCTTATATACATCTGGCAATGCTCGAAACCACCGCTCTTTACCGGTGATCTCAAACGGAAGAATGAGCTTCTCGCGAATCGCCGCTTTCAAATATGCATCGCCGAGCGTAGCTAACGTCGCGGTCGCGGCCGTTTTCGACAGTTTTTTCTTACCTTTCTTATCTCTCTGATCGCTGCTATTCCTATTTCTGCTATTCTCGCTACTCTCCTCCTCGGCGTAAAAATCGTTTCCGTTCCCTCCTTCTTCTAGTATCGCCCTCCCTCTCCTCAAATCCTGAAACGACTTCGCCAACGACGCCGACGCCGAGTGTTCCAACTTCAACCTAGGTGACGCCTGCGTCTCCTTAAAGTCTTCGAAAACGTTCGGTGGAATCGTCCCTCGCAACACGTTCACTCTCAGCGGAACGTCAAACTTAAACGCCCGCTTCGTCAAGCCCGGCGCCCCCCACTCGATGTCCTGCGGCGTCGCTCCCGCTCTTGCCGGAAAGCAAAAGTACGAGAGCGAACTGCTACTACTCGCAACAGCAACGAACGCGGCAGAAGACGATGATGACATCGCCGCCCGCCGACCAATTAAAGATGAACGTCCTTTTCCTCCTTTGTCTTCTTTGAGCGCAAAAGCATCGTCAGCTCTCGCAGCATTTTTACTCTCAACGTCGTCTGCTCTCCTCCCGTTTACGTCGTCGTCGTCGTGGGAAAACAAAGACGACGGGAAACAAAAACTCTGCCTCGTCGTTCGTCGTTTACGTCGTCTGTTTTGATGAAACACCGCGAGAGGAAGTGAAGACGACAACGACGAATTTGGCGACGGATGATTGGAAACGCCACGACCGGAAACGCCTCGACGTCGTGGTGAAAGCTTAGAAAAAGCTTCACACGACGACGACGACGAAAACGAGATGGACATTTTCTTTGTCTTCTTGGCGAGAGAGACTCTCACCACCAGCACCCACAGTTGTTCGAAAGTAAGGGACTTCCTTTAAAGCGCTTAGAAATGGAGAAAAATCCTTCGGGAAATTCTTCATTTATTCGACGCTCAACCTGCGCACCTGTTTCTCTGTACGCGCACGCGAACACACTCACCTTTTGCACACTCAGCACACTCAGCAGTATGACGAGTACTACGATGTTGTTCTCGCGAGGAGCGCAAATGACGACGACGTTCGCCTCTCATCATCAAAACAATAACACCTTTAAAAGCGGGAAGTCCTCATCCATCGTCACCCGCCGTCAAGGTTCTACGTCTTCGTTTACGTCGCAAAAGTTGGCCCGAAAGTCGAGGAGGACGTTGAAGGTGAACGCGTCGTCGTCCTCATCAGTCGAAAAGCTTCGATTCTTATCCCCCCAGGAAGTGAAGCAAGTGAGAGAGGAGTTCGGGACGCCGGTGTACGTGTACGATTTACAAACGCTGAAAAACCAAGCCGAGAGCGCGAAAGCGTTTCCAAACGCGTACGGGTTGACGGTGAGATACGCGATGAAAGCGAGCCCGAACGGGTCGATTTTGAAGACGTTTTTGAACGAAGGGTTACACATCGACGCGAGTTCTGGGTACGAAGTCGAGAGAGCGGTGAAGGCTGGGTTTACGTACGACCAGATTTCGCTCTCGACGCAGGACTTTCCGGATTTCTTCGATCGGCTCGTCGAGAAAGGATTGAAAGTGAACGCGTGTTCGTTGTCGCAGTTGGAGAAGTTCGGGGAGAAGTTTCCAGGGAAAGAAATTGGTTTGCGATTTAACCCTGGGTTAGGAAGCGGTGGGACCGGGAAGACGAACGTCGGTGGACCGTCCTCGTCGTTTGGGATTTGGTACGAGTTGTTACCGAAGTGCCAAGAACTCGTGGCCAAGTATAATTTGAAAGTCGAAAGGATTCACACGCACATCGGGTCTGGAAGCGACCCAGCCGTGTGGCAAAAAGTCAGTGGGATGAGTTTAGATTTGTGCGAAAAGTTCCCGGACGTTGTGTCGTTGAATTTAGGCGGTGGGTATAAAGTTGGACGCATGTCGGGTGAGAAATCGACCGATTTGAGCCTCATCGGCGAACCGGTGAAAGTAGCGTTTCAAGAATTCGCGAAAAGAACCGGACGAGAATTGAAATTAGAAATCGAACCGGGAACTTTCTTACTCGCCAACTCGTGCTCGGTCGTTTCCACCGCTCAAGATATCGTCGAAACCGGCACGAGCGAAGGGCACACGTTCATCAAGCTCGATTGCGGCATGACGGAAGTCCTCCGTCCGTCCTTATACGGCGCGCAGCATCCGTTAATCAACGTCACCAGCCAAGGTGAACTTGCATCCAAAACGAAAAAATACGTCGTCGTCGGTCACTGCTGCGAAAGTGGCGACTTGATGACCCCGGCCCCGGATGAGCCGGAAACGATAAGCGAACGCGAATTGGGAGAAATCAACATCGGCGATTTGGTCGTCATCGAAGGTTCCGGCGCGTACTGCGCCGGCATGAGCAGTAAGAACTACAACACCTTCCCGGAAGCGCCAGAGGTGATGAAAACGAATGAGGGTGAGTTTAAGGTGATTAGAAAGAGGCAAACCGTGGACCAGATTTTGGCCAACGAGGTTATGATTTAATAATACTAATACTACTACTTTCATCCCCTTAAGAAGATATCATCCACGTCGTCATATTATAACTCCTCCATAAAACAACACATAAATACCCGCGCAAAAGAATCCGATTAATACCACGCGCAACAGCACAAAAACCAGAACAAAAAGTAAGAATATCTCATCATGACCTTCTCCTCCATTCTCGCGAGCAGCAGCAATACCAGCAGCGCATTGGCTGCGCGCAGAAAGTACCAGGGGGCGAATTCTTCCCGAACGCAAAGATTAATGGCGACGACGAGGATATCAACGAGAAGAACAACCTCACCTTTTGTTCAAAGTTCCTACCAAACTCTGGAACAAACCCTCTCCAAAATAAAAGATTTACCACCTTCGGAGCGTCCAGAGGCGCTTCGCATGGCCGAACAACCCGTGAAATCACTCCTGAACGAAATGAAAGAAAACGAAACGATTTCCAAGTGGAACTCTCTTGGAAAAATCCAAAGCGAAAACGTCTTCCCGCGAGCGTTTACGGAAGTCGGCTTGACCGACGTGGACGCGAAAATCGGCACCCCGAACAACGATGCGGATTTTAACTTCATCGTTACGGTAACCGTGACGACGTCTCTGTTAGCGGTGATCATTGGGGTGACTTTACCCGGGGATTGGGGCGCGTTTGGGAGTTATCTGATGGGCGGCGTTTCGCTCGTCGTTTTAGCCGTCGGGAGTACGGCGCCTGGTTTACTTAAAGTTGGCGTAGACACCGTTTCGAGACTCAACCCGGAATACATGGAAAGAATCGTCAAACACGAAGCCGCGCATTTCTTGATAGCTTACCTCTCGGGTATTCCCGTATCCAGCTACTCCTTGGGCTTGATGGAGATGCACGTGGAACTCTTGGAGGCGAAGATCGAGAAAAAGTTAGTCGGTAAAGCGGGCGTCATTACAACGGAAGAAATGGAAGCGTTAGCCGTCGTCGCCATGTCTGGCGTCGCCGCCGAGGCGAAATATTTCGAAAAAGTCGCCGGGCAAGAGGCGGACTTGTTCTCGTTGCAAAAAGCGATGAACAAAACGGAACCTAAACTCGGCGCTCAAAAAGAACAATCCGTCACGCGGTGGGCGGTGTACAAAGCCGCGAGAATCATCACCGATAACGAGAAATCGTACGAGCAGTTATGCCAAGCCATGAAAGAGGGTAAATCAGTCGCCGAGTGCGTTAAAGCCATCGAGAGTGTTTAATGTAGTATATCGACCATGAAGTTGTTATGTAATAGTATTTCCCGCAAAACGTCACTAAATATGACGACAAGAATAATGCGCTCGATGACGACGACGACGACGTCCTCGTCCTCGTCGCGAAGAGTAACTAAAATCTCCTCACCGTCATCGTCTTCCTTTTCTCGCAGAAGAGCGTTGCTTTTTGGGAGTTCGGCGGCGTTTCTGCGCGCATCTTTGCGCGCTGACGCTTTGGATAACGACGACGACGATTCAGACGAGAATGAGAAAGAAAAACGAGCTTTACAAATCATCCTCGCCAGCACAGACGACGCCTTAGATTTGAGCCTACCTCGAAACACGAAAGGGTGCGACTTATACGAGCGGTCAAAACAAGTGGACGACGCCGTGGAGACTTTAGTCAAGTTGAAACGAAACGGGAAGAAAATGAGTTTGTCAAACGGCAAAGCGGATGGTGTGTGGGAGGTGTTTTACGCGCCGCACATCGAACGATTGAGCAGACCTATAGGAGTGAAAGCGAAACCGCTGAGATACACGATAGAGAAGAATAGAATCGTGAGCGATGTTTCGCTGACGACGAACAAACCGTTCGAGACGCAAAGTTGGTGGTGCGCGAGCGGGAGTTTGAAGGAGTCCGCCAGCGAGAAGGAGGAGGTGTCGTTAAAGTTTACGGACTTTTGGGTGTCGTTAGGGGCAGAGTTACCGACGACGTCTCCAAACGAGACGGTAGAAGCGGACGCTTTTGATAAGATGGTTCAGAAATTGGGAACGGTTGGATTCATCGAACAGTTGGGTGCGTTTCCGGTGTTGTATTATAGCGACGACGTGTGCGTCTTTAGATTTCCGCCTTTGCAATCGAACATCGCGGCGAGAAGGGTAGCCAAACTCTCGGATTGGGAGGAAGAGGAACTGGAAGAGGACAATAGCTTAGATACACACCGGAGTTTTCTAAATGCTAGTTAGTATAAAAATCTATGTATTTCTATTTCCACTCCCGCTTCTTCTTCGCTCCTTCGCGAACGCTCTTGGAAAGCGCGACCAACGCAAATGCTGCGAATCCTAGTTTGAAAACGACTTCTTTAAACGCCTTTTGTTCCTCCTCCGATCGTTCCGCGACTATCGCTTTCGAAGACGCCTTTCGTTGGCGGCGGTTGCTGTTGGCGGGCCGTTTTCGCTGCTGCTGCTGCTGCTGCTGCTGCGCGTCTCTCCGCCGCCTGAGCCTGTACGATAAAATATTTTGAGCGAAGATGATCGGAGAAAGAAATAAGCGACGCACCATTGTTGTTCGACGTTCATCCGCGGCATTCTTTTCGCTCGCGAGAAGGTCTTTTGCGCTCGTGGCGACCGACGACGGCGATTTCTTATCGCCGGTGGCAGCTTTCATGTTCTCTTCCTCCGCCGCTAACAACGCCGACGCGGACGCTTTCTTCTTCGTCTTTAACGCCTTCTTTCTTTCCGCTTCTTTCTTCTTCTTCTTCTCCTCGAAGTCTTTCTCCTTCTCTTCTCGTTTTAGTTCCATTTCCGGCGTGAGCATAGAAGGAACGTCGCACCGCGATTCCCAATCAAACGCGTCCGGGTACTTGAAATACACTCTCCGAAACGCGTCTCTCGTTTCGCCGTCTTTTGCGACGAGATACGCGGTTTTACCACGCCACGGAACGGAAGGATCAACAGCAGCACCATCATCACCAGTTTGAGGATTCAAACACGCGTATTCAAGCATTTGCGTCAGCGCGTCAACGTCGCCAGTTCGCGAAGCCTTATGGAGTTCTGGTTCCGGAGTCTCCACGATTTTCTTCGCTTTCGCGGCTTGCTGTTGCTCGTATTCTAATTGCTTTTGCATTTCTAAATCTACTTTACTTTTACTCTCCGTCGTCGTTCTCCTCGTTTTTTTCACTTCTTTCTTCTTCTTTTCGACGATTTCAATCCCGGTCGTGGTCACCGAGAGCAACTTCGCGATGGTTCGTTTCGTTTCGTTCAACGTCGGTCGAGCGGTCATAAACGGCGTTTTCCTCACGCGCGGGTCCTTTTTACTCAAAATATTATTATCGAATAACGTTCGCGCGTCTGTTTTTGAAACGGAGATGAATATCCTCGCGGCTTCCTGTTCGTATGTATATGTACGTAATAGCGCGATACCGCGAGAGAATACATTAAAAGTCGTCAGTTTTTTTCTCAAACGATACAATCGAATAATACGATAGAAGATAAACAAAGATAAAAAGAGTAGTATTTTCTTCCGTCAGAACTCATAATTATACTTCCATCATCGCGAAAGGCGTTCGGAAAGCGAGCTTAATCGCCGCGAAATGTTTCGCCTTAAAAAAAGCGCGCGTTACGTTTAAAACGCGCGCTCTCCGGTGTAGTTGTATCCATCACCCGGAAAAAAAAGTACCAACTCTTCACAAACGACGAGAAAGAAGAAAATAAAATCGAAGAAAAAACGCACGTTCAAATACTCCTCTTTCCAATTCTCCATCGCGTTTGTCACGTCTCTCACCAAAGAAATTTCGTTTTGGCGTCGCATGGAACTCCCCGCGCTCTTAATCGTCTTCCCGCCTTGATCCTTCACGCTTTGCCTCCCTCCGGCTTTCGCGCGAACGACGTACCGATGAAACGTTTTCGATTTCAAAACAGACTCGGTCGAAGCGATCGTCGCGTTCGCACTCTGTCCGTGAAACACTTTCCTCGCGTCAAACGCCGCCGCGGCAAAGTGTCCTCCTCTCGCTAAAATAACTACCCACGGCTTTTCTCGATCTCGCCGTAAATTTTGCATCGCCTCGGCCACCGTCTGATTGGCCTCCGCCGATGCCGCGTTCCCTTTAAAGTCCACATCATCCGGTAGCAAAATCGCTCTGTACATCGCGAAACACTTCTTCTCCTCCCCTTCTTCTTGAAACACAATCTTCGCGCCACTCTCGGATGTCTTCTCCGTCGCCGCGACTTCGTACTCTTTCTTCTCCTTTCTTTTCATCATCCGCTTCTCCTTCGCTCGAACAGCGTCGTGCATGAAATCACCTTCATTTTCACCCTCACCGTCGCTGCTCGAAACATCCTCATCCTCATCATCACTGCTGCTGCTCAAATCATCCTCTCCGCTTCCACTGATGGACTCGTCTCCGTCGCTTTCTTTAGTACTTTTCTCGCGCGCTCGCGGGTCAAATTTTTCCTTAAATTCGACTTCCGAAAGCTCTCGTTTCCCCTCCAGTTGCCGCTTCCGATTGTACCGATACAGATCGCCTTTCATTTCCCGATGCCACTCCTGAGGGGACGAGAAACCGAGATCTTTCCATAAATTGACGTTCCCTTTCCTCTGTTGTTGCTTTTGTTGAGCAGCGATGTTCGCGTTCGCATCTTTATCGTCTTCTTCGGGAAGCGTTTGATCTCCTCCGTTAGGGGAATCGGCGACGAGAATGGTCGCGCTATCGAGCGCGATTTTAGAGATTTTCAACGTATTCGAGAGATCAAAGACGTCCATTATGTACGCGCGTGCGTTTAGTAAGTACTGCTAAGTTTGCAAATCGTGGTCATTTTGTTTTCTATAATCTACTGTGCGTTTGCGCTTCTTCTTCTTATTTTAGTGAGGGATTGGACAAAGCTTTGAGGTGCCACAAACAACTCGAAGGTCAGGTCTCGTCCTCGGTCTCATCTAAAGCCTTCTCAATCTCCCTCATCAACTCCTCGAACGTCGGCGTAAAGAAATGCCCACCTTCCGGAAACTCCACGCACTTCGCGTCCAAGTTTTTCGCGAACCTTCTCTGCACATCAATCGGGACCAGGTGATCTCTCGCGCCGGCGAAGCACACGCGGAACTGAGTATTCTCCTGTATTTTGCGGTAGTCCCACGGGGTATCGAAATAGCCGGATGCTCTTTCTGTCGCATCGCCGAGGTCATCGTCGTACCCAGCGCAGACGCATATGCCTTTGACTTTGTATTTCTCCGCGTATCTGGCGCACGCGACTGCGCCGGAGCTGTGGCCGATGAGGATGGAATGTTCGTCCGCTGCGAGTGCATCGCGCACGAACGGGAGCCAGATGGACTGTAGACTGAAGAGAAATGGGGAACAAAAGGTCAGCAAATGCAGGCAACACATACACGCGCTCGAATCAGTTTTAACGCGTCATCATCAAAAAAGGAGAGAATAATAAGTAATTCAAAGAAATACCATAAGTGTGGATCGGGGAAGTCTCTTAAATCCAGCGTAAACCTCTCGCGCAAGTGTGCATCCGTTCGTATTTTTGTCTCCAACCACCCGTAGAAATTGGATTCTTTCACCGGACAACATCCCATGCCAGGGAGTAATATGAGTTTAATTTTCTTTTTCATTTTGTCGTTAATGTTGTTCGAGGAAATTTGGTGTCGCGTGGCGGCGATGGTGTTCGCGCCTGCGCTCATTTAATAGGTAGGTATTTATACGGCTAAGTTAAATGGAAATGCCGAACTTCAATGCACAGTCATATTTAAATAATACGCCAAAGATATTTTACATCAAACCACGCATACGCGACATTCTTTATCCTCGCTTCGGCGGTGGATTTTGAAAAATGACAAATACCGATGACGAGTATGCCGACGACGACAAGAAAGAAGACGCTGACTTTCACGGCGAGGAAAAGAAGACGTCCTCCTCTCGTAGGGGAATGAGCAAATCACCTTCGTTGGTGAAACGATTCTTCATCTTTACAAGTTTGTCTTTAACTCCGGGACGAGGACAAAATGATGCGGAGGAAAACAATGATAATGAAAAGAATAAAAGAAAGTGCCTCTTCGTGCACGGCTGGCGGTCAAACGCGCGCGTGAGCAAAGAACACGCGAAGCATTTGAATTTAGATACCAAATTTCAACAGATACACCTAATCAAGGGGACAAAACATTCCAACGAAGCGTCGGATGAACTCACGGAAGGGATGTTTTTAGGTCCCTGGTTTTCGTGGGTCGACGATATCAATAACGATGATATTGATGGGAAGGGTAAAGAGGAGGATCTGGTAAAAGCGTTAAGATACGTGGTGAAATTCGTGAGAAAACACGGGCCGTACGCCAGCGCGGTTGGATTTTCGCAAGGCGGAGCGCTCGTCGCGTTGTTGTCGAGGAGGGAGGTTTTGGAGAAATTGGGCGTGGAAGGGGACGTGTTTTTGTGGAAGAGCGCGACGGTGGTGTGTGGAGCGAGCGTAGGGCTGATTGAGGTGGCGGAGAGGGCGTTGGGGATACGTTTGGTGAACGACGGCGAACGTATCGCCGACGACGAGGACGTTCTGCCGTCGCTTCACATATTCGGGCTTCAAGACGAGCGGAAGCCGCAGGGTGAACGGTTGATGAAGTTGTTCGAAGCAAAGATGCCATCGTCGAAACAACTCGTGCGCCACTGCTTGTACTTTGATGGAGGACACGGCGTGCCAAAGTCGATCATGTCAGACGAAGGGTTCCACGCGGAATACGACGCGTGGTTGAAAAACGCGCTTTCTTTGTCTTTGGCGGTAGAAGACGGTCCGAAGAAAATTGGAAACACTGCGGTGGCAAATGTGCTCCATCGCGCGCTTTCAAGGAAAGTCACCCATCGCGGCAACGAGATGTTTTTGCGCGGCGATAGCACGCACGGGTCGTCAGACAAAGAAAGATTAGACAGACGGCGCGGGAACGTCTCGGAGGACGACGTGATGGAACGCGGCGAAGGCGAAACAGAGAATAGTAACACTACCTTCTCGACGGTCAAAAGATTGAATGCCGTACCTCGAGACGAAACCGTCGAGACGAGAACGACCCCAAGTGGGCACGCGCTTAATTTTATTCGCAACGCATGCTCAGTTGCGAATTGCGACGCTGACGTAAACGTCAGGAAAAGTCGGTTTAAAGGTATATTGGAAATGCTTCGGGCCGCGCCGGCGTCGGCGCCGCTTCTTCGAGACGTGGACGCCTCGCACGCGCCCATGTCGTATGGCGCGATGATTGATTTTATCACGACAGGCGAAGGTGACTTGCGCAAAATCGGCGCGACACAAAGCACCGTCGTCGCATACAACGTTCCAACTGGAGCTGTTGGAGCGAGCGCGTTCTTATCCGTGGCGTCGCAGTGCGTGGCGGTTCCTTTGGATCCAGGGATCACAGAAGCGGACGCGCTTGAAGCCATGATGTCATGTAAAGTAACACTAGTTGCTCTGTTTCGAGATGCGGATACTGCTGAGATAGAAAAAGCAGCCACAAAGGCAAACATTCCTATAAAATGGTACGTCATCGCTGCCGGGGATAAACCAGCGGGCTGGTTTTACCCAGAACAAGAGGAAGATATTTTGCCGTCGGAACCGCCACTCGTCAACGCCGCTGAAGGGGTAGGATTACTCTTGAGAACTTCCGGCACGACATCGAAAGCGAAGGTTGTTCCACTCACACTTGGAGCGCTCGCATCGAACGGTAGCGAGTTAGCAGCTTCGTTGGAACTCACCTCCGCTGACGTGTGTATCAATGCGATGCCGCTGTTCCACATCGGTGGTTTGTCGTGTTCAATCTTAGCGACGGTAGCGTCGAAGGCCTCCGTCATTTGTTGCCACAAATTCGACGCTCAAGTATTTTACGAAACCATCGTTACTGACAACACGTTGAGACCGACGTGGTATTCTGCTGTTCCAACTATTCACATCGCCGTGTTGCAATACGGCAAAGCGATTTCGCGAGGGGCGAAACCCAAACACTCGTTACGGTTTATTCGATCTGGCGCGGCGGCGTTAAGTCAAGCGGACGCGGAAAAACTTCAAGCGTTCTGGAACGTTCCAATAATTCCGACATACTCTATGTCGGAGCAAATGCCTATATCGGGTAAAAACATTCATCTCGAGCTTGCCGAACGTCCAAATACAGTTGGCCAGCCGCTGATTTGTTCAGTCGCGCTCGTGAACGATTTAAATTGCAGAGCTACCGCTCCGTTTGGAACGCAAGGTGAACTCGTCATTAGCGACGATAACGTCATGACCGGGTATAAAGACGCAGCGGAGGCGAATAATAAGACGTTTTTTTATCTCGGCGACAAGAGATACTTAAGAACTGGGGATATAGCAAAGATGGACAGCGATGGTTTCATTTATCTCACCGGTAGGTCCAAAGAACTTATCAAGCGCGGCGGCGAACAAGTCAGTCCACTGAAAGTCGAAGCTGTATTGGCAAAACACCCAGACGTCCACGTCGCCGTCGTATTCGGAGTGGAATCTCCTCTATGGGGCGAGGAAGTCGGCGTCGCGATTGTCCTCAAAGATGACGTTACTAATATAGACGCATCGCTTCGCTCTATTCGTGAAATGACCACGGCGTCGAAAGAACTCAGTCGCTTCGAAAATCCCGCGTATTGGAAAATTGTGAAAGACGACGACTTACCCAAGACGTCCACGAAAAAGTATAAGCGCGCCGGTCTCGCCAATCACCTCAACATCGCGCAACGAAACCTCGTGTCCTCATGCAGTCGCAAAAAAGGAGGGAGTGCGAAACCGGCGGTAATCTCTTCCGGCCTCGCTGGTCTTCGATACTGTATGGCCGTAGGGGTTATGTTTAATCACATCGGCGGAGTTTGGCAAGGGGAGGACGAGAGGAATCCGTTGACCTACGGTCCATATTGGTGGTCCGCAAAAGCGACGACGTTTTACTTTCCAGCGACGGTATTTTTTGTCCTCGGCGGCTTTACGCTCTCGGCGGCGCTCAACGGCAAAGAGGTTCGTGAAGGAACGTGGCTATCGTTTTATAACTCGAGATTTCAGACGCTCATGCCGTTATATTTACTTTCGCTCGCGTTTGGTTTAATCAACATGTTAGTTGTCTGTCGCCCAAATACGTTCAGCGACGAATTTAGCTGGCAGCCGCACAATTCGACTATGACCCTGGCCTCTGGCGCCGCCGCGCAGTGCCACACGAGTCCTGTTGAAATGCCATACGGTGCGTGGTTGATCATGACAATTTTTGTTTTTGCGTTTGGATTTCAAACATGGTTTCCTTTATGGCTCCTGTCATCGTGGATGATGTATTATACGTGGTTCAACGGCGTTTACTACTTCATAATCGTGGTTTTCCCTTGGATGCACAACGCCTTGTGTCGCGTTCGAGGCGATACTAAAGCGATACTTAAATGGGGTCTCGTATACACGTTCTTGATATTCGCCACGGCGGCTTTGCTTGGCGTGTATTACGCCTTGCCTTCTTGGCAAGACTACGACGATTTAGGCTCGTCCAAGAGTTGGGAAAAGAATTTACAAAACATATACGCCTTATCGACGATGATGTTTCCGCCATATTGGGTACCATCTGTAGGGAGCGGTATGGTTGCGTACTTCTGGTACGACGCGGTCAGGCCGAACGAGAGTCACGATAGAAAACGTTACGGGAGAATGGCAGATTGTCTCACGCTCGCGTTCTTCGCTTTCCACCTCGCGCATTTTTTTGACATCGATTGGCCGTACCCGACGACCCTGGTCGGCAAAATGTGGAAAACGCACCCGGACGAGCATCATCTGTGGGATACCGGAATCAAACGGTACGTGTGGTCGGTAATGATTACGCGTTTATACTCACCCTTACTCGCGGTTTGGATCGCTCTTCTTGCCGTGCCCCGGGGTAGTATCACTGGTCGACTTCTCGAAGGCAACGTGCTGAGTAAAACGCTCGCACCAACTTCGTACGGGTGCTTCCTTTTCCATCAAATCATCGGACAGTGGTACTGGTGGGCGACGCGATCAGGAAATAACGTCACATCCAAGGAAGTCGATTTAGGAAACTCCGACGCGTGGTCGTGGTGGGCGTACCCGAAAGAATACTACTGGTTCAGCCCGCAGCCGCTTCCTGTCGCGTGGTACGAGTTCTTCTTCGTCGTTGGCTTAGTCACCATCTTTAGCGCATTTATCGACCGCGCGTTGAATTCTCACCTTACTCTCCTTTGGGTGAAAACGATGAACTTTTTCCAAAACATATTCTGGCCGAGCCGATCGGTCTCCGGCTCCGTCGCGATAGAGAGCGCGACTCCAGAGAGTATAGTCCGAAACGCAGTCAAAGCGCTCACGGGTGTCGAAAGCGACATATCTTTGGACGATTCGTTCGATGAGATTGGTTTAGTTTCCGTCGGATTACCTATTCTGGTCGGCTTGATCAACTCTGAAGATAAATCCGCCTCCGTAACCGTCGCCGACGTCGCCAACTGCGCGACGCTGAGAGACTTGGTCTCCGCGCTCGAGAAAAAACGTGCAGTCGCCGAAAGTGCGGCTGGCGTTGGCGCTCGTAATGATCTTTAATATATATAACGAAAAGTATAACATTTCTCTCCTTTCTGTTAAAGTCTCTTCTTCTGTTCATCAAAACGCCTTTTTTTTCTCCACTTTTTATTGTCTGAAAAAAATGAAGAAAAGGCGCAATCTCCTTTCTCAGATGACGACCGAGCAAATCGTGCAACGCGCGATCAAAAAGTTCGCACAGAACAACAACGCGGTTGGATGTTCCGAGTGTAAGAAACACGGCGGCCACGGATGGTAAATGATGTAACATTTCGCGCGTTTTCGTACGTTTTTTTCTAATTGATTGAAGTGACATTCGGGATCATCATGTGATTTGAAGTTTCCAATTAAAAAGCAAAAGTCTGACCGCGTTTTCATTCCTCCTCTCTTTTCTCCTCAGTCGAAACTGCGACCCAGTTTTAGCGAAGGCTGGACTGTCGAAGCGATCGATGACCGCTCGGTTGGGAAAAACAGCCGAAGAAATCAGAAAGTTAGATTATTGCCGCGAAGGCTTGAGAAGAATGAGAAGAGGAGAGACCAAGAAATATAAAAGAAGAAAAGAAAAAGAAGAAGGTGAAGAAGAAGAAGAAGCAAAGAAGAAGAAGAAGAAGGAAAAGAAGACCACGATGATACAAACGACAACGGCAAGCAGCTCGAGCACGAGCACGTGCTGCATCGTAGACGCGGCGATGGAGCGAGCGAATTCCTCAAAAGCGCTCGTCGCGAAGGTAGTCGCGAAAGAAGAGGAGAAGAGCAAGATACGAGGAGAAGAAGAAGAAGAAGAAACAGATACCCCGATCGTGGTAGACGAGGCAAGGGAAAACGCCGCGATGGCGTTGATATTGATAGCGATGAGAGGATGATGAAACGTGTGGATAAACACAGAGATAGATGTCTTTTATTAAAGCCGATTATAAGCCAGCCAGCGAGCCTCTCAGTCAGTCTTAATATATTCGTAACGCATTTTTTTCCAAAAACAGACAAAAAAAAACTCTTAAAAATCTCCCTCGTTCGCGATACAACGACACGCACACTTTACGCCTCTGGGTTTGGCTTGCATCCGCGTTTGAAATACGAACACCCTTCATTTACCAATATGGTTCTCACTCGAGTCGAGTGTTACTTCGACACTCCGAACGGTACTGCCGGGAAAATCAACCACCTGGATCTGGATTTGCGCGAACACGATTCGCCCTCGGAAGTGAAGAAACAAATCGCGATCTTGACCGACGTGCCGTACAAAAATCTGAAACTTCGCTTGAACATGGATTACGGCTTGACTGCGTTTGATACGAGAAATCGAGATATCAAAGTCGGCACGTGCGGGGTGAGCGTGAGTTGCGATAACCCGGACATGTTGGATTATAAGAATCGAAATTCGGTCGGGAAAGCGGTACACGAGCTCCCAGATTTTAAGCCCGAAATGCTGGACGATTCGTTCGATTGGCAACAGAAGAGTAAGCCGGAATGGTTGGTACGATCGAAGAAGTCTTACAACCGCGCGTAGTGGTAAGAACACAGATATACTTATTTATTATTAATTCATTCCTTTATTATTGTTATTAAAATTGATATACTCATAGTATATTATATAATGAAAAGGTTGTTATTAAGCCATGCACGCTTGCAACGCCGCCTGTTTTTGCGGATCTAACGCGGAAAAAGCCGCCGCTAACGCATCTCCAGGCATCGTGCTTTGCATTTGTACTAAAGTATTCTTCATTGCCATCGCCGTTTCTTGATCGCACAATCGAACTTTATCGCTACTGGATGCCGTGGGCATAACTTCGGCAAAAATCAAAATCGCTCTCGCTAAGTTCTCGTTGTTTTCTCCCAACAAGTAAGATTTATAAGTGTCGTTTTGTAACAATCTCGCGAGCTGCGCGTGAACGGCTCTCGCTTCGATCGCATCTTCGGTGAGTGGCAAGCACGCTAAGAAGGACGGAAAAATTGATTTCGCGTCGATGCTTTGCGTTTGGTGTTCGCAGAGTTTACCTAAAGCGGAGACGGCGTTCTCCGTCGCCGTGATGTTTTCGTCCTCCCGCGCTGCTGGATCTTGAATGACCGCAGCGAGCGCTTGTAACGCACCCGGAACGTACGGAGTGAAGTTTTGGCCCATAGTTTGACCCATCAATCCGAGCCTGTTTTGAAAGGAAAGGAAAAACGTTGTGGGTCAGTCGCGTAAAAAAAAAAGAGTCGTCGATTCTTCCGCGAAAAAAAGCAAAATACGTATAATACGAAAAAACAGAGATTCAGTACTAATATGCGTCAGGGCGTTAAAGCGGATTTATCGTCAGCACGAGTATCCATCGCGCGTACGAATAGCGCAGGCCATCCCCGTGAATCAAGAAGGGGAATCCATAGGTATCGTCACTCGCATTTTGTTGAAGCTTGTTTTTTTTCTATATACGTATACGCGCGCGCGCCCGATATGTAGAACGAACAAAAAAGAAAACGAAAGACAAACAGAACAAATAACAGATAAAAAGAGACGAATCTCTCGTTATACAGAAAAAAAACTTACCCATACACGCTGGCTTGACGCACGTCCGAATCCGCATCCGCGCTCCCTCTGACGCACGCGTCTGCAAACCCTGGTAAATATTTCATCGTCGCGCCGCCTTCGCTCGCGTGTTCGAACACGTCGTCGAAGATGCAAATCGCGATGCGTCGTTCCTCGGCGGACCTTTCTGGTGCAAACATCGGCGCAATCTTCGATTGCAACAACGGTTCGATGTCGGCTAAAATGTTCGACTTAAAACTCTTCAGCAAAGTACCGATGCATTCGGCAAACTGGTCAAACACCTCGTCTTCGGCGGCTTGTTCATCCTCCAACGCTTCCATCTCTTCTTCGTCGAAATCTTCCGTACTCGCGCGTTTGTTTCTTTCCGCGCGTCGCTCTAACGACTCCGTCAAAATTTCTTCAAACGTTTCGAGCATCTTTGGGATGAACTCTCTCACGAGCTCGCCTGATTCCCCGGCGCACTCGGCCAAAGCTTCCAACATAACCGCTTGAATCTCCACCTCGGGTTCTTTCCCTAACGCGGAAATCAACGGCGGGACGACGTAGTTGATAATTTGCTTCAACCAATCGAGAGTGCATTCCGGCCCAGATCTCTTTTCCACGCACCTTTTCGCGGCTCGGATGATATCTGCCAAAGACGCCACCGCCGCTCTTCTCACGTCTTCGTGGAAATAAAACTCGAGCAACGGGACCATAATTTCGCACACCGGCTGAATGTACGGCAAGAAACCTTCCTTCAACTCGTCCAAGTAGCAGCACAACATAGAACACGCCGTCGATTTTTCTTCCAGAATACTCGTTCGAATGGACACTCTTTTATCGCCAAACTCTAAATGTTCCAAATCGTCGTCTTCGTCGTCGTCCTCGTTTTGGTCGTCGGCGTCGTCGATGTTGACCACCGTCACGTCTGGTTTCAACTGCGCCGATTGTAACAACGGCGGCATAACCGTCGATAAATACGGGATAAAATCGGAACCCAAGCATTTACACACTCTCGTCCACGCTTGCAACATGTAACTGGTCGTTTGGTCGTCCGCGTCGAAACCGTTCGCTTGCAATTGTTGCATGATGTTCATCACCTCAATCGCGTCGCCGCTAAATCTTTGCTTCCCAACCGCCATACCAACTAACGTCACGCACTCGATCGCTTTCGCCCGCAACATCCGATAGTCTGGCGTGTTCGCGCTGACAATAATTTCTTTCAACAACGGCACGACGTGGTCGTAATATTTCGAAAACGTCTCTTGCGCCGTATCCGCCGTACTCGCCAACGCCGTCAGCGCCGATTCTTGGACGACTTTGTTCCCGGCTCTCAACAAACTCAGCAGCTTCGTCATCAAATCGTCCATGTACGGTTCCATACACTCGGGTGGGCAATTCTCGGTGAAATTGACCGTCGCCGCGCACGCGTGCGCTTGCACGCGAGGATTTGCGGCGTCGTCCATGCATCCCATCAACGCCGGCAACACCATCTTGTGCCCTTTCTTTTGCAATCTCGGTCCGAGATCGGTACACAGCTGACCTAAACAGTTTACCGCGGCCCATCTGACTCTCGGGTGCGGATCCGAGTTCGCCAAATGCAACGCCGGCGTCGCAGACCCGATGACGTCTTTCATCATACCTTTTTGACACCCCTCGGCGATTTGCGAGACGCAGTGCAACGCCGCGTGTCTCTTTCTCCAATCCGGGTCGCTCAAAAGCGCTTGGACCATCTGCGCCGCGTGACCTAACACCGCGTTCGGTCCTAACGCGATCGCCACGCGATCCAAGCACTCGCTCCCGACGTCAAACCTATCACCGTTCCCGGCGTCGTCGTTCTCCTCGTCGCCGCATTGGTGCCACTCCGGTTCGTCTTCCACGTCGAAGCAAAACACCAACAACGCTTTCAACAATCTCGGGACGAAATTCGGCAATTTTCGCATCATCCCCGGCGCGCGATCTCTCGCCTCCGTTAACGTCACCAAAAACTCGCACGACAACGACCGCGTCCCGTCTTCGTACTCCTCGTTTTCCATGATGCTTAAAAACGCCTCCACGATGTCCACCAAATGTTTCCTCACAAACCTCGGATCGGTTTCCGCCAACTCGATAAACATCGCCAACGCTTCTTGCGCGTCGTCTTCCGCCCCGCTTTGTAAACTTGCCCCTAACGTTTGCAACATCAGCGGCAACAAATCCTGAAACGCGTTTCTTTCCTCCGTGGAACTCAATCCCTCTACGAACGAACACGCCGCCGATAACGACGCCAATCTCACGTCGTTATTCGCGTGTTGCAAACTCGCTTGCAAAATCGAATGCAACGTCGCCAAGTGCGGTTTCAACCTTTCCCCTAACACGTTCGACAGCGCGCCAAAAATAAACAGAACCGTTTCTTTCAACTTATCCGACGCATCGTTCCCGCTAATCGCGCCAAACATAAACGGTAACAATTCCGGCCACTCGTCCCGTTCGTCGTCGATAGAGTGCGCGGCGACTTCAATCACCACGTCTCTCGTTTTATTCGTGATTGATTTGCTCGCCGTGTCCGTTCTCATCGAATCTTCTCGTAACGCGTTTAATAACTCCGTTTTCACCATCGAAACCACTTCACTCGTCACGCCGTTCGCTTCCGTCAAGGTAAACTCGCCCTCTCTGTTCGCGATCGATCGCCTCAATAAAACCGCGCTCATCTCTGCACTTTGTCTCGCTTTTTCATCCTGTACTTTCGTTGGATTCCTCAACGCGCGTAAAAGTTGTTTCACCGTGAAACCTAACTGCGTCGTCTTGCACAGTTCGAAGATCTTCTCGCATCGAGTTCGTTTCTCGTTCTCCGAGGAGGTGAGATTTGAAATCAACTCCAGAAACGGGTGGAGATTTTGCTCGTCTAAGAGCGTTCGCAATTCATTATTCGTCAAATCCTCCTCGTTGTTGTTACTCGCCATTATTACGCCGTGTTAAAATCTCAGAGAAAGAGTGTATGCTCTCAACACTACTACTCTGCCACACTCGTCTTCTTCTCTGAAATGAGTATCTCTGCGTTCTGTTCTGCAGAGAAGATATATATATAAAGAAGATGATGATGAGAAAAGATGAGGACTTTTTATTCTTCTTGTTTGAGTTTAAAAATTTGAGAGAGAAAGTTGAAACTCCTTTGTCCTTGTTTTTTGGCGGCTTGCTGAATACAAAAAAGCAACAGAAGACATTTTGACTGCACCTAGTTTTAGGGTTTTAAATGAGACCCTAAACACAAGGGTAAAAAAAAAATTAGAGAGAGAAAGAGAAGAGAAAAGACCAAAAAGGAGAGTTTTTTCCTTTTTCACAGAAAGAAGAAAAAAGGGCAAACTAGGAATTACAACTTTCTAAAACATGCCACACAGAATGTGGCGGGTAATATGTTGGTTTCAAAAAGCATGTTTCGAGCCCCGCGGAACGGAGTCGCGACGGTCCACCACGCCGTCTCATGGAAACATAAGACTTCGCCTCAGCAGGACTGAGACTTTGAAACGGGTTTTAGTAGTGCCGCCGACTAAAATACGCATATGGACTTAAACACATATGGTATATATATTTCAATCAAAAATCAACGTACTTCACCTATCAAAGTTTCTTCGATCGATCTCATGAGAGCCGAGTGTCATGATAGGCTGAGCATCGCAAATGGATGCTCGAGAGACGTTGTGTTGTCACATGTTTCTTCAATCCAAAAAAAAAGGAGAGAACTCTCGATTTTAATCGATACAAACTCCCCCACCGGTACTAAAATCCGTTTCAAATGAAAGGTTGGAATTCTTTCCCAAAAAATGCTCTTTCCTCCATGTAAAGTCGTCGTTGACTTCTTCTTCGATGAAGAAGAGAGAAGATATGCAATAACACGACGACAAAGAAAAGAACACAAAAAAGGAGAGAAACTCGCCCGCGCAAGTCAAAACTCTCCGTACTCGAACCCCCTTTGTCCGTTCTTTCCCAGCTCTTTTCATTCATTCAATCTGCCATGCATGCGGGAGGAGAGATACAAAAACGCTCGATTTGTATCTCTAAAACAGAAAGAAAGCAAACGATGAAGAAAAGAGCTCCCACCCTTCCACCCACTATCATCGATAGAGGTCTATCGATGAAAGCAATGCGTGTGACTTTCTCGCGCGCGTGCGCGCGCGCACGCAAAAAAAAAGTGATATTATATGCGCGCGCAAATGCGCGCAAATGCGCGCGCGAGAAAGTGAAGAGGAAATGAAAAAAAATTGTTTTTTAGATACAGATACAAAAGTTTCTCTTTCTCTTTCTCTTTCTCTTTCTTTTTCTCTTTCTTCTCTTTCTTTTTCTCTTTCTTTTCCCCCAATTTTCCCAGTTTTTCTACGTTTGGCACTTTTTTTATATTCTTTTTATCCAGCGTCTCTTTTATATAGTACACGTTCTGCTCTCTGTGACAGAGAGAGAAGAGTGATAAGATGGTGCTCTTTCTGTCCCGCGATGGTGGCTCTTTTTCATCCTCGTCGTCGTGTTCTTTTTTACCACCACCAGTGAGAAGAATGAGAAGAATAAAGAGTGCGAGTGAAAATCATTCGCATCCCCAATCGAAGAATTGTTGGAAAAAGCGACGACGAGACGACTTTATTATGTGCGCCAAAAACAACGCCTCTGCTTCGTATTCTTCTTCTTTATTCATAAAGAAGAAGAGACAAAGAGACAAAGGTATCGCGTCGTACTGGTCCGGTTCCGGCAGCGGCGACGGCCCGTCGTTCGGGGGTACGTCTGGAGGGTCCTCCTCCTCGCAATCCCAAGGAGGATCTTTCAACTCGGGCTCGTTCGACGAAAATTACGCGCAACAACAAAACTGGAACGAGTTCCCGAACAGAGAGGATTTCGAGAACATCGAGTGGCACTCGAAACCTTTGAACTTACGGTTTAAAGATTTACTCAAAGATGCGGACGATAGCGGGTTTTGGATCATATTTAGCACCGTCGGCGTTGGCATCGTGGCGTATTTAGAGTCGTGCGAAGAGCAAGCGATTAAGCAAGGCTTGCAGTTGTTCGACGTGTTGCCGGTGCAGTTTCCGGACTCGTTGGCGCCTTTGTTTACGTATTCGAGAATTGCAGACGGGGAAATCGTCTTACAAGGGATTTTCTTATTCGAGTTCTTCTTGCGGTTATGGACGGAGGATTTTAGCTTGCAATATTTGAGGAAACCGCTGGCGCTGATTGATTTCTTGGCCTTGTTGCCGACGTTTGGGTTTATTTTCGATTCGACGTTAGGGATTGGTGGAGGCGCGGCGATGGTTGCGACTGGGACCAATCAGTACAGACCTTTGAGAATTTTTAGATTGTTTCGTTTGTTAAGATTGTTAGATAAAGAAGGCGAGGAGGAAAAGAATAGAAGAAGAGGACGGAGACGAAGACGCAAGACGGCGAGGGAAATCGAGCTGGAACAACAAAAAGCGGCGGACAGAGAAATCACGGAAAAGATTGTGGCGGTGTTGGTGGAATTTTTGTGCGTGTTTTTAATCAGCGCGGAATTGTTTTTTGACATTGAATACGAGTCAAACGATAAGATTAGCGACGTCGGGGATGCCATTTATTGGTCGTTTTTGACGTTAACCGGCATCGGCCAGCCGTTTGAAGCTGTCACCGCGGAAGGAAGAGTGGTGACGGTGATTTCGATTTTGACCGCGCTGGTGGTGGTACCGATTCAATTAGCCGCGATTGCTTCGGCGAGATCGTCGAACAATGCTTCCGTTGCTGGTATGAGCGGCGGTGGGAACATCGCGCCAAGTTTAGGAATGATTTCAAGCGTCGCGACAAACGCGTCAAACGCGCAGCAGCAACAAATACAGCAACAAAAGCCGTCCCTGGTTACTACGAACGGTGTCAAGCCAAGTACAGGTACTGTGTCCTCCGTCACAGGAGCTGTTGATTTAACCAAAACGGACTTTGTGAATGATAACACCGTGATTTTAAACGGTGGTGGTGGTGATAGTACGAGTCTCATGGGAGGAGGAGGAGGAGGAGGATATTATCGACCTCAACCTTCGGATTGGGAATTAGACCGAAGTAAAGTCGAACTCGAAGCGGCGAGAAATCAGTTGTACGAATACGAAAAAGAGATTAAATACTTGAAAGCGATGAACCGGAAGTTAGATTTTGAGCTCGAACAAATGAGCACGGAGTTGCAAGAGAAGAAGAAAAAGTTGAAAAAGTTTGCGGCGGCGCAGCAGGCGGAATCGTCGAACGAAAACTGAATTTAGCGAGATACTTGGAGAGAATTTTGAATAATAATACTTAGCCCGGCGCACGCGCGTGTTGAAATGTGTACTTTTACTAATGCTACTACTATTAATATAGATTATGTTTATTTGAAATCAATACCGTCGTAATATGTGAGAGAGTTAAATATTAAATTGCTATATATAATTAATCCGAATCGCTCGGATACTTGATCGAATTCACCGCCGTGTCGTCAATCAAGCCGCCTCTGTACGTCGATCGTTTCCGCTTATTCTTCTCGTGCGTAAACCTCGCGCCTTTAACTTTCCCTAAAACCTCCTGCGCTTTCCACCCGACGCCTTTCTCCCCGAACGCCGCTTCGTACGTCATGTCCCAACTGCCTTTTTGTCCCAACCACTCTTCGTTCTTCACGCGTTGAAACGGTTGGTTCGGACCTTTCTTCGCGGGGACCGATTTCGCTTTCTTCGCGAAGTCTGGCACCTTCTCGGACACGTTCGCCGGTTCTGGCGTCGAGGCTTTCGCCTTCTTCTTGGCGGGTTCATCGTCGTCGTCGCTGCTGCTGCTGTTTTTGATTTGATAGGAGAGAGAGAGAAACCATCAGTAAAGTTTTACGACTTTTCGACCAACGCGACAACACTTACGAGGAGGATGATGAGGAACTGCTGCTACTACTGGAATCTTTCTCCTTCTTCTTCTCTCCTTCTTCTTTCTTACTACTGCTACTGCTGGACGATGACGAGGACGAAGACGATGACGAGTCCTTCTTCTTCTCCTCTTCCTCTTTCTTCTCGGACTCCGAGGACGACGAACTGCTACTACTCGAAGACGACGACTCTTTCTTCTCTTCTTCCTTCTTCTCGGATTCAGAAGACGAGGAAGAGCTGGACGACGAACTGCTCGAGGAGGAGTCTTTCTTCACAGGCGTCGGTTCTTTCACCTTCTCGGATTCAGATTCAGACGACGACGACGATGATGAGGAGGAGCTCGAAGACGAATCTTTCTTCTTTTCTTCTTCTTTCTTCTCGGAAGACGAGGAAGACGACGACGAGCTCGAAGATGATGAAGACGACTTCGGTGACGGCTCTTTTTTCTTTTCCTCCTCAGACTTGGAAGAAGAAGAAGAAGACGAAGACGAAGAAGACGATGAGCTGCTTTCCTTCTTCTTCGCCTCTTCTTTCTTTTCGGCGGATTCCGAGTCAGACGAAGAAGAAGAACTGCCGCTGCTGCTCGAGGACGACGACGACGAACTTTCGCCTCCTAAAATTTTCGCCTTCTTTTTAGCAGCCGATGCTCCTTCGTCCTCCTCCTCGTCATCATCTCTACTTCGTTTACTTCGTTTACTCTCCACGAACGCTTTGCACACCTCCATCAGCGTCTCGCCTTCTCCGCCTAATACTCTGCTTTCTTTGCACTCCTCTAACGCAGTTTTCACTTTTTTCAGTTGCGTCTCCGCGTTCAGCGCGGCAACCGTTCGCGAGAACAAACCGGTCGATTTCAAATACTCTTGAATTAACGGAAGGACATCCGCCAACGTCGGTTGTTGTTCGTCGTTATCATCATCCTCAGTGCTCCTCGCATCGTCAGAATTCTTCTTTTTGCTCGTCGTCGTCGCATCAACGTTTCCCGCAGCAGGCGAGGGAGAACGCCCCCCGAGAGAAGATCTCGTCGTCACCATTTAATAATATAAAAAAGAGTCGTCTAAAGTCTGTCGAACAGTAGTTCTCTCTCGCTTTCTGCTTCGTGTGCGTTCTGTTTTTGTTCTTCTGTGCGTTTACTACGTAAAACGCGCTTTGCGTGTTGTTGTGTTTACTTTTATAATGAGAGGAAAGATTACGATGATGATTGGAGCTTGAGCCGCCGCCAAAAAGTTTTAAGTGTGGAGAGAATTCTCGAGCAAAAACACACACAAGCTGCTTGAGAGAAAAGAGAGAGAAAAGAGAGAGAAAGAAGAGCGAGCAGTGCGTCGAAAAAGAAGCGCAAAAAAAAAGATGAAAAAACTCGAAGCTCTCGCCACTCTCTCTCTCTGTGAAGTTTCTCTCAAAATAAAGGAAAAAGAGGTGCTTTTCTACCGTCAAACTGTCGTAAAATTGTTCCATCAGTCCATTCAACGCTCTACTTTTTATCCTCTTTCTTCGTCCCCAGAACACACACATCCTACGACACCAAACAAGTACACAAGAAGAATGACTGATTCGAAAAGATCGAACGCCGCGGGCGAGAAGTACGCCTTGCGAGGGATCTACGGCTCCGAGCCGTACTGGCCGCAAGAGAAGCTGAAGATTTGCGTCACCGGCGCCGGCGGGTTTATCGGTGAGACTTAGTAGAGAGTAGTATTTATAGTATTTATGACGAGAGATGGAAAGGGGCGGCCCCGGTAATCGGACGCGATTCGATCTCTCGCGATTTGTGTTCTTTTTCTCGTCTCTTTTCTTCTCTCTCTCATTCTCTCGTCGCGTCGGTTTTGAAGAAATCGAACGAGTTTGGCGAGTGAGAAAGTCTCTTTGTTTCTTTCGAAAGCACTTCGCGCGCGTAGTACGCGTAAACACCGCGGAAGAAGAAGAGAAAGAAGAAAAAGCGATCGACCAAAATTATCCCATTGTGTGTTGGGAAATTCAGCGGCTGTCGTTGGGCCTCAGATTCATCTTTAAAAACAAACACTGACAAAAGCGTTTTTCTCATCTTTTCCTCCTTAAACAGCCTCGCACCTGGCAAAACGTCTCAAAGAGGAAGGCCACTACGTGGTCGGCGCGGATTGGAAGCGCAACGAGCACATGCCGGAAGAAATGTTTTGCGACGAATTTATCCTCTCCGATTTGCGTTTGTTCGAGAACTGCGCCAAGGTGTTGGAAGGATGCGACCATTGCTTTAACTTGGCCGCGGATATGGGCGGGATGGGCTTTATTCAATCCAATCACTCGGTTATCTTTTACAACAACATGATGATTTCGTTCAACATGGTTGAAGCTGGGAGAGTGAAAGGCGTGAAGAGATTTTTCTACGCGTCTTCGGCGTGCATCTACCCGGAGAGCGCGCAGTTGGTGACGGACTTATCCGCGGGTTTGAAGGAAGCCGCGGCGTGGCCGGCGCAACCGCAAGACGCGTACGGTTTGGAAAAATTGGCCTCGGAGGAAGTGTACAAGCACTACCAAGGTGACTTTGGCATGCAATGCAGAATTGGTCGATTCCACAACATCTACGGCCCCTACGGGACGTGGAAGGGCGGCAGAGAGAAGGCGCCGGCGGCGTTTTGCCGTAAAGCCGCCTTGGCTGAAGGTGAGATTGAAATGTGGGGAGACGGTAAGCAAACCCGTTCGTTCACGTACATCGACGATTGCGTCGAAGGTATCTTGAGATTGACCAAGTCTGACTTTGGCGAACCGTTGAACCTCGGCTCGGACGAGATGGTTTCCATGAACGAGATGCAAAAGATGACTCTCGAATTCGCGGGTAAACCGGACATGCCGATCAAGCACATTCCCGGTCCGGAAGGCGTGAGAGGCAGAAACTCAAACAACGAGTTGTGCATGGAAAAACTCGGGTGGGCGCCGTCCGTCAAGTTGGCCGACGGCTTGAAGGTGACCTTTGAATGGATCAGCGAAAAGATTGAAGAAGACAAGAAAGCCGGCACCGACGTCTCCGCCTTGGGAAAATCCACCATCTGTGGTACCATGGCCCCGACGGAATTGGGCGCCTTGAGAAAGAAGGACGGCGAAGAGGAGTTGGCCAAGTAAACGACGACGACTTTTAATCGGTGAGTTTTGATTTGAGGAAGAACCAACATTTACAACAACAACAACAACAACAACAACAACAACAACAACAACAACAAATTAGTAGAACGAGAGCGGGTGTGATGAACAGAGAAAAAGTTTAAGTGTTTAACGTAGGCAGCCAAAGGGATTGCTGCCAACATCAATACCTGAATATAATCAAACCGTAGCATCATTATCGTGAAGAAGAAATTTACTTTTACAAGATATACATATAACAAACAGTAAGCGTATATATATCGCGCCGCCGGCCGCTAAAAACCAAAACATCTACTTTAAAACTATTAAGCTCTACTACTTAAAATACAACCGGTAGGAAGTGCGTCTCCCCACCGGACAAACTCTTTAATTCGTCCTTCTTCTTTTCCACGACGACTGCTCTGCACAAAGGACACGTCGTGTTGTCCTTCTCGAACCACGGTTCCACGCACTCCTCGCAAAATACGTGATCACATTCCAATTTCAAAGGCGCTATGATTTCCTTCTGTTGACAAATGGCGCATTCAAACTCCAAACCGAGCTTTTCGACGTCCGCTTTTGTCGCGGGCGTGCCGTGAGCGCAACTGAACGCTTTGGACCCGAAATCGTAACGACGCGAGAAGGCGCGCGTAAACTCGTGTACCGATTTCGACGTTTTGAACAGAGCGCAAGCGAGATAAGAGCCGGCGAGCGCGGACGAGAGGAAGAGGCCAAACAGGCTGGCGTTTTGGAAGTACGCGAACCAGATCGGGATCGGGAGGACAGTTTTGTACGAGATGGCCGCATACTCGATGGCACTTATTGTTAATCCTCGAGCGCGGTACGGTCTTCGCGCGTCTTTCCCGCCTAACGGTTGTTGGTCGTCGCTTTCGAGCATCACCATCGTCGTTCCTCCTCCGCTTTCGACGTCAACCACGCTTTGTCGACGTTGTTGTTGTTGTTGTTGTTGTTGTTGTTGTTGTTGTTGTTGTTGTTGTTGCTGCTGCTGCTGCTCATCGCCGACACCTGGCTCGCTATTCGTGCATTCGTCCTCGTCGTCCTTCTCCTTCTTCCGAAACCGGCGCAAGCCTCCAAAACCCATCACGAAATCCTTCGCGCTCCTCGCGTCCAACTCTGAAACCATCTTCGCGACGCGCTCTACGTTTCCTAAAATACCCCCACTACTCGTCGTTTGCGTCGCCGTCGACGTCGTCAAAACGCACAGACACTTCAACGCGTCAAACATAAACCGCGCGTTCAAATTTATCGCCACGATTTCAAACAAACCTTCCCACGCGGTGAACTCGTTCCTCGTCGGCGTCTTCGCCAGGACGCGTCGCCACATTTTCGGCGACTCGTCCGCGTCGTCCAACTTTGTCGGCACTAAGAACAAAAACGCGTAAGAGACACACACGCAGTGCACGAAATCTCTCACCACGTTTTTGCGAATGAACGCTTCTTTCTTTGCGATTTCTTGGACTAAACTTTCGCTCGTTTTCAAGTGCCAGGCGAATAAGGCGACTATCACGCACAGAATTTTCCAGTGAAAACTGAAGAAAACCACCGAGAAGAGCGAGATGTACGGCAACATCGGTTTCATTTTTCGAAACACTCTCTGAAGATCCGAGCGGATGGTCATTTCCTCCGCGTTCGCGTCCTCGCTCTCTTCGTCGTTTTCTTCGATATCTTCATCCTCCTCCTCCGCGACGACGACGATGTTCTCGTCATCAGGAGTACCATTCCCGGGATTGTCGTCGTTTCCGTCGCGCGTGGAAAGCATCGTCGTCCTCTCGTCGTCCTCCTCCTCGTTATTGTTGTTTAAAGCACCACCTCGACCACCTCGACCACCACGACTGCTCTCGGCAGCATCGTTAGTCACGGCGTTGTTCACACCGGCGGCAGCTCTTCTCACCGCGTGTTCGTGCGCGTCGACGAGGAACCGCCACATATGATTCTTTTAATTGATGAAAAAAAAGTTGCGTCTTTTTTTTTTTTTTTTTTGGTCAACGCTTTCTTTTTTTTTTTTCTTTGCACAGACACACAAGAGAAAAAAGCCCGAAAGCCCCTCATTATATACGCACTGCTCTACTATTTACCTCTCTCGTTCTCTCTCTTAGAAAATAAACGAGATGACGGACAACACCAACGAGATCGCGACGACGACGGACCACCAACCTCCTCGCGTGCGACAGTGCGTTTTTGTTCTCTCTCTCTCTCTGCTTTTTTCTCTCTTCTTCTTTTGTATTTTTTTAATGTGTGCGCGAATGTTTCCCCGCATGTTGCATTTCGGGAGGAAGAAGTAACTTTTCATTCTCTCTCTTTCTCTTTAGATGGCTCCATCGATTTGGACTTCAAAAGTATTCCGAAACCTTGCGAAAACTAACGAACGAACAGTTCTTAGAGCTGAAGTTACACCCGGATTTCGCCAAGCACGAGATATTCGACACCGCGGATAAGCAAAAGTTGCAAAAAGCGATTTCGTGCTTGAGGAAGGAAAGAGCGAAATTTTCTTCTTCGCAAATATCGACGGGGTGTGTTCTTGGGTCGTCGCCGTCGCCGAGGAGAAGCGAGGGTGGGAGTTCGATCGTGTCCTCGAGCTCGTCGTCGTCTTCGTCGTCGTCACCGAGAAATACGACGACGAATGCGACGAATGTTGGAGGCGCGGCGAAAACGCCGAGAAGTAACGGCGTCGGCGTCGGCGCGAGGAAGACGAGCGTTCAGTCGCATCAGCAACAGCAACACCAACAAGAGAAGAGTAATTTTCAAGTGAATCAGAGAAAGCGCTCACCATTGACGGTAATTTCTTCACCATCTTCGTCTCTGGTATCGAGTACGAGTACCACCGAGCCTCGCGATTCGATGGCGAATACTAGCAGCAGCGGTAATAATAGCGCCAACTCGAACGCTATCGTCTCCGTGTGGCAAAAGAACAATTTAGTCAACGTGCAAAGAAGTAGGAACAATAACGCAGACGGTTACTATAATAATAATGCTAACGACGAAGACGAAGACCCTCGCATTCGCGTTGTCGTTCGCGCGCGTCCGTTAGCACCCCGCGAGATTGCAAAGAATGAACGCAACGTCTGCGACGCCGACCCGGACTCGAAGACTTTGACCGTCTTTGAACCAAAAGTGAAAGTTGATTTGACGAAGTTCACGGAAACGAGCGAGTTTGTGTTCGACGACGTATTCGGCGGATACTGCTCGGACGATCGCGTGTACGATAAAACTGTCGGTCCTTTGGTTCGTTCGGTTTTATGTGGCGGTAACGCGACGTGTTTCGCCTACGGTCAAACCGGTAGCGGCAAGACGTATACGATGGCGCCTTTGCCTACGCGAGCAGCGAAGGAGTTGTTGAGTGGATTTGCCGAGTTTAACAAAGTGTTCGAGGAAGAAAAGAAGAAGAATGAGTGCCCCGAGAACGGATTGAACGATGCGGCTCCAACTTCTCCAAACAACGAAGAAGACGTCGGCCAAAAAATTGAGCTTTGGGTTTCCGCCTACGAAATATACGGAGGTAAAGTGTACGATCTGTTAGCCTCTCGAGAGAAACTTCGAGTTTTAGAAGACGCGAAGAATCAAATGCAAATCGTTGGTTTATCCGAGTTTCTCTGCGAAAACGTGAGCGAAGTGGAAACGTTGATTGAACGGTCGGCTTTAGAGAGGTGCGTCGGGCAAACGGGCGCCAACGCGGAAAGCTCGCGGTCGCACGCGGTGATTCAATTATGGATAAAAGAGCGGTTACTCCCAACAAAAGCTCGAAATGGTCGACAGAAAAGTATATATCAGCGCCAGCAACAACACGATTTGATGATGAATTCGCATCGTCATCCACAGCTTCAAAATAAGAGATACCATCGAAAGCCGCTCGGAAAATTTTCTTTCATCGATCTCGCCGGTTCCGAGCGCGGCGCGGATACCACCGATACGGACCGCCAGACGCGAGCAGAAGGCGCAGAAATTAACAAATCTTTATTAGCGTTGAAAGAATGCATTCGCGCGTTGGATGGTGGCGCGACGCACGTCCCATTTCGCGGATCGAAGTTAACCGAAGTTTTGCGAGACTCGTTTTTAGGCGATAGTCGAACGGTGATGATTGCGTGCGTTTCTCCAGCCGCGGGTAGTTGCGAACACACGTTGAATACGCTTCGTTACGCAGACAGAGTGAAAGAATTGCGGAGTAACGTTGTTGGATCTCTACCGTCGTCGTCGTCATCTTCTGCAATCAGCGATGCTCCCGCGAGAAAGGCGTCGCTTCAAACATCATCATCGGTTGCTACTATTCCTGGAAAGCGAAGACCGGCTTTTGATCTCTCGTTTTGCTCGCCCGAAAGTGAACGAGCAGTAGAAAACAATCCTGCTCTGCCTTCTTCTTCAAATTCTTCTTCTTCTTCTTCGAGTCCAACATCCGCTGAGAAAACGCTCGATCGACATCAGCGGCCAGAGAAAAAGAAGGATGAAACGAACGAGAAAGAACAATCATCACGAAACCCGCTCGAAGCCGATGCTGAGATCAACAGCAAAACTGTCGTCGATGTTGTCGATGACGACGACGATTCAGAAACATCTCACCTTCTCTTTGAAAAATACGCCACCTCCCTTTCCCCGCCTCAACTCCAACGCCAACACGAAAAGCTCATCGAAACCATCTTAAAAGAAGAATTCGACTTGATCGACGCGCACCGCTCGCACGTGGAGCAATCCGTCACTCGCGCCTCGGACGCCGCCGAGCTTCTCCGCGTCGTCGACGAACCCGGTTCAGCGGTCGACGAATACGTCTTCCACTTGGCCAACTCGCTCGAGAGACAGCGCAAAGAGCTCGATCAGCTCTCCGCTCGAGTGCGGAAGTTTCAATCGCATTTGAGGAAAGAAGACGTGCTCTCGAAATTGAACATCAACAGCACAAGCGGTGCCGCAAATAGACAGGCAGCAGAGAGGAAATGATCAAAGCATCGTCGTGAATACTACTATAATACTACTACTAATGATCACACTCTTTTAGTACATTTTCTTGCTTTTTCTCTTTCCTTCGTGTATTTTTTACTCCTGTCTCTTCACTTTAACGCGCTTCTTGGTCTTCTTCTTCCGAACTTTATACTACTAATAATGGTATTCGAACGCGCTCGTCTGCAAACGCTCTGGCGCACGCACCGCCTCAGAGTCGTTGGGGGTTCTTCTTCTTCTGTAAACGATAAAGATTGTCTTTTCGCGTTGCATCGAATTCTGATCGGCGAACAAGATCTCGACGTGGAAACGCTTAGATTTATCCACGAAGCGAATAAATGTCCGTTTCATCCGGAGACATTACCGATGGCGGTTACAAGAATGGCGAGCGATGAAGACACCGCTATCGTCCAATATTATTTAGAACACGTGTCGAGGAACTTTCTGGAAAGGAACCAAAGAATGGTGAAAAGAGCGGCGATGTATTGTTGTAAGTTTGGGTATGAAAAGACGTTGAGATTGGTCGTGGAAACGGTAAGGCGAAGAGCACCAATGGTGTCGCCGTGGTCGCCGTGGTGCTTGTTTTGGTGCAAACAGGGAGGTTATGGAGATATTTTGAATTTCTGTGTGCAGAATGGGTGTCCAGAAGTACACTTATACGACAACAACGAGTTGTATTCTCAGGGAGTACTTGGACGATCGATTCGTTTGGGCGTCCCGTACTATCGAAAATGCATGCGAGCAGAAAATCGACCGAAGAATTTACCGTACTGTTGTGAACTGCACAGAACGTGTTGCACGTGCGCAGGTTTTGGTCATATCATGAAAACCGTGCGCATTCCTCGAACCGGTGGTTCGTTCCAGGAAAAAAGTATTTGCGACGCCTGTCGCGGTCTCGGCGTCTTCCCCGAGCGAGATCGAGACGGTGATATTTTCTTCGACGCTGTCCTCGCCGCGTAACTTTTTAAGAACGAGATATATGCGAGGTAAAAACTCTTTCAATTTTTTCTACTTCTTAGTATCACAATCGCGCGTTTCTCTCCTCCTCCTTTCTCTCTGTTTCTATCTTTCACTCTCTCTCTCTCTCTCTCTCTCTCTTCTCTCTCAATTCAAAACGATGACTTCGTTCTCCGCGTCCGTCGTCGCCCTCTCTCTCTTCTTTCTTCTTTCCTCTTCTTCGACAGTACCTCGTTTGGATTCGAGGAGCGCGTCGATTGCACCGTCGACGTTGCCGTGCGTTTTCACGAGCGCATCTTTGAGGTTATCCGAGCTGAACCGCGCGTTCAGTTGCATATTCATCGCGAGAAGTTTCTGTCGCATGACCGAAACTTTTCGATCCGCGGTGCGCTCGTCGTAAAAAAAATCTTCTTCTTCGTACTCGTCTTCTTTCTCGTCGCGGCGAGCGAAACGCCCTCCTTCTCTTCCACGTGCTGCCGTTTGTGCTCTGGCTCTCGCGTACGCGCCGGGTGTCCATCCTCTTTTTTTCACCGTCGCGAAATGTTTCGCTTTCGGCTTCGCCACGATTTTCCCGTCCTTCTTTACGAATGGATTTTCGATAAAAAGTTTCTTTTGCGCTTTTTCCTTCTTCTTCTTCTCCTCGTTCTCTTTCAAAACTTCGTCCAGCGTCTGCACTCGCGTACGTTTATGCGGCGTGTCGTATTCCGGGTGCACTTTGAGGAACTTCTTATCGCTCGTGATGTTTTCTCCTTTGACGAGTAAGATCTCGTCGTCCAAGCCGTTGTTCACGAAAACTTTAATTCGATGTCGGTTTCTCTCTCTGTCGTAGTTGAGCCAAAGCGCTTTGCGACCGTTGTACGCCTCGCCACTTTTCATGCCGACGATGATGACTTCTTCGCCTGTTTTGCGCGTCATCGCGTGTGCCCGTGTTTTACAACGCGCGCGCCCGTCGTGTTTTCAAGATATAAAAATATGAGGAAAAAAACGTCTTTCAGTCAATTGAAAAGACACATGTGCCATTTGTTTCTTGTAGTGTTGTTCGAAATAAAAGTAACGCAAGAACGCAAGAAGAACGCGCGCCATGGCACCTAAACGCAGTCCAACAACAGCAGGACTCGGCCGAGGAAAACGCGCGAAAAACAACCTCGTGTGTATCGTCGGGTTAAAAAATCGTCCGGATCTCAACGGGAGATATGGAACCGTGATCGCTCACGACAAGAGTACCGACAGATACACCGTGAAAGTGAGTGGCAAAAAAAACGAAGAAGAAGAATCCGTGCTTGTGAAGAGCGAGAATGTAACGAACGTTGACTCTAAGAGAGCCATTCAAGCGAGGAAGAAAGGGCAGTTCAACACGTTAGAGAAGCTGTTCGCGAAGAAGACAGGTGGGCAGCAGCAGACGGAAGAAGAAGACAGGGCGGCGAAAACGCATATTTTCACATCTCCCAAAGTCAAGGTGAAGAAAGAGGAGCACGGAAGCACTGACGACGACACCAACGACGACGACGACGAGGGAGACAAACGCGAGCAACACCAAAAAACTTCCGCGAGAGAGCGAAACAACAACACGGTGGTCGACGCGGGAAACACAGTGTCTCCTTCTTCTTCGTTTCCTCGGTTCCCACCGGACGGTACCGCAGTTCCCGGCCCGAGCGCCTCGTGGTTTCTCTTTCAGCTCCAAAAAAGAGAGAAAGAAAGAGGAAGAGAAAAGAAAGCAAAAGAGGGACCAAAAAAACTAATTTAGGGTTTAAATTTTCTTTTTTCAGTTTGTGTAAAATAAAAAACAGACCACGTGGCCTCTTGTGACCGCGCGTTTGCATCTCGCGCAGATTTCTCTCGTGTGGTCGTTTCGAGCCGTTTCTGACCAGAAACTCGGACGTTTTCTGTTGATGCGTGTAATCGTCATTGATATCAGCGCTTCGTATATACACACACGCACACACGCACAGACGATACCCTTTGTTTGTTCTCGAACGTTCAAAGTTATACACATCGTACCTTTTTTAAACAACTTTTAATTTAACACTAAACAAAATGTTACGTCACGCCAGCAAACGCGCTTTGCGTCACTCTGCTTTGTCCGGGACGAAGGCCACGTCGATGACGCCGATGATTTCTGCAAACGTCGTCGGGCAACAACACGTTCCTACTGTCGCGCAACCCTCTTCAGCGAACGCGAGACGATCGAAACACGAGGAGGCGAAATCGAGAGACCCGAGATGCCAACACGATTGGACGAAACCGTTCCACGCGAGTCCGTTACCCTTGGACGCGGCGGGTGGGCTTTTGGAGTACTCCGTGGTGTACACGGACCGGTCGATGAACCACATGTCGAAGCCGTTTTGCGACATCATGAAAAATTTGAACGAAAGTTTGAAAGAGGCGTACAACGCGGCGTCGGTAATCATCATGCCAGGGTCCGGGACGTACGGGATGGAAGCGGTGGCGAGACAGTGGTGCACCGGGAAGAAGGCGTTGGTTTTGCGCAACGGGTATTTCTCGTACAGGTGGACCGATATCTTCGAGCAAACGAACATCCCGAGCGAAACTATCGTGATGAGAGGACAACCGGTGGATCCGGAGAACGCGCAGCCGCACTTTGCGCCGGCGCCGATTGAAGAGGTCGTGAAGACGATCATGGCGGAGAAACCGGCGGTGGTTTTTGCGCCGCACGTGGAGACGTCAACCGGTATCATCTTGCCGGACGACTACATCAAGCAAGTCGCGAGCGCGGTGCACGCGCACGGGGGTTTGTTTGTTTTGGATTGCATCGCGAGTGGTCACGTGTGGGTTGACATGAAAGAAACCGGCGTGGACGCTATTTTGTCCGCCCCGCAAAAAGGTTGGACCGGGCCGGCGTGTTCGAGTGTGATTATGCTCGGGGAAAGAGGCACGCACGCGACGAGAAACACGACGAGCACGTCGATGGTCATCAACATGAGAAAGTGGTTGGAAGTCATGGATTCGTACGTCAACGGCGGGTTTGCGTACTACACGACCATGCCGACGGACGCGTTGTCCTTGTTTAACGGAGCCGCGAACGAAACGAAGAAGATTGGTTTTGAGAAAGTCAAACAAATGGCGTGGGATTTAGGCATGGGCACGAGAAAGATGATGGAATCGAAAGGCTTGAAATCCGTCGCCGCGCCTGGTTTCCAAGCGCCCGGTGTGGTCGTCTCTTACACCCCGGAACCGAACATGTTTAACATCTTCAAGGGTAAAGGGATGCAAATCGCCGCGGGCGTGCCGTTTATGATCAACGAGCCCGCCGGTAACTTCACCTTCCGCATCGGTTTGTTCGGTTTGGACAAGGTTGTCAACAAAGACCGAACGATTAGCATCTTGGAAGAAAAGTTGGACGAAATCCTGCCGGAAATCGAGAAAGCTGAAGCCGAGAAGACGGCTTAAATATATTTTATAACGTGTGCGTGTAAATGGCGAAGACAAAGAAGAAGACCAAGAAGAGATTTGAGGAAAAAGAAATAAAGCGAGGAGAGAAGAGAAAAGCGAACCGCGGGAAAGAAAGAAGAGATACTACAGTTGTACAATACATCAGAGAACGAATCAATATCGAAAACAACACATTAAATATATAAATATATATAGAGCAGTTGTATTAAAATTACTATTATAACTACCATACGTACTGAATCCTTCCTCCTTTCGATCCCGTCGAGACCGCGCGTACGAGTCGTTGTCGTCAAAAAGGCACCTCCAATGCTTTGAAGAACAAGTCGTTACAAGAAAAAAACGTCCTCATACACAAAAGAAACATGACCGGCTGCTTGAACTCCTATTATTCGCGAGGTCTGTCGCCGCTCGTGACAAAACACATGCATTCCCCTATTAGGAGCATCATCCGTGGTGGTAGTCATCGCGCACCCGTCGTCGTTGTCCTCGGGGAAATTCAACAACGTCGAGGTGGCGGCTCCTCTTCTTCTTCATCTGGAGGCGGCCGAGGTCAAGGCGGCCGGGGAGACCGACGACGATCTTCTGAAGAGGATTACAAGATAACTTTACGTTCTATACGCAAAAATTCAAAAAGGTTCGACACGGACGAGCAAGTTTCCGAGATGTACGCGCGCTCGGCGTTGTTAAAAAAAGCGCACGAATCTGGCATGCCAGCGGTGCAATTGGCGAGCGGGAAGGCGAACATTTTCATGGACGGGAATCCAATCGTGTACGGAGGTGCGATTGATCGTATGGAGAACGACCCGAAAGATGGACAAGTTGTCGGAGTGTTCGATCATAATCAACGACCGATCGGGTGGGGAACGTTTAATTCGAGCAGCATGTTTCGCGTGCGGATGATGGAGTTGGCGAAGGAGACGGAGTCGCCGATTTTGATTAAGCGGGTGGTGAAGAAGAGGATCGAGGAAGCGAAGATGTTGAGAGATAAAGTTTTAGATCTTAAAAATGGAAAAACGAATGCGTATAGGTTGGTGAATAGCGAAGGCGATCGGCTTTCAGGGATAATTATCGATAAGTACGGGAACGACAACCATTTCGTCGTTTCTTCGTCGGCAGGTTGGGTGGAAGCGCAAAGAGGCGATATCATCGAGGCGTTGAGAGAGGTGATGTTGAAAGAAAACGAAAACATGACGGTTGTGTGGAGAAGAGACGTAGACATGTACGCTTTAGAAGGTGTCGGGGTGACCGAAAAGGTATCCGTGTACGATAAGAACGGCGACGACGCGTCGGCTTCGTTGCCGAGCGAGATTGAAATCACTGAGAACGGGGTGAAATATTTGGTCAATCTGACCGAAGGGCACAAAACGGGGTTTTACGTCGACCAACGCGACAATCGAGCGTTTATCGGTGAGTTGAGTAAAACGAGTAACGATAACAGTGATTTCAGCGTCTTGGATTGCTGCACGTACACCGGCGGCTTCGCCATCAACGCCGCCGTGGCGGGATGCAAAAACGTCACCGCCGTCGACTCCTCCAAAATAGTCCTCTCCATCGCCGCAAGGAACGCCGAACTGAACAACGTCCAGGATCAAATCAATTTTGTTCCCTCCGACGCCTTCGATTACCTCGACGACTGCATCGCCAACAACCGCCAATACGACGTTCTCGTGCTCGATCCTCCCAAGTTCGCGCCTACGGTCAAATCTTTATCCAAATCGCTCTTAAAATACATCGGATTAAACGCTCGCGCCATGCGATGCGTCAAACCAGGCGGTATTTTAATATCCTGCAGTTGCTCCGGAGCAGTCACGCAGCGAAAACTGTTACCATCCATCGTCTTTGAAGCTTCCCAAGCGGCGAACCGAAGGATCGCGAAAGTCCGCGACGGCGGATGCGGCGCCGATCAACCGATCGACCCCATGTTCCCAGAGGGTGAATATTTGAGCGTTTTAGCCGTGCGCGTGATGTAAGGAGTACATTTCCTCTGGCCGTTACATAAAACCACACGATAGTGATGATGATAGAAATTTTGTATTTGTTTTGCGAAAGTGTTGCTGTTTATATACACGTGCTTACTCCTTAAAAGGTCGAATAAAAACAACTCCACAAAAAAAAGGTAATCCATCTTTTGCAAAGCATTACGTTTTATTAGTCGTGGGGGGTGTTGTGTGTTTGGCACGATGGGCCTGGACTTGGACTCGTGCATAGAGCGGGTATGTTTTTTCGTTGTGAAACTCTTTACATTCTCTCTTTCGCGCGTCTCTGCAAGTAGTATTATTTCCGTTTCATCCATTTCTCTTCTTTAGGTCTCGCCGTCGTCTTGTACTCACGAACTTCTCTCTCTCTCTCTCTTTCTTCTGTGAATGAAACGCTAAATGACAAAACATAAAACAGATTAAACGGTGCGAATCTCTGACCGAACCGGAACTCGAACAGCTCTGTTTAAAATGCAAAGACGTGCTCGTGGAAGAGTCGAACGTGCAACCGGTGTCCTCCCCGGTGACGGTCTGTGGGGACATCCACGGGCAATTTCACGACCTGTTGAAGCTGTTCCAAACTGGAGGGGAAGTGCCCGAGACGAACTACGTCTTCATGGGGGACTTCGTCGATAGAGGATATAACAGTTTAGAAGTGTTCACGCTGTTGATGTTGCTCAAGGTGAAATATCCGGCGCACGTGACGCTGTTGCGGGGGAATCACGAGAGTCGACAGATTACGCAAGTGTACGGGTTTTTCGACGAGTGCACGAGGAAGTACGGGAACGCGAACGCGTGGAGGTGGTGCACGGACGTTTTTGATTACTTGACGTTAGCGGCGGTGATTGAAGGGCGCGTTTTGTGCGTCCACGGGGGGTTAAGTCCGGATGTTCGGTCGATTGATCAAATTCGGACCGTGGATCGCGTGTGCGAAATTCCTCACGAAGGCGCGTTTTGCGATTTGATGTGGTCTGACCCCGAGGATATCGAACGGTGGGCGATTTCGCCGAGAGGCGCGGGATGGTTGTTCGGGCGAAAAGTTGTAGAGGAGTTTAACCACGGGAACGGGTTAGAGTTAATTGCACGCGCGCATCAGCTCGTCCAAGAAGGCTTGAAATACCAGTTCCCGGAGAGGAGTTTAGTCACCGTCTGGTCTGCCCCGAACTACTGTTATCGGTGCGGCAACGTAGCCTCGATGTTAAGTTTTGATAGCGAAATGGATAGGTCGGTGAAATATTTCACGGAAACGAGCGAGAATGCAAACATGTCCGCGCCGAGAAACATAGCCGCCGGGTATTTCTTATAATAAGAGAGAGAGCGAAGGAGTTTAGAATATAAAAGTAGCGAGATAGCAGAGAACATTATGGGTATAGCACAGCAGAATGACCGAAACCAGCGCGTATATTGTAATATAGATACAATTATATACTACGTATGTACTAGGTATTCGTTTCTCTCTTTCTCTATTCTATTCCGCCTCCGGCTCTCTATTATTATAAATACGCGTGTTAATACATCAAGTGTGTTTTGCTGCTGCGTTTTCGGCGGCGGCACATTCTTTTGCAGCAGCAGCAGCACATCTCTTTCGTCTCTCTCTCACCAATATTAATTCTTCTTGTTCATTTTCAAGCTCATCTTCGCTCGCAATCGTTTCAGCTCTTTCTTCTTTCCTTTCACTTCCAAAGGCGTCTTCGCGTCCGTCCAATTCGAAAGCTCTTCTTTTTCCAACTTCGCGATCGACGCGTTCAATTGTTCCCGTTTTTTATAATCCATATTCCGGTCGTGCGGATTGATTCTCTTCGCGGGCGTTCGCGATTTCGAGCGGTGCGTTTTACCCAATACACCGAGCGTGCCTCGGTTGCCGCGTTTAATCACCGGTTGGCGTTTGATTTTGCCCGCCATTTTGGATGTGTGTTTGTTGTGAGGAGGAAAGGTGTGTGATGAGGAAACTCGCATCAAAGAGTCGGACGATGATTCGTGTACATTTTTTTTTTGCATTTTGATTACACCCCATTATTACAGTCTCTTCTTGAGTAGCACTAGTTTTACAGTTTTTGTTGTGCGTGTTCTGGGGTACTTTACAGTTCTCGATGTTTAAGATATTTGCGTTCCGCTCCGCCCGCGGATTCTTTGATGATAGCGTACAAGATTCCGGATTCTTAAGCAAACGCTCGCGACCGAAGGTGGTTCCACGCTTCTCTTCTCGCGCTCACGCGTGCGCCTCGGTGTTTCTGTACACCTCGTACGCCTCGCCGTCTTCAAAGATGATCAGCTGTCCCGGTTGTACCTTCGTCTTCTGTTTTCGTTGCACTTTCCTCGTCTGTCCTTTCGTGGACAACAGAAACGAGCCGTGCACGGCGGAAACTTCCAACTCTCGGTCATCCTTCCCGGAAACAGAGAACTGGATCGCGTTCTTATCCACTTGAAGGACACCTCCGGACGATTTTACCAGACGGTTCACGTCGATGGCTTCGATCGGACAGTGGCGTGGTGCGGACGACACGCGGTCCAGCCCGTGGTCGCCCGTTCGTGATTTTTCGCAATCCGGGGCATCCAACACCCACTTTTTATTTGTGATATTTTATCGAATGTTGTATTCGTCGAGGATGAGAAGGATGTGAGGAGAACGCGCAAAAAAGGTGAGTAGTCGCGAGGAAAAGAGCGCAGAGTGTTTAAGAGTAAGAGTAAGAGTAGTACAGAGGAGCACTTCCGCGCTTCTCGATACTCGTTAAAGATGTGAGAAAAAAAATATCTTTCAACAGAAAAGAATTGGAAAGAAGATCTCTCGTTTACCTTGGTCACGTTCGTGACCACCAAACTTCTTCTCCCGTTTTGCTTGGTGCGGTGAGCGACCGCCGAGATGCTCGTTGCAAAACGTGTCGTCGTCGTCGTAAACATTATTTTATCTTTCGCAGTAAAAGTGTGTCGTTGTTCCTCCTGATGTGGTCTTCAATACTATGAAGAGAATTCAGAGCAAAAAGGGCGAAAAGAAAAGAAAAAATGCTGAGCTGGCAAGAATTTAATTGACTAAATAATTGAGAGCAGCAAAAAGCTTGCTTCAGATATAAATAACACGAGAAAGGATGACGATGCTTTCGAGAACTCCGGTGGTCGTTTCTTCGCCCTCTTCTTCGTCGAAGAAGAAGAGGCGCGAACGACTTTGTCGCGCGAAGGCGACGTCATCAAAACCGAACAACGCGTCGACCACAAAAACGCCAGTTCCCGAAACGAAGAAAACGGACGTGATGATGATGATGTCAGGGAAAACGCAGCGACGGAGAGACGTGTTCGCCGTGGGGGTTCTTTTCCTCTCTCTGGGTGCTTCTTCTTCGAAGGAAAGCGCGTTTGCCTACGGTACGGGAGGATGGAAAGATTGCGAACCGATCTGCGACTCCTTGAAAGGCGGCTTCGCCGCGCAGCAAAAGTTGCAAGAGGAGATGATGCGACAGTCGATGGGTGGTGACGACACCGGTGCTGAAGCGAAAGAGGAAAGCAAAGGCAAAAAAGCCGCAGTATCGGAGAGGGAAAAGAGGAAGAAGAACTTGAGATAGATGGAGAGAGAGAGAGAGAGTTTGGTGTCGTTATGAATGCGAATAGTATAACACCCAGATTCGTTCGTTTGTTTGCGCCGCGCTCGCGGTAGTATTATTAAGTTATTATTATTCCTTTAGCGTATTCAATCCGCTCGTTCCGAGTAACTCCAACTTCTCGAACGCGTTTTTGAAATCCGCGAAGAACTTTTTCTGATCTTTCGCGTACACGTCCACGTATTTTTTAAAGTTTTCGTCTTCCAATAAGACGATATCGGACGGTAACATCATGAGCTGCCCGCTCGGATCTTCGTATTGGAATTTTTTCGTCTTTGTATTCTCGGTCCATTTGAGGCCTTTCAATAAGCCGTAATAGGAGTTATTGAACAACAAAGGCGTGGAGGACCACGGGCCGACGTAACCACTGGCATCGGCGTGACACCTTCCCAAGGCGTGCGCACCAGATAACGCGACAATCTCCTGGTCGTCGAATCCCATTCGATAAAAGACGTCTCTCAAACCTTGCGTCGTTTTTGGTCCGGCGTGATCGCCTTTATCCGCATCAGGTAAGCGCCCATTCGGAGTCACTTTCGACGGGTCCATCTCGTCCACTCTTCCGTATTTAAACTCCATGGTTGGCCCGCCCATTTCTTCGATGGCGACTTTCCCCGCGTACGCGTACATATCCGCGTACGAAATTTTTGGATTTCGCTCCTTGATCGGTTCCAAAGCCGCCACCATCTTGTCCAACCCGGCGTTGCCGCCGTGCGCGAGTTCTTCCTTAAACCGAATAGTTCCACCAGATGAACCCCCGGTTTGTGTCATTTTATCGTACGTACCTGATGAATGCCACGCTAATCGTACCAAAGTCGGCCCTAAGTTTGCGTCTTTTTCCATCAAAGCTTTCACGTCTTTTCTCAATTGTTTAAAATCTTTTTCCGAGTCAGCCGCCTTGTTGAGAGAGGATTCCCCGTTGGATGCTCGAGCAAACGGCGGGGCAGATCCTTGCACGACTGTACTCATCCCTACCATACCCACGATGCCTACGAGTGCTCGAAACACGTCTCTTTTCGTTAACGAGAGGTGAATGAGGTCTTCGTCTGATTTGAGGACGCAGTATTCAATCATGTCTTCTTCTTCCTCGATTGGATTAGGAGTCGAATTCATTATTAATAATTTACCCTCATCGTCCGATGAGAATGATTTTGATCGAAAAGTGCTGATTGATTTTTTCTGCTTTTGTTGTTGTTCCTTAAAGGAAGAAAAACCACCACCACGAGCGACGCATCTGTTGCTGTGCGTATTAGTATCACTACCACCCGACGTCAACGAAGAAGAGCAGCGGATTTTGCTCGTCGTGGGCATCATCTTAATCATCATCACGTACTAAGAATAAGGGTAATGATACGAAAAAGCGTCGTTTGAAATAAAGCACTTTTTGATAGATATTTTTCGCCTTTTTGGCGGCAATTTTTCAAATCTTTTTTTTTTTTTTCAGCCTCACGAAAAGAGAGTGTTTGTTGCGCTTATTACACGCGAGTTCAAGAACAGAGTAATAATTACAAAGGAGCAAAGATTATAGTAGCTTTTTTCAAAGTGTGCGAGAAGATTTCATCAAAAAAAAGTTTACTCGTCCCAGTCTTCTATGACGGTTCCGACGCCGGCGTCGACGTCGCCGAACTTTTCGGGCGCTTTTGAACCGCCTAAAAGCTTCGCGACGAAACCTTTTTTCTCTTTTTTCACCTCGACCGGAGCGCAGACGCCGTCGTTATTAAAGACGACTTCGGGAGTTGATTTACACTGCCCATCGCACGTGCAACTCAAGAAGCCGTTTTCTTTGATCATTTCGTGGAACGGGTCGTTTTTACGCACCGCGAGCATGGCTAACGTTCTCGTTTTCGATTTGGTTTGCTTAAAAATTTCTTCCAACGCCGGCGAGTAGGTGTAGTCGTCGATTAATAAGAACGAGGGTTTGACCGCGGTGAACAAACCAGCGCCGAGAGAATCCGAAATGTCTTCGTTTTGGTTCGCGTTAAACTCCGCGTCGACTTTCTCTTCGTCGATGGTGTTCGCTTTGATCGCGTTACTGCCGCCGTTACCCGCGCCGGCGACGTAGACCAGAAATTCCGGGAACTCTCTCGAAAACGCGGCGGCTTTGTCGAACGAGGTCGCGGTGAACGAAACCGCTTTCACGAACGCCGAGTTCATGGCGTCTCGCAGTTTCGGTCGCAAATCTTTGAAAAACACGTCGCCGTCAAACGCAAAGACGGTTGGAATTTCCACGTTTTCGCCGTGGTACAAGTTGCTCACGCTCAACGCGTATTGTAAACTGACCGCCGGTTCAATGGTGTGTTTCCCGAACGCCGAGCGACGCTTGACGAATAAGTCGTTCGCGGATTTAATATTACCGGCTTTTTCACCCCAAACGTGCGCGTTGACTAAAGCGGCGACGACGTTGTCTTCTCTCGATAGGTGTAAATTTTGATCCTTTTGCGCCCAGTTTTGTTCCAAAGCGGTGAATACATTCGAATTGCCTTCCCAGACTCGAACGACGCCGGATAAATGCGCCGCGTTCATTAACCGTTTCGCGACGTGCGCGAATGGACCTAAACTCGCGCCTAAAAACGTCGCCGAAAAATACGGCGCGTATTTCGATTGCCCGGTCGTTTCGTTCATCCAGTTTGGCGATTTCGGACCTCGGTATTCGAACTCGATAAACGGCGGCTGCGGCGGCGGCGGCGGAGATGTGTTGATTTTTTCCACGTGCTCTTTCTTTCTCTTCTTCTCGCGATCTTTGAACGATTTCTTCTTCGCGTCGGACTCTTTTTGTTTCTTAACGTCTTCCAAGTGTTTCTTGGATAAGAGCATGCGCCGGTTCAACGAGGATTCTCCTCCTATAAATTCGCCGCCGCCGTTCACGCCGGATTCAATTTCACCGTCTTCAGAGGACATCTGCACGGGGTCCGTTAACTCTCTCGACTTCAACTTTTCCGTCGGCTCTAACAACCCCGGCCGTCGTAACCTTTCCTTACCAATCGCCGCCCGTCGCGCTCGAATGCCGATTTCGCTATTACTCAACGCCTGGAAATACGTCGCCAATAAAACCTCCGGTAACGTTCTCATGCTCATCGATTGGCCTTTCACTTTACGTTCGAACGGATTCACCGTTTCCACAGTCGCGGAATCGAATTTGCAGTAATTCTTACTGAAAAAATCAATCTGCGCGTCCTTCAACAAGTTTTGCCTGCACGACGTGGAAAGATGATGCGACAACGGCGGCGGCGACGGTTGACTCGGCGGCGGTGGCGGTGGCGAAGGCGCATCTGGTATCTCGTAATTCGATCGTTCTCTCACTAAACTCGCCTCGGCCGCGGTTAATTGCGCCTGTAAAAACAGGTCGTCGCCGTCGTCTACACTCGAGTCGCCTCCTTCTTCGTTTAAAGCCGCCGCGCTACTCTCGTCCTCGCTCTTCGTATCTTCTTCTTCTACTCCACCACCACCAAAGTGCGCCTTCGGATTAAACGGCTTTTCGTTGGCGTTTTCAAACACATTCTCCCCAATAACACCGCCACTCCTCTCAGATGCGCGCCCCGAACTTTCTTCACCAGAAGGACGACTATTCGCCACCATCGCCGCGAGCGCGTACTCCTCCCTCAAATTTTCCTCGTACTTTTGCGCATTCGCCTTTTCAAAATCGTAACTCGTGTACGCCCGAAACGCCTCTCTCGCGCGTCTCGCGTGGTCTTTCACTTTCACTTTCACCTCGTTTCTTCCGTTTTCAATCGATCGGTGAATGTATACGTCTTTCGGTGCGAACTGTTCGACGAGGAAGATGCACGCGAACGTTATCGCTATCGCGACCAAAAGGAACCGGCAGACTGAAAATTCGTATCGCTGTTGCGCGTAATAATAAAACTTCTTCTTCTTCTTCTCGTGTTGGTACGCGCGAGCGACGTTGTTTAAAGCGTGTTTCGAAGACTTTTTTCTCTTCTGGTTGTTGTCGTCGTTGTCGTCGTTTCCTCTCCCGTCGTCGTCGTCTGAATCGTAATCATTTTCATCATCTTCGTCCCCGTCGGAATCAATCGTAAACGTCTTTGAGTGTTGTCTTCTTTGCTCCCGTTGTTGTCCTCGATTCTTGCCTCCCCATGATACCTTGGCCAAACCGACGCCTCCTTTAGTCGTCGCAGTATTCGGAGGAGGAACCGGCATTGGTTGTGACGTTTGTCGCGACGATGGTGCGTCTTTATCTGAGTAGCGTGTTGTGTGCGACGACGACGAGTGACGATATATCTTCGTTCACTTTTGATTGGATGTCTCCACTTTGTATTGCGCATCGCGGAAGAGTTGATTGATACATAAGTCTCTCCTCTTTATATTGTCGGGTTTCAAAGAAGAGAGAGTGTCGAGAGAAAAGAACACCGTCGAGAAGAGGTTTCGCGCTCTCTCTGATCTTCTTAAAAGCGAACAACGCGATTTTCTTCTCGCGCGCGTTCGCAGAAGGAACGGCGTTTTGTTGTCATCAATTAAAATTCAATGACGCCGACGACTTCTGCGCAAGGTATGGAGAATACTACGAAGAAACGCGCGGCGACGATCATCTGCGCTTTACTCCTTCTGAGCGGTGTGATGGCACTCTCGTCCGTGATTCTCGTCGCGGAAAAAAGAACGTCCTCGAGGAATTCGTCTCGTGCGCTCGAGAAGAGAGGGAGTGGTACTCAAAGTGCGTTTCGATTCCTCGATTCCGTGGTCGAGGGAAAGAGGAAGGCGAGTGGTGCGAAGAAAAAAAAAGGGTTCGTCGACGTCGTCGAAGACGATCAGATGGGCGATTTGATCGTCGTGAAAGAAGACAACCAAGAAGAAGAGGAAGGGTTGTAGTGAAGAGCTCAGAAGAAGGAGTATTTAGTGTAGTAGCGCTGTATTGTTATTAGTATTGGTATTAGTATTCACCCGACGACGAATAAGGAGAAGCCGGCGCACGGAGCGAGTCTTCTCGCGGTACGCGTTATGTTGTCCTCGATACTCTCGTCCTCGATATCGTCCTCGATATCATCGTCTGCTTTTGAAGATGATGAAGGCACAAAGTGTACCTTGAAATTGTCCACGCGAAACGCGCCCGGTTTGAACACCAATAACGAGGCGTCAAAGGTAACCGACGCGCCCGGAGGAACGCGTCTGATGGTTTTCCGAGTTTCGCGGATCCATACGAAAGGCGAGAGTGTACCCTTTTCGCGAAGGAGTACCTTTTTCAGGTGCTGCTGCTGCTGCTGAGTGGTGCTATTATTATTACTGTCTTCTTGTTCTTTGTTGATGTCGAGTCGCGTCAACGACGAGGCGATATCAGTCGCGGTCGTCCACGCGTTCCTCGCCGAGTTGTTTTCTTCGTCTTCGTTCATATCGGTGGCGTCGAACGTCACGTCCACGCGTTCACGGCTTCCATTGAAACACGTGATTGTTACCGGGACAATTTTGGTCTTTTGAGGCGAAGGAAGCGAAACCACGCCGTTTGGAAATGTTTTCGCATCCGAGATCTTCGCCGCGGCTGAAACGCTGGTTTGCGAATAAAACTCGAAATTTGTAGCAACAGCGTTTTCATCCTCGTCCATCTCCGCCGGTGAATCGTTTGAATTTTTCCAGATATCGGTTGCGAAACATCGAGAAGAGCCGTTGAAAGCTCCATCTCCAACACCTGCCGAGTGCGTTTTCCATTGCAAGCTGACGCACATCTTGCGCGAAGTTGGAGCGCACAGCGTTCTCGAGATGGATTTGTATTCTTCGCTTTTATCCTCCTCACCGTCGAGGATAAGATCCTTTTTATCGTTACCGTTACTATCGCCGTTCGTATTTATATCACCGCGAGACAACTTGAACGTCACGTCGATCGTTTTCCCGGGATTTAAAAGTTTTCCATCGCCTCGAAAACACGCGTTCGAGAATAGTTTCGTCGTTTTCAAAAATTCAACCGCCGGATCCTCCGCCTCCCGAGGAGAAAGACTCGTCGTCGTCGTCTTTCTCCTGGCGGCGAAAATCGAGGTCAGTTCGAACGTTTGCGTGCTCGAACAGTTGATCGCTCTCAACGTACAAATCGATTCGTTCACAGATGAAGGAGATGGGACGACTTTCATCGTTAACATAATCGATCGCTTCGTCACGTACCGCTTCGAAAGCTTCGCCAACCGATACCTCAAAAGTTTAGGCGCCGGCGGTTCTGGTTGATAACACACCAGGGCGCGCGATTCCTGCGTCGTCGCGTTGCCCGAGTTCATCATCCGAGCGTTGTTACTATTTTCACTGTCGTTGTTATCGTCGTTGTCGTCGTCGTCGTCGAAGTATGGATCATTCGCACCTTCCGACGATAACAGCGCACTATCCAAAGCTTCAAAATCTTTCGGCGATAGACGAGCCGGGTGGAACCAACACGATATACAAACGTGTTCTTTCGGTTGAATCGAATCACTGACAGCGAATACGTTCCCGTATTGTTTACTTTTATTACTTACAACGCGGTGCATATCATTCTCGCACGGTGTAAACGCATTGGAAGGTAAACGGATGCGGACGTGTCGCGCAGTCGCGTCGCTCACGTTTCGAATGATCACGTTGACTTTTGAGATGGACCCATCGAGCGCCACAGCTGATGAGGCGTTCGCTAAACTCCCCTCGCTGCTCTCAAAGGACGCCTCAAGTCTTGGCACGGTATCGACAATATCAAAAACTAACCGCGATTCCTCCGGGATATCTCGCACCCAAATCTTACGAACCTTGGTCGCTTTCTCCTTTGCCGTGTCCCGCCTGGACAACGGCGCTTTAATGTCAAACGTAGCTTTGCCGAGCGCCGTATTTTCTAAAGTCCACTTTACGCCAACGACACGTAAAACGCCCGGCTTCTTCGGCGTCACGCGTAAAGTTATTTCACTTTTTTCGTTTGGTTGCAGTTCGAGCAGAGCGATGGTTTCACACGCGACTGCGTCGTTTGTCACATCTTTTATATCCGATTGGTCCGAAAATTCCCACTCCAAGGAAACGTTGTGCAAAGTAATCGGTATTCTCAAAGGATTCGAGAGCTTCGCCGTGATGAAAACGACTTCATCTTTCGCGGTTACTGAACGCTGTTCCTTTGATGCTTTACTGCTACCACCATCGAGCCAATTGCTGGAAGCGTTATTCGCACCGCCTTGTAAGTTTGGAACGACGCCAGATTTTTCCTCGATAGATTTCCAAGACACGTCGCCAAACGCAATCTTTGATCGCGCCGTATGTTTGAGAAAACCGGGACTCGCGCCGTTCGACATCTGTCGTTCGAGTCCCGGAGAAGACAACGATGCGTTTTGGTCCGTCGGTGTTGTTGGTAACGTCATCGGTGTCGCCCTCGTCTTATCAATCACCCCAGAGTTCTGATCTTCATCGTTGACGAATGAGACGAAAACGGTGCTCACGTCCACCTCCGGCAATGGCGCCGAAACGACATCACATGATATATGAGAAGATTTGTCTCCGTTCAAATAACTCGACACGACGTGTAAATATTCTCTCAAATACGTTCTCTGTGTAGTTTCCGTTCGACTGGCATGTATGCGATCGTTGCTACCAAACTCGTTCTTCCGACCGTCGCTACTCCCGAGTAATCGTTGAAAATATCGAACCGCGTCTGCGTTGTTCCCATCGTGCGCGGCTAATCGAGCGAGCGAAAACAAGCAGTGCTCTCGACACTTGTGCCAGGTATTTTCATATCCTAAGGATGCTAAAGATAAAGCGTAACACCTCGCCGCCGCGCGTCGCGCGTTTACGCGCGCGTATCCGTGACCAGCCAACGCGGCATGAAACGCGTGTTTCCTCATCCAAGGTAGCGATTTTGGAACTTTCCTCGTCAGCGTTCTCGAAGCGTCAATCTCTAAGAAATTTCTCGAGGCACGCTCGAGCAACAGCGCGGATTGCAAATCGTCGATACCGCCAAAGTTTGCGGCTTCTTTAGCGAACGTTGTCGCCGCTTCACGAAATTTACCACTCGCGATGAGCGAAACCGCCCTGCGAATAGAACACAAAACCATCATTTCGTCTATGTAATTGAACGAATCTACATCCAACGAAGCTGGGGTGATTCCTCCCGCTGCTGCGGTGAGATATTCGTCTCTTTGTTTTTTGACTTTCGCGTAACACGAAAGCGCGTACTCAAACGCCGCGTCCGCTTCTTTACGCATCGCTTCGTCGTTTCCTCCAGAGCCTAAATTACTACCGCTACCGCTACTCTTCATCGGACTCGCCAAAGTCCCGCTACTATTACTATTCTTTCTAATATCGTCCGCCTTTATAGTCAAAGCGATTCCAGACGCTTCGTAAGCCAAAGCGCAACTCTTCCAGTTCTTCTCCGCTTTATAATCCGACCCAACAAGTTTATAACTCGCGATCGCGTTATCGATGTCGCCTAAAAATAAGCTTAAATCTGCGGCTTTTCGAATTTGTGATTCTTGCGACGAGTACACGTCTTGCTTAGAGACCGTATACGAAGTAGTGCTCGGACCAACGGCTGAGAGATTGGTATCGCTGCCTTCTCGAGAGTGCGAAGGCGAGGAATTCGCTAACGGAGGAATCGGTACCGCGGTCGTACCGCTCCCGCTGCTACTCGTCCCGACCACGTTCCTCCCCCAAAACGATTTGAATTGGTTCTTAAATCCTTTCCTGGTGTTGAAAATCATAGCGTTTAATCCGTACAACAATCGTTCCATGTGCGGTGCGATGACTCTTTCCGTCAACCTCCTCATGAAAGCATTCAACACAATTTTTTCAAATTCGCTGTCGCTAAAATTTATCGTCAATGCGCTCACTTTTTGCTCTGAAAATTTCCGTTTAACGTCCATAAGCGCTCGCTCGTGCGTCTCGTTTCTCGCTCTGAATATTTCAACTTCGTTGTCATCCATGGGTTGCAATTTGCTCGTGTTTCCTTCTCCACCTCCTTCCTTCGCGTCTTGCAAAACCACAAAGTGCCGAACGACGTCCACGTCCGCTCTTTGCTTGACAAAACACGGTGCGTTTTGCATCGTCTCGCGCAACATCAACTCCAACTGATTTTGCGGTTCAGGCTCGCTTGCCGAGCAGACGCATATAACCGCGACTGGATAATCGCTCGGGTTTAAATTATGATATCGAATCGAATCTTGCAAACCGTCGTAATGGTTCTCAAACGCCTTTCTCGAGTGTAACACGGCGTCTTCGTTACGCTCTTCTCGAAAAACAACGTCCAACAACGTTTCGTCGCGCTCGATCGACGCCAAATCGAACGTACCGTGCGAACTCTCCTTACCACTACTCTCCAGCTCCCTTAACGTCCTTTTTCTCACTTGGTTCATTTGCTCGCACACCTCTTCTTTCCTCTTCACCTTCCCTTCGTTAAAGCCAATCACGTTCAATCGCGCGCTGGACAAATAGTGCGACACTTGACCGTCGTTTTGATTGTTTCGAATCGGAACGTTTCTTAAATTATCGACGACGTGCCCATCTCGTAAGGATGCTTTCAAACGGTCCTGGAACGAACCGTTACCACCAGAACACACGCTCTCTCGCACGGTTGGAGAAGATGCGACGATAATCGTCGCGTTTTGATCGAAGAATAGTCTTCTGTTTACTTCCATTCTTCCTCCTCTGAATTTCCCCACAACGACCTTCTTACAGTTCTTCAACCAAAAGCTTTCAGAAGATGCGTTCACCACACACACGCGCACTCGGACTCTCTCTCGGTGCGCGCTCAACAACTCTTTTTTCGATTCCTCCTCTCTGACCGCGAATGCGCGTGCGTCGACTTTGATTTGTTTTTTCTCTCTCTCGTGCGGTAAATTTTGGAGTAAGTGCGAGAGACTTTGATGCGAAGTTGATGAAAGTTACATTAAACGCAGAGGACGATACGCGCGCATACATACTACTACTACTCTTCTTCATTTTCTACTACTGCTACACGGGCTATACATCTTTACTACTACTACTACTTCAAATTGAACCTTTTCCAGACGGCTTTGATGTCCCCGCCGCTTTCGTCTACGCCGGCGTGATGGCTTTCTAAATCCGTTTGCGAGCTCAACGGCGCGTCGAAGAATTCATCGTTTTCGTTGCCGTTATTACCAATGCGATTGTTTCGCTTGGCGCTTTCGGTGAGGCGTCCGGTGCGGGTGCCAAAGTCACCTTCCGTGACGGGCGGCGTGTCTGTGGTCGGTAAGGTTTGTTCGCGGAGCGTGCGAGGCTGGGCGTTCGAGTAGGGGTTGTGACCGCCAGCACTACTGCCACCGAAACCTAACATACGGAACGGCGCGCTTATGACTGATCCAACGAGGCCACCAATAAGACCTCTTTCCGCGGTGTTGTGGCTGTTGTTGTTGTTATTATTACTACCCATTTTTTCTCGATGAAGTATCGCTCTTTCTTCGCTGCTCAAGTTTCTCAAATCGCCCATTTCTATGGCGCGCTCGCGCGGCGATTTATTGTCCGGGACGTCGTCGTCGTCAAAAGCATTTTCGGTGTCGGAAAAGACGTCGTCGTCTTCGTCTTCGTCCTCGAATTCATCGGTTTCATTCCGTAATTTCATCCACTTCGAAAACTGTCTGTATCGTTTAAACTTCCAAAAATACATTCGCGCTAATCCAACCGCCGCGAAGAAGAGCGTGCCGACGATGATAAAGCCACCAATCATGACTTTGAACATGATTTGCTCTCTCGCTTCTTTAGCTCGGTCTCTGTCGAACCCAGTTCCGGGCGTTCCCGGTGATTCAGGCGCTCTCGGAGCCGGTGGTGGAGGGGGATGTCGCGTAGCGCCCGTCGCCATGTCGAAATCCATCGCCTCGCGCAAACCGTCGCAATCCACTTTCGGTGAGATTTTCACCGTTTGCTGCGCGCTTTCGTCGTCGAATTCAAAGAGCGTGTTCCGAGCGAATATTCCACCAATTATAGAACCTTGTTGTCCATTATCGAACACTCCGACACAAAACGCGTTCGGTTCGTTCGGGTGCACGAACAAATAATTCTCCGGGAGAAACTCGATGGGAAGTTCCTCCTCGTTCACGCCTATAAAAGTGAGATTGAACGTCGGGAACAAATAGTTCACGTTAGATTCCGATAACTGTTTATTTTCGTTCAAGCTCCTCCAACACACGTCGTTCGGGTAGTTTGGATCGCCACCTCTAACTCGGAAAAAGTTCGCGCCGTGATCGTTGACCACTTTATCTTCAATCTCCGATATGAACGGTATGAAGACGTCTTCGTGTAAATACGTGTACGTTGTTCCGGAATCGAGAACGGTCCCGTACCCGGCTCGAAACGCTTCCATTAACTCCGCTCCGCTTGGTTTTTTGAGCTCTGTATTTCTGACAAACATCCGGTGCACCTCTACGTTATAATATTGCGATTTCGACCCTTTGACTAACTTTACCGTACTCGTGTGCGTTTTTCGAGTCACAAAGTTCGCGTAGTGCTGTTCCGGCAACTTACCTAAACTCAAAACGCCTCCGCCTTCGAACGATCCTAAACACAAACCGAACGTTCCATCGTAGGAACCCGGCGGATACGCCTTCTTCTTCAACTGTCGGTGTAACCCAGCCTCGGCTCTGCCTAAAGCAATCATCCCGTTCGCCTTTTGCGTCTTCAACATGTTCGTCTCGAGCGAGTTACATCCAAAATGTATCCTCGGCGTCCCTAAACTCCCTCCGACGTCAATGACATCACTCACCACGTGCCCACCGACTTGCGAATCCTCCGAAAACTTCTCGTCGTATTCACACAAACCGCTCGCTCGACAGGCGCCAAAAATACATCCGGAACCGCACGGCACGCGTTCGTACGAGCTCGATTTCGCCGCGTCGTACGGCGCGTTCGATCCGTGCTGACCGCACGAAGCGCACGGGTAACACGTCACGAACGTATACGTCGACCCCGTATCTACGATGACTTCAAATTGATGCCCAGGTGTGCCAATCAATACCGTGGCGTAAAAATACCCCGTGTCTCTCGCTTTCCCGTTCAGTTCTAATCCAGCGGAGGAACTTTGTTTTAAAGCTCTTCTTCGTCGTCGTCTTCTCTTCTTCTGAAAGACTGCCAAATCATCATCATCGTCCTCCTCGTACCCTTCGTTCTCACGATCACCATTTCCTTCCTCCTTTTCCTTTCTAAACTCTACATCAATCTTCCTGTGCTTCAAGGAAAAATGTCGCACGTGCTGCCCGTTCGTACGAAAGGTCGACGAAACGTCTTCTCTTTGCGCGTCGTCTCCGCGCGCACCCCATCCGCTCTGTCTCTCGAGCGCGACGAGTGCAACCAATACCAAGCAAAGGAGGAGACTCTGAGAAAGCAGCGGTTTTTGTCTTCGTCGTCGTCTCGTTTTCTGGTGCGAAACACTCGTCGTCATATCTCCCAAGAGTCCTCGCGTCGGGGAAAAAAGAAGTGAAGACTTGAAAGTCGTTACAAAGTCAAAAGAACATGTCGCGGAGAAGACTGTTGCTCGCGCCTCCTCTTTTCGCGCGGAAGAGAGGAAGCGAGAGAAAGGTCTTCCCTCAGCAGCGCGTCGTCGAGTGTTCTTCTTCTTCGACGTTTTCGAGAGGCATTCGAACGTTTGGAGGAGGAGAAGGAGGAGGCACGAAGGATGATTCTTCGACGCGTTGGAAACCATTCGCATCAAATGCATCGTCATCATCGAAGAGTACTTCTTCGTTCCGAGGCAAATTTCGACCAAAACTTTCGACGGAAACGACGACGACGAAAAGAAGAGCGCTGTCGTGTACTTCGTTTCCGTCGTTCGCGGCTTCCGGGGCGAGTCGTAGTATAAACAGTAACAACAACAACACCAACGAAAAACGAGGCATAGAAACAACGCAGAGGAAGGAAACGGACGAGAAGAAGAAGACGAAGAAGAAGACGAAGAAGAAGACAAAGAGACCACCAGAAGGCGAACGAAGGTTTAATAATGAAGGGGTTATTAATATACGCGCGGAGGAAATCTTGGAAAAGAGACGATTAGAGCGGCAACGGACGCCGCTGAGCGAAGCGCGCGAGTTACACGTGCTCGCGACGACGACGACGACGAATAATAGGAAGAAGACGAAGAAGACGAAGAAGGAGACGATGACGATGAACCATCGAGACTACACGCCTGAGATTGAACGCGAGGCGAAACTGTTAGGCGTGTCGCCGCATTTGATTCGAGGCCGGAGGTATTACGCCGCGCTGCCGCCCGGGTCAAAAAAAGTGATTCCTCGGGAGGTGTGGGATATTTGCGAACGGTTATCCGGGCGAGGGTTCAAAGCGTACATCGTCGGCGGCGCGGTGAGAGATTTATTGCAAGGCGCGAAACCGAGGGACTTTGACGTGATGACGGACGCGAAATATGCGGACATACAACACGTGTTTGGATGGAAACGCGTGAGGGTCGTTGGACGACGGTTTAAAGTCGCGCACGTGAGAACTTTTAAACCGACGCACGGAAGGCCGTACGTGGAGGTGTCCAGTTGTACCGAAGGCGATGAGAAAAGCGAGGAAGATGCAGAAACAGACGGCGGCGGCGGCAACGACGACGACGACGATTCAGACGACGATGACATCGACCCGAGTTGGCAAAGTTCGCCGAGAATGTATTTACGGAAAGACGCTCGCAAGCGCGATTTCACCGTCAATGGCATGGCGTACGAATTATTGAGGAATCTGTTGCACGACTACGTGGATGGGTACGAAGATTTGCGAGATAACATTGTTCGATCGATCGGAAAACCGCACGTGGCGTTTAAAGATGACCCTGCGAGGATTTTGAGAGCCATTCGCGTCAGTGCAAAGCGAAACATGGAACCGACCAAAGAAGTTCGCGCGACCATGCGCGCGTACGCGCCTTTACTGAACGAGTTGAATCGAGAGAGAAAGATGTTGGAAACGCGAGCGTGTTTGGCGAGAGGCTACTCGAAAATCGGCATGAAGATGCTGTGGATGAGTTCGACTTTGGACGTGTTGATGCCAACTGTAGCTCGTTTCATCAAAGAAAGAGGCGGCAGGAAAAGGACGATGCTAGAGTTTCAAAAGACTGGATTTGAACACGTTTTAGACGCGAAGAGTTGGGACGAGGAGAAGGAAGACTTTCGAACGATATTCATGAATAAGGATGATGTCGCGGATGATGTATCCAAGAAACGAGTTCCAAGCGGCGTCACCGCCGGTGGCTTGTTTAAATTGCTGGAAAATTTCGACAAGTACGTTGGAAAAGACGTTAAATTGACCGAAGAAGGCGTGAGCGCAGAATTTCTCATCGCCACGCTCGCGACACCGATCGCGTTGTACTATTCCGGTTTAAAAACCGTTCCGAAATACTCGACGAGGAAACGGCAAGTTGAAGTGCCAACAAAGAAGAAATCTTCCCGGGGAGGAGGAGGAGGAGGAGGAACAGGAGGGAAAAAGACGAAAACTGTCACGGAAGTTAACCCGGCGTGGTTGCGATGGACCGCGGCGTGCGAAAGAGTTTTGAGAGAACTCTCCGAAGTCGACGGGTTGATGTTGAGTTCCGGAAGAAGAAGTAACAATCAAGGCGGGAGAACGTATCAGATTATGACGAAGAGTTTTATGAACTCTTCTTCTTCTTCTTCTTCTTCGGCTTCGATCGAGTCGGATGACGACGAAGAGAAAGACGATGACTTTGAAGACGAAGATTTGATCGATTACGAGGACGAACTCGGCGGTAAGAAATACGAAGAATCTCAAGCGTCGTTGGTGAAAATCGTGTACGAGACTTTCGGCGTCCCGGAAATGGAATTCGACGAAGATAGTTTTAAAGTTTTCGTCAACGACGACGACGATAAATAATAGGTAGATAATAGGTAGATTATGTACTAGATGTTTTTGTAGTTTTAGAATTAAAAAGTATTCCTCGCGCTCTAATAAATTTCCTATGGGCTAATCTAATGCCTCTTACTACCACCACCTTCTGAAGCGCCTTCATTCATCGCTCTCTCATCTCTGGAGTACGAAATCTCCCCCGGTTTCGATCGCGCCTTCATCTCGTACTCTTCGTCCTCCACGCGTAAAAACACGTGATAATGCGGCACGTCCACCGAACAGTTATCGTTCATGTCGTAATTCCACTCCACGACGTCCTTTCTGTGTTTCCTCAAGTACTCGCTGACCCACTCTTGAATCTCTTCGCCTTTCATGTCTTCTCTGCTCCACAGCGTCCAATGCGAGACGCCCGGAGGACAATCGTACGGGAACATGTTCTCTTCCAGAACGACGTTCACCCCCGGGTCGTTTCCAAACACCGTCTTCTCTATGTGGTCCTCCACGCCGTAATACCCTCCAAGTTCGTCTAATTTCGCCACGTGCTCTCTTTTCTTCGCCGTCATTTCTTCCGAGCGCATCCAATATTCCAGGCGTAAAGTGCACTTTGGTCGTTCGTTTCGTTTCTCATCTTCATCAATCTTCTTCTTTTTGTTCGTGGTGGTTGTTTTTGTGGTCACCAAATCCCACCGCGTTCGTTTACTCTTCGTCTTTGTCTTCTTCTTAACGCTCTCGTCTTTATCGTCGTCATCAAAAAACAGCGACGAGAGTGCTCCTCCTCCCGTCGTTTGTTCAGAGCTGCTGTGATTGTCATTTTCGTCGCGCGTTTTTTTCTCCTCCTCCTCCTCGCGATGATTCCGAACGACGACGACGAGATTCGTCTTTGTCTTCTTCAACTTCGTCTCTTCGAACAAACGCGCTCCAATATCTATTCCTGGGTCCACGAGGACGATCACATCATCATCTTCCTCCATGTCTTCGCAACGCAACAGAAGAGAAGAAGAAGACGTCGGAGTAAAAGAGGAGGAATGCTGAGAAGACCTTCTTTCTTCCGCGCGCATCTCTCTCTCTCTCTCTTTCCTTTCTTTGAGTAATTCTGACGAGACGTTTCCAAACGAAACGACTTTTTTCAAAGACAAAATTGTTTAGGGTGTACAGACAAAAGTGTTTAGGGTGTACAACCCTAATTGTATTGAAAGGCACACATGTCTCTCTCCCCTCTTTAGAACATTTTTGTCTCTTCATTTCAGAGCGTTTACTTTGCGCGCTTTCCGTGCACACGCGAGAGAGAGAGAGAGAAGCAGCTTTTGAGCAGTTTTAGTCGTTCATTGTTACGCTTCAGTAGTCGTCGTCGTGCGCAGAAGAGGGCTTCTTCTTGTATATATTCTTCTCTCGGATTTTACGGGAAAAATGAAGATGGGACGCGGCCCGGCGGCATCCATCACCAACGCCAGGGCGAACGAACGCTCGGGTCTTTTAGAAACCCCGAACAACGCTGCGAAAGAAGAAGAAGAAACTACCGTAAAACATCGAAACGCGTCCTCTTTACTCAAAAAGATCGCAAAAGCTCGGACAAAAGTCAACGTTCCATCCGCCATCGGTGGGTTCGCCGTAGGCGTGAAATTCGGCTTCGTCCTCCTCTTGGTGGTCTTAGTCTGTCTGCCGCGAGAACGCTTCGACTCTTTACGAACAAATCTCGGGGAGTTTTTACCGATAAGTTTAAGCGAGCGAGTCGTAGCGCCGGAGAGTTCGTATAAGAGAGAACACGGGGTGGTGGCGAACTTAGGGGCGGCGAAGCCGTTAGCCGGCGACTGGAACCCGAACGGCAAGAGCGAGAAGCGAGAGGTGAAGTACCCGAGGAAGGATTTGACGCCGAAACCGACGAAAGTCGCAATCGCGAAGAAGAAGAAAGAAGAGGAGGAGAAGATTAAGAAGACGACGACGAGTAAAAGCAGCAGCAAATCATCATCATCATCGAAGAAGAATGATTCTTCTTCTTCTTCAAAACATTCGTTATCGTCTGAATCGTCGTCGAAAGAAGGCAAGCGCTCGAGAGAATACGAAGAAAAAGAGAGACAGTCCTCATCAAAGATGGGTGAAAGAGAAGAAAGAAAAGAAGAAGAAAAGGATGACGAAGATAATCATCATCACAGAAACAAGAACGATTGGTACAACGGCCCAGAGCCGATTCCGCACCTCATCGACCACTTGGAGGCGCACGATTTGAAGCCGTCGGATAAAGACTTGAGAATTTTAACCATCGCGAACGCCGCGTATTGGCCGTTGGCGGAGATTATGTTAGACTCTGCGAAAAGACACGCGCCAGAAATCGCCAATCGATTGACTTTCATTCTTTCGGACGAAAAATCCGTGAAGCAGTGTAAAGATCGCGTGACGAAGAGTTGCCAACACACGTGCTTCTTCGATCACGAGATGGAAGACATGTTGGGCAAGTACACGAACGACGAAGGTTCGTACAAATCGGCGTACGATTCCAACTTTGGCGTGAAATTACGCCAGTTGTGGACGTGGAGAAAAGTGAAAGCGGTCAAAACGTTGGTCGATGCCGGATACGCGGCAATGTTTGTGGACGCGTCGACGGTGTTCTTAAGAGACATGCGCGAAGACGTGTTGCACGAATTACTCGATCACGACGCCGCGCTGGTCACGTTGAGTGACTTTGGCGGTGCGACCGAGCAACACGCGACGAATACGGGTTTGATTGCCGCGACGCCGGCGAACAAAGACGCCGCTCGAGTCTTGCGCACTTGGTTGAAACGCGAAGATCCGGAAGATAAAGACAACACGGAGCAAGGCGTTTTGACGTGGGAAATTGCACCGAAAGAAAGAGAAAATGGGGTGATTATCAAAGCTCTGACGCAAGTGCAAGCGCCAAACTACGTGACGTACGACTTTAAGTCGCACTTGAACAAGGGTAACGACGACGGCGGTAAGTTGGGCAAGGATGAAAAAGGCAAAAGCGAGGAAAAACAACAACACGTGGCTGGTCTCGTGCACGCCGCGTATTGCGGGTGCGTGGACGCGAAAGAATCGTTCATGTCCAGAGTGTACGAAGAGTCCAAAATGTCCTCGAAAGAACTCGGCGAACGCGGTTTGAAGCCAGAAAAAATTGAAGAAAAAGATTGCGACGTGTACGACAGGAAGAAGTTCTTGAACACGGGCCGCGCGCCGTGGGATTAAAAGTAGATAATAAAAACCGACCACACAACTTTGAAAGAAATCAATTAAATGTACCACTATACTATTCAACAAAGAATCTATGATGAAGTTTACACGACGTTACTCACCGGCGTTCCTTCCCACTTCAAATACTTAACGTTCACGTCCAACGCTTTCGCTCGCCTCGCCGCCGGGGTCACAATCTCGTCCAGCTTCGCAATGGTTTCCGCCGTCACTTCGACTACTTGACCGATGACCACGTTCGCCGAGTCGTTTCCATTCGCGTTCGTCGTCGTCGTCGTTGCATCGGTTGTGACAGTACCTTGTTGTTGTTGTTGTTGTTGTCCATCGCCTTTACTTTTGCGCTTCAAAATTTGCGCTTGTTCGAGGACTAAAATGACATCCTGCGTGGCCAGATGCGTGAGCTTGGAAATCTTCGAAAGCGTGATCACTGTGCCAATTTCCAGCGATTTCAACAACTCGCTGATCACGTCTCCCCAATACGCGGAGTAACTCATCAATCCTAAATCCGATAAAGGTTTCTCTGGCGTTCCAACCCAGCTTTCGCGTTTCGTCAACTCGTACGAAAACGCGATGAGAAATCTACCGTAGCCTTTGCGCTGGTACGGCGGCAACGTCAATATGCATGCCAAATTATGTCCCGTCTGAGAGCCGTTTTTGTCTTTAGAGAAGTATCCGACGACCCTGTGTTTCTCATCTTCGCCTTTTTCGCACAAGGCGTAGAAAAGCATCTGCGAAACGTCGTGATACAAAGTCTTGTGATCGAGAAAGAGTTTTGCCAACAGACACAAGTTTTGGCAATACGTCGCCGCTCGCGCGCCGTCGACTTCAAACACCGACAGTTCTGGACGAACAATCTCTTCAATTTCTCTCTCTTCTTCCCCATTTTCACCACGCATCGTTCTCTTTTCGATTTCTGCGGGGTGCCTGTAAATTTCGTTCCCGGGCGGGTGCGTCAAAGGGCAACATTTTTTATGTTTCACGAGCGTCTTGCGTCTTTTGCAATATTTCAAACAAAATTCACAAACGAATAATCTGTTATCGCTGGTGAACTCGTCTGGATACGGCGCTCGGTACCAACAGTCCACTTCAAACGCTCCCAATTGGAGAACGTCGACGTTTTTTGCATTTTTCACGATGGCCGCCGCCACGTCGTGTTGGTGTTGCTGCGTCTCCTTCTTCGTTCCCTTTTTCTCTTTCGGCTTCCCTCCTTTTGTTTTATTGTTGTTGTTATTGTTCATACTTGCACTCGTTTTCTTTTGATTCGCGACGACGGCGTTCGCTGCTGCCTTATCGTTGTTATTATTTTCAGCGTCGACATCGACGACTTCATTTGGTGGTTCGACTATAACCGTTGGTGTCGCTGCGTCGGCGTTTCCAGCCACCGCGGTCGCTAAAATGGTTGCGTTAGTCGTTCCGTTGTTCCTAGCACTCGGTGACGTGGCTTCTACGGTGCCATCTTCTCCTGCGACGACGGCAGCGACATCAACGATGTCCCCGCTACCGCCTCCGATCTTCTCTTTCTTGTTACTATTGCTGTTGCTCATCGTTTTGTTTTTGCTCGAAGCGCGCGGATGACTCTCCGAACCGTCGGCGCCTTTACTCGCGTTCGTACCACCACCATTACTCGGCTCTGCGTTTTCACCCGTCCTCCTTCGCTTCGTCCCTACACGTTCTTCTTCTTCTTCTTCGTTTTCCTCGCCGGCGTCGGTCACGACGACTCCGCCACTTTTATTGTCGTTCACTTCTACGATACCTTCCTCTTCCTCCTCTTCAGCTCCCTCGTTCCTTTTCCTCGTCGTCGTCTGCTCCTCTAAAATCTCCATCGCTTCTTCTTCCTCCTCCTCTTCTTCCTCTTCCTCGCTCAAATGCTCGTTCGACCCGTCGTCCTCTTCCTTCAACGGCCGCATCTTACTCGCATCCAACCACGCGTCCATCCGTTTCGAGTACCCTTCGTAGCTGCAGTAATACCGCTTAATCATCTGCACCACCGTCGCCGACGCCCCGTCGCCGGAACCGCTCTTCTTCGCCGCGTCTCCTCCTTTTCCTCCAAAAACGCCTCGCAAAGTTTCTTTCTTCGTCGTCTCGTGAATGACTCTCGCCGGTAAGTATTTGTCTTTCGTTTGAAACCACGAGGCGAACGCGGAGACGCGATCGCCGACTTCGTACGTCGTATTTCGCCACTTCGCCAACTCTTCCTCGTCCTCTTCCTCTGAGGAGGATTCTTCCTCTGAATCTGAATCTGATTCTTCTTCGTCGTCGTCGTCCGTTTGAGCGGCAGTTTTTTCATCGGTGGTGGTGTTGGCCCGCGCGCTGTTGTTCAGCGTCGTTTTCTTCGTCATTTCTTCTTCTTCTTCTTCTTCGTTTCTTCTTTCTCGCTGTTCGTCGTTGTCTTCCTCTTCAACGGCATCGTCGAACGCCATCTTTCTCTCTCTCGAAGACGACGAAGACGACGACGAAAAGGAGAACACCGAAAGGAGAAAAACAAAGAAGAAGAGCTTTCACCGACGGATGCGGTTTGTTTTCGTCGACGTCTGTCTCGCTTTCTCTCTCACTCTCTTCGCAAAGCGTCTTCTTTCTCTGTTTTCCGCGTCGGAGTAATGAAGAATTTGCTTTTGGCGGCAAAGCACGAGATCCGCACAAATACGCGCATGCGCGCGCATCTGTTCGACAAAGGGAACAGATGACGACGACTTCGAACGGAACTTTTCCTTTTGGAGAGGAAAACGACTCGGAGGATACTTTTGCATCGATTTCGATCGTTCGAAACGGTCAGGTGTCGTCGCCTTCGTGGACGGTGGTGGTCCCCGCACCGCGCGCTCTTTCTTCTCCTCCGTTCGTGTTGGAGAACAGAAGTAGTACGAGTTCTTTATTCGCGTTCCAACTCGCGCCGAGAGGAGGATACCTGACCATCGAAAACAATTTAGGATGGAGTTACGAGTTGCAATCGCAATTATCGTATTTCCTGGACGTCATCGCGGTCGCGTCGAGCACGGAAGTCGTGGTTTCCGTGCAAAACCAGACGCACAGAGCGAACGTTGGTTTTTTGTCAACCACGGAGGATGTGAAAAATACGAGCATTTTTTCTTCGTCGTATTCGTTGCGAGAGGCGAGCGAGAAGTTAACTCGTTTTAACGCGGTGTCGTTTGCGGACGAGAGCGGGATTGGGAGCGACGTCTCGGTGCGAAGCGTGAGGTTGAGAGCGAGTTCGATGAGCGACGATGAAGGCGGAACGCGAGAGACGTTCGCGACGACGGGAGGGACACTTTTGCTTCTGCCGGCGTTTGGAGCGATTGGTGAAAGCGATGAGAACAACGAAAGCGGTGGTGCCATTGGTGAAGAGGACGTTACGTTTCTCTTCGACGCGAAAGATGAAGACAGCGAAAAAATGTTGATCGTTGGAGTCAGCGTCGCGTGCGCTTTGTTGGTCGCGGTACTCGTCGTCGTGTGTTACTTTGCTAAGAAACGGATGAAAAAAGGAAAGCATTTCACGGACAGAAGTGAAATAGCGAGCAAAGATCGCGTGCGTACGTGGCTACATTATCTCGAGAGGATGCATTCGAAATCGTCTCTGGGCGGTGAAAGCGGCGCGTTCGACGCGACGACGACGACGACGCATTCGAGACCATTCACGCCTCTGTCTTGGAAGACATCTCGTAGCAAACGAAGAAGTAGCGGAGAAGGTGGTGGTATTGACGAGCTCGAGAACGAAACGGTAATAAATATCAGCGGAGAAATTGACCAAGAAGAAAAGAAAAAGAAGAAGAATAAAAACAAATCTTCCGAGGCGAGACGATTGATGGCTCCCGCGCCGTCTACGCTAGAGATTACAGGTTGCGAGGATGTGGTCCGTCGCACGTCTACTAAACCTCCTAAATCAAACGTCTCTTCGTCTATACCGACGACGGAGGAATCACCGAGAGGAGAGATGGATCGTTTACAGTTGCTGAGAAGAAGTACGAAAGATACGACGCCGGCGCATTCGCCAGCGATTTCGCGGCAAAACTCGCTGCTCAATTCCAACGAGGGAGATATGGGAGAAGGCGCGGAGGCGAGAGTTTCACTCAACGCGCTCGCCAAAGAAATCGAAAAGTTACAAAATAGCATAAAAGATGATACAAATAATAATAAGTTCAGGTCATCGTCGTCTTCGTCGTCCAAGCTCGAATTAACTCCGGATAAAGAAGACGAAGTGCCGTTTGAAAATTTATCCGAAGTCGAACTCGAGAAGGACGTTCGAATTTACGAGCGCCTGGGAGGTGGCGCGTACGGTACGGTTTACCGCGGTAAATTTCGCGACCGTGAAGTCGCCGTGAAAACGCTTCGAGTGAACGCTTTGCCTACCGCAACATCCGCATCGACTACCACGCCTACGCCTTCCCAAAACAACGAGGAGGTCAGCGAAGACATAAAGATGTTGAAGTCTGAGGTTGAAATTCTTCGTCTCGCGAAGCACACGAACATCGTCTCCGTATATGCCGCGTGTTTTGAGCCCATACACAAAGCGCTACTCGTCGTTCAACTCGTCCACGGAGGATCGCTCAACGAAATGTTGCATCGCGAAAATAACGAAAGCGTCAAACTGTCGGGTACTTTGTTACGCACAATCCTGTTGGACGTTGCGAAAGCGATGGAGTATTTGCACAGCCTGAAGCCGAGGAAAATTTTACACCGCGATTTGAAACCTCAGAATGTCCTCGTGGAAGCTAAAGTACTTTCTGATGTGCTCGAGAAGAGGCGACAGCGGAGAGGCGACGATTACGATATTTTAGACGACGACGGTGATAACGCGCCGACTCTAAAATACAAGGCGTACGTTTGCGATTTCGGTATTTCTCGATTACTACCGCTGATGGCAAACACTTTGAAAACGAGCACTGCACATGTCAACGCGGGGACAGCGAATTACATGGCACCGGAATTGTTTACCGGACACTACCCGTGTTCGACGAAAGCAGATGTTTTCTCGTTCGGCAACATCGTATACGAATGCGCCACCGGGCGCATTCCTTTTGAGAAGTGCGTGCACTTTCGCATCGCGTTCCTCGTCGGCATGGAAGATAAGCGAAGCGAAATTTTGCCGGAAGATAAAGTTCGCGAGGATGTTCGCGAACTAATCGAAAGGTGCTGGAAAACAGACCCGAAAGAGCGACCAGACTTTACAGAGATTGTGCAAACAATCTCGCGCTTTCCCGCCAAGAAGAATTTTGACGAGACGAAGGAAGAATAAGAAAAAGATTCTCCTACTGGTATACTACTACTACTACTACTACTACTACTACTACTACTACTACTACTACTACTACTACTACTACTACTATTACTTACCCGAGTACGACTGATTTGACAATTTTTCAATTGTAAACTACAACCGATACGCTAATTGTATATTATGTTCTGATAGTATATTACGCCGCGTCTCTCTTTCTCTTTCTATTTTCACCTCTGCTACCTATTCTTCTTCATCGTCGTCGTTATCTTCCGTTCCTAATATTCCATTATATGGTCCTGGATTATTCCCGGACTCTTCAATGTCCCTAATCCACCTGTCCATGTAAGGGCACTTCTCCGGCGAGATCAACCCACCTGGCTCACATTCTTGATAGACCGTACAAATACCACACGGTACGTAACTCAGCGGCGTGAGTATATTGCTTTTCCACTTTGAAGGCACGTAGTATGTTTCGGTAAAATCGTCGCCGTCGTCAACTTCAACCGTCGCCTCTTCGCTTTCGTTTCCTCCTCTACCTTTTTTCTTTTGCTGCTGCTTCTTGTTGCTGCTACTACCTTTCTTGTTCTCCATCGTCGCTTTCTTTTGTTTCTTGTTGCTATTCTTCCTCTTGTTATTATTCGCCGATCCTTTCTTGCGTTTCTTCGTCGTCGTGTCTTCGTCCTCTCCTTCGCTGTCTTCTTCTTCTTCTTCTTCTTCTTCTTCTTCCTCGTCGGATTCGTACATCAACATTCCTTCAGCACCACCTCTTCGGTTCTTCCTATCGTCGATGAAATCGTCCTCGTACGCATCCATCTTCTGTCTCCTCCTTTCCTCGGGCGTGATCATCTCCACGTCCCCGTCGTAAAACAGCGTGTCCACAATCTGTTTCACGTCTTCTTTCCTCAAATTCACGTTGGATATTTTACTCTTCACGATGTGCTCATACACGTCCTGTAAAGTCACCCGTTTCTCTTTTCTGATAAAATCCCGGCACACGTCCCGCATGATTTTCACGAACTTGGCGTCAAACTCTTGATCGGTAAACCAAGCTCCACCGGTAATCTCCCTCGACGGTTCTAAATCGTACTTCATGTACACCTTTCGATTTTGCTGCGCGACGTGCTTCACGCTTTTAATCAACTTCCTTTGCTCTAAGGTTTTAAAAATCTTCGTCACTTTCACCTGCGGGAAGTTCGTCTTTTGCTTGACTTCTTTCGTCCACATCCCGCTATTCCCGGCGGTTTCGATGACTTGCAACACCAACCTATCTTCGCTCGATAACCCTCGTTTCTTGAGCATTTCTTCCTCGCTCACTCTTTTGAAGTAGCAAATTGCATTGTCGCCTTCGCCTTCCGTGTGTAACGTGATTTTCTCTGAATCCAACAAGTGGTTGATGATGTCCCTGCGTAAGCCTCCTTTCCAAAAGGACAAAATCTTCTGCAAGTCTGGGTCGCTGACGCCTTGGTTGTTGTTGTGAGAGGCAATAGCATCGAGGACTTGTTGATTATAGTCTTCTTCTTCTTCTCGTTGGGTGTTGTTCGTCGGAGGCATCACGATTTCATCGTCGTTGTCCTCGTTCTCGTGAGTATTCGTTCCTCCTTTCTTCGCTTTTCCTTTCGATCCTCCCGCCATTTTTTCTTCTTTCTTTCTTTCCAGAGAGTAAGAGAGTAAGAGAGAGAGACAACAGAGAGAAGAAGCAGAAGCAGAAGACAAAGACAAAGAAGCGCGCGTTTGGGCCGAGAGAGAGAGAGAGGACACGCTTTACTCTGTATCTATATCTATACTATAGAATAGTAGTTTCTTTTTTCTGACGGCTGCGTGGGAGGAAAAAAAGAGAGGCGAGAGAAACAGTGGTCAGTCAATTAAGTTCTACCTTGAAGGATCTTCTCCCCTCTTTTTTTGTGCGTCTCAAATTTTTTTGCCGAAAAAGTTCCGAATTTTGTATCTGTATCTAAAACGCATTTTTTTCTCATATCCTCTTCACTTTCTCGCGCGCGCATTTGCGCGCATTTGCGCGCGCATATAATATCACTTTTTTTTTGCGTGCGCGCGCGCACGCGCGCGAGAAAGTCACACGCATTGCTATCATCGATAAATCTCTATCGATGATAGTGGGTGGAAGGGTGGGAGCTCTTTTCTTCATCGTTTGCTTTCTTTCTGTTTTAGAGATACAAATCGAGCGTTTTTGTATCTCTCTATCGCATGGCAGATGAATGAATGAAAAGAGCTGGGAAAGAACGGACAAAGGGGGTTCGAGTACGGAGAGTTTTGACTTGCGCGGGCGAGTTTCTCTCCTTTTTTGTGTTCTTTTCTTTGTCGTCGTGTTATTGCATATCTTCTCTCTTCTTCATCGAAGAAGAAGTCAACGACGACACATGGAGGAAAGAGCATTTTTTGGGAAAGAATTCCAGCCTTTCATTTTTTGAAACGGGATTTGAGTACCGTTGGGGGAGTTTTGTATCGATTAAAATCGAGAGTTCTCTCCTTTTTTTTTTGGATTGCAGAAACATGTGAGACAATACGACGTCTCTCGAGCATCCATTTGCGATGCTCAGCCTATCATGACACTCGGCTCTCATGAGATCGATCGAAGAAACTTTGATAGGTGAAGTACGTTGATTTTTGATTGAAATATATCATTGAAAATACCATAAAGTGTTTAAGTTCCATATGCGTATTTTTGCGCGGCGCTGACTTGTAGCGATCGCGGTGACCGACCTTTGAAAAAAGGCGAGTTGTCCGAAGCATGCTCATGTAACGACTATTGAAATATTTTCGGCAGAAATGAATCTGGGAGCCCGTGGTGGTCTTCTATCCAGAGAAGTCTCGTGCGATGAGATTTGGGAACGGAGGAGATGGAGAGGACGTAAAGCTTGTGCGACGGTGTGTTTCTGTTCAAACACCACAGGAAATATTTAGGATGGGGAGTTACAGTTGAGTTGTAATACTAGTTGTTTGTGTGTTTGCTCTCTTCCGTCTTCTCTCTCTCTCTCTAAAAAAAAGAAAAACAATCGCTCTCTTTTAAGCGGTGAATTTAAGCGTGGATTGCTTCATATTTGCACTCGTGTCCTTTTGAACACACACACACATCTCGAAGCACATTATTCACGTTTAAACATGTCTTTTGCATCTACCATCGCAAACAGAGCCGCGTTAGCCACTCGCGTGGTTTCGCAAGTCACCAAGTCTTCCAACAACAAGAGACGATCTTTGATTGTAAAGGCGGAAGGGGACGTTCCTGCGGAAACGGAAAAGCCAGCCGCTGCGGCTCCGGCGGTGCGTTTTTTTACTTCTTCCCTTTGATTTTTTTACGCTCGCGCGTGCATTGGAGGTGGAGGGAAACGAATTTCTGTTTTGATGGGCAATCGGGACGTCGGAACGAGGTTCTCGCGCGTCGATTCCGACACCGTAAAATTCGAATCTCTCTCGCCTTTTTGTGCTCTTTTTTGATACGCACCCGGGGCCGAGATACGGTTGATATCTCTAAAGGGAAAATTTTAAAGACGTTTTCTCTTTTCGCGACGAGCTCCTGTTGCGACTTGCGTCGGTCGAGCGAACGGTACGAACGGACGCAACGAGTGGTGCGGGAGCTGTTTGAACTCTTTCGAGCGTGGGAAGAGTAGGAGATATGCGCGCGCGCCCGAAGGAAAAAAAATATGATCAAACGACAAAAACTTACCTCTCTTCCCTTGTTCTTTTCTCGAAAATAATCACATTTAACAGAAGGTTGCCAGAAACACGGACAACCTCGCTCCGTTGTACATGTTGGGCGTCTCCGACCAATCTTTGTCCTACTTGGACGGCACCTTGCCGGGTGACTACGGTTTCGATCCGCTCGGCTTGTCCGATCCAGAAGGCGCCGGCGGTTTCATCAACCCGGGGTGGTTGGCGTACGCGGAAGTTATCCACGGCAGATGGGCGATGCTTGGCGTTGCCGGCGCGACTGCGCCGGAAACGATGAAGGGCTTCATTCCGGACTCCACGGCGGTGGTTTGGTTTAAGAACGGTATCATCCCGGCGCAAGGCTCGTACGACTTTTGGGCGCCGCCGACGGCGTTGTTCTGGGTCATGGTGTGCATGATGAACTTTGTCGAAATCAACAGATTGACTGAATACGCCAACCCGGGCTTCAGAACGAAGCAATCTTTGGCTGGCTTGGAAAAAGGGATGGGCGGCACCGGCAACCCGGCGTACCCGGGCGGTTCGTTCAACCCGATGGGTATGGGCAAAAACGACATGGACGCGATGAAGGTGAAGGAGATCAAAAATGGCAGATTGGCGATGATGGCGTTTTTCGGTATCATGGTGCAAGCGATCATCACCGGCGAAGGGCCAGTGAAGAACTTGACGGATCACGTTACCGATCCGTTCGCGCACAACTTGTTGACCAACTTTGCGAACGTCGGCGGCGCGTCTCCGTTCTAATTTGAGAAGAAGAGTAATTGTTATTAGAAAGAAAGAAAAAGAGGGAGAAAGAAAAGAATTTTGTAAAAATGAAAGAGATAAAGGAGAGAGAGAGAGAGGGAGAAATCGGTGAGAAATTGGAGAAATTGGATGTGTTAGGAACGCGCGGGTGTGTGCTTGAAGTAGTTTTACTAGGAAACGAAGGGCAAGCTGCGTTTGCGCTTGCAAGAGCAAACTGTTTTGTGATATCAAAAGAATATTATTGAGACGGAATAACTTACATAAATACGCGCAGATCTCAAACTCGTTCTTCTTTTACGAGCTTAATTTTCTTTCCCTGAGCTTTTCTCGCGCACGCGTTGATAACATTTGAACTTGTAGCGGTGTCGAGAGATGCGAAATCAATCGTTTGGCGGCTTGGGTTCGCCATTCCTCTTCGCCGCGAGGCGAAGAGAGCAAAACGCACAACATCTCCTCCAGCATCCACGTTTCGATGCATTTCGCCTTGAAAAGAGTCTCCGCGATACACTCACCGCGTGCATCTGTTTCAAACACAAACGTTAACATCTTTTCCCTTTTCTCTTCCTCTCTTTCAAAGTCTCGCCACGCGCGGTTGAACTGGTCAAACGTCTTGATCTCGGAACAAAACAAGCGCAAGTTCTCCTCCGTATCCGTTCTCTCGTTCGTGTGCGTTTGTAAACTCGACAAAGGTTTTCTCGACGCCAACGAACGCGACGCGATGTTACTCTCGCTTTTAAATCTCTCGATGTCATCTCGGTCTTCCCTTCGAGTTTCTTCTTCTTCTTTTTTTTCTTCTTCCTCTTCGACGGAGGAGTTTTTCCCGCAACGACTAAAAGCTCTCGTCCACTCCTCTCTTTTCATCGGTTTCAAGTGCGCGTACCGGGAGAGTTTTTGCCACTCCTCGTACGAAATGTGTGGATTTCTTTGCAACAAATCTTTCTTCGCCCGGTTCGAGTGACGTTGGCGGCTTTTCTCCGTCGCCTCTCGCCGAGCGAGCGCGGTTTTCATTTTCAAACCACTCGCCTCTTCTTTGACGCTTCTTCTCTCGTGCGTATTTTTCTTCAAAAGAAATTTTACGCACACACCACCTCTGACAGTATATCATCATGGCGCCTCGGGGCCGCGCTTCCACGAAAACCCCGGCAGGGAGAGCGAGGGCAAAACGATTGAGTGTTTTGCTTCTCGCTTTATTCGCGTGTGTGATTTTGGTCGCGTTTCGAGACCGAGAAACAAAAGGAAGAGATGGTGGAAGCGAAGATTTCTCGATTGGAATACATCGAGAAGAAGAAGATGATAAACAACAACAATCGAAGGAAGTCCGAGGCCACGGGATGTCTCGCGACCGATACAAAGATTCTCACATCACCATGGCGCAGAAATTACTATTGCAAAAACCGCCGAAACCGTTTCATCCGAGGTGCTTCGATGCGCCGAAACCGTGGAGGCCTTTAGAGGAGATCGAAGAGTGGAAGAGAAGAAGAGTGAGTCTTAGGAGGAAAGCGTTATCGAGCGGCGAGAGAGCGAATGAAGTAGGAGCAGAAGGAGAGGAAGAACACGAGGGAGTGAACGGGACAGAATCACGCGAACGAGGAAGAAGGCAGTTGTTAACGTTCAAAGCGGCTGGAATGGGTGGTAAATTTGGCCCGAGCTGTTCTCCTCGCGCGCCGTTGAAAGCTCGTCAAGCGTGCGCCGAGCAACGCGCGTTGAAGAGATGCTCGGAAGAATCGAAAGTGAGCAAGAAGAAAGTCGACCAGTTATCTGAGGTAGAAAAGAAATTAAAGAAGTGTTTAGTGGATTTGAAATCGTGCGAGGCGACGAGAGACGAGTTGAGGAAGGTGGCCATAGAGTTTAGCGGGATTCAAACGTTAGCGCTTGGGAGTCCGAATTGTTTCGTGCACTCGAAAGGCGGGAGTAATAAGTGTTTACCGTTAGTGAAGAACGAAGAGACTGGGCTCTTATCTGGTGGATGTGGAGAGCGTGGTGGTGGACCGAAAGCGGGATGCGATATGAGCTCGGGGTGGGAAGAGCGCGTACCGACGCCGAAAGAGGACGTGTTCAAAGGCTCGGCGTACGATCGGTGCGCTATCGTAGGCAACTCGATGAACTTGTTCGACGCGGAAAACGGAGACGCCATCGACCAGTACGATGCAGTGTTCCGATTTAACTCCGAATGGCGACGCATGCACCACGTGATGCAAGAAAAAGGCGTGAAATTCGAGGACAAGCAAAAATATATGGGTACGAAAACAACCTTTCGATTAGTCAATCGAAAATATACGACGAGTTTATTAGACGGCGACGGAGCGTCAGAGGACATTTCTAGCGACGAAGAAGTTTTATTTTGGAACTATTTTTCCGCGCCATATTTACAGGCGTTGCAAAAGAAACATCCCAAATTGAATTTACACTTAGCAGCCGCAGATTTAATCAACTGGGAATTGGAGGTGTTCTCGCAGTTGAGGAAAGACTTGTACTCGTTAGGCGTCGGGCCGTTCGAGTGTTACCGATTCATGTCTTCCGGCGTCCACGGGGTTTTGATGGCGCTGAAAATGTGCGAAGAGGTGGATTTATTCGGGTTTAGCGTTTCCATGGATAACTTTGCCAAGTCGTTTAATCACGGACGACCGAGCGAAAGCCACTCGTGGGAGTTTGAAACGATGTTGATGCGGTTACTTTACTTTACTGGCGCAATCAACGTATGTAATAGCTGAAGTAGTTATAGTTATGTTATATAGTAAGATGTTTTTCGATTACACAAGTATTAAAAAACAGAATGATCTATTTATTCTTTCTCTCTCTTCACCCTCTCTCTCTCTCTCTTTTCAACTCTCTCTTTCTCTTTTTCTCTCTCTCGTTTTCTGATTGTTTTCTTTCGTTCTCTCGGCTGCGTTCTCAATAAGTTTACTAAATCTTTTCTCTCTAAAAAAGAAACTACAAATTTAGTAAACTTCGACGTGCCATTGACCGTTTTTCTTCAAACCTTCCAACCACTCTTCGTAGTCGATGCCCTTTTCTTTGCACACACCTTCCAACATGGACAAAATACCCGGCATCATGCCCTTCAAACCGCAGAAGTACATGTGCGCGCCGCCGTCGAGCAAGCCAAAGACTTGGTCCTTGTATTCCTCAACCTTGTCTTGGATGTACATTTTGCCGCCCTTCTTGTTATTTTGTTCTCTGGACAAGGCGTAGTCAATTCTGAATTGGCCCGGGAATCGTTTGACGCACTCTTGGAATTCGTCGTCGTACAAAGTGGCGTCAGAGTTGGCGACGCCCATGAACAACCACGCCAAGCCGGTGAAGTTCCAGCTCGGGACGTCTTCAACGAAAAATCGGCGGATGTACGCTCTCATCGGGGCAATACCAGTACCAGTGGCAACCATGATGACCGGGGTGGACGGATCCTTCGGCAACAACATGACTTGGCCAGTCGGGCCAGTCATCATGATTTCCGTACCCGGGGTGGCGTCGCACAAAAAGTTGGAGCAGATGCCCTTCTTTTCCGGATCTTCAGCGCCCTTCTCTTCGTCCCAGTAGGTCGCACGACGAACGCACAAAGTTGCAGTTTGACCGTCGAAGGAGTCCCCATATCTAGTAGACGCGATGGAGTACAATCTCACACCGTGCGCAACTTCCTTACCCTTGGAGTTGATCTTCGTCCCCGGCGGAATAACGCCGTACGACTGCCCTTCCCAAAACGGCATCTTTCCTCCGTGGTCGATGATGATGTGCGTGGTTTCCCCAGTCGCCTTCGGGCCAACAATTCTTTCCACGGACTTGACGGTACCAGTGAACGGCGTCTTGTTCTTGTACGTGTTCAACGGCATTTCACCTTCTTCCAACGCTAACGGAACCTTCGCCTTGCCGGATTGCATGGATTTCCCAGCCGTCTTGGCCATTTCGAGACCCAAGCCGTACGGGCCACCCTTATCGGCCGCTTTGACCACGGTGGACACTCTGGCCACCTTTTGGCTTTGGCGAGCGGAGGTGACTTTTTGCGAGATGCATTGCTGTTTATGATAGAGAGAAGAAGAGAAGAATTCATCAGTAATCAAACTTAAGGCAAGACGACCTTATCCGTCTTTTCCAAAGCACCACCCACAAAAGAAACAAACAAAAAAAAACTGCTTCTGCGCGCTATCTAAAATCATCGTCTCCCATCATCGTAAAACACCCAACGACGGGCGACGCGAAAACATACCTTGGCAGAGAGGCCAGCGAAAGATAACTGCATTTACGATTAGAAAAACGTTGGTCAGTATTACGTCTCATCCTCCGTTCGTTCGATTTTCTCGTCGTCTTTCCGGATATAAAAAATTCAGTTACGCCTCTCACTCATCACTGCGTTCTCGCTAATCCATCCGCGCAAAGAACAGAGGAAAAAAAAATTCGGAAATGCCTCTCGCAAAGGACCTCGCGACTTTTGCAGACGCCGTCGCGAGCCCCCATCGCGCGGTCGTCGAAGAGTAACGCCACGCGCGCGTAATAAAAGAGAGTCATCGACGAAGAAACGCACAGTAGAAGCCATTTTTATATTATTACGTGTGTGATTATATATAAAAGGTATAGAGAGATCTTTTGTGTTGTGGGGCAAACGAAAAGCTGAAAACTCTTCCCCTCACTTGCCTCAAAAATTTGTGGCTCGTCTGCCCTTAAAAAAAAGTTTTGCGTGCACATTTCGTCTCTGATTGAGTTATACAAAGAGAGAGAGAGAGAGAGAGAGAGAAGGACTTTAGCATCGGTACACATATAGTACCATGCGGACTGTAATTTCCTCCCTTTCGCGATGCGTGGAGTGCAATAACAACAAGTATTCTTCGAAGAGGAGCGAGAGCGAACGGCGAGCGTCGGTTTCCGGGATCGATGATGATTACACGAAGACGTCACACCTCCCGAGGATGATGAAAACGAGAAAAAGCCGTTTACGTCGCAGGAGTCGCGCGGTCGCGGCGATGCGAGCTAACCAGGGTTTCGCGGGAGAAGAAGAGAAAACGGTCAAAAGTGGTAATCACATCGCTTCTTTTCGAAGAAGAGGACAACAACGCTCGCGAAGAACTCGAATGCATTTCGGCGAAGACGTCGGCCAAGAGGAAATGTCTTCGTTATTGGACGACGTGGTAGATACGTGTCCAGTACCGATGGACCAGAGGCCTTCGTCGCAACTTAAAGAAGTCGCCGAAGGCCTGGTTTCTGGATGGGGCGGTTTAGATGGGAAGCGTTACGCGGTACGGTTGACTATTTTGTGCGGATTTTTCTTCACGGTCATCGCGTACCCGATCGCGAGCGAGACGTATAATCCGGAGATACAATGGACGGAGGCGCACGTCGCGGCGATGTTGGGTTCCTTGGTTGCAGTGAGCGCGATAACGTTGAACATTCACAACTCGTGGGATTACGTGAGAAATCGCTTACTCTCGGCGACGATTGAGTACGAAGAGACGGGATGGTACGATGGTCAAGTGTACGTGAAAACGCCGGAGATGTTGGCGAAGGATAGATTGGACGGGACGTACGTGTGCGGCCCGGCGGTGGCGAGGTGTAAGAAGACGATGTTGGCGTGCGGAGCGGGCGTGTTAGGTTGCGTGTTCGCGTTGAACGCGCTGGACGCGCCGAAAGTAGACCAGGAGAACTTTGGCTCGTACACGCCGCAAAAAGCGGCTTTGCTGAGAGATTTAGGCATGGGAACGTACATCGACGCCGGCGAAGGGAAAAGGATCAGCCAAGGCGGTATGTTCTCTCGCGAAACGGCGGATAAATACGAACCGGAAGAAGAGGACGAAGACGAAGGAGACGAAGTCAACGGCGTGGTCATGAGTTACGCGCCGTCGGTATCTATAGTTTCACCCTCTTCCTCGTCGTCGTTTCCTTCGGTATCATCGGAAAAAGCAGACGAAGGAGGAGATATCCTCGCCAAGGCCGCCGAGTAAAAAACGACTTTGCGATATGCAAAAGCGCGCGGTCAAAACAGTGTAGTAGCCATTTTAGTTTAATAATATGTTTTTCATGTATGCAGCATCGCTTTGGTACTCGCTTCTTCCGTCCTCCTCGAAAAGATCGTCTCTTTTGTTCGTCTTCTCCTCGACAAAACGCCTTCAAAAAAAAGAACGATTGCTTGATTTTCTCTCGTCGTCGTTCTCACAAAACTCTCTTTTGCACCACCACGCGACAAAAGACGACTGACATTTCTTTCAAATTTTAACAGAATTTTTTTTTCAAAAAGCGCAGCAAAAAAAGCGAGAGACAGTTTCCTCACTTTCATATCCACACATCCACCCCCAACAAACACTAGCGATACTAGCACGCAGAAGAGCCGGACGACCCCCGTTCTTCTTCGTTTAGCGAACACGCGATACACCTCAACGACGAGGAGAAGAATATAAGAGACTCTTTTTTCTTCTTCTCGTCCTCTCGTGCACTCCGACGGTGACTCTTTGATTCGCGCGTGGTCGTTTGAAAATCATTTTTCAAAAACATTTTCAAAATGTCCTCGCGGAAGATGCGACGAACAACCGCAACAACAACGAAGAACAACAACAACAACAGGTTGAAAGATCTCACCAACACGAACAACACCAAAGAGAAAGAACAGGAGGACAGAAATAAAAGGAACGCTTCTAGTACTCCCGAGATTCCGGATTCGAGGCCGTCGAGGATGACCGCCAGTATCGTCGTCGAAGCATCCTCATCCCCGAGATGTTTGGCGGGCGAGAAAAAAGAAGCGACGACGAAGAAGAAAAAAAACACAACTTTTCCACGAGCTGGAACGAGGAGGAAAAGAGTCGCAAAAGCGATACAAAAGAAGGAAGACAACCGAGACGAAGATTTCGAGATCGATTTAATGTGCGAAGAAGAACCCTTGGTAGGAAAAAGAAGGCGGAAAGGAACAGGGAAAGCGTCGAACACCACGCGCAGTCGTAGCGGTACGATTTCAAAAATTTCATCTCTTTTTTTTTTTGTATCTGTCTTCTCTCGTGTTTTTTGCTTCTGTTTTTCTCTCTTTTTGAATTCAAAAATTTTCAAAATCGTTCGTTGGTGTTTGAATAAACGCAACGACGAACGAGAAGAGTCTATTTGAAAACACTCACGCCGCGTGACATTTTCTTTTCCTCAACACAGATAAACCACCTTTACCACCAGTTTCATCGAAAGATGACGACGAGGAAGGAGAGGACGACGATTTCGACGACGCGAAGAAGGTGAAGAAGAAGACAGTGAAGAAGACAGAAAACGCGGGAAAGAGGCTTTCGACGCAAACGACGCCGACGGCGTCGCGAGGCGCGACGTCGACGCTGGCGGAGTACGCCTACTGGGCGTTTTCCAACGACGGCGGGCGGCGGAGGACGGAAGAAAGGTACACGTTGGACCCGTACGTGAAATATGGGGAGTTGTTCAACCCGGCGATGCGACAGCAAGTCGTGAATTGGATGTATAAGAGGTCTCTTCGGTTATCGATGGCGCCGGAGACGTTTCATTTGGCGGTGAGGTACTGCGATACGTTTTTGAGTAAACGCGAGTGCGAGGTGTTTTTGCAAAGAAACGGGAACGGTTCGGAGCCGGTGCCGGCGAAAGCGATCGAGTCGTTCTATGTTGTCGATCGCTTAGAATACGCAAATCCTGGTAAAGACAGAAAGGTTTTGTTTTACGCGAAGGAGGCGGAAGGTACGAGCGCCATGGATGGCGTTGATTTTGGCGGCGTGACGCCGATTTTCCCGCTCGGCGACGAAACGGTGAACCCGTTGTGCAACAAACTGAAAAGGTTAGGTGCGACGTGTTTATTCGTGGCGGCTAAGATTGTTGAGGTGAATCCGCCGTGCGCGGCGACCGTGGCGTCGTGCACGGAAGTGAGCACGTTTAACCGCAGTCAGTTGTTACTCGCCGAACGCGCTTTGCTGCGCGAGTTGGACTTTTTTCTGTACCGGCCAAATCCGAGAGCGTTTTTAGACGCATACATCGACGTCGCGCACAGAAAAGTGGCGAAGATATCCGTAGAAGACAGATTGGAGAAAGAGTCAAAAATTTACGAACGAACGTACGGAGGAAAGTACGGAGAAAATACCTTGGCGTATAGAAATATGAAATTCGCTTTGGAGAGTCACAAGAGGAAAGTGGAAGAGTTTTGCGAGTTGACCGTGGACTTGGCGGTGCTTTCCCAACAACACTTGCGTTGGCAGCCGAGCGTTATAGCGGCTTCGGCACTGGCTATAGCCCTGGAGGACGAGTGGTATTTGTCGTGGGACAGCGCGGATATGGAGTGCATGGTGGAGTTGACCGGGTACGCGTACGACGACTTGGCCGAGTGTAGCAGATGGTTGTTGTCGGTGTTGAGAAGCGCGAGCGTCGCGGAAGAAATCCAGCGAAGAGGAGAAGCCGGGAGTCGATGGTACTCGAAACTTCACGCGAACGAGAAATACCGCGGGGTTATTGATCGCGTGACTGACGAAAAACGACCACACATGCAACGACTCGAGAGCGCGTTTGGATACACAAACTTCACGAGCAAGCGAGGGATTTTACTTACGGATTTCAAGGAAATTGAAAACTGTTTCGAAAAGGCAGTTTCGAAAGGCGTGCCAAAATCCAAATAGAAGAAACGAAAGGAAAAATGAAGAGAGAGGGCCGAGAGGTAACGAAGAGACGAGAAGAAGAGGAAGAAGAAGAGAATGAAGAGAATGAAGACGATGATGAGAATCATCGCATAGTAGTAATATATATTATTTAGAAAGAGAGAGATGAGAGAAGGAGAGGATGATGATGATAATATCGTGCGTGATTGTGAGATGTGTAGTAGCGAGAAAGACGTTGAAAAATTGTATTAGTCAGCTGTGCAAGAATAATAATAACCATACTAAATCGAACGTACACGCGCGCGTACGCGTTCACCGACTTCTCTTTAAAATCTTCTTCGTTCTCGACGTATTCGTATATATTCATATATAATTTTATTTTATTACAGATTTGGTTCGAGTACGTATTATATTATGTACCTCGTCGATTTGTTTACTTTCATCTCGCGAGCGATGAAAACTGTGTGTTTCATCATCTCAACATACTCATGCCGCTGGCTAGCAAAGCCGAAGCGATGAAACCTCTCACGCCCACCTCGGGAATATCCAACGCGACGTTTCTAGCCGTCCAATATGAACACCCCATCGCCGATAACGCCAATATCGACGCCGTCCGTAACTTTATGTTCCCCATGGCGTAATGTTGCGCTCCAACCGCGATGTTTGTGAGTAAAGTACACAACAGCGCAGTCGCCGCGATCCTATGCACTTCCAAGTCCGTCTCGGCGGATAAATACGAAGTCACTAAAACTCCGCCGCCAATGCCTACCGTACCTTGAATCAACCCAACCGCTATACCTAAATACACATACTCCCTCTCGTTATACAACGCATCCATCCAACTCCCGTGCTTATAATACCTCTCTAAAAACTGTTGCGATACGATCGTATACAAACTTCCTTCAGGTTGTTGGAAATGTCCATCTTTATCCGGCGCCGAGCTCATAATGCCGTGATCCGCTAACGCTTTTTTAATTCTCTCCTGCTCCGCAATCTCCTCTTTCGTCGGTTCGTACTCTTCATCTATTTTTTTCTTAATTAATACCGATGGGGCGCATAAGACTAAAGCGCCTCCGAGCATCCGTCGCATCATCGGTCCCGATATGTGCTGCGCAAACTTTTGTCCAATCGGCGTGCACGCCGCGCCGGCGAAACCAATCGTCGCCGCGCACGGTAAGTCTGTTTTAAAGTTGTTATTATTATTGATTACAGTACATTTAAAGAAAAGTCTTACGCGTGAGTTTTTGTGCAACACGTTCGTTCGCGAACGACGGAGAGAGAAAGAAAGAGAGAGAGAAAGAGAGCGAAAAGAGCAGAAGCACACAAGATAAGCGTCTCGTCCTTCCTCTTCTATATGTCGTACCTGTGACGCCTTTCTGCGCGTACGCTAAACTCCCCGCCGCGGTCGCCCCGGTCACCGCCGCCACCGTCGTCCCGACGATATCTTTCGCCTTGAACCCGAGTCTGGACAAAGCCGGGACGAACACCACCGCCCCGCCTAAACCGGTTATCGCGGAGACCATCCCGGCGAAAGAACCAGAGGCAGCCGAGAACGCCGCGCGCGAAGACGGCGTGGATAACGATTCCACCGCCACGGCTTTGGCTATTTTCGCGGTCGCTTGTTTTGCTGCCATTGTTGTTCTATTATTTGCTCGTGTCGTTAGGTCCTCGTTTCACACTTATTATATACGTATTTGCGCGCAGAAGTTTCGATTCGATCGCTGATGAGATATACGTCTGACTCACTCGTCGCGCAAAGAAATTTCCCCTCTCTCTATAAATACAACAAAGTTTCTTCTTTTCTCGTAATCTCGAAAAGAACGCGACGGGAATCACCACCACAAAACGCAAAGTCTTCCTCTTCCTCCTTCTTCTTTGTCTTCTTCTTCTTCGTGTCTTTGTGTGTCTCTCTGAACCAAGCGATTGAGAAGACTAAAGAGACGAGAGTTTACGAACCAAATTATTCTTCTTCACGAAAGCACCCGAAAAAGAGCAGCAGAAAGAGGTTTTTTTGACGCAAAAAAAATGAGCAACCATTCGATTTGTGTTTTTGCCTTTCTTTCTCGTCTGTGTTTTTTTTTTTTGTTGTTGTTGTGTCCTCCTCTTTCTTTCTCGAGGAGAGAGAGAGATATTTTGCACACGACAGAGATGCGCCGAGACAGAAGATCGTCATTATAGTAATTCGATTTCTGAGTGTTGTCAAAATCGCACGCGTTGAAAACGCACACAGCAGTTAAGGGCGGATTTATATACACACTACTTTATTAAAACGAATACGCAGAGCCGACGTATCATTATCATGGGGTGAGCAGATGTTTATATTAGTAGTTTTATTGTTTTTTCTTCTCGCTCTCTTTCGAGGGGGTCGACCAAACATCGTTTCGTCGCGGAGTGAATTGTGCCAGCACACGCAACAAAAAGATGATGCAACTTTGCTCTCCAAAGCGCAGACTGTAGCCATCTCAAGAAGAAGAAGAAGAAGAAGAAGACGAAGAAGAAAAACAAAAACGTTTTAGGCGCAAAAGCGCGCGTTTCTCTTCCTCTTTAACTCGTTTGGTCGTCTTCTTCTCTGTCTCTTTTGCAACAACACCCCATTTGGCAAAAGCGCAGAGGAGGAGGCTGAGAATCGTTTAAAAAGAGAGTTTTCGTTGGTGTTAAATGTGCTCCAGATGTAGAGGAGGGAGAGAGAAAGTTTTGGTTAAAAAACAACCGTCTCTCTCTCTCTCTCTCTCTCTCTCTCTCTCTCTCTCTCTCTCTTCTTTTCTTCGCTTCTTCTTCTGCTCCCGTTTCTTCTTTCCGGCGTTGTTGTTGTCGCGAGTAGTATTCCGCGCTTTTTTCGAGACGTGGAAGACAAAACGCTAACCAACCTTCTTCTTCTTCTTCTTTTCGCGTAAACAGTTTCTTTTCGAAAAAAGAAGTCGACCCGGACGCGGACCCTCACGGTGGCGACGATTTCATCGAAGGCGGTAAGCGACGATGCACGGACGTTTTGTTCTTGTTGGCGTTTATCGCGTTTTGGGTCGGCATGTTGGCGTGCGGCGGGTACGGTTTTACCAACGGCGATCCGGCTTTGTTAATCATGGGCACGGATTACGAGGGCGTTTTGTGCGACGAGAAAGGTACCGGGGTGGCCGGGACTGGCAGCGGGAACGTCATCGATAACTCCGGATTGAAGACGAGATACTGGGCAAACTTCTTGGAAGTCGCGGCGGTGGCGAGATCTGCGGCGGTGGCGGCGACGACGCCGTCGTTCGCGTCTTCTTCGTATACTTTAGCGGATGCGAAGAGCATGTGCGTTTCTACTTGCCCGCAGCCGTCCGAAACGGCTGGACAAGTGACGTGGTTTTGCGATTACCCGGAAAGTAATTCGTACGCCGCGCAGTTGACGAAAGAGGCGTGGAAGACGAAAAACGGAGACGTGTATTCCGACTTGACCGACGCGGAGAAAGTGACGAGTTTGCAATTGAAAGGGCCGTGTTATCCGGTTTTGATTCCAAGCGTAAACACGTACTTTTCGTGCAACTATTACGGCAACTTTTCGCAGTCGTCGTTCGATGCGTTCACGGCTTTGTCAGTTTCGGGTACAACCGGGACGAACTTTCTCACCGACGGCACGTACAGCTCGTTTGCCTCCTTGGACGGATTAGTCGAAAGCATCAACTCGCAAGTTACGGATTACATCGCCGGCCCGATGGAACGATTCCAAAGGTACATCGATGACTTTATCGTCGCGAAGAACGTTTTAGGCATGGCGGCGGGCGCCTGTCTCGTCTTATCGCTCGCCTGGTTGGTCATATTGAGATACTTCACCTCGCTCTTTTGCTGGGGCACGGTCATCGTGGTCAACCTCGGCTCGATTGCGGTGACGTGCTACTTGGCTTTGTATTCTGGCTTAATCGGTGATGACCAAATCTCCGGCATTGTCGATTCCACGGGCTTGGATTCCACCGAGCTCAACGCGTCTTCTTGGGTCGATCCGGCATCCGAAAACGAGGAAGTGTTGAAGGCGTGCACGTACGTCATGGCGGTCTTTACCGTCATCTTTTTCATCTTCACCTTGTTGATGGTTCGACGCTTAAAAGTTGCCATCGCGTGCATTAAAGTGTCCATCAGCGCCTTCTCCACGGTGCCGAGCTTGATTGTCTTTCCTTTGGTTCCGTGCGTTGGGATGATGTTGCTTTTCTTGTACTGGGTGTTCGCTGGCGTCTACCTCATGTCCTGCGGCGACCAGAAGATCCAAACATGCGTCCATCCGTTCGAGTCTTCCGAATCGCACGGCTGTGGCGTCGAAACCGAATGGTCTCGCGAGTTGCAATACATGCTCTTGTACCACTTCTTCGGCTTCTTGTGGACGACGCAGTTCTTTATCGCGGTGTCGTATTTAGTCGTCGCGTACGTCTTTGCCAAATTTTATTGGTCTGGTGCGGACAAAATGGGCATGACGCCACTTTTAACGTCCATGAAGAGAATGCCGTTCTATCACTCCGGTTCGGCGGCGTTTGGTTCCTTCTTGATTGCAGTCATGCAATTCGTGCGCGTCTGCATGAGAGTCGTCATGACGGGCATGAAAAAAATCGACCGAAACGGCAAAGTTTTTGCCGTCGTCGGCTACGTCATCGAGTGCTGCTTGTGGTGCTGCCAAAAGATCATCGAGTTCATCAACCGAAACGCGTACATTATGATTGTCATCGACGGTAACTCCTTCTGCTGGTCGGCGTTTCAAGCGTTGAAATTGATGATTGCCAACGTCATGTCCGTCGCCGCGATTAACATCGTCGGCGACTTACTCTTGTTCTTGGCGAAATTGAGCATCTCAATCGGTACCGCGTTCTTGGCATTCGTCATGTTAAACGGCGACGATTACAAAGAGGAAATTTCCTCTCCGGTTTTAATCTGCTCCGTCATCGCCATCTTCGCCTACTCCGTCGCCGCCGTCTTTATGGGCATCGTCGAAATGGGCATCGACACTACTTTGTTGTGTTACTGCAGAGACATGGAAAAGCACAACGGCACTCCGCAATACGCGCCGGAAGTTTTACAAAAAGCTTTGGGCATCGCCGGTGAAGTCCAAAAAGCCGAAGAGGAAAGAAAGGCGGCCAAAGCGGCTGCGAAAGCGGCCAAAGCGGACAATTCGGAGTAAACGAAAGAGAGATACCTTAATATACTACTAAATGATAATACTTTAAAACTGTGATGATGATGAAATAAAGTCTCGAAAGAGTTGTTGTTGATATAAATTTTGTATGCTTTTTTAAACCACCACCATTTTTCAATCGGAGGAATACTTCTTCGTGAATACGCGCTCATAAGCCAACATGTTAAGTTTCGCGTTGCATCGAGGCACCCAATTATGACGTGTAAAAAGGAGGTTCAAAAACCAAATTTTCGACACAGAAAAGTCACACGCACTTTTTAAGAGATACATACGTTTGCGCGCCGTGAGCGAACGACGATGTCGTTTGAGGCCACTCACGGGGATGTCGCTTCATCGCTCGATCGAAAACGGTACGTAGAAACGTTCGTTCTCTTCTGCAACGCGCTCATGCGCTGTGTCTCTCTTTCTTTCTCTCTCTCTGTCTGACGCACACTTTTATTCCAATTTTTGTGGTTTGTCCTCCGCTTTTTTTGGTCGACCTTTCTCAAATCTACGGATAACAATAGACTAACGCATCACGTATAACTCACGTTCTTCTGTGAATGAAACAGGCAACGCGAGCAATTCAAAGCGCTCCTGAGGAAAAACTTCACTCTGAAAAGAAGAGGCTTGTGGTGTTGCTCTTTGTTCGAACTGCTCGTCCCGACCGCATTCGTGGCTTTGATGTGTTTGCCAAAGGCACTCGTCCCGGACGAGAAGAACCACGACGTGTTATACAGGAGCTTTTCGATAGGAGCCGGGTGGTATCCAATCGGGCAATTTGGGTCGTCGGAAGAAGATGGGGGTGGTGATACTTCGTCTTCGTTGAAAGGAAGCGGATGGCAGTTTACGTTTACGCCGATTACGGAAGAGACTTCGGATATCGTTGAAAGGGCGTACGTGAATTTTTTGTGCGCCGATAGTCGAAGCGAGAACGCGGACGTGAAAAATATGAGCTTCAGCGTTCCTAGGATGGTGGGTATGGGTTGGAACGAACGAGCGTTGGAACAAATGGTAACAGAGTCTAACGAGGATCCTAGCGATCTGGAGAAGAATAAAACGGCGACGGCGGCGGAGATGTTGCTAACCGGGAGGATCTTCGACGAAGATGGCGTGAAAGAGTGGCGAGAGGAAAGGTGCTCGGATACGTGTTTGCAAGATGAAAGCGGATGTTTTAAAACGAAGTGGTTACCGATATTGAGTGAATTCGTGAAAGGTTTCGAGACGGAAGACGCGATGGAGACGCACAGATTTGAAAAAACCGGAGAGGTACTGGCGGAAATTGTGTTTTCTTCTTCGAGTAGTAGCGATGGTGATAGCGATATAGAAGACGACGACGATAGCGATACGTCCACATCAAACGCGTTCAGCATTTTAGACGAAGAAACGAGGTACACGATTCGATTAAACCGAACGCATTTTGGAGGCCAGAGAAAGCTCGCTCGCGCTACCGGTAGACAATACTCTACGGAGTGGGAGGGCGAGAGCGAGCAAGACTACTGGAAACGGTTCGAACGATCGGTACAACTCCAACACGCCGTCGATCAAGCCATAGTGGATATGAAAGATGACAAAGATGACGGTGTGCCAAAGAAATTTAGCGTCCAAATTGATTCCTCTATCAAACCGTTCCCGGCGGTTGGCTACACGTACAACTTGGGTGGTATAATCGCCGCGTCGTTTATCGGTTTTGTTGGCACCATAGCGTTTCAGTCTTCTGCTGTATTAGTCATGAAAACCATAGTCGTAGAAAAGGAGTTAAAATTAAGAGAAGGGATGAAAATGATGGGCTTGACTGATTTCACGTACTGGTCGAGTTGGTTAGTTACGCATTGGGCAGCCTCTATGATTACAGTGACCAGCATGACTTTAGTTGGAATCTATCCGTTTGAGTACACGAATCAATGGTTTCAGTTCTTGTTTTACAGCGTGTGGGTGCTATCGAACATTTTGTTCAATTTTATGATCACCACGTGGTTCGATCGAAGCTTGGTTGCGACCATTGTGTCGTTGTTTATTTACAACTTGTCCATACAACCGTCCACTCAAATACGAATTGTCGCACCGGAAGGTTCTGCCGCGTGGCTTTGGACGTGTTTACTCCCAGCTGGGTCTTTAAACATGTGGGGTCATGTGCTCTCGCAGTTGGAGTTAACCAGAGATGGTATCACCGCTGAAACGTGGTCAAAATCAGTCGTCGAAAACGTCGACGTGAGCGCGAGCTCAGTTTTCGCCATCACTGTTTTCAACTGCTTCTTTTACGGATTTATGACGTTTTATTTCGACAACGTCTTGCCGAAAGAGTTTGGTCAACGAAAACCTCCGTGGTTTTTGTTTACGAAAAGTTATTGGTTTCCCACGACGGAAGTGCATTTGTTAAAGCATAATAACAATAATAACAATAATCAGAGCGAAATAGAAATGAGACAGCGGTATTGTGAACCGCTACCAGAGGAAAGCACGGAGTCTATATCCGTCGAAAATTTACAAAAAGTTTTCCCGAACGGCGTTTCCGCGGTGGACAATTTATCCGTCGCGTTCGTTCCTGGACAAGTCTCGGCATTATTAGGCCATAACGGCGCAGGGAAAACGACAACGATTAATATCTTGACCGGTGCCATGGCACAAACGGCGGGGAAAGCGACCATAAACGGTTTCGATGTCGCCACGCAAATGTCTTCCATTCGTCTTTCATTGGGTATTTGTCCTCAATTTGATGTTTTATGGCCAGTTTTAACGTGCCGGGAGCACTTGAAATTGTACGCTTCTCTGTCTCAAAATAAAGATGTGATGACGGATTTAGACGAGTCGATCGAAAGCGCGTTGCGTGAGGTAGACCTTTTGAATAAAATAGACGAACAGAGTAAAAACTTATCGGGCGGTATGAAGAGAAAATTGTCGTTAGCGTGTGCATTTATAGGTAACCCGTCGATTGTATTTCTAGACGAACCTACGAGTGGGATGGACCCGTACTCTCGGAGATTCATATGGGACGTCATTCGAAAACGAGCGCAAACGGGCAAGACGATTATGTTAACCACGCATTTCATGGATGAGGCTGATTTATTATGCGATCGAGTTGCGATTATGTCTGCCGGGTCATTGGCGTGCGTTGGAAGTCCGGTATTTTTAAAATCCAGGTTTGGGAGCGGGTACACTCTCACGCTCGCGAAAGACCTCGACAAAGAGAGTAGCAGTAGGAATGGCGACAACTCGGCGCAATACTTAACCGGGTTGCAAAAAGAGGGGTCTCGAAAGGCCTTACATTTTGTCCGGAGCGTGGTAACAAACTCATCTTTAATTTCAGACGTTGGTACCGAAGTTACCATTTCCTTGCCGTTGGGTGCGACGCATCTATTTGCAGAACTTTTGAAGAAAATTGAGCACGAGTTACCGACGTTGGGATTCACCTCGTACGGGATCACGTGCACGACGTTGGAGGAGGTGTTTTTGAAAGTTGCCTCGAACGCGAAACATTTGTCAATTGAACAGAAAGAAAACGAAGAGCACGAGAGGCGAAAGCAACACTCGCGCGCGAACACGGACAGTATCGTGGACAAAGTACACGGCGAGAGCATGAGAGAAGCGTTCGTGGCGAACTATGAAGAGCGCGCAGAATACGTCACCGGTTCGAAACTGCTTTCGAGACAGATTCGATTCTTACTTTGGAAACGGTACTTGAACTGGAAACGGACGATAGTCACGACGTGTTTACAACTGTTGTTACCGTGCGCGTTCTTCGCCTTGGCTTTATTTTTGACGACCGTTGAATTCAAAAGAGATATCGTCTACAAACCCGTGACGTTTTCGCGGGGCGCGCATCTCGACGGGCGAGATATTTTAGCAACATATCGTAACAACGATGATATAGCGGATAAAGTCGTTCGTAATGCGTGGCCTGATCAGCGAACGCAGATTACGGAGGCTTTTGGCGAACAAATATCGTGTAGATGCAATTGCCCAGCGCCGAAGCAGGAGGCGTATTACGCCGCATTGACGTGCTGCATGAGCGATCCAACGCTTGTAAAACCGAAGTACGAAAACAATACCATCGCGACGTTATCGAATGCGTGCGGATACACGGAAACACAAACAGATGTTGTCGGTTTCGCCGCGAGAGATGCTCTTGGGAATTGTGCAAAGAGCCCGATTCATGGAGTCGATACCCAAATCAACAGCTCGTGCGAAGCGAGTGCGGACACTTCCTTCGACGGCACTTTGCTCGGTAAATTCGGCGACAAACGAAAACCGTGTAATTTGCGCCCATCCGGCGCCACATGCGATGCAATTTGGGTTGACTCCTACGTCGATGAGAACGGAGCCGAGAATAAAGTTACCGGAGGCGTGTATAGACACACGTTGTACACTGATGTCACGGCTTTCCACGCTATAGGCGTGTCCACGAACGAAGCCAACACGGCAATTTTACGACACAGATCCGGGAACGCAAATGCGAAGATCAAAACCACTTTGAAATGGTTTGAATCAAAGGAAAAGTACGAAGATGGCGAGATTGTTGAAGAAGCGGACAATGCTCTCGTCCTCATGTTTACCGCGGTCTTCTCCGTCCTCGGCGCTTCGATTTTAACCGCTTCGTTTGCCGTTGTTCCAGTCAACGAAAGAGCGAACAATACGAAGCATTTACAGCTCGTCTCGGGCGTGAACAAGACCATGTATTGGCTGTCACACTTCATCGCAGATATGTTCCAAATGATTATACCGTTGATTGCCATTACGATTGTTTTTGCTGGGTACAACGTGGAAATGTTCCGCGGAAGAATTGGAGACATCTTTGCGCTACTCTTCGTCTTCCTCCTCGCGTCTATTCCGTACGCGCACGCCGGTGGTTTCTTCTTTAAAACTGGATTCACCGCGTACGTAGGGGAAATTGGTATCGTTTCCTTCTTAGGTGTCATCACGACCATCGCGGGTATCATCTTGTATAACCTCCGAGAATTGAACGATGCAACGAAACAGGGCTCGGATATAAGCAAACACGTTTTTGCGTTGGTCGTCCCTCATTACTCCTTAGGTCGAGGTTTGTTCGATTTAGGCATGCTCAACGAGCAAAAGCAACGACAGATGTTCGATTTCGATTGCAATTGTTTGAAATTCGTGGAATCGGATTCGGTTGGCGAGACCATGTGGATGCATTATCTCTATTTGTTTGTCAATTTTGTCACGTTTACGTTCCTGGTGTGCGTCTTGGAAAGATTGGAATCCGTGAAAGGACGAAAACACATTTCCGAGTACAAAGAGGAGAAACGATTAAAGCGAATACGGAAGTCGGAAGAGAAAAACGAAAATATTAGATTGGCGGCGGAAAGGCGACGAGGGGCACGACAGAGCAGGGGAAGAAATGGGTTCACAGAGCGGCCGTCGTCGGCGTCTTTGGGTCTCGAAGAACAGCAATTATCGGAACAACAGTATCAACAGCAATTGACAACCGTCGCGTCAGAACAACCGGACGAAGAAGATGAAGACGTCGTTGCCGAACGCCGACGCGTTCTCAATACCGAATCCAATTTGACCGCCAACGACGGCGTGATTATTAAAGATCTCGTCAAAAGTTACGGTTCAAAGAAGGCAAACGCAGTCGACCATCTCTCGGTTGGTATGGCGCACTCGCAAGTCTTTGGTTTACTTGGTGTCAACGGTGCCGGGAAAACGACAACGTTCAAAACAATCACCGGCGAGTTTGCGCCAACCTCTGGTGACGCACTCATTCGCGATTACACGAGCACAAACACCTCTTCCGGCACCGATCGTCGCTTACTTTCCATCTCCAACGACTTAACTGCCGCTCGACAAAGAATGGGGTACTGTCCTCAGTTTGACGGCTTACAATTAAACCTCACGGGGCGCGAACATATCAAGTTTTACGCGGCGATTCGTGGCGTGCCGTACGGCTCCATCGATTCCACCGTCTCGAAACTGCTCAACGAAATCCAGCTCACCGACGCCGCCGATCGCATTTGCGGTACCTACTCCGGTGGTATGAAACGCAAACTTTCAGTCGCGCTGGCTTTGGTCGGCGCGCCTTGCGTCGTCCTTTTGGACGAACCAAGCACGGGAATGGATCCAGAAGCTAAACGATTCTTATGGGACGTCATCTCCGCGGCGGCGAAATCAAGGACGATCGTCTTAACTTCGCATTCCATGGAAGAGTGCGAAGCTTTGTGCCATCGAGTTGGTATCATGGTTTCCGGTCAATTCAGTTGCATCGGGAGTCTCCAACACTTGAAAAACCGATTCAGCGAAGGTTACTCCGTCACGGTAAACTTTGACAAATCCAAAAAACCCGAAGTTGTCGATTTCTCCTTGAAAGAACTCAAAGCCTCCATCGCGGAATCTCACATCTCGGAGTTGAAATTACGCGTCAACCACACGCAAAACGAAGACGAAATCAAGTTGTGGCAAGTCTTCGCCAAGTTACACGAGGTGAAAACGTCCGGTTTAATCATAGATTACTCCGTCTCGCAAACGACGCTCGAACAAGTCTTCGTGAGATTCGCTTCGAAGCAAGGCCAGTTGGAATAAAATAAAATCTCTCATCTCCCAACTCATTTAAGAGTACGCGTTTTGAAAGTGTGTGTATATATACTGTCATTGAATGTAATGAGAAAAGTATAAGTAGATTTCTAGAAGCGCTTCTTTTATCGAGGAGATGTGCTTCTTCGCTTCACAACTTGACACGAGAAACGCAAGCACTTTTATAAAAGAAAAAAATGTTCCCCACGTTATCGTCATCGTCTGCGCTTCCCACCTCTTCTCTTCGACCGGATGATGTCAGGCAAACTTCGACGAAAAGAATACGGCGCGTTTTCAAAACAACGAAAGCTCTTCTGAGTAAGAGTGCGTTTTCGTCTTCGTCATCCGTCGTTCTCGCGGAGTCAAAATCATCGACAAAAACGGATAACGAACACGAAAAACTCCAATCCGCTTTGACGTCTCTCCTCCTCTCCGCGACCATCTTCTTCACCTCGCCTCTCGCCTCTCAAGCGCGTCTGGAAGGCGTGAACAACCCAAAACTTCTCCCGGATGGCCCTCAGTCCGAAAATCTCGTCATCGACGTTGCCGGGTATTTAACCCCTCGAGAAGTGAAACGTTTGCAAACTCGAGTGGAAAACTTACAGCGAGATACGGGCGTGAAACTGAGAATTCTCGCGCAAGCGTACCCACAAACGCCCGGGTTGGCGATTAAGGACTATTGGGGCGTAGACGATGACACGGTGGTGTTCGTCGCCGATCCTGGACTCGGGAATATTCTAAACTTTTCCATCGGCGCGAACGTCGATTTAGAGGTGCCGCCAAACTTCTGGACGAAGCTGGCGAACAAATACGGGACGAAGTTTTATTGGGCGGATAAAGGGGAGGAGGCGTCGATTGTCGCGGCTGTGGATGCAATCGAGTTTTGTTTGAACGAACCGAGCGGCAGAGCAAAGTGTACGACCGTTTTAGACGTGGATAAAGGCATAAAGGAGGACATGAAGAGAGAGGCGAAAACGAACGCGGGCGGCTTCAATTTGAAGCTGCCGTTTTGAGTTGTGTAGATTTAATAAGAACGCGTTGTCATCCTAGTAAAGTGTATCATGTAAAGAAAATGTTTAAGAAGCTTTTTGTGCTTTAAATACGATTTGCGATGTGTATTTAGTAGTATAGTATTGATTTACGAACGCAAACTTCTTCTCTCTCCGATTCCGAACACAAATCACACATCTCTTCTCTCTATCTAGACATAATACTGAAACATGTTTATTAACCCAAAATAGCCAACACGTCGTCCTCGGTGACAAACTTCCCTTTCGACCCGTCTTCGAACTCAATCTCCGACCCGGCGAATCCGTTGATTAAGACCGAGTCGCCTTGTTTTACCGTCTTACAATCCGCCCCGACTGAGGAGACGGACCCGCAAATCGAGGACCCCGGTCCTGCACTCGCGGAGGAGCTCATCAACAAAATACCACCCGCCGTTTGCGCCTCTTCTTGGTCCGGGATGACTAACAATCGTTTGCCGGTCGCTTTCAACTTTGACGGCGATAAACCACTCGCGGAAACGTGAACGACCGTCGATTTTCTTCTATTGTTTTGTTGGTTCTTTTGGTAAACGCTGCTCGTCAACAACGACGGCGTGGAGGATGATAAAGTAAACATCTCTTCGTTTTAATATATGTGTGCGTTTATTATTACGCAACAAAGAGTAAAATTCGGATGTTACAAATAGTCTCCGACGTGAATTTAATGCGTTCGATGCGATCGTGTGTTCGCGTATTTGATATGTGTGACGTTTTCTTACTAATGCGCTTTAGAGAGGGCAATTTGGATAGAGAAGAAACCTGTTTCTTGTTGCTTCTTTTTCTTTTTTGTCGATGTTGAAAAAAATTTTGGAATCTCTCGTTTTTGTGTGATGTGTGAGATATTTATTAATAAACAAAAATTCTGCAATATCAGAGAAGATTTTACATCTCTCTTTTTCTCTCTCTCTCTCTCTCTTTTAATTATTTAGTGCCCATCTCCGCTGGTATCGCTCGGGTCGTGAAAGTGAAACTTGCTCGCGCCCAAGGCGTTCATGACGACGTCGAAGATACCGAATTGACCGGCGGTTAAGGTACCGATCATGACGCATCTCGCGGCTAAACCTTGCGTGGCTAACTTGACCATACCAGTTTCGGCGATGATGTTACCCAAACGGGACATCATAGATCCAGTGCCGCCAGCGCCGGCTTTGTTGATTTTAGACAACAACGTATCCGCCGGGTGGGAAATGATCGCCGCGGAGACGCCCGCGATGACGCCGGAACCTAAGGAAACGGATAAGTTTTCAGAGCTGGTGCATTCTTTGTTCGTTTTGCCCATGGCTTTGTAGATTTCGTCCGCCGCGGCGCCTTGAACGGCGAATTTCGCCATCGTGTACGGAATCTGCTTCGCGAGAATCGGACCGAAACCAGAATAAAACGCGTTGACGATGCCTTCTTCGCTCGCCATCTTCGCCATGGCCCCCGGCATGCTCGACGCGTACGACGGGTTGGACACTAATCGAATTCTCGTCGCTTCCAACGGGCACAAAAACACATCCGCGATAAACTCCGCTCCAGCCGCCGCGCCCAAATAAATGTTCGTCTTGTTATCCCACGCTTTTTGTTCTCCCAAAGTTTCCACGGCTTTGATTTTGAAGTACTCGACGCCGCCAAACTTAAACCAACCTTGGACGAAATAGCCAAAGCACGTCGGCGCTAAACCAGTCAACAACGCCCCGGCACCTTCCTCGGCGGCAATTTTCGACGCGCCGGAAATCATGCCGCTGTATTTACTCGGGTCCAATTGCATGCGCGTTTTCACCACGTCCACCGGCGTCAACGCGCCGTGGGTCACGCCGCAGCAAATACCGCCGGCGAGCGCGCCTCTCAGGAAGTAATCCAAACCGTACTCTTTCTTAGAGTGCGCGGTAAACGCTGTTGGATGTTTGAATTCAGACGACGAAGTCGAAGTCGACGTGACTTCTTTCGTCAGCAGCGTTTCCATCGTTTGCGAGGACGGTTGGTATAAGTCTCGGTTGACGAGCGGTAAGCGGAAAGAAGACATTTTGATGATCCTGATCCTGAGAGAAAACAGGCGAAAGAAGAGTTTGGTTGTTAGTTTCCAAAACCGATTAAAAAACGAGATCGGACGAAACGATCGTCTCAACATCGTTCAAATCGACGAATGTATCGTCGAGTTTTGACGCCGGATCTGCCCCCGCTGGAAGATGATCTCAACCCTTTTGAAAAGAGAAGAGAATAAAAACCATCTCATCGCCTTAAAAAAAGGACGAATAATCCAAAACACATCATCATCATCATCGGAAAAAGAAGAGAGAACGAAAGAGGGAATAAAGAATACTCTCTGTGAATACGGGTGCGTGATCTCGAGAGAGAGAGACACGCACACACAGAGAGCGAGAACTTGGTACATATATGTGGTATATGAACCTCTTTTTTCGCGTACCTTTGTCTTCTTTCGTAGAGAAATTTTATGTCGTGTTCTGATGAAAAGAAGATCTTTGTTGTTCTTATTTTGAAAAGAGAAGGCGGAAAAGTCTGTCTGGTTGTTGGATCTCTGATTTTTGTTTTATTTTGATGAGAGAGCACTTAAATGTTCGACTGCACCTTTTTGATTTTTTTTAACGACCGTTTGGACACTTGACGAAGAGAGAGATATTTTAAGGGCAATTTTGCTCTGTGTTGTGGGCAAATGTGCTGCCGCACAGAAGGGGCAAAAAGAGTAAAAAAGGGACTATATGAGAGATTCCTTTTTCCGCACTTTAATCTCTCTCTCTCTCTCTCTAAAAATACTTGTCGTCGAAGATGACGACGACGACGAAAGAGACGACGACGATGAAGAAGGTAAAGAAGTTAAAGAAGAAGACTTCTTTGTCTTCTCTCTTTTTAGTAAACTTCTTAAACTTCTTCTTTTACGCTTCGTTTTGTGTGATGAAAATTGAAAGAACAGAAGCGCATTGGAAAATTGCGGACGGTTTGATTATTTCAGAAGTGGGAACGCGCGCAACCTGTATGGACGGAACGTCTTACTTCGAGATATTCATGGCGCAGGAAGGAAAAATTGACTTGGCTGGGTACACGATTCAAGCGGACGAGGAGGTGATATTCACGTTTTCGGATTTTACGAAACCAATCGAAGCTGGAGAAGCGAGGGTGGTGTGCACGGGAGATTCTTCGGAAGATATTTGGTACTCGATACCACCGACGGCGGGGACGATTACAGCGGGAAAAAATTATAAACTCGTCTCCAAGGAAGGCGCGGTGGTGGACGAAAGCGGCGTCGTCGAAGAAGGCACAGTTGGGACGGCAAACGAATTTTATTCCTGGCAACGCCAAAGAACGTACGACCCAACGGAAACGAACACGGTAACGGCGTACGGAACCTCCGTGTTATATAACGACTTTTTCCCGATCGGTAAAGATTTGGACTTTGCACTCGCGCCAGGTTCGCCGGGGATATACAACTCGGACCGGTTGCAACTTCCAGTCGTTATAAACGAATTTTCGGATAATGGCATCGATTTATGCGAAGGCGGTGATTTTATCGAGTTGTACAACATCCACGCGACCACGACGGTAGATTTATCTGGGTTCGTTCTCGCTCGAGCCGGTCCGAGTACGGTCGCGCACGTCAACGACGGGATTCACTACATCATTCCCAGCGGTACGACGATTGGACCGCAATCTTACAAGTTATTTTGCTCGAAAAGTACCGATACGGATAATTCGATTACGCTCGGTTACGATTGGGACTTGCGCGAAAAGCAAGGATGCACGCTTTATACCGAAACTGGGTATATCATTGATAGTATCCCTTACGTGGACGGTACGTCGAGCGTGGCAGGAAGATCGATGCAAAGAGTTCCAAGTGGCTTTGGTCCAATGTTCGTCGTTGAACCGATGACGCCGAACGCGGAAAATTTTATTCAATCCGCCTCGAGCGTGCCGGCGAACGGGGTGCCGACGAAAACCGGTTCGAATCATTTCACGTGCTGCTACCACATCCGATCCTTGGGGATGCCAGATTCAGTGTACGAGACAGCAGGATTGGATAGGTCTATTGGCACATCGTACGACGGTGTATCGTTAGTGAACGAATGGACCGTCGTAGAAGTTCGCATTCCTCGAGAAATCCCCGCTTCGGCGGGAGCCGGTTTCGCCGATAACCAGCTCTTTGATTTTCAAATCGGCATGAACTCCTTCCGAAGCCCTTCGGTTACGGCAAAAAAGAGAAGAAAGTTGTTAAGTCACGACACGGTTGAGAACGTCGAAAATCTTTACACCGGTGATTTCGCTTTACTCGACGAAGACGCGTTTCCAGAGCAAAATTTTAGTTTTAATCGCACGATACGATTTGAGCCCGGAATTACGTCGATAAAATTTCTCGCTATTCCCAGAAAAGCGGGCGCGAACATTTTTGAGCTCGTGCACACCGGAGTCGCTTTGGCCGGAGAAAACACGTGGAACAAGTATCAACCGACCGCTCGGTACACGAGTTATCGATCGACAAATGCTCCCGTGAATACGTTTCAAGTGGTAGCTCGAAAGAAGAAAATTTTCAAGCCGACGTTGAACGAGAACGATATTCTCTTCACGACGAATACTTATAACTTTCCATTATACCTCGAAGGAATTCCATCGAACTTTTCGAGAGGACGCGTGAAAGCTGCGGTTTCTGCTGACGAGTACGTTTGGTCAGATACAAAGACGTTACCGGTCGTTTTCATCGCGTCTGGTATGGTTTTTTCTAGCCTCGACGGTGCCGCGGTTATGAAACTCACTCCGGATACAAAAACGACAACGTTCTCGGTGTACGCGACCGAAGTCGGCGAAATCGAATACTCCATAGCGCCAGTGGAAGGTTACGTGATGTCCGAAGAATACGAGTACGATTCAACGAAAACACACACTGGTACCATCGCCGCCGGCCAATCGAAAGTCACCATTGGTTGCGTCGATAACTACTACGTGAAGAAAATATCAGAAGGGACTCTGACGTGCGAACCGTGTCCAAAAAATACGGCTTTAGTGAGAGACGCGAGCAATTTGGAAGCCCAGAGTGAACTGATGTGCAAGTGCATCCCGGGTTTGGTCGATTTAAGACTTCCCGGGATGTTGCCTGAAAATTTCACAATCACTTCGTCCTTATCTGTGTCTCCGTGCGTCTCCCCGATCAAATATTGTCAGGACATGACTTCCAACTTGAAAGAGTACCCGAGCGAATGCGTCGAGTTCTTCAACGGCGCGCCCGTGCAAATTCTCACGAATTATTACCGTTTCAAATTCGATCGTTGGACTTGGAACTTTCCAAAAAGCTCGAACGTTCCCGCTGTACAATCCAAGATGATAACCACGGAAGCTGAGGTGTACGAACTCGAACCAGAAGTGCAAGCGCTCGAGTGCACTGAAAAAAATGTCTGCGCCTTGAACGCGACAGGACTTTTCGGCGTCGGATGCGAAGACGGTTCTACCGGACCTCTGTGTGGTGTTTGCAAAGATGACTTTTATTGGGACAAAAACAATTTGGAGTGCACGAAATGCAAGGCTGGTAAATTAAAAGGCATGTTTTCGAACGAGCTTATCGCTATTTCTGTGGTGGGGATCATTTTCATTGCGTTGATGCTCATCTTTTTCTTGCCCGTGGTTGATAGCCTCGAGGAGATTGAAAATTTTCGGAGCACCGTGCGACGCGAATATCGACTCCGATTTGACATCTTTAAAGGCGAGGTGCAAAACGGGAACAAAGAATTGCAATACGTGCAGCCTGAGAAGACTTTAAAACAGAGAATAGAGGAAGGACCAAAGCTTCCGAACTCCGCTCGATATCGTCTCGGTGAAATGATATGGAACGGCGAAAACACCATGCGAACAAAAGTAAAAATCTTGGTCGGGTTCGGTCAGATTTTAGTGCTTTGGCCAACTCAATTGCAAGCAGTCGCTTGGCCTAAAGAGTTTACTCAGATGACCGAAGCTTTGAAACTATTCAGTTTGGATTTCCGAATTTTGCCGTTGGATTGCGCGTTCACGCGCGATTTCTATTCAAAGTTCACGGTCGCAACCGTCGCGCCTTTGGTTTTGATTGTTTTTATATGCGCGTTCTTCTTCGTGAGATACGTTTTGGCAAAGACGTGGAAACTCGTTACCGGATCGAAAGATCTCGTAATTCTCGGTCGAAGATACGTAGGTTACGCCACCAAGTGTTCGTTCTTATTGTTGTTTTTGATATATCCATCCCTTTCGGGCACGGTTCTTCAATATTTCAGCTGCAAAGACGTTGGCGACGACAATCTCTTTATTCGATACTCGATCGAAACGTCTTGCCAAGACGACAAATATAAAAATTTTAAAGGCGGGGCAATTTTCTTTGTCATCTTGTTTCCTGTTGGCATTCCGTTATTGTTTCTGACCGTCATGGCCAGAGGTATGCGTCACATTAAAAACGCAGAGATTTCAAGAGAATACGCGGAAACGCACAAGGACGTCATCGCTTACAATCAAAAGACGTACGGCTGGATTTACAGAGATTACAAACAAGAGTGGTGGTTCTGGGAAATCTTGGACATCATCAAAAAGTTTCTTCTCGGTGCCGTGGTTATATTCGTCGATCCAGGTTCAGACACGCAGCTGTACGTCGCGATGTTTCTTTCTTCTCTTTTCCTCCTCTTTCTCGCGTGCGCGCATCCGTATTCCAAGCGGGAAGACAACATGTGTGCCCAACTCGCACACTTCTCACTCGGCGCCGTCGCGACGTTTGGTTTGGCAATCAAGAACGAAGTGTGCATCCGTGAAAAATGGGAATGTTCCATGATGGACGTCTACCTCGTTCTCACCGTGGTTTTTGTTTTCGTGTGCTCCATCGCGCTCGGCGTCAGCGAGTCCATCGAAATGCGAAAATCAAAACGCGATTTCTTAAAGTACGACAGCGATTACTCCGGCGATTTGGATAAAGACGAAATGCGCGTTCTTTTAACGGATCTCAAAATCGAGTCCACGGAAAAAGTGCTCAAAATGATCTTCGACAAGTTCGATAAGAATCTTTCCGATTCGATCGATTTCGAAGAGTTTATCGAAGTCGGTATTTGGATTCACAACGAGCTCCCGAAGCAAAAGTTGAACTAATTCCATGAAAGAGTATTTTACTGCTACACTTTCGTATCAGGTACTATGCATCATGAACATACTATGTTATTTATATACATATATTTATTATTACTCTTATTGAAATATTCTTCGCATGTGTGAACGCATGTGGAGCATCTTCTTCTTTAAAATCTTCTTCAGAATTTTTTCTCTCTCGTATATTATTATTCCTATTTATACAAGTGGTTTACTTTACGCGCCATGGGAGCTCAAAACACCACAAAAAAAGTAAAGTTTGCGTTGTTCGATTTGGACGGGTGTTTATACCCCATCGAGAACGGGTACGAACACGCGTGTCGCGCTCGAGTGTTTGAGTTCATGGTTTCACAACTTGGGTACGAAACCATCGACAAAGCGAAAACGATATGGAAAAGAGAGTTTACGAAGCACAATCAAACCTTGAAATCCTTGAGAGAATTAGGACACGTACGTTTTAAGAAAGAAACGTACTGGGAGTTCACGAGAGGCGACTGTTCGCAACACCTGGAACCGGACGAACAGGTGAGAGAATGTTTACGAAAAATGTCAAAATCGTTTCCGAAATTCGTGTTGACGAATTGCGCGGAGACGGAAGCGAAGCAGGCGTTAGAAAGATTGAATATATTGGACCAGTTTGATTACGTGTACGGGGCGGATTTTATGGGCGACACGTGCAAACCATCGAAAGAGGCTTTTGGGAAAGTACTTCGAGACGTGAAGCGGAGGATGAAAGCGATGGATGGTGTTCGTAGCGACGGTACCGATGATGATGTTCACAGTGTCGACGAAGACGATATCACGGAAGAAGAAGAAGCAAACGAAGGCATTCAAGAACCGTTCGACGACGACGAGGTGTTCATGTTCGAAGACTCGCTCAAAAATCTCGTCTCCGCGAAAGATAATTTCAACATCACCGGCGTCTTGATTAAAGGCAAAACGCTCGCCGAGGAGAACGACGGTTCGGAAGTCTCCAAGAGGTTCGTTCAAATAGACAAACCTGTTCTGAGCGAGTTAATGGAGAAAGTGCCGAGTTTGTTCGCGTGAATATAGAAGAAGATAGCGTAGTTTACTCTAGCATAGTACATGTGTATATATGTGTATGTATTCAGAAGTCATTTACAATCGACGTTGAGAGATAGGAAAGAGCAAAAGCACTGCGCAAGGAGGTGAATTTTTCCCAACTTTTAGAAAAGGGGCAGCAAAATCGGTCGGGGTAAAACCGAAAATCTGGATAAATTACCGCCATAAAACAGAACGGATTGCACGCGATATATATATATATATATTAAAACGATTGAAATACACATCTCGCGCGTGTTATTTATTGTTTAGCCGTTATTTAATTCGTCTCGCGTTGGTCGCAAAGAGGAGAAGTTTCGAGGTTTATTCCCATCTCGAGCAGCATCGGTTTGTAAAAAAGCGCTTTATATAACCGCTAAATTTGAGGAGAAATGCCGACTCCTTTTGCGATGGTTTCGTCCGCAAAAGCGATGGTAAACCTACCTAAACTGTCTGATTTAACGATCAATAAAAGTCGATCGATGCGAAAATCTCTCGGGAGAGAGAGAAATCGACTCGCGAGGTTTGCGTTGGAGGAAGATTCCCATCTCGAAGGAGGAGATTCGCAGAACGCGTTCGGGAAAAACGAGGAGGACGAGGAAGAGGGGAAGAGCGAAAAGTTGGACGAGGAGGAAGGCGCATCCTCCTCGTCCCAGTCTGCGACGGAGACAACACATTCGAACGTGGAAGCCTCGTCCTCGAAGTTTATGGCTTTGAAAAAAGACACCAATAACGCCAAAACGACCGGCGGAGAGAATACCAACAAAGAACAAAAGAATATACGAGTGGCGAGACGAAGGGTGAACCCGGCGACGGCGGCGGCGGTGGCGAAAGCGAAAAGAGAGACCACCGTCTCGTCTAAAGGAGAAGAGAACAAAAAGGAGAACAACATCGAGGACACGGATGAAGATGAAGACGAGACGCACACGATTCTCGTTCGTCAACCGTTCGAGACGTCTGACTTGGAGCTCGAGTTGAACGACTCGGATGCAAAGGCGACGACCTCGGGAGGGTCGGTCAAAGTGAAAACAGAACGAAGAGTGGGGAAGAGTGGCAGTAAGTCGTCTAAGAATTTTATCGGCGGCAAATCGGGTGCGAATGGGATCAACGCGAACAAGACGAAGAAAGAGCGCGAGGAAGAAGACGAGGAAGAGGAAGACGAATACGCCGTTTCGGATTGGAAGAAATGGAACGAACGTTTCGACCAATTGGCGAAAGAAGACGAAGCCTTGGTCGCGCTCAACGGACAACTGGCCGAGGCAATCGACGTCGAGGACTACGGTCGCGCGTCAACGATTCGAGACGCCATCGAGGCAGCTTTAACGGTTGACCCGGCGATGAAAATTCGCCGAGGCTTTTTGAGAGCGTTGGAAACGGAGGATTACGGCGCGGCGGCAAAGTTTCGAGATTCTGGAGCCGGTTTGCTCGGTTGGTGGCACGGGGTTGATATCACGGACTATTTGCAGTCGTATTCAATAGAACGCGATAAAATGCACGACTATGCGTACGGCGTGAACGGTGATCAGTTGGTTTATAAACAACCAGAACGAGAAGAAGAAGAAGAAGAAGAAGAAGAAGGAGAAGAGGCTGGGACGAAAGCGATGAAACAATCGCCGAAGCCGCCGAAAAAGTTTACAAAAGGTACAATTGTTCACGTGACGGTGAGACGTGGACGTTTGGTTGGCACATCGTTCACCGCGAGGGAGTTGGCGGACGCGAACGATGAGTCGCCGTTGGACACGTTCAAAAGTTGGGCTCCTTCGGCGTCTGACACGCCGGTGAATGGCAAACTCGATAAGCTTAAAGAAATCCTCGACACGCAGTACGAAAAATATACGAATAAACGTGATGAAGAAGAGAAAAGCAAAGAAGAAGAAGGTATCGACGCCTACGACGTTAATGAAGAAGAAGACGCTGCCATCAAGTATTCAGTGAAAGACCAAACGTTTGGGACGCCATATTTTGAGCTGCACGTTCGCGAAGAGTACGATAAGGACTCGAAAGAGATAAAATTCGTTACGCAACCGGCGAGACTTCATTACGTGGAGTCGTTCAGAAGAATCCCAGTAGTTGATTTGAATGATCACGCGGACGAAGATGGACAGAAAATTACGGTGAGAAGAGAAACGGATGACGACGACGGTGGTCCTGAAACCATCGACGACGAGACGAAGAAAAAATTGCTCGCGGATTTGCAAGAATACAAGGATAAATTAGCCTCGACTAAAGCTGCACTCAGCGCCCACGAGAAAGAGCTCGCCACTCGCGAAGAGCGCATAAGGAAATTGAAAGAAAATTTGCTCACGAATGTGAGCTTATTGCGCGAAGAGATGAGAAAGAATACAAGTGCGATTGACGAGATTACTTTAGATACCGACGAGGCAGCGGAAAAGAGACGACAAGAACGCTTCAAGCTGGTCCAAGAAATTCGAGACGCAGTTATCGCAAAGGGCACGGAACGCATAAAAGAAGAAGAAGAGGAGCTCGATAATGTCATCAACACAATCTTTGACGCGTACGATCAAAACACGACTCCAGAGGATCCTCCGAGCAGAGAAGAATTGATTAAAATGTTGGAAGATTACGATACGTTGGATGAGTATGGCAGTGGCTTACTCAACGCGCTCCGCGCGGATGAAAACGCAGACGTCGCTGACGAGGACTCTTTGTTTGAAGAGGAATTCTTTGAACGATGGAGTGGGATCGATCGCAAGATTCGAACTAATTCGCCGGATTTTTTGGCGAAGTTGGAAAGATTCGGAGATGACGCGCTGGCGTTGGGAGATGCGTTGTTCGACGATGCCGACGACGAGGACGATTTTGACGAGAACGATGATTATGACGACGGCGACTTTGACGATTTCGATGAGTCGAACATTGTCGAATCCGAGGGTGGTTTTGATTCACGCATGAAATCTATCGAGGATTTATACGGCGATCCGAGCTTGTACGATCGCGTCAGAGTTCCTGCGGAGTGCACTCGAGTCTCGCAATCCTCTTTCCTTCTAAAATCTGAGGGCTTATCCGTCGATACCGACGTTCTAGGCATCAACGCCGAAAACGTGAAGGAAGAAACGGAGGAGAAACATCACCGATCCGTCGCAGCTTCGACTGTTCGTTTCGAACGCATCCCGGATCACGTCGCGACGCAAACCTCGAAAGATCCGTTCGATCGCCTCTACGTCGGCGCGTTTGGTCCACACGGTGCCGAAATCGTTCGCATCGTTCGAGGCCGATATGGTGACGAGTTGGGTGAAGACTCAAATTGTATCACCGGCATCAAACTTACCGGCGATGCGAACGTTCCAGCTGGTGCGGCGTCCTTTCGCGCGAAAATCGATGAAGAAAATAAACTTCCCAAACTCACCGTCAACGGTTTACAAACCTACCCGGAAGAGCTCGGCGTTTTAGCGCGATACAAAGGCCAAGGTCGAGTGGCAAAACCAGGCTTCGAAGACGCCTCTTGGACGGACGGCGAACTTTTGGTTTTGGACGGTAAAGGAGGACAACTTACCGGCGGCGCAGAGTTGGGTTTCGTCTGGGCGGTTCCGCATGAGCGACGCTTGTTGATTTTGTTCACCTCCTTGAAGTTGCCGAGCGACTTGCGGGACGATTTGAACAACAAAGACAACGACGCCGTCTCTGCCTTATCGAGATAAGTATTGAAGAAGGAGAAGAAAAAGAAGAAGAATAAGAAAGCTGAAAAGCTGCTCTACTAACTTATTACTAAACAAACAGAAAGAGAGAGAGAGAGAGGAAGAGAGAGATGATAAAAGAAATGGTATGTTTGTGTGGGCGAACGCTTATTTAAAAGGATTACGCTCCGCACGCAAATTCTCTCTGTCTCCTCTTGTACATTAAAGTCAGCATAAAGAGACGCTCACATCTGCTCTCGTCGTGTACTAATAATACACGCACAAACAGAGACAGAACTTGTTGTATTTTTATAAATTAAGTTAAATATCAAATTACAAACGCAAAAGTATACGGTACTCTTCTAAGAGTTTGTGAATCTCGTTTCTTCTTCTTCCGCGAGTTCATACGCGAAACCACTCCTTCTCTGTTCTCGTCTGTCTCTCTCATTCTCTCTCTCTGATCTCTCATCACTTCGCGTCCGGGTTACTCGCGATATACGCGCTCGCCTCTTCGATGCTCAAAATCTTATCCGCCTCCGCGTCTGGTATTTCAATCGCAAACTCCTCCTCGATCGCCATCACCACTTCAACCGTATCTAAGGAATCCAAACCTAAATCTTTTCCAAAGTGCGACGCTTTCGTGACTTTCGATGGGTCCACTTTGCTGAAATTTTTCACGACGGCGACGATACGATCGTTGACGAGGTCTTTGTCCAAAAAGCCTCCCCCTCCGCCGTAGGCTCTGCAGATGCTCGGAAAAGGTGACGGTGTTTGGCACGAACCCGACGTCCCCGAAGAAGCCGACGCTCGCAAACGTCTCGACGCTTGGCTCAAAGCTCTTCGCATCATGATGTTTCTTTTTTTTTTAGTGTAGTTGTTGTGTTGTGTTTTTTGAACAAATTCTTCTGACGTTTTTTCTCACAAAATCACACAAATGCAAAAATGCTTCGAGCAAAAGCGAGGAAAAAGAAGCAGGGGGGAAACGACGATTTTGACGACGATCTTTGGAAGAAGGAGAAGGAAAAAGACACGTTTGGTGGACGAAAAAAGATGAAGAAGAAGAGAAAAAGCGGGAAAGATGGTTCTTTATTGAAAGATGTCGTCGCGATTGGAATTTTAATCTGTTTTTTCCTCTTCGTGGTCTCTCTGTACTTTAAAGAACCGCGAGGACAAAGAGTGTTCGTAAAAACGAAGACGGAGAAGAATAAAAAGAGATTAAAAACAAAAGTTATCGCCATAGGGGATGTTCACGGCGACGAGGACGTTTTGCGACGGTTACTGTTCGCGACTGGCGCGACGGATAAAGTTTTAGGCGAGGATGTGAAGTGGGTGAAAGAGAGAAACGAGAGAACGGTTTTAGTGCAAACGGGAGACGTGGTCGATCGAGGGAAGGATTCGATTGGGAGTTTTACGTTTATCAGAGATATCAGAGCGCAAGTTTTAGTACCAGGAGATGAAGATGATGTGGATAGACGGCAAATACGGTTGCTCGTGGGCAATCACGAGTTGATGGCGATACAGGCGGATTATCGGTTCGTCGCGAAGGAGGAGTTGGTAGCGCTCGGCGAAGCGCAAATGGAGAAGTACGGAGAGCAGGTGAAGATTCATCCAGATTCCACGATTGGGAAGAAAGCGTTGCAAAAAGTTGGTTTGTTGAGGTGGAAGAAACTTTTTGCGCCCGATGAGGCGTTCGGGAAAGAAATTAGAGAGTTTGGGAGCGTGGTTACCGTAGCCGGAGAAGGGAATTGTAAATCTGCGTTTTCGCACGCCGGAGTGTTGCCTGAACATTTGAAAGAAATGAAGATTCGTAGCGAGGATTACGATAATACTGATGACAGTGGGTTGAAAAAAAGCTTAGATAAAGTCATCAACGAACACTACCGAAATAGCAGCAAAGGAGTACAAATGTCCGGGAACAGTTGGCAAGAGCGAAGCCGATTGCCGAGTTGGATAAACGGAGGCGACGGCGTGTTTTGGACTCGAGAACCACCAGATGCGTCTGAAACGAACGGCGGATGCGATAAGATTAAGGAAATCGTGGATTTATTAGGCGTGAAACGCATGGTTATTGGACACACCGTCCAATGGCAAGGCATGAATTCTATTTGCGGCGGAAAGTTGGTCCTCATCGATTCCGGCATGAGCTACGCCTACGGAGGTCGGAAACGAGAAGCTTTTGTCTGCGAAGGCGTGAATGGCGTGCCCATGGCTGTTGATACAAACGGGAAAAGTCGAAGAATTTAGTTTAGTGATAGTGATATAGTATTATTATAGCGTGCTTTGTATGTGTTACTTAATGTACAGCAGTCTAGTTTGCTCTATTCTCTTTGCTAAGTTTTGCGGCGTGTTGGAAAATTCTCGCCACGTTCTCTAAAGTCTTCCGAGGACCTCTGGATTCTAAACCGTAAGCGTCTAAAATCTGCTGCACATTCTTGTTCAACAAAAAAACGCCGTACGCAAACCTCCGAGCGTCTCCAGTTGCCTTTGCGTGATCGTCCAGAAACAGAGGAAACTCAACTCTTCGCCATTTGGTCAACGTGATTGACGAGGACGAAGATTTCTTCTTTTTCTGTGGCGAACCGAGGAGTAGATTCGGACTACTGCTGTCGTCGCCATTGTTTTGCGAAGTTTCCATCCTGTTCGAATCGCTGGTGCTCTCGTTCTCACGTTTGATCTCCTTCAAATCACCTACGAACGACCTTGATGAACCAAACGCCAACGGGTACCGAGACGGAACATCAAAGATGGACGAAAGACGAGCGACGAGTAAACAGACCGTGCCTAGCGCTGCGGCGGCAACCTCAGCGTCATCTCTCGCTGCGGACGAGTGAAACTGCGTGTAGTCGGTCGCATTCGTATTCCTCTTCTCTCCTCGTGCGCGACCATCTCTCGATTCTGCTTCGGAGGCGTTGAGAAACTCCTCGTCTTCGTCGTCCTCGTACCCGAATAACGTCGCTAAAGTTTGGAAGAGTTGATTGCCGGCAGGTTTATCGGCGTTGTTCACGTTTTTTATATTCCTCGCATCCTCTAGACCACCACTCGCACTGTTCGAAACGAGTGACTTTACATTCTCCGTCGTGCCTTTTTCGCTTTGCAGAAGCATTTGCTGCTGATGTTGGTCTGGATGTTGGTGCTGCTTTCTACTCGAATCACTCGTCGGACCTAACAACCGATCCGCTAAATCCAATTTTAAACCACATATAGCCCATGGTCTGGCGACAGCTGCCGACATCTGCCCCACTTTCTTCGTCGGAAACGCCTCGGCTAAATCTCTGACCAACTGCCATCTTCTATTTTGCAGCGCGGAAACCGTGCGGCGTAAGGTACCGTCGATTTCCGGACCTTCCAAGTGCATCCGCAATTCATCCAACTGGCGACGCTTTTTCATCAATAACTCTCGTTTCGTTCGTATCGATTCCGTTTTCACACTGACTAACTTTTCCAATCGAGAGCTTTGCTTTTGCCCGCTCTCTAAAGCGCGCTTCAACTCGTCCGCTTTCTTCTCCGATGAAGCTCGTTTTTGTTCAATCTCAAACAAGAACTGCGTCTTTTGCGAAATGTGACGATTATTGCGAAGTTCTTCTTCCAACTTTAATTGCAATATAAGTTTCCCTTGCTTCAATTCTTCACGACGGTCACTCGCGAGCATGACTTTCGAGATGCTTTGTAAAGCATTTTCCGTGTTTAGCTTTTGCACGGATTGCTCGAGGATTTCTCTGTAGTTAAAATTCGCATTTCTCGCTTTAGATTGCGGCGAAGCAGCTTTTACGATGTCACCAACTCTCTCACCACCACTACCGAAAGGGCCACCTCGAAACGGTGACGAAAAAGGCGACGATGCAGACGCCGTTGCTGTCTTTGGCGTCATCGTTGACACTAATCCCACTAATTCGCGTTCATCTAAACTGTTCGTTCTACCTTTCTTCTTACTCGCGGCGAGAATATCATCCGTAATGACAACACCTCCACCAGTGGTTTCAGAACTGATATCGTCTTCGTTTTTGTGAGATTCGTTCTCCTTTCCATTGTTGTTATTCACGTGATGACTGCCATTATACATTTCGTGCAAATTCTCCTCCTCCCTCAACAACTTCTCTCTAACGTCTAAATTCTCGAATTCTTTCACGTCTCGAATATCCCTCGCGTAATACGTCATCGCCCCGTTCCTTCTGCTCGATTTTACTCTCAACACAACCACTGGCACTCGAGAATTTTGCGAGAGTTGTTTCAATTGCGCAGTTGCTCTCTTTACATGGCGAAAGGAGATGAGCGCTTTGTGCAAGAGGTTTTCTTTCGATTTGTCTTCGATTGATGTTTTGCCCCGTCTTCTTCGTCGATTCTTTTCTTCTTTTTCCTTTTCCTTTTCGTTTTCTTCTTCATCTTCTTCGTCGTCGTCGTGTGAAGAACTGCTCTCGTTCGAGGAGTTGCTCGTATGTTCCTTCACCCTTCTCCCATACACCGCGAACTCAAACAGTCCCGGCACGAGCGCTTCTTCTTCTTCGTCGTCGTCGATACCGTCTCTCTCCAACACCTCTCGAAACCGTCTTTGCTCTTTCTCAAATATATCCCAATCTGGATCGCATACCGATTTATTATCTTTTTTGAACGATATGGCTTTCGATGTGAACGTTTTCAACGAATCGTCGCACACGCGAATCGAGTTCTGTTCGTGTTTTGAAGATTTGCTAATGCCACCCCCGAGAAAGACGGACGAATCTTTCACGATTCGTTTCAACGTGAAGTACACTTCGATAGAGTTCAGTTGCGATGCAATGTTGTCATTGTTGTTTCCATCATCATCATCATCATCATCATCATCATCTTTAAAAAACGCATCCAAAACGTTCAATCTACGAACAGAAATACAATCTACGTTGCGCAATCCAAACGGTGGTTCGTATTCATCCGTTAAAGTCTCTCTCTTCTTCAGCTTGTTCTCTTTCGCCGCTTTTGTCGTCGTCGCTTCTCCCTCAACAACAACAGCGACAACATTAGCAGCATCAGCAGCGGTGGTGGTGGTACCGTGACTGCTGCTCATGATGTGCTCTTATTTATTCACGCGTAAAGTATTCATCGCATTGATGAGATAATTGTGTTTGTTTTTGTAGAGCGATTTACTCCATTTCAAACCGCTTAAATTCCCCTAGTAATGCTTCATGCGAGTACACTTTTACTTACCGTAAAGAGCACTCGTATTTCTACAACAACGCGAGGAAAAGGAGCAGAAAACACTTTACGTTCGACGAGGACGAGTCGTTTTAGCAGTGAGAGGAGTCACAACACCACGAAAAGCAGTAGTGTTTCGGAAAACGCGAAAATGACGAGCAAAAGCCAACGTGGGGACGGAGAAGAGGAACGAATGTCACAAACGAAAAACACCATCGATTTCCTCTCCATCTGCGGGAAACTGAAGCAAACAAAGAGAACTGGGTGGACGAAATATAAAGAGATTACTTCTCGGGTTGAATCCGTGGCGGATCACTCGTTTCGGATCGCGCTGATGGCTTTTGTGTTTGGTTTGCAACAAGAAGAAGACAAAGAAGAAAAAGTATTAGACGTGCAAAAATTAGTCACCATGGCGTTGGTCCACGATATCGCAGAAAGCATCGTCGGGGACATCACGCCGCACTGCGGCATCTCCAAAGAAGAGAAGAATACGTTAGAGGTGGAAGCGATGGAGAAACTGAAAGAAACGTTAGGGGATGTGGCCGGCGAAACGATCGAGACGTTGTGGTTGGAGTACGAAAACGGGAGCTCGCGCGAAGCGAGGGTCGTGAAAGAGTTGGATAAGTTGGAGATGTTATTGCAAGCGAGCGAATACGAGAACGAATATAAAGACGTGGATTTGACGGAGTTCTATTCGAGCTGCGATGGGAGCTTTAAAACCGAAAACGGGAAGAGGTGGGTGGAAGAGATTTTGAGGAGGCGACCGGTTAGGTGATTTACAGCACATTGTGAGAACGAAAGTAGAACAACACGACAAATAGCACAAACGATAAATAATACAACACCCGCGCAATACAGAGCAACGATATACTAAACATTCAAAGCGTCTAACCATTTCCCTCGCTTCCACAACCACGCGTACACCATCCCGACGCCAACTCTGTACAAGACGTAAATCGCCCAGACGCAAAACAAGCCTTGGTTGAGCTTGTGTACGCTAAACCAGGCAATGGGTAAAAACACCGCCCATTGGGCGAGGATAGAAACTAAAGCGACGGTTTTCACGTCGCCAACACCTAACAACGCGTTTTGCATGGTCAACGATACCGCATCACCGCACGCGGTCAAACCAGTCAGTCGTAGCGGCATCGTCGCGACTCGGATAGCTTCCGGGTCGGTTAAAAAGACGGACAAAATCGGTTGAGGGAAGAGCGCGATGAGTAAACCAAAGATAGACATGCCCGCCGCGGTGATTTTAGATACATCCCACGGCCATTGCTTCGCATCCTCCACGTCGCCTGCGCCTAAAGCCCGTCCAGACAACGCACCAGCGGCTAACCCCATACCCATGCACGGCAAAACTAAAACCAACATGAGGTTAATCAACACGTTCACCGCCGCCACGGACGTGGTGCTTATGGCGCCAACAATCGCGTACATGAACACCATCGCCGAGGCGTATAAAACGTTAGTAATTCCTGTCGGCAGCGCTTGTTTAATCAACAGCATGATTTCTTCTTTCGTCGGGAACGAACTAAACTCCTCGTCCAATTCTGCGCCGCCTTCTCTCCTTCGCAAGGAAAACCCAAACCCATATTTTTTCGCTCTTTTGAAGCCTTGATAAATGTACATCGCCGTTCCAACCCAGACGCTAAACGCGGTCCCTAATCCAGCACCAGCGACTCCCAATTTCGGTACTCCAAGTGCAGGTACCCCCCAGATGAGCATAAACGATACCGTGATATTTGTTATGTGCATCACGACCAACGTATTCATGTACACCTGCGGTTGCTGAATGGCGTTCCAAAATCCTCTAAACGCAAAGTTAATCCCAACCGCAGGTACGGCGAGTAACCGCGCTCGTAAATACGGCACCGTTGCCGACGCCACGGCCGCATCTCGACTGGCGTAATACGTCGGCACGAACCACGCGCAGTTGTGATAACACCACCACGCCAAAGGAAACCCAAAGAACAATACGATAACAATCGCCGCGTTCAACGGTCTCGCGATTTCCTTCTTCTCCGCGAACGCCACATCCGTCATAGACTTCCCGTAACTTCTCGCCGCAATCGCTTGCACTGCACTGGAAACGCCTTGCAGCAACGCTTGACACTGAAAATTCGCGGTCGATCCTAACCCGACCGCCGCCACGGCGACGGTGCCGAGTCGAGCAATCATAGCCGCGTCCACCAAGTTCAAGACGTTTTGAGAAACCATCCCACCCATGACCGGTAAAGCGTTGGACAATACCATGGTCACGCGAGTCATCGGCACGCCCACGAACGTTCTTTCCATTTCGCCGCCTAAACTCGAGGTCGACGACGACGCGCTGTCCGACGAAGATCCTTCGCCACCGAAAGCCACGTCGCCTGAATTCTCCGTTTTAGGAAACGCCGTTGGTCGATCAAAATACGGCGGTTCGTCTTCATCTCTCGATGTACTTCGCGTTAAAACCATTGGCAATGATTTTCTCGCTCTGCTTCTCATTTGAGTCATAGGAGTCGTAGGAGTCGTAGTCGTATTCCTCCGCCGAGCGGCGAAGAAGTCCAAATCCGAGTTCGTTATCGCATCGATGTTTCCAAAACACGCGCGACTTTTGAGACGACGACGATTCACCTCGCGACTTTTGAGACTACTATGACTACTACTACTGCTACTACTCGCGATGATCATCGTAATTGTTCTGGAATGACTGTACATCGCGGTGGTGGTTGGCATCATCAAAGCGCTTAAGTAGAAGCGCGTGATATATTTATTCTTTTTTTCCTCTTTTCCTTGCTGTGTGCACGCGACAAAAGCGATTGAATAGGCGAAGATAATGACGAATTTATCGTGCAAAGAAATGTGCATGATGCTCGTATTTTGGTATTCGTCCTCTAAAAACTAGCAGAACCATAAATAATAGAAAAACGCGCGCAACAAAAAATCAATACATATGCATCCAAAGAAGAGTACATTGTTACAAGCGCTTCTTAAGAGATCAACCTCTTTCTTTCGCTCTCTCTTTCTAATCTATCCTTTTCTATCTATTAGTATCTATCTATTATTTATCTCTCTCGATCGATCGATTTCCGAAAGACGTCTAACGACAGTCTCCGCGGAGTCGATGACGGCGACGCGTAAGGCGATAAGCTCGGATCTAACATCTTTTTCAGCTTCAAGACGGATAGAAACCCACCCTTGGTGTACGCCTGTATAGCTTTGGAATCCAACTTCATCTCTTTGCAATAGTGTTTGCAGGTTATGGAGTCTAAGGAGACGCCTTGGTTTTCGAAGCAGTCGGTGAACTTGGCCGCGGCGAGAGTGCTGACGACGCCTCGGTAGCCGACGTCGAAGTAACAGACCTTGGAGTCGAGAACGACGAGTTCACCCGAGTCGCGACGACCTCCCATCGTCGGCGAGTCGTTGGTTGTTGTTGGTGGTGGTGTTGTTGGTGGTGGTGGTGATGCTGTTCCTGCTGCTCCTGCTGTTCCAGCTGTCGTACTACTGGATGTATCGTTGTCTTCATACGTCTTCTTTTCGGCGTTTTCGCGGTCGTTTCTGGGCGGCAAAAGCGTCGAGAGCGTGAACAATACACACCCGAGCGATCCGTCGCTTTTTTTGTTTTCGTTAAAAATTTCATCCAAACGAGGGTCGACTAATAAAGATTCCATCGGTTCCTCCGCGTCTTCCGTATCGCCGCTTTCGCCCATGCTTTTCTTGATGAGATCCGGCGACGCGCGCCCGTTTTCTTCCAAAAAAGATTTCTTGGCATCCTCGACCAGCGCGTTCACTGTTGCATTTGTCGCCTTTGTTGTTGGTGTTGTTATTGCTGCTGTTGCCGATGCTGCTGCTCCTTGTTCGCTCTCATCTCTCTTTTTGCCTTCTTTAGCTGCTTCGTCTGTGTCTCCCGCCGCAATATCTTCTTCCATGTCTTTCGAAAACACTTTCACCCTAAACGCTGTGGACAGTTCTACCGCACCTGGTATCGGCCACACCGGCGCACAATTCATCGGTTTCATTATTGAGCTCATCGTATCGTTCTTCTCGTTTGAATTCGCTCGCGGTAGATACGGCACCAGCGATCCGCTCACGCCGCAGCAAAACTCCTTCGTCCCTAACGAGATCCACTCGTCTCTGTAATCGTTCGTCTCCGAGACGACGATTGATTCTGAATTTGTACTGCTCGTGTTGTTTGTATCTTTATTTCCTCTCCCTCCCGTTTTCTTCCGCATCATCAGTTCGCACTTGTATTCGCTCAACCGCGGCGGTCCTTTGTCCTCGTCTTTAGGCGATTTTTTGCTCTCATCCTCCTTTAAGCGAAACGACTGCAGATACACGTACAGGACATCTTTCGCTCTCGTCTCGTCTAAAATTGCCTGCGATGGGTGGTTTTCACTCGCGCAGTCGAATAATTTGCTCATCTTTTCTTCCGTTTCTTCTTCTTTCGTTGTCGCGCGTCCTTCTTCCGACGAAGATGCTGACGAAGCATTTTTCCCCGTCGGATTGTTCGATTCAATTTTCGAAGACGCGCACCCCATTCTTTCTTATCCTCTCGTTGTTCTTCAAAATAATGACGTATGAGATGTGTTGTTGTTTTAAATACACGATTACACGATTCACCTCAAACGATCGAAGATGATTTCAGTTCGATGGGAGGATGATGGAGAATGTGATTAGTATGGAGAGATAATTTTTTAAATCGTGACTGCATGTGTTTTTTTTAAAGGAAGATTGAGTAAACAAAAATGAATGAAAAATTTTCCTCATACTAATTTGCGTTGCGGTGCGAGCGCGGACAAAATTTTCAGAGAAGAAGAAGAGTTGTGTCGATGAGAGACCCAAAGAGAGACCAATCGGTGCGCGTCGTCGTTGTTCGCGTCGCGTTACTACTGGTACCTGTGTGTATTTATAATAATGATATATTTTAATTATATTTGTGGTGTGGTAGTTTCGTCGTTCTTTCGCTCTCTGCGCACTCTCTTTCTCTCTCTCTCTGCGCATTCTTTACGCTTCAATCCCCATTTTACTCAACAACGATCGACTCTCCGCGGCGAAATCAATCGGATTCATGCTCATCGTCAACACTTTTCTGCGATTTTCGTTGTTGTACTCCTCGACTTTACTCTTCAACTTAAACGTGAAGGATTTCTTTGCGCCTTGCGCCGCGCGGAGGATTGCATCATACTTGTCGCTATCATTCTCTTGAAACTCGTGCATTTCGTCCGCGGTGTGACCAAACAACTTCTCGCCGTCGTCGTTGAACAAGGTCAACCAGCAAGATCCGCTTTCATCCGCAATCTTGGCGCCCATGATATATCTGCGTTTGCACGTCGCGTACGTCTTTTGGTTCTTGGCACAATACCACTGTCCATTCTCTTCCTCAACCTTAGCGTTGTTGCCTTCCTCCGGCGTAGCGCAGTACCACATGGTACCCTCGCGAATAGTCAATATAGACGCTCTCGGAACGATGCACATCTTCGGTTTATCCGAAGCCGACGGGATTTCCTCCGGTTGAAAATCAACCAATGTTTGTCTCTCCAATGGTGCGAGTTTACCGCCTCTTTGTTGAACGGACAAACCGGCACCTTCCGCGGCGGTTTTAAACGTCGCGTTCTCGCCGTTTTCTTTAAACCACTTCGCAGTTTCGATGGCTTTCTCCGGAACTTCTCCTTCTTCGACCGAAGCTTTCGCGGCTTCGTCCAATTCAAAGATTTGCATCTCGGATTTACCGAGCGTCCCCAAAGAAACGCCCTCGTATTCTGTCACGCGAACCGAGCGAACGATAATTACCGGGTTCGTCATCTCTTTCAACTTTTCGCCTTGTTCCGTCGCCAGCGCGTTCCACAACGTCAACTGGACCGTGCTGGAACTCTCGTCGCACAACGTCAACTCTCTCTTTTGAATCTCCGAGTTGTCCGACTTTCGCTTCACCGCGCTCAAGTCGGCGACGGACTTGACAACCGCGCACACGTCGCACGTCGCTCTTTTCGAGTTGACTCTTTTCGCCAAGTCGCCGATAGACACAAACTCAAAAGCCTTTTCGAAAATCTTTTTCGCGGCGCTTTCCAATTGCTCCTCCTCGCTCGCCTCTACGATTTCAGACTTGCCGTCCAAAGACATCTCGTAGTCGTTGTTCACCGTGGTATACTGTCTATTCGCCGGTCTCAAAGATCCTTTGGAAACGTAATACAGCTTGCCAACTTCCAAAACGTTCTCGTATCTTTCCACGGCTTCTCTCCACAACGTCGCTTGAATCGCCGTCCCTTCGCTATCGACCAATTCCACGGTCAAAACCTTCCCTTCGCCTTTGGCGTTGCGGTACGTCCTCGTGTTTCCCTTCACCGCCAACTTGGCTTTTATCGTCCATTGTGGCTGATACGGGTTCAAACTCGCAATCGGTTGAGATCGTCTCGAATTCACCACGCCAGGAACTGTCTTCCCACCACCGGTCGCACCCGGCGTTTTAAACTCCGGGCTCGCGTTTTCATCCACGAACGAAAACTCCCTGACCAACGCTTCGCTGTTTTCAAAAACCACGTCGGTGAGTTTCACCACCGCGCCGGATTTCACCATTTTGTTGTTCTCCTTCGCGAACAGGTCTTTCGCGAACGTGCACTTCAACTTGTTCGTGCCGTCGTTGAGTACGCCACTATTTATGAACGACCGATCGATGATGATGATGATGATGATGATGATTGCGTATATAATAAAATTGGAGAAAAATGTAAAGTCGTCAGTCGTATTTTTTTGAAAACAACACACAAAAGAGAATTTTGGAGATTTTTGAAATCCAACGACCTCCTCTGAAGGGATTTTTGAAAATCTCGCATCATCGAATCATCATCATCGCCGAACGACGACTACGACCCCGCACAGAAGAGCAATGGCGGTTTAAAAGAAGAAGAAGAAGAAGAAGAATAAAACGCACCGAAACGCATCGTTGGAGCCGTCAAAATCGAGAACCTGGATGAATGAAGAGAAGACCGAAGAATGTTGTTGTCAGCTTTTTGAACGAAACATTTTGTTGATGGAATTTTTTAGTCGCAGAGGAAGTCGACGATGAAAGAAAGAAAGAAAGGAAGAAACCACCCCATACTAAACAAACGAGACGACGACATCTCTGAAGCCGCCACGATGTGTGATAAAAAAGATAAAACAAACCTGAACGTTCAACTCGTCCTTGAGGACTTCTTTGGACTCGCGAATTCGCGCGACCGCGCCTGGGGTCACCGCGACCGCTGACATTATTTTTACTAGGAGGAGTCGAAAAGTGTGGAGAGAGACAGTTTTTTTGAAAAACAAAACGAGGCTCCTTGGAATTAGGGTTTAGAACCCTAAACATTTTTTAAACAACTTTTTGTCTCTAACCATTTTAACGAACTTCATTCACTTTTACGCAAAAATCCAATTCGGGACCTCTATTATATTCGGGACATGTCTTCCTCTTCCACCTCCTCGTTGGCGGATGATGCGTTACTTCTGGCGAAAAAAGTCGGCTTGCACGACCAGTCGTCGTATTCGCTCGTTCGTCGTGGTGTACTGCGGAGTTGTCGCACCGAAAGAGGTGACGATGAAATTTTGCAAAAACACGATGATGCGAGTGGGAGGATGAAACTCTTCGAGTGCGTGGAACTCGTCGATGCGGCGGCACATTCAGTGAAAAGCAGGAGCGGTGCGATGAATGCTGCGAAAACGAAAAAGAATGCGAAAGAAGACGTATTTGTCGATGAAGAAAACGACGACGACGTCATTGACGAGAGGCATAAAGTGCGGAAACTAAATACTTTTGGAGATGATACAGAAAGACAGAGGATGATGGAGAAGGATTTTTGCCTCTACGCGGGCGGCGCGGTGGAAAGTTTAGATTGGTTGGACGACGATATCATCGACGAAGAAGAAGAGTCTGCTTCTTTGTCTTCCTCTCGAGCGTTTTTGGCGGTGGAAGCGAGAGAGGACTCAAAGAACGCGCGCGTGAAGATAAAAGACGCGTTCGCGAGGAAAGGTGAATTTGGCGTGGTGCAAGTGTATCGGTGCGCTTCTTCTTCTTCTTCTTCTTCTTCTTCTTCTTCTTCTTCGAGTCCAATGAAAATGCATTTGGAGTGTTTAATCGAACACGACGGTGGGTTCGCGCATTGCGTGAGATGGTTGCCGAACTTGCCGATGAAGAAGAAAGTGAAGGAGAAGAAGAAGGAAAGGGACAAAGAAAAGACGGCGACGATAAACAAGAAGAAGGAGAGTAAAGTCGACGCGGAGAATGAGGTGGAAATAAAAGTAGAATACGAAATAGAAGCGTCGCGGTCGGTGTTCGACGCGAAAGTGAACAATCTGAAGATGAAGGATATCGAAGACGCGAGGAAAGATATTTTAGGATACTTGGCCGCGTGTTTAGCCGACGGCTCGGTGCAAGTGTGGGCGGTGCCGAACGCAAAGAAGAAGGATAGCAAAAAGAAAGAAACCAATATAACAGTGTTGAAAGCGGAGAACGTGTGCATATTTAGAGGCGCATTGGTGACAAAAAATCCACTGCGCGGCGGGTTGAGTTTGTCGTGGAGTCAAGGCGCACCCGGTCGATTGGCAGTCGGAACCGTAGACGGAAGCGTCTGCGTGTTTGATATTCATCGATGCATGCAATATGACATCGAAAATAACGTAAGTTATAGCAAGAGTAGTAACGAGAAGTACTTCGCGCACGTGCCAACGATTACGGTCACCATGGAAGAAGCGGGTCCAATACGCGACTTAGAATTCGCGCCGTTAGAAGACGAAGACGAAAACAGAGAGGACGAAAAGAGCGTCGAAGACGACATCAAACGTAAAAGGCTCGCGTCCGCAAATTTTATCGCCGTAGCTGCTCATAAAGTTTCTAAGGCGAACGTGATTGATTTGCGTTCGCGTTCGGTACTCCCGGAATCTTTTCAAATCGAGAAATGGATGGACGATATTCGCTCCGTCGCGTGGCTTCCGAAAGGCGCGTACATTTACGGTTGCGACGGAACCGTCGGTTTTAACGGTAAGTTTTTGTTACGACAATACGATGGTCCCATATGCTGGGAGGATGACGAACAAGAAGTTAGATATGGAGGAACAGTCGGGATAAAGTTACCCGCCGCGGATGACATTCTCAAGGATATTAAAAACGCCACGAGCAAAGACGCCATCGATTATACGAAAAAATCTGGCGGTATGCCTTGGTCCATCGATTCGCGCATTTTTGGAACTCGAGGTTCACGCAACAAGTGCTCGTTTGTCGTCGTAGGATCAAATTCTGGCGTTGTTTCTGCTTCTGTGCAGCGATACCGGATGAAAGAGTCCAAGAATAAAGACGCGTTGTGGAAAGCTCAAGGCGGTTGGTCGGCGTTTGAGCAAATCGGAGGAATGAGAGAGGTACGCGTCAAGAAGGAAAGATTCGTAGAATTTCGCACGCCTGGAGACGAAGATATCCTTTTGAAAAAAGAAGGTGGAGAGGCTCAAGAAGAGGATGACGAGGAAGGATTTCGCATGAGGAAAGGATTGGAGTGTCACGAAGTTCGCGTGAACAGAACAGGTAACACGGTTTGGATCGCCTCTGGATTTGTGAATGGGTTCGTCCGAGTCCAATCGCTCGAGAGAGCGTATTTGGACAAGATTTGCGATATACAAAGCGACGAGATGGATAAGTGGCTTCACAAGGAACCCTTTGGATCATGATGATGATGATGATGAAGAAGAAGAAGAAGGAGAAGGAGAAGAATCAATTTGAAATATATGATTGCGACATGGTACCATGGTACCTGAAAATGATGACGATGCTCTTTCTACGTTGACTTGTACTACATTCTACCAAGGTTCCCGCTTGGTCTACTTTGTTATGCTCCTATTTTTAATTACTACGATGTGCATAAACCCATCCGGTGCGGATAACGCATTCCATAACACACCAACTGGTTTCGCTTCATCAATTTCAATTCCCTCGATTTTAACTCTTCTACCCCTTTCTTCTCGTGAGTTAGTATCGTCATCAGGAAACATGACGTCGTCCAAACACTCGGCTATCGATAGATTCCGCGCAACCGGTGCCGAAGAAAATCGCACGCACCGTTCCCAAAACCCTTGACCGTCGTCAATATCATCACCATCATCGTCATCTCCTGCGCCTTGACGCATCACGTCCACTTCATACGCCCGTATTGGTACCGCCCCCCCTCCTCCCGCATTCATTTTCTTCTCTCTCTTTCTCGCCTCTTTGTGAATCTTCGTCAACGCTTCCTTCGCTTTCTCGTATCCAGATCTCTCGTTACCATGGACACTTTCATCACCAACACCCATCGTACCCTTCGTCATCGTGCTCTCCCACAAATCATCTCTCGCTTGCACGCCCAACGACATCACCACTTGGCTCGACCCTGTCTGTATAAAACTCGCCTCTTTCAAAGCGTTGAAGAAATGACTCTTGCACGCTTTTTGCGCGTCTTCGCCCACCGCGTGTCGAAAGGATAAACCCAATTCGTCTCTTTGCGAATATCGAGCGACGAGTTCTAACGGAAGAAGAAGACGAGGACTCGTTGTTGTTGTTGTTAAAGCTCTGAGAATATCCGCGACGACTCCAAACGGAACGTTCCATCGTATCGGTATCGAGAGTTTATTTTTTCGCATCAGTCCTCTCCTCGAGTCGTACACGTCCACGTCCAACGGTTTCGTCTCGAACCACGCGTCGTGAAGCGAGCTGCTCTTCTTCCTGCTCTTCTTCTCGGTAGCATTAACGGCGGTATCATCACTCTCGCCGTTCTCATTGCTCGCATCATCATCATCACCACCACCACCACCACCACCGCTCTTCGTGTTCTCAGCAGTATTCATCAAAACCGACGCCGACGCCGACGCCTGCGACGACGAAGAAGAAGAATCACTCATCAACCGAAACTGTTGAAAATACCGGCCAATGTCCCCGTTCTCGAACCATCCGTGAAACGCCGTCAAACGCGCGAATCTCGGGACGAGAACGAAATACGGTTCTGGATGGTCGATCGAGCACACCTCTTCCGGTCGCATGGAAATGGAAATCGGTATCATGCCCGACCACTTTTGTTCTTCTTTGTCATCCATCTTTTCTTCAAAGGCGTAAAATTCCTCTCTCTCTTTTGTGTCTTCCATCATTCTTCTCCTTTACGAGCGCGCGCGAGAGAAAGAACACAGAAGAGTTTCCTTCGTTACGAGTGTATCGTCTGTATCGTTATCGTCGTCCGACGCATCACGTAAGGCAGACTAAAGGAGTGTTTGGATAATGTAAAGCGTAGTATTCTTTAAAATGTGTTTTTGCACAAAAAAAGACTAAAAATTACGAGGAATGCATCAACCAACGCCGATACTTTCGCGCGAAATAGTCTCCCCGAACGGCGACGCTCACTCCGTAATGCGATTGAATCAAATTAAACTCCTCTCGTTCGTCGAGCATTTCCAAACGCTCCGCGCGATATATTTCTTCTCTGCTCAACAGCACGTCCTGACACTCGGTCATCTTTCTGCATTTAACCGAATCAAATCCACATCTCAAGAACATCGCTTCCACCGAAGCGCAATCGACGCGGCTGCCATTTTCTTCCTCCAAGGCTAAAAACGGCGTCCCGCGTTGCTCTCTCACGTTTCTGCACATGCGACGACCAAACTCGTCGTTTAATCGCATCGCTTCGTACGACACGATCGCCCTGTTTGCTACTACTGTATTCCTATCTTTACTACCATTATTACTATTGCTACTCTCTCCGTTGAACGTCGCGCACATCCTCAACGCCTTCTCGCACTTTTCTCCGTTCAAATAGGACAACGCCACCTCGGTCACGAACAACGTCGGCAACTGCCAATCCACTCGCGCTTCCGTCAATATCTCCTTGATTTCCTCCGCGTCTCTCAAATCCGCACTGACTAGATTATACCCACTCGTCGACCGTAGCTCCGAACCGTCTCGTTCGAAGTGATACACCCCCAACGGTTCCCGAAGCGCCTCGTGTTTCTCGATCGTTTTAATCTTCCGTCGAGTCACTTCCGCGAAATCCACGTCGTACCATTTCACTCTACTACGTTTAGTACTTTCTTCTTTTCCATCTCTCGACGACGCGTTGTTGCCAACTAAACACCACCAGCTCGTGTCGTACCCGGATCCTAAATTAATCACCTGTTTCGCGTATTTCACCGTATCTTCTTCTTCTGCATCATCATCATCATCATCATCATCATCGCTCATCAAAAACATCTCGATCGCTTTCCTCACGTGCGCGACTCTATAAAACGTGCCTAAATTGTGCAGCGGTTCGTTTCTCCGAACTTTTGTCCTGTTAACAAACAGAACGGAGTACGGGTCGTTCGGTATGTGGCCGACGGATGCGCACGAACTGAAAGAAAGAAAGAAAGAAAGAAAGAAATTTCATATGTATGTTAGAGAGAAAGAATCCTAAGAACGAAAAAAAAACGATACGCACGCTCGGGCAACGGTCGCCTCGTCGTTGGTGGATTGCACGCGGACGTCCTCGTCGTCTTTCGCCAGACCTGGTTTTGTATTGTTGTTGTTGTTGTTGTTGTTGGACATGAGGACTTCCGAACAACAACAACCACAACGTAAAGTTTCGTTAT